TAGCCAAGTGAAACTCTATAATTGAATAAAACATTTTGATAAAAATTGAAACAGCACTTTTTTCAGTTTCAAAGCTATCACTGTAAGAGCAAGTGACGAAGAAAATCGGTGGGGTCAATGGGTTCCACGGCAACTTCGAGGTCAACGCGGTGAGAGAGAAACCGAGGGACAATGGTGTCCGGTCGGGAAGTACGACAACGTCAAAGTCCAGCTCGAAAAGTCAGTCGAGGCACAGTCGGGGGAGTTATTCTGCTTGTAAGAACGCTAGGTGTTTCGGGTGCAACGAAAAGGGGGCATTTTATGAGATTCAGTCCGAATTCGAGTGAAGCGAACGGTCGTGGAATCAATGCAAACAATTTTTTTTTTTTTTCGAGTATCATCGGATTTTTAGATTTTTTAGAAACTGTGAAAATGTAATGTTAACAAGACTTTTGGAACCTTGTTTGTCCTTATTTTCTTATCTTTCCGCGGACCATCAAAACAAGGATGCCTACGCAATCGTTCTTCTTACTAAACGAATTCTGTGTGTGTGTGTGTGTACTACGCATGGCCTACAATAGCTATTCGTCTTCCTTCCTTTCGATTTTTGCGCCCTCCCCGTTTTCTCATTATTTTCCAGAACCTTATTGTACTTTTTGCGTCGCTCATTTCCCCTACTACCAGTAGTAGTAACCACGACAAAAATTGGAGGAAAATAGTGAGAAAATTGAAGAGACGCAGAGAAAAAAAAATTGAAAGTGAGGAATTTTTATGCGACACATTGGCTAGCGGAGAGGAAATTCGAGGCGCAACTGACAGGGACTTTTTTTTTATAAACTTGAAATTTCAGCATTTTCAAGAACAACGTGGCACTGTTGTATTGTCAAGTTCTCAAAATTGGCTTCAATTGTTCAGTCTTTTGTTCTAAATAAAATAAATTGAATAAATTTCTTCTTTTTCTTCCGCAAAAAAATTAGAGACCGTAGCCAGAAGTATATCGAAGAAACAGTGCGTCTTTTGATCATCTCTTTTGAAACCGTAAAACTTTTTTTTTTTTTCAAATTGCAAACGGCAAAGAAAAGAGAAGATAAGAAGGAAGTAAAAGATTTTTGAAAACTTTTTATCAATCAGACATGAAACTGAACTTTGGATTTGCCCACGAATACAGTTTTGGAAGGAAGGAAATTGTGAACACTGTCATTTCAGTTTTCTGGGTGCGATAATCTGACTGGGAAAGTAAATGTGTCCGCTGTCTCGATAGAAAACTCAAATGACAGTATTCAGATCGAAAAGTGCGTCAAATAGGCATCTCCCTTCACAAAACTGCGGAATTTTGTCGCAACAACTGAAGCATGGGTAACGTTCAAGTAGTTTTCAAAGCTTCAACAAAAATATTCGCTTACTTTGAAACACAAAATAAAAAAGAATCGTAGAAATTGGCACTTTTCTCCTTTTCGCTAAATAAACTCTGTCCTTTTCCGTTCTTTTATAGAGCAGACCGGCCAAAGGACAACACAAACGGGAGAGTGTTCGGAGAGGAGAGCGCGCAGCGAAAGCGGAGAGAAAATATACAGTTTGACGTCAGAAAATATGGGAACACGGGCCAGAAAGAGCAAAAGTTTTTTGGAAAACGCGGGGGTGGCGTCGCAGAGACTTTGGAAACTTTTTTCCGGGCTTTTAGAGGTAAAAAAAAAGGATTTTGGCGCTCGGAACCGCCAGCTTTCAAATTCGCGCGCGAAAATTTCGTGCTGCGCCTTTAAACAACTACCGTAATCTTCGTTTGCACTTGTGGCGTACGAACGTTGCGAATTCCTCGATTTTTACAAGTTTTTATTCACTCTAAACCTCATAAATTATTTTTGTTTATTTCGGAAGGATTTTCTTCGATTCGACCCTAAAATTTTGCATATTTTTCGACGTTTGAGCGCTCAAAAGATGAGCAATGAAACGGTCTTTCTCGTGTCGGCCTCTTCGAATATTCCGCAATCAAATGAGCCCGTGCGCATCAAAACTGTTGTTTTTCAGCGCTAATTTCGAAAGTGTAAGAAGTGGTGGAAAGCAAAAAGCGTACAAAAGTGTGAGAAACAAGTTGCCGTGGGGATATCTCGGGAATCGTCCTCAAGACGCGAAAAGCAGACGATTCACACGGAAAACAACTGGTTTGGGGGCGGGAAATTTCGAGATGAACAACAGAGAAATCCGTGTGAATAACTGCGAACATAGCCTTTTTCTTGTGGTTTCACAGATTAGGTACTCCGCCGTGTCCTTTTTTTGCGTCTTGGTAGTCGAGTCTTACAGAAAACTCGCTTTAAACACAAAAAAAAAATGCTACTTTCAAAATGAGGAGCACTTAAAACTTATTAACAAAAAATACCGTTTCAGAGAATTGCAGTATCAAAGATAATAATTCGTTCTAGGCTCTCGAAATAATGTTGAATGAAAATTTCAATGTCAGTCTCTAAGAATTCTCCTTTTTCTCTCTGTTCCTCATTATTCGTCAAATGAATACTTGTCACGTGGCAACCGAAAGAAGTGTGACTAATTTTGAGTTTGGCGAACTTTATCCGTTTGAAAAAAAACATGGAACGGATCATTTTCAAAGTGAACATGTAAAAAATGCTACCGTTCCACAGTCGTATAATATGTGTACGGTCATAAAATGAATAAATACTAATCCGTGCGCGTCAAAATCCCCATCGCTCCCCTATTTTTACCCGGTCATTTCCCGAAAATCACACTTTTTTTTCGTAGCGCAACTTTTCGACGCAGTTTCGCGTTTAGTTTGATCGAAGAATCAAAAAATCGCAAAGATTACTGTCGATTTCAACAATTGCGGACCGGGCATCGGATTTTACGACAAAGCGCAGAAATGTCGAGAAAAAGTCGCAACAAGTTGCAAATAAGTCTGACCAAACTACAGCGGAAGAGAAAAAGGCGAGAAAACGTGTATCTCCACACTTTTTCCCTCGAAATTGCCATTGTCTTGTACGTGTTTTTAAGGCGATAATGATTGGAATCGGCAAGAAAAGAGAGTGTGACTAAATAACTGGAATTTCAGCATTTCAGCATCATTTTTTGAGCTTCACAAGTACAACAGCTTTACAGATTCAAAAAAACTCTTTCAAGTTTCGAGAAATCTTTCTTCTTACTAATCAAAAACAGGGTTTGGGTGTGTGTGTGTGTGTGTACAAGCTTTTCTCATGGATAACATTTTGACACCCCCCGATCGAAGTGTCCCATACTTGGCACATCGTGATGCTGCGATTTCTCTCTCTCTCTCTCTCTCGCGCACTTTTCACTTCCTCATTCCAATCTTTAGCTGCCGTTTACGTTTTCATTTACCAAAAGACACAGACAAAAAGAACCGTTTTCTCTTTTTCTCTCCCACTTCCCCGCTTCGAAAAGTGAGGGAGATTGCAGAGAAAACGGACGGAAAACGGCAGTATTTTTCAGAGAAACCACGTCAAGGTGAACTTTTTTTTCCGCGAAAATTTCGACCCCCGCTTGCAATGGACTCCCCCCTTTTAGGCCCCCAATGTTATGTTTGAATTGGTCCTACAATAGTCAAAGATGTTCTGAAAAAGGAAACACTTAGATGATGGAGAGATGAGAAAAGAAGGGGAAAGTGATTGTTTGGGGAGGCAAAAGCTGACAGATCTTCGCCACCTGATCTTCCGAATGGCTAAGTGCGTGGGCGGTTATGCAATGCTATACAATCTCTACAATCTCTTTTCTCTTTCTCTTCTTCTTCTTCCTCCGTTATATCATCCATTTAGAAAGGGAAAACATTGGGCTACTGTGGTCCACCGTTACCCGTACAAAAGTGACACGATGGAAGTCCACGGGCAGATTGATCCCCCCTACTTGCCTGGGGTTTAGCCCTTCTATTGTGACCTGTAAGACCCCAACAACGAATAGTCCAACGAAAAAAGGCCAGGCGAGAGTTCCCGACGAACTGTTGAGTGATCTTGACAGTCTGAGCAGCAGTGTTGAGCGGAATTCCGTCTTCCGTCTTCCGGAATTTTTTCTTCTTACCGTAAAAGAGTAATCGCTTTTTCAGAAGCCATTTACTAGCCCCGAAGAACGCGAATTTCCACGGGCAGTGACCCAGATCCAAATTTTTTGTTGTTTAGTTATTTTTTTCAAAAAAAAAACCGGAGAAAAAGGTTCTGCATTGACGATTTTTTGTTCCGTCTTCCGTCTTCCGTAAAAAAAATGTTCTTCCGTCTTCCGTGTTCCGTAAAAAAAATCTTCCGGATTTCAAAATTCCATTTCCGCTCAACTCTAGTCAGCAGGCGAGCCATAGCCCTACCGTTTTCATACGCTTCCAGGGACGTCCCAGCAAGTCCCTGATCTTTTTGAGAATTGAATTCAGCCTTTGCCGAGAGCGGTTTTCCGTCAACAGAACATTTGGATCCGTTTCAACTTTTTGACGAATCCGTTTGGTCTGAAACTTGGCAAAATAGTGAAAGATATGTCCATAAACCCAATTTTTAGGGGGCCGCACCAAAAGTGCTACAAGCCAAACGAGTAACGGTGGGCCAAACCCCAATAGAATTAATTCATTGTCTGTTATGATTTAAAGAAAAAGAAGAGAGGAACAGTGATAAAAAATGTTTCGACCGAGAAAAGAGCAGAAAAAAAGATAGGGGGAATGTGGTCTGGAATTATTTCGAATTTAATTTTTTTCTGAAAATTGAAGCCGGGCATATGATTACTGTGAAAGGGTAAAGCGGGGAAAAACGAGAGAAGCATTTTTTGTTTGTTTGAAAAATCAAAATTGCCGGGGGAAAAACACCAGCGGAGAGAGGATTTGGAAGAGAAAAACTGCAAATACATATTAAAAATAGAGAAATATATTATGTGGCTTATAAAATACATGGGAGCGAGCGAAAAGGGGGGAATAATTTTTGATTTTTCGTGAAATTAGACATAAATACTGTGTTCCGGGAGGGGCTAAACGCATTGTGGCATTGTGTGGAAATAAATCGATGAAATTCAGAGAAAATTGTTGGAGATGTTCAAATTTTGGCTCCTCCAAAATATTTGCGATATTGTCCGATTACGTGATGGCGCGCCGGCTCGTAATAATGGTGACGGAGGTCCGATAGAGCGCGGTGGCTTTCGATGAATTCGTGGTGAGCGGAGCCTTCGGATTTCTGCAAATTGCTTTATTTCTTTCAAAGACTTTCACAATAAACGATGCTCACCTCAAAAAGGCAGATGACGAGTGCGAGAGTGAGAAGAAGAAGGAGGAAAAAGACGAAAAATGTGTTGACGACCCGCGAAAATGCACTTTTCCGGGCCACCGGAGCCGCCGTTTCGATCAGCGAATCCTGTTTTTCTTCCGTGCAAATTGTGTGTCCGTTCGATTGAATCGTCTGCAAAATTTGCATTCGTTTTTGAATTCGACTCTTGACGCGTTCAAATTTAAGGCAAAACCAATTCCGAACTATAGTAAAAAGTTCATTCAAGTTGCAATTTGTTCGCTCACCTTTTTCTCATTTCCGCCTCCATTTGCCACTTTTCCGTTTCCATTTTTCACGAACAAATTCTGCTGAAATGTTCTTTCATAAGTTCAGCGCACTAAACTGAGCCCCGCGAAACTTAGAAAAAGGTGAATTTTCCACATAAATTTGAAGAATAGAACGATTGAAGCGAACACAACACAAAACCACCACCACCACCACCAAATCACTACAAAAAGGCAAAAAGACGCGTTTTCGTGTCGAGACCTTTGCCGATCGGGGAGTACTCGACGCCAGCGGACGTCCCAACTCCATCACTTCGTGCTCTTTCACGAGCTCGTTGAATTCGTGCTCCAAAACTTGGGCTCGCGAGAATTCCGTCTGAAATGCGGTGAGAAATGCCGAAGAAAGGAATAGTAGGTCAAGACGAGTTTTTCAAGCGCAAGAGCGTCAAGATTGGTCGCGATTGCGTGATTTTCGAGAGCATCACGAAATGGAGCTCCCACTGTATATTCTGTGTCAGTTTCATTTCGCGATGCTCTCTGAATTTCAGCTGTTTTCTGCTAAAGTTCTCCATTTCTCCTAAACAATTTCGAGAAACAAAAAAGCATGCAAGCAAGCAGAGCATTCGGGTGAAATGAGACAAAAATAGGTGGAAAAGGGGTTAGAAGAATCCGCAATAAAATCCGAGCATCTCAATAAAACTCTTCTCCAAAGTTACCGTACCTGAGATGCTCCCGATGACGACGTCGCAACTTCTTCGCGTTTGATCAAATGCACCGTGAAACTCGTCTGTAAATGGGCTCGGCAAACATCCGGGACAAGGCGGCAAATTTACAATATTCACATTTTTTTTTCGATAATTTCGAAACGTACAAAGGAAAAATGTGGAAAAGTGAGAGAGAGAGAGAGTGTTAGAGAAGAAGCATGCATTTTTGTGAGCAAAAATTGTGCGACCTACAAAAATCCCATGAAAAATCTGAAAAACCAACCGAATTGTGGTCCGCATTATTCAGATGCGATTGCACAATTTTGACGGGGTCCGTCGGGCTCAGCGGCGACGAAGAGCCGGAAAGCGAGGAGATGAGCGAGGAGGCGACTGAAAAAATCCATTTAAAAAGCAGTAAGATTCGAGTTGAAGTTCAGAATAAGAGATGGAGATTCTCGAGCACGTTGCGGTGTACGCAATTTTGCGTCGCCTTCTGCGCCTCTCGCATCACACACTCTATCGTCGACTCTGACTGCTGACACAAAATTATACACTCCGGAACATGTTCGAAAATTGTCGTCGCGTCGCCAATCGGCGCCCAGAAAAATAGAAAAAATACAGTTATTTTTGAAGAGCGGCGAATTGAGTTTATTTCGAAATCAGTCAGGAAAAAATTCTTTAATTCGATGGAAATGCGTCAAAAAAATTTCTCCAAAGTCGCTCACCTTCTCCGTCGAAAGAAATGTTCAAATTGGTGAGTTTCGTCCTGTTGTTGTTGTGATTCTCGCTTCTCGGACTCGAAATCGTCGAGCCGATCTCTGAACACTTGTTTTCAAAATTTTTAAGGAGCGATTCGGTTGCCGTTAATTGAAAAATTGCTTACGATTAGCGGCAAAGACGGCAAAGACGCAGGCGCGAGACAACAAACAAAAACAACGGAGTCTACCCCTGATCAGATTTTCGAAAAATCATATTGTGACGGGTTCTGGCTCGACGTCGAGCCTCCTAACAACAAAACTGTCTCGCGCCTGCGTCTCTGCATTTTCGCACGCTGATCGCTTCTCTCTCGCACCCTGTGTTTTTTCCGATTGAACCGTAAACTCGCCCACCCCTGTACATTTTCCAAACATTATTTTCGATTCTCATTTACTCGGGTTCGTATTTTTTGAAAATCCTGTGGAACACAGAGAAATTCCGGTTTCACTAAAACTAGAATAATTTTCAATTAAACAATTCAGACTTGCCAAATCCCGGGCCGGCCCGCCGGGCCGGCCCGGCCCGGCCCGGTTTTGGCCCGGCCCGGCCCGACCCGCTCGGGCCGGGCCGGGCCGGGCCAGCAAATCGTCGGCCCGGCCCGGCCCGGTCGGCCCGGCTCCGCCCACTCTTGAGAAAAATTTTCGTAATTTTTGTGAAAATTTTGCGACTTTAAACAGCAATTTCTATTTTTTAACAGGTTTTTATGCTATAACATTGCCTTTTTAAGTCTATAAAATTTTAAGTCTATAAAATTATGTTCGTTTCGAAGTTCTAGTTCGCTTTGAATTTTTAGGTGCATCCTCCCGGGCCGACCGGGCCGGGCCGGGCTGGGCCGGGCCGGGCCGGGCCGCGGGCCGGGCCGGGCCGGAAAATTTCCATTTTTGGCCCGGCCCGGCCCGGCCCGGCCCGTTGCAAGTCTGAAACAATTAAACATTACAGCGTTTGCTGCAATTGTTAAAAATTCTAAACAATTCCCAAACAAAAACAAGTACCGGTCATCTCGAAGTGCGTGCCGTTCGCGTGTTTTCCGTTCTTGAGCCACGGCTGCTCGACACGTGGCTCCTGGCGTGGCAATTCGTAGCGGACCACTTGCGATTCGACAGAAGTAGAGCGCACTGTGAGCGGAGCACTGATGGCAGAGCTGCAAAACTTTGAAAGTAACTGATTTTATTCGCATTTTCGAATCATTATGGGGCTATTCAGCGTATGTTTGTTTTCCGTTTTTTTCGTTTTTTTACATCGCTGAATTGGATTTTTTGACGTAAAAAAACGAAAAAAACGGAAAACAATCATTTTTTTCACAGTCTGAATAGCCCCATTAGCGAACATTTCAATAAGTAAACCAAGACTGTCAGGCGGCCGGCCGCCACATTTTGTAAAGACTGGATGTCGAGCGCACGGTGCACGGCGACCCGGCTTTCCTGTGAGTCATTTTCATATGCTCAGTCGATTTTGGAAGAGACGGCCCGAAATTTGTCACCGCGGCCCTGTTTTTGACAGCCTTGAACGAGCCAAAAGCGATGGATTTGCATTTTTTTTGCGGGTTTTTTCTATTTTCAAAAACCAAAAGCGAAAACCTGTCGAGCAGCGACTCGTCTTGCTCTTCGTTCGAAGTGACGGTTGTCTCGTTGAGGACTCCGCACGAAGTGTCCAAAAGTGATTTTTCAAAGTGAATTCCGTTCGACTCGTCCTCCTCGATCTGTTTGTACACTCGTTTGGACGGGAAGCGGAAGGTGGAGCCACGGGAGAGCAGTGGAATGCGCGGTCTGCAAATTTTCAGATTTTTTGAAGGAAAATTGGAGCAAATCAGAAAATCAGAAAAAATAGCATCAGATGCCCGGGCTTTCCGGCCAAACTCGGCTTTGAAGCACTATAACTAGGTACCGCAACGGGTTTCGCAAAACTCCGAATTTCCATAAAATTCTTGTTGGAATGTGTTCCCCTACTCTATATGAGTACACTCCCAATTTTTTTTTCAAAAATTTTCGGTACATCCCGAGTTATACCCCTTCAAAGTTGCCCTGTTTTCTCCCCGGTCGGCGGTCGAGGAGACGGCGGAGTCTCGCTGGCGGGCGATTCGTGTCGCAGTTTGTTGGAAAACACCAAAGAGGCAACATATTAAGTGGTCAGAATTGATGTTTTAAGAAAGCAAAACAACTTTCGAGATCAAAAGTTTCGAACCCGACACCTCCAGACTGCCGAGTGAGCACTCTGCCACTGCGCCAACCGGGCAGAGGCGCGGCGAACGCCAATGGCAATGAGAAGCTCGGTGTTCGCCATTCATTTTTGATACGACTTTTGCGGAATTTCAGCGCAAAAATGTGAAAATTTGAAGATGTTTGCCGGGCTGAAATTTTGAATAAATAGATGGATTTTGTAGAGAATTTTACGCTGAATCCGATTCCGTGGAGAAAAGCCGCGTGTTGGCTGTTTCCGACCTTCAAATTATCGAAAAACAAGAAATTCGGCCGAATGGGGTCTACTCAATCGAACACAAAATTTCTCCTAGGGGGTCTAGAGCTCTGAAATTTTATATTTGGGTTCTCAGAGAGTTTATCTATGCATTCCAAACATAAAAAAGTGGGGTCATCGCTGAAAATTTTTCGCTAACTTTTTTGGCACTTTGACGGTCTGAAAAACAATGTTTGCCGGAACGAAATTTGAATTTTATTTCAAAAACGGATTCCCCATCCCTTAAACTGTCAGAATCACTTCTCAGAAGCCGCGTGTTGCACAAACTCCGGCCACAGTGGCTCTCAGACTAACTTCCATTTTCGTTTTCTCCTTTTTTTGAGAAAACTGTGCGTTTTCATGGAAAACGGAGCTGTTCATTTGATTCAGCATGGCCGATTACATAAAGTAAACCTTTTTGAATATGGTACTTGGTTTGGGGACCTCGGTACAGGCCCTCAAACATGCGCGGCGCGACCGGGGAGAAAATTCGGCAGGCCACGCCCCCTTTGTTGCGCCCCCTAACTATAACTCAAGAGTGAATAATCGGATCGGTCTGAAACGTGGACCCAATATACTTCAATCCAAGTACAAGAAGTCTGCAATGTTTGGGTCCGATCGGAATATTACAAGTAGGTCAAAAGTACAAAAGGCCGACCGATTTTCCCGCCAAAAACACGTACTTGGAGAATTTCAATTTGACATTCTCGGCCGAGGTCTCATTGAAGAACGCCTGCTGCGAGAGGATGTGGATCCACAAATGCTTGGCAAACTGATTCGAAGGGCACTGGTATTTGAGCGTCAGCGGCTTCTTCTGCAAAAATAAATGCACTTGTTATTACAGTTTCATTAAAATTCTTGATCAACACGACTTTTTGAACCTGAGCCCGCCCGCTTCGCCGCTTGTTTCTTTCTCTCATAACCGTTTGAAAGTTCACACGTTCATTTCTCAATTTCTCCGTCACAACTGTTTCCGTTTCAGAAATGAAATAAACAGACAACAAGAAAAATTCGGTTTCAAATCTTTTCCATTAAGAAAATTTCGGGTTCGAAAAACTACAATTTTGCCCGAGGAATCGTGAGAACTCTTCCAAATTTCCCCGCGAAAAAAAGCGTACCGAGAGTGTGTTATACTTGTCCGTTCCGCTGGATCCGGAGATTGGCGACGCGGGGGCGGCAGTTCCGTTCTGCGCGGCTCCGTGATAGTCCTCCGACAGGCTCATTCTCAGCTCCCTTCCAGAATAGTCGACTTTTTGCAGTTCGTGCCAGTCGATGTGATGCACTCTCGATTGGCCCGCGTAGATGAGGATTCCCTTGCACGAGGCGCCCAGATACACCGGATTCGCCGGGTCCGACGTGTCCTGCAATTTCCAATTTCGACAATTTTGTTACTATCGGCGCTGCTTCCGCTCCTCTCAATGTTTTTACTATTTTATAAGCGTTTTTCGTACCTTGATGGTGTATGGATCGAATGCGTACGTGTCGAGCTGGCTCGCCTTCTCCAGAAATTCCAATTCGGCGTCGGCGCTCGATTTTCCTCTGAAAATTGGGCGAGTTTGCGGTTCAACCGGAAAAGAAAACAGGGGCCAAAGAGAGAAACGATTAGCATGCGTCTCTCTCTCTTTTGGCGCGCAAATCGCTTTTCCCTCGCCCCCCCGTTTGCAATTATCCGATCTGGTCCAAACTTTGCAATCTTCTTGGACTTGGATTGCAGTATCTTGGGTCCAAGTTTCAGCCCGATCGGACCATCTGATCCCGAGATACATATGTGAAATTGCGGCCTTTCGGCCAATGATCCACATATCTCGGAGCCAGATGATCCGACCGGTCTGAAACTTGGACCCAAGATACTTCTATCCAAGTTCAAAAAGCCTGCAAAGTGAGGACCAGATCCGATTAATACAAGTGAGTCAAAAGTCCAGGCCTCGTAAAACCTTTGAAACATTTTTTTTTTTAGACGCACTTCAACTCCTTGTGAATGACGGCGATGCGCTCCTCGAGTTTGGGCGTCTGCTTGAGCAGCAGTTTGTACTGGCTCACGTAGTCGCCTTGATGCTTTTTCTCGTCGTAATCGCCCAGCTGGGTCTGCAGAATGAGGGCGGCCAGTTCGGCGGCCGAAGTCGTCGGACAATAGAGACGGCCGTGCAGCAGGTCTCGTTGCAGTTGCACGAACAGTTGGTATCTGCAATTTATCATCATTATCATTCCGTAATAAATAAAATAGAAACCTGAGATTCGGGTCTCTCATTCGTGACGGCTCGGACGGATAGTAGCGGAATCGCAGATGGACAGTAATCGTTTCGGCTGGAACTTTTTCAGAAATCAGTTTTAGTCTTTCATTGAAACGTTGTTTTTTTTTAGAAATAAGCACATAGGACAGACGGATTTACGCAGAAAAATCAGGGAAAAATCGTTAAAATTAACCAAGATGACTAAAATGGGTAAAGTAGCGTCAGTATAGTTATTGCTCTAAAAATTGCAGAAAAAAAACCAATTTTTACACACTCAAACTCACTTTTGCCGACTTTTTTGATATCCTCTACAAAGTATAACAAATGGCTAGAGTTTTGTTGCAATTAAAATAAAAGTACTTACTTTTAAAGTTTTTCAAAGCATGTCCTATCGATCTCGACAAGTCAATCCAGTACTGAAAATTTAAGGACAAATGAAAGCAAGCAAAAAAGATCAGAAAAAGTGCAATTTGTCTTTAAAATTTCCAGCCGAAACCCACACGATGTTTGTTGTGATCCTGGAAGCGAAGGCCCAGAAAGTCCTTCTCTTTGACGTGTTTCAGATCGCAAACGTAGTCGAGAACCGTTTGAGCATGGGCTGTTCTCTGCAACAAAAAACATTGGAGAAACTTGGAAAGATGAATCAGTATCCTTCCGACGGCGTCGCAAAATTTCCAGCGGGAAAGCCCACAGAGGACGGCGGCGATGACGCAATATTGCGAGCGCGAAACAGAAACGCACGCGAAAGTTCTGCTCTTCTCAAGCATCGCAAAATACTGACCGGAAATTCGTTGCCAATAATATCGGAATCGTGCAATAAATGAACGTTGCACCGGACATCCTTCGACGACATAAAACTCGATCTGAAATCAAATTGAAATTCAATTATTCATTTGCCGGCCCACTTTCAGTTGACCGATCGGATTCAAAAAAAAATGTTTGGACGTTGCCCTAAAAAAAAGCTGAAATTGTGGCTCACCGAGTCGACGTCGCTAGTCGTCCGAGAAACGACGACGACGACGAGGTCGTGTTGTTTTGCGGCATTACCCCTGCAAAAACAGACTTTATCGATTTTTGAGTAGAAATTTCCAGAAACATCGGCGGAGAAATGTGAATATTTCGTCGACTAGAATGGCTATAATCGTGTGTGATAAACTGCCGGGTTTCGGGACGATAAAACACGATGGGCAACAGAGGGTAAATAAGAAAACGGAGGAAATGTGAAATATACGTGAGGAAGTGGAACTCGATAAAACTACAGATGAATGTTTTCAATATTTGCTCAAAGCCGTTCGCTTTAAAAATAATATTTTGTTCGTTCGATTCGTTGTACGCGCAAGTCGTCAAATTTCCGAATTAATTGCATCTAATTGACCCAAATAAGATGGGAAAAACGGAGAAAAGGAAATGAGGGACGGAACGGAACGAGGTTCAAGGTCTCTTCCGCCCTTTTTCTTCGTTTTGAATTTATTTTTTTCTCTGCATCCGCTCTGTTCCTAATCTGGCCGAGTTTCTCGGCCGCGCGGCGCCGCCAAGTAATTTTTCGTTGTTTTTTCCTGAAAAATCAAGCTCGGCCTCGAGGTCATTGCAATTTGCACTGCAAAAAGAGTTTCTCATCAGAGCTGGTCTACTAGCCGGTCCTTGTCCTGGACTTTTGACCCACTTGCAATGATGCGATCGAACCCAAACTTTGTTGACTGGGTCAAAAGTCTAGGCCAAGAGCCGGCCAATTGTCCAGCCCTGGTGAATATGCCATTAAAAATTCGCAAAAATTGTGTGAGCCCTTAAAGTTTGCGCGAATTCTGGCCAACACGGAGTTGTTCCACAAAAAAATCATTAAAAATGGCCATCTCCGGCTTCTATTTCTAGCGTTTTCCATCCAATTTCCGTGTGGCAAACAACAGAAAAAAAAAGCGAAAAGAAAAAGTGGAACCAAAAAACCGAAATTAATCAGTAATCAGTGTGTGTACATGTGTGTCATCATCGGGTGGTTTCCCCCCCACAAAAAGTAAACATTCCCGCCAAATGGCAGAGAAGGAAGAGAGAAATAGCACAGCTGAACGCCGCTAGTGTCAGAATAGCGCCAAACCCAAAAATTGGCTAAAAATGGAGAAAATTGGCCTAAAAAGAGAAGAAGAAAAACGGAACGCGCTCGATTTTATGGGCGCGAAGAATGGGAGAATGGACGGAAAATGAAGAGGAAAGAGATAGAGAGAAAAGAGTGTCACTTGCACACACAAACACACACACACATCAACAAAACAAGCGCGTTTGTGGTCGGACGGGGCGACGAGTAACGCTACTTGCTAACGGAAAAAAACAGTAATTGTTTGTTATTATAGAAAAGAAGTGAAAAATCAAAATCAAAGGGAAAACAAAGATGGATGAGATCGATGCTCTCGCGAGCATTTTTTGCCTCTTTCTTTGATGGATCTCCGATTTCCAATGATTTCTCTAGGTTATTTATTCGTTCTCTCGTGATCTCTCAAGGGTGTTGATAAGACAAGTGGCAAAATTCTAGAATTCAATTCCTTTGTACAAACTTTGAAACCGACTTCAAAAAAAGAGCCGACTAATCGCTCAACCTCGAAAATCAGGTAAAATCGCTGCTGCCAACTGACTGACACAAACAACAAACAATCCGGGGCACGAAACCCCATGACACATGTTTCTGTCGGTTTAAAATTCGCAAAATTGCACGCAAAAGTTCGAAAATCTCATCCTTTTCCCACTATTTCATTAAAAACAGTCGGGGCTGTGCTAAAGGCCGGCCGACGCTTTTCGAAGGCCTGCTGAGGCCTGGACATTTGGCCTTGGCCAATAATCCACATATCTCAGGACCGGATAATCCGATCGGTCTGAAACTTGGACCCAATATACTTCATTCTATGTCCAAGAAGTCTGTAAATTTTGGGTCCGATCGGATAATTGCAAGTGGGTCAAAAGTCAAGGGCCGGCCAACGGAATGCCCAGTCTTGTGGTAAACTGACAAACCGACACTAACTTTTTTGTATTGAAAAATTACGGCTATAGATGAAATAATATAATCAAAAAGAAGTCTAGACTGCTTTTCATTATATAATCCGCATCAGAGTATAGAGCATTTGAGAGCATATTAACAGAATCCGAGCAGGAAATGACGACCGGAAAGCCGATTATTGTACTTTTCAAAGTGAGCTCATTTTGTACACGGATTATTGGAATTTTCAAGAAAAAATCGTGGTAAGCCGTAAATATTGGCCAAAAAAAGTGGGCGTGGCCTACAATTAATCAGCTGTCTTGATGTTAATTCGATTATAATTTTTTTTTGATTTCACCTGTGTTTTTGGGCAAATTTACACAAATTCTTCACATTTTTCAGCTGAAAAAACGCCATTTTCAGCTGAAAACAAAAGGAAAACGGGGAGACAAACGACGCTTTTTTTTTAACGATTATAGTCGAAACGGAGGTTTATGTGTTGTTTACTAGCGAGAAGAGATGAAGAGAATCAAAAGATCATCAACAAATTGACAATTGATAGTAGGCTGGCAGACTAGTGCGGCAGGTATCAAAAGAGTTGGGACGCGAGCGAAGGGACGCTGCACTGGGTACCATGAGCCACGAAACATAAATGTTCCCCATTCCATGCAACACTTTCTTTGGTACCACGAGACGGTACAGAACCCCCGTCCCAAGCCGTTTGGATACCTGATTAGGCGACGCTCCTGGCGCCTTTGAAAGTCGAGCGCAGGCTCTATGCATCGATACACTGAAACACGCTTTTTCCGTTATTTTTTAAACTAAAAACGTGAAAATGTACGCTATTTTTTTTAGCTTTCTGTGACAAAAAATGGAGAGGAGAAAAGGATGGACAATAACAAAAAAATGTGTTGAAAACGAAGGAAGGCAAATACAAAAGATTATTATTATTATTATTGTACGATTCGCTGGCCGTTTTTGTGGGACACTACAGTATTCCGAGCATTTTTGAAGGCGAAAAATTATCGAAAAATCTATTCGCCTTTACCAGGGTTGGGCAAACTTCGGTCCAGCGCTTTTTGAGGCCTAGACTTTTGACCCACTCTGTCTAAGAACTCTGCAAAGTTTGGGTCCGATCGGATCATTGCAAGTGGTCAAAAGTCCAGGCCTCGGCGGGCCGACGTTGTTTGTGTTGTTTGGCGAGAGCAAAAATGGTGATCGTTGCGGGACCATCACAACAAAACGCGTCATGCTCCTTTAAAACTGCTCATTTAGGCCTAGAACAGCGGTAAAAGAGACAAAAAAAAACAAAAATCCGACAGTACTCCTCAAGACTACCGCAAAAGTTGTATAGTGAGCAAAAAAAAAGAAGTGAGCCTCGCGGCATAGCTCATTTCGGATGGATTATTATTTAGAGCGGAGCAGGAAAAAAAAACGGAGAAAATATGCGGAGAGCCTTCCATTTGCGTGCTTTCTCATATTATTACTCCGAAGGAGTGCGGGCAAAAAATTCAAATTTCTTTTGGCGCCAAATTCGAAATGTCATCGTGTTGTGGGTTGCCCCGAAAAGAAGAGAGAAAGAAGGAGAAGCAGGAAGAGAGACGGAGACGGAGACGGAGAGAAAATGCGAAAATTGGTCTATTGGTCAGTGGATGAGGAACATCTGTCGGCCAGATGGACGGAAATATGGACAAGAATGGACGATACAGACGATCGGAGACGTCGAGAATAACATTTTATCAAATAATATAATTTACCGTCGTTGTTTCGGCATTTTTTTGAATTAGAACATGCAGCTCTACATTTTTTGGTATTTTTAGCGTTTCTAATATCATACGGAGAAAAAAGGCAAAAAAAGAGGGATGTTGACGGGAATCGAATATTTGGACGGAAAAAAAGATGAGAGCCGTCGAGAAGAGCACGCAAATTCGATGCTCTCAAAGGATGAGCACAGAACATATCAAAAAGGAAAGCATTTTCGCATTAATTCTAGATATTTACAGTTTCACCATTGGCAAAAAAACGTTTTTAAGCAATTTTTCAGTGTTTCTGTCGCACATCCACATCTAAAATCCGCAACAAATAGTGACCGAAAACCTTGAAAACGACCTTTAAACGGGCGGAACAAAACGATGAAATGACCTTTTTTCACTTCAAAATTCCCATTTCTCGCTTTCCTTTTCTCTAAAAAAAAAAACGGAGAAAATGTAATTTGAAAGTGACCGAGTGCAACTGAGCGCAAATTCAATTTTCTCGACCGACCTTTTCGCCGAAAAAATACGCTCTTGATCAGTGGTTTTTTGGTCATTCGGAATGGCGAAAAATTGGAAAAATAAACGCACAACGCTCCTTTTTCGAACCGTGTTTCTTCCGTTTTCACTTGACTTGACGATCGGCTGAAATTGAAAAAAAATTACCAAGTTCGTTTTTTTAGCGATTTTAGCACGAAATCCATTTTAAAAAAAGCAAAGTTCTCGGCAAAAACACTACTTTTTCGGGTGAGGGCGCCCGCTACAAATGGCCATCTCCTCCGTCCCTCTCTCTCTCATTCTCTGCCACCCTCACACTTTCCCATGCTCTCTCCTCCGGCCGGCTCCGTGTGGGTGGTCAGAGGGAAGGGAGGCGCCGTCGCCGTAAAAGGGACGACAAACAAAAAATATATAAGGGGACGACACTGACTGCGTCTCCACGAACGCGAGAACTCTAGCACTGGGGCCGCTAAACTGAGTGTTTTTTTGGTAGAAAAAATGGGGGGGGGGGGAAAATGAGAAAGAGAAAGTAGAACAACTTGCATTTCCTTCGAAAACAATCAGAGGGCAACAAAACGAAATCAGGGCGAATTCGGCAATGTCACTCTTTTATTACGATGACTTTCGAGCGTAATGGGACTGACAATAAAAAGACAATACAATCGAGAAAAGTGTAGCCCCCTTACAGTACATCAAATAAGTGAATTAGATTTTGTGCGATATACATACATCAGTTAGGATATACGTGAAAATGTAGGTGAATAACAATATGATGCATGGGAAGTGGTTAATAATCCGAGCGTGATTTAGGCGTTGAAGCGAGTCTCGAACAACTGCTTGTTGGCGTATCCGAGTTGGCGGTTCGTCGCCTCCAGATCCAGTTTTCCGCTGGTGTTGTAGACGGCGCCGTTCACCTCGAGCACCATGGCTCCGCGCTGGCTGTAGCGTCCGGCGATGAAGAGTGGTACGGGCAGTCCGACGGGATGGAAGACGATCTGGTGGTCGTAGCACAGGTCGTTGGTGAGTTCCTCGATGTTCGACATCGGCTCCGCCACGTTCGTCGTGAAGATCAGCGTGAACTTGGTCGTCTTGACAGTTCCCTGACGGGCGACCGCCGACGAGTGGTACCACTCGTTGTAGTGCGGGTGCACGATAGTGTGGTCGACCACCGTGCCCGGCTCCAGATTCGAGACGCGATTGTTGACGCTCTTGTACAGACGTTCGTTGTGCATCTTCGAGGAAGCGATGATGGTAATGTTCGGGCGGTAGGAAGCGCTCAACGCAACGCACGCCTCCTTGATGCTCTTCGAGTATTCCTCGTTGATCTGAAAATAAGATATTGCGGAAGTTACAGCGAATCGGAGCCTACCAGTCCGAACTGTCCCTCGGTGACTCCGTTGAAGTAGACGAGAATGTCATTCGGTGGTCCACGGTTCTTCTTCGCCGTTCTGAGGATCGTGGTGATTGTGTCCTTGATCAAAGATCCGTAAACCTGCAAAAAGCAATGGAAATAACATTTAAAATTGCAGAAACTGACGTCACGCTCTCTCTTGACGAAAACGTATCCACCGGCGAACTTCTGGAAGTGGTCCAGCATGTTGGCAGCGAAACCGACGGCAATCGGCTTCTCAGAGTCTCCGCCGGCACCGCCACGCTGAGATGTCTCGAATCCAATGATCAGACGGTTCGGGTTGCCGAACGCGCCACTCTTGATGAAGTAGTTGAGACCGCCCAACTTCATGTTGGTCTGAAACACATTTACACGTTTTGCCGAGATCCCCCTCCCCTTCTCATTCTCACCTTATTGATAATGTTCTGTCTCGTCTGCGCTTGACGTCCAACTTTCTGAGCAGTCTCGAGATGAATCTCCTGGGTCAGTACGTCGTACTTCTGCTCGAGAGCCTTGATCTCCTTATGGAAGTGATATAGGGTCTTGATGACGAAGAAGATCAGCTGCCTCTTGGCAGCCTTCGCATTTCTGAAGACGCGGTCGAGATCCTCACGACGAGAAATCTTGACGGTCGACGGCATACTGGCCTGCATTCCATTGCTCTTCATCTCATTGACCAGCTGCTGATCGAGGCCGCTGCAAAATGAAGTTTTGGAGACGAACCGACATTTCAGGTGACTTACGGGACTTCTTCTCCCTCAACAAAGCACATTTCCCAGTTGGTGAGGCTTTTTGGGATGAAAAAGCTGCCGGCACGATTGAAATCGGTAGGGTACTTGCTCTTCGGGTTGTTCAGATCGGCAGCCCGGTTTCCGTTGAATAGAATCATCGGCTTCGGCAGGATGATTCCCTCGACAGTCAATGGTTTCTGCACCTTGATGGCGCCGTTCATACTGTCACTCGCAAGATGGGTGGCCGCCGCGATCTGCTCGGTGAATCTCTTGCGATCTTGTGGCTGCAGCGCCGACATCCTGATCATTTCCGCCTGCTCGCTGTTGACCATTTGCTCGTTGGTGACGACCTGAGAGGGGCAGAGAAGGAGCACTTCGGCCGGAAGCAAAACCTTTCCGTTCTTTCCTTTCGTCTCGATCGTGAAGAGCTTCGGGTAGTTGAGCTCCACATTGTACTTGGCCTTGAAGTAGCGCTCGACGGTAGTCGGCTTTCCGTCGACTTCGAAGCGCTCTTCGCGAGCCGACGCTCCGATCCCGCGGACGCGCATCACGGTCGCTTCCGCGCCCTTGTGAGATCCGTACTGCAGCGAGACGTACGATCCGATGATCGACTTGGCCATTGTTCTGGCGGCGTGCGAGGTGGCAGTCAAATCGGGCCTGAAACCAGGGAAAGTGCGGAAGACCTCGATAAGATTCAGCCAATCCGGATGAAACAGGGTGGTCTTCACTGAAAATAGAAAGATTACGATAAAAAATGAAAGCAGCTAAACTCACTTTCAGTACTCATGAAAATTCCAGTTCCATTCTTGCCAACACCTTCCAAAGTCTTGACGGCCTTCGATGCACCGACTCCGGAATAGAGGCCTCCCTCTCGGAATGCCTTGAATGGAATGCCACTGAAAGTCAAACGCCATTTTATCATTTCGATGACGAAATCACTCACCTTATTCCCGCGGTGTCAATCAGGTAATGAACGCATGGTCCGACGGTGACGACATTCGGGCTGAAAACGAAACATTTTTGATCGGAAGTCGATCACAATCAGGGGTGTGCGGAATTATCTTCCGGAAACTTGCGAGCATTTTTTTCCGAACACCCCTGGTCACAATGCGCACTTCTCGAAAGCTGGAGCACTGACGATGACGTTGAGCGCTTCGAGCAGAGTGCGATCCGCGTTTGCCGGGCGCTGGCTGACCGTATTCACAATGTCGTTCGACGTCGACTGGAACGAGTCGGCGGCCTTCGTCAAAGTGAGCTCAGCTCTGACAAAGTTGTCGCGTTTCGAGATGTTGCGCTCGACCGAGTACGACGGACTGCCCTTGATCTCAGACAACGAGTAGAGACACGCCTGTCGGTCGTAAAAGAACGGGCCGCCCGAGCTGAACTCCTTGTGCTGCGCGACGACCTCTTTGTAGACCTTCACACAGCGCTCCTTGTCGTTCTCGTGCTCGACGCCCGGTCTCGTCGACTTAGACAGCTCGATTGCGACGGGCTCGGTGCGGTCGGCCTGACGGAAGAAGTAGAGAATCTTCACGTCGTACTTGAAAATCGGCTGATTCTTGGCAATTTCTGAAAAAGGAAGAACTTTTGAGATTGATCAGTCGGATACTAACCAATTGGGCGAATGTTCGTGGCGACCATAACCTTTTCTCCTTTCGTGTTTTGCGGTTTCTTCGCCGCCAGCGGCAAAAGTCCGACCTTGGCCTTTTCGGCTTGCGGCTTCTCGTTAATAGAGACGCTCTTCATGTGCTTCTCAACCGAATCCATTGCTAGAGAGTGTGAGTTGTTCGAATAACAAGTTAGAGATCTGAAAAAAAGGATTCAGTAGGGAAACAAATAGATGGAAATGGATGGAAATGGATGGAAATGGATGGAAATGAATAAGAATGAATAAAAATCGGCATTGTTGACACAAAAATTGCGAAATTTTAGAGATAAGCGGAACAAAAACGACATTTCTCAGCTTAAAAACGAACGAAGCAAAACCGTAAACAAGTCGCCCTAAAAACAGTCTGCAATCCAAAGTCCGCAATTGACGACCGTAATTTGGGCTACGGTATGCAAAAAAACAATCGATTTTAATCAAAATGAGTGAGAAGTTACTGAAAAGTGACTCAAAAAAGTGACGCGAAGAAAAAATGAATGCAAATCGGCAAGAAAAATTGATAGGACGACAGAAAAGAGCGGAAATGACGCATGGAATTAGAAAGACAACGAGGAGAACGGGCCAAAAATGCATATTTTTGCGTCGCGCGCGTAGGTCAAACCTAAAAAAAAGCGGGTCTCGCAGCGATTGGACAGGATAAAATCATTGGAAGTACGCAACGCATCGACCGTCGCGAAGACAGGCCGGGAAGGGGGGAGAAAAAAGACGGACGGTCTGGCCAAAACATCTCGCCGGTTGGACGGAAATGGGGCTATTCAGCGTATGTTTGTTTTCCGTTTTTTTTTCGTTTTTTTACACCGCTGAAATGGGTTTTTTGACGTAAAAAAACGAAAAAAAATCGTTTTTTTCACAGCCTGAATAACCCCAAAAGACCGCAACGCATCGAAACTAGGCGCCTGTTTCGATGACCGGGTCAGAGCTTTTCTTCGATTCATTTCTCACTGGAAGAGTCATTTCTAAAATATCTCGGGAAACTCAAAACAACTCAATAAACTCATTTGCAGTGTCACGTGAGAGTCAAAAAGGTGTACATGTCATTTTATGGCTCCGGGACATTTCGAAACCGCGACATTTCGAAACCGCGACATTTCGAAACCAGACATTTCGAAACCAGACATTTCGAAACCTTGACATTTCGAAACCTTGACATTTCGAAACCGGACATTTCGAAACCGCGACATTTCGAAACCGCGACATTTCGAAACCAGACATTTCGAAACCTTGACATTTCGAAACCAATTCAGTACAAGTACTTAAAAATTCAAAAAACCGCCAAATTCGCGGTAGAAATGCATGTTAAGTGTATTTTAGCAATGAATTATGATTTCGGACTATTTATACTAACACAAACGTATAACTTGACAAAATTATTCGCGAAAACAACGGAATTCTGCGGAAACAGAACGATCGAAAAGTTAGAGACGGAGAAGGCGGAAGAAGTAGAGAAGTTGGTCGAAAAAACAGTGAAACAGCTATTTCCAGCAGAAAAAGCACACATTTTTAAACTGAGCAATACTAAAAATTACTGTCCATACAGTATGGTGGACCATACTGCGAGATTGGCGGTTTTTTGAATTTTTAAATACTTGTACTGAATTGGCTTCGAAATGTCGCGGTTTCGAAATGTCTGGTTTCGAAATGTCGCGGTTTCGAAATGTCGCGGTTTCGAAATGTCTGGTTTCGAAATGTCGCGGTTTCGAAATGTCGCGGTTTCGAAATGTCCCGGAGCCCATTTTATGGGGTTATTCAGGCTGTGAAAAAATAATTTTTTTCTGTTTTTTTATGTCAAAAAATTCAATTCAGCGATGTAAAAAAAACGAAAAAAACGGAAAACAAACATATTATAGGGGCAGCGGACAGAAAGGGCGCGCTGTTCGCAATCTGGCCGAATTTCTAGGCCGCGAAGTAATTTTCACGGCCTCCGGCACGAGAAAAGCGCAAGCAATTACGCGTGCTCTCTGCGTCGCCGGCAGCATTCTCCTTGTCTCGCACTCTCTCGCTTGCCTACTGTCGCTTTCCACTGAAAATGTGGCCTAACTTTTCAAACTCGGCCCCGAGGTCGCTCAATTTGCACTGCAAAAAGAGTTTCTCAACAGAGCGCCATTTTTGTGCGGTGCCCCTATAATACGCTGAATAGCCAGATTAGAATTAAACAAATAAAAAAGTTACATTTTAATTTAATTTAATTTTAATTTAATTTTTAATTTAAATTTTCATACAAAAACGTTATTCGAGTTGTTTCGTGAAAAAGGGGGCTAACGGAAGACGGAAGGAAATTTACTTTTAAGCATCTCGTCGTATCGCTATGCGAAATTGGCTCTTTATTGACCAGAAAACAGGAGAGTTCAGTGAAATCCCCAATTTTAGCTGAGTTACACTCCGCATCTTTCGGATTTGAAAAAAATAATCAATAAGCAATTTTTCCTGACGTTAGCAATGAACGAATTTATCTTTTTAGACTCCTAGACAGTGAACCCTAAAAATATTTGTCTACAAAACCTAGTTCATTTCGACAACTTCAATCAAATAAAACAAAATAAGTAATCAAATAGATATCACTGTTTTACACGAATGAAAATTGGGTGGTGCAATAAGGCTAATTTAACAAGAATATGTAGACAATACTAAAATAATTCAGGCGAACAAACTGTTTAAGTAGCCGAATCGCTCGTTTGTGATCCTGATATTGGCATGGCCATTCTCGTAGATTGGCCTAAAATCGATGAGTTTTTCTATAAAGTCGTTGTATTTTCAGCATAAGAAGTACCCGTTGGCAGACATGACTCGGACTCCGCGCTGGCAGTATCGTCTGGCGAAGAAGAGCGGTGCGGGCAGTTCGACGGGATGGAAGACGATTTGGTGGTCGTAGCACAGGTCGTTGGTGAGCTCCTCGATGTTTGACATCGGCTCCGCCTCGTTCGTCGTGAAGATCAGCGTGAACTTGGTCGTCTTGACGGTTCCCTGACGGGCGACCGCCGACGAGTGGTACCACTCGTTGTAGTGCGGGTGCACGATAGTGTGGTCGACCACCGTACCCGGCTCCAGATTCGAGACGCTTCCCTGAAAGCGCGATTTACATCGTTTTGCCTGTTGAAATGGTTCCCGATGACAGAAAACGCTCATTTTTCTCATTTTCCTACACGAATCGCGCATTTGAGTCACTACGTTTTGCGTCTTTTCACTACAGGTATTTAAAAAGTTGGAACACGGCCGAAGGAAGGATCTGGACTGGGGACCATGAGACAGAAGTAAGAAACGATCCCTACACCATGCCCACCTCCGTCGGAAGCCGTTTGGATACTTGTTGGCACTAGGAAACGCTTCAATTTTCAAAAAAATCCCAATCCAAACGCACTTTTTGTTCATCAAACTTGTACAACGTCTCGTTGTGGTTCGTCGAAGCGCCAATAATAGTGATGTTCGGAGCAGGAATCAATCCTGTCATCGTGCATCCCACTCTGACACAACTCGAAAAGTGCTCATTGATCTGAATACATCTCTTATTTTCCGGAAGAACCACCTGATCCAAACGTGTACCATTCCATATTCGTTTGCGGTCACTCCGTTCAAATATACGAGAATGTCGTCGGGCGGGCCGCGTTTCCGAAACAATTTTGTCAGAATTTTCGCCACTGTTCTTGTGATCATGAGTCCGTAGGTCTCCGACCAGTTGGCTCCGACGGCGAACGGATCTCTGGCCACGTACGTGTATCCGCCGGCGAATTGTTGAAAGTGACCGAGCATGTTGGCCGCGAAACCGATCGTTAGGGGCACCTCAAAATGGTTTTTTTAATAGATTTTTATTATATTTCTCGGTTTTCCTGTACATATTTGTTCGCTCCTTCGCACTGTCGAACGTCGAATCCGATAATGAGACGGTTCGGATTGGAGAACGCGTCGCTCCGGATGAAATAGTTGAGACCGCCCAACTTCAAATTCACCCTTCTCGCAATTTCGCTTCTCGTCCTCGATTCCATTTCGTCTTTGTCCTTCAAAACCTTCAACGCCGTCTCGAATTCGATCTCCAACGCTTTGACGTTGTAATCCAACTCGAGGTATTTTATCCGCAAATGCAAGTCGTGGTGCTCTTTGATGACGAACACGATGAGCTCGACGTCATCGGATTCGGCCCACTCGAAGACGTGCTCGAGATCTCGACGCCCTTCGAATCCGGTGATCGTCGCGTCTGCCACATTCATTCCATTTATTCTCATCTCTTTCGTAATTGCATAGTCCAGATCGCTAAAGAAAGTTCAGATATTCAATTCGCACAACTATTTCTAGGAAAATCTCAATTTTTTCCAAGGCTCCAACGCGCCACGGTCTCCAGAGCTCAAAATAGCGTTTTCCTGATTTTTGTGGTCACAAACTTCGAAAAATGATAACAATTATCGAAGTTTCTGGACGTTTGCGTGCATTTTTTGCCACCGATCGATGCCGAAAAACCGAATTTCTCATCTTGCGCATCCATGACCGCTTTCAAAAAAAAATTGGTTTGGAAATTGATGGGTCATTTTTTCGCGGTTTTCTCAAATTTGCATCTATAACTCACCTTAGTTCCTCCCCGTCTACATAGCAAACTGCCCATCTCCTGAGACTCCGCGGGTCGTAAAAATGCCCATCGTGATGCTCAAAACTGTGCTCCGGACCGCGCAACTCCTCGGGCGACCCATTTTTGTCGAACTCAATCTTCGGCGCGTCCAGAACGATTCCCTCCACTTTTATCGGCGGGCTCATTTCGATGAATTCGAAGAGGGGTCCAGGATACATACGGACTAGTCCAGAAACTTCCTCCGAAAGAGCTTTATGACGTTCCGGATAGAGCGCCAACGATTCCATCATCTCCTCGTGCTCATTTTTGAGCATTCTATCACTGGCGACAGGTTGAGATGGACAGGAAGTCAGTACTTCCGCGGGTAACACCACATTCCGCTTGCTTCCTCTCATTTCTATGGTGAAAAGGCGCGGATAACGAAGGATTATCTTGTACTGTTTGTTGAAAAACTCCTCGAGCGTGACGTTTGGCGCAATGTGCTCGGGCATGAAGGTCTCGCGAGCCGATTTCGAAAACTTGCGAATCCGGCCGATGACGTCGCTTTCTGGTTTTTTTCCTTCGTACGGTCCGAAATCGAGCTTCACCTCGAGACCCATGCAACGGGCGAGTATTCGCTGAGCTTCGTCTGACCGCGCGTCTAAATCCGACGCGAAATCGTCGTAACTTTGGAGAAGGTCTATGAGACTCGTCCAATCCGGATGGAATAGGGTTATTTTCACTGAAAAACATGGCTGTTTTTGGGCAAATGAATGCAAATTTCAGTCCTACTTTCAGTGCTCATGAAAACTGTCGGCTTCTTTTCCTCCGAATCCGTCGGCTCGTCTTCCAAACTCATCACATTTCTCTTGGCACCGAATCCCGCGTACAAATATCCTTCTTCGAACGTTTTCTCTGGAATGCTAACGAAAAATAGCGAATTTAGGCACTGCCAGGCAGCGACGGAATGATCAGAAGCAGCGACTAAAATTATTAAAAGCACCACCGGCGCTGCAAATGACAATTTCTAATTAATTTTCAAATTTTCAGACAAATATGCATACTTGAAATCCGTGGGATCGATGACGTAATGGATATTATCTCCGATTGTGACGATATTTGGTCTGTAAAGTGCACATTTTCATAAATTCTAGTGCCGTGTCCGAAGCCAAAAAAGTCTGTAAAATCTGTCCGAAAAATAATTTGACAGCTATGAGTGTCCGTGCTGCAAACTTTGGACTGCAAAATTGATCAGATTCTACAGATTTTTTGTGTTTTTGACACGTTATACCCAAAAAAAAGTATTCTTTACTTTGCGATGGCCGGATAGTTCAAAATGGTGTTCATCGCTTCGAGCAGAGTGCTGTCGACGGCCCCCGGACACGTATTCACCGTTTTCCCGACGTCGGCAGGCGTCGTCAGAAAATTTTCCTCCGATTTTTCCAAACAAAATTCGACTCTAATAAATCGCCGATCATCGAGTATCGTCGGTCCCTCGAGTGTCAACTCGATTTTTCCGTTCCCATTTTCCATTTTTATTTCGGAAAACGTGTAGAGCCGCGATTGTCGATCGTAAAAGAAAGGACCGCCCGTGTGGAGCGCATCGCAACTGTCCAGTGCGATCAGAAAGAATTTCCAGCACAACGCGCGCTCCTTTTCGTACTTGGCGCCACGTCGACCCGATTTCGAGATGTAATTGCTACATTCGCGTTCTTGCCTCGCTCGATTCAACTGCTCTGTCACCAAATTCACCGTCACCACGTAAGAGTAAATTGGCTGATTCGGAGAGAGCTCTGAACAGTTGTATAATAATTTTAAGGATGAAATCATTAATTTAAATGAATAAAAATTGCGAACCAAGTCGGTGAACGTTCGTTTCGACCAAGACTTTCTTTTTACACCTCGTATTACGCTCCTTTTTAGCCGCAAGTGGAATTAGGCCATAGAAATTGTCTTCTTCTTCGGACTCTGACATTTTTCGACAGTTGAAATATCTGAAAAATCAATTTTGGGCTGAAAATTAGGAAGAAAAATTGGAAAATAGGGCTTTCCCCCCCCCAAAAATACTCTGCGTCTCTCGATTTCACACAGTCTCACGCTCGCTTGGTGTTGGCACCAAATACACTGGACTCCACGAAAAAATGCACAGAAATCAAATTTGGTACATACAAACCAAAAAATCCATATTGTTTTCTATGAAAAACAATAAAAAAAAACTAGGCACTACACATTCGAATCGATTCTAAAATCTAGAAAAAAGGCTTAAAAAACAGAAAAACCGAAAAATACGTTTTCAGAAGACGGGGTTTCTTTTATGGCTGCTAGACAAGAGAACAGGAATAAATGTAAGAGAACTTCTGGCCTAAAATTTGGGGAAATGTTAAAATTTGCGTTCCGATTGAGAAATGGCCAGTTTGATGAGTTGTTCGGTGCATTCGTTGCGGTTTGGCAGGGATGAGGCCTAGAAAATACATTTTGTGAGAGAATGTTTCTTTCGAGTCCTTACCAACTGTACGGCCTTTTCGGAATATCCGCCGATTAGCCGTCTCGTTTTTTCCATTCCGTCCGAATTCACCACAATTTCGCGCGCTTTCTCCGCATCTCCCTCGTTTTTAAATTTGCGAAGGAGCATTTCATTGAGCTCCGGATATTGTTCGCTCGCGTAAAGTACCGGCGCCGTCGCGAGACCTGAAGTTGCAATTATTTATTGCCTTTTTGTTATTAGCCTCGCAAAAAGGTTGCATTTCCCTTACGCCTCGAACAATTTAAAAACAACACACAAAAATGATGACAATTTTTATACAGCGGCCGAGAATTGAGTCTAACGGAACGAGATTCCACCTTTTTGCAGGTTTGATTTCAACAAAAATTTACCCAATTTCAAATCGGCGGCCACCGGTTTTCCCATCTCGTCGGCGGTGGCCACAAAATCAAGAAGATCGTCGACGAGCTGGAAGGCGATTCCCAGATTCCGACCGTATTCGTACGCCGTGTCGTGCAGTTTCACATCCGATTCGTCTGGAATTGTTCAAAAGTTAAAAACACGTTTGCACACTTTTTTGAATATCAACCATGAACTCATGAACATAAAATCAAAATGTCTCTTCTCTGATAATTAATGAAATCCAGTCCTATTTCAAGATAATAAAAATCCTAAAAACCTAGAACAAAAGTGTTCTTCTTACCAGCCAAAATAGCGGCGGATCTGCAGCTGCTGGCGAATAAACTCGCAGTTTTTCGGTGTGTTTTCTCAATGTACGCCGTCATTCTCTGTCCGGAAGTGGCCGAGGAGGGCGTCGACGACATTTGCATAAATTCTCCCTGAACAATTTGATTATACAATGTTTATAGTTTTGAGAGCAGCGAGAAATTCAACTCGATTTTTTGAGGATGACCTTTTTATGATCTAAACTAACAAAGAGACACAAAAAGCAGCCACGCCTCGAAAAAAAGTTGTTTTGACAGTGACCCCTAGACATTTCTGCGAGTTTCTTGTTGCTGCTTGCGAGTTTTAATCATAATGCACTCGTTTCCAAAAAATTAGTAAAAATTAATCAATATTCTTCGAACAGCACGCATCAGAAGTTTTGAAAAAGTCTTGAGGAACGAGCGGCCGGCCGGCGAAATAAGCAGCCGACAGTTCACGGGACGGGGGCCGAACTGTTTCACCCCGTGCAGCGGACATGCAAGAAGACAGACTCTTCTCTTCTGTTTTATATATATACAAGAAAGAGTTCTGGCACAGTTTTGTTTTATTAGAAAAAAATGCTTACCAAGACCAAGTCCTCAATAATCGAGGCCATCACCGAAATCACATTCGGCTTTCCGATCGAGCACAAAATTTGAGTGGCTCGCGCCAGAATAAAGTCTCCGACCAGGACGGACTGCAAAAATTGAAGATCAATTCAGAAAAATCCAAACATTTCCCCAACCATTTTGTTTCCCCAGACGGCGTTGACACTGGCCGATCCGCGGCGCGTGTTCGCCTCGTCGATGACGTCATCGTGCACCAAAGAAGCCGTATGGATCATTTCCGCTGCAAAAATCGTATTTTGAAAAGTTGCATCTCAAAAAAGCTCACCAATCATTCCAATTTTGTACTGATTTTGGCAGACTGCCAAGTGGGCGGAGCCTAATAACCGCTCCGAAAATGGAATTGCCAGCATGTCTTCTCTGCAATAAAATTACAGTGAAAATCGGAAAATGGGCATACAAACGCGTACAAAATAGTGCGATTGGTGGCCGAATTGCAGGCGTTTCCCATCAAAAGTGCCACTTTCGGCCGCAACATTTTTCCGCCCTGAAAATCATTTTTTTGAATTTCTAACTGAAAAATTAGGGGGAAAATAAACCTGCTGAAAATAATAGTGTGTCATTCGTCCCAAGTTCGACGTCACATTCAGATCGGCCAGGTTTTCGACGGCACCGGAAGTGTCTTGCGGTATCAATTGTTCCATAATATCGCTCTAAATTGGAAAAGAATCAAGTTTCACCGTAAAATTGATTTTTTCCGAGTTTTGACTAATACTCGTTTTAGAGTTGATATAAGTAAATTATCAGAAAACGATTAACAAAAAAATCGATACACATTTTTTTTTCTATTTCGGTTTTTACGTCTGAAACTCAATTCAAATTCAACGCTTTTGCGACTAAAATTTAAAAAAATCAAACCTGCATTTGCCTGACGTGTTCGTGTACAAAAGTGGCCGATGAGTCGGATGACGTGGAATTCGGGGCGGGCGCCGAAGTTGATGATGACGTGGCGGCCATTGAGCATCTTCTGCAAAAAATTCAAAAAATTGTTTTGTCAAACATTTCTGAAGTAATTGAGTGCTATGTTCGAAAAAACGACAGAACATTCTCGTACGAACGTTTTCTAAAATAAGAAATACAATAGAATGCTCACCTAAATTGCCTGGCGACGAGATTAATTTTCGGAAGCACACCCATCTTGTTTTCCTTTATCAATTATCGATTGATTTTTGTACCGGTGCCTGTTTTTGTTTTACTTGTTTTATTCACCTGCTCATTCGGTGATGGTGACCCTGCAAAAATTGGCAATTTCTTGACAAAATTGAACAAACAGAAAGAACCGGTTTCAAGAAAAATAGAAAGTCTGCCGAGGCCTGGACTTTTGACCCACTTGCAATCATTCGATCGGGCCCAAACTTTTCAGGCTTTTTGGATTTGGATTGAAGCATATTGGGTCCAAGTGTCAGCCCCATCGATCACCTGGTCCCTTTTCGGCTTCCGATCCACATATCTCGGGACCAGATGATCCGATCGGTCTGAAACTTTGGTCTCAATGGCCCTCAATCCAAGTCCAAGAAGTCTGGAAAGTTTGGGTCCGATCGGATCATTGCAAGTGGGTCAAAAGTCCAGGCCTCAAAAAGGCTGGGCCGCGCAGACTCGTCGTTTATACTTTTTCCCTTTTTCAGCTGATAAAATAGGCCACGCCCAATTTTTTTAAAATTAGCAAGGTATAATATAAATGTAGAAATGAGAATAAAATGGAAGGGGAAAAGGTGGTGAATGAAAGAGTGTAGCCCCTCTTTTCTCTCTTTTCACCGCCGGAAACTTTTCTCTTTTTTCTCTGCGCCCTCCGGCCGATCAGTGCTCTTTTTCGAGAAGATATTGGTGTGTTCTTTGATTGTCTCGAAAATGTTTCTTATCATATTTGGAACATTTTTCTATTGATTGAATCTTTTTCAAAAAGCAGGACTGGGCAAATTTTGGGCCGATCAACATATCACGGGCCCAGATGATCCGATCAGGCTGGAACTTGGACCCAAAATACTTCAATCCAAGTTTGGGTCCTATCGGATCCTTGCAAGCGGGTCAAAAGTTCAGGCCTCAAAAATCCTGGGCCGAAATTCGCCCGGCCCTGTTAAAAAAGTATAAAAATCGGACTAAATCCACTTTTACCCTTTTTTCCAAATCAAAACTGCCATTTTTCTTGAAAACCCATAAAAGTCTTCATAAAAACGTCGATTTTTCTAGGACAAAGAAATGAATCAGAAAAATGAACGGAACCGCGCATCACAGACAAGGAATAGACGAAAAATGAGAGGGTTGGGAGGGAGGAATTTGAATTTTGGCTTACATTAACTCAATATTGTCGATTCTGATGGGGACGTGAACCTCGTAGAAACCAAGAAATAAAACCAAATCCAAAGAGGGCGAAAAATGCGAAAAATGTCATTCGGAGGTGAATAAATAATAAAGGGGCGTAATAAGGTAAAGCTCTGAAAATCAAGTTTTTGGGGCACAAAAAATCAATAGAACATTCCAGAATTTTTTTAGAGTTCCGTCTTGTCGAGAATTGTGTAGCGAGAAGAGGCGGGCTTCAGCTTTTCGAACGTCGACGGTGGCGGTTCCGTGTCGGGCGCTTGTTTTCCAGTCTGAAATTATTTCGGGTCGTAGAGGCTATAATTGTTTTCTGTTTCGAAACATTTTACAAAAAATGTTTTGAATGCGATATAATGTTCTTTCGTTAAAAAACAAACTGACCACCGGATCGGGTCCGTGATGGAATTCGCGATGAAGTTTGCCGCTGTGCAGATCCAAAACGAATTGACGCAGTTTTCCGGGCACACTAAAAATTTTGCGAATAAATAATTTCTTTTCAGCAACAATAGCTCGAAATCACCACCAAAATGTGGCAATTAAGGAAAAGCGTACTGAATATCGTCGAAACTCTTGAACAAGTACATGTGCCTGAACGAGTCGATGGCGATCACCGGCAGATCGTTCTCATTTTTGCCTAAATGGCTCAGCGGGTGTTTGAAGAGCGTTCCGTCGCCGACGAGACAGTTTATCGCTGCAAAAACGTGTTTTGACGTTCCTATTCAAATTCCACGCCTGCCCGAAACCGTACCTTTTCTCTGATCGGGAATCTCTCTGAGAATCGCGTCCGAGAACACTTTTTCGCTGATTTTATCGTCGGATTTTTTGAATAGAATCATGAACGGAAGTCCCTCTTCCGTCAGTTCCTCCGCATTCTGGAATGTGATCTCTCGCACCAGAGGCACACATTTGTCGGCCACCCATTGTCTGCAAAAAAATGTGTGTGTGTTTTTTGTTATGTTCGAAATGCATTTATTGAAGAAAAGGAATCCTATAAGACAGAGATGGGCGCCTTTCGAACGCGTTTCGACGTCCGCAATTTTGCGTTAGATTCCGTCGCCCTCTGCGGGCTTCCCGGCTTGCAAGTACTGGTCATGAAGAACCCCGAAAACTTTTTTAAAAAACGCACTTGAGGTACTCATAAGTGGCAAAGTCTCCGGAGAAGGGCACCTGTGCCTGATCGATGACCTTGTTCGACGGCTGGAAGACTAATTTGGGGGCCTGTCCGGCCGCCGGGGCCTCTCCGGGGAAGTTGAGCTCTCCGATTCCGACCATAAATTCGCACTCTTCGCGGTAGAAAAGCGCCACGTTTTGGAGGTTTTTGAATTCCGGCGACGATTCGTCGGCGAAATATCCGATGAACGTGTTCTTTTCCGGCTGAAAACGGCGCGAAATTTCACAAAAGCGAAAAAATCGATATTTCGCTAGAAAAACGTACATTATGAGCCGCGTGAAGCGCGTTTTTGTCGATGAACTTTTTCAGCGTCGATTCCATTTGTTTCTCAATGTACGCACTCAATGCTTCCACCGATCGAGAGCTTCTGCAAACAATTTGTGAGTTAAATTCGTGTTTTGTTTTCAAAATCTACAAGGCGTCCCAACCTGTACTCCCTCTTGGTCACTTCTCCGTTTCGAAACAATTTCAGCGTCGGATACTTGTTCACGTGGTACTTTGTCGCCAAATCATCTGCAACACACCATTGTTCGTATTCTTTAAAAACTAAAAGCTCACTATTTTTATCGGCATCCACAGAAGCCCACACAATTTTTCCGGGGGCAGCGTCCTGCAAGAATATATTGAGAAACTTGAAGGAAACATTGAAATTACCTTGAATTTTTCAGAAGCTTCCAGGAAAATCGGCTTGAGCATTTGCGAAAATCGGCACCAATCGGCGTAGAAATTTACAAAAACGATCTCGTTAGATTCTGCAAATGTTTTGAATTTTTTACTGTTTCTCTCGGTTTTCATCTAAACTTCCCAATTTTACAATCAGTTAGATTCTTTGAATGTTCCCAAATTTAGCCGATTTGGCAATTTTTAACGGTATTTCGATTATCCCACCTCATCGTTTATACTTTTCCCCTTTTTCAGCTGATAAAATAGGCCACGCCCAATTTTTTTTAAATTAACAAGGTACAATATGAATGTGCAATTGGCGATTGCAGTGATTCTCTCAATTTTTCCCCTCAATTTCCAAGAGCAAATTCCTAATTTTTCTTATTTTCTTCTTGCAAAAAAGCGCCGGAAACTAACGGAGTGTCTGATCGAATGTCTGCGAAGTGAGCGGGACGACTTCGGCGAGCAAAAGAACCGGTAAAACGAGAAGAGAGGCCAACCACCGAAGCATTTCTGCAAAAAATAGACGGATTTTAGGGGAAAATTGAAGGAAAAAGCATACAAACATTTTTTAAAAAGAATCTCAATGGAACATAAAATAGAGAACAAGATAGCATTTTTTTTTCACTCGAGCAATTGTTGAAACGAAAAAAACAAAAGTGCAGAATTCTCAATGAAAATTCAAGACAAAATCGGTTTTTGCACAACAATCCACACTTTCCGATGAATATTTTGAAAAAAATTGTTATTGTCCAACGCTTTATCGCATTTCTCTGAAAGTAAAATGTGGAAATTGTCAATACTTATTTTTTAACTGAAAAACTAGCAAAAAAATCCACGTAAATTGTGCAAACCTCGAGCACCGGAAAAAGAGCACAGAGAAAAAAATCAATAAAGAGTATGATACTATCAGTCCGTTCTGATATTGTGCATGCGAATGACACGTGTACTTTCGCGCCGGTCACCCGCGAAACACGAAGAGAAAAAGAGAAAGATGGGGAGCCCCGTGGGGCATCGGAAACTAAAACGCGTTGGGAAATAGTGTGGGAAGTGTGAGAGAGAGAGTGCAGAGAAAAAGGGGGGAGAAGCCGGCGGAGAAGAGAGAGAGAGAGAAAGAGAGAGAGAGAGAGAGACGGGCTGTGCAAATGGGCATTACGAGCAATGCGTTTGTATTTATTTTAACAAATGAACAATATACGGGTCAATTTCTATGGAAAATTATCTAATGCGTCGATTGAACAAAAATGTAAATGTGTCGTTTGCACTACGGCCCATTGTTTTTAGTGATGAAAAGCACATTTAGCATAACTCGGACAAATCAAAGTTTCAGTGGACTAAACGGATTTTCAGCACTTTCCTCTCCCGCTGCCACAGGCTCTCCGCCACAAGCTTCTCTTGGTGGCAGGAGAAAAAGCCGTGTGGGTTCACAGCTAAACCGCGATTGATCAATTATACATGGGGACCAGTGATGCATCAATCGCTAGTGATATGGCTCTCTACTGATTGACTCTCCACTCTGGAAACTTTGATTTGACCGAGTTCCGAGTCTTATTCGACGCATAATTGAATTCTCTACTCGTCTCTGACCTATTCCACGCTGGAATATCTGCTATGAAAGTCGAATGAGTCGTAAATGTCGAAGCTTTACAAGCCTCGCTTGAAACCGAGTTTTTTTTTAATTGTGAACACCCGCCAGTGCGGGCGCTATCTTCCCGCGCCTACGTTCAAATCATACGGTAATACTTCAAAAACGATGCAGATAAAAAGCTGAATAAACGCTCGATATTTGAAAGTGGACAAACGGATGTGTGTCTCTGTATCGGATGATTCTCAAATAAATGAGAGAGCACATGTGTCACGTACATTTCTTTTCTCTCTCTCTCTCTCATCAGTGAAATCATCAGGGAAGGGGCTCATTGACCGATTTCCCATTTGACCGAGGAAAAAAAAAGGAGAAATTTGAACACACAGAGAGCAAAAAGTAAATTAATGTCGTGGGGATATCCACCGAAAAATTACAAAGAAATAGGGAAACGTTCAGAAAATTGTTTATGCCAGTTTAATCAGTTAAAAATCAACAAATGGTGAAACAGCGAGACAAAACAACAATAACAATAACAATTTTGATAGAAAATAGGGCGTAACATGGAAAAACGAAGAAAATCCAGAAATCATTCTCCGAGCAGTTGTTTCTTGTTGATCGGACGGATTGCTCTTCCAGCCTGCAAAAAAAGAAGTGTTCTTTGATGATTCCAGTCATTTTCAGCTCTTTCTTTCATTTTTCTCTAGAAGCGAAGGAAGGAGAAAAAGACGAAAAATTGGCAAAATTGCATTTCTGTGACTCTCTTATTTTGTGCGCGGAAAACTCATCGATTTTTTTCTTCATAGAAAAAAAAATGGAAATTCCACTATTTACCGCTTTTCCCTCGTTAATTTCACACCAATTTTCAGCGATCAAACATCGCCGTTCGCTCTCTTTTTCACCGCTCAAAAGAGAAGGAGAGAGAAAGAGGGATGACCTGTCTCTCTTTCTGTCTCCGTCTCCCTCTTTCCCGTACTCTTTCGGTCTCTGGAAAGGACAAGAAGACAGCCGTTCTCCCTCTCTCGTCTTCCTATTCTTCTTCTCCCACTCATTAGTTTCTATTCTCTTTCCTCTTTTTCTATAATATCTGTTTCCTTGGTCGGCTCATGAGAGCTCAAAGAGCCAAAAGTTCTAGTTTGGCGAGAGAGAGAGACAGAAAACGAGAGAAATGGGCTTCACTCAATGGAATTTCCAATTTTTCACGTTTCCCCCATCGATTTTCTTCTCCTAGACTTCTTTTTTCGGAAAGAATACTTCAAGTTCACAAACACAAGGTACTTCTGTATTTCGAGAACGTATACTTTTTGGGAAATCGAAATTTTTTTCTAATCAAGTGAGTTGTACGTAAAAAAAAGCTTCAACATTTTGCCTTCATCCGAACAAATCAAAATTCTCTCTGCGTTTTCTCTTAAAATACACAATTTTCTTCTTTTTTTGCCTCGCAAGTCTTCCAAAAACCGTCCAATTATTGCAGCTTGCCGCTCGTCTCGCAGTCGATGGATTCGATCATGTCGGGTCTGTACACGTTCGTCACCGACACCGTCGTGCCCACCGTAACCGAGGGCGCGTCTAATCTCGCGGTGCTCGCCGAGGGAGCCGCCAACGTGATGAACCACGCGTTGGAGTGGAGCTCCGGCTCCGAAGATGCCACCGCTTCTGCCGACGTCTTTTCGTGGGAAGAACGGCCGACAGTGACGGAGCAAAAAGCGGCGGAGCCTGTGGTGGTGAGCTCAGAGCCGGGACCGGCTCCCGCTGGCTCTGTCGACTGGGAAATGGTCAAGGAGGATCCGGAGGAGACGGGGCCCGTCAAGCACAACGAGTTCGAGATGGTCGAGAAGGACTACGAGTGGATGAAGAATTCCAAATAATTTTGCAACTTCGGGTCAATTACGTTCTCAATTCTAATCAAAACTACCTCAATTTTACTGTACTTATCGATAACGTTCTTCGAATAAATTGTTCATTATTTTAGGGCGTTCTGATGCTTGGAGTCGAATCACGGGAACACAACGTTTCCAAGGATTTCATAATATTCCCATTCTTGTGCGGACACACAAAACAATTTCGTAACCTGTCACACCATTTTTCAACGAAATTCAGTTTCGAAACCGGTGCGTCTACGCGTCCATTCGTGTCATTTTCAGAGGAAACAACAGTATCCATGGATTGTGATACTGCTGACAAAATATACAATACTATGTAAAGGATCTATGTAAAAACCAACAAAGGGGGCTAAACTTTCCGTATAGAGCCCAAAGTAAAAAAAAATAGTAAAAATAGAGCCCAAGGTTATTCCCACTGTATTGTACATTTTGTCAGTTGATCACATTACAAAATGCACGTGTTCAAGAAAACGGAGAGCGCACGCACATTTCCGTTCGCTTTCCTCGAATCATATGGTGTTTGGCGGGCGGAGAGACACGAAAAAGAGACAGAGTACGATCGTATTGTCAACCCCCTTTTCTCATCGCTTTCTCGCATTCTTTCCGCTTTTTTGATTGAGCACTCAATCAATTTTCGTCAATTCATAGATTTAGCTGCATTTTGAACCGATTGAGCAGCAAAGCAATGATTTAGGATCAAGAAAAAAATCAATTAACAGAGAAGAGCAATTATAGGCCTTAATCGATTCATAACCATTATGTAGTAGCAGAAACTTTTAAAGACGTTCAAACCTGCCAAAACTCCTCGTTTATCTAGAAAAATTCAATGCTCACTTTCAGGCCCATCAAAAATGGCATCCTATCTCTCCTACTTCTCCTCAATCGTCAGAACTGCCGCAGAAGCCATCGAGGCGTACATCACCGGCGAAAATGTGCAAAACGAGGAGGAGAACAGTGCGGAGCCGTCCGAATGGATCAAGATCGACAATTACAGGGGAATTCTCGTGGAGACCGAAGAAAAAGAGGCGAAAATCGAGAAGAAAGTTCCGGAGAAGATCGAGGAAGTCGACGAGAATTCGGAGAATTACGTGTGCCCGTCGGTGGATTACGATTTTTTGCTCGACTCGAACTGTTTCGTTGTCGTTTTCGAGCACGCGCACGGATTGGTCACCCAGGAGATGCTCTACGTGCATTTGGACGACGATTGAGCCGTGGGAACCGGTTTTTGTAGTTCTTATTCTCCTGCCATTGGTTTCTACGGTTTCTCACTTGTAATACTTCAAAAAATTGCACTCATTTTCGCACTCATTTTCAAGCTAATTCGCTCCATTTCCCCCGATTTCCCGAGCCTTTTCTACGGTTTTTGATCAATCAATTTTTTCCACATGTTTCCTTACTGATGCCGTGGCTGTTATTACAAAATAAACCTTTTCCACTCAATTTTTCGCCAAAAATCGCATAAATTGCTGAAAATAGCGGACGTACCTCGACGACCACTGCCGGTTTGCACAGTTCGTCCCTCATCTTCTCCATGTTCCACTCGAGGCCCAACGGCTGTTTGAGCACCGCCTCGTAGTCCTGCACGCGCGAATACGGGAACGGCAGCGAGCGCGGCTGCATTTTACCGATTCCCTGAAAGATTGGTAATTATTTTTGTGCAGTTTCAACAGTTTCGTAATTGGTACAAACATCACTTATTTTAATGCGGCTTTGTCTTGTTGAAAAAAAAAGTGAATGAAACTCTGGTGGCACTTCGCAAGGCTCTGAGGATAAAATGGCTTGGAGGGAACGTGGCCATCGTTTGTGAGTTGGATTCGCGTTCTTGTTTTTAGGTTATACATCTGCTTCAACATTTTTTCCCGGTTTCCTACTTTGATGATTTCGTTTTTTCAGCATTAAAGTCTATTTTCAACAAACATACATCCTTGGCGGTGAGGCTCTCTGTGATGACTAATCCGTTCCTCTCGCCGTCCCTTCTCTTCTTCTCCTTCGCCTTCACCACAAAATTGCGTCTCCGCTTCTTTTCCGTCGTTCCGGGACCGATCCAGGCGCCCCATCCGGCCAGATTCAAATCTATATCTTTCACTTTCTCCTTTTGCTTTACCTGCAAAAAAAAAGTTTATTTCCCCGGAAAATTTGAGGGGGAAAAAACGCACTCCTTCTTTCATTTCCTCAAAATCGCCGATAACATCGTCATCTTTGAACGCCTCGTTGATCACTTGAGCCGCTTCTGAAATTCAAAAAATCCATTTTCAGTTATTCAAACAAACATTCCAAAAAATGCGTACCCTCATCAAACTGGTCCATTTTCTCGACAAAGTCCGCGGAGACCTGTGTCAAATCGTTGGTGTTCAGCTCCAAAAACTTGCTCGGATCGATTTCAATCTCTTTTTTCCGTTGTTCCTCCGCATGCACCCCCGCCTTCTCCACCGCCTTCTCCACTTTTTCCTCAAAGCTCTCCTCTTTCGCCTTTTTCGGATCATATTCTCTGTCCACGAAAGATTTCCTGGAGATTGTGCCTTTTCTGAGCTTCTCCTTCTTCCTCATCGCTTTTTTCGCCTGCTTTCTCTCCGCTTTCTCCGTTTCTTCCCATTTTTCGTCCACCTCGAACAGCGGCTGCTCTTTGCCAGTATTCGCCGAAATTGTGCGAATCGTCGCCGCCTCTTGCCGTTTTTTCGCTCTCATTTGTGCCAATGTCACTTTTTGAGCGTCCGAATCGTCGAGAAATGAGTCCAGAAGAGCGGCGCCGATTTGTTGCTTCTTCGATTCTTTTTCCGCTTCATTTGCGGCATCCTGGAAAACAGAAAACAATTTTTCGACATGCACGTGGCCCACTCGAGCCCGCCCGTTCCTCTAACCCTTCCCTACTTCCCTAATGCCCTTTATTTCTGTTTCTCGTAATGTTTCACTAAAAAAGTAAAAAAAGACGATGAGGAGTGAAAAAGCATCGATGACTGTTTCGCAAATGATCAACTCGCAATTACTCGCATCACAGGTTTGAAAAGTGGGATTTTCTATTGGCTCTCCACGTGTCAACCGTAACCGACCTTTCGAAATTGCCGATTTAGCTGATTAAACCCATGTTTTTTGCTGATTTTCCATCGTTTCCGACAAAAATCGATAGAAGGCGCAAAAATGTGTTTTATTAGAGTTCTTTTGGATATGGGTCTAAAAATCGTTCCTAAGTACCTTTTGAATGGTCCAAAAATGCGCAAATTAACTTGCAACCCCTTTAAAATGATTCCAGTGTTACTGGAACATACTCTTGTTTCTGTTCCACTCGGTTCTTCCAATTTGGCTACTAACTCAATGCGGCGGGAGCGGAGCCACGAATTCGAGTGCAAGCGCGGAAGCGGTGACGACGGAATCGACCGAGACTCGGGGAGAAGAGGACGAGGAGCGGCGGAGGCGGCGGAAAGCGGGCAAGAAGAAAAAGGCGGCGAAACGGAAGAGAGAGGCGGAGAATCTTTCGGAAGGAGCACCCAAACCTCCGAAGAACCGGACCGACATTGCCGACAAGGCGGATCCCAATTATCAGGTAAATTGGGCAGTTTTGGCGGCAACTCCTTGAAAAAAATCTATCTGACACGGGATTGGAGAACGTTCTAGAAAATTTTTGCAGCAAAAAAGTTTTGCAGACGCTCGCCGACATCAAAGACGACGTTTTTGACAAAAAGACGCCGCCGGTCGCTCCGGGAGCCGGGCCAAAGGCTCCAAAGCCCGGAACGAAGCCTCAAATGGCCCAGTCTTTCGATCCCAACTACCAGACACTCGCCGGTCTGAACGATGACGTTTTTGCTAGGAAAGGAAATGCTCCAGCTGCTCCAGCTGCTCCGAAGGCTCCAGTTGCTCCGAAGGCTCCAGTCGTCGGTGGGAAAGCGGCGACGAACGATCCCAATTACCAGGTTATTTTGTTCGAAACTTTGAATTTTGGCTGCTACAGTTCTCTTATGATTCCAGACACTCGCCGGTCTCAATGACGACGTTTTCGCTAAAAAGGGAAAGCCTGCCGGAGCTCCGGTTCCCAAAGCTCCGGCAGTGGGAGGAAAAGCGGCCACACACGATCCGAAATATCAGGTTAGTGTGGAATGTTTCAAAAAGTATAAAACTTCTAGACCCTCGCCGGCCTAAACAATGACGTTTTTGCTCCGAAAGGAAATGCTCCGCCGGCTCCGAAAGCTCCGCTCAAACCGGGCGGAAAAGCGGCCACTCATGATCCAAATTACCAGGTAAATACTTTTAAAACAAACTTTTCTGGATGTTTTTGCAATTTCCAGACTCTAGCCGGTCTCAATCAGGACGTGTTTGGTGCGGATAAAAAGAAGAAATGAATTGTCGCGTTTTTGAATTTTTCTGTTATTGTTTGATGAATGTCCGAATGAATTCGTCGTTTTTTAATTGAATGTTAAATTTTGTGTCAAAAGTGTGTAATTGTTTGCTGGAAGAAACCCACAAACCTTGAGCAACTCGTGAATGCTCTTTTTCTTGGCTTCCGGTGCTCCGGCGCCTTCTTCCCTGTCAGAATCTTCCGTGGCGGCCACCACTTTCGCTTTCAGCTCTCTTCCCATTCTGCAAACAAGCATTGATCTACATTTGTTTCCAGTTTTGAAATAGTGTGATATTTCTGACAATTTTGAATTCAAACATTTTCACTTTGCCTTGAGAACATAACTGTAAGAAGGAAACTTGCCTCAAATGCTCGTCGAGCAGCTTCTTGACCTCGGGATTGCGGCTCGCGTGCTTTTCGAGCATCTGCTTGAACTTCTGGTTCTGTCCGCGATGCTTCAGACTGCCCCTCTCGATCACCCTCTGCAAGTCCATCTCCGCCAGTTTCTGGTGCGCCGCTTCCGGATCCCGCGTCACTAAATCGTCGAATTCCTTCAATAACTGCTTCCGTTTCTCTCGCTTCAGAATGCGATGGTATCCTTTCGATTTGATCTTCTTCATGTACCGATTCTTCGCCTCTTGAATTCCGACGATCGCGCGCATTCGTTGCATTTGCGACAGCCGCTCTTTCGCCATTTTTATGTCCGTCGCCTTCATCACTTCCATCTCTTTTTCCGTCAGCACCGGCTCGGTTTTTTCGTCCTGAAATTGACGATCAACGTGTTCATTTCATTTGTTCATTTGATCCCTCACGACTCATAAGACCAACTCACCTGAGGAGCATTCCCTAGTAAAGAAAAACGAGAAAAACTTACACCCCACATAATTCCGTCGGGTTTTGTGAGCGGAAAAATTAGCTGGTCGCTGATTCGGTTGCTTTGAACGAGTTCCGTCCAGTTTTGGGTTACTTCTTTTCTGAAAGAATACAAGAATACAGAGCAACGAGTAACATATCCATAACAATGTTGAAAAAAGACGTACTTCAAATCGGTGAACGCGATTTTCCCCTCAATTTCCTTTCTCGCCTCGACATCTCTCAACGGAATGAGCGTCTTGCTTTTCAGCTTCTTCTTCTTCGATTTCTCCTCCGAAATTGCCTCGGATTTCCGTTTTCTCGCACTTTTCTCCGTCGGTTCCGCCGATTCCAATCCCTCGATTCCGAGTGCTTCTTTCGCTTTGTTCGTCGATAGTCTAAAGTTAAATTTAGTTTTTCAATCTCTTTCAATTCTCCTCTGAAACTGTAGTTTCTTTTCCGAACCTAGACACAGTGATGTGCGAAAGAAGGGAACTGGCGTCGATTTTCGCCTTCACCGTCTTTTTCAGCCGGTTTTTCTTCGCAATTCCCGCACTTCCGGGAGTTTGAATCGATTGGAGCAGCTTCTGGTGTGCCACGTCATCGATATCCGAATCGTCGCTCATTTGCTCACTTCAAGACAGAAACAAATGTGGGAATATGCTCGACATTTGCTAAAATAGATAAATTACATCGAGAAAACGAGGAAATTGAATTGCTAAAATGATTACAATCGTTCACAGCTCTATTTATTTATTCTTACAATAAAAATTGGTATTTTCCCAAACAATTACACTGTCGACCCTAACAAAAATTTATCAAAACATTTTCACACTAAAAGAATGGTTTTTACTCGGGGAAAAATCGGTAAAAGGCAGGGAGCAGGGTAACGGTTCGAGGCGGAAAAATGAGGAATTATCCAAATGTTTTTCTGCAGACAAACGGTCATTCGAAAATAAATTCGGAAAATTGTTAGATGGCGGTGGCGAGCGCTTCCTTGTACTTCTTGACGCGGGAAGCAATCGACAAATCGACGTATTTGTCTCCGATCGTGACGACGAGTCCTCCGAGGATCGCCGGCTTCACTGCGTACTTGACCGTCAGCTTCTGGCCAGTCTTTCCGATCTTGCTGAGGGCATCAGAGAGAGCCTTCTGGTTCGACGAGCTCAGTTCTTCGGCAGAGGTCACCTAAAAAAAAAGCTTTTCCGAGAATTCTTACAATACTTGATAAAATTGGGTGTTTTTGGGCTATGTTTCTACCTGAACAAAGAGTTCTCCACGGTGAGCGCGCATGATGGATTCGAAAGAGTTGGCAACCGACTCGAGCTTGTTGAGACGTTTGTTTTCGGCCAAAAGTCCTGCAAAACATATTATTATCATAGAGTTTTCAATGATTTTCACATCAATTTCGCCCCAACTAACCGAGGAAATTGCCGGTTTCCTTGGAAAGTCCCAATTTGTTAGAAACGGCCTCGATGACGGACTTCTTCTTGAAGGCTTGGAGAGTCGGGTCAAGGATGAACTCCTGGAACTTCTTGTTGTCCTTGTAGACGGCGCGCACGTTGTTCAGGTCGGCGGCGATCTGGTCCAACTTGTTCTGCTTGTGTCCGGCAGAGTAGAGCGCGGCGGCGTAGCGCCCCTCGATTCCGTGCACCTGAATTGGCGTCTTGACGAGCTGCTGAGCCTTGGCCAGAGCCGCGCTCGTCGAGAATCCGCGTTTCATGATTTGCGCCATTACCTGCAAAAATGCGACACTTTGGAATAAAAAAGCTGACAATCAAAAATTACGGAACAATTAATGGAAGCGCGAGGATTTCCGAGTTTTTATGTGAAAAATTGAAAAAAGTTCTCAAAAACGGTTTTTAAAAGTTTCTCCGGAAAACAGAATGATTAAAAATCCAGTTTTGGCAAGGAATAGCTCTGCAAAAAAAACGGGTATGAAAGGCGTTTAATTTACTATTCACTAGTAGTCTTGAGTGTTCGCAATTCGTTTCATGCTTTATTGAACCAAAAATCAAGCAGAAATCACCTTGAACCCGTCCGAAACACTAAAAATGCAAGCTTCTATACAAAAAAATTAAAAAATCGAAAAATTAACGTTTCGAGCCAGATTTTTTCGCAAAAATCGATAGAATTAAGGTTTCTCTTCTATTTTCAAACAATTTCAAGCGATAAAACTCAAGAAATTCGTCTGAAAATCGTACTGAAAAAATAAAAGTCGTTGGAAAAGGCGGTCGTTGGCTGAGTATCATTTCCTTAACCATAGGCCCACGTACGCAGTGAAATCACCGACTGTCCAGTTCGGTGGAGCGCACTTGCTGGCCCCCAGCGTTGACACCGCAATTTTTTTCCATTTTTTCACTGATAAAAAGTGGGAATTTCCAATTTTTGGCGGGAAACTGTTTAAAATTTGTTCAAAAAGTCATTTTCAATGCAAAAAGTCCTGAATTTTATCGATTTGTTGCCAAATCCCAATGATTTTGATCAATTGCGTCACTTTTTCAGACAATGGGTACAAAATGGGCCGTCCTGGCGTTGCTGGTGGCTGTCGTCGGTGTTTGTGGTGCTGAAAACAAGGTTTGTGCGCTATTTTTGCTCATTTCTCATTTCGTTTTTTTTTTATGAAACCGAAAATTTGTTTTACACATTTTTTTTCAGAGCTCCTACGCACAAGCAGCCGACAATTTCCTGGACGAGCTCGCCGGAAAGGCCGTGGAGCCGGTAAAAGTGCCGGAAGAGGCGGAAGAGCACGAAGAACACGGGCACGGAGGACACGGAGGGCACGAGGGACACATGATGAAGATGTGGTTTCACGGCGGATTCGAAGAAGTCATCCTTTTCGACTTTTGGAGGACCGATTCTCTTTTCGGTATTTCTTTAATTAAATCAATTTATCGAAAATTTCAAAGAACAATTGCAGGAATGCTCCTCTCGTGTGCCGCAATTTTCATCATGGGCGCCACGTACGAAGGCGTCAAATGGTTCCGTGTTTTCCTTCAAATGAGCCAGACGCAGAGCCAGGTGCTCGCCAATAAATCGTGTGTTGAGGTAGATTTTGTCCTAAAGTCGCCGGAAAAATTATACAATTAACGCAAAAAAACAGTCTGTAGGCGCGTGACGCGTTGCAGTTGGGGAAGGCATGCAGGCAGGCAGGACGAGGAGAAAAAATGTGCCGAGAGATTGGCCAACTTGCGATACTCGCGAGAGCGGGGATGACCGGGTCCATCCGTACGATGGATTTTTTTTCGGCCGATTGCTCGGTTGGCTGCCATCGCTCGCTGCCTTCTCGAATGCAAACTTTCAAAAATGGCGCGCCGTCATGAGCGCAGTGTGGTTGGACAAAATAGCGCGCGAAAATCCCCGTCTACCGTTCAGTCGGACGGACTCTCTCTCTCTCTCTCTCTGGCCAATCGCTCGGTTGATGGAGGTACGCCGTACTTAGTCTTAAAAAAAACCCAGATTTTTTCAAACAATAATCGGTCCAGTTTGCACTTCAGACGACGCGATCCTCGGCCGGAACGTGCCACCAGTCCGTCTCCCGATCCGCCTCGAAACCCCAATCGGAGCCCTTCCTGCTGACGTCATCAGTGGTGCGAAACTCGGCCCCCGCGCCCTTTTCGCCGCAGAGACTCGTCCAGATGCTCTTGTACATTCTGCAATTGGTGCTCGCCTACTGGCTCATGCTCATCGTCATGACTTACAACACTTATTTGAGTCAGTTTCAGAAAGTTTTGAAGATTTAGAAATTTGCAATTTGTTCGTTTCTTACTTAGCAAAAAAGTTTTTAAAAAATTTGGAGCTTTAGGAGCATGCCCCACTTTGAGCTTCACTTTAAGAATATGCTGCCATTCGATTAGAATTCTTTCAAACGGTTCTTTTTCAGCAGCAGCAGTGGTTCTGGGCGCCGGATTCGGTCACTGGCTGTTCGCAGTGCTCCAATTACGAAATTCGGACGGAGAAGCGACGGATTCGTTCGAAACTGACGCCTGTCACTGAACAAAAGCACAAAAGAGCACCGGAAAGATCTCACCGTTTTTCCAAAGATTTTTAGGATTTTCCCCCCTATTTTTTTGTTGAATTTTCCCCGCCCTCACACTAATCGACCTTCATTTTGTCATGAGCGGATGCGCCAATTATCAAGAGAATCTCAGAAAAACGACATATTCAGAAAATTGATGGAGAAGGAATTATATTTATTTCGTGTGATCTTCTGACGATTGCCAACTTTGTAAATGAAGTTTTCGAAGACACTGTTATTATGGGCTAAATTGGGAAAAAATACGAGAAAAGAGAAATAAATTCTGTCTGGTAATGTTTACTTTTGCTTCTGCGTCTAGACGAGACGTCTCTCCGTAAAAGTGGGCGGAGCCTGCTGCTGGTATAAATAGGCCCGGCCGGTCGGACGGTTTCTTTCTTTCCGTTACCCTCCTGGCCGGCATGCTCTAGCCAACCACCCGTTCCCACTATTTTCTTTAATTTTTTTTCAATTTCTAACCTAGCCCACTTAATACTGAACTTTTTATGTAAGTTTTATTTTATAAACAGGAGACCTCTGAAACTGAACTTTTTTTTTTCAGAACTTTTCTGAAAACTCGAAGAACTGAGAGCCAAATTGATCGGAACCAAACGCAAAAAAAAAGAAGTGTCTGATTATAATAGGCCACGTGGAGGACGATGGTTACGAGAAAATTCGGTGAGAATTGTTTTACAAGCAAATTTCGTGTTCGATCGAACGATTGAATAGGCGCCACGGTGATTCTTTGCGAGGGTGACGAGGAAAATTCTAGTCCATTTGCCCCCCGGGGTCGCAGGCCGTGGTACTAGGCCACGGTTTCCGCCGAGTCCCCCGGCTGAACAAGAAATTATTAGGCCACGCCAGAAGTTAGGCCAGGAGGCCGAACCGAAGAAACTCGGCCATGGGAAATGTTTCACGAATTTCGCGCTTGTGCGGCAATTGCGCAAGACCACGCCCTCTTCTTTGAATGGTGGCCGAGTTCGCGGCGCGTTTCTCATTACACCCTCGCAACGAATCACCGTGTAGGCCAATATCACCGTCTCCCACGGCGCGAATTATTTCAATGGGGCGCACTTGCAACGGGCGGGCTGTGTCGATTTACGCGGCGGCCGATTAATTAATTTTCAACGGGAGTTCGCGTTCTTTCCATGTTTTCTCTACAATACACCTATTTTTTTGTACGCCTGGAACCTGGATTCGAATAATTAGAGCACTAGCTACGTTTTGGTAACAGCAATCTCACATATCGTTGAGAATTAGCCGAGTTATTTCGATTTGAAGGTTTTGGCCTGGATTTTGATGTTTTCGAATAGTTTTCGAAAACTGCCCAAGAAAACTAACCGCCGGAACCTGAATTTTGTGAAGAAAGATTCAGCGAACATTTTTATCGTTCGTTGGGCTCATGAAATACAAAATGAGCTGAAATATAAAGGTTTGAAGTTTTGACGAAATGCGAAAAAGACGCTAAAAACATGAAAAACTTTGAATTCTGTAAAGAACGGTTTCCAATCAGTAAAATATTGTTTTCTAGACGTTTTTCAAGTCAAAAAGAAAAAATAAAGATCGTAAACTCGAATTGAACTGCATTTTTATTATAGGGGCACCGGACAGAAAGGGCGCGCTATTGAGAAGAGCCCGCGAAAACCTGGGGGACTCTAAATTTGAATGGTGTGAGAAGAGAAAGTTAGTCCGCGGCCACGTAGGCTGCTGCAGAAATTTTTGTTTTCCTTCTGTTTTCCGTTTTCTTTTTAATAAATCGATTGTGTTCTCACCTTTTTCGTAGTGAATTTAATTAATTTTTTCTTTTTCATGTATAGAATTTCTATAAAAAGCTATCGCAGTCGAAAAATGGTGCACGTCGTCAGTGTTTTCTCTTATTTTCCGCAAAATGTTGATTGAATCTGTTTAGAAACGCATATTTCGAACATGAAAAAGAAAAAACTAATTAAATTCACTGCGAAAAAGGTGAGAACACAATCGATTTATTAAAAAGAAAACGGAAAACAGAAGGAAAACAAAAATTTCTGCAGCAGCCTACGTGGCCGCGGACTAACTTTCTCTTCTCACACCATTCAAATTTAGAGTCCCCCAGGTTTTCGCGGGCTCTTCTCAATAGCGCGCCCTTTCTGTCCGGTGCCCCTATAATAGACCTGCAAATTTTCAAAAGTTACAACGACACTCCGCAATTTACGAGCGCACTGTGTTTAGCATTTGCGCCCTGGGAGACCGTGCAATACGAAGTTTTTGAGCGCAACAGCGTAACAATTGGTCATTTCTGTTGTTTGAGCGCTCAAAAACTTGTTTTTTATCAGAAATCGATGAATACATTATAATTTTCAGGTGCCGAACGAAATTTTGCAATGATACGCTCTCGTGCAACTTCATGAACTTGGCGTTGTCATTCGATTTGACCAGGTTCGACAGAATTGTTGGCTCGTTAAAGTTTGACAAGGAAATTCCGATGGGTTTGCTGAACACTCGTGAAAGTTGACACAATTGTTTCGATATTGCTTTTTGAAAATTTAATAAACGATACGCACGAAGAGGAGCAATATAAATTTATTGTTGTGTGCAAGGAATAGAATAAAGAGTCTAGAGACGTCTTCTCTTTCTCTCTGGGCACGGGCAGTACTCTGCGTCGGCTCCGACGGCTCCCTGTGGTCCCGCCTGTCCCGGAGTTCCGTCGTTTCCGTTGAATCCGTCCTTTCCGGGCTGTCCGGTGGGTCCCTGTGCTCCCGGAGCGCCCTCCTCTCCCGGGTTTCCGTTGTTTCCTGGCTCTCCGCGTGCGCCCGGCAGTCCTGGTCGTCCGGCCACTCCTGGCAGTCCCTTTCCGGTGAGTCCGTCGCGTCCCGGTGGTCCAGCGAGTCCCGGCTGACCGTCCTGTCCTGGATGTCCCTCGTCTCCGATGTCGCCCACGCGGCCTGGCTCTCCGTCCTTTCCGGGCGTTCCGCGCTTTCCGGCGTCTCCTGGCAGTCCCTGCAATATTGATTGATTAGAAATATGTCATTTTCCTTGGCTTGTAGGCAGAAAAGAAGTGAATAATTTAGACAACAGGTGACTTTTGTTGATTTCTTCTGAAACTACTGTTTCAAAAAATTTTCACAAATGTTTGCATTACATTGTTCACCGTTAGGACTAGATTGTTGTTGCAAACATTTGCTTTCCTTAAAAAAAAATCATAACTTATATCCGAAAAATGCTACAAACCCGCCACGAGCGCTCAGCCTACTAAAGTGAAGCAATACTTTTTCAAAGAAAGCCAAGCGCTCTTTTATACGCACTTTCAGGAAAATCTGAAAAACGTGTTGCAAAAAAGTACCTGGAATCCTTCCTGTCCGGGGAGTCCGTCGGGTCCTGGTGGTCCGGCGGGGCACTTGATGCACTCTTTCGGGAAGTCGTTCGGGATCGGGATGTTGAGTCCCGGCAGTCCAGGCGGTCCGTTCTTTCCGTCTGGTCCGGTGCCTCCGGGCTCTCCAGGGGCTCCCGGGTTTCCGGGCGCTCCGGCTGGGCATCCCTGAGATGGGAGTCCGCACGAGCACTGGCTGTTCGAGCGCTTGTGGCGGCCGAAGATTCCGCGCACGTACTCCTCCGCCGACTCGCCCGATCCACGACGCACGTCCAGCATCGTTCCCCACGTCTCATCCGAGATGTCCTGGAAATATAAAACGGTTACGTTTGGCGGGAATTTTGGGGGTAGAAAGTGTTGAATGCGCAAGCGTTTGCATCATCCAGCAACTCGGAATCGTTTCATTCTCAATGTTCTCTCTTCAAACTTTGACATTTTGTTCGTCGAGAGGCGGAAAATTCAAGCGCTGAACGGAGCAGATTCTTTCAAAATTAGCACTGAAAAACAACAGTTTCGATGCGCACGAGCACATTTGATTTCGGAATATTTCAAAAGAGCCGACACGAGAAAGAGCGTTGCATTGCGCATCTTTTGAGCGTTCAAACGTCAAAAAATATGCGAAATTGACGAATTACAGACACTTTTATGGGGTTATTCAGGCTGTGAAACAAAATGATTGTTTTCCGTTTTTTTTTCGTTTTTTTACGTCAAAAAATCCAATTCAGCGATGTAAAAAAACAGCCCCATTAAGGTCGAATCGGAGAGAATTCTTCCGAAATGAACAAAGAGATTATTCACGACAAGTGTGAAAATTATGGTAGTTTTTTAAAGGCGCAGCACGAAATTCTCGCACGCGAATTGAAGAGGCTTTCGATTCTGCGCATTGTCAACGAAATTTATCGACAATTCACGAAAAGAATCAATGTTTTAAATTGTTCAAAAAAAGGCGATATCGGCTGCTCAATTCTCACTCACTCTGAATCCTCCGAGCTCTCCCATCACGTCGTCGTACATGTCGTTGATGTCATTCGTGATGACAAGGGCGGCCCAGAGGCACGCGACGATCGCCGAGACACCGCAAGCGGCTCCGAATCCCACAACGGCTTTCACCATTTCTGCAAATCACCGCTCTTTGCTATTTTTCCAAGCTGACGCTCAAAATAACGGAAATCATCTGGAGAATATGGCAAAATGTTATATCAAAAGCAAAAGATAGAATGAGTGTTCCAATCCGCCGCGCTCTCTCTCGCTTTTATACACATTTTCGGCGAACAATCAGGAAAATCGAAAAAATCCGAATCGGATAGGAATTGGGCGCGCGAGGCAGAGAGAAAACTGGATAACGGACTGGCTAATCGGAGGCGGACACACCTTTTCTTCTCGTTTTTTCGCTGTTGGGAGAATCTTTTTGACAAAATTGTTGGATCTGTACCAGAGTTGAGCGAAAATGGAATTTTGAAATCCGGAAGACGGCAGACGGCAGACGGAAGAAAATGTTTTTAACGGAACACGGAAAACGGAAGACGGAAGAAAACTTTTCACCGGAAGACGACAGACGGAAGACGGAAGACGGAAGAAAAAATCGTCAACGCAGAACCTTTTTTTCTCCGGTTTTTGAAAAAAATAACTGAACAACAAAAAAATTTTTGAATCTGGGTCACTGCCCGTGGACATTCGCGTTCTTCGGGGCTAGTAAATGGCATCTGAAAAGCTATTACTCTTTTACGGTAATAAGAAAAATCCCGGAAGACGGAAGACGGAAGAAAACTTTTTTCCCGGAAGACGGAACAAAAAAATTCACGGAAGACGGAAGACGGAATTCCGCTCAACTCTCCCGTGCGATTTGGAAAGTACGAATTCGACGATAAAGGAGGGCTCAAAGCCAATGTCACTACTTCATTGTACTCCCTCCAATCCTATTATTGCATGGAAACTTTGGCAATTAGTTATGCAATTCTCGTGAAACTGTAAGGTTTTGAAGCCGACTAAACGTTGTAAGAATTATTGCATTTGAAATAAAAACATTGAAAGACATGTTACATGTGTAATGAAGAGGACAAATAAAACAAGATGATCGAATTTCGATGGGCAAGAATGAGAAAAATCAACAAAAATGAGGTGCTAATCCGATCACACACTGCTCTCTCCTTCTTCCATCGGATCGTCGTGTCCGAGGAATTGCAGCGGTCCCATTGCTATTTGACCGTTTTTCGAGAGTTCTCTGCAAAAACGACAAGCAATTGGAATGATTTAGGATTACCGTTTCACGGAGATTTACAATTTGAATGTAGTTTAAAAGTAACACTGAAACTTACAATAATCCAGACTGATAAACGCATCGAACTTCTTTTTTCGATCCTTTCATCTCGGTCGAAACTATTCGGATGGATCCCTTCCAGTTTTTTGGCTGAAAAAAAACAGTTACTCTCTCTTTATCGTTAAATTAATAATCAATCTCACTGTTCCGATTTTGGCCCACACTTCGATGCTTTGCAATCTTTTCATATCCGACGCCGTGATCACCATTTCGAAGACCTGAAAGAAAGCCCCATCATGGCCGAACTTTTTCTCTTCTCTAGGCCATACCGTGTTGGCGCGAAAGTCGATAATACCCGGATGGGGCCTGTAGCCGGTGTCGCCGTCCTCGCCAATCAATTTTATGAACGGACGGAAGTTGCTGCTGTCGCCCTCGACAGTTCGAATGTGCAATTCGTATTCCGAGAGGAGTGCTGTAATTTCAACGGAACAAAACGTGTGTTGCCGACACCAAAAAGTGGACGTACAATAGTTGCCAATGTCCGGATATCCGCACAATAATTCCTTCGTTTCGAGCTCGTAAATCGGCTCGTCCAAGTTGAGAAACACGTGCGTTCCCGTGTTGACTTCGTGCAGTTTCATCTGAAAAAAACAAATTTGAATGTAAAATTGACAAATTCAGGCCACACTCACCTTCCAGACGTGCGTGTAAAATTCGGATTTGGCAAAATCGAGCGACACTCGGACCTTGGCCGGATTTCCGAAATTCGGGCACGAAAGCTGCAAAATAAAGTTCATAATGGGGCTATTTAGGGGATGAAAAAATGATTGTTTTCCGTTTTTTTCCCTATTCAGCGATTTCAAAAAATGGAAAAAAAAACGGAAAGAAATTCGTCGCTCGCAGGGTTTTTTTCCGGCGGGTCTCGCAGCGATTTCCCGTAAGAGACGTTTTATGAGTGGATTTACGAAAATGTTTCTAATTTTTCAGCGAAATTGCCACGTTTTCGCGTTATTTTGAACCGATTTTCACCGAAAAGCCTTAATGTTTTGAACGATATGACGAGGCACTCGAAAATATACAAAAAAAAAGAATTCAAGCGAAATCGGTTGGAAATAGCGGTAAACGTGACAATTTCGCATCAGTTACCATAACAGATAAAGAAAAACTGAAATTCCGTTGAAAATCGGTTGAAAATAGCGGGAAAACGTGGCAATTTCGCTGAAAAATTAGAAGAAAAAAACCCCCCCTTCTCGTAAATCCACTCATAAAACGTCTCTCACAGTAGCCGCATGAAATCGCTGCGAGACCCGCCGGAAAAAAAACGCTGCGAGCGATGCATTTCTTTCCGTTTTTTTCCATTTTTTGACATCGCTGAATAGGGGAAAAAAACTGGAAAACAATCATTTTTTCATCCCCTTTATAGCCCCATAATGGGGTTATTCAGGCTGTGAAAAAAAAATGATTTTTTCCGTTTTTTTACGTCAAAAAACCCAATTCAGCGGTGTAAAAAAACGAAAAAAAAACGGAAAACAAACATACGCTGAATAGCCCCAATAGCCCCATAACACTTTAAAGTATATGAAAACGTACGGTGTACTTGAGGAGCATTCCCTCCTCGTACTTCTCCGGTCTCTCCTGCTGACAGTCCATCTCGAACGTTCGGTGGTCTTTCGCGACGAGGGTAACGGTCGGAATGGCCACCGCAGCCGACAACTTCACTCTCACCGGCGGCATCATCGGGTCAGAGTGCGGCAGAATTTCGTACGGGTGCTGCAAATCGATAAACGAATAGAAAAAGTGAAGAAACAAGTTCGCACCCTCAAACTCATGTACAAGTGCCACGTGGCATCGGTCTCCACACTCCTCAAATCGCTTTTCTTCCACTTTCGCATTGTCGACGTGGCCGGCGAGCCTGAGTGATCTGTGAATCAGTTGAGAACACAAATGTGTGGAAAAACGTACTGCTGGCGGTCATTTGTTTGAAAAACGGTCCCTGATCGTGATTTCGCTCGTATTCAATGTTCGAATTTCGGTAGATCATCGAAAACGGAATGTGATCTCCGTTTTTATGGTGAATTTCCTCGATGAAAAGCTGCAATTCGAGTTCGCTTTAGAGAAACAAACGTGTTTTTGTTTCCGTATTATTTCTTATTTCCATGGCATGTTATGCCGCGTCCAAAGTCTCGGAAAAACCCGGAAAAACCGCAGGTTTTTCTGTCCAAAGCAGGGGTGTGCGGAAAATTTTTTTCGGAAAATTTCGAAAAATCGGTTTTCCGAATTTTTTTTTCGGAAAATTTCGGAAAAATCGGAAAACTCACTTGTTCATTGGTTCAATAAAGTGTTTAAACAACGTTCTAATACAAAAAAATGCTTATTATGATTTGAAATCACTTGAGTGGGCGGAAGCCAAGCAATGGAATATTTTTTTGCAAAAAAATTAGCCGAGAGAAGCTCTCCGGGTCCAGTGTTTTCCGATTGTCAGTGAGAATGAGACGCGCGGTTGTTTCAAATTTTAAAAGACGCTCGCTGCTAGACCCTTCCAAAAATTTTGTGATGCGCCTTTAAAAAGCATACGGTGGTTTCGGACAAATTGACCTTGAATCCACACTAATTTTCCGAAAATTTCTCGGAAAATCGGAAAATTTCGGAAAATCGAAATATTTTCCGCACACCCCTGGTCCAAAGTCGGCCGAAATTTGCGTGAAAAACGGGGGTGTGGCGCACAGCTCAACGAATGTAACCGTACCCCCTAAAACTACGGTATTTTTTAAAAATTTGCGCAAGAATTTTGAATATTTTCAAATATCCTCAAGAAATTAACAAGATTTCCAAAAACTATCGATATTATCGATTTTTTTCTCGATATTATCGATAAATATCGATTTTTTTTGAAAATTTGATAATTTCTTGAGGATATTTGAAAATATTCAAATTTCTTGAGCACATTAAAAAAAATATCGTAGTTTTAGGGTTACGGTTACATTTGTTGAGCTGTGCGCACGCCCGTTTTTCACGCAAATTTCGGCCGACTTTGGACAGAAAAACGTGCGGTTTTTCCGAGATTTTGGACGCATTATACATCAATCGATAGCAAATTTCACGCTGATCATTTTTGTCTCTTGCCACTTTTCGCAATCTCTTCACGTTTTCGAGATATCGCCCAAAAACGTACCTCGGCGCCGACTTTCATCTCTCCGCCAATCACTTGGCGATACACTAAACTGGAATACATCCATTTCAACAAATCGAGTCCGTCTAGAATATCTTTTCCTGGAAAACGTTGTGATATTGAAGTGTTTGTTCTCTCACAAAAAGTTACCTAATTGAGTAATGTGTTGTGGTATGACGCGAATATTCGGTGCGGTGCTTGTAGTGACGTACTCGATTTTGTAGGTGTAGTTCTGGAAGTATGTTTTGAAAAGTTGAACGCGAAACGTGAACGCACAATATTTCCATTTTTCATTTTGACCGGAACCACCGGCACAAGGCCACTCGCATCCTCTTTTATTTCGTCCTTTTCCGAGGATGAGTGGAAGAATTGAAGGAATATTTGCGGATCCTTCTCGTCCACACACAACGATCGATCCGCCAATTTCACTGTTCCCTCGTACGTTTTTGCTGCAAATGTTTACAATTGCAGAGGAAAGTAGAGAGTTGGAAAACGTACTAGAGGGTACGGTATAGTTGTTGTCCAGGAACAAGGCCATCTCGCGGAATCCTTGCCACTTTCGGTATCCGGGCGCCGCGCCCGAGTGCAACCATCCGTTTACACTGAATGAACAAATTTTTTTAGAATTAAACGGCGACCAAAAACGTAGAAAGGGGCGTGGCCTACCATTTTGGCGCGAAATTCGAAATTTAACCCCATTTTTCACATGTCTTTCGTCAAAAATTACCCAAATTTTGTACGGGTTTCGACGATGTTATTGCATAACTTTGTTAAACTAATCATCGCGCACTTTTTGAGCTTAAAACGAGCACGTTTCATTCAGAAATGAATCAATTTAATCGATTTTCAAGTTTTGTGCTGAAAATGCGCGAATTTCAGTCATTCGCCGATACTTTTTGCCGTTTCAGCGCTTAAAATACTTGAATTAACGTGCTTAATCACTTCCGACACTCACTTCGTCTCAAAACTATCCACATCGCACGGTCTCCAGAGCTGAAAATGGGTGCAAGTGCGCCCCGCCCAATAGAGCGATACATTGGCGCGAAATTCTAATTTTAACAGCAAAATTTGTGTTTTTTGCCAGATTAGCCACGAAAAACCGATAATTTCTCATTTGTCTCTCGATACACCGATTTTACAGGCTATTACGAATTTTTTAAGCGCAAGAGCGTTAAATGTGGTCAAGTCGCAAATCACATTTATCCGTTTGAAGGTTTTTGGCTAAAATTGCGTGAATTTCAGTTGCTTTTCGGTAATTTTCGCGGTTCGAGCGCTCAAAATGCTTGTATTTACGTGATTTATCATTCTCAAAACCAGCTCTGTTTGAAAACGGTCAAGAAAGCGCAAAATGAGAAGTGCGGTTTTTAGGCGGCGATCGGCGGCGAAGGCGAAAAAGCAAAGTCTGCGAAAAATGCGCCAAAACGTCATTAATTCACGAAATTAATTTCACGAAAATTTCGAAATTAATTTCACGAAAATTTCGATGTTTTCTCTCTTTAATGTCTTCTTTCGTCGATATCAAACACACAAAAACAACGGAAAAGTGCTGGAATTGCGGCAATTTTCAGAAAACGCGTCTCAGATTAGGCCACGCCCCCCGTGATAGAAGTTTGCGATAAATCGCTAAAATGACTCACAAAACAGTGCATTTTTCCTTCGTGTCCACGTCCTCCATTTCCACGTATTCCAGATAGTAGTCGGGTTGATCGCCGTAGGGCACCAACTCGAAGCGAACTTTTCGCAAGTATCCAATATCGGTGCCGAACTCTAGTTGGATGAGCGCTCCGTCGGTCGTCATCAAAAGTCGACTTCGAGGGAGCTCGTAATGGATGCTCGACTGAGTGCCTGTGACAAAAAAAAATATTGTATTTGCACGCGATCCGGGGGGCTCTACCGTATGCCACAACGATGATGGACGATGTGGTTCCGCCGAGCTCGCCTTGTTTCGAGTAGAGTCGGAATGACCAGCGTCCGGCTGCAAATTAAATCGATATTGTATCGATTGACACGATTCCGCAACAAAACGACAATTTTAAACGCACCCGTTGGTTTTCGCTCCTTCATCAGCGATGTTTGGTAGCGGAAGCTCGTCGTCGCGATCGTCCTCTCGATCAGCCCGTCCACTTGGCCACTGTCGAACCATTTTTCGACGTGGAACAGGAAGAGACAGCCGTCGACAGTGTCCTCCGACACTGTTATTCGGCTGATGTACGTTCCGGCACCTGCAAATTGGAATTTTGTCAGTTGGGCCTACTAGTTTCCGACTTACCGTAACCCTGCTGCTCGTGACCCACTTCCAGACTTGTCAAAACGCCCAAATGTCTGGTGCGTTTGTTGAAAATGAGGTGATAACCGTCGTTTTCGCTGTAGTTGTTCTCGTTGAACAGATAGTTTGGCTGAAGCGAAAAGAGAGCAAGTTTAATCTCTCTCTCTCTCTCTTTCTCTCCCCACCTCTTCCGACCAAATCTTTTCGCTTTTCTCTCCGTTGGCGGCGTGAAGAACGACGAATAGGCGCGTGTCAAAGTCGACGTTGAAGCGCGAGCCGATGTGCACGTCGACAGTGTAGGAGATCACTGAAAATGTCAAAATCCGTTTTTTTTTCCGCTGTTTCGACAGTTTTTCGATAGTCAGTCATCATCACTTCACCGCTCCTGCCCCCTGAGAAAAGCCCGCGAAGTTCAAATGGCGCCCCGCCCCTTTCTTGCAAGTAGTGCGCGCAGTTTTCGCAACGCTGCCGCACGCATTTTGCTCTTCACTTCGACAGTTTGTTGTCGGTTTTTAGTGTTTCCTTTCTGAGAAGAAGATGTGCAACAAGGCGAAAGAATAGGTTTTGAGAACAAAAAATAATAATTTTCTGCTTTAATTTTCAAGAATTCGGTGTTCAGAGCAATGAGAACTCAACGAAAGAACACGGAAGAATTTTTATCTTTTTTAGAAAATTTTTTCATGGAATGTGATCAACTGACGAAATGTATAGCAAAGTGTGCTCTGCTCATAGAAAAATAATTGTAAATTTAGCTTTTCATACAAAAAAGTTATTCGTTCCGTCTTCCGTTAGCCCTCCTTTTTTCACGGGAACAACTCGAATAACTTTTTTGTATGAAGCGCTAAATTTACAATTATTTTTCTATGAGCACAGTTCACTTTGCTCTACATTTCGTCAGTTGATCACATTCCATGAAAAAATTTTCTAAAAAAGATTTTTTAAAAAATTCTTCCGTGTTCTTCTAGAAAACTAGAACTCACTGGACGCTTCATAGGCGATGCGCGCCCTCTTCTTTTCCTCCTTATCACGTTCGAATTTGACTGAAAATTCAAAAACAATTGAGAGTACCGTAATCCCCGACGCCCTCGCGTACCTCTCCTCATCGTCCTCTGCACCACACGCGCCGCCTGATTCCGACGTTCCCGTTCGCGCGGCGAGAGATCCGCTTCTTCGTCGTCGGACGGCAATTGGACTTCCTGAAAAATGACGGGAGGCCTAGTAGTTTTTTCCTCCCCGGCGCGGCCTAGAAGCCCAAACCTTGTCGCTGAACTGCGAGATGCGACTCCACGCGTTCGAACTGCCGCTCACAATGGTTCGCAACGAATTTCCAGTGGACATTCGCGTGTCCGGGGTGTGGATGGCCGGAGTTTCCGGCACATCCTCGTCCGCTTCTTCTTCCGACGATTCCGATCCTTCTCGGCCGTTTTCCTCCTCGGCAATTTGTGAGCCAGTCGGTGGCCGGGACGAGTAAGTTGACTTTGGCCGCGAAGATCCGGATCCAGCGGATCCAGACGTTGACGGTGGGGTCTGAAAGTGACATTTTTAAAGGACCAGGGAACCCTAACATTTTTTGTGGCTGTTTGAATTGGGCTCTTATGGGGCTATTCAGCGTATGTTTGTTTTCCGTTTTTTTTTTTCGTTTTTTTTACACCGCTGAATTGAGTTTTTTGACGCAAGAAAACGAAAAAAAACGGGGAAAAAAATCATTTTTTTCACAGCCTGAATAACCCCATTATTGCCTCAAAAATGCCAATGAACGAAACGGCGTGCAGTTGAAGTTGTGGCCGTGGTGGCCTAGAAAACTCCGGTGTGAAAACTCTTCCCCTTGTGAGCAGTTTAATGCTCTTGCACTCTGTACGGATGCTGATTTGTGTGAATGAATGTTTTGCAACGTATGAAGATTTTGCCGAACGCCAAAAAAAAATCGCAAGGCCTAGAACTTTTCTCGGCCACGGCAGAGTTGAGCGGAAGAACTCAACGGAAGAACACGCAAGAATTTTTTATCTTTTTTAGAAAATGTTTTCAAGAAATGTGATCAACTGACGAAATGTATAACAAAGTGAACTGTGCTCATAGAAAAATAATTGTAAATTTAGCTTTTCATACAAAAAAGTTATGCCTTCCGTCTTCCGTTAGCCCCCTTTTTCACGGAACAACTCGAATAACTTTTTCGAATGAAAAGCTAAATTTACAATTATTTTTCTATGAGCAGAGTTCACTTTGCTATACATTTCGTCAGTTGATCATATTTCATGAAAAAATTTTCTAAAAAAGATAACAATTCTTCCGTGTTGAGTTCTTCCGCTCAACTCTGGTCCGCGGCCACAACTTTGACTAAGCGCTGTTCCATTCACAGCTATTTCTGAAAGTTGGCGCTCGGACAGTGAATGTGGAGACACACATAAAGTCCTTTAAGGTCAAGGAATCGAAAAGCCCACCTGTGCGGCAGGAGTCTCCTGCCGGCTCAATCGTTTGCTCCGAGTGCTTCGTGCCGGCTCCCGATCGGAACTCGACGTCGACGGGGTTCTTCGGGCGGGAGTTCGATGCGAATGAGTGCTGCCACGTGTCAATGGCGAATGTTTCTGAGTGGATCCCAGCGCACTGTCCGCTTTTTCTCTCTCTTCGTCCGTTCCGCTTTCGATCCCGCCGGCTACTGAAACTCCAATTTGTCTTCAAGTTGTAGGGGAACTCAACGGAACAATTTTTATCTTTTTTAGAAAATTTTTTCATGGAATGTGATCAACTGACGAAATGTATAGCAAAGTGAACTGTGCTCATAGAAAAATAATTGTAAATTTAGCGCTGCATACAAAAAAGTTATTCGAGTTGATCCGTGAAAAAAGGAGGGCAAACGGAAGACGGAACGAATAACTTTTTTGTATGAAGCGCTAAATTTACAATTATTTTTCTATGAGCACAGTTCGCTTTGCTCTACATTTCGTCAGTTGATCACATTCCATGAAAAAATTTTCTAAAAAAGATAAAAAAAATTCTTGCGCGCTCAACTCTGGTACGAATCAGAGAACAACAAGTGTGTTTGTGTACTCACCGACATTGTCGAAATCGCTGTCCTCCTCGAGTATGCGATCCTCTTCCGAATAGTGGTCCGAGCCGCTTTGTTGGTTCAAATTGGCACGCAACTCGTCACGTATCATCTGGGCTTTTCTGGAAAAAGTCAACTGTGTGAGAGGCTATAATAAATTGTGTATGTGTTACCTCTCCGTCATGCTCTCAGCCCTTTCCGACTGTCTGGAGCTGGAAATGGAGTTGCCGGTCCCAGAGTCTTTCCAATTTCCGTTCAAACTCGTCGCCGACGACTTTTCCGTCCCTTTCTCTCCGCCTTTTTCCGCCATTTTATCCATTGTCTTCCGTTGTTCGACTACTGTAGTTTTGACAATGTTCGTCCCGATTGGGACCGTCCGTCTATTGTATCTTTCTGGTTTTTCCGTCGAGAACGATTTCGGCGCGTAGGCGTCCGAATTCTGGAGTTGTTGCCGCTTTCGGGGAACGTATCGGCTGTGCTGGACCGGAGGAAGACGTTCTCTGCAAATGAGATTAATGTTTCGATAAAGTATTGATAAATAAATGTGGAGAGAATGCTTTTAAAACTTTATCGATAAATTTATCGATAAAGTCAACGACCGGCTCAGGCTTTTTGAAGGCGGAAGGAACTTTTGAGACTTTTGATCCTCTTGCAATCAATAATCCGATCGAACCCTAACAATGCAGGCTTCTTGGGACCGAGTTTCAGGCTTATCGGATTATCCGTTTCCCGAAATTGCGGTCTTTTCGGTCTTTGATCTACATATCTCGGGACCACATGATCCGATAGGTCCGAGCAAAGTTTGGACCCGATCGGATGACTCGTCCAGGCCTTAAAAAGCCCTAGTTCAGGCCCCCCGTACCTTTTCTCAATGCTGTTTCCCGACGAATTGCCGGAAGTGTCAATTCCACCGGATCCTCCTGTCGACGAACTTTTATAGTCTGCAAGACGGGGAGTACTGTAGTGTGTCAATTGTGTGCGCTTGAATTTACCCGGTCGATGGTACGGTAATCTCGGCGCAAACTTGGACGGATGAATTTCCGGCAAATGAACGTCTCTTCCGTTCGCATTCGACACCAAAATCGGTCGTTCATGACGTGGACAGGCGATGATCTGCAAAATTGTGATCAAGAAACATTGTTTCTAACGCGGCGCGTCCAAAGTCTCGGAAAAACCCGGAAAAACCGCAGGTTTTTATGTCCAAAGCAGAGATGTTGGGAATAAAAATTTTACTCTACGGAACACGGAAAACGGAAATTTTTTTTTTACGGAACACGGAACACGGAAAAAAGCGTTTTCAAGAGAATTCCAGTGATTTTTTTAAAAATAATGTTTTGTTTAATTCAATTATCTGACTGACAAGGCAGCTGTTTGACTCATGTGAAAGTTTTACTGAAAATTTCATAAAAATAACAAAACCAACAACACAACAGTAAACAACTACAGTAAAAAACGACTGAAAATGGAATCCACTTTTCACGAATATGGTCCGAATCCGAAAATTTTCAAATTTTGACCACAAGACGTCAATTGTCCTAATCTTTCCGGAGATAAATTTGATCTACGAGGCGAGCATTTTTCCGCGGAAAATATAGTTTATACGGAACACGGAACACGGAACACGGAAATTTTTTTTTTTACGGAACACGGAACACGGAAAAAATATTGAAAAAAACGCGGAACACGGAACACGGAATTCCCAACATCTCTGGTCCAAAGTCGGCCGAAATGTGCGTGAAAAACGGGGATGCTTAACGAATGTAACCGTACCCCCTAAAACTACGGTATTTTTTGAAAATTTGCGCAAGAAATTTGAATATTTTCAAATATTCTCAAGAAATTAACAAATTTTCAAAAAATACCGTAGTTTTAGGGGTACGGTTACATTCGTTCAGCTGTGCGCACCTGCCGTTTTTCACGCAAATTTCGGTCGACTTTGGACAGAAAAACGTGCGGTTTTTCCGGGTTTTTCCGAGACTTTGGACGCGCCGCATAAATGATTCTCTCACCCGCGGACTATTAGTTGCCAAAATCTCCTCGACCGTCGTGATTAGGACACCTTCGGGCGTGTAGAATCGATGAATTGCAATCTGAAACGGCGAGACACATTTTGTGAACATTGTTCTGGCAACCCGTGTAAACCTCCAAATGAGTGGAACACTCGGTCAAAAGTTGCTCCATCGTCGGCATTTTCATCGGATTTATCAGCGTTTTGTAGAATTTGCCTTTTCCGTTCAAAACGAACAATACCTGGAAACGTGGTGATTGCGGATCAGGCACCCGATTTTACGACATTTTTTTCCCCCGATAAACTTACGATTTCACACCTGAAACTGTCATTTTTTAGCGATTTTACGGTGTTTGCGTACTGGGCACTCGATTTTACGCGAAACTTGTGATTTTTGATGTTTGAGACGGGGGAAATGCACTCAAAATTACCTTTCCGTCGTTCATTTTCCAAGAAGAATATGGAATTCTCGAAAAAATTGGTGTGGAGAAAACAGAAGGCAGAAGAGACGAATCGTAGGAAGAAGAGAGAGAGAGAGAGAAATTGGAGTCGTAAAAATTGTGCTCTTTGCTCATGATTTCCTTATTGTTTTTCGGCCGTCTTCGCCCCACAAAACTACATTTTTTTCGTTTTGTTTTTCACTTGTTCCCATTATTTGCGTCCTCGAGGGACACGACGCACTTTAAGCGTTTTTTAAGGTAAAGTTTCCTTATTTGTTTCAAATTCGCCTTGAAATTTAATCGATTCCTTCTATTTTGTTGGAATGGAAGAGTTCAACACACAAAAAAGTCGTGAAATACAGTGTCTGGTACGCAAACACCGCACATTTCACACACTTTAAGCGCTACAGTAACCCATAAAAGCGCGCACGCTTTTTGCGGCGAGAACAATTTTTCATTTTTCGCGCGAAACCTTGGCGACTTTCGGCGCGAACTGTAATCGTTCAATTTCACGAAGTGTGGGCATTGATTTTCGGCAATCGCGGTGGAATCGGCTGCCTTGGGCCGACGACGTGGCGGACATTTTTGCAAGGACTCTCAAATCTGCAAACAAAATCGGGTAAAACTGACCACTTTCGCGGCGATTAGACTGTAGAGATTTCGAAGAGTTCGAGACATTTGGATACGGGCCGGAAGGTTCGGAGTGGTCGGCATCTGACACGGATTACGGTACGTTTTCATGAATTCAGCAGGTTTTCTCTGATTTTTGTGCTCAAAGGCAATGAAAAATGCATGTGCGACATGAAAACACACTAATTCCCACAGAATTAATGACGTTTTGGCGTTCTTTTTTCGCGGACTTTGCTTTTTCGCCTTCGCCGCCCAAAAACTTCTGATTTTGCGCTTTCTTGACCGTTTTCTGACAGAATTGATTTTTACTTACTTACTTAGTTACTTACTTAGTAACTAAGTAAGTAAGTAAAAACAGCGAAAATTACCGAAAAGCAACTGAAATTCACGCAGTTTTAGCCAAAAACCTTCAAACGGATAAATGTGATTTGCGACTTGACCAAATTTAACGGTCTTTCGCTTAAAAAATTCGTAATAGCCTATACAATCGGTCTATCGAGAGACAAATCAGAAATTATCGATTTTTCGTGGCTAATCTGGCGGAAAACACACATTTCTTGGTATTCAACACTAAAATAGTTGAGCTGATGGAAAATGAATAAATGTTCGAGAAATGAAACCGTAAAGTCGAGTGTGAGTTGGATGTTTGTGACCAGGTAATGCGAGAATCGACCGACCGACTGAATACAAATCCCTCTTTTCATTCTCTCTCGAACAATACAATATTCTTGACGTCTTCATGCGACAAAACAAGTCTAATCCCCGGCTATCTAAATGCATCCAATCACCCGATTTTCTATTGAAATCCCGCTTAGCCGAGCGAGCTCGGGGAGCAATGCGATACTTTTTTTTTGGGAAAAAACTGCTCTAGCTCACTTTTCTAGTTTCAAAAATTATCGGATCGGACCCAAACAAACTTTGCAGGCGATTTGGAGTTGGATTGAACCACTCCAAAACTGCATTGATCGGATCTATGGATTATTAGCAAAAATCGGCTCTCAAGCACTATAACTCGACAGTAAATTATCCGATCGGGCTGAAACTTGGACCCAACCAACTTCAATCCAAGTCCAAGAAGTCTGCAAAGTTTGGGTCCGATAGGATCATTGCATTGCAGTTGCCCTTCTAATATAGAGTAGTGAACTTTCCTTTTCGGTTTCAAAAGAATATGTATTTGTGTTTGCAATTCGGAGAAAAAAAGACTAACCCAATACGCCTGTCCTCCGTTCGTTTTATTCGGATGTCGTGTCTTTGCAGCCGAATTTTTCTCTTGAATTTTATCCAAATCCACTCCTTTTGGAGGATTTGAGGACGATGCCACGTACCTGGAAAAAAAAGTCTTTGTGCAGTTCTCTAAATAAACTCACTTTCCCAAGTGCACAAGTTGATCTAATCCGTCAATGTTGGTCCGACCCATCGGAGTCGTTATTCTTCGAACCTGAAAATTGTTGTGAATTTTTTTTCTTCAAATTTCCGTCCCTTATGAGTCATAACACAAACTCTTTACGTAGTTTCAGACTAGACACATAGCACATAATCAAAAAATTATTGGAAAAATAGGTCTTCCTAATTCGTCGCGCGGGATTTTGTGTCGTATCTTACAAGACCTTCCTCAATTTTGGACTCTGCGATCAGACCAGAAGACCAAACAATATATCAAAAAAATGTGTGAACGCTACTCGATTTGGCATACAAAGTAACGCCCGGCGCACCCGGTTTGGAAACGTTTCGTACTCTCCCACCAGAGTTGAGCGGAAGAACTCAACGGAAGAATTTTTATCTTTTTTAGAAAATTTTTTCATGGAATGTGATCAACTGACGAAATGTATAGCAAAGTGAACTGTGCTCATAGAAAAATAATTGTAAATTTAGCGTTTCATACAAAAAAGTTATTCGAGTTGTTCCGTGAAAAAAGGAGGGCTAACGGAAGACGGAAGGCATAACTTTTTTGTATGAAACGCTAAATTTACAATTATTTTTCTATGAGCACAGTTCACTTTGCTATACATTTCGTCAGTTGTGCACATTTCATGAAAAAATTTTCTAAAAAAGATAAAAATTCTTCCGTGCTCTTTCGTTGAGTTCTCATTGCTCTGAACACCGAATTCTTGAAAATTAAGGCAGAAAATAATTTTTTTTTGTTCTCAAAACCTATTCTTTCGCCTTGTTGCACATCTTCTTCTCAGAAAGAACACACTAAAAACCGACAACAAATGTTTTTTCACTTGGGTTTTCAGTGTCGAACTTCGCGGGCTTTTTCATGGAGCAGGAGCGGTGAAGTGATGATGACTGACTATCGAAGAACTGTTGAAACAGCGGAAAAAAAGGATTTTGACATGATCCGGACATTTAGAGACAACCTTATTTTGTGACAGGCTGCTCGCAATATTCATAAGAAACGAAACAAAAAAAAGCATCTATGATCTTAAAAGCTCTTTCCTTGGAGTCTTTGAGCACAAACCAGAGATGTTGGGAATAAAAATTTTACTCTACGGAACACGGAACACGGAAAACGGAAAATTTTTTTTTTTTACGGAACACGGAACACGGAACACGGAAAATTTTTTTTTTTACGGAACACGGAACACGGAAAACGGAAATTTTTTTTTTACGGAACACGGAACACGGAAAAAATATTGCAAAAAAACGCGGAACACGGAACACGGAACACGGAACACGGAATTCCCAACATCTCTGGCACAAACATGTCCAGATGACGCCAAAATATAGCCACGCACTGTAGGTTCATTTCTATGAATGTATACATCGAAAAATGCTCGCAAACAACAACTCATAACTGGATAATATCGAAAGTCACGCGGCTCCGTAACTCCATTACTCGCACACTTTCTCTCTTTCTCTCTTTTCCATTTATCACGAGTTTATAGAGTTTACGGAGGGCCAGATGTATTTCTATAGCTTTGGAGCACGGAATCTGGAGCCAGAAACATGCAAATTGTCTTCGAAAAGGGTTGCTCGAAACGCGGTAAGAGTTGTATTAACAAAAAAAAAAAAACGAACGCCATAGGGTAAAAACATGGTCCGATTGAGTTCGTCCATCAAATTATTGATCGTCTTGTAGCGATGATGGGAGATTGGCACTCGAACACCCTAAAAATTAATTTACCGTTTCAAACAGACGCCTTGCTTTAAAAATCCCCCAAAAAAAAGTGTGCTTACAGTGAAGAACAAGTCGCCTTCTTTGTAGAAATAGCAAGTTTTGGCGGAATACGGCCGCGTGAACGTCCGTGACGGATTCTCGTACGTCTTCATTGTGCCGTTTTGCGGCAGTGCCGGAAGAATCTGCAAATGTTGTACTCTTCATGAATTCGAATCACTCCGCGCTCATTTCCTAGTCTAACCTGAAGATTCTTGTACATTTTGTTAGAGAGTGTAGAGAATTTTTCGGTGGATTTTCTCACGGAATATTCAGAGAATTTGGGGGCACACAGGGCTTAGAATAATAATAATAGTAATAATACGAAGAAGAAGAAGAAGAAGAAATGTATAATATCAGACTCTGGCCTACGGGGACTTGAAGGGCTTCATGTGATTTGGGCAGAGAGATAGAGAGAATAAGAACTTACTGATGATGTGGACGGCATCGCGAAGTCCCAATCTCCAGCATCTTCCATCAATGTTGAGACTGCAAAAACAATGGGGATGAGGTGGTAATGAGGGGGGAATTTGCGAACCGGAAACAAATTTTCCCTAGAGTTTCAGGGTATTGAAGGCTTGCTGCGATCAGTCAATTGAGAGCGTAGGCCTATGAATCATAGGCGATGATATGCCTATCAGGAACCAATCGCGAACAAAAATTGCGTGCAATCTATGGCGAGAGAAAACGTCACTTAGAGTTTTGGTGAAACGGGCAAAAAAAAAGTTTTGAAGGGGTGAACAAAGCGAACAATAAAAAGTTGTTCACTTTTCCACTCCGCCAACTCTTTCTCTTTCTTCTTCTTCTCTACCACTTCCTTCTACTCTTTCGCTTATTTGGTTTGTCTCTTTTTTCCCATGGCAACCTTCTTCTTCTTCTTTTGCTCTTTCTCTCTCTCTCTCACCCTTTTTTTTGATTATCACCCCTGACAACCTTGATGAGGAAGGAAGGGAAAACGGAGAAAAACGGGCCGGGGAAAGTGAATAAAAATCTGGGAAATTGGATTGGATTTTCTTGTTTTTGAAAGACGAGAATGGGCTACGAAAAGGCGGGGGAACCTTTTTTCGGATGGAAAAATTGAATTTAAAAAAAAATCAATCTATCAAAAGCAGCTCCTAAAATAGGGAAATGCAGCGACTAAACTATAAAAAACAGCGTCTAAAATTACGATAAGCAGCGCCTAAATTTGTCAAAAGCAGCCCCGGTGCTGCTATCGATAATTTAGTCGCTGCTATCGATAATTTAGTCGCTGCTTTTGATAATTTAGTCGCTGCTTTCGATAATTTAGTCGCTGCTTTCGATAATTTAGTCGCTGCTTTTCTCAATTGAGCCCACTAGAATACTTGTACCATTTAAAGTATTTAAATTTCAGTTCCTTGGCGTCACACAATCAAAAACCTGAACTATTTTCCTCCCATAATGTTCAACTGTAAAAAATGGTGCATCTCTCATTCATCGCTGTCAATTCCTACTTCGATTTCAGATTTTCAAACATTTTTCCGCGCAATTTCACGAAAATCGATGCGTTTCTTCCGACGACGCCTGCGAACGTGAAGATGGAATCCATTGCCCCGTCATTCCCTCGTCTTCCTCATTCTGCTCACGATGTCGTCCCTCCTCGAATCCGTTTACCTCTTCATCTCGTCCCGATTCCGAAAACTCGATAAGTAAGTCTGTTTCCCAAAATTCTAGGACTAATTTTTGTAAAAAAAAAAATGTTTTTGTTCACTGTTTCAAAGTTTCAATTCAATAACTACACAATGTATAATTTTCATGGCTCGCGTTGACTTTTTGTTGAAAAATGACAAGAACTGTACAGAATCAATGAATGAAAATATTATTTTTTTGTCTGTTTCATCTAAACACCATAAAATTAGGGTTTTAAGTTAAAATGTTGAACTGATGTTCAAAGTGTCATAACAAATTATTCAGAAACATAAAAAAGCGATTCGGATTCACGGACAAGGAAAAAGAGGATGAGTACGGATGGACGGACTTGGACCGGCTGAATTTAATACGCGTCTGTCAAAGTCATCGAGAATGGGACCAGCGAATTATTGCGATGCGGAGGGCCTACAGAGACATCAACAGTCAGCCGAGGTTCCTCACCGAAAATGTACGTTCTTTTCGCTTTCAAACATGGCTCGGATTTTGTTGTCAAAGTGCACGGGTGTCATATTTATCTGTGTGGCAATGAGAGGCAATACGGACAGACACAAAGAAATTTCAAAAATTTTTAAAAAAAGAACTGTTTCAGTGCTGTCGTGAAGAACTGGAACGTCTGCTAAGCCTGCCCACTCCGTCGCTTTCGGAGAAATCGAAAATGGAAAAATGGGCGGAGCATTTCATTTTCAAGGACGGAAAGCAATCGGAAGAAGAAGAGGAAGACGAAGAGGAAGAAGAGGAAAATCACGAGATTACCTTCAACAATAATTATTTGCCAGCCAATTGTACCACAAAAATCAGCCGGCATAACCAGTTAAAGTGATTTGATTGTTCTAAAATTTGAATTCTCCCAATTTTTTCCGGCTTTCATCGAATGAATATAATTTCTCTGTCTGTGTGTACTTTCAGCATTTGAGAAAATAACTTTTTTTCCATTAAAAAAAAACCGTTCAATTAAATTGGCATTTTGAAGCATCCGATGTTGACGTGAAGCACACGCAAGTGCACCAATTCGATTTCCAAATCAATACATCCCGAAAGGATTTTTGCCTTTTTATCCAGATTCAGCTGAAATTTTTCCGAAAAAAATAGATGTTAGGTCCGGCTCCGTGGTAACCGCTCGGAGCAGTTTTTCGTAAAGTTTCAAAAGCTCACATCGGTGAAAGCGGCGCAGAGTCCGGCGATGTGCTCGGCTCCGGGAATTGGCAACGAAAAACAGATTGGCGGCGGGTTTCGGACTGAAAAAAATCTATATTCTTTTGCTTTCTACAAATCTTCAGGTTGATTTTCTACAATTTTTTCGACTTCAAAAAGTCAATTTTAGGCCTAAGCATTTGCAGAACTCACTCGAAATTTCCTCGCTGAAATAGTGTCCGTCCACTCCGATCGAAAGGTCCAGACCGATCGAAACTGGGTTGTAGGTGGCGTTTACGCAAACTGCAATCACACATTTTTTCTCAGTTTCACAATTTTTCTTTAAAAAAATGTTTCTTCGGGATTGGTTCTGTTGTGGTACCCGAAAATATATCAAAAATTGCACGTCAAACAAAGAATTGTAAATTAATTCGATAAAAAGCTTCAAAAATTATAATCTTCAAATTCTTAAACTATTTCCCACCTGAATGCTTGAATTCTGGAAATTCGGTCTGAAGGCAGCATGCACAATTTCCGTGCACACATTCGCATCCGTTCTCCGAAACTTCCGCCTTTTTGTGGTAGTATTGAACTGAAATATCCATGTAAAAACAGTTTCAGTTTCAGCTTTGCACTTTAAAAGTTTCTTTTTGTTTTTATTGAGCTGCATGAATGCAAGCTTGCACTATCATAATATTTTTTAAAAACCAACTTTCGACAGTTTTCTGTTCGGTCGACACCTTCATTTTGTACTGATTCGAGTGCGCACTCAACGTCGACGTCGGATTTTTCAGATTGAGAACGATTTGATCTGAAAATAACTTCTTTTTTTGCCGCTTACATTTCTATCTGCTCCGCCGCACTCAGTACTTTGCACTTTTCAGTTTTGTCGCCAAATGTATTTCCGATAAATTCTGATAAAGATGCAAAGTACTGAGTGCGTAAAAGTACAAAAAAAAGGCTCACTCTGGTCAATTCTCGAGTCGTCCATCTCAAAAATGATTTTTTCGAAACGAGCGGGCAATTTGATCGATCCGGCCACAATTGCATCGCCATTTTTCGGAAAATCCACGTATTTCGCCACCGTTTTCCATTTGTCGTCCAAAATATTGATGCGGAACGGGTTGCCCACTGGTTTCAGCGATTTTATCGAGAATTTTAGGCAAGTCCGCTCTTTCTCCACTAATTTTTTGGTCGACGAATAGGTGGAAACGAGGGTAAGTAGGGAGAGAAGAAGGAGAAATTTCAGCATGTTTATTGGGTTGTTTTGGGGAATTTAGGGCGATTGGGGGATAAGAAATAGAGCGGGGTCGGGTGATTTTACACTTTTTTACACATAAATATTGACCTTTACAACGTATCCATTAGTTTTGAAACATAAAAGAATTGTGCTTCAAATAATGAACAGAAAGAATTTGGGTAATGTCGTTTTTTTTTTACGAACTTTGAGATCTGAAAATATGCATTTTTTCCTCTATTTTATGCGCATTACTGAATTTGATCTATTAACGAAAAACATTCACTGAAAGTTTGAAAATTGAATGCACCTTCTCGCATCGATGTTCGCATCGATCGATTGATAAAAAAAACACAAAAAACTCGACAAAAACAATCGGAAACCCTTATTTACGCGGAGTACGGTAGGTCAAACTGAGGGTCTCGCAGCGATTGGACAAAATGTAGCGATAAACAAGATGCGCCTTTAAAGCGACAGTACTCAAGGGGTTAGCCTCTGGGAAGACAGGCAGGGCAAGGAGAAAAAAAAGAGAATGATTGTGGCAGAATGGACGGTCCGTCGGGGAGAATAGACCGCAACGCGCCCAAACATCGCACCTATTTTGATGGCCGGACAGGGACCGTTCGAGATTTTCGCACCTGTCACCGAAATCAGAGGAGTTTACGAGTGTTTTGATGGACAGATGATCACGTAGACAGACCATCGAAACACGGGTTCGTAGTTTGGACCCTACTGAGGACCATCTTTGCCGAGAACCTTTCTCTTTTCTTCTCCTTGCCCAGAATGTCTTCCCAACGGCCAACTGATGCAACGCAACGAACCGAGTGTCGTTGGCGGATTTCTTTAACTGTTCTGCTTGTCTTTCGTACTCTCTTCACGAATACTCGTTTTCATGCAATCAATTTCCACTCAAAAGCTAGGAATTCTGTGAAATTCGAATTCTATCGACTTTTCGGACACATTTCCACTTATTTGCACTTGAAGAACCTCATCCTCGAGCTTTATTGCAAAATTTCACAAGAAATTGTGCTTTGCGAACGCCCAAAACAGAATTTCGCAATTTTTCACAATGTTTTGCAAAGATGTCTTGCTATTTCGAGTGTTTTTAGTTTTGCATTCATTCTTCCATCTGCATCAATATCATTTTTGTGAGTTTTTTAGCTGAAAATTTTGAAAATCTGAAAATTTCGACGACTTTCTTGCGACTTCGCTTTCAAAATTCAACGCTTGCTTCTAGCAGTGGCCTAGAAATGCGCAACGTGCGGCCGTGGCCGACACAGCTCAAGCGAGTGTGACCGTAGCCGCGTGCGCCTTTAATGCTACTCTCACAACGAAAACGGAAAATCGCAAATTTTTTCCTTCGATTCCTAAACTTTTTCTGTATTTTTCAGCCGTTTTGCGCGATTTTTCAGCCAAATTTTGTAATCGTAAATTAAATAATTTGATTTTGAACATAAAAATGCTGTAAATTCGCGTATTTGTGCCCCAAAAAATGTCGTAGTCCTCGGATTTATAATCGATTTCTCGTTTTTCCGTTCTTATCACAGTTTTTGTTTGCAGGAAACTCCTATTTCTGGGTAGCAAGACGAAATGAGGTGAGTGATTTGACATTTTCTTGTGGAAGAACAATACTCTTACGAAATTCAGCGACCAAACGCCTAAAGATTACTGTTTTTAGACTATAATTTATAAATCTAGCAAGAAAACTGTTTTTCTCAAATTTTCATGAAACAGGAGCCTAAATTAAATTCTTTTCAGCAATCTCCGTCTGCAAAAACGTTTGGCTTCGGCCGTTTTGAAGTGCGGAAAGCACCGCGTCTGGCTTGACCCCAACGAGGTCAGCGAGATCTCCGGAGCCAACTCCCGCCAGAGCATTCGCAGACTCGTCAGCGACGGACTCATCATCCGCAAGCCAGTCACCGTTCATTCCCGTTTCCGCGCCCGCCAGTACGAGGAGGCCCGCAGAAAGGTACATTTTATTCAGAAAATACATAAATGGCAGAGTTATTGGTGTCAATTATCGAATATTTATAAAAAGAAAACAATTTTTAACCATCTCTCTTTGCAGGGACGCCACACCGGATACGGAAAGCGCCGTGGTACTGCCAACGCCCGTATGTCCGAGAAGACCCTATGGATCCGACGCATGCGCGTCCTCAGAAACCTTCTCAGAAGATACAGAGACGCCAAGAAGCTCGACAAGCACCTCTACCACGACCTGTACCTCCGCGCCAAGGGTAACAACTTTAAGAACAAGAAGACCCTCATCGAGTACATCTTCAAGAAGAAGTCCGAGAACAAGAGAGCCAAGCAGCTTTCGTACGTTTCCTTTCTATTTGTAGCTTTATTTGCGACATGGAATCCAGTTCAAAATGTTCAATTATTTTCTTTTCAGTGACCAGGCCCAGGCCAGACGTGACAAGAACAAGGAGAGCCGCAAGCGCCGTGAGGAGAGACAGGTCGTCAAGCGCGCCGAGCTTCTGCGAAAGATTTCCCAGAGCGAGAAGATCATCGCCGGAAAGTAAAAACTTTGTTGTTTTCCTCTGCAATGTCAATAAAGTTATTTGTTGGTCACTTAAAACCCTGAAGCGGATGCTCTTCTCCTGCCTCCAGAGCTGTCCGATTGCCCTCTCTAACCAAACACAAACTGTAACCATTTTCAGTCTTCCATGATACTTCCCAGGTTCACTTTTTTCTCGAAAAAATGCTTAGGATTCAGGCGGGGGAATGCGAATTGAGGCGCACCAAGTGTTCAATGTAAGCGTTCAATTGTGCGAGTTCTTCAACGTCGACCTGTCGGATCGGGGTTATTACCAGGTTTTCCCCGAGATTTTTCTGGATAATCCAGAAAAAAGCGGTTAAGGTTCGACTCAGACCCAAAAAATCGGCGGAAATTTGGTCGGTCGACATTTCACACGATTCGGATACGGATCGAGAGTACACCGGGTAAAAATCGGAGGGATTTCGAGCATTTTCAGATGTTTTCAGGCCGAAAAGACCGAATAATATCCTTTTGGCGCACGTTTATCAGGGCGCCGCCGTCAGTAGGACCGTCGAAGTGACGTATCAACACGAACAATTCAAATTGGGTACGATTATCGATTTTATGTCGAGAAGGAAAACGAGGGCGCCAAACTTTGAATTTCAAATTGACAAAAAAGGCGTTGCTGGTCTTTTTTCTGAAAAAATATCATTTTTGAAACACCCCCAACCCCCATCTCCATTTATTTTCTTTTCAGTAAGTTTCACATTTATTCCAGATGATTGGTTTCACATTTCGGTGCAATTCAACTCTACGCTCAATTTGTGTGAGCCACAAAAATTGGAAATCGAGGTGGAATTATTGTATGCTCAGATTAGTTAATTGAAAAAAAGCAATAAAAGTTTAAAGGTACATGGATCGATATCATCCGCCGCAGTACGAATCATTCCAGAAATTGACCAAACGCGTTGTGGAGGTAAAATTTATTTCAATTCTAACTCAAAAGCATTGGCAAAAGTTGCCTTCTCTCTCGTGGACGAGAAGGTGTCGGGCGGCCTGGGGTGGGTCAGCCTCAGGTATCCAAACGGCTTGGGACGGGGGGTGGTCTCGTCTCGTGGTACCAAAGGAAATGTTACATGAAACTTTATTTCGTGCAGCATCTCCCCCCGTCTCGTGGTTTCCTTCGCCGGCGTCCCAACTGTTTGGATACCTGGGTCAGCCTAAAAAAAATATTCAAAAATAATACAGTTTCAAAAAACATTTAATCGAAATATTGTTCCCTTTAAAAAGTTTGTCTCGACAAAGAAGTGGGTACTTGCAGATTCCGCTGGAGCCGACTCGCCTGGTGGCGGCCGCCCGTTCCCTCTATTTCGACTCCTCCTACATGTCCGCAATCACGATGATCGTCTACAGTAGTCTGGTTATGGTCGCCACGCGGCAAAGAAGAAACACTCCCGATACGGTAACTGAATCTTTTGTGGAAAATTTCGCGTTGATTGAGCATTGCTTGCAACAAAAAAAACAGGGGGCGAGAGAGAAACGATTTGCGTGCGACGAAGGCACAGACGCAGGCGCGAAACTGTTTTTTTTTTCAAACTTTGTGAAAGGTATTCCAGAGCACGACATCGAAGAGCACAAAATTGCGGCGAATTTACAACTCGTCCGCCCACGCACTTTTATTCGCCACCCGATCCATTCAGCAGTTTATCGTCCGAAATTCGCGTCTTCTCAACGCCAGTGTCTCTGTCGGTACGTTTATAATTTTTTTTTTTCGAATTTCTAGAAAAATCTTCCAGCTCTATTGTGCAAAAAGCAATTATTGCAGATATTGTGGACGTGGCGGCGGAAATGAAGGCCGCCCTGATGAGATTCGACACTTCCGAGCAGGCGGGACGGTGTCTGGAGACGGACGTCTCCGGATGGAGCACCAAAATCACACTCATCTTCCAGCAAATGCTCGTTTTGTTCCGAAAATCCAATGGTACATTTTTATTGAGTTTTTAACAAGACAAATTGAAAAATTTCAGAGCTCGGCCAACAACTGCTCCTCGTTTTCGATAAACAGCGTCGTGCGGTTTTCCGTGAGGCCTTCTGGCTCAACGAACGATCCATCGACGAGATTTCCTTAAGAACACCCGCTTCGGTACTTGAAGTACGCGTTTTAATTGTTTTCTTTGAATTTTCTGCATGGCTGGGCAAAAGGCCTGCCGAGGCCTGGACTTTTGCCCCACTCGCAATGATCCGATCGGACCCAAACTTTGCAGGCTTCTTGGACATGGGTTGAAGCATACTGGGACCAAGTTACAGCCCGGTCGGATTATTTTCTGTCGAGATAGGTGGATCATTCGCCGAAATTGGCCGGAAGCCCGGGCTTTTTAGAAAATGATCCATCTCGGGACCCGACGATCTGATCGAGCTGAAACTTGGTCCCAATGGCTCTCAATCCAACTCCAACAAGACTGCAAAGTGGCAGCAAAAACCAGAGTTGCCACGGGCCGGGCCGGGCCGGGCCAAAATTTTCAAAACTCCGGCCCGGTTCAAATAGCGGGAATCCAAATTTTGAACTATTGATTAAATAAAATGTTTGTTTTTCGTAGAACTAACGAATTTTGCAAGTATCGAGCATAAAAAAGAAATGTAGTTCTCAAAAATAAAATAATTTTATTGGCATCAAAGCAAAAGTAACAATTAAAAAAGAAGAAAATAATAACTTTTCCCAATAAATTTCTTACAGTTCGAAACGCTTTTTCAACGAGTTCTGTTTTTTTAAATTTTGATCCCCGCAAAAAAAAAAACGAAAAAATAGATTTCCCCCAAAAAATTGAATTCGCGCCTTTTGAGCCGGGCCGACCGGGCCGGCCCGTAATTTGGTAAGTCTGGCAAAAACGATCAACAGAACATTTGATCCTCTTGGTATAAGCTATCGAACTATATCAGTCACGGCCCATAAGGCCAACTTACCTGTTGAATACTTCCTAATATGATATTGTCAAAGTGATCTTCACAAACGTGAGAAAGAATTGCTGAAACACAATCTTTTATTGCAGACGTACAAATCGATCGTAAAAGTGGACTATTTGAAAAAATTGCCACGTACCACCATTTTTTGCGAGGAAACCGATTGTCCCGGCGAATATTGGTAGTCAAAAATCATTTTGAAACAAATGGAAAATAATTGTTTCCAGCCCAATAATTTTCGAAGACAATTTTTCGCGGCATCCCGATCGAGCGATCCTTGTGAGCAACGGAAATGTAGAGGTAAAATTGTCTGTAAATTTTTCTGAAATTCCACAAAAATTGCAGATTCCCCGACCGAACAGCGCGTCGCTCCCAGCCACCAAACCAGCCGACAAACACAAATCTTTTCGTGAAAGATTGCGAAAAGAGACGAGAAAATTGATTCATCCGCGTCGGAAGAGCCTCGATTGCTCACAATCGCTCTCCAGAAAAGTGGTGGGGGAGAAAAAGTGTGTTTCCAAGCACAAGAACATTTTTTTCAAATTTCCAGAACGTCAACGGATCCGCCTCTCGAAATCGTACAAAAACGATGGGAGAAACTGTGACGGATGGCTCTAAAAATGTGATTTTGGTCAGCAAAAATCTGGATTTTATCGGAAAATCGCCAGAAAATGCGGAAAATTCGGCAGTGAGCACGCCGAGTTTTCACAGTGAACCTACAGGTATTTTCTATAATAAATTTCCTGCATCCGATGTGTAACATGTGTTTTTATAGTGCGCCAAATTTCTTCGTGTACTTACTATTAGCTTAATGTTTTTCCTCTTTCTTTGTACCTTTTTTTCAAGATTAGGGAAATAGTCAATTAAACGTGCCGGATCGACAGCGGTGAGAATCTCAACCACGCATATTTGCACGGATCGGGACATTTCAAAGTGAATGCTCTGTTCTGTTGAGAAACCCCTCTTTTAGTGATTTCCGGGACCTAACTCAGTGTTTTTCATTTGACTCCTGGAAGAAATTTCTCGGTTTTTAATTGGCGCCGGGCTGGAGGAAATCACAATTGAAACAGAGCACACTCACTTTGAAATGTCCCCGATAGTGTATGGGGGTGACGAGCGCGACGGCGGCGACTAAAATTTAAATTAGCGCCAACGTCGATAGACATGCAGGTTATACCGTATTCGCTGCGTAGCGATTCATAAAGCGTTGCGGCGATACGTGGGCTGGCACTTTGCCAAGCTTTTTCGCAATGTAGCGCGAATGCAGCGGACATGATGCGTAATCCGCTAGTCACCCGTGATTGAGAGCTACCGAGACAGCCTATGACAGTACATAAACTCAATTAAACGCTGTTGCTCCTCGATGTTTGCAGACTCAAGCTAAAATGTATCCTAAATGTACAAAGGAAGAGTGAAATCATCATGCCATTCACAAGAAACAATTTCGCCATTGCTCGGTACAACAACACATTTTAGACAATTGATACACCGTGAAAGCGCGATAGTTGCAAATTGCGAAAATGGGACTATCAGCGGTTCTGATTCGTACCAGTTCTTTGAGCAAATTCAAAAAATAAATGTTTTGCAGGCTCGTTTCCCTCTCCAGAACACGGTAGATGCTCGGCGGCCGGAGAAGAACAAGACGCGGCTCCGTTGATCTCGAAAGAAAGTGTCACCTCTGATGAGGTACGCAATAATTGTGAAAAAAACCTAAATTCATTTCTTCCCACAATTACCGTGTCTTCCAGGTCGCAAACGCGCTGCGCATTTCCGTCTCGGCCGATGACGTACTTTCCTACGCGGATTCCACTGAAAATGGATCGATTCGACAGGAAAATGAGCAAAAATTGACGGAAGAGAATCCGAAAGAGACGATGGCGGCGTTCGAGTTGCTCCGGGAGCGGGAAGCGGCGAAAAGGATACTCCGGGAGGAGGCCCACTACGAGGGAATACTTTATAGGCTCGTTTTTCAACTTTTTATCATCGTTTTTTTCTACATTTATTTATCGATCTAAAAAAGAACAGCAAACAAGAATGTGCCATCGCCGGTTAAATTTGGGCACCATAATATGGAAGAAGGCTCGGTTGCAGCGTTCCAGGGACTTTAGATGCATGCCGCCGGAGAGATACTGCATCATGTTACCCGTTTTTGTAATAATTGTGTGTATCATGATTTAAACTCGTGAGCAGCAACAAGAAACTCGCAGAAATGTCTATGGGTCACTGCCAAAACAGTTTTTTTTTCGAGGCATGGCTGCTCGCGCGTACTTTTTGTGTCTCCCTGTTAGTTTACATCATAATGAACTAATTCCCAAAACAAAAAGTGAAATGAATCAGTATCCTTCCGATGGCACGCATGAATGAGTTCATTATGATCTAAACTAACAAAGAAACACAAAAAGAGCGTACGAGAAGCCATGCCTCGAAAAAAGCTGTTTTGACAGTGATCCCTAGACATTTCTGCGAGTTTCCATTATAATGAACTGGATAAATCAGTACTCTTCCGACGGCACGTATCTGAAGTCTTGGCGCGCGGAAAAATGCGCCGACAGTTCACGGGACGGGGGCCGAATTTTTGTGAATTGAGCAGGTTTTCTCTGATTTTTGTGCTCAAAGGCAATGAAAAATGATTGTTCGACATGAATACACACTAATTCTCACAGAATTAATGACGTTTTGGCGCTCTTTTTTCGCGGACTTTGCTTTTTCGCCTTCGCCGCCTATCGCCGCCTAAAAACCGCACTTCTCATTTTGCGCTTTCTTGACCGTTTTCAGACAGAATTTGTTTTGAGAATGATAAATCACGTAAATACAAGCATTTTGAGCGCTCGAACCGCGAAAATTACCGAAAAGCAACTGAAATTCACGCAGTTTTAGCCAAAAACCTTCAAACGGATAAATGTTATTTGCGACTTGACCAAAATTAACGCTGTTGCGCTTAAGAAATTTGTAATAGCCTATACAATCGGTCTATCGAGAAAAAAATGAGAAATTATCGGTTTTTCGTGGCTAATCTGGCAAAAAACACAAATTTCGCTGTTAAAATTTGAATTTCGCGCCAATGTATCGCTCTATTGGGCGGGGCGCACTTGCGCCCACTGTCAGCTCTGGAGACCGTGAGTCACCGTGCGAACTACTGATTAAAAGAATTTTTGAAAAGTTTGAAACTGAAAATGTTTACAAAAATTCTAATTTCTCCCTATTTTTGCAGTGAAATCCCGTCGAAATCGATGCACAGACCCGTTTTCACGCCCGTGAATTCTCGTCTGGTTCTCGGTGAGCCCGCGCATCGGACCCCGTTCGATCGGGCGCACTTGGTGGTGTTCGTGCACGGATTGGAAGGTACATTTGCTTTTACAGCAACAAGAAAAGCCACCTCTCATTAGGCACCCAAGACGACCTGGTGCCATTCCGATGCGGCCTTGATCAGGCCATCTCGGCCCACTACCACAGCCTGCAAATGAACGAAACGGACGAGGAGAGGGGCGAGAGATGGCACTTCGAGTACCTGATGAGCAGTACGAATCGAAGCCAGACGTGGGCCGACATCAAGACTATGGCACACAATTTACTCGCAGAAGTCAGGGAGTACGTCGAGGAGTCGAGGCATAACGTGCTCAGAATTAGGTGCGCTTTTTTTACGGCGAACATTTGGAGTTGTTCCTAAACGTTCCGATCCTGGAAGAAGAACTGAATTTTTAGGCCAGGACCGGGGAAAGTTCCTTTAGAGGTTACTTCAAGAAAAGCAAAAGACAGAGGAAAACAAATCAATCATATCAATTCAGTTTCATGGCCCATTCGCTGGGCGGCGTAATCGTGCGAAGTGCGGTCGGAATGGCTGCCGAAATGGGAATGGAGTGGCTGAATGACCGATTGCACACCCTCATGACTATAAATTCGCCGCACTTGGGCCTCGCCTACGTCCAAAAACACATTCATTGGGGAGTTCAGATCGTCAAATGGTTTGTCACGCTTTTTTTTGTGGGGGATTCTTGACAATAGTACAATTTTTCTGATTCAAATAATGTAGAATAATTACGGATTGCAAAATTTCCACAATGGCTCTGCTTTAATAAATCATATTGGGTTAAATTTCCATACCCTCTGCGAAAAACCAGGGCTGGGCAATTGGACGACCCGGGCATTTCGTTGTCCGGCCCTTGACCTGGACTTTTGAATCACTTGCAATTATCCGATCGGACCCAAACATTGCAGGATTGTTGGAGTCGGATTGAGGGCCATTGGGACCAAGTTTCAGCCCGATCGGATCGTCAGGTCCCGAGATATGTGGATCATTGGCCGATTTTTTCCAAAAAGCCCGGGCTTCCGGCCAATTTCGCCCAATGATTCACATATCTCGGGCCCAAAAAATCCGATCGGGCTGAAACTCAAAAATTGCCCGGCCCTGGAAAAAAACGGAAAAATGTTTTGTGCAGGTGGAAAAAGTCGCGTTCGATGGAGCAGCTCACTTTCCGCGACTCGCTCAACTTCGGCTCCTCGTTTGTCTATCAGGCGTCGGTGAACGGAGCATGCGGCAAATTTCGACACGTTTTGTTGGTGGGAACGCCTCGTGAGTCGTTTTTGGGTGGAACTTACAAAGATGTCGAATTTATCGCCCAATTTATCAGACGATCAACTCGTTCCGTACATGTCGGCGCTGCTGGTTCCATCGAAAAACTCGGCCGAAGATCAATCGGCATTCGGAGAGGCTTACCGGTATCTTTTTTCTTTGAATTGTTTTCTGTTTCTATCTTTTCTTAATCAAACTATATTTAAAATTCAACAATAATCGTGCCACATTTTTCAGAGAAATGATGTCGGCGATTCTGAATTCGATGCGAACGAGCGAAAAAACGGAAACGCTCGTCCGATACACCACTTTCCATCAACTCGGTTCCTCGAATTCGCAGAAATTGACTGGGAGAGCCGGTAATGCTGAAAATAACATTTTTCGGCGCTGTCCGGGAAGAATGAACCGAAGAGAAGGTGGTCCCACAGTGTTAGATACAATATGTGACAAATTTGTCCAGGTTCACTCTCTTTACACTTTATTAATTTTCCTACCTTCGAAATATATTAGAATCCTGACTTTGTAGAAAAACCATTATGAATTTCCAGAAACGTTGAATATGTTTGAGATTTATGATCCCTGTGAGTAGAGACTAACTATCGAAGTAATGAAAGTAGGGATCATGTAACATAGAATAAGAGTGAAACTGGACAAATTTTGCTGTTTCGTATTACCACCACATTCCGTTCTTTCTGGACAGAGCCAATTTTTCTTTATTCACGATATGTTGATTTTCACACAATTTTATTGATGAGACAACAATGAGGCAACATTTTTAAACACAAAATGAACTTGATTCTCACCGAGGGCACGCATGAGCAGCCGCTGGTTTTGTGAATGTTTTGTTGCTGCTTGTCAATTTCAATCGCCATGAACACACTCGCGATGAGAACGGAAAAGATGAATCAGTATTTGACCGGCGGCGCGCGGACACGAGCAGACGACAGTTCCCGGTTCTGCTATGTTCACTGGAGCGCACTCGCAAAATACGAGCAAAAAATCAATGCCCTCAACCTGCTATTCGAAGAATCGAAGAATAGCAGATTGAGAGCTTTGCACGTGTTCTCTTTGTTCCCTCTAGTATTTACTTCTCCCCGGAGGCGTCCTTTAAATAAATAAAAGTTTCAGCGCACGTGGCAGCTCTGGAAGACCCCGTGTTCATCGAAAAACTCTTCAACATCTCGGCCGTCAATTATTTTGTATAGAAACATTTCCCTTTTTTTATTTCAATGGTTTTCCCCCCGAAATGGTGTGTGTATAATGTTTTTGGAGAAAAATAATCATTCCCTTCTTTTTCCTCTCATTTTTCGCCTGCCGATCCTAACACATTCCTCCGGCCATATCCATTCCTGCTTTTTTTTAAATTTTTCTGTAACAGAAAATTAATTGATTCTCTGTTTCTTTATTATTTAATATTATGCGGTCCCACTAGAAGTCATCACACAGTAATAAAACAAATTCCTAGAATAGTTTACCGTAATTTTTATGGTTGTACACCTATTTTCTATCGATTTTCATTGAATTCCTGTGAGAAAATGGTTAATTTTGCATTAAACATTGTTTGCAGATGGAAAACATCGGAGGTGTCCTTTCAGCGTGGAAAAAGAAGAAGAAACGGTTGCGGATCGGAAAAAACGGCAAAAAATGTACGTAGAAACAGTAAACAAATAGTGTGTGAGATATTGATATCATCGGATAGAGCGTGAAAAGTTATAGACAAGTCCAGCACGTCATTGCTCCCAGAAATCGCTTTTAGGGCCAGATTTGAAGCCTCAAAGTACCTCGCCTTACTTTTCTATTTGCTTTGTAATTACTGTTTAAAAAGATGCTCAGAACTCGGAAATAACACAGCGAAAAAGTGAAGCAAAGTACGTTTGAGGCCTAAAATCTGGTCATAAAAGTGATTTTTGGGAAACAATGATGTACTGGACTCGTGTGGAACGTTCTATGTCACACACGAATTTTTAGTGACAGGCCTGTTCTTTAAAGAAGAAAATTCCAGTGAAAATGCGCCAAAAATCGAAAAAACCGGTGAAAAACGGTGAGATCAACGGGACAAATGGCCGAAAATCCGGTGGACAAGAGGCGAATTTATTGGAGTTTCGAACGAAGAAAAAGCTGAAAAAAAAGATGAGATTGGTGCGGAAATTGGACAATTCGACAGTCTTGACGGTCACCGAAACGGGCGAGGAACGCACGATCAAACTGATCAACGGCGGCATTGCGATGTGGAAAAAAAAGGAGAAAACGGCGGACGAAGCAGCGATCAAATCGCCAAAATCTGCCACGTCATCACCGTCTTCGTCAACGCTCAAATTGTCGCCCGGAAAAATGGTAATTGAAGTGAATTTGCATTTTTAGAGTTGTTTTTCTTCAGGTCCCAATTCCAGTCGGAAAATCGCCGAAATCGGCGCCAGCCAGCACATTTTCAACGCCGAAAAAAGAAAAGATTCAAAATTCCATCGAACGGTCCCGAAAAACGTCAGAATCCACCAAAACACCAGAAAAAAATGGTGAAAGGTTGATTGAGAATTTCGAAAAATTCACACGGCCCCAACTGCCGATTGATATTGTCGAACAACAATTGATGTACGAACTGGCCACCCAACAGACGCTCATTATCATCGGAGAGACCGGATCCGGAAAATCGACACAAGTACCGCAGGTATAAACTTTTCTCGGTATTTTTAGGAGCAGACATTCACCAGACATGTTTCATTGACTCGTTGAAAAAGCAGAATAATGTTTCAGTTGTGCGTCCGTGCGGGTCTCGCCGAAAACGGAGCGATTGCGGTGACGGAGCCGCGGAGAGTGGCGGCAGTGTCCCTCGCGACCCGTGTCGCCCTCGAAATGGGTACCAACATTGCCGGAAAGGTCTACCATTGGAAACGATCCATTTTTTTGAGCACAAATGTTTACAGGTCGGATATCACGTTCGATTTGAGAACGCGACGAGTCAGCACACAAAAATCGAGTACATGACGGATGGAATTGTGCTCAGGTTTCCCCTTTTTCACTTTTTTGCCGGGGATGCGCGAAATCTGGCCGGCATCGGGATTTTTTGTAACTTTAGTAACCTGCCAGATCTCGGCGATCGGTGGCTCCGACGCTCGGCTTCGTGTGCCGCCGCCCACATCTGAAAAAAATTGTTTGAAAGTTTAAAACCCTTTTTTTTTCAGAAAAGCCCTAATTCGGCCACTTTTGGAGCAATACTCGACGGTAATAATCGACGAGGCGCACGAACGGAGTCTCCACTCGGACGTGCTCATGTGCATTCTGAAAAAGTGTCAGGAGCAGCGGAAAGACACTGAAACCCCGCTCAGATTGATTATTATGTCCGCCACGTTACAGGTTTTCATTATCGATTTGAAAAGACAAAGATTAATAGTATAAGGTCGAACCTGTTTTTGAATATAAAAACTTGCACGGTGAGATGAAGCGGTTGTGCTGCAAGTGCGCGCGAAACTAGCGATTTTTGCAGCGAAATTCAAGGTTTATTTTCGCGAATACGCTTCAGCACGCCGTGACATTTCCGTTTCAAAATACCCTTTTACACTTTGAGAACTAATGAGGTTCAGTCGATTGATAAATTTACTCGAAATTAAAAAAAAAATCTGAAAGACCAGGGAACCCTCCGAGTACATGTGTCTATCTTCTGAATAGCCTCTTATTGCCACATTCACTGTCCCAGTCCCAGCTCTCAAAAATGCGTGTTAATGGGATCTCTTCCGGGTTTTTTTTGCATTCGGCACAATCCTCAGACAAAAACGACTATATTTGCAGGCCGACAAATTCAAATCGTACTTTAACAACGCAAAAGTGGTGCTGGTGGCCGGCCGAACATTTCCTATTGAGGTGAATAGTTTTTCCCATTTATATTAGCTTTACAAGCTTGCTCCCCGGCTCGCATATCTATTCGCTCGGCCTTGGACCTCGATGATCGCATGTCAACGCGAAGAGCAGCAGATTTCTTTCTATTGTGATGAGCGGACATCCAAAAAGACAAACAGACAGACAGACGTCTCTTGTTTTTTATATATAATAAGAAAGATTTCTCAATTCTGGTCTCATACTTTAGTTATTTTCAGGTGATGCACATTGAGCCAAAACGTGACAAATCGTTTTCGGCCACCGATTACATCTACAATACGGTCGTGTGCGTCAAACATTTGCATTTGACCGAGCCGAAAGGGTAAGGAATTGGAGAATTGAGCCTATCGAAAATCAAGTACAATTAGCAAGTGTTCAGGCACGATATTCTGGTATTTCTGACGGGCAGCGAGGAAATCGAGTCGGTGGCGGGGCAGCTCGCCGAGCTCAACGCCTTCTTCCCCGCTTCGGCGGACGTTCTCATGCCGGTGCCACTCTACGCGGCTCTGCGGCCCGAAAAACAGAAGGAGGCGTTCCGTAAAACACCACAGGTACGGTTTTTTTTAAGCATTTTTCCTGATTTCCTGATTTTGGAGTGATTTTGTACATACATTTAATTATCAAAGAACATTTGGAACTGAACTTGTGCAAAACAAATTTTTAATTGTTTCAGGGCGCCCGAAAAGTGATCATTTCGACAAATATCGCCGAGACGTCGGTCACGATTCCCGGAATTCGGATCGTCGTCGATTCTGGAAAAGTGAAGACAAAGTCAGTTTATTTTTTACGCGGCCTGAGCGGAATAGTGCTTGAAACGGAAAAAAAACACAATTTTCCAGACGCTACGACGCATCGGATCGAATCGACGTGCTCAAAGTGCACAATGTGAGCAAGGCGCAGGCGAAACAGAGGGCCGGAAGAGCCGGAAGAGATGCGCCCGGAAAGTGCTACAGGTCGGTGCAAGAATACGATTTTTCGCGACTTTTTCAGTCGACAAATGTTCTATTTGAAAGTTGGTTTACGAGCGAAAACGAGCCTAGAACGTAGTGTACTTTTCCACCTTTTCTACCTTATCAATCTTTTCGCCTCTCGCATTTTTTATCGCTGGAAATATTGGCGCTTTTGTTGGTTTCCCACAAACTGAAATTCCGCGCATTTTTTCTGCTGAAAACCCAGGCGAAACAATGATGTTTTTGAAAAAGTTTTTGAAGAGGTGAGTTTTGTTTTCACTTATCAAAACGCTTGCCAATGTTTTTTAATTAAAAATGTGTTTGTGTTCCAGACTGTACTCGCGTGAGGACTTCAAAAATTTCGAGGCCGAAAACATGCCGGAGATCCTTCGCTGCAACCTTTCCGCCACTTTTCTCGAATTGATAAAGCTCGGAATGAAGAATCCGCACAAATTGGCGCTCATCGACCGTCCAGAGCCCAAGAATATCGACGCCGCACTTTTGGAGCTCACGGTGAACTTTTTTTGGAGTTTTTACTTAAGTGTTGCCAAAGAATCGAATAGCAAAGCTCCAAGAATTTGTGGAAAACAATAAAATGAATGTTGTTTTGCAGTCGCTCGGAGCAATCCGTCCGGTCAGTTTGCAACGCAGCTTGTTCGTGCTGACCGACATCGGAAACGTCTTCTGCATGTATCCATTACCGCCCGATCACGCCAGGTACGCTTTTTTCCGTATGCATGGACCCTTTTTGTGTCCCAGTTTGTCTAGATTTGTAGGTAGCTTAGCTAGCTTTGAAACATGTAAAAACCAACTGTTTCAAAAAATTGCAGAATACTGTACACGGCTCAAAAGGAGGGCTGCATAATGGAGGCGATAAAAATCGTGGCGGCGATGCAGACGGACGCCCTCTTCTCGGGCGCGCACAGCGATTCGCAGAGCGAGGCCGAAGTGGAGAGGGCGCGGAAACGGTTCGAGACGCGCGAGGGCGATCATCTCAGCCTGCTCAACCTCGTCCTCGCCTCCAACGTCTTTTTTGAACAGGTTTGAACGCCCTTCTTTTTGTTTTGGAAATTTTTAGGGTTTTTTTGAAATGGAGTACTGAAAGTGGCTCAAAACTACTCAATATCAATAAATACGAAGCATGCAGAGTTTTTTTGCTAGCCGACGTTTCGCAACTCTTTGTTTTGAAACCGCAACGTGTCGATCGATACCCACGTGAACTTTGACAGTAAAGTAGTTCACGTTTGTTGCGAAGTGTCGCGGTTTCGAAACGTCTCTTAGAATGTTTGTTTGCAGCTGAACAAAAAGACGCAAACGGACGAGAGATTCGGAAAAGGCACTAGAACGCTGGAGAAAGAGTACAACTCGGCGATCAGGGTAAGTCTTCTTTTTCCAAATTAAAACATGAACTGTTTTTTCGATGTGCCACTTTCAGAAGTACTGTAACGACAATATGATCAACGAGCAACACCTCAAAACGGCGTCGTTAATCGAAGAACAACTGAAAGAGATTGCGATCGAACAGAAAGTGCCCTTCTCCACGTGCGGAGCCGATTTTACCAAGTTGAGGTGAGATTTGGAATTGTTTTAAGACATTATTTCTAGGAAATCAAGTATTGATGAAAGAGTAAAATGTTTATTTCAACACTATTTTTTACAGTTTCACGAGCGCACGCGATCTTTTTCACTTCTTGTCCCGCCGCACTCTAGCCGAGAGAGAGAGAGTGTGTGTGCGGCAAGAGGTGAAAATGCACAACCGCCGTCCAACTCTGCTCTCAACAATCTTATTGCTCATTTGTTTTTTTCTTCTTTTAAACGAAAATTTTGCAGAAAATGTCTGGCACAGGGACTGTTTCTGAACAGTTGCGAATATAATCGACAAGAGGATCGATATCAACTGATGATCAATCCGGCGATCACCATGAAAATTCACCCGTCTTCCGTGCTTTCCAGAGTAATTTTTCAGCTTTTTTAGAAAAAAGGCTTGCCGAGGCCTGCCGACTTTTGGCCACCCACTTTCAAGGATCCGATCGGGCCCACACTTTGCAGGCTATTTGGTCTTGGATGGAAGTATGTTGGGTCCAAGCTTCAGACCGATCCGATCATCCGATCCATTTATCTCGGGACCGGATACTCGGATCGGGCTGAAACTCGGGCCCAGCATATTTCAATCCAAGTCCAAGAAGCCTGCAAAGTTCGGGTCCGATCGGATGATTGCAAATGGGTCAAAAGTCCAGGCCTCGGCAAGCCTTCAAAAAGCCTGGGCCAAATTTACCCAGTTCTCTGAAATTGTTCAGATAAATCAATATTTTTTGCAGTCTAAACCCGCCTACATTGTGTTCTCGGAGCTGATGAAAACCAATGATCTCTATGCTTTGTGAGTTTTGAGCCGTTCCTCCTCGAAAAGTGTAAAGTCGTGGGGTGGGGTATACTTTTTACGCTGCCAAAATTTCGATTTTCCGACTGGGCCGCCGTAAATTTTGTGCAGTTTTCATGGAATCTTGCACCCCGGGCGGTCATTTTAAATTCTGAATCGAATGGCATTCGCCGTTTTTTTGATAGAACTCTTCTAGTTCTTCTAAGCGCACTGTAAAGCATTTTCCCAATATAATTTGTTTCAGACAAGTCTCGCTGATCGACGGCGACTGGGTGCGTCCGCTGATTGCGGAGCACAAGAAAATGCGCAAAAACCACCTGGCGGAAAGTGCGCAACGTGTCCGTGAACAGGCACATTTCGAGCCGAAATGCAAAAAATCGAGGCTGGAAGGATCCTGTTAATATCTGTTACTGTTTCTCGAATTTTCCCGATTTCTTGTTTTCTGTTATCACTTTTCTCCCTGTTTTCCCCATTTCTTTCTCTTGCTCACTCATCACTTTTTTTTTACCAAATTTCTTCTTAATTTGTTCGGTCCCCTACCTCTTTTATTATTACCATTGCTTCTCCTGAAATCTCATTGTTTGAAATTTGAAAACCGTTTATTTTTTTTGGGTTTGTTTCTCGGTATTTTCATGCTATTTTTGTGTTTGTGAAAAGCGGAATCGCGCGGAAGAAAGGCTTTTTTTGAAATTGTTTCGGGAACCGTGATCCGAGCAGGTACCTAAAATTCTTCTTGGGTGTCACTGTGCCACTCTAACTCGTCTTAATTTTAAAATAATTTTCGCAAACGGATAAATTTCTCTCTCTCAGTTTGCTCGGTGATTCTCTCAAAAAATCGGCCGAGTGCGGCGGCGATCAATCTCTCGAATTTATCAGTTCCTTCCTCCGTTTTATTCGGGCCCAAAATGAACAGCTGTCTGCTTTTTTCGCCCGCCGAAATGCTCCGATCTCTCTGTGTTTTATTCTCGATATCACACCTGGTTCATGAAAATGAAAAAAAAAGAAGCAAGAATGAGAGAAAGAGCTGTTTTGCTCTCGCGAAAACCTTTTTATCACCTCATTTGTTGTTCTTTTGTCGCATTTTTTTTGGATGTTGTTTCTTGCACTATGCTGATCTGAAGAATGTGTCGAATGCAAAAACGATCCCGTGGCCTAGGAGTTTTTCTAGGCCACGGCCACGACCTTAACGCTCGAGAACTTGAGCCACAACTCGAAGGGGAATTTTTATAGAAAATAATCGTCAACTACAAAGTTGATCAGCGTAACATTCACTTCAACTTTTCAGTTCATCACTTCCCTCAACAATTTTTCGTTCTCGAGATACGGCCTTCTGAAACTAGAAGGGCAAAACAGTGCTGTATCTCGGGAACCAATAAAGATTCCGAAAATGTGTCAACTGAAAAAACATTCCCGAAGACATTATGCATCGTTTTTCAGTTGACAACTTTCTCGTAATCTCGCTAGTTTTTGTGATACAACCCTAAAAACGATCGCTTTCCCTTTCAATTTGTGCCTATCATATCGTATTCCTTCTCCCCCCTCCTCTTCCGGTTTCACATTTATTTCTCATTTTTATGACACCCCTACACGGCATTTCACGACGACACGAACCTTTGCAATTTGACCCCCCCCCTTTTCCTTGATTTTCCGGCCTTTTTTGTTCTTTGTGCTCGTTCAGTGAAAGCTTCAGAGCACAATTTCGAGATTTTTCATTTTTCTCGCCGTTGCGCGCATATCAAACGTTTATAGCGCCAGTAAAATGATCAAAAATGTTCAACGACTACTGAGAGTCATGGCGATTTCTGAAAAAAAAAAGTGTTCGTGTTCTCGTCGGCCGACACCAATTTTTGTGTCACATTACATTTTATGAGCCCTTTTGTACATGATCTTGTACAAACTTTTCATGGGAATCAATCGTGGAATTGGTTTCCGGATACTTGATGTTGGTTCTTGTGCGATCGGTTTAACCGTCGTTCCAACCGCTTCTCTTTTCTGTTCTCCGATCAGCGTTGAGCGGAAGAACTCAACGGAAGAACTCACGGAAGAATTTTTATCTTTTTTAGAAAATTTTTTCATGAAATGTGATCAACTGACGAAATGTGAAGCAAAGTGAACTGTGCGCATAGAAAAATAATTGGAAATTTAGCTTTTCATACAAAAAAGTTATTCGAGTTGTTCCCGTGAAAAAGGGGGCTAACGGGGAAGACGGAAGGAATAACTTTTTTGTATGAAGCGCTAAATTTACAATTATTTTTCTATGCGCACAGTTCACTTTGCTTCACATTTCGTCAGTTGATCACATTTCATGAAAAAATTTTCTAAAAAAGATAAAAAAAATTCTTCCGTGTTCTTCCTGTCACTCCTTCTTGGTTGCTTCTTGCCACGTGTCCTGGCCATCCAGACTTCCTCTCGTTGCGAGACCCGCATTCCTCCTCGATTTCTCGCGTCCGGGCCAGTTTTTCGGTGCAATTCGGCGCTCATCAAAACGGCGCCGAAAAGTGTCACTTTGGATTACTGTACACGCGTGGACACTCATCCAGAAAGCCTGTGAAAAACATTCATCTCCAAAACACACCGACACTATTTCATTCCATTTTTTTTTAGGCCAGAACACTCGATTTTTCCAGAATTTTCTATACACATTTCAGTGATTTATCCTATATTTCCATATCATTTCACTTCTTTCTCACTTCTTTGCTTATTCTTTTATATTGAAAAAATGCTGGTGGTGCCATGTCATTTTTCGGGTTTCTTTTTCAAAAAAATCTGAAACATTGGACGAGTCCACGAGGGATTACTGTAAAAAATTGCCTAACACTAAAGTTTCCAGACGAAACCTGTCAGAGACTGTCAAAAAAAAAACATTTATATTATTATTATTATTATAGGCCACCAAAGAAACTTTCAAACAAAAAAAAAGAGGGCGTCAGACGGTGAGACGGAAATAAAACCGGTCGAAACGGGCACGCGAAGACCATGCGGTTTTGTTTTTGTGCTTTTTGGCCAAAAAAAAAGAGTAGTCTGTTCTCGAATTAATTTTGATTGGCATTCTTCTAAAAAACCTATTGTTTTAGTGAAGAAACGTCACGGCGCGGCGATTTCTGTGAAAAGTTACAGTTTCACAAATTCCCCGTATACTATGCCGGCCCGTGTACTCCGATAATCTGGAGTCCGTCTGGGTGTCCGTTTTCTCTGTTCCACACACAGTCATGTTCCAAAGTTCAAAATGTGCACACCACAATTTTGAACGAAAAAACAAGACGAAAAATCAAAAAATGCTGATAACACAACACCTTTTGATAAAGAACTGCCTGACCACGAGACAGTGCGCTGATACGATTATTCATTTTGGACTACTATACTATTTGTCCGTCTCAAATTGCCTTAATTTGATTTCAAAAATTTATAGCAAAAATGGGGATAAATTTGGGACAAGCGGTCAAGGATTTCATTCTCAAAGGCGTAAGTTTTTGTCGATTGTTACAGATCCACTTGCAAGCAGAGTTGAGCGGAAGAACTCAACAGATGAATTTTTATCTTTTTTAGAAAATTTTTTCATGGAAAGTGATCAACTGACGAAATGTATAGCAAAGTGAACTGTGCTCATAGAAAAATAATTGTAAATTTAGCGCTTCACACAAAAAAGTTATTCCTTCCGTCTTCCGTTAGCCCTCCTTTTTTCACGGAACAACTCGAATAACTTTTTTGTATGAAAAGTTAAATTTACAATTATTTTTCTATGAGCACAGTTCACTTTGCTATACATTTCGTCAGTTGTGCACATTTCATGAAAAAATTTTCTAAAAAAGATACAAATTCTTCCGCGCAACTCTGCTTGCAATGATCGGTTCGAGACCAAACTTTGCAGGCCTCTTGGACTTGGATTGAGGGCCATTGGGTCCAAGTTTCAGGCCGATCAGATCGGATAGACTCGGCCAATGATCCATATACTTTTCGGGATTTGAACAAAAACCCAAAAATGACATGGCATCATTCTCGAAAATTCCTGTAAATTCCTACACACACACACACTTCCAGCCGGTCCCCGTAGCCGTTTCCTCGGCGCCCACACATTCGCCGGTTCCGAGTGCATGGACGAGCTTCGAGTCTGGCCACGCCCCTTTTTTGCGTGTTTTCTCTATTGACCAACAGGTTCGTGCACTTTTTTGCAGCTTTTCAATTTTAGGCCCCAAATTTCTTCTTCAATTATTTTGAAAAATAGAGAAAAGAAGAGGAGACGAAGGTGGCGGAAAACCAAGAAGAAGAAGAAGAAGAAGCTTGCTCAACTAGAAGCCCCGCCCCGTTTTGCTGCTCCGCCGCGCCAACGAGCGCCCGAAAGCACACGGAAACGCGCGACGATCGAGTGAAGAGCAAACGAACGAGCAAACGAGGTAGAGGAGAAGAAGAAGACGAGATGGGCGAGCAAAATGGTGGCACCAACGGATCCACCAATCATGTACTGCTCGTAAGTGAAATTTGAAAAATTAAAAATTTTTGAAACCGACACTTTGAAACAGTAAAACTTCATTTCACTAGGGAGGTAGCTCATCGAAAAACTTGGAAAATTTCAATTTTGAAGTGAACCTTTTTTGAAACAGGAAACATTGATAAATCCTTTTAAAAATCTCACTTTTCAGATGGAAAAACCGGAGAAACTCGAGCCGAGAGTATTCAAAAAACGTTGGCTCATTCTCGCGATTTTCATGTTTCTATCCGGATCGAACGGAGCCCAATGGATACAATATTCGATTATTGCCAACATTATTTCCGATTATTATGGAGTCTCGTTAGTTGTTGTTTTTCTCCTTTTTTTCCATTACACCTGAAAATGTGGTTAAATGTTTTCACTGCAAACATTTTCTGTATTGTCCGTTTCAGATTTCAAGCCGTCGACTGGACTTCAATGATCTACATGCTCACTTATATATTTTTCTTCATTCCAGCCGCGTGAGTTTTTTCGTTTTCTTTCTACTATTCACAAAGAAATCGCTAATCGCTTGTGTTTTGCTTCGAATTTGAAAAAATTAGCTAAACTTGTTGAAAAATCGATTGATTAAGACGAAAAAGTGGTCAAATCAAACACAAAAACAGAGTTTTTCTTGCCTGAAATTCTAGAATTCGTGCGAGTGTTCGCCGATTCGGTGGGTCTCGCACGGAGCGAAACTTCTCAAGCGGGAGTTGTGCGCCTTTAAATTCGAAGCGGGATATGGTAGATCACATTTTTTCTCCGTGTTCTGACATAAAAATGCCGATTTCTGACGATTAACAAAGAGAGAATTGCATGTAAGCCGTTTTCAGTTCATTTTGTCAATATTTGTAATAGAAAGCCGTCTGAAATCGGCTCTTTTGTCAGAATTTTTTTAGATTAAGCCACGTGTGCGCAAAGGTGTCAATTTTGACATACTGTTGAAAAATCAAAGTGGAACAGTGTAGTAATATCATAATCTGTCTGAAAAAATGTATTATTTCGACCATTGACCTCACTTCTGTTCCGTTGTTTCGTCGTTTCTCTGCGTCTCTCACTCTTTCTCTCCGCGACAGTTTACAAGCAGCTTTTGACGTGTAAATACGGGCAGTACACGCGAAAAAAAGAGGGAAAAAGTGAGTCAACAGTATATAAATACAATGGATATTGTCGTCTTCTTCTTCTTCTTCTTTTTCGCTGGTAAATTTGTTAATTTGAAGAGTTTTCGAGCGGAAGACAGAAAGATCAAGTGAGAAGGGGATAAGTCTGCGGGGGCGCGCACAGACTTTACTTTCTTCTGACCCCATCAATTGGGGGGGATTCATTTCTATTTTTTTTACTGTTTTCCAGATGGCTCCTCGACAAGTGGGGCCTCCGTTTATCCGTACTTTTGGGAGCGCTCGGGAATTGTGTCGGCGCGTGGATCAAACTGATGTCAACCCATCCAGGTACCCAAACATTTATGACGTACTTGCGCTGTAACAGTGTATTTTATGAGCTGTTTCACGATTCGACAAAAACATTGCAGACTCGTTCTGGGTGACATTTCTGGGTCAGACTATTGTCGGAGCGTCCCAAATGTTTACACTGGGCATTCCGCCGCGATTGGCCGCCGTCTGGTTCGGTCCTGATGAGGTTTCCAGGGCGTGCGCACTCGGCGTCTTTGGAAATCAGCTCGGAATCGCCGTCGGATTCGTTCTGCCGCCCATGATTGTCTCGAATGGAACTGTCGATCACATCACCTACGATCTGAATACTCTTTTTTTGGGATCCGCCGTATTGAACACTGTCATTTTGGCATTGGTTGTTTGTTGTGAGTTCACTCCACTCTTTTCTGGGTTTATCTCAATAACTAACAGGGTTGGCAATGTTGTTGAGCGCAAAATTTTCTATCGGTTGGCGTATTTGATGGCCTTTGCAAATTTTCCGGTTCTAGAAGTGATTTGAAAAGAATTGATATACCCACCATATTGCTCATTTTTGGGGTAATTTTGTTTGAGGCCTACTTTTTCATTTTCAGCCCGGCCCGAAAAGCCCGTATATAATATCTTAGCAAATTGTGATTAAAAAACATTTCAGTCTTCACGGCCCGACCGTCAGTCCCACCAAGTTTGGCCCAATTGACGGCCCAAGAGGAGAAAACGTTCGACAACAATTTCTGGGCCACTTTGCGCAATTTGATGACTTCTCGTGACTTTGTCATTCTTTTTATTACCTATGGTACGTATTTTTTTTGGGGCCTATAATTTTTTGTGAGGTACAAGGTGTCAAAACACACATAAAATCAGTGGAGAAAAAGATGAGGACGCAATTAAAAGTGTAATAACAAATGATGTGTCGGGGCGAGGCGTCAGGAGGGACTGTGACGCTCGATGATCGATTTGATTGGTCCCGCTTGCACATTAAACCTACCCGAAAATCACATCAAACATGACGAGACATTATGTCTTGGTCCCCTCGAAATGACGAAAAATTAAAGTTGAGGGGTTGAGATTTTGGTTTTTTGAAATTTTCTCCAAAACTAGAAGAGATAGGCGCGAGTGTCAAGAGAGAAAAATGTTCGCCATAAAATTTCCTATCGATTGGTATATAACATGGGTTAATTGAAAACTAGAAGTCGATTTTCCGAACAAAATTTTCAGGCATCAACACTGGCGTCTTTTATGCCATTTCTACGCTTCTCTCGCAAATGGTTTTGAGCGTTTATCCAACGGTAATTGATTTTTCGACAAAATTTTGAAAGAAAAGCAAAACATTGTTTTAGGAAACCGTAGCAGTCGGTCAAGTCGGACTAGTGATTGTGGTGGCCGGAATGGCGGGATCTGTGGCCGGCGGATTCCTTTTGGACAAATTCAAAAAGTTCAAATTAACCACAATCCTCATTTATCTCTTCTCGTTCATCGGAATGCTCTCCTTCACGCTCACTATCGATTTGGACTCGATGACGCTCGTTTTCATCAATGCCGCACTTTTGGGGTACGCTGGGATCACTCTAGTTTTCGGGAACTCTTGGATCGCGAATCACTTGTAATGAAAAACTGATGAAAGTGTTTTTTACAGTTTCAAAGACACTTTTTAAGAAATTGAAATGTAATGTGATGGATGAGCGAGTTCTTATAAGGATGTTTGTTTTCCGTTTTTTTTTTTTCGTTTTTTTACATCGCTGAATTGGATTTTTTGACGTAAAAAAACGGAAAAAGCGGAAAACAATAATTTTTTTCACAGCCTGAATAACCCCAATACAATTTTCAGATTTTTCATGACCGGATACTTGCCGATCGGATTCGAATTCGCCGCCGAAATCACTTATCCGGCCGCCGAAGGGACCACTAGCGGCCTTCTGAACGCCAGTGCTCAGGTTTCAAATTTCAGCAAATTCGGTTCAAATGTTACTTAATTTGATCTTTTGCCCCCATTTTGAACACAAAAGAATGGAAAGTAAAACGGAAGTAATTGTGCACAGCATTTTGTCCTAAAATGCTCAATTTTGCGGTCAAAGGTGCACATTATTCAGAAAAATATAAGTTTGGTGTTTCTTTTGTCCGCAAGCGGCTTTGAATGGAAAATGTTGCGAAAAACAATTTTTTCGAGGGATATTTAGGTGGAAAATGCGTTTTGTTGCAGATTTTCGGAATCGCTCTGACGTGGCTAATGGGCATCGTAATGCACAGTTTCGGAACACTCACCAGCAATATTATAATGAGCAGTTGTCTCGTTTTGGGCACTTTTCTGACTTGTACGTCGAGCAAAGCCGATTTGCTGAAAGAATAAAGTTAATCATTTACAGGTTTCATCAGCGAAGACCTAAAACGACAAAAGGCGCACTCGGTGCAGTCGCAAATTCCGGTAATTCACAAAAATGCTTTTCAGAGCTTCTAGAATGTTTTTTTCAATTTTTCAGACATCCGAAACACAACTGACAAGCTGTACACTCACTCAAAATGAACATTTCTAACTGTTAGCTTCTTTTTTTTTATGTTGTCTGAAAAATCGTCCCTCATTCCCTGAAAATCTCTGAAAATATAGAGCGCTTTATTTTGTGTCCCTCTCAAATTATCTATTTTGTTCTGCATTTGTTGTGACATAATTATACTCCAAAAACTCTCCCAAGTCTAGAGCACAAGTTTCGGTGTATTTTAGTTCTCTTCTTTTTAAAATTATTAGTTTTAGCTGTTTTTCTGTCAATTTTGATTCTAGAAAATAATCGAGTCAATAAAAAATGGTTTATTCACGTGTTTGCCTTTCCATTCAATAAATAGCGCAAAAAAGGCCCCGACGGCTGCTGTGCGGGGATCGGAATCCCATCAGCTTACCGGACGAGTCTTTTACTGAAATATGTCGATTCGCTCAGCAATTTCTATCATTTTTAGCCATTCGATTCGTTGGAAATCGCAAAAAAGGCCGCGATGGCTGCTTTTCTACAATTCCAAACGTTTTCGCTACTCGAAATTGTCGAGAATCCCACATATTTTACCCGAGTAGCCGCCCATAAAAGCTTCCATTTTTGTTGACCACGATGCCTGAAAGAAGGTTTTTCTGAGGAAGCACGTTGAGTTTTATTAAAACTGACCCCGATCCTCCTATTCATTGAATTTAAGCTCACTTCCTTCGTTCTCGTGCATCGTTCCATCCTCACTTCTTTAAAATATTGCTCGCTGTCATTCCATCTACAATTCTTCAATCTGACTTGCGGTCGTTTCTGCAACAAACGTTTTACGGCGAGTATCTCAAGTTCCAGCCAAACTAACCGCTTTTCAACATGCGAGTCTGAAAGATGTTGAAAAAGTTGAAACGATTCGCATAAAAATTCACTGCGAACTTTGTAAAATCATTCAACAGCAAGTGCGGGAACCCGCGAAATGACGCAATCTTGTTCCGACGCTCCGTTCTTACACCGGCGCGTAATTTAGCAATCGCGGCTGGCAGAAGAAGAAACTGAAACTGATTGTGAATCCAACACGACAATACGAAGTAAAGTTGACGTCAAAGATATGTTCACTGTTTGTTTTCTGATGCGAACTAGTAAATCGCTTTCGATATAAACCGAAACAACTGTCAATTTTATCTTAGAGATTAAAAAGAGATCGAATAAAATCAACAAACAAAATCTACGAAAAATCAACAGAATCTTCTAGTCGAAAAAATCCGGAAAAAGAAAGAAATCTAGAACCAGTAGGTGGGTTTCGGCGTTCTTTCCTCCTTGATTCCCATGTCTTGCATGATTTCCTGCTCGAAACTCGCCACTTTTGGCACGTACGTCCGTTCGAGCACCGCGTCCGCCGGCGTGTCCTTTCCCTCCACTTCTGCAAACACGTTTTTGCTGTTATTTTTTTCACTATTTTTCTAGTCAAAGAAAGGGTTTTTATGTATGAGGAGCGGTATTGTTTAACTAAAAAGCGATAAACAATCAAACAACAAACCTATATAATTTTCGGGCTGCAGGTACTCGTAGGTAACTTTTGCCTGCGACGGAATCGGAATCTCGTATCCGCTTCGATTCGAGATGCGAATGTACTCGTCGCCGGCGCCGTTCAATTGCCATCTGCAAAAAAGCGTTTTTTTTTGTGTGTTTCAAAATGTTTGAAAGAATTTTTTTTTCTCCAAATTTTTCGGTACTCTTCGTATAGCTCTTTTCTGAATATAAAATTAGCACAAGGCCGGACAGAAGCTGACATTTTCAGGATAATTTTCAAAAAAATTACCTGGCCTCACACGGTTGTTCGTCATTCGGATCCACCAGTTTTACCTGGTTTTTCAGCACCGAAAGCGGCTGTTCTTGCCATCTGCAAAACAAAGTAAATGTATTCAATCGTAACCCTCACAGCCTCGCAAAATTGCCGATTCGGCTGACAAATCGATTTTTGTGCTAGCTTTGCTGTTTTCTTCCAGAAAAAATCCCCGTAATAATTGCAGTTAAGAAAAACAATAAATGTAACCTGAGTGTCTCGTCGATTCCCAATTTCTCACTTCCCGCCATATCCTCGCCCAGTTTTGTGTGCAGTCCATCGACGATCACCTAAAATTGAGATAACAATAATTTGTTCAGGTTTTGTGAACAAAGAGCGTAAAAGATCACATTTTCACAACGAAAAATTAGTGTTTCAACCTTTTTAATTACCTTTAATTACCTTTACCTTTATAATTTTCAGCACTAGTTGTTATTGTGCAGCAATTTTTCACTGAAAACGTGGCCTAATGGGGCTATTCAGCGTATGTTTGTTTTCCGTTTTTTTCGTTTTTTTACATCGCTGAATTGGATTTTTTGACGTAAAAAAACGAAAAAAAACGGAAAACAATCATTTTTTTCACAGTCTGAATAGCCCCATAACGGGTATATTCAAATAAAGTCCGCCATTTCTGTGCGGTGTCGTGAATTTTTATTAAATATTTTAAGAAATCTGCAAGAACGGGCGCTTGCCTGGCTGGTGTCGCGGCTGACGGTGAGCACGAGTCCCTGCCGTCCCTTGTCCTTTCCGACCATCACTTGCACGAGGTCTCCCGGGAAGAACGTCCATTCCGTGTCGGCCATTCGCTCCGATTTCGGGCGCCGAAATTCGAAATGCTTGTTCGTCAGCCTGAAATAAATTTTTTACAAAGAATGCCGAGCGTATCATAAGGATTGCGGTAACGTAAAAAAAGAAGCGAGACGAACTGTGCTCCAAAGTATTTGTCGGCTCTTTGAATGTTGTCGGACAGCTGCTTGTCGTCCCACGGTCTGCGATGCGACGGTTTGTAGTCGTCCGGATGCACGTAGTACATCTTAATGTCCGGAGCGCCGAATCTGTAAAGAATGCAAATTTCTCACCGTTTCAATGGGAATAATTATTTTAAATTATCGCTATTGCCGCCTCGGCGTTTGCAGACTCTGGCCTCCAAAGTGCGCAAACGCCGACGGGGACAAGAGCGGTGAATTGAGAGTAAAATCAAAGACTGACCGATCTCCGTAAACTTTTCTCGGCACCGTCCGTTTCGATCTTTCCACGTAGGCCGAAGGCATGTGTCTCGCGTAGTCCAGGTCGACGAACGGTTTGCGTGGCATGCGCATCAGACGGCTTGTCAGCATCTGCAAAAAAAGTTTCGATTTTTTCGCCGGTAAATTCTTTTTCACAATAAAAAGATGAAAATTCAATAAATATGTTTCAAAGTCGGGTAAACTTTGCCGAAAAACAATCATTCTAAAAAGTCGATAAATTATTTATGTACACTGTCAATCGGTTGTTTTTTGCGTAGCGAAAGAAATCTTCGAAAAAATAATTATGCAGAAAAAAGTGGGGAGGAAACCGTTAGGTGTTATTATGCATTTTTCCGGAGAGAGAAAGAGAAAATGTGAGAAAAATTGGGTGGCACACACGAAAAATAGATAGAAAAATGCGTAGGCGAGTGGAAAATCACAGATAAAAAGTGGTTTTTGGTGGGTTTTTCACAGAAAAAATTGGGGAGAAATCAGAGAAATTCCGCAGAAATTATCCGAGTCCCACGTCCATGCACATCATCACGAGAAAGCCGACAATGCAGCCGAACGAGGCGATTTTTCCGTTTCCGTTCCTTTGAGCCTCCGGTATGATGTCGTCGACGACCACGTAAATCATGGCTCCGGCGGCAAAAGCCAGGGCGTACGGGAGCACCGGTTCCATGAAAATGACAGCGGCCGCACCGATCAACGCGGCGATCGGCTCCACCATTCCCGACAATTGACCGTACCAGAATGCCTGAAATTTGTAAAATTATGAACGTTTCACTTGATCGCTGTTTTTTCCCGCGTTCTTAACGTTACAAATGTCGTCTGCAAAAGCCTTGGAATTCTTGAATGTTTATAAAAGTTTCTCTAATTGTAAAGCATTCTTCTTGTCAATTTATTTGATTGCCTCGAGCAATTGTTCTCCTCGAAGATCAAACTAGTGACAGAACAGTTTTCTGAGAAAAGTGGTTTGTCCAATTTTTTTATTATTGCACGGAACCCCAGCCTTCCAATAAAAAATTCCCTTGGCGCAATTCACGTGCGCTAAACAAGGCGCGTACGCGTTATTCCGGAGCGTCGTTGTAGAGTTTCTCATTTCAATTTTTCCTTTTTTTTGCATTTTCCCCATCTTTCCAGAACCAATCAGTGTCAAAACCTATGATAATGATTAGAAATAAATAAAATATGAAATGTTAACTGCTTCGTTATCAATTTCGAGACGTTTTATGTGAAAATTACAGATAGTTCGACGAACGGCGGAAGATTGCTGCAGCAATTCAGGGCAGGAAAAGAGAAAGAGTAGCGGTTAGTGAGACTGACTCATTTTACTTCGCCGTCAGATGTTTTCCAGGTATTTTCACGGAATTATCCAAGAAGATGAGAAGATGAAGATGTAAAACGTGTTGAATTTATCGATAATTGAAAAAAAGAACATGAAGAAAAAGTGGATGAAGAGATTCAACATAGGTCGCCGACGTCGAAGAGAAAATTGAAGTGGCCCATGTTCTCGAGAACAAGACAGATTCTCTGCTTCACGTCGTTGACACTCGCGAATCGGCGCATCAACCCGTTGAAGATGGCGTGAAGTGCTTCGATTCCTTGCTCCGTCAACCGTCCCCAGCTTCGGTTCTCTCGCAAGTAGGCCTCCAAATGAGCAGCGATGATGTGAAGCTTGGGGATCACTCCAGCCTCCGGATGAACCTCCCGAATGTTGATCACAAGGGATCTGATGGCCTTGCCGATTTCGTCAATTTGCGTGTCGTCCTTGACTTCATTGTTTGCGCTGCTCATCAGGAAGGACAAGTCGAGCATGAGCTTGCGCATCGCCGGAACTTTTTGGATTGCTCGGGAACAGTTCAAGGAGCTTGTCGATGTTCTCTTCGCGGAGAAGAGCACGGACCTGATTTCCCGTACACTGTTGATACCAGGCACGGGTATCGGCGCCCATTGTCCGCATCAATCTCTCCATGGCGCGAAGAGTCTCTCCGCTCGACTCCTCGAACATTTGTTGCAACGTGATTCGTTCGATCTGGGCGTTTTCTAGCATGGACTTCTCCTCGCCGATCATATCCTCCAGTGAGCGGCGAACCTTTCCGACGTGGCTTTTCTTGTTGTTATTATATATATTTCTTGTTATTGAAACGATTAAAGTAAAAAGACAACATTTTATTGCTACGTTATCTTTTTACATGTTGAATCGGAGACATTCATGCATACGGACAATAAATTACTGAAAAACGGCGATAATTTTTTTCCTTTTGGAATCGAAAATTTGCCTCAATTATCTCAATTCTGTATATTTTTCGACGGTTGAGCGCTTAAAAGATGCGCAATAAACTCCTTGTTGGCTGGACGGTTCGAATGCCAGTGTCCGAACTCGATTCGGCAAATAAACGTTAAAACTCCGTTTTTTCAGTAGTTTTCGACGAAATCCCTCAATTTCGTCAATTCTGAACGAATCTGCTCCGTTTCGCGCTTAAATCGATGCTTTTAACTCAGACAATCGCCTCACGGTTCCCAAAGAACAAAATTTGAGTGTTTATTAAGAGAAAAACGAAAAAATTCTGGTTTTCAATTGAAAAAAGAAACTCCGAGCCGACGGTGGATGCAAGCGCGCCCCATTGACAACTTGCTTGCGCATTGGAATGCTGGGGTTCCGTGTATTGACGCACTCCCACAAACTATTTCTCGTAAACGAAAAGAAGCGCAAAGTCCAGGAGGGCTCGTCCAAACTCCATTGGCGAGATGGCTGAAGTCTACTCGACCGCAATCGGCCTGCATTTGCTATCAATTACGAATCTCGACCATTCCGTCGCACTTTCGCCCATTTCTCTCCAATCGAAAATAGCAAAGTCTCGAATTATCAAGCACACCATGTCAATGATCCATAATTTTTCGGAGATAATAACGTATAGATGTACACACCTTAAGTTTGGAGTGTCCGAAAGCGGCGAGTGGGAGTGAGACGGCGAGTCCTTCGGGAAAGTTCTGCAATCCGATTCCGATGGCCAGGTTGAATGCCGATTCGAACGTCGCCTGCTTCGTTTTTCCGGCCGATCCGAATCCGACGCCCACCGCGAGACCCTGCGAGAATTGTCTTTTACAACAACAACAACAAAAAGTTAAAATTACCTCTGGAATGTTGTGAACGGTGACGGCGAGAATGAGGAGGAGGATACGTCTCCACGATTGACGGTAGTCTTGTTCCTGTGGAAAACAATTGTTTGCGGGAAAATACCATTTGCGCGTTAGAAGAAAGAGAGGCGCAGACAGTAGGCAGTTAAAGAAATAAATTGCATGCTATGCGCGTTTATCTAACAACGAAAGAAATTGAAATTTTGAAGCATCGCCAAAAGTTTAAAATTGTTAGAGAAACAGTCAAAAATTAACTTTTTCTTAAGTTTTTCAGCATCCCACAAGGAATGTAATCCGACTGTTTCCTCCAGTTTTTCTCGGGACTAGGGGGAATGAAATTTCGAATTATTTCAATTTTTCCAAAAGATCCTCACCGGAATCACGTCTGGCCGCGTATCAATGGCCGTTTCCGACTGTTTGTCCCTTTCGCGGTGCTCTTCGTTGACCGAACTGCAAAAAAACCGAAATTAATTAAAAATCAGCTTTTCAGATCGATTTTAGTCAGGGCTGCGCAATTGGCCGGCCCTTGTCCTTCCGATCAGACCCAGGCTTTGCAGGCTTCTTGGACATGGATTGAAGTATATTGGGACCAAGTTTGAGCCTGATCGGATTATTTATTGTCGAGATTGTGCTTGAGGCCCGATTTGGCCGAGAGGCCCGGGCTTTTGGCCAATGATTAACATATCTCGGGACCAGATGATCCGATTGGGCTGAAACTTGGTCACAATGGCCCTCAATCCAAGTCCAAGAAGTCTGCTAAGTTTGGGTCCAATCGGATAATTGCAAGTGGCTCAAAAGTGCAGGACAAGGGCCGGCCCTGATTTTAGTGAGAAATAGAAAGTTATCGCTTCGCCAAAATGTTTCCTCAAAGAAAGTGGTTAGTAAAACCCATAGATAGAGTGTGAAGATTAGAACATTTTCAAAAAAAAATTGGCGAGAAATGAGAAACGACGTGTTTTCGGGTGCAAATTTCGTTGCAAGGCTTCTCGTGGTGTGTTTGTGTCAGAAAAACATGCAAAAACCGAAAAAAGCCCAAAAAATGGTGAAAATCATTAGAAACGTTTAAACAAAGTGCGGACAAACACAAAAGACGGTCACAAAACTCATTTTATTCTCAAAAATAACCACGAGAACGCTCGAAGCGAAAAATGCCAATTTGTCCACTAAAAACGTCATTTCTCACCTATTTTTCTCCGATTTTTGAGCTTTTCCACGTCGTCGTCGTACTTCCGCCACTTTTCTGACGTCTTCTTCCGAATTTGTGCCGGCTGACCTACATTCAGGACTTTCTAATTCTAATATTGTAGAAGTGGAAAAACGAGCACACGAGCGGAGAGCAAAGAAAAACACACGTCACAGTACTTACGAAAAACGACGAGTTTTGTGCATTTTTCTAAAAATGTCTCGAAAGTTTACCGTGCCAGAGCAGCCACGTCCAAATCCTCTCGAGCGGCCGGCATCAACGACATTTCCGTGTCGGAGCGCGGAGCCGGTGGAGCCAGCAGTGAGGCCATTCCGGCGTCGCCCACGCATCTGCAAAAAAGTGAACCTTTTTAAAATATTTTGAACTTTTCCTAAACGAGATTCTATTATAGGGGCACCGCACAGAAATGGCACTCTGTTGAGAAACTCTTTTTGCAGTGCAAATTGAGCGACCTCGAGGCCGAGTTTGAAAAGTTAGGCCACATTTTCAGTGGAAAATTACTTCGCGGCCTAGAAATTCGGTCAGATTGCGAACAGCGCGCCCTTTCTGTCCGGTGCCCCTATAATAGAAAACCTTTCGAAACCGAAAATTTCTGATTTTTATTCAGTCGAGAAAAACATGCTTTTCCTCCAAGAAACTCGAGTCAAAATCGAAAAAAAAAACAGTTTCACGGCGACCAAAAGTGTAGAAAGGGGCGTGGCCTAATCTGAGACGCATTTTCTAAAAATTGCCACAATTCCAGCACTTTTCCGATATTTTTGTGTTTGATATCGACGAAAGAAGACATTAAAGAAAGAAAACATCGAAATTTTCGTGAAAACGCCGCGTTTGAGGCGTTTTTGGCATATTTCGCAATTCGGAATTTTCATACCGGCCGATGTGGATAGTTTTGAGACGAAGTGAGTGTCGGAAGTGATTAAGCACGTTAATTAAAGTGTTTTAAGCGTTCAAACGGCAAAAAGTATCGGCGAATGACTGAAATTCGCGCATTTTTAGCACAAAACTTGAAAATCAACTCAATTGATTCATTTCTGAATGAAACCTGCTCGTTTTAAGCTCAAAAAGTGCGCGATGATTAGTTTAACAAATTTATGCAATTATACATCGTCGAAATCGTACATAATTTGGGTAATTTTTGACGAAAAACATGAAAAATGGGGTTAAATTTCGAATTTCGCGCCAAAATGGTGATAAACCGTGCACGCTAGGCCACGCCCCTTTCTACCTTTTTTGGTCGCCGTGAGTTTTACTTTAAGTAAAGTGTTTTTGTTTCCGTAATTTCCGTACTTACGAAGGCAGGAGAGTATCGGCAAAATGCACAAAAGCGGCTCCGACGGCAAATCCGATGGCCACCGGAACAAATGCCCATTTCTCAAAGTCCGCCTCCGCAATTTCGATCGCCGGCGCCAAAAGGGACCAAAAAGAGGCGGCCGTCATGACTCCGGCGGCGAATCCGAGCGAAACGTCTGCAAATTATCATTTGTTTCTCATTTCTTAATTGTTAATGTCACTTTCTCGAAATATTTCAACTCTTCGAAGGAGATGAAGGCTTGTTGGACAAAAAAAAGGCTTACCCAGCAATTTCTTGCTCTGATGTCTCATGACGAACACGAGGGATGCTCCGAGAGCAGTGACTCCCCACGTGAACGTGGCCGCCAGTAGGGCCTGGTAAATTGGGTTTATTCCCCTAATCATTCTGAAACTGACAAAACATTTATTGGAAATTTTATTTTGAAGAATTCGAAGAGTGAATCACGCATGTTTAAAAATATGCAAACCTTGAAACTGTGATTATTGTTCTCTTTTTTGGACAACAACTTGAAAACATTGCTTTCCAAATGCAAAAAACTTGTTTTTACATAGAAAAATAGAAGAGCAACCGGTTTTTGTATGAAACATTGTAAAGAACAATTTGTGTTTTGATTTCCCGAGAGAACACCGGAAAATCGGCAATTTTCCGCTTGAAAACAAAAAAATCGATAATTTCCCGTCGCAAAAAAGGTTGTCAACAATATTTCCACAATATTATCCTGTCTTTCACACAGAATCATTCAAAAATCCAATAAAAACCGGGGAAAACAGTGGCAAGTTGGCAAAAGTGTGCAAGTCCGCAATTGTGCCGTGGGTGCCGGCGCCTCGTCTGCAAACACCGTCGATGATGATTTTGCGGATTTCTGCTCAAAAAATCGCAAAATTGAACAGTTTATTAATAGGAAACGCATGCGACATGCCCGGAGCTTTCTGTACAGATATATTATGAACATTTCCAGGAGAGAACAGTGAAGAACCGAAAAACTACAGAGGTTTTCGAATAAAACGTAAAAATCAAAACATTGACATGTATTCGTCGAGTTGGGCGGTATAGATCATTCCCTCCTCTTCCATCTCGCTGAGAATTTCTCGAAGACGCTCCTCTGACATTGGCTCCATTTTTTTGAGAATTTGAGCTATCGGAACGCCGTTTTCCGTGTTTTCCGTTCCCAATTTGTTTTTGTTCGCTTCCGAGCGGACGACGGCGCGAATCTGGGGATTTTTGAATTTTTTGAAAAGAAATTTTGGAATTTTACCTTTGATTTAATCGCATTTGGGGTATGTGGTGAGGTCGCCGGAGCTGAAGAAGACGGCGATGGTTCTTGTGCGCTTCTGATCGACTTTGGAGTGACTGGGCTCTGAAAAATGAACAAATTACCTAGTATTCTGTGAAAAACAAGTTTTAGCGCAACATTTCGTGCAAAATGCAATTCTTTGATTACCAAATAACTGCCGACTCGGATGGGCGGCGCCAACATTCCGTGCCAGCCCATTGTGTCGCCGTTGCGCATTTTATCGCTCAAATCCTGGAAATCAACACATTTCCGGCTAGAAAAACTAGAAAACACGCACTTTTTTGAAAAACAATTGAGCCACTTGAGATTCGAGCTTGAAAATCTCGTATTCCTTGTCGTCTATCAGTTTTTGGAGGTAGAACGCCAGAATTGCTGAAAGAAACGCTTTTTCTCTGAAAATCGTACAAAAATGTAAAGCAAAATCGAGGAAAAGGTAAGAAAGTTTTAGAAAATTTGAAAGAATCACTCTTTTCTCCAGCCAAATTCTTCAATTTTCCCATGACTCGCACTCGAACGTCTTCGCTCAAATCGGGCTGAACAAAACGGGATCCGCCTTCCTGAAAGTGTTTTTTTTTCGCTTTCCAATTTCAGACAATGTATTTCTACATCAATACTGCCAAATTGAGTGACACTGAACGTTTTTTCCGTATTTTCCGGGTCGTGCAGCAAATATTTGACTTTTCCGTCTTCTTTTGTCATTTCCAGAATTACTCCGACCGTTTGGATCTGAAATTTAAACTTTTGGGCATTTTTGACCGAAGATGATCAACAAACCGTTCTGAAGTGATAATCGCCAATTTTGTACGCGTCATCGTCCGAATTGGACAAATATTGTGTCAACGACGAAAGAGCCACTGGAATTGGAAGACGATCGCCCAGATTTTGAAAGGTTTGGTTCTGAAATTTGAATTTTGCAGCAAATTGATATTTTGTGAACAAAAACCTTTTTTTCTTGTGCAAAATCATGCGAAATCCATCCGTCTCCGGCGGCGAAATCCATTTTTGCTGAAAAATTGACAAAAAATAATTTTGGACATTAAACATAGCATTTCAGCTCGAAATTTTGTTTTCAGAAAATTGTTCAGCGAAGAACGGAAAAATTCGTTCGAGAAGGATTACTGTACATTAAAGGCGCAGCACTTATATCGAGATGGGTCTCGCAACGAAAACACGTTTGTTGTTGTTTCTTTGATGATTTTCGCGGCATTTCCAACATTTTCAGCTGCTTCGTGATGGTTAATTTTATTTTTTCTCGAAAGAATAAACTTCCGTCTGTTTTTTCATTACAAAACTGTCAAAAATTGTTCATTTTTGTATCGAAAGACAAAGCCTGAAACCCCGCAGGCTTAGCTACGTTTTTTGATCCACTCAGATTAATAAAAATATGCTTAATGTATTAGATACACTCGCAAGTTTTACCTTTTGAAAATTTTGTGAAACAAAATATTTTTTTGCAGCAGATGAAAGATTTGGTGCCGAAAAATCGAGAAGATGACGATTTTCGGAGGTAAGATATCAGAATTTTCATTTAAAATTGGAAAGAAAACTTTGCAGAGACCTAAAAATCGTCTGGCAACACGACCCAATCAACGAGTGTCCGTGGTCGACGACAATTGAGCATTTGAACGAATTATTCGATTTGTACAACGTCGGAGAAGTCAAAAATGTTCTGTGTCTCCGTCTATTCGCTCAATCCATTTTTGAAGTTGTACGCTTTTTTTTTAATTGATGAAAAGCGGCCAAAGAAGTATGAAAAATGCTGTGAGAGATCGCTGGTGGAGCAAGGCATTATAGCAAAAGATTATCAATTTTTATCTAGAAACAGTTAAAAAAACAACTATTTTTGCAGGCAAACAGTCCGGTGGACTCTCCTAAGCTCATGCACACAATTTTCGGCGAAAGACTCATAAATCAGGTGGCGAACTACGATCAACAAGTGTACGAGGCCATCGGGCACACTACACAGTACATGGCGTGGAAAATACGCAAAGCTCAGATCATGTACAGATTTTCTGGATTTTTCAGACTTTCAGAGGATTTTCTTGACGTTTTTCATATTTTTCTGTTTCTCAGGGCTGGGCAGTGTTCGGCCCAGGCTTTTCGAAGGCTTTCTAACAAAGGCCTGGACTCCAATCGCGCCCAAACTTTGCAGGCTTCTTGAACAACGCTTTATTCGACGAAATCTGAGACCGAGTTTCTGTTGCTCTGTTTTGATAGTTTTCCATAATTTTTCAGTGATAGTTAGCCAGACTAATATCAGAAAGGTTTTGTGGGGCCTTGCCGCTGAGTGCATTTTAAAATCTTGAATGGATTGATTTCATAAAACATTCAGCCTGCTTTAAAGCATCTCGCCACGCTGAGGATGTTTTTAAAGGAGCAAAATAAGCGGCCATGTCGTCCTAATAAAGGTTCGGGGTTAGGTCGCGCAGTGAGGTCTCCTCTGAACTGTCTCTTTATAATTTTACTCTATTAAGTGTCCATAACAGATCGAGGTGGTTTAGGAACCTAAGCTTCTAACGTTTGCTACTCAACATTCTTGATTCTACAGTAGAATTTCTACTGCTTCGGAGTAAATTCAACGCCATCGAGATCACTGAAGTACTGATGCTTTGATTAGCCCAAATTCCTTCATTAAAAAACAGAACAACAGTGAAAAACGAAAGCTAGTTGAACTCGGCCTCTTATTTTATATTTGGCCTCCTATTTCCGAACAGAGCCTGCCAAAAGTCCGGGCTACGCCAGGCCTTCAAAAAGCCTGTCCAGCCCTGATTCTTCTAGATTTTCAAAGCAATTGCTAAGGTTATGGGTTCCTTTCTCTTTTTCTAATTCTCTTTATTTAACTCTTTTTTTCCAGAAATTTCCGCCGTACAAGCGAAGAGCACACGTGGAAAAGTGTGCGAAAAATCATGATCGACGTTTTGAAGAACAGCGAAATTTCTGAAAATGTGATCGCTGGAATGGTTAGTTTCTCCTCTCTATCATTGAACAAAATGCAGACTGAAAGCATTAAAAAAATCTGCAATTTTCAGACGGCTGCGATTCTGGAAGAGGTGGTGCGCGGGGACCGTCTCACGTGGGCCGAAGACGGTCCTTTGCTCCGTCGGGACCGTTTCCCGCACGTTTTCCGCGTCGCTTTCCGTCTTTTCAACGACGCGATCGGCGAGAGACTGCGGAAAAAGAGGGCGGAAGTGGTGTACGAGGCACTCGCCGCCCGGCTCGTCACTTTTTACTGCAGACTGGCCGCCGACACGTGGAGGTGATTTTTTTTGGATTTTTTTATCTCAAAAATGATCAAGATTGGCCTAAAATGAACGTTTTCTATTTTTGCAGAATTCTAATATTGCGAAATGGGCCGAAAGTCGAAGTGGAGCACTTTTTGTACAGAAATGTGGAAGTGAAAATGGTAATTTTTGAAAAAAAAAATATTAAAGATGGATTGGTTGTTGAAAATGCTTCTGTTGTTAATAATAACTCATTTATTCACTTCGACCACAATGCTTCTGTTGCTTCTGTTGTTGTTTAAAATATAATTTGAAACCGGAATGTTTCCTTGCAACTTTTCCACGACAGTTACTTTTTTCAGCCGAAAGTGCTCATCCAATCGCAGCCGCCCACGTCGAACTCGAATTCGAGCAATAATAACGAAAAATCGGTCGACGCCGCCCGTTTTACCAACCAGAGACCACTTTCGAGACCGATGAAGAGAGAGCATGACGTTTATTGAGCCATTTTTACTTGTATACGCACCCAGATTATTTCTAGAAATTTCTCGTCTATTTCCCCTTATCGTGTACCATTTTTATCAATTTTTCTAGTCGTTCCCCATGCATGTGTGCCATTTTTGATCCCCGTTTGTGTTTTAATAATTGCTGTATCTGGAAGATTTCCAGGCACACTCATTTCCCTCAATTCGTCTCGTCAGGTAATATTGTCGTGAAAAATTCATTTCTTCCACGCATTCACCCAAGAGGTGCGTTTGCTTATTGTCCATTTCCTCACATGACCACACATTTCTCAGACGTTCTCATCGCCCTTTGTCTGCTCATCTTGCTTATATGCGAGATGTGTCTCGCTCCACCCGTTTCTCCTTGGCTCCCGGATTGTTTTCCTGTTCAGTGACGGGCGGTTTCGGCGAAATGCGCACAAAAGTGTGCAACATTCCATCTGTCTCTTTGCTCAGTTCTTGCGAGAATACTTTAACGTCGACATGGCGGGCAATACGGCCGTGCTTTGATTTTTTACCGGTGGAGATTCTTTCTCGTTCGCATCACTGTTCATGCTTTCACAAATGACGAATAATAATAAAAAAATAATGAAACTGAAAAAAAAATAATGAAAAAATCTCACGTGAGACTTTCTTGTGTTCAATCACAAAAAAGCAAAAATCGATATTTCCCGAAAAATGCCGAAATCAGAACGAGAATCCGGCGGCGTCGACTTGACAAACGTCTCGGTTCGAGTGTGTGGTCTCGCAGCGAAAGTATTACAATCGACAATGAAACTGCTTTCGATATAATTTCAGTACTGGCTCATTTACTTTATGATTTGTCAATTATTACTGGGCATTACAAATTTGACATTTTTTATTACAAGGTACGGATACAATTTTTTAGAACTCTTAAAAACGATGTCTTACAGAATACCAACAAAAAGTGGTTCAGAAGCGAATAGTGGAATTTTAAATGTAAATTTAAAAAACAATGTTTTAGGTACTTAGAAACATAGTTGCCACGGGCCGGGCCGGGCCGGGCCGGGCCGGGCCGAAATTTCAAAACTCCGGCCCGGCCCGGCCTGTCGGCCCGGCCCGGCCCGGCCCGGCCCGACCCTGGCCCGGCCCGGTCGGCCCGGTTCAAAAAGCGGGAATTCAAAAATTTGAATAATTGATCGCATGAAGCCATTTTTTTGTAGAATTAGGGGTTTTTTGCAAGCATCGAAAAATTGAAAAAAACAAATGTATTTCTCATAAAAAAATTCATAATAGCAAAAAAACAAAGAAGAAACACTAAAACTTTAGTTCGAAAAATTTTTTTTGTAATAACGAAAAAAATTTCCGCGAAAAATTTGAATTCCCGCTTTTTGAACCGGGCCGACCGGGCCGGGCCGGGCCGGCACTTCACCGACCCGGCCCGGCCCGGGCCGGCACTTTACCGGCCCGGCCCGGCCCGGCCCGGGCCGACCCGGGCCGGCCCGCATGGCCGGCCCGAAATCTGGCAAGTCTGCTTAGAAAGTCTCAAAAAATCGATATTCAGCTCTTCTGCGTCGTCCTTCTTCTCTGCTCATTTTGGTGTCAGTCCAAGACGTTTTTCACAATTTTGACTGTAATTTTGGTAAACATTCAAATGCTTGGCCCGAAATTTTTTAAAGGACATTTTTAAGGGTATAGACGGTTGCGCTGAATGCTATCTCCTTTTCACACGAATTTTGATGGTTCTCGAAGTGAACACACCGTTTTATTCGGATAATCTAATTCTTGTGATTTTCTCGCTGATCCGCGTCGGTTTTAGCTCTATTTTTACCGTCGTTTTGATGAGATTGAGCTGGTCCGAAAAGCTCCAAAAAAACACAATGTTTTACATGTTTTAGGTGCAACGGACTGCCAGATGAGGATGATTTGGAGAAAATGGCAATTTACGAGTGTATTCAGGAGATGGGTTTTTATAAATGCGGAAAATGTTCGGAAATCGAGGAAGAATCGGAGGAATCGGAGAAGAATGACTGAAAATAAATGTGCTGCACGAAAACTCTCTCTCTCTCTATTATGGCGGTATTTGACTGCAATCGCGCCCTGTTCGGATACTCTTTTTGCAGTGCAAATTGAGTGGAAAATTTATTTTCGCTAGAAAATTACTTCGCCACCTAGAAATTCGGCCAGAGCGCGATAATAAAAATTGTGGGCATTGTACGCAAACTTCGGAATTGACGACAAATCGCAGAAAGACGCAAATTTATTCGATCAGACTCGGACTTTTTAAATTCTGTCGTTTTTCGTCGAAACACGGACAGCAGCAACAGCAGAAAAAGCAGCAATTACAGCAACAACAACTGGCGTCCATTTCCCTGCAAAAAATCGATAATTGGCTCGGAGGGATTTCAAAAATCACCAGAAACTCATTCGAATCAGGACGAATGCTATGAGAACTTGGAAGATCGAGTGCAAAATTGTGATTATCGATTGAAACGATTCGATCGGACCGTCTGCAACTTTTTTGGTGAATTTTTGAGAACAATTCCGAGTCGGCTCACAAAAACACCGCTCAAACCAGTCGCCATCACTCAAACCCATGCACATTTTGAAAAAAGTGTTCGAAAGCGAAATTATCTGAACTTTTCAGAAATTGCAGGTTCAAAAACTGCGAAAATACTGTATAAACTGCGAAAATTCCGAAGATTAGTTTGGATTTCATTTTGAGCGCAAAAACGAACACGAACACTGTGCCGATCTGAATAACTTTTGAATAATTTTTTAGGGATCAAATTTGAACTTCAACTTACAAATGGAAGAGCGAAAATGATACTTATCGATTTTTCAGTGCTGCAAAAATGTTCTTACTTTTCGTTTTCACCACGAGATCACCATAAATTCAAAGATAAAAATACGATGGCTAAAATCGTGTTCCATAAAATGTAGACGAGAAGGAAATTCTAAATTTTTCAACTTTCCGGCCTAAAATCTTTTTTTTTTAAATGTTTACTTTAGAAGTTGCAGTTCGAAAAATCTTGTCGTCAGTCTCGAAATTGTCACCGCCCGCCGATAGTCTTTCCGGCATATTTAGTGTAGAAATGAGAAGAATTTGACGTAATGGGGCTATTCAGCGTATGTTTTGTTTTCCGTTTTTTTCGTTTTTTTACATCGCTAAATTGGATTTTTTGACGTAAAAAAACGAAAAAAACGGAAAAAAAATCAATTTCACAGCCTGAATAACCCCACAAAAGATAATGATTTTATCGGAGAAAAAAACGAGGATGAACACGAGTTGGTTTCCATTCAAAATGGAAAGCTTAATTGAGTGAAAGAGTGACGAGTCACTGGCCGGCGGCTGTTTTCGTTCACGTGGTCGCGGTCTTTGTCCGTTTCGTGCCTGTCTGCTTCTTCTGTTTCTTCGTCTTGGTATTTCCAGTCTTCGTGGTCCCACTTCCCGTCGTTCTAGTAAAAGAGTTTCCAGTTGTGGTTCCTTTCGTTGAGTTGCCAAAGGCAGTTCCCTCAAACCCTTTCCAGGAAGTCGCACAAACGGGTGCAAAGACGCTCTATGGGACACGCGTGAACTTTGCGCTACGTGGCATTTTTGAAGACTGGGTTTTTTAGTTCTGCTTTTAGTTAGTTCTGGTTTTGTACGTTTGCTTGTGAGAGACACTCTTTTTGGTGTTCTTTCTGTACTTTTCTTTGTTGATTCGTTTCTTTCGTTGCTCCTCCAGCAATAAACCTTTGTTTGATAATCTCTCGCGTTGTTTCTTGTGTTTTCTTGTATTGGACCCGACACCCCTTTTTATAAGCGGGCAACTGTTGTGGTATTTCCAGTTTCGAATTTAGTACTTGTGCTTTCAATTTGCTGATCATTTTTGCCTTTTCGGTTTCTCCTCAATTTCATGAGAAGAAGCGCAATGAGAAAGAGCAGAATAATGAATCCGGCAACAGCTCCGAGCACGTAAAGCGTGGTATTATTCGCTGTAGTCGTTGTAGTGGTGATTTCATCGCAAATGCTTACTGTAACAATGGATTAGAATGCGTATGTAGAGTGAACCCACATGTGTGGTCTTCATTGCAAATGGTTTCAATCGCTTCGCGTCGAGTTTGAAGACAATGCTCTGCGATTCGGGTTGATCAGCAGATATTTTAAAAATAAACCCTTACTTTTATCCTTTGATAGCTCTTTCTCACAAATGTACATGAAATTCCTGAGGACATCCGAAACGGTAACTGGAATTTTGAAGCCTTAATCTCAAAATGAGGTAGAAAACATACACATGGGCGTTTCAATGCAAAATGCACGGATGACTGAACATCTGCAAATACTTTTTCAATTTGGAATTAAGTCGTAAATCTTACAAAGAGTCAGCACTCAAGACGTTTGTCTTTTCGTAGAATGTTCTAAAAGAGCTACGAATTACGGCATCATACGACATGATGGACACTTGAACTGATGATTGTTTTTCTTTTTCTGGAAGACTCCCTTCTGCCTGACCCTCATGAACTGGTTAGAAGAGGCCGGGACAAAGGTTTGTGGTAGCATGTACTCATTTCTTGGTCACCTCACATGTCATTGACACGTGCTTCGTTTTGAAAATGGAATAACGAGTGATGCGCATGAGTAGAAACGAAAAAGATCGGTTTATTCAAAAGTTGGATAAAAAATACGAAATATATTAGGACGGGAAGCGTTCTCGATACAGTACTTTGTTGAGCTGCACCCACCTGCGCTTTGTTGCTGTTCTTCTTCTTCTTCTTCGTCTTCGTGTAGAAAGCCTTCTGCAAATCGAGCAACTGCCTTATCGCAAGTACCTTAAAAAAATGCTCTATTTTTGCTAAAGAGCACTGGCCGGCGAGTAAATCTGCCTGTTTCTGCCACATTTTCCTAGCAAGTTCATCTTCGGCGACGTGTATCTCAAGAACCACGCCGCCGTTGCAAAAGTGGTCAACTAGTAGGTTAACGCAAATTATCTCGTGAATAACTTTGTAGTTGATCGTCTATTTAAAAAAAATTTGTTTTCGAGTTATGAACTGTTTTCCTAGAGCGACAAGAAAAAAGCGACGATAACTCGAAAACTAATTTTTTTTTAAATAAACGATCAACTACAAAGTTATTCACGAGATGATTTGCGTTAACTTACTAGTTGACCACTTTTGCAACGGCGGCGTGGTTCTTGAGATACACGTCGCCGAAGATGAACTTGCTAGAAAATGTGGCAGAAACAGGCAGATTTTCTCGCCAGCCAGTGCTCTTTAGCAAAAATCGAGAGGAGCAGATTCGGATTCTCCGTGAAATTCTCTTTCGAATCATATAGGTCCCATTCCAAAAGCCCCGAAGGTAAGTACGAGTTCGATATAGCAATGAACAAAAATACGTCTGTTTTTATTAAGAAACAAGACTTTTCGAAGCGCGGCCCGGCAAACAAATTAATTATTTTCTCCACAAGTAAATATTGAAAACGAGTACAAGTTCAAGCCTCGACCGCCGCATTCTTGGCCTCCTCCTTCGAACTCTTCGATTCTGCTCGATCAGTAGTCGGAGCCGCTCCTCCGTTTCTCTTTTTCAGCCAGAAAAAGATTCCGGCCCCAATGGCAGCCAGAAGAAGAAAGACGGCCACGCCGATCGCCACGAACAATATGATGTTGGCGGATTCTTCGGTGACGGCGGTCGGAATCCGAGTGGAAATGGTCGAGATCGGAAGTGTGCGGGTCGAGGGAATTATTATTGGGTCGACTTTGATCGGAAAGTAGGCACAGCCGGCGACTGAAGTTGAAAATAGCTGAGGAAAAAAGAATGGAGAAACTCAAACTCACTGGTTTTGTTCGCCTTGCACACAATTTCACCCGCTGCATTGGTTACATTGGTGCATGTTTCTGAAATTGAAAAGGGCGCGTGGACTAGCCTTTTAGGAAATTTTTAAATTTCGCAGCGTTCGATTACAAACTTCACCCACCCAGTTTCTCTCGAGGCAGAAAAATGCACGTGCTCTTTATGTCAGCGATGAAACTTTTGCAATCGGAATCTTGAAAGAATTATCAACTTTTTTCGAACTATAACTTTTCAAGAACCTTTTGGCGTGGAGCAGTTTCGAATGGCGAGAACCCTGAAATGAAATGATGTTGAAGGTGGTGTCCAATATACAACATATTTTTAAAATAAACTTCGAAGTGGGACATTCACTTTCCTAAAGTCCCGAATTACGAAAAAAAATTCCCCGATTTTAAAGATTTTTTTCAAAAAAGTTAATGGTACCGGCGAGAAGTACACGGCGAAATGGAAGAGCTGGCCTAGATTTTTCTAGTCCCCGGATGGAATTCCCCTTTTTTTTCCGATTTTTTTCCGTTTTCGTGCAATTTTCTTAAATTTTCAATCGTTTTTTCACTGAACACACTTACTTACAATATCTAAAAAAATTTATGTTCTTTTCTGTGCCGTGACACCAAAAAAGTCGATAATCTGAAACTTTTCTTTGTTGTTTTTCCGGGTTTTTCGCTCAATCTTTTCGGTTTTGCCGCGTCCAAAGTCTCGGAAAACCCGCAAATCTCGCGGATTTAGCAGTCCAAAGTCGGCAGAAATTTGCGGGAAATCCGGGGTGAGCACAGCTGAACGAGTGTTACCGTACACCATAAAACTACGGTATTTTTTGAAAAAATTTAAATTTCTCGAGAATATTTGAAATTTCTCAAATTTCTTGGGTAAATTTTCAAAAAATACGCACCCCGGATTTCCCGCAAATTTCTGCCGAATTTGGACTGCAAAATCCGCGAGATTTGCGGGTTTTCCGAGACTTTAGACGCGGCACAAAAAGTGACTGATTTTTTCTGAATTTCTGAATTTTGTCTAAATTTTGCTGAATTTTGAAAGTTTCAGATTATCGATTTTTTTGGCGTCACGGCACAGAAAAAAACATAAATTTTTTCAAATATTGCTAATAAGTGTGTTCAGTGAAAAAACGATTGAAAATTTAAGAAAAAAATCGGAAGAAAGGGGAATTCCATCCGGGGACTAGAAAAATCTAGGAAAAATCTAGTGAATGCCCCACTTTGAAGTTTATTGTAAAAAAATGTTGTATGTCACGTTGGACACCACCTTTAAATGCCTTTTTCGCCAACAAAAAATCACTCACACTTTATCGATTATGGCCTGGGTGGTCATGTTCGCCATGATGCTCGAGAATCGGTAATTGTTGGTGCAATTTGAACTGTTCCACATGACCAACCTTTTTGTGAACTGGTCAGTGAGTCATAAGAGCAGGTATTCGGAGGGGTCGGTCACGGAGAGTTCGAGTCCACTTGTCCAGGCCCGAAATCTTTGTATGGACCGAGAGTTTGAAACATTTTTCCGTTTCATATCGAGATTATTTTGTGGCCAAACTGCCTTCAAAATATAAGGAAAACGCAAACAAAAAACACTATTTTATTGATGAACATCATTAGAAACAAGTAAAATGGCGAGCCCATACTCCCATCCGACACTCTCTAAGCCTTCGAAGTGGTAGTGCTTTTTCCAGTGGTAGTAGTACTCTTCTCCGTCTTTGACGAGGTCTTCGAAGAGGTTCTGTTCGTGATTTGAGAATTGGCGGTCGGCGTCTTCTTCTTCTTCTTCTTCTGCTTGAACACCAAACAGACGACGAGGCCGACGAGAAGAAGGAAAACAGCGAATCCGGCGATTGCCAGGAAAACAATGAGCTTCGAGTCTTCGGAAGCGACGCTCGTGGTGGCCAGGGTCGTAGTCGTGGTGGTCGGGGCTCCCGGAAACGTTTTGCAGAGCTCGTCTAAAACCATTTGTATTGATTCGAACATGATTTTTGATCACATACTGTCGAAAGAAATGCTCTCGCAAAACGTTTGCGTTCCATTCAAAACGAGTCCTTCACATCCCTCTGAAGCACCGACGCGTTTTGAGGACTTTCATCTGAAAAGCCTACTTTGACTCAGATGCTGCGGCGAAAGGTTCTCGGTGCACAAAAAGTTGTACCAGTTGAACGTTTGTGTACACGACGGAACTGAAAACAGTCATACTATGCACGACAATCAGGACACTGCGCCAAACTGACTCTTTTTGTTAATACAGTCCGATTTGTGGTATGCCGTAACGCTGGAAACACGGTTGTTTGATGAAAACCGGCCCTGAAAACTCACATTACTTCTTCGTTCTTCGTCTTCAAAAGATCCTGATAGACGGCCAAATCCATTTCGAGCTGAGAGTTTGATGGTGATGCCGAGAATACATCGCAAACTATCGTTCGTTTTTCATACTCTATTTTCGAGCTGAGGTTAGGTTGGGTCGGTCGGTTAAGGTCGTTTCAGTTCAAGTGCGCCAGAATTTGAAAGAAAGAAAAAGAAAAAAAAATCAGATCGACACGGTCTCCAGAGCTGACAATGGGCGCAAGTGCGCGAAATTGGCGCGAAATTCAAATTTTAACAGCAAAATTTGTGTTTTCCGCCAGATTAGCCACGAAAAGTCGATAATTTCTTATTTGTCTCTTGATATTTGTCTCTTGATGACCGATCGATTGTATAGGCTATTACGATTTTTTTAAGCGCAAGAGCGTTAAATTTGGTCAAGTCGCAAATCAAATTTATCCGTTTGAAGGTTTTTCGCTAAAACTGCGTGAATTTCAGTTGCTTTTCGGCTATTTTCGCGGTTCGAGCGCTCAAAATGCTTGTATTTACGTGATTTATCATTCTCAAAACCAATTCTGTCGGAAAACGGTCAAGAAAGCGCAAAATGAGAAGTGCGGTTTTTAGGCGGCGATCGGCGGCGAAGGCGAAAAAGCAAAATTCGCAAAAAATGCGCTAAAACGTCATTAATTCTGTGAGAATTAGTGTATTTTCATGTCGAACAATCATTTTTCATCGCCATTGGCCACAAAAATCAGAGAAAACCTGCTCAATTAATGAAAACACCATTTGGCCACCGAGGCCACGCCCATATTGTCAGCTCTGGAGACCGTGTACCGGCGAGAAGTACACAGCGAAATGGAAGAGCTGGCCTAGATTTTTCTAGTCCCCGGATGGAATTAATTTCCGATTTTTTTCCGTTTTCGTGCAATTTTCTTAAATTTTCAATCGTTTTTTCACTGAACACACTTATTTGCAATATTTTAAAAAAATTATGTTTTTTTCTGTGCCGTGACGCCAAAAAAGTCGATAATCTGAAACTTTTTTTTGTTGTTTTTCCGGGTTTTTAGCTCAATCTTCGGTTTGCGCGCTGAAAAGTAAGTAGAAAGAGATCGCTCAATCATTTCCTGACTCTTAATTAAAGTTTGCGAGTTACATAAAGTTATATTTTTCAAAGTAATGCGAAAAATCCAAAACTTCATATTTTCGGTTTTAAAAAAAGTGGCTGATTTTTTCTGAATTTCTGAATTTTGTCTGAATTTTGAAAGTTTCAGATTATCGATTTTTTTGGCGTCACGGCACAGAAAAAAAACATAAATTTTTTCAAATATTGCAAATAAGTGTGTTCAGTGTCCGCGAAAAATGCGCCAAAACGTCATTAATTCTGTGAGAATTAGTGTGTTTTCATGGCGAACAATCATTTTTCATCGCCGTTGACGACAAAAATCAGAGAAAACCTGCTCAATTCGTGAGAACGCCATTTGGCCGAGGGGCCACGTGTCAGAAGCTTTATTCAAAACAATATTATAATAAGTAAATCGAAAAGTGCACGAGTTGGTTTCTGTTAAAAGTATCAGAAAGCTAATTAGGGTGTTGCATTCCTCATTTCTTGACCGGAAGACGGATACTGTCGACATTGATGCTCACCTCCATTTCACTCTTTCCCTTCGATTTCGTAGCCGTCAACTTTCCAGTGTGCGTACTTCCGGAAACAGTTGTGCCAGTAGTGGTCCCAGTGGTCCCAGTGGTCCCAGTGGTGCGAGTGGTCCCAGAAGTTCCAGAAGTTTTCGAAGCGGTAGTAGTGGGCGCACGGCTGATTTTCTTGTCCATCCGACTCGCGTTTGTCTGCTTCTTTCTTCTCGACTTTATGAGAAGACAGAGAACTGCGATGATGCACAGGAAGGCAAAGATTCCGCCGATGATTCCGACCGCGATCAATCCGCTGTTATCCTTTTCGGTCGTCGTCGCTTCGGTGGTCGTCGTCGTGGTCGTGGTGGGCAAATTTCTGGCAGTAGTGATCGAAATGTCTTTACAATTTTCAGCTGAAGTATTGAGTCGATTTTTGGTTTTGTAGTTGATGAAAACGTTGACTTACTCGCTTGATGCTGCTCACAATACCAGTACATTGCTTGTTGCAGAACCTTGGCGCATAAAGCTGAATGAAAATGTTGTGAATGAAACGATAATTAAGTTCTCACTTTTTCTATATCCTTTGTATTCGCAGTTTTCTGGAATTTTGTCAAGAAGAGAGCAACCATCTGAAACATTTCGATTTTTCGATTTTTCGACTATTCACTTCAACGACTTACAGTACAGACAACTTCCCACGACACGACTGTAGCTGAAATTTGAAAATAAATTGTAAAATGCTTTCTGTGATGACACTCACACAACGGAAACGTCCGAGTCATCGTAAGAGTTACCTCCGAATATGCTATAAATAATCCCCACCAACATGCCGCCAAATGAGAAGAGTCGATGAAAGAGTTTGAATAGTCTCTACACATTTGACTTTGACCTTTGTGAACTAGCACAAGAAAAGTGAGGTGCCAGGGTGCTGGGCGAATGGCATAGAATTGTTGGACTTGGGGCTTTTTGAAAAAAATCGGCCATTGATCCGCATATCTCGGGACCCGACCGGGCTGAAACTTGGTCCCAATGGCCCTCAATCCAAGTCCGACAATCCTGCAAAGTTTCGGTTCGATCGGAATATAGCAAGTGGTTCAAAAGTCCAGGTCAACGGTCGGGCCAATTGCCCAGCCCTGCTCCGGTCCCATCGTGCACAGGGGTCGGAAAGCCAATGAATCGGAAAAAAATGATAAAAGGACGGAAAAAAGTGACAAAAGATCGGAAAAAATTACAAAAGGTCGGAAAAAAGTGACAAAATGTCGGAAAAATGCCAAAAGATCGGAAAAACTGCTAAAATACCTGTTTTCTTTTTTTTTTAATTTTTTTCCGACCTTTTGGCATTTTTTCCGACCTTTTGTCATTTTTTCCGACCTTTTGTCATTTTTTTCCGATCTTTTGGCATTTTTTCCGACCTTTTGTCATTTTTTCCGACCTTTTGTCATTTTTTTCCGATATTTTGGCATTTTTTCCGACATTTTGTCACTTTTTTAAACAAGGCGCGTAACGCGTAATTCCGTAGCATCGTTGTAGACTTTCTCATTTCAATTTTCCCTTTTTTTTGCATTATCCCCATCTTTTCAGAATCAATCAGTGTCAAAACTTATGATAATGATTAGAAATGAATAAAAAATGAAATTTTAACTGCTTCGTCATCAATTTCGAAACGTTTTATGTGAAAATTACAGATAGTTCGACGAACGGCGGAAGATTGCTGCAGCAATTCAGGGCAGGAAAAGTGAAAGAGCAGCGGTAGGTGAGACTGACTCATTTTACTTCGCCATCAGATGTTTTCCAGGTATTTTCACGGAATGATCCAAGAAGATGAGAAGATGAAGATGTAAAACGTGTTGATTTTATCGATAATTGAAAAAGAAAATGAAGAAAAGTGAATGAAGAGATTCGTGCCATTGACAACTCGCTTGCGCATTGGAATGCTGGGGTTCAGAGTTGAGCGGAAATGGAATTTTGAAATCCGGAAGATTATTTTTTTTACGGAACACGGAAAACGGAAGACGGAAGACAATTTTTCTCACGGAAGACGGCAGACGGAAGACGGAACAAAAAAATCGTCAATGCAGAACCTTTTTTTCCGGTTTTTTTAAAAAAATAACTAAAGCAACAAAAATTTTGGATCTGGGTCACTGCCCGTGGAAATTCGCGTTCTTCGGGGCTAGTAAATGGCTTCTGAAAAGCTATTACTCTTTTACGGTAAGAAGAAAAAATTCCGGAAGACGGCAGACGGAAGACGGAAGAAAACTTTTTTCCCGGAAGACGGCAGACGGAAGACGGAACAAAAAAATCCACGGAAGACGGAATTCCGCTCAACTCTGCTGGGGTTCCGTGAGAAATTCACTGAAAACCATAAAAAGGGGTTTGTGAAAGGGATTGTGTGTTATTTTTCGGAAATCTCTTGCAGAACACTCGTTTTCCCCTCTTCCTTCTCCGTCTCTCACTCTCTCGATTTTCTTCCGCGACTTTCCGCATATTTACCATTATATCTGTCTGTCCCGATCGGTTCCTCTCTTTCTCTTTCTCTCTCTCTCTCTCACTTTTTGATTCGGACTGCGCCGAATCGATCCGAGACAAGAAACTGGATTACATTTTCTGATTTGGAAACACACTTTGATTGACACCGAGACAATACCGAGATTGTCGACCTCTTTTTTCCGTGTACTTTTTCCATTATTATTACTGCTTCACAATTCATTTTTGTATTCAATGAGTTCAACTCAATGTCCAACCAATTGTATTGAAAATACATTTGTTTGCTAGTGGCCCCTGGAAAATGTTGTTTATTTGTCTATTATCGTTTTTGCCGTGTGTTCATGCATTTCTTCTTTTCAATCGAAGCTATAATCTTTTTCATGGTCATGATCAAAAAAAAATTCGCTCAAAAACACCGAAAAAAGCGCAAAATTTCTCGTGCTCCGAAAATAAAATGTCAATTCAGACCTGTTTTATTTGCCAAACTGTCCATCCGTTTTTGCCGCCTTTCCCTCTCGTTTTCTCTGCGTCTCTTCCAACACGCACTCTCTCATTATTTGACTAGAAGGGAATTGGGGGGCCAAAAAGACGGATAATATATAGTTTTCGAGCGGAATGCTTCCTAAAAAAGAAAAGCTGGCCTAGAAAAATGATTTTATTTGATCTACTTGAGAAACAGCGTTTTTTTTTAAATTTGAATACATTTAGACGCGTAATTAAAAATGCCTAAATTTCTGAACTTAAATTACAGTTTCTCAAATGATTTTACAGGTTTTTCTGCATTTTCCATTTAATGGCTTGTTTTTATAGGATAACAGTTAAACTTTTTGAAATTTTTATGTGTCTGTTGCCTCTTATTGCCACACGCACTGTCCGAGTCCCGAACTCTCAGAAATCTCTGTGAACGGAACTTGTGGCCGTGGCCGAGAAAACTTCTAGGCCATCGGATCTTCTTTGCATTCGGCACATCCCTCAGACGTTGCCAAGCGCTGTCAAAGTGCAGTGAAGAGTTTCCTAGGCCACGGCCGTTTCTGTGAGTTAGGAGTCGGACAGAGGCAAACGTTTCAGAAAATTTATGGGTTCCCTGATCATTTAAGTGAAAAAAACAGTTTTGCTATTCAATATATTTTTTTTCTATATATTTTTTTCAGAAATGAGGCCATGCTTCGGTCTGTTTCTCGTGGTCATTTCCACTTGGGCCCAACAGGATTTGTCGTGGAAAGCCGACATTTTCGCGTCGGACCGCGAAAATGAAATGGCCGAGGTGAGCGAGCACCATTTTCCGCATGAGAATTATCCGAGAAACGTGCATTTTCAGCAAGACGCCCTAACCCGCTATTTTGGCGACGACAAAAGAAATGCGACATTTTTTCCGACGTGGGATTCGATGAAGCAAAAGTTTGCCTTCATGCACTTCTTCGATAAACATTCATTTTTCAGAGTGGGCGAATTCGAAAATGTAAATTCATCGAAAGTCAAAAACCACAATTATAACGAGATGACGGCGTGGCTCAAAGTGAGTTACGGTGTTCGCGTACCTGACACTAAACATGACGACAATTGCGTGGGAGGGCGAAAATTCAGCAGGAAATTTGAAAAAAAAAATGCAATGAAACATTTCAGGCAACCCGTCTCAACTACCCGAACATTACTCACTTGTACTCGGTCGGAAAATCGGTGGAAGGACGCGAATTGTGGGTGCTTATTGTGTCCGACAACCCGAAAGAGCACGAAATTCTGGAGCCGGAGCTTAAAATTGTCGGAAATATGCATGGAAATGAGGTAGTTTTCGAAAAATAATAGTTAAACAATTCAAAGCGGTTTTTAGGTAGTTGGCCGTGAAGCAATACTTTATTTGATCGAAATTCTGTGCCTCAACTACGGGAAAAATCGATATTTGACTGATTTGGTAAATAATGCCCGATTGCATCTGATGCCCTCGATGAATCCGGACGGTTACGAGAAGGGATTCCCCGGCGATCGGATTTCGGCGATGGTAAGTTCAGACCATTGCTCTAGAACTTTTCTTTTGTTGTATTGACCTACCCGACCGCAATCCGCATTTTCAGGGTCGTTCCAACGCGAACGACGTCGATTTGAACAGAAATTTTCCGACGAAATTTCCGGAACACCGAGAACAATCTGGCGGTGGAGACCCGGAAAAGTAAATGTTCAGAAAAGTCGAAAAAATAATCCGACAGCATTGATTTTCAGAGAAAACGTGGCCGTCATGACGTGGCTCCAATCGTATCCGTTCGTTTTGAGCACCAATTTGCACGGAGGTACCAAGAATGACTCGAAAATGGCCAAAGAATTCGATTTTCAGGAAGTTTGGTGGCCAATTATCCGTACGATGACTCGCTCACCGGACAAGACGGCATTTATACGGCGGTAAACTTTTTTGTGCATTTTGCTGGCCTCGAATCCAACAAACGTATTTTCTAGAGTGCCGACGACAAATTGTTCGTGGAATTGAGCTATCGATACGCGAGAGCGCACACAAAAATGTGGAAAACTGGACGGAGGTGAACAATTGAAAACAGTGTTTAAAAACAGTTTCTGGGGGGCGTGGCCTAATCTGAGACGCGTTTTCTGAAAATTGCCGCAATTCCAGCACTTTTCCGATATTTTTGTGTTTGATATCGACGAAAGAAGACATTAAAAAGAGAAAATATCGAAATGTTCGTGAAAACGCCGCGTTTGAGACGTTTTTGGCATATTTCGCAATTCGGAATTTTCATACCGGCCGATCTGGACAGTTTTGAGACGAAGTGAGTGTCGGAAGTGATTAAGCACGTCAATAAAAGTATTTTAAGCGTTCAAACGGCAAAAAGTATCGGCGAATGACTGAAATTCGCGCATTTTCAGCACAAAACTTGAAAATCGATTCAATTGATTCATTTCTGAATGAAACCTGCTCGTTTTAAGCTCAAAAAGTGCGCGATGATTAGTTTCACAAAGGTATGGAATTACATCGTCAAAATCCTACAAAATTTGGGTAATTTTTTACGAAAAACATGAAAAATGGGGTTAAATTTCGAATTTCGCGCCAAAATGGTGATAAACCGTGCACGCTAGGCCCCACGCCCCTTTCTACGTTTTTGGTCGCCGTGCGAATGTTCTAAATACAACAAAAAATAACACGTCTGGTTCTTACAGATGCGGCCTTTCGGCGGACGGCGACAACTTCATAAACGGCATCACGAACGGAGCCGGCTGGTATCATTTGGCCGGTGGAATGCAAGATTGGCAGTACGAGAATACGAACTGTCTCGAGATCACTGTAGAAATGGGGTGCTTCAAGTTCCCCACGGATGATATGCTTTCAAAGTGAGCACGAAAACATTGTTTTCCCTTTTTTTTCTTCTGTTTCCAAATTGACTGATTACCACAACGTTTTGAGCTCTGATAGTTAACCAAAGTCTGCTAAAACACAGTCAAAATATAGTCTTTTGGCATTTTCTGTGAATTTCAAAACCTAAACGACTGAAAAATTCGAAAAATAAAACGTTCAGACTGTGGGAAGAGCACCAGTACTCGATGCTTTCCTTCCTGGAAATGGGACTGTCCGGCGTGAGAGGTCTCGTGACGGACCGGCTCAATAACACGGTGGCGAATGCGACGATATCGGTCGAGACGGGCAAAGACGTGGTTTCGACGCAATCCGGCGAGTTCTGGCGCCTTCTTCCGCCCGGCGACCACCAGGTTACTGTATCCGCACGTGGCCTCGAATCCGACACTTTCACGGTTACGGTGGTCGCCGGTCAGGCCGCCCAACGGCACGATATCACTCTTTTGGCGTGCGGCGACAATGAGACGGTACGTTTTTTTTTTTTTGGCGAGAACTTTGTCTGAAAAATCCATGTAGACTTTAAAGAGAACAGTTCAAAAAGTCAGTCTAGGATAGTTGGAACAAGAAAAATCTAGTGTCAGCCGCCCGGGCCTGTCTTTTTGAAAAATCCAGAAAAACCCTGGCAAAAACGAATTATTAGAAAACTGATCAATTTTTGCCTGAAACTGAACCTGTTTCAAAAAATGCTCAAATAAAGTGGTTCCAAAAATGTTCTGTTCAGTGTCGGTCCGTCTACGGGTACGATTAATTTATTGTCGGCTTCAAAAGCGTTCTTAAAAAATGCGTTTCAATGTCAAAACCATACCTGCTTCTACACAATTTCTACACACAACGTTTTTTTTTTGTTTCCAGAAATCCGATCTGTACATTCGAGGACGAGGAAAGAATCTGATTGCGGTGATTTCGTTCGATCAAATGTTGGTTTTCATTAAATTGCAACATTTCAATTGTTTCAGCCCAAACAATGTCTCTTTCAGCGGCTCGAAAGTAGTCGATGAGTTGGCTCGTCTCACTTGTACCGGTGATTTTGTGATCGACAAGGACGTGTCCCTAATGTTGATTCCCAATATGACGGACGCGTTGAAAGGGGTACGGTTCCGTTTCTTCTAGAAATCAAGACGACCGGGAATTTTCAGCGCCTCTCGGACTTTGCGCCCTCGGCAGTTCTGATCGTGAGCGAGGGCATCGTCGAGACGGTCACTTTCAGTGTTTCCGAAAATGAGCCGCGCCTTTTCGACAAGGCCAAAATGGACGAATCACTGCTGAAGGCGCTCGGAAATGCGATTCAGTGCGAGCGGAAATTGTTGGAATCGAAAACGGCGCTGAAAGTCGACGATTTGCAACTGAAAAAGGCGTTCGAGCTCGGAATTTCCGTCGGTTGCGATCTGAGCGATTTGGAGAAAAAGGCGGCCACTGTGGGCACGATTGCAGACGTGAGTTTGCGATTTGATCTGCTTGCGCGTTTGCGTACCTTTTCGCAGAAGTAAAATCCGAGGGCCCCGTCCGCAACCGTAACTCATCCGAACTGCATTACAGATGATCAAAAACGAGTTGATCAAGGACAGCGTCAGCGAGTTTTCGGTCGTTCCGTCCGCCCACCCGGGCGATCATTTCACCCCCGATCAGCTGATCCACGTGACAAGGTACCGGAATCCCCCGTTCGTGTCGAGACCCATATTCTACTTTTCAGTGCCGCTGTGGCCGAATTGACGCGAAAAGAGTGTGTTCAGGAGATTTCTCGAGGCGCCAATAAATTCTACTTGATGGGCTCCGGAAAACCACCGTACACATTGATTGCGGCTGTCGAAAAGGTACGCGGCCGCCTAGAAACCCAATTCTAGGCCATCTAGGCTCGGTGGCCGAACATTTTCCTCTTCCAGCGCACCGAAGCGATGGCGTACGAGATGATGTCGACGTACTGCAACCCGGACACCAAATCCGAGTTCTCGCAGGTTCTCGATCAGTCCACACTCGTTTTCATGCCCGAAATCCCGCATACACAGGTAAGTACGCGAATTGTCGTCGAATATGGTGTCTTTGTACACTTTTGCGAAAAGTAGAGGGTTTCGAGTGCATTTGTTGCAATTTTTATGGCAAATGTACTGTGAACCCCGAATATTCTGCATTTTTGCGTCTGCCACGATGAATTTATGCGATTGCCCCGGTAAAATGAATTTGTGACCATTTTCAATGCTGATTTCGATAATTTCAGCTAAATTGCCATGACTACGACACAATTTCGCCGTTCAAAATGCTGTTCGACGAGGCGATTTCGGCGGTGCCCCAACTGGATTTCGTGATCATTTTGGCGACGGGCGGCATGAAAGTGCGGTACATAAACGAGACGTTGGGAGTGGGCGGCCACGTGGCAGACGCCTACCGGAACAGCCACGATCTGATGAAATCGACGGAGACGGAGGGGTGCGCCAAAGGATTTCCCACCGAAAAAGAGGCGATCAAGGCGTTCTCGTGGAGTGACAACGCCTCGCGGGTCGACAAAACCGGCGCCGAGCGTGAGTTTTTCGAATGATTTTCTACTGCAAAATTTGTGTGAAACAGCAAAAAAAAACCCGATAATTTGCAGACGCGACAGACTCGCTCGATGCTCTGCTCGTTCAAATCGGCTGTTGCTACGAGAACATGGCGTCCGGACACTTGTACGCGGAGAATCAGAACTCCCTGCGCGCGGCGCTTCTCCAGAGAATTCGCGGCGTCCGAATCGTGGGCGGCGCCGACGGAATGAGCGTTTCGGTCGACCGCCAGCACAAGAGCCTTCCGTTGCTCGCCGGAAGACGCTTCGTGCCCCTGCCGAACGGGGAACACTTGGTTAGAGTGAAGACCGCCGGCGGACAAATGCACTCACAGTTCGCTGTCGTCGTGAGTTGACTCTGCGAAATTTGTTACCAGCGAACTTTCATGCCAACTTTCGATCAATTTTTAGAGATTTAGAACGGGCATGGCTGATATGAAATGACTTTAGTAGAAAACGTCGCCGCGGAGTCGAAAATTTAGAAGGAAATTATTCTACTGTTGCAGATCTCGGACCGGAGTCCGACAGTGGAAAAGTTCATCGGAGTGCAGTCGTCGAATATGGTCATAATCACGATCGCATCGATTTTAATGATAATCGCGTGCACGTTTATGTGTCGACAGAGGGTCACTTCCGTACTCAATCGCAGAGGATTCTTCAACGGTTCGTTTCGTTGCGTTTCTCCAACATTACTTTGAAAAAATCGATAAGTTTACAGGAATCGGCTCAAAACAAGGTTTCGAACGAATTCCGCTCTACAAATCGGACGACGAGGACGAGGATGAGGTGTTTGATTTGCAAAAATTATAATTATCTTAGTTATTTGATTATTCTCACTGGCGCAATTGTTCACTTGTCTCAAACTGGCATAACTCTTTTCAAAAACGGGTTCTCTTTGAATTTATTCCAACATTTAGTATTTTGTGGGTATCTTGTTGATGTAAAATTGTGATAAACTGGTTTATCTTTTCAAAAATTAATCAGCTAATCAAAAAGCATGATTAAAGATAAAAATAATCAGTTTCTGATAAAAACGCGTATAAAAGGCGCCGAAAAAGAGTGCAGGCATTGTCCGGTCTCAACAAATACTCTCTGGCTCTTCGAGATTTTGATTGGAATGCTCAAGAAGTTGCTCGAATATTGTCGCACCACAACTCGGAATTTTCAATCGATAATTTGACGGATCGCCGCTGAACCACGAGGATTTTCGAGAATTTCAATGAGAAAAACCGATATTTGCATCAGGATGAACAATTAATTTTCAACGATTTATTGTGAACTAATAAATTTTTTCGATGAGCTCTTGGATGTTTTTGGATTCATACTAGGCCCAATCTTCCAAATCGAACTCGAATCGAACTTTTAAAACGAAGCGTGACATGACATCGTTTCATTAAAACTTATCAACAATCACTGATATCAGGTGTTTCGTTCATTTCTATAATGACGTCATCGATCGGATGTCCCGTCCAGGTTTCCGATATAATCGATCAAATCAGTGAGGGCACTCGAATGCGCTACGACGATTCGACACTCGGACGGCAAAGCATGTATGAGGGCCACACAATTTCGGAGTGTCGTAATGAGAACTCGATTTCAGAGTGTTCCGTTCAAACGCTTTTCTTCGCTATTTTAGCACCGCAATGCCTCCTCTGGATTGGGCGAATCCGCAACGAATCGGACAAAGTATCGTTTATTCGAGACGGTATCAAAAAGTTGTCGACTAACAAAATGTGCAAAATTCATCAGTTGACAACTTTTTGATTCCTCCACTCGCAGCTGACATATATCGGCTAGAATAAACGGTATTCTCGCAAACCTTTCGCCTAATTCCTATCAGTTTTTTTTTGGTTCAAAAAGTGAGGACATTCAGAGTGCGTAGAAGACGGAAAAAAATGGCTGATATCGGATTGTCAATCGAACGCCGGCTATTCGGAGGACATTTGCAACAAAGTCATCGACAACGGATTGTGGCTGTTTTGCGAGATCGAAGGGGGAACAGGCAAGTGTTCTAAGGTCTACACACGGTCTCCGAGGGCGCTAATGCTAAACACAGTGCGCTCGTAAATTGCGGAGTGTCGTTGTAACTTTTGAAAATTTGCATGTCTAAAAATGCAGTTAAATTCGAGTTTACGACCTTTATTTCTTTCTTTTTGACTTGAAAAACGTCTAGAAAACAATATTTTACTGATTGGAAACCGTTCGTTACAGAATTTAGAGTTTTCATGTTTTTAGAGTCTTTTTCGCATTTCGCCAAAACTTCAAACTTTATATTTCAACTCATTTTGCATTCCATGAGCCCAACGAACGATAAAAATATTCACTGAATCTTTCTTCACAAAATTCAGGTTCCGGCGGTTAGTTTTCTTGAGCAGTTTTCGAAGACTATTCGAAAAACATCAAAATCCAGGCCAAAACCTTCAAATCGAAATAACTCGGCTAATTCTCAACGATATGTGAGATTGCTGTTACCAAAACGTGGCTAGTGCACCAAATATTCGAATCCAGGTTCCACGCGTACAAAAAATAGGTGTATTGTATAGAAAACATGGAAAGAACGCGAACTCCCGTTGAAAATAAATTAATCGGCCTCCGCGTAAATCGACACAGCCCGCCTGTTGCAAGTGCGCCTCGTTGAAATCATTCGCGCCGTGGGAGACCGTGCTACACGGGTTTTTGCTGTTCACGGTCTCCAGAGCTGACAATATGGGCGTGGCCTCGGCCAAATGACGTTTTCATGAATTTTCTCTGATTTTTGTGGTCAACGGTGATGAAAAATGATTGTTCGACATGAAAACACACTAATTCTCACAGAATTAATGACGTTTTGGCTCATTTTTCGCGGACTTTGCAACTGAAATTCACGCAGTTTTAGCCAAAAACCTTCAAACGGATAAATGTGATTTGCGACTTGACCAAATTTAACGCTCTTGCGCTTAAAAAATTCGTAATGGCCCATACAATCGGTCTATCGAGAGACAAATGAGAAATTATCGGTTTTTCGTGGCTAATCTGGCAAAAAACACACATTTTGCTGTTAAAATTTGAATTTCGCGCCAATGTATCGCTCTATTGGGCGGGGCGCACTTGCGCCCATTGTAAGCTCTGGAGACCGTGTGTTAGAAAAGCGTTCGTCGCGATCGATACACTGAAATTGCAGCTCTGCGATGCAAAGGCGCGAAAGAGCAGACGGTGTGGGCGGTGAACACGTCGTCGCCGTGGTTCTGGGCGCCGCTGGGAGTGGTGACGGGCGTAATGATCGCCGCGATCGTGCTCGCAGTGATCTATTGTGTGTGTCTGCAGAAGAAGGCACCGACGGGACCGGCGAGCAGTGGCGTCACCGGGAAGAAGCCCGTCTCCGGCATCGAGTACACCACCACCAGGACCGAGTCGGCGAATGCAACCAAATGATTATTATACGTGCTCTTATTTTTCCATTGTTCTACTCGCAAAATGAACAATCATTTTGTGAGACAAAAAAAATGAATAGCAACACCTATGATTACACACACTCCATGTTTTCTAAAATGCTCGAAGACTCGACGATCGGCTCCGCCACCAGGTGACTTTTCCGCCAGTACGCTTCAAAAATTATGAGACCAGAAGCACGGCGGCTCATCTCATCTGCTTTAGCGATTCATTGAAAAACGACAAAGAACAGTGTTTCGATGAGGTCCGAACGGGATTCTCCGCTTATTGTGTGGCGCAGACGTCGTTTGGCAAAAGTGAGCATGACCGTAAAACGCAACTAATCTCGTGTGATAAGACCGTCAAATTGGCGACCAAAAGTGTAGAAAGGGGGCGTGGCCTAATCTGAGACGCGTTTTCTAAAAATTTCCGCAATTTCAGCACTTTTCCGATATTTTTGTGTTTGATATCGACGAAAGAAGAGACATTAAAGAGAGAAAACATTGAAATTTTCGTGAAAACGCCGCGTTTGAGACGCTAACGTAAATATCAGACACTAATTGGGAGTGAGTGCAAGCGCGCTCCATTGGACGCGGGAAATTTGAAAGCAAATTGGGAAGGGAGAAGTTTTTATCACTTGTAAAATTTTTTGATCGAATGTGATCAACTGATAAAATGTATAGCAAAGTGAACTCTAATCATAAAAAATAATTGTAAATTTAACTTTTCATACAAAAAGGTTATTCGATTTGTTCCGTGAAAAAGGGGGCTAACAGAAGACGGAAGGAAATTTACTGTTAAGCATCTCGTTGTATCGCTATTCGAAATTGGCCCTTTATTGACCGGAAAAAGGAGAGTTCAGTGAAATCTCCTTCTCCGTTATAGTTTCGGCACTAGTATACGTTTCATTCCCAAGTACTCAGGCCTGGGCGAGTTACCGGTTTCACAGGAAAAAAAACCAACGAAAAACACAAAAGGCGAAGAAGAGGCGATTATCAGGGCGCGCAATCATGGAAACCGGGGAAATGAAGCTCATGAATGGCCGAAAATTCAGGGAATTGTGAAAAGTAATGTATGGAACCATTGCAGACAACCTCTTCGAGGTGATTCGTATCGTTCTTGGGGAAGACGAGAAGTTTTCCAATAAATTCCGACAATTTTCTGAGCCGTCGTCAAACTTTTTCAAGATAATCTCAGACTTTTTCCAGAAATTCTTAAACTTTTCTAAGCAATTCTCAAACTTTTCCAAGAATTTCTTAGGTGGCGCCTGGAAAAGTTTAAAAATAGCTTAAAAAAAGTTTGAAATTTTACCTTTTTTTCCTTACCTTTCCTGGCTTTTCTCCCTTCCCAATTTGCTTTCAAATTTCCCGCGTCCAATAGAGCGCGCTTGCACTCACTCCCAATTAGTGTCTGATATTTACGTCAGCGTGCGTTTGAGACGTTTTTGGCATATTTCGCAATACGCTCTCCGCGGCCAATCGCCGCCGCAATTTCGGAATTTTCATACCGGCCAATCTGGATAGTTTTGAGACGAAATGAGTGTCGGAAGTGATTAAGCACGTTAATACAAGTATTTTAAGCGCTGAAACGGCAAAAAGTATCGGCGAATGACTGAAATTCGCGCATTTTCAGCACAAAACTTGAAAATCGATTGAATTGATTCATTTCTGAATGAAACCTGCTCGTTTTAAACTCAAAAAGTGCGCGATGATTAGTTTAACAAAAGTTATGCAATTACATCGCCGAAATCAGCCAAAATTTGGGTAATTTTTGACGAAAAACATGTGAAAAATGGGGTTAAATTTCGAAATTCGCGCCAAAATGGTAGGCAACGCCGCTTTCTACGTTTTTGGTCGCCGTGGATGGCTTTTTAGGCAAATGCGAAACGCTCGTGACGAACAGTATGTGGGAGTTGTGTCAGTATCTCGTCGATTGTGAGTTCTCACCTCTCCAATCAACTCCATAATATGCATTTAGTCGCGCCGTGCAAATCGATCGAGTACAGTGGTTCGGACGTGCTCTCGTCGCCCCTCTTCTGGGCACTCGCCGGTCTTTTCGTCGGAGCCCTCGGCGCTACTCTCGAATTTCTCGTCCACTATTATCTGTGTCTCAGAAAAAAGCAGAAGAAGGAGCAAATGGCGCTGTTGGGGAACACCACTGCTTCCTCGAATCTCACTTCTACTCCTTCCAAATCTCCTGAATTCGGTCAACAATAATAACTGTCTTTTTCTCTTGCTAAATAAATGTCATTTTGACGAACGAGTTGGAAAAAGGGAAGCAACGAAGCCGGGAGCCGCTCCCACTTCTTTTCTCAGTCCCCCACCGCCCAGACGACGTTTGTTCTAGAGGAAATGGATCAAAAAGTGTACTCATTCGAGAAATAAACTAGTTATCACCAAAAACACCGAGGTTTTCAAGTCTTGAACAACGCAAGGTGACATGAATAAATAATGGGTTAAAATCAGAATAAATGGACGGAGGAAACTGTAATATTTTAACGACGATCTTTTCGGTCGTTACGACGATGATCCCGATCCCGATCCCGATCACGATCACGATCTTCTCGGTCCCTGTGACGACGATGGTCCGGGCTTCTGGAAAAATTGAAAAATTTATTCAACGCTTGTTGTCCAACCTCCAGCGCTCGTCTCTGTGCTCCCTGTGTCGGTCCCGGTCTCTCCGATCGTCTCTTCTGTCGTTTTCTCTGTTTCTCTCCTCTTTTCGCTCTCTTTTCGGCGACGGCGACTGTCTTTTCCGTCTTTTCTCGCCTTCCGACGGACTTTTTCGGTGCGATCGTTTCACTTCCGAGTGCCGACGATGCGACGGTGATTGTGGTGGGCGACGGGCGGAAAACGAAGAGGAAACCGATGGCGGCGGTGGTGGAAGTTGCTTGGATTCTGAAGAACAAATTGTGGTCGTACACTGCGTAGGTGAAGGAAAAATGAAAATTCTAATCGGTTTGAGGATCTATCAACTAAAAATGAAAGCAGAGGCCGAAAAGGCCGGGCTTTCGGCCACATTTTCTCCCCAAAACAAGGCGCTCACTCGGTTTGTACTTGTAATTCTGTGAGACGGATTGCGAAAAGTCGACGTGGATTCTGCGGTCGTCGATGAGCACGTTGTCCATTTTGAAGAAGGCGTTCTCGCAGCTCTTCGCCTCCGCAAACTCGATGAACGCGTACTGCAGAGAGTCTCCGCTGCGACGGTCCCGCACAATCTGAGGGAACCATTTAGTTTTGACATACTTTCTGAGCTCACCTCGCAATTATTAATTTTTCCGAATCGCGAAAAGATGATTTCGAGGTCTTCGTCGGTGGTGACCGGATTCAGTTTGCACACGAACAGCACGTTTTCCGGCGGTACTTCGTCCGCGTCGCGCAAATCTCCCACCTGGAGAAACATTGACAATTATTGCGGGGATTCACACTTCACTTTTACCATTTCGAGGATCTGCGCCTGCTCGGCCATTTCGCGTTGTTTCAGCTCTTCGGCAATCTCCTCGGCCGTTTTTCCCTCGTCTTCGTCCTCTTTTTCGTCCAGAGCGATTTGGTCGGTCTGCAAAATGTTATTCTCTTTATCTGCTCGTTCAAAATCACATTTTGCTTTCCAGGCTTCAATTGTTAGATGCACGTTTTATCAAAAATCAAAATTGCAGTTCTAAACAGTACCTTGACGAGCATTTCATAGGTTGGCGACGGAGATCTCGACGGATACGTGATTCTGGAGTCATCTTCGAACGGATCGTCCAGGATTATAGTGTGGGAGATTCTGAAAATTCAAAAAAATAAGAGAGTTATGGAGGAACCCCCGAAAATATTCGGTAATATCGTATTTTGCATGAGCAAATCGATAATGTCCATAAAAATGTCCATAGAAATGTACCGAATGTCCCTGAACGGTTTGTGATTCACGTCGGTCAGTTGCTCGTTGAGCCGCTCCAAAGTCTCCAATCCCTCTGTCACTTGGCCGAAAATCGTGTGCTGCTCGTCCAGATAGTCCAGATTTTCGCCCAACGTGATGAAGAACTGGCTGCCGAGCATGTTGTCTCCGTTGTTTACGAAAGAAACGATGCCCATGCGGGTGTGGCGCATTTTTGGAAGATCCTCCCGCTCAAAGTACCGGCCCGGCTCGCCGTACATTTCACTGAAAAATGGGCGGGAATAAAGAAGCTTCTGTTAGTTACTTTCCAAAATTTTCAATAAAAGCATTTGTTCGATTTTTACTGTTTCATCAACTTCATTAGATGACCAAATGTTTCAAATTGATTTCTCGGTTCCAAAACTCATATTGTACTTAGGTACCGCAACGGGTTTCACGAAACTCCGAATTTTCATAAAATTTTTGTTGGAATGTGTTCCCCTACTCTATATGAGTACGCTCCCAATTTTTTTTTCCAAAATTTTCGGTACATCCCGAGTTACACCCGTTCAAAGTTGCCCTGTTTTCTCCCGGGTCGGCGGCAGGGGAGGGGCGTGGCCTCGCTTGCAAGTTTGCCGCACGCGTTTTTTCTCATTATCTGGTGGACCAAACCAAAGAGTCAACATTTTAAATGAACAGAAATGATGTTCTAAAAAAGCAAAACCACTTTTGAGGTCAAAAGTTTCGAACCCGAAACCTCAAAATTGCCGAGCGAGCACTCTGCCACTGCGCCACCCAGGTGGAGGCGCGCCCACCGTTAATCGCGTTGAAAAGCTCGGTGTGCGCGGCCCCTTACAGGGGTGAAGTTAGTGCATTTTCGCGCTGAAATTCGAAACATATCTGACTGTAACTTTTTTCGGCAACGTGGAAAATTTTTATGCTAAACGGAATTTTGTTGAGAATTTCACGCAGAATCCGATTCCGTAAAAATTAGCCGTGTGAACGGTACCTGTGACCCTCAAATCCTCGAAAAACTAAAATTTCGGCTGAATAGGCTTTACTCAATCGAACACAAAAATGCTCCTAGGGTGTCTAGAGCTCTCAAAATTTATATTTGGGTTCTCAGAGAGTGTATCTATAGATTCCGAAATTAAAAAAAAGGGGTCATCGCTGAAAATTTTCCGCTAACTTTTCTGGCAGTTTGAGGATCTATAAAAAATTTCGGCAACGTGGAAATCTAAATTTTACTTCAAAAACGGATTCCCCATCCCTTAAACTATCGGAATCACTTGAAAATAGGCGTGTTATCCCATAAACTTGGCCACACAGGCTCTCAGACTGACTTCCATTTTCGTTTTCGCCGTTTTTTGGAAAAACGGTGCGTTTTCACGGGAAACTGAGTTGTTCATTGGATTCAGCATGGTCGATTACATAAAGTAAATCGTTTTGGGTATGGTACTTCATTTGGGGACCTCGGTACAGACCGTCAAACACGCGCGCGCGAAAATCGGGAGAAAATTCGTCAGGCCACGCCCCCTTTGTTGCGCCCCCTAATTGTACTTTGATAAATTTCAAAAAAAAAAACCTAAAAATGGATTCGCCTCCCTTTCCGGTGCCCGTCGGATCGCCGCTTTGTGCCACGTAATTCCGTTCGATACTGTGGAACTGATTCAGATTGTAATACCTCTTTTTGCACAATTTCAGAAAATTTGTGGCGCCTGCAACAATTGCAAATTAGTTTTTTTTATGAATTGTGCCACGAAATTGTACATCTCGGTCGTTCCTTTACAAATAAGTCGATAACGAGGTCGCCGAGTGTGGTCTCCATCAAGACTGACATCTACAAACAATTAGTACAATATTTATAAGTTGATATTTCAAAAAGAAATAGTAAAATTGGCTCGAGCAACCGAGAACAACTCGCAACAATTCAATCAAATACAATTCTATTTATTGTCAGCGAAAAAAAACCCAAGGAAAGAAAGAAGTGCCGGAATTTTTTGATTGATAAAACATAACCCAATCTCGTGAGAAATATACATTTTTACAGGAAAAATCACAGTGAATTTCTAGTCACTCGTCGCCGATTTTTTGAACCATTTTCCAGTGTAGAGTCCTGAAAAAATCGCATAAAAGAAACCGCGCCGCCGCACGAATACCGCTTTAAAAATTTCGGGGTCGCTACGAAATCTGTTACTTTCGAGTAGCGAATGAAAATCGAATTAATTTTACATTATTTCACGATGAAAATGTTGGCGATGAGTTTCTCATTCTGACATAAACAAATTTTCTGTCGTTGGAGACTTCAGATGCGTGCCGCCGGAGAAATAAGACAGATTTTTGAATGATTTCAATTTTGAATGGATCAATACACTTCCTCAAAACAAAGAGCAATGAGAAATAGTAAAATTAATTCGATTCTGACGAGTAGCACGCACAATCAATCGCTAGTCGAATATTGCAGTTTTCGTAGTGACTCCGATATTTTTTGCAAATTTTTTGCTGCTCTTTGCAAGTACTGGTCATGAATAACACGTTCACGAAGAAAATCCGACGGCGTCGCAAAATGTCAGCCGGAAAGCGCATAGAGGGCGGCGGCGGCGGCAATATTGCCCACGCAGAAACATTTCCGGTGGAATTTCTGCTTTTGCCAGACCGCGCCCATCTCTGGCTACGGCCGTTGCTGTCTTCTCGAACTTACCAGCAGCCAATCCTCCAACTCCCGCACAAATTCCAGCTATTGTCGATCCGGCGGCAAGCCCCACAGGCCCTCCGACAGCCAGTCCGCCGACGATTCCGGCGTAGAGGGGAGCCTGAAAATTAGACTAAAATGCGAATTTTCGCTATTGATACCTTCGCGGCTTTCGATTTGACCGCCTTCTTCAAATTCTCATTTCCTCGTTTCACATCCTCGTTCGTTCGTTCGATGTTTTCCTTCAAAATAACATTTGTAACGGATTCAGGCGAGGAACTAAGAGTTGTGTACCCCTCTGGTACACACAAAGCATTCGTCTTTCTTTCTCTCCACGTTGTCTCTCTCTCTCTGCACGCACACACTCTCTCGGTACCGCAAACTCCCAACTTGAGTACACTTGCTGTCTCCGTTTTGCCACGTCATCACGGGCTGTCTTGTCTTCCTTCTCGCTTCTCCGAATCTCTGATTATTCTTCTGTCCATTTATTCAATCCCGAATAAACGTGTAACATCTAAACACCAAGCTTCCGCTCACTCTCTACCTCGTCAGGCACGATCACTTGGAAACACGACCAAACAACTTTCTAAAAAATGCTGTTGAAACAGTAACTTTTCTAGATTTTCAGGTAAAAAAAATTCCGCTTCAGCAAAAACTGAAAAACACAGCAAACACCGAGGGGCAATAGCGACGAGCTCAGTTTTTTTCCTCAAAAATGTCGCCTAAAATCGTACCTCGATAGAATCGACGACGTCGTGCTGTTCATGGACGATCCGTGCCAATTCCTCGAAAATCTTCCTGCAATCCTCCGTGTCCTTTTCAATTTTTCGCATTTGTTCCGCGCGTTCTCGCGTGTCCTCCGCCAATTGACGCATTTCCAGATCTTTCAGCGAAGTTTCTTGCAGATATCTGCAACAATTATTATGGGCTTCAAAAAATATACATAGAGGGCTCGAAAGGTAGAAAAAAACTTATTTTTAGAGGAGCTCACTCACTTTGAACCAGGCTATGCCCACTTTTTGTCAGAGATCAAAGATTTGGACCGTTAGACGTTTGTGGTCACAGCCGGGTTGAGAGCGAATGAAAATATACATGTTAATGTATCAAAATGACCAAGAACCACGAGACAGAGCGATTTGAATTGACAAAGCTATGCTGGAAAACGTTCTGAAAACTATGGCAGAGAGAGAGAGAGAGCGTCTCGTGGTCACATTTTTCTTCAAAGTTGTCGAATCGGGGCCATTAAAAAAGGAAAATGATCCTCTAGACGTTCTCTATGCAATAGACTTCACGAGGAGTAGTCGTCTCTTTTCTTGAACGTACAGCCGCCGTCTAAACAGTCACCTTTCGAGCCCTCCACCGTTTATTGCTCTTGTCTGCTTTAACCGAATTTTTTGCGACAGAACGTTGAACCACGAGACAGGACCCCCGCTGATCCCAAAATTTGAATAAAAACCTGCGTGACTCCATTTCGTACGGATTGTCTTCCTCGCCGTTTTCCATTTCGAACGGGTTCGATCCGACGGCGGGCGACGCCAATTGTGGAAGCGTCTTCGTCACGTGCAACTGCGTTTTTATTTGTTTTCTGAACAAAATAACATTTCAACAAATCAAACAAATGTTGTGAGCCAAAAGACGAACCGAATTGGCTCGACGACGGCGTCGAATTCGTGCTCCTGCTGCTCGTCGTCCATTTCGGCACGCACTCTCAGAATGCCGCGGAGACCGTCCTCCAAATCTTTTTCGTACGTCGCTATCTGCCAAAAATAATACAATTTTTTTCTGAAATAAGGTGAGGGAGAATCATCATTCTTATTTAATAAAAGTCTTCGCGGAAATCACGTCAAAGTGTTTATCTTTTTTAGTAAAGCTGCATTACCGTCATCAGAAAAAGATTACCGAGTTTCTAAGAGCCCGATTATCGCGAATTCCGCCTTGAAGGGCGATTTTCTGCAAACTTTTCAGCTCCTGCAGCTGCCGATTCGCCGTTTTTTCATAAAAACCGACGAGCGCCGTGAATCGCTTTTCCGCGGCGCTCATCTGAACGAAAAAATGTTTGAATTGTACAACAAAAATCCAAAGATAATCAAAATTCGTTCAAGTTACGAAAACATTACAAACAAATATCTTTCTAGTATAAAAATAATTTATATCAGTCAATTTCACAATGAGACATGCGAGAATCGCAACAAAACATTAGAAATGAATAGAAGACGAATAGTTGAGGGAAGACACACCGTCTGAAGAAAGCGAGATGATCACCGTTTGAGTTTTGCCAAAAATTTGCGAATTTCCTTGTGATACGGTCTGAAAAAGGGGGGATAATTAGGGTAAAATACTGAATTAAAAAACCGCAAAAGTCTGGCAATCGCGCTCTGCCGCTTTCCACGTGAAATCAATGCAATATTGGAAAAGGAAGGGGCCGCGGCCGAGATTTCACGGAGGATTGCGGTAGAGCGAAATTGCCAGAATGTTGAGATGCTCATACAAATTTTGAATCTTTGTTATAGACTAAACCACAAGAGGCATCTGCCTGAGCGCCGCAAAAATAACGACGGTCTTTTTACCACTTTTTTGCTCACCTTCCTGCGAGACTCTGTGCTTCCGCAATAGCTACCAAAGTCTTGCTTAACGGCTGAAACGAGCTCATTCCGCCCATTCCGAGCAGCGGATCGTCGAGTTCGGCGAGCATTCCGCGCGTCTTCCGCTCCGTCGCCACGTCGTTTTTCGCGCTCATTCCGAGGGCCATCACGAGCAGCGAATTGACGATTTTCTCGACGATCAACTCGAAACGCGCGGCCACCGAAATCAGGCCGGACAGGGCGTTTATCGATTTGATTAGCTGCAAACATTGTCTTTATAACTTTTTAAATTTGAAACTCACCTTAATACACATCCAATATTGTCGATCGTGAAACTGGCGACAGGCGGGGTTCTCCAGTTGCGTCGGCGAGAAAATCGGCATAAAAAGGTCTTTTCCGATCGAATCGCAAACTTTTTCGCGGATCGCTCCCAGAAGCGCCGTGAATTGTTTGCTGCGTTCGTTCAAGTTCGGCATCTTTTCGAAAATCGAACAGAATGTGGCCAAATTCCGGGTCTGCCGCAGGGACATTGGATCCCATTCCTCTCTTATTGTGTCTGCAATGTTTTACATAATTTGGGGCCGTCAAATTTGTCAGCTTTTCAAAAATTACCAATCAAAAAGGGAATGACGACTTTTTCGACGATCGCCGGCGCCAATTCGACCAGAATCGCGTGACTTTGATCGATTTCCGTGTTTTCCGAACCGGCCAGAACGGCCGTTCGGAACCAGTGCATTGACGTCATTGACGTTTCGTTCTGCAACAAAGAATTGGGTGAAGGTGGGTGGCTCTGCGTACTGTGCACTAAACCTAATAACTTGAACAAAGAACAGAAGAAAAGCGAACCTTCAACACATCGGCTCTGAGCATTTCCAATCGTACGAACGGCGAGCACAGTTTGGGAATGCACAATTGTACGTACGCGTCCTGGAATGATTTTCCGTCGACGGCGAGCCAGTCGGTCATCCGTCCGAGCACTCTTTTCACGTCCGAATACTCCTCGAGTGCGTCGGCGAACACGACCGCCGCCGCCGTCTCCGTCTCCTCTTCCGTCTTCCGATCGGCCATCGACTGCAGCGTCGGCTCCTCGTCGTCCGTGCTCAGGCCCTCTTCGTGGCTGATTCCCGAAAGGGTCGACTCGCGTTCGCGGCGGCGCCGTCCTCTGCAATCATCATTCTTATTTAATAAAAAGCGAACAGAGTTATCGATCTGCTTCCCGGGCGCTAAGCTTGGGAACGGGTGCTCAGTCTGTTTCTCCGTTTCTCGGGACAGTTCTGGCAGTTCGGCGCAACCTCATATAGAGTTTCTGCATAAATTTCGTGGTTTCGCAATTTTCCGATATATTGCGAAATTGTGCGAATTTTTTTTATTTTTCGCTTTCTGCTAGTAGACTTATTGCGCGAAAATTATTCCCACAAGTTATTTCTATTGGAAAATAGCCAAGATGTTCACCTCCTGGCCTCGCGTTCGGCGGCCCTGCTCGTCGCCTCCGCGGTCCTCACGACCTTTGCCTGCGTGCACTCGGCGTGCTGATCCATCGTGTCCTTCCGCCTGCGCCCGCAGATCCGCATCGTCCGCGCCCTTCCGCACGCCCGTTTCTTATCGATTATCTCGTTTATTTCGGCCACTTTCTCGTTGAGACACTCCAAAAGGGACCGGGAATAGATGCGCAGCTCCTGGTACATTGTGTACTTTTCACTTTGTTTCGGCAGTTCCGTTTCCAGCTGAAAATGAGCGTATTTGTGTTTGTTTTAAAAAAATTGTTCTCAATTCAGCTTTTGTAGTCCTACTTTTCCAATCATATTTCTGTTTCCATCCAAGTTCTCATTCATTTTTCTCGTTTCTTCTCTTCGGAAATTCAGCGCCTCTTCCCGTTCTCCGATTCGCAATTTCAGTTTCGCCAGAATATCCTCCAGTTTTATGACGCCGCCTGTGTTGGATGGTCCTGCAAAAAATAAGTGTATTTTCACAGTTTCAAAGTTTGTCACAAAAGTTAATTGCATTTTTTTTTGTTGCATTTAGCGTAAACAATCGTCATTTAGCATACACCACGGCGACCAAAAGTGTAGAAAGGGGCGTGGCCCAATCTGAGACGCGTTTTTTGAAAATTGCCGCAATTTCGCAATTACGGAATTTTCATACCGGCAAAAGAAATCGTAAAAAATTTGGGTAATTTTTTTCGAAAAACATGAAAAATGGGGTTAAATTTCGAATTTCACGAGAAAATGGTGATAAACCGTGCACGCCGTAATATGCACTTCTTTTCAATGTTATTGAACAGAGTTACCCATAAAAGCGGGTTTTCCGGTCGGAATCACTTCGATGTCCATGTCAATGTCCATGTCCATTTCCATGTGCTCTGCCGGTGCCACGTGGCCAAACAATTTCGCCGTATTCCTTTTTTCCGTTCGCAATTGACCAATCTACAATTCTGTTAGTCCCATCACGTATTTCAGTTGTTGCGGCAAAATTCCGCAGTTTTGTGAAGGGAGATGTCTATTTGACGTACTATTCGATGGGAATACTGTCAGTTGAGTCATCTGGATTTGAAATTCTGATCAGGGAACTAAATGTGCCCGCTGTCTCGTTTTCTTCGATTCGTCAAAGTTCCTCTATTGTCCAGATATATTATTCTAGGGCCTAAAAGCCCTGGTTTTTGAGAAAATGCCTTTCTTTTTGGCCCTAGGCCTGAGCAGCCCTGGGTCTAAACATTTCGGGCCCGAACAGTGACAACTATGCTTGTCCGCAGGGCCCACGGACCGAGAATCTTCTCTGGACAATAGACTTCGGGAAACCGGTAAATTCCCCAACTTTTCCGGGACATGTCCCATCTGGACGGCACTCTAGTGGCTTGAATAACGGCCTTTTGTTTGTATTCACACTTCTACCGAAACGAATATCCTTTTAATAAAACGCATTTACTTTTGAATAAAAACAGGCGTACCTTTCTGCCACTGACCGCCTTCTGAATCTGCTGTTTCTCCCACTCTTCCTCCTCGGAATCCCGCGCATTTCCCTCATAATTTTCCTCGATTTCTCCATTTTCTCGCTCCAAAAATCCCTCTTGTTCCTCCCGTTTTCGGTCCTCTTCGGTGCGAAGGAGCTCGCGCGCCGAATAGAATTTACTGGCGCATTCCTGAACGCGTTATTTGGGGGTTTTTAGGTTTTAAAAAATTAGGGAAAAAAATGTTGAAAAATCAAAAGGACACCAATAATAACCTCATCAGAATCGTCATTCTCATCCTCACGAATCAGCCGTCCTCGTTCATTCTTCGATTTTATTTTCTGCGTATCGTCCAGGGGAATATATCCGTCATTGCCCTCGCGTCTCGCCCGTTCTCGCCGCTTTTTCGCCTCGAAAACCGCCCGAGAATCCGGAATTCCTTCAAAAATAGACGAGAACTTGTTGGTGACGCTGCTGAAAAGCAATTACAAATTTTAAATGGAGAAATTGAAGCAGTAGTTAAGATTTTGGGCTTGAAATTAATTAATTTCACACAAACCTGAGAGTATCCGGATCGATATCCAGGTGCTCTTCAAACTCGAAATTGTCCGAATTCGACACGTGTTTGGCACTTTTGTCTCTATATTTATCCAAATATTTCCGTCGCTCGTCTTTCGTCTTCTTCTCCTCTTTCGACTGTTTTTCCCGTTTCACCACCCTCTCCAACGCCTCTTTCCGCTCTTTTTCCTCCTCTTTCCGGAACTTTTCCGCTTCTTCCTCCAATTTTTGCTGTCTTTTCAGCTCCTCCACCTTCTTTTTGTCTTTTTTCAGCTTGAAAGACGAGTCGGCGCCCTCGTCGACGTCGAAACTGAACGCGGCGCGTGGTTGCGCTGCTTTTTTCTTCTCGAAAACTGACGACTCTTCCGTCTCTTCGTCTTTTTCCTCGTCACAAGTATCGATTTTTCGCTGACGGATCGCTCCTTTTGCTTTCGGCTTACGGAACATTCTGGAAAGTGAGAAATTGAAGAAGAATGGCAAAATTTGTGTTAATTCGAAAAATGGTGTGACTTTTTCGCAAAATGTCGACAAATCGAGTGCCGAGTACGCAAACACTGACAGGCACAGAAGAGGCATTTCAAATGACGCACAATTTTTATTCTTTTTTAAAAATTCTTTTCGAACTCTTTGGCAAGCAGAATTGTTGGTTTCCGTGTGAAATTTGTTCTGTTCTGTATTGAAATGTGTGAAGAAGTATTGACTTTTCAAGTTTTAACTGTTCTCGCGTGAAATGTTGGTGTAAATCGATAAACTCCAATTGATTTTTCGATTTTCGAAATTCTCGCTCGATTCGAATCACTTTAGGTGTTATCCTGCAGTTTTTTGTCAGAAATTAGTCTAAAAACACAGTTTTTCAGAAATGGGCGACTACGTGCCCGGATTCGAGCAGCGCGAAAGCGACGCCCGTAGTTTCGGCCATTCCCGGCTGCCGACGCTCGGCGCCATCCCAGTGAAGAACGAAAAAGGACAGACTGTAATGCAGAAAGTGAAAGTGTCCAGATATGTGGCCGGAAAAGCGTGAGTTTTGGTTTTCAACAAAACATTTAAATTTCAGAAACCTGAGATAACCTGAACATCAGTTTTCACAATTCTAGGCTCTAAATTAAATTTTCTTGGGAACTCAAATGAAATAATTTGCAGTCCCGATTACGCTCGAAACTACGACAGCGACGAGGACGATGATTTGGAGAAACACGAAAAACGTCGGGAAAAAGAGGGGAAATACGAGAAACGTCGTCGAAATCGTCGTTCTTCTTCGAGCAGCGAATCCGACTCCAGAAGACGTCCGCACGCTTCAGAATCATCTAGAAGACGTCCGGTGGAACGACCGGAAGTTCTGGGAAAAGATGAGGAGGAATCGGAGAAATCGGGCGATTCGTCAGAGGACGACGTTGAAAAACAGCAGGAAAGACGGGAAAGAGCACGGATGAGACGGTTGGAGCTGACGGAAAGAAACGAGGAGCCGAAGGAGGAGCCAGAAGACGTGGCGGAGGATTCTGACGAGGAGGAGTACGATAGAAGACGTGAGCAGTTGAGGCAGAAGGCGTTGAAGCGCGAGGAGGAGCTGAAGAAGGAGATTAAAATGGAGGAGGAGGATGAAGAAATGGAGGATGAGGATTCGGAGGAGTCTGAGGAGGATTCAGATGAATCCGAAGATGATGACGACCCAGTGCCACGCCTGAAGCCGATTTTTACACGGAAAAAGGATAGAATTACACTGCAGGAGCTGGAAAAAGAGAAAGAGCTCGAAATGCAGAGGAAATTCGAAGAGGAAAAGCGGGCCGAAGAGAGGAAAAGGGAAAGTGCGAAACTGGTGGAGAAGGTGTTGCAGGAGGAGGAAGCCGCCGAGAAACGGAAGACCGAGGACCGCGTGGACCTGAATTCGGTGCTCACCGACGATGAGACCGAGAATATGGCCTATGAGGCGTGGAAATTGAGAGAAATGAAGAGATTGAAGGTGAGACCTTTCTTGTTTCGAAATAAAAATGTATTGCAGAGAAACCGGGACGAGCGTGAAGAAGCGGCGCGCGAGAAAGCGGAACTCGAACGGATCCACGCAATGTCCGAGGAGGAACGCCTGAAATATTTGCGCGCGAATCCGAAAATTGTGACGAATAAACAGGACAAGGGCAAATACAAGTTCCTGCAAAAGTACTTCCATCGCGGAGCCTTCTTTTTGGACGAGGAGGACGAGGTGCTCAAACGGAACTTCGCCGAGGCCACCAACGACGATCAGTTCGACAAGACCATTCTGCCCAAGGTCATGCAGGTGAGACAGCTTTTTTTAAAACATTTTACTCGAAAAAATGCGACAACAATTTCAGGTGAAAAATTTCGGAAAGGCGTCGCGTACCAAGTACACGCACTTGACGGCCGAAGATACGACAGACCACCAGGGCGTTTGGGCGTCGGCGAACCCGCTGAACACTCAATTCTACTCGAAAAGAGCCGCCGGAGCCCGCCCCGTCTTCGAGAGACCGGCGCCCAAAAAGAAGAAGAATTAGACAATTTTACGCATTGTTTCCTAAATTGTTTGCTGAAAACCATTGAATTTCCATCGAATTTCCATTTTTAATTATTTATGGCTGGGCAATTGGCCGGCCCTTGAAAGTGAGACTGAGACTTTTGAACCGCTTGCAATATTCCGATCGAGCCCAAACTGCAAACTATTTGGACATTGATCGAAGTATATTAGGTCCAAGTCTCAGCCCGATAAGGTCATCTGGTCCCGGGTCCGATCGAAATATTGCAAGTGGCTCAAAAGAGACGAATCCTGGATGTTGTAAGCTTTTGCCTTTTTCATCTCAATTTATAAATAATATTGTTCTTTCTGTCGTTGTCTAAATATCTTAGCACTTGAGGCCCTTATTCTGTCACTCAGGCCCTTATAGTACATTCATTTTAAAATTAAACAAAGAAAAAACTTACACTTGGCAGCAACAGCATCCCGAAAAAATGTGGAGGGAATATCTTTCTACCTTTGAAAAAGTTGTACGATTTGACTGAAATGTACAACTTATACCAAGAGTCGAAAAATGCTGTGTTTGTCAGGAAATGAAAACTAGCATACATTTTAATATAATTCTAACTTTTTTATAGTCCCTATCGTTTTTTGAACGTTTTGGTGTCTTTTGACGCCGAATCTTGTTCTTACTGATCATATCAGGCATTTCTGATTTTAGACAAATAGTGCAAAGGTAATAGATTCGAGAAAAATCACTTTTACACGGCGACCAAAAGTGTAGAAAGGGGCGTGGCCTAATCTGAGACACGTTTTCTGAAAAAAAAAAGCCGCAATTCCAGCACTTTTCCGATATTTTTGTGTTTGATATCGACGAAAGAAGAGACATTAAAGAGAGAAAACATTGAAATTTTCGTGAAAACGCCGCGTTTGAGACGTTTTTGGCATATTTCGCAATACGCCCTCCGCGGCCAATCGCCGCCGCAATTTCGGAATTTTCATACCGGCCGATGTGGATAGTTTTGAGACGAAGTGAGTGTCGGAAGTGATTAAGCACGTTAATACAAGTATTTTAAGCGTTCAAACGGCAAAAAGTATCGGCGAATGACTGAAATTCGCGCATTTTCAGCACAAAACTCGAAAATCGACTCAATTGATTAATTTCTGAATTAAACCTGCTCGTTTTAAGCTCAAAAAGTGCGCGATGATTAGTTTAACAAAAGTTATGCAATTACATCGTCGAAATCGGCCAAAATTTGGGTAATTTTTGACGAAAAACATGTGAAAAATGGAGTTAAATTTCGAATTTCGCGCCAAAATGGTGATAAACCGTGCACGCTAGGCCACGCTCTTTTCTACGCTTTTGGTCGCCGTGTTTTATCACAAAAAAAGTAGAAAAAACCACCGTAAACGTAAAATCCCAGCCCTGATCCTAAATCATCCGATTTTTCTACTTTTAGCTACTTTGTCTCCCCTAAAGGAGACATTCCAAAATTAGAAAGCGGACGCTAAATTTCTTTAGGTCATTCCCAGGTTCGCACCTTAAACTTGGGTAATTAAACCGACCCAAACGCTGCGTCGCCGCTCTTCAACAGTGCGCGCAACCGACACGTCCGGTAATTTTAAAGTTCCAAAAATTTAGATTTTTTAAAAGTTCAGAGTTCTTTCTGTTTAAAATGACAGCGAAAAAGGCGAACTAATACGAAAATCAAACAAAAGTTGGGGGCAAAAAAGAAGAGTTTGCTGTTCGCATTTTTTGGTGAACTGTCGAGAGAAACATTGTCGAAAAAGCTTTTTTAAAAAATGTTTCAGTGAAGTTGTTTAAGACATCAATTTCAAGAAACAAACGGTTTCCTATCTATTTTTCTGATGGGGCTATTCAGCGTATGTTTGTTTTCCGTTTTTTTTTCGTTTTTTTACATCGCTGAATTGGATTTTTTGACGTAAAAAAACTAAAAAAACGGAAAACAATCATTTTTTTACAGCCTTTTTTACAGCCCCATGAGTCTTCAAAAATGCATCCATCTTGTTTCTCCTTTTTCGAAAAAAGGAGGGGAATTCCGCATTCGTCCTTGCTTTTTTAGTCGGTTTTGTCCATTTCCATTCATTTTCAAGGTTTTTCCCCCCTCCCTTTTCGGTTGCCGGCATTATTTCTGGGCCATGTTTTCGTGTTTGCAAAGTGTCCTATTTCGGAGGCAATCGAGGTTTTCGCATTATTATTTTTTCTCTGATTTTTCTCGCTTATTTTCTGTCCATTTTCACAGCTTTTTCCAATGAAAACCGAATTTGTCACTAGAAAATTAACAATTCTCTTCAAATCGTGTCGAGACCCGCTGCTCCGAGACACGGTCTGCGCCTTTAAATGGCCTACAAAAGACCGCCTTTCGGCAATTTTTCTGATTTTCCCGCATTTTCGACCGGAAATGAGCCGAATTCTCCGCATGTTTTCCGTTTTTTTTTCGATAAAAATGCGTTCAATCACATTTTCTTATCAATTTCGACGCAAGTGGGCGGACAGACGACCAGATGACCAAATATGGGGGCCGATGAGTCACCCTTTTCAATATTTCGCCCCTTTTTTGTTCTCTTTTCCCGTCTGCCTCTTTTTGTTTATATTGAAACAATCGATTGCATTCGCTTTGTCGGCAGATGCGGAACTTTACGATTTTGTACTTTGTTGGCGAAAAAATTGGGCTTTTCCGATTTTTTACTATTTTTTCGGAAAGTTTATGGAGCTCTATGATTTTTGAACAGTCCTGCTATTCTTTTTCCACGATTTTTCATATTTACAGAGAGAATGTCCACCTTCTCCTCTTCGGAACGCGCCGAAAAGTCTGGAATCGCTCTGGAGGCCCAGCAAAAAATTCTCGGAAAGTACGACAAGAATCTGGCGGGAGAAATTCTTCAATGGGTCCAGGTGAGGCGATCTTTTCAATTTTTTTTTCTGGAAAGTTGAATTTCCAGGGAATCACCGGTCAATCGTTCGACACTCAGGGCGACGCTGACAATTTTGTCAAGGTTTTCCAGGACGGAAGCCTTTTGTGCAAGTGAGTAAAGAAATTTTAAATATTTGGGAAAATACATAAACATTTTCAGCTTGGCGAACGCTCTGAAGCCCGGAAGCATCAAGAAAGTGAACACGTCGGCGATGGCGTTCAAGAAAATGGAGAACATCTCGTTCTTCCTCAAGTTTGCCGAAGAATTCGTCCAAAAATCGGAGCTCTTCCAGGTTTTGCTCATTCTTTTCTGGATTTTAGACCTAATTTCTCTATTTTTCAGACTGTCGATCTGTACGAAGGTCAAGATCCAAATGCGGTGCTCATTTGCCTCGCCTCGTTGGCCCGAAAGGCACAAAAGTTCGGACGTGACGGACTCGGACCGAAAGAGGCCCAGGGAGACCGTCGCGAGTGGTCCGATGAGCAGTTGAAGGTGATTGTTTACAATGTTATGCTCAATAATTGCAACAGTTCAATTTCAGGCCGGCCAAAACGTGATCGGACTCCAAATGGGCAGCAACAAGGGCGCCAACGCCTCAGGACTCAATTTTGGAAACACCCGTCACATTTGAAGCTTTCTGGAATTTTCGAAACATTTTTTTCCTTCGGCTTTTCATAATAACGCCCCGTTTTGCATATAATTGTCCCTCCCCCCAAAAAAAAACGCATTTTATTGTAATGTTTTGCATTTTTCAAATGTTATGGTGAATTTTTATTGTATAACTTATAAGCGAGGAAAGACTAGAGATTGTGATGACTTTTAGAAAATTCAGGGGGGAAAATGATTATTTACAGGACTCGAGGTGGCGATTCAGATAGGCGCGTAGAGCAAATCGGCGGCCACATTTGTCGCATTCGAATCGTTTGTCTCCTGAATTTTGTTGTATTGTTTTGAATTTGTCTCTAGAATTTACCTGTATGCGTAAGCATGTGAGCTCTCAAATTGCTGCGATCGGCGAACGATTTGCCGCAATGTGCGCACTGAAACGGGCGAAGTCCTGTGTGGGAGCGGAGATGTCCCTGCAGGAGCCAAAGTCGCGAGAAGCGCTTTCCGCAGACGGAACACTCGTGCGAAGCGTTGTGCGTTAGAATGTGCATGCTAGAAATGTTTGAAAAATGTTTAATTATCTGTATCCCTGGAAAACTAGAGCTAGTACCAACCTCTCGAATGATAGATAGGTGCTTCCTCATTTTCTTATTACCAGTTATTACATAACTCTCCACCCCCTCGCGAGAATAGCGTAATATTCAAAGAGACGCAGAGAAAAGACAATCAAGAGTACAGGTGGTGATTGCGCAATATCCGACGAGGGGGGCAGGTGCGAATTGTTGGTGATTAAATAATAGTAATCGAAAAAGGAGGAGACGGATTAACCGGGGGGCAAAGAGAAAAGGATCAATTACACAAGGTATTAGTACAAGCAGAGGAGGACACTTTGAAATCGGACGGAAATCGGACAATTTCTAGTTCCACAAATGTAGTTAGCATGGAAACACAAAAATAGTTAATTGAATTGAACGTTTTGTAACCGATAGACAGTTTGAAACTAGCTCTAGCCACTATCAGTTTTTTCTTCTTTTTTTAAGGCAAAAAATAAAGCGGGACGGTTGGCAACCGACTAAGACACTTTGCAACTTGTAAAATGCATCAATCATGCGTTTTTACTGCTTTAACTGAAAATTGAATTGAACTGACAGACGTTTGGCAACTAGAATTTCAGTTTCAGACCTGATGTTTCAATGTTTCGTTTGCGGATATTGTTGACTTACCTCAAAGCGGGCATGCTCACATAAACCCGATCGCAATGTGGACATTGCTTCGCGTGCGGACTGTCCAAGGCCCGGTGCGTCTGAAAATTGATAGTCCACCAGGGCTAGACAATTGGAGTTTTCCGATCGGACCCAAACTTTGGAGAATTGTTGGACTTGGATTGAGGGCCGTTGGGACCAAGTTTCAGCCCGATCGGATCGTCGGCTCCCGAGATATGTGGATCATTAGCCGATTTTTTCCAAAAAGCCCGAGCTTCCGGCCAACGATTCACAAATCTCGGGTCTAGGTGCTCCGATCGGGCTGAAATTTGGTCCCAACGGCCCTTAACCCATGTCCAACAATCCTGCAAAGTTTGGGACCGATCGGAATATTGTATGTGCATTTTTCGCGGATTTCGCTTTTTCATTTTCGCCGCCGATCGCCGCCTAAAAACCGCACCTCTCATTTTGCGCTTTCTTGACCGTTTTCAGACAGAATTGGTTTTGAGAATGATAAATCACGTAAATACAAGAATTTTGAGCGCTCGAACCGTGAAAACTACCGAAAAGCAACTGAAATTCACGCAGTTTTATCCAAAAACCTTCAAACGGATAAATGTGATTTGCGATTTGACCAAATTTAACGCTCTTGCGCTTTAAAAATTCGTAATAGCCTATACAATCGGTGTATCGTGAGAAAAATCAGAAATTATCGATTTTTCGTGACTAATTTGGCGAAAAACACAAAATTTGCTGTTAAAATTTGAACTTCGCGCCAATGTATCGCTCTATTGGGCGGGGCGCACTTTCGAAAACAATGCAAATTCTTTGTCGATTCTCGATTCGCATTGTCGCAGCAGTTAGTTCGAGACAGCAAATGCCATCGATTCACCGTTTCACAAGATACACATTTTCACGAGGCGTGAACGAGTCTCTCTCTTTCTTTTCAAATAAATGTACCTGTTTATGTCGGCTCAAATTCGACGTCGTCGCGTAGCTTTTTCCACACAAATCACATACACATCGGTGCGAAGAGCTGGAAAAAAATTGCAGGCGTCAGTAATTAATTATTACATCATGGCCGCAGCAGCAGCACCTTTTTTTATTCAAACTCCTCCGATCGGAATTGTGGAGCGAGTCCAACGTGAAACTGGTTGTCGAGCAAGTGGGAGACGGAGAAGAACTCACTCCCTCTTCTTCTTCTTCTTCTTCTTCTTCCTCTTCCTCTTCCTCTTTTATCTCCACTTTCGGACACAAATTCAGAATATTCTCAATTGAAAATTGTGCTCCAGACGCTCCTGGAGCACTTTGAGAGCTCCGTGAGCTGTGCGACGACGATGATGGCGATTGTTTTTGGAGCAAATTCATCAGATTCCATATTTGCGATTGGAAATCTGAAAATTGTATTGGATTTTTACAGGGAGTCTTATGTCAAAACCTACCAAAAAAAGTGGAAATATCGGGTGGAGGTGCGGCGGAAATTTGTGAAAATATTCCAGAAGCCGTCGCCGCCGAATTATTATTAATATTAATATTATTATTATTATTGTTCGGAACTACGATAGAGTTCAGACTCAAATTTAATTTTAAATTCGACTGACTCGCCGACATCATTTTTACATGGAAATGAGCGCGCCTGTAGAGCCCGGCTCAGCAGAGCTCCACTAAAGTGGGCGGAGCCACGGCATCTGATTGGCGGGCCGAAAAAGGGGCGGGGCTTAGCGAGATGGTCCCTGAGGACCGTCCGAAAAGCTGGCTGGTAGGCGAATAACCATGGGAAATTGCTGAGACGGGAAATGGTTACAAATGGTTTGGTTTGTCCATAAGTTTTTTGGTCTGTATCTCCTTAGCGAGCAGAGATAACAAAAAGGTGTCAATTACAAAAATGAAGACACATGTTTGGGCTATAAAACTCTAGTTGGCCGCTTTTTGAAATCTCCACTCGCTCGCAAGTTATGCTCGTTTCCGAGTGATCACTCTCAAACTGGTATTTGGTTCAAAAACGCAGAAAGCGCTACCCAAAAAAACTGCTCCATTAGCCAACCGGCTCACGGCTCTTTTTGAGCGGAATTGCGTGGGCAGATGGGGCAGGTGACAGTCAGTTCATGACCTGTTACATCATTGGCTAATTTCTCGGCCGGCTGTCTCTATATTACTTGTATTTTGTTATTATATTATCGGCTCACTAAATGCACGCGAAACGGCAGCTTTATTTGACAATGTTTTGAGGAGAAATGAATCTTTTTAAAAAAAGCGCCGATATTGTCCGTTTCTCGTCGTAACGCAGGTCGAGTAGGAGCATAAAAGGGTACAAGAAACGCGTGTACAACACCCGCGCACTTGAAAAAATGAGCTCTCAATGAGAAAGAAGCACTTGTGAAGTGAACACACCTGTTTTTTCGAGGACAACAATATATTTCGTTAAATTGGCACCTCCTACAAAAGTGTGCCTACAGTACCCGCCCGTCACCATCAACAACTAAATATTATCGTTCTCCTAAATCATCTTGCATAACTTCTTCTTCCTCTTTTTCTTGCTCTTCGAAACCGCCCTTCTGTCGCCCTAATCGGCTCGTCAATCAACATGCTTTCACACAAATTTGCGACGAACCTTTCGGGTTGCGGCCGGTCGGTCACATATGGCCGCCCGTCAAAATTCAGCCTTTCGGACACGGGCGGAAACAGATGATATCTCAGCTGGAGACTACTTTCAATTGCATAATCTTTTCACTTTTGACTACACACACACACACACGCCGACGACGACGAGCACGCATAATCACGCACGGAATTGTCGGGCAAAAGGGGTCGGATGGGTAATTATGGAGGTACAACGCGGGAATGTAACTTTTGAAAATTTACACGTCTAAAAATGCAGTTCATCTCGAGTTTACGACCTTTATTTCTTTCTTTTTGACTTGAAAAACGTCTAGAAAACAATATTTTACTGATTGGAAACCGTTCTTTACAGAATTCAAAGTTTTTCATGTTTTTAGTCCTTTTCGTCTTTTTCGCATTTCGTCAAAACTTCAAACCTTTATATTTCAGCTCATTTTGCATTTCATGACCCCAACGAACGATAAAAATGTTCGCTGAATCTTTGTTGACAAAATTCAGGTTCCGGCGGTTTGTTTTCTTGAGCAGTTTTCGAAAACTATTCGAAAAACATCAAAATCCAGGCCAAAACCTTCAAATCGAAATAACTCGGCTAATTCTCAACGATATGCGAGATTTCTGTTACCAAAACGTAGCTAGTGCTCTAATTATTCGAATCCAGGTTCCAGGAGTACAAAAAATAGGTGTATCGTACAGAAAACATGGAAAGAACGCGAACTCCCGTTGAAAATTAATTAATCGGCCGCCGCGTAAATCGACACAGCCCGCCTGTTGCAAGTGCGCCCCATTGAATTCATTCGCGCCGTGAGAGACCGTTCTTCGATCTTATTCCTCGAACTTCTTTAGGTCGTATTCATTGTGGAGCCCACTAGAGTCACTGTGTCGTCAATAACACTTTATTACAAAAAGTTATCATTTGTTGCGAGAGAACATTTTGATGCTGGCAGTCATAATCGACGAGGTTCCGGCCGCCGAACTGCCCATTTTACTCTTCTGCAAACATTGCGATTACTGCAATTTTCCCGGCTGATTACTGTACCTCCATCTTCTCGACGTCGTCTCCAATTTCAAACAAAACACACGCTTTCTCATCGATTGTCACTTTTTCGAATACGGTCGATTTCTGTTTTTCAGGCGGTGGCGGAATGAACTGCAAAAAAGTGGCAGACAATTATTTCTGTTTCAGTAGAATTACGAATTCTTCAACTCTGTTATCGTATTCGATGTTTGTGTGTGTAAGACCAGACTTGCCAGATTTCGGCCCGGTTCAAAAGGCGGGAATTCAAATTTTCGCGGAAATTGTTTTTTTCGTTATTACAAAAAAAATTTTCGAACTAAAGTTTTAGTGTTTTTTTTTTGTTCTTATTCACTCAGATCTCACTGAGTTTTTTCAAAAAGTTTTTCTTTTTATTCAAATTTTGTAAAACTACGTGTATGTGAAACATCGTTCAGCACTGCCGGATACCTACTTGACAAAAGAAGAACACGACTTCGTTGCGAAAAAGCGGAACTTGTAGTGCTCGGAGCACACATCGCTTCGAAATATCCAAACTGGATTGAGGGAAACTCTGCGAGTGTTGCATAAATATCCCATTTGTTACTTTTTGTTGTTTTTTGTTAATTGTTATTTTTCTAATTGTTTCTTCTTTGTTTTTTTGCTATTATGAATTTTTTATGAGAAATACATTTGTTTTTCAATGTTCGATGCTTGCAAAAAACCCCTAATTCTACAAAAAATGGCTTCATGCAATCAATAATTCAAATTTTGAATTCCCGCTTTTTGAACCGGGCCGGGCCAGAGTTTTGGAAATTTCGGCCCGGCCCGGCCCGTGGCAACTATGAGTAGGACTATTGATTTTGCTTATTTCACATTAGAAAAGTTTAGAAAACATTTTGAAACTTACATCCAGTGCAGTGGCGTGTGAAGTGATCAAGACGAGCGGTCCAAGGTTGGCAAAATACGGATCGGGCGCTTTTTCCTGGAAGAGACAAAGTTCGGCTTTTCCGAGAATCTCGAAAACCGGCGGCCGTGGCCGTGGCCTAGCAAAACCTCGGTTACCTTGCTGCGCTTCTTCACTTTCTCGGTGATTCTCTCCGACTTTTCGCTGCTCGAAATGCACGTTTTTGTGCTCGTCTCGACCGCAAAATTCCGCTCCTTCATCAACCGAGCCCTTGGGTGTATTTTCGGCGGCGGCGGCGGCGTCTCCTTTTTCCCTGTCGACTGTCCCGTCGCCTTCATTTCCAGATCACGATGTTCGCAGAATGAACATTGCGGTCCGAAAACTTGTCGTGTCCGCTCTGTTTCACAGTGTTTACATGTAGCAACGGGCCGAGGTTGCATTTGTTCTTCCACGTCGGGTAGCGTCTTTTTCGACTCATTTTTGTAATCTGTCTTGCACATAGTTTGACAAATAAGCGTCAGAAAGATGATAACAAACGTGTGGATAGCGAGAATAACGGCGAAGAAACCGAAGGTGAGGCCGATGAATTTTCTGCAGATTTTTATCGATTTTTTCGGAAAATCGTACGAAATTCAGCAAAATTTCGAATGCTCTGCGGTAATGCTCATTTTCAGACTGAACACGGCGAGCATTTGTGTGCATGGTTTCAATTTCCCGCCCGTATTTTGTCCTAGCGTATCAACTCATTGGCGTGCTAAAGAAGTACGGTTCGCGAGCGATAAAAACGGGCATGTTCACAAATGTTGGCCGTGCTGAAAATTTTCCATTTGTAAATGCGTTCTACTGCACAACTGCACAATTTTTCGATCGTGTTTAATCAATGTTCACGGTCTCCAGAGCTGACAATAGGCGCAAGTGCGCCCCGCCCAATAGAGCGATACATTGGCGCGAAATTCAAATTTTAACAGCAAAATGTGTGTTTTTAGCCAGATTAGCCACGGAAAACCGATAATTTCTTATTTGTCTCTTGATAGACCGATTGTATAGGCCATTACAAATTTTTTAAGCGCAAGAGCGTTAAATTTGGTCAAGTCGCAAATCACATTTATCCGTTTGAAGGTTTTTAGCTAAAACTGCGTGAATTTCAGTTGCTTTTCGGTAGTTTTCGCGGTTCGAGCGCTCAAAATGCTTGTATTTACGTGATTTATCATTCTCAAAACCGATTCTGTCTGAAAACAGTCAAGAAAGCGCAAAATGAGAAGTGCGGTTTTCAGGCGGCGAAGGCGAAAAAGCAAAATCCGCGAAAAATGCGCCAAAACGTCATTAATTCTGTGAGAATTAGTGTGTTTTCATGTCGAACAATCATTTTTCATCACCGTTGACCACAAAAATCAGAGAAAACCTGCTCAATTCACGAAAACGCCATTTGGCCGAGGCCACGCCCATATTGTCTGCTCTGGAGACCGTGATGTTACAAACCTTCCCTCTTCTTCTAAACTAAGCAGCTGATTTATCGTCGACGAACTTTCCGACGACGTATAAATTTGACACGTCACCCTTTTAATCGATAAATTGAGAAGCAATGGGAAAATGTATAAAGTGTCTGAAAATTCTGGAAACTTGAGCGAAACAAGAACAAAAAACTCACTGAATCTCATGATCCCATCGATTTTTTCCTTTTTTTGCTGTTTTTTGTCTCGCGGAAATTCTTGAGTTTGCCTCGTGGAAAAGTGAACATTTTTGACATTTCTTTTCGATTTGGGAAAACGAATTGGAAAGGTCACGAAGATTCCGAACACACTCCAAAGCAGGGCCGCGCAAATTTCGGTCTCAAACCAGTATATCTCGGGACATGGGTCTGTAACTTGGGCTCAAGATTCTTCAATCCGAGTCCATAAAGCCTGCAAAGTTTTGGCTCGATCGGATTATTGCAAGTGGGGCAAAAGTCCGAAAGCCTGGGCCGGCCTTCTGCTTCATCGACGGAATTTTTTATCGATTAATCACCTTGTTTTGCACCACAAAACAATCGTTTTAGCTGGAAAAAAGACGAATTTATTAACGAACACAATATCAATTCTCATTTTTGTCCGACAATTCTTCATTCACTCTTCTTCTCCTCGGTTTTGTCGATCCTGGCGCGGAAGAAGCAATAATAGATCATGATCGAGTAGAAAAGGACGGCTTCCAGACCGATGAGCAGCAGAACCCACCAGGTTATCGTAACTCTTCTGAAAAATCGACTGTTTAGGCGAGAAAACGAACGAAAAAAGTATTATTCTCTTACACAGCATAATCGCTTTCGACCGACATTTTCGCACTGCGCCAGTTGGAATCGTCGAATTTTCTGTAAAACAATTCAAAGTTTTGACAATGGCGAACAATTCCGCGCAATTTCAGTTGTGCGCCTTTAAACTACAGTAATTTGCGTTTGCTGAAATTTCGATTTTTAGCGAAAAACGGCGGCGGACACTGAGCGATTATGATAATTTAAAGACGCGCAACCGATAAAAATGCTAAATTTTCGCATTGAGAACCGTTTTTGGATGAAAATCACAAATATTGCTCACCTTGTTCAGGCAAAACGGAGACTATTATTATTTAGGGCATGTTTGTTGGTTTTTTCGTGAGAAACACGCAATTTCACGTTTCTTCTAATGCTGAAAGTCTGCAAAAATTTGAAGAAAAAGCGGAAAAAAAGAGGTCAAACAGGTTTATTCTTCTTTTTATCGAGACAACAGAAGCAGGTGAAAAAAATAATGAACAGCAGCAATTCGACGCATAACGCAGTAAGCAAATAGGCCGTGATATCGTCTCTGAAAATTTCCAGAACTTTTCAAAGTCACAAATATGATTTTATTTACAACACGGTGATTTCGCGATGGCGGTCTCGCGGAGGTTTCTAGTCCAGTGCCAGTTTAGATGTTTCTCAAACTCTAAACCGTCATTTTTGTCTGCATTTCTTTTTTTTTTTGAATCATGATCAAAACGAGCAAGCGGCAAAAATAAATTCGCAAAAATTACTGAGGTTCAGCACGAAATCAGTTTGGCGCACGGAAAACGGCTTGGAGAGCGCGCCGCCGGCCGGCGAAATAAGCAGCCGACAGTTCACGGGACGGGGACCGCCTCGCAAAGAATCACCGTGTACCAGAGTTGAGCGGAAGAATTCAACGGAAGAACACGGAAGAATTTTTTTATCTTTTTTAGAAATTTTTTTCATGGAATGTGATCAACTGACGAAATGTATAGCAAAGTGAACTCTGCTCATAGAAAAATAATTCGTAAATTTAGCTTTTTATACAAAAAAGTCTTCCGTTAGCCCTTTTTTCACGGAACAAATCGAATAACTTTTTTGTATAAAAAGCTAAATTTACAATTATTTTTCTATGAGCAGAGCACACTTTGCTATACATTTCGTCAGTTGATCACATTTCATGAAAAAATTTTCTAAAAAATATACAAATTCTTCCGTGTTCTTCCGCTCAACTCTGCCGTGTACAATAAAAAAACGACTAACTGATTGATCTCCATTAGCACCATCTTTGAAGCGATTGAGGTGAATAGTAGCTTTTTTTCGAAAATTAGAATGACATGCTTTTCAGAAACAAACTATTTTATCAGGACTTTTGAGGATTTTGTGCCACGTGAATTTGTGAAAATTCAAGAGACCATTTCTGATGGGAGAGACCCGAGAAAGGGGTGAAACTTGAAAAAAAAGGAAACTAATATTGTGGATGATTTCTTATATGATCTTCATGAAAATGAAAGCATTTTTGTCCAAGTTTCAGCCCGATTGGTTCATCTGGCCCCGAGATATGTGGACCATTGGCCGATTTTTGCCGATGATCCACATATCCCGACAGTAAATACTCCGATCGGGCTGAAACTCGGTTCCAGTATGCGGGTATGTGAAAATTTGCAGAAAAGTATAGAATTTAGTTAGAGTCGTTGAAAATGAAGTTGAATCGTGAGAGAGTGGTCGGAAGCGACGAGATGAGCGGTCCGTAGGCGGCCGCGTTGTCGTAGAGCTCGAAAAGCGGAGCGGCGACCAGTTTGAAGTTTTTCGGCACACAGAATGTCGCTGAAAATTTACAAGTTTTTATGAGGCAAATTGAGATAGAATTTCTGGACTTTTAATTAAATTACGAGTGCTTCTCAAAAAATCGTGATTTTTTCAATTAATCAGCAGAAGAATCGAGAAAAAACTAGACTAAAAGACAGCAGCTGACGGCCGCAAGGCACCAAATTTTCCCCCGGTGTTATGGGCTCACATTTGGCGGGTAACTGGACCAGAAGCAGTTTGGTGTGCTCTTTCGGCTTGGTGACGTGCGCCGGAATGTACGGATATCTGGGCGGGTCGAAGTTGGGCCTCCACCAGTTTCCGATCTCATCCTCGATCGTCCACTCGTTTTCCTCGCCGTCCGTTCGGCCGAGAGTGTCGTTCAGCAGGCGAGTCACACCCGCGATTTCCGATTCGCCCGCTTCCAGCTCGCCGCCGGGTCTGTAACAAAGGGGTTAGAAGGACACATTTTCAAGAAATATTCTATACAAAAATAGATTTTTCTATTTGTCAAATGTAACGCGATCGAACGACTTACAATTTGTAGAAAGTGGTTCCGATTTGGAGCAAAAGAATGTGCGGGAGGGAGTGCTCGTGCACAATCAGCACCGCTTCCACCGATCGACGCATTCCCACCTGAAAAAAATTAAAAAATAACTTGTTTCCCGAGCTCTTCTAATTTCTAGACAACAAAGATGGAATAATTAACTTTGAAAAATGTGCGGAACTGTATTTTATTTCTCGGTTTTCCAATTCAACAAGTCGATTCCGAAGGGCAAAAAAGCACAAACCACTTCGTATTCATCCTTCATTCGCTTAAATCGCTCTGGAACCGACTTGTCCTTCTCCGCCTGCGCGTCTTTTGTTCCGAAAGTGTAGTTGGTCAGCGGATAAACGTTGATCGTTCGGTTGAACGGCGGTTTGTCGTCGAAATTGCACGGAGACTCGGGCACCGACGCCGTTATTGTCGTTCGCTCGATATTTGGCCACGAATCGCTCATTTCACCTGGAATTGTCGATGAAAATAATTTGAAACAATTATTTCACACAATTTAACGAGAAAATTTATAAACAACTGCGGAAACTGAGGAAAGCCTATCGAAAACCTGCGAGATTGTGTTCGAAAAATAGGCAAATGGCCTAGAAATACCCAGCGTGGCTGTGCTCAATAGAGCGCACTTGCAACCTAGTCCCCCAATTTTTAGCAATCATTTTATTTCCTTCGATTTTTCTTGTATTTTGACGTCAAATTACCCCGAAAACGTCGTGCATTTCTACATTTTCGAACGACTCGATCGTCGCCGAACCGACGTGGACGCCAAAGAACGCACGGCGTCGGCTGCCAGTCACATTGTCAGTGTAAATAAAAAAGAGAGCGGAAACGCAGAGACAATGATCACACATCACCGTTTTCGTCGGTTCTTTGGACCGCTCCTATTTTTTGTGTCATTTTGAATGTCAATCGAATCGTTTGTCTAGCCAATTCATATGCAAATTGTGAGAAAATCGATTTTCCGAACAAAATTGTTGGTCTTCAGGAGAAAGCGCCGCCAAAAACGACCGACACACCTGTTCAGAGAATTTGTGAATGACGCGAGAGGCAAATGAGGTAATTTATAGTGTGATGTGTGTCTTAAATCTTCAAAAATCCGCTTATTTTTTCAGGGACGCCAACGGCCCAGTGTTCCGTTATCACTCTCGGCCGGCGCCATCGCCGGAGCCCTCGCCAAAACGACGATCGCGCCGTTGGACCGCACGAAAATCTATTTTCAAGGTGAAAATTGCGGCTTTTTGAGATAAAACGCCTCAAAATTCGTTTAAATTGACCAGAAATCGCAAAAATCAATCAATTTTCAGTGTCGAGTACACGTGGCTACTCGCTGCGTTCGGCGCTCAAATTCATCAAATTAACGTACCGCGAGAATGGATTTCTGGCGTTGTACCGCGGAAATTCGGCCACGATGGCACGTGTCGTCCCGTACGCCTCCATGCAATTCGCCGCCTTCGAGCAGTACAAAAAACTGCTCAAAGTCGACGAAAATGGGTTTGTTTTTGGACGTTAGTAGTATAAGGATACAGATTTTCCCAGGGTAAAAGATTTAAGCAATACGAGAGACGCAGACAGTCAGACAGTGTCCGGGCTCCCGACACTACGAAACACTGTGTAAAATCGAGAGACGCAGACGAACAGACGAATTAGAGACGAGAGACGCAGACATCTCGGCCTGGATACATTTTTGACCACTACGGAAATTCATTTAAAAATTGGAGACGCAGAGAAAAACTGTGCACCGAAAAATAGCAACCCACATGGTATAGACGCAGAGACGAAAAGCTTGATCAAATCTCTAGACTCAGGCGTAGACAATGATGTGCAATATTTGACGCAGCAGGGTCCGACGAAAAGCGCGATCAGCCCACACTATTGGAAGGTTCAAATTTTATTCGTCAAAAATATCCGTAGGTGACACAGAGCGATTTTTCTCACGATATCGAAATCCGACAGTTTCGATAGGTACGGCTCCAGTGGTCAAAGTTTGCAAGAGTGGGGCATTTGGGTACTCGAGGCGAATATCAAAGCGCAGCAAATAATACAAGTCCAGCGAGATAGTCTTTCCCAAATTAATCACTTTCCGGGTTCGTGCAGAATCCAACATTGATAGTCCGTTTGGAATAATGGTGTCTCCCAAGCACATGTCCCACATAGTGACAACTTGCTCTGACGATAGGAAACACATAAAGTCCGTGTTGGCGTGAGGGTTCACTTGAAAAAGCGGGTAGTTATTCGCTTCGAATAAATCAGTCAGTGGCATATCAACAGTGTCCATAGAATCGGCGCACGCAGGAGGATGCGGGTACTGGTAGCGGTTCATGATGATAAGAATGAGAAAATTCTAGATTCCACGCGCAAGCACACACCTGCATGCAAGTGTTACCTGCATGCAAGTTTTTACCTGCATGCAAGTTTTACCTGCATGCAAGTGTTACCTGCATGCATGCATGCATGCATGCAAGCCCCCTTTCCCCGGGCGTGCGGTGCCCCCGACTGAATCCGCACGCAGTGACGGCTTTGCAGCGTTTTTTTTTTCAGTGAAACTTTTTTTTTTCGAAAACACAATTTATTACACTATTCAAATTACAGTATCAATGATGGGATTACGTTGATAGTCCAGGGCCAAAATTTGATCAAATTCAGTATTATATGTCCATAATTTCCGACTCATCAATCCAAGAATCAAAACTGCTCGGGTATCCTTCCCAGCGCACCAATACTTGCGTTTTCCCTTTGTGTGTCCGACGTCCAACAATTTTTTCAATACGAAACATTGCTTCTCCGTCATAAGTCGCCCGCACCATTTCGTAATAGTAGAATTTTCCGTCAATCGGTTCTCCGTTTCCATCGGCCAAGTAATATGTTTTGGGTTTGGTGTTCAAAATCTTGATAATCACAAAAACTTCCTCTGTCCATCCTTGTTCATAACCCTTATCAAAATGACCACGGTATGAATTGATTCGAACATGATCTCCCAACTCGAATTTGCGCTTGGGTTCTTTTTTGTGCCAAAGTGGGATGCGGAAATCGCCGTTTCGAACGTGCACCGGGGCTTTGCCAATGGAACGGTTGACAGAGTTGTTTATGCCGGTGACAACATCTTGCAAAACGTCAATGTAACGATGGCCATATTTGGATGTCATGTACTTTGCCAGTCGCGTTTTTAATGTACGGTTTGCTCTCTCAGCCATTGAACACTTAATTTCACTTTTTGGAGTATAGTGTCTGATAGAAAGATCGTCAAACAGTTGTTTAACATTCGAGTTGTAAAACTCTTTGCCTTGGTCACTGTAGACATAAATTGGAGGCGTTTTGAAGCGAGAAAAGATACGTTCGAGCGCGTGTCGGACTTCTTCTCCTCTTTTTGATTTTAGTGGCTCAACATGAAACATTCTCGAATACACATCAACGCAAACTAGTAGAAATGCGACGCCATCATTGTGCTTTTTGATACGTGAAACATCTGCAAGATCAATTTGAACCGAATTCTCGACACCGGAAGCAGTTGTTGCAAGCCTGGGGAACTTTGATCGCAAAGGGTAGTGCTGCGTGTAAGCAGCAACTCCTTCTAGAGCCTTTGCAACTTGATTCCGGCTCAATTTTGGGTATTTTGGTTTTAGTGAACGAAATAGTGCAGTCACAGAGGAAAAGGCAGACGAATTCTTTGGGTTTAGATAGGCCTTTTGAATTTGTTTGTCCGACATTCTTACCTTTTCAAAACATTTGACGTCATTTTATACCCGTCAAAGGTTCTTCCACATGCGAATGTAGATTCTCTTTGGACCGCTACCTTTTGAAAACTTTGGAATTGCTGGTTTGCGCTGTGGATGGATGCGGTCAGTCTTTGGAGCCGGCTGCAGTGCTTGAACAGTTTTTTGTTTTTTGGGTGGAGTGGTTGGAGTATCGGTGGATGGGGTCTGGGGTGTAGAAATTGCAGGTGACGGAGACTCTGTTGAATACTCTGTTGAATACTCAGTTGGAGGGTCTGTTAAAATTTTTGAAAACTGCACAGGAGACTGGGTTGTATCAAACAATGGCGAATGTGTGTTGAAGGTAATATTCTCTTTTGTATCATCGTCGTCGTTTACTTTTCGAACCAAATCAGTGAAAGCTTTAACAGCATTCAATTCAATAGTTTTCAAACTTGGGTGTGTTTTGAGACGATACAATAAATCTTGATAGAATTTTTGCTTGGAAACAGTGTCAAGCGTCTTGTCGTTCAAAATTTGATCAAGAAGACGACGTGCCGGATCCAACGGATCGTTCCCATCAAGTTCGATAAGGCGATACTTTTTAATCAACATTGCAGTTTGGTTGCAATTAGCGCAGGAATAATAATGCACTTGAGCTCTCTTTTGGAGAGCTTAAATAGTAATTCTCGTGCAGTTGCAACACTTCGGCAGTTGCAAATCTTCGATAGAAGAGCATATCTAGATTTCAAGGTTTCAAATTCTGCTTTCTCCAGGGGAATTAGTTTAGTCTTCATGATGTGGTGTAAAATTTCGACCAAAATTGAAATTTGAGAATCTGTAGCACTAGTAATTAGATGGCGATTTTTTATTACACTTGTCAAAAAATCAAAGTGAACAATTAAGCGATCAGACATTGTTGCAAAATGTGCAAACACAATGGGCTTTTATAGGTAAACGATTGGAAACTGGTCTGTGAATTGTTCCATAATTCTGCAAACTGGGTCAGCCATTGGGTCGTTGTTGATGAGCATTGCATTGTATGGAACGCTCATAATTGAATTGTAGGCTTCAAGAGCTCCACGCCACTTGTCTCCAAACTGTTGAATGAGTAGATTTTTGATTTGAGCCGCATCCGATAAATTTCGCATCAGAATAATGTAGGTGGAATTGTTTCGAGTGGTTGGTGGAAGTGCAAAAGCAGATTGAACCAAGTTAAAGATTGCACAATTGTAATGATGTGCATACACACAAAACAAGTCATTAAGTAAATTCAATGAACGTTTGTCTCGCGCAAACTTGTTCATCAAATCATCCAAAATGATTATATTGTTTTGAGCCTTGTGTTGTTTCAAAAAATCAACGTCTGGAATACCCTCGATGGCCGTCAACTTGTCCAAATGTCTCGGAATTCCATCGTTATCCACTCCATAAAACCAAAAAATGTTATCAATAGGCACACAAAAGTATTTTTGTGTATTTTCCATCAAATGCCGCACAAGAGTAGTTTTTCCTGATTGTGTCGCGCCGATGACTGTACTTTGACATGGGAATTTGAATTGCATTGTCTATAGAGAGCCGCAGACCAAAAGAGTACAATTGCCAAAAGTAACAATCCAAAAAGGACAAGTAGACGTGTATCGCTCGATAGCTCTACAGTGCTCGGGTAATCAGTTGTTGTTGCGTTGACTGTTTCAGGGGTGGTTGATGGCGGTGTATTTGGTGGTAGAGTTGTTCTGGAATAGCAGGAGGCTGCTACCAATGTAAAGAATGGGAAAAACATGACTATTTAAAGCGATCACCGAGTCCTTTTATACTCAATCATGGACGACTTTTACCTAACTCTCCCGTCGTCTGTTCCAAACCCATACTTTCGGAACACTTCATCCTCATTTGTAACCAGCCTGCCAGATGTACTGCGGCTGGAAAAGGACAATTACACCGTGGCAGTTACCGATTTAATTTATCCGTACTCGTTCAAGAATGTAAACAAGGTTTTGAAATATTACATTCATTTCAAAGATGCTCGGCCGCCAGTATGCGTCCATTTTCCGGCAAATCAATACAATAATGTGAACCAAGTGTTGATGGCTCTGAATGGAAGTTTTCGAAAACGTCGAAGCGTGCCCGACAACCCGAATGACGTGAAAAAATTGCGTGGGTTTGAAGATGTGTTGAAACAAAAGGAGGCTGACAAGCAGAAAAAGAAGGACGCTGATGTTGCAGCAGCTGTTGCAGTGCTGAAACAGAAGAAGGATGACGATGCTACAGCAATTGTAGCTGCACAAAGACAAAAGGATGCCAAAGCAAAAGCAGACACCGATGCATTGAAACAAAATGAGGCCGGCGAGCAGAAAAAAAAGGATGCCGATGCTGCAGCAGTTGCAGCCGCCCAGAAGCAAAAGGATGCCAAGGCGAGAGCAGACGTCGATGCATTGAAGCAAAATAAGGCCGACGAGCAGAAAAAGAAGGATGCCGATGCTGAAGCAGTTGCAGCCGCGCAGAAACAAAAGGATGCCAAAGCAAAAGCAGACGCCGATGCATTGAAACAAAATGAGGCTGACAAACAGAAAAAAAAGGACGCTGATGTTGCAGCAGCTGTTGCCGCACAGAAGCAAAAGGATGCCAAAGCAAAAGCAGACGCCGATGCGCTGAAACAAAAGGAAGCCGACGAGCAGAAAAATAAGGATGCCGATGCTGCAGCAGTTGCAGCCGCACAGAAACAAAAGGATGTCAAGGCGAGAGCAGACGCCGATGCGCTGAAACAAAAGGAAGCCGACGAGCAGGAAAAGAAGGATGAAACTGCCGAAGTGTTAAAACAAAAGTATGCCGATAACCAAACACTGCTAGCCGATTCTGTGAATAAAAAGGGGCCTGTAACGCCTACAGAAATGTCCAATGCCTTAAAGAATGGCAACGTTCCAACTGCAGAGGTCGTGTCCCGTTTTCTCAGTCTGGACGAAAACGATTTGCTCAGTGCCCTGACCTGGCATTTACGACATCGCCCTCAACAAGAAATAATTGATGCGTTGCTTGCAGAACACGAAAAGCGTCTGAGTACTTTGTCTAGTATTTTGGAACGCCAAATTGCGAAAACCGTTGAGCAACAAGAAGCTTTAGACTTGGTGACGACTAGTACAAAACGTGTTCAGTTAGAGCTAAGGGCACTTGCCACAAAAGTTCAATTGAGTCAAGATGATCAAAACCGTCTTGGTGTGATTGAAAAACAATTGGTGGATCATACCGTCACTCTAAAAAAGATTGAAAAGGATTCTCAAAGCGCCCTCTCCCAATCACTCCTTCAAGAAACTGCTCTTCCAGACTTTTTGCTGCAATACAAGGCGCTTTTACCGCTTGTGGATGAGGCCAATCTTGGTCAACTAGCCAGTTTGAGACATCAACTTGATGTGCAGACTACAACGTCTTCGTACGAATTTGTTCAATTTAGTCTTGAGAATTCGCATCTGCATTTGAGTTTTGTGGATCCCGAGGTCGCTCTTGTCGAGTTTGAAAAGGACTGTGCCTACTTTTTGGGCTTTACAAAGTGTATTGCAAAGGACAACGACATTGCCCCAAACATTATCGACTTTTTTGGAAACATTAGCACATTATACGTTTATTGTGATATTGTGGATCAAACAATTGTCGGAAATTCAAAATCGTCATTGTTGACTGTTGTTCCGTGCAAGGGTTCATTTGGAGAAATGATTCAACACTCGTTTCCGGTTCCCCGATATCTTCCACTCATGAATGGAACTATTGATTCCATAAAGTTGGAGATTTTGAACGAGTTTGGTGAGCCGATCCAGTTTGGTTGGGGAAGCACAATTGTGACTCTACATTTTCGGCGAATACATTAAGCCAGTGAGTTGTTTGCGGGTAAATCATAGTTGTAGGTATCCTTGAGGTAGTCGATAATGTACTGGTCGTCATGAACAACTCGGTCAAAAACGCCGCAAATTGTATCGAAACTTATACCGCGAGCCATCATGGCTTGAACAAAGACTGCATATCCACCACATGTGACTGCTGTTAGACTTTGATGTCTAATTTCATTCCGCCGAACACACTTGAACAACTTTAAAAAACGTTCAACGTATTCGTTTGGTGGTTCTGCTAGCGAGCAGAAAAAATGACATGTATTGTCAGTGACAAACAGACTTTGCCAATGTCTACCGGGGTCACCAGTGCTTTCAGTGTTCACAACGAATCCATATACTTTGTGTCTGGGCTTCTTTGTGGGTAGTTGATCGGCCATCTTTGTCCCCTTGTAGATTGAGCGAGAATACTTGTCATTGTTCAAAATGCGGTCAATGTGCCATCCCATCATTTTTTCTATAAATAGCAGACTTTGACCAGTGCTTTTATATCATGGCGCCAGTACCAATCGATCTTACAAAAGTTGACTTTAAGCGGCTCTTGCGCAGAAATGTTTCTGGTAATGGGCCCTTTATGGGTGTTCGTTACCAGAGAGGTGGCCAGCGTGGAGCCGGGTTGGGTGGGATTCTCTCTGCAGCTATTCACGCTATTCCAAAGTTTCTAAACTCTTTTTTGGGTCAACAATTGGTGCGCGCTGGCACTAACGTTGTCAACGATACGATGACTGGCGAGAACGTTGTAAAGAGTCTGAGAAAACATGGACGAGCTGTGGTGAAAAACTTGACGGGCTTGGGGCCCTATAAAAGAAGTGCAAAAGTGCTCAAACCTCACTTTGTCAAAAAACAAAGAACACAATTTCTTAATGCTTAGCCGCCTTGATTCCAAATCCCAAGACGTCATCACGGACGATCTTGATTTTACAACCATTCCTGGTACTCAGACTGGTATCCAAAACTCGAGATGGAATGTTGTCAATCTCAAAAATGCGTTTCTTCCCAATGGACCTTGGGAGTTCGTGCTAACCAACAACTCTCGTTCCTATCTTAATCTGAAACGCACTTGGCTCGTATACACGTTCAAGATTACTGACGAAAATGGAGAGGCGATTAAAAAATCTGACGTCACGTATGCACCCATCAATAACATTGCTCACTCTATTGTAAAGAATTTTACACTACACATCAACTCTCAACTCGTCTACCACAACGCCAGTAACTATGCTTACAAGAGTTACTTTGAAAACTTGCTAATGTATAGTGATGAGCAGAAAAAGTCTACATTGTCGATTGCCGGATATACCCCGGAGGCTACGGTTAATAACAAAGATAGCAACGGATACAAGACTCGATTCCAGTGGGCTTGTGACGGAAAAACTATCCAGGCTGCAGCCAACATTTCAATCGACTTTACTAATCAACCACGTTTGCTGCTCAACAACTGCAATGTCAAGCTGACTGCCTATCCAAATTCTGATGCCTTTTTGATTGAATCCCACAATACTGCCGCAAGTACGGTCAAGTACAAGTTTGAAATTTTGGATGTTTACTGCTTGGTCAATGAGTTGGATCTCACTGAAGGTTTGGCCAACGAAATGGAGGCTGCACTTTTGGAGCACAAAATGCTACAGTATCCGTTGATTAGCTCACAAGTGCGCACTTTTTGCATTGAACCAAATCGAATGGATTCCCCATCCAGTACACTGTTCACTAGCAAAATGCCTCGACGCATCTTTTTGGGACTTGTTTCTGGCAAGGCGTTCAATGGATGCTATCACGAGTCTCCGTTCAATTTCCAACATTTCAATGTACGGGACGTGCACATTGACTATTGCGGAATCACAACTCCCGGGCGTCCAATGAATTTAGACTTTAACTCTGGTAAATGTATCGAACCCTACCTAATTATGCAAGAAGCCCTCGGGCACACTCGAAACAACACCACATGTAACTCGATTACATTTGATCAGTGGAAATCCAAGGGTTATACAATCTTTGGTTTTGAACTCAGTCCAGTAGCTCATGAATCATCTCTGTTTGAACTTGTACGTCCCACCAACACATCTATTCGTATCAACTTTGACAAACCAACCCCTGAAGGAGGTCTCTATTGTGTTGTTTATGCTGAATTTGATCAAATTTTGGCCCTGGACTATCAACGTAATCCCATCATTGATACTGTAATTTGAATAGTGTAATAAATTGTGTTTTCGAAAAAAAAAAGTTTCACTGAAAAAAAAAACGCTGCAAAGCCGTCACTGCGTGCGGATTCAGTCGGGGGCACCGCACGCCCGGGGAAAGGGGGCTTGCATGCATGCATGCATGCATGCAGGTAACACTTGCATGCAGGTAAAACTTGCATGCAGGTAAAAACTTGCATGCAGGTAACACTTGCATGCAGGTGTGTGCTTGCGCGTGGAATCTAGAATTTTCTCATTCTTATCATCATGAACCGCTACCAGTACCCGCATCCTCCTGCGTGCGCCGATTCTATGGACACTGTTGATATGCCACTGACTGATTTATTCGAAGCGAATAACTACCCGCTTTTTCAAGTGAACCCTCACGCCAACACGGACTTTATGTGTTTCCTATCGTCAGAGCAAGTTGTCACTATGTGGGACATGTGCTTGGGAGACACCATTATTCCAAACGGACTATCAATGTTGGATTCTGCACGAACCCGGAAAGTGATTAATTTGGGAAAGACTATCTCGCTGGACTTGTATTATTTGCTGCGCTTTGATATTCGCCTCGAGTACCCAAATGCCCCACTCTTGCAAACTTTGACCACTGGAGCCGTACCTATCGAAACTGTCGGATTTCGATATCGTGAGAAAAATCGCTCTGTGTCACCTACGGATATTTTTGACGAATAAAATTTGAACCTTCCAATAGTGTTTTTTTTTTTTTTTTTGGGCTGATCGCGCTTTTCGTCGGACCCTGCTGCGTCAAATATTGCACATCATTGTCTACGCCTGAGTCTAGAGATTTGATCAAGCTTTTCGTCTCTGCGTCTATACCATGTGGGTTGCTATTTTTCGGTGCACAGTTTTTCTCTGCGTCTCCAATTTTTAAATGAATTTCCGTAGTGGTCAAAAATGTATCCAGGCCGAGATGTCTGCGTCTCTCGTCTCTAATTCGTCTGTTCGTCTGCGTCTCTCGATTTTACACAGTGTTTCGTAGTGTCGGGAGCCCGGACACTGTCTGACTGTCTGCGTCTCTCGTATTGCTTAAATCTTTTACCCTGGGAAAATCTGTATCCTTATACTACTGACGTTTTCCCCAAAAAAAGTCAATGTTCAGTGTGCGCACGCCGGTAAAAAGGTACATAACGGGGTCTTTGGCTGCCACGTCGGCCACGATGCTAACCTACCCGCTGGACACGGCGAAAGCACGTCTCTCCGTCTCCTCGAAGCTCCAGTACAGCTCGCTGACGTCGGTGTTCGTGAAAACGTACCGGGAAGGCGGCATTCGGCTCCTCTACCGCGGCATTTATCCCACCATTCTCGGTGAGTTTACGATTTTGCGGTAGCACATGTTTTTCAAAGCAATTCTTCGACATTTCCAGGAGTAATACCATACGCCGGATCGTCATTTTTCACCTACGAAACGCTCAAAATAATGTACAGAGACTCGGCCGGACATGTGGTAATTTAAGAGCAAGCAACTGTTCCAATTTTACCGAATTTGCAGGAGAGCTCGTACTACCGAATGATGTTCGGAATGCTGGCGGGTCTTATCGGTCAAACCTCCTCGTACCCACTGGACATTGTGCGTCGGCGGATGCAAACGGGACGAATCCCCGACGGATGGAGCCCCCTCCGAGCCATTGTTCACATCTATCACACTGGTCAATTTTTGCGATTTTCAAACCCAAAAAATTGAGCAATTTTAAGCCAGAAAAAATGATTAAAATGCTGTTTTAATCGATGTTTGCATTGCAGAGGGACTAAAACGAGGATTGTACAAAGGGCTGAGCATGAATTGGCTCAAAGGACCCATCGCCGTCGGAGTCTCGTTTACCACCTATGAAAAAGTGAGTGTTTTTAAAAAAATGTTCTGTGCGATATTTTTAAAAGAACAGGGAACCCTCCGAGTTTTAGTGCCTGTCTATTGGGACTCGGACAGTAAATGTGGCAATAAGAAGCAATTCAGGAGGGTTCCCTGTCCCTTTAATCATAAAAATTATCGATTTTTTATGATTTTTTCAATTTTCAGGTCCTCGAGCTCGTTGGCCATCTGAAGCGATGAATTTTCTCGATTTTTCTTCGATAAATTTGCCGATTGCTCGCATTTCCCCACTCATTTTCAGTAGAAACCCTAATATGCCGTTTTTTTTTCAGATTAGTAGTCGCGAAACATTAGATTTTTAATTACTATCCAAAATCATATCCCAAACGATGTGTAAATAACCCCCCAATTCTCCTGGTTTTCTCGTCTTTTCTATGCCAATCTCTTCACAAAGTGCCAGTGCTTTTTTTTCGATTTTTTTCGGTCGAATTTCGGTTGCTCAACACATTTCCAGTCGGTATAAATGAATGCTCAAAAATTGTCTCCCCTTTGTTTCGGATATTTAAAGTTGGTTCTGATGCTCATTTGCCCGATACTTTTGAATTTGAAAAGCGAGTTCGAGTAGACATTTAACAAAGCAATATTTCAGAAAATGCCTACTTATACAATCACACGTGAGTTCTCCGAAAGTTATAGCGATTTTTAGAATAATGAACATGTTTGCAGACAAAATCAAAAAAGGAGACGTCGTTTGGGTGAAATTTCGGAAAGATCCGCTCTGGCCGGCGCTGGTAGGCGAAATTTTGATTTTTTAAGGGACCAGGAAATCCTCCTAAATTGCCTCTTGTTGCCACACGCACTGTCCGAGTCCTAACTCTCAGAAATGTCTATAAACGGAACAGCGCGCAGTGCAAGGTTGTCATATTACCAGAAGGGAAGAGTTTTTTCACACCTGAGTTTTCTAGGCCACGGCCACGACTTTAACTGCGCGATGTTCTGCTCGGTTGATTTAATATTGTGAACATCCTTTTTAAAAAGGTAATAATATTTGCAGGTGCTGAGTGTGTACCCCAAAAAGATCAGCTACATGTTCTTTCCGGTACCGGAAACGCGTGAACGCACAAAACATAACGTGTTCGGTTGCCAGATAGACGTACGTTTTTCGAAAATATTTTCTCGCTTCCTAATTGAGATAATTAATTTTGCAGCACGTGTCGGCGTTCGACAGCTCGGAACCGGAGCCGGAAGAGGCGGATGCGCCATTGGCGGAGGCGTTTTACGCGGCAAAAGACCATTTGATTCGCGAGGAGAGGACACGTGGATCGGAGATTGAGACACGTGGCGAACGCGCGAAACGACTCGAAAAGGAGGAGAAAACGGCGGGCAAACGGAGGAGTGAAACGAGGAAAAACGAGGAATCCGCCGGCGAACCGGGTAGGCGTAGTATCAGGCCGAGCGTTTTGTGCAAAGCGCAGTTTTTAAATCAATGTTTCAGTGGTCAAAAAGGCTGCTCCGACCGCCGCCAGCTCGACGGTCAGTTCGAGCGGCTCCCAACCGCAAGCCACTGCTCTCAGGCAACAATCGAACGAATTCATGAGTTTGGTCAGTTCAGCTGATAGGGATTGTTTTTTTTTTAACCCCCTGCTTCCACTTTATGAAGTGAAGCTTCAATAATTCCACCTTTTCGAAAATTATTTCTTGTTCAAATATTCAAAAGGGTAGATACATACTTTTTACAGTGCGAGATTTGCAAACACCTTGAAAAAATGTTTTCGTTTAGATCACCGGCCGCCTGGACACTCTGATCTCGGAAATATGGGAAAGTGAGGAAGTGGCCGAGTGCCAGAAACAGAAAATCGGCGAGAAAATGACGGTGAAATTGAGGAATAATCAATTTCTGACTGGTGAGTTTTTCTTTTTTTGAAAAGAATCTTATCCTACAGATGAAAAATCGCACAATTAGGGATGTATTAATTTTTAGATAAACTTGGAAGCTGTAAAAAAATTTGAACGATTTTTAAAAAGTTAGCTCGGACCGCGCGCAGCGGGCCCAGTTTTAGAGTGTCTTGTTTTATTGAACAAGATACATTATTCATTTCCAGAATCGGACTACGAGTCGTTGTTCGAACGAGTCGTGTGCCACATCCGCGCTCAACATCGTTCCCTTTCGCTCATCGCCGCCGTCAACGTGGCCGCCACGTGTATTCTGCCCCATATCCTCATTTCCACGTATGCCACGTGGAAAAAAGTCGACGAGACGAGCGCGAAAGACGCGTTTTACCGCGAGAACACGAGAATTACAGGGTACGCGTCTAAATAAAATATATATTCCAGTGAATTTTTTTTTGCAGATTGGACCCGTCGATGAGCATCCCGGTGACCGGAAATCTCGAGCAACTGTGTCTATTGGCGTGTGAGGAACAAGAGAAAGCGAGTCGCCAAAAATAACAAATTAACATGAAATATCTATGCCATTCTCTCTATAATAACCATCTAATTTTAATAATTTCCCCCCTCCTATATTGTTTTCGAGGTATTCCTCTGACCTGTCTTACTAGTTATATTCTCCAGAATGGTTCTATTACCGAAAATTATGATTATGCGACGTGGTTCCGAAAATAAATTACCCAGAAGAATTAAATAAGAACAAGTGGAAATGCTGAAAATGGCGAGTTATCACTAGGGGGCGATGGGGACATTTTTGATGATTTGTGATATGAAAAATTGGATTTCTCTAATAAGACGGGGAAAAATTAGTTTAGGGGGATAAAAATGCAATTCTTCTCATGCGGCATGAGTCGTTTTGTGAGCCAAATGTGCGGATTCTTCGTGCTCCTCGTAGAACGTCAAAACCAACGGAAGAACGCCGAAAATAAGGAGAACGCCTGGAAGATCGGATTTTTCGTACGCTTTACTTCAAAAAGTACCTAAAATGACCATCCAAACGGAAATGTTTGGCGAAGTCGGTGCTCGGGCGGTCACAAAATGGAATCCGCCGGTCGCGGGACCGTCTTCCGGAAGCGCATCTCGTACTTGGGCTGCAAAATTCCTGTGTAATTTCGTTATAAATTCACGCGAAAAACATTTGACTAACCGATATTGTTGTCAGTTTTGTGGAAAATGTCCTCGACGCTCGGATCCCGAGACTCGCGATTCTCGCGTAAAAGTGCACTTCTGTCGTCGATGTCTGCAAAAATGATCCAGATTTCTTATTATTCTAAGACAAATTTTACCAATAAGCACATCATCCTCATTTTCGTCCTCATCATGACTGGAGACCGTCTGCACGCCCAGAGCCATTCTCATCCGGCTCACCGGTATTTTCACTTTTGAAAATGCTAAAAAATCCTGTTCCGACACCATATTATTGACTCGCTTTATTTCAGCAACCTGAAATTGAGGCAAAACTAGTTTTTTGTTGAAATTTTAGGTTATTACACTTTAAAAAAACGTACATTAACTTGATATTTGATGGCCAATTTGTTGAGCGTGTCGCCATTCTTCACTTGCCGCTCGATTATCACAATATCTTTGTACGTGGGCGCATCGTTCTGGAATCCCTCGCTCGACGACGTCCGTACTGCCCGACTTCGCATCGCAAATTGCTCTACGGAACTGCCCTCTTTTAATGACATTTTCTGCAACTTTTTTGCGATTTTTTCGAGCAAAATGATGGAATATGAAAGAAAATGACGAGCTTACTGTAATTTTAAAGGCACAGAACGCACGTGAGCGATGGGTCTCGCCACGATTGATACAAATATGGGCGGCTTGTAGAGCGAAAACTTATTCATTTCATTTTTTGTGATTTCCAGTGGTTTTCAAAGATTTTTCGGTGTTTTTGTAGTTTTTCGAGTAAAGAATATGCTTTCAGAGCTATTAATGTTATCATTGACACGAAAGTCGCTTGGAAAAATAGATATTTTAGTAAAATTTCAGAAAAGTGCTCCCTTCGGTAACACGTATGTTTTCCAGCGCATTCTCAGCTGCTCACCTAAAAACTAAGCGTTTTTCAAGGGAAATCGTATTAAGCAGATTTTTTCCGAAAATACCTCACCACTACTCAATTCTCTTCAAAAACATTCATTTTCTTATCAAAACGCGTTTATCAGGTGAAAGTGAGGCCAAGTACACGCTTGTTCAGCCAGTTTTTGTACAAAAACGTTAAATTTTGCGAGAAATCAATGATAATCCACGTGGAAGTGCTGCAAGCCACCTGAATGCGAGATAGGCGGAAAGATGGGAATCGGGACGGAAAAGAACGCGGAAAAGAAACAGAAAAAGTGTGGAATTTCGGTGTCTGCGTCGTGGCGCCGTCTGACCGTCCGGCGTCCTCTCGCTCTCTCGCCACCGCCCCTTCGGAGACGAGTCAGCAAACGCGCTCCACCGAACTGCCCGCATCCGCCACCGCCCTTTTCCCCTTTCCCGTCGATTTTCCGCCGATTTTCATGGATTTCTTCGCAAAATTGACGGCTTTTAGGGTCAAAATGCTCGGAAAGTGCATCAAGAAGGCGACGTCGCTCTCCACCATCGGCCAATCGATGCGTTACAGCTCGGGAGACGTGAGCATTGAAAACATTTTAAGAAAAAATGAATTTGGATTTTTGCAGATCCGCCGCGTCACTCTCATCCCCGGAGACGGTATCGGACCCGAAATCTCGGCCTCTGTGCAGAAGATTTTTGAGGTGAGAAACATGGGGACTTTTGACCCACTCGCAATAATCCGATCGGATCCAAACTTTGCTGGCTTTTTGGACTTGGATTGAAGTATATTGGCTCCAAGTTTCAGAACGATCCGATTATCTGGTCCCCAGATGTACTTACTGGTTTGAGGCCGAAGTTTTTGCAAAAACTCTGCCTTGTTGGCCTCAAACCAGGAAATTGCTTCAAATTTCATAAAATTCCAAGAAAAGTCAATCTCCACCAAATTTCATTCCATTATTGTAAACAAAAAGCAATTCTATGGAAAAATACACATTTTTCAGGCCGCGAACGCGCCGATCGCGTGGGATCCAGTGGACGTGACGCCGGTGAAGGGACGCGACGGAGTCTTCCGCATTCCGAACCGGTGCATCGAGCTCATGCACCAGGTGAGCCGGAAAATCGGCATTTCTCGTAAAATTGTTACGGTTTCATAGAACAATTCAGTTTTTTGCAGTACTCGGCAGTCTTGGTCATAATATGCCGGAATCTTTAATCGTCAATTTCTACTAGAACTTTTCGCAAAAATTGTGGGGCTCCTTAAAGTTTGCGCAAATTTTAAGCAATGTTTGCGAAAAGTTCTAGTAGAAATTGCGTAAAGATTGCGCAAATTCTCACCATCACTGCCGAGAATTTTTATTACTTGGCATCTTCACATGGTAGTTATTTTTTGAGACCCTTCGAGAATTAATGAATTAAATGAAAAATGAGTACCGCTCAAATAAAAAAGACAATATTTCTTAAAGGTGTGAGTTTACTCCAATTTTCTTTGCAGAACAAAGTGGGACTGAAGGGACCGCTGGAGACGCCGATCGGAAAAGGACATCGTTCGCTGAATTTGGCAGTCCGCAAAGAGTTCAACCTGTACGCGAACGTGCGTCCGTGCCGTTCGCTCGAAGGACACAAAACATTGTACGACAATGTGGATGTGGTCACGATTCGAGAGAACACCGAGGGAGAGTATTCTGGAATCGAGCACGAGGTGCGCCAAATTTTTCGGTTTATTTCCAATATTCTAGATAAAAATTGAGGAATTCTAGAGCAATTTTCACTACGCTTTACAGTTTCGCCATTTTTAATTGTTATTTTTCCAATAGAAATTAGCGTCAATATTTGGATGTATCGAACAAATTTTAAATCAAAAAATGTGTTGTAGATCGTGTCGGGAGTGGTGCAATCGATCAAATTGATCACGGAGACGGCCTCCCGCAACGTGGCCAGCTTCGCCTTCGAGTACGCGCGTCAGAACGGACGCAAATGCGTCACCGCCGTCCACAAGGGTACGATTTGACGGGAAATTTGCTGAAAGTCATGTTTTTTTGCAGCTAATATCATGAGAATGTCCGACGGATTGTTCTTGTCGATCTGCCGCGAACAGGCCGCTCTCTACCCGGATATCAAGTTCAAGGTGCGCGATTTTTCCTTTCTTTCTGATTTTACACCGTTTATTTTTCCAGGAGGCCTATTTGGACACGGTCTGCCTGAACATGGTGCAGGATCCGTCGCAATACGATGTGCTCGTCATGCCCAACCTCTACGGAGACATTCTTTCGGATTTGTGCGCCGGACTCGTCGGAGGACTCGGAGTCACGCCGTCTGGAAATATTGGAAAGGAAGCCGCTGTGTTTGAGTGGGCTTTTGAAAGATTTGGAGCATTTTGACCCACTAATGCATTGAAACAAGCGCCGAAAAGTGTAGCTTACTCCCGCAAAGTGTGTAAATAGAAAATGGAGACGCGCCCGACAATGAACGTTCTTTGGAGACATCATGGTAATTATTGCAGATCCGTCCACGGAACCGCCCCAGATATCGCCGGACAAGACAAGGCCAACCCGACTGCTCTCCTTCTTTCCGCCGTCATGATGCTCCGTTACATGGTTAGTCAATTAATTGTAAAGCTTATTTAAAAAATTATGTTTTTTAATGCCGATGCACAAGTATCAAAACTTTGAAGAAACAGGGTTAATTGACAGTTTTGAAACTGACTTTGGTTGGAACTTTATGATAAGGGCGATTAACAATTCGATACAAGTTTCGAACCTTGATAATAACTCTTCGAAACACGAATTTTTGTTAGCCAGAGAAATTGCTGCGTTCAATTCATTAAACAATGTTGCAGAACCTGCCACAACACGCGGCGCGCATCGAGAAGGCCGTGTTCGACGCGATTGCCGACGGCCGTGCCAAGACGGGAGATCTCGGAGGAAGCGGCACGTGCTCCTCGTTCACCGCCGACGTTTGTGCTCGTGTTAAGGACCTCTAATATATTTGTTTCCTTTTTTAAACATTGTTCTGAATGAGATTATTTCAACTCACAGGCTTCTAGACACTACCGTAATCGTTTGATGACTAGTAAAAAATCCCTTTTCTCCTTAAATTTTCAGAGACTTTTTTTTGTATAGATCCCTCCTCCTGACATTTTCCTCCCCGCGTCCATTTATCGCTTTACTATCCAATTTTTCCCCCGAAATTCTCTCCGATTTACCCAGCATAAACCCGCTCCTGAAAACGACTCTTGTTCGCCTTCTTTCGACCCCGTTTTTCATGTTTTTTTCCTCAATTTCTAGTAGAGTACATATTCAGTGTTTTTTCGTCGCAAGTAGGCGTATTTACTTTTCTGTTGGTGAACGAGGAAATTATGTTCTGACATTGTAAAATAATAAGGCTAAAGCGTGGCGTGTATTCGTGTCAACGCTGCCACGAATATCAGAATCGTCTGAATGATGCCCATGATCGCGCAGTACCACGTGCTGACCGCCTGAAAATTGATCATTGTCTGTAATCAGCGGAAAGACGAATAGATCCGAAATTTTTTCGTTAATTTGAGTGGGGGAGAAAATCTTCAAATTAGAAAAAGACGTACATTTTTGGATGCGTACATTGCAAACGCCAAAACCATTGACGTTGTGGCGCCGAAGAAGAGCGGAACGATCAGAGCCATCACTGAAATATTTTACACTTTTATCTGCATTCAATTAGCGCTGAAAAATTCAGATTCTGATCAAAAGCAATAAATTGGTCTTTTCAGCTCAAAACAAGTCTTTGAAAAAACGTACAAAAAAACGGAATGGGCATTAGACAGACAAATTGATGTTTTCGCATCGAAAACAGTGTGACAAGGGAGGCGACTATCGTGATGAGCTGCAATTAATATTGTCAAATTCTAGAAATTTGGAACAAAGAAACCAGGAAAGAGAGTGTCATCCACAGAAATATGCTCAGACTGATTTCCCACCAATCCGTCATCCATTTTCCGGACAGCAAAAGGGCGCCGGCTATCGAGTATGTACTGCAAAAACGATTGTTTTTTTTTCTGCATTTGAAAATGTAAAAATAAAAACCGGAATTTAAAGGATCAGGGAACCCTCAGAGTTTATGTGTATGTCTGTTTCAGAAGATAGACACATAGACATTTCAAAAAGAATCAGGGTTCCCTGGTCGTTTAATACGTTTCAAAAAATCAATAAAATATTCTACTACTATCCACTACTATTCCGGGGGGTTAAAACAATGCTCATCAACAAGACAAACGTTCATTTAGACTTCAAAACATTTCTCCAAACCTTTCGCTCGTCTCATTAGTACCATTTTGATGTTTTTCAAAGAGCGACAAAACCTCTTTTTCCTCTTCTGGTCCCATCTTTCTTCACCTTCTCTCCATACCTAAATAATGTGAGAAACACACAATTTTAGGGCCTAAATGTTCCCAGAAAAAATTGTAAAGGTCCAGAAACCGTTCAAACACTTTGCACAAAAATTGCAATAAATTACGTCGCCGTCTCTTATTATCCATTTCAATTCTGTGGCCAATCATTGGGAGTCGGAAACTGGGGAAAATTACAAAAATATCACGGGAAAGGCGAAAAATGCCGGGAAAAACTAGCACTTGATAACGGAATGATGCGGAAATTAGCACTGCTAAAATTGCAAAAATGCATACATGAAGGAAACGTTCGAAGCTAAAATTGCGCAAAAAAAAAAGTCTTTGGTGTGGTCACATAAAAATTTGGGGTGAAAAACCGAGAAATGAGAAAAAGTATACAATAGAATAATTGGTGCAAAAAATTAGGGGGGAAATCACAACATTTTAGGATAGGGAAAGACGAACGAGAAGGGTCGTGGCGAAGGCGGTCGCGATGAATTTAGACGACAAATCGTCGAACCAGTAGGCCGGAGAGCCGAGATCCGCGATGGCGCTGTCTGCAAAAAAAAAACACAATTAAAGGAGGCCATCTGATATTTTTTTTTTGTACTTCTGTGGGTTTTCGATACTATTTCGCGTCTATATGTACTATAATCACTTCTCCCTAGATGAAAGTCGATGTAATGCCGCGTCCAATGTCTCGGAAAAACCGTAAAAACCGCAGATTTTTCTGTCCAAAGTCGGCCGAAATTTGCGTGAAAAACGGGGGTGTGCACAGCTCAATGAGTGTAACCGTACCCCTAAAACTACGGTATTTTTTGAAAATTTGTTAATTTCTTGAGGTTATTTGAAAATATTCAAATTTCTTGCGCAAATTTTCAAAAAATACCGTAGTTTTAGGGGTACGGTTACACTCATTGAGCTGTGCGCACCCCCGTTTTTCACGCAAATTTCGGCCGACTTTGGACAGAAAAACCTGCGGTTTTTACGGTTTTTCTGAGACATTGTGGACGCGGCATAATCAACCATGGAATGAATTTCCAATATAGACATACCGACAATGCAGGTGGTGGTCTCTTCATGAACACGTCCTTGACACAGCTTCTCGAAAGTGATCTCTCCCTTATTGACCGCCTTTATTTTGCGTTCCACGTGGCGCAGTCCGTTCGTGGCGCATCCGAACTGCAGCAAGTGGCACCGCGAGGCGTCCAGGTAGACCGGAACGCTCTCGACGCACACGAATCGGGGCAGGCCGTGCGATTGGGCACGCAGCCAGCTCTCCACGTCCTCGTTCACCTCTTGCGACAGAATACAGATTATCTGCAATTGTGGCATTCAAAACAAATTCCCAATTTTCTTCAGAAAATGCGCATACCGGCGCCTCGCGTGGCAACTGTTTGACTTCGTCGACGACGTTGACGTACTCGAACTGCTCGCCGGGGTACTTTCCGAACAGGTGGCAATTGTAGCGACGTTTGTCGAAGTGCGTGAGCAGGCGACGCACGGAACGCACCGAATTGGCGGCCGAGGCGAGGACGACGATCGTCCCGTGCGGATCTCCGAACGACGTCTGGATCTCGGACGTCCATTGGAAGACGCGGTCGGCGAAAAGGGCGTCGAACACAGCCTCGCCGAGCGAGTTCTTACATTCCTTGAAAAAAACAATTTCACTACTACTTTCTCCCCAAAAAAAAATGCTAAAAACATCAGGACAACGTCAAAACGACGGAAATTGTGTCCAGAATAAGGCAAGATACCTGCAAAAACTCCTTCTTCTCGTTGACACTGATCGCCGGTATCGGATCTCCGTTCATCGTTTTCTCAAAACTGATCGCCGTCACTTGGAAATTGCTCTTCTTCCTGCACAACAATAATTGAGAATTAATTAAAATTGTCGAGGAAATTTGCCAAAAACAGTGACGCACTCGACTTTTCCGGCGCCCTCCTGCCCGCGCGCCTTCAGATTCGTCCACGAAGTGATGCGATTCTCGTCCTCAATAATGTTCTCGTAGTGCGCAAAGTTATGCGACACTTTCAGCTTTTCCACATTCTCATAATACTCGTCGTCCTCTTCCTGCAATCGGAAATTGCGAACAAATGCTTTGAAATGTGAGAAAAATCGCCTACGTCCTTCTCGAAGAGCTTCAAATTTTCGGCGAAATCAAAGTCGGACTCGAGGTCGAAATCGATCGGCTCCGCGAGATCCGTCTTGTTTTTCCGGCCGATTCCCTTGTAGTGATTGAGGGCGTCGAGCACCGGATTTCCCGACGGTCCTGCAAGTTTTTCAACATTTTTTTCAACACATTAAATAAAATTTTATGTTTCAAAATTTAAAAGCAACTTTTTAGCATCACTTTTTGGCAATACTGTTTTTCTGATAAAAGCTTTTCACTGAAAACTATTGTTATTTTCCAGCTGTTAACAGAATTACCCTGTTTCCTGGAGCACCGCCCTCCTCCTCCGCCCGTGTTCGGCAAGATTGCGCTCAAAACTTGCGGATTCGGCACTTGACGTTCGAAATTCTTGAAAAGGGGCGTCGCCGAAATCTCCTCGGTCACGTGCGTGAACCCGTTCTTTTCCGGCGATTGGCGGCCGTGTTTTTTGCTAAAAAATTTGGATATTTTTTTGGAAAAAATTGGGGCGAAAAAAGCGGGAAAACAACCTTCTGAAAGAGGATTGTCGGCTCGGAGACGACAGCAAATTCATGTGATGCTCAAAGAGCTTCTCCACGTTCGCTGAAAAGGCAATCAAGTCTAGCAACTTTAAGCGCTCATTTATTGTTATTATGTTAAAACGATTCAACAAAAAACCCACATTTTTTCGGCGATTTCCCTTTGCACTTGGGCGGCACGACAATCGCCTGTTTCGGCGAAATCGACGCCGAATTTTGCACTTTTTCCGGTTTTTTCAGCGGTTTTTGCAACTTGAGCGGGTCTCCTCGCACCGATGACGAGAACGAGGGGGCGGAGCTTGAAACGGACGGCGCCGGGCCACGAATCACACGCAGACTCTCGATTTCGCGCACGGACAGCGTCACGCAACAGTTCAGCGGCAGGCCGTCTCTGCAACATTTTTCAATTGTTTTTCGTCTCTAGTGCTCAAAAAAAAAAAGAAACGCCGGAAATAGCACAAATACCGACTTAATCACATTGGCCATCGTCACATTTCCGCTATTCTTGTCCAACGTCGTCAGTTTTCCCTGATAGACGCTTCCGTCGGCCGTGTCCGCCGAAATCACACTTCCAATGTGCTTATCGTCCATTGCTAGCCTGAAACAATTGGCAAAAACGTTTTGAAAGTGTCAAAAATAGAGGGAAGGGTATAAATTCAATGGAAAAAACCGATAAACATTGCCAGACATTTGCAGCAAGTCACACGAAACATTCATTATCGAGTTACACTCTCTCCGCAGAGATCAATTCACAACAAATTGCCAATAAAATAAATTATCCCATAAAATCGAGCGGCCTGTTGAATCCGCCCTTTCGGTTCATATATTGACGGTATCGACGCGGTTTTTTGATGTTCACGCATCCTTCCACGTTGTCGTTCACCTATAATCGAATATTTGCAAAAATCGGCTTCAAATCGCCCACCTGTTTGTTCTTGGTCGTGTCGAATCCGCCGAATCCCATCATCGCTTTCATCGCGTCGTCGTCGACGGATTCCACCGATTCCAGAGTGATTTCTTCTGCAATTTTGCGCATTTTTCCACATTTTTCTGTGCATTCGAAAACGTTCTTACCTTGTTTTTCTCTCCTCTCCGCCTTTTTCTCCTTTTTCTGCCGCTCCCGGTCTCGTTCTTTCCGGTCGCGGGACCTGCTCCGGTCCCGTCGATCACGCTTATCGCGGGGACTTCTGGAAATGAATTGGTGAAATTCGTGGGCAATTTATTGAGCATTTCGCGGCGCAAACGGTACCTGCTGCGACTGGAGCGTTTCTCCTTCTCGTCGCGATGTTTCCGCGCGTCCCGGCCGTCCGTCCTCCTCTCCTTCTCCCTCTCCCGACTTCTGCTTCTTTCGCGACGCCTTTCGGTCGAACGCGAACGCGATCGTCGTTTCCGTTCCCGACTACGGCTACGATCACGACCCATTTTTTTAAAGAGCCTGAAATGTAGGTAGTTTGATGATTTGCCACACAATTTTAACGGTAAAAGTGGGAGAAACTGCAGACAAATTAGAATCTTGAAAATGGCAAGATAATAGTATGTTTTTCGTTGAAGAACGAGGAAAAAGGGCAGCGGCACATTCATTTTGGGAAGCCTTAAGGCTGCCAAATTTTTTTCGAAACCAGGCCCCTCCCACTCGCCTGTCGCGAACTGCCGGCGCTCAGCTCAAAACACCTATGCCTGTCGCATTCTGCTCAAATTGTAATTTTCTCATTCGAAACCGAAAAATACATGTTTTTTAAAAGTGCATGTGGATAAAAACCGATGATGACTGCAAAAATCGCATGGAAAAACCTCTAAAACATCAAGAGATCGTTGAATACTTCACAATGCTCGCTATACTTGACGTTTCATGCAGAAACCGTCAGGAATGACGGACTTCGGGGTAAAATCGATGAGGAATCCAAAAATCGTATGGAAAAGTCTGGAAAACATCAAAAAAGCAGAGACAATCGTGGAAAATGCGCCAATTTCGTTCAAAAATTATCAATAAACTGAAAAGTGCGGTGGAGCGCACTTGCAGACTCCTCTCGGATTTTTGGCGAGAAATATGCAGAAAATGAATAGAAATCAGAAAAAAGCGAGAGAGACGGATTAAAACAAAAGCATTTATACTTCAACACAAAATGAATAATTCCATAACAAAAACAGTAACAAATCAACAAAAATTGCGAGAAAAAAAACTCATTGAGCACTAATTTTCTTCTTTTTCAGTGACTTCTGGCTTTTCGGACTTTTCGGCTCATTTTCCGCTTTCTTCGCCTTTTCCAACTCATTTTTGCGTTTCGCGAGCATCTTCTTCCGTTTTTCCGCCTGCTCTTTGACCATCGCGATTTTGTGGCGCTTCGGAGCGTGCTTCAGCATTTCCTTCTTGCGATCTCTGCAAAAAATCGGTACACAACAAACACGTGTTCCTCTATTACCTGGACACTTTCTTCATTTCCATCAAATATTCGGGCACCTCGAATCCGGATTGTCGGATTACGGTAGCAATCGATTTGATGTATTTCATGTCGGTATCGGTGAAGTATGTGACCGCGTGGCCACTGTTTCCCGCGCGTCCAGTTCGACCTTAACATAAGAAAAATCCTCCTTACAAGCAGAGACTTTTCATCTAAAAAATCCCCTAAAAAGGACGTACCAACTCGATGAATATAACTGACAATCGAAGTGGGCAGGTCGTAATTAATAACGAGTCCCACGTCGGAAAGATCCAATCCGCGGCCGAGCAGTTCTGTGCACACGAGCACCCAAATCTCGCCGTTCCGGAAACGAGCCATCGTTTCGTCGCGCTGAAAATGTGCAGCATATTTGGCTGTTTTTGAGTCGAAAACGCCCACCTCCTTGTCGCTTTTTCCGCTGTTAATCGAGTCGACCTTCAGGCTCGAATCGATCGCCGACAGTAGTTTGACCAATTGCACGGCGCGGTCCTTGCTCTGCACGAAAACGAGTGCGGGCGGACGGAAAGAGGTCCTCAGCAGATTTCGGATCGCGATTTTCTTTCCGTCCTCGCCGCCGCAGTAGGTGAGCTCTTGTTTGACAGAGGTGTTCGACGAGTTGCGCTCGCCGACACACACCATTCCAATCTTTTCAATGTTCTCTTTGCACCTGATTAATTTTGACGGTAATCATTTTGGAAACGTTAAGATGAGTGAAAACTGACCATTTTTCGACTTCATGCGAGAACGTGGCGCTGAAGAAGGCGACACGCGTGCATTTCGCATCGCAAGCCTTGTAAATCGCCGCCAGCTGATTACGGAAACACTTTTCGTTCCCTTCGATCACCTCGAAAAGACGGTCGGATTCGTCGACGACTAGCCATCTGGAAATCGGGTAGAAAACGAGACTAATGGGGATATTATGTACGCTTAAAATAGCTACCTCAACGCAGACGTGTCAATTGTCTCAAGATGAAAAACGATGCGATTCGGGGTGGAAATGAGAATGTCGGCCGCCGAAATATCCGTCTCTTCGCCGCTGAAATTGGCCACCGATATGTCCGTTCCGTCGCAGTATTTCACAAATTCAGAGTACGTCTGCAAATCATCATCAAATTCGAGTGAATATAGGCGTACGGTAAACGTTTATGCTTTGCAACTTTGTTATTTGTTCAGTAATGCTCCCGGGAGCATTACTGAACAAATAACAAAGTTGCAAAGCATTCCCTAGATACCAAATACAGTTATCTCATATAGCATCTCGATTAAAACGAAACTGGAGAAACTGTAAAAATTGTGTTTAAAAATTGTACCTGTGCTGCGAGTTCCCTGGTCGGCTCGAGCACAATCGCCAGCAATTTCGATTTTCCGGCCGTATAATCCAGGTGAGCGCGTGTTTTGAGTCCCAGAATCTCGTCGATGACCGGCAATGCGAAGGCGAGCGTTTTTCCGGATCCTAACAAATTTTATTGAATTAAGAAAATCCTGTTTCACCTGAAACATGAGTCGGCGAGCGACACGGTTCCCGTTTATTTAGAAATAGCTTGCAAAATCGGCAGTGTTGGTGCGAATTTGCGCAAACTTTACGCAATTTCTACTAGAGCTTTTCGCAAAAATTGGCTTAAGGGTTGCGCTAAAATTGCATAGCGTTTCTCAGAATTTGCGCAATACTGACCAAGACAGCCGAGAAAAAACAGGGAGCGAGAGAGAAGCGATTAGCGTGTGAGAGGGCGGAGACGCAGGCGCGCAACTGTTTCATTATTGTTGTTTGCTGTTTGGCGTCCGCGTCTCTGCTTTTCCGCACGCTAATCGCTTCTCTCTCTCTCTCGTCCACTGTTTTTTGCAAGCAATTTCTTAATCAACGAGAACCGAATCGTTCGCCCAGGCCTGTGTTAACACGTACCAGTGGGAGCACTGGCGAGCACATTTCTCCGTTCGGTCATGAACGGAATCGATTGCATTTGGATGGGCGACGGTTGTCGGATCGAGTGATTCGCGAGTTTTTCCAACAGAGACGGCGCCAAATTCGCGTCCGAAAATCGGAGAATTATGTCGGGAAGGTGGTCGCCCCACGTGAAAATGCGATTTTGACGGCGGATTTCGTCCAACTGCAAAAAATGGATTTCATTGAAAAAAAAACAGACTTTTTCATACTTGTCACGACTTTCAAATAGTGTTTTTTTCAAGTTTTCAGCAGGGATGGGAAAATTTCGGCCCAGGCTCTTTGAGGCCTGGACTTTTGGCCCACTTGCACGAATCCGATCGGGCCCAAACTTTGCAGACTCCTTGGACTTGGATTGAAGGATGTTGGGCCCCAGTTTCAGACCGATCGGATCATCTGGTCCCGAGTTATACTGGTTTGAGGCCGAAAATTGGGGTCACTTCGGCCTCTGATCCACATATCTCGGGACCAGATGATCCGATCGATCTGAAACTCGGACCCAACATCCTTCAATCCAAGTCCAAGGAGTCTGCAAAGTATGGGCCCGATCGGATCCGTGCAAGTGGGCCAAAAGTTCAGTCCTCAAGATTCTTGAGTCAAAAAGCGAAGAAGCGTACCAATTTCTGCATTTTCTTCTCCACATCCCCAATTGTTTCCTCTTCCCGCTCCGAATCCTCTTCAGACTCGTCGTGAGCACGTTTTCGGGACGCCAAAAGTTGAATTGCAGCTGAAATTAATCCGATTTTTAAGGCTGAAAATTGCAAAACAAGCAATGTCCCACCTTTTTTCCTCAATTTTTTCCCGCTTTTCCCGGTTCTCGTCTCCACTCTTCCAATCATTTTCTCGCGAATTTCGTCGAATTTCCGCAGCGATTCGTCGGAAATCGTCGACAATTCCCTCTTTTTCGACGCATTCTCGTCGGTTTTCCGATGTTTCGGATTCGATTGTTTGATGCCGAACGAGAGCGTTTTGAAGGCGAGCGACATCTGAACAATTGTTGTGAATTGCGGAAAACGCTAGAAAAGCGTGTAAATATAGTTGTAAAATGTCTCGAACAATTTAAGTAAAACGCACGAAACAATTGATCAATTAGAAGAAAAATTCATCCGAGTTTCAATAATGGAGAGGAAAATGAGATTTTCAGATCAGTAAAAATAAATGGGAGGAAAAAATAAATCAATAAGAGCTTAAAATTCGGGGAAACAGAGGGGGAAATGGAAAATGGAAATGGTAATTCAAGGCGATCGATTAAAAATTTCAAAAATTCACAAAGAAATCCATCAGATGAAAGCGAGAGAGCTGTGCGATTTCGGCGAGTTCTTCACGTCGATCTCGTCGTTCTGGATGAGTCGGCACACGTGCGCGGCCATTTTGTCGGCGATCGCGGCCATCGCGGGTTTCGTGCACTCGGTGGCCGAGAGAATGCGCGTGCCCAGCAGAAGATCGCCGGCCACGAGATCGAGTTGCTGGGACCAGCCCTCGAGTTTCTGCGTGTTCTGGATCAGCGACATGTTCACCGATTCCAGCGCTTTCGAGAGACCTAAAAATGTGAATGTGCATTCTTACAGAGCTTTGCAGGCTTTATGGATTCGGATTGAAGAATACTGGGACCAAGTTTCAGACCGATCGAATTATTTAGACTCGAGTTAGTGCCTGAGGACCGATATTGGCCGAAAAGCCCGACTAATGATCCGATCGGGCTGAAACTCGCATACTTCAACATACTTCAATCCAAATTCAAGAGGGTCCAATCGGAATATTGCAAGTGGTTTAAAGGTCCAGGACAAGGGCCGGCCAATTTACTTTTACTTTTCAAAGTGTTAAATAAACTTTTATGGAATACACTACCTTTGACAGTGTGCGACGCGCCGTTCACCGCCGGTTTCATCTTGGCGAATCGGCGTTTGACGGAGGCTCCGTAGCACTCGTCGGCCGGAATTCCGTCGAATCTCACTTCGTCGCCGTCCTCGTTCACGCCCATTTCGCACGTCAGAATGCTTTCGATCAACGCGTTCACCGCGCACTCGTTCGCGTCCACACAGTACTGCGAGAAACTGAAATTATTATTTGAACGAATTGCAGATGCAATTGGAAAGTTTACAGTTTCAAAGGCATTTTTAAATTTGTCTACAGCAAAAAAATGCAATAAATGCGGAAAATATGTACAGTATCAGGAAAAAATTAATATAAAAAATGGCCCGTCGGGTCAGTCTCCTTTCATTATGTTTATTAATTTTCAGCATTTTTTTTCGAAAAAACGGGACCGACTGACGTGTGTCTGAAAGCGACGAATCGATCGATGAAAATCTCGATTTTCTGATTCGATTTCTTGATGAACCACTTGAGAAGGCAACTGTTCGCCGCCGTTTTCATCATTTGCTCGGCGGTCAGGTGATGGGCGGTCTGCAAAAAAAAGAAGCAATGTCAGGGTGTTTTTTGTTGTAAAAAATACCATAGCAAGTGCGGATTTGAGTTTTTCGAGTCTCTCGTTGAATGCCTCGTGACGTTCCTCCGGAGATTTCGATTTTTTCGAGCGTCTGAAAAAACAGGCGATTTTTTCACCGTAGTTGTAAAAAAAATGCGACTTTTAATCTGGGGATGAGTGGAAGCAACAAAATTGGCCTCAAACTGAACATCGCCAAAACCAAGACTATCCGAACCTGATCGACTGATCAAGGAGCGATTTTCATCAATGGAACACCTCTGGAGGACACGGTCAGCTGGGACCACAAAGTGACCGCAGAGAACGAGTCAGAGATGGGCGCGGTACGGGAACACGCTCTCTCATGACACCCTTTTTCGTCGACTCTGACTGCTGACGCTAAATTGCGCACACTGGAACATGCTCGAAAGTTTTCGTCTCGCCGCCAATCGGCGCCCATCTCTGGAACGAAACATTCTGGAAGCCACGAGAGATAGCAAAGTCAAGGCCTCAATCTTCGACTCGATAGTTCGGATCGGTGTTTTTTCGGAAACGAAAAGACTGATGGAATGGTGTCCACGAGACGTCAGACGACCAGTACGAACTCAGAAGCTCAGAAGGTGGAAATTGCAAAAAATGCTCACTTTTGATCCGGTTGCTCTCCGTCGCCGGCTCGTTCCAAATCCGACGGTTTCACCATTTGCCGCTTCTTCGCCGCCGACGCTTTCACGTAATTTCCGCTCTTTTTGCGGTCCTGTAATTAAATACAATTATTTATATTTTTATAGAGAAAATTTAACAGAATAGATAATAATTTGAGGTAGAATTTAAAGAAACATTGAAACATTGAAAAAGGTTACCGTATTCGCACTGATTCCGGCGCCCATCGTTCGAATTTTTTCCATCAATGATTGCGAATACTCGCATCCGAGAAGAGTGACATTGATGAACAGTTGCGAGAGACATTGCAGTTGGATTCTGCATTAAATTAGGTTAATTGATTTTTGAGAAGACATTTTTTGCAAGTTCAGGCAAATTTGGGCCCGTACTTTGCAGGCTTCTTGTACTTGGATTGAAGTATGTTGGGTCCACGTTTCAGACCGATCTGATCATCTGGTCCCGAGATATACTGATTTGCGGCTGTAAAGGCCGCGATATTCGCAGAAACCCGGCAAATATCTCGGGACCGGATAATCGGACCCAAAATAATTTTTTCTCCTCACTCACTTGGGATAATCATCGTAATGTGCCAACATGAACGCCTTCCTCAGTTCCCACGCGTCGTCGCTTTCCCACACTTTTTTCTCCGCCTCAACTTCTTCCACTTTTCCCATTTTCGGCCTAAAAATGTTCTTTAAAACGTTTGAAAATCCGAAAACATTACAAATATTACAATGTGCACAACATTCAGGCGTTCATCGTTCACATTGTGTGAGTTAAATATACTTTATAGAAAAATAGGTATTATCAAGATCTCGGATCGATTTTTTTCGGAGTAAAAAATAATAAGCATTTCAGAAGGAAAATACCCGACACAGGGTGACAGAGATGACGATTTTCAGTGAACAGAATCAAGAATCAATGGTGGAAAGGGCGACACAGATGAAAATTAGGGAAATGAGGACAAACGTGACGACGAAAAAGATGAATCCGAATTTGAGGGACAGCGAGAGCCACACGAAGAAGGCGATCGATTGGTACGAGGCGAAATACTGCAAAATACGGATGTTATCGATTTGTTGGGACCAATAGAAATCATACGCGTCGCGTGCGCTGCGACGCGGTTAGCGGCATGCCAAGTTTTAAATTTCTGAGTCGCTACGCAGCATTTGATTCGCAAAATTTCGCCGAAAAAGGCTCACCCTGAGACGAAGAAGCGGCGGCGATCGGTGTATTTTCGATTGGAAGGCGGGGACGGTCGCATTGGGGTCGAGATTCGGCACCGGCGGGTACATTATGTGACGGGCCAACGATCCGAGCACTGAAACAGGAGTAGGAAAATAGCAAAGAAACCTGAGCGTTCCAGATTTTAAACTAAATTTTCGTTTTGCTAGACAAAAACCCGTACAATTATTGTGCGAATAATTGTCTCCGATATTGCGAACAAACGGCACTTCGTTGGCTTTCTGCGCGAGAGCCGTCGCCAAACGGACCGCCACGCCCAGTTCGTAACTCTTTTTCGGCGCCTTCGCATCGTCTTTGTTGCACTTTGAAAAGTCGAATCTTCTGCAAATTTCAATTCTTGACAAGTCATAGAAACGGACAGATTTTTGCTGTTCAACCGTGTCCGTTGCCAGCCACCATCGCCCGGAGAGAATGCTCACTTTTCTCGATTGAGCACTTGCCGCTGTCCGTTCGGCGTCAGGAGCATGTGATTTGAACGCGAGTCGACGTAGTGATCCGGTATTCCGAGACCCGATTTCGGAGTTTCGTGCAGCAATTGCGACGTGGAGTTTGGTCTGGAGAAGGTGATTTTCAGGAGGCAAAATTCAAAAAAAAAAAAGGAATACGTCTCCTTGCCTTGCCAGAGAATGCGTTGCTTTGGCTCTAAAACATTCCTCACCCATTATTTCCGTTTTGGAGTGCGCTCCCATTCGAATCCACCTCCAATTCCTGCATTAATCGTGTTCCCAAATACGAATCGCTGTCTTTAATCAGTAAGAGTAGATCGCCGATTAATCGACTGTTCGCCGCCATTCTCGCCGAGACGCCAGTCGAAAATAACGAGTTCCAGAAGCCAGAGTTCTCCTGCAAAAAAAAACGAATTGTTTCTCGGAAAGTTTGTAGCGAAATGTGTGTGCAAATGTGCAAAACTAGCCTCTCTTTCTTTGCGATTCTCAGCCTGTCGCATGCGAATGACCGTTTGCATTTGTTTGAGTAATTCCTGCGAATGCGGCTGAATATCCAGATGAACGTGCCGTAAAAGCAGTGTCTGCGGCTCTTTCCACGCGAATTCGACCACCGCTCGGAGGATCACAATCAGTTCCTCGCACATTTCGAACGCCGCGAACTTTTTGATGATTTTTCCGAGGATCAGCTCGTAGAACTCGAGATTGTTCTCGAAGAAGGCGCGGTATTTGGAGGCGGGCGCAAAGTCCGTCGGGCTCGACATGTTGTGGTAGCGCCACGGACGGCAGTACGTCAGCCAGCACACTGCAATTTGAAACGATGAGGATTTCACAACATTTTCCAAATTTTCAGCTGTAAAGAAAAGAGACATATCCAATTCTTGTTTTTTTAAATTTAAGTACTCTATTTTACGTGTAAAAATCAGGGCTCGGCAAAAGTGAATTACAGGAGTGCCCTTGAGGATCAGCAGTCTGAGTTTTTGGACTTTGCCGCGACTTTGGTAGGTTGTTAGGTCCTTCTCACTGTCTGCATTACTTCTACGGGCTATGTTCTTCTAGTTTTGTCTCAATTTCTCAGCCTGAGCGGATTTGTGCTTGAAGCAGATCGCTCGCCCAGGCCTGCCACTTGTCGAATACAAAAAATGAAAAGTAAAGAAAGTAAATTAACTGGTAATGTCCCTGAAAACGGTGGTGGTGGGCGCCTGACAGATTGAGCTCCAGAAAAAGTCGAAGAGGGATTTTAGGAAGGGCGCCGAGGACATCAGGTCCAGCTTCCAGTTGTCCACGTCCACGTCGCCCGTCGCGAATTGGCAAAATACGTGGAATTGTTTCAGCAAATATCTGCAATTTTTAACCGTTTCCTTTAAAGTCTATAAACATAGTGTTTCTCCAAATCAAATTCGCTCTACCTAATCAGAAGTAATCTGGTGGTGTTCGTCAACTGATCGGTTGTGCACGATTTGGCGACAAAACTGCAAAAGTGTTGGACGAGTCGGGGCTGAAATGACACGTTCGTCGTCGACATCATCTGGCTACGGTCTTCTGCAAAAACGGAATAAGCAAACAAATTCCAGATTTTTGGGAAAAAAGGGCCGAACCCATAGAAATGCGATTGACGAGTGGCGAAGTGGAGCGGAACAGCTGGAGCGGCGTCCTGATCGTCTGATGCGTCGTTTTCGGCGAACGGGCGGTCGGCAGCGAGTTGGCGGCGATGGGCGACTCGTCGCACGGCAGCATCCGGGTCACGTACTGCGAAATCACCGAGAAGAGAATCGAGTCTTTCGCCGGCTCCGTTGGCTGCAATTTTCAAACGTTCTTTTAGATTCTACCAAGGCTAGGTTTTCGGCCCAGGCTTTTCGAAGGCTTGGACTTTTGGCCTACTTTCAACTATCCGATCAGACCCAAACTTTGCAGGCTTTTTGAACTTGGATTGAAGTATGTTGGGTTCGAGTTTCAGCCTGATCTGATCAATTTTCTCAAATACCCGGTTTTTTCGGACTCTGATCCACATATCGCGGGATCAGATGATCCGATCGGTCTGAAACTTGGACCCAATATACTTCAATCCACGTCTAAAAAGCCTGCAAAGTTTGGGTCCGATCGGATAACTGCAAATAGGACAAGATGGTTCTGAGAATCAAAGTGCATTTTCATTGAAATTGTACTGTTTCAGCAGCACACGATTTTGAACCACAATTTCTGTTTTCCGCCTAATCAAACTCGAATATGGGATAAGGAGTGTGAAAAAAAAACGGAATTAGCTCGGAAAATTCGCAAAAATACTCACGGCCATCGAGGTCTCGCACTGTCGAATGATGGCGTCCCACAGTTCGTTGCACAACAGATCGTCCTCCAAAACCGTCTCGAAGAACAGCGATTTTCCGTTGATGAGCGCATTTATTTGGCTGTGCGGCGAGTCGGCGTAGTGTTGCGGGAGCAGCGGTGGCAGGATGGAGCACAGGTCAATGTGCGGGTTCGTGAACAGCTTCTGCAAATTGTTTCCACGTTTTTGAAGCGTCTCTCGTCGAAATTAGATTGTCTTTCTTTCAAAATGTTCGGAAATTTCTAATTGGATTAATAAAATCGAACTGCCAGAGTCATGAAACAAATGCTTTCCAATTTTTAAAAAATTACTTGAATAATCATGCGTGCGACGGGCACACTCTTCTCCGACGAAATCACTGTCGAGCTTATTTCTCGACAAATTCCGATAACGTCATCGAACTGCTGATTGGCCGCCTGTTCGGCCGTTTGTTGTCTCGTAAACATGGACCTGAAGCGTATTTTTTAAAACAATTCTGAAAAATGTTAAAGAAAAAATACGAGAGTCGTCAAAGGCATGTTGTACCGAACAAATTCAGCGAAAAAACGAAACGATTCGCGATAAAATTAAATTAATTGATTTTAAATTCAGACTACCTACAATAGTAGATAAAAATGCCAAAAAAAAAAATTAATTAGCGTCTGTAGACGACTTTTTCGCGTCGTCTGTCCTGTTTCTTCATTTTCTTCTCGTCCACCTCTTCCGCATCGGATCCGGCGGTCAGCCACGGAAGAAGGAATGCGGTCACGAATTTGTAGGTGACCGAGGCGGGGAAGGCCAAGAGTAGGAGGTATCCGTACGTCGTGTACATTGAGATTAGCTGCAAAACGTTCATCTCTTTTTTCAGCCTTCTCTCGCCACACATTTTGTGTAAATCTGAGCAGAGCGAGCCTTTTTTGCTTTATTCAAATAAATGTAATCAAAAGTATTTTTTGCTACACATGTTCTTATTAAAACTGCAAGCATTTCCCTATTCAATTTTCGACTGTGAAATCGGAAATTCGTGCGAATGCATTCAAAAACGCTCGTTTTACCTGTGCGATGATGGTCAGAATGATGGCGTCTTTGCAGTACTCGCCAAACGCGTCCGGATCGTTCAAATCGGCGCCCGCATCCAAAACGTGGCCTTTATCGTCGAGGCGCGCTTCTGAAATTTTGAAAATGCCAGTTTTCTACTAAAGTATGGGGAAAAAAAGCGTACTGGCGAGTCCTTTTATCGAGACGATCGCAATGATTTGAATGAGCGCGGAGACGGCGAAAAAGACGTAGTCCGACGAGGAACAAGTGCCCAGAAACATGCACGACGAGTAGTAGACCGCCTGAAATTTATAACACTCTTGTTTGGCTATAAAAATTGTTGATTCTAAGCTCAATACACGTTGCGAAAAATCGATAAAGATTTGCTCACCATGCTGACGGTGCTGGCCACCGAGTACGTGGTCACCGTCTTCTGATTCTCCTCATAAATCTCTTTTTGTCCTTTTGTCGCTTGTTTCACCATCTGAGCAATTTTTTTTTGCATTTTTCCTTCAAAATTACCAAATAGGATCCACAGGTCACTAAACCACTGAGAGCACATTCTTCTGCGTGGCAAAGGTCGATAGAAACTTCATTGTTGCTTCAAACTGGACAAAACACGAAAATGAACCGAATTTTGTGCGAGAAATTGGAAAAATCGAGAAGAATTCACAAAAAACGGGGAAAAATGGTGAAAATAGAGAATTTTCAAGGGGAGCGGGCGAATCGGCGTCTAATTGTTGTGGAGGGCGAGTCTGAAGATTTCGTTTCCGATGAAGAACGAGCCGTTGTTGGGACGCAGCGTGAAGAAGTGCGAGAACGGATTCACCGGATCGTCGTCGGTCTGAAAACGCGTTTTCTGTTAGAAAATGTGGCAAAACCGTTTTTGCTCACCTTGAGCTGCCCGAGCACCATCACCTGGATGGATCCGTCGTAGAGCGGCTGCGAGTCGATGACAGTGATCGCCCGTTGAATCTGTCTGAAGCCGAGCGTCTGAAAATTGCGTTCTTCCAGTTTTTGACTCGAAAAAGGCCATTTTACCTGGAATTTCTGGAGAATTTGATCGCGTCCGACCGATTGGGTTCCCTCGAATGTCATGTACGAGTTTTGCGGGTCGTACAAGTCGGCGAGTCCTGGAGAATAAATTCTTTGAATGAAAAATTCAAACAATGAAGAAAACCTTGAACCCGGGTGTCCTGGTTGTCGAAAATCGAGTAGTAGTGGCTGATGAACGCCTTGGCAATGTCCTCGTATCCCGGATTGAACGACATTTCTGAAATGTTGAAAAATGCAGACTAAACAGAGGTGGCACTTTTATTTGCTTAAAAATGTTGCGAAATAGTTGCCACATCATAGAGAAATGTTTCTCAAGTTACAAAATCAGAAACATGTGTTTGTGGTGAAAATTTGCGAAATTTAGACTCAGGAACTAATTGATTACGAATTCTTAGGACAATACGCGAATTTCATCGGAAATCCATGGAAAAGCTCATTTTCCCCGGCTTGCTTAAAAATCCAATAATAATCGGTATTTCGACTGGAGTCATCGAAAAAATGCGCCACGAAGACGTCAAATTCAAATGAGAAAATTCGAAAATCAGCATTTTGAAATCCACTCCTTTTTAGGCCATTTTTCAAGGAGAATCGAGTTGAGATAGACGAAAACTAGTGGCGAAAATAGTTTTTCAACTTGTGTCTAATAGAAATCTCGAAAACAAAAGGAAAAATGAGTGAATCTGACGAGAAACGGGTACAAATGGCAGCCCGCGAACGATTTATTGGCAATGTGCGGTGAAGCGCGTTTGCATCACACGACGAGAGAGTGTGCGGGGACGAGAGGCGCAGACACTTCTTGGCGATTTACGACGAAATGTATTTAATGAGAGAAAGTGTCTTTCAAGGCAAAAATTGAGTTTTTGTTGTCCATTATCGACAGCTTTTTTCAAATAAGTGTTGCTTTTCGAAAATAGAATATCGAAAGTCTATTGGTAGAAAAAAGAGAATTGCCGTGAACCGAAAAAAAACGGAAGTATGCGCCTTTAAAATTCAGACTACTGTACGTACTGTGGGCAAGTGGCAAAAAAATGGACGGCGCCACCTGCCCTCCGTCCGCTTATTTGTCCCATTTGTCCTCTGACGTTTCCGGTCCCTTCCTGAAAACGTGTTATTATGTTTTTGGAACTGGTCACGAACGGAACTTTTATGTCAACTTTGAGAGGATCAGAGAATCCAACCAGAGTTGAGCGGAATCGATTTTTTGAAAAGGCGGAATTCCGCTCAACTCTGAATCCAACGAACAGTCACAATCCTACTTGAAATATTTTTTTTTCGTTATCTTCTAAAAAGCCCTATTTGAAGCGAGATGTTTCGCGAAAAAAAGATTGTTGCGGACGTGGAGAGTATGGAACTTTTTCTTTTTCGAAAAAATCGTTTACAAAAATGCTACTGATCGACAAAAAAACCGTTACCAATTTTGTTTGTTTCAATGAAAATCGACGCAATTCAATCGATAATCATCGACACCGACCGTTGATCGGCAAAATTCCCGAACTCGCATGTTTCGTGTTGCGCGGGCAGGTCAAAATGTCTACGGGTCTCGCAGCGATGCGACAGAAAATGCGCGCGCGTTTGAATCGAGAGTACGCAACGCGTCGGGCAGGCAGGCACTGGAGGACGGGCAGAAAAAAAAAGAGAGCGAGTCCTCTCGGGACGGACGGACCGTCGGGAGGAGAGACTCCGTGTTTCGATGATCTCGTTTTGTTATCATCTGTCCATCAAAACACTCGTAAACACCCTTTGATCTCTGCGATAGGTGCGAACTTTTCGAACGGTTCCTGTCCGGTCATCAAAACAGGTGCGTTGTTTTGGCGCGTTGCGGTCTTTCCGTCCATCCGGCGAGATCTTTTCGCAAGACCGTCCGTCTTTTTTTCTGCCTGCCCGTCCTGCCTTTGCAAATGCCAACCCCTCGCGTACTGTCACTTTAAAGGCGCATCTGGTTTATCGGAATATTTTGTCCAATCGCTGAGAGACCCTTAGTTTGACCTACCGTCCACCCCTCGTGAATATGGATGTTCGGTTGTTTTTCTCGTCATTCGCGTCGTTTTCTGGCGATCGAAAACGTTGTCAACAATGTTTTTTTTGTTGTATTTTTTGTTAAAGTGCTGTGACTACCCCATACTTTTCGATACTCCTTCATCTCTCACTCACATGCGCTTTCGAATCAGTTGCTTTTCTCGTCAATCGATTCGTTTTTTAACAATGCGTTTGTTACTGTGACACGAATATCTTAAACTTTTCAATTCAGTTTCTACCTCGTAGGCTCCGGCCCAGGCGTGCACGATTACTTCTCCAATTCCCTTTTCAGACGATTCATTTTGTTCTTCTCAACTCTCCTCAAGCCTGAATTTGACAAAAAAATTTATTTTCCCGATAAGGCACACTGATTACATAAATAGCAGGGTTTTTAATTTTAAAAAATGGATACACAATTTTACTGGTGATCGCTTAAAAAATCGATATCTAATTAGCGTTTCTGAGACACGGAAAATGTATTTTTCGATAAAGTATCATCCGTCGTTGGAACGGAGGAAGAACGAGTGCGAAAATGAATGGAACGCATCGTCATTGATGCCCTGCAAAATCTTTTGTTTCAGTTTCATTTTTAGACTGCGGCCTCTGAACTGTCCGATCGTTGTCACGAGAATGGATTCGTCTTGGAGTGGCTGCGAATCGACCTCGCTAAGCTTTCGGTTAATTGTAGAATAAGGCAGTTTCTAAATATATCATTGTCGGAGACTAGTCCTTATTTCCACCAAACCTCAAGTTTTTGAAGCATCTTCTCTTGGCCAAATGCCTCATCTCCTTCGAATGTTATCAACGCTCCCGTTAGCAAACAATTTTCCTTTTTTTGGGGGTTCTATTTTTGGTTCTCCGAATTGCTGAATTCAAACCACGCTCCATTCTAACTTGGCTGTCCATTGGAGCGCACTAGCAACGTGGCGAGAGAGGGCACGTGGCAGAGTGTGCGCAGAGAAACGAGCGCAAGTTTCGAGAAAGAGACGGCGAGAAATCGGGGGGCACAAATGTCTGCGTTTCCGTCGATTCGCGCACTCTCTCTCGCCTCCTCGATTTTCGCTATTTATGAGTGAGAATGGGAAAAACAGAACGGAGCAAAACAACTCTCTCTCTCTCTCTCTCTTCTTTTTTTTTTTGCTTTTTTTCTCGCAACAACAACAATTCCAGAAATTTTCAGCTTTTTTGTTTGTCCAGAACTCATTAGAGATCGATTTTAATTGTTGCAAACTCGTTGGAATTTGTTTCATATTCTCTGTTCATCTGCCAATTTTCCAATTTCATGACGAATTTCACCCGCTTTTTCGCTTATTTTTGTGGTCGTCGTCTCCGTCAGAAATGATGATGATGATGATGGGAAATTGTATTAAAACGGAATTTCTTTAAAGCTATTTTTCGAGACCTCTTCGTTTCGCAACTGTGATTCGCGTGTTCGATTGAGTTTTGGTCTAGAAAAAAATAACACGCTGCGAAACGAAGAGGTCGCATTCTTTCAAAACCAAAGCACACACGTTTCCCGATCGAAATAAAAGTGTTATTGCACTTTGAAAGTGCCAATTTCTAAATTCTCATCTCCAAGGTGATTTGCTCACGATTCTCTTTTCTTTTCAAAAATTTTGAATTGATTTCATTTCGAGCATAAAAATGTTCAAAAAAATTCGGAACTTTTCTCCTCATGAAGCCCTTTTTAGCGCTATTCCCCAGAATTGTCAGCTTTCTTTTTGCGATTTCTGTAAAAGATACATGTGTTATGCGCCTTTAAAGATTACGGTAGCGTGATTTCTGTTTCTGCTCATAAAATTGTCCGAATCTCTATGTGATAAGGATTATGCGCGCACGAGATTAGGGGATTAGATGTACTCATCGGAAAAAAAAAATCTATTTCTGCGTTATTTTTAGCTTCCGACTACGTGATTTTTCGCATTTTTGAGGGAAATCATCACCTCACCGCTTCTGCCCCCTGAGAAAAGCCCGCGCAAATTCAACTGCTTGCAAGTGCCGCACACATTTCGCTCTTCAGATCGACAGTGAAAAAACGAGTGAGGAAACATTTGTTGTTGGTTTTGCTGCTCGATATTTAAGGTGAACATCTGGAAAAGACATGCTTTTTTTAGACCCGAATTTAAAGACGCATTCCTCAATTTTCTCGATGGGTCTCGCAGCGAAAAGCATGTTGTGCTTGTTTTTTGCTCAAAATTGGCTAGAAAAAGTTTGCGAAACCCCTGAAAATTAGCTGAAATTATCCGCTTCGAAGTGATCACCGGCCGACACATTTTTGCAGAAAACGTGCGAAATCAAAGAGTTCTGACTGAAAATATTGTATCTTTATTGCCGAGAAATGTCGTTTCACACACAAATGTCTTGTTTTCCCCGTTTTTTCTGACCAGAATCGCGTCGAAATGGGTGAGGACTACTGTAATCCGGTTTAAAGGCGCAGAAGTCAAAATGCAAAAACCTATCGTACCCTGGCGAAAATTTAAAGGCGCATAACTGAATTCGTGCTTACGAGTCGTATTTTCGCGCCAAAAAGCACTTTTCGTTCGAAAAATAGGCAGTGTCTGAAAAGTTCATCGCCGTCGAAGGGCCGCCCGTCTCCGAGTGTAAACAACCGTTTTTTTTTCTCTCCTTTTCCGTCTGTCGCCGGTCAAAACACACGTTTTTCGATATTGCCGCCTCACTCTGCTTTGTTTTTTTGTGTTCTTATTGTTAATGTCAATTAACTTTCCCTCGGTAAGTAAACGCGCTCCGCCCTTCTTTTTTTCCGTTTGCCGGCCCTTGTATCCCAAATTTTGCAGGATTGTTGGATTTGGATTAAAGTATGTTAGGGCCAAGTTTCAGCCCAATCGGATCATTTACTCTCGAGATCTAGTGCTTTAGGGCCGATTTTGGCCGGAAAGCCCGAGCTTTCGGGACCAGATGATCCGATCGGGCTGAAACTTGGTCCCAACATACTTCAATCCATGTTCAAGAAGCCTGCAGAGTTTGGATCCAATCGGATTATCGCAAGTAATTCAAAAAGTCCAGGACAAGGGCTGGCCAACGATTTTCGTAATTTTTGCGGTAAAACTGGGTACGATTGTGCGCTCTAGACGATTTTATTCGTGAAAAAGCTAAAGAGACTAACATTTTCAATGAAATTTCAGCAAAAAGTGAATTTAACGACGGAAAAAGGGAGAGGGCGTGGCCTAAAAGTCAATATGTTTATCGCAATTTTCCCCTTATCACTATCGTTCGCGCCACGGAAATGTTGCGATTTTTCACCAAGCGATTTCGTCATTTTTTGTTTAGACCGTAAGAAAAGTTCAAAAAAGAATTGTGTGTTGTTTAAATGTCTCGTACCCTCTTCTCTGGCCAATCTCTCGTAGGCCACGCCCACTTGTCGTCCGTCCAGTCCACGCCATTGGGCTCATTTTCTTTGACATTCGGCTGCCGCTGATGGGCTTTTGGTTTTCTAGGCCACCAACTATTTTTGTCTTAAAATAAAGACGCATTGGTTTTTCTCACGCTTGACATGACCGAAAATGCATGATGTCATGGCCTAGAATGTATTTCTGGATTTCTAGGCCACCATTTTTTTGGTTGGTGATGAATTTTCAAGGCCATCAAATGAGTCATTGAAAAGAAAAAGGAAATTTTTGTCTCACGCTCCAATTACTCGCATTTGTTATTCAACATACATTAGGAGCGAAAGAGACTCGTCGTTTTTGTTGTACATTTTCAATTTTTGCATGGCCTAAGGTGGCCTAGAACTTTGTCAATTGAATTTCTAGGCCACTAGCAAATTTTGTGGAATCTCCTACACTTTTCTTCTATCGCTCTCCGCTTAACTTTTTCATTTCCGCGTACAGTATCGTTCACAAATGGAAAAAAAGACGTGGCTTACGAAATTTCAAAGGAAAATGCACTTCTTAAAGGTTTTTTTTTCATATTTGTGCAAATTGCTAATGTTTTTTCAGAAAGGGAACGGAAATGAGAAATGAATGATTTTCGAGGCAGTTTTTTCGAAAATCGTGCCGTTTTTCGGCTTGTATAGCTAATTTCAGTCAACAATTTTGAATCCGGGCCCGATTTTTGATAAGCCTTCAAAAAACTGTGTTTTTTCGTAGGCCACGCGCCTTTTTGCCATTTGTGGCGCCATGTTCACGAAACTTCTCCAAAAAAAGAAGTGCATTTCAGGGGCGCCCAAAAATGCACAACCGACCGCCGAACATGGGATATCCACATTATCAGGCGGTGGGCGGCGGCGAGCGACAAGAACCGCCGCAAAATGAGGAGAATGCAGAGTCGCCGCCGACGCATCCACAACATCCGAACTATCATCCGATGCAGCAGCCGCCACAACAATTTTACAACAATTTTGCAAGCCAACAGTATTTGCCGCAACAAGTTCCGAATATTGTCGGTCCGCAACTCAATTTTCCGTCACCGCCCACGCACGATATGGTCGCCAACTATTATCAACTTCCGCAACAACAATATTATCAACAACAACAGCAACAACAGTTGATGTATCCGAATTTTGGGCCGAGCAACGTGCCGCAAACGTCGAATATGGTCGTTCCGCAGCAATTTCCGCGAAAAACGCCGCCAAAACCGCCGCAAAAGACGACGCCGCCGAAGAAAACGTCGACAAAGCCGCAAATGTCGATCCGACAGCAAGTCATGTCTCAGCAGTGCGAAGCAGACCCGCCCGGTCACGCTGACGACCCGAGACTGATTCAGATTGCGACGAAAGTGCTCGACGAGACGAGTGTGCTCGAGGGAGATGTGAGTTTGGGGCGCAAATTGCATCGAGAACGCTTTTGTTGAAAAAAAACTGATAAATTAATAAAACCGAATCGATTTTCGCTTTTTTTTCCGACACTCATTTTGACTGAAAATTGATCGGTTTGGACTTTTTTTTTACCATTCTTGGCTAAGCAAACGCGCTCCATCGCACTCTGCACTTTGTTTTTTGTTTCTTCTCGCCTCCCAATGCATTCTTTGCTGGAATTGCATGAGAAATGCGCGTTTTTCCACGTTTCCAGTTAAAAAAATCGTACAGAGAACACATTTCCACATGGCTAAATTTGGGCGCACCGAAAAATTGTGTAATCGATCAATTATATATGCTTACTAGTATTTAATCGTCCAAAAATAGGCACCTGTTTGTTCCGTGCTCGTTGTGCATTGTGCAATCGACACCTGTACCTTTTGGATTCTCGGATCGAGAGAATTATGTAATATACATCTGGTAATTTGCAAAAAATAGAAAATAATGGTGCATTCCGGAGGTTGATGCCAATTTCCAGGGGGAATTTCCGACACAACGCAGTTTTAAAACGAAAAGACATGCGTAATTTTTCGGTTAATTTTCGCTAGAAATGTGTGCTCTGTACGATTTTAGAACAAGAAAAGTGGACGAACGAGCGCTTCTAATGAAATTTCAGCAAAAAATGCGCTTGGAGACGAAAATGAAAATGAAGCAAAGCGCAGAGTGCGGTGGAGCGCGTTTGCTTCGCAATTGAAAATCGCCATCTACAATTTTACTCTTCCGCGGCCATTAGAAGACGCCTCTAGTAGAACGTTGAGAAGTTTCAAAATGTCTTCGCGAAAATTGCATTAGAGCGTCTAGACACGCGCATACATTTTTGTGACATTTTTGTAGCGTTGACGTTGACGTTAACACGAAACACCGAACAATTTTTCGATTGACTTTATATGTGACGTTTTTTCGAGAAAACAAAAGTGTAGGAGAAACCTCAGAAATAATGTGGAAAAATAGCAGCCGGACGTCCCGAAACTAGACCTTTTCATCACCAAGTTTTGAAATGCCCCGCAATAAATCGATGATATAGCAGCATCAAAAGTATTTGAACAGACATAACCCTAAAAAGGTCAAATTTCAGCGTACGTTCGAATGGGCGTCGCGAGCGGTGCGTCTCATCGCGAAGACGACGCGCAAGTACGGCTGCTTCGACGTGTTCTACGAGGCGATAATGAGCGAGCACGGGCACTCGAAGTGCTGTCCGGCGCACAACGACAAACTGCCGGGCGGCATCGGCCGCGCGAACATGTTCATCCTTCGCTTGTTCCGATTCCCCTGGCTCCGCTACGACATTCAGATCAAATCGACGCTCAACTGCCGGTATCCGGTCGACCGGGGCACTCGATCCGCGTGCCTCAATCCGTATCACTATCGACTCGTCGAGTTGCCACGTCTCTCGCTTCCTCCGATTGTCGTCAACAAGACTCTGGACTATGGAGAGCCGCCGATGCGACCCGAGAATCCGATGGACGACGAGTCGTCGATGAACGAACACGTGGAGGACGAGGAGGTCGTCGCCGAGTTCACCGTGCCCAATGTCACGATCAAGGGAGACGAGATTAAGGTTGGCGCTTGATTCTAGACAGTCTAGAAAATTGAAAATTTTAAAGGTGGTGTCCAACGTGACATACAACATATTTTTAAAATAAACTTCGAAGTGGGGCATTCACTTTCCCAAAGTCCCGAATTGCGAAAAAAATTCCCCGATTTTTAAGATTTTTTTCAAAAAAGTTAATGGTACCGAGAGAGAAGTACACGGCGAAATAGAAGAGCTGGCCTAGATTTTTCTAGTCCCCGGATGAAATTCCCCTTTCTTCCGATTTTTTTCCGTTTTCGTGCAATTTTCGTGCAATTTTCAATCGTTTTTTCACTGAAAACATTTATTTGCAATATTTAAAAAAACTTATGTTTTTTTCTGTGCCGTGACGCCAAAAAAATCGATAATCTGAAACTTTCAAAATTCAGCAAAATTCAGAAATTCAGCCACTTTTTGTAAAACTGAAAATAGGAAGTTTTCGATTTTTTTCATTACTTTGAAAAAAATATAACTTTCTGTAACTCGCAAACTTCAATTAAGAAAAAAATCATAAATTTTTTTAAATATTGCAAATAAATGTGCTCAGTGAAAAAAACGATTGAAAATTTAAAAAAAATTGCACGAAAACGGAAAAAAATCGGAAGAAAGGGGAATTCCATCCGGGGACTAGAAAAATCTAGGCCAGCTCTTCCATTTCGCCGTGTACTTCTCTCGGTACCATTAACTTTTTTGAAAAAAATCTTTAAAATCGGGGAATTTTTTTCGTAATTCGGGACTTTGGGAAAGTGAGAAGGGAAAGTGCCCCACTTCGAAGTTTATTTTAAAAATATGTTGTATGTCACGTTGGACACCACCTTTAATAATAATCCATTTATTCGCTTCGACTACCAGAAAAATTTACAGAAGAGGAGAGGGAGATATAAATAGTGGGTGGAGGAGGGAATAATGACCGACGATCACTGGCCGGCAATAGCCATAGGTCAAGGTTAAAAGTTCCAATTGAAACAGTAAACTTAAATTTTGAAAAATCTTGCTCAACCCCTCTTTTTTTTTCTTATCTCGAATGTTCTTCCAGATGCTGTTCGAGCAACACGCCGACCACGACACGAACTACGACCTCAACTCGCTGGCGGGCCTTCCGATGCCTCCCAACTTTGGCCAAATGGCATCCGGGCTTTCGATGGCTCCGTTCGATCCGAACCTCCTCCCCGGATCGTCGGTTCCGATGCCCTCCGCCGATATTCCGTCGTTCGCAGTGCCCTTCCCACCCCGTCCACAATCGGAGACGGAAGAAGACACCGAGTGCAAATATTATCAGTCGGGACTCTCGTCGCCGGCCAGGTTTGAAATGCGAAAGACTCGTTCGATACTAGCCCCATAGATACAATTTCAGTGACATTGCCTCGCCGACGTCTTTTGTTCCGAACCTCGCGCCGCCACCGCCCACGCGTCCCGAGTGCCCGAGTAGCAGTGTGTCTCCTCTCGACGAACAGATGGAGACGGACGAGGACGTGGACGAGGAGATGCGCGAGGTGGTGCAGATGACGAGGGCGGCGGCGGAGAGTGTGCCCGGAAGACCGAAGAAGGACAAGCCTCGGTACGCGGACGGCCGGCCGATCACTCCCATCGAGCCACGTCCACTCTTCCGATCTTCGGTTTCCGAGCTTGGTAAGTGATGGGGGCTTGGCTAGAAACTCCTTTAGGATCTTTAAAAGTCTAAGGGTTGTGAAACAGTAACTCCCCATAAAAACCTTGAATTCTCCGCTAGCTTCTCGATAAGAACGGGCCGATTACAGGTGAACTGGTGCGCAACGCGGCCACTTTCGAATGTGTGGAGTACGAGGAGAAGTCGAAATGGCTGGCGCTCATGTACTACGAGGAGAGCAATCAGATCGGAGAGGTGAAGGAATTCGAACGGGCGCACTGTCTCATCGACGGATACACCTCCACCGAAACGGACACTGCGCGCATGCCCACGTGAGTGCAGCGGAAAGAAAATACATTGTCTGAATTGTTATGCCGCGTCCAAAGTCTCGGAAAACCCGCAAAAACCACAGGTTTTTCTGTCCAAAGTCGGCAGAAATTTGCGTGAAAAACGGGGGTGTGCGCACAGCTCAACGAATGTAACCGTACCCCTAAAACTACGGTATTTTTTGAAAAAATTTAAATTTCTCAAGAATATTTGAAATTTTTCAAATTTCTTGGGTAAACTTTCAACGGTATTTTTTGAAAAAATTTAAATTTCTCAAGAATATTTGAAATTTTTCAAATTTCTTGGGTAAATTTTCAAAAAATACCGTAGTTTTATGGTGTACGGTAACACTCGTTCAGCTGTACGCACCCCGGATTTCCCGCAAATTTCTGCCGACTTTGGACTGCAAAATCCGCGAGATTTGCGGGTTTTCCGAGACTTTGGACGCGGCATTACTTCTATAAGATATATCCTTTGATAGCAAAGAAGAAGTTCTCTCAAAATTGTTCAATTTTCAGTCGCTTCTCGATCGGCTTCTTCAACAACCCGATCCGCAGCCCGGCCACTTCGGAAGTGCGTTCGCTGATCGGAAAAGGATGCCGACTGTATTTGTTGGCCGGCGAAGTGTACATTGAGAATCTCTGCGGCATCCCCATATTCGTGCAGTCGATCAGTGCGAACCTGAAGAACGGGTTCGCGATGAACACGGTCTCGAAACTGCCGCCGCAGGGAACCATGAAAGTGTTCGACATGCGAATGTTCTCGAAACAGCTCGCCGCCGCCGCCACAAAGACTTATCAAGGTAATAATAATGCGCTGGATTGAGCTGAAGCGTCGATGGAATATTTATACCGGCAATTATAGATTTACCTACTCTGAAATGTAATTTTCCATCGCACACAACACCGTTTTGAAATTTTTGAAAAAAAAAACAGTTTAGAGTAAAATTGAAACACAAAATGATATTAATGAATGTTGTGCTTCCACAGTCTCCAGCGTGGCCTCCGCCACAATGACTTTTCACGATCTCAACGCTTCATACCTGATTTTTGTGGTCAAAAGCGATGAAAATCGATAGTTTGACATGAAAACATAATAATTCTGGAAACTTCTGACGTTTTGCTGCATTCGCTTTTTCGCCTTTTCAGTTTTTTCGTGAGTAGCTGTTAAAAGTCGCTTTATTTGGCCCTGGAGACCGTGTTCCGCACTACGTATCGCATAAAAAGATGATGAAAAATGGGGGTTTTGTTCTTAAATTTCGAATTTTCAGACGTCTACTGCCTGTCGCGAATGTGCACAATCCGCATCTCGTTCTGCAAAGGCTGGGGCGAGCATTACCGGCGCTCGACGGTTTTGCGGTCGCCCGTCTGGCTCCAGGCCCACTTGCACAATCCAATGTCGTGGATTGACAGCGTGCTCACGTGCATGGGCGCCCCGCCGCGGCTGTGCACTTCCAGATCTTGATAATATCGTCGATGCACCTATTTTATTTGAATTATTTTTGGAATATATTCTTTCTTACCCCCCACCACCAACTTGTGATAGTTTCATGGTTCTAGTCTCACTCTCTTTCTTTGTAAATGACGCAAATGTGTTCTGTTGAGATTTTCGCATTAGAGCGCACTTTGTTCATCGAATTCTTGTAGTGCCATTCCACAACAATTTCCATTGGCTTTATCACACTGATTCATTTCATTTAAAAATTTTTTTTCTCCAATGCATAATGATTTGAAGGCGAATAAATTGATTCTTCCCGAACATTTGTTGCAATTGTCTGAAGAAAAGGGGCGTGGCCTTGCTAGCACCCGAGAAAAATTGGCGTCTCTCTCGCAAAAGAGCACTAAAAATGCGGGGGAGAAGCTCTAAACATTACTAAATTGGTTTTCCGTGAGCTCAAAAGAGCTCCTCTCGTGGCGCGACGTCTTCTTTTTCTCATTTTTCCGCTTTTTCTCTGCCGTCTCCGTTTTTATTGGCTTTCATTTCAGAAGAGGAGGCCTGCCGGCTCGCGGAGCTCTCACCGGGAGTAAGCCGCGCCGCTAGGCGGCGGAATCGATGTGCCCGCCGGCTCTCACGTCTTCTTCTCTCTGATTCTCCACGATTCTTGACTTTTGCTCGCTTTCTTTTTGCTAATTCACACGAGAAGTATGTTTTTCATTTATTTTTTTCATCAAAATTGTCAAAATTGACACTGAAATTACGTGCTCTCGTCGAATTTCACCTGAAAAACTGCTAAAAACGACGAATTGCAGCGTAAGGGTTACTGTAGATTTAAAGGCGCAGATCAAAATTTCGTAGCTGGTCTCGCAACGATCTACTTTTTTCTGGCGCCAATTTTCGGTTTTTTCAGCGAATCCGAGCGAGAAAGCAAATTTCCATGATCAAAATTGAACATTTTCTTCGGTAATTCCCCATTTTTCTTCCTTCTTAACTTTACGTTGTATTTCCACTAAAAATCCCGTGATCTCTAAGTTTCCACCAATTTACCTTTAAAATAATGTAAATTTTTGCCTAAAACTGCGGCGATATTGCGATTTCTCGCCTCGCGTCTCCTCCAGAATTAATCGCATTTGGCCGGCTGCCGGCTGTGTCCAGAAACATTTTCGTGCGTTTCCGGAAATCCATTTAGCGTCGCCTTTTAGTTTTTTCGCATTTTCTTCTCATTCAAAGGAGGCCTGTCACTAAAAAATTAGCGTGTGAGACATTTATACCATCGGTTAGAGCGTGAAAAGTTTCACACCAGTCCAGTGCATCATTTTTCCCAAAAATCCTTTCTAGGGCAACATTTTAGGCCTCGAACTTACTCCTCCGCTTCACTTTTTTTCGCTGTTCTCACTCTGTTTGTTTTTTTTTTGAAGTGTGGTCAATTGAAGAGTTATTGTGAAGTTGCCCCTCGCCCCATTTATGTGACGCCCCGTCTAGGTAGACGCCTCGTTGCCAGCCCTCGTCGTTCCGTCCTTTTCTCATGGATCTATGAAGATCTAATAGATCATGCCAGTAGTCATGGACCCATGAAGATCTAACGGATATGGATCGGGACGAAATGAGCAGGGGACGGAACAGCGAGGACGAATAGTTTGGTATAAATTTGCTCGCACAGTAGTTTTTTAGTGACAGGCCTCTTTTAAACAGCTGTTTTTCTTCAAGTTTTCTGCCAAATGTCAGTCTTCAAACTGAATTCAAACAAAAAACAGTTAGCGTAGCAAATAACTTTTCACTTCCACGATTCCTCCCTAAAAATGTGATGGGAAAATGGAAATTTGCGGCGTGGAAATTCCACCATTTCGCTATTCGTAAATTCATTGAAAATTCGAATTTCCGGCCGCTTTTCCTCGCAAAACGCCTACGCATTGACGGGAGGCGTATTTTATGGACGAAATAAAAGGAACGGACGTGGCGTGTTTGTTTTAGACTTTTATGCGAACAATTTTGACGAGTGTTCTCGCCTTTTTGCTGAAAATTTGTGGAAATTGATTTTTAGTGCGTGTAACCTTTGCCACCAGTGGAATCAGTGCATTTTCTTGATCAGAAGACTTTAAATTTTGTATATTTTCATTAATTCTCGCCCATTACCCGTTTTCCTTTCTGTCGAGACGGACAAAGTCGGTCAAAAAAGGCTTTTCGTAGCCGTCTGTCTCATGAATTATTTTTTTTTCGCGTTGAAAATGGAGGAGGAGGCGTCGAGGCAGCAGCAAAAATACTCATTTTCCCCCCGTTTTTTTGTGCATCTCTTTCCTCTCGCCTTCCCTTTTTTTTCTGTTTTTTTTTAACGCATTGAAATGAGGAGGAAAAGTAAGTGGAATGATAATGCAAAAGTGTGCAGAAGAAGAGTGCTGTTTCAAGTTTAGTTTTCTTTTGCTAGGAGTACGCTTTCACACCTGAAATTAGTTTTTAAAACACGGGGCTCCAAAGACTACGCCGGCGAGCTCATTCAAATTTTCCTGCCGTCTTTGCAATTGGCTGCATAGCGATTAGCGAGTCAGAAATTTAAAAATTGGCATGGCGCCAATCTGTTTCTATGGAGAGCGTCTGCTAACGTAGTCTTTGGACCGCCGTGTAAAAAACTGTTTTAAAATGTGTTTAAAAGTTTTTATGCGTTTATTTTTCAATGATACGGAGTTTTGACAACGCCTCGAAAAAAGCTGCACTTTTCCCCCTTTTTTTAAAACTATTTTTGATGTCTGAAAAGACGTGTTAGGCGGCGAAAAAAGTCGGAAAAACACGACGGAGCAGGTGAGCACACACCTGCTCTTTTCAGTTATTTCTCCAGATTTTTTTCCAACGGCAAAAATTGAAATATCGTCACGATCAATATAATTGCAACAAAAATGTCCCTAAAAGAAAAGTAGAACTTGAAACGGTTAAAAATTAGAAAGGACGTTTCATCATCATTTCATTCTATCATAAAAAGGAACCAGACAAATAGAGAGAAAAAAGCGAATAAACTTGAAGAAGTATGTGTCTGAAGTGCCCCACGTCACTTTTTTCCCCCCTCTTGCTCTCTTCCAAATGAGCCCCTTCTTCTTCTTTGCTCCGGGCTCGAAGGCAAAACATTGAAAGCTCCGCCCACTTTTTGTTTTGTGTGCTCCGTGTGGCGCCCACGTCATTTGAATTATTCTCTTATTCTTCGTCCGACCGCCCGTTTTCTGGTCCATTTTTTTTTCTCGCGGAAAAGGACACTATATATATATTTTTTGATATCCACTATATTCTCTTTGTATATTCTCTAAAATACCACCATCGCTCCTCGAGGATGGGATTGCAGAGAGGAATGCCGTTGGCGCAACTCGGCGAGCCGTTCGGCATCACGCCCGCCGCCATCGAAAACGTGTCGCCGGGCATCGATCAGTGCAAGGACGGACGGCACGCGGATGTACGTTTTCTTTTTAAGACCTTTTTTGAAGTGAACGTCTCGTTGCAGAGAGAAAAAGCCAACGAGATTAGGTAAATAGTAGATTATTGGCGATTGGTTCAAATTTGGAAAGACTCCGAAATAGAAACTTTGTTGCTCGCGCGCAGCTGTGTCGCAGCCTCCTATTTCTGATCCGACTAATCGGACGGGAACAATCAAAGTTTGCTCTGGAAAAGTTTGTGTTTGCTCACATGCTCGTGAATCCTCCGTATTTGCCCCCGGATCCACCACCCAATTTTGGGCCATTCACTTTTGCCAATTTCCCCTCCTTTCCGACATGACTTTTGACTTTGAACTCCCATTCCGCAACTTTTTGGAGGCGAAAAAGATTACGGTAGGCTTCGTTTTTCGCTGGTAAAAATAACACGGAACACTGCGCGAAAACTGGTTCATTTCCCGATTTGGACGGAAATGTGTAGAGTAAATAGGCGATTATAGTTTTGGACATTTTCCGGCTATTGTAGGATTCTGTCGGAGAAATGCATCCGAAAATTGCGTTTCTCGACGTGATTTCTAGCAATTTGAGCTATTTATTGATGAATCCGGCGGCTCTTTGTCAAATGGTTTGTTTCTGGCGAGAACGCATTGAAAAATGTGCTTGTTGATGTCCATTATTACATGAAACTGGAAAGAATGAATAACTTTTACAGTTTCACAATTTTTTGTCCGATAATTTGCCATAAAATGGGGAATTGTTTCACCAATGCGTGAACAGTATTCGATTGAAAATTTTGAAAAGAAAATCCTCGAAATTTCCCCCCGAAAAGTTTCACACAACACGCACGCTCTTTCTTGATATTTTTCAGTGAAATAAAGTGCGTGAGAATAGCATTCTGAACTGCTAGGAAGACGTGTCGTTTGTGAAAACTTTGAAAAAACAGGTGCATTGTAGCGTGTGTTTGTGTGTGTGTGTGTTTGTGATGTGGTGGTTGCAGGTGTCGATGCGATCGGAGGCGGACTGCTCGAGCGACGCGACCAACACCTTCCACAGTTCGATCCACGTACTCTCGAATGTGGTGCCGAATTACGGACAAAAGGTATCCCCCTCTTTTTTGTAGTCGAATTTTTGTGATTTTGTTTTTTTTTATTCGGTTGCCTCGCTTTTTTTGTTTGCACGATTTTGGAACGTTGAAACGAGAAAAGTCGAGGAAAAGATCAATGATTGCTCATTTTCTGAGCTCTGCCGAGGGCTCCGAAGCTCTCGAAAAGATGACACCTGCCGCTCTTCGGTCCCTTTTCTCTCTTTCTCTCTCACTGTCTTTCCCGGATATCTCCTGACTTTTTCTCTCATTTTACTCGAAAGTTTCGCCGTTTTTTTTTTGCTCAAATGTCATCGTCGGCGGCGGCGGTGGCGGCGACGAAAAGTAGAAGCAAACGGAGAAGAGGAAGCTCCTTTTGACCCCCCCCCCCTTTCCCCCGTAATTTTCACTGAAATTTGTGTCGGAAAAGCCGCTTTTTTTGAATGCAACTTTTAATTTTGACGGGTCTCGACACGAATTCCGAGTCGGCGCCGGAGACTGAAAATGGAGAGGAGGAGGTTGGTTTTTTCAGGGAGAGAAGCACATTTTGTGTAGCCGAAAAAGTCATCAATCACTTTTTTCGCCTCTTTTTTTTAGTCACTCGAAAAGTTCCCATGGAAACCCATTCCTTTTTTCAGCGGGATTTTTTGGTAACATTGTGTTTTTTTTTCCGGGAAAATTGGTAGAAAAAGTGGACCTTTTTCTGCGGTGCAAAAATCAGCACGAAATTGTGTTGCAGGCGGACGCGGCCACCGAGACAGAAATCGACATTGGCGACGTGCGAAAATGCGGAGAAAAGGCGGATCCGCGGCAGTTTGAGCTGCTCAAAGTGCTCGGACAGGGCTCTTTCGGCAAGGTTCGTTTTTCGCTTCTCACAACTTTTTTCTGAATGTTTTCAGTTTTCTGCGTGAAACCGAAAAGTTTTCCGTTTTGCAGGTATTTCTGGTGCGAAAAGTGCGTGGGCGTGACTCTGGCCACGTGTACGCGATGAAAGTGCTGAAAAAGGCGACGTTGAAGGTGCGCGATCGGCAGAGAACGAAACTGGAGCGCAACATTCTCGCGCACATTTCGCATCCGTTCATCGTCAAACTGCACTATGGTTCGTTGAGACTTTGCCTTATTGGCCGCTGGCTGAATTGGCGTTTTTTTCCCACGAAGAAGAACACACGTTTTCTGTTTCTAAAATTGGACATTTTGCAAAGAGTGTTCACAATAAACTTTGTTTCAGCATTCCAAACAGAGGGAAAACTCTATCTGATTCTCGATTTCCTTCGCGGCGGCGACCTGTTCACGCGTCTCTCGAAAGAGGTCATGTTCACGGAGGACGACGTGAAATTCTATCTCGCCGAGCTCACGCTGGCCCTCGAGCACCTCCACTCGCTCGGCATCGTCTACCGGGATTTGAAGCCGGAAAAGTTGGTGTTCAAATCATTTTGCTTGTGAGAAAAATGCAATTTTTTGCAGTATTCTGCTGGACGCCGACGGTCACATCAAAGTGACGGACTTTGGACTGAGCAAAGAGGCGATCGACAGCGAAAAGAAGACGTACTCGTTCTGCGGGACCGTCGAGTACATGGCGCCGGAGGTGATCAACCGGCGCGGCCACTCGATGGCCGCCGATTTCTGGTCCCTCGGAGTGCTCATGGTATTTGCAGTGTCTTTTACTCATACACTTTTAGCTCTGTTTTTGAAAACAACAATTTGCAGTTCGAAATGCTCACCGGACACTTGCCGTTCCAGGGCAGAGACCGCAACGATACGATGAATCAGATTCTCAAGTGAGCTTTTTTGTGATGCTAAAATTTGGAACAAATTCAGTTTCAAAAAATTGATTTTCGGAGATCTATTTCAGTAAACAATTTGGTTAGCATTACCATACACCTAAAAATCCCCCGTTTTAAATAATATTCTCATCCGTTTCAGAGCCAAACTCTCGATGCCGCATTTTCTGACGCAAGAGGCTCAGTCGCTGCTGCGTGCTCTTTTCAAGCGAAACTCGCAGAATCGGCTGGGCGCGGGGCCTGAAGGCGTCGAGGAGATTAAAAGACACGCGTTCTTCTCTAAAATCGACTTTGTGAAATTGCTGAACAAGGAGATCGATCCGCCGTTCAAACCGGCTCTCTCCACAGTCGACAGCACCTCCTACTTTGATCCGGAGTTCACGAAACGCACGCCCAAAGGTTCATTCGGGAGAAATTATGGTTCTTTTCGTATTTTGAAACTGTGAAAAAAAAGAACATTGAGATGAAAACTTAAGGGGTTATTCAGGCTGTGAAAAAAATGATTGTTTTCTGTTTTTTTTTTCGTTTTTTTACGTCAAAAAATCCAATTCAGCGATGTAAAATAAACGAAAAAAAAAGGAAAACAAACATACGCTTACAATTTTCTATGAGTGCCTACTTTCACATTTTCAGACTCGCCGGCGCTTCCGGCCTCCGCAAACGGACACGAGATCTTCCGTGGTTTTTCGTTCGTCTCGAACGCGGTGATGGAGGAGCGGAAGAAGATCGAGAAGCCGATCCGATCGGTGCCCACCGCCAAGACGCATCCGTTCACCGACGATTACGAGATTCTCGAGGTAGTGCACTATCTCGTATTTTCAACAAAATTCTTCTGTTTCAACGAAATTTAGTCTATCTGGTGAAACAGACACGTTGATAAAGGAAGCAATTGGGCGATTTAATCTAGAATCCTCGGAAAAATGCGAATTTTGCAGCTGATCGGAAACGGCGCACACTCGGTGGTGCACAAGTGTCAAATGAAGGCGACGCGCCGAAAGTACGCCGTCAAAATTGTGAAAAAGGCGGTATTCGACGCGACGGAAGAGGTGGACATCCTGCTGAGACACTCGCACCACCAGTTCATCGTCGCGCTTTTCGACGTGTACGAGGACGAGACGGCCATTTATATGGTCGAGGAGCTGTGCGAGGGCGGAGAGCTTCTCGACAGGTATTCCTCGAGACGAGTTCCCTCATTTTGAGCCTAAACTGGAGTTTTTTGCATTTTTTAAAGAGAATCTAAGCATTTATGACATTTGTTAAACACACTTCTTTTCGACATTTCGAAAATTTTCTGTTTCATGAAAAAAATTGAATTTAATTTGTGTTTTTTACGTAACTCATTTGACAATTATTATTATTCCAACAAAAGGTGTTACAGACTGATGAACAAGAAGGCGCTGGGCAGCGAGAAGGAGGTCGCTTCGATCATGGCGAATCTGCTGTACGCGGTGCAGTACTTGCACGCGCAGCAGGTCGCGCACCGGGATCTGACGGCCGCCAACATCCTTTTCGCCTCGAAGGACGGCGATCCGAACTCGCTGCGCATCGTGGACTTTGGATTCGCGAAACAGTCGCGCGCGGAGAACGGAATGCTCATGACGCCCTGCTACACCGCTCAGTTTGTACGTTTCTCTTTTGTCTTGTTAAAAACTTAGGGAGGAATGTTTTTTTCCGGTCAAAACTCACTTTGAACAAGTCTTTCGGTAACAGTAAAAGAAAGTTGTAAAATTTCAAACAACACTTGTTTTTCAGGTGGCACCGGAAGTGCTGCGCAAGCAAGGATACGACCGTTCATGCGACGTGTGGTCGCTGGGAGTGCTGCTGCACACGATGCTCACCGGCTTCACGCCCTTCGCGATGGGCCCCAACGACACGCCCGATCAGATCCTGCAGCGCGTCGGCGACGGAAAGATCTCGATGACGCACGCGGTGTGGGACGGCATTTCGGAGGAGGCGAAGGACCTGGTGCGGCGGATGCTCGACGTGGATCCGAACCGGAGGGTCTCCGCGAAGGGAGCACTCGCGCACAAATGGATCGGACAGAAGGAGGCGCTTCCCGACAGGCCCATCAAGGAGTTGGAGCGGCAGATGGACATGCATAATGTCAAGGTATTCGGAGAAGGCATTCAGGCTCAAGCTAATTGATAGATGATAGTTTGAAAAACCGAAGAACACCCCGAATCATTCAAACTTTCTGACCATTCAAACAAAAGATTTTTCTGAAACGGTTAAAAAAAGTGTTCGTCTTGATGATTGTTTTACAAAACCTTTACTTGCACAATTTGTGATGACATCAGGGAAAAAGTTGCAGGTGGCGCTGGAGCAGACGTACAAGGCGATCGCGTCGGCGCCGAGTGTTCAACTGCGTCCGGTCGGATCGTCGGCGCTCGCGAAGCGGAGGATGAAGGACATTTTGTATCCGACGAGCCGACAGAAGAATGTCACCGCCAACGCGTGGTTGGTTTTTACTCGACTGCTCTGAAATGTTTATTTGCCTTTTTGCGAAAAATCCTGAAAATGTCTGAATGTGGTGCTTGTGATTGGTCTTCTTTCGACCCTCTCTCTCTCTCTGACCGTTTCCACCACTTCTTGCAGCAATCCATCAGCAAAATCAAAAAACAAGCAAAAGGCGAAAAATGAGCATTTTGCGCAGCATTAAGGTAATAAAAATATAGATGATACCAGTTTTGTGAAAAAACTTATACCAGTTTTGTGAAACTGTAAACATTTGTAATATTCAGGGCTGGGCAAAAGGCCGGCCCAGGCTTTTTGAAGGCTTGCCAAGGCCTGGACCCACCCCTTTTTGCAATGATCCGATCGGGTCCAGACTTTGCAGGCTTCTTGAAGTTGGCCGGTCCCGAGATATGTGGATCAGAGGCCGGCCTCTTTGGCCGGAAATCAGTATATCTCGGGACCAGATGATCCGCTCGGTCTGAAGCTCGGTCCAAGAAGCTTGCAGAGTTTGGGTACGATCGTACGATTGCAAGTGGGTCAAAAGCCTGGGCCGGCCTTTTGCCGAACCCTGGTAATATTAAACTCTAGCATTTTCTTTCTAATGCTCGAAAAGTTTCAGAATCGCCTGCCCGTCGTCGTCGTCGCCGAAATGGCCGAGAACGAAGCGACAAGTGCTCCGAATGCGCAACGAAAATTACTGAAGATTCCCCCGCCCAAAAAGAATAGAAAACTCACTCAATTTCGCCTCAAATCACACTACTAACTGCCCCCGTCCAATGTTTCGTCCTATCAAATGCTCCATATTGTGAAGCTCTGCCCACTCTCACTTTTTTGTGTCTATTCATTAACAATTCTTGACGATTTTTTCTAGATTTTTCCCAAAAAATTGCACTAATTTACCGACTTTACATATTTGCTCTGCCCCCCGACAAAAACTAACCGAATATCGCGTGAAATTGTGATTAATTGCACACATTTTTTGCACCCGCTCCTTGAAAAAAAATTTCAGCCGAATACGGGATTTCATTGTCATTTTTCGATATAGATTTTCTAGCGCTCGCATTACTTGTTTTCGCATTCGCTGTAAATTGTAATTAATTTATATATATATATATATATAGATGTTGTATAGACACTTTTTATGTGAATGTTTGCGAAAAATCGATGAATTGCTTGTACAGAGGTCACTGATTTTTGGTGATAAGACAACTGAATGATCTTGCGAATTTCTCTTTTTATAATCTTTTCCGAATGAAACAAATAACATTTTTGTGGAAAACACTGGTTGCTCCTCTTTTCTCCAACTGTCCTCTTAAAATCGTTAACATTTTCAGTAATGACTTCTCAAATATCGCTTTCCGAAATGCGGGCGGCCCAACACCGCACCGCCGCTTTTCTGCACCGTACTGCGATAGTTTCGAGCGAGAAAATCGATAGTTTGATTGGCGGTGGAGCGCATTTGCTGTTCAAGTGCGAACATTTACAAAAGACGGGCAGTTTCAAGGCGCGCGGCGCGCTCAATTCGGCCATTCTGGCAAAAGAGCACGGAGCGAAAGGAGTGGTGAGTTCGCTAGGCCACAGTTTTTGAGCGGCATAGTGGAAAATACGCAAAACTTGACCAGATTCGTCGACAATGTTCAAAATTCATGTAAAACGTCGACAATTACAGATCGCCCACTCGTCAGGAAATCACGGGCAAGCGCTCGCGTGGGCGGCTCAAAAAATCGGGCTCCCCTGTACAATTGTGGTCCCAAAAAATGCGCCCACCTCGAAAATCGAGGGAATGAACGAGTACGGTGCGCAGTTGGTGTTCTGCGAGCCGACCGTCAAAGACAGGTGACCGAACTTTCGCTTTTGGTGGCCTAACTCTTCGTTTTCTGTTTTTAGAGAGTCGGTTTGCGCGGAGTTGGCCCAAAAACTCGACTATTTCACTGTGGAACCGTTCAATTTCGCCGCAATGGTCAACGGACATGTGAGTGGGGGATAACTGTAGCTCGGAAAGTGTGCAAACACCGTTATTGCGTACCAGACATCTGATTCTACGATATTTTAGGCCTCAATCGCTATGGAGATTCTGGATGAGGTTGGCGCGGAAATCGATTCGATATTTTTGTCGGTGGGCGGTGGAGGACTCGCCTCGGCAGTGGCTTTTTTGGTCGGAAATTTGAGACCCGATATTGAAGGTTGGAGCTTATTTGAACGAATAATGGACTGGAAGAGTTCAACGCAAAAATTATGCTGTATATTCAAATCGATGTATCTCAGCTGGGGATAAAGATATCGAAAAGTTGTCAACAACAAAAATGTTCACCAACAAATTTGCTACATTTTTACAGTTGACCACTTTTTGATATCTCCACAGACAACCGAGATACATCCTCTTTTCTCCAGTATACCTTGTGGAGCCCGAACAAAAAGAGCTGTCGAACCTGCTGGAACACTCGATTCCGTGCGCGACCGACACGTTGAACACAATTGCCGACGGGGTCCGAGTGGCGAGAGTCGGATCGCTTTGCGAGCCCATCATCAAACAGTATTGCACCAGAAAAGTTATTAGTGTGGTAGGCGATTGAAAACGAAAAACATTTTAGCACGGCGACCAAAAGTGTAGAAAGGGGGGCGTGGCCTAATCTGAGACGCGTTTTCGGAAAATTGCCGCAATTCCAGCACTTTTCCGATATTTTTGTGTTTGATATCGACAAAAGAAGAGGCATTAAAGAGAGAAAACATCGAAATTTTCGTGAAAACGCCGCGTTTGAGACGTTTTTGGCAAATTTCGCAATTCGGAATTTTCATACCGGCCGATGTGGATAGTTTTGAGACGAAGTGAGTGTCGGAAGTGATGAAGCACGTTAATTCAAGTATTTTAAGCATTCAAACGGCAAAAAGTATGGGCGAATGACTGAAATTCGCGCATTTTCAGCACAAAACTTGAAAATCGATTCAATTGATTAATTTCTGAATGAAACCTGCTCGTTTTAAGCTAAAAAGTGTGCGATGATTAGTTTAACAAAGTTATGCAACTACATCGTCGAAATCGTACAAAATTTGGGTAATTTTTGACAAAAAACATGAAAAATAGGGTTAAATTTCGATGGTGATAAACCGTGCAGGCCACGCCCCTTTCTACGTTTTTGGTCGCCGTGGCATAGTTTATTATAGAAAGAACGCGAGATAAAGGAGGCGCTGAAGCTAGTGTGGACTCGTTTAAAAGTGAGAAACTCTATTTTTAGGCCAGTCAACAAAAGTGAATTGATTTTCAGCAACGTGTGGAACCGACGGCCGCACTCGCAGTCGCCGGAGTTTTGTACCACAAACCGGAGCATGTGAAGCGTCCGTTGGTGATTTTGTGCGGAGGAAATGTGGACACCGACTTTATTATCGACTAATTTTGTTTTTTTTTGCGTATTTTTCGAGTCCAAACATGAAACATCGTTTGCGACAAACATTGAAGTTTTAAAAAATACTCTAGTCGATAGAAAATCGACCAGAATGTTCGAGAAATCATCCGCACAGTATTACAAATTCGGAAATTCGGCAATATTAGCATTTTCGGAACGTTTCCGAGTAAAATTTCCATAAATGTACGTTGTCGATCCGGTCAGTCGAAGGGGTTCTCGTGTCCTTTTCCGCTGCGTTTCTCCGTTTCCCACATTATTTCCGTCGACCGTCTTTATCTTTAATCATCACGTTTCTTTGACGAACAACAACGAAGAAGAAGACGTTGATTTGGTATCTTGATGTTTGATTCGATCGTCTTTTTCTCTTTCTCTCCGTTTTTTATAACCATTTTTTCCTGTGTGCGTGTGTGTGTGTGACGTTCAAGCGCTAATTAGCTGTTTTCAAACATTGTCGACAAATGAGATCATCAAAATGTTTTTGTCTGAAAAATTGCGCAGTTTGCGGTGAAAATGAAGCGAGCTTATTGATTTTTCGGAAAAAGGCAGTTTTTCGAGTGATTTAGACTTTTGAAATGACGGTTTCTGTTAAAAACGTGTTCCTAACCGTTTTACACTATATTTTTCACACTGAAATTGCAAAACAATTCGTACAGCGCTAACACATTAAACTTTTTTTTGAAGATCTGTTCGAATGTGATCAACCGTCACACAATCGGAGACGATGATGAGCGACGACTGTCTCGAAGACGACGAGGTTTGATTTTGCACTTTTTCCAGTAATTTTCCGCTTTTTTCTGTGACATTTGGCTGAAAATCCGCTGGAAATTAGCTGGTGGGCTAGAAAAATAGTGGTGGCCGAGTTTTTTGGCATTTCTCTTCCACTCGTTTTTAAATCGCATCTCTCTGAAATTTGACCGATTTTCAACAGATTTTCAGCCAAAGTTGCTGAAAAACACGTGATTTCACTGGTTTGGGTGAGTTATTTGCTTTGAAATGTGTCAAAAATGTGTGAAATTGACTAAAAAATGCACAATCTCGAAAATAATCTAAAGTATGTCAAAAAATGCAAATTCCCGCTCAGAGACGTCGAAATTGATCCGTAAATAGTTTGTAATAAATAATCTTGATTTAAAACAAAAACTTCCTAAAGTTTCATCATCTTTCGTCCAAAAATCGCGAAACTTTCATAGAAACGCACTTCTTTTATTCCGACCTTTCGTCCATTCATTCCGTCCCATTTCCTGCCCGAATGTCCCATAAACGGCCTCCGAATTCAAGTGTTTTACTAGAAAAAAATGTTATGTCTCATCATAAAATAGTGACGGTATTGTCGGGTAACAGACATTTTATATTTGCCGAAGTTTGCATATTTTTCAATGGTGGTCAATTAACCGCCCGTTGACCTGGACTTTTGACCCACTTGCAATGTGCCGATCGGTCCCAAACTTTGCAGACTTCTTGGACTTGAATTGAAGTATACTGAGTCCAAGTTTCAGCCTGATCGAATTGTTTACTGTCGAGATACAGAGCTTGAGGGCCGATTAGTCCAGGACAAGGACCGGCCACTTTAAAAAAGCGCGTTAAAAAGTGTGAGAAACTATGCTTTTCAAACAAAAATCCCTAAAAAATGCCTAGTCACCAATAGCTAGCAGCTTTTCTCCAGTGGTGAAGGATGAATAATGGTCAGTTCGTGTTCGGAATTCGCGTGCAATCTCAGGGACATTTCCCCCAATTGTCGGAGGGGGGCTGCATAGCCACAATGTATTTGAAACGGACGGAGAGACACACAGCTGTCACCTTCTTCTTTTACCAGACAGACAGCGAGAGAGAGAGAGAAAGAGAGAAAGAAAGAGAGAGAGAGACAAATGACCTGCCGGAGCACTCGGCTTTTTGTACACTTTTTGCTGAATGGTCACTTTTCCGAGCGTTTTTTTTTCTATAATTTTCTTGCCTTTGACCGAAAAGCCCGGGCTTTCGGCCAAGGGGACCGGATAATCCGATCGAGCTGAAACATGGAAACATGGCATGGAGCAGGGGTGTGCGGAAAATATTTCGATTTTCCGAAATTTTCCGATTTTCGGCAAAATTTTCGGAAAATTAGTGTGGATTCAAGGTCAATTTGTCCGAAACCACCGTATGCTTTTTAAAGGAAAAAAAAATTCACAGCTTCCACGGAAAATTTTTCTGTACTCCCGCAACGACTGCAGAAACGGAGCGACTCTTTTTAACCGCGCGTCTCATTCTCACTGACAATCGGAAAACACTGGACCCGGAGAGCTTCTCTCGGCTAATTTTTTTGCAAAAAAATATTCCATTGCTTGGCTTCCGCCCACTCAAGTGATTTCAAATCATAATAAGCATTTTTTTGTATTAGAACGTTGTTTAAACACTTTATTGAACCAATGAACAAGTGAGTTCCGATTTTTCCGATTTTTCCGAAATTTTCCGAAAAAAAAAATTCGGAAAACCCGATTTTCCGAAATTTTCCGAAAAAAAAAATTCGGAAAACCCGATTTTCCGAAATTTTCCGAAAAAAAAAATTCGGAAAAACCGATTTTCCGAAATTTTCCGAAAAAAATTTTCCGCACACCCCTGGTATGGAGGATACTTTTGGACGGTTTATTTGACACATTGAACATGTATTAAACATAACATGTAAATTGAAGAGTAAATTGCATCACTGGAAGACACGTCGGGAGTACTTAGAAACGAAGCGGTTTATCTAGTTTCTTAAAATCGTATATTTTTCCGTGCAACAGTGTTCCCTTTATGATCTCTCGTATTTCTTTTTAGCCGTCAAAATTTTGCAATGTGAAAAAAGCGGGAAACGCGTGAAAACTCTTGTGAAGAAGCGTCGAAATGACTTTTTGAGCCGTCTATATGTTTTTTTTTGCCCACTTTTCGAGCGCTGTCGTGTTTATTTGTATTTTTGGAATTAAACAAATATAAACGGCGAGAGGAGCTTTCCGTGAAGAGCACCGTCCACACACGTTTCCAATTTATTCTCTGCGCTTGCTGGTTTTTAGGCCCTCCGGGAATTTTCTGAGCTGTTTTTCAAATTTTTCTGCATAGAACATTCCAGAAAGCATATAATATAAATGTGCGTGCCTTTTTTCTGCTGACCATCACACAATTTCGCAATTTCGATTTTTTTTTACAACAACGACGATAGGGGGAAACAATAGGAGACGCGATGAATCAATCGGCTCTTTTCCAATGCGTTTTTCTAAAAAAAAAGTTACAGTTACTAGCAGACATTGTACTCTTATAAGAAACACCTGGTTCCAACACCAGTTCGTGACACCAGATGGCTGATTTTTGATGAATTCTTCTAGAAGATTTTACTGTTTCGAAATTTGAAAGCCACTTTTCGCGGTTTCAAACATTTTATTGCAAAGAACTTTTATCTTCAAAATCACTCTTTGTGTTTCGCTTACTATAACATAAAAAAATACAACAGTTTTGCACTGTTGTCAGTGCAAAATTGATAAGAATTCAGCATTTTATCGTTATATATATATATATATATATATATAGAGACAGACAGAGTATGATTTAAAGCGGGAATTCCCCCATTTTTCTTTCGTTGAATTCTCGGTGTTTTCCACTACAATTGCCCATTTTTGCAGCACTCTGCTTGCCAGGACGTCGATGAAATCGCCATTTACGTGCCCGAATTTGCTGTATATCGAGAGGTATTGAAAAAAGCTAAAAAATTACAGAAAAATTAGAGAAAAACGACGTTTTCTTCCAGGTAAACATCGACGCCGCCATTTCTCTATGCCCCGCACCGACACCGGCTAGAAGAGAATCGTAGGTCCAAAAAATGTTGTTGAAACTGAAATTTGTGTCCTTTTAGAACATTTTTTGATGTTCTGAATCCGGGAAGAAACCCCTCAATTATCGAAATTTATGTCTAGTTTTATTCCGTCAACAAATTTCTCATTTTAGGCCTCAATTTCCCGTCATTTTTTTTAAATAAATAATGTGATAAGGAATCGGGCCCAAACTTTGCAAGCTCCTTGGACTTGGATTGAAGTATGTTGGGTCCAAGTTTCAGACCAATCGGATCATCCGGTCCCGAGGTATACTGAATTGAAGCCGGAAGGCCGATTTTTGACGAGAAGCTTGGGCTTTCGGCCTCTGATCCACATATCTCGGGACCGGATAATCGGATCGGTCTGAAACTCGGGCCCAACATACTTCAATCCAAGGCCAAAAAGCCTGCAAAGTGTCGGTCCGATCTGATTTGCCCAGCTCTGATTTTCCTTTTAAAGCTTCATTTTTCAGACCGAATCGAAGTGCGGAGATGCGTCGCCGATTCGAAAAACATCGTCGCGAGAAAAAAGAGGAGAAAAAGCTGTTGGAAGAGGAGGAGGAGAAGGAGTCCGACGAGGTTTTCGAGCCTCACCATGGTCTCCAGGTTTGCGATTATTTTATTTGACATTTTTTGGTGAGAAATTTGGAAATTCACGGTGAAAGAGTGGATGTTTGGCATTAATCATTTCCGCAACCGGCGTATAACACTTGCAGTGTGCGTTAAAGCTGCTGTAAAACGTGTGAGTTGCGAAAATGGTGATAGCCGAAAAAAGCCAGTTTTTTTTGGCCGTCACAAATCAGTGACAAAACAGAAATGGAGACCAAACAAACGTGTGATAGCCAAATGATGTCGGTCGCGCATTCCTGTTGATTTTTCGCATTAATCGCCCACCGCGCACCGACGGATTACTGTACTTTTCCTGGTTTTCGCCGCCTTCCGATGAACACCTTATTGCCATTTTGCTCTCGATTTTTGTGCCCCGGCCAAAAATTGTCAACTCGAAAAAGGCCCCGTTCTCTTGTCTTTTCTCTCGAACGAAATTGTTTGAACGATGCCGCACCCGAAAATGATGGCAAGACGACGAAGATTGAGATTAGAATGGAGAAATGTGAGCACTTGTCGATTTACTTTATTGCTTCACTCTTTTAGATTCATTCGGATCGAATGTCGTTGAGTCTGTGTCGATCCGCCAAAACATGGCAAAATGCGCACAGCTGGACGGTATATGAATCATTTCGAAACGATCGAATCAACACAGACTCAACGACAATCGGTTTTGCGCCAATGCGTAAAAGGCTCGCTGCACGCGCATGTCTACTCGCTCGGCCGCCGAGTGGTAAAACGCGCTGTCGCAGGTTCGGTTTTGCTCTGTGCGTTTTTTTTGCTGCGCTCAACGGACATCCAAGAAGACAGACCTGTTCAATCTCAAAATCAGTTCGCTATCCCACTTGTCTCGCTGGGTTCATGGAGGAAGTTGTCCGGACGCCACGTTCCATTTGTCCGACGTTCATTCAATTTTTTCTGCCACGTGGAAGTCGTTGTTGATTGACTCAACTCACAAGTGATGGCTATTATAGGGACACCGCACAGAAATGACGCTCTGTTGAGAAACTCTTTTTGCAGTGCAAATTGAGCGACCTCGGGGCCGAGTTTGAAAATTTAGGCCACGTTTTCAGTGGAAAATTACTTCGCGGCCTAGAAATTCTGCCAGATTGCGAACAGCGCGCCCTTTCTGTCCGGTGTACCTATAATACGTTCCCTCCAGGCCATGGTTGCTGGCAACGGATTTTCCGGGAATGAAATCGAAATCAAACGACTATAAAAACATCCAGACATTCTCCGAAAATCTCGAGTTTCATAAAGTAAACGTTTTCTCTCTAAAAGTCGAAACATCCAAAGATCAAAATTTTTACACTTTTTTTGCGACGGAACACCTGCTCGGGCTCCCACGGAAGCATTTTCTATTTGCCGTCCCATTTTTGTGTGAAATCAAGATGCCAAACGGACAAATATTTGAGTAAATTGGCGTTAATCGCCAATTTACTGAAATTGGACGCGGTCGTAAATTGTTGTGTTCGATTTGTAGTCTGCATTTCTTGTTTGACTTTGACCCCGCCGCCGAATGTTGACGGTTTGCACGTCATTTTAGTGCCAAATTGTGCCCAGATAACACTGTTTTCACCGCCGGCAAACCCGAAAATTCTCCTGTAAATTTGGACAATTATTTGATGGTCGCCTTTCAGTTTTCTGAACGTTTTATCCATGTGATAAGGTATTTTTTGGGGAAATTATTAATTGAAAATTTATTGTCATAAAATGAATGTGCAGTCGACTAAACATAATTTTGCATTTTTCAGATGCGAACATTCGAGCCGAAACCGTCGTCACTCGTCCGAAACGACGACACAATTCCCGGTCTACTGCCACGCGCAGCACCCGTGAAAAAGACGAGAAAGCATCGGAGACGCAGAAGTGGTACGCATATTTCCAGAGATTCCCATGGCCTAGCGGTTTTCTCGGCCACGGCCATAACTTTAAATTTCTGAGAGTTCGGACTCGGACAGAGAATGTGGCAATAAAAGGCAATGCCGGCCAATAGTTTGCCACTTTTTAAAACATATGTAATTGAAGGAGCAGAAGGAGGTTTTTAACGGAAAATGGAAAATGTGATAAATTATTGGCAAGGAAGCAGGGCTGGGCAATTGGCCGGCCCGGGCTTTTCGTTTTGAACCACTTGCAATTCTCCGATCGGACCCAAACTTGGCAGGCTTCTTGGACATGGGTTGAAGCATATTGGGACCAAGTTTCAGCCCGATCGGATTATTTGGTCCCGAGAAATCTGGATCACTGGCCGAAATTGGCCCGGGCTTTTTGGAAAAAATCGGCCAATGATCCACATATCTCGGGACCCGACGATCCGATCGGGCTGAAACTTGGACCTAATGGCCCTCAATCCAAGTCCAACAATGCTGCAAAGTTTAAGTCCGATCGGAATATTGCAAGTGGTTCAAAAGTCCAGGTCAAGGCCCGGCCAATTTCCAAGCCCTGCAAGGAAGGCTTCCTGGCCCTTTAATCAACGAGTGTGCTATCATAATCATCATACGGGTGGGAGAAGGAATAATTATTCTAGAATGACCACAGGTCAAGTAGAATACACAATACTAGGCAAAATACCGCAAAAAACTAGGCGCACTCGGTTCCACAGGGCCAGGAAGGTCAGGATGACGGGCAGAGCAGCCAGGTTCAGGCGAACAAAGTTTTTATAAAGGTTCACTCTTGTTACAGGCAGCTTCACCGGAGGAGTGTATCCGCGGAAGGGACACCGTAACCGAAGCCTCCTCGGACACGCAATACCGCCGCCGAATGTGCACTCGGCCGACTGGAGGGACATGTTGGCCATCACCGACACGAAGGACGACAAACTCATGAAGACGGTCAGTTTTTTTTTTGAGCAGACTTGGGTGCCAATGAGATATTTTACGATTGTTTTGAGAAAAAATGCATCGTAGACACTTTTCTGGGTGTTTAAATGAAAGAATGGTAAATTTGGGCCGAATAAAGACGATTCTAGATGCGTGCGATCGAAGAAGCACTTGCAAAACAGAAAGAGGCTGAAAAATTGCTTGCCAAGCAGAGAAAGGTGATTTTGTGAAATGAGCACTCTCACGTACGTGTACCAGTGATTCGTGAACTGTTTTGTACTTTTATTAGACCTCACCTCCTATTTTAGACGCTTTTCGTGCTCTTCTTCCCCTTGGTTTTCACGAGATTATCGTTCTTAGGTTTCTAATCTTTAATTTGGACATTTGACCCACTTGTAATCATCCGATCGGACCCAGACTTTGCAGGCTTCTTGAACTTGGATTGAAGTATGTTGGGACAAAGTTTCAGCCCAATCGGATTATCCGGTCCCGAGAAATGTGGATCTAAGCCCGGGCTTTCGGCCAAATTCGGCCCTCAAGCACTATATCAACAGTAAACAATCCTATCGGGCGCTGAAATTTGGTCCCAACATCCCTCAATCCAAGTTCAAGAAGCCTGCAGAGTTGGGGTACGATCGGATTATGGCAAGTAAGCCAAACGGAACAGTTTCCACCCTGTCTCTTGTTGGGAACCCCCCATTTCTATTTTCTCCGTCCTTATTTTCCCCGTTCGCTTTTGATTTGATAATATTTGTCGAATAGCTCACCACAGTCGAAAACGGAAGAAGAATCGCTTCGATTTGTTGATTCAGCGTGAGCCGAGACCTCTGATTAACACTGATTACTTTCCGAAGAAAACGGAGAAGAGCCGCCGATTCTCTCTAGCTTTCCGTAAATATATTGAAAGTGTGAATATTTGCCGGTTTTTCCGATGAAATTCACAAAGGTGAGCTTTCCCTCAATTTTGCTGCTTACAAATTGTCTTCCTGATCTTTCGGTACAGTAAATTTCGGTGTCAAAACATGTTTTTGGTCATATCGAGGCTAGGGATTATTACGGATATTACTCATCCACTTTTTTTTGGCTTGTAACTGAACTTTGAGGTCATTTTGTGAACTGACAATGAAAAATCCGCATATCTCGGGACCAGATGATCCGATCGGTCTGAAATTGGACCCAACATACTTCAATCCAAGCCCAAAAAGCCTGCAAAGTTTGGGCCCGATCGGGTCAAAAATCCAGGCCTTAAAAAGCCTTTGATTTGCCCAGCCCTGGTCGCATCGAAAAAGTGTTCGAGATCGAACTTCGTTTTCACCTCTTCCAAGAAAAAAGATAGGCATCTAACAGGTACACACACACACACGTTTCTGGTCATTTTCAAAGAAAAGCGGCGAGAAGGTGTGAAAGTGTAATGAAAACGAGAAGAACGAGACGATGACGCCTTTTTAGGGGAATAGTAGGCTGACCATGAGATTACCATCTCAAACAGTCGACACACACAACTTTTCTGTAATTTTTTTTTTGAGATTATTAATGGATTGTGTGATGTGTTTTGGATATTGTTGATTTGCTTGGCATTTGATTGGGGGGTCAGGCTTGTCTAGACCATTTTCCTCAAATTTCTTCTGGTCATGGCCGCTGAACGATCCGATTTGGAAAAAGATTAGGGTTGGAAGAGGAAGAAGTTTCTCTCTCTCTCTCTCTCTCTCTCTCTCTCTCTCTTTCTGTTTGAAGTTTGTACCTGTTTTCTCTCGAAAGATTTACGACAATGGCCGGGGGTTTAGTGACGGTTCGAGGCGGTTGGGGCCAAGGATTCGGTTAGTTCTTTTTTTTCCAGTTGGAAGCGCTTTCTTTTTGAACTTTTTGGAAGGTTCTAGGGATTTTTTTGTGAATTCCGAACAAAATTATTCTTAAAGTAACGAAAAGTAGGCTCTGAACGTTGTTGAACTATTTTTGAAACCGGAAATCTTGAAAACATTGGAAAAAAACGTTTCGGTTTCAATTCAATACTTCAAAAACTAGAGACTACCTTCGTGGCTGCTTATACCCTCGAATTGGCCGGAATTCCTTTAGAATTCGTCATCCGATTAAATGTCTTCGGTTTTTGGTTGATGATACCGAATTCTGTGTGTTCACTCAATTCCCATTCGGTTCCTCGCTTTCCCCAGCCAGTACAGTAGATTTTTATAAGACTGTAAATGTGTTCGAGAAAACCAGCTCAAAGATCGAAAAACTCGAGTGTCGATTTTTGAGGGGGGAAAATGATGTTATCTTCACTCATTTCCTTCTTTTTCAATGTGTTTTTGAGGAGGAACTACCTGTTCCCATCTAGAGGCTACTGTAGTTTCCAAAACATATTTCAAATAGAAAAATCGATACTAAGTATATGCGCAATTGGTCTGGACTTTTGAGCCACTTGCAATATTCCGATCGGACCCAAAGTTTGCAGGCCTCGTGCACATGGATTGAAGTATATTGGGTCCGAGTTTCAGACCGATTGGATTATTTACTGTCGAGATATGTCGATCAGTGCCCAAAAGCGGCCCTCAAGCACTAGATCTCGACAGTAAATGATCCGATCGTTCTGAAACTTGGTCCCAGTGTACCTGAATCCAAGTCGGACAATCCTGCAAAGTTTGGGTCCGATCTTAATATTGCAAGTGGCTCAAAAGTCTAGGCTAAAGGCCGGCCAATTGCTCAGCCCCAAATTCCGTCGCCCTTCCAATTTTCGTTCCACTTTGGGCAAATCATCAGCTCAAGGTTGTGATGTTTCCATTTTTTTGATTGAAAAATCACAATGTTCACTGTAAACCACGCGGTCCCCTCTCTTCCTCTGTCTTCCGCGATAAATGAAGGGAACGGTGAGATAGGAATCTTTGAAAATTCGCCGAATTTCTCGAAAATCTCCAATTTTTGTATAGTGTCTCGTGACTCGGCAAAATGTTCGGTTCCTTTTTCTGTTGTTGTTTTTTTGGCGCGAAAAATATTCTCGATGCTGATCTTTTTGTAATGAGATTCTCAATTGAGAAGGAACACGAGAGAGCGTTCCCTCATTGAACAGACTCTTATCTTAAAAATGTGGGCCAACTCGTTTTTATCACTCTAAATATATATTATTTTTGACACCTCCCCGTCCGTCCAAACACAAAAATAGTGCAAATTTATTTTTTTTTTTGCTTACTTTTAGGCTCATCAGGTGATAGAGAAATGATATTTTCCCCTCCAAAAATGTGTGTGTGTGTGTGTGTTTGGTTTTGACACCGATTATTTGAGCAAATAATAAAGCTGCTGGCTGGGGGGGGAAGAAGCATATCTTTTGAATTTCTGTTTGATAAACTGATACTACCTCTATATATATTCATCCTAATTGTTTTTTGGACAGGCGCCTTCCGTCCAACTAGAAAAGCATTGAACTGTTTTTTAATTAGCTCCCACTGATGTACTATTGTTATCGACGACACAGACCACAAGAGTATGAGGAAAATGTGTGGAGTACGGTGGAGAGCGAAAATGTAGGCCGAGGGTAACAAACTTGATTTTTTCGCTTCTCAGCTAGCCGACTAACAATATAAGATTTATGAGAACATTCAGGAAATTCGTTAAGATCGTTAAAACGTATTTACAGCTGGGCGTGACTCGTTACCTGCAATCGAAAGGAGAGCCTGGCGCCATCGTCTCCGGCACAGATGGCATTCCGGGCGGTCCGTCCGTTCCGAACACTTCCTCCGTGGCGGCGGCGACGGCGACGGCGACGGCGATTCCGAACCAACTGACACTTTCGCCGAACGGACTGCCCGCCGGCGAGACGGGAACGGCGGCGATGACGGCGAACAGCGGGCAGTTGGTGCTGCCGACGCCCCTCTTCAGCCAGATGCGCTTCACCGACTCTAATATGGTGCGTCTTTGTCCTATTTGAGAGTTTATTCTATTTAATCACACACGTTTTACTATGAAATGCTCGTAGCGCTCGAAATTTGGATTTTTCTTGTAACCGAATTTTTTTTTTTTTGGATTCTTGGCTATTTTTGTCGAAATTGTTCTCTCCAGAGCTTCCAATATGCGCGTGGCCTCCACGAGAAGAGGCATTTCCATGAATTTATGATTAAAAAAATGATAATTTGACATAAAAACACAATCATTCTCGATACTTTCAAGTAGATTTTTTTAGATTGAAAAATTGATCTTTAAAATGTGTCTAGAAACCGGAAAAATGTTGCAGTCGCTGAACCGTCACAACTGGATCAAAGAGACGTTCACTCGTCGCGAGTGCTCGCGCTTCATCGCCTCCTCGCGAGATTTGCAGAAGTGCGGATGCGGTCGGACGAGGGATTCGCACCGAAATATTCCCGATTTGACATCGGAATTCCTTCGGCAGAAACGATCGGTGGCCGCTTTGGAGCAGCAGAGATCCGTGAGCAATGCCAACGCGGACGACACGCACCTTCACCCCATCTACACGGTACTTTTGGCACAAATTTCGAAGACTCTCACCATTTTCGCAACCAATTCCGCAACCGGTGTATAGCACCAACATTGTGCGTTAAAAGTATAGTGAATTCAAAGTATTTGATGTGCTAGCTGCTCTAGACATCTCTAAATCGACTGTTCCATCAAAATGGACCGGAATCTTCACGAAAATACATAGTAATAGATGTGCTTGATTTTGGAAGAGACAGCGTCAGAAAGCGTCATGAAAACAAGGTTTCGCGAAAGAAAATGGCCGGTTGCGAAACGTAGGAGTTTCGAGAATGGTGAGAGCCTTTTCATTTCATTTGAAAATGTTACCGCTTCAGTTTGTATCAACAGAAAACCGCAAAAGTTTGTGCGTTGGTTTTCATTTCGAAATGTTCAATTTCAGAAACGAGGTCCGAACGAGAAATGGAGTCTGCGCAGACATACAGTATCGCTGGCCACGAACGCATTCGGACAAGTCGAATTTCAAGGTAAACTATTACAATCTCTCCCCTCGCGTCTGCGTCTCTGCCCTCTCACACGCTAACCGCCCCTCTCTCGCTGAATTGTTTCAATTTTCCCCGCATTTTTTCAGGCGGTCCCCATCCGTACAAAGCGCAGTACGTTCGTCTCAATTTCGACACCGAACCCGCGTACATTATGTCGCTTTTCGAGCACGTCTGGCAAATTGCTCCGCCGCGGCTCATCATCACCGTGCACGGAGGAACCAGCAATTTTGAGTGGGTCTTCTTGATCAATTGTGAGCAGAGAAAGTGTTTTTTACCGTATCCGAAAATTGTGTTGGAAAAGTTGGCACAAAAATTTAACAAGTGCAATTGATCGCTCGGTAGATCACGTTTGTTGCAAAGTGTCGCGGTTTCGAAACGTCGGGGAGCCCACAAAATGCACTTTTTCTGTGAAATCGTTTTTTCTTTCGACTATATTTATAACAAAGTGAACGGGAGTGAGCAATATCCATTCCCGACAAAAGTATATATTTTTGATTGAAACAGAAAAAAAACAGACAAAGTTTAGTCTGCAACCGAAGCTGGCGCGTGTCTTCCGAAAAGGACTTCTGAAGGCGGCGTCGACGACGGGCGCGTGGATCATCACTTCCGGCTGCGATACGGGCGTGGTGCGTCACGTGGCGGCCGCACTCGAAGGCGCCGGATCCGCGCAACGGAACAAGATTGTGTGCATCGGAATTGCGCCGTGGGGACTGCTCAAGAAGCGCGAAGAGTTCATCGGACAGGACAAAACGGTGCCCTACTACCCGAGCACTTCGAAGGGACGCTTCACGGGCCTCAACAATCGACACTCGTACTTTTTGCTCGTCGATAATGGCACTGTTGGAAGGTGAGCAACTTTCGGAAATTCATTTATCGATTTATTTTGTTGCAGATACGGCGCCGAAGTGATTCTCCGAAAACGGCTCGAAATGTACATTTCACAAAAGCAAAAAATATTCGGCGGAACGCGGAGTGTCCCAGTCGTTTGTGTGGTGCTCGAGGGCGGCTCCTGCACGATCCGATCGGTTTTGGATTACGTGACCAACGTGCCACGTGTCCCCGTCGTCGTGTGTGACGGAAGTGGTCGGGCGGCCGATCTGCTCGCGTTCGCGCATCAGAACGTCACCGAGAATGGGTATGTGCAAAAATTTCCTAGTGATCCTAGCGGCTCCATTTCTACGAGTACTGTAGTTTGTGAAAGTTTGCACACGAGCTACAGAGGTGTCACGGAAAAAGAGCATATTTTTTTTGGAATTGCAGCCTATTCCCGGACGACATTCGGCATCAAGTGCTCGACCTCGTGGAGACGACGTTCGGATGCTCGGAGGCGGCCGCGCATCGGCTGCTGCACGAACTGATCGTGTGCGCGCAACACAAGAATCTGCTGACCATCTTCCGGCTCGGCGAGAAGGGCGAACACGACGTGGACCACGCGATCCTGACCGCCCTTCTCAAAGGACAAAACCTGTCGGCGGCCGATCAGTTGGCGCTCGCGCTCGCCTGGAACCGTGTCGACATTGCCAGATCCGACGTGTTCGCCATGGGACATGTGAGTGGGCACCCTTTTTTTTTTTTGGCTCAAAAATTATGGAGGAGAATCATTCCAAAAGCAAGCACCCATTTTTTTCCCAGGAATGGCAACAAACGGCGCTGCACAACGCGATGATGGAGGCGCTGATCCACGACCGCGTCGATTTTGTGCGTCTTCTGCTGGAGCAGGGAATAAATATGCAGAAATTCCTGACAATCTCCCGGTTGGACGAGCTCTACAATACGGACAAGGGACCGCCGAACACTCTTTTCTATATTATCCGAGACGTCGTCCGAGTCAGGCCCGGATATCGATTCAAGTAAAATGTGTAAAATTTGAATGTTCAACACTACGCATTCAGACTTCCGGACATTGGACTCGTCATCGAAAAGCTGATGGGCAACTCGTACAAGTGTTCGTACACGTCGCCAGAGTTTCGCGACAAGTACAAACAGCGCATGAAACGCTTCAAAATGGCGCAGAAGAAGGCGATGGGCGGCTTCCTGAACCGTCCGTCTCGCGGCGGATCGGGAATCGGCTCGCGCCAGTCGACGGAGGGCGGCGGCGTGGGCGGCGGCGGCGGAAGTGTCGCCGGCGTGTTCGGCAACTCGTTCGGCAACCAGGACACCGTCTGCGAGCCCGTCAATCGGTCCGCGTTGAGCGGAAGCCGCGCGCTCAGCAATCACATTCTGTGGAGGAGCGCGTTTCGGAGCAATGTACGGAAAACGTTTAGAGTTTTGAAAGAAACGAGAGGTTCTGTGTAGAATAACAATTGTTCTGACAGTGCCAGTCATTTTGGAATTTCTCTTAGCAAAGATGATTTGAAACGGGCTTTGTTGGCGGAAAATGTTAGGAAACAAGATTTATTCTTCTTTCTTAACCTAGGAAAATTATTTCAAAAAGCACAATCAATCAATACATTTTTTGATTCATAAAGCATAGAAATGGACTGGCTAGTAAACAATTTGTCCGTCAGCACGACTCTAAAAACACTAATGGGCTGTGATAAATCAGGCTCAAAAAAAAAGATTGTTTTCCGTTTTTTTTCGTTTTTTTACGTCAAAAAATCCAATTCAGCGATGTAAAAAAAACGGAAAACAAACATACGCTGAATAGCCCCTTAAAACTATTGAAAATCCAAACGAATAATCGCATCCAATCAGCAGTACCCGCCGAACCCAATGCGGCCGCCGAATCTGGGCGACTCGCGCGACTGCTGCTCCGAATTCGACGAAGAGCTGTCGGTGACGTCGGCGTCGGACGGATCGCACGCGGAGCCGGACTTTCGCTATCCGTACAGCGAGCTGCTCATCTGGGCGGTGCTCACGAAACGACAGGAGATGGCCATGTGCATGTGGCAGCACGGCGAGGAGGCCATGGCCAAGGCGCTCGTCGCCTGCAGGTATTCATTTTTTTTGAAAACAAATGTTGAGACAAATTTTTTCTGAAACCGATTTTTTTCTTCGAATAATTATAGCTATTAAAAAAATTTCTTGCAGATTGTACAAAAGTCTGGCCACCGAAGCCGCAGAAGACTATCTGGAGGTGGAGATTTGTGAGGAGCTCAAGAAATATGCAGAGTTCGCTTTTTTTTCCCATGAAACATGTAGAAGACCTCCCGTATTCCAGAGAATTCCGTCTGCTCTCTCTGGAACTGCTCGACCACTGCTACCATCAGGACGACGCGCAGACCCTCCAACTGCTGACCTACGAACTGTCGAACTGGTCGAACGAGACGTGTCTCGCGCTTGCGGTCATCGTCAACAACAAGCACTTTCTCGCCCATCCGTGCTGTCAAATTCTGCTGGCGGACTTGTGGCACGGCGGTCTGCGCATGCGAACCCATTCGAATCTGAAAGTGGTCGCCGGCCTCCTGTTCCCGCCGTTCATCCAAATGCTCGAGTTCAAAACGCGCGAAGAGCTGCTCGCTCAGCCGCAAACCGCCGCCGAACACCAGTTGGATATTATGTACCAGTCGAGTTCATCCAGTTCCTCTTCTAGCTCCTCCTCCTCCTCGTCGAGCTCGAGCGATTCGAGCAGTTTCGAGGAGGACGACGACGAGCACCACCATCACGATCAGAAGCGGACGAGGAAGACGTCGCAGGGAAGTGTGCAATCCCTCAACATCGCCTCGCTCTTTCATAGCCGACGGAGGAAGGCGAAGAAGAGCGAACGAGGCGATCGGGAGACGGATGCGAGTGCCGGAGAGGTCGGAATCCGGCAGCAGAACGGCGCATTGGCGGCCGAGTACGGCACTTTTGCAGGTAACACGGACAGAATGGGTAGGATAGAGGCAGGCGGCCTTAATCAATAGTCCAATCAGGCCCCAACATTGCAGGCTTCTTTTGTGTCCAAGTTTTAGACCGATTAGGGCCGAATAATCCGATCGGTCTGAAACTTGGTCCCAGAATACTTCAGTCCAAGTCCAAAAAGCCTGTTTGGGATGTGATGGACGGACTGCAAATGGCCTAGCCCAAACTAGCCCAAAATCTTCGAAATTTGACAGAAACTTTGAGTTGTCTCGGTCAAAGTCAATAATGGAAAATTATTAGAGCGGCACAATAGAATAGCCAAGCCCTACCTCATTTTAAACGAATTTTTAGGCTGGCTCTGAAAATTGAGAGAAAAAAAAAAGAACACGTAATGTAATTTGCAGAAGTGAATGGGGTCTCGCCGCCGCCGCCGTACATGCGCAACACGAACAACGTACGCTCTCGGTACGCCAGCTACCACAACCGTTCGGACGGAATGAGCAAGACGTCGTCGGTGGTGTTCGGCTCGAATGCGAACATTTCGAAGCTCGTCAAATCGAACATCACGTCGACGGATCGGCCGAATCCGATGGAGCAGTTTCAGGGAACTGTACGTTTCGTGTAGGCAATCAAACTGCAATCAAACTGTTGCAAAATAATGTTCTAAAAAACCCATTTGAAACGGAAAAAACACGATAATGTTTGCAGCGAAAACTGAAATTCCGTCGACGCTTCTACGAGTTCTACTCGTCGCCGATCTCGACGTTCTGGTCGTGGACGATCATGTTCATCGTGTTCATCGTCCTCTTCACCTACACTCTCTTAATCAGAACACCGCCCGAACCGAGTGTCATCGAGTACATTCTCATTGCCTACGTCGCCTCGTTCGGACTCGAACAGATCAGAAAAGTAATTTGAGTGAGAAAACAGGGTGCTGGACGGTGTTTATAGTTTGTTTTGCTGTTTCTCAGTGCCAGAATCAAATATTGCAGATACTGATGTCGGACCCGAAACCGTACGTGGAAAAAGTGAAAACGTTCTTCTTCAGCTTCTGGAACACGGTGACCACGCTCGCCATCATTTTCTATATTGTCGGCTTCTTTTTGCGAACTTTTGGGTTAGTCTTCTTGAAAATTTACACCCGAGAACAATAAAATCTAGCAATGTAGTTGTGGTTTTGAGAAACTGTAAATTTGCGTTTTGTTTTGCAGAAGTGTGGCGTACGGACGAGTGGTGTTGGCGTGCGATTCGGTGCTTTGGACGATGAAATTGTTGGACTACATGAGTGTCCATCCCAGACTCGGTCCCTACGTGACCATGGCCGGCAAAATGGTAGGTTCGCGTTGGACGGAAATCTCCAGACGCTTCAAATGCGTACGCTAATTTCCGTCTATTGTCCAATGTTTGTTTGCAGATCCAAAACATGTCGTACATAATCGTAATGCTCGTCGTGACGCTCCTCTCGTTCGGACTGGCGCGTCAATCGATCACGTATCCGGACGAGTCGTGGCATTGGATTCTCGTCAGAAACATATTCCTCAAGCCATATTTCATGCTCTACGGCGAGGTTTACGCCGACGAAATTGACACGTGCGGAGATGAGGGTTCGTTTTTCGTTTTGTGCAAAACTGTGGAGATTTACAATATGTTTTCAGCGTGGGACCAACACTTGGAGAACGGCGGACCGGTGATCCTCGGAAACGGCACGACGGGGCTCTCTTGTGTGCCCGGATACTGGATCCCGCCCCTTTTGATGACCTTCTTCCTCCTCATCGCCAATATTTTGCTCATGAGCATGCTCATCGCCATTTTCAAGTACGTGGCATTTTTGCGAGCTCAAAATTAGTCTTAGTGTTCCATTTTTTCTACGAAAAAACTATTTTGCAGTCACATTTTCGACGCCACCGATGAGATGTCACAGCAAATTTGGCTCTTTCAAAGATATCGACAGGTAATTTTGAATTCAGCATTTCCATTTTCTAATTGTACTTTTTACAAATTCACTCGAAAAATTGTCCAACAAATGACCATTTTTATCGGTTTCCGCTCGAAGTAATTCATGAATTACAACAAAAAAAAGGGAGTAGAACGTTTCGTAATTTGTCAGGTAATGGAATACGAGTCGACGCCGTTCCCGCCGCCGCCGTTCACATTTCTCTACCACCTCTACATGATTATTCAATTTTTACGCATAAAATTGAGCACACAGACGATGGAACGGCACCCCACTTTTGATTTTTCGTTGAGTAAGTCGACGGCATTTTTTTCCGGATTTTTTTTGAGAATTTTTCCCAATTTTCAGAGCTATTTTTGGACAATGATCAAATCGAAAAGTTGCACGATTTCGAAGAGGATTGTATGGAAGACTTGGCTCGGCAGAAGTTGAACGAGAAAAATACGAGCAACGAGCAGCGGATTCTCAGAGCCGATATCAGGTACGGCCGCATTTTACATTGCCGAACTCGTCAGTTCAACACCGAATCGATTGCAGAACCGACCAAATTCTGAACCGTCTAATCGACCTGCAAGCCAAGGAGACAATGGGTCGAGACGCGATAAACGACGTCGACGCGCGGCTCGCATCGCTCGAAAAGACACAGCAGGAGATTCTGGAGTGCGTGCGGGCGCTCCTCAACCAGAATCCCTCGCAACTCGGCATTCCGACGATAGTCCGATGCCAGTCGCCGTCTCCGGAATCCGTCGGAACGCCCCTTCTGCTCAAACTGCCCGGCACCACAGAGCCGATTGCCGAGGAGCACGACGAGGAGGAGGAACTGCCGGCGCCGATTCGCAGGAATCGAACGGCGACGATTTGCGGCGGGTACATTAGTGAGGAGAGGAGCATGTTGCTGTTGTCGCCGAAACCGTCGGACGGCAATCCGGGCGGATCGGCTAATCAGCGGCTCATCTCGGTCGCCTCGATGGATCCGCTGCCGGCGCCGCACGCGAAGTTGTACGTTTTAGACAAGTTTGAATTTTTAGTCAAACCAATCATGGCTACTGAAAAAGGCTAACGTTTAAAACGATCTCCTGCAAATAATTGAAAGAAACAATATTTCAAAACGTTTTTTTTTCTGTTCGATGAGTCGGGCTAACCTGAATCTTTTCCGTCTATATATTTCAGAAATGAAGATCTGTTGACACGGCAAACATTTGTAAACATGGTTTGTATTTTCCGTCCGTATGCTGACGCAGTCTGGGATACGGAGCGTTAAAAACAGGCCCGAGCATGTTCACAAATGTTCGCTGTGGTTGAAAAACTGGTTACATTTATCAAACAATCTAACATAAACTATTGTAGATCAACAATGTCGATCCGTCGTCGGCACGAGGAGTACACGTCGATCACGGACTCGATCGCAGTGCGTCATCCCGACCGACGCGTGCGAAATAACCGATCGAACAGCAGCGAACACGACGAATCGGCGCTCGACTCGGACGGAAACGAGCCCGTCATTCGCAGCTGCTCGCCGCGCAAACGGTCGACCAGGGACCTGAGGATCGGCGGAACGGGCGGTCCGTCGGCCGAGGAGTCTACCAGTCGGGAGCCCATTTACGAGACGGTATGATTCCTTTTCTGAGGGGAGAATGCTTGTCCGGGCATTTTAAATTTTGTGAGCGCTCGCCGAGCACACTTGAAAATGCACCCGAAGATCTGAGAGTTTCGAAGCGTTTTGCACGGAAATTGAGATTTCTTTTGGAAAAAATTGCATGAATTATTGAAAAGTTCGAACGTTGTTTGCAGAGGACATTTTGAGAAGCTTCAAAAAATTGCAGGATCGTCCGGAACAGGAAGAAGACGAGGAGGCGCAGGCGGACTGCGAACTGACCGACGTGATTTCGGAAGAAGAAGACGAAGAGGAGCAGCTCGACGACGAGGAGGACGACGATATCGGACACGGACTGGGCGGCAGGCACAGCAAGAAAATGACGACGGGCCGGCCGCCCGCGCACACCTTGGAGACGGATTTGTCCGATGCGGAGGATGGAGAGCCGGAAGAGCCCGAATTGAGAATTGTGCGGGTTTGAGAATTGTGTGGGGGGGGGGGGCTTTGATGAACAGGCAAAGGTGAACTGTCGTCTTCACAAGCCTGAAAATGAAGACGGAAGGCGTGGTAAATAACGCCTGAGGTAAAAAGTTCGCCTTGATTTCAAAAGTTTCAATTTTTATTGCTCGGTCTTACAGAAAAATGTCCCTAAAAAACTCGCAAATGGCTTTGTGAAACAAATTAGTTTACCCCAATTTGTTCGGCCACCCGAAAGAATTGAGCGATTGAGCGATCATCACATGTTTTAACGCACTTCTTGAGAACAAACCTCTGATAACATTTTTCTGAAACTGAATTTAAAACTGACCTTTTTTCAGCCGGTCATCCATCACCACGTGGTCAACGAAGAAGTAGAGGCGGCTTCTGGAGCACCTCACTCGACGCCGATTGTCGCTTCGCCGTCGACGTCACGCGCGAAATCGCCGAAACGATCGAGTTCCTAATGCTATACTATTTTTCCCCCAATTGTTTTGTGCAAGTTGACCCATATTTGAACATTTTTGAGAATTTCCCAGTTTGATGAGCGGAGAAAATTGAATTTTCCACCGAATTTTCTTCTTTTTTTGTCAGTTTAGTTCAGTTTTTGCTTGGCTTTATTTTGTGTGATTTCCACGTCCCCCAAAAAAATTCCCGGGTTTATGCGAACTTTTCACTTTTTCTTTTGTTGTTGTTTTTTCAATGGTGTGAACTATTAGTGTCTCTCTCTCTCTCTCTCTCGTTTTTCTCTCGTTTAATATATGAAAAATTCAGATGAAAATTCGAAAAAGTGATGTCTCAACTGCGCGCAGACGAGCGACACACCACCAACGAGATTTGCGTGGAATTCGCGATGAGCGCCGACGGCCGACAGGCTCATTTTTGTTTTCGCGCACTCGCCCGACGCCAGACAAACCTCCTTTTCCGGCATTTTTCGCAGTTATCATCGTTCGCGGAACTATGATGAATTTGCGAAATGTTTTGGTTGAATTTCAACTTTAAAAGTTTCTCCTAAAAGTCGAAGAGGTCGCTTTCCGAGAATTCATTCGAAAAATGTACTGGGAAACGAGGACGTTAATTGGATTGTCCCTCGTCAGCGTCTCTTTTGCGAGCTTCTCGGAATTTTTTTTTTCAAAGTTCTTTGGACTCGCTTTTTACACGTTTTTTTTTTGCGCATTAGTCCCGAATATTCGATTGTCCCATTTTCCTAACGAAACAGTGTCGTTTTCCATTTTTTTTGCGACGTTCTTCGAGAATGTTCCGTTTTCCGTCGTTAAAGTGCGTGCTCGAAGTCATCGTTGTTTTCCTGTGTGTGCACGTGTGTTATTACGTGCCGTCTTGGACACGTCAGCCCGTTTTCCGTCGTTTCCATCATGATTTAATTTAATCGGAAGTTATCTCATCCCGCGCAATACATTCACATTTGAGCTGCTTCACACGCGACTCGTTTTCACTTTTGTGAGCGAGAACTTTGGCCGCCTTCTTATAGGGGCACCGGACAGAAAGGGCGCGCTGTTCGCAATCTCGCCGAATTTCTAGGCCGCCAAGTAATTTTCCACTGAAAACGTGGCCTAACTTTTCAAACTCGGCCCCCGAGGTCGCTTGTCAATTTGCACTGCAAAAAGAGTTTCTCAACAGAGCGCCATTTCTGTGCGGTGGTGCCCCTATAATATATGTCTAATTTGTGAGCGTACACTCATTTTCACAACTTATTTTTTGACTTTCCATGCTTTCTTCCATTTCCTTCCGCTAATTTCATCGTCATTTTTGTCTCATTTTTTCAAAGAGATTCTCGACAGTGTTGGTGAGAATTTGCGCAAACTTTACACAATTTCTACTAGAACTTTTCGCTAAAAGTTTGCGCAAATTCTGAAAAATGTTATGCAATTTTAGCGCTAATTTTAAGCAATGTTAGCGAAAAGTTCTAGTAGAAATTGCGTAATGATTGCGCAAATTCTCACCAACACTGCCGAGTCGGTCATGCGCCCTATATATAATTTTTTTGCAGAGTAAAACTGTCGCGTTCACAGGCGATCTCGGTGTTCACGGTGACGGCGCCGCCGGCGAACATGGCCAAAGTGCGGCCGAGCGAGGAGATGCACGAGGCGAGCACCTCGAAGTTTCACTCGAAGGGCATCGATGCACTCGTCACCATGGCCGCCAAAGTGAGTCAGTTTGCAGCTCTAGGCCACGGTCTCCCATGGCGCGAATGATTTCAATGGGGCGCACTTGCAACAGGCGGGCTGTGTCAATTTACGCGGCGGCCGATTAATTAATTTTCAACGGGAGTTCGCGTTCTTTCCATGTTTTCTGTACAATACACCTATTTTTTTGTACGCCTGGAACCTGCACTCGAATAATTAGAGCACTAGCTACGTTTTGGTAACAGAAATCTCACATATCGTTGAGAATTAGCCGAGTTATTTAGATTTGAAGGTTTTGGCCTGAATTTAGATGTTTTTCGAATAGTTTTCGAAAACTGCTCAAGAAAACTAACCGCCGGAACCTGAATTTTGTGAAGAAAGATTCAGCGAACATTTTTATCGTTCGTTGGGCTCATGAAATGCAAAATGAGCTGAAATATAAAGGTTTGAAGTTTTGACGAAATGCGAAAAAGACGCTAAAACATGAATAACTCTAAATTCTGTAAAGAACGGTTTCCAATCAGTAAAATATTGTTTTATAGACGTTTTTCAAGTCAAAAAGAAAGAAATAAAGGTCGTAAACTCGAATTTAACTGCATTTTTAGACCTGCAAATTTTCAAAAGTTACAACGACACTCCGCAATTTACGAGCGCACTGTGTTTAGCATTAGCGCCCTGGGAGACCGTGGAGGCCTTGATTTTCTAGGCCACCAATAAAATCGTCTTCAATTTCAGCTGTTCGGTGCGGTCTCGCGAAAATGGGAACGGCGGCAATCGACGAGTTCGAGTAACGAAAGTGTCGAATCGGGCATCGCCACCAACGTTAACGTTAGTTTAGGCGCAAACATTTTTTGTTTTTGAAAAATATCTGGCTTTGTTTCAGGTGGCCGCCTACACACAGAGTTCTACAAGAAAGTGAGTTTTTTAAAAATTGGAAACAATTTTGCATGACACACTTTTCTATTCTAAATCACAGTTTCAAGTGAGGTTTCTAGGCCACCAGCTCAAATTTGAGTCCTAGACCCAGAAGTCATTTCTTATTGATTAAAAATTGTAGGAGAAAGCTTTAAAATGCTCCACTTTGCAGACTGGCATTCGGAACGGCGGCGACGGAAGAGCACAAGCCCCTGGACGACTTCTACAACAACTCGACGCTGACAAACTTCTCGAAGCTGTTCTGCGCGATCGTGCTGCTCACCGCCTTCTTCCTCGTCATGTCGCGGAGTCTGCAGTTCGCCTACGAAGCACAGGCGGCCGCTTCCCGTGGTGCGTCGGCCGGCGCCAACGCAACGCAAACTGCTGTGAGCACGATGGCGTCGAGCGTCAATCTGTCCGCACTTTTGATTGAATACTATCAGCAGCAGCACTTGCAAAATTACTAATTATGTTTTTTTGCGTCGTTGGCCCTTCTCGGCAATGCTCCTGAGAAATTGCGTAGAGTTTTCGTTCTAGAGAATTAGTTTCAAAGTTCTAGTATTCAAGACGGTCTTTTCGCATCGAGAATTGGCCTAGAAAACTCCATCGAATGCTAGGCCAAGTTTGCAGAGATGCGATTTTCGGCGTGTTTTCCGCGCCAAACAGGAGACTTCGAATAGACATTTTCATAAGTGAGTCCGTCTTTAAAATCTCAAGTTTTCCGGTACTTTTTGTGTATACTTTTGTCTCCCATCCCCAATAATCTTAATTCCCGTTCTCTCTGTTTTTACTCAGCTTCTCTGTAGTTTGGTGTTTTCCGGTTTTTCTGAAAAATTTGAATAATTGACATAACAATTACGAGTTGAAAGAATAAAAGTTTTTGCTTTATCTTGTTCTCTCTTCTGAAAAATTTGAAAAACAGTGATACATCTTTGAAAGCATTCTCAGCCGCTGTGCACATTCTCGCATTTCTATTTTCTTTTTCAACGCATCGAAGAGAAGTAATCGACAACAGCTCACGTGAGGCAATCGCTGGGGCAGTAGAAAAGGCATTCACCGACTTTCTGATAGTATTTTCGGAGAAGTCAAACTCAGTGAGAAAGGCAACAAAAGGTGTTCAAAAACGCGCGAAAAATGAGTCAACGTGGTGATGTGGTAACTCGGCAGTGTTGGTGAGAATTTGCGCAAACTTTACCGTAAAGTTTGCGCAATTTCTACTAGAACTTTTTCGCAAGAATTGGCTTACACGGCGGCCAAAAGTGTACGCAATTTCGGAATTTTCATACCGGCCGATGTGGATAGTTTTGAGACGAAGTGAGTGTCGGAAGTGATTAAGCATGTTAATACAAGTATCTTAAGCGTTTAAACGGCAAAAAGTATCAGCGAATGACTGAAATTCGCGCATTTTCAGCACAAAACTTGAAAATCGACTCAATTGATTCATTTCTGAATGAAACCTGCTCGTTTTAAGCTCAAAAAGTGCGCGATGATTAGTTTAACAACGTTGTGCAATTACATCGTCGAAATCGTACAAAATTTGGGTAATTTTTTTCGAAAAACATGAAAAATGCGGTCAAATTTCGAATTTCACGAGAAAATGGTGATAAACCGTGCACGCTAGGCCACGCCCCTTTCTACGTTTTTGGCTTAAAGTTGGCGCTAAAATTGTGGGGCTCCTTAAAGTTTGCGCAAATGCTGAAATACGTTATGCAATTTTAGCGCAACCTTTGGGCAATGTTTGCGAAAAGTTCTAGTAGAAATTGCGACCAAGACTGCCGAGAAGAGAAATTGGTCAGAATTCACACGGGGAGAATTAGATTTTCTCCCGTGTTTTCTGATTCTTTTTTCTGTTTTTTTGACCTGTTTTATGGGTGGGGAGATTGCTTCTATGCAGCTTCGTTTTCCTATTTGTATACAACCCTCACATGATCCCTCCACCCCCGTTCCCACGGCCTAATTTTCACTTTTTCTCATAACAAATCTTGTGATTTTCTGTTTCTTTACTCACGAAACACTTATTTCCTCTTTTGGTTGATCAATACGTTTCGTTCTGTTTTCTGGGCTCTTTCTCGTTGGATGGATCTTGTTTCGTGGTTTTGGTAGTTATGGGAAATTGAAATGCACTTTTTGGGTAAATATTTTTGGTACATTTTGGCTCTGGCGCTTTCGAATTTTTTGTAGCTCGTTTTTTTCGACAATTTGTCCCATGAACAGACCAATAACAATACACAAAACGAGTGAACAGTGGATGGGGGAAAAAAATGTTAAAAAATATGCAATTCACCCGTTCTTTTCCATTTCCTACACCTTTTTCTTCTTTCTCTCTCTCTCTCTCTCTCTCACACTTTTTCTTCTTTCTTTCTAATTTCCGATTTGGTGGTGTTGCCCAGGGAAACGCCGGACGGAAAATGTGAAGGTGAAGAAAGTGAACAAAAAACAATTGGACACATGAGATGAGCCATCTGAAATGTCTATACACCCTTTTTACCTGCTTTTTTTTCAAAGTTTTTTACGAGAAGTACACGCGGATATCGATCATTGCAGACTTGCAACGGGCCGGGCCGGGCCAAAATTGGAAATTTTCCGGCCCGGTCGGCCCGGGAGGATGCACCTAAAAATTCAAAGCGAACTAGAACTTCCAAACGAACATAATTTTATAGACTTAAAATTAAAAAAGACGAAAAAGGCAATGTTATAGCATAAAAACCTGTAAAAAAATAGAAATTGCTGTTTAAAGTCGCAAAATTTTCACAAAAATTACGGAAATTTTCTCAAGAGTGGGCGGAGCGATTGATTGCAACTCTGGCACGCCATTTTAGCAATTTTGCCGCACGCGTTTTCCTCTTCCTTCATATTTTTCTTGCATATTTTTTTTGAGGTCTAACTTCCGGGCCGACCGGGCCGACGATTTGCTGGCCCGGCCCGGCCCGGGATTTGGCAAGTCTGGATCATTGTGTCTCAATTTCGATGCTCACCCTCCATTTTTGTGTCGTTTTGGATGGCCTCCGAAACGGAATAAAAAATCTCGGCCGCGCGGGGGACTAGAAAACTCCACCTGCCGTGTACTTCTCGTCGTCTCGTTTGCTTTTCTGCAAAATTCGGCAAAAAATTTATTCAGAATTTGGGACTTTGGGCGCCACGTCATCTTCGGTGACGTCTCTGTTCCCCTAATGAGAACGCTAATGAATCGTTGCCTTGACGCGCGCTCGAAAAATGTCACGTGAGCTGGCGGCGCTCATGTTTTTCGAGGAAATTTAGTAGTAATGCTTACTTCCGTTTTGTGCTCCTTTCTCACTTTTTAAATGCAGTGTTTGTAGACAGGTGAACAGACCTGCATCACACTTTTACGCGCTCGAATTCGAAATTGTTCAGCGGCGGTGAATGCGTGGAAGGACAGGTGGAATCTACTTGTTTTTCTGCTCAGCAAATAGTTTTTTTTTTTACATTTTTTTAGTCTATTATGGAATCTTGCCGTTTTCCTCGACCGCCAAGTGATTTTTAGTTATTTTTTAATGAGAATGTGGGGCCTAACTTTCCGAACTCGGCCCCCGAGGTCATTGCAACACAATTTTTCTCATTTCCTCAACGTTTCCCCCGCTGAACAACTCTATAATTTCAGATGCATTGAGGCGAACACAACAACTTTTGAGCAATTAATTTTTCTCGAAAACAATGGGAATAACGTGTTCGACGCCGGAAGCGCAGGAGCAAAAACGAGTAAACGCGGTGATTGATCGGCAATTGAAAAAAGACGAGGACAACGAGAGCGGCAATCAGAAACTGCTCTTGTTGGGCACCGGAGAGTGCGGAAAATCGACAATTTTGAAGCAAATCAAGTGAGCTTCAGAAACAATTTTCTTTGGCTATTCGGCACTGCAATCGCGCACGCAGTTTAAGCGCGAAAACTTCAAACGGATAAATCTAAATTGCGGCTTGACCAATTGTTACGCTCGCATCACGGTCTTCCACGGCGCGAATGATTTCAATGGGGCGCACTTGCAACAGGCGAGCTGTGTCGATTTACGCGGCAGCCGATTAATTAATTTTCAACGGGAGTTCGCGTTCTTTCCATGTTTTCTGCACAATACACCTATTTTTTCGTACGCCTGGAACCTGGATTCGAATAGTTAGAGCACTAGCTACGTTTTGGTAACAGAAATCTCGCATATCGTTGAGAATTAGCCGAGTTATTTCGATTTGAAGGTTTTGGCCTGGATTTTGATGTTTTTCGAATAGTTTTCGAAAACTGCTCAAGAAAACTAACCGCCGGAACCTGAATTTTGTGAAGAAAGATTCAGCGAACATTTTTATCGTTCGTTGGGCTCATGAAATGCAAAATGAGCTGAAATATAAAGGTTTGAAGTTTTGACGAAATGCGAAAAAGACGCTAAAAACATGAACAACTCTAAATTCTGTAAAGAACGGTTTCCAATCAGTAAAATATTGTTTTCTAGACGTTTTTCAAGTAAAAAAAAAAGAAATAAGGGTCGTAAACTCGAATTGAACTGCATTTTTAGACCTGCAAATTTTCAAAAGTTACAACGACACTCCGCAATTTACGAGCGCACTGTGTTTAGCATTAGCGCCCTGGGAGACCGTGGCAAATGAGAAACTTTCGTGGCTAATTTGGCGGGGCTCTCTGAATTCGACGAAAATCTTGAAAAATTGCAGTATACTCCACAACAGCGGCTACACAAAATCCGACTTGCAAAGTATGACGGGTGCCGTGTTCAGCAATATAATTCAAGGAATGGCCACTCTTTTGCGGGCCAGAGAGCACTTCATGTACAAATTGCAGTTCGACGCGATCGAGGTGAGAGGATGAGACGTTTTCACGTGTAGAAAACTGTAAAGCGAGACATTTTCTAAAAAATAACAAATTCTTATCAGAGTTGAGCAGAAGAACACGGAAGAATTTTTATCTTTTTTAGAAAATTTTTTCATGGAATGTGATCAACTGACGAAATGTATACCAAAGTGAACTCTGCTCATAGAAAAATAATTGTAAATTTAGCTTTTCATACAAAAAAGTTATTCGAGTACGGAAGACGGAAGGGCATTTTCACGGAACAACTCGAATAACTTTTTTGTATGAAAAGCCAAATTTACGAATTATTTTTCTACGTGCACAGTTCACTTTGCTATACATTTCGCCAGTTGATCACATTGCATGAAAAAATTTTCTAAAAAAGATAAAAATTCTTCCGCGTTCTTCCGTTGAGTTCTTCCGCTCAACTCTGATTCTTATTATAAACAGGAAGACTCGCAGCACATAATCGCGTTGGCGGACAGTTGCAAAGTGGAACTTCCGTTCGTGCCGCTCACTTTCAACGCGTTGATCCGGTTGTGGGGCGACGACGCTGTGCAGAGGACCTACGAGCGGAGGGCCGAGTTCCAGATGATGGACTCGCTTGTTTAGTACGTTTCTCGATTGATTTTCTAAAACAATTCGCGTTCTCAGTTTCATGGCCAATCTGGAACGGATAAATAAGCCGGATTACATTCCGACGGTCGACGATATGCTCCGAGTGAGAACGCCCACGATCGGAGTGGTTCAGACGACCATCTCGATCAAAGGCACCATGTTTAGGTGGGTGCTTCTAAAAATGGGTCTTGCCACGAAAATGTCAATTTTTCAGAATATACGACGTGGGCGGGCAACGATCGGAACGTCGGAAATGGATTCATTTGTTTGACAATGTGAATGCGACAATATTCATTTCGGCCATAAATGAGTTTAACCAAAAACTGAACGAAGATCGGGAACAGGTAATCCATACAGGCCTGTTGTTTTGACTCACTTGCAAGGATCCGATCGGGCCCAAACTTTGCAGGCTTTGTGGACTTGGACTGAAGCATCTTGGATCCAAGTTTCAGACCGATCCAATTAACTAGACCCGAGATATACTACAGTCCAAGTCCAAAAAGGCTGCAAGGTTCGGGCCCGATCGGATCCTTGCAAATGGGTCAAAGGAACAGGCCTCAAAAAGCCTAAGGCGGCCTCTCGCCCTGTCCTGATTCAAAAAAAATAATTACAGAACCGAATGAAAGAGTCGATCAAGTTGTTCGAGCAGATTTGCAACTCGAAATGGTTCATACAGGCCGCAATGATTCTTTTTTTGAACAAACGGGATTTATTCGAGGAAAAATTGAAAACCACCAGTATTACGGTGCTTTTTTCCACTTATCTAGGTGAGCACGCACTTTTCGAGCTTCAGGAATAGGTTTGGGCAAAAAATACCGATTTTATTGATTTTTTCATTGTTTTCCTATTTTCAGGATCAAATGAATACGAGGAAAGCGTGGCGTACATCCAGATGCGCTTCGAACGACTGAACAAACACTCGGAGACGAAGAAGATCTACACGCACATCACGTGCGCCACGGACACAAATCAGATACAATTGGTCATCGATTCTGTTATTGATATGGTTATTGGCAGGAATTTGAGAGGCACCGGCATGGAATAAATTACTTTCTTTTTTCGCGTTTTTTGCATTCTTTTTTAGGGGGTTTCAATTACTCTCCGAGTTTTTCGGCGGCAAATTGTCAATTTTTTTTCAATTTTTTTCAATTTTCCGAAACAAATCATGTTTCAAAAATATTTTTCCGAGTTGAAGCATATTCAGTAACTGGTGGAAAGAACCCTTAAAATTAGTAGTGTCCGAAGGGTTATACGGAACGACGTCAAGGTACATTTCTGCAGTGTCAGATGATTTTTCAGTTTTCTCCCCGAATGACTCCTTTGAAGCTATAAAGTTTGATTTCAGACAGGACAGAAATATTAAAAATGAATGCAGATATTTCAATTTAAAAAGTGGAATTGTTAAACTAATCAGACCTAATCTGGTAGCAGGAAAAAACGAGAAATTTAAAGATTTTTTTTCCAGCATTTTCCATAAATTCGTTTGTTTAAAGGAACATTGCCCATTTTGCAGCGATGGTCTCGCAACGATTACCATCTTTTCGCGGCAAAATTTCAAAGATTCCTTTAAAGTCAATTTTTCTTTTTTGCTGTTTCTTCCTTTTTCTGTAAATGTATCTTAATTTTTTACTCGATTGAAAAGAGGTTGATAGATAATCTTTTCAGAGTCAATTTTTTCGCTTCTAAAAATGGGAGTGGGCGCTTCGATGCAACCAGATCTGTCAAAGGAGACTGCGGAGGCGAGGAAAACGCTGAAAAATATGCACAGGATTCTCATAATGGGAACCGAAAATTGCGGGAAAATGACACTTTTAAAGCGATACAGGCGAGTTTTTGAAGAAATTAGTTTAAATTTGCGCATTTTTCCAGACAAAGATACCTCAAATACAACAGGCTTGAGATATTCGCCCTAAAAAAGGTCATGGCCAGAAATATAATTCAAGGAATGGCCGCAGTTTTGAGGACAATGAAACAATTGAATCTCGTATTTGAAGATGACTCGCAGCATTCTCAGATGTACCCTGAAGAGGAAGAATTGCCAATTTCTCCAGATTTTAACCTCACTGTGTCTGTGCGTGTTTGCAGGCTCTTTTTGTCCCCGTCGCTTCGCTTAATTTGGCGGAAATTTGGCTGAAAACACGATTTCAGTGATAATTTCGCTGATTTTCAATTCGATTACGTCAAAAATGAATGGCTGACGCTTGAATTGAATACAAGTTGTCGGAAACGGGTCGAAAATGAGCGAAATTAGCGCAAAGATTGTGTCCAGGCTTTTGAACCACTTGCAATATTCCAAAAGGGGCCAGACTTTGGTCCAAAAGCCCCTGGAATCGAATCGGCAATTTTGCGACAAGACAATTTTGCAGGAAGCCGCCAATGAAGTCATCCGGGTATCCGAGAATGATCCCGGGATGATTCCGTTCGATAAGACTACGGCTAAGGCATTGAAGAAGCTCTGGGCAAGCCCAATCTTCCAACTGGCGTTAAAAGAGGGGGAGCGCTTCGGCATTTTCACCACATCTCTCGCTCAGTACATCAATTTCTCGCTTCCCACCAGGATATACATACAATTTGTTGCAGTTATATGAGCAAATTCGGGGATATTAATGTGGGTGGTGAGGAGATTGACGATGTGCATCTCCTTCATGTACGCGAGCCGACAAAGAGCCCGAATGGAGTGACCGAATTGAATCTCAGGGTCGGGACTAGACCGTTCCAGTGCGTTTTCGTGCAAAAAATGGCAATCACAAACACGATTATTGTTTTAGCATAACCAACTTGGCCGGACAACGATCGCAACGCAGAAGGTGGTGGGAGTACTTTGATGACATTCATGTGACAATATTTATATCGGCTATCAATCAGTACGACCAAGTGTTGATGGAAGATGAGACGATTGTAATTTACTTTGAAAAAAACAATTTTTGCGTTTGATGATTTCCTTGTCACGGTCTCCAGAGCTGACAATATGGGCGCGGCCTCGGTCAAATCGCGTTTTCATGAATTGAGCAGGTTTTCTCTGATTTTTGTGGTCAACGGCGATGAAAAATGATTGTTTGACATGAAATCACACTAATTCTCACAGAATTAATGACGTTTCGGCGCATTTTTCGCGGATTTTACTTTTTCGCCTTCGCCGCCGATCGCCGCCTAAAAACCGCACTTCTCATTTTGCGCTTTCTAGACCGTTTTCAGACAGAATTGGTTTTTAGAATGATAAATCACGTAAATACAAGCATATTGAGCGCTCGAACCGCGAAAACTACCGAAAAGCAACTGAAATTCACGCAGTTTTAGCCAAAAACCTTCAAACGGATAAATGTGATTTGCGTCTTGACCAAATTTAACGCTCTTGAGCTTAAAAAATTCGTAATAGCCTATACAATCGGTCTATCGAGAGACAAATCAGAAATTATCGATTTTTCGTGGCTAATCTGGCAAAAAACAAATTTTGCTGTTAAAATTTGAATTTCGCGACAATGTATCGCTCTATTGGGTGGGCGCACTTGCGCCCATTGTCAGCTCTGGAGACTGTTCTTGTAGAATCGATTGAAGCAATCGATGAGTTTGTACGGGAGAATTGTCAACTCGCAGTTTCTCAGAAAGACCCCCATGATTCTCTTATTGAACAAATGCGATTCGTTTGAGAAGAAAGTGAAAGAAACCAGTATCAAAACGGCTTTTCCTGATTATACAGGTGACGGTTTTTAAAAAATTGCAAAAATTCATTCTTTTTTTTTGCAGGAGCAGATGAGTTTAAAGAAAGCTTTATGTACATAAAAGATGCGTTCACAAGACTATACAGTCCTGAGTTTCCTAAAGGAGAAAAGAAGATTTACATCCACGAGACGCGCTTGTTGAACACGAGAAGCACATTTGAGGTCATCGAAAAGATTAACTATGTTGCGATTGAGTCGAAATCGAGAAATCTCGTCTGATTCATAAGAAGAATCTATTATTTATTGTTTGTCGATTATTTTTGCTGTTAAAAAATTGAAAAATGTCGAATTTCCGTTGGCGCACATTGTATTGTACCTTTTTTGTAAATATTTGAACTGAAGTAATTTTTTGGTGTTTATTGTATAATTATGTGGATAGAGATCGAAATCAACGAAACCATTTTAGTGCAAGAACGCGAAAAATCGATGTTTTCAGAATTTCTTCTTTAAAGGAGCATGACGCATTGTGCAGTGATGGTCTCGCAACGATTACCATCTTTTTCTGGCTGAATTTCAGAAAACTGCGGATTTTTACTCGAAAATTCTCAATGTTTCAGACAAATGAATGCAAAACGTTGAGAGAAAAGGTGCATAATGTTTTCAGAGTCAATTTTCCGCTTCTAAAAAATGGGACTGAAGTGCGGGTCACTAAGGCGACGGAGGTACGAGGAAAGAAGTGCAAAAGCGAAAAGTGACGAGATAGATCGACAACTGGATTTGGATGAAAAAGCACGAACGGAAGTCATCAAAATTCTAATTCTGGGCACCGCGGAGAGCGGGAAAACGACTTTTTTGAAGCAAATTCAGTGAGTTTTCGCGTTTTTGTCCAATCAAAAATTGCTTTTTTTTTCTGCAGACAGCATAACGGCGGGTTTGAAAGGCATGAGTGGGAAGCACTGAAAACGGTTATCGGCAAAAATATACTCGAAGGAATGGTGGCACTTTTGAGGGCAATGGAAGCATTGAATTTCAATCTTCAAGAGGAACACAGAAGGGTTTGTGTGAACTTCAAGCGATTACTAATTGATGTGGACTGAAAGTTGTCAATCGCTTTTCTTATATAACAGTGGAAAAATGCTTTTTTTTTGCAGCAGGACGCCGACAGAATCATACGACTAAACAACGAGAGTAACTGGGTGTTTCCGTTCGATGACGAGACGTTTCGCGCATTGGAACGGTTGTGGACAGAACGTCAAATTGAATATGTATACAAGCGGAGGCACGAGTTTCACATAACCGACTCTCTTGCCTAGTACGTCTTTTCCTCTCGTCTCGCTCCAATTTATATAACTGCTTTTTGAGTTTTCTGAATGGTCTGGAGCGGTTCAGAGCACAAGGATACTGTCCGAACGAAGAGGATCTGATGCGAGTATATGCGCCCACGAATGCAATTAATGTGCTGCAGATAACAAAATTTCGTACTCCGGTCACGTACGAGAAAGTTGGGTGGTCTCGCCACGAAAATGCGTTTTTTCCAGAATAATCGACATGGGCGGGCGGAGAACGAAACGCAGAAAATGGATTAACCAATTCGATGACGTGAATTTGATACTATTCATAGCGGCTGTCAATGAGTACAACCAGAAATTGAAGGAAGATAATACAATCGTAATATTTTTTTAAATTGAAGGTCACACAAATTTTATACTTTTCAGAACCGAATTCACGAATCGATGAACTTGTTCGAGGAGATTGCGAACCAAAAATTTTTCAAAAAAGTTCCCATCGTTTTATTTCTGAACAAAACGGATTTGTTTGAGCAAAAATTGAAAGAAACTGATATCACTGTCGCTTTTCCCGATTGCCAAGGTGAGTAAAAATCGAGAAAAGTTGGAAAAAAGAAACAAGTTCAGGGGGAAAAAACTATAGAAAATGTATGGATCACATTGAAGCAGCTTTCAAAAGTCGCTCACCACCTGGAAGTGTTTTCAAAGTGTACGAGACGTGCATCACGAATTCCATTCCTACTGCCGAGTTCGTCGAACTTATCTCTGGTGCCATAACGGAAAGGAATGCAAGACGAAACGGCATTATGTAAATAAATTCATTCTTCTGTTAATTTTTGTCATTTTTTACGTTGGCAATGTGAATAACCCTAGAATTGTGTCGGAAAATCGAAAAATGACGATTTTTTTGAAATTCTGAGTGTACAAGAAATGTGAAAATGAAACTATTCTATTACCAAACTGATTTTACAAGTGCAAAAACGCGAGAAATCGATGTTTTCAAAAATTCGTCTGTTTAAAGGAGCATAACGAATTTTCGAGCGACGGTCTCGCAACGATTACCATCTTATTGCGGCAAAACTTCGGAAAACTGTTTTTCTGAAAACTTTTAGTGTTTTAAATGTTTTCTATTCTCCGTAAATTTCCAGCGACATCTCAAAACATTTTTAATGGAAAATTCTCAATTTTTCCGTGCAAATCAGTGCAAAAAGAAAAACGTCGATAATTTTTCAGAGTCAATTTTTCGTCCCTTAAAAATGGGGAATTTATACTGTAAACCTGAAGTAGATCCGATCGAAAAACGAATAGAGGAGGACAGAAAAGCACGGGAAAAAATACGCCGAATCCTGATAATGGGCACCGGAGGCTCTGGAAAAACGACTTTTTTGAGGCAAATCAAGTGAGTTTTCGCGCTTTTCCTGTTGAAAACTGGAGAAAAACTGATTTGTTTGCAGAATTCAGACCGAAGGGTACAAAATTGCTGAGAGGTTGGTCATGAAAAGCGTTATAACCAGCAATATTGTTCGAGGAATGGTTGCACTGTTGAGGGCGATGAAAAAATTGGATCTCGAATTTGAAAACAACGCCAGACAGGTTTGTGTGGAAAGTGGATAGAATCTGAGGAAGAAGAGAAGAGTCTGTAGAATACATTAGCATCAATTATCGGATTTTTTCAAGTTTTCGAAGTAAATAATGCTTTCTCCATGACGTTTAAATTTGATTATTACGCTCACTTTGGTATTTTTGTGCTGAACTGAAGTTGTGTTGAAGAACTAGCTTAACTTTTCTAAAATGAATAAAAATGATTATTTCTTCGATTATTTTTTTTACCTTCTTAATATGTCTTGTTTTTACAGGCGGACGCCGTCATTGTTGAAGAATTGGGTCTCGGTGTGGAGCATGATCAAATTCCGGTCGACACTATAAAAAATCTGTGGGCAGACGCTGCCATTCAGACGGCATTTGCACAGAGGGAACAGTTTCACATAAACGAATCATTTGCCTAGTGCGTCTTTTTCTCTCTTCTCCCTCCGAATTGTTGATTTTTTATCAGCTTTATGGATAGTCTGGATCGGGTATATGAAGCTGAATACATACCGATCGACGAGGATCTGCTTCGAGCACGCGCGCCCACGACTGGAATAGTTGAGGTGAACATGACGATCAGGGGGTTCGACTTCAAGTACGCACACTTGGGTCTCGCCACGAAATGTTCATATCATTTTTTAAGAATTTTCGACGTGGGCGGACAACGATCGGAACGTCGGAAATGGCTTGACAAATTTGATGACATGGATGCGACAATATTCGTAACGGCTGTCAGTGAGTACGATCAGAATTTGGAGGAAGATGAAACAGTTGTAGGGCATTCGTTTCAACCCATCGCCACACATATTGTTTGCTTTCCAGAACCGAATTCATGAATCGATGAACTTGTTCGGCAACATTGTCAACTCGCCATTTTTCAAGCTCACCCCAATGATTATATTCTTTAACAAACGCGATTTGTTTGAGGAGAAAGTGAAAACCACTTGCATTCGGATCGCTTTTTCTGATTATACGGGTGCGAAAAATGGGAATATCGATTGAAAGCGCTAATTTTTTTTTTGCAGGAATAAAAGATGACTATATGAATAGTATGGATTTCATTATGCGCTCGTTTGTAGAACTGTATAAAGGGCCAGATGTGTATGCGAAAAGAAAGGCAATTTACAAGCACGAGACGTGCGTCACGGACCCGATTCTGTCCGCCCGACTCTTCGCATTTGTCACTGATATTGTCGTTCGGTCGAATTTGAGACAAGCCGGCGTCGTATAAATATAAATACATTTGTTTGTCAATTATTGTTGCTCTTCAATTTGCCGAACATTGCTTGCACGTTTTCTCTGTGAAATACTGAATTCCGGTTGTGAAAAGAAGTGTATTTTGTGTATTTTGTAGAATAAAGTGGATAGAACCGGGAATTTTTGAGTTTTACTTTTACTTGGGACACTTCCACTGAAAGCAAAAATGGCACAAATCGGGTGATGGAAATAATTTGTAACATCAAAGTGCGAAAATACAGAATTAATTGCACAGAAATTCGTCTGTTTAAAGGAACATAACGCATTTTTCAGCGATGGTCTCGCAACGATTACCGTCTTTTTTCGGCAAGATTTCGAACATTCGCGAAAATCAGACGTTTTCCTTTTTTTCCTGGAAAGACCGTAAATTTTTCGCTTCCAAACATGGGAATTGGGCCCTTGTCACAGAATGCCGGAAAAAAGCCAACTGGTAGAGTCAAGCTTGACTGGTACGCCTTGGAACAGAAGGAGAGGAGAGACCAGCGAAAAGTTCTATTATTGGGCACCGGAGATTGTGGTAAAACGACTTTTTGGAAGCAAATCAAGTAAGTTTTTGCATTTTTTCCCGATAAAAATTGCCGTTTTTTGCAGAATTCGCGAGGGCGGGTTCGGCAATCCAGCGAAAACGTGGCTGAAAAGCGTTATAACCAGCAATATTGTTCACGGAATGGTCGCACTTTTGGAGGCGATGAGAGAATTGAATCTCGAATTTGAAAACGCCGCCAGACAGGTTTGTGTTGAAAAAAACTTGTAAAACTCTTTTCAGGAAAACGTTTGCTAGCCCACAACACGGCGGCGAACGCGTTTTCATCAGCGAAAATGATCGAGAAATGACTGAAATTATCGCATTTTTTGCAGAGTGATGCCGCAACTGTCAGAGAAAAGGCCGAATTGCCCAGTCTGAGCCTGGATATTCTTCCGTTCGATGAATTGATCCGCCTGTGGGGAGACACTCGCGTAAAAGAAGCATTCGAACACAGGGATCGGTTTCACATTAGCAATTCTCTCGCTCAGTACGTCTTTTTCTCTCTCGTTTTCCTCCAAATGTTATATATTTTTGAGCTTTCTGAATAGTCTGGAGCGGATTAGAGCAATAGATTACTCTATGAGCGACGACGATATCCTTCAAGCACACGAGCCCACCGAAAGAAGGTATACGGCGCGGATGGTGCTCGGAAGTATACAGATCTCGTACGCAGTTTTTGGGTTTCGCCACGAAAATGATTGGTTTTTTTGAAGAATATACGACGTAGGCGGACGCCAAGAACGTCGGCAATGGACGGATCTGTTTTATGATTTAGATGTGGCAATATTCATAACGGCTGTCAGCGAGTTCGACCAGAAGTTGGAGGAAGATGAAACAGTTGTAAGGCACTTTTTCAGTTCAGGATCACATGAAAAGCACACTTTTCAGAACCGAATTGATGAATCGATGAATTTGTTCAAGCATGTGAACACGTGCTTTTTAAAAATCATTCCCATGATTCTATTATTCAACAAACTGGATTTGTTTAGGGCGAAATTGACAGGCAACGCGTTTAAGGAGGCTTTTCCTCATTATGATGGTAATAAAAACAAAATGATATCGGTTGAAAACGCTCATTTTTTTGCAGGACCAGAGGGTGACTATAGAAGAAGTTTGAATCATATTGCGGAATCGTTCGATTTATTGCATCCGATTGAACGTAGACAGCAACTTTACAAGCACGAGACGCAACTCACGGACAAGAATGAGACTCTGTCGACCATCAATGAGGTCGCTTATATAGTGGTTAGAGCGAATTGGCATGCAGACCCGCTTGTATGAAAGATTACACTTATTCTACTTTCATTGATAACGATTGCTTTTTCTTAATGACGTGCATTGTTTATACGTTTTTTTGTGAAAACTTGTATTTCCATTGTAAAAAGAAGTGTATTTTGTAGAATAAAGTGGATGGAACTGAGAATTTTAGAGTAAGTATGTTTTATTTTCTCAGTGATACGAAAGCAGAAATGTTCATTTTTGGCAGAATACGATTTGTATCGACTTTTTTGGTTTTTTAATGGAATTCTCCAGTTTTCGAGCGAGCTGTTTAAAGGAGCATAACGCATTTTACAGCGATGGTCTCGAAGCGATTACCGTCTTTTTGCGGCTAATATTAAAAAAACCGGGGGGAAAAGCAGATGTTTTTCGGGTTTTTGCGAACTGTATTAGCATTTTTTTTTCTGAAAAATGTTTAGTGCTTCAGAGTAAATTTTCTGCGCTCCTAAAAATGGGAAACAGATGTTTCTCGTCGCTCCAGAGGGCACCTAGAGTTGGACCAGCGGTCGGCGAGCGGAAAATTCTATTATTGGGCACCGCAGAGTCTGGAAAATCGACTTTTTTGAAGCAGTTTCTGTGAGTTTCCGCGAAAAAAAAAATCGAAAATTGTGAACTGTTTACAGAATTTATAACGGCAGGAGCTATGCGGCAGAGGCGAGTGAGCTGACAAGCGTTTTATCCAGCAATTTACTTCAAGGAATGGTCAGGCTTTTGAATGCGATGAGAGTGATGAATCTCGCATTTCAAGACGCCGCGAGAGTGGTTTGTTTTTTGCAATAAAACATGTAGTTTTCCGTTTCTTCTCTGCAGAGTGATGCCGCAACTGTCAGAGAAAAGGCCGAATTGCCCACTCTGAGCCTGGAGATTCTTCCGTTCGATGAATTGATCCGTCTGGGGGCAGACATTCGCGTACAAGAAGCATTCAGGCACAGGGATCGGTTTCACATAAGCGATTCTTTCGCTCAGTACGTTTTTCTCTCTTGTTTTCCTCCAAATTCAGCTATTTTTTTAGTTTTATGGGTAGTCTGGAGCGGATTAGAGCACCAGGTTACACTCTGAGCAACGAGGATCTCATTCAGTTACGTGCGCCCACAATTGGAGTGAATTTGGTGGAACTGGGCGTCGGGGATCTTACATTCAAGTCAGTATGTTATGGAGGCATTTTTGTGCAATCGCGCTCTACCGCAATCCAACTGAATTCACGTGGTTTGCGGTAGAGTGCGATTGGAGTGTCAAATGCATCCCTAATAGTTGGGTCTCGCCACGAAATGTTCATATCATTTTCTAGCATTTACGACGTGGGCGGGCAACGATCGGAACGTCGGAAGTGGGTTTCCGTATTTGGTGGCATGAATGTGACAATATTCATAGCAGCCGTCAGTGAGTTCGACCAGAGATTGGTGGAAGATGAAACAGCTGTAAGGCATTTCTTTTTTGCTAAACTCAATTTATCTCTATTGCCCCTCGGTGTTTGCAGACTCGCGCCGAAATTTCTGAAATTAGGTTTGAGTACGCAGACACCGAGGGGGCAAAAGCGGTAAATTGAGTATAAAATGTAATTTGACACTGCAGTATCAAGCCCTCAGTTTTTTGACGATTTGGGTCATTTCCAGTGACCGGTGGAAAAGAGCCTTAAAATCAAAAGTGTGGCAAACAGGCAAACATTTTTGACCTTACAAATTTGGAGAAAACATGATTTGTTTCGGTAAATTGAAAAAATCGAGGAAATACTGTAAATTTCAATGCTTTTGGGGTTGATTCTGCAGTGTCAAAGTATTTTTTGAAATTTTCTCCCCTGTAAGCCTCCTCTAAGTGTAGAGAATACATTCAGAATCGACTAGCAGATTCGATCAGTGCGTACAGATCGATGGTCAACTCGAGATGGTTCAAAACAGTGCCCATGATTCTGCTTCTGAACAAGTGCGATTTGTTAGATGAGAAATTATTGCAAAACAGACGTTTCAATGAGGAGTTTCCTGAATATACAGGTAAGAAAAAGTGCATACAATTTCCATTAAAAACGCATTTTTTTGCAGGAGAAAATAACTTTACCGAATGTATTGCCTACATTAAGAGGCTTTTCGCAGATACGTATACACCAAGTCCGAATCAGGAAAGGAAGACATTCTATGTGCACGAGACGGTGTTCACGAACAGAAGAGAGACTGCAGAACTCATCAAGATTGTCACTAATATTGTGGTTGCCGCGAATACGAGAGGAGCCACCGTTTGATGAATATAAATGCATTTATTCGTGTTTATTTGTGTCGATTTTGCGTTGTTTTTGTGAAAATTTGAGTTCCCATTGTAAAAAGAAGTGTATTTTAGGCTGTTTGTAGAATATAAAGTGGATGGAACCGGAAATTTTTGTTATAGACGGTTTTCATAGATTTTGTTCCAGTTTCCAATGTGTCATTGAAATACGGAAAATTTAAAGGCGCATAACGCATTTCATTTTTTGACCAGGCGGAAACGACAATTATTAAGCAATTAAAGTAGGTTTTATCTGGTCTTCGGTGCTTGCAAACACGCTCCGCCGTACGAACCGAAATTCATATTTTAAACGCGAGTTTTGTGTTTTTCGCAGAATTTTCCCCATTTTTTGCTCCAATGCACGGTCTCCCACGGCGCGAATGATTTCAATGGGGCGCACTTGCAACAGGCGGGCTGTGTCGATTTACGCGGCGGCCGATTAATTAATTTTCAACGGGAGTTCGCGTTCTTTCCATGTTTTCTGTACAATACACCTATTTTTTTGTACGCGTGGAACTTGGATTCGAATAATTAGAGCACTAGCTACGTTTTGGTAACAGAAATCTCATATATCGTTGAGAATTAGCCGAGTTATTTCGATTTGAGGATTTTGGCCTGGATTTTGATGTTTTTCGAATAGTTTTCGAAAACTGCTCAAGAAAACTAACCGCCGGAACCTGAATTTTGTGAAGAAAGATTCAGCGAACATTTTTATCGTTCGTTGGGCTCATGAAATGCAAAATGAGCTGAAATATAAAGGTTTGAAGCTTTGACGAAATGCGAAAAAGACGCTAAAAACATGAAAAACTCTAAATTCTGTAAAGAATGGTTTCCAATTAATAAAATATTGTTTTCTAGACGTTTTTCAAGCCGGAAAATGCACTTTCCTGTGATCTTTTTGTGAAAATTTGAATTGTTCGCCATTATTTGTTTGTAAAACTGAATATTTTGTGTTAAATTTATATTTGGAATTGGACATTTGAGGAAGATTGTTTTATCAATCAGCGACACGAAGAAGACACAAAAATGAGGCAAAATGAGTTGCATTGTTTATTCAGAATTGTGAAAGTTGATTTGTAACGGAACTTGTAAAACATGCAGAAAAATATAAATACACAAAGAGACGCGCCTCGTAAATCGACACAACGTTTGCTATTTTTTGACCAGGCGGAAATTCAAAAAACCCCCGAATATCAGTGTTTCGTTTTACATTTCGTTTCTCTCCATTGCATTATTCGCAAAAATGCGGCCGAAATAGTATAATACAAATTCCGGCTCCAAAAAATCGATTATTCGTTCCTAACTAATTGAATATTTTGTGTTATTTGTAATTCGAACAAAGTGGCGCGCACAAAAATGGTACAAAATGACATGAAATGAGTGAGAATGATACAGGAACATTTTGAAAATTATTAAATTGATTATAAAGACTTTTGCTGTTCAAAAATCGGCACTCAGATCGAAGGCGTTCTCGTTTTCATCCGTTTCCAGCACCGATTTTTCGCTGATTTTCAGCCCGTTTTCCTCGGATTTTTCGCATTTTTCCAGTGGCTCGTCGCTGAATGAGCCGGTTTGCTCCGAATACCAGTACCAGTCGCGATCCGTGAATTTTTGGGCCTGAAAAAAAAATGGAAATTTGATTTAGACGGAAAAAAGTTAAAAATTACCGATTTCCGTCTGTTTTCCGCTTGCTCCAGGGCGACTTGTTGGCGAAGGGATTTGGCCTGAAAATGTTCCATAGTTTTCAAAAAACCATCACCTATTCTCAATAGAGCGCACTTACCATTTCCCTATATTTTCCCTTATCCGCCTGCTTCTCGATATATTGATCCATTTCCGTGAGCAATCGTTGATAACTGGCCGGTATCGGCTCTTTTTTCGGCTCCGGCGCATAAATGTTCACGTCGAAAATCGGAATTCTGACGGCGGAACAATCGACACTTTTGGGTAGCGTAATCCGGCGAAAAGCCACAATTTTCGGCTCTTCTTCCGGTATACACTGTAGAGTTGGCGAGAATTCACGAATTTTACAAGATTTGTACATTTTAGCGCCTAAAAGTTGCAATTTTTCGAGGGGGCAATGGAAGAATCGAAGAAAATGAGCAAAAAGGTTAATGTGCGGGGATGAGGTCTGAATGACCTCGTTCATCGGCTACCTGCACAAAAATCAATATTGTAGAGCAAATGTGGAGATGGACAGGGGGAAGGGGGGCAATAAAATGGCTATGTGGACAGGAAAATAGAAAAAAAAAGTTTAAAATTATTATATGGACACTAAAAATTCGTTTAAATTCTGGGTATTGGCGACGGGTGCTCGTGTCCGGCGGCGAACATTCGATTACGGTACTCGCGACGCGAAAATTCCATCTGAAAAAATTGAGTTAATTTTTTAGGCCAGATAGACGTTGAGAACTCGAAAAAATTACATTGGCAATTGGCGTGCTGGTCACAATTTTCGAGTTGGATTGATCGAGAAATCCGACGAGTGGATGTTCATGGCTTCCTCGTCGGGAAATGTTGGGCGGCGGCCGGAATCGGGCCGTTTTGGGCCCCGCCGGTTCGGTCCGCGAACGGCACGACGCCGGATTTTGACGATGCGACGCTTCTTCGCGCAGTTTTATTAGTCTGGAAATTATTGTTATAGGCAAGACTTTTGAAACCTGGTCCGGGCTTTTGACCCACTGCAATGATCCGATCGGACCCAAGCTTTGCAAACTTTTTGGACTAGGATTGAAGTGTGATGGGACCAAGTTTTAGCCCGATCGGATTGTTTATTGTCGAGATATAGTGCTTGAGCCCGGGCTCTTGGCCAATTTCGGCCTCAAACCAGTATATCTCGGGACCAGATAATCCGATCGGGCTGAAACTTGGACCTAATACACTTCGATTTAAGTCCAAGAAGCCTGCAAAGTTTGCGCGCGATCGGAATATTGCAAGTGATGTAAAAGTCCAGGACAAGGGCCGGCACTTACTTTTCCGTCAAATGTCTCTTCCGTTCCCTGGCCTTTTTGAGACGTTCCGTGTCTTCCGCGAACGCAATTTTTCGCTTTCTAAAGCAACAATTCAGAAAATTAATAAAACAATGGTTCCAACTCAATGTCCTGAATGGCTGCCTGCTGTTTGAGGCGCATCTCATTGAACGCATCGGTTTCTCGCTTTATCTGCAAAAAGAAGCATTCAAAAGAATCAGAATAAATGCAGAATAAATTTCACCTCGACACTTTTGAATTTCATAAAAATCTCTCGTTGTTTCGCTTGAAAAGTGATCATTTGCTTCAGTTCGTTCATGAGCTCGGCGGCCACTTGACGGGCGTCTTTGAATAATTCCTGGAAACAATTATTTTTAGGCTTAGGCCAAAAAACAAGCTTACCATTAATTCGGGACGCATATTCTTGTTGATTTCGTCGCCTTTCAGCGGCTTTTTACACAAGTAGCACTGGGCGTCTTTGGCTGAAAATTTTGAAAAACTTGGTTAAAAAATTTGAAAAAATTCACAAGCGTACCTCTTGCTGTACAATTGCGACAAAACACGTGTCCGCACACGGTCAACATCATCTTCACCTGATTTGGCCGCGCGCCGCAATTGTTGCAGTGGATCCAGTCCATGAGTGCTAAAAATTGGAAAATGTGATTTTTTGTTACAAAATGGTATTATTACTCTAATTTTCAATATTTTGTCACCGAAAATCTACACAAAACGATAGCTTTTCGCTGAAACATTCGTCTGAAAACGATGATTCTAGAGTTAGGGTTACTGTAGAAATTTAAAGGCGCAGCTCAATTTTGTTCATAGGGTCTCGCCACGAAAAGCAACGTGGAACATTCAAAGAGTCTTTTTCGGCGCGAATTCCGACGTGTTGATTTCGCAAAAACGGACGTAGGCTAAGTCGGAGTTGCTTTTTTGCAATAAGTATTGTATTTTACTGAACAATTCAATTTTTCACCAAAAAATGTTGAAATAATGATTCTTTACATAAAAAAAACGGAAATTCGTAGGCCAAAATTCGTTTCCTAAAATTTCTGAATTTTTTCGACTATTTGGCGAGTTTTCTAACAGCTTAAAATGTTAAATGTTCTCCTTTTTCGTTCCTAAAATTACAACATTTTCAGAAGTGCGAGCCATGTCAGGCGACCAACTTTTCGAAGATTATGATCCGGAAATGGAGGACATTTTCGGAAGTTCACATAAAGTTGGTTTTCATCGGAAAATTCCAAAAATTCTCTCAAATTTGCAGATGACACCAAAACGAATCACTATTACCGATGCGCAGAAAACTGATCCTCTGCGAAAACCGAAAGTCTGTCTTCAGGCTCTTTTGGTGGCCGAAAAGCAGCCAATCACTGCCAAACAAATCGAGCAGCGCATGCTGTGAGTTAACAGAATTGAATGAAACATTTGAAAATTGCCTTGCACCCCAAAATGTCAACAAAAATTTGTTCAGCGAAGACGACGGCTACGTGATGGACTGCAAACAGTTCGGTTTCATGACGCTGGACGATCTGCTCTGCGCCTGCTCGGATACCGTAATCCACCACCGCCGCAAAGACGGCGAACACGTTTATATGGCGAAAGTGAACGAGGCGAACCAGGACATTATGGAGCTGGTGCAGCTGCAAACGGACCGCCAGGAGGCCAAACGGGCGCCCCGTTCCTTCCTGAGCACGAAGAGAGAGGGCGGCGGGCGCGGCGGCGGTCACGGATCCTCGTTCCGACCCTACCACGGTCCCAGGGCCAGTTCGGCCGACAAACCGAGGGCCAACACTCAGCAGTCAGTGTAAGCAGAAAAAAAATTGAAAAAAAAAAAGTTTTTCTGCCCAGATTCCAAGCGCGCAGCACGTTGGGACCGTCGAAGAGCAGTGCGCGCGTGCGCAATCTCGCCGACGTACTCCGTTCGTACCGCGCGGAGATCGGACGTCCGCATCCGAAAGAGCCGAACCGAAAGATTGTGAGTCTTCTGCAGCTCCAGGAGCAATTCAAGAAGGTGTACGGACTGCCGGCGTGGGGCAAATATATGAGTGAAAAGTGCGTTGTAAAAAAAATGCGTTTTTTTTAATCGAAAAATGTATTGTAGAGAACTGTACGACGCGCTGAACGCGCCCGAATTTGAGGGAATTTTGAAATTCTGGCGACTCACATCCGACGGAGACGTTTACGTGGAAGAGGTGGAGACGTTGACGCAGAATCAGGAGGAACCGAAAAAGCAGAAGGAGCAGGAGGAGAAGTCGCCGGAAGTTTCGATTCATATGCCCTGTTTTAACAGTAAGGCCTTGAGTCTTTGCCTGCACTTTCAGTGTTTCATTTGTAAATTTTCAGTCTCGTCATCAACTCCCCGCCGCGCCCGTTCCGTCCATTCGGTTCTGGTCACTTCTCGTCAATCTCTGGACGACGAGTCAATGTTCGTTTCGAGACCCAATCCCTCCCCCCCACCCCAAAAATTACCTTTTTTTCTGTCAATTTTTTTACAAAAAAAGAACCACGTTTTTTTTCTTCAATTTTAGAGAGATCCTAAATCTATCTGTCACCGTCGATATTGAGCGGTTTTGCAATATTTTTAATTTAAAAAAAACCGATTTTCTCTATTTTTTCTAACAATTTTTGCACTTTTTCAGAGACGCTTTCAGTAGTGTCGGCGACAGGACTCCAGACGCAACTGTGAGTCAAGAAAATACGTGTTTTTTGAGAGATTGAGAAAAATTGATTTCTAGATGGTGTTGGAAGAGGATCAAGGCGACGGATTCTTCGAGTCGGGACCAGGATTCGGCGGGAGAAAAGGTTTTTCCGACAAAAACCGGAGCGGTCCGCAAACGGCGGAACAGCTCGCCGAGCTGACCTCGATGTTCGGAAATTCTCAGTCGTCGGCTCCAACGGCTTCTGTTGCTCCGAAGACGACGACGACGACGACGACGACGAAAATGGTGTCATCGGAAGAAATGAGAACGTACTCGCCGCTCAGCTATAACGATTCGACGTTCGGATTCAACACTGAGGACAGTCTCGACGGTAGGGGCTTATTTCTCACTCACAATTCTAATAGCGTTTCCCACAAAGTTCATCGAATTTTATAGAAAAAACATATACTTTGCAGAACCGGAACCGCCACGTGCGCCCGTCGCCGCGGCTCCGGCTCCAGCAGCTCCACTCGCCGCCCGTCCGGAGGGGACGGTTCCTTCGCGTGCACTCGACGCGGCCGCCTTCCCGACTCGCTCGATCATCTCTCGCAACCCGACGCGCGTGCTCGCCAACTTCATCAAGGACCGTGGAAGCGTGGCATTCTCCGCCCTGCCGACCGACGACCGCACCATCGTGAACTTCAACTCGCGCGTGTTCCACGTGTACGCGACGCAGCCGGGCGAGATGTACGTCCGGCTGGCGGATCCGACGTGCGACGTCAACGCGGTGACGTTCAGCGACAAGGAACTGCGCGATCCGCTCGAGCCGGACCTCCGTTGGATGTCCGAGTCGGCGCTCGCGTTCAAAAACGGCCGACATCTGGTGAAGCCGGTGATGTTCGTGGCACCACGTGGATTTCTCGTGCTCGTCGCCGACGACTGGCCCTCCTCTTCCGAAGAGGGCGACTATGTCGAGACGAAGATCGAACGGCTCGAAAATGTGCTGCGCAGCCACATGCAACAGGCGCCCGTCAGGGATTTGGAGCGGAAACAGATGCGTCCGGGCATGGCGGCCGCCTACATTTACCGCGAGCACACGGAAGTGCGCTACTACCGAGTCCTGGTGCTCGGAAAGGCGCACCGGGAGGGCGACGTGATGGTGCTTCTCGTCGACCACAACGATCAGTATTGTGTGGACGTGCAGATGAACCAACTGTTCGCCCTCCCCGACAAGGTGGGATTCAAGCACTTTGCGCCGAACGTCGTCTTCGCCACGCTTTACGGAGTGTCCGGAATGGCGGAGGAGGAGCAGCAGTTGATGTATAAGAATGCGGACGATGAGGACCGAAAGCAGTTTATCACCGGGTGGTTGTGCGGAGAGAAGGGGGTACGGGCCTTGAATTGAAAATGCGCAAAACTTGCAAGTTCTTCACAAAAAGCGCTATATTCTCGTGAATTTCCGTTGGATTTCGAACGATTTGCACTTTTTTAGTGTTGCAAAAAGTTCTCAAAACGCATGTTAATACTTTTCTGGAATAAGTCGAAAGATTTTTTGATCACAAATTTTCGGGAAAATTCGGAAAACACTATAAAAATTGCAGAAAATCCTCAACATTGACATGACGTTCCGCGACGAGCAGGGCAACGTGGCGTGGCTCTCGTCGATTGCGAAACGGCGCGGAGCGATGATGTGCTTGGACGCGCCGCGGTCGTCGCACAATCAACAACCGGCCAAGAACTTTTTGGATTCGCCGGAAGATGCCATTGATTTTCTGGACTACACGACGACGAAGAAGGAAACGGAAGTGAAAGGGGGAAAAGAAGGAAGGAACGGAGAGAAACAAGAACAGCAGAAGCAGCAGCCGTTGAGGGAGATCGAGACGGAGGGTGAGGAGGAGTTTTGCAAACACTTTTTGACCTAATTGAAATATTCCAATAAAATCCAAACTTTGCAGGCTTCTTGCAATTGGATTGAGGTATTTTGTGTTCAAATTGCAGACCGATCCGATCCGATTATCTGGTTTTCGCGAAATTTCGAGAATTGTAGCCTTTTCTCTAGAGCAGTTATCTAGATCGGTCTGAAACTCGGACACGGCCTACTTCTATCGAAATTCAAGAAGCCTGCAAAGTTTGGGTTCGATCGGATCCATACAGCTGAGCCAAAAGTCCAGGCCGAGGCCTGTTTTTCTACCATAGAAATCTGATTTGTGTTCCTAGTAAAACCCTATTTTGTTTGCAGAATACGAGTTCGACTCGGACCTCGAGTCGACGTCGCCGCTATCTGCTCCGACTCCTCCGGCCACGGCGATCGTCTCCTCCGTCTCGGCGGCGCCTCTTCCGGCCAGTCTGTCGCCGTTCGATCCGCAGACTCTGGACGTGTACGCACTTTTCGACCGCGGAGTGCGCGAGAAGGACTGGGGACTGCTGCACGTGCTCTCGACGTTCGCGCGCACAGTCGTTCTGTCGGCGCACGACGAGAAGGGCGAGTGGAAGCAGCTGCACAAGTACATGGTCGACGTGGGAAGTCAGAATGGAATGCGTCTGCTCTAGAAGACCAGTATATCTATTTTTCGTCGCTTTTATTTGTTTGTCTCTCTTTTTATATATTTACTCTTATGATGATTTTCCTCCCCCTAGGTTATCATTTATATATATATGTGAACGACTGTAGACCATTCCCGCTTGAATATTTGTTATTGTTGTTTTTTAATCCAGCACACCCCCATCGAAAATGATCCGGAAATGAAGAAGGTAGTGGTGGAGTTCTTTTGTTTGTTGTTGAGAAATTATCACATTTTTTCCGTTTTTTGCTTTGATTATTATGATGCTATTCAAAGCAAGCCAGATTTGAGCAGCACATTTTTGAAATAATTTTTTTGAAACTGCAAAAAATTTGGACCCACGGTATGTGTTGAAAAGTGTAGAAAAAAATGCGAAATGTCGAATGTTTGTTTTTCCGGTGAATAGAAGGAAAAACGTTTTCTTTTTCAGTTCTCATGTTGCCTTCCCCAAAACATTGAGCCCATACTTGTGAGTTTACGGCCCCGATCCTAGCGGGCACTTTTCGTAAAAAGTTACCCCACATTCTGCACGATTTCTGTGAAATTAATGATTGCGTACATTTTGAGTCTAAACGAGCAAATTTCATTGAAAAAAATTGAAAAGTTGAATCGATTTTTGAGCGTTGTGCTGAAAATGCTCGCAGTTCAGTCATTTCTCGATAATTTTTGCTGTTTGAACGCTCGAAACACTTGATTTTACGTGCTTTATCGTTTCCGACACTGATCTTGACGAAAAACTGTGCGTTTTCACGAAAATGTCATTGATTTCTGCCTCAAATGTCTTCCTTTATCGATATTTATTATAGGGGCACCGAACAGAAATGGCGCTCTGTTGAGAAACTCTTTTTGCGGTGCGGGGCCGAGTTTGAAAAATTCGGCCACATTTTCAGGAGTGGAAAATTAGTTCGCAGCCTGGAAATTTGGCCAGATTGCGAACAGCGCGCCTTTTCTGTCCGGTGCCCCTATAATAATGACAATCCGATTAGGAGGGCCCGCTTAGGCCACCCACCCATCGAGCGATCAATAATATTAAAGGGACAGGTGGTCCCGAACGGGAACGGGTCTCGCACGGAAAAGAGGAACCCCCGTGAGAGGACACGTGTTCGTTCAAACACGCACTTTGGTAGACGACTAATTAGACACCGTTGTTTTCGATTTTTAAACGAATTCTATAGAAAAATGAGCGTTTTTGAGACGCAAATCCCGCAAAAGTATCGTTTATTTTCTCCCCGTCCTTCTTCTTGTTCTCGTGCTCATTTAAGAGTCCCCGAAAAAGAGTCCCCGGGTTTCACAAAACTCAAAATTTCTATAAAATTTTTGTTGGAATGTGTTCCCCGTACTCTATATGAGTACGCTCCCAATTTTTTTTTCCAAAATTTTCGGTACATCCCGAGTTACACGCTGGCAGGCGATTCTTGTTGCTGTTTGGTGGATGACATCAAAGAGTCAACATTTTAAGTGAACACAAATGATGTTCTAAAAAAGCAAAACAACTTTTGAGGTCAAAAGTTTCGAACCCGACACCTCAAAATAGACGAGCGAGCACTCTGCCACTGCGCCAACCGGGCAGAGGCGCGACTGCCGCCAATCGCGTTGAAAAGCTCGGTGTGCGCGGCCCCTTCCAGGAGTGAAGTTAGTGCGTTTGTGCGCTGAAATCCGAAACATATCTGACTGTAACTTTTTTCGGCGACCTGGAAAATTGTCGTGCTAAACGGAATTTTGTCGAGAATTACACGCAGAATCCGATTCCGTAAAAACTTGCCGCGTGTACGGTACCTGCGTCCCTCAAATCCTCGAAAAACTAGAATTTCGGCTGAACAGGCTTTACTCAATCGAACACAAAAATGCTCCTAGCGGGTCAAGAGCTCTGAAAATTTATATTTGGCATCTCAGAGAGTGTATCTATAGATTCCGAAAACAAAAAAAAGGGATCATGGCTGAAAATTTTGCGCAAACTTTTCTGGCAGTTTGAGGATCTGTAAAAAATTTCATCGACGCGGGAGTCAAAATCTGACCTCAAAAACGGATTCCCCATCCCTTTAACTGTCGGAATCACTTGAAAATAGGCGCGTGTAGCCATAAACTTGGCCACACAGGCTCTCAGACTGACTTCCATTCTCGTTTTCGCCGTTTTTTCAAGAGAACGGTACGTTTTTGAGGGAAATGGAGTTGTTCAGTGGATTCAGCATGGTCGATTACATCAAGTAAAACTTTTTGGGTATGGTACTTCATTTGGGGACCTCGGTACAGGCCACGCCCCCTTTGTTGCGCCCCCTAGAATCTAGGGCCTAGATATGAATAGTGGGTGAAGGAGGAAGAGGGCCCTTTTAGGCCACCCACCCATCGAGCGATCAATAATATTAAAGGGACAGGTGGTCCCGAACGGGAACGGGTCTCGCACGGAAAAGAGGGGCCACCGTGAGAGGACACGTGTTCGTTCAAACACGCACTTTCGTAGACGACTAATTAGACACCGTTGTTTCGATTTTTAAGGGAATTCTATGGAGAAATGAGAGTTTTTGAGACGCAAAACCCGCAAAAGTACCGTTTATTTTCTCGTGCTCATTTAAGAGTCGCCGAATACGTCTTCTTCCTCTCTTTCTCTCTCCTCTTCTTATTTTTCTCTTTTTCTCTCTAATTCTCTACCGCTTTCGGGGGGCGAGTGTTTCCGTCTATTTAGTAGTATATTTCTAGTATATATGTATATATATATAGCAGTCGTATAATTATATTTAGGCCATTTTTACGCATGCTTGACATAAAGTTTTGCTGTTTCACTTTTTGTTGAATATATCGATAAATACTATAAATTCAATTCACACGGTTTTCCAGAAAAACAATAATGTACGAGGATTTCGATGAGTTGGATCAGTTGAGAATCGAAGAGTTTGTGGCCACCGTACAGCGTGAGTTTTACCCGGAAAAAACAGAAACGAAGACAAACATACAAATTGCAGAGTACGAGAACCACAAAAGGCGATTCACCGCGTCGGCGGCGACGGAGGCGCACTGCGAAAGCTGCGCGTTCGTGCTGAAAAAGCTGGCGGCTCTCCAAGCGAAAATGGCGGAATACGCGAGAATGCGCGCGACGGACGACGATCGCATCGACTGGAACACGCTCATTCTAGAGGTGCTGGCCGCGGAAGAGCCGCAGGAGAACGAGGGAGACTTTGTGGTCGCACGAAGGAAAAATGCGAACAACAATAGTATTGCTGAAGTGGCGGCGAAGGAGGACTTGTACACTCTTCCGAGCCCGCCGAAACGGAAGAGAATCGAGGAGGAACGAGAAGGTACTCATTTACGTTTACTTTTTACTCTTTGTAGTCTGGTCTCAAGCGCGCTCGCGACATTTTGGAGCGAATTTCGTGTTTATCGCAAAAGCAGCTACGAAATTGTGCTTGAGACGATTTTTTGAAGCGCAACAGCGTGAAATGTTATCCGTTTGAGGTTTCTCGGCTAAAAAATGCCTATATTTACGTGATTGATCCAACGTGACATACAACATATTTTTAAAATAAACTTCGAAGTGGGACATTCACTTTCCCAAAGTCCCGAATTACGAAAAAAATTCCCCGATTTTCAAGATTTTTTTTTCAAAAAAGTTAATGGTACCGGCGAGAAGTACACGGCGAAATGGAAGAGCTGGCCTAGATTTTTCTAGTCCCCGGATGGAATTCCCCTTTCTTCCGATTTTTTTTTCCGTTTTTGTGCAATTTTCTTTAATTCTCAATCGTTTTTTCACTGAAAACGCTTATTTGCAATATTAAAAAAATTTATGATTTTTTTTCTGTGCCGTGACGCCAAACAAATAGATAATTTGAAACTTTCAAAAAAATCAGGAAAAAAAGTTTCAGATTATCGATTTGTTTGGCGTCACGGCACAGAAAAAAATTTTCAAAAATATTGCACGGAACCCCAGCATTCCAATGCGCAAGCAAGTTGTCAATGGGGCGCGCTTGCATCCACCGTCGGCTCGGAGTTTCTTTTTTCAATTGAAAACCAGAATTTTTTCGTTTTTCTCTTAATAAACACTCAAATTTTGTTCTTTACGAACCGTGGGGCGATTGTCTGAGTTAAAAGCATCGATTTAAGCGCGAAACGGAGCAGATTCGTTCAGAATTGACCAAATTGAGGGATTTTGTCGAAAACTACTGAAAAAACGGAGTTTTAACGATCATTTGCCGAATCGAGTTCGGACACTGGCATTCGAACCGTCCAGTCAACAAAGAGTTTATTGCGCATCTTTTAAGCGCTCAACCGTCGAAAAATATACAGAATTGAGATAATTGAGGCAAATTTTCGATTCCAAAAGGAAAAATTCTGTAATTTTCACATAAAACGTTTCGAAATTGATGACGAAGCAGTTAAAATTTTATTTTTTATTCATTTCTAATCATTATCATAAGTTTTGACACTGATTGGTTCTGAAAAGATGGGAATAATGCAAAAAAAGGGAAAATTGAAATGAGAAATTCTACAACGACGCTCCGAAATTACGCGTTACGCGCCTTGTTTAGCGCACCTGAATTGCGCCAAGGGAATTTTTTATTGGAAGGCTGGGGTTCCGTGTATTGCAAATAAGTGTGTTCAGTGAAAAAACGATTGAAAATTTCGCCGTGCACTTCTCGCCGGTACCATTAATTTTTTTGAAAAAAATCCTAAAAATCGGGGAATTTTTTTTCGTAATTCGGGACTTTGGGAAAGTGAATGCCCCGACTTCGAAGTTTATTTAAAAAAATGTTGTATGTCACGTTGGACACCCCACCTTTAAAATCAATTTTGTGTGAAAACGGTCAATAATGCGCAAAATGCGAAAAGTGCGAAATGCGCGAAAAATGCACCAAAACGTCAGAAATTTCGGGAATCGTTTTCATTGCTTTTGACCAAAGTGTTGAAATCGAAATGAAAAGTGATTGTGGCGGACGCCACGGAGACAATTTTTTCTCGCTATTCGAAACAAAGTGTTAGTTGAAACGGTAAACATTTTTTTCCAGAAACCCTCTCCGAAACCTCGTCAAAAGGCCGAAAACGCGCGAATCCTCAGCGCAAAATTGTGAATGCGGAGGGAACGAGCCGTGACCTGGAATCGGTAATGCACGATTTTATGGAACGGAGGAGGAACGAGTATTCGGACGACGCGGAAATGGAGCACGACGATGAAGAGGACAATTGGAACAATCCGCCCACGTGGCGCCCCGATTATGAAGAAGACGAAGCAAGAGAGCGAGAACAAAAAGAAGAAGAGGACAATTGGAACGATCCGCCCACGTGGCGCCCCGATTATGAAGAAGAAGAAGCAAATGAGCGAGAACAAAAAGAAGAAGAGGATAATTGGAACGATCCGCCCACGTGGCGCCCCGATTATGAAGAAGAAGAAGAAGAAGCGAGGGACGACGACGGAGCATCGGAGAGCTCCGGAGAGCATCCGCTCGTCATTGCCGAGTTCGACGAAGAGGAGCAACAGCGCACTGTTTAGACGTCAATTTTTTCAATTTTTTCTAGATTTTCTAGATTTTTCGATTCTAATATCATTTTCTCAAACGAATTCAGCGACACCCTCTAGACTTTCATTTTTATGCACACAAATGTCTGTACACTTTCATGATTTTGTGATTTTCTTTCACTTTTCTATGTATCAATCTCGATTTTTGTGATTTTTCTTTCCGGAATGTCTCGTAACCTACCTCTTAATGCATTTTTCACTGTGATTTATCAAATTCACAAAATTATCCGTCGTTTCTTGAACTCATAATAAATGCCGCTTGAAATCTCGATTTTCTTACTGATTTTCAGATTTTATCATTCAAATAATATCTAGAATCAACTTATCCACAAATTTGATGTAATATTTCGCAAACATCCGGCGAAGTTTGGCTGAAAATCCATCGAAACCGCCCGAGAACCGTTTTCCCACCATGGCCGTGGCCTAGTTTTCCGCGACGTGGCCTAACTTTTCCCACTTAATGTCGGTTTACGGCGCCCCGCGAACACGTGTATTTACGCTCGATTCCGCTCATTTCTCATCGTTTTTTGCTCGTTTTCTTCGTAAAAATATTCCTGACTCGTCAATTTATCGATTTTTCGCTCACAAAATGTCGAAAAAGGCGCCGGTGATCGGTGACAGCGGAATTCCGGCGTACTGCCTCAAAAAAATCGGTTCCCGGCACATTCTGGTGGCTGGCGGCGGTGGAGCGTCGAAAACTGGAGTTCAGAACGAAATTCAGGTTGGTTTTCATTCGATTCACTGGAAATGTATTGATTTTTCGAAGAAATCGAAAAGTTTTAGGGTTTTTCGCTAAAAGTTGAAGTCTTAGCAGAACAAATTGCAGACACACCTGATAACCAGCGATTCGAACAATTCGGACGTCGGATTACGCGCAGAATGTGTTGATAAAGTAGAAAACAGTTTGTTTCGCGAAACAATTTCAACTTTTCCAGTTTGACACCGACACAATGGCCACAATGAACATGGATGTTGCGTGTGTCATTGACGAGGCGTCGGCCAGATATGTAATTGCGGCCGGACAAGAACACGTGGGTTTCGCATCAATTCTAAAGTGAAAAATTGCGGAAAAATGAGTTTAAGAATTGCAGTTTTGCGTTCTGTACACGACACGTGGCTTCAAGCTGAACGAGCTGGAAAACAATCAATTGGCGTTCGAAATTCAAAAAGTCAGTCGAATTCGCACCGATTTGAACCCGAATAATCCGTATCAGGTATTCCATTAAGCTTTTTCTCAATTTCAAACACTCCTCACAGAAATGCGTTCGTTTCGATCGAAATTCTCGCGGGAAAATGTTCGCAACCGGCGGATCGGACGGACATATTCGGATATGGGATGCGCAGGCGGTTTTCCGCGCCGAAGTGAGCGCAAATAATTCGCTCCGCTGGTGACCGAGTGGCTAAAACGATTTTTAGAACGAAAATGTGCAGCCACTGGTGACAATTCAAGCGCACAAAGCCGATGTGGACGATTTGGATTTTTCCAGCGATTCCAAAACCATTATGTACGCCGCGCGGTTTTTCAATTCAAATCATGCGCTTTTTTTTGTCTCTTTCAGTTCTGTCGGAGGCGAAGGAGCGTTTATTTGGAGCGCACAGACCGGAGAACGTCTTCTGGATTTACAGTTTCCACTGGAAATCGCCAGGGGATTCAAGGTGCTTGAAACGAAGTTGTTAGACGAATAATTCAAATGATTGCAGATGCGCTCCGTTCGTTGTACTCCACTCGGCAACGCGAACAACAACACCGTCTTCGTGGCGGCGTACAATTCGATTTCGCGCGGATCCAAAGATCAGGCCTCTTTTCTGTCACTCTGGGCATTCAACTCGGAGCGCAAAGTGGCGAGGCCCATTGTGACCAAAGTTATGGCCAAAGGACAGGTAACTGAATTTAACAAAAACCGTTGCTCGTCCCAAATCCCACATTTCACTTGCAGAGCATCTCGTCGCTGACCGTCTCCGAATGCGGCAACTTCACGGGCGTCGGCACCATGTCGGGAGGCGTCGCCGTGTTTGACACCCACGAAATCCGCCGCCTCTACTACGCGCCCGACTCGCACGGACTCTTCGTGACGGGCATCGAATTTGTGTCGCGCACGGCGCCGTCGATTTCAGAAGGCGTCGCCGAGTCGCCCGGAATCTCCTCGGGATTCCAGACGGGAGTTGTGACCCTGGCGGCGGATAAAACGATGCAATTGCACCGAGTTCCGTTTCCGCGGCCACAACCGTTTTCCGAATTTCTCCTCATTGTTTCTATCGTCTCTCTGATATTTGTATGGATTTCGACGCTTGTTTTGGTGGCCTAAACTGTTTTTTTTGCGAATTTTTCTGCTTCTGAACCAAAGAAGATGATGTAGAAAATTTTCTTTATTATTTATTTTGGTCCCCAACACTCGTTCCCCTATAAAAGTGCTCAAAGGTAGGTGGTGGCCGGGGTAATGAGAGGAATAAATTAAAATACGCTCGCCCAAATTGCTATTGTCGATTTCTGAGGTAGTGCTCATTAGGCATTCACATTTGCGATGACACCTACCCAAATGGGATATATGCTAATTTTTGGAGAGAGAGAGCCTTTAGACTCTGGCTCAAGCTCCGCCCACTTTTTTGAAAAAAAAGCAACAACAACATTTCGTCAATTGTGCGTAAACTTCTGAAACCGACAATATTTTCTTTGAAACAACTTTTTTGTCTGAAAACATTTTGCTAGGCTTTTTGGACTGGGATTGAAGTATTTCGGGCCCGAGTTTCAGGCCGATCGGATGATCGGATGGGTCCAAAAAGCCTGCAAAGTCTGGGCCCAATCGGATCATGGCAAGTGCCTGGCCCGGCCTTTTGAATATTTCTGAAAAGGATCAAATTGATTGATATTGTCGAGTCACATGTTCCGGAAATTGAGCCCCTTCCCCCCTCCCAGTTTTCCGCTATTGTCCGGTTCCGAGCTTCTCACATTCCACCCTCAACAGATGGTCAACTCCAAATTCGATATTGTAGACGTTTGAACGGTTTATTCCAACAAAACAAAGTGGACAATATTGGTTTCAAACAAATGCCTTATGATGCGACAGATATTGTGCAATTCGGAAAACAAACATGACATAATCATCTTGACACCCACGCGCGCGCGCGCGCTGTTTACAATGATGAACGGGCAGGCAGGCAGGCAGGTGGCGAAGAAATTTGAGAGCGAAACGAGTGACACGACTGTCAGAAATCGACAATATTTGTGGTGAATATGCGGTACTGTAGGGTACAGTAATCCGCCTCATCGTATCACAAAAACTAGCGAAGATAGCGAAAAGGTGTCAACAGAGAAACTGTGCACAATGTCTTTAGCTATGTTTTTTCAGTTGACAACTTTTTGATAGCTCGCTCAATTCGCGAGATATAACAAGATTTTGCACTACACTTTTCAACAGCCTATATCTCAAAAATGAAAAATGGCAGAAAGATGTGGTCAACAGGAAAGTTGGAGCAAATTTCATGCTCATCAACTTTGTAGTTGATCATAATTCCCTAAAAAAATTCCCATTCAAGTTATGGCTCAAAGAAAGCAGGCGATACCGAAAAACGGCCCCCCGGAAGCCGAAATGTTCGCGCATTTCCTAAACACCGGCCACTTAGCGTGAGCCCCTCCAAAACCAGTGCACATTTAACCTGATTACCCCCCCCCACTTTCTTCTTGTTTTCTGTGCTCCTCACTCCTAATTGATGGGTGGCTGTTCAAACTGTTTCGCCCTCTGTTCGGCCCGAAAGAAATAGTGTGTGTGTGAGAGAGAGAGAGAGAGAGAGAGAGAGAGAGAGACAAGTGTCCAGAAGGGAGCACACGCACATTTTACGGATTACCTAGCAGTGGCCCCGCGAGACAGATTGCATTGCTCTCAGCGGATTTGCCGCTCGCGCTGCTTGATTTTATTCGCGAAAACGCGTGGCAATTTCATGAAGAATTTTTATCTTTTTTAGAAAATTTTTTCATGAAACGTGCACAACTGACGAAATGTAGAGCAAAGTGAACTGTGCTCGTAGAAAAATAATTGTAAATTTAGCGTTTCATACCAGAAAGTTATTCGAGTTGTTCCCGTGAAAAAGGGGGCTAACGGGGAAGACGGAACGAATAACTTTTTTGTATGAAACGCTAATTTTACAATTATTTTTCTATGAGCAAAGCACACTTTGCTATACATTTCGTCAGTTGTGCACATTTCAGGAAAAAATTTTCTAAAAAAGATAAAAATTCTTCTGTTGAGTTCTTCCGCTCAACTCTGGTTAAAGTGTAGGCCAGAGTTGAGCGGAAATGGAATTTTAAAATCCGGAAGACGGAAGACGGAAGAAAATTTTTTACGGAACACGGAAAGCGGAAAACGGAAGAAAAAAAATTTATTTTGAAAAAAATAACTAAAGCAACAAAAATTTGTGATCTAGGCTAAATTCGCGTTCTTCGGGGCAAGTAAATGGCTTCTGAAAAGCTATTACTCTTTTACGGTAAGAAGAAAAATCCCGGAAGACGGAAGACGGAACAAAAAAATCGCCAAAGCAGAACCTTTTTCTCCGGTTTTTTTTTTTTTGAAAAAAATAATTAAAGCAACAAAAATTCTTCGATTCTTCGAGGCTAGTAAATGGCTTCTGAAAAAGCGATTCCTCTTTTACGGCAAGAAGAAAAAATTCCGGAAGAAGGAAGACGGAACAAAAAATCCCGGAAGACGGAAGACGAAAGAAAAAATCCCGGAAGACGGAAGACGGAACAAAAAAATCCCGGAAGACGGAAGACGGAACAAAAAAATCCATGGAAGACGGAAGACGGAACAAAAAATCCCGGAAGACGGAAGACGGAAGACGGAATTGTCAAAATGTAATTTAGAATGAATACGGTTCGGCGACGATGGGCAAATGATTGAAACGGCAATTTTTCGTCAAAATTTCCCTCCAAAAGTCCCCCTAAATTTGATGTGTGTGCCGCGAAGAATGAAGAATGTACAGAGAAATATAGTGAGGAAAACGTGGCGCTGAATACTAAATTCTTCGCTTTTCGCCCATCATCTGCAGCATTTGCGGGCTCCTAATCAAATTGAATATTGTTATTTCATTTCCTCCTCCTCCTCCTCCTTCTCTCGCTCTCTTTCGAGCGCAAAACTACCGTAATCGTGCACGGCGTCTTGATGGCCTAACTTTCCGGCGGCCATCGCTTACAATTCCTTTACACTTTCCCTTTCAAATCTCTCTTGAAAGAGAGAGAGAGAGAGCCGCAAATCCATATCAAATCCGTAATTGACCTCTCCTTTTTGACCCTTTTAGTAGTGTGCCGCCCGCCCGATGCTTAGTAAGGCGCACTTGACAAGCCGGCTGGCCAGAAAAATACTGTAGCTAATCCCCTCAATGTTTCGAACAAAAATGTGGGGGTGGTCGATGCACCAGTAACTTCAAAAACCATATTTGCACTTTTTTTTTTCCCCACACACACTGCCTCTAATTATCAAAATTATCTCACATTTTGCACAGTTCATCGACTATTCATGAGCTTCCCACGACTACCGTAATCCTCGACACTTTGCAACCACAGTGTCACCGGTTGCAAAGTGTCCAGGACAATTTTAATGTGTGCGAACTTTCGCAGTATGTATCTCGGCTGTGTGTAGTCGTATCAAAAAGTGGTCAACTGATAAAATGTTCAGAATCGCTCGCTAAACATTTTATCAGTTGACCACTTTTCGATATCTCCACTCGCCGCTGAGATATATCGTTTTGACCAAACTGTTGCCGACAGCTCGATCCCTCGTGTACATGGTCAGTACATTCGCAAAAAAAAAGAAGAGAGAGAGGTGAAGAGCCAGTGAGCAAACGAATATAAAACGTGGGAAAATGAGCGGAAGACATGGTTAGCACGTCGTGCTCGTCGTGTCCATTGATAAAATGTCAAGTGCCTTCGAGCGCATTATCAATTCACAATGTTTCAAATGGCCTAGAGCACACCATCGTTTATCATCGTTTCTTTTTTTTTAGTGCTTGACACGCTGGTGATAACCATAAAAATGATGTGTATTGACGACGTTATATAGCCTACAGTACAGTAACACAATTCTTGAATATGGTGCATCGACCGGCCGCGCGCAAAACAAGTTCCCATGCCACTTCTGGAAGTTTCATCAAATCGGGTTACGCAAAAGAAGGATTTGTGTGCACTTCATTTGCTAGTCATTTGGTCGGTGCGGCCAAAAAAAGGAGAGGGGGGTACTTGAGGAGGAGGCACAACATGGGAACCTCCTGAACAGCGGTTCTTACCAGAGTTGAGCGGAAGACAATTTTTTGTATCTTTTTTAGAAAATTTTTTCATGAAAAAATGTGATCAACTGACGATTTTTTGTTCCGTCTTCCGTTTTCCGTGTTCCGTAAAAAATGGTTCTTCCGTCTTCCGTCTTCCGTTTTCGCCCTTTTTCACGGGAAAACTCGAATAACTTTTTTGTATGCAACGCTAAATTTACAATTATTTTTCTATGCGCAGAACACATTTTGCTATACATTTCGTCAGTTGTGCACATTTCATGAAAAAATTTTCTAAAAAAGATAAAAAAAATTCTTCCGTGTCCAACATTTTGCCGCTCTCGCTAAGTCGCTGCTCATCAACTCTTTTATTAAGCACCCCACCTGCCAGTGAGTTGTTTGGACGTTTTTTTTAGTTTTCAGGCCCCCCCCCCCACATAAAGTGCGGTGTTCTCCGACAAACGTCAATCGGATGCACCATCACCAGAACCAGCTCCAACAGCATGTGGCCCCGGAAAGAGCGGAAATTAGGATGAGCCGGACGGAGAAGAAATTCGAGATTTATTCAGAGAGAGAGAGAGAGTGGGAAATTGGCGCGCACTCGACTTTTGAGAACGGATAATGTTGGAGGGGTTTTTGAAAAAAAAAGTTTACAAGTAGAAAAGTTTACTCGACTCGAAATCGGACGGCGTGTTTTCAGTCAATTCGGTTACGGTTACAGTTGACAACGGAAGACATTTTTTTGTACGGAACACGGAAAACGGAAGACGGAAGACGGAAGACGGAAGACGGAAGACGGAAGACGGAAGACGGAAGAAAAAATCGTCAAAGCAGAACCTATTTCTCTGGTTTTTTTTTTGAAAAAAATAATAAAGACATTTTTTACGGAACACGGAAGACGGAAGACGGAAAACGGAACAGATAAATCGTCAATACAGAACCTTTTTCTCCGGTTTTTTTTTTTTTTTTTGAAAAAAATAACTAAAGCAACAAAAGTTCTTCGATTCTTCGAGGCTAGTAAATGGCTTCTGAAAAAGCGATTACTCTTTTACGGTAAGAAGAAAAAATCCCGGAAGACGGAAGACGGAAGACGGAAAAAAACTTTTTCCCGGAAGACGGAAGACGGAACAAAAAATCCACGGAAGACGGAAGACGGAAAACGGAAGACGGAAGACGGAAGACGGAAGACGGAATTCCGCTCAACACTGGTTTGCACTCTGAAAGTTGGAAAAGAAGAAGAAGAGGAGGAGGGGGGTGGCTGACTTTGTATTCGAGGCAACGGGGAATGGATGGGATGGGGTGGGGAAGAGTTGAAATTCATTGCTCATGCAAATCTTATGCCGTGTCTCTCTCTCTCTCTCTCTCTGTTGTGCCCCCCAATCTTCTTTCCATTTTCGCCGCCGCCGCCGCTTCCTCCACACACTCTCTCTTTCAAAAAAATGAAGAAAGCCGAAAAAAAAAACCGTTTTCCCGTTTCAAAACCGTCTCATTTTCCTGTTTTCTTGGTCCTACTCTACTGTTCTCATCATCATGCTCATTATAACATTTCAGATCCGCCATGGCACCAAGATGCACCAAACGGACGGCCGAAAAAGGTGAAAAGTGGGCGTGGCGTGCGAGCGCCGCCGATTGGCCGTCGATCTACGGTAGAGAGAGAGAGAGAGAGAGAGAGAGAGAGGCCGCCCATTTTGCGCCCGCCCTTTCCTGCCCACTAGTAGCTACTACTACTGCTCTTCTTCTTCTTCTCCTCCTCCTCCGCCTTCTTCTTCTTCTTCTTCTTCTTCCACCGCTTCATTATTATTCATCCATTTATGCTCATACCTTGTCCCATTGCCACGTCATCATCATCGTCAACGTCTGCCACCACGTCATCTGAATCCGCGCATCATCATCAGGATCTGCTCCTTCTACCATCGTCGTCGTCGAATTTCGTGTCGGCACCCAACCACCATCATCATCCGTTCGATTTGGGCACGACAATGGAGGCGGCGAATTATGCACAAGTGAGATTCCTTTTTGCTTTTTTTTGTGTCGCTCGACATCGTTTGTAATTCTGATGAGAATTCTGAATTATACCGCCCCACGACGACGACGTCCCCCCCCCCCCCGCCCCGACACTATTTGAATTTCAATTTTATGCCAATAAGAACCCCGTCGCCTCTCTTCTCCAACCATTTTCGTCTTTCATGGCTTCCAGAGAGGGATTCATTTTCTCATAGTGGTCCTAGTGGTCAACTTCAACTTTGAGTTTCCGTGACGTGGCACTATCGTAACTCGGACCTCCCTTTATACGGTTTTTTTGCGATTTTTCGCCATCTCTTTGCCTCTATCGCCTATTTCTGCGAACTTCCTTCGATTTCCAACAATTCTCTATCATTTTTCCATAGTCGTCCTAGTGGTCAACTTCAACTTTGAGTTTCGGTGACGTGGCACTACCGTAACTCGGACCTCCCTTAATACGGGTTTTTTGCGATTTTTCGGACGTTTCATCGCATTTTTCGCAATCTCTTTGCCTCTATCACGAATTTCTGCGAACTTTTCCATAGTGGTCCTAGTGGTCAACTTCAACTTTGAGTTTCCGTGACGTGGCACTACCGTAACGCGGAAATCTCCCCCTTAACAACGGGTTTTTTGTGCTCTCCACTACAGTATGCGCTGAAAATCGGTCGTGACACGTCATCGCCGCCGTCGAACAGCTATAATCCGATTATTCTCTGATGATTGTGTTGTCTATTCCGAGAGGGCCACTTCCACTTTTCAGCGAAATACCGCGTTGTCAAGTGACTGCTACAGTACCCCCCCCCCCCCTCTCGATTGCGGTTTAGTCACACTTTTCATCGAAAAATTGAATCGATGGCGAAAAAAAAGAGCGTGGGAATGGTTTTTTTTTGTTGTGAGTGTTGAAAGGGTGAAAATTGGCTGGCCGCGGCAGATGTGTCTGGACCCCACAGACCAGGCCGCCCGATTAGGAGGCGCCTCGGCACCGAAATGAGGATTAAGATTGATTGGTCTTTTTCTTCTTCTTCTTCCTCTTCTTCTTCTTCTTCTTCTCTGCCGTTTTCTCCCTTTCTCGGGGTGTTCTGCCGAAAAAGCTCTTTCTGATTTTGAGCAGTTCTGAATCTTTGACGTCTTCTAAAAATCTTCACTTTTCGAAATTTGTTTGTTGTACATACAAAAATCTGCAATAAATCGGGCTAACTACCGCGCTCTTATCATTGCCCCCTGCCGCAAGTTTCAATGTTGTTCGTGTGGAACAATGCTTTTGCGCGCGATTGTCATCCGAAAGGTCCCAGGTTCGAGTCCGCCAGCTTCAAAAAGTCTTTTGCATAAGTTCGTCGGGGTTTCTAATGTGTTTTAGATTGATTTTCACAACATGTTTCCAGGTCATCAAGCCAACATGCGAGGCGTTCCAAGACTGGACACACACGCCCATGTACCACCATCAACACCTCCAATTCATGCTTCCGCACCACGATTGGACCTACTCGCAACTGGCTCCCGCCCTCCCGCACACTCTCACCACCACAACAACCATCGCGACGCAGTCTACAGTAATCCCGCCGCCACCGCAAGCTACCGTAGTCGCCGCTACCGTAGCCCAGCAACAACAACAACAACAACAGCAACAGCAGAACGGCGGCGTCAAATCGGAAATCGAACGGCCGGAAATAATTCAGCGATTGCCGTGGGCTCCGTATCCGTTCTCGTGCGACGACGTCGGCAGTACGGTAGGCGGCGGCGGCGGCCCGGGCGGTCAACCGTCACTTTCGGACATCTCCGACGACTCTGAACAGACGTGTCCCGACGATTTGGAGGGGTTTGCGAAGCAGTTCAAACAGCGCAGAATCAAGTTGGGGTGAGTCTGCTTCGGTTTTTCTTTGATCGGTGATGATGGCCATGGCAAACTTTTTTCGAATCCGTCTGTGTTTTCTTCTTTTTCTCCAGACGATTTCCGTTGTCTCAAGCGCAAACTGGGGCCTGTAGCTCAATTTTGAACAGAGTTACGGACCTTCAAAGTTGGACTTTTAAAGTTTTAGCTATTGTCGTGTTCAAAGTGATTATTCTAACTTCCCGTTGATTTTCTTGCCACAATTGTGTGGCCTACACATTTTTCATGCAATTAACGTCATTTTGAGCACAAACCAGGCTCTATAGCTCAATTTTGAACAAAGTTACGGACCTTCAAAGTTGAACCTTTAAAGTTTTAGCTATTGTCGTGTTCAAAGTGATCACTCTAGCTCCCCGTTGATTTTCATGTCACAATTGCGTGTTCCACACATTTTTCACACAATTTACGTAATTTTAAGCACAAACCAGGCTCTATAGCACTTATTTGAACAAAGTTACGGACCTTCAAAGTTGAACCTTTAAATTTTTAGCTATTGTCGTGTTCAAAGTGATCATTCTCGCTTCCCGTTGATTTTCATGTCACAATTGTGTGTCCTACACATTTTTCACACAATTTACATCATTTTGAGCACAAATCACGTTCTGTAGCTCAATTTTAAACAAAGTTATGGTCCTTCAAAGTTGGAGCTCAAAAATCGGCGATAAAGTTTGCATTGACACATTACTGTAATGTCGAAATTTGACCTACTAGTGTAGTTTTTTTTTTTTGCCAGAAAATCCTTTAAAAAAACACACACACACACTTGCAGATACACGCAGGCGGACGTTGGCGTTGCTCTCGGCACCCTCTACGGAAACGTCTTTTCCCAGACGACAATCTGTCGGTTCGAAGCGCTTCAACTGTCTTTCAAGGTTTGTTTGCGCTCGTTTCATGCCGCCGCAAAGGCATCGTTCTTTTTTTTCGCCCGGAAAAAGTTGCACTTCTTTTGACGAGGGATGAGAATTGCAGAACATGTGCAAGCTGAAACCGCTCCTCTTCAAGTGGTTGGAGGAGGCCGACTCGACGTCGAGCTCTCCAAACTCGACGTTCGAAAAGATGACCGGCCAGGCGGGCCGTAAACGAAAAAAGCGAACGAGCATCGAGGTGAACGTGAAGAGCCGCCTCGAATTTCATTTTCAAGCCAACCAGAAGCCGAACGCGCAGGAAATTGCGCAAGTCGCCATGGAGTTGCAGCTCGAGAAAGAGGTAGGTGGCATGAAGAAGAATTTTTGTATCTTTTTTAGAAAATTTTCTCATGAAATGTGCACAACTGACGAAATGTAGAGCAAAGTGTGCTGTGCTCATAGAAAAATAATTGTAAATTTAGCTTTTCATATAAAAAAGTTATTCCTTCCGTCTTCCCCGTTAGCCCCCTTTTTCACGGAAAAACTCGAATAACTTTCTGGTATGAAACGCTAAATTTACACTAATTTTTCTATGAGCACAGTTCACTTTGCTCTACATTTCGTCAGTTGTGCACATTTCATGAAAAAATTTTCTAAAAAAGATACAAAAAAAATTCCTAAAACCCGCCGAATGTCGTTTGTTGCAGGTCGTCCGTGTCTGGTTCTGTAATCGTCGTCAAAAAGAGAAGCGCATCGCGCCGAACCAGTACGACGGTCCGCCGCATCCGATGGCGCTGGCGCCGAACGGATATCCGATGGGCGCCGATCTGTTTCCCTATCAGGCGGTCGTGAATCATTACACGCAACAGAGTCCTAATCAATAATTTCGATTTGTTTCGCCCCCCCCCCCCCCATGTTGAAGCCGGTACCGTCCGTATAATAATTTCACTGTTTCACTACTCCTAATATTTTTCATCATTTTCAAAATGGGTTTCTTCTTCCTCGATTTATGTATGCCCCCTAGTAAATTATGTCCTCTTTTTTTGTGCTCTTTTCAAGTGTCCAAGTGTGTTAATAAATAGGTTTAGTGGTACTCAAGCGCCACTGTTTGTCAATTCATTTCCGCCCGAAAACATCAATCATTTTGTGTGGGCGTGATGGCATCCATTCCATGTCCATCTTCCTCTTCTTCGATCATTTCAACACGAAGTGACACACACACACACGAATCACTCGACACCTGCCGATTCATGGACACACTCGTTTCCAGTTGATAAACCGTTTCGAACGAACATCTGCGCGCCGAAGGAGCATCAGTCGAAATGGGGAACATCCGGATCAGGGGTGTGCGGAAAATTTTTTTCGGAAAATTTCGGAAAATCGGTTTTTCCGAATTTTTTTTTTCGGAAAATTTCGGAAAATCGGGTTTTCCGAATTTTTTTTTTCGGAAAAATTCGGAAAAATCGGAAAAATCGGAAAACTCACTTGTTCATTGGTTCAATAAAGTGTTTAAACACCGTTCTAATACAAAAAAATGCTTATTATGATTTGAAATCACTTGAGTGGGCGGAAGCCAAGCAATGGAATATTTTTTTGTAAAAAAATTAGCCGAGAGAAGCTCTCCGGGTCCAGTGTTTTCCGATTGTCAGTGAGAATGAGACGCGCGGTTGAAAAGAGTCGCTCCGTTTCTGCAGTCGTTGCGGGAGTACAGAAAAAAAAAAAAAAAAACGGTGGTTTCGGACAAATTGACCTTGAATCCACACTAATTTTCCGAAAATTTTGCCGAACATTTTCGGAAAATTTTCCGAAAATTTCTCGGAAAATCGGAAAATTTCGGAAAATCGAAATATTTTCCGCACACCCCTGATCCGGATGAGAAGCTAGGGACCAGTGTGCCTTACCGAAAGGGTTTCGGCAAATTTACCGGTAAAAATTTCGGTAAATTGTCGGTGAATTTTCGGTAAAACTTTTTTTACCGAAAGAGTTTCGGTAAATTTTCGAAACAATTTACCGAAAATTTACCGAAAATTTACCGAAAATTCACCGAAAATTTACCGAAAATTCACCGAAAATTTACCGAAAATTTACCGAAAATTTACCGAAAATTTACCGAAAATTTACCGAAAATTCACCGAAAATTTACCGAAAATTTACCGAAAATTTACCGAAAATTTACCGAAAATTCACCGAAAATTTACCGAAATTCACTTCTTTCGGTAAAAAAAATTTCGGTAAGGCACACTGCTAGGGACCAGAAATTGGAAAAAAAAGAAACAAATATCTCTTCAATCCAAGTCGAAGAAGCCTGCAAAGTGTGGACCCGATCGGATCCATGCAAGTGGGCCAAAAGTCCACGCCTTTGAAACGCACAATATTAGGAACTCTGGGATCGCTGAAGATAGGCTCAAATGGGCTGTAATGGGGCTATTCAGCGAACGTTTGTTTTCCGTTTTTTTACACCGTTGAGTTGGGTTTTTTGACGTGAAAAAAAACGAAAAAAAAACGGAAAAAAAATCATTTTTTTCACAGCCCGCAAGCTGAGTTGAGCGGAAGAACACGGAAGAATTTTTTTATCTTTTTTAGAAAATTTTTTCATGAAATGTGCACAACTGACGAAATGTATAGAAAAGTGCGCTGTGCTCATAGAAAAATAATTGTAAATTTAGCTTTTCATACCAGAAAGTTATTCGAGTTGTTCCCGTGAAAAAGGGGGCTAACGGGGAAGACGGAACGAATAACTTTTTTGTATGTAAAGCTAAATTTACAATTATTTTTCTATGAGCACAGTTCACTTTGCTCTACATTTCGTCAGTTGTGCACATTTCATGGAAAAATTTTCTAAAAAAGATAAAAATTCTTTCGTTGAGTTCTTCCGCTCAACTCTGCTTGCAACCACTAAAACCAATCTGAAATTGTATGGCCATATCCTGACGCGGCAAAAAATACACTCAAGGCTCTGAGAGCAGGGACAAATCCCACACACAAACTCCCAATCAATTGATGGTCCCTATAGTTGCGCCCCAGGCTCGCCGGCTCCAAGTTTCAGACCGATCGGGCCATCTGGTCCCGAGAAATGCCGAAATTTTCGCAAATCCCCAGTCTTTTCGGCCTGAAACTCGGTCCGAACGTGCTTTAATCCAAGTCGAAGAAGTCTACAAAGCGATTTGTTTTTTCTCAGAACAATATTGTCTGTTTCACAAATTGATCTATGGGAGAAACGCCATTTTTGCAATGCGAAAAAGTTGCAAAGCGCGCGAAATCAAACGTTGCGAAACGAGGAAAAGAGAGAAAAGTAATGGGCCGGTACGTTGTGCGACAAAAAAGATGGGTTACGCAACATTTTTTTTGCGGACAATAGTTGAACATGGGGACCATCTTTTCGAAAGCGTTTTGAAGAAAAAAAGCCTACCGTAATCCTTTCATAATATATATATATATATAACACATCTATGAATGTTTGATCAGCCTCTCTCTTTCTCTCTCTCTCCATTTTCGCATTTTCGGCGCACTAATTTATTCCGTAATTCTTCCTCTTTTTCTTCTTCTTCTTCGTCTCCCCCCACCTTTCTCCGTAAATACACACTACCGTAATCCACTCCCACTCTCTCTCTCTCTCTCTCTCTTCTTGTTTCGACCACCGAAACGGGACCTCCCCAGGAGACCACATAAAAATGGGAAATTACAAAATTGTGGCGGGGACGAAGAGGAATGGTGGAATGGCCGCGCAAAAAAACGGGGGGGCAAAGAAGACGGAGAGCGGATGAGAAATTATTTTGGACACACAGTGGACAGAGGACGCGTGGAATTGACTCAAAAAATGTTTTGGACGCAAGCAAAAAATTTGAGAATGCATTTTTTTTCATTTTTCGACATGAACGAGCGGTGCTAAATGCTAGGTTCCAACACGAAAAATGCGTGGGGGAGGGCTGAGTCGCTAGCACGTTTTTGAACAAAGTTACAGGGTATGTAGTCTGGGACAACGTCTTTGAAGGGTCAGTAGTTACGGCTCGTAGACGAATAATAAGGAGAAAATGCAAAAATAGAGGGAATCAGGGCTGGGAAACAAATAACTCAAAAGTTTCCCTAAATTTCACAATTTCTCATCATTCAACAATTCTCAGGATTACTGTAGAAGGTGTCAGGAAAGGGAAAACAATAATAATAGTAATAATAATCGAGGGGATAGCGGCGGCGACGAAACGAGTGTTGCGCAATCGTTTGTCGGCTTCTGGATAGGATATTGTCCGTTTCACAGTAAAACGCCGATTCATTTGTCTACTAGTACAAAAACACACACAAAAAATCGAATAAAAGCGGCAGAAGATGTGTGGACGAAACGGGAAAAAAAACGGACAGTCACAAAAGGAAGAAAGCGAGGGACGGATTACTGTAAATTACAAAAAAAAGGGATAGAGAAAAAGGATAAATAAACGAACAATATGTTGAAAAGGGACCAATTGGCGAACATTTTGCAATGAATCGGGACAAAAGCGATTTCAGAGCGAAACATTTATTCAATAGGTGACTGGAGCTCCGGTAGTCGATGCCTCGTTGCGGATCTCGATTTGCGACAATTTCCATTGCTTCTCTGCAAAACCGATCGTAGAATAGATGAAACTTTTTGAGATATTTTAGAAACATGAACTGATAACATTTTCTGTGAATCCATTCCCCTAAAGAGCACAACTTGGCTCATTTTCCCAATGATTTCTGGCTCATGCGCTCGCATTTATTTGCATGATTTATGTGCGCATTTACGCAATTTCTCCGCGTGGTTCCATAATAATTGATCAGCTGTCAGCGCACACTTTTTCGGTGCACTTTTCTTTGACAGTTTTGAGAAAGGAAGCGCATTCTCAACAATGATCAGGGAACCGTGCGAGTTTTTGTGTCTGTCCGAATTGCTTCTTATTGCCACATTCAGAGTCCGAGTCCCCCGAACTCTCAGAAGTTAAAGTTGTGGCCGAGGCCTAGAAAACTCCTAGGCCATGGGATCTTCTTTGCATTCGGCACAATCTTCAGACGTTGCCAAGCATTTCCCGAGTGCAGGAAAGAGTTTCCACACCTGAGTTTTCTAGGCCGCAACTTTAACTGCGCGTTGGGACTCGGACAGTGAATGTGGCAATAGACAGACACAAAAACACTTTAAAAAGATTTGAGAGTTCCATGGTTCTCTAAACAAAGTTCCAGAAGGTCTTTACAGAAATCCTAAAAACCTGAACAAAACTCTACAGTACTCCCGGTGGGTCTGACCTCCTCAGCCGATAAATCAAAGCAGGTGGGTGTCAGTTGACAGTGCGTGCCATCGGAACGGAGGTCTCCTTTCCTTTTCTTTCGACAATTCAACCGTATTGTGTGCTTCTCTTCACGCGAGTACGTCAATTTGAATGACAAAAACGCGACACTCCTAATCCGCTCTTTTATTTTCTTTGCAGACGTGTTGAAGGATGCCAGAGATTGATAGTTTAGACGCCAAATTTCGGGAGCAAGAATCGAGCAGAAAAGGGACTTTTTCGCAGAAATTTTAGCATTTCGAACGACAATTGCACTTGCAAATGCAATTTTTAGCTGATTTAGCTGATTCCCAAAAACGAACCGGACAACTTGGAGTACGTCTTCTGCAGCTCTTTCTCTCTCGTCTCCTGAGTTCCGACTTCTTGTTGAAGACGTCCGACACGTTTGTGAATCGCCTTCAACTCGTGCTCGCCCAAACGTCTGAAAAACACTTTTTGTGAATCGATTTTTTGGGCGAAAAGTGCAAATTTCCAACTCACTCGAACGTCTGCTTCTCAATGCTGGCCATTTCGATTTCGTTCGTCACCTCCTGGTACTTTTTGCACAGCTTATCGTGGATTGCCTGTAAAAAATACGCGTTTTTTCTTCTGCGATTCTCACTAGTCAAACATTTTCCAGCTGTTTTCCACCTAGACTGCCTATTTGAGCACATAAATTAGGCCGAATCCATCCGTCACCACCCCATTTCAACACAGCCCAGCAGGACGCCCGTTTCGCCTCCTAAATAACCGCGAGAAAACGACCATTCCTCTTCGGATCGGAGGAGGACGACAATTCAAATGGAATTGAATGGGACAAATCCACAGGCGGTGCACACATTTCTTCTCGGCGGATGACCATAAAAACGGGCGGGATGGCCCGCCTGTTGCCGTTTCGAAAGTGAAAGACATGGGAAAACACCCAAAAATATCATTCGTTCAGCAAAATGTGAGGGATCGACGACGAGTTGGAAACCTTTTTCAGGCATAAATGGGTTCAGGACCGTATTCTGCTCAATTTTCTCTACTTTTACAGGGGGAATGTCACCGAACGTCAAACTTTTTGCAATCCGTTGAAACTCATACCTGATATCCGCCCAACTTGACTCTCAACTTCTTCTCCACTTTCGCCGCCCGTTTCGCCCTCGTGTTCATCCATCCGCGGTACATTTGAAACTCGTCGTTGAGCGCCTTCATCTGCTCCTCCCGTCCCAAAATTGCGACTCGCGTAAACTTGTCCTTGCTCAAAATCATCTCCGACGTGCACTGCTCGACCACTTTCCACATCATATCGTCGAGTTCGGCGTGCGGTCCGGCCTCCGTCTCTTTTCGAATCAAATCGGCCGCCGCGTCAAGATCCTCCCTCGTGAAAATGTGCTCAGGCGCCTTGGAATCGACGTCCCAGGCGAGCAACTGTCGCATTTCCTTCTTGACGGCGTCGTCCGCACGCGCGAGTTCTCCGCCGCCCGCGCCCGCACCTCTCAGTGCCGCCTCGTTGATTTTCGATGGTTTCGGCAGCGCCCGCTGGATCACCTGGCTTCGCATCTTCAGATTTCGGATTCTGACCTCCGCGCTCCTCTTCGCCCGCTGTTCCGCCCGTTCCGACGCGTCCTCGATCCACTCTTCGCCCTCCCCGACGCCTTCTTCTTCGTCTTCCGGTCCCACCGCCTCAGATGCGTTTTCCTCGTCTTCCGGTCCGACAATCTCGAAATCATTTTTCGGTGCAGGCAGCGAGGCGAGCGCCCGTTTCAAATTCGCCTTTTGCTCGAACGCACTTCCGCCGACCTCCTCGTTGATGCGCATTTGATCGCGGAACGGGGTCTGCGCGGGCGCCGGCGTCACAAAACCGCCCGGCGTGGCTCCGGGAGCTCCGGCAGCGCCCGGTGTCGCCGCAATCGCATGTAGCACCGTATTCGGGGTGGCGGCGATTTTCGGCGTCGGCAAAACGCCTTTTCCGAGGTCCGACTCGTGCAACGGCGTGTTGAGGCCGCCCTTGAGCACCGATTCCGTGTTCTGCAACGCCATTATATTCTCGATCTCCATCTGAATCGTGTCTTTCGGCATCGGGGTGCGCATTGTGCGCGCCGCGACCGCATTCGCCCGCGCCGATTCGGTATAGTCGGTGAGGAGTCCCGAGGTCGCCGTTCCGTCAATGTACTGACGGACACTGTCGGACGCGTGGCCGATTTTCACAATTTGCTCCAATTCTCGGTCGGAAATCTGCGGCTCTGGGAGCACCAACTTCGAGCGCTTCTTCTCCTTGATGTTGAAAACGGCGTCCGCCTCGCCCTGCTCCTTTCGTTTTTTCAGTTTCTCCCGATCCTCGCGCCGCTTCTCCATCTCGATTTCACGTCCACGCGGCTTCTGATGGTCGTCGATCGCGCGCTGATTCGAATCTTCGACCGTGTACTTGTCTTCCGTCGGATTATGGAATCCAGCCGGCACGTGCTTCTCGAATGGAATCTGCAAATGTGGACGTTTTTGAGGAAAGATGCAAAAATTTCAAAACAATTACCTCCTCACTATAGTCTATCTGATTCTTTTTGGGCTTGAATTTGCGAGCGAAGGCCAGTCCGGCCGCCCGCATTTCTCTTCTTTTCTGGAGTGAAGCGAGTCGTCGGGCGTCTGAAAGCTGTCGTTCCCTCGCCTTTCTCTTCGCTTTCTTTCCCTGAGTGTTCGCCAGACGTGCACGCGCCTCAGACAACATTTCCAGCTCTGAAAACGTTAAATTATTGCTTTGCATTGATTTTTTGTTAAAATAATAGCACATGTTTGTTTTCGGCTCTAAAAAATTCGCAAAATTCGCAAAACTTCGCCGCCTCACCATCGTCGTCCATATCGATGGGATCCGGCCGTGCGGGCTTCGTCTCGGGCGTCGGATCGATCTCTCCGGGCTTCAGCTTCCTCGCCTCGGAAGCCTCCTCGTCCAGGCCCTCGGCTTTCCGTTGGGCCTCGTCCAGCAGGTGCTCGTAGCGTTCCAGACACTGCGCCGACGTCCTTCCGACGATCGGAGCGATCGTGCGCCACTGGGTGGGCATCAGTTTGGCCAGGTGAAGAAGCTTTTCGTCCTCCTCGCGAGACCATTCCGTCTTTTTGATTCCCGGGTCGAGCCATTCGAACCAGCGAGCCTGCAATTTCAATTTTTAGGTTTGCCGCATCCGACGGATCAATAATAATTCATCATTAAGCCAGCAATTTTAGCTACTTTTTCACCCACAAAGCTCTATATTTATCGATTTTCTAATTTCCGCACAAACCTTGCACTGTTTCGCCGATTTTCGGTGAAGCAGCGAAGCGATTCGACTCCACTGATTCTTTCCGTACTTCATAATCGCCGCTTTGAGGATTTCATCCTGAAAATCACAAATTCAGTTCGATTTTCACATAAAAAAGTGGTCAAACCTCCGTGTTCTTCCAAACACCTCCTTTGATGATGACTCGCACCATTTTTGACCGCTTTCACTGCAAGAATATCAATTTTAACGATAAAAAAGTTTAAAACTCTCAAAAACCAAGAAAAACGACGCATTTTGAGCTGAAAATCAATGACAACGAGCGAGAGTTGAGCAAAAACAAATGAGCGCCGTTTTCGAAATTCGGTGGGGGACTAGAAAACTCCACTCGGCCACCGAAACTCGGCCACGACCACCTAACCCGATTCAGCTCAAAATGGATGGAATTGAACCGCAAAAAATGTGGCATGCGTAGAAAATACGAAAAAATCTGACAAAACAGCAAAACTTCCCGAAAATCATCTTAAAATCCCTGAAAAATCGAAAAAACAAAAGTCACAATTTTCCGACTGAAAATTAGCAATGCTTGACGCTTAGAAGACGTCAACCATCTGCGAGTGCATCTGGAGCGTCGGCAAAATGCAAAAGTGTCCGTTCCGAAGGTCAGCGCCTTGTTTTGCGGGGGGTCTCGCACAAGATTTATGGGCATCTGGACACTTGCAAGTGCGTGATTTCGAAATTCGACGATTCTTGGAAACGTCTTCACTGTCAAAACGTCCGTCAAACACGGTTATTCAACAACATTTTCAATAAAAATGCTGTTTCAAAAATTGAAAAATTAAAACAACATCCACGTATTTTTTAAACACCGAAAACGTTTCCTTCGTTCCACTGCCTTGGAATTTTTAAAGTGCATTGTGTTGTTCACTAATTTTTGTTGATGTGTGCTCCCAAAAATGCGTGCGGGCACCAGACAGACCACATTTGCCCGCCGACGATATCTTATTTGCGAACACTGCTTGCTCTCTCTCTCTCGAATCCGTTTGACACAATATCTTCCTTCTCTCTCTCTCTCTCTCACGTCCACACTCCAAACATTCATTCGTCTTTCGTTTATCACCTTTTCCGTCATTTTCCGCCTCTTTGGCATACGACTCCGACCAGCAGAGTGTGCCAATTGTCGATGTGTGTTTCATGTTTTTCATGAAAGCCTTCGAAACATTTGTAGCACAAATATTTTTTTTTTGTTTCAGAGTTGACTGAAAGCATGTCCACACCGCGACACCGCTAAATAGCGACAAAATGACGATGAGTTTCGTGGAGCGCATCATTCGAGATGCGCCGTTTGTCAAGTGGTGCGAACAGGTTGGTGGTGGCCGTGGCCTCGCAAAAGTTAGGCCATGCCTAGATTTTAAAAACGATTGTATTTCAGGAAGAATCGCGAAACGCCGATTCGATCGCCCTGTACACTTTGATCCGCGAATTCGAGTCCAAGTGTTCGTCCGGCTCTCCGTGTCTGTCCCTTCTGAAATTGGCGCGGCACATCCATCGAAAGTACGTCAGTTTGAACACGGGCACGTGCCACGTCATCGATGACGTCACACGGACACACATGTCCAGGCGCGTTCATGAGGTACGTACGTTGAAGACAATTTCACTGTTTCGTTCGCAATACCTGTCAAGTGCTGGTTTGTGGTTGTGCGGGGCACTCTTGTACGTGGCCGCGCACAAACACTCTTCATTTTTCACACTTGAACGCACAAGATGAGCATTCCCGCTCGCTTGCCACGTCACCACCCCATTGGTGGTCTAGAAACGCTTCTGCTCCTCACTAATTCCATGGCGCACCGTCTCCAGAGCTGACAATGGGCGCAAGAGCGATACATTGGCGCGAAATTCAAATTTTAACAGCAAAATTTGTGTTTTTCGTCAGATTAGCCACGAAAAATCGATAATTTCTCATTTGTCTCTCGATACACCGATTGTATAGGCTATTACGAATTTTTTAAGCGCAAGAGCGTTAAATTTGGTCAAGTCGCAAATCAAATTTATTCGTTTGAAGGTTTTTGGCTAAAACTGCGTGAATTTCAGTTGCTTTTCGGTAATTTTCGCGCTTCGAGCGCTCAGAATGCTTGTATTTACGTGATTTATCATTCTCAAACCAATTCTGTCTGAAAACGGTCAAGAAAGCGCAAAATGAGAAGTGCGGTTTTTAGGCGGCGAAGGCGAAAAAGCGAAATCCGCGAAAAATGAGCGCCAAAACGTCATTAATTCTGTGAGAATTAGTGTGTTTTCATGTCGAACAATCATTTTTTATCGCCGTTGACCACAAAAATCGGAGAAAACCTGCTCAATTCATGAAAACGCCATTTGGCCGCTCTGGAGACCGTGTGGCGTGGCCTGCGCGGCCTAGAATCCGATGGAGTTTTCTAGGCCAAGTTCGCCGCTTTCAACGATGAAATGTTTTAGGTCTTGGACGGAAAAGCACCGTACACGGAGCTGTTCGACCCGCTGAAAGCGCCATTATCCAAACACTTACGATCGATGCACACCGAATTTTCGACGACCACCGCTGATGTCAACACTACTGTAGGTTCACTGAAACGGGCCGCATTTTTTTTTGTCGACTTCTCAATTTATTACTTAATTCAGTGGGAAGAGACCTCGTCGACTAGTTCTTCCAACAAAGGAGGAGCCACTGTTTGGTGAGTTGTACTTGTTTTTTCTAGAGAAACCCAAAAATATGGTTCGCGCACTACAGTAATCGAATGCGTATATTTTCAGGTTCAATGAGGACGCGATGGACCGCTCGTCTCGTCACGATTCGGCCCAAAATACAGTAAGCCACGAGTCGGAGGACGAGCGGTTTGCATTTTTCAACGCGGTCTGCACGAGACTCAACTCGTTACAGTTCGTTTGTAAATTCTAGACAACGCAGCTGAACAAAAAATTCCAGTTTCAAAGAGATCGCCAAAAGCGCATCGGAAACCGAAGATCACTCGAGGGCCGACGAAGCACACGTGGCAAAAGAGGCGTCGAACAAGAGCGCCGCGTACGGAACGGACGGATTCGCGCCGCCGCCGCCGCCGCTGCAAAGAACGAATCTGCCCAAGAGATTCGAGTCGCTCTATCGGTCAGTTGTTGGGTCTCGACACGAACGAATCCACGAGAATCCCATGAGTTTTCAGAAAAAAGCGTCAACCGGTGGCGACGACGTCCGATTCCAGCGGATTCGGAAGCAACGCCAGCGATTTTTGGAGTTTTGAACGTAATTTTTCCGTGAAAAAAGCGTTAGGCCAAGAGAATCTCATTCTTTTCATTAAAGGATACGGTCGATCGAATGTCGGCACATTGGAACGTCCTCATCGATTATTTCCGGGCAACAATAACGGCTTTTCGACACTACAACAGTTGGTTTTATCGATTTTTTTTCTGATTGAAAAACTTGTCGACATTTTTCTGTTTCACTCGAATATTTAGTTCAAATTTCGCAAAATTCTAATCGATTGTCTTTGTTTATTTTTGTTTTCAGCAAAAAGCGACTTGTGGATGCGCCTCAAAAACTGACCGTCGAGTTGCGCTACGAGAACGACGTGCCGATGGTGGCGAAAATTAATTCGGCTCAAAATGTGACACTCGGATATTTTCGCCACTTGTTCGGCATTCATTACACCGATAATTGCAGGTACGACCAGCTTGTTTTTGTGCAAATTGCTTTACAGTTTCAAAAAAATAATTTAAATGTTTGCATATTCTAATCCGACTGCTTTATTTCGGGGTGTTAAAAAATTCAAAAAATTAGAAAAAACAACTTTCCAGATTTTTCTTCAAATCCACGTGCGAAGACGGCTCCGCCCACTACCAATGGACGCTTCTTTTTCACGACGACGATCGTCTTCCGATTTTCCACAATCGCATCACCGCCATTTGTCGTTTGTGCCCTCCGCCAGACGAGAATTTAATTTAATTTATTACATCTTCCTAAATGCTTTTTGAGAGCTTACATTAGAAAAACAGTTTTCAGACACACTTCTTTTACCGGTTAACTTCTTCGCTTTTTTTTGTTTGCAAATTCGAGATTCGAGCGTAATAAAATGAAGCAATTAATTAAATCAAAATTCTCAGCGTGTTCGGCATTCCGTCTTTGAGCTCTTCCACAAGAATCGGGTCGATTTGTGCGTAGCGAATATCGATTTTTTGAATCTTCTCCAAAACCGACACCATTCCGAACACGGAATCCCAGCGAAGATCCGAGCCGCGGGCGGTCAACGAGCGCAGCGATGGCAGCCAGTTGGACTGAAAAAAAAGAAGTAATGTTTCAATAATGTCGTGTAAATCTCCTCGGCCAACTCGACTTAGCAATCTAAACTTTTCTTGTTACAATCCAAAATTTCTACAACTCGATTGCAAACACTACTTTTTAGTCTAATTAGACTCAAGTCAAGTTACCAGAATCCAACACGGTTTAAACGTCGCAAGCTTCCAAAATTATCGATTATTCTACAGAAAGGCGCTCCAAATACAAAACATTCGGTGACTTTTGTCTACAAAACGTTCACAGTCTCCCACCTCAAACTGTAAATCGCTCTTCGTCTCAATGATCGTCAACTCTTCCAAATTGTCCATTCCGCCGAGAATTCCCGCCAAAATTTCATTGTTCATCCACGTGGAATTGTAGCTCAAATCCAGTGAGATCAAGTGAGAGAGCGCTGCAAAAATATCAATTTAATTAAAGACGGCCCCGCCGGCGACAGTCAATTTCAAATGTACGTTTCTCGTTTTTTGAGCTGTATTGCATGGCGTGCTCGAAAAAGCGCTGAACGTCGCAAATTGGCAAACCTGGCCTAGGATTCGATGGAGTTTTCTAGGCCACGTTTGCCATTTTTTCTTCTCGGTTGTTTGGGAGAATCAAACTTGTTTTTAAAAAATTCACCGCAAATCACGGCGGGAATTTTCGAAAGCCCGGCCGTCTCCACGTCACTCATCTCGATTCCGGCCATTTTCAGCGTTGTCAAATTCGGACATTTCTCCAGAATTTCGCATAAATTCTGCTCGTTCTTCATCTCGAGCACCGTCATTTCCAATCGGCACAGTTGCGGTTTGGGCGTCTAGAAAAAGCAAAAGACAACTGGAAAAATATAGTTTACAGCAGTCAGAATTACATCGAACAACGAGGAAATTCCGTTTTGAAAAGTGGTATTTCCAATTTTCAGCTCCACACATTCGTCGAAAATCGCCTTCAGATTTGTGTCGTCTTCGGCGGCCAATTCTGGAAAACAGAAACCATCTATTGTGGGAGAATTCGCGAAAAAGTCCTCCGCACCACAATTTTCGATATTCAAACGGAATGTCCGTGGTTTTTCGCACTTTCTGAACGTCCGCGTCGCCTTCAAAATGTCGGTTGCGTCGAGAAAGAGGGCGGAAAGATCGAGATTCAAATCGGTGGAGAGCAGTTTCAGACGATTCGTCACTTCTGGAAGGGGGTCTGAAAAATGACAAAGTTAATTCTAATTCTGTGTCTGGCCCGAACGGCCCAGGCTTTTGGCCAGTTTGCAATGATCCGATCGGACCCAAACTTTGCAGGCGTATTGGATATTGGGTCCAAGTTTCAGACCGATTGGCTGTGGGAAAACCTTGGTCTCTTCGGGACCAGATGCTCCGATCGGTCTGAGACTTGGAACCAAAATACTTCAATGCTAGTCCAAGAAGCCTGCAAAGTTTAGGTCCGATCCGATTATTGCAAGTGGGCCAAAAGTGTAGACCTCAAAAAGCGCTTTGCTCAATCTTGGCATTTTTACAGGAAAAGCGCCAATAAAAGTGCGTGCGGATGACATAATAATACTACTAATAATACAATATCACATTCGGAGAAAGTGCTTGCATAGAGAGACACCCATTCATTATTTTATTGCAATTCGCCGCCGCCGCCACCGCCGCCAGAAGAAGAAGAAGAGAACATCCGGACAAAGAATAAGGAGGGAAAAGTGAGAAAAAAGAAGACAACTGGTATCATAACCGGACGGCCGGGCAAACTGTGTACGTATAAAAGGGCAAGGGCAATTCGTGGAAAAGTACAATAACATTCACGTCATCATGACCTCCTTCTCCACTCTTCTTCTTCTCTCCGTTTGTGCCGTCGGTGGAGCACTCGCTGTTATGGGTATGTATGCCTACTTTTTCGCTTCTATTATGAGCCAGATTAGAAGCAGAGCGCGAGCGGTACAATTCGTACTTTGGCGTACAAAATTGAGCAAAAAAAAACCAAATTTACAGAGCACTCGTCGTACTACCCGGGCGGTCACTCGACGAGCTACTACTCGCCGTACCAGATGCACACGTACGGCTCGAAATACTACAATAGCGAGTCGTACGGCAAGTACGACGAGCACGGCAACAACAACAACAACAACGGAAACAACAAGTACGAGCCGAGCTACTACAATCCGGCCGCCACGTACTATCACTCGTACATGCCCAAGTATCACGGCGGGCAGAACGACTATTACACCAAGTACAATCAGTACACGCCGTATTACGGTGGCAGCGGACACGGGCACTATTACGAGCAGCCAAAGCATGACGGTGAATTATAGAAACAAATTACATTTTCCCCCATTTTTTTACACAATTGTTTTGCAGACTATCACAGCGGACACCACTTCGACATGCGCAAGTGAACGTCTCGACGCTCCGAACGCATTTTTTCTTTGCTCCGGAAATAATTTGTTTCAATTATTTTTTCGAATAAATAAAAATTCATCGATTTTCTGATGCAATCAAAGTTGTTGACAGGATTCTTTGTGGTTCGAAGAAATGAATAGATTTGAAAAGGAGTCAAACTACTCAAATCTTGCATTTTCGCGTGCGATCTGTACATATTACTAGCACTTCTTGGATCGGTTCTTCGCGGAAAGAGCCAAAAATTAGAAGAGCGCGGTAGAAGAGAGAGAGAGAGAGAGAGAGGCACAGACGGTAGACAGTTAAAGGCGCATAGCATAAAACTTATTTCTTTCTCCGTTTTAATCGGCAGACGGCCCCCAGGCGTGCCAAAAATTCTGCAATTTCAGCAAGGTTTAAGCATGACCTCATAAAAACATTTTTGATCGCCAAAAAAAGTGCATCAATTTATCAAGTTTGCGTGCCTCACTAGTACTAATTTTCCAGCAACAATTCGAACTCTCAACACCAATTTTGTGCGTCAAATGACAAGTGCGGTGGTTTTTCGACGGCGAGGGCGATTGAGCGAGTTCCGCGTAAAATGCACCGAAACGTCAGAAGTGGTTTCGTGGTTTCCCCCAACTTTTGGTACTTTGACATTTGCTGACGCATCGATGCGTTTTCCGCGCACTTCCGAAAAAAAAACAGACGGATTTCACAGACAAATTAGGTTTTAAAAATGATCAATCACGTGAATACAATCATTTTCAGGGCTCGAACAAAAAACTCGAACAGAACTTCACGCAGTTTAAGATATTATAGGGGCATCTCACAGAAACGTCGCTCTGTTCGCAATCTGGCCGAATTTCTAGGCCGCCAAGTAATTTTCCACTGAAAATGTGGCCTAACTTTCAAACTCGGCCCCGAGGTCGCTCAATTTGCACTGCAAAAAGAGTTTCTCAATAGAGCGCCATTTCTGTGCGGTGCCCCTATAATAGTATGTGTTTTTGCCGCCTCGCGCCACAATACCGGCTCTAAAACCGGCCCGCATCTTGTCACATTTGTAAAACTCATCTAAATCTACAATTTAATGTGTTGTTCGACGCACAACTTTGCATTTGAAGCGAGTTATCAGCCGGCCCGTTTGCAAGACAACATTCGCTTTCGAATTTTGAATTTCGCTCCAAAATGGCGCGTTGTAGGCTCTAGAGACTGTGTAGCTTCAAAAATGCCTCTTCGCTTTTTTCTCTGCCAGTGCGTTTCAGGCCAATAAACCGCCAAAAAAAGCAGCGTCCACATTATTAGGCAATTTGGACGGAGAAAAGGGAAAACGTACTAGCACTACTACTTGTTATATTGTCGTCGCAAGAAACAAGTGAAAAGAATTACTCGGAAGAAGAAGAAGAAGAAGAAGAAGAATCCAGAATGTGTGAAGACGTCGTTAAGAGAGCCGCAAAAAAGAAACGGAAAAAAAGTAGTGGGGGGTGGGGTCTGGGCCCAGTATAAAAGAGCGAGAAGCCGAGCAGGTAGACACACACACACACATTCCTCGCCTTTTCTTATTCAATTACTCCATTTTTCCAGAAAATATGCAATTCCGATCGCTTCTCCTCGTCGCCGCCGCTCTTGTCGCCGCTGCGTCGGCCATGTTCGGTGAGTTGCAATTGTGAGCAATTCGAGATAAACAGGGAATTTGAGACCACGGACCAAAGTACGGCGGTTCTTCGCATCCGTTCAAGCCGGTCTATCTGCCGAATCCGTATGGATCCAAGTACGAATCGTACGGAAAGTACGACGATCACAAAGGTACGATTTTCAATTTGCCCTCCAAAAATTGTCGGGGGAAAAATCTCAGAATCGCACTACCAGCCGTCCTACTATCACGATTCGTACGAGCCGAAATACGGAGGAAACGACGAGAAACACGGCGGCGCCGACTACTATTCCTCCTACCAACCGTCGCATCAACCCTACTACGGTAGCTCCTACTACAACGAGCAGCCAAAGTACAACGGTGAGTTTTCAAAGACATTCTTGAGAACATTTTAACAATGTTTCAGATTACCACAGCTCGCAGCACTACTACGACAAGTATTGATTCACTATTGTGTTCGAGATGATTTGCGAAAATAAAGCTGTTTTCATGCATTTTTTACACTAGAAAACAACCAGATCAGTTGGAGCAGTTAGAGCACACAAAAAAAAGGCAAAATTCGAGATGTAACGCTTAAAAGACAATGTCTGAGAGCAAGGAAAAATGTTCGCGAACTTGAGAAAAGTGCGTTTTCTCGAAAATTTTGTCATGACCCGCGGGTCGACGACTTGGTCTAATTTTTTTTAATTTTTGAAATGCTTCCAAAAAATCGACAAAGTCTAAAAGTATATGAAAACAACAAAAATCGCGATCAGACCCCTTAGAAAATTGAGAAAACGCACTTTTCTCAAGTTCGCGAACATTTTTCCATGCAAAAGTGATCCGAATTTTGTGAATTTCGGCCTAAAAACCCCTTGATGGTCAATCGGGATCGGGGTGAACTTTTTTTTTGCCAAAGCACAATAACGTTTAGATTCAAAATCAGCAATAAAATCATGGCTATGTAGTGTTCGAATTTTTCAGGACGAGCAGAAAACTGAAAAATTTTCTGAAAAATGTCACAAACCAATTTTTTTCTCCATGAAGGAGGGGTGCTAAATTTTTGGTGTCAACATGAAAAATGCTTAAAAAGATGCGACGAATCCAATGGCGTTGAGTCTGAGACGCTAGCATTTTTTTGAAATTAGTTACAGTTTTGACCTATTTTGGGACCGTGATCGGACTAGGGACCACGGAGCCGGACCAAAACTTGTCTGATGTATCACTGTTATGTAAGTTCCCATTGGGTATAATACGGAACAAATTGAAGCATTCTGAATTTTTTAGTGACCTGCAGTTTTTTAACTTCGCAGACATTGCCTTTTAAATTCCTCAATTGCGCACATTTTGAACGCAAAATTATCAGATTTTTTTTGAGACATGCAAAAGTGCTCGATCTTCAACCGTTTTTGCTGTTTAAGCGCTAAAACTGCTCGTATTTACGCGCTTTATCATTTCCGACACTCATTTCGTCCCGGAATAGCATTTCAATCGATATTTCTCTCAAAAATCGCGTCTCGTCGCCTTTTCCACTTTTGCTTCGAGTGACTCCAGAAAAAAAATGTCTAAATTCACTCACTCTCCGTTATTTCCTGATAAACCTGATCGGCAGGCGGCGCGGCCATCCGGAAAACCAACGCGAGATCGTTGACACTGGAGAGGTGCGCGAGGAGGAGCTCGTCTGCCAGCAGACACTTGTCGACGTCTCCGTGCCGCCAGACGCTCGCCACCTTTAGCTGGGGCTGGCGAATTTGCGAGAGCACGCGTCGCTTCGTCTCTCCGATCGTCAGCGTCCGCTCGATTGGCAACATGATCGACTGGATGCGCTCGTGCGATCCTTCCGGCAATTCAAAGTGACACTTCACCACGACCACGCTATTTGTGGGTAGCGGCTGACGCGTCGAAGAGGTTTTGGGAGGCGAGAACGATTGACGCGATCTGAACAATCACTGCAATTTTTGGCTTTCTCGGACACCAAATACCTCCTTTTTACGCATCCGATCACTTCGACATCATCGTCTTTTCCGTACACGGTCGGATCCGATCTCACCGTCATTGTGGGCGAATTCGAGCGTCGGACCGTCGCATTTCGTTGGAAAAACTGGTGATGCGGAGGCGGAGACTGAGAACCGACGGGGCTTCGACGGATCACCGGAACCTTAGGGATCCGTGGCGGACGCGGCGACGGAGACGCGGAGGGCGGTCTGCAAAAGAAAATGTCTTGAAAAAAAAAATGTTTCAATTGTTCATTTAAGAAAAAAAAGTACGAGCACTGCATATTGGTTCCGGAGACTAAATGTCATCATTAATCAACACGGAAGCACGGAAAAGAGGAAGCGGTGGAGCGACGAGGTGACGGAAAACTGGTCCAACTTCGTACCGGGATGCTCGTAGAGATTTGGTCTACTGCCGCAATGCTTGAACCAACGGACATCGAGCAAAAAACAACCTCAAATTCTCTCCACTTCTCGCTCGTCGCTTCGATACATTCTGCTCGAAAGACGGCGAATTTCTGCGTTTTCTGGACGCGAGGCCGTCCAAAATCAAGCACTCTTCCTCGTCGTCCGGCGGCGAATCGTCGAGCTGCAAGAAATTATGAAAAACAAACAATTTTTTGAGGGCGAAATGTCTACGAAATGTCTAAAATCACCTCGCTCCGCCCACCACTTCTCGTCGTCTTGAAAACGGCGGAAATTGGAATTTTGAGCGGCGGCAAATCGTATTCTTTCATTTTCATCACCAAATAGTCCTCGAATCTTTGCACTTCTCGACTTGCGCCTTTTTCAGCGATGCCGTGTCTGAAAACGCAAATGTTTTTTGAAAAGTGGTCCCAAAAAAATGGCTCGCCTCAAGTGATCGAGTGCCGTCCATCCGGCACTGTCCCTCAGCTCGATTTTCGCCGACCGTTCGATCAGAAGCTGCGCGATCCGAACGAATCCGTTCGTGCACGCCTCCATCAACGGCGTCAACCGGAAATGGTTGCCCTTTTCCTGCGATTCGCACGAGTCCTCCGACACAAACGACTCTTTGCTGCGGGAGTTCACGTCGGCGCCGTACGCAAGCAAAACTTCAACATTTTTGTATTCGTCGTGCGCGACCGCCTCGGAGAGAGGCGTCCAGCCGCCGTTGTCCCGTGCGTTCACGTCACACCCCTGCAATCATTTTTTTTTTACCGCGGTCTCGAATAGATAGTAGTCACCCTGGCCTAACTTTCCCTCTTTTGTTCACTGGGGGACTTCAAATGTGTGACTGAACGAAAGCATGAGAGAAATTTTCTGTGAAATGAAGAGACACAGAGAAAACGCGGACTGCCGTAACTAGCGTAATACGATTCATTCGATAACTTTACGTTACTGTAGGTGAAGCGCTCCGAGTGGCATTACGATGTGCCAAGTATGGAACACATCGGTCGGGGGGTCTTGCACACACACACACCCAAGTTTAGTAGTAGTTTAGTAAGAAGAAAGATGGCCACGTATAACTAATAGAATAACTAATAGAATAAAGTTTGAGAATAGAATAACATTTCCGTGGTGAAACCGATTTTTTTCGGGAAAAAAAAGTAATCAAAACGTTTAGATTTTTTCCTGTTTCAAAAATGCATTTTTTAGATTCTCCTTTTCTTTAAAACCATTAGGTTTTGAGAAAACGCGGTACCAATTGGCACAGCTTCCGCACGACCTCCGCGTTGTCCTCTTTCGCCGCCTGATGCAGCCGCGTCTCGCCCATGTCGTTCGTCTTTTCCAACTGATATTTCGTCAAGTTGTCCAAATTGATCAGCTCGTGTTCTTCTGCAATATTTGTCGATTCTATTGGGGGAAAAATAAATCGGTTTGCAACTTCTGCACAACTTCAAAACGTCGCGATCGGACAACTTTCCAAAGAGCACATCCGTCTCGTCGTCCTCATTTTTCACGAGACTATCGCGAATTTTCTTCGCCTCTTTCCGCCATTTCTCCGCGTTCTCCGGTTCGTTTCGCTCGGCGCAGTACGCCGAAAACGATTCGTACAGCTCTTTTCGGTTGCTATCCATGAAACAGAGCGTGTCGAGCTCCGAAAATGTGCTCTCCACTTTCGGATCACTCAATTTGCACATGCACGTGAACAGGGAGACGCGCGTGTCGATTATCTGCAAGAATTGATAGTTGTCACTGAAAAACCGTGCTATTTTTCAAAACCCAGATCCAAGTAGGCGTACTTTATTGTTTTCTAGAAACAGGGGTCTTTTCCAGTTCGAAAAAGTGGTTTTTGGCCCACTTGCAATGATCCGATCGGCCCCAAACTTTGCAGGCTTCTTGGACACGGATTTAAGTATTTTAAGTCCGAGTTTCAGACCGATCGGATCATCCGGTCTCGAGTTATGTGGATCAGAGACCGCAAAAGCCGCAATTATCGCAATAACTTGGACTTTTTGGCCTCTGATCCACACATCTTGGGACCGGATGATCGGATCAATCTGAAACTCGGACCCAAGATACTTCAGCCCGAGTCGAAGAAGTTTGGAAAGTTTTGGTCCGATCGGATGATTGCAAGTGGGTCAAAGTCCGGCTTTTTGCGCAGCCCTGAAAAAATTCTACATTTTTTCCCAAATGGCTAGTAAATAAGCAAAGCTTCCATATTATTCAATTTCCAGCCTTAACCTTATCCCTAGAAGCGCCACTCTTGGTCAAAAGATCCAAACGCTTTTGGAAAAATTGCATCGACTGCTGATGGTCGTCCAAATCGCCATAGACCAGAGCCATCGCGAGATATGCTCGGAGAGCATCGTCATTGTCGCGTTTGTGTCTGAACATTTTGAAATTTCGGTAAAAAACACTGCACTTTTTCCCGAAAAAAAAAACGACTCACTCCAACATTTTCTTGTAGTTCTCGAGAATTTTCTTGACGACAAACTCGCGATAGTCCCGTTTCTCCCTTTCGGTCATCGTTTGCCAGTACTTGTCGTACAAATCGCCGACCGCTTCATACAGTTCGCACAGCGTGATTCGCGGTTCTTGACTCTGATTTTTCAGAATTTTCTCATATCTCACGAGTCGGTACAATATGGCAAGCCGTCGCGTCATCTCCTCTTTTTCCGGCGGGTTTAGGTGCTCCCTCTGCGTCATGTAGGCCATCACCAGTTTTCGGTAACCTTTATCGATGTGTTGTGCGGCCACGTAGTGCTGAAACGGTTGACTTTCAAAATTTTTGGTAGATGAACCGTGTTCAGTTCTATTATACCGAGCGTGCTAATTTAGTGCAAAATATTCCAACTAGACTTGAAAGAGTAAAAAAATTCGCGCTTTATAGTCTAACTGAAATAAGAAAACTAATCGTTAATCCTCTAATGCCGCGTCCAAAGTCTCGGAAAACCCGCAAATCTCGCGGATTTTGCAGTCTAAAGTCGGCAGAAATTTGCGGAAAATCCGGGGTGACAGCTGAACGAGTGTTACCGTACACCATAAAACTACGGTATTTTTTGAAAAAATTTAAATTTCTCGAGAATATTTGAAATTTTTTTTTTAATTTAAATTTCTCGAGAATATTTGAAATTTTACAAATTTCTTGGGTAAATTTTCAAAAAATACCGTAGTTTTATGGTGTACGGTAACACTCGTTCAGCTGTGCGCACCTCGGATTTCCCGCAAATTTCTGCCGACTTTGGACTGCAAAATCCGCGAGATTTGCGGGTTTTCCGAGACTTTGGACGCGGCATAATAGTCGATAATGAGACTGAACACGGTTTACCGGAAGTCAGGGCGGGGCAAATCTCGACTCGGGCTTTTTGAAGGCTTTTTCCGAAAACATTTTCGGCCTCTGGTCCAGATATCTCGGGACCGGATGGTCCGATCGGTCTGAATCCATGCCCAAGCAGCCTGTTGAGTTTCAAGTCGGCCAAAAGTCCAGCCCGGGCCGAAATTTTCCCCAGCTCTGCCAGAAGTTTAAAGAAATCGATCAAAATGGTACATGCGCGAGTTCGCACATGGCCATCGCCTTCTTGTCCTCCGGCGCCTCGTCCTCCATCAATTCGGCCAAATCGATTCGACGGTCGACTGGAGCCACCGCACATCGCGTTCGTCGCAGCTCGTATCGGATCGTTTTGTCATTCGCACTGCAATCCGCTAATTTTGCAAACTTCTTGGACTTGGGTTGAAGAATCTTGGGTTCCGGTTTCATATCGATCCGATCTTGGACCCAATATTCTTGATTCCAAGTCCAAGAATCGTCCGAGTCTGACGGAACGTCACCGAAATCAAAAATAAAACCTTAACAATCGGTCGGCCTTGTCCAACAATTGCATGGCTTTCTGATTATGACCGTGCAGTTCTTCGAGTTGCGCCTCGAGAATGTACTAAAAAACGTCATGAATATCACTAAAAAAAAATGAATGAATGATGCCAGTGCCGCTCACCAACTGAGCCTTCCGCTGTTTCACCGATCCGCCCGGCTCCGATTCTTTGAACGCCTTTCCCCACTTTTCGACCATCTCCCTACTTTTGCGTGTCGCCTCGATCGCACTGTCCACATCCGTCAAATTGGCGTCTCCGGTGGCGTACAGCTGATTGATGCACCATGCTTCCACGTGAAAACTCAGCTGCTCTTGCGAACGACTCGCACACTTTTGCGCCAGCCTTCGGAATTCGATCAGGTGTTGTAGGCACTCGTGACGGTTTCCTATACACAGATTGATCATCTTTTTTTTAAATGTTTTCAAAATCTGTTATTCCGTAAACTGTATTTTTCTCGAGAAAGTCTAGGAAAGTCTCTTTTTTTTAAATGTGATCATCTTTTTTTTAATTAAAAAAAAAAATCTATAAGAACTATAGTAAGCCCAATTTTTCCCAAACCTACCCAATTGCGAGTAAATTTCGCTCATCAATCTCTCGTGAAATGTGCCTTCGAAAAATTGGTGATGCTCTCGTGCCAGATCGGCTCCTGAAACGAATGCTGTGCTTGTTTTCTCAACAACTCCTCTCCCTGGACCAGGAAGAAGAGACCGCAACGGAAAAAGCTCGATAAATCCTGTGATTTTCCGGTTTTTTAATACATTTCCGGCTGTAAACTCGGGGAAACCCCGGCGAATTTCTATAAAATTGCGGCTATCGAAAAAATCGAACGCCCTGTCGAAGATGCGTCTTTTTGTGCCCGTCTTCCTGCTCGCCGCCTCGGCATTCACACTCACTCTACAGGAGGTTCGTTATCCACACATTTTTGTGGATAAACTGGTTCTATCCATTGTTTCATCGAAAATTGGAAAAAAAGCGCTTGTTAAAGCACAGTTTTTCTCAGGTTATTGGCGATTGGAAAAGTTGAAAAAATTACAAAATCTTCTGTTTCTATCAAAAGTTATGTATCCCCAAGTTAAACATTTTTTAAAGCCTTAAAAAAATCTCCGATTTTTGTAGGCGTGCGATGGTTCCACACCTGAAATGCGTTCGTTCCGTCAAATTCGTCCGACCAACTTCATCACCGGCTCGGGAAACACGACGGTGACGTCACGCGACGAGTGCGCCAAAATTTGTGCGGAAAACGAAAACTGCGCGTTCGCCTATTTCCTCTCCAACAATTGCTATCAGGCCAACTATTTCACGACGACTTTGAAGCGTTGGGTGCCCGGAGAGACTCTGGTCAAGGTGAGTGAGGGGGACTAGAAATTGCGGGAGCGAGAAGTTAGGCCACGAAAACGGTCTGGCGCAAATTTTGCATTTTTTTTTCAGCTGTTCCGCGACGAGAGCAGCTGCAACACGACATTCCCGCAACTGATGAGCAATTCGGTGAAATTCAGTCTGAAAAGCCGTTCGGGCGCTTCGTACAGCTACGCGATCGCCGATTCGGCCGTCACTTTCACCTACACCGCCGATGCGGCACAGTTCGGAAAAAAGAAGAGACGATAACAATTTCAGTGGAATTGCGATGAATAAATGGTTGTGTTTTTGGGTTTTGGCCCTGAATTTTCGAGAGAAAAGCCAAGGAGACGACGATTTCGATTCTGAGCCTGCGATTCAATAGTTTTCTGTCTATATGGATAGGCTCGAGGATAGCGAAACGAAATTACAGCAAACTCGTCTTCTACAGACACACGTCACCAATTCTCGCCTGCACTTGGCTCTCGTCACGCGCGCGTCTCTGGAAAAACCCCTTTCTTTGATTTTCCCGATAGGCGCTCCAAAGGTGCAACAGGTATCCAAACCATAGTTGCCACGGGCCGGGCCGGGCCGGGCCGAAATTTCCAAAACTCCGGCCCGGCCCGGTTCAAAAAGCGGGAATTCAAAATTTGAATTATTGATCGCATGAAGCCATTTTTTGTAGAATTAGGGGTTTTTTGCAAGCATCGAACATTGAAAAACAAATGTATTTCTCATAAAAAATTCATAATAGCAAAAAAACAAAGAAGAAACACTAAAACTTTAGTTCGAAAATTTTTTTTGTAATAACGAAAAAAAAATTTCCGCGAAAATTTGAATTCCCGCCTTTTGAACCGGGCCGACCGGGCCGGCACTTCACCGACCCGGCCCGGCCCGAAATCTGGCAAGTCTGATCCAAACGGCTTGGGACGGGCCGAAAAAAGTGTTGCATGGATCGGGAACCATTTATTCTTCCTGGCTCATGGTACCCGGTTGTGGTTCCCTTCCAACTGTTTGGATACCTGAAGATGCAACATCCATGGCCCGGCTTTTCATACATAGGACTTTCGGTTTTTTCAATATATCTCCAGAAATCGAACATAGGGACCTCTGATTTTTTGATAAGAATTCCATTTTTACTGGGTTCTTCAAAATGAGCCAGGTCAGAGGTAAATGTAAGGTTTCTGAGAGAAGTTACAGCTTCACAATTTCCACTCCTCCGTATCGGAGTTGAGCGGAAGAACTCAACGCAAGAACACGGAAGAATTTTTAACTTTTTTAGAAAATTTTTTCATGGAATGTGATCAACTGACGAAATGTATAGCAAAGTGAACTCTGCTCATAGAAAAATAATTCGTAAATTTAGCTTCTCATACAAAAAAGTTATTCGAGTTGTTCCGTGAAAATGTCCTTCCGTCTTCCGTACTCGAATAACTTTTTTCTATGAAAAGCTAAATTTACAATTATTTTTCTATGAACAGAGTTCACTTTGCTATACATTTCGTCAGTTGATCACATTTCATGAAAACATTTTCTAAAAAAAGATAAAAATTCTTCCGTGTTCTTGCGTTGAGTTCTTCCGCTCAACTCTGCTCCGTATGCTTTGCCGGTCCGTGTCTCTACTTCTCTCCAACTTTGTTTCAAATTTGGCGGCCGAGCGATTAGAAAACTCCGCCCGTCGTGTACTTCTCATCGTCTTCCTCGTTTTTTAGCGCAAAACTCGTTGAGAATTCGAACAGCTTGAACTTTGCGTTTACACGACACCTGTCGTTCGAAGAAACCGTACCTTTTTGAGATACTTCAATCGCCTCCTCGAGTTTTCCATTTCTCTGCAATTCGTGCGCCGCCTCGTTGTACAAGTCGATTGCTTCGCTAAACTTTCCAGTTTTCAGCAACATTTGCGCTAAACGTTTCAAAAAAAATAATCGATTTCTATTCTATTAAACCTTACCCTTTTTCCGCATTCGTTCCGTCATTTTTCTGCAAAAAGGTTAGCCGCTTTAAGCGTGAAAATTAGTAGAATCAAAGAGAAAATATTTCCAACTGAATCACACAAACACACAACACAACACCAAAACCAAGCAGAAAATGGGTGAACAGCGCAAAAATCTGAAGCCTACGTGAAACGTTCATTTCTTACAGGAGACACAAAAATCACAGGAAACACTTCTGATGGCTAGACAGGAAAGGGAAAAAGGGTTTTGGACACGGAAATAAGTTAAAAATAAATAGTGGGGAAAACAAAGAGAGAAAAGTTAAAAATCGTCGTGAAATTCATTGATTGAGGAGGTCCCACGCGTCGTCGTCCCATCCCTTCGACTTTTCCTCTTTTTTCGGAGCCGGAGCCGGTGCGGCCGCAACTCGTGGAGCCGTCGATTTCGCCTTATTCACCGACGCCTCGAATTGAGCGATTGTGGACGAGGAGGCCGAGTCGTCTTCTTCCACAACTGCTGCAAACATTTGCAAATTTTAGACGATTACAAAGGCAAATCCTCACTTTTTTCTTGCTTTTTCGGCGCCGGTTTCGGGCTTCTCTCCTTCTTTCTTCTCTCCTCCGATGGTTTGATTTCTGCGAAAAGCAATCATTTTTAGTGCACATTTGCAAAAACAAAAAGTCTACCTTCACTACTAATATGGGTACCTCCTTCCGTTGTTCCACGCGGCCTTCAATTCAATGAACAAATTAAGTTTTATTCAACAACAAAAAAAAGGGGAAACTCACAAATTCGATTGTTTGAGCCAGTCGTTGAACTCGTTTTGCGACGACGATCCGGACATTCCACCGCCGAAATCCTCGTACCCACTGCAAAAATTGTTTGAAAATGGGACCACCATGAGCAGTTGCGAGCGCCCCAAAAACAATCGATCCCAAAAATGCTCACGTTTTCGACAGAATTCCCGAGAACGCGTTGAGCGACGGCGATTTGACGAACGAAGAGAGTCCGTCCCACGACCTCGTGGTCACATCCGACGCCTTTGAGGCCACTCCGCCAAAGATCGAGTTGTTTTGCGACTAGAAACAGAAGACACAGCTATTGGAGACATTTCACATTTTCCGACAGGCCGGGGCGAGCGAGAAATTGCTTGTTAGCGAAAAAAAAACGCGGGGGCGAGGGAAATGCCACGAGAAAGTTAAAGGCGTTTAGAAATATACGTTATGCCATGCGCCTTTAACAGTGTCTACCGTCTGCGTCTCTCTTTTCTACCGCGCAAATGGTATTTCCCTCGCCCTCGCGTTTTTTCGCCAAGCAATTTCTCACAGAGCGCGCGGGGAAAAGCCACCAGTGCGAAAACATTCAGCTGTTTCGCGGGTCCCGCCACGAAAATTCAGGCCACTGCATTCGACACAGCTGATTCAGAGTTACCGTAACCCTTTGCCGCTTTTCGTGGCGAGACCAGCGACGAATATCTCCTTGTGCATATTTACGGCGGCACGGCTAGCAGCGCTCTTCGCAAATCTCTGATTTCTCGCCCAGGCCTGCCTTGACGTTGTTCCGTATTCCTGACATCAACCGCAAAACGGCAAGTACGGGAACAACGTAAAGGTACATTTCTGTATAGTGTCAAATTATATTTCAATAGTTTGGCTCTTTGCATCAAAACACGTACAACATTCTCGCTCAACTGCGACGCCTTCTGCTGCGCCTGAATTCCGACGTCTTTGGCGATGGCGGCCGCCTGAGACGCTCCTTTCGACAGCATTGACCAGCCCTGAAAAGTATGACATTTGGAAAAGAACAATAGAAAAATTGCGTTTTCTGCAACCTTAAGAACATTAAATTCAGGACATTTGAATGAAAAAATCAGTGAAGAAATAAGGAAACATTTAGATATTCGACGTGAAACCGACCATCGAAAGTCCGGTCATGGCTCCGGCGAGCAGATCGTCTCCTCCGTTATTCGACTGATTCGGCACGTAGCCAGTGTTGCCGAATCCCTGATATTTGCTGCCGCTCCTGCAGAAAAAAAAGCATTTTACGGTAAATTGTGGTGTTCGAACGCCGAAAATGCTTGCATTCACGTGATCGATCATTTGCGAAACCAATTTTGTGTGAAATATAACATTTTCTATTTCCCGCCTCAAAAAATGGCGCAAAAACTGACGAGTCTTGTCCGCTGTAGGTACCGTCGCCGGACGATTGACTGTAGCTCGAGTTTCCGCCGTAATAAGAGCCCAGCGAGGAGTTTCCCGAGGATTTGCTCGTCGAGGAGCCGCCGACGGCTCGATTCGTGCCGCCGAGTGTAGGCGGCACGTAGTTGGCCGCCGGCGACGTCGATTGCGACCATTCACGTCCCTCCGCCTCACACGCCACCTGTCAAAATAGCCAGTTTTGAAAAGCCTTCGAGCTAAATTTAGCATTTTTTTAACAAAAATTGTGCCGACCTTGTCCCTGAAAAGGGCGGCGGCTCTCGAGTTGTACTTCTCCTGAATCGTCCATTTTTCGCGGTAATCCGGTTGCGATTGCAGAAATTCGGCGAATTTCCGATTTCCGCCCGCCTTCATCTTCGCCAACTCGACGTCCTTCCACTTGTCCATCGTCACCGAACGCACGAAACTGAGAATATTATTTTCTTGACTGGGAAAAAAATATTTAAAGGACCAAGGAACCCTCATCTTTTTTGCAATTTTTTGTATCTGTCTTAACTGTCTCTTTTTGCCACATACACTGTCCGAGTCCCAAATCTCAGGAATGCCTATAAACGGAACAGCGCGCAGTTAAAGTTGTGACCTAGAAAACTCAGGCGTGAAAACTCTTCCCACCGCCACAAGTTCCGTTCACAGACATTTCGGAGAGTTGGGACTCGGACAGTGAATGTGATGGCAATAAGAGACAATTCAGGAGGCTTCCCTGGTCATTTAAACAAAATTTTACCTTAAATGAACGCCCAAACTGCGATGAATTCCGGAACATTCGAGACAAATCCAGATGCCGTACGAGACGGACACCCATTGCGGATTGTTCGCCTCGCACTCGAAACAGAACTGCAACAAAAAATCTACTTTCAAGATGCCGCAGAAATGCGGATTGCAAGACTTTTTTGTCTCCATTCCCTTATAGTGTTTTAAACAAAGTTTTTTTTTGAAACTGAGCAATGCGATCGGGATCACAAGTCGAAAAAGCAGAACGAACGAGTGGCGTGCACTAAAGCTGTCGGAATTTTGATTCGGATTTCCGCCCACGATTATGCCAAATATAATTGTGGAAGCATCAAAATCAACCATTCGCTCACGTTGGAATCCAGCGGGCATTCGCGTAATGGCAAAGCGGCGAGCGACTACGAGCCGCCGTCCGAAACAATCAATTGTTCGATAAGCCCTTTGAAACCTATCTCTCGTGAACCGATATTTCCGCCGAAATTGAGCCTGGCCGAGCACATTCGGTTCGCGTTGAAATAGGTGAGGGCGAGAGAGAAACGCGACTCGTGTGCGGAAAAGACAGAGACACAGTCGCGAAACAACAAACAACAACAACAACAACGAAACAGTTACGCGCCTGCGTCTCTGCCTTTTCCGCACGCTAATCGCTTTTCGAGAAAATTCGGATGAAAGTGATTCGAGTTCGTCATCCAAAATTTCACGAAAATCTCTGGCAATTCGATATTAATCTAATTAGAAAGTTACTGATCTAAACGCGACCCAATTAGATTCGACTGTTTTTTCTTGGCGCAATCGAGATTTGAGCCAGCAGACGGTTGGCGTGAAACTTGATTTGAGCACTTATTAATCTAGCTAGAAGATTTATTAATCTAGCTAGACAATTTATTAATCTAATTAGGTGTCATATCAATCTTATTAGGCCTTAAGTTTTCATGTTTGTAATAGGACATCACGATTACTACATATGCTTATTTTTGCATCGCTCATTAAACATACATCATTCGATAGCTTATGCCAAGGCGATCAAATGTTCTGTTCATCATTTTTGCAAAACTCTTCTAGAATTCGAGAAGATCGCATTCGAAACTGACAAACTTTACATGTTCCGTTTAGAAAACACTCATTTGTGTGTATGGATATGGATATGGAATTAATCAAAAATGCTCACGTTATTATCGTCCATCGGTCGGAGCTCTTTGAGCACTCGTCGCGTGCGTGGGGACGCCATCTGAATTTAAAGTTGAACTTTTGCACTGCACACAAAAAAGAATGTTTCGACGCGAAAAAAGTAACGTAAAGGCCATCAGAACACCTTACAAAAATCCCAAACAATTCAGAAAAATTCAACAAAATTCATAGAGGCAGAACAAAATTTAAAAAAGCGGTTCTTCGGGTCGCTCGTCGTCCGGAAGCTCTTCTTCGTATCCGCCACGATTATTGATTGACTTTCGGTGGCCGAGAAAGCCTAAAAAATCATGTATTTTTCATCAATTTTGGCGCAAGAAAACGTCATTTTTCGTGGAGAAAACGATGAGATACACGTGGCAAAAATCGAATTGGCGGGTGCGGGGAGTAGAAGTGGCGCGAGAAGCGAGTGAGAAATTGAGAGAGAGAGAGAGAGAACGAGAGTGCAGACGGCGAGAGGGAACAGAGGCGCAGACGGTCAGAGCGGAAATGAATTCATTTTCTAGGAGTGCATTAAAAAGTGGGCGCGTAAAACCGGAAATTTGAATGTTTTTGCGAAGTTCAGAGTGATTTCCATGGTTTTTTTTCAAATTTTTCGAAATTTTCAGCAAATTGGACTATTAAAAGTGTCGTGCACTGAAAAACGTAACTTTTTTTTGAAGTGAAGTTCAGAAGCAAAGGAGACGACGAGAAGTACACGACGGGTAGAGTTTCCTAGTCCCCCGGCCGAGATTTTTGTTTCGTTTTGGAGGCCATTCAAAACGATACAACAATGTCGAATCTGTCAGGGTCTGATCCGAGTGCCGCACGAAATCCGCGATCACCGCGTGTACTTCTCGTCGTCTCTTTTGCTTTTTTGCAAAATTCATCAAAATTCGGAGGACAGGTATCCAGAAAGTTAGGACGCGGGCAAAGGGAACTACGAGAAGGGGGGAGATGCTACACTGGGTACCAGAGTTGAGAGCGGAAGAATACGGAAGAATTTTTTATCTTTTTTAGAAATTTTTTTCATGGAATGTGATCAACTGACGAAATGTATAGAAAAATGAACTCTGCTCATAAAAAATTAATTGCAAATTTAACTTTTCATACAAAAAAGTTATTCCTTCCGTCTTCCGTTAGCCCCCTTTTTTCACGGAACAACTCGAATACCTTTTTTGTATAAAAGCTAAATTTACAATTATTTTTTTATGAGCAGAGTTCACTTTGCTATACCAGTGGGTACTATGGTACCATGAGCAAGGAAGAAGAAATGGTCCCCATTCCATTCAACACTTCCTTTGGTTTCCCACTGTTTGAGAAAATGATGACAAAAAACCTAAGGGAAATCGCCCCCAGATTTTTTTCCCGTTTCAATCGATAATCCGCCCAGGCCTGCCCGTTTGGATACCCGTTCAGAGGAATCTTTTGATAATTGTGGACTTAGCAGCATTAATGCCCCACTTTGAACTTCAATTTATAAATAGATTGATTTTGCTGTGCGCTACACCTTTTTAAAGATTGTTGGATGGGTACAGGCATCCAAACGGCTTGGGACGGGGCACCAAGAAGTGTGTTGCATGTTAGGGCGACATTTCTTCTTTCTGTCTCGTCTCATGGTTCCCTTCGCCCGCGTCCCAACTCTTTGGATTCCTGGGATGGGTAACAATTGGGTAATACTTGTGCCCAGCCCAGACTCTTCCCCCCATCTCGTGGTATCCTTTTACCGCGTCTCAAATATTTGGATACCTGTCAGAGATTGCCTCTTAATGTTTTTTCACATAGTCCGTACACATGTAGTCGTCTTACTATCCTTTTTATTGAACAACTTTTTCACAAACACATTTTGAAAAGGGAAGAAAAATTTACCATAACCAGACGCACCGGGCTGTGAGGAGTATCGCCGGAAGTCGCTCATCGGTCGTTTTTCCATCGGAATGCCCGTTGTTCGATGAGACGGGCGGGGTCGGGCGGAATGCGTGGGCGTGGGACCGGGACACGCGGTCGGCAGCGACGTCTCTCGGCGTGAACTTGAACGCTTTTAGTTTTGTTGAAATTTGTAGTTTTAGAGCGAGATTTTTCTAGTGTTTTCAAAATTTGAAGCTAATTCTTCGTCTTTTCTAACAAAAGTGTGTTCTGGCCCGAAAATGAGCTACTCACATATCGAGAGTGGCCCTGGAATCGGTCCGATGCGTCCGCCAATTGTCCAGCGAGGCGCTCGTCTTGTCCACCATCGTCATTTCGACGTCTTTCGACGGTGTGAACATCTGGAATCGCACCGTCTTCAGAGCTTACAATGGGCGCGAAATTCAAAGCTTAAACTCATTTTCCGGTAAAATTGCACAAATTTCTCTCAATAAATGCCTTGAATATAGCAAATTTACATTGTTAAACGTGGCGCTGAACGCAGTCGTATCTGAAAGTGTCGATCGGGGGTGATTGGTGCTGCTCTGAAACTGTTAACGTTTTTTTTCAAAAAAAAAAAACGCACTGCGGAGGAGTGCCGACAAAAGCAGTACAAAAAATGGCAAAAGTGAAATTTTAAATAAATCGCCACCATAGATCCGAACATTGTATCGTCGGCGAGTGCGCTTCCGGCGGTTCCCAATGCGGTATTATCGAAAAAGTTGTTGAAATTCGTTTCGTTCAACGAGTGCGCCGGCGAGTTGACCAACGGAGAGACCATGTTGAAGGTGGAGTTGGGCGACGATTCCATCCGCGAAGAGCCGTGTCCGTCGGACATTAGAAACGAGTACGGGGTCGTCCTCGGGGTCGTCGATGGAATCGGGGTTCGCGGCGCCAGAGACCTGCAAAATTAGAAAAGTTTTGTGTGTTTCCAGGTGATTTTTTTTTACCTCCCGGATCCTGCCTGTGGACCGTAACTTTTTGCATTTTTTTATCGATTTTTATCGTTACTAGATAGGGCTGGGAAAAAGGCCTGTCGAGGCCCGGATTGCGGCCTTTTTGGCCTCTGATTAGCTTATCTCAGAACCGCACCAAAAAAAATATATATATATATCAATCCAAGTCCAATAAGCCTGCAAAGTTTGGACCTGACCGGATAATTGCAAGTAGGCCAAATGTCCCCCGTGACAAGTATTCGGTACTGGCTTTGAAAAATCAACAGCTTTGTTTAGTTTTAAATTTAAAAAAGGGCTGGGGCACGAACTGTAATCGGTGCTGCAAATCCTCGTACTCTTGTTTCAGCCGTAGCCGTTCCTCTTCGCTGGCCCGCAATTTTTGCTCGGCGCTTAAAATCCACGTGTTCGCGTCCGCCAATTTCTTTCTTTGCGATGCAAATTCTTGCGCTTTCTTCCGGAAATACACCTCCATTTGTCGCTTTTTCTCTTTCTGGAAATTTCGATTCGAACGATGTTTTGCAAGCATTTGAAAATGAGCGTTGTACAGCCACATTTTTAAGCTAAATTTACCTCTTTTGTCAAATGTTTGAGCAAATGGACACGTATACTTGTCTGAAAATTGATTTTCCGCTGCAATTTCTCCAAACTTTCAGTCAACGTCTTGAATGGGTCCTAAAAATGCTTTTGTCACATTTTTTCAGTAAAAACTTGCCATAAAGTACATTTTGATGCTCTGGTTGATCGTTCCGTTTAATCGCACAATTTTCACCGTCTTTTTGCACACCGGACAGCTTTTATGCTCTGAAAATTGAGTTTTTCAAACGTGTCAGCGAACGAGTCGATAAATTACCTGTTTCTGCACAATTTTGACAACAAATATGAAAGCATGAAGAGATGAGGTATCCGCCCGGCGGTTTTCGAATATAGCATCGATTACAATGCACAAAATCCATCAAATGTTGGCTGTAATTGCCGAAAAATGAGCAAACAGTGTTAGTGTTTGAAAAATTACAGTAATTTGATGCGCTTCGTGGCGAGACTCACAGGCTGGGGATGTCTTGCGCCTTTAAAAATACGGTTTCGATAGAAAGACACCGAAATTTCCGCCTTCCGCCTTTTCAAAAAATCGATTCCGCTCAACTCTGGTCGGATTCTCTGATCCTCTCAAAGTTGACATAAAAGTTCCGTTCGTGACCAGTTCCAAAAACGTAATAACACGTTTTCAGGAAGGGACCGGAAACGTCAGAGGACAAATGGGACAAATAAGCGGACGGAGGGCAGGTGGCGCCGTCCATTATTTTGCCACTTGCCTCCTTCCGCAACCCTCTTCTCCCACTCTTTTTCACCATGACTTTTCGCTTTTTCCTCTACTTTTCTAGCATTTTTGCCGCTTTTGCACAGGATTCCGATAGCTTGTCGGTGAGTTGTTCACTATGCGCCTTTAAAAGTGCAGTAATCTGAATTTTAAAGGCGCATACTTAGCATTGTTTGGCCTAAACATTGTAAAAAATTGCAGAACGAACCGCTACAATGCAACTATTGTGTGCACTCGCGGAAGAATAAAGACGTTTCGGAGGGCGTGAAGTACGAGCCCGATTGCATGAATCATCTGAAATTCTTGTCGAGACCCGACCTGCGCAGAACGTGTACACCGTCCGAAAAATATTGTGTGGTAAGTGAATTTTCGTGAAAATCGCCTAAAAAATACAAAAAAAACCCCTCAATGTTTGGTTCGCAACAGAATTGCATTTTTGTGAACGCATTTGACTTTCGAATTTGAGCTTCTGTTTAGAAATCGCCAAGACTTTGATGGCGGACTAGTTTTTCCATTTTCTAGGCCACCGATCCGAAATATTGTGAATTTGAGCGATTTTTTGTGGATTTGCTTGAAAGGGAACTGAAATCCCACGAGAACCCGAATTTTGCAAAAGTCAGGGCGAAAAATTCAAATTCTTTGCAGACAACAGTCACAAATCTCAACGGATTCTTCATCGAAGTGGAGCGGGACTGTGCGGAGAGCTGTGAGCAAGGATGCGAGCAGCACGGCTACGGACTCTTCCACACGGAGTGCACCCGATGCTGTCGCGAGCCGCTGTGCAACGAATTCGACGGCCCGCACTTTTACGAGCCCCTGACCGCCCCACGCACCTCATTTCTCTGTGTTACCCTCTTTTTTGCGATTTTCAGCGTTTTCTAGCGTTGAAATGTGCATTTTCGCGTCAACGCACTCGAATTGACGCGCAAATGACGAAAAACGCGAATTTCCGTGGAAAAACCGCGGAAACGACCGAATTGGCCCATATTTCAGTTTTATGGCTGTGAAATGGAGTATGAAAGTGTGTTTATTGTGTGTTCTCTCGGTTTTTCGGCGGAAAATGCATTTTAATGGAAAAAAAATGCGAAAATCACCATATTCATGTCCACATGTTTCCATCACCACAAATCCCCTCCATTATTATCAATTCCCGCGAGTTTGAGCTCGGAAATCCTGTTGTCGCGTGTCGCCACGTCATTTAGCTATTCTGGACGCGACTTTTGTGTGTTAGACACCCCTCCCCGAAAATGCTGTTGCATAATATATTTGTATGGACATTGAAACTGCTGAGCGCCACGAGCCGGTTTCGTGACGAAATTAGAGAGACGAGGTTGTTTTTTTTTAGAAATTCCCCAACTTCACCTGTTGATTCTGAACTTTTCGCCCATTTACGTGTTTAGAGACGTTTTGTTGTAATTTTTGAGATGAATGGCTATCGAAAAGTGTCGATACACTTTTTCGTTGACCAAAACACAAAATGCATAGTAGGACGGTCCCAAATCCCTTCCGAAGGCCTCGCTTCGTATTTTTTCGGTATAATTGGACGCGTAGTGTGTGCGTCCAGTCGAATTTATCCCCCTTCTCCTTATTCGTGCCTCGTTGTTCTTTTTCCGTCTTCTTCCCACCACCCAACACTGAAAAACATCAAAAATCGTCGACTTCCCAGTGTTTTTTCATTTTTTCAAAGCGGATTTTGAGCGATTTTCCCACTCGTTCGCCCGCGTCATTCGCGTATTTTGTCGGCTTTAAAATGCGCAAATTTAGGATTTCTGAACACAAAAATTCATAGAAATACCGTAAATTACTGGTCCACTGCGTTTTCTTGTTTCTCGATATTTCTACACAAAAACGAATCGATTTGATTGTAAATTTCAAACAACAACCGGAAAGTCTGCATTTAGTCGTAAGATACGGTGTTTTCACGCGAAATTGCACAGAAAAACGCGGATTTTTCGGTTAGTTAGTTAGATAGACACGTTGTGCCAAAACAAGAATAAGAAGACGACAAAAGTGTGCTTAGTTTTGCATGTATGGGCGGGGCCGAAAGTAATTTGATCTCCTTCTCTCTTTGCTTCTTCTTCTTCGCCGCTTTTTCAAGGCGAGACATCTCCTTCTCTTTTCGCACTTGCTCTTTCTTTTTCGGCGGATTTTCTTCTGGAAAAGCTAACTCTTAACGTTATTCCCGCGCGAAATTGTGAAGACAAATTGAAGTTTGACAAAGAAAAGTGGGGAAAAGTGAGAAGACGAGGTGGAGAGCACCAATTAACTTTGGCTCACGAGGCACACACACACACACACACAAAAAGAGCACTCGTTTTCTCATTTTTCATTTTTCATCACAAACGGCCACTTTTTATTAGTTTATAGAATTTCTAATGATCTTTCACGTTTTTCCAGACAAATCGTGCTGTAATCGACAGAAACAGAAGCGGTTTTTAGGGCTCTCACCATTTTCGCAACCGGCTCAGCTTGGCTCTGTTATATCAGTCGGCCTGGAAAGGCCAAACAGAATCAGTTTCGAAAATGATGAGAAATGCTAAAAACTGTTTGCCCCCTTAATTAAGTGCGCGCGACATGCCATCCGCCTGCCCGTTTGTGTTGTTTGTGCGGCGGCGACAGAATTGTGTGAAAATATAATATAGAGTTGAAAGAGAAGGCGGGAAATGAGCAATTATCCGTCCGTGCCGCCCATCGCATCGCAAAGATCCTTTCTTTTCCGTCCAAACTCCGAATCACTCGCAAAATTCGTTCAGGAAATTGGAAACCTTTCTTTTTTCTCCAAAATTTTCACCTCCGCCAAAGTTGCCCCTGGTTACCGTTTCCGCCGCCAACTTCCGCCTTTTTGGCCCTCGAAAAAAAAAAAAAAAGTTCTCAAACCTGCCAGGACCACCGATGAATCGATCGAAAAGTGTGGGCCGACGGGACGCGAAGCCACGTGGCAACAGCCGACCCGCAAAGGTTACGGTAGCAGTGCTCGGAGCGGAGCGCGTGAGTTTTCCTTTCTTTTTTTTTTTTTGGTCGCAAATAGAATGTATTTGTGAGTACAATTTCAGGTCGGCAAATCCGCAATGGTATCGCAGTTTCTCTGGCACAAATTCGTCGAGGACTACCGTCCGACAGTCGAGGAATTCAATTGGATCGAGTACGAAATCGAGGAGGGACGTGTTTTGATGGTTCAGGTAGGCACTACAAAGTTTTGGTGTCGATTTTTGAAATCCGCGTATAATTTGCAGTGGTTTGACACCGACATTGTGTATTTTGTGTCAAACCACGCAGAATTGCACGGAGAACACGAATCCGAGTGAAAAATTCAACAAAAAACCGCGTTTTTTCCAGATAATCGATTCGAGTGGATCACGCGACTTTATAGGCATGAAAAATTTGTACATTGCCACTGCTGACGCGTTTCTCGTAAGTTCTAAACATGCATTTTTCAATCAATAAACGAAGAAAAAGTTCAGGTGGTCTTCGCCGCGGACGACGCTTCTTCGCTGGAAGAGGCAATCGCGACGGTCAACGAAATTCAGGCGAGACGCGGAAAAAATGTGAGTTTTTGCGTTTTTAATGCAGCGCATGAAAACCCGTGAATTTTCATCAAATTTCCGCTCTAAAATCAGCAGTTTCGCGTCAAAGCCGCAAAATGCATCATACCTTACGACAAAATGCAGAAAACAGCGATTTTGAGACAGAACTACTGTTGAAAAAAAAAAGTTTCGAGGCCATGCCAAAACAGCGGAATTCACGAAAACCGCGGATGCCAAAACCGCGGAAGCCAAAACCGCGGAAAAAAATGCCAAAACCGCGGAACCGTGCAGGCGCAACACTTGACGCGCTTTTTTAAATTTCGGCGTTTATTGAATAGAAGGAATTGAAAATTTAATAGCATCAAACAAAGTAATGAAGTTTGGAAGTTCTGAAAAAAAAATTGGAAATGAGAGTTATATTTAAAATTATTTTGACAGATATCATCAGCATATTTCTATTGTCTGCAATTCCACGGCGAATGTGTGGTCCTGAATAGAAAAAGTGGTCCTGAATAGAAAAAGCTCGTGGTGCCTGCCGGGTTTTCACATTTAGTTGGGACTTGCAGAATATATTTTTTAATATTTTTTTTTTCACGGTCTCCAGAGGAGGCTACCCCGAGCCAGAACTGTCTCGAATCAACACGACTTTTTGTAACAAAAACCACATGCAGATAGATTCTGATTTAGGACGGTTCCGATTCAAACAGTTCTGGCTAGGGGTAGCCACCTCCAGAGCTGACAATATAGGCGTGGCTTCCGCCAAGTATTTTGTTTTTTCGTCTTCCCCGCCTGAAAACCACACTCCTTATATTGCTCATTCCTGACCGTTTTCACACAAAATTGGTTTTGAGAATGATAAATCGCATAAATACAAAGCAAACATCTTGCGCGATCGAACAGCAAAAATTACAGAAAAAAACTGCAAGTAACGCATTTTTGGGGGGAAACTTCAAACGGATTAATCTCAATCGACCAAACGAGAAGGTGATGACTTTTTTTTACCCAAAACTGCTTTTTTTCTTTACTGCTGCCTTTTTTTTATACGTCAAAATAAATGTTTAAAGTTATTTTCTGCAAATTGTCATGTTTGATGCTATTAAATTTCAATCCCTTCTATTCAATAAACGCCGAAATCTGAAAATGCGCGTCAAGTATTGCGCCTGCACGGTTCCGCGGTTTTGGCATTTTTTTCCGCGGTTTTGGCTTCCGCGGTTTTGGCATCCGCGGTTTTCGTGAATTCCGCTGTTTTGGCATGGCCTCAAAGTTTCGACATTGGAATCGAAGCTGGCAGCGTGCCAAGGCCCGGCCTCCCAAACGCATATGCTGCGCGCCATTGTTGCAACATTGCCGCACGCTTTATTGTTCTTCGTTTTTGTCTTTATTTTTCGGCTAAAAATCAGCAGAAATTTGGTTTTTTCCCATTTTTTACCCCTATTTATTCATTTCAATCGGCTTTTGCTATAAAAAATCAACTTTGAAAACAGATTTATCGATTTTTAGCTTGAATTTTCGAACATTTCTTGATTTTGTGTTTTTCTCCTTTCCATTTCGGTGAATTTGAGAATTTTCAGGATTTCCACCTACGGAAAAGTCGAACAAGCAACAAAAGGGCATGGATTTCTTATTTTCGTGTTAGTTTTTGACGTAACAATAATTTTCTCTCCGATCAACGTTTATAGACTTCACTCCTCCGCCGTCTTCTCCACTCCGCCGTCAGCACACAACGGTATACAAAAACTTGTCGTATTAGTTTGAAGAGGAACGAAGATATTTTCTCTCCGACCGTTTTTCCAAAGTCCGTGGACGCTTCAATCCAGAAAAAAGGAGAAGAAAATTGAATATCACTGATAATAACATTCTTACACTTGTCATGTCATTTAATTTATTGGAGAACGTTATAAATACATCTAAAATAATTGTTATTAGTGCCAATCATCCAACGGGAGATGCTTCTTCAACTTTCCGTTGTGTGCTGACGGCGGAGTGGAGAAGACGGCGGAGGAGTGAAGTCTATAAACGTTGATCGGAGAGAAAAATTATTGTTACGTCAAAAAAACTAACACGAAAAATAAGAAATCCATGCCCTTTTTGTTGCTTGTTCGACTTTTTCCGTAGGTGGAAATCCTGAAAAATTCTCAAATTCACCGAAATGGAAAAGGAGAAAAACACAAAAATCAAGAAATGTTCGAAAAATTCAAGCTAAAAAAATCGATAAATCTGTTTTCAAAGTTGATTTTTTATAGCAAAAGCCGATTGAAATGAATAAATAGGGGTAAAAAATGGGAAAAAACCAAATTTCTGCTGATTTTTAGCCGAAAAATAAAGACAAAAACGAAGAACAATAAAGCGTGCGGCAATGTTGCAACAATGGCGCGCAGCATATGCGTTTGGGAGGCCGGGCCTTGGCACGCTGCCAGCTTCGATTCCAATGTCGAAACTTTTTTTTTTCAACAGTAGGCATGAAAACCCTGAAAAAGGCTAAAAAAATAGTTGCAGATTCCGATTCTCGTCGTCGGCAACAAGACCGACCAGCCGTGCCTCTCGTTTTGTGCCGCCAAATCCGAAATGGAGTGCTGCGCGATGCGGGAAGACCAAGTGAGGGCCTGTTTTCACGAGATCCTCCTGCGCACCCGGCCCAATCTGAATATCGAGGGATTCGAGCTCAGGAAAAGACGGTAGGCCCATTTTTGAAAATGTTTTTGGCTCGAAATCGACCCCGAATCAGTTAAAAATTCATTCTTCTATTTTGAATATGAATTTCAGCCAGTCGATGCCATCAAGTCGTGGCTACAGTGGAGTCGAGTCGAAGGACATTGAACAAATCAAGAACGCGCGTCGCCAACAAAAAGATCATTGTATTATTAGTTAGTTTGCTATCCGATAACCTTAGTGCTGGACAAGAGGCCGGCACGGGCCCTTGAACTGGACCTTTTAACCACTTGCAACATTCCGATCGTTCCCAAACTTTGCAGGCTTCTTGGAAATGGATAGAAGCATACTGGGACCAAGTTTCAGCCCGATCGGATCCTCTGGTCCCGAGATATGTGGATTATTGGCCGAAATTGGCCGGAAGCCCGGGCTTTTGACCAATTATCCACATATCTCGGGACTCCACGATCTGATCGGGCTGAAACCTGGTCCCAATTGCCCTCAATCCAAGTCCAACAATCCTGTAAAGTTTGGCGCCGACCGGAATATTACAAGTGGTTCAAAAGTCCAGGTCAAGGGTCGGCCAACGAAAAGCCCTGACCGTCCAATTGCCCAGCCCTGTATAACCTAGTTTCATCCGTTTTTTGTTTGTATGTTTTGTGCACCTATGTCGGAATAAAATTGTTCTACAGTCTTGACCTTTTCGAAAAGAAAAAGCGCATGACGATTCATGCTCTATTGTGAATTTCGTCGTCTCAAGGTCGTTACTCTCTGTCCCTCCGTCCTCTCGTCGCTTCATTTCGAAATTTTTTGCCTGAAAACCCCGTTGTTAGGCCGTTTTTTCCGTAAAAAATCGTGATTTTTTCAGATGTATCTCGCGGAGAAACTTGTGGAAAAATAAAATCTGCAATCGGGCTTTCACCCGGAAACCACAGCCTAAACCGACTATTTTATTTAATTTGTTCAAAAAGACAACGGATTTCACTCAATAACAAATCTCAAAACAGACAAAAATCAAAATTGAAAGAATGGTAAGAATTGAAGTCAATTTTGTGCACTTTATCGATTTTTTCAGATTTATGGGACTGTGGAAGCAGTCGTTTTCGCGTATATTGAAAAAATGTACCTGTCATACGTCACAGGTATGTTTGTCGGATGGCCTAACTTTCCCCCGGCCCTGGCCTATAGACTTTTCAAAGCTTCCAGACGCTTCGATGGGAGAGTCCGAACTCAGCGATGAAATTTGCTGGCATTCATCTCGTGACAAAATCGAGCGCTTATGAGAAGGTAACACTTTTTGAGGGCTCTGACAAACACATTATTTTTCAGGTCGGCTTAAAGTGAAACGATGAGGTCATGTACACTGCGTCGCAAGTTTATAAGGCCACCCCCATTAGGCGCTGCAACGTGGCGCTCGAAAATATTTTCGACGCGGCGACTTCAAAAAATCGGATTCAGGGCACAAAGTTACGTATATTTGGTGATTTTCGCGATGATTCCTAGAAAACTGTCCGAACTACCTCGATAAAACAAAAAATCGACCTTTCGCTAATCTGGTCAACCCTTATGAACACAAATAAAGTTATACACCTCTAAAAAGACGTTTTAAAGCTGTTTTTTTTCTTCTCGGAAGACATGCCAGCACTTTTCCTACGGATTCCAAAAAAGCCTTAACACAGCCATTCAAAACGGTTGGATGATGGCCTAATCGAGTGTTCAGTTGTTGTCTAAAGTGATTCAAATGAATTTCGTGACTAGTCAAAACTCAAAAAAGCAGACTTGCCAAATTACGGGCCGGGCCGAAAATTTGCTGGCCCGGCCCGGCCCGGTCGGCCCGGCTCAAAAGGCGCGAATTCAAATTTTTGGGGGAAATCTATTTTTTCGTTTTTTTTTTGCGGGGGTCAAAATTAAAAAAAAAACTACGACACTCCGACATTACGGTCGCGCGCGCTCTTTAGCCATTTTTTTCCAACTTTCGGAAAAATCGTTATTATTTTCTTCTTTTTTAATTGTTACTTTTGCTTTGATGCCAATAAAAACTATTTTTGAGAACTACATTTCTTTTTTATGCTTGATACTCTTGCAAAATTCGTTAGTTCTACGAAAAACAAACATTTTATTTAAAAATAGTTCAAAATTTGGATTCCCGCTTTTTGAACCAGGCCGGGCCGGGCCGGAGTTTTGAAAATTTCGGTCCGGCCCGGCCCGGCCCGGCCTGTGGCAACTCTGCAAAAAAGCATTTTTGGAAGACCAGGCCGACATTGAAACTGAATGTTTGTGCCAAAATGTTCGCGGGACTTCAGATCAGTCAAACAAGTTTATCTGAATGCGTTTTGTAAATATCCGATCGAGGAGAAAGCGTTCAAAACCATAAGGCTTCGTTCTCCAAAGGTTCTCTTTGAGAAGACGAAGCGGTCAGTGTGGATGTCGTGCCAGTATCACTTCCATTCCTCCCGACTGTTCAAATTGACCATATTTTCATTTGAAGCAATTTAGATGAGAACTGATCACTTGGTTCGACCATTCAGCCGTTTTGAATGGCTGTGTTAAGAGTTATTCGGAATCCTCGGGGAAGTGTGAAGCTCGTCGGGTTCCGTATGAATTCGAGCGGATCGACGCAACGATTTGCGTATAAATAGCATCAATTTCTGATAAGGTGGGCCGAGAAATACGGAGAAGAAAGCCTTGGCGTTGCGTTTGTTCGCACACAAATACGAGAATTGTATGACGAGTGGAGTGGTGATGATGTCCGGCAAAAAGTTGACTAACAATATGTACACTGGCTCTGTTCCATAAAGCCAAAGCCCAAGAGGAAATGGCGTGTTGAGAAGTTTGACAGCGACAATCGCGATCGTCTGGTAGAGAATGTACTTGTGCGGACGGTTTTGGGCGACGGACGGTAGATGGACGTTCTTACGAAGATGCACCATGATTGGGATGTATAGGAGGGAGGATATCAGTAAAATCACGTATAGGGAAATGTATATCATCTGTAAACAATGTTCGACGTGATTCTATTATTGACGGTCCTCACCACCAAAACATCAGTATCGTTTGACATCAATGACACCAGCCGAACAGAGTATAGCTCTTTGCAAATGATGAAAAAGTACAAAACGCGAATGATCCTTGCAATAGTGCGTTGCGATAAATCCAGGTATGAATGAGTGCTGGTGAAGAAATAGAGAATAAAGCGTTGAAAGCCCAAAAGGGAGAGCATTATGCGTTGCACTTGAGACACTAGATGCAACATCAGTATAAGCACAATGAGAATGCAGTTGAGAAGGGCAGTTAGTCTGTTTGATAAGAGGTGGTGTCCAACGTCAACATACTTTTAAAATAAACTTCGAAGTGGGCCATTCATTTTCCCAAAATCCCGAATTGCGAAAAAAAAATTCCCGATTTTAAACATTTTTTTCAAAAAAGTTAATGGTACCGGCGAGAAGTACACGGCGAAATGGAAGAGCTGGTCTAGATTTTTCTAGTCCCCCGATGGAATTCCCCTTTCTTCCGATTCTTTTCCGTTTTCGTGCAAATTTCTTAAATTTTCAATTGTTTTTTCACTGAACACGCTTAATTGCAATATTTTAAAAAATTTATGTTTTTTTCTGTGCCGTGACGCCAAAAAAATCGATAATCAGAAACTTTCGAAATTCAGCAAAATTCAGAAATTCAGCCACTTTTTGTAAAACTGAAAATAGGAAGTTTTGGATTTTTTCATTACTTTGAAAAATATAACTTTCTGTAACTCGCAAACTTTAATTAAGACTCAGGAAATGATTGAGCGATCTCTTTCTATTTATTTTTCAGCGCGCAAACCGAAGATTGAGAGAAAAACCCGGAAAAACAACAAAAAAAAAGTTTTAGATTATCGATTTTTTTGGCGTCACGGCACAGAAAAAATCATAAGTTTTTTAAAATATTGCAAATAAATGTGTTCAGTGAAAAAAACGATTGAAAATTTAAGAAAATTGCACGAAAACGGAAAAAAATCGGAAGAAAGGGGAATTCCATCCGGGGACTAGAAAAATTTAGGCCAGCTCTTCCATTTCGCCGTGTACTTCTCTCTCGGTACCATTAACTTTTTTGAAAAAAATCTTTAAAATCTGGGAATTTTTTTTGTAATTCGGGACTTTCGGAAAGTGAATGCCCCACTTCGAAATTTATTAAAAAAATATTTTGTATGTCACGTTGGACACCACCTTGATTGAATTGAAAACGAATGAACGCTTCAAACGCTTACTCATACGATGAAAATAGCACAACGAGCACACACGCGATGAGAGATGATAGTGAAAGAACGAATGTTAGTATAGTCGAAGTGTAGAAATGATTGATGATCGGATAAATTAGAGTCTTAACGTTTTTCACATGTTTACTCGTTTCTCAGTGCTTCTATGTATGCAAAAACCTCTTGATCACGCCGCCGATTCACTCTGCTCACATAGACAAAAATGGGAAACGTTAGAAAGATCAGCGGAAGCAGAATGAAGTAAATACAAATGGAAATCTGCGCTATTCCACTCAATCCAACAACAAGTAGATCATGTATAGAGTCCATCGTCGTGGAGCATGACAAAAGAGACTCGCCCGCTCACCAAACCGCCGACTTGTTCTCATTTCACCTGTTGTAATAATCAGAATGCGTTGTTAGCTCTCGACTCATACACAGCTGTATGAATGTCAGTGGATTGACGCAACGATTTGCGTATAAATAGCATAAATTTCTGATAAGGTGAGCCGAGAAATACGGAGAAAAAGGCCTTGGCGTTGCGTTTGTTCGCACACAAATACGAGAATTGTATGACGAGTGGAGTGGTGATGATGTCCGGCAAAAAGTTGAATGCCAATATGTGCACTGGATCCATTCCAGAAAGCCAAAGCACAACAGGAAGTGGCGTGTTGAGAAGTTTGACAGCGACAATCGCGATCGTCTGGTAGAGAATGTACTTGTGCGGACGGTTTTGGGCGACGGACGGTAGATGGACGTTCATACGGAGATGCACCATGATTGGGATGTATAGGAGGGAGGATATCAGTAAAATCACGTACAGGGAAATGTATAATGTCTGTAAAGTCTAGCATTTTTGTATAAATTATGCATAATGTACCTACCAGGCAAACGTTAAGATTTCCTGATGTCGCTAATAAATAGAAAACGTACACATCCTTGCAAGACGTTAGAAAATATAATACCCAAATAAACTTTTCCAAACTTTTTCTCGATATACTCACATACGGCTGAGTACTTGGGAAAAAATAGAGAAAGAATCGTTGGAAGCCGAAAAAGGAAAGCAATATCCGTTGCCCTTGAGACACAATGTTCATTGTCAGCACAGTAATGGACAAAAAAACTGCGAGGAACGAAGAGTAGCTGTGTGAACGTTTTTTGTATGCAAAAATATGTGTACTTACAAAGATTCTCCGAAAAATAGTATTTGAAGGGAAAAGGCGACAATTGATACTGTGAAAACGAATGTTAGTATAGTCGAAGTGTAGAAATGATTGATGATCGGATAAATTAGAGTCTTAACGTTTTTTACATGTTTACGCGTTTCTTACAGTGCTTCTATTTATGAAAAAACCTGTTGATCACGCCGCCGATTCACTCTGCTCACATAGACAAAAATGGGAAACGTTAGAAAGATCAGCGGAAGCAGAATGATGTACGTCGTACAAAGGGATAATCCCATTATATACTCCAAAAGAAATTCATAGAGTATAGTGTCGTTCATTTGGAATGAATAACAAAATCCAAACCAGTTTCGAGGCGAGCCACTTTTTTCGTTTTTTTTCACCTGCTGCTGAATCGTGGAAAAGTTCAGAACAAAGTGTTTCAATTCAATGTATTTTTACACAAAACACGCTTATCATGCCATTGTTTCACTGTAAAGCAGAGCTTTTATCAATATCAGCAACGGTTGGACGAACTTCAGTGGATCGAAACAACATTCTATCTTATCGATTTCTGATGAGTTGTTCAGAAAGTGAAACAAAAGCAAAGCAAACAATTATTCGTTCGCATAGATGCCGGGGAACAGTCCGATCCGATTGTGCACTATAGAAAAGTTAGAATTATATTTAATTGTATGCTACTAGTTTTCATTTCCTGACCTCTGGGAACTCGATCGCAATCTAATTAGAAAACTTCGCAATCTAATACGAACTCGTTTAAAATAGAATTTGCTTCAATTAGATTGCAATCACTGAAATTTTTCTAATTAGATTGCAATTTTTTCTTATTATTCAGGCTTCGAAAAAAATGATTGTGTTCCGTTTTTTTCGTTTTTTACGTCAAAAAATCCAATTCAGCGATGTGAAAAACCGAAAAAAAACGGAAAAAACGGAAAACAAACATACGCTGAATAGCCCCATTAGATTGCAATTTAGGAAAAATATATTGTAATCTAATACGATTTTACTGGAACTTCAATTAAATCTGATTAGATTGCGAAATAGAGCTTTTTCTTATTAGATTGCAAACGAGTTTCCAGAGGTTTTCATTTCCTGACAAAAACAGAGTACGCTTCATGGATTTTACAAATCTTACGGAATTTACGGATTTTACGTCTTCTATATTTAGCCGATCGCCGCCCAAAAACCGCACTTCTCATTTTGCGCCTTCTTGACCGTTTTCCGACAGAATTGGTTTTGAGAATGATAAATCACGTAAATACAAGCATTTTGAGCGCTCGAACCGCGAAAATTACCGAAAAGCAACTGAAATTCACGCAGTTTTAGCCAAAAACCTTCAAACGGATAAATGTGATTTGCGACTTGACCAAATTTAACGCTTTTGCGCTTAAAAAATTCGTAATAGCCTATTCAATCGGTTTATCGAGAGACAAATGAGAAATTATCGATCTTTCGTGGCTAATCTGGCAAAAAACACAGATTTTGCTGTTAAAATTTTAATTTTGCGCCAATCTATCCATCTATTGGGCTGGCATTCTCAGCTCTGGAGACCGTGCTTCTTGAAACCGTAAATTTGCGATTTTACGGATGCGTAAAAATAAAATGGCCCCGAAAATGATTTCTGACTACGGCTGCTACAGACTTTGCAGCTTTTGGCGCTCTATCCGATGGTGTGAAACCATTGAATCCGGGCATCTTTCTTCTCGGAAATTGATAGTTGCCATTCGAAGATTGTTGTTTCGCTCGTTTCATGGACATGCAATCTTATTGTTTTAACACTAGAATCACAGATAAGTAGATAGATAGTTAGTTAGTAAAGACATGTTTTGTTACAAAAAAAAGTGGGGCGGTAAACTCGTATTTTCGTACATAGAACAGGCATTTTTACAGGATGAAAAGGGTGGGCGGGGAAATGAGATCCTGGAAATGTCTGATGAGTTGTTCAGAAAGTGAGACAAGAGCAACGCAGACAATTATTCCTTCACATAGTTGCCGGGGAACAGTCCGATCCGATTGTGCACTTTTCCTTGCCACCATCCGGAAGCGTCTGGAAATTCTCAAATTTCACCTTCACAAAACGACACCCGGTACCTTTGTTCATCAGCTCAATTTCGTCGCCGGTCTCAAAGCTCAACTCGTCGACATCTTGCGCCTCGTACGGATACACGGCCACCACAATCGGATGCAGTTTCGGTTTTGCCGGCGGCGGCGGTTTGGGACCACGGGCCGGCGGCGGGCCTCCTCCAACCAGTGCGGGCGATCGCTGGTTGTTGCTGTTCGCCACGTTCGGCGAGCCAGTCGCCTAAAAAATGGGGGCTGTTTTAGCATTTTTCCAGGCCAAGTTACCTTCAAATTCATATTGTTCAGCTGATTGATGACATTGCCCATCGGGACGACTCGTGCCGGTTCCTGACTGTACTGATGCGCGGTCGAGACTGGCGCCGGCGGCTGATTGTAGTTGTTGTTGATGCCGTGCGCGGGGACCTAGAATTAGCATATTACTATAACCCAGAATTCCACGGCGACCAAAAACGTAGAAAGGGGCGTGGCCTAGCGTGCACGGTTCATCACCATTTTGGCGCGAATTTCGAAATTTAATCCAATTGGGGTTTTTCGTCAAAAATTACCCAAATTTTGTGCGGGTTTCGACGATGTAATTGCATAACTTTGTTAAACGAATCATCGCGCACTTTTTGAGCTTAAAACGAGCAGGTTTCATTCAGAAATTCAGTCAATTGAATCGATTTTCAAGTTTTGTGCTGAAAATGCGCGAATTTCAGTCATTCGCCGACACTTTTTGCCGTTTGAACGCTTAAAATACTTGTATTAACGTGCTTAATCACTTCCGACACTCACTTCGTCTCAAAACTATCCAGATCGGCCGGTATGAAAATTCCGAATTGCGAAATATGTCAAAAACGTTTCAAACGCGGCGTTTTCACAAAAATTTCGATGTTTTCTCTCTTTAATATCTCTTCTTTCGTCGATATCAAACACAAAAATGTCGGAAAAGTGCTGGAATTGCGGCAAATTTCAGAAAACGCGTCTCAGATTAGGCCACGCCTCCCTTTCTACACTTTTGGTCGCCGTGCAGAACAGAAAAACGTACCGGTGCTCCTCGAATCGGCTGTGCTCCTCCACCGATTCCACCGCCGCCTCCTCCTCCTCCGTAAATGCTCGTTTTATTCGTTCGCCGCGTCGACGTTCTCAACTGGTCCCTTCGCGGAGTGTAACCGCCTTGCGGTCGTTCTGTCGATGGTCCTACAACCGGCAATCGATTGGCTTGATGCGCTTTTTTAAAATTGGTTTTGGGTGATCAAAATAAATGATTCAAACTCACTCGTAGTATTGGCCAGCCCGGCTCCGATGCTCACATTCAGCACCTTCCCGTTGGGCTTCAGCATTTTTTGCGCGTTCGCACTTCCGTCGGTGCCGAACTGAACCGTCCGTTGGCCGCCGCCGAATCGCGTCTTTTTCAGAGTGATCGTGTGCGTCGGACGGAAATCCAGATGGAGACTGCCGCCGTTTGTACGCTCTTTGTAGGCTTTTCTGAAAAAAATTACATTTTATAGTCGTAAGAACAATTGAATAGGTCAAAATGAGTTTCTCTAAGCGCGAGAGCGTGCATTTTATCCTTTTGAACTTTTTCGCCTAGAACTTTGTGAATTTCAGCTGTTTCTCGGTAGATTTGTATGTATTCACATGATTGATCACTTTCAAAACCGATTTTTTTCTGAAAACGGTAAAAAAAATGCGGTTGTTCGACGTCGATCGATATTATTGTGTTTTCATGTCAAATCATCATTTTTCATCGTGTGCTGGAAAAACTCACGTAAGAGCCGTACACAATTCGGTTTTGAACGGCGTCTCGAGCAGCGAAGTGTACTCCTCGCCGCCCACATAAATGATCACAAAGTCGTCCTGGTACGGCGACAAACCGATCGATTTGATGCTCGGCAAGTCGAGTTGTCTGAATTTTGCGAGAATTTTCGATTAGCATTGAATAATCGCGTACCTTTTGATAATCTCCACAATTTTCCCCTTCTCCGGGCCCTTCTTCACTTTTTCCCGTCCAATTAGGGTCAATTGGTTAGCCGTCAAAAGAATGTCGAGTTTTGTGACCTAAAATTTAAGAATAGAGCATTAAGGTATGAAAAAATGAAAAGTGAACCTTGAAACTGCGATCATATTTGTTGGCGGTGGCGGCGAACAGCACTCTTTGTCGTTTTCCGACGAGGGACTGAAGTGCGGGATGGTGTTCGAGTCCGATGTAATCGCCGACAAAGTTACGGTTCAGCGAGTAGCGGCGACGCTCTTTTTTGCCGTACATCAGGTCGGCCGCTTGTTCCTGAACAAAAAAAAAGTCTTACTGATTAATGTTTCGATAGTCACTCTATCGGATAGAGCGTCAAAAGCTACAAAGTCAAGATTGAGAAGAACACGGTCTCCCACGGCGCGAATGATTTCAATGGGGCGCACTTGCAACAGGCGGACTGTGTCGATTTACGCGGCGGCCGATTAATTAATTTTCAACGGAAGTTCGCGTTCTTTCCATGTTTTCTGTACAATACACCTATTTTTTCGTACGCCTGGAACCTGGATTCGAATAATTAGAACACTAGCTACGTTTTGGTAACAGAAATCTCACATATCGTTGAGAATTAGCCGAGTTATTTCGATTTGAAGGTTTTGGCCTGGATTTTGATGTTTTTCGAATATTTTTCGAAAACTGCTCAAGAAAACTAACCGCCGGAACCTAAATTTTGTGAAGAAAGATTCAGCGAACATTTTTATCGTTCGTTGGGCTCATGAAATGCATAATGAGCTGAAATATAAAGGTTTGAAGTTTTGACGTAATGCGAAAAAGACACTAAAAACATGAAAACCTTTAAATTCTGTAAAGAACGGTTTCCAATCAGTAAAATATTGTTTTATAGACGTTTTTCAAGTCAAAAAGAAAGAAATAAAGGTCGTAAACTCGAACTGAACTGCACTTTTAGACCTGCAAATTTTCAAAAGTTACAACGACACTCCGCAATTTACGAGCGCACTGTGTTTAGCATTAGCGCCCTGGGAGGCTATGTGTGAACAAAATCAGTTTTGTTTAGATCTTTTAAAGTATAAAAATTGAAACTGTAATCTTTAGATAGCGAGCAAAAATAACAACTCGATTAATAATTACCTTCTGTTTGATGTGCTGTTTTCGTGCGGAAAACTGTCGCCACGCCTTCTGAATCACCCTCGCAAAACTGTCGAATTTCCGTTCTCGAGTCTCTTCCAAAAGGAATAGCTGAAAAAACCAAATTGTTTGTAAAATCACCCTCCCAAAAGAAACCCACAGATTCGGGATTTTTGATAAAAATCTTGGTGCGACCCATTTGGAACTGTGACTTCTCCATGTGCACCGAGTCGCAAATTATTTCGCACGCTTTTTGTTGATCGCCGACGAAAGAGGGCCACGTTTTCGGCGATACAATCGCGTAGCGCTGAGCAAATTTGTCAAAGGCTCGTCTGCAAAAAAAAATTTGAATGAAACACGTGTGGAGCGTATCTGGTGCTACGTCGAAATGATAGAAAATGTCTCGGAATTGAACTCATCGCCATTTTGAAACGGTAAACAATTTCAAAAATGCACGTACCGATAGGCGAAACCGGCTCGCCGCACACGAATATTTTCGCGAAGTCCCAGATATTCGACTTGATGTTTTACGCTGAAAAAAAACACGACATTTTTTTGAACCGTCTAAAGTAGGTTTTCATGGGCGAACTCGCAAACATTTTTCGGAAAACCGTACCGATTCTCTTCCCAATCATTGGGCCGTTTCGTTTCATTCGGTTTTATGCACCGAACATAGTGAGGAGAGCATTTCATCAAGGATTCCACCAATGTGTTCGCTTGTGTCTGCAAATTGACAATATTTTTCGTTGTTTATAGAAGAACACAAGCCTAAAAATTACCCGAATTTTCGTCGAAAACGTCGTCGGTCGTTTTCCAGCAGAAGCCGCCACATTTTCGGGGAATAGGGCTCGGATGAAGGCGCTGAAGAACGTTTATAGGGTGGCCAAAAGTCGGTCATTTCGCGATTATTTTTGCTGTTTTAACGCTCAAAATGCTTGTATTTATTCGCTTTTTTCATTTTGTCTGACTTTGCGGCGTCGAAGGGCTGCGGAGAGCGTACGTTATTTCACGGAAATTTGTGTTGAAAAGTGTTGTTTGCCCCAACTAACTTTGACGACTGTTGCATGAGCAAAATGAGGTCCGGATAGAGAACGTCGCGATTCCGATCGCAGAATCCTTCGACGTTGTACGTGACATCGCCGGCGTAGTGCTTGATCAGAAACGAGCCGGAGCCGGGGGCAAAGTGCGCGTGGCCTGCGAACGTTTTCGAAAGTGTCGTCAGCAGTTGACGGTCCACTCCTTCGCGTTGACCGTGGTTCTGGGCGCACGTGTCGTCGAGCAGCGACATTATTCCTGAAGAATTGTATTCTCCATTGTTTTTAGAAAATTATAGCATTTTTTTCTAGAAAACGTTACAGACCTCCGATTTAGCTTTAAAATGAGGAAATCATCTGGAAAATGTGTGTCAAATTTTCCTTTTCTATGAGCTCGTCTGTTAAAGTAGTCTTTGGACCGCCGTGAAAAATATGAAAATTGACAGAATACAGTTAGGGACCGCAACGGGTTTCGCAAAACTCCGAATTTCCACAAAATTCTTGTTGGAATGTGTTCCCCTACTCTATATGAGTACGCTCCCAACTTTTTTCTCGAAAATTTTCGGTACATCCCGAGTTACACCCCTTCAAAGTTGGCCTGTTTTCTCCCCGGTCGGCGGTCGAGGAGGGGGCGGAGCTTTGCCAGCAAGTGCGCCGCGCGCGGTTTTTGTCCTTTTCTGACGGACCAAGCCAAATATGCAACAAAAAAATGAACAGACATGATGTTCTTAAAAAGCTAAACAACTTTCGAGGACAAAAGTTTTGAACCCGGCACCTCCAGACTGCCGAGCGATCACTTTGCCACTGCGCCAACCGGGCGGAGGCGCGCCCACCGCCATTGGCGTAGAGAAGCTCGCTGTGCGCGGCCCTTTCCAGCTGCGAAATTAGTGCCTTTGCGGGCCGAAATCCATAACATAACTGACTGTAACTTTTTTCGGGTACTAGGTAGATGAGAAAGTTTAACATGGATCGGTCGGAAATTTGATGCTGAATCCGATTCTGTAAAAATTAGCCGCGTGTAAGGTACCTGTGACCCTCAAATCTACCGAAAAACTACAATTTCGGCCGATTGGGCCCTACTCAAACGAGCACAAATCTGGTCCTAGTGGGTCTAGAGCTCTGAAAAATTTATATTTGGGTTCTCATTGACTTTATCTATGGATTCCAAAAAAATAAAAAAAGTATGGTCATCGCTGAAAAATTTTTCCGCTAACTTTTTCTGGCAGTTTGAGGATCTGTAAAAAAACTTTCGGGTACTAGGGAGCCCGAATCTGACTTCAAAAAAACGGATTCCCCATCCCTTAAACTGTCGGAAACAGTTAAAAGTAGGCGCGTGTAGCCATAAACTTGGCCACACAGGCTCTCAGACTGACTTCCATTTTCGTTTTCGCGGTTTTTCAAGAGAACGGTACGTTTTCACGTGAAATGGAGTTGTTCATTGGATTCAGCATGGTCGATTACATAAAGTAAAACTTTTTGGGTATGGTACTTCATTTGGGGACCTCGGTACAGACCGTCAAACACGCGCGCGCGAAAATCGGGAGAAAATTCGTCAGGCCACGCCCCCTTTGTTGCGCCCCCTAAATACAGTTTCAAAATCGAGTTATTGCTGCTTCAAAATTGGCTAAACTGTTCAGGTCACTAAACAAAAGAAATACATTATATGCAAAGAGCAGTTGGTACCAAGTTTTTGAAAACAATCAACATTTAGCAATTTTGAAAGTGGAAAACAATTGTGAGGGCGTGGCGTTACTATCTACCTGGCGGCCGTTTCGTCTCGATCAGATCGCACACAATTTTATTGTCGAAATACTCGATTTCGGTCCATTTAATTCCCTCGCGCACGTATTCCTCTTGCTCCGCCTTCAGTGTCAGCTCGATGAAGATTTGTTGCAATTTCTCGTTGACAAAGTTGATGCTGAAATTTTTGAAAATATTAAAAATTCATAAACATTTTAAAAAAAAATTCAAAAACCGCGTACCAAAACTGTTCGAAGCCGTTACTATTGAAAATTTCGAATCCGTAAATGTCCAAAATTCCGACGGAAAAGTTGTCGGTCGACGATTGCCCCGTCACGTTCATCGCCTCGTTCACTTTTTTCACTGGAAATTAATGTTTATTGGGTTTCCGGAATTTTATAGCTACTAGTAAACTTCTAAAGAGACACGGCCGTCCAAAGACTACTTTATCAGACGCTCTCCATAGAAATATGATTTTCTGAGTCGCTATACGCAGCCAATTGCAAAAACGGCGGGAAAATTTGAAAAACTCGGCGGCGTATATAGTCTTTGGAACGCCGTGAGAGATAAAGAAATTAGAAAACAAATCAATAGTACCCAAATAATCGAAAAGTCTCGCATAAATCGCCTTCACCCACGCGTCTCTCGTGTAATTCGCCTGCTCCACATTCAATTTCATCTCGATTTCCTCTTTTTGCGTACCCCATCTGTAAATCGCTTTCTAGAATTAAAAAATGTTGTTTAAAACCCACTTGCTCTCCATTTTTCGGCCCGTCAACTTTGCCTCAATATCGGCATTGGTGAGACCGAGAAGAAAGGCGGGAAATTCCAAATCTACAACAGCAAAAAAAATGCAAAAAAATCGTATAAATATTGTTGTAGACTCACAATCTTTTCCGCCGACCGCCGCAAAATTATTCTCCTCCACAAAAGTGATGTTTCCAATGTGCAAAACGGCGGAGACGATGCGAAGAGCCTCCAATTGCTCCTGCTCCGACACGCCCACCACTTTCATCGCGTGCTGCAAAAAACATAAAATTCTGGTTTTAACAAAGCACACTGTTTTTTAATCTAAATTTTGTTTTCTAGTGAAACAGAAAACATTTTGGTTTCTCAAAACGTCACTGACCAGAGTGCTCTCAAACTCCTTGCCGTCGTCCGTATCGTCCGCTTTGAAAACGCCGCTCATATTCAGATAATTGTAATATTGCAGTTCTCCGATTCCCAGTGTACTCCGCAGATTTTTGTCGGCTCCGGCGCAGAGCTGATAGAAAATGTGAAAGTTGCGGTCGCCCTCGTTCTGATGCACCACTCGCGACTTTTCCAGCAAAAAGTTTGACAGCTGCAATTGGTTTTTCGATTATTTGTTTCCGGAAAATGCAATATTTGCAGAATTTTTGCAAAAAAACGTCAAGGAGACGACGATTTTTTGTGCGTCACTCGGATCGCACCCTGCGATTTGGCAAAAATTCCGCGAAATTTGGAAACTTTTGTGCCCCACCGACCTTTCCACCGATGGGCTCTCCGCCCCGACTGAACACAATCTCCACATATTTTCCGAATCGAGAACTGTTCCAATTTCGGACCGTCGCACTGTTTCCGAACGCCTCCAGCAGCGGATTCGATTGGAGAATCACGTCTTTTATGTGCTGAAAATAGCTTAGTTGTCGAAAATTTTTGTGCCCGCCAGAAATTGCGTACCTGAACCCGCTGTCCTCCTCCGGAAATTCGCGAAATATAATTCATGATGAATTTCGCGTTCACCGTTTTTCCGGCTCCCGACTCGCCCGAAATGATGACGCATTGCGATTCGTTGTCGATCAACATGTTTCTACAAGAGAATCGTAAAAAAGGAAATCGCGAAAAATTTAATTAATTTATTTATTTTTTTACGTTTTATTTTTTTAACGTAGAATGATTAGAGAGAGAGAGAGAGGAGAATGAATTCGCGCATACCTGTACATATTGTCGGCCAACGCGTAAATGTGCGGCGCATTCTCGTATTGCGCGGCTCCCTGGTACAGCAGCATCTCTTTTTCGGTGAAATACGGCATTTGTTTGAACGGATTCACCGAAATCAGCACTGGTCCGATGTACGTCTGCAAAACATTGCAAGTATTTAAAACAATAATCTTTTTTGCGAAAGAGCTGACAATATGGGCATGGCCTCGGCAGCCAAATGGCGTTTTCATGAATTGAGCAGACTTTCTTTGATTTTTGTGGTCAAAGGCGATGAAAAATGATTTTTCGACATGAAAACACACTAATTCTCACAGAATTAATGACGTTTTGGCGCATTTTACGCGGATTTTGCTTTTTCGCCTTCGCCGCCGATCGCCGCCTAAAAACCGCACTTTTCATTTTTCTTGACCGTTTTCACACAGAAATGGTTTTGAGAATGATAAATCACGTAAATACAAGCATTTTGAGCGCACGAACCGCGAAAACCTCCGAAAAGCAACTGAAATTCACGCAGTTTTAGCCAAAAACCTTCAAGCGGATAAATTTGATTTGCGACTTGACCAAATTTAACGCTCTTGCGCTTAAAAAATTCTTAATGGCCTATACAATCGGTCTATCGAGAGACAACTGAGAAATTATCGGTTTTTCGTGGCTAATCTGGCAAAAAACACTAATTTTGCTGTTAAAATTTGAATTTCGCGCCAATGTATCGCCCTATCGGGCGGGGCGCACTTTCGCCCATTGTCAGCTCTGGAGACCATGAATTTTAGACATTTTTTTCTATAAAAACGCACAAAAATCGAGTTTGCCTGCAGTCGCTTCTTCAAATTCTCCACAATACTCTGCTCGGTGAGCTTCGACAAAAGAACCATATCGTCCACACCCGCATGTTGCACGTTCACTTTCGATTGCCAGTGAAACGCCTGAAAAGTGACTATTAAAGGGAATTCGCACAAATGCATGTGAACGGAACACCGCGCGGCCTAGAAAACTCGGACAAAAAGATCCCGTGGCCTAGGCGTTTTCTAGGCCACGACCACAAATTCCGTTCACAGACAATTCTGAGAGCGGGTGTGGAAAAAGTGCTAAAAATCGACTATTTTAAATAGTGCTCACCATTTTTCTTCTCAATTCATCCGATTTTCAGTCCGCGCTCCTCCTTTGTGGTCTGTAAAAAATGTTGCACGCTTTGAAATCTAGAAAAATTGCAGAAAACGCATTGAAAACTATTTCCACGCTTTCCGGTAGCATAAATTCCGCTAATTTCGATCATAATTATTGCGAGAAATGAAGATGAATTCAGAAAACACGGAACAACAAGTCGGAAAAGGCAAAAAGAGGAGCGGAGAAGAAGAGTGACCGCTTTGTAATTGGTGTCGGATTGTCGGAGCGAGGCGTACGCAAAACGGAATGGCCATTTTCAAGAGGAAGGCGTAGAAATGACCTTCGGTTCATTTGAATTGGTGCGGAGAAGAGGAGGCAATGAATGGCACAGTTTTAGGTCAAATTGGTGTGGTGACAACTGGTAGATCAAAACGATTCACAAGGTTTGCCGACGAAACATGCCGTAACATCGTTCATTCAGACGGACGTATCTCAGGAGCCGGTGGAGATAGCAAAAAGTTGACAACTGACAAATTGTTTAGGAAGACATTGTACACATTTTGTCAATTGACAACTTTTTGCCAACTCTAACGGTAGCTGAGATACACTGATTTAAATTAAAAAAAAATAGGCTATGACTCTTTGTAGCCACCAACAAGTAAAGCTAAAGTGATTTTTGGAACCTCAACTTCTAGTGCAGAACATTGCCACTCCAAATCCTCAATCTTTGATTCCACTAGAGCCAAACAGAACGCAGTTTGGACTTTGGACTTTTGGACCATTTGCAATAGACTTTGTAGGCTTTATCAAGTAGTTTGGGTCCAAGTTTTAGACCGATTTAGAGCCTTTAGGAATAACTGACTTATGGGGCATAAACAGAATTCAAAAAAAAATATAGCAATTGGCAGAGAGGTGTTACGAAATTGCCTTTTTATTTGTTCATCTCGGACGTTACAACTTGCCGCTCTTCTCGGAGATGGAGAGAAAGAAAGAGAGAGAGAAATGAGTCACACTGATGACTTCAGGCGTACACACATGGTGCATCGACCAAATCGGGTGAATCAGAAGTGACGTGGCAGAGAGAAAAGTAGGGAAAGATTAGAGAGACTGTCATCAGTATTGTAGGGCAACGAAAAATGTGCTCAAGTGGCATTTCGCAGAGTTGGACGGACAAAAAAGGCGAGAAAAAATCGGAGAAAAAGCGACGAAATGGAGGGAGAGACAAAGAAAAAGGAGGAGGAGCGAGAGAGTGCGGCGATCGGGGAGGGTGCGAGAGAAACAGACGAAAATGATTCACGGAGGAGACGGAGGGTAATTGAGGCAAGAAACGGAGTGTAGACGGGTGAAAATTACAGAAAAAAACTACAAAAACACATCATTGAAACAAGCAAATGGAGCAGCGATTTTCCGGTTGGACCGTCCGAGCAAAAGCCTCCAATCGACATGTCTTCCTTTCCGTTTTCCATTTTTATTTGCTCAACACAGAGAGAGAGAGAGAGAGAAGGAAAAGGACGGGCGGGGGTAAATAATAAAATATATATAGTGCTTTTCCGTGTTGGTGAACAGAGAAAAAGAGAGAGAGAGGACAGGTGATTAGTGGGCAGATTAGGAGGGCGAGCGCCTGTTGCTGGCCTTTTTTAATGACTGCGCAAAGGTTGGTTCGACGGTTCATCTCCAATTATTCACAGACGTCTACATTTGCGACTCACCGGCTGGGTACAGGCATTCTAGTGGGCCAACATCGTCTGCGACTGGATCCGTCCATCCTCAAACTGATTTGACGTCATACCCTTGCAATAGCGCTCTACCACAACACGACGACTAGTTGTGAACTGAAAATTGGTCATTTCACGGTCTCCAGAGCTTATTATAGGGGCACCGGACAGAAAGGGCGCGCTATTGAGAAGAGCCCGCGAAAACCTGGGGGACTCTAAATTTGAATGGTGTGAGAAGAGAAAGTTAGTCCGCGGCCACGTAGGCTGCTGCAGAAATTTTTGTTTTCCTTCTGTTTTCAAATTCAAATTTAGAATCCCCCAGGTTTTCGCGGGCTCTTCTCAATAGCGCGCCCTTTCTGTCCGGTGCCCCTATAATACAATGAGCGCAAGTGCGCCCCGCCCAAAAGAGCGATACATTGGCGCGAAATTCAAATTTTGACAGCAAAATTTGTGTTTTTCGCCAGATTAGTCGCGTAAAATCGATATTTTGTGATTTGTCTCTCCATAGACCGATTGTATAGGCTATTACGAATTTCTTAAGCGCAAGAGCGTTAAATTTGGTCAAGTCGCAAATCACATTTATCCGTTTGAAGGTTTTTGGCTAAAACTGCGTGAATTTCAGTTGCTTTTCGGTAATTTTCGCGGTTCGAGCGCTCAAAATGCGTATATTTACGTGATTTATCATTGTCAAAACCAATTCCGTCTGAAAACGGTCAAGAAAGCGCAAAATGAGAAGCGCGGTTTTTAGGCGGCGAAGGCGAAAAAGCAAAGTCCGCGAAAAATGCGCCAAAACGTCATTAATTCTGTGAGAATTAGTGTGTTTTCATGTCGAACAATCATTTTTCATCGCCGTTGACCACAAAAATCAGAGAAACTCTGTTCAATTCATGAAAACGCCATTTGGCCGCCGAGGCCACGCCCATATTATTAGCTCTAGAGACCGTGATATTTGGAATCTTGAAATCCCTGTTCAACCCACACGTACCTGCCATTTTCTTGATCCGGTCCCATCAAATTGTGTGGTGCTCCCGCGTATCTTCTGAAATTTCAGTCATTTTTGAATGCTTTTTCGGGGAGCCGACATGTTCTATGACCTACCAAATGTGTCCCCATCGTCCGTACCCACTCGATCCGACCACCACCATGCAACGAACTGTGAGGGATGATCTCTGGAAATTTCACAATTTCATCTTCATTCGAACTTTTTGTGACGTACCGGTTGGTTTGACTCACGGCGCCGGCACGTGGATCCGATCCGCTCGAGTGGCGAGTCCGTGCGAGCCGTCTGAAATTTCACATAATTTGTGAAGAGCTAAAAGTGTACAAATCTCTGGCAATTCGATATTAATCTAATTAGAAAGTTACTGAGCTAAACGCGACCTAATTAGATTCGGCTGTTTTTTCTTGGCGCAATCGAGATTTGAGCCAACAAACGGTTGGCGTGAAACTTGATTTGAGCACTTTTTAATCTAGCTAGAAGATTTATTAATCTAGCTAGACAATTTATTAATCTAATTAGGTGTCATATCAATCTTATTTGGCCGCCGTTAGATTAATAACGAAATGCCAGAGAATGTCACTTGAAGTTTCAAAATTGTTGCAAACTTTGGCACTTCCTCATGACCTTCACGCTTTCATGAGATTTGGCCAACATCGAATCGAGTGGTGCTCGCACGTATCGTCTAAAATTTCAATCATTTTTTTGTCGCTGTTCCACTGCTCCTTCTCCGCTAGCTCTCAAAAATGTTCCCGAAAAGTACAAAGGAGCGTTCCCGTCAAAAAATCGATTAAAAAATGCGTTTACCTCAAAACAATCGACGGATTTCGATTAAATTCCATACGCATCGTCGTTCTTTCGCCTTTTCCTTCTTTAAATCGTTCGTGAAACAAAAAACACCGATGGTTATCGACTTTCTGGAAGAAACAGAATTTTCCTCATTTTCACTCTAGAAATTGAGTTTATTTTGATGATTTGTGTTAATTGTATTTCGCATATTTCAAACTGAAAACTGACCGTTTTTGGAACAGTAAAAAAAATCGTTTATTCAATTCCCGATTTGTAGCCAACGCACTGAGTCACAGCGTGGACGTTTATCATTAAAGCGCACTTGCAGCGCACGCGCGGGAGTTCAAAAATAATAAATTTTCGGCGAAAATTGCGTTATTCCCCGTGTAAAAATTGAACGCCGTAATTTTTTCGTTTTTGTCACAGGCTATATTGTAGCTGGGAGTTAGACGGTCATTTTGAGCACACACAGAGCCAAATCGGTGCAGCCGTCGTGTTTCCTTGTGCAAAACTGTGTAGCGATGCGAAATAAATTTAAAAGTTTGAGGTTATTTTGAATTGTTTCGCAGATTTATTACGACAGTGACGCTTGAATACTGTTATATAATGGCTAGACGCTGTACGGATGAAAAAAATCGCAACTCAATGCAAATAGACCGATTTTAAAAACCATGAAAGAGTAGCGTGAATTTCTGGCTGAAATACATGAAAAGCAGAAGTTTGTCAATATGAGAAGTTGTAGAGATGAAAGAGAGCTTTATCAAACGTAAAAATGATTATGTGCGCGATTGTTACGTCTTTTTGCCGTCAGAAATCTGAAGTGTCGCTGAAAGTGAGCTTTGTAGGCAAACTTCCGGCCACAAGGATCGAATTTTAGAATTGTAGAAGTGAGATAACATAGCGATAAAAGAAAACTAAGAATATTTTCAATGAGCTTCATTCAGTAATCAAACAAATTTAGTGTTCCGTTAAAAATTTTTTGCTGGAGATTCCTGGTTTTCAGTTGAATAGTGCTTTTTTCTATTCGCGTGTCCGCCGCAATCCGATAAAATGATTGGGAAAACCTGAAATTATTTATCGGCGAAGAAAATAACTGTTCTTTTTTATTCTAACCGCTACTCCGTGCCGCTCGGCAATTTCCACCAGCTTCGCGCCTTTCCAACTGCAGAAATTGTCGCAACGAGTCCTGAAAATTTAAATTTGAGTTTTTTGCAACAAATATTTAACGAAAAATTGCGTTTCGACATGTTTTAAAAGATAAAAACGAGAAAAAGATTTTAATTGCGAAACCAAAAAATCCAATAGTGCGCCAAGTGAGTGCAAGATGCGCCAGCAGTCTCCTTTGGTCTCATGTCCACGCTGTGACTCAGTGCAACGGAACAAGAATTGGCACAATTCACCATGAAATAAAGTTATCACAAAACAATTCGCAAACGATCACAAATTTTCACATAACACCGCCATTTTGATGATAATGATTATTAATATTATTATTATTATTATTGTTATTTCCAGTAGTCGCCGTCGTAGTTGCAGCCGCTCCGACGAGATGAGCCATCGTGTAGTGGATGTCGAGATGGGCGGCCTGCACGAATTCGGCCATGCACAGATTGCACCGGAAGCGGGTCCGATGACACTGTGCCACGTGGCCCGTCAACTCTTTCAGCTTTTCGAACGAACACGGGCAGAAGACGCAGCCGAACGGCAGCAGCGGCATGTTCGACGACGAGTCCGACGCGTCTGTCGTGCCTGCAAATGCGCACATTTTTAGAGATTTTTAGAAACTTTCCACAAAAATCGCTCACTAACCGTTCAATTCGCCGAGCAGACTGCTGTTCGGACTCGCTTCCCGTGATTCTTTCGACGAGTTCGGCATTTCCATTCCGTTCGTCGACGTACTCGCGTCTCCGGATCCATTCAGGCAGTGCAATTCACCATTTTGACGGAATTGGGGATTCACTGTAAATGGGGAGAACATTTTTGACACTGAAAATGGTGTTTTGAAGACAATTTCAGGGGAAAACCGGAACAGCGCGCAGTTAAAGTTGTGGCCGGCAAAAAAATCCGGAAAAAGATCCAATGGCCTAGGATTTTTCTCGGCCACAACTTTAACTGCTCGGAGGTCCTTTTTTGCCGGAAAAGAAAACGTTTCAAACTGACATCCAAAAATGAGGTGATGCAGAGTAGTGGTTCCCTGGTTGAACACCTTCAATTCGGGCTCCTCGTTCGAATTTCGCATGTTGTAAAATTCGTCGGCCGGCGACGAGGATGACGACGAGGTGTGCGGCCGTTTTACAGTGTTACGGGCGATTGTGTGGACTGCAAAAGTGAGATGTTTTTTGTCAAAAAATAGTAAAAATAGTGAACGTTTTTTGTGAATTTCAATAATTAAGCCATTATTACTAACCATCGTTTTGTGAGGCCATTTGATTCACAAATTTCGCCAAAATTTCGTTGGTCGAAATTTCGCAAAGCTCGTCGGCGGCCGCTTCTTCCTCCTCCTCCTCCTCCTCATTTTTCACCGCTTTCTCATTATTATTCTCGCCAACACCAACGTTCGGCTGTCGCCGTTTCAAAAAATCGATATTCTCTGCGATCGAGCGGCCACCACCGCCGCCGCCGCCGCCGCCCATTTTGTACAGAACGTCCGGATGTTTGCAGCGCAAGTGTCGGATGAAGCCCGACGAGCCGTTATCGATTTTATAGACTCGCTCGCAAAATCGGCATCGGATCATATTTTTCGCGTCGGTCGGCTGCGAGTACAGGTTGATGTGCGACATTCTGAACATTTTCGACGGTGGACGCGAGCGGTTCGGATGCGATTCGTTCGAAAGGAGTAGAAATGGGGAAAGTTGAGCGAGAAAATTGGATCAGAAATGGAGCAGGTGATAACTTTTTTTGCGGAGCAAGCTTCAGCGCTACGTGCGATTTGGATTTCTATATTTTATGGACTTTTGGCGCACTTGCACAGATCCGATCGGGCCCACACTTTGCAGGCTTCTTGGACTTGGATTGAAGTATAATGGGCCCAAGTTTCAGACCGATCGGATCACTGCAAGTGATCCCAAAGTCCTAACTACGAGAAGACAACGAGTAGGATCACCTCGCGGAACGGAAAAATAATCTGGAAAAGATCAGTCGCGGAAATTTCGAAACTCTTCACTATTCGTGTCTCTGCCACGGTCTCCAGAGCTGAGAATGGGCGCAAGTGCGTCCCGCCCAATAAATCGATACTTTGACGCGAAATTCAAATTTTAACAGCAAAATTTGTGTTTTTCGCCAGATTAGCCACGAAAAACCGATAATTTCTTATTTATTTCTCGATAGACCAATTTTATAGGCTATTACGAATTTTTTAAGCGCAAGAGCGTTAAATTTGGTCAAGTCGTAAATCAAATGTATCCGTTTGAAGGTTTTTGGCTAAAACTGCGTGAATTTCAGTTGCTTTTCGGGAGTTTTCGCTGTTCGAGCGCTCAAAATGCTTATATTTATGTGATTTGTCATTCTCAATACCGATTCTGTCTGAAACGGTCAAGAACGCGCAAAATGACAAGTGCGGTTTATGGCGGCGAAGGCGAAAAAGCAAAATCCGCGAAAAATGAGCGCCAAAACGTCATTAATTCTGTGAGAATTAGTGTGTTTTCATGTCGAACAATCATTTTTCATCGCCGTTGACCACAAAAATCAGAGAAAACCCTGCTCAATTCGTGAAAACGCCATTTGGCCGCCGAGGCCACGCCCATATTGTGTCAGCTCTGGTTTCGAAACGTCCCGCTATCACTGTCAGTTGCGATTCGAACAAAAAAAGAGTGTCCCGAAGACGATCGGGGGGTAATGGTTGGGTGATGAAAAGAATTGATGGGCGCGGAGGAATGACTCGAGCGAGGTGTGCTACGTACGGATGGATAGTTTTTCTCTCTTTTCTCTCTCTCTCTCTGCGCTCCGCTCCGCTCCGATCGCTTCGAATATGATAATGGTGGGAACGTGCAAGAAGAGAGGACTTTGAAGACGGATTGTGATAAAGGAGATGATACACAAAGAAGAGAGAAATGGTGCTGAATAATAGGATCTCGTGAGAGCCGACACTTTTTTTTGTTGAATTGAATGGCGCCGATTTTCGAAAAAAAAGAAAGAGGCAAGAGGTTACTGTATTGAGGATACTGTATCTCCGCCGCCGGTGGAGCTATCAAAAAGTGGTCAACTGACAAAATGTACAGCATTTCTTGACGATCATTTTACTAGTTGACAACTTTTTGATATCTCAATCGACAGCTGAGATATGACTGTTCAAAGAGACGAATGCATTACAGTTCGAGCGGTAGCAAAAAAAAAAGACTGTCTCGGAAAAAGTAAGTGAAAGTGAGTGAAAGTGGATGATAATCGATGATGACACTGATATCGTTTGACGTGTCTGCCACGCACGGATTGCCTTTTTGCGGTTTGGTGGATCAAACAAACGGAAAGCGAAAGTTGATAAGGTGATTGTGTCGTCGAACGAAAGAGGAGAGAGCGACAATATTTTCGTTCTCATGGTTTTAGTATTAGGCGCATAGTGGGGTGTCCAGGCGAAAGTGCTCTCTCTCTCTCTCTCTCTCTCTCTCTCTCTCTCTCTCTTTCTTGGTCCCCCCCCCTGGATCGGATTACTCGTCACTTTGACAAGAAGAAGAAGAAGAAGAAGAAGATAGGATTTTTCCGAAAACTTTCCACGTTTCTCCTCAAATGCTCCGGAGAGAATGGGAGCAAGAAGAAGAAGAAGAAGTGAACCGCATCATAAAATGTGCCCTCTTCTTCTTCTTCTTCTTCCATTTCTTCTCCCCCCCCCCCTCCACTCAAATGGGCCTCATTGTGTGTGTGTGTGCTCAATCTTGTGCTCCTCCGTGCAAAAGCTCCTTTTCGGAGGCGATGGATGGATGGATGGATGGATGGGTCCGTGTGACGTGGCAACCGGATACATTCTCCCCAGAGGACCATCACCGGATCCGGTCATGTTCGAGATGAATCACACATAGCAAAAAGTAAACAATTTTCTTACGGAACACGGAAGACGGAAGACGGAAGAACATGTTTCTGACGGAACACGGAAGACGGAAGACGGAAGAAAATTTTTCTGACGGAAAACGGAAAGCGGAAGACGGAAGAACATGTTTCTGACGGAACACGGAAGACGGAAGGCGGAAGAAAATTTTTCTGACAGAACACGGAAAGCGGAAGACGGAAGAACATTTTTCTTACGGAACACGGAAAACGGAAGACGGAAGAAAATTTTTCTCACGGAAGACGGAAGAAAACATTTTTCCCGGGAAACGGAAAACGGAAGACGGAAGAACATGTTTCTGACGGAACACGGAAGACGGAAGACGGAAGAAAATTTTTCTCACGGAAGACGGAAGACGGCACAAAAAATCGTCTATGCAGAACCTTTCTCCGGTTTTTTTTTGAAAAAATAACTAAAGCAACAAAAATTTTGGATCTGGCTCACTGCCCGTGGAAATTCGCGTTCTTCGGGGCTAGTAAATAGCTTCTAAAAAGCTATTACTCTTTTACGGTAAGAAGAAAAAATCCCGGAAGACGGAAGACGGAAGACGGAACAAAAAAATCCACGAAAGACGGAAGACGAAACAAAAAAATCTACGGAAGACGGAAGACGGAACAAAAAAATCCACGGAAGACGGAAAACGGAAAACGGAAGACGGAAGACGGAATTCCGCTCAACACTGATAGCCAAGCCACTCTAGGCGCTCAAAGTTTTTGGAGAAGAAAAACAGGGCGGTCTTCGAAAGTCCACAGGATTCTTTGTGAAGAAGATTGGGGGGGGGAGACGCCGAGAAAAGACGGCGCGATCCATGACGTGGCAGTGACGAGCGCGGAGCATACGCACTCGTCTGCGTGTGCTCTTCGGCCCGTCCCCAGGGGAAACCCGGCTCACCCTCCTCTTTTTGGCCCAAATCTCTAGTGGTTTTTCGATGAAAATGGGCGAAGGAGATCCAATGTCTTGTCGTGAACAAGGAAGAAATGGATAATAGTGAAATACTCATCGACTACTGGATGTTTAACGCGAAACAAACAAACAAACAAACAAAATATTGTCGACTCACACTTTCCGATAATATTGATCGCGCGCACGTCTTCCAGCGAAGCGTCGGTGCCGACGATGAAATCGCGAAGCGGCAGTCCATGATGCTGAGTTTTCATGTGCACCCGACAGTTGTCGCGCCGCGAGTGAATCTTCAGACAGTACGGACAGATGCACGCTGCAAACGATGCACCATGTGGAAATGTTGAAAAGCGTAAAAGTTACCACGAATAAGATCGCGTTTCGACAACACCGTATTGATGATTTCGTCACGCGATCTGCTGCCCGTCGTCGGATCCTCTCCTCGCACTGCAAAACAATGTTTTACATCATTCTCAATACTGTTTTAAGACACGTTTTATTCGAATTGCTGTATCTCAGCCGTCTTTTGAGATATCGAAAAGTGGTCAACTGACAAAATGTTCAGCGAACAATTCTGTACATTTCCTCAGTTGACCACTTTTTGATAACTCCACTGGCAGCCGAGATACCGGGCCTTGAATGAAGAGACACAAACTCCACTATACTTACACGCGTCTCCCTAGGGGTACAAAAGGACAAGTGCACTTTTTATGTGAGAATCAGAAAGGAGAAGGTGATGACGGAGAGGCATGACTATGAGAAAGTACATTTTTGTCCCCGAGGACGCGGTAAACATGTTTTGGAGTCCAACAAGAATATATATTCATTTGCAATCTCAAAACTAACGTTTCCTCCTCTTTTGCAACTGATTTCCGGGCGGCTCATCGGCTTTTGGCGGCTCCTCCGTCGATCGACTTCTCGATCTTGTGAACGACGTTCCGCCGATGCTCTGGTTGATGTTGGCCAGGAATTCCGGCGTGATCACCACCGGCCACTCGTCGTCCAGGCCTCGCGGATCCGCCTCGGCCTCGACCTTCATCGATTCGTGTCTGCTGCAACAAGAAGGGCGGTGTTAGAAGAGTGAAACGAACACGCGAGCCATTCTGGCCGATGCACCATGGCTGTACACGTTTGTTACAATATATATGCCTACTGGCTAGCAGAGTTGAGCGCAAATAGAATTTTGAAGAAATCCGGAAGACGGAAGAAAATTTTTTTTTACGGAACACGGAAAAAGGAAGACGGAAGAGAATTTTTTTTACGGAACACGGAAAACGGAAGACGGAAGAAAATTTTTTTACGGAACACGGAAAAAGGAAGACGGAAGAGAATTTTTTTACGGAACACGGAAAGCGGAAGACGGAAGAAAATTTTTTTTACGAAAGACGGAAAACGGATGACGGAAGACGGAACAAAAAAATCGTCAGCGCAGAGCCTTTTTCTCCGGTTTTTTTTTTGAAAAAAAAACTAAACAACAAAAATTTTGGATCTGGGTCATTGCCCGTGGAAATTCGCGTTTTTCGGGGCTAGTAAATCTGAAAAGCTATTACTTTTTTACGGTAAAAAGAATTTTTTACGGAAGACGGAAGAAAACTTTTTTTACGGAAGACGGAAGACGGAAAAAAAAATTCCAGAAGACGGAAGACGGAAAAAAAATTCCGGAAGACGGAAGACGGAATTCCGCTCAACACTGCTGCCTAAACACTGTCAGGGAAACCAGCGAAATGATGGTGACGTAGTCGGCGATGGCGGCGGAGGAGAAGCGACAAACTTTTGAGGCGCAAAAAACGACTAGACGAGGCAGAAGAAGCAGAAGCAGAGAGAGAGAGAGAGTGAATAAAGCCACGCCCCCTTTCCCACCTATCTCTCTATCACTTATGCGCGCTGATTTGATAGTGACGGACGAAGATTTTCGACTAGTAACCGAAGGCGGCGCTCGGACACTTTGCAACCAAAAAACCGGTTCTAGGAGTGGACAGCTTGCAACCAGAGTTGAGCGGAAATGGAATTTTGAAATCCGGAACACGGAAAACGGAAAACGGAAGAAAATTTTTTTACGGAACACGGAAGACGGAATTCTGGGGGATTGGACACTTTGCAACCGAGGCCCTGAGCTCAATGTGGACGCTTTGCAACCACCACAGCTACTAGCCAAAGGTAATAATCTTGTAGGGAGAAGGAGAAGAAGAAGGAAGAAGAGGCAGGTGAACTAATCCTCGGCTGACTAACTTTTGATCAGTGAGTCGTGAAGTTGAAGCCAAAAAGGTCACCCGAAAACCGCGCTTCCAAAATGTTCATTGGTTACGCCGAGGGATGAGATTTCGCAGAAAACCTTATCCGGTCAGCTCACTCGAGTCTCTCAGCCGCTTAATGAACGTTTACGTACTAGTAGTCGAAAGTGCAGTGCGACTTTAAAGTTGACTCATTGCAATCAAAGTCCGCGCGATTTCGTGCTCAATTCATGGGAACGAAATGTGGCGAGAGGGTTAGGGGACACACGGCGATCAAAAGTGTAGAAAGGGGGGCGTGGCCTAATCTGAGACGCGTTTTCGGAAAATTGCCGCAATTTCAGCACTTTTCCGTTGTTTTTGTGTTGGATATCGACGAAAGAAGAGACATTAAAAAGAGAAAACATCGAAATGTTCGTGAAAACGCCGCGTTTGAGACGTTTTTTGGCATATTTCGCAATTCGGAATTTTCATACCGGCCGATCTGGATAGTTTTGAGACGAAGCACGGTCTGCAGAGCTGACAATATGGGCGTGGCCTCGGCCAAACAACGTTTTCATGAATTGAGCAGGTTTTCTCGGATTTTTGTGGTCAACGGCGATAAAAAGTGATTGTTCGACATGAAAATACACTAATTCTCACAGAATTAATGACGTTTTGGCGCATTTTTCGCGAATTTCGCTTTTTCGCCTTCGCCGCCGATCGCCGCCTAAAAACCGCACTTCTCATTTTGCGCTTTCTTGACCGTTTTCAGGCAGAATTGGTTTTGAGATTGATAAATCACGTAAATATAAGCATTTTGAGCGCTCGAACCGCGAAAATTACCGAAACGCAACTGACATTCACGTAGTTTTCGCCAAAAACCTTCAAACGGATAAATGTGATGTGCGACTTGACCAAATTTAACGCTTTTGCGCTTAAAAAATTCGTAATAGCCTATATAATCGGTCTATCGAGAGACAAATGAGAAATTATCGGTTTTTCGTGGCTAATCTGGCGAAAAACACAAATTTTGCTGTTAAAATTTGAATTTCGCGCCAATGTATCGCTCTATTGGGCGGGGCGCACTTGCGCCCATTCTCAGCTCTGGAGACCGTGCGAAGTGAGTGTCGGAAGTGATTAAGCACGTTAATACAAGTATTTTAGGCGTTCAAACGGCAAAAAGTATCGGCGAATGACTGAAATTCGCGCATTTTCAGCACAAAACTTGAAAATCCGATTCAATTGATTCATTTCAGAACGAAACCTGCTCGTTTTAAGCTCAAAAAGTGCGCGATGATTAGTTTAACAAAGTTATGCAATTACATCGTCGAAACCCGTACAAAATTTGGGTAATATTTGACGAAAAACCGGAAAAATGGTGTTAAATTTCGAATTGCGCGCCAAAATGGTAGGCCACGCCCCTTTCTACGTTTTTGGTCGCCGTGGGGCATGAATTTAAATTTTAAGGATTGTGACACGGTCTGAGGAAACGTCCGACTGTACTTTGGCTCGAAATTTGACCAGGAGTGCAAAAACGTTGGCCCAACACGAACTCTTTGACTCGCTTTGAACTTATCAGGGTCTTAAAGTGTGCATACGAATCGATATCGATGATTGTGAGTGCGGGAAAAAAAGGTGGAATAGGAAATGATGCCTTTTGCATAGTTTAATGCGTGGGAACCCCCCTCCGGACACATCATTTTTGGCGGCGATCGAACTCGATCTAGGGAGGGGGGTTTAGGCCATGAAACTGAAGAAAAGGCGGCTAAAAGTGTGGAGATAGTAGTGTGTGCACTTCTGAAAATGTTCCCACACCCAAGGCTAGTCGAGTCGAGTGAGTGAGTGAGTGAGACATGAATTTATTCTCCATGACAACCCCACACACTCGCTATTTTCAGTTTTCCAGAGCCATTTTCTTTTTGCGGCGATTTGCACACAACGTTGTACTTTCTGTTGAATTGAATGACGGAATCACAGCGTACTTCTAGACGTTTCTGCAACAAGAAAACAAGAGTTTCTCTATTTTTTCTCCGAAAAAGAAGAGAAGAACAGTCGATTGATGGGTGGTAGGTCAAAAAATGGATGCGAGTCCTCGTGGGACGATCTACGACGACTGTCCGTCTTTCCTTTTCTGTCTCCCTGCCCCTGCCTGTCGTCCCACTGGTCAATGCCCCATCGCAACGCTCCGAGTGTCGTTCAAACACTACTAATCTGTTTCAGGCGTTTCATTAGCAGGAATTCGGTTGAATTCTCACTCATTTTCATAGATTTTTGCGGCATGAGTGCACAAACTGCAACCGGATGCGATCTTTTTCGATTTTTCCAAAAGTCGACAAGTTCCGATGGAAAACGAGTTGGATTCAGGGTTTGGCCGATGCACCATGCGCAACACACTTCTTGATGGTCAGAGAACATTGGATACCAGAGTTGAGCGGAAGAACTCAAAAGGGCTAAGGCTAACGGGGAAGACGGAAGCAATAACTTTTTTGTATGAAAAGCTAAATTCACAATAATTTTTCTATGAGCAGAGTTTATTTTGCTATACATTTTGTCAGTTGATCACATTTCATGAAAAAATTTTCTAAAAAAGATAAAAAAAATTCTTCCGTGTTCTTCCGCTCGACTCTGCATGACACCTGGTTTTGTCTTTACATGGCCTGGGATATCGATCAAAGTGGGTCGATCCGAAAATGGATGTCACTTTTTCAGTTGTGTCAGTACAGACGAGGAGCGATGTGCCGAACGGCTCCGATCTTTTATACAGAACAAGAATCTAGGTATGTATCTTAAACGCGTCCAAAGTCTCGGAAAAACCGGAAAAACCCCGGGTTTTTCTGTCGAAAGTCGGCCGAAATTTGGTGCGCACAGCTGAACGAGTGTTACCGTACCCCCTAAAACTACGGTATTTTTTGAAAATTTGCGCAAGAAATTTTAATATTAACAAATTTTCAAAAAATACCGTAGTTTTAGGGGGTACGGTTACATTCGTTCAGCTGTGCGCACCGCAAATTCCGGCCGACTTTGGACAGAAAAACCTGCGGTTTTTCCGGTTTTTCCGAGACTTTGGACGTGGCATAACAAATATTAGTAGGGTCCGATTTCCTCGATCGACTGCGGAACCATTCGACAAACGGCGCCACTGTACCGAGCGCTGCACCTGAAAACGGTCCATTTTTTTCCGATTAAATTTCAGAATCTTTACTCACGCATCATCGTCAACTTGATTGACGTAATAGTTGATGTAAAAACAAAAGCCAGCCTTGCTACTATCGGGATTTCCGCTCGCGAACGGATAAGCAACGGATCCGTTGTGGGTGTCGTCTTCATAGCTCCACTCTTGGGCGCCAGTGAACGAGCTGCCGTCGAGCCAGGTGTAGACTGTCGTTTGTGCTGTAAACATTTACGCATTGCCACGGTCTCCCAGGGGGCGCTAATGCTAAACACAGTGCGCTCGTAAATTGCGGAGTGTCGTTGTAAATTTTGAAAATTTGCACGTCTAAAAATGCAGTTCAATTCGAGTTTACGACCTTTATTTCCTTCTTTTTTGACTTGAAAAACGTCTATAAAACAATACTTTACTGATTGGAAACCTTTCTTTACAGAATTTAGAGTTTTTCATGTTTTTCGCATTTCGTCAAAACTTCAAACCTTTATATTTCAGCTCATTTTGCATTTCATGAGCCCAACGAACGATAAAAATGTTCGCTGAATTTTTCTTCACAAAATTCAGGTTCCGGCGGTTAGTTTTCTTGAGCAGTTTTCGAAAACTATTCGAAAAACATCAAAATCCAGGATAAAAAACCTTCAAATCTAAATTACTCGGCTAATTCTCAACGATATGCGAGATTTCTGTTACCAAAACGTAGCTAGTGCTCTAATTAATCGAGTGCAGGTTCCAGGCGTACAAAAACAGGTGTATTGTACAGAAAACATAGAAAGAACGCGAACTCCCGTTGAAAATTAATTAATCGGCCTCCGCGTAAATCGACACAGCCCGCCTGTGGCAAGTGCGCCCCATTGAAATCATTCGCGCCGTGGGAGACCGTGCATTGTTCAGCAAACGAAAAGGTTTACCTCGTATCCACGTGACCTCATCGCTATTGTATGGCCCCGAAAGGCTCATGCCATCGTTGGACGCGCACAATTCGATGGCCTGCGTGTAGTTGACAGTGGCGAAGAAAACCTGGAGGCAAACTCCGTGCAAGCCCCGTATAAAAGGCTTCGAAGTGTTGGTGCACGTGATTGTTGTAAAGTTGAACGACCAATAAAGACCGTCGGACGAGATGGAACTGATGTAGATCGTCTGGTTGATGATATACGCGGGAGCGGTCGAGTTTTCCCCGAGCGTCGGCAGGGTGTCTGGACACGTGTCCGACGTGAAATTTGTCTGAAACAGGTCTCCAGAGCTGACAATATGGGCGTGGCCTCGGCGGCCAAATGGCGTTTTCATGAATTGAGCAGGTTTTCTCTGATTTTTGTGGTCATGAAAAATGATTGTTCGACATGAAAATACACTAATTCTCACAGAATGAATGACGTTTTGGCGCATTTTTCGCGGATTTCGCTTTTTCGCCTTTGCCGCCATAAACCGCACTTCCCATTTTGCGCTTTCTTGACCGTTTTCCGACAGAATTGGTTTTGAGAATGATAAATCACGTAAATACAATCATTTTGAGCGCTCGAACAGCGAAAATTACCGAAAAGCAACTGAAATTCACCGAGTTTTAGCCAAAAACCTTCAAACAGATAAATGTGATTTGCGACTTGACCAAATTTAACGCTCTTGCGCTTAAAAAATTCGTAATAGCCTATACATTCGGTCTATCGAGAGACAAATGAGAAATTATCGATTTTTCGTGGTTAATCTGGCAAGAAACACTAATTTTGCTGTTAAAATTTGAATTTCGCGCCAATGTATCGCTCTATTGGGCGGGGCGCACTTGCGCCCATTCTCAGCTCTGGAGACTATGCACGAAAAATCGATAATTTCTGATTAGTCTCTCGATAGACCGATTTTATAGGCTATTACGAATTTTTTAAGCGCAAGAGCGTTAAATTTGGTCAAGTCGCAAATCACATTTATCCGTTTGAAGGTTTTTGGCTAAAACTGCGTGAATTTCAGTTGCTTTTCGGTAATTTTCGCGGTTCGAGCGCTCAAAATGCTTATATTTACGTGATTTATCATTCTCAAAACCAATTCTGTCTGAAAACGGTCAAGAATGCGCAAAATGAGAAGTGCGGTTTTTAGGCAGCGAAGGCGAAAAAGCAAAGTCCGCGAAAAATGCGCCAAAACGTCATTAATTCTGAGAATTAGTGTGTTTTCATGCCGAACAATCATTTTTCATCGCCGTTGACCACAAAAATCAGAGAAAACCCGCTCAATTCATGAAAACGCCGTTTGGCCGAGGCCACGCCCATATTGTCAGCTCTGCAGACCGTGGGTAGCCTTTTTTCACTGTTAAATCACGTTATTCCTACCTTGAACGCGACTTTCTCTTGCGCGGAACTATCCAATTGTTCGACGAGAGTCAAATTGCCAAACATGAACATTTGGCAGCCGGTGGAGGCGTTGTACACCAGCTAGAAATCGACAAAATCCGAAAAAAAAACGCATAGACAAAAACGTACGACACACTCGAGAGTCTCATAACACGTGGCGAGGCAGTCGGCCCAAGTGCCACCGTCCGAATAGCCGGTAAACTCGACGGGTTGGCCCCAGACCACCACCATTTTCTGATATTGTGTCATCGACGTTTCGGGCGTCAACATGATCAATTGTAGAATGGCGGCAATGTTGAGAAACAGTGGAGCTCGAAGCATTTCTTTTTTTTTTGGTGAAGGCAGTGGCAACGAAACAAACGGAAATTTGTAAAAGTCGTTAAAACGTTTTGAAATATTGGTGTCTAGGCAAAAGAACAGGGCGAGTCAGAGTCGCCAGTTTATGATTTATTTTTCTCAGAAAATGTGCTCGAGTACTCTGATGTTTGAGGCTCTTGAAACCATTTTGTGGCGCCTCCACATCGACAGTCGGGTCTTGATGGCTAATTTTGTCAAATTTTGTTATTTTGTTCCCAAAAAGCGTCAAAACACATAGTGACACCTCGTCCAAGGATCCAAAAGTTTAGAGTCTCACTCCCATTCTGTTCCGAAAATTTGTTGAATCCTTTCTTCCTTTCACAACGTGCACCTATCAAAAGATGATTGTGGCTACGCTCCCGTGCATCCAGGTATGTGTAAAACCATAATTTCCATTTTGCAACCAACTTTTGAGCACATCGAGAACGACGTGGCACAAACGCGGAAGAAATTTTTTTTAAAATCTTTTTTAGAAAATTTTTTCATGAAATGTGATCAACTGACGAAATGTATAGCAAAGTGTGCTCTGCTCATAGAAAAATAATTGTAAATTTAGCGTTTCATACAAAAAAGTTATTCGAGTTGTTGCCGTGAAAAAGGGGGCTAACGGGGAAGACGGAAGGAATAACTTTTTTGTATGAAAAGTTAAATTTACAATTATTTTTCTATGAACAGAGTTCACTTTGCTATACATTTCGTCAGTTGATCGCATTGCATGAAAAAATGTTCTAAAAAATATAAAAATTCTTCCGTGTTCTTCCGTCTCCGTTCAAGGTAGGAAAACGAAATGTCATGAAGCTTTGATGCAAACACCATTTTACAGCGTACATTCGACACGGACGCATGGAATTAACGCTGTCGTGGATTCTGAGTGTCCGTTTGTCCGAAAAAACAAGAATCATCCACACACTACACTTTTTTGACACCTCTTTTATGGCCGTTGTGACACTTTTCGAGAGCCGCCGCCCTTTCTTTTTTTGCTACTCTTCTTTTCGTATACACATGTTGAGAACAACACCACTTTTTCTACTTTTCACCATTTTCGCTCATCACCCAACCTGGGGGCAATATGTGAAAATGCTAGTGACGTACGGTCAGGTGACGTCCTACAACACTAGCCTTTACCAGGTTTTCACGAACGCAACCGACGCGGACAGTTGGCAGAGTTGTGTTCGAAGATGTTTGGCGACCGATGAGTGTGTGGTACGTTGTCGCAGCAGACTACACTACTATCAAATTAATAATCTTGCGACCGCTTCGCAGCCGAAAAGACCACGCCCCTTTTTGCAAGTGCCGCACACGCTGTCAATTAAATCATTTTTCTTGGAAAATACACAAATTGAAGCTACTTTTTTTAGAGAAGTATCTTTGCAAACAGCGAGATTTAAACGAGATTCTCAACTTTAATTTGTGCATTTTCCAAGAAAAACAATTTAATTGACAGCGTGTGCGGCAGAGTTGAGCGGAAGAACTCAACGGAAGAACACGGAAGAATTTTTTAAATCTTTTTTAGAAAAATTTTTCATGAAATGTGATCAACTGACGAAATGTATAGCAAAGTGAACTCTGCTCATAGAAAAATAATTTTAAATTTAGCTTTTCATACAAAAAAGTTATTCCTTCCGTCTTCCGTTAGCCCCCTTTTTCACGGAACAACTCGAATAACTTTTTTGTATGAAAAGCTAAATTTACAATTATTTTTCTATGAGCAGAATTCACTTTGCTATACATTTCGTCAGTTGATCACATTTTATGAAAAAATTTTCTAAAAAAGATAAAAATTCTTCCGCTCAACTCTGGTGTGCGGCACTTGCAGACAGGGGCGTGGTCTTTTCAGCTGCGAAGCGGTCGCGTCGCGGCCGGGAACCGGAGGCAACATTATCAATTTGATAGTACCGTTTTCCGGGAAAAATGGCTATTTTTCAGCTCGCCTACCTATCGACCGCAGGCTGTTGGTGGTTTCCGAAAGGAACCGTCAAATCGGTCTACATCATGCCGAAGAATAAGAATTACGCAGTCGCGTTTAAGGCACGTGTTTGAGGGGGGAGGGGGGCCTAAAAAAAGTATAAAATCTTGACGTTTTCAGCGAAGTTTCGACACGGACACTTGTCCGGCGGGCGACGATGCACCAATGTTCGGAGTTGCATCCTATACGGTACTTTTGCGCCTACAAACTTTAAGAGAAACGCTCGAAAAGTGACACGTTTCCAGATGACCACCACCTCGTCGGGAAGCTACACAGTGAGCCGTTTCAAGAATCATTTGGGCGAAGAGTTCTGGTACTTTGACATGCAATGTCAGGACGTTGGATTCGTGTCGACGCGCGGTCTGTACGTGGCGTGCATCGGCTCGCGCCTCTTTCCCGATCCGTACTGCAGCGATCGGAGCGCCGCATTGTCGCTGTGCCGTGGCAACGGCGCCACCGGGCTCACTGGTCCGTATAGTGCCGCCGAGGGCACGGTGCTCAGACGTGAGTATGGGGCAGAGATGTTGGGAATTCCGTGTTCCGTGTTCCGCGTTTTTTTTCAATATTTTTTCCGTGTTCCGTGTTCCGTGTTCCGTAGAAATAAGTTTTTTCCGTTTTCCGTGTTCCGTGTTCCGTATAAACTATATTTTCCGCGGAAAAATTCGATCACAAATTTTATTTTTTTCATCTACTTCCTCGGAAAGGGAGAGGCTTTTCAGCTTTTCTGGCTTGGTTTGCTCGCCTCGTAGATTAAATTTATCTCCGGAAAGATTAGGACAATTGACGTTTTGTGGTCAAAATTTGAAAATTTTCGGATTCGGACCATATTCGTGAAAAGTGGATTCCATTTTCAGTCGTTTTTTACTGTAGTTGTTTACTGTTGTGTTGTTGGTTTTGTTATTTTTATGAAATTTTCAGTAAAACTTTCACATGAGTCAAACAGCTGCCTTGTCAGTCAGATAATCGAATTAAACAAAACTTAAAAAAATTAAATAAAAATCACTGGAATTCTCTTGAAAACGCTTTTTTCCGTGTTCCGTAAAAAAAAATGTTCCGTTTTCCGTGTTCCGTGTTCCGCAGAGTAAAATTTTTATTTCCAACATCTCTGGTATGGGGTACTAGGACCCCTCGATTTTGAACGTTCTTGATGGCATTCCCGAGCGTTTCAGTAGACTCCCAAAAAGCGCGATCGAATCTGCCGTCCTACGGCTACTACCAGTTCTGGGTGGACGGCATCCGAACCGACGGCGGAGCCTACGCGACGACGGACGGCACTCTCAACGGCACCGCCGGCTACACGTACGTCAACGTCGTCTATCCGACGCAAGATCCGACGTGTCTCTGCCAGGACGTTGATGTGGACGGTGTGCAGCCGATAAAGTAGGTATCGAGCGAGAAATCGAGAGCGAGTGAAACGGGTGTTTAGCAGAGTTGAGCGTAAGAATTTTTATCTTTTTTAGAAAATTTTTTCATGAAATGTGCACAACTGACGAAATGTATAGCAAAGTGAACTGTGCTCATAGAAAAATAATTGTAAATTTAGCTTTTCATACAAAAAAGTTATTCGTTCCGTCTTCCCCGTTAGCCCCTTTTTTCACGGAACAACTCGAATAACGTTTTTGTATGAAAAGCTAAATTTACAATTATTTTTCTATGAGCACAGTTCACTTTGCTATACTGTTTAGCTGTACAAGCATACACAGAGGGACGGAAACGTGCAGCCGAGGAGCATTATGCGTCTTCTCGCCCGTTCTTTCTTGATGCTTTTGTTGGACAATAAAAAATTTTGGACATGTTGTTCGTTTTATGTGGTTTTGGCTCTAGAATTCCGAAAAAATACGTTCTCTAATCTAGATGGATACCAATGGGATCTGTTAGTCTCTTGACGAATGTAAGGTCTCCAGAGCTTACAATGTGCGCCCCGCCAAATAGAGCGATACATTGGCGCGAAATTCGAATTTTAACAGCGCAAAATTTGTGTTTTTCGCCAGATTAGCCACGAAAAATCGATAATTTGTGATTTTTCTCTCGATACACCGATTGTATAGGCTATTACGAATTTTTTAAGCGCAAGAGCGTTAAATTTGGTCAAGTCGCAAATCACATTTATCCGTTTGAAGGTTTTTGGCTAAAACTGCGTGAATTTCAGTTGATTTTCGGTAGTTTTTGCGGCTCGAGCGCTCAAAATGCGCAAAATGAGAAGTGCGGTTTATGGCGGCGAAGGCGAAAAAGCGAAATCCGCGAAAAATGCGCCAAAACGTCATTAATTCTGTGAGAATTAGCATAGTTGCCACGGGCCGGGCCGGGCCGGGCCGAAATTTCCAAAACTCCGGCCCGGTCGGCTCGGTTCAAAAAGCGGGAATTCAAAATTTGAATTATTGATCGCATGAAGCCATTTTTTGTAGAATTAGGGGTTTTTTGCAAGCATCGAACATTGAAAAAAACAAATGTATTTCTCATAAAAAAATTCATAATAGCAAAAAAACAAAAAAAGAAACACTAAAACTTTTAGTTCGAAAAATTTTTTTGTAATAACGAAAAATTTCCGCGAAAAATTTGAATTCCCGCCTTTTTGAACCGGGCCGAGGCCGGGCCGGCCCGGCACTTTACCGGGTCGGCCCGAAATCTGGCAAGTCTGAGAATTAGTGTGTTTTCATGTCGAACAATAATTTTTCATCGCCGTTGACGACAAAATCATGAAAACGCCATTTGGCCGAGGCCACGCCCATATTGTTAGCTCTGGAGACTGTGATAGATGTACATTTTCCGAGGATAAATCATGTTTTCTTCCGTTTTTCATTCAGAAAACCATGGAGCCCGTTGATTTATGGACCCTCGAGGCGGTCTCCCCCAACTTTTTAGTTTGATCTTCTGCCCGAAAATGTTCGTCGCCCTTCTTCTTCTTCTTCTTCTTCTTCTATTTTGCTCCCTTCTCGTGTCAACCGTCGCACAGACTGTCAAAATGATAATAGTGTCTGGCAATGTGACTCTATTCGATTCGATTCATCAAACGCTGGATTCTGGTGAAACTTGGCAAGAGTGTATGGCCGTGTGTCTGCACGATGCGGCGTGTGTGGTAAGTGAAGAGGTTGTGGCTCAACAGCCACACATTTTAATGAAAAATTAGCAACTACAAAGGTGTCGGGCACAAAATTTCGATTGCAGCTCGTCGTGCGGCAGCAATCCTCCGCGTGTTTGTTATTCCGAGCCGGAGCCGTCAAAATGGTGCAGAAAACGGACGTGTATTCGGGAAATGTGGTGGCCTTCAAACGCACTGTGCCATCCTCCGATTCGTGTCCCGTTGAAGATGATCCGCCAATGTTCGGCGTGGCCACTGTTACCGTGAGCGTGGATGGGCGAGACTGTTTTAGAGTTTTGTTTTTGTGGCATTGCAGGAGACGACGGACACTGGCGACTACACCCTGAGCCGTACGACCGACACTGCCGGCAACACTCTATGGATCTACAACTTCACATGCGCCTCCGACTCGTTTGTGTCGATTCGAGGACTCAACACCGTCTGCATCTCGGCCAGACTCTTTCCCGATCCGTATTGTAGGATCAAGATGGACGCGGACGTTTTGTGCGGCGCCGATGGTGGCGTCGGAATGTCCGGGCCGTATAATAGCGCCGAACAAACTGTTATCAGTGGTACGTTTATCGATGCATATCGATAAGACGCTCAAATTTCAGCAATTTTTACCGCAAAAGTGTCTGCGTTCAGTTCGAGTGTGAAGAATTTGGGGTATACTTGGTATAACGCGTGGGTCGACGGCACGAGACAGGGACCGAATGAGGGCAGATACTCGAATTACACGGCCACAGACAACACTCTGAACAACACGGACGGATACAGTTGGTCGACGGGACAGGTTTTCTTGAAAGGCAGAGATATCTGTGTCTATTTGGACAGTGCTATATTCAGTGCAAAGTTGGTTTGCAGAAGTTATCGATTAATTTTCTAATTTTTGTTTGTTTGCAGCTGTAACCTCACCCAACTAGTCTCTTCTTCGTGTTTCCGTGGCGCCATCTGCAGGACGTTGCCGATTCTCGAATAATTTGCTATTGAATGAACATTGTCCGCACACATGATGTACTTTTAGTTTTATTGATTAACACACCGGTTTTTCAACGATTCGCTCTTCGCCCAAATGGACATTGAAGAACGCCTTGTGCGGATTAAAAAACGCTCTGCTCTTGTAGTTTTCAATGAGTCGAACTTTGACCACGACTTGAAGCTTCTCGAGTTGACGTCTCAGGAACTGTTCCGGTCGCGTTTTTTCTTTTTCAGGGCTCTCTCCAGACCGTACGAGACGGTGCAAATGTCATGTTTCGACGACTTTATATACCTTCGTGGGCGTGGCTTTCCGCCAGGGCACATCCGACCTTGTGGGCGTGGCCAACTGTTTCGGATCACCGTCAGGGCGGGGCGTAAAATTTTATTTTTACGTATCCGTAAAAACGCAAATTTACGGTTTCAAGAAGACGTAAAATGCGCGCCTTTGCCGAGTAAGAACACTTTGTTTTAAACTTTTCGACGATTCAGCAGCAGGTGAAAAAAACGAAAAAAGTGGCTCGCCTCGAAACTTGTTTGGCTTTTGTTATTCATTCCAAATGTACGAAACTATACTCTATGAACGTATTTTGGATTCTATATTTAGAATATTCATTTATATGTACTTCATTCTGTTTCCGCTGATCATTCTAACGTTTCCCATTTTTGTCTATGTGAGCAGAGTGAATCGGCGGCGTGATCAACAGGTTTTTGCATACATAGAAGCACTGTAAGAACCGCGTAAACATGTGAAAAACGTTAAGACTCTAATTTATCCGATCATCAATCATTTCTACACGTCGACTATAATAACATTCGTTTTCGCAGTATCAGTTGTCGCCTTTTTATTTCAAATACTATTTTTTGGAGAATCTTCGTAAGTACACATATATATGCATATATTTGCATACAAAAAACGTTCACACAGCTACACTTCGCTCCTCGCATTTTTTTTGTTAATCACTGTGCTGACAATGAACATTGTGTCTCAAGTGCAACGGATTTTGCTATCTTTTTTCGGCTTCCAACGATTCTTTCTCTACTTTTTCCCAAGTACTCAGCCGTATGTGAGTATATCGAGAATAAGTATGGCAAATTTCATTTGGATTTTATATTTTCTAACGTCTTGCAAGGAAGTGTACGTTTTCTATTTATTAGGGACATCAGGAAATCTTAACGTTTGCCTGGTAGGTACATTATGCATAATCTATACAAAAATGCTAGACTTTACAGACATTATACATTTCCCTGTACGTGATTTTACTGATATCCTCCCTCCTATACATCCCAATCATGGTGCATCTTCGTAAGAACGTCCATCTCCCGTCCGTCGCCCAAAACCGTCCGCACAAGTACATTCTCTACCAGACGATCGCGATTGTCGCTCTCAAACTTCTCAACACGCCATTTCCTCTTGGGTTTTGGCTTTATGGATTGGAGCCAGTGCACATATTGGCAATCAACTTTTTGCCGGACATCATCACCACTCCACTCGTCATACAATTCTCGTATTTGTGTGCGAACAAACGCAACGCCAAGGCCTTTTTCTCCATATTTCTCGGCTCACCTTATCACAAATGGATGCTATTTATACGCAAATCGTTGCGTCAATCCACTGACATTCATCCAGCTGTGTATGAGTCGAGAGCTAACGCATTCTGATTATTACAACAGGTGAAATGAGAACAAGTCGGCGGTTTGGTGAGCAGGCGAGTTTCTTTTGTCATGCTCCACGACGATGGACTCTATACATGATCTACTTGTTGTTGGATTGAGTGGAATGGCGCAGATTTCCATTTGTATTTACTTCATTCTGCTTCCGCTGATCTTTCTAACGTTTCCCATTTTTGTCTATGTGAGCAGAGTGAATCGGCGGCGTGATCAACAGGTTTTTCATACATTGAAGCACTGTAGGAAACGCGTAAACATGTGAAAAACGTTAAGACTCTAATTTATCCGATCATCAAGAAAAACAAATTTTCTCAAAAACCGTCTCTTGATTTTCTATTTTTTTTGTTTAAATAGTTCACTTACATGACTGTGAATGTTTTCAAACCAAAAAAAAGTAGAGTGACAGTTCGTAGAAGCAAAAAAAAATTTTTTCAACGAAATTTCACTGTCTTCCGGCAAACTATCGTTTTTTCCGCGAAAGCGAGTTGTCACTCTACTTCTTTTTAGTTCCAAAACATTCTCAGAAATGTAAGTAAAGTTTTTTAACCAAAAGATTAGAAAATCTAGTCACGTTTTTCGAGAAATCGTGCATTTTCTGAATAAAACCTTACTTTCACTTACTTACGCGTTTCTTTTCATCGCATCGACTTCTCTTCGCGTATTACTTCACCTGGAATCTGTAAAAACGTCTAATTGAGGTAGAAAGTGGAGAAAAACGCTTTAAAGAGATGAATATTTGGAGAAAATTCATCAAAAACTAAAAAAAAAAGAACTTTGCGCGTAACATAAAATGCACTGTACGCAGAGCAACACCGGCGTGCAAAAATGCACAGACTGAGGATCAAAAGTTTGGTGAACGTCGCAAAAGCCGCGCCGTTTGCTAATACGAACTCGTTTGAAATAGAATTTGCTTCACTTAGATTGCAACCGCTTCTAATTAGATTGCGATCGAGTTCCCAGAGATCTGAGAGCACAAATTAAACTAAAAAAACGTAATCCAAGCTGGAGCGGCTTCTCGTATGACACCAGTGCTAGCTTGATGTCAAATGATGTCAAAAAGTCAAAAAAACTAATTGTGTTTTGGTCTTTTGTTTTCGCCGTCGTCACTTCATTTCATTCCCTCATAAAAATCACAAATTCTTGCTCAATGATTCGTGCAAATCGAGTCTTTTCAAAAGACGAGAGCGTTTTCCGATTTCCACCACAAAAAGACTCTTCAAGCTATGCAGATTTTTCTAAGCATTCTCTTAGTAGCACAGGTAAGTAGTTGAACTTTTTTTTAAACAAATTTCTTCGAAACAAAATGTGTTAAGGTAAGAGCCGATCTTCAATTAGTGGTGGTTTGGGGTAAGCCAACAACTCTATCAACCAACACGATTATGACTACAACCTATGACAATTGTCTTACGACGTTCTACAACACTGCCCGATACGTTCTCGCCTGGTTCACTGCCTCCACCTCCACCTGCGCACTTTTCATGCCGAATGGAAGTTTGGTCGCTCAAAAAATGAATAGCTCTTCCGGGTCTCGAGTTGTTTTTAAGGTATTTCTTTGGCTAGGCACTGTGCGTTTTGAGTGCATTGAACGAGTCGCTGCATAACTCGAAGAGCATAATTCGGAGAGAATAATCGTCAACTGCAAAATTGACCAGCATAACATTTCCTGCAACTTTCCAGTTGACCACTTCTCTCTGCAATTGTTTTTTCTTGAGATACAGGCTGCTGAAAACAATCGTTCAGAGGGCATCCAAAAAGATAGACAGACAGACAAACGCCTCTTGTGTTTTTAGATAAATTTCAGAGAAACACGATAGACAACTGTCCGGCGATCGCCTCAAGTGTTCCGCCGTTGTTCGGACAAACGTTTGCAGAGGTTCGCTTTCTTTTCTCCGGATACCAGGCATTGCACTGCCTACCCTTTGGCGAAAAAAAAATTTCGCGTGCTTTTTTGCGTGCGGCTCTCAGTGTCGATTTACGCGATACAATTTTTCAACTGAAAATGATGTTTTTCCGAGTTTTTGGGATTATGCACACTTTTCCATTCAAAACTTTTGCCTCACGTTTGTTCAAATGACCGATAGCTACAAAATGATCACACAGAGTGCTCGTGTAAAAGCGAAAATTCGAAAAGTAATTTCGTTTTTTTTTTAATTTGGCTTGAAAAACGCGAACTTTCGGAAGTTTCGAGAAAACAGTTGCCTCACGATTGTTCAGCAGACAAAGGCGGTCATTTTGAGCCAAGGGGCGGCGCATAAAATGCAAAAATTTCAGTTTTTGAAGATCCGAACTTAAATTCACAGAAAATTGTAATAACGCGCGCTTTCTTGTTCGCAAAACGCTAATTTAAGGTCACAGCTGTCATTAACAATTCGGAAATTCTCTGTTTTACTTCATTTTTCTCATTTTCGCATGAAATTTCGGGGTTTTCGGAGAAAAAAATCCAGAAATTTCAGAGACCCGCTTTTGTTTTCAACGACACTCCGTTTTAACGCGGCGCTCAATTTAGCATTAGCTCGATTGTTGGCGAGACAAATCATTGATACATTTTTCAGTGGTACTTTTCAAGTGTCACCACGTCAACCGGCTACTACAACATCACTGAAACTACAAAAAGTGGCGTCACCTCGTGGATTTTTCGTTTTCGCAACTATGTCGAGTGTGATGCGGATTCTCAAGTATTGGCGAGATCGAACGCTTATATTTGTGTGACTGTAACGTTACTCGACAGTAAATAATGATCTCCGTTTTTTGCAGGCCCGATTATTCCCTTCGCCATACTGTCAGAGCCAAACGGATGCTCAGACATTGTGCAAAAATGGTAGTGGCCTCAGCCTAACTGGTCCCGCTAGTTTGACCGAAGGAACTTTCATGATAAGTCAGTTTTAGCAAATGTTTTTACATGCTCGGCCTAAACATTTTCAGACTTGGCCAACATCGCCTTCGCCGCCACACCCGTCTACGTCTCTTCCACCGATTTCTCTAGCATCAACATTTGGATAGACGGCATCAGAAGTGACGGTTTTCCGAGTCAAACGTACACTTTTTCGGATGCTCAACTCACGGACACCTCGGGTTTCAACTGGAACGCGACGGCGCTGAACACGGACCAAGGGCCGTGCAATTACTTGATTACACGCTGGCAGAGCTCGTACGTTTTCGGAGCTTCGTAAGTTGTGCCCGTCGACAGCAGTTTAGTAGTATTGCCACGGTCTCCAGTGACAATGAGCGCAAGAACGATACATTGGCGCGAAATTCAAATTTTTTGTGTTTTTCGCCAGATTAGCCACGAAAAATCGATAATTTCTCATTTGTCTCTCGATAGACCGATTTTATAGGCTATTACGAATTTTTTAAGCGCAAGCGCGTTAAATTTGGTCAAGTCGCAAATCACATTTATCCGATTGAAGGTGTTTGGCTAAAACTGCGTGAATTTCAGTTGCTTTTCGGTAGTTTTCGCGGTTCGAGCGCTCAAAATGCTTGTATTTACGTGATTTATCATTCTCAAAATCAATTCTGTCGGAAAACGGTCAAGAAAGCGCAAAATGAGAAGTTTTTGGGCGGCGTAGGCGAAAAAGCGAAATCCGCGAAAAATGCGCCAAAACGTCATTAATTCTGTGAGAATTAGTGTGTTTTCATGTCGAACAATCATTTTTCATCGCCGTTGACCGCAAAAATCAGAAAAAACCTGCTCAATTCATAAAAACGCCATTTGGCCGCCGAGGCCACGCCCATATTGTCAGCTCTGGAGACCGTGAGCAGAGTTGAGCGGAAGAACTCAACGGAAGAACAAGGAAGAATTTTTATCTTTTTTAGAAAATTTTTTCATGGAATGTGATCAACTGACGAAATGTATAGCAAAGTGAACTCTGCTCATAGAAAAATAATTGTAAATTTAGCGTTTCATACAAAAAAGTGATTCCTTCCGTCTTCCGTTAGTCCTCTTTTTCACGGAACAACTCGAATAACTTGTTTGTATGAAACGCTAAATTTACAATTATTTTTCTATGAGCAGAGTTCAGTTTGCTATACATTTCGTCAGTTGATCACATTTCATGAAAAAAATTTCTAAAAAAGATAAAAATTCTTCCGTGTTCTTCCGTTGAGTTCTTCCGCTCAACTCTGACCGTGCTAGGGAGAGAAAAGGAATTGCAGATGCGATTCGACACAATCCGGCAAATCTTACTGCTTCCGTGGAGCTGTGTGTCGAACTCAACCGCTTTATTCGTTTTGACAATGAAACATTTTCGTCAGGCACTATATAGTCTATGTCATTTTTTTAAAATAAATGTAACGTGAGATTGCATGAGACACAATCAGTTGTCAGCTAAAAGACGGATTTTGTGATTGTAACGTTGTTTCCTGAACAATTTTTTTTTCTCAAAAACGCATCTAGAAACCAAACACCAAGCAGACAAAGTTAATAAAGTTTTGTCGACGTCGTAAATGGAGAGCGTAAAATCGCAAAGTATGGCGTGCATAGTCTCGGCTCCGTTTCCGAGCCCGAGAAATGAAGCTCCCCCTGGCGGCCGTCGTGTGTTTAGCCACACTTTTAGGTACAACCAATCAGGTAACCCCGTATGGAAGTTTGTCGTTTTTCAAATGAAACTCAAAAACACAGACAATCTCTATCCGTATGGTGGTCACGTATGGCCGCGTTCGCACATTTGGAGCGTTTGATTCATTTGCGTACTCGTATGAGAACTGTCTCGCCAAATGTTACTACAATTCGAGATGTGTTGTGAGCTTGAAAATTGTGTCTAAACATGAATATAACTCTAAGGTTGCTCAACACTCTGCACAAACCAATTGCCTCAACTACTATCCGAATTCAACGTTGAGTGTCATCAAGCATACGGTTCCCAACACGTTCAGAGTGGCTTTTAAGGTGAGTTTCATGCAAACTATTGAATAGAGCTTCAAAATTTACCTAGTTTTGTATTACATTATTCTTCGCAATTGTGACTTTAAAGTGACGTAACTTTTGTTGTCCAACTTCAAAAATCGATTGACTTTGAAGGGCTATATCTCAAAATCCAAAGATTATTTTTAAAAGTGGTCAATATAAAAATTGTAGCAAATTTTGTGCTCAACAACTTTGTAGTTGATCATTTTAATCAAAATCCGGTCATTTCTGAGTTCAGGTCAAAAAAGTGACTTGTGGCCTCAAAGTAACACGTAGCTCGCTAAACCCCAAAACTCCTTTAACTTTGAAGGTCTATATCTCGAGAACCAATAATTATTCCAAAAAGTGATCAACACAAAAAATTTAGCAAATTTTGTGCTCAACAACTTTCTGGTTGATCATTTTTACCAAAACCCAAGCGTTTTCAAGTTCAGATCAAAAAAGTAACTTGTGGCCTCAAAGTAACACGTAGCTCGCTAAACCCCAAAACTCCTTTAACTTTGAAGGTCTATATTTCGAGAACCAATAATTATTCCAAAAAGTGATCAACACAAAAAATGTAGCAAATTTTGTGCTCAACAACTTTCTGGTCATAATCATTTTAACCAAAAACCAAGCGTGTTCAAGTTCAGGCCAAAAATGTGAAAATAATAATTCAGCGAAGTCTATCCACTTGCCCGGTGAGCTCAGATGTTCCGTTATTCGGCAAAACGTCCGTCTCCGAAAGTTACACATCCTATGGCTCGGTGCTCAATTACACAATATCCAAAGGAAACGACTCTTTTGGGAATACCACGTGGAACTTCAATTTCACCCCTCTGATCCGATGCAATAGCACTTCGACCAAGTTGATCAGAGGCAATAACACGGTTTGTGTTGAGGTACGCTTCAACAAATTGTATTCATCTGAAAAAGAAGCGGTCACAGGTGAAACTGTTCCCCTCCACAAGCCCGTGTCAAACGCAGGCAAATGGCGGAAAGCTGTGCAAGACTGGAAATGGACTCGGACTGACGGGACCGTATAATAGCGCCGAGATGGAATATATGATCGGTAAGTGTTTGATGTTTCAGGAGAATTCGCACTCGACTCTTCAATCTGTAGCATGATTTCCAAATTTCCAAACGGGGAACAGATGGGCAGCAGAGTTGAGCGGAAAAACTCAACACGGAAGCATTTTTATATCTTTTTTAGAAAATTTTTTCATGAGATGTGATCAACTGACGAAATGTATAGCAAAGTGTGCTCTGCTCATAGAAAAATAATTGTAAATTTAGCGTTTCATACAAAAAAGTTATTCGCTAACGGAAGACGGAAGGAATAACTTTTTTGTATGAAATGTTAAATTTACAATTATTTTTCTATAAGCACAGTTCACTTTGCTATACATTTCGTCAGTTGATCACATTTAATGAAAAAATTGACAAACGACGTATTACTGGTTCTTGACGCCCGTATTCCTCATTCCAAAACTCACTCAGACGCTAGCGATCTTTTAGGACCGCGGGGCTCGTTTTTTCGCAACATACGCAGCCAAATGGTATGCATTTTTGCGCGTCGGTGTGGCTCTGCGTACAGTGCATTTTATGTTACGCGCAAAATTTATTTTTTTAGTTGTTGATAAATTTTCTCCAAATATTCATATTTTTAAAGCGTTTTTCTCTGCTTTCTACCTAAATTAGACCTTTTTACATATTCCAGATGAAGTAATACGCGAAGAGAAGTCGATGCGATGAAAAGAAGCGCGTAAGGAAATGGAAGTAATGTTTTATTCAGAAAATATACGATTTCTCGAAAAACGTCTCTAGATCTGTTAATCTTTTGATTTAAAAAGTTCATTAACATGACTGTGAATGTTTTCGAATAAAAAAAAAGTAGAGTGACAGCTCGCTTTCGCGTAAAAATTTGTCTTTTGCCGGAAAACAGTGACATTTCGTTGAAAAAAAAAATTTTCTCAAAAATTGTCTCTAGATTTTCTAATTTTTTTGTTTAAATAGTTTACTTACATGACTGTGAATGTTTTCGAACCGAAAAAAAGTAGAGTGACAGTTCGTAGAAGCAAAAGAAAAATTTTTCAACGAAATTTCACTGTCTTCCGGCAAACTATCGTTTTTTCCGCGAAAGCGAGTTGTCACTCTACTTCTTTTTGGTTCGAAAACTTTCTCAGAAATGTAAGTAAAGTTTTTTAACCAAAAGATTAAAAAATCTAGTCACGTTTTTCGAGAAATCGTGCATTTTCTGAATAAAACCTTACTTTCACTTACTTACGCGTTTCTTTTCATCGCATCGACTTTTCTTCGCGTATTACTTCACCTGGAATCTGTAAAAACGTCTGATTGAGGTAGAAAGTGGAGAAAAACGCTTTAAAGAGATGAATATTTGGAGAAAATTCATCAACAACTAAAAAAAATGAACTTTGCGCGTAACATAAAATGCATTGTACGCAGAGCAACACCGGCGTGCAAAAATGCACAGACTGAGGATCAAACGCGCCGTGGGGCCCTGTATGCTTTTTCAACACTACTTTTTCCAGATCAAACCTCGGCGGCCGTCAAACCGACGACACAATACACGTCGGGCTATTATTCGGGTGGCGGTTGGATAAGTGTGTGGTTGGATGGCATCAAAAATGGCGCCGCTTACACAATGACCGATGCAACGCTGAACGGCGTGACTGGATACGATTTGTCGGCGGCAACAGCCGCATACTACGCCGTAGGCTGTCTGTTCATCAATAATAATCTGGTGGAGACGAAGGAGTACGTGAAAAATACCCTTTTTTTCATTAAAAAAAACGTTGTTTAGATGCGATTCAACGATCCGCACAAGCACAAAACCGTTTTTCTGCTATCGAGGAGCGTTCTGCAAGACTCAGCCGTTGTACTTTTATTGATTTTGCTCGGAATCCCGGCCCAACTCACACAATTTTTATTGTTGTACATAAAAACTACATATTCACAATGTCTAGTCTTGTTTTTTTTGCCAAAAGTCTGCAAAAGACAATATATTTTCCTCTCCCGAAAGTTTAAGGCTTTGTGCAAAGCATTTTTATGTGAAACCACGACACAAAGCCGTTTTGTTCGTTTTCAAAATGAGAATGCCACGTTTTGCCGTCAAGTTGTTCGTTGTAGTGCATGTAATTCATGTAAGTACCCAAACGTGTCCCGAATTATTATAAATCCACTTAAGGTGACCACGACCACCACCTCACCTCGATTGATGATAAGTTGGGGAAAAGTGACGAGTGCGACGAGTTACAACAAAACGAGTCAAAGTTTGAACGGATGTATGGGAATGTGTTTCCACTTGCCCTATTGTATGGTTAGTTGGGAGAGCACAACGTTGTTTTTTTTCGGGATTTTTCGTAACTTGTTAGCTTGCCGCATTCGAACCGCCCGCCACTTGCCTGCTCGTCAACCCGACCGGAGTGGCAAAAGTGCAAAAAACGGACGGATCGAGTGGAATGATTGTCGGCTTCAAGGTGAGCCTCCTCATGTACTCATTTTATGTACTTTTATGTGTTCAGAGAACTATAGCCACTTGTCCTGCCACTAATAATGCTCCAATGTTCACTCAAAGTGTCGTAACGGTAGGAAAAGGGTTTACAGTGAGAGATTTGCTGGTTGCAAAGTGTCCGGTTGCCAAACCGGAATTCAAAACTTTTTGCTTAGGCTCTTTAAGGGCCTTAGAACTAGGCCTAACCTAGTTTTAAGGCAAGAGACCAGAGATGTTGGGAATTCCGTGTTCCGTGTTCCGTGTTCCGCGTTTTTTTCAATATTTTTTCCGTGTTCCGTAAAAAAAAAATTTCCGTCTTCCGTGTTCCGTGTTCCGTAAAGTAAAATTTTTATTCCCAACATCTCTGCAAGAGACCAGAGTTGAGCGGAAGAATTTTTATATCTTTTTTAGAAAATTTTTTCATGGAATGTGATCAACTGACGAAATGTATAGCAAAGTGAACTGTGCTCATAGAAAAATAATTGTAAATTTAACTTTTCATACAAAAAAGTTATACGAGTTGTTCCGTGAAAAAGGGGGCTAACGGAAGACGGAAGGAATAACTTTTTTGTATGAAAAGCTAAATTTACAATTATTTTTCTATGAGCACAGTTCACTTTGCTCTACATTTCGTCAGTTGATCACATTTCATGAAAAAATTTTCTAAAAAAGATAAAAATTCTTTCGTGTTCTTGCGTTGAATTTTTCCGCTCAACTCTGGTGCCAAACCGGTCCAATGCCAGTTGCGAAATGTCCAAACCTCAGGAAACCGTCTCCACTCGCCTCGTCTCGTACAGTTACACCGTCAGCACAAACACAAGTACCTCTGTGCGAGTGGTCACTTTCAGCGGATTCACGCAATGTCCGTCGGGGTCGTGGCTCAAAGTTCGGGGTGCAAATACGGTTTGTGTAACGGTAAGGCGTTGGATTTCTCGAGATTGCATGGTAAAGTGCACCTGTCAGATCCGTCTATTTGCCTCTCCGTACTGCAAAAATCGAGCGGCCGCCGTGGCGTTGTGCGAAACGGACAGTGGGCTCGGGTTGACTGGACCCTACGACACGGCCGAGAATTCTGCCATCCAAGGTTTGTTGTACCATAACAAGTGGATTTACAATATTTCAAGAGGCTTAGGACATGCACGGCGACCAAAAGGGTAGAAAGGGGGCGTGGCCTAATCTGAGACGCGTTTTCGGAAAATTGCCGCAATTCCAGCATTTTTCCGATATTTTTGTGTGTTTGTTATCGACGAAAGAAGACATTAAAGAGAGAAAACATTGAAATTTTCATGAAAACGCCGCGTTTGAGACGTTTTTGGCATATTTCGCAATTCGGAATTTTCATACCGGCCGATCTGGATAGTTTTGAGACGAAGTGAGTGTCGGAAGTGATTAAGCACGTTAATACAAGTATTTTAAGCGCTGAAACGGCAAAAAGTATCGGCGAATGACTGAAATTCGCGCATTTTCAGCACAAAACTTGAAAATCGATTCAATTTATTCATTTCTGAATGAAACCTGCTCGTTTTAAAAGTGGTGTCCAACGTGATATTTTTAAAATAAACTTCGAAGTGGGGCATTCACTTTCCCAAAGTCGCGAATAACGAAAAAAAAATTCCCCGATTTTTAAGATTTTTTTCAAAAAAGTTAATGGTACCGGCGAGAAGAAATGGAAGAGCTGGCCTAGATTTTTCCAGTCCCCGGATGGAATTCCCCTTTCTTCCGATTTTTTTTCCGTTTTCGTGCAATTTTCTTAAATTTTCAATCGTTTTTTTTGACTGAACACACTCATTTACAATATTTGAAAAAAAAATTATGTTTTTTTCCGTGCCGTGACGCCAAAAAAATCGATAATCTGAAACTTTCAAAATTCAGCAAAATTCAGAAAAAATAAGCCACTTTTTGTAAAACCGAAAATGGGAAGTTTTGGATTTTTCGCATTACTTTGAAAAATAGAACTTCTCGCCGGTACCATTAACTTTTTTGAAAAAAAAAATCTTAAAAATCGGGGAACGTTTTTCGTAATTCGGGACTTTGGGAAAGTGAATGCCCCATTTCGAAGTTTATTTTAAAAATATGTTATATGTCACGTTGGACACCACCTTCAAAGGTAATTAAGAAATGATTGAGCGATCTCTTTCTATTTATTTTTCAGCGCGCAAACTGAAGATTGAGCGAAAAACCCGGAAAAACAACAAAAAAAAAGTTTCAGATTATCGATTTTTTTGGCGTCGCGGCACAGAAAAAAAAAACATTAATTTTTTTTAAATATTGTGAATAAGTGTGTTTAGTGAAAAAACGATTGAAAATTTAAGAAATTTGCACGAAAACGAAAAAAAAATCGGAAGAAAGGGGAATTCCATCCGGGGACTAGAAAAATCTAGGCCAGCTCTTCCATTTCGCCGTGTAATTCTCTCTCGGTACCATTAACTTTTTTGAAAAAAAATCTTAAAAATCGGGGAACGTTTTTCGTAATTCGGGATTTTGGGAAAGTGAATGGCCCACTTCGAACTTTGGTTTTAAAAATATGTTGTATGTCACGTTGGACACCCCACCTTCAAGTGGATTCACAATCTTTTTAAGAGCATGCTTACAGGTTACACGAACACCACGTACACCGCCAACAAAGTCGCAATTTGGAGCGCGTACACTTCTGTGCTCGTGTGGATCGACGGATATTATATTTCGACAAGTGGCACCTTCAACATGACCGACAAAACGTTGACGAACGGAGGAGTCAACGGCTACGATTGGGAGGCGTTTTCGCGAAGTTATATCGGTGTCGCGTTGGGCAATTGCGTTTATTTGGTTCCGAATGTGGCGTCGGGTGTTGTCAGGGCCAGGGAGTGCGTTTTCGATGGCTATTCGTTGCAGAAAAACCATTTTTTCAGCTGTTCCCAAACATCATCAGGCACTTCGTTTTGCTTTCGTGGAGCCGTTTGTCGAATTACACCCACTTATCAATTCTAGACGTTTTATTCTAAAAAAAAATAATAAAAATAAATCTTTGTCATGTGAAGGGGCACACAACTGACATGTCTCGTTGCTCGCCACACAAACCGAGGCTAGTAGACATCCGAAGCACATTTTACGGCTTCTTCTTCTTCTTCTTCTTTTTCTTCTTCTTCTTCTTCTTCGCCCAACAAGATGCTTCTCCGACCGTTTTTGAAACTTTTCATGTTTCCAATTTATTGCGCTATTAGCCAGGTAATTAGTCCTCCTAAACTCTTGTGAAAATATTGTAGTTCCACTTGAGATCGCCTCGCCTCAAATGATTGTCACGTACGGAAAAGTGACCAATGCGAACAGTAGTTCGACTCAAACTTGCAAACACTATGGCGATTGTATGGACGTGTGCTATAGCTTGGCCTATTGTATGGTTAGTTTGACAAGAAAAAACGTGAATATCGATTTTTTTTTTCCACCACACTTCAAGCGGTTTAAGTTCAAGTTTAAGTTTTCGGGTGTCTTAGAAAAAAGCTTGTGGGTCCCGAGATTTTTTCCAAAAAGCCCGGGCTTCCGGCCAATTTCGGTCAAGGATCAGCGGAAGAACTCAACACGGAAGAATTTTTATCTTTTTTAGAAAATTTTTTCATGAAATGTGATCAACTGACGAAATGTATAGCAAAGTGAACTTTGCTCATAGAAAAATAATTGTAAATTTAGCATTTCATACAAAAAAGTTATTCCTTCCGTCTTCCCCGTTAGCCCCCTTTTTCACGGAACAACTCGAATAACTTTTTTGTATGAAAAGCTAAATTTACAATTATTTTTCTATGAGCACAGTTCACTTTTCTATACATTTCATCAGTTGATCACATTTCATGAAAAAATTTTCTAAAAAAGATTAAAAAAATTCTTCCGTGTTCTTCCGTTGAGCTCTTCCGCTCAACTCTGATCTACATATCTCGGGAGCCGACGATCCGATCGGGCTGAAGCTTGGTCCCAATGGCCCTCAATCCGTGTCCAACAATTCTGCAAAATGTGGGTCCGATCGGATCATTGCAAGTGGGCAGTGTGCCTTACCGAAATTTTTTTTACCGAAAGAAGTGAATTTCGGTAAATTTTCGGTAAATTTTCGGTAAAAACTGTTTTTACCGAAAGAGTTTCGGTAAATTTACCGGTAAATTTACCGGTAAATTTATCGGTAAATTTTCGGTAAATTTTCGGTGAATTTTCGGTAAATTTTCGGTAAATTGTTTCGAAAATTTTTTTTTCCGAAAATTTACCGACAATTTACCGAAATTTTTACCGGTAAATTTACCGAAACCCTTTCGGTAAGGCACACTGCAAGTGGGCCAAAAGTCCAGGTCTGTCTGAAGGGACGGCCCGGAATTGCTCCTTGCTTTTTTGTGAGAATTTTGAAGAAACGGAAAGTGTCGAATAAAAAGCGATATTCCAGGTTGCCGCATTCGAACCGCCCGCCACTTGCCTGCTCGTCAACCCGATCGGCGTGGCCACTGTACAAAAAGTGGCGGGATCGAGTGGAATGATTGTCGGTTTCAAAGTACGTGTTCCTTGAAAAAAGTACGAAATGAGTTGATGCAGAGAACTCTAACTCTGACCACGTGTCCATCAACACCGGCCGACCCGCCAATGTTCGGTGAAACTAGTGTTACGGTACTCAATTTTCCCCTCATTTTTGTCCCATTTTTTTGGCACTATCTTTTTTTTTAGGAGACTATCTCTTCAAACACGACCATCTATAGCTATACGATTAGTTCGAGTACTTCTACAGACAACACGACCACTTGGACGGTCACTTTCAGCGGATTTATGCAATGCTCATCGGGATCGTGGATCAAAGTGAGGGGTGCAAATACGGTTTGTGTCACGGTAAGCATTTAGGTTTGATTTTGCGAGCTTCCCGAAAAGTTGGCCTCGTTTTGCAGATGCTTCTCTTCGACGCGCCATTCTGCAAGAACCAAACGTCGGCCGAGTCGGTGTGCCGGACCGGCAATGCGATCGGAATGACGGGACCGTACGATGGCAGTGAGAACAGCGCGTTTCAAGGTTACGTCGTGCAAGTATTGTCCGAGGCCAGCGATGACACTAAATCAGTGTACGGTAACTATTCGCAAGTGGTCGTTTGGCTCGACGGCGTCTACGTCGCCACGTCCACCGTGAACATCACCGATGACACTCTGAACGGTGTGAACGGCTACAATTGGGAGGCCGGATCGTATTGGGGCTACGGGCCCACCGTCGGACAGTGCATTTATTTGGTGACGAACACGAACGAAGGTCGGGTCAGGGCCTATGCGTGAGTTTTTGCGGGAAGCATTGGAAAAGAAATGCGATTTTCAGCTGCAACGCGACAACCGTAACGTCCGGAGTGTTTTGTCTCGGTGGCGCCGCCTGTCTAACCCAACCCGTTTACCAATTTTGAATTTCTTAAATAAACATTCTCACCACAAGGCACTATCGACATCCCCAAAACAAAAGTGGCTGAATAGTAATTGTTACGATAGATTTTCGGAAACGCGAAGGGAGGGAATTTTCAGAGAGAAATTTTTATGAATTTCTCAAGAAAAATACAATTATTCGTTCAGCTGCGGCTTCGACGACGTCTTGAGGCGACTGGCGACCGGGAACGAGACCTGAAAACACACTTTCAGATAAAAAATCTCAGGGCTGGGCAATTGGCCCTCGTCCTGGACTTTTGACTCACTTGCAATATTCCGATCGGACCCAAACTTTGCATGATTGTTGGACACGGATTGAGGGTCATTGGGACCAAGTTTCAGCCCGATCAGATCGTCGGGTCCCGAGATAGGTAGATCAGAAGCCGTGTTAGTCGAAAAACCCGGGCTGTCGGCCAGTTTGTGCCTCTGATCCACATATCTCGGGACCAGATGACCCGATCGGGCTCAAACTTGGTTCCAACATATTTCAATCCAAGTTAAAGAAGCCTGCAGAGCTTGGGCTTGATAGGATAATTGCAAGTGGCACAAGAGTCCAGGGCTTGCCCCCGCCCAACGAAAAGCCCGTGAAAAATTAAAAAATCACCTCTGCCGTCTCGACGATCGCTTCGCATCGGATTCCGAGTCAGGCGAGTCCGAATCGTGCCGTTTCTTGGTTTTTCCCCACATTTTTGGCGATTCCGAGCTGAAAACAAATTGGGAAAATGAGAAAATTCGTTTTCCCCCCTGAAACACTTACCCATCACGGCTTCTGACGGGCGATTTGGATCTCGAATCGGCCGCACGTCTTCTTCGGGGCGGCGAAGCGCTTCTTGGGTCGTGACGGCGACGATCGCGACGGATTGGCGACCGCGAACGGGTTCGCGATTTCTCTCTGAAAATGTACATTTGTTTTCAGCTTTGCTTTTTTAAGACTATTTTTCTATTGGAAAGTCACACGAGAATGCGAAAAATGCTTTACTGATCGAAATATAAAATTTCTCGCCATTTTACTGTTTTTTTCAGCTCTAATCTAGAAGAATCACAAGAGCTTCTCCATTGTTCCGCAAGTGATCTGGAAGTGTAGAATTGTTCACAAAATACCTGTGATTTCTTGGCGGCGAGCCTCTTCTTTTGCTATTGATAGAATTGTTGGCCGCCGGAGACGGAGAACGACGTCTTCGCGGCGATTTGCGGGCCGGCGACCTCGAATCGTGACGTCGTCGGCGGGTTTCCGGCGATCGAGAACGAGATTTACCTCTGCAATTTTTTTTTTGGTAATTTTTACAGAAAAGCCAGGCCTGGGCGAGCGATTCCCTTCTCGTTGCCTGAGAAATGGCTTTGCGAAAAAACGCGGACGGTAGACAGTTAAAGGCGCATTGCATGAAACTTATTTCTATTCGCCTTTATCTTCTACCGCGCAAATGGTATTTGTCTCGCCCCCAGATTCTTTCTCCACTTCAATCGGTAATCCGCCCATTTTTTTAAAATTATAAACAGAGCTGGGCATTCGCCGGCCGTTTTTTGGACACAAGTGGATCATCTTATCTAGCGAGAAACTGAAACGTGAAGCTGAAAACTGAATCAAAAGCTGAAAATTGCCCTGGAGATGCTCCATACCAAGGGCAACGTCCAAGCATTTTTTTTGGGTCCGATCGGTCAACTGCAAGAGGGCCATGCCCAGCTCTGATTTTAAGCACTATGTATAAAAGAAATACATAATATTGACTGAATTTGGAAAGATTTACAATGCGTATATGAATTTTGAAAGTGATTTTTGATACATTTCTATGAAACGGTAAAATTTAAAAAAACACTGCAAAAAAAATTCACCTCAGACTCGCCACCGGTGATTTATTCTTCCGTGAATCCGGAGACCGGGACCGTCTTCTCCGAACCGGTGAATCCGATCTCTTCGCTTTTTTGGCCACCGGAGACCGTCTTCTCGGCGGAGATTCGGACCGAGAATCGTGGCGACGAACCTTCGCTTTCTCCTCATTTCTGGCCGGAGATCTGCAAACAAATTGGTTTGAAACATGGATTTTTTACCCTCCTAGCTATAGAAAAAGGATTGAGAAGCCATTTTTCAGGGTGTACCTATTTCTCTGCCTTTCCGGCGACTTTGAGACACTCCTCGTCCTCTTCGTCGGCATTTCTGTCCATTTTCCGCCACGTGGCTTCTCCTGCTTCTCCTCGTCAGACACATTTTCCCTCTTGATCTTTCTTTGATTCGATCGATATTCCGGCGAACTCTCCACCTCTTTTTTCACTTTTCTCGTCGCCAATTTTTCTGAAATTATGGACAGCGTAGTTTAAAAATACTAGAGAAGCAAAAAAAGCACGCACCTTTCCACTCGTCCTCACTATCCCCCTCTTCATTCTTGTCCACCTTCCTCTTTCTCTTGCGCTCCTTCTTTTTCTCCTTCTTCTCCTTCTTCCGGTTCTTCTTGCTCATCGCCTCTTCCAAACTCTCGCCGCTCGTCAGTTTCTTCATCAACTTCCGTTTCTCCTTGTCGCTCATCGAATTGAAGAACTCGAGCATCTGCTCCTCCTCGCTCTTCTCCTTCTTCATCCGACTCAGCTGCTGATCCGTCTGCATTCCCGCCAAAACGGACCCTTTGAGCACGATTCCGTGCTCCTCGCGCATGTCGTTCGCCAACTGCGCGTGATCCATCCATTCCTCCTCGTCGTCCACGTCTCCAGACGGTCCGGCGGCTCCAGGAGCACGAGATGGTCCCGATTTGCCCGTTTGACGCCGCCGACGCAGGTCTTTTATCAGGTCCGACGGGTTGTTCGCATCTGAAAACATCTTTTCTCAATTTTTTGCGGATTTTGCCTCGGCAAAAAGCTGGGCCAGGCTTTTCGAGGCCCGGACTTTTGGCCCACTTGCAATGATCCGATCGGGTCCAGACTTTGCAGGCTTCTTTGGCTTGGATTAAAGTATATTGAGACCAAGTTTCAGACTGATTGGATTATCTGGGCTCGAGATATGTAGATCGGAGGCAGAGAAGGCCGCAATTTTCGGCCTTCACCCTGTCTATCTCGGGAAAGGATGATCCGATTGGTCTGAAACTTGGATCGAACATACTTCGATCCAAGTCCAAGAAGCCTGCAAAGTTTGGACCCGATCGGATCATTGCAAGTGAGTCAAAAGTTCAGGCCTCACAAAGCCTTACTGAACACAATTATCCAAAAAAATTTTGACGTTTCATGTAACTTCTAAAAGAAAAAATTCAAAACTTTCGATTGTTCACTGTTAGTTAAGCTTCAAAAAAAAAAACGCACATCCTTCGTCCTCGTAATTTCCGGATTTTCCAAAGAGCGGACACTCTCGGTCCGTGTTAATGTGTCCCCATTTGTGACATTTACAGCACCGCACGTTGCGCACTTGAATCCCGAACGGCTGGTCCTGAATGTCCTCGTTCCCTTTGGCCCAGTCCTCGCGCGGCGCCTGGTATTTTCGTTGCCACTCGAATTTCGGCTCTTCCTGCGAAGAAAAACAACGGTGATTTTTTGTGTAACAATGTGAAAATTATACTGAAAATAAGTCAATTTGCTAAAAACCAAATCACCTTCGGCTCCTCTCTTTTTGTCATTCCGGCCGGAGCGTCGTACATAAACGAGAGTCCCATTTTGGCTTTTTCATCTCCCAAAAGTGCTCTGAAATGAGGAAAATTGAAGAAGATGGCAAAAATACTGAAAGAATTACTGTAGACACATTACTCCTACTTTTTGCACCTTTTTCCAGAGTGGTCGGATCAAGACCATACTTTTATGATGAAACCTTTGGAAGAAACGAGGTAAATGTTAAAATTAGGTGCGGATTACTCTAGCATAACGGTAGATACCGTAACCCCAAGTAACCTTCAGTCCTCTTTCCATTTCTTTGAGTAGTTTTCTTCAATTTTCAAATAAACCTACTTATTATTGAGAATTTCCTGCTCTTTCTCGTACATCACGCGCAGCTCATCCTGCCGTTTATCCTCCAGCGACTTTTTTTGTCGCGCTTCCCAGACCTGAACAATTTTGCATTTATTTTAAAGAACGATTAAAAATTGTTTTGAAATATAGGAAACATTTTGGGCCCAGGCTTTTTACCCACTTGCCAGGATTCGATCGGGTCCAGACTTTGCAGGCTTCTTGGACTTGGATTGAAGTGCGTTGGCTCCAAGTTTCAAACCGATCGGATCATTTCGTCCCGAGACAGTTTTTGCGAGAATTGCGGCCTTTTCCGCCTCTGGCCCACATATCTCGGGACCAGATGATCGGATCGGTCTGAAACGTGGTCCTAACGTACTTCAATCCAAGTCCAAAAAGCCTGCAAAGTTTGGGCTCGATCGGATAATCACAAGTGGATCAAGAGTCCAGGCCTTAAAAAAGTTGTGGACTTTAGGAACATGAATGCCCCACTTTGAACTTCACTCTAAAAATGTTAAGCAATTACCATTTTGAGATTCCGAAATGCGGACGGATGAAAGTCCTTTTTGGACATGAAATTTTGAAATCCTTTTCCCATTGTGACGAGTTGGTATGCTTCGAATTTCACAAAAAATTAAAACCTGGCAAAAAATAATGTGGATTAACAATGTTCAATAATTCGCAAAAGAAAGGTACAGCAGTTTCAAACTGTCAAAAAACGTCGAAAGAAGGGCGGCATTGTAGAAATCAATTTTAAAGGAAACAAGGTATAACAAGGAAGAAACAAGATCAAATCAACAACAATTCCGGAAAAATGTGAACAAATCTAGGCTGTCTCAAAAATTTTGAGCGTACAATCGGCGGATCCGGTGGCGATGAGGCCCTCGTTCCAGGCGGCGCACAGAATTCGGTCCTCGTGACCGTGAATGTCGAACAGCGACGATTTCGAGGAGCTGCAAAATTGTATTTGCATCACAAATCCTCCAGTTTTCAAGAAACAATTAAAGAAAATAGGGAAGACTTACCGAATATCCCACATTTTGGCGGTCTTGTCAGTGGAAACACTGACAAATTGGTTCGAATCGGCCGGATTCCATTTGACCGCCTCCACCCATCCGTTTTGATGGCCAACGAACGATTGTTTCACCATTGCTCCGTCTGCAAATTGTTTCTCCTGCATTTTCGGGTGGAATTCGGGGTTGGCCTAAAGGTCTGGACTTTTTGCTCACTTGCAATGATCCGATCGGACCCAAACTTTGCAGGCTTCTTAGACTTGGATTGAATCTTTTGCTCTATGGGTCTAAGTTTCAGACCGATCGGATCATCTGGTCCCGAGATATGTGGATTATTGGCCGGAAGTGGCCGAAAGCCCGGGCTTTTCGTCTAACATCGGCTTCTGACCCACATATCTCGGGACCGGATGATCGGATCGGTCTGAAATTTGGACCCGATGTACTTCAATCCTAGTCCAAAAAGTCTGCAAAGTTTGGTTCCGATCGGATGACTGCAAGTGGCTCAAAAGTCCAGGCCTCGAAAAGGCTGGGCCGGCAATTCCAATGTTTTGGGTCAATTTCAGTCTCAAAAAATTTTCAATCTCAAATTTCACTTCGTTCAAGTCACTGTTACGCTGAAACGTTCAATTTCAGTCAGCAAAAATGTTCAAAAATTTCCGTAGATTCTACCTCGATTTTTGGGGTCGTAGAGGCGTGGCACGGCGTCAGTGCAGCTGGAAATGAGCATTCCGGTCGTCGGATGGATCGAAATGCTCGTGAACGATTTGGGACCTTTGATCCGCGACACTTCTCCCGCTGAAAAAAAAATAGTTTGTTTTTCGTTGACAAACGGAGAAAAAGGTCGCGCGCGGCGAGCGATCTTTTAAAGGCGCAGCTACTTTTAGGAGGGGCGGGTCCCGAAGCGAATTGAGACCTGACTAATCCGAAAAACCAAATCTTGTCGAATGAATAGGGTATGCTGAAACCTTTTTCAGAGTGTGGAAGCAGAAAAACATATTCTCCCGAAGCGCAGAGAAGAGAGAACACACGCTTTTTCTCTGTTTCAAAAGAAAATGTTCTTAAAGTTGTTCACAGACTGCAGTATTGCAGTTTCGCCAAGCATACGAAAGAGTGCGCCGACTAGATTTCAAAAAATTCACACCACCTATGCCAACCCTTGAAAAACGAACCCAATTCGAGGTCCCACTCGACGATGGTGTGGTCCCAGGAGGAGGAGAACGCGTGCGTCTCCTTCCGCGGACACCACTCGACCGCAGTCACTCGGTCCCTGTGCCCGCCGATCGTCACCATCGGCACCTTCGTCTTCGTCTCCTTTTTCCGCTTTTTCGTCGCCGTCTCCTCCACGTCCCCGTCCATTTTTTGATAGTTCGTCGCCTCGTCCGCCGCGTCCAGGTTCCACACTTTCAAATTCATGTCGACGGATCCCGAAATGGCGCGAGAGGCGTCCGAATTGACGGCCACGCACTCGACCGCTCGTTCGTGACCGCGCAGAATCAACTGGAAACGTTTCTTGTTTGTTGATCACTTTGCAAAAAAAAAATGCAAAAATCATGCCCTCCTCACTTTTTCCGTCAAAACGCCTTTCTCGATGGCGTACAGCGTGAGCAGTTGATTCTCACCGCCCACAAGAATTTCGGTGCCGTCCAACTGCGTTTTTTCTGCAAACAGAAGCCATTTTCAGTGCGAATTCTCAAAAGCCCACTCACTCGGCGCCGTTTTGACGATCGAACTGCACTTGAGAAGGCGATTCGCCGAGTTCACCGCCAACTTTGTCTCTTTTCCCTTCCGGTCCACGATGACAATGTCTCCGCCGTAGGTCGTCGAGAAGATGCTGGAAACATTGCAAATTTCATTGTAAATCAGTGGAGCTTGACAAGAATCGTAGAAAATCCAGTTTGCCATAGGAATTTGTGCACAAACTCACTGATTATTGACAATTTGCACGGAGGACACCCAATCGGGCGCCTGAATGTCGTGCAACGGCTTCGGCGCCTCGATTCCGATCACACACTCGACTTTGAGGATGGTTTCCTGCAAACGAGTGAATTTGCGGCGATAATTGTGAAAGTCCAATTAAGAATTGCTTGCTTACCGTCTCCACTTCGTATTCCTCGATGAATTCGGCCAGACTCGTTCGCAAAAACGTCTCGCCGACCAGAAATTCGAATCGACGCTCTTTCCAGCCGTCTGCAATTTTTTGAATGAAATATTCAGTTGAGATCTAATCGCCGGAAACTCGGACGGATTGGCTTCCTGATCCCCAACAATCTCGCCCGGAACCGCCTCCACTGTCTGAACTCAAAATTCCCCGCAAAAAAAATGGACGAGCGCGGGACCCACCGCTCAACCAAAGGCCCTCGAGAAGTCCCTCTCCAAATCATGGCCAAACCCAATAGATCTCTCTGACAGCTAGCCGGACGGAATCAAAATCGCCGCTCAATCTCTCGGAAGTCCCATCTGGTGCTCCCCATACTTCAGTCCGAGACTATGGCGCGGAGAGACGACGAACGATGATCCAAAGTCGCAACCGAATGCCGAGAGCTAACCAAAGGAGCCGAGGACGGGACGGGCTCAGCAGCAAAACCCGGGAACGTGATCCCAGCAAGACAAAGAGGAGGAAATATGGTCCCGAAAATCACGTGGTCCTCCTACGCCCGTGATCGGACTGACTTTGTCCGCAGCGCGTCAAACTTCGCTGGATTCAACGGACACCAAGTAACCAAGTAACTAAGCATCCAAAACTTTATAAAAAGCTCACCATCACTCGCTTCGATCGTTTTGTTCAGCAACAAATTCAAATCGTCGCTCTCCACTGAAGTGGGCACGTCGAACACAGAGTCCGGAATTTGAATACTTCTGCAAGTTTGTTCAAATTTTTTCGTGTTTCAAGAAAACCAATTTACTCATTTTTGTTTTACCAGTTTTCAGTCTCACGACTTTATTAGAGAGTGAGACACATGTGAGATCCAGGATTTCACAACCATATTCTAGGAGGGGACGGGTATAAATCTTGTTCAGTTTGACATGAAAAGCAGCAATTTTGGAGTGAAAGACATCGAATATTTGGCGGCATTCACACGTTTTTTCAAAGTTCAAGTCATTGTCTACTCACTCATCGTCCTCATTGAAAAAGCTGATTTGCACGTGCTTCTGATTGGCCGACGCTCCGTTCTCGACGTCCATCGCTTCGGAAACGTCCATTTTACCCTGAAAACATTCAAATTTATTCCACATGTATAGATTTTCAGAGAAAAAAAGCGGGCAATCAAAGAGGAGAGAATACACGAAAAAACCGGAAAAATCTGAGATGACTGAGATAAAATCAAGCATTTTGACATGAAAAATTGTAGAAAATCCGGGGAAAATCCAAAAATTCTAGCGTTTGAATAGCGACCAGAATGCGGTGACGGCGACGCCCAAAATGGCCACAATGAAGGCGGATTCGCGGTTGCGACGTCGCTCGTTGTGCTCCTCGAGCTGAAACACTCGCGCACTGATCGTTCCCATCTGCCGACGGAGCATTTTGAGCTCCCGCAACGGATCCTCGTCCACGACCATCGAATTGTCCGTTCGCGCCGTGTCAATCTGCAAAAATCGGCAAGTTTTCGGGAAAAACTGAATTTTCCCGCCTGTCTGCGTGCATCCTCAACGGGATACTGTGTATCGGCGACCGTGAGCACTTCGGGCACGTCATTGAGCTGATAACCGTAATCCGTTCGCATTTTGTCCACGCTCGCACCGTACTCGTCGGTGATTCGGCCGTACGTGTCCCCGCCGGTTACCGTAATCCGATCGGGCACCTCCATTTGCTCCACGAGCGACTGACGGTTCGTCCGGCGGCTCGATGATCCGGTGGGACCGCGCATTTCGTCTCCGGTAGCTGTAATGTGCTCCGGAACGAACATTTTGAGCTGAAAACGTTTTTTTCATGGTCTTAGAAAGAGTATGGAAAAAATCAAAAAAAAGTGGCAATAATCGAAATTTTAGTGTTCGAGTAAGCGAAATTTGAACATTTTAACTTTTGTACACTAAACTCCGCCTTCTTGGCGATATTTCGCAATTTTCCCACTTGCATCACAGATTTATACACTTTCCGCTTTTTACAATGGCATTATGACCAATTTGCATCAAAATTATCAATTGGAGATGGCAAATGAGTAATTTTTCGGCACAAAACTTTATTGAGGCGATAAATCGATAGAAGACCACATTTTTTCATGGTTTTTCGAGCGGTAAGAGATGATTGTCATCGATTTTCGACTAACATCGACACGAAAAAGCCTTTTTCAAGTCAAAATTACAGCGAAAACTAAGAAATTGAATAGAAAATGGGTGGAATTGGCGAGCATTGTTTCGAAAATGGGGACTAGAAGAGAGGTGGGAGATTTTTAGGCCGCGGCCACGAGACATTTAGCGGGAGGTTGAAGTGGGAAGGTGGGGAAACTACGATTTGAGCGGGAGAACGGGTGAACAGAAAATAAAGGAAATGGATAGAATATTCTATTCTTATTATAATTTTCGCATTTTTTGCAGCAAAATGTGAAGAAAAATGGCCGAGATTCATGCAAAGTTAAAGGTGCATAGACAAATGTTGAACACTGGGTTTCGAGAAGAAAATTGAAAAGTTACGGTAGAATTTTGAAAATGTCTGGAAAACGTAGAAAGGAGTTTATTCTCGCTTGAAATTTTATGAATTCCCCGGTTCAAATCGCTGAAATGCATCATTTTCAAATGTAAAGAAAATTTTCCCTCTGCAAATTGTCCAACATCCTTAATTTTCATCAGACAAAATTAATCCAATAAATTTCCAGGGTAAAAATGTCGTTTCCAACGCTTCAAGTGCGTCCGAACGAGAAAAATCCGCAAGTTCTGCGTGCTCATGAGGTATTTTTCAAGTTTTTTGAAAGAGAACCCGAAGAAAATTTGTTTTCCTCCTGAAAATTCGGGAATTTCAGTTTTTGCGTCAATCCAATCAATTGGTGGAGCGAAATTTGATTAACGGAGAGGGAAAGAAGGCGTTGGCGAGAATGTTGTCGAAAATGGTCAACGAAGGTGCGGGTTTTCTGGAAAAAAGGGATTTTGGCGAAAAATGACAATTTTCAGTGAAAGGCATCTACGCTCTGGACGAAAAGCGTGTGGAGGCGAGCAAGAGCGGAAAAATGATTGATAAGCTCAAATCGGCGCATAATTTATCGCTTTCCATTATGGAAGATCGGTACACTCTCGCCGATTTGTCCAGACAAGTTCAGCAGAAAAAATTGGATGTTCAGAGGTGTGAAGAAGTGTTAGATGACTTGTTTCTTTGAATATAGCTGGTACAAGCCCGAAACCGTAATTTGCAATCTTAAAATTACAAAAACACGACTTAGAAATCATGTTTTGGTTCGAAAAGACTATCAAATGGTCTCTTCGGCAGAAAGTCATCAAAAGTATCGTCGACAAGACTTTCCAGCCTCGTTTGTTTCCCCAAAATGCGCTCGAATTGATGGAGAAATGACGACAAAAACGAGAAAAACAATCGCGGTGCGCACTCCCGATTCAAACGCGCGCCAATGTTTTGTCGCATCGCTGCGAGACCCGTCCGCTTTTTGACCTGGCCGCGCAGCAACACGAAACATTCGATTTCGGTTGTTTTTCTATCGACTCTAGCACAATTTGGCGAACGAACAGAGGCCGAAAAGTCTTATCGACGATATTGTAAGTGATTTTTGTTGCTAGAAAAAAAAGTTGCAAGTGTAAAGTTTCAAAGTTAGTTAAAACTCCATTTTTTCCAGAAAATTCTCGGAAATCGAGCATCTCCGCAAATCGGTGCAATCGACAAAGAGCGAGATTCAGCGTGAAAAGGAGAAGAATGAGAAGCGACGAGCGCAGTCGAAAAAGGCGAACGAGGAGCTGGCGACGCGGTCGGCGGCCATCCTGAAGCACTTGGAGAACTCGGCGGGCGTGTGCGAACTGCGGAGAATGGAGGAGGAGAAGCGAGTGATGGAGGAGAGTGTCGAGGCGATGCGAGGGGCCAAGAAGCGGCTCGCCGACGATATTCGAACGAAGAAAGCCACGTGTAAGGCCACTTGAAAAAAAATGGGCTTCTGGTGAACCGCACACTTTTTGCAGTGAAGGCGGAATCGAAAAAATCGTGGCGCAAGACGGTGATCGAGTGTGCGAAACAGTACAAACTGGTGCAATCGCTGACGCCGAAGCTCGAAAATTCGCAGCGAAATGTGGAAGCGTTGCTGGAAGAGGAGGAGATTCGGAAGGCGAGCGGCAGTCTCGACGAGACGATGCCCTTCGACCGCTCTTTCGTTTTGGCCTCGGTGAGCCATTTTTCTTCTCGTTTTTGAAAATCTCTTAGCGAAAACTGAGCACATTTCCAGATGGAAAAGGAGAAATCGCGTCCGACGTCTCCGATACCGACGTCGTCGACCTCCGTCATTCCGAGTACGACCCGAATGCCGTCCCAGCGCGTTATTTCGTCTCCGCCGCCGAAAAAACGGTCGGAAAGCGCTCCAGAAGCTCCAATTGTTCAAAATTCGTCGATTCGAGACGAGGAGCCGTCGGGCGAACACGAAAATGACGTGGAAATGGTAGAAGAGCGCGAAACTCCGGAAGAAAATGCGAGAATTGTGATGGAGACGCAGAGAAGTGAGGTGCAAATGATGGAGGAGACTCGCGGTGACATTGGTACTTTTTTAATTGCTACGAATTTTTGACATTTTTGACATTTTCCAGAAGAGCAACAATCGCAAGAAGAAGTGGAAGAAGAAGAAGAAGAACAAGTGGAAAATGTGGAGAAGGATCGATCGGTGGACGTGATGGAGGAGCAAGAAGAAGGAGAGCAGGAGGAGCCGATGGAGACTGAGGAGGAGCCCGTATTTTCCCAACTATTGGCGGCCGACAAGAAAAAACAGCTAGAAACATCGGCCACTGCGCCGAGTTTGGCTCTGAAAAGTCCGTCTTCGAGTCAGAGTTCCAAACATTTGAGCCAACAAAGTCCGTCTCCGACCGCTTCGGCTCCGGGATTGTCGATTGGCCAAAAACGGACGAGAACGCAGAAGTCGGTGGCCGAAAGTGTGCTGGAGATTAGCAAGAATAGCAAAGGTGAGAGTAAAACTTCTCGGAAAATCCCTCACTCTTCCCGTACGTAGTGGGAGGGGAGGACTGTAACAGGTTGCCAAGTTTCTCAAACATCCCGCACCAATGTGCGTTGCCATCAATTTTTTACGTTCGAAAAAAGTGGAAAAGTCCTTGAAAATCGCATAAATCCATCAGAAATTGAGGTCTAGGACACTTGAGCGATTGGTTTATTGGCGCTACTACGAACACGTCTTTCGAATTGAACATTTTCGCTGATTTTCTGTAAAAAATGAAAGCAAAACGATTGCAGATCCATGCGGAGACCTTCTGAAAGACGTGGCCGCGCGTCTGGAGCAACAGGAGGAGGCCGAAGAGATGGTCTCGGAGCACAATTCCGTCCGCGGCGACGACAACTTTTCGTTCAATTTCTTTGGAAAAGTGGCGGGAGCCATCGAGGCGAACGACGAGCCGGACGAGCAGAGCGATCTGGGCTCCGATGCCAGTCAGTTTTTTGCGATTGGTTCAGCGAAAATTGTGGAAAAATGAAAACAATTTGGGTTTCTTTTCAGATTTCGACTTTAACTTTGGCGGAAACGGCTCCGACGACAACAACGGCTCGGGCGCATTCGACTTTTTGGGCGGCGGCAACGATGACGTGGCGACGACGTCGAATTCGGATCCGTTCGGCTTTGGAAAGAGCGGTGCGGGCGGCGGGAACGGCGACATGTCGTTCAACTTCAATTTCGACGCCGAAACTGCGGACGGAGAGGCGGCCGGAGAGACTGGCGCCGCAAATAGCACTTTTTTCAATTTTTAGGAATTTTTCTCTGAAATTTCACCATCACAATCATGTAGCATTTCTGATCGTGTAAAATTTGTTTGTTATTGCGTTTTTTTTTTAGAGAAGTTATTTGTTTAAATGTTGTGGATCAATTAGAGCGTGACAAAGCCATGAGGATAAGTAGGTTAGGATTATTGTATAAGATTACAATTTTTTGCGTCTAACCTCGAATTTCAATTGGTCTATTGTACAGGTGAAAGTGTGAGAAATGACCAGCCCCCTCCCCCGCTCTGCAATTATGAATACTGCCGATTCGTTTCGATTTCATCCATCGCGAACCCACCTAATTGTCCTACCCGCACTTTCTCTGTCGTTCGTTTCGCAACCCCACACAATATGCATAATTATTGTAAAGCCACCACAATTCCGATTCGAAATCGAAGAAGAAGAAGACGAAAGTGAAAACTGTTGCTGGCGGTCTGCGTCTCCGAACGGATAAGCAATCTGTAGCGGTGGCGGATGACAAGTAGGTCATCTGTCGGAGGATTCCAAACGGACATCTCTCTCTCTCTCTCTCTTTCCAAGAGAGAGAGAGGAAAAGTATACTAGCCACCGCCCATCCAATCCCTTGTCGATGATATTGTCGGTCTTTAGGTCTTTAGGTCACTTCTTCAATTTCACCTTTACCTAGATGTTTTGTAATGTTACATTCTTTGAGATTTTACGATTCAATTCGTTTTTCCACTCTTTTGCCTTGAACTTCTGATTCATTTTTCATTTTTTTTGTAAGTGTCTTCGGCACACACTTTTTGAACCGTTGAATGTAAAAAATAATGCGACGACTACAGATTAAGATCTATGTTTCACGTGTTCCTTTTAACCACCTAAATATTCAAAGTCTCAATTCATTTGTTGTGTGTATCGACAATGTTTATGATATTGGTTTAGTAGGTCATTAGGTCCTTAGATTTCCTTTTTTTCTATTTTTTTGGAACAGTTCCTACAGTATCATTTGTAGAAATCGTTAACTCCATAGTTGCCACGGGCCGGGCCGGGCCGAAATTTCCAAAACTCCGGCCCGGCCCGGTCGGCCCGGGGTTCAAAAAGCGGAAATTCAAAATTTGAATTATTGATCGCATGAAGCCATTTTTTGTAAAATTAGGGGTTTTTTGCAAGCATCGAACATTGAAAAACAAATGTATTTCTCATAAAAAATTCATAATAGCAAAAAAACAAAGAAGAAACACTAAAACTTTAGTTCGAAAATTTTTTTGTAATAACGAAAAAAAAATTTCCGCGAAAATTTGAATTCCCGCCTTTTGAACCGGGCCGACCGGGCCGGGCCGGCACTTCACCGACCCGGCCCGGCCCGCATGGCCGGCCCGAAATCTGGCAAGTCTGGTTAACTCAACGCGTTTTGTTCTGAATTGTCTGTAAAACGGTTTTTCCTTTTTTTCCCCGATTCAGATTGTGTTTTTGTGTATCCTTAGGTCAATTCACTTTTGTTTGCCTACTTGCTTAATGTCGAAATCATAGTTCTGCAAAAGCAAAAATTTTTATCTTTTTTCGAAAATTTTTTCATGGAATGTGATCAACTGACGAAATGCATAACAAAGTGAACTCTGCCCATAGAAAAATAATTGTAAATTTAACTTTTCATACAAAAAAGTTATATCACGGAACAACTCGAATAACCCTTTTGTATGAAAAGCTAAATTTACGAATTATTTTTCTATGAGCACAGTTCACTTTGCTATACATTTCGTCAGTTGATCACATTTCATGAAAAAATTTTCTAAAAAAGATAAAAATTCTTCCGTGTTCTTAGCTCTTCCGCTCAACTCTGCTTGTCACATTTGTAAAACTCATCTAAATCTGCAATCTGATGTGTGAGTTCTACGCACAACGTTGATTTTGATTTTTAGAAAAGTTGCGCTCAAAATATTTACTGTTTTACACTTTCCGCATGCCTTCGTTCCTCCCAACTTTCACCAATTCGATTCTCTCAATTGACCTCGTTTTTTTTTTGCGTTCAAATCGTACCTGTAGCTGTTTGTGTAAGATTGCGAATTTTTAGACCCTCACCCGTCCACACACAGAGTCCCATCAGCCCAATAATCAGAGTCTTTTGTTTCCAACTGAAATGCGCCTGGGCTTTGGGTGTTTGGAGCCGAAAGCTGCCAAATTCTTCCACTCGTACGGACTGCTCGTCGCCGGATACCCGTTCATCTTCCTGATCACTCCCATACTGACCACTTGCTTTCTGGCCACAGGTACCTTCAGCGTTCGCCAATCAAAATGACCCATTTACCCCACACACTTTTGGGCTGTCAATCAAATATTATCTGTTGACGAGTGTACTTTATCACTCGCAACACAAGATACGGATAAGAATGATCTTTTGCGCGGGGGGCGGGCGCGTTACTGCGCCACGGTCTCCAGAGCTTTTGGGGTTATTCAGGCTGTGAAAAAATGATTGTTTTCCGTTTTTTTTACGCCAAAAAATGCAATTCAGCGATGTAAAAAAAACGGAAAACAAACATACGCTGAATAGCCCCATTACAATGGGCGCAAGTGCGCCCCGCCCAATAGAGCGATAGATTGGCGCGAAATTCAAATTTTAACAGCGCAAAATTTGTGTTTTTTGCGAGATTAGCCACAAAAAATCGATAATTTCTCAATTGTCTCTCGATACACCGATTGTATAGGCTATTACGAATTTTTTAAGCGCAAGAGCGTTAAATTTGGTCAAATCGCAAATCAAATTTATCCGTTTGAAGGTTTTTGGCTAAAACTGCGTGAATTTCAGTTGCTTTTCGGTAGTTTTCGCGGTCCTAGCGCTCAAAATGCTTGTATTTACGTGATTTATCATTCTCAAAACCGATTCTGTCTGAAAACGGTCAAGAAAGCGCAAAATGAGAAGTGCGGTTTTTAGGCGGCGAAGGCGAAAAAGCAAAGTCTGCGAAAAATGCGCCAAAACGTCGTTAATTCTGTGAGAATTAGTGTGTTTTCATGTCGAACAATCATTTTTCATCGCCGTTGACGACAAAAATCAGAGAAAAAAACACGTGTGTTCAGGACTGTTCGGTCTGAAGCCAATCAGCGACGCCCTCTACCTCTACACGCCCACAGATGCGCCCAGTAAAGTACGCTTTCAGCATTGACCTAAATTAACGCTCATCTCCGCCGAATTTGATTTTCAGACAGAACGGCGGATAATTCACGACGCGTGGCCCCTCGTCGACGGTACTTTTGTGGCCGGACGGGCGGTGACACAGTCCCGAGAAGTTCAGGTACGATTTTGAGCCACTTGCAGCGATCGGATCGGGTCCAGATTTTGCAGAATTGTTGGGCATGGATTCAAGTATGTTGGGTCCAAGTTTCAGCTCGATCGGATCTCCTGGGCCCGAGATATGTGGATCAGAGCCCGAAAAGGTCGTATCTCGGGACCAGATGATCGGATCGATCTGAAACTTGGACCCAGAAAACTTCAATCCGGATCCAAAAAGTCTGCAAAGTTTTGACCCAATTCGATCATTGCAAGTGGGTCAAAATTAGCCAAATTGCAGGTAGCTGTGGTCGCAAAAAACGATGGAAACATACTGGAAAAAATGTTTTCCGACGAGTTGAAGGCCATGGAGAAGTTTATTCGCAATAATATTACGGTAAGTGCTTTAAAAAAGTACCGTAATCTCGAGTACCGGGCTGCAGGTCGAATTCAACAACCGCACATGGTCCTTCTCGGATCTGTGCCTATCGGGACCGGACGGTCGATGCGCCAACAACGACCACATTCAACTGGTGTCCCGACTGTTCCATCACGGAATCAACATCACCTATCCGACGGTCAGACTTGGCGATAAGTACGTTTTTTGTTTGGCCGACGCCTATGCACCTTGATGATGTAAACTATCCAGAAGTGCGTACATCGCGTCGGCACTGGGCGGTGTCAAATTGGCGAAAGGCGACGAGGGCGAGAATCTCATTGTCGCCGCGTCCGCGTGGCTTTTCATTTATCAAATGAAATTCTATCCGAATCAAATTTCCTACGTCTCGGGCCTGTGGGAGAGGGTGAGTGCCAGCGAAGTGGCCTTTAAAAACAAAAAACAAAAAAAAACAAGTTTTCAGGAGTTCAAAAACCGAATGGACGAGTACAAAACGCGTGCCAAGTACATTTCGATCACCTATTTTCACTCGCAAACCCTCTCCGACGAACTGCAGCGAAACGCCGAACGTTTGGCGCCAAAGTGAGAAGGGAAACGCGCCAGCAAACAAAAAAAAATGTTCACTGGCGCACTTTTCGTGCCTTGACGCTGTTTTTGCAGATTCGTCGGCGCATTTGTGATCTTGGTCGTATTTTCGGTGTTCTGCTCGATCGTCACAATCAAAGGATCCGGATACATTGACTGGGTCGTCACCAAACCGATTCTATCGGTCTTAGGTAACTTTTGTTTCGGGCCATTCTTGAAGTTCAGTTTTTTGCAGGAGTCTCGAACGCCGGAATGGGAATCGCCAGCGCGATGGGACTTTTGATCTATTTGGACATTCAGTACAACGACATCATCGCCGTCATGCCGTTTTTGGTCGTCGCCGTGGGGACGGACAACATGTTCCTGATGGTTGCGAGTCTGAAGCGGACGGATCGCAACCTGAAATACGATCAGAGGATCGCCGAGTGTATGGCCGACGCGGCCGTCTCGATTCTGATCACCGCTATGACGGGTTAGTTCGATTATCGAAATCTCGAGAGAGGGAGTTTGGTGAGGTTGCTGAAAGCTGTGATTTAGGCATTTTCGGGCTTTCCGGGCCTACAATTCTTGGCATCACTTTTAGGCCGAAACTATCTGGTAGCAAAGTGGGTCACGTTTTGCGTCATGAAGGTTTCAAAAATCATAGTGCGCCACACGGTCTCCAGAGCTGACAATATGGGCGTGGCCTCGGGCAAATGGCGTTTTCATGAATTGAGCAGGGTTTTCTCTGATTTTTGTGATCAACGGCGATGAAAAATGATTGTTCGACATGAAAACACACTAATTCTCACAGAATTAATGACGTTTTGGCGCATTTTCCGCGGACTGCTTTTTCGCCTTCGCCGCCTAAAAACCGCACTTCTCATTCTGCGCTTTCTTGACCGTTTTCAGACAGAATTGGTTTTGAGAATGATAAATCACGTAAATACAAGCATTTTGAGCGCTCGAACCGCGGAAACTACCAAAAAGCAACTGAAATTCACGCAATTTTAGCCAAAAACATTCAAACGGATAAATGTGATTTGCGACTTGACCAAATTTAACGCTCTTGCGCTTGAAAAATTCGTAATAGCCTATACAATGGGTCTATCGAAAGACAAATCAGAAATTATCGGTTTTTCGTGGCCAATCTGGCGGAAAACACAAATTTTGCTGTTAAAATTTGAATTTCGCGCCAATGTATCGCTCTATTGAGCGGGGCGCACTTGCGCCCATTGTAAGCTCTGGAGACCGTGCGCCAGTCTTGCAAAATGAGATATTTCGGTCTGAAGCCTAAACCTTCAGGCCGGATTTAGGCCGAAAGGGGAAACCTCGTCAAATTTCCTGAAAATTTCAAAAAAAAAACATAATTTCCTTCTTTTCAGACGCGCTCTCGTTCGGCGTCGGCACCATCACCACAATTCCGGCGGTGCAAATCTTCTGCATCTACACAATGGTCGCTCTTCTCCTCACTTTCGCCTACCAACTCACCTTCTTCTGTGCGATTCTGGCGATTTACACGAAAATCGAAGAGCAAGGCCTTCACAGTATTTGGCTCCGTCCGGCCGTCACCTACTCGTCGACGTCTCCGCTCAACGTCAAGCTATTCTGGCTTGGCTCAAGGCCCGAAGCGCCCAAAAATGTGTCGTGCGGCACCATCTCGTCGGCGTCGAGTGTGAGCAGCAGTGCGAGTATTGTCTCCTCGAAAACCGCCCATCACTGCACTGCCACGTCGTTTTTCCGAAACTGGTACGCGCCCGTCCTTATGCAACCGTGGATCCGGGCGATCGCCGGCGTCTGGTATCTCATCTACCTGGCCCTGTCGATTTACGGGTGCGCGCACTTGAAAGAGGGCTTGGAGCCGGCGAATCTACTTGTGGACGACTCGTACGCGACACCCCACTACCGGACACTCGAAAAACACTATTGGCACTACGGAGCCAGTCTTCAGATTGTCGTCAACAACGCGCCGGACCTCAGAGACCCGGCCGAACGCATAAATATGGATAAAATGGTGGGTAATGTCCAGGCAATTCGACGAGGTTTTGACATACAACATGACCTGGCGCTCTGTTGAGAAACTCTTTTTGCAGTGCAAATTGGAGTCCGTGACAAAAGGTCGGAATGACAAAAGGTCGGAAAAAATGCCAAAAGATCGGAATGACAAAAGGTCGAAAAAAATGCCAAAAGGTTAGAAAAAAATGCCAAAAGATCGGAAAAAAAGTGACAAAAGATCGGAAAAAAACGACAAAATGTCGGCAAAAATGCCGAAAGGTCTGAAAAATATTACAAAAAGTCAGAAAACGGTATTTTAGCAGTTTTCCCACCTTTTTGAATTTTTTTGCGACCTTTTGTCACTTTTTTCCGACCTTTTGTCATTTTTTTTCCGACCTTTTGTCATTTTTTTTCCGACCTTTTGTCATTTTTTTTCCGACCTTTTGGCTTTCCGACCTTTTGTCTTCCGATTTTGTCACGGACTCGCAAATTGAGCGACCTCGGGGCCGAGTTTGAAAAGTTAGGCCATGTTTTCAGTGGAAAATTACTTCGCGGCCTAGAATTTCGGCCAAATTGCGAACAGCGCGCCCTTTCTGTCCGGTGCCCCAATAATACTTTGCTTCCGAGCACTTTTGGCCAAAATCCGGCCTGAATTTTCAGGCTTTTAGGCCGTAATTTCAAATTGGGCAAGCCGGGCCATGTTTTATGTCAAAACGTTGCAAATTTCACAGAGATTGCGAAAATCCAAATGCGAACCCTTGATTTTTAGGCCTCCGCGTTTGCCAACTGCAAAACCGCGATCGGAGACGAGGGCGTTCAGTTTTGGCTCCGTGAAATGCAAGTGTCGGAGGAAATACACAAAATAGAGTATGCGAATGAGGTAAGGCAACACTTTTTCCGGAAAAATTGACGAAAAACGGTGTGCAGAAGTTCTACTCGCACGCCGCCCAATACATCTACTCGGACATGTCGCAACCGTGGGTCGTCGACGTGGTCTGGGGCAAAAACAACGCGTCGGAGCGCTTCATCAAAACGTTTCGATTCATGATCGGAATGCGCGACATTTCGACGACGACGAAGCAGACCGAGGCGACGAACACTTTTCGAGAGGTACAAACCTTTCGGTGCGACAATATTAACACACATTTTCCGCCCAGATCGCCTCACGATTCGAGCGCTACAATGTGACCACCTACATGCCATTGTGGCTTTTCACCGATCAATACGCACTTGTAGTGCCGAATACGGTAATTTCTCAATTTAATTGTATACATTTTGCGCCTAACGCTGAATTTCAGATGCAAGACATAGTGGTGGCGGTCGCGTGTATGCTCATCATCTCGGCACTCTTGATCCCACAGCCGGTTTGCTCGTTTTGGGTCGCCGTGACGATCGCGTCCATCGATTTGGGCGTTTTGGGCTTTATGACACTGTGGGACGTGAATTTGGTGAGTGATTTCTCGAAATCGCCATGAAAATTGATGAGATTTGACATACAACATGACCTACTCGCGGAAAATTGAGTTTTAGGCCCGGTCTGGGCTTTTGTTCGGCTTTCTAGCAGAGTTGAGCGGAAGAACTCAACGGAAGAACACGGAAGAATTTTTTTTTATCTTTTTTAGAAAATTTTTTCATGGAATGTGATCAACAGACGAAATGTATAGCAAAGTGAACTCTGCTTATAAAAAAATAATTGTAAATTTAACTTTTCATACAAAAAAGTTATTCCTTCCGTCTTCCGTTAGCCCCCTTTTTCACGGAACAACTCGAATAACTTTTTTGTATGAAAAGCTAAGTGTACAATTATTTTTTTATGAGCAGAGTTCACTTTGCTATACATTTCGTCAGTTGATCACATTCCATGAAAAAAAAAATTCTAAAAAAGATAAAAAAAAATTCTTCCGTGTTCTTCCGTTGAGTTCTTCCGCTCAACTCTGCTTTCTAGGCTTTCTAGGCCAAAAACTATTTTTTGTCAATTTTGTACCCGTATAAACAAATGTTTTCAGGACGCCATCTCCATGATAACCATCATCATGTCGGTCGGTTTTTCGGTCGACTACTCGGCGCACATCACCTACGCCTACGTGATTTCCAAAGAGACCACGACGACGAAACGTGTTTGTGACGCACTCGGAGATCTCGGTTGGCCGGTGGCACAAGGTTTTTTGTGGATTTTTCGCCGAAAACGTTAAAATTCCGTTCCAGGCGCCATGTCGACGATATTGGCGGTTTCCGTGTTGTCCGACGTCGGCGCCTACATGATTGTCACCTTTTTCAAGACGGTCTTTCTCGCAATCTCCATCGGATTTCTGCACGGACTCGTCTTTCTACCCCTCATGCTCTCGGTCTTCGTCGGGTGTTGTGGCCCGAAAACAGTCGAAAGCGTACGGGTCGCAAAGCCCGCGTTTGTAGGCCGATATTGATCGGAATTTTGCTGTTGTCTGTTTCCTTCCTTCGCATTTTTTTCACCAATCGATCTCATCCCCTTCTCAAACCGTGTGTCTTGATTAACTTTGTATTTTTGACATTTTTGAAATCTTTTATGAAATTCTGATTGTTATGACCAGACGACACGACTAGGTTCGGCCTACTTTGATTTAGGGCCTAGAAGCGTGAACTCAAAAATCGAACCTTTTCATTCACAAAAAAGTTATCAAAAAGCGGGACCCGTTTCGTTTTTGAGAACAACTTGAGCTTCCTGCTCCATCTGCCACTGCACACTCTCGAAATTCCGTTCTCGCATCGGTAATTGCGACGCCAGAGGTCTCGATTGGATTTGCGGACGCTCGTCGGTTGGCGATTGTTCGATTGGTCCTCAAAAAAACGGCTTTGAAACGTCGTTTTCCAGAACAAAAAACCTACTTTGCATCCTTTGAAACGGTACAAAATGGCCGGGAATCGGTTGGCCCAAAAATGATGGCATTGTCAACGGACGGAGAGCACTCATCAGGGCTCCTTCTGCAACTGTGTCTCAGCACTTTTTCACGATGGATATTGTTGGATTACCCAAAGTTTCGCCCATAACCAATAGGCCGTTGCGAGTGGCCGCTTCTCGCGCCGACAGCGCATTCAGCTGATTGACGAGCGCCTCTTGTTCGGACATTTCTGGAAATTATCAGCATTTTTTTTTTAAATACAAAATAGTTGCAGAGATTGAGCGAAAAACGGACTGGCCAAAAAAGTGCGATCATCGTCGATTGTGGGCATCGGCGCCGGTCGGATCACACTTCGTGTCGCCGGAATCGAAGAGGGGTTCGGAGTGTCCGGAGGCGGCGGGACCGGTGCCGGAATGGGCGGTTCGACTGGGACCGGCGGAAACGGCGGTTGCGAATTTCCACCGGTTCTTTCGGATACGCTCAGACCGTCGGGATTCATCTGGAAAATTCGAGAATCGATTGGCACGGCGACCAAAAACTTAGAAAGGCTCGTGGCCTAGCGCACGGTCTCCCACGACGCGAATGATTTCAATGGGGCGCACTTGCAACAGGCGGGCTGTGTCGATTTACGCGGTGGCCGATTAATTAATTTTCAACGGGAGTTTGCGTTCTTTCCATGTTTTCTGTACAATACACCTATTTTTTGTACGCCCGGATCCTGGATTCGAATAATTAGAGCACTAGCTACGTTTTGGTAACAGAAATCTCGCATATCGTTGAGAATTAGCCGAGTTATTTCGATTTGAAGGTTTTGGCCTGGATTTTGATGTTTTTCGAATAGTTTTCGAAAACTGCTCAAGAAAACTAACCGCCGGAACCTGAATTTTGTGAAGAAAGATTTAGCGAACATTTTTATCGTTCGTTGGGCTCATGAAATGCAAAATGAGCTGAAATATAAAGGTTTGAAGTTTTGACGAAATGCGAAAAAGACGCTAAAAACATGAAAAAATCTAAATTCTGTAAAGAGCGGTTTCCAATAAGTAAAATATTGTTTTCAAGACGTTTTTCAAGTCAAAAAGAAAGAATTAAAGGTCGTAAACTCGAATTGAACCGCATTTTTAGACCTGCAAATATTCAAAAGTTACAACGACACTCCGCAATTTACGAGCGTACTGTGTTTAGCATTAGCTGCCCTCGGAGACCGTGCGAACATCGAAATTTAACCCCATTTTTCATGTTTTTCGTCAAAAATTACCCAAATTTTGGCCGATTTCGACGATGTAATTGCATAACTTTTGTTAAACTAATCATCGCGCGCTTTTTGAGCATAAAACGAGCAGGTTTCACTCAGAAATGAATCAATTGAATCGATTTTCAAGTTTTGTGCTGAAAATGCGCGAATTTCAGTCATTCGCCGACACTTTTTGCCGTTTGAACGCTTAAAATACTTGTATTAACGTGCTTAATCACTTCCGACACTCACTTCGTCTCAAAACTATCCAGATCGGCCGGTATGAAAATTCCGAATTGCGAAATATGCCAAAAACGTCTCAAGCGCGGCGTTTTTACGAAAATTTCAAAGTTTTCTCTCTTTAATGTCTTTTTTCGTCGATATCAAACACACAAAAATATCGGAAAAGTGCGGGAATTGCGAAAATTTTCAGAAAACGCGTCTCAGATTAGGCCACGCCCCCTTTCGCGCCCAAACTCTTTATCCATAGTTTATCCAAGAAAAACGTCAAAACGTTCAGAGCATTCATTACCTGATTGTGCCTGATCGCCGCCTCCTTGGTCATTTGTTCGATTTGTGCGTGTCTGACATTGGTCTCTTCTAACAATTTTATCACTTCCAGTTCTATAAACGAGTTTATAAATGGAAACACGTGAAAAATGATAGAATTACCTGTCCACTGTCCGTCAATTTCCACAAACACAATAACGAGTAGAGCTATTGTGAACTTCATCTGTAACTTGTGTTATGCCGCGTCCAAAGTCTCGGAAAATCCGCAAATCTCGCGGATTTTGCAGTCCAAAGTCGGCAGAAATTTGCCGGAAATCCGGGGTGCGCACAGTTGAACGAGTGTTACCGTACACCGTAAAACTACGGTATTTTTTTTGAAAAAAATTTAAAAATTCTTGAGAATATTTGCAATTTTTTTAAAAATTTCTTGCGTAAATTTTCAACGGTATTTTTTTGAAAAAAATTTAAATTTCTCGAGAATATTTGAAATTTTAAAAAAATTTTTTTAGAGTAAATTTTTCAACGTTATTTTTTTGAAAAAGATTTTAAATTTCTCGAGAATATTTGAAATTCTTAAAATTTCTTGGGTAAATTTTTCAACGCTATTTTTTTTGAAAAAAATTTAAATTTCTCGAGAATATTTGCAATTTTTTTCAAATTTCTTGCGTAAATTTTCAACGGTATTTTTTTGAAAAAAATTAAATCTCTCGAGAATATTTGAAATTTTTTTCAAATTTCTTGGGTAAATTTTTCAACGGTATTTTTTTGAGAAAAATTTAAATTTCTCGAGAATATTTGCAATTTTTTTAAAAATTTCTTGGGTAAATTTTTCAACGGTATTTTTTTGAAAAAAATTAAGTTACCCAAGAAATTTGAAAAAAATTGCAAATATTCTCGAAAAAAATTTAAATTTTTTCAAAAAATACCGTAATTTTGTGGTGTACGGTAACACTCGTTCAGCTGTGCGCACCCCGGATTTCCCGCAAATTTCTGCCGACTTTGGACTGCAAAGTCGGCGAGATTTGCGGGTTTTCCCGAGACTTTGGACGCGACATTAAACAAGTGCGTTTCTGTAAATCCTCATAAATCGAACTATTTATCGATATGTTTCGATAGAAACCAGAGTTGAGCGGAAATGGAATTTTGAAATACGGAAGACGGCAGACGGCAGACGGAAGAAAATTTTTCTTACGGAACACGGAAAACGGAAGACGGAAGAAAATTTTTCTCACGGAAGACGGCAGACGGAAGACGGAAGAAAAATTTTTTCCCGGAAGACGGCAGACGGAATACGGAACAAAAAATTGTCAATTCAGAGCCTTTTTTTCCGGTTTTTTTTTGAAAAAAATAACTAAAGCAACAAAACTTTTGGATCTGGGTACTGCCCGTGGAAATTCGCGTTCTTCGGGACTAGTAAATGGCTTTTGTAAAGCTATTACTCTTTTACGGTAAGAAAAAAAAATCCCGGAAGACGGCAGACGGAAGACGGAAGAAAACTTTTCTCACGGAAGACGGCAGACGGAATTCCGCTCAACACTGATAGAAACCATGAAATTTTAGAGGAAAACATGGGGGGAACGAGTAATTTTCGGGTGCCAAAAGCGAACTGCGAGCGTGTGGCCGATCGGTGTGTGTTAGCTGGCATTCGCGTTGGTAAAACCGGTTCCGAAAGTTTAGCGCGTGCTTTTTCGTCATTTCCAAAGTCATTTCTCTTTCTTCTGTATGCCAAAAACTGTCCTAATCCTCTGACGGATTTGCAATTTCACTTTTGGCGCCACGTCATCTCACTTTTCTCGTTGAAAACGGCTTATCGCGTGGTTGAAGAGAGAGGTGAAAGGACAATAGTTCAATTTTTTGTTCGGCAAACTCGTTGCCGGTGGATTGCCTCAAAACCGAGCAGAGATGGAGCAAAACGGCAGCATGAAATTCGCTGAAATTCGAGTATTCAAAAATTCAAAAAAGCAGTCAAATTCACAGTAGAAAAGCAATCTACAGTAGGTTTTTCGTATTGCTGCTCAGATTAAAAACTTTTCAGCGTGTTGAACAGCAGCCAGTCTAATTATGGAATTTCTTTTTTTTTACCGTTTTGAAAATTCTGAAAAAAATCGGGGTGGTACTATGAGATATGGAGAACATTTTCCGACTTTGACATTCGGCTAAATATTTCTGAAAACTTCTTGAAAATTCGTAAAAATGTGACACTGATCAAAATGACACTAACGTCTCACAAAAGTCAAAATAGCGAAAATTTTACGAATTTTCCAGAAATTTCCAGAAATATTTTGCCGAATCGGAATCGGATGTCGGAAAATGTTCGCCATTTTTTAAAGTAGAACCCCGATTTTTTCAGAATTTTCTGTTCAATACGCCAAGAAGATTTTAATCTGTGCAATACGAAAATCTACTGTGAATTTGGCTGCTTTTTTAAATTATTGAATATTTGTACTGAATTGGTTTCGAAATGTCGCGGTTTCAAAGATATTAGACAATGGAAAAGTGGAATGCGACAGGAATCTTATCTGTCAAACGTGGAATGCGACAGGCAGTACGACTCGGAGAAGGCGAGCAATTATACAACTGTTTCATTAAAAATTTGCGCGTATTCTCCGAATGAAAACAACAAAACAACAAAAGAAAAAAGCGGCGGTCATGGTAATTGATTGTAATTAAAATTTACAACAAAACGGAACAGAAAGTGAATTCCAATAATAAAGCGCTGGTGGGGGTGGGGGTGGGGGGAACTTTTGCGCGTTTCGGCCAAGAAATAAAGCAAAGGTGAGGAGGAAAAGCACAAAAAATTATGCCGTTTTTTTTTGGCGAACTGTTTCCAGATTGTTTGGCTCAAATTTCCAGTGGATACCCGCTTTCTAAGGATGCAAATGAAAGAGGGGCGAAGAACTGATAAAAATGGGTGAAAAAGTCGATAGATTTCTGTGAATTTGTTGAAAAAAGAACAGGAGGAGGGGAAGGGGTGATATGCTGTGGCAAATAAATTTGGATAAATGTGGGGTGTTGAATAAAAATGCCGATTTAGTGTCCGTGATCGTCGTGAATCGTGCCGTTCGAGAAGGTGACGGCCTGAATTCAATAGGACGTTTCGGAAAACGCCAGCATTCTCTCTATCGTACCCCATGAGAATGTCCGTGGTTGGACTCGATTCCGCGGATAGCGCCGATGAGTGCGAATCCGATGAACATGACGAGCAATTTCAGAAGATTCGGGTGCTCGTTGTCACGTTCGTGCAGGAGGACCTGAAAGAATGGGCAAAGTTTGAGAAGAATTCTAGACAAATCTCGTCTGTGTCTTTGCTTTTACTTTTAATCGCTTCTCTCTCGCCCCCAACTCTCAGAATTGCTGCATTTAAAGTTGTGGCCTAGAAAATTCAGGCGTAAAAACTCTTCCCTGCACTTTGATAATGCCGAATGCAAAGAAGAATGCCATTTTAATGCCATTTCTGAGAGTTGGCAAAAAAAGGCAATTCAGGATGGTTCCCTGGCTCTTTAAAATTGATTAAGACTGCAGAAAAATCGTGAAAACATCTCTAAAAAACCCCCGTACCTCAAAAAAGGTGACATAGATGAATGTGCCGACGGCGAGTCCCTGCAGAATAGTTATGGTGACATCCTTCCAGAGAGCGTTGTCCGCCGCCGTCGAGACCGCCAATCCGACAAGGGCGCCGAGCGGAGTCATCGAGGCCAGTGTGAAGATCGAGATGATCACCTAAAACCGAAGAAACATAAAAGTTTGCTAAAGTTTGCTAACTAGGGACGTACTTTTGAGAAGACATCGGGAAAATCGAATAGTGTCACCTGATTTTATATGAATCTTAAAAGGCAATACAGAATTTGACTTTGAAAATTCCTATAAAATCAGGTGACACTGTTTAGCAACTTTTATCAACACAATTCGGTTCAGAACAGCCTACTGTATCGCCCCGAAATCTTTCCAAACATTCGTCGTAAGTAAATAGTTTTGTATTGGGAAAAAACGTTTTAAAACGAAGACGTACCCATTTGATCTGATGAGCATGAGTGCGGAACAGTTGAAGACCGACAGAGAATGCGACGATGAGTTTGTGGACCATGAGCGAGAGGAACAGTGCGAGTATCGTATCGTTGCCCGATTGGACGCCGAACGCGAGTCCCTCGATGATCGAGTGAATTCCGAGAGCGAGCACGAAGGTGATCGAACGGACGCCGTGCGAGTGCGCGTGCGGCCGCGACTTCATCAGAATCGGCGGATCCTCGTCGATCGCGTCGCAATTGGTCTCACAGCGCTCCGGCTCGGCGAACGCCACCGGCGCGAATGTGCTGCAAACAAATTGGTGAATTTTGGGGAAAGCATTGAGAAATAGGGGGGAAAATTGGAGAAAAGCGGAAGAAACGGACAGGGGGCTTTTCAAGAATAAAGGAAAAATGATCCACTGGGGGGAGGAAATCTCGGTGAATACCATTCGATGCTCGGATCATCGTCCTCATTTTCATCCGTGACGAAACGGTAATCGTCCGCATTATTTGTACTACCGTAGGACGAGAACCGATGCAGATTACGGCTTTTTCGGCGACCGTACCTGCTTTTTGTTCAATTTTAGCGCTATTATTTGCCCTCAAATTTTTTTGACCATTTTTTCATTTGAAAAATGTCTTTAAAAAGCTGTAAAATGTTCATTTTTTCGAGTACTTACTGTGTGGCATTGGCAGTACACTCGTTGGAGCCTCTCCGCTCGTGAACTGTCAGCGGACAGTGTGTCTGGCAGTGCCCCGCCTCCTCTTTCTCCTCCGAACTCGCGCGTTTCGTCGTCAGCGCCGTCGTTTCGTCGACTGCAAAAAAAAGAGGTTTTCTCTGATAGTGAGCTACGTGCTTTAGTTGATTCCTGTTTTGATAGAAGAAACAGAGGTGTAATTATAATCAGAAAAAAATTATAAAAAAATTATAAAGCTCACTTTGAAACAGACAAAAAAAAATTTATGCTAACGGTATGCCTTACCAATTTCCTCTTTTTTGGCGTCCTCGGTGACCGCTGCTCCGTCAACCATACAACACCCTCCCCCGCTCCCGGCTCCTGCTTCCTCCAGCGCCTTCGACGGCGGCGGCGTCTGTTCCTGATGGTGATGATGGCCGTGGCCGTGGCCGTGCGCCATCGCCGGAATCGCCATTATCACCACTTCTTCGAGGAAGAAGATGAGAAAGAAGCCGAGACACGAGAGCAGTTCCCCGATCGGATAGTCGATGTGAATTCCGTGCACGTGGTCGAGGGTGTCCAGATTTTCACGCAGTTCCGGGAAGAGGTGCAGGAAACATGTGGCCAGGAAGACGCCTGTAAATTGTGGAAAAAGTAAGGGGAAAAGCGAGTGGATATTTGTGTACAAACCTCCAGAAAAGCAGGTGAGCAGGCAGAGCACCAGAGAGACGTGTTTGTGTTTTGACGAGCTCTGAGCAGTGGCCGCTTCGTGTCGTAGTTTGTGCAAAACCTGAAAAACAACACGTTTTTTTATACAAAATTGTATTTTCGGGTTTTTACAAACAAAAAACTCACTTTCATGGGCGAGAGACCGGCAAGAACGGTCAACGCGAACATTGTGAACATCAACGCCAGTTTCAGTATGATTTCGTTCATTTTTGCTGAAAAATTGAAGCCTTTTGATAGTTTTCGGCGAAACTCGGCGCCGAGCGTCGGAATTGATAAGAAATTGATAGGCGAGGGCGAAAATCGGTCGGAGCGCACAAAAAGTGCAAGAAATTGGAGAGCAACTTTAATTTTTACTAAAGCTCTTGAAAAATCGATTTTCCAGCAAAGTCTCGAGTGTGTTATCGATTTTTAGGCGATGAAAACTATTTAAAAGCGAAAAATGCTAAAAACGGAATGCGAAACAGTCCGAAAACGGGCTTTAGGCCGTGCGAACGTGGGCCTTTAGGCCTGTCGCGCAGGCCTTACAAAAAGACTACGACACTCCGAAATAACGCTCGGCGCCTTGTTTAGCCGCCCAACGACGCCGCTGATAATTGAATTTCGCGCCAAGTTTTCAGACCGTTTTCAGCCGTTTCCAGGGTGTTTTTTGTTGGAACTTTAAAGCTTATCGATAAATTTGATGTATTTTCTATTATTTAAGCCAAAAATTTTGCGATTTTATCTATATTTGATACGTTCCTAAGCGTTTGAAAATTATGCAATTTTTAACGATTTTTTAAACAAAGAACGGTTTAGTTCTGGGATATGTTGGATGTTTAAGTATTTTTGTTTTAAAATTTGCCTATCACAACTATTTTCTCTTCTTTTTTTAATTAATTTTTCCAATAATTCAGGATTTTTTCATGCATCCGTCGCGCCGTCAGCGCTATTTCCGGCCGAACTCGCCGCAACACTCACTTCCAGTAAATTCCTCGTCGGCCAGCGGCCATCCGAACATGAATTCCGGAAATCTGAACGTCCTGGAGCAAGCAGAGCTCGTCATGGACGCAGGGGATAATGGTAGGCGTGAAAATTGCTCTTTTCCGGGAGAACTATGTGGAAAATGCTGAAATGTGTGTAAAAATGACAAAGTCGCTTTTTTTTCAGAATTCCCAGGCGACGATCAGCGCGTGGCGCACGAGGAGATTGTCGACGACGGCACCTCCGAGCATCTCGTCGAGCACCACCATCAGCACGCGCTCCGCGGCGGTCCCTCCTCCCTCCACCACCTGAATTACGCGGCGCAGGACGATCCGCACCGCCCGTCGTCGCAGAATTACCGTCGGACCGTCGGCAGGTCCATGGTCCAGCAGCAGCAGCAGCAGCAAGCCCAACCGCGCCCGCAGCAGAGTTACAATCAAATGGACATGGTGCAGAAGCTGCAGCAAAAGAGCGTCTACATGCCTCCGCAACGCTCGCACACACGAATCTCGCCCACCGGCGCCCGAATTGTCTCTTTCGGCGTCGCAAACGTACGGAAAAGGGGTCCAGACCAGCAGGACGGGCAACAATTGCCGCCGGGCGTCAAAAAATTGTCCGCGGGGATCAGGGGACCGCCGCAGGGACCGCCAAAGAGCCTGCAGTCGGTGAAGGTGGTCCGGTTGGCGCCGACAAGCCACCGGGCCAACCCGACGGCCGCCGAGCACGCACTGCTCGAGATTGAGGAGAAAATCAACGAGACGATCCAGCAGAGCAAGATTAATTTGGACCGAGTCAAAGATTTACAGGTGCGCAAACGTTTTATGGGGGATTTTTTTAGTATTTGTATGGGTAAAATGTCTAACACAATACAAGTTCCAAGACATTGGGACTTCTGTAAGCAACAGGAAAAAAAGTTTAATTAATTTCCTGAAACTGTACATTTTATTGAGAAAAAAGCGTTCAATTTTCAGGAATCGGAGATGTCGGCAGAGGAGTACCACCAAATGACGGGGCATCTGCTGTGCGAGCTGGAGAGAGTCAACAACGCGAACACGTCGCTCAACAACTATTATCGCGATCGGCAACGCCACGAAAAGACCGTCTACGAGGCGAGAGAGGACGCGTTCGCCGCCCGAATCCGTCAGTTGGAAACGGAAAATCGAAAAATGAGGGACGCCGTGTTTATGATGCACATGAACAAGTTCAGCGACGCCGGCGAGCCCGCCATTTATAGGAACGAGCATATGGTTCGTGCGAATTTTAGAGGGAATGTTCGCTAAATTTTCACGTTTTTGCAGGGCGATATGATGGTGGAAGAGCAGGGAGACCACGTGGTTATGGAGGGACACGACCCGAAAACGGAATACACTGAGACGGTACGGGATTTTTGAAGTGTTCAAGCATTTTGACATTTTTTTTTTCTGCAGGAAGAAGTGCCGCCGGACTGGATTGTCGAAGAGACGGTGGAGCACCGGATGCACATGCAAAGTCTCGAGACGGACGAGCATCAACAGCTGATAGAGCAGCACGTGGACGAGGAGGAGGAAGAGGAGGAGGAACAGGCGAAGCAGAAGAACAACCATCTAGAGGATCAGTTTGGCACTGCCGACCGACGGCCTACTCAATGAGATTGAGACCCTCTGTGCAATTCTCGCTCCCCCAATTTTTTGTGAATTTTTCCATTAATTTGAAGCCTAATTCTGAATTTTCCCATTATTGTTTGACAATTGCCTTTCAAAAGAATAACTCCACCTCGCTTAAACTTCATTCATTTACGGGCGTCCCTTTTTTTTAATGAATTTTTAAAGGCATTTTTCTGTGTCATCCGAAAAACTGTTCTGTATTTTGGCAGTTTTTATTACTTGTTAACAATTTGGAAAATTGCTGTTTATCGAGGAAATTTTGCAGAATGTCGGGAGGACTGATTGCCGCCGGTCTCGGACTTGCCGCGGTCGGATTCGGAGCCAGATATGTGCTCAGAAACCAGGCGCTCATCAAAAAGGGCCTCGAAGCGATTCCCGGAGCCGCCGGAGGGGTACTGTGCATTTTTGCAATTCTTTGTGGTGAAAATTGAACTTTTAATCAATTGCCGAACAAATGAGATAGAATTTGCGTTGTGAAAAATTTGTTCTTCAGCCTGGCCTAATTTTTACCCGGCCTTGGCCTATAGACTTTTCAAAGCTTTCAGAACCTTTAATGAGAGAGAGAGAGAATTTCCCATGGCCTAACTTTTCAGCTTTCGTGGCCTAACTTTTGCATGGGCCCTTCCGATCACTGGACTGAAATGTCCAGGGACTGTGACTGAACGAAAGAATGAGAGAAATAGTGTGTGATTATTTGATGAGACTACATATTTCCGCCAAAGTTATCCGCATTTTTGCAGTTCAGCAACTACTACCGCGGCGGTTTCGATCAAAAAATGACGAGAAGCGAGGCGGCGAAAATTCTCGGAGTCACGCCGTCGGCAAAACCGCAAAAAATCAAGGATGCACACAAAAAAGTGATGATTGTCAATCATCCGGATCGAGGTGAAAAAATTTAATACTGTATATATTTTAAACAATGTGTTGAAGAAAATAAGTATTAAAAGTATTATTCTCTCTTCACTGCGCTTCGAGAGAATATGTTTTTCTGCTTCCTCCCTTCGAAAAGTGTTCATCAAACAGCCTTCATTCGACAAGATTAGGTTTTTTTTTTTGGATTAGTTAGGATTTGTAAGTATTAAAGATCATTGCATGTAAAAAGTAATTTCAATTTATAGAAACAGTAATATAAATTCTTGAATGCTCATTTTCCCATCATTTTTCTCTTTTTTTCTCTCTCTCTCTCTCTGCCTCACACATCCAAATGTGCGCTCATTGAGCTGCAAAATGGGAGAATTTTTCAAAATTTATGCAAGGTTTTTACAGGTGGATCCCCATATTTGGCAGCGAAAATCAACGAGGCCAAAGATTTGATGGAGTCGACGAAAAGCTGAAATGGTCAATTTTTGCCGCTATTTCTCGGTTGTATAGTAGAAACGAATAAAAATGCAAAGAAACTAGACCGCCCTCTTTTTTTCCGTCAATTTTTTATCTTGTCACAAACACCGGTTAGAAATTCCGAATTCTATGCCTCTTGGGAATTTGTTTCCGCTTTTTTCCGGGCGAACTTCAATGCATGTCCATTTTCAGGCCAAACTTCACAAAATGATCTCCGCTGACCCAACCAACGACTACAAAGTATCAAAAATTGTCTTATCTCAACAATCTTATCACTCTTCATTTATTTTCTCCCCATTATTTGCAAATTGTACAGTTATGGGGCCTAAAATGTATTTTTTTTTGCAGTTTCTCTATTTTTTGTTGAATTCAGAACGTTAGTATTAATTGTAGTATTAATTGTGATTTTCTTTAGCGTAGTATCTTTTCTCTTCTCTTTTATTGCACGGTTATTCTTTGATGAGAGGACGGCGAGGCCACACTCGGCACTTTTCTTCGGAGAAGATGCGTGCTGCCGGAAAAATATTGACTTATTTTGCTCGCTCTTTTCGTGGACGCGTTTATTGTGCGGAAAACTAACAAGAAACTCGCAACAAATAGCTTTTCGTGCGCGCTTTTTGTGTGTCTTTTTATTAGTTTTCGTCATAATGAACACGTTCCCAAACAATCGGGTAAAACGAATCAAAACTCTTCCGACGGCACGAATTTAAAGTTTTGGCGCCGCGCGCTCCTTGGCCGTTCCATGACTTCAGATGCGTGCCGTCGGCAGAATAATGATTCATTTTACTTGATTTTTTGGGAACTTGTTCATTATTATGTAAACTTAAAAAAAGCTATTCTTTGCGAGTTTCTTGTTGTCCACGAAAAGAGCGAGCAAAACACGCATCTTCTTCGAACAAAAATGTGCCAAGTGGCCTAGTTTTCGCTTCGTTACCGTGCAATAAAAGAGAAAAGAAAAATTGTTTACTATTTCGCCGCCGTTTCGCCACTCGGCAAAGGCGCGCCACTTTTGCGCAAACTTTAAGAATTTTCGCAGATTTTGCGCAAACTTTAAGCGTCCTCGCAGCTTTTGCGCAAACTTTAAGTGTTTTCGCAGGTTTTGCGCAAGCTTTAAGGCATGACGCAACTGCTGTGAAAACATTGCATTTTCAGTACTCTTCGCTTTTTTCAGCTTGTTTTTATGCGTCTTATTGCTTATCAAATTGAAACAACTTGTCTTTTTCCGTATTTCCTCGGTTTGAGCCAATTTCAAGCGAAATTTCGGTCGGATTTCGTTTAGAAGCGAGTGTTATTGAAAATATGGATGAAATCATTTGAATTCGGAGTACTTCACAGTTATTTTCAGCGTTCGTTTGTCTTCTATTCAGCGTTCGTTTGTCTTCTGTTTGTTCGTTTTTTTACATCGCTGAATTGGGTTCTTTGACGTAAAAAAACGAAAAAAAAACAGAAAACAAACATTTTTTCACAAACAGAAAACAAACATTTTCCGCATTATTTAAGACGTTCGAACGATTCACATGCTCGTACTTTGTACTTATGCTACACGTTTTTGGAATGAGCCAATGTATCTTCTATTGCAGATGAAACGCTCACGTGTCCCGACAACGAAATATGCAGAGTCGCAACAGGTGAGAAACGACAGACACTAAAATCACACCAGTATAACATGTTACAGCAAAGCGGAACTTCGAAACAGAGAGGAAAGACGACGAAAGCGAATGTGGCTCAGCGAAAGAAACGAAATGCGGAAGAGTGCACAGAAGAAAAGGAATCATCGAAACTAGCGGAGACGCCCGTATCGAACACAACTGATCAGATAACTGAAGCTGAACCAGCAGCTGCTCACGGCGACAAAGGACATTTCGACGAATTCGAAGAAGATATGTCCGATGTGAACAAACCTGCAAACAGCGCCGCTTCTCTATCGTCACCTCAATTCAAGTTGTCTTCACATTTTGGAAGGAAACAGCCAGAGGAGTGGGGAATGGCGCGGTTAAAGAGGGAAATCGAAGCGGGCGATTTCGTGGCTGTGGGACAGTGCATCAGAGAGGGCGTCCGTCAAAATCAGATAACCGACGTGGAATTAGAGGTACGAGGACATATAATGAAGTTCTTTTCTGTTTTGGAACAAATCGATTTCAGGAATACGCCAAGTGCAATGTCCGTCCAACTTATTCAACCGTCTCGTTCGTCAAGCAACTGGAAAAGTGCAATACTGAGGACACGAAGAATTTCATAGTGGCGCAACACTATTTGGCAAGTTCCGAGGAAAACTTTTTCTCATGAAAGTGTTATTAATTCTTGTAGAGCTCTATGAAGTCTGAAAATGGTAATGCTGTAAAAACTCTCCAAGCGACAGTCAACTCAATGTCCCAATCTATCGCCAAGCACCATCATATTGCTCGACTCACCAAAAGGCAGCTTGAGGCGGATCATCTTATCGCTCCATGCCCTCCATTCACCAAATGCAATCTGAACGTGTTGTACGGTCGAAGTGATCTGCTTGGCGAAAATGTGACGGTGCAGCTGACTAACTTCATAACGAAGATATGGAAAAAAGTGCATAACAGCGATGAAATTGATAGGAAACCACACAATTACAGATGAGCAATCCGCAGTACGAGATCTGGCGCCACACATTCCGTCCCAGCTGCCGAAGAGAAGAGGATAGACACTTCGCACCACTGCCCGAACACATTGTACTGGCCATTCAAGGTGGGGAGATGAACATGCATTTTAGCAGTAATATGTGTCAGATCTCGGATTGGACATGCGTGGAGTCTACCTCCCGCCCTCTCTTCTCGTCGGTCCAGTCGACACAAGCGATGAGTAAGTCTCCATTATTTCATTATGTCGAATCTATATTATACTTTCAGGTTTCTTCACAAAATGGATTGCGAAAATCCAGAAAACGAAGTACAAAGACGACGATCTCTTCGAGCATCCGCACTCCAACTCATTAATTATGCGATCGGACAATCGTTGTGGGTGCACAAAACTCCCCTCATTACGCTAATTTCTCCGATTTCAGGCGCGTGCTCAGAACTCATCACTTCGATGTTCCGTCCCAGAAACTTGTCACGTGCAGGGTATAATTCCTCTCAGTCTGTGACCACAATAATTTTTCTAGAATCGAAAAGTCTGCCGCACCCATTTGCAATGGATCGACGTGAAGATGTACAGAGAGAACGAATGCGTACCGAACGGAAAATTCTGCTCGTTCAATCCGGACAATTTGATTCGCTCGTAAGACAAAAGTTTTGTAGTACATTTATACAACCTAATTGCAGGAAGCAGAAATGTGCATCGGAGCCTCCGCTCGGACAGCATTTGGATTACGAAAGGTAACATCTCCTTTATCTCAGTGCGCTAACAATTGCTCTTTTTCAGTCCCACAGAGGACAGGCAATTCGAGCCCTCCACGGGACACTTCGGACGTCCGTCAACATCCGAAGCTATGCCCAATTATGATGTTGATGAAGACTACACAATCACTGATTTGTAATTCTTCTGTTCACTTTCAACGTATTTTTTAATATTTTTCACGTTTTTTTCCGAATAAAGTTATATTTTCATGCAGGAATGAAGTGAAAACAAAATGAGCATTTAGCGCAAACTTTAGGCAGCTTTTGCGCAAACTTTTAAAACTGGCAGCTTTTGCGCAGACTTTACGCAGCTTTTGCCCAAACTTGCCAGCAGAAGCTGCGCTAACTTTGCGCAAAAGCTGCGTAAAGTTTGCGCAAAAGTGGCGCGCCTTTGCCGAGCAAAGCGGCGCCGCGGTGCAGACGAAAGTCGCAGCGATTTAAGCTTGGCGGAACATCGGTTAAAGGGTTTCTTCGAGAATTTTCCAGACTTTTCTAGTAAACACCCTTCGTATCCCTTTAAATACGTGGCCGCTTCCGGTCGTAACACTCGAAAGCGAGCCAAATTCAATTGGGGGCTCTCGGAGCTCTTCCCCGCCAAGCCCCGCCCACTTTCACTCATCTTTAATCCCTTCCTCTCCCTCATTCTCTTCCTCTTCTTCTTTTTCACTATACACCGCCTTTGCATACACTTTTTTCCGCAATTCTTTGTTTGAAAACACTGGAAAAAGGTTCTGAACCTCTATTTCCCGTCTAGAAAAATTGCAGCAATGACACTGCCACGTTTCGATCAAATCCGTCCGAAAATCGAGGCGCACATTCGGGAGGTGCACGATTTTCCGAAAAAAGGCATCAATTTCAGGTGAGTCTGGGTGGGAAAATAGTGTTGTTTTTCAAAAAAAAAATTAAATTGCAGTTTCTCGATAACCTTTTAGAAGAGTCTAGAACTATTCTTTTTTAATTCACACTGGCTGCTCAGGTAAATCGTTTGTAATCTACTTAGCTAGCTAATTCTCGTTGTTTCTAACCGGACCTAGTTAGATTGCTACCCGATTTTTGAATCTAGCTAGCTGATTTTGCAATCTAAACATAATCTAGCTAGGTTTGCCCGAAATTTTAATCTAATTAGATAAATTTTGAATCTAATATCAGTGTTTTTGCAATCTAATTAGCTTCGCCAGTCTAATTAGAAAATTTATCAGTCCAGTTAGAAGAATTTGCAATTTAATCGCAATAAATTTGCAATCTAATTAGGTCCGGTTAGGAACGCGAATTAGCCAGCTAGAAACGATTTACAAACGATTTACCTGAGTGTCCTGATGCTAGAGCATTTTATGCCCAAAATTGGCTCAATTTCAAAATGAAGCCAATAGTGTAGAATTTTAGAATTTCCCTTTTCATATTTAGGGACCGCAATCTCAAAAAAAAAAACTCGAAATTGAATGAAGGCTAAACTGCCTGAAAATCTGACTGCAAAAACGGATGCCTCGTCTCTGAAACTGTAAAAATACTTAAAACACATAAAGCAGAACGTTTTCGGTATAAATGTTTTCAAATTTGCAGAGACATAATGCCGCTGTTCACGAACCCGCAACTCGTGAACGAACTGTGCGTCGTGATCGCCGACCACGTGCGTCACACAGTCGGCCACGTGGATTCGGTGGCCGGTCTGGAGGCACGCGGATTCCTGTTCGGACCGCAAGTGGCCATCCAACTGGGCGTTCCGTTCGTGCCCATCCGAAAAGCCGGAAAACTGCCGGGCGCGACGATCGAGGCGGCCTACGTGAAGGAGTACGGCGAGGATCGGGTCCAGATCCAGGAGGGCGCCATCAAAAAGAACGACGTCGTCTTTCTCATCGACGACCTTCTCGCTACCGGCGGAACTTTGAGGGTACTCATTTTAGAATGCCTACTTCGCGCGATTTGAATTCTAAAACACCCCCCTAAAATCGCCTGTTTTCAATGGGGCGCACTTGCAACAGGCGGGCTGTGTCGATTTACGCGGCGGCCGATTAATTACTTTTCAACGGGAGTTCTTTCGATTTGAGTTATTTCGATTTGAAGGTTTTGGCCTGGATTTTGATGTTTTTCGAATAGTTTTCGAAAACTGCTCAAGAAAACTAACCGCCGGAACCTGAATTTTGTGAAGAAAGATTCAGCGAACATTTTTATCGTTCGTTGGGCTCATGAAATGCAAAATGAGCTGAAATATAAAGGTTTGAAGTTTTGACGAAATGCGAAAAAGACGCTAAAAACATGAAAAACTCTAAATTCTGTAAAGAACAGTTTCCAATCAGTAAAATATTGTTTTCTAGACGTTTTTCAAGTCAAAAAGAAAGAAATACAGGTCGTAAACTCGAATTGAACCGCATTTTTAGACCTGCAAATATTCAAAAGTTACAACGACACTCCGCAATTTACGAGCGCACTGTGTTTAGCATTAGCGCCCTGGGAGACCGTGTGTTCTGCAACCCTAAACACACCTGACAAACGTGACAATTCCCGGGCGCGTGAGCCACCTGATTTGTACTAAAAGTAGTCTGGGACACCATATCCAACCGAGTTGAGCGGAATTCCGTCTTCCGTTTTCCGTGTTCCGTGTTCCGTAAAAAAAAATTTTCTTCCGGATTTCAAAATTCCATTTCCGCTCAGCTCTGATATCCAACCGTTAAACTCGTTTTGAAACAGCAATTTTTGCAGGCCGCCACCGATTTGGTCGTGAAAGCCGGCGGAAAAGTGGGCGAGGCGTTTGTGCTCATCGAGTTGGCTCCGCTGAACGGCCGTCAGAAGCTGCACGACGTCAACCTGACCACCCTCATTTCCTACGACACCGCCTGATAGCATATCGATTGGTTTTGCTCCTTCAATTCCCATTTTCAGAGCTCTCTAAATTTTCACTTCTCATTCAAATTCCCCATTGAGAAAAAGTCATGTCTTATTGATTGCCAAGAAAAATTATTGCAAGATCGAAACATTGAAGAAAATCATGGAACAAACACATTGGAGCAAATATGGGTGGAAATAGAACATTGATAAATTATGATGATTTTTTTGAGAACTATGATAATACCTCGTTTTTGTGTGGTGGGGGTGGATGGAAAGAAAAATCGATAGGCGCGCTCAACAATTGGGCTACAATAAATACCGGAAAATAGCGGGGGAAAGGGAAAACAAGCGATAAAACAGATCGTTGGAAAATTATTATGAGCTGAGCTTGAACAAACATCAATAAATTATTATGCAATTGTTGCCCGTTTTTAGGCCGAGTCTCCAGACGTGAATTGATTTTGGAGATTTTGTAAATCCTCAATCATGTTGTCCAAATCGCCCAAATGAAGATTGAGGTCTTCTGTCGATTGCGACGGCTGCAAATAATGAGGATATAGGTAAATTAGGTTATTTTTAACTGAATAGGGCAGTCAAACAGAAACAATCTTTCGAAGGTTATAGAAAATTTACATTTTCTCTGAAACACTTAAAAAAAAAATTTCAAACACTTGGTTGACGGGAAATTTTGGAAAAAAGTGAGCTCAAAAAGAGAGGAAATGTCCAAAACCCTACCATCAAGTCCAATTTCTCGACGACATGTGCCGCCGTCGGTCCTTTGATCGGCGTCGTCTCCCTCATCTCCATGCACTCGCCGACCTTCTTCTCCGATTCGCCGGCGTCCGAGGAGGCGGAGCACGCGTACGGCGCATAAATGTTCGCAACGTTGACACGTGGCTGCGCGGTGGCCCGCCCGACGGGCACCTGACGCCGATGGTGATCCGAGGAGGCGATGATCGTCGGACGCATCGTCGAATTCGACGAAGACGTCACGGGCGGCGGCGTGGCGCCCGACAACTGGGTGAACGATCGGAGCGCGTTCGAGTTGGGAGGGGTGCCGCGGAGGGTACGGTAGCCGTCGATTATTGTAGAGGTGGGCGGCGCCTGCATCGGAAGCGGCGGAGTCGACGCGGAGCCAATTGCTGACGAGGAGCCGTAGGGCGACTCGAAGTCGATCTTGTGGATTGGCTGCAAACAAATTGTAAGAGCCACGCGATCCCCCGCAAAACCGTACCTGATGTCTTCCGGTGCCGGTGTAGACCACCTGCGGCGTCCTCTGCCGCTGATTCTCCAGACTTTGCGAGCTTTGATGATAGCTTCGTGTCAGTGTGCCTTGTCCTGCAAAATACTCATTTTTAGGCCACATTTTCCGAGAATCAGAGGGTTTGTGGATAGTTTTTGTGATGGAAAACGTTCAGAAAACGCAAAGAAAGAAAACAGGATTAGAGTGAGTGTGAGAGAAAGACAGAGAGAAAGCATGGGTTAGCAGCAACAAAAAAAAAGAAAAAAAAGAGTCGATAGGATTCTTTTTGAAATGTTTAAGCGTTTGGGGGTACGGTAATAGAGTAAGAGCCAGATGACACTAATTTCAAACGTTTCAGAACAGTCCAGGTACACACCAGAGTTGAGCGGAAGAACTCAACTGAAGAACACGGAAGAATTTTTATATTTTTTAGAAAATTTTTTCATAGAATGTGATCAACTGACGAAATGTATAGCAAAGTGTGCTCTGCTCATAGAAAAATAATTGTAAATTTAACTTTTCATACAAAAAAGTTATGCGAGTTGTTCCGTGAAAAAGGGGGCTAACGGAAGACAGAAGGAATAACTTTTTTGTATGAAAAGCTAAATTTACGAATTATTTTTCTATGAGCACAGTTCACTTTGCTATACATTTCGTCAGTTGATCACATTTCATGAAAAAATTTTCTAAAAAAGATAAAAAAAATTCTTCCGTGTTCTTCCGTTGAGCTCTTCCGCTCAACTCTGGTACACACTGTACCCAATATCAATTAAAAATCTAGGTCAGTTATTCTTCCAATAACGTTCTAGTTCGCTTTTAAATCACAAATTCTCGAGACAGAACAAAACAATCCAAAATTTTCAGTGCAGGACATGTTCATCACTAAAACGACAGTAGACTACAAAACTAGACAAATCGGGAGGGAAAAGAAGCCACAGCATCGTCATCATCAGTCATGCCAAACCAAAAGTACCCTTTGCACCAGCACCACCACCATGACCACTGGTTCCTCCGATCAGAATCGGTTTGGCCCGCGCGACGGGCCGTTCGATTCGGACCCTCGCCGCCACGAGCGCCTCCACCTCGTCCATCTCCTCGTCCGCCTCGTCGTTCGATCCGATCGCCGAGCACATCGACTGGGCCATCGGTGTGCCGCGCGAGCATTTCGATGTGCCACGTGGCACACGTGGCGGACGGCCCGTCGCCGCCGCCGCCGCCGAATACGTGGCCTGATTCGACGATGAGTCGTTGCCGTTTATCGATCCGTACAGCGAATCTGCGGTGGGTTTTCGAGAAACTTCTTTTTTTCATCTTCTTTTAGACATCTCTTCGGATGCTTGAGAAACGTTTTAAACAAAATGAGGAAACATAGGGTGAAAACTAAAAAAAAGTAGGTGGAGAGGAGAAGTGTTAGAGAAGATTGTAACAGAGTAAAAATCTCTGAAAGTGGTCGTGGCCTACCTTGTAAATGATGATATCGCGGCGTCGGCGAATCAATCTCGGCCGCTGTCAGATGGGCGGTCGCGAGGCCGTCGACCATGTAGTCGGAGGCTGAAAAATTAAAGAAATTCAAATTTTAACCCCTCCAAACCGATCTCACCTCCAGCCCTCATATGACTGCCGGTTCCGTTGATCCACAAATCGTTCGGCGGTCCCGCACCCGAGGCGCCGCCCATCGTCACACTCGTCTTCTTGCCCGACTGGTATCCGTTCTTACGTGCTCCTCCGCCGGCGCCCGACCGCTTCACACAACACATGATGATGAGGATGAGGGTGAGAATGAGGATGAGTGCGAACGCGGCGACGAGCATCAGGTAGAGCGGGTTCGAGTGGAGGAGCGATTGCAGCTGATCCAACAGGGATACCGTATCCGACGCGTGCGCCGAGCCGAGGCCTCGCCCGTTTTGACGATCACGTCCCGAAAGGATGGCGCCGCCCGACGGGGTGTATCCGACCACCGAGGAGAACGGTCCGTGACCTTTCTCGTTGCGGGCCTGAATCTTGAAGAAGTAGTTGGCTTTCGGCAGGAGGTTGCTGATCTGATGCGAAAGTTTGTCGCCCGCCACGTAGTTGATCATCCAATCCTTGTCGGCAAGTGAGGCGCGGTCCGTGTAAAACACCAGATACTCTTCGATCTCTCCATTCGAGTATTTCGGTGGTTGCCAGTGAAGTGAGGCCGAGTGCGGGTCTCCAGACTCTGCCGGAAGCACTGTCAGATCGCGGGGCGCGCTGCTCGGCGGTGCGGACAGTGTGCGATTCCGGGTGGCCATCGACCACGTCGAGTATTGTCCGTTCGACGCGACCGCCCGTACGGCAAACTCGTACTCGGTCGCCGGTCTCAACCCCTCGACAGTGGCCCACGTTTCTGTCGAGTTCAAATATCGATGTTGATTTCCGTCAACTGCGGTCGAGTAGCGTACAGTGTATTGCGTATTGAAGGCGCTCTCGTCGGACTCGGTCCAAACGACTCGTATAGAAGTGGCCGAGACGGCTTCAGCTGTCACACCGACCGGCGTCGACTCGGAAGAAGACGTCGACGAAGAATCCTCCGAATCCCCGTCCGATTCCTCTTGGAAATTGTGCGCAACATCGCGAGACAGAGTGCGCACCGTCTCGTAGATCGGAAAGCCCGAGCCCAGGTTGTTGAAGGCCCTCAGCGAGATGACGTAGTCGCGTTCCGAGTGAAGTCGCGCGATTTTGTACTGATTCGTCGAGGCCGACACTCGCGCGGTCTCCGTGTCCGGCACCGAGAGTCCCCAGCCGATTTGGTAGCCGCGCACGAGGTTCTGCTCGTCGGCGGGCGGCAACCACGACACGAGAATGTAGTCGATTCCCGCGTGGGGACGGATTTCCCGCGGCGCTCCGAGTGTGCGTTCTTCCTTGTCTTGTCCGGGCGTGTCTACGGCGACCCAGTCGGAGAAGGGTCCGGTGCCGTTCTGCAAAAAAACCAAACACAATCACTAAGCCCTGTCTCTGTTCATTTCAGTTTCGGAAAAAAAGTTTCCAAAAACTTGTAAACTCTTACATGATTGACAACGGCCATTCGAACGAGATACTGCGTGCTCGGCTCCAGATTGCCCATCGTGTACTCGCGGGCGGTCGCATCGATCACCAGCGTGTTGCCCTTGGCCCCGCGCGCCTTCGTCTTGTACTTTAGCCGGTATCCGGTGATCTCGCCGTTCACCGACTCGCCGTCCGGTTCGTCCCAACTAACTCGCACCGAAGTGCTGCTCTCGGCCTCTGTCTGGATGTTTGTGGGCGGCGCCGACGGCTCGTCCGATTGAGTCCGCACGCGGATCGTGTCGCTCGACAGCCCGGATCCGTTCGATCCTTCCGCCTCGATTCGGATCTGGTAGCCCGTGAATTTGTCCATTCCGTGCAGAGTGTATTGCGTTGTCGACGTCTGCAAAATAACAATTCCAATCGTTTAAAATGCCAGCAACATCTTGTCTTGACACTAAAAAAAATGTGTACCGTGATGAGCGTCTCCTTTTCGGATTTCTCGAGCGGATCGTGCGAATAATAGATTTTGTAGCGCAGTGCGGGTTGTCCGCCCGTCGGCGGATTCCATCGGATTTCGATCGTTTCGGGACCGGTCGCCGTCGCCGTCAGTGACGTCACTTTTCCGGGGACCGCTTCTGCAACAACAAAATTGTCTAGTAAATTGTTTAAATCAAGGAGATGACTCACGCTCTTTATTCGTGCTAACTTTGAGCGAATCACTGAATTTGCCCATTCCCGCCTCGTTTTCGGCAGTCACTCGAATCAGGTACATTGTCGACGGTTGGAGCGAGGTTAGCGTGGCCGACGTGCTCGACGAGTTCACCATTCGTTCGCTGAACACGTTACAGTTACAAGACTTTTGACAACTGGGCCCACTGCACGGTGCTCGGACCGCGCAGTGGACCCAGTTCTAGAAAGTTTTGAATTAATAAAAATGATTCAATTTATGATTCTAAAAGTGGGCTAACTTCATTTTTTCACTCATTTCTCACTAACCGATCGATCGAGTTATCCTTGTAGAACACGTGGTATCGCATAATATTTCCGTTTCTTTGCACCGGCGGATCCCATTCAACATTCACAAAACGGGCGCCGACCGAAGTGGAACGGAGTCCGAGCGGCGCCGAGGCGGTCATCGGAACGCCCGACGAAGCGGCCATCGACGACGAATCTAAAGAGATGTTTTTTTTTGCAATTTCAGGAAAACATCTTGTGACAATATGCCATCATTTTCACGGCAATATAAAAATATGGTGATTAAATGTTAGAAAAAGGCACCCGAATTCACTTCAAAAATTCACGAAAACATCAAATTCACCATCCGACAGCAATTTCGTCTCCTCTCTGACTTTTCCGAGGCCTCGACTGGCCAGAAATGTGGGTCCTAGGCGCCCAATTTCAATTTTTCCAACGTTTTCGCGAGCCTTTTCATTCAAAATATGGTCTGGGACATACCTGGAGCGTCGACGAGAAGCTGAGCACTCGCCTGCTCGCTTCCCACATCATTCTCGGCGATGCACTGATAGACGGCCTGGTCGGCGCGGACGACTCCAAGAATGCGGAGTCTGCAAAAACACAATACTTTCATTTGCTGTTTCAAAAGCTATGCTTGAAAACCCATTTTATCGCTGCAAGAACATACTGCAAACGAAGAAAATTTGAACAACAACGCTCAAACTCTGGCAATTCGATATTAATCTAATTAGAAAGTTACTACTGATCTAAACGCGACCTAATTAGATTCGACTGTTTTTTCTTGGCGCAATCGAGATTTGAGCCAACAAACGGTTGGCGTGAAACTTGATTTGAGTACTTATTAATCTAGCTAGAAGATTTATTAATCTAGCTAGACAATTTATTAATCTAATTAGGTGTCATATCAATCTTATTAGGCCGCCGTTAGATTAATAACGAAATTCCAGAGAAATGTCTTACTGTCTTCAATCTCTGGCATTTCGTTATTAATCTAATCGTAGTCAGCTCGAGTTATACGGCCTAATAAGATTGATATGACACCTAATTAGATAAATAAATTGTCTAGCTAGATTAATAAATCTTCTAGCTAGATTAATAAGTGCTCAAATCAAGTTTCACGCCAACCGTCTGCTGGCTCAAATCTCGATTGCGCCAAGAAAAAACAGTCGAATCTAATTAGGTCGCGCTTACAATTAGATCAGTAACTTTCTAACAAGATTAATATCGAATTGCCAGAGAATCTACAGAATCTACAGAGAATCATCTACAGTATCTACAGTACTGGCAAAAAAGGTATTCGCAAACGGTTTTTTGAGCATAACTTTGCTGATTCGCTATTGTTATTTTTCATTTGCCGGTCTCTCCTAGATATCACAAGTCAAAGTTTCATTTTCCGGTTTTTTACCATTTTCATGAATTTTTCGATTTTTTTTTCGATCCCTCAAGTTTCAGCAAAGTTATGCTCAAAAAACCGTTTGCGAATACCTTTTTGGCCAGCACTGTATATTTCAAAGGTTAGTATTTCTTTAAACCAGATAACCTAATCGACCTGAAACCCTTACGCGCACAGGACAAAGAGTCCGGAATAGAGAGTACAGGCGAGCGTAGAATAGAATTATGAGGTGAAGAGACATAAAACTTCGAACAAAGTCGTACATCAAACAACGATTATACGTCCACGACGTTACAAGGTTTGTGAAACAGAATTGTGATCCAAAAAAAAACCCTTACCTATTCGGCTCGATAACGAAATACTCGCTGCCAATGATCGCCTCGCCATTCTTGTACCACTGAACGTTCGCCTCTGGCCTCGCCGCCGCGGTTCCGCACTCCAACTCGACGTCGGCCGTCTCGACGGCCACCTTCTCGGCCGGTCGCGTAGTGATCCTCGGCGGCGCACGGACCTCCACCGACACCGCCCGATCGATCGAATCGTCGTTGTTCGACGCGCGACACGTGTACAGTCCCGTGTCGTCGATCGACGCCTTCGAGACGAGAATCGAGGAGACGCCGACGCGACGCACGCGTGTTCCGTCCACGATTATCTGGCGGGAGTCTTTGAGCCAACGGACTTGCGGTCGGATGCGCGACGCGACGAGGCACTCGAGCAGAAACTCGTCCGATTGATCGAGCACTTGGAGGCGTGGAGTTGTGATGAACGTCAGCTCGTTTGAGACGTCGCCTGGAATGAGAGAAAAATTGTGTTAAAGGTCTAGAAACTTATAAAAAAGGCCTACCCGTGGTCACAGTCAATCGGGCCGTCTGACTGCTTCTCCGTTTTCCGGCTCCTTCTACCGTACACCGGTACGTTCCTTCGTGTCTCGACTGCGTCGAACTGATCTCCAGAGTGTTCGACACGGGCAGAATGTGGTACTCGCCTGCAATCTTCTTTTTTTTAAAATTTTCATCCCCCTTTTCCTTCAATCTCTATTGTTCAGTAACTTCAGTTCCCCTCAAAAAAACGGGGTTTTCCTCATCAATTTGTGTGCTCGCCCACAATTAAATTGAGGAAAAAACGCAAGCGATTTCAATTTGTTTTCTGATTACTCCCATGGGGGACGAGAGAGAGAGGAATTTATAATGCCAATCAAAGCGTATATCGAAACAAATTTAGTATTACTTCACTTCGATCAATATGTGCATTTTTCGTGCCTATTTTTGGTTTAAAAAAAGCCAAAATTTCAATTGAATTACCTCCATTAGCAATCGGTTGATCGTTGTGAAGCCAAATGACCGACGGTGTGGGCTTGGAATTCTGCAAAAATTTCAGAGAATCCTATAAGTGTTTCAACAACAAAAAAAACGCACAATAAGACAATGAAACGCGGTCGGTTGGCCTTTCGCGACTGTTCGATCGATTGGCTGCAGTTCGAATCTGCAAACAATTGTTTGGAAAATTGCAAAAAAAAAGTGTCTACTTTGCCAGATCGGCCAGCCGCAACGTGGCTTTTCGGCTCATAAACGTCCACGTGTCCGTCGTTGCGGGCTCGTTTTTGGTGGAAACATGCACGGCGCACTGGTAGACTCCCTCTTCGGCTCCGGAAGCCGATTCGATCCACAACGAGCCATTCGACATTACTTTTCTGCAAAAGATATATAAGACTTGATTTTGAACAATGTCTGTAAAAGTAGTCCATACTTTAAAAATCTTTAACACAGTTCTTAGTAGGATAAATCCTCCGGGTATCCATTTTTGTCAAGTATTCATGATTTCTACCACCACCGGTTTAGTTTTTTTGCGGCAAGACTAGTACATTTGCAAATCTTCAAAGAATCCCCCTGTGCTCCGTTCTATTTCATAGCATAAAGATGATGTTCCCAAACACCTTCTGCCCCATCATCGCATCCCAACTTCTGTTGCTTCTCTGCCACTTCCGTGTGACCACACTGAACATATGGTCGTGTTGTGAATCCTTCTCAAGTGCGATGAGCAGTGCATAAGTGAGTAGTATCCTCCTCCTGCTGTGTGTGTCTGTGTGTGTATGTGTACATTTTCTCAGTCCCCCATAGACAGATGGTCCGAATGCGAATGCTATGAATAACTGCTGCTCGCTGCCGCTCTCCTACTGCTCCACAAAAACAAACGCCAGGATTAGGAGGAGGTGTCGTCAACGATCGGGACGGGGGGGGCCTTTTAATTATCGGATATTGCGGCGCAACCAAAAGAGGAAGGGTCAAGAATCAATCTCGTGGGTCCACCATCTTAACTCGTCAGATTTATTCACTGTTTCAAACATTTTTTATGCTAAATGTTTCAGCTACAATGAAATGTTTAATTGTAAATTTCGTCACTTCATTATGCCGCGTCCAATGTCTCGGAAAAACCGTAAAAACCGCAGATTTTTCTGTCCAAAGTCGGCCGAAATTTGCGTGAAAAACGGGGTGTGCACAGCTCAATGAGTGTAACCGTACCCCTAAAACTACGGTATTTTTTGAAAATTTGTTAATTTCTTGAGGTTATTTGAAAATATTCAAATTTCTTGCGCAAATTTTCAAAAAATACCGTAGTTTTAGGGGTACGGTTACACTCATTGAGCTGTGCGCACCCCCGTTTTTCACGCAAATTTCGGCCGACTTTGGACAGAAAAACCTGCGGTTTTTACGGTTTTTCCGAGACATTGGACGCGGCATTACAAAATACTTCTTGGTGTCACGAGGAATACCAGTATTACAAACAAGATTCTAAAATGCATTTCTTCCGCTCAACACTGGTAAATAGAACGGTTCTAAGTAGAAAAGCTAGACATGTCGAACATTTCTTGGATTTTGTCACTCAAGCCTCAGGCCACCCTGGTCATTTTCAGTCATTATTCCCTCCTCCACCCACTATTTATATCTCCCTCTCTTTTTCTCTAAATTTTTCTGATGATGTAATAAATGAAGCGAATAAATGAGTTATTATTTAGCCACTCTAAAATAAAACCGAAGCTGAAACATTTATCATTTGTTCGAACACACTCGACTCAAATTTCAAAGTGTCCTTGTGCTTTCTCAACTGCACACTTTTGCAAACCTAATTTTCACAATCTCTACGTCCCCTAGCCATTCAGGCGCCGTTTTCTTGGTGAAATCGAAAATCGAAATGGGCAAAACCCGATTTCAATGTCGTTTGCATGGCGAGATCGGTGAAGACGAGGAGCCTTGAGACCTGTCACTCAAACAGTGCCCTCCGTCCACCAAATTTGATCAAAAACAGTGCTTGCCGTCGATTAATGACCATGAAAAATGGTGATCGTGAATTTAGGGCCCTCATTCTTAGACGCGACATTCGGATTTGTGTGAGTGACTTGTTTACCTATACCGACTAGTAAGGATTGCATGACAAATGGCCGGAAATTGTTACTCGCAGACCTTTTGGATCATATTTCCCACCGAGTGACAAATGAGCGAGGACGAGAAATCAAGAGATTCGTGTAAAATTGTCGCACCGAAACGTGTCAAATCTGGCCGTCCTTTTTAAATATTTTAGTTATATACATTGTAGGCCTCATCCGCTCCTCTTATTAATTCCTGTTTCGCCCGTAGGGAGTGTGTCTTCGAAAATGTATATATTTATGGAAATGAGTTTCTGTTCTTCAAATTCTTTCCTCGAAAGTGTCACTTTCAAAGTGTATGGTGGGACCCTTTCTAATCCCTTTTTGCATCGAGCTGCTAACATCAAAGTCATGAAAATGTGTGCTTCTTCGTCGCCGGCTTATTCATGCATACGTACATATAGCCATTTACAAAATGGCGCGGGCACTTTATGAGGCGGGCAAACTATTGTGTTGCACACGAATTTCGCAACAATTTCTTGTTGGTTTGAGGTTCACGGCAGACGCGTCGAGGAGGGAAAAAGAGACAAATGACTCTTATTTGTGAGCTTTCATAACCGAAATAGTTGGATTTCGCAACAAGTGTTCCTAGTTTTCTTGGAAACCACGCAGACGTTTAGGGAAATTGGAGAGAAGTCGAGGGATTTTGCGAGGAAAACATTCGAGCACGCGTAGTTTCTTTGGAGGCTTCATAATGCCGCGTCCAAAGTCACGGAAACCCCGCAAATCTCGCGGACTTTGCAGTCCAAAGTCGGCAGAAATTTGCGGAAAATCCGGGGTGCGCACAGCTGAACGAGTGTTACCGTACACCATAAAATTACGGTATTTTTTGAAAATTTACCCAAGAAATATGAAAAATTGCAAATATTCTCAAAAACGTTATATTTTTTCAAAAAAAAACCGTTGAAAATTTACCCAAGAAATATGAAAAATTGAAAATATTCTCGAGAAATTTAAATTTTTTCAAAAAATACCGTAACACTCGTTCAGCTGTGCGCTCCCCGGATTTCCCGCAAATTTCTACCGACTTTGGACTGCAAAATCCGCGAGATTTGCGGGTTTTCCGAGACTTTGGGGTCTTGGAAAAACAATATCGCTATGAAATTGGTCACAACTCCAAATTTTACTCGAAAAATTAGGTTGCACAGACGTCGAACCGCCAAAAAAGGAGACAAGACACCATCTGGCGTGTCCCGTTGTGACGTCATCTCGCAAGTGAGAAAAGGGTCATTCTAATTGCCACGTGTCATATTTACTACTGTACTGTGAGGCACGTCATCAGATTCTATGCAATCATTTTTTATGGAGATGACTCAATTATGTGGCCTTGTACATTTCGCAACCAACGACGATCCTTATAGTTGCAAAGCGACAAAAGTCAGAAAATCCTCATTTTCCCAGGCTTTTCCGGTAAAATGAGTAGAAAAAGGTTCTCGACTAGTGTTGCAACGTCATTCGTACAAAAATGGTAGTGGTTCAAGAATTAGTCATCACGGGACGACGAGTGTGGAAAACTGTGGAAGCGAAGGATGGGAAAAATTGAAAAAAACCTGGTGTTTGGCTGAAACTAACATTCTCGAGCTGCTCCTTTCGCTCAACACCACTCCGTCGCGTTTCCACTCGACGCGCACCGTCTGCACGTGTCCTTCGTGTGCCAAAACGTACGAGCATTCCAGTAAATGAGCGGAGCCTTCTGTCACCGTCACATTTCGTTGCGGCTCGATTTCGAACTGGAAGCCGAGGTGGCGGGCGTCTGGAAAAATTAATTTTTGGTGCCAATTGTCAAAGCAGTTTCTGCGTGCTCTTCGAATGCATTTTTTTTTTACAAATGTAATCACCATGAAAATTGTTTGTAAAATTCATACACCCCATAAATCCGCATTTTCCCATCAAGAAGACCTTCGTCTCCGTCTCCGTTTCTCCCCTATTATTATTATCGCATTAATATATATTTCTCACAAAAGCGCGTGGAATGAAAAGATTGCGGGCATCTTTTATGGTCATCGGGCACTCATCCACAGACATTGTTTATGAATTCAAACAAAAAAATGTATCGCTAATGCTTCAAGGTCCTTTCTCTCGCATTAATTGTTTAATTAAATCTTGCTAATCTCTTTCAAAATATTATTCCTTTTGCAAAAAGTGTTCACTTGTTTTTCTCTGACTTCTACTATTCAAAACAACAATAGGCACTGCTTTTCAGGCCAGTAAATCATGTATTCTTCGATAAATTGCGAAATGTCCATATTCGGTTATTTCTCGATAGAATATCCAAGTTTGCCAAGTGTTCCGCTTAAAAATTGCGGCCAATTAGTGAATAGTGCAAAACTTTCGCATTGTCCTCATTCATTTATTGCGTCGCCCATTAAAATGACAAATGTCGGGGCGGGTAGGGGTCCGAACATTATGCAATCAACCAAACGGGGGGATCTCATCCATCACTCTCTCATTTGAACAACAAGAGAGAAGAAGAATGTTGTCACAATTCATTTCATTTTCACATTCGAAGAGACACGAGTTACGCTCCAATGGATAGAAGAAGAGATGCGATTAGAATCTTTGGAACATTTCCTTCGAATTCCACGAGAGATATCTTACTCAATCTCGGACTTGGAGCATTCGAAATTGGTGGACTTGACAACGTTTCATTTGTTGAACACTTTGGAAAGGGATTTGAGGACTAAAAAATTTGCGGGTCCAAAAGGAACATCACTGTCCTCACTCACTCATACAAAAGGAGTTTTCGACAGTTATCTACCACCTTTAACATCTTTACTGAACTCTTTGGAACGAATAAATGGATTTGCTAGGTTCAATTGTGAAACTGTAACTTTTCACAAAAACTTTTCGGCTCGTTTTGAAGAACACGTTGGGGTACAAGAACGGCAACAAGAAATATGGGCGTGCCCTCGTTTTTAGCTATTATTTTAAAGGACCAGGGAACCCAAAAATTTTTTGATTGATTTGTGAAATTTTTTTGTGACTGTTTGAATTGTCTCTTATTGCCTCATACACTGGTGAAATGCAGCCTCTCAAAAATGCCAATGAACGAAACGGCATGCAGTTGAAGTTGTGGCCGTGGCCTAGCGCCAATGGCCTAGAAATATGCGCTTCTCGGCCATTTTATTTTTTCCGCTTTTTTACCGGTTTTTTTTCCAAAAATTAACGGTTTCTCCTATTTTTCAGTTGATTGACATTTGTTCGGCACTTACTTATTTTTTCACTGCTAAAAATTGTTTTCATTCAGTCGATAAGTGCCAGATGAGTGGTTTCCGTGGAACAAGGGCGAGGTCTTCCCAATGCGAGTATTGCCAGAAAGTGGCCCCGAGAGATTCAATGACAATTGTTCCGAAAAACCCGGAATTAAGAGAACGGTGGATCCGCATTCTTGGCGGAGAGTTTGGAGAAAATCTCTCCAAGCACACCAATTCGTTCATTTGCAAATCACACTTTCGGTTGTCGCTGGATAACAGAAGACGGCCGCATGATTTGCCAATGGTATTTTCTCGAGTTTTATGTTTCCTATGTAGAAAAATAAAACATTGCAGGCAAACAATAGAAACTCCGCCGACTGCGCCAGAAAACTCATGAACCCTGTGAGGCCAATAAGAAATGCGGATGAATCAGCACAACTACGATCAGAAACCGACTTCTGGATGGATGTGGACGAAATGGACGTCGAAAACAGAGTGGACACGGATAACTCTCATTCCCGTGTAAGTTTTTTTTGTCAAATTCTGTATGAGAAGGGAAGGAAATTTCAGCGCGAATGTGATGTATCATTCGGAAAGCTTGAGCGTGTTATTGTCGAAATTCCGGCAATCTGTGAAATATTGCGATTCTGTCGAACGTGTAAATCAGTTGATAGTGTACACGTTGATTTTGAACAAAGTGGCGCGGCAATTACTGTGAGTGTGGGCTTTTGATGCCGCTGTAAACAAGTGTTCTCAGTTCAAGATGAACTGCCAACAATGCGAGTCTAATTGGAAGTGGGAAAGCAGTGGCTCTGTGTCATCCGGGAGTAATAAGATGAAGAATGTCAACATTGACATTTATTCCTCAGTGTTTAGCACTGGAAACGACTTTTCCGTGAGTAACTTCAACAATTCACAGTTTCAAATTCCGTTTAGCGACTCACGCATTTTGCTTCAAACTTTCGACTTGCGTTCCCGTCAAAAAAGTCATATCAGAAGAGCCTCCTCAATTTTATTTATCCTGCCGTTGAGAACGTTTTCAAGGAGTGCAATAAGCGCGTTGAAAGTGCACTGGAAAAGTTAGCAAAAGAGGTTTCTGATTATGATTTCGGTGTACATGAAGTGTGATGTTTTAGAACGGCGCTTTAGATCTTTGCGGCGATGGACAGTTTGACAGTCGCGGCTACTCCGCATTTTACTGCAAGTACTCTCTGGTCGAGGCTCGCAGCCAATTAGTCGCTGCCCATAGTGTCGTTCGCAAAAACAGAAACGGTAAAACAACTTCTGTTTGATTGTTGACTGTGTTTTTTTTTTTCGAATTGTAGAAGGGTCGAAGTCTCTCGAAACTCTCGGACTGCAGCAATGCCTGACAGATTTTCAACATCAATTTTCCCCAAGAAAAGTCTCGATCCGAAGTGTAACAACTGATCGCGCGAAGGATGTTTCGAATATTCTGTCGAGAACTTTTCATTTGCCCCACAAATTTGATATGTGGCACTTCCTACGAAACATTCAGAAAGATCTGTGGAAAGTATTATCACATTCCTGTTCCATGCATAAAATGAGACCTCTCAGAGACGGGGGCAACTACAAATGAAGCCAGTGCGTTATTGGATGGACCGACTCGTGGGTCATTTGTACAATTGCGTAAAACAGTGTCCCGATGACAGTGTGAGATGCGAAGAGATGGCTGTGTCGTTTTTCCAGCACATGCGGAACATTCATGCACATTTCGAAGTAAGACATAACGGAAAACACGAAATCCTAAATTGAAAAAAGGCGTGAACACTATTTTTGGCTGAAAATTCAGAGCGGTTTTATTTTACCTCGAGAAAAAGACGTGCATTGATCAGGGCGCCCCTTCTCTTTGAGCAGAAAGAAGTAGTCCCAGTTACAACTTTCAGCTGAACATGGTGCATGTTGACTCAGATGGCGAACATTTCTTCTGCCCGCACACCGTAAACGCCTGTAGTTGACGCCTTTTTGTAGTACAATCTTATCGGAAAAACGTTGAAATTGCCAAAAATTAGCATTTCACAATTTCGGCGAGACTGCTCAGAATGAAAAGGAGAATCGGACATACAAAAATATAGTTCCTTTGAGACCATTCTATGTTTTCCGTGAAGCAGAACATTTTTTCTAGACCTGCGAATATTACACTTTCGAAGTGGTGTTATCGTGCTCTCATGGCCCCATTTCCGATGACTTGCCTTGGATTGACGTGTACGATGTGTCTCACCAAAAAGCGTTCTGGCTCTTGTTCGACATTATCACTACTGGCAATAGGCTTAGCGAATTGGGAACAGTTTCTGATAGATGCACCACTTCAGCTGTTGAGTCGTTCAATGCACGGTCCACCTACTACACTCCAAAAGAGAAATACTTGTACGTATGCTAATTCTCATCGGTTAGAATCATTTCTATTTATACACACACTCATTTTTACGTACTATCGTTTGCAGTTCGCTTGCCGGATTTCAAAATCGTACCAAACTTGCCGTCATTGACTGGAACGAAAAGAAATTGTCGGAGTTGAGTGGAGCTCGGATGCGGATTGGCAAGCGCCATTCATGGTGCAAATCGAGAAAAAAGGAGGTGGAGAAGTGGACGAAGACCCCAACAGACTATGGATGGAGAAGGAATATTACAATGCACGCTAGATCAATATGTGATCGAAGCACCAACGACGATTCTGAAGGTTCGTAGTGAATAAAACGGTACAATAAAAATAAATTGTTGCAGAATGTGCCGCTCATGGCGATACGTCGTCTGGAGCGACAGGAGGAGCACCTGGAGCGGCAAACACGGTGATTGTTTGCGAGGGCACAGTGAAGAAAAATAAATTTTGGCCCTCGTCTCGTGAGCTGTCCGCTGCTTATTTCGCCGGTCGGCGGCGAGTTCTCGAAGCCTATTTTTCGTGCGCGAAACCTTGAGATGCGTGCTGTTCGAAGAACACTGACTCATTTTTTTCCTCATTTTTTTGGGGAACGAGTTCATTATGACTGAAACTCGCAAGCGGCAACAAGAAACTCACAGAAAGGTCTAGGGATCACTGCCAAAACAGCTTTTTCGCCGAATGACTGCTTTTTGTGTCTCGTCGTTAGTTTTTATCATAATGAACTCATTCCCAAAAAATCAAGGGAAATGAATCAGTATTCTTCCGATGGCACGCATCTGAAGTGTCGGAACAGCAGAAGAACGCGCGGGCGGCGGGTAGCGCGCTCTCCAAACCTTCTCTATGCGCCGCAACTTCAGATGCATGCCGTCGGAAAAATACTGATTCATTTCATTTGATTTTTTGGGAATGAGTTCATTATGATAAGAACTAACGACGAGACACAAAAAGCACGCATGACCACTCATTTCACGGAAAAAGGTGAATTCGTACTGAACCTTTGAAATGTTTGCGAATTTTTGCTGCCGCTTGCGAGTTTCAATCAAAATGAACACATTTATTACAAAACCGGGTAAGATGAACCAGTATTTCTCCGGCGGCACGCATCGATAGTTCCTAAAACAGCTAAATTCTAAAAGTGGCCTAGGACCTAACTGGCGAGGCGTATTATTACTTGTTCAGCCGGCGGACTCGACGGAAAGCGAGGGTAGCATCCCGGCTCGCGACCCCGGGCCGAATGGACTAGAATTTTCCTCGTCACCTTCGCAGAGAATCACCGTGACGCCGAAGGCGTTCAAGATTAGCGAGTACGAGGACGCGGAGAAGCAGCGCGCGAGTGTGTCTTAGTTCCGCGAGACGGTGACCGTCAACAATCGGCGCTCACGCCAGCAAGTTCATCGAGGATCCGTCGCAGTTGGCCGAGATCCAGCAAGACTTCCTCTCGAGCCTCGCGGCGATTCTAGGCATTTCGACACGGAGGTATTGAGAACCCGCGTAGACCGGCGACCGAGTTTCGGTTTTCGCGAAGCCGCCGAGACCGGACTGCTCGACGTGAAAACGGGCAAGATTGTGCACCCGGAAAGGAGCCGACGCTACTCGATCCCACGCGCCGTTCACACGACACTTGTTGCAGGAGACGCCGCGAAACTGCTGATAGAGCAACTCAACGTGCCTGTCGAAGAAGTCGCATTCACCACGCAAACGATCATCACGTCGAAGCACTCGGCGTCGTCGCCAGTCTTCGAACCGCTTCGGTTAGCCAGCAGCCAGCAGCCAGCGGTTAGCCAGCAGCATCTTCAACCGGCCGGACCACCACCCGCAAGTACACCCCGACCGACCTCAACTGGCACGGATCGCCGTCAGAGCTCCGCAACTCGAGCACGGATCCACTCGCCTCCTACACCACGGTCACCTCGAGCGAATTGACCGAAGAGTGGCCGAAAAGACTGTAACCTGTTTTGGTCACGCCGCTTTTCCCATCTTTCATTTATAGTTTTCAGAATAAACCTCGACGAGGTGGAGTTTCTCCAGAACCGCGGATACTCGTCGCAGGAGTTTGTCAGCAAGAGCCCAGTCCTCAAGCAGACCGTCGAGCAAATCGAATGGAGGGATGTTCACAATGTAACATCCAGGTCAGCTCCGTGACCTTTGCAACAGGCTCCATCATGACTATCGTTTTATTGTGTCGCCGCTCAGGATAAGGTAAACCTTCTTCTATATTTTGAGTGATCTGTTCGTTTAGCAGGTGACCGAGGCGTTCCGGTATCAAGAGAAGTGGGGTTGCATGGCTCTATACAACATCGGCTGAATGATCAGCCGACGAACACTGGAAGTGGTGCCGTCGTGAGAAGACGATGACGAAAAGGAGAAGAAACGATCGGAATGCGTGCATCAATACAGGAAGGAGCTGCTCAGTTCGATGCGCAAACAGACGAAAACGGTGCAGCCGAGATGTCCGACAGCCCAAAGAATTTTATTGCGGCGCAAAGGGATCGGGGGAGCTGAAATTTCCGCCCAGTTACTGCTGAAGAAGGAACAAGACGAAGGAATCCGCGGGAAGCAGCAAAGCTCCAGCTCCATTTCCAGCTGCTCCTTGGGCAACATCATGTGATTGGCTGGTTCTATACTTTTGTTGAATTATGATAATATCAGATGCGTGAGCGTAATGTGATGGAGTGCTGGACTGCAATTGTCTCACAGAGGACCTGTTGGAATCGTGGCACCAAACCGCGACGACATCGAAATAATGCTGAATAGCGAGATTGCCGGAGCTCTTGGAAGTGATGTAGTACGTGTTGCGCTGCGAGTGCTCCAAGAAAGCGGCCTCGAACATCTCTGAGTTCAGATCGCCGAGTCGTTCCCGGATGGCACAGCGGATATGGAGCCGGCAAACGTGATCAACGAGTCGATCGATCGAGTGAGGAATCCACGTGGTCCTTCCGGCTAGGAGGAGAACATTGCGATGCCGCTGATTGTGCCGTTGAGCCAGCTGAAAATCGAGCTGGACGTGTCGCTGAACATCCAACAGCCAACGACGCCATCCATCCGTGCGCCGAGCTGCTCACCTCGATCTTCATGGAAATGAGAGAAAATTGCAAGAAGTACCATCTGATTTTTGTGATTCTCGAAAACAATCTGATGAACATGGCGAAACAGCTCGTTCTGTACCACTCGACGCGAACACGCGTCCTCCGGTCACTTTCCCTCTCCACGTACTTTGAATAGTTAGTATACTTTGACAACTGAGATAAATATTTTTTTGTTTCTCCCCAGAATGTATTTGTTTTCTTATTCTATCGCGAGTTTTTTTCGATTTTATCGCGAAAAAACCGGTAAAAAAGCGGAAAAAATAAAATGGCCGAGAAGCGCATATTTCTAGGCCATTGGCGCTAGGCCACGGCCACAACTTCAACTGCATGCCGTTTCGTTCATTGGCATTTTTGAGAGGCTGCATTTCACCAGTGTATGAGGCAATAAGAGACAATTCAAACAGTCACAAAAAAATTTCACAAATCAATCAAAAAATTTTTGGGTTCCCTGGTCCTTTAATGAAATATCAATGGAAAACGCAACGTTTTTCGCATATTTTGCACAAAATTAGGTGGAGCACAAACTTTTTGGCCATTCGAACCGCAAAAATGAGAGGATTTTAAGCAGTTACAGCGCAAATCTCGAAAATCGATTCAATTTCTTCATTTCCGAATGAAACTTGCTCGTTTTAGGTTTTTATTGGAAAATTTAGTGTTTTTGCCGTACACAAACCCAATAAATCGGCAATTTTGACAGGCGCCCATCTGTTTCTTGACACCTCCAGATGGCCGCGATTTTTGGTGGGAAATTCGAATTTTCTTACCGTTTTCAATCGATCGCCGCCGATGTTTTCGTGTTGTTGCGTCGGCGGTGGCCGTGTAAATCGACAGTGTTATTAGGATGAAGCCTGGAATCGATGTCGACGGTTTTATTGATTTTTTTTTAATTTTTAGAGTAAAATTAATGATTTTTACAGATTTTTTAAGGGTTTAAGCAAACAACTCACCAAAATGTCGGATAATCATTATCGATTATTATATTGCATTCTATCTTCGAGACGACTTTCTGAAAATTGAATAAATTACTATAAATCCACGATTTTAGGGGGTTTCAGAGGGAGAATAGATATTTTTTAGGAAATTCAGCACATTTTCAGCGATCATTCATCGAAAAATCGTCGAAAAACGACGGGAAACGGACGCGGGAGTGCTCCAGAATGTCCACACCGAAAGTGGGCGGAGCCTGGCGGCCAAATGGACACCCTCTCGTTTCTCTGCCGTCTCCGCTCTCTCGCCGTACGCACTCTCGCCGTCTGCGCCGTACACGCCGGAACGAATTCCGTCGGGCGCGCGGCGGTCGCGTCGCGTGCGCTTCACTCAAAAATTTCGCTTTTTTCGCCGCTTTCCCGCCTTTTCCCGTTTTTTGAATGTAGTTATCGATTTTTGCGCTTTTTTCGATCGAAATTCGAATTTTTCAAATTTTGGGCGCTAAAATAAGCTTAAAATCGTTGAAAACTACCCCGAATTCGCGCGACACTAAGCAAAAGGCCCAAATTTCGAAATTACTTGAATTCCTCATTTTTTCCGGATTTCATGTTAATTTTCTAATTTTCTCTGGATGCTTTGCATTTTTCGCATAAATTTAGACACAAACGCGCGAAAAATTGTGTTTTTACCAAAAAATTCATTTCCCACCGAAAATGTCCGAATTCGCAATGCATTTTTCGATTTTTCAGTTAATTTTGCGACTTTTCCTTTTGTTTGCGTCGGAAAAATTGAACGTCTCTCCAATTTTGTGCTTTCTACCGTTTCTTGTTGAAATTTACTCGCTTTTTTCTTTTTCTCCTCAAAATGCATCTTTATTGCAGAAAATGTCCGACAAATCAGGTGGATTCTTCTCATCGATGGGCCGATTCTTCTCCGGCGGCAGCAGCACTAAAAGCAAAGAGCCCGTCGAGAAATCGTCCGAAAAACAGCATTTACCATTACAAAGTGAAACGTCGCCGTCTGCATCGGCTGCGTTTCTCAAAAATGTCATTGACACCGAGTCCGACGAGTACAGTACGTTGTTTTTGCCATTGTTCAATTGAAATTGGTGAAAGCCAGTTGATTTTTACAATGTTTGGACCAATTTCACAGAAATCTCCAGTTTCAGACGACGTCACGCCACCAACCATCCGCACCGGTCACAATCTACGATATCTAAGCCCGTCGGCACTAGAACGCAGAGATAATGACACCACAAATGGCCTGGAAATCGACGTGGAGCCGGCCAGCGACATCTTTTTCAGTACACCCTCTGTTGGCACGGTAAGTATGGGCAAATTTGAGAAAATGCTCTAAAGATTTTATTTTGCAGAGTCGAAAACGGCAGCTGACCGAACTCGACAAACAGCTCCTTCCGCAGTCGTTCCGTAGCGACTCGGTGAAGCGAAGCCGCGGCGTGCTCAACCGTTCACTTCTGGAGCCCACTCTCCGGCTCAACGCCTCCTCCATAGTCGACAAACGGCTCGATCAGACGTGGTGTGGCGAGTTGGCGGCCAATCACTCGCCCGCGAGCTCCGTCACCAACTTTTCGCTGCTCACCCGCCGCTCCGAGACGACGACGAACGGATCGCTGAGCTCGCGCACCCAGCAAATGCTCAAAAAGCTCGAGGGAGCAAACACGCCGGCCAAGGAGATACAGAGGATGTCGATGCTCCGTCCGGGACTCGCGCGCCCCGAAAAATGGGGAAATATTGGGGAGAAGAGCGAAAAAACGACCGAATCGCAAGCGCCGCCCCTGAAAAAAGCGGCCGACGCTATTCCGTCACGCATTCAGCTCATCTCAAAGTCGATGGCCGTCGCGGCACAACGTACGCCCTACTGGAGAGATTTGACGCGAAAACGCGCGGAATCGACGAAGAATGGACATGGAAGCGGCAGTTCGGACACGCATTCGCTGAAATCGCTGAATGGATGCCTCGCCTCCACTGAGGTACAGTTTTGCAGACGAAAATTGAATTGACACTTTTAGGTGGTTTCATGGGAAAAATTGCGCAGTTAGACAAATTTGTCACAAATGGGGCTTAAAATTCAGTTGTTCAGCTAAAAATCGTCATTTTTGCAGCTGAGCTCCGTCTTCACACTCGACGCAATCAACGCGCCGCCAACAACGAAAAAGTCGTCGACCGAGTCGAGTTCGCGCCGATCGCACGTGCAAATTCTGAAGGGACCCGACGGAAAAGTAGTGGGGCGGAACACGTTCAAACTGACGGACGAGGACGACGCGGATCTGAATGCCCAACTGCCCCCGCTGCCAGAAAAAGTGCTTTCCAACCCGCAACCGCTCAAATTGGCACCCGAATCTGCGCCGAAACGCGGCTTCCTCGACAATCTCTCGTTCACCTTCTCGGCGCCCGTCGACGTCATCTCGACAGCGTCTTCGAAGTCCAAAAAGACGTCGGAATCGTCGGAGAAGTCCGAGAAATCCGCAAAATTCACGGTGATCGATAGCGATTCGGATGACGGGGAAAAGGCGAGTTCGGAAAGCTCGGAGAGCTCGGAAGGAGAGGAACAAGAGTGTGGAGAGGAAGAGGAAGAGGAGAAAACTCGGCCACACACGTCGGCCGACACGATTTCCACGGCCGCCGGATCCAACAACGGAAGCTCCTCCTGCGAAAGCTCCAAAGATTCGTCGCCGGAAGTGACCAAAAAGGCGCCAGAAGTCGTGAAGGCTCCAGAAGCTCCAGCATCCTCAACATCATCGTCGTCGGACCGAAAACCATGGGATTGCCCGGATTGTTTCGTGTCGAACAAGGCCACGGATGCGAAATGTCCGTGTTGCGGTCATGAAAAGTACAAATCCGCTGATGGCGCCGCCTCTTCGAATCCGTTCGGAGCCAACGCCTTCAAGCCCACCTCCACGGCTTCTACGATGTCCTTTGGTTTTGGAGGATCTTCGGCTTCCGCAGCGCCCAAATTTGGACTTTCTACTGCTCCAGCCTCGTCAGCAGCTCCTCCAGCAGCTCCGATTTCATTTGGAGCACCAAAACCGGCTACAGAAGCTCCAGAAGTCGTCGCCAAAGCTCCAGAACCACCGAAAGCTCCAGTGTCCTCCGATTCTTCATCGTCGGACCGAAAACCGTGGGATTGCCCGGACTGTTTCGTGTCGAACAAGGCCACCGATGCGAAATGTCCGTGTTGCGGTCATGAAATGTACAAATCCGCCCCGGGATCTACTTCCAATCCGTTTGGAGCCAACGCCTTCAAGCCCCTGGCGCCGTCTTCGACTTCTTCGGCGATTTCGTTCGGTTTTGGAGCATCTGCACCAAGTTCAGCGCCGAAATTCGGATTATCGGCGGCACCGCCAGCTCAAGCAGCTCCGGTAGCTCCAGCCGCTCCGCCAGCTCCAGTAGCTCCGGTAGCTCCAATTTCTGCTCCAGCTCCAATTTTGCCGAAACCAACCGGTTCGCTGTTTGGAAATCTTGCTCCAGCGGTCTCAGCAGCTCCGACCACTTCTACCGTACCCCTCTTCGGCTCCACCGCCCCCGGGGCCACTGGAAACCTCTTTGGAGCACCAAAACCGACCGTCGAGCCCGTTAAAGCCCCAGAACCGTTGGCTCCGAAGCCGAGTCTCTTCGGAACCGCTCAACCACTGGCTCCAGCTGCTCAACCGTCGCTTTTCTCGTCTCCATCGCTTTTCGGAGCGTCGAAACCCGTTGTCGAGGCTCCGAAAGTGGCTCCGGCTCCGACGTCTTCGGCCTTTTCGTTTGGCGCCTCCACCACCACCACAGAAACCGCCGCCGCCAAACCGAGCATCTTCGGCTCAATCGCCGCGCCGCCGGCTCCACTGGCCACCTCGACGACGAGTCTCTTCGGATCGGCGACTTCCACCGCCAAACCGGCCGACTCCACCACGGCCCCATCGACAATATTTGGAAAGCCGATTCAATTTGGCAGCGAAACGACGACAACCGACGGCGGAGCGATTCCGGCGAAGCGCGGAATGTTCTCGTTGGATAGCGCGTCGAATTCGGCCCCAAAATTGACGTTCGGAGGCCCGAGCGAGCCGAAAAAGATGGCCGAATCGACGTTCGGCGGATTCTCGTCGCAAACCTCGTCGCTCTTTGGACCCTCCTCGACCGCCACGACATCTGCCGTACCGTCCGCGGCTCCGTCCCTTTTCGGCGCCAACTCGACGTCTTCGATTCCGCCGTTCGGCTCGGCTTCTTCGACCGCCGCCGCCGCTCCTTCCGCACCGTCTGCGTTCGGAGGAGGACCCGCTGGCGGACAGACGATCGGATTCGGAGCCGGCAGCTTCGGGGGATTCGGCGCCAAAACCACGCAGCCGGGCATGTCGACCAGCTCCTCAACCAACTCGTTGTTTGGCGCAGCGACAGCCGACTCTTCCTCCAAGTTAGTACATTTGAAATGTTTAGGTAGTTTTTAGGATAGATCCAGCAATTTTCTGGGAACAGGCATATTTCAAACATTTTCTTTAAAAAAATTACCTCTGATTGCAGCCCGTTCGCCTTGTCGTCGTCGACCGGAACGAACGGAGGATTCAATTTCGGCGGCGCCTCCTCGTCCACGGGATCCGCGGGCGGCGGAGTGTTCCAGTTCGGACAGACTTCGGGTGCTCCGGCCGCCGCTGCTCCTGCTGCTGCTCCGGGCGCTCCGTCGCCGTTCCAGTTTGGAACGAATCTCCCGCCGGCGCCTGGAAGCATGGACAATGCGTTCACTTATCAGTCAGTCTTTTGATTTATCATGAGCAAGACTATTTTACAAATTTTCAGAGCGCCAAGTGGAACTGGAGGAGCCCGAAAAATGGCGTTGGCTCGACGACGAAACATTAGGAAGTGAGAAAGAAGAAGAAGAAGCAGAAGAAGGAGAAGACCGGGACTGAAATAACGATTTTCGATTGAAAATGTAGAAACCTTGTTGCAATTATACCATTTTTTTTTGTGTGCTCCCCCCCTACGGAAGAGGATTTTTGACCCGAAGATGCTAAACACATATCGCCCAAAACTGTTCATGCTTATCAGATTTTTTCTAGAATTTTTTTTAATTCTCAATTTTTCGGCTCTTCTCCTCTACCCCCAACATTTCCATTGTTTTGCCCGGTTAATTTTGGCCCAGTTCGTCGCGAGATCGAGAAAAAAAATGATTTCAGCTAATATTATTATCAAATCAGATCGAGAAACTGTCAAATTTATGATGATCCCCTTTAAAAAAATGTCAATTCTGAATATTAACCCCGTTTTGCTATTAAAAATTGTGTCTCCCGGCCCCCCACAGAAAATCTATTCTATTATTATTATTATATTCAAAATATATACTCAAATTCGCCGTGCGCAAATTTTTGTTGAGAATGTTTAAACATTAGTTTTGTTTTCCACCTTTTTTTTTGTGAATTCTCTCCCCAGCCCAGCCCCGCCCACACACACACATTTCCAGTGATTTTTTGCTCAAATCAAACAAAACTTTCACCATCATTTTTTTGTATTGTTTTTCGCGCCCCACCTGGCAAATGATGATTTGATTGAAAAAGACGGTATTTAGGAAACATATTTTGTACCCCGAGAAGGGGAATGTTAAAAATGATTTTGGATTAATTGGATTTCGCTCATTGCTGGTGTCCCATTCTCTTTGCTAATTTAACCACACGCCCCTCTAAACCACCCTGCAAAGTTTTTGTTGTTTTTGTCGTTTTTTCTTTTCTTTGGGAACTTTTCCCCCTCCCGCCCCGAAAATTCTCTGTTATCTCTGTCCATCCCCCATTCGTAAAAACACTTTTAAAAATTGCAATAAAGGTGTGAAAAATTGCAAAAAAGTGACCCGACCTGACCTTTTAGAACTCATTATTTTGCCCCGTCAATTTTGAAGCAAAACAGTACCTGAAGTGCACTGCTTTGCTCCAATGCTCCGTCCACTCTTCGTGCTGCTCATTGCGTGCTCGACGGCGTTCGGCTCCGCGGCTCCGACCCAAGTGGACCAGCTGAAATTCAGTCTCAAGTTTAGTTGCATCCAACCGGACCGGACCGCCTTCGACTATCGCATCTACGTGTACGATCATGACGTCATGTAAGCGTTTTCAAAAATTATTTCGGTTTCAAAGTTTATTCGAAAAATTAGAGATGAAAAAATTCACAAATAATTTCCTACCTTCAGTTCGCCCAACGACTTTCTGATCTCGACGACTGGGACCGCCTCTCCGGGCACCAACAACACGCTGGTGGTCCTCGTGGCTCAACAGGACGGAGACGAAAGTCTCTCGGACGGGTACAAGCCGTACTACGAGATTTGGCACACGTGCACCTCGGACGCGAAGGACGTCCGGCTCATTTTGATCTCGGACGGAGTGTGTCCCGAAAAGTAGGCGTTTTACGGCGAAAATTACACCAAAAAGCGCGTTTAAATCAATTTTTTTGCAGAATCTGTCACTTTGGAGAGTACATTGATTTGAGCGATAATTGGGGAAACTATCACACGCATTCGCAGATCAAACACGATTTGGAGCCGTTTCCGGAGATGGAGAATCAAAGAAAATGACACGATTGTTCGTTTATTTATGAATTAAAGTTGAATAGCTACAGTAATCCGATTCCAAGTTGTATGAAAGTACAGTAATCCTCTGACCATTTTTTAGGCCCAAACTATCGTTTTTTTTCATATAAAACAAACAAAGCTCACTGTTTCTAGGCGCGAACGAGAGCAAATAAAGAGTGTGACAGTTCGATCGAATATTGATTATTTTTTCGTTCGAAAAACGCTTTTTATGATGAACCGTACAATAGTGGAGTGATTGGAGAAAAGACTGCAAAATGGAAGGGAAAACGAGACGTTGGAGGTCTACAATATCTGTGTGTCTGACATTCGTTATCTCCGCCATCGATTGTGACGAGATATATTCGGACGCTGTGAATTGAGACGATTTCCACTGCCACGTGGCGATGCGACGCCCTCAAAATCGGATTCAGCGCGTAAAGTTATGTGGAAGCCTGAAAAAAAGATTTTTCGGCCAAGAGCAGCACAAAAAGACGTTTTACGGCATGGCCACGTGGCTCTTTTCCTTGGGTCCCCAAAAAAACCGACTGGATGGGCGTCATCGAAAATGTGCGGCACGTCAGTCCCGATCAAAGTTTACTGAAACAAAAAATGAGTCTTTGTGGTTTGAAACAGCGAAGATTGGGGGTCATTGAACAGTTTTGGGTACGTTTTTGCCGGACAGACGTCCTGACAGTAAATCTGGAAAGGGTACGCTCTTGAGGAGCATCCGAACATCGCATTGAATCCGCCGTTCCGATCGCCAAAAGTTGACCTAAATTTGCCTTCCTCCTCCCAATTTTGCGTCATTATTTGCGTGCGCGATCGTCGAACAAATCATCGGATTCCCGTCTGTTTCGTTTCATTTGTGAGCCTATAATAATGTTTCCCTGCATTCTCCAGTCATTTTCAGTCATTTTAAGCCCAAACCCGGGTCTGTAGCGCTTTTTTGAGCCAAGCTATGATTGCGCAAAGTTGATCTATTGGTGAACTTTGAAAAATCGCAACTTGGCTCAGAAAAATGCTAGAGAACCCAGGGTTAGCGCAAAATGACGTGCGTCACCTTCTTAATCTTCGGCAATTTTTACGTCATCTGAAAAAAATAGGAAAACGAGCGAAAATCGGTCTAGATTAGTGATGACAAGTTTTTTTATCCAAAAATGTTGGTTGGCCAAACAGCCAATGGATATCATTCAATTCCCCAAATAGTTCCTCTCTCTCTCTCTCTCTCTCTCTCTCTTTCTCTCTCTTGAAAGAATGAGAAAGAGAGAGAGAGAAGAAGAAGAAGAAGAAGAGGAGGAACACGTCATCGAGAGACGCAGAGAAAAAGGACGGACACTCCGAAAACGGCGGCCACCCGTTTCTTCTCGCGCGTCTCTTGTTTGCAAACAGTCTCTCACGCATTTGGCGAAAGAAAGAGAGAGAGAGAGATAGAGGAAGCTTTTCCCCTTTTTCCCCCCTATATTTCTCTGCCAAAATTTACAGTTTCACAATTTTCTTAAACTTTTCCCATACTCTGCTCACATCAGTTCGTACGCCAATGCTCAATTTACACTCACCCTTTTTCTCCTCTCGAAACTTAATTAAAGCTGTAAAGAGCCCTCGAAATTAAGCCCATTTTTCAATCAATGCTCACTGCAAACTCTTCCAAGACGTCAGAGTTGAGCGGAAGAACTCAACGGAAGAATTTTTATCTTTTTTAGAAAATTTTTTCATGAAATGCGATCAACTGACGAAATGTATAGCAAAGTGAACTGTGCTCATAGAAAAATAAATCGTAAATTTAGCTTTTCATACAAAAAAGTTATTCGAGTTGTTCCGTGAAAAAGGGAGCTAACGGGGAAGACGGAAGGAATAACTTTTTTGTATGAAAAGCCAAATTTACGAATTATTTTTCTATGAGCACAGTTCACTTTGCTATACATTTCGTCAGTTGATCATATTCCATGAAAAAAATTTCTAAAAAAGATAAAAATTCTTCCGTTGAGTTCTTCCGCTCAACTCTTCCAAGACACGTTCATTTCCATGCGATTATTTCCGCAACGAACATTTTCACACAAATTTCTATAAATTTTTGTAGGTTCTTGTCAGAGTCCTTCAAACTTGTCCAATTCTGTTCTGACATATTCCTAGACGTTCGTTAAAGGTCCGTTAATGGGGCTATTCAGCGTATGTTTGTTTTCCGTTTTTTTTGGGTTTTTTGGCGTAAAAAAACGAAAAAAACTGAAAAAAATCATTTTTTTTCACAGCCTGAATAGGGTCAAATTGGTTCAAAAAGTGTTTTGCAATAGAATTAGGTCGGCGTTCACACGAATATAGCTGCGTACAACCTCCCTCATTTGCTTGGCCAAAATAGTGAATGACGTGACGTGTTGAGGCAGAGGAGTGAGTCTGAATGAGGGAAAGAAAGACGGATGTGACGTGAGAGGGCGCCCATGTGTGTACATGTCAATGTAATTTTAGAAACCCTTCTCCCTCTCTTTCTCTTTCTCTTTCTCTTTCGCTTTTCGTCTTCCTTCACTCATCGTCACGTATTCTCCAGTTGTGAACGGCTAAGCGTGGTCGAGCGTTTTTTGTCAAATGGAATAGCGAAAATTGGTCTTCTTCTTGTCCTTGTCCTCGACCGATCAATTTGCGAAGAATCGAATAGTACTAGTACTATTATAATACAAGTGTGTCCCTCCTCAATCCTGTTTCCTGAATATCATTCTATGCTTGTGTCCAAGACTTAAAAATCGTTTGAAACATTAAAAAAATGTGTACGTGATGGCATTCCACAAATGTTTGCCATGTTTATCTGCCTCTCCCTGCCCGTATCACTGATTTTTTTCCGTTTTCTTTCTCCAATTTCCCTCCAATTAGTGTGTGTTTCGTGAACGTTTTGAGGTGATACGACCTCTGAATTAAATAACTTTTTTGTATGAAAAGCTAAATTTACAATTATTTTTCTATGAGCACAGTTCACTTTGCTCTATATTTCGTCAGTTGATCACATTTCATGAAAAAATTTTCTAAAAAAGATAAAAACTCTTGCGTTGAATTCTTCCGCTCAACTCTGGTTTGCAGGTATGAATGACCGTCTCCGCATACTTTTGGCGGCGTTTTTGAGTCTACACGTCAGTTGGGCGACCAAAAATGACGATTTGCAAAAGTTCACCATTCAAATGATTGGCTATTCGCCGCAAAAAGTGAGTATTGCACGTTTTTTGGTCCTCTGGACACTGCTACGATTATGCAAATAATTGTTTGTCAAACGACAATACATAATCATAGAGAGTCGTTCGGCGAACATGACACGGACGAAAAAAAAGAGAGAGAGACAGAAACTAGTAGTATTGCTAGTGAAGGAGAGGTGCTGGATCTTTACAAAAGTTGAGGTACAATTACAGACCGACGACTACGTGGCAGTTTCTGTCGAGGCGACGCCCGGATACATCGGTACGGAATGTGTTTATGTACTCACTCGTTGAAGCAGTTGCTGTGGACTTTTCACTGTCTCGCCAACAATCGATCTAATGCTAAATTGAGCGCCGCGTTGAAACGGAGTGTCGTTGATGAAAACAAAAGCGAGTCTCTGAAATTTCTGGATTTTTTTCTCCGAAAACCCCGAAATTTCATCGGAAAATTAGAAAAATGAGGTGGAACAGAGAATTTCCGAATTGTTAATGACAGTTGTGACCTTAAATTAGCGTTTTGCGCACAAGAAAGCACGCATTTTTACATTTTTCTGTGAATTTAAGTCCGGATCCTCAAAAACTGAAATTTCTGAGTCATTTTTGCATTTTATGCGCCGTCTCTTGGCTCAAAACGACCGTCTTTGTCTGCTGAACAATCGTTAGGCAACTGTTTTCTCGAAACTTCCGAAAATTCACGTTTTTTCAAGCCAAATTTTAAAAAAACGAAATTACTCTTCGAATGTTCACTTTTACACGAGCACACTCTGTGATCATTTTGTATCTATCGGTCATTTGAACAAACGTGAGGCAAAAGTTTTGAATGGAAAAGTGTGCATAATCCCAAAAACTCGGGAAAACAGCGTTTTCAGTTGAAAAACCGAGAGCCGCACGCAAAAAAGCGCGCGAAAATTAAAAAAAAAACCTCCATGATATTTTTGATTTCCCTCCACTAACATGTACCTTCATGTCATTCTCTCACTGTTCCAGGCAATTGTGTGCGATCCGTCTTCCCTAAAAGTCCACAGCAAGTGCTTCAACGCTGGTTAAAACTGATGGGGCTATTCAGCGAATGCTTGTTTTCCGTTTTTTTCCCCGTTTTTTTTTACATCGCTGAATTGGATTTTTTGACGTAAAAAAACGAAAAAAAAAACGAAAAACAATCATTTTTTCACAGCCTGAATGAATAACCCCATGACAAGCATGACAGACGAATGAATTGCAGTGGGATTCGAGCCGATGGCGCACGCGGACCGAGTACACCACATGCTGCTGTACGGATGCACGATGCCGGCGTCGGAGCAGGGATTCTGGCGCGGAATGGAGACGTGCGGCTGGGGCGGCGGCAGTTATATTCTCTACGCGTGGGCCCGAAACGGTACGCGACACTGCTTTTTTTTGTTGTGCGGTTTCAAACATTGATTGTTTCTTTTTTGCAGCGCCGAACCTTGTGCTGCCAAACGACGTGGCGTTTTCGGTGGGCCACGAGCAGGACGGCATCAAGTATTTCGTGCTTCAAGTGCACTACGCACAGCCGTTCGCCGGAGAAGTACACGATTTTTCGGGCGTCACTTTGCACATCTCGCAACGCAAGCCGCTGAATTTGGCGGCCGTCATGCTGTTCGTCAGCGGAACTCCCATCCCGCCACACCTACCCGCTTTCCAGGTATTGCTTTTGTTTGTTTGTTTTTTGTTTCGAATTTCGATTCGAGAACATCGATTGCGCCACGGTCTCCAGAGCTGACACAATATGGGCGTTTTCATGAATTAAGCACGTTTTCTCTGATTTTTGTCGTCAACGGCGATGAAAAATTATTGTTCGACATGAAAACACACTAATTCTCACAGAATTAATGACGTTTTCGCGCATTTTTCGCGGATTTCGCTTTTTCGCCTTCGCCGCCGATCGCCGCCCAAAAACCGCACTTCTCATTTTGCGTTTTCTTGACCGTTTTCCGACAGAATTGGTTTTGAGAATGATAAATCACGTAAATACAAGCATTTTGAGCGCTCGAACCGCGAAAATTACCGAAAAGCAACTGAAATTCACGCAGTTTTAGCCAAAATCCTTCAAACGAATAAATGTGATTTGCGACTTGACCAAATTTAACGCTCTTGCGCTTAAAAAATTTGTAATAGCCTATGCAATCGGTCTATCGAGAGACAAATCAGAAATTATCGATTTTTCGTGGCTAATCTGGCAAAAAACACAAATTTTGCTGTTAAAATTTGAATTTTTGCGCTTTCTTGACCGTTTTCAGACAGAATTGGTTTTGAGAATGATAAATCACGTAAATACAAGCATTTTGAGCGCTCGAACTGCGAAAATTACCGAAAAGCAACTGAAATTCACGCAGTTTTAGCCAAAATCCTTCAAACGAATAAATGTGATTTGCGACTTGACCAAATTTAACGCTCTTGCGCTTAAAAAATTTGTAATAGCCTATGCAATCGGTCTATCGAGAGACAAATCAGAAATTATCGATTTTTCGTGGCTAATCTGGCAAAAAACACAAATTTTGCTGTTAAAATTTGAATTTTTGCGCTTTCTTGACCGTTTTTCAGACAGAATTGGTTTTGAGAATGATAAATCACGTAAATACAAGCATTTTGAGCGCTCGAACTGCGAAAATTACCGAAAAGCAACTGAAATTCACGCAGTTTTAGCCAAAATCCTTCAAACGAATAAATGTGATTTGCGACTTGACCAAATTTAACGCTCTTGCGCTTAAAAAATTTGTAATAGCCTATGCAATCGGTCTATCGAGAGACAAATCAGAAATTATCGATTTTTCGTGGCTAATCTGGCAAAAAACACAAATTTTGCTGTTAAAATTTGAATTTTTGCGCTTTCTTGACCGTTTTCAGACAGAATTGGTTTTGAGAATGATAAATCACGTAAATACAAGCATTTTGAGCGCTCGAACTGCGAAAATTATCGAAAAGCAACTGAAATTCACGCAGTTTTAGCCAAAATCCTTCAAACGAATAAATGTGATTTGCGACTTGACCAAATTTAACGCTCTTGCGCTTAAAAAATTCGTAATAACCTATACATTCGGTCTATCGAGAGACAAATAACAAATTATCGATTTTTTGTGGCTAATCTGGCAAAAAACATAAATTTTGCGCTGTTAAAATTTGAATTTCGCGCCAACGTCTCGCTCTATTGTCAGCTCTGAAGATCGTGTATTGCAGAACAACATAACGTGCGTGTTCGAGTCTGCGACACCGATCCACCCGTTCGCATTCCGTACTCACACGCACGCGATGGGCCGTCTCGTCTCGGCGTTCTTCAAGCACGACGGGCGGTGGAACAAGATCGGCAAGCGGAATCCGCAGTGGCCGCAGCTGTTCGAGGCGATCCCGACGAAACTGACGATCGGCAGCGGCGATCAAATGTCCGCCTCGTGCCGCTTCGACAGTACGGACAAGAATCGGACTGTCCGCATGGGGTCGGTTTACGAATAGCGAAAACAGCGAAGAAAAAAAGGTGCGTGATTGCAGAGCGATGGGCGTCGACGAGATGTGCAACTTCTACATGATGTTCCACTACGACGCGAAACTCGAAAACCCGTATCCGCAGGGTGCGATTTGCGCGCAAAACTCTCCGAATCTGATGAAAGACTATCCGCACGACGGCTTCGAACTCCTTCCGCCCCGGCCCGAGCTCGAGCATCACGCGCACCAATCAAAGGTTCCGTTTGGTATAATCGCCGAGGCGATTCATGAGGTGATCGGCGGAATTAAACTGGGTCAAGTGGCCGGACTCGCGTTCGACAATCACGGAAACCTTCTCGTGTTCCATCGCGCCGCGCGTGTCTGGGATGCCTCCACTTTTGACAATTACAACATTCTGCTCGACAAGACGCCGATCAAAGAGCCGACGATACTCGTCGTCTCGTTCCGCGGGAATGAGTCGAGGTTGGAGAGGCGGTTGGGCGCTGGACAGTTCTATTTGCCACACGGAATCTACGTGGATGTCGATGGATTTGTGTACACGACCGACGTCGGCTCGCACACGGTTGCAAAGTGGACGATCGACGACGGCGGCGAGCTGAAGAACGTGTGGACGAGTGGAGAGGCGCTGCTGCCCGGCTCCGATCAGCAGCATTATTGTAAACCGACGGGTGAGTTACTTTGCAACTTTCGGACGTTTTGCAACCGGCCTTATCACCGAAATGGTCAAGCGGAACAAACCAGTTCCCTGGGTGCTTATGAGACAACTAGTTAGACACTTTGCAACCACAACCAGATGCAGAGGTGGACACTTTGCAACCGATGACTTTGTAAATTCAGGAATCACGCGAATCGGCGACCAATTGTACGTCACCGACGGATACTGTAACAGCCGAGTCGTCGTGTTGGATTTGAACGGTAAACGAATGGTGAGTCTCAGATTTTCCCTTCAAACATTTCAATGCGACGCCCCCCCCATCCCTGCAGCAACAATTCGGACTTCCGGGCGACGCGTTGGGCCAATTCAACGTTCCGCACGACGTCGTCGCCGACTCGGCCGGACGTCTTCTGGTGACGGACCGGGAGAACGGACGTGTCCAGCACATGACCACTCAGGGACACGTCATCGAGGAGTTCAAATCCACGTGAGCGACTTTTTTGTTGTTGAAACGATGCGCCACGGTCTCCCAGGGGGCGCTAATGCTAAACACAGTGCGCTCGTAAATTGCGGAGTGTCGTTGTAACTTTTGAAAATTTGCAGGTCTGAAAATGCATTTCAAGTTACGACCTTTGATTCTTTCTTTTTCACTTGAAAAACGTCTAGAAAACAATATTTTAATGATTGGAAACCGCTCTTTACAGAATTTCGAGTTTTTCATGTTTTTAGCGTCTTTTTCGCATTTCGTCAAAACTTCAAACTTTTATATTTCAGCTCATTTTGCATTTCATGAGCCCAACGAACGATAAAAATGTTCGCTGAATCTTTCTTCACAAAATTCAGGTTCCGGCGGTTAGTTTTCTTGAGCAGTTTTCGAAAACTATTCGAAAAACATCAAAATCCAGGCCAAAACCTTCAAATCGAAATAACTCGGCTAATTCTCAACGATGTGCGAGATTTCTGTTACCAAAACGTAGCTAGTGCTCTAATTATTCGAATCCAAGTTCCACGCGTACAAAAAATAGGTGTATTGTACAGAAAACATGGAAAGAACGCGGCCTCCCGTTGAAAATAAATTAATCGGCCGCCGCGTAAATCGACACAGCCCGCCTGTTGCAAGTGCGCCCCATTGAAATAATTCGCGCCGTGGGCGACCGTGAGATGTGATAAAGTTCGAACAAACTGTTTCAGAATGTTCACCAACATCTACTCGGCCGCCTCGTTCGAAGATTACGTGTTTATGGTGCCCGGAAGAGCGGTTCGTGACTTCTATAAGCGTTTATCGAAAACAGTGCCAATTTTTGTAGATAATGGGCCACGAGCAGGACGGCATCGCAGTCTTTGTGGGCCGTTCGGGCACCGGCCTGATCGAGTACGCATTCGGGCCGGCGACACGTGGCAAACGGGAGCAGATGGGCGAGCAGTTCGGACAACCGCACTGTCTGCGCGTCTCCCGCGACGGATCGACAATATTTGTGGGCGATATTGCCGAGGGAAAAGCCCGTCTGTGGCAGTTCAAGGTTTGTCGCTTGTTTGGATGATTTCTGAAGATTTTCCAGGTGCAAAAGGTTGTGGAGCACTCGATGCACCATGTGGAAGAGACAGAGAACGAACTTGAACTCATGTCCACAAATAAATGAATAGCGCACACTCCCAATGCCTGGCTTTCAGGTGCAACACGAAGAGTCGGGAATGGCGGCGGTGCACTCGGCGGGCGTCTCGCTCGGATGGCCGTCGCTTTCGCAGTCGGACCCCAAATATTCCTCCTTCTTCGTCCTCCTCGCCATTGCCATACTCGTGTTGGGCGCGTATTGTGTGAAGAGACGATGCCGGAATCTGGAGAACGGAGGAGCACTTTTCGACAAAAGGGTACGGTTTTCGAACGGTTTTCGGCGGGGCACAAAAGGCCGGCCCAGACTTTTTGAGGCCTGGATCAGAGTTGAGCGGAAGAACTCAACACGGAAGAATTTTTATCTTTTAGAAAATTTTTTCATGAAATGTGCACAACTGACGAAATGTATAGCAAAGTGAACTCTGCTCATAGAAAAATAATTGTAAATTTAACTTTTCATACAAAAAAGTTCCGTCCTTCCGTCTTCCGTTAGCCCTTTTTTCACGGAACAAATCTAATAACTTTTTTGTATGAAAAGCTAAATTCACAATTATTTTTCTATAAGCAGAGTTCACTTTGCTATACATTTCGTCAGTTGATCACATTTCATGAAAAAATTTTCTAAAAAAGATAAAAAAGATGCGGCCTTTCGGGTCTCTGATCCACATATCTCGGGACCGGATGATCCGATCGATCTGAAACTTGGACCCCAGATACTTGAATCCCGGTCCTAGATGTCTGTAAAGTCTGGACCCAATCAAAAGTCCAGGCTTTTTACCGAAAACTGTCAAAAAACCCCCCATTTTTCAGGGCTTCAAACCACTGCGAACCGAGGAAACTGTCGGATTCATAAGCGACGGATCGGATAGTGATTAGGCTGATATTTTAGAGACTTTTTGTGCGTGTGTGTGTGTGTATATATATAATCGTTTTCTTGATTCCCTGGGTACTATATATCGTGTGTGTATAGGATTACTGTAGACGGCCAACTGTAATCCATTTTTAAAAGTATACTTTAATGCGTAGCATAATAATAATTATTTGAGCACGTTCAACAAAAACCCGCTATTGTAAATCTCTCTCTCTCTCTCCCCTCCATATCAGTCGGCCCTTTTCATGTTGTGAAGTTTTGAAAAAGAGCAATTGTCAATGTTTCTCTGCGTTTTTTTTATTGGAACAAAATGCGAACAAATGTTGCTAGTGCTTCCGTTTCGAATTCAGATAGTATCCGGGACTGACACGTGGCGGCGGACACGATTCGCACGGCCACGGCTCGCCTTTTGGACCTGGAAGAAAAGTCAAGTCACGGACTGGAGAGCTGACAATATGGGCGTGGCCTCGGCGGCAAAATGGCGTTTTCATGAATTGAGCAGGGTTTTCTCTGATTTTTGTGATCAACGGCGATGAAAAATGATTGTTCGACATGTAAACACACTAATTCTCACAGAATTAATGACGTTTTGGCGCGTTTTTCGCGTTTTTCGCGGATTTCGCTTTTTCGCCTTCGCCGCCTAAAAACCGCAATTCTCGCTTTGCGCTTTCTTGACCGTTTTCCGACAGAATTGGTTTTGAGAATGATAAATCACGTAAATACAAGCATTTTGAGCGCTCGAACCGCGAAAATTACCGAAAAGCAACTGAAATTCACGCAGTTTTATCTAAAAACCTTCAAACCGATAAATTTGATTTGAAACTTGACCAAATTTAACGCTCTTGCGCTTAAAAATTCGTAATAGCCTATGCAATCGGTCTATCGAGAGACAAATCAGAAATTATCGATTTTTCGTGGCTAATCTCGCAAAAAACACAAATTTTGCTGTTAAAATTTGAATTTTTGCGCTTTCTTGACCGTTTTCCAACAGAATTGGTTTTGAGAATGATAAATCACGTAAATACAATAATTTTGAGCGCTCGAACCGCGAAAATTACCGAAAAGCAACTGAAATTCGCGCAGTTTTAGCCAAAAACCTTCAAACTGATACATTTGATTTTCGACTTGACCAAATTTAACGCTCTTGCGCTTAAAAAATTCGTAATAGCCTATACAATCGGTCTATCGAGAGATAAATGAGAAATTATCGATTTTTCGTGGCTAATCTCGCAAAAATACAAATTTTGCGCTGTTAAAATTTGAATTTCGCGCCAATGTATCGCTCTATTGAGCGGGGCGCACTTGCGCCCATTGTCGCCTCTGCAGACCGTTGCATGTGAACATTTTCCAAAAAAAAAAGGTGAATGCACTCACCGACAGGCCCGAATCCACCAACCGGTCCTCGCTTCCCGATCTCGCCCTTCAGCCCCTGATATCCGCGTTCGCCGCGCTCTCCGGGCAGTCCGTCTTCGCCGTCTCGTCCGTTTCTGCCTTTTTCGCCGGGTGGTCCACGCGGCCCCGTTTCTCCGTCTTTTCCGGGCGGCCCATCCGACACGTACACTCTTCCGGGCTCTCCGGGCTCTCCCGAAGGCCCCGGCGCGCCCGGGAATCCTTTGTCGCCGCGTTCGCCCGGCTCTCCGCGGATCGACGGTGGCGCCGAGTCGCCTTGAAGACCCGCTCGGCCTCTTTGGCCTTTTTGGCCTTTTGGGCCATCGGAGCCATCTCGGCCCGGACGACCTGCTGGACACTCGCGGATACAGACCATTCGCGCGTCGCCGTCGGCTGGACGACCCGGACGACCGTCACGGCCTGAAAAATAAAAGTAAGGTATGGTACGATTTGTACCAAACATGACCAATTTATCAATAAACTCTATAAATATTGTCAATCGACCATTTCCTAACGATAAATCCACTTCTACACAGCAAATTCGTATCACAAATCAGTCCACAGTTATGTATGGAGGAAGACTGATTCGTGAGGTGTCCCATTGGAACAAATTGAGTGAAAACATGTATTCTATCGTCAAAACAGCATATTTGAACTATGCGCGCACTCTGCTCTTCCCACAATGCTTCTACAATAGCAGTGTATGGTGACAGGCCATAATATCAACATTATAAAACGCATTCTCTGTAAGACTCGAGCAATGTGGGACATTGGGAAAGATTTTTGTGTGAACATGTATATGGTGCACAATATTAGGTCCCAGCTCCGGGCTACGGTAGTACGGTAGGTGGAAAAATGAATTTTTTTTTTTGAAAAAAATCGTAGAAAGCTAAAAAAATTTTTTGTGATTGGTAGATGTTTAGTGCAGACTTTGTGCAAAATTTGAACACTTGCAAAAAAAATTTTCTCCCTGGTTATGATGAAAAAATATCATTTTTTTTTAGAATTTTTTGAAAAAATTCAATTTTAAGGGTTTTTAGTAGAAGTTTCCCGCCGCGGACATGAGATACTAGAAAAAGGTGTATTTCGATCTTAGCTTTCGACAAAAAAAATAGTTTGAGTGATTTGAACTTGCAGCAGATATCGAAACGTTCAAATTTGATTATGTCGCGTCCAAAGTCTCGGAAACCCCGCAAATCTCGCGGACTTTGCAGTCCAAAGTCGGCAGAAATTTGCGGGAAATCCGGGGTGCGCACAGCTGAACGAGTGTTACCGTACACCATAAAACTACGGTATTTTTTTTGAAAAAAATTTAAATTTCTCGAGAATATTTGCAATTTTTCAAATTTCTTGGGTAATTTAAATTTTTTTTCAAAAAAATACCGTTGAAAAATTTACCCAAGAAATTTGAAAAAAATTGCAAAATTGCAATTTTAATTTTTTTCAAAAAAATACCGTTGAAATACCGTTGAAAAAAATTGCAAAATTGCAATTTAAATTTTTTTCAAAAAAATACCTTTTTCAAAAATAAATAATACGGACTGCAAAATCCGCGAGATTTGTGGGGCTTCCGAGACTTTGGACGCGGCGTTAGTAAACTTCTGGATTCCGAATAAAACTTTAAAAATAACGACTAGAAATTGGTTAAAAATTGATTAAAAATATAAAAAAAAATCATTCGTTATTTGAAATAAGAATAACACCTCAAAAAGTCAAAAATTTAAAGTCGGGAAGCTACCGTTTTCATAAAAAAATTTTTCTAAAAAAAGATAAAAAAAGATGCGGCCTTTCGGGTCTCTGATCCACTCGTCGGGAAGCTACCGTTTTTTTGTTGTTTTTTTTAAAGCTCTATTATTTATTATTTATTTTTAAAGCTCTAATGTCTGCAGACTAACTGATGTCTAAGGCGTCAGATCGAAGACATTTCGCAACCGCGACGTCTTCGTACTAATTTTCACAGCAGCCATCACAATTAGTAGTGGGGGAACATCACTAACCCGGTTCTCCGTCGTATCCGTCTCTCGAGTTCTTGCCCGCAAATCCTTTCATCCCCGGCGGTCCGATACAACACGCTGCAAGGTGATTGCTGTACTTTTCCCGAAAATCTACGACTACTACTAACACGCCATTTGTCGCTTTTGTCGAACATTTTCATGAATTTGCTCGCGGACGAGTTGTGCTCGCTGCCTCAGCTCCGACACTTGACCCTACACACAAATGGTTCCGCCTTACAAATTGGGGTTCAAGTTCTTACCGCACACTCATGGCTCTCGAACAGACTGTCATGAGCGAAAATGCGTAGAAATATTAGGGGACAGATTACGGTCACGTAGATCAGTGCGGTCACCGAAAGAGTTATGGCGATGGTGGGCGAGGAGAGTTGGCGCCAGATTACCGTCGCTGACAGCATCACGGCGTACTGTAGCACTTTGACGGACGGAAGTGAAGAAGAAGAAGAAGAAGAAGAAGGTTTGGTGCGTGTGTGTGTGAATATATGAGTATACAATAGCACTTGACACAAACTGGTCACCGACCGATCCATCGAAGGAAGGAAATAATTAGGTTTATAATTGGACGACGTGTCTCCGGTTGAACCAAACACCGGAAACCATGCAGAAACTCGGTCTGTTCGGCCGTTTTATTGACTGAATCGTACACAACAAGGTCTCCTTCACGCCTCCGATTTGCCTTCCGGTCCCGACGGCTCCGGCGGATCCTTGTCCGTCCTCTTCCCGTGCTTCTCCAAAAGTGTTTGCAGCACCTGAAATTAACGATTATTGTGTTGTTTTTCACTGCAAAAAATTCACATTTCACACGGTCTCCCAGGGGGCGCTAATGCTAAACACAGTGCGCTCGTAAATTGCGGAGTGTCGTTGTAACTTTTGAAAATTTGCACGTCTAAAAATGCAGTTCAATTCGAGTTTACGACCCGACCTTATTTCTTTCTTTTTGACTTGAAAAACGTCTAGAAAACAATATTTTACTGATTGGAAACCGTTCTTTACAGAATTTAGAGTTTTTCATGTTTTTAGCGTCTTTTTCGCATTTCGTCAAAACTTCAAACCTTTATGTTTCAGCTCATTTTGCATTTCATGAGCCCAACGAACGATAAAAATGTTCGCTGAATCTTTCTTCACAAAATTCAGGTTCCGGCGGTTAGTTTTCCTGAGCAGTTTTCGAAAACTATTCGAAAAACATCAAAATCCAGGTCAAAACCTTCAAATCGAAATAACTCGGCTAATTCTCAAACGATATTTGAGATTTCTGTTACCAAAACGTAGCTAGTGCTCTAATTATTCGAATCCAGGTTCCAGGCGTACCGAAAAATAGGTGTATTGTACAGAAAACATGAAAAGAACGCAAACTCCCGTTGAGAATTAATTAATCGGCCGCCGCGTAAATCGACACAGCCCGCCTGTTGCAAGTGCGCCCCATTGAAATCATTCGCGCCGTGGGAGACCGTGATTTCAATGGTTTTTTTAAAAGGTTTTCTCTGGCACCGTGGTGCACCACATTAGCGGAAATTTTCAATTAAAATCCGCCAAAATCGCACCTCCATCGCCTTCAAAAACGTCTCCTCGGTCTCGCTGACGCATCCGCACTGCGCGGCGAACACAAACGCCGTGTAGAGCGACGAGTAGTAGTCGTGTTTGCGAGTTCCGGCGTGCGCCCGTCGCTTCCGCACCTCGATCCACTGCTCGATCGCCGAGAAGTGCGCGGTGGCGAGCATCTGGCGGCACATAATCGCGCTGACGACGAACGAGGCGCAGCGGCGCGTGCCCGACACGCCGTGCACAAGGACCGTCGTCGGCGAGACGCCGCTCGAGACGAGCTCTTCGGCCCGCTCGAACGACCACATGTACTCCATAAGCGCCGATTGTTGCGTGGGCGGACGCAACGCGGAAACGTCCGTCGGGCAGCTGATGATGTGGACTGTGCGGGCCGGCGCGGCGCCACCGCTAAACCACCACTTCCACGTCGACGGCGACAACTCGCACTGGTAGACCGTCAGACCGCGCTTCACGTCGTCGACGGCCAACGTCCGCATCGTGTACTTTTTGAAGACCTTAACAAGAGAATGTGATGGCCTTGCATTTTCTAGTCCTTCCCTACTTTTTTGCCGCCGACGTTCGGGTCAAAGTATCCGCCGGCTTCTTCGGCCGACACGAGACAAACGACCGTCCGAACATTGAAGATCCACATGAGATGGAGGTGATCCGCACACGACGCCTCCGTCGGCGCCTAAATGCACTTTTGAAGACCTAGAAAAAGTTAGGCCAGCGCCCGCTCACCTGACTAATGATGAAATTGCCGTATGGAGTGGCGAACGTGTTCGCGTGCACGTAAAACTCTTTGTCATTCGTGTCGAGCACCTCGTCGTAGCACACAATGTTTGTGAAGCGATTCTTCTGGAAAAATAGGGGAATTCAGAAGCGGAAAACGGAATGCGGAAGTCGGAACTCCGCGTCAACCATTTTCCTGTCAGATTTCGATAAACGCAATCGTGCCGCGAATCAACAAGATGTAATGGAAAGCGGAAATAGGAATTCCGCTAAATTCGATTTTCTAGTCTCCGTCCCGGCACGGTCTCCCACGGCGCGAATGAATTCAATGGGGCGCACTTGCAACAGGCGGGCTGTGTCGATTTACGCGGCGGCCGATTAATTAATTTTCAACGGGAGTTCGCGTTCTTTCCATGTTTTCTATACAATACACTTATTTTTTTCACGCCTGGAACCTGGATTCGAGTAATTAGAGCACTAGCTACGTTTTGGTAACAGGAATCTCGTATATCGTTGAGAATTAGCCGAGTTATTTCGATTTGAAGGTTTTGGCCTGGATTTTGATGTTTTTCGAATAGTTTTCGTAAACTGCTCAAGAAAACTAACCGCCGGAACCTGAATTTTGTGAAGAAAGATTCAGCGAACATTTTTAACGTTCGTTGGGCTCATGAAATGCAAAATGAGCTGAAATATAAAGGTTTGAAGTTTTGACGAAATGCGAAAAAGACGCTAAAAACATGAAAAACTCGAAATTCTGTAAAGAACGGTTTCCAATCAGTAAAATATTGTTTTCTAGACGTTTTTCAAGTCAAAAAGAAAGAAATAAAGGTCGTAAACTCGAATTAAACTGCATTTTTAGACCTGCAAATTTTCAAAAGTTACAACGACACTCCGCAATTTACGAGCGCACTGTGTTTAGCATTAGCGCTCTCGGAGACCGTGCCCGGGGTTTTCCAACGCGCTGATTCCAAAAATGGCGGTCCTACCTCTCCATTGCGAATGAATCGCTCGATGAGACGGTCCTCCTCGCAGATCTCGTCCAAATCCGTCTGATCGTCCTTTCCCTGCGCGCGGGTCGTTTGCGCGTGCACAAAATCGTCGACACTTTCCGCCTCGATCATCGTCTGATATCCGGCCTCCCTATAAATTGCATATTTAATGATTTTTCGTGTCGAGACCCAACATACGGTACTGGCTTCTGTGGTGCCGGTTGTCCGGCCTCCGGGGGAGCTCCATTCGTAGCCATTTCTGTGAAATAACGGGTTCAACAAAAATATATAAAGACAATGGCTCGGATTCAAGGTTTCACGTCACAAATTCATAATAATAAATAAATAGGAAACATATATATATATATATCACAACAAATTGGAGAAAAAAAATCGATAATCACTGTTCGTCGGCCAGCTTTCCGATCACTTTTTCGACCTCGTCCTGCGTGGGCGTTTTGTTGAGTGCGTCGCACGAGAGCGCCGACGGAAGAGGAGTTTTGGGCGGAGAGGGCAGCGGCGTGAGGGCTCCTTTGATGAGCCGTTCGAGGAATCCGTCGAATTGCGACAGGTTGATCGAGTCGTGGAGAGTTTCGAGCGAGCGAAGTGGCGGCCAGAAGCGCTTGATTTCTGCAGAACGAGAACAGACATTTTTGCGTTGGAAATCGGTATTTTTACAAATCCTTCATAGAATTGAACGGAAAAAAACATGTTTTTCACATAGTCTCGTGCCGTTTGTTACGAAAATGGTTCCTAAAACTGTTCACTCACCTCCGACGGCGAAATCATCGGATTCGTAGGTCATGAGGCGCGGGGCCGACGAGGAACGGGCGATGACGGCCGTGGAGAGCACGGCGGTGCCGGCGCCAAAGTCTACAACTTTAATTCGACTCAAATTAGTTGTTTTTTGACAGGAAAATAAAATTTTTCCACCTAAACAATTTCAAAAAGTGCTTGCTGGCCTAGAAACCCGAAATCATTCAAATCTAGTGATGACCCAACTTTTCGGTGGCCTAGAAATCCAAAATTCTACCTTTTCGCGAATTCTTCTTGCTATCGTGATCTCCGAATTTGCCCATCAACACATCCGTACTGATGAGACGGTTTTGCATTTGGACGCCTCCGCTCATTCCTGCAAAACAATGGTTCGGCGGGACTTCTGACCCACTTGCAAGGATCCGATCGGGCCCAAACTTTGCAGGCTTGTTGGGCTTGGATTGAAGTGTACTGGGACCAAGTTTCAGGTGGATCGGATGCCCGGGTTTTTACGAAAGATGTGACATCTTCGGTCTCTGATCCACATATTTCGGGGCTGGATGATCCGATCCATCTGAAACTTGGACCCAATATACTCCCAACCAAGTCCAAGAAGCCTGCAAGGTCTGGACCCGATCGGATCATTGCAAGTCGGTCAAAAGTCCAGGACAAGGGCCGGCTTTTTGCCGAGCCCTGGAAAAAAGTGTTAAACCTCTCAAACCAGTAAGCAATTGAGCCGTGTGATGTTTGAATCGATAGGGGAAGTAGCGGCGGGCTAAAAAAAACTAGATTTATAGGAATTACAAGTGTTTATAACAAAAGTATATATATATATGTACTAAATGAAGAATCGGGTTACTAGTAGTGGGACAAACTAAAAGTGCGTTGGTAATTTTCTTCTGGATCCAGAAAAACAAGTGTGACAATATAACAACACAGGACAAAAAAAAATGGTTGAATTTAGAGGAAAAACCGAAATGAATGTTTTTTTTTCTCTCCAGGACATGCACAATAGACACGGTACGGTACACGCACAAAGCTAATAAGTATACGAGAACTGAATGAAAATCAGAAGTAAACGGACAAAAAATCGAATAATTTCTCACTTTTTTCGTCGTTTTGTGTATGCGATATTGTCGGTTCGGTGACGTGGAACGAACCGCGCTGGCCTAATGTGCACACATTTGATTATTATTAATTGGAAAGAATGGGAAAATTGGGGGAGGGAAAAATTGGAAATTTCCACACCATGCCATGATGAGAAGAGAAAACAAATGAAATTCCAAGTTTTGGGTCTCGACACAGTTCACGCATTCCCAAATGGTCCAAAAGATCCACAAACGGACCTTTTGGATCAATGGATTTCCGCATCGAGACCCAAATTGTTGCTTTTTGAGGCCTGGACTTTGGGCCCACTTGCAATGATCCGATTGGGCCCAAACTTTGCAGGCGTTTTGGACTTGTTGGGTCCAAGTTTCAGACCCATCGGATCATCTGGTTCCGAGTGGATCAGACGCTTTTTTCCAGACTTGCCAAATTACGGGCCGGTCGGCCCGGCTCAAAAGACGCGAATTCAAATTTTTGGGGGAAATCGATTTTTTCGTTTTTTTTGCGGGGATCAAAATTTAAAAAAAAACTACGACACTCCGACATTACGGTCGCGCGCGCTCTTTAGCCATTTTTTTCCAACTTTCGGATTGCGGCGTGTGAAAATCGTTATTATTTTCTTCTTTTTTAATTGTTACTTTTGATTTGATGCCAATAAAAACTATTTTTGAGAACTACATTTCTTTTTTATGCTCGATACTTGCAAAATTCGTTAGTTCTACGAAAAACAAACATTTTATTTAATCAATAGTTCAAAATTTGGATTCCCGCTTTTTGAACCGTGCCGGGCCGGAGTTTTGAAAATTTCGGCCCGGCCCGGCCCGTGGCAAACTCTGCTTTTTTCGGCCTCTGATCCACGCGGGTCAAAAGTCCAGGCCTCGGCCGGCCTTCTGCCCAGCCGTGCAGCTTCAAAGAAACACTGAAAGAAGCGCCCCCGAGGAAAAATGAAAAGTGGTTGCTCACATCGTGAAAGGCGTTCCTGCTGCTCCAGTTGCTCGGGCGGCTCCTGGACGGGCGGCACCTCGACCTCGCGGATCGAGTTCATCGCCATCGCGCGCTTCGTCTGGTCCAGCAGATCCTTCACCCATTGTCCCTTGCCGGCGCCCACCGTTTCCGTGCTCTCGCAGCACGACTCCGTCTCGTTCGATCCAACCGATATCTTCAGCGGCAAAATTCGACAATTCACGACAAAAAGTGGGGAGCTACGTCTCAACATGTTTCCCGTTTCTCGACTAGAATGAGTAAATCTAATTGACCCCCCGCCCCGAAAACAGTTCGAAATGTTTCAGTAACAAAGAAAAAAAGGCGTCGACCACCAACCTGACTGGCGCTTTTTGCCACTCCGTTTCCTTTCCACTCTCCGTGCGGTTTATCGCCTTCCTGTACAGAAAAAAAAACACGAAAATGCAGTTATATCAATCGACAGAAAAAAGCCGGTACCTCCATCGATTTTTCGGCGCCCGTCACACTTCGCTGCCGTTTTGCCTGTTTCGGATCGTCGGCCACTGAAAAATCGTCGGAAAATCACGGCAAACGACACGGAAAAAAAATGAGGAGAAATGGATAGCAATTGGTTCAGAAACCCACTATTCTTATTGGAGCTGTTCAGCTCGTCCAGCGCCACCAAATTCACCGATTCCACGTCGTTCAGCTCGTCTTCCGAGTCGCCGTGCGATTTTGTCGTTGTGTTCAGCAGCCTATTGAGATAAAGGGCAATTTTTACAGTTTCAAAAACGAATTCCGTGCGTTTATCGCTAAATTTACCTTTAGAATATCGAGATTATGGCGGCAGTTAACACTGCGATCGCGCTCTACCGCAAACCACATGAGTGCTTTTTTGAAAAACGCGGCCGCGTTGCGATAGAGCGCGATTGCAGAAAAAAGCGATTGTGTTGGTCAAAACGCAACACTTTTTCTCACCCGTTCGTCTCGGCGACAATCGATTCGGCGTTGCTGCTGATCGAGACGTCGTCGTTGGTCGGCGTCGTTGTGGGCGTGGCCAATTGCGTCGGCGTCACCACAGTAACCACTTTTTCGAGGCTCGGGCGGCGGGCCTCGGCGCTCGAGGCCGATTGCACGGGTTCCTGTGAGAAAAATTGAGAAAAAAACTCGACGACAGATCACCTACCGAATCATTATTGTCTTTCGAATCTCTGCCTCCAGACGATCGGCTCGACGTCGCTGGTTTCGGTCCGCTGCTCAGGCTGAAAAACGTTCCACTCATTGCGTTTCACTTCCAAGACGCCTACTTGAATCGGCTCTCGTAAATGCGCTCTTTTTCGGTCAGGAAGCACGGATAGAGTCCCGGCGAGAAGAGTATCTCAATGTGGAAGCGGGGCCCGCTCTCCGGCGTGTCCTGATCCTTGCGCGAGTCCTCGTAGACCATCAGCACCACCTGCGTCATGTAGTTGAATTCGGTGACGCCCGACAAGAAGTTCATCGCCCGCTGCCACTTTTTGTCGTCCACCTGCAAAATAATGCTATGTTTCTCTGGGGAAAAAAAATCGCAGTTGCACTTACCGAGCACAAATTGCCGTATCTGATGAGGTTCATCAGCGTGTGAATGTGACTCTCGCTCGTGAAGTAGAGCCGTGTTCGGACGTGTCGGAACGGAGTCGCGATGCCCTGAAAAGTAGCGAAAAATTGCAGACTTTTATATTTGAAGACGGACTCAAAATGATCGCCGTAATTGCATGACGCGATTGGCGCGGATTTCGAAAAAACGCCGAAAGTCGAAAATTGGCAAACTTGGCCTAGGATGCGATGGAGTTTTCTAGGTCAAGTTTGCCAAACTCACACTCAACAAATGTTCATTTTAAGATTGATTCCGAGTTTGAGAATCAGCAAAAAATTATATATAATCTTTGAAACGTTAAAAAAACACAATTTTCCAATTAGAAACTCCCACTGCCCTCAATTCACCTGTGAAGCCCTGGGATCGAGGCGTGTCTGCGTCTCCTCGGATTCCTTGTTCTCCAGACACCGATGCAGATCATTGCGGATTTTGCGCAGCAAAGGCGTACAAACTCGCTGCGCAATCACCATTTTGTTTTCCGTCTTGATGCCGTACTCTTGCGGCACCACAATATCGGCCATATTTTTGACGCACAGGTACATTCGCTCAAACTCCACCTCGTTGTTTATGCACAAATCCGGATTGTGTTCCATGTCGTACTGTAAAAAAAAGGGATTGAGAATTCGTGTGCCTCCAAAGTGTCTGCATTTCCCAGAAAAAGCAAAAAGAGACGACGACAAGTACACGCGGTTATCGATTTTTCTGCCCGATAGGCTCGCGGATTCGGGGACATTTGTTTAGAATTTGGCGCTTTGGGAGCATAATTTGTGGTCTCAATTAAGAGGATTGCACGGTCTCCCACGGCGCGAATGATTTCAATGGGGCGCACTTGCAACAGGCGGGCTGTGTCGATTTACGCGGCGGCCCATTAATTAATTTTCAACGGGAGTTCGCGTTCTTTCTATGTTTTCTGTACAATACACCTATTTTTTGTACGCGTGGAACTTGTATTCGAATAATTAGAGCACTAGCTACGTTTTGGTTACAGAAATCTCGCATATCGTTGAGAATTAGCCGAGTTATTTCGATTTGAAGGTTTTGGCCTGGATTTTGATGTTTTTCGAATAGTTTTCGAAAACTGCTCAAGAAAACTAACCGCCGGAACCTGAATTTTGTGAAGAAAGATTCAGCGAACATTTTTATCGTTCGTTGGGCTCATGAAATGCAAAATGAGCTGAAATATAAAGGTTTGAAGTTTTGACGAAATGCGAAAAAGACGCTAAAAACATGAAAAACTCTAAATTCTGTAAAGAACGGTTTCCAATCAAAAAAAATATTGTTTTCTAGACATTTTTCAAGTCAAAAAGAAAGAAATAAAGGTCGTAAACTCGAATTGAACTGCATTTTTAGACGTGCAAATTTTCAAAAGTTACAACGACACTCCGCAATTTACGAGCGCACTGTGTTTAGCATTAGCGCCCTGGGAGACCGTGGATTGCAAGAGAAGAACGCGTATTCTCAGTTTTGAACTGCAAAACGAGTTGCTCTCAAAAGAGCGCAATTGCAGAGAAATTCCGTGAGGAAGCAGAAGAAAAAAAAAGTGTTCCGATTTTACCTTGATATTATCGTAAATATCGGGTATTTTCGAGATGTCAAATTCCACTTCTCCGTGCTTATTTTTCCGTCTAAACTCTCTCAACTCTTTGTTCCATCGCCGTTGCGCCAAATCCATCGATTCCTGCAGGTACAGCGTGGATCCTGAAAATGTTCTCAACATTTTCCATCAAGATTCGCGTTTGTACCACCGGGCTTCGTCTGCGAGTACTCCTTGATGACTCCGCACATTTTCTCCACGTATCCGGCAATTTCGTGACACATTTTGCGCGGATTTTTGATAAATTCCATTGCATTCGTGATCGAACGCAGACCGTCGGGGTTCAGCTCCAAATAGTCCTGCGGGGTGAAGTCACGGTCGGCCTGAAATCGCTTTTCATTTGGGACATCAGCGATAAATTGCACGGTGAAAGTTCACGCGGTTTCAAAACGTCGCATTGCGAAACAATTGGACAAACAGCACAATCGGAAGCGTGCACACAAAATCCGTACCTGAAGAGCCTTGTGCAGATATCGTTTGAGCTCCGTCTGGTAGAGTCTCGCCTGACAATCGTCATCGAGCAGTCCGTCCGTGTTCGCACTTTTTACCATCTGAAAATTAGGAGTTTGAAAGAGATTTCTTTCGAAAGAGTATGAGTGAAAATTCGATTTCATCAATTTCAGATGATCAAATGTTGAAACTGTGAACAATTTTCACGGAATATGCGCGCGTTTTTCCGTTTGGTTCTTGTGTGGAAGAAAACGTCATTGCCTGCAGAGTTGAGGGGAAGAACACGGAAGAATTTTTATCTTTTTTAGAAAATTTTTTCATGGAATGTGCACAACTGACGAAATGTATAGCAAAGTGAAGTCTGCTCATAGAAAAATATTTGTAAATTTAACTTTTCATACAAAAAAGTTATTCCTTTCGTCTTGATCACATTTCATGAAAAAAATTTTTCACATTTCATGAAAAAAATTTTTCTTGAAAAAAATTTTTGAAAAAAATTTTTGAAAAAAAATTTGAATTTGAAATTTGAAAAAAAATTTGAAAAATTTTGAAATTTGAATTGAAATTTGAATTGAAAAATTAAAAATTTGAATTGACATTTGAATTGAAATTGAATTGAATTGAATTGAATTGAATTGAATTGAATTTGAATTGAAAAATTGAAATTTGAATTGAAAAATTGAAATTTGAATTAAAATTTGAATTGAAATTTGAATTTGAAATTTGAAAAAAATTAGAAAAAATTTTTGAAAAAATTTTGACAAAAAAAATTTTTGTAAAAAAATTTTTCACATTTCATGAAAACATTTTCTAAAAAAGATAAAAATTCTTCCGTGTTCTTCCGCTCAACTCTGCATTTTGCCTGCGTCCCGTGACAACTATGAAAGAAACGTTTGGAGTGTACCTGCATGAGGATGGGCGTCAACTCGCCCTCCAACGCGAGCAATCCCTTTGCGAACGCGGCGGCCGTCGTCTGGACGCGTCCCTCGTCGGACGCGTAGATCTTCAGATCGTGGCGGTAGGTGGAGTGGAGTCGGAGGAATCCCAGGCCTTGCGTGTCTTCCGGCGACGATTTGCCGTCGGTCCGCCGGATTCCCGGGTAGAGAGTTCGGAAGAGACGGCCCAGCGCCTCCGCTTGCATGTTTCCTGCAGACATCAATTTGTTGAAGAAGCCTTACAGTCCGGCTAACGTCAGAAATGTCTAGATTGCGGCGCCATAATGGCACTCCAGGCAATCTGGACATTTCCGACTCACGGGCCGGGTTACAGTTGCGAAATGGCCGGTTGCGGCGTACCTGCAGTCGTGAGCTCTCCGCCCCACTTCAAAATGAGCAACAGCGCCGCCTCCTGACGCTTCATCTCCTCGTCGGACGTCTTCGTTTCGCGCTCCTTCAAATACTTCATTTGCACTTTGCGATTGATGCCCGAAAAGTGTCCGTACCTAAAAATGGCCAAAATCTATGTGTGCACTGTGATATTGCATGCTTCGAGCAAAAATAGGCCAAAGAATTCATTTTTCCGACAAACATTGGTTTACATGTACATCACAGAGTTAGTGTACCGAAAAAAACGTGATTAGTTTTCGTCTAGCTACCGGTTAGAATTTTGCCAATTTTCCCACAAAATCTCTACACATTTTCTAGACAATATCCATGCAAAATTATACATACATATATATATATATACACAAATGGCCGCCCCCAGACCGACGCATGCCGTTTCGTCACCCCAATTCGTACATTTCGAGCACCGTCCGCATCTGTTCCCACTTCTTCATCTCCTCCTCGCACACCTCCAACGCGTGCTCCAATTTGTGACATTCCTCCTCGTCGGAGCCGCCGTAGAAATCTTTCAGCTTTTCCAGAAGACGATGACGGTCTTGCTGCAAAAGTTAGGCCGCTCAATCTCGATTTTTCTTCGATTTGCGGGAGAACAGCGGAAATCAGGGCTGGGCAATTGACCGCCACGGGCTTTGCTGGGCTTTTGAAATATTTCGATCGGCGCCAAACTTTGTAGGATTGTTGGACTTGGATTGAAGCATACCGGGACCAGGTTTCAGCCCGATCGGATCATCTGGTCCCGAGATATGTGGATCATTGGTCGGAATATCTCGGGACCAGATGATCCGATCGGGCTGAAACTTGGACCCAACGTACTTCAATCCAAGTCGAACAATCCTGCAAAGTTTGAGTCGTCGAAATTCCAGAAACCGTACCTGTTTCTCGGCGACAAGCGCCCTGGCCAATTCGAGCACCTCCATCAGCTGATTCGGTTTCTTCATCTTAATCTCGTTCTTCTTGAAGCCGTCGTGTCGCTCGAATAAATCGAAAAAGCGCTGATCCGTCACCACCAGCTTCATTTTCTGTTTGGGCGTGCGATCGCCGTGCCGAATGACCGCCACCACGCACCGCAGCTCCATCAACTTGCCCGAAGGCGTCGTGATCATCGGCGGATCGTCGCCGAGTCCGAGGTCGAGGATCGGCGGCTGCGGCATGTCCGACGGCACGCGCCAGTTTTTCGACTTTGCGTAGTGACGGATGATCTGGTTGCCGAGAATTTTTGCAGTGTCCTATACAAACAATTGGGATTTTCCAGCAAAAAAACCCCCCGAATCTTTTGCTGACCTCATAATATTTGGTGGACGTTTTGACGAACGAGAATCCGTTCACATCGCACACGTACGATTTGCCGTTCGCGCGCAGCAGGTCGAATCCGCACACGGTCTGTCCGAACGCCAACACAATCTTTTTCGCCATCGCCTTCTCTTTGTTGCTCAGAATCACCGGATACCGCACCTCTTTTCCGTCCGAATCCCGCTCCACCTGCAGATTTGAAAAATTGCATTCTAAAGACAAACTTGTTACTGTTGAAAAAAAAAACGGTTCGACATTCGAATCGGAGTTGGCGGCGAGCCAAACAGTTTTCACCGAATCTTTTTTTTCTGAACAGCACGGCGACCAAAAGTGTAGAAAGGGGAGTGGCCTAATTTAAGACGCGTTTTCTGAAAATTGCCGCAATTCCAGCACCTTTCCGATATTTTTGTGTTTGATATCGACGAAAGAAGACATTAAAGAGAGAAAACATCGAAATTTTCGTGAAAACGCCGCGTTTGAGACGTTTTTGGCATATTTCGCAATACGCTCTCCGCGGCCAATCGCCGCCGCAATTTCGGAATTTTCATACCGGCCGATCTGGATAGTTTTGAGACGAAGTGAGTGTCGGAAGTGATTAAGCACGTTAATACAAGTATTTTAAGCGTTCAAACGGCAAAAAGTATCGGCGAATGACTGAAATTCGCGCATTTTCAGCACAAAACTTAAAATCGATTCAATTGATTCATTTCTGAATGAAACCTGCTCGTTTTAAGCTCAAAAAGTGCGCGATGATTAGTTTAACAAAGTTATGCAATTACATCGTCGAAATCGGCCAAAATTTGGGTAATTTTTGACGAAAAACATGAAAAATGGGGTTAAATTTCGAATTTCGCGCCAAAATCGTGATAAACCGTGCACGCTAGGCCATGCCCCTTTCTACGTTTTTGGTCGCCGTGAACAGTAATAAAAAGTATAGCAGACTGAAAAAATCAATAGTTTCCGCTGAAACTGCAACATTTTTACCTTTCCATCCAATCCGGGCGCTTTGCGGGCCTCTGCGTGCGCGTAGAACGGTCCGACCGCATACACTTTCACGTCGGTCCCATCGGCCGGTATGAACTCCTCGTAAATGTACGATCCCTCTTTGCGTACCTCCGACTTTGGCGAGTACCAGCTGCTTCGATTGTTGATCTACAAAATGGTGGCGCAAAAATAAATTTGCAAACAGTTTGAGCATGAAAACGGGGCGGGGCCTGGAGTTATTGGCAGAAAATCAGAGGGTTAATTCGGAAGGCCACGGCAAATCCGTTAGGGGAACATTTTGCAATTTTGCAATTTTTCTACACACTCACATGCCACGATTTGACGTTTTTGCCTTTGATTGACATCGTTCCCTAGGAGAAAAACGGTTGATTGTTGTAAATTGGGGGGGATATTAGCGTTTTTTTTTACTGTTTCAGACAAAACCAATCATTTTTATCACAGGAAATAGCGTTATTTAAAAAAAAAATATACGCTAACAATACGGTTATTTTGGAGGACAGTTTTCGCATTTGAATGATTCTTTTTAGGCATATTTGGAACTTTCGCCAATGCGTTGCGTCATCTATTATATCTGTGTCATTCTCTATTGATGCGAGTCAATATTTTTGCTTGTACGTCAAAAAAATCAATTCAGAGATGTAACCCCTTAAAAATTCACTAGAAAAATGCTGTGGCGTCAGTTTTCTTCCGGTATTTTCCAGTAAAAAACAAAATTTTTTCGAGAATGGATACCTTTCGAAAGAGTCGTTGCGATCCGCCGCCCACAGAAGACGGATAATAGATGTAGACGTTGTGATCCTCGGAACTGATCGGTTTCTCGACGAACGGTTTGTTGAACACCTCGCCGTTGACCTCGATGTGATCGGGATGCTCGACGAGCTCCGTGTCCGGCTCGTTCGCCCGTCCGCGTATCACGTAGCCGTGTCGCGGGTGCTCTATTCCGTTCTCCTCCAGTATTTTGAACACTGTCCGACGGTCCAGCTGCAGAAAACGAATTTGGACAAATTTCAGTGAACTAACTGTCTGGCAATCGCGCTCTATCTAGAGCGACATTGCCAGAATTTTGGGGTCCGTGACAAAAGGTCGGAAAACCAAAAAGGTCGAAAAAAAGTGACAAAAAATCGGAAAAAAATGACAAAAGGTCGGAAAAAAAGGCCAAAAGATCGGAAAAAAAATGCCAAAAAGTCGGAAAAACTGCTAAAATACCTGCTTTCTGGCTTTTTGTAATTTTTATCCGACCTTTTGGCATTTTTTCCGACCTTTTGTCACTTTTTTCCGACCTTTTGGCTTTCCGACCTTTTGTCTTCCGACCTTTTTGGTTTTCCGACCTTTTGTCACGGACTCGAATTTTGAGGAAACCAAAAAACAATTACCAAATCATATTGCCGATCCAAATCGTTGATAATGTACGGATTGCGCAGTTTCACGTAGGCTATCGCCTGAAAATTTCCGTTTCAGACATTTTTTTTTGTAGAAACAAATGCAATGAATTTCTTATGACTTTATGACTTTAAATAGAAATATCGACGCCGGTACCTTTTCCAGTGGAAAATCGGTGGAATGGAACGAGATGAGACAGTGACAGAGCGGCCATTTCTCGACGGGATCATTGATGATCACGTGCTCCTCGAACACGAAAAAATCGACCCATTGCTGCAAAAATTCCGTTTTCAGAGTGTTTTGTTTTGTGCTAAAAATCTGCATGTTTTCACGGTTTTTGGGCGAAAAAAATGTGCTTTTTTAGAGTTTGTCTGAATCGCCGAGTCCTAAAAACGAAACAGCGCGCGGTTAAAGTCAAAGTTGTGGCCGTGGCCGAGAAAAATCCAGAGTTTTCTAGGCCATAAAAACACGGAGGTTTCCCTGGTCGTCTATGATGCGAAAATGTGGCAAAATTGGAAAAGAACAACGAACCCCATAATATTCGACAACTTTTTTCATAATCGTCCTCATCGGCTTGCTCGTCGCTTTTCGGTTCATCGCACAGATGCCGATAGTAATCTGAACATGTTTTTCAGCCTTTTTTCATGAAAATTTGCGATGAATCACCTTGTACGGCCATATTTGTTCCTTCGCTGCTTCTTTCGTTTTAGGACCCATTTTTCATCTGAAAATTCGCTGTTTTTCGCCATTTTGACGATAATATAAGACAATTGAAAGTGGCGAGACGGTTTGTGATCAAAAACGGAAGTGAAAAGTCATGAGATTTGTCTTATCGCATTAGCGAACGGAAATTTATGGAAAAAATGAGAGAAAAAATTTTGAAGCAAAAGGAGATGAATTCGAACGATAAAATGGCATTTTGTCGTCAGATTAAAATCAATTTTTCAGGGCAAACATGAACAAATACCGCAGAAAATAAAATGAAAGCATTGTTCCTTTCTCTGGGAAAAATGATTGGAAAAGTGTTATCGGGCGTGGCAAAAATCGGAAAAACACAATAGTTCCCAGGCATCATCCTTTGAGCAAATAAAACTCGAAATTGAGTACGAAAACGTAATGTTGTACGTTTTATTTGTTTTGGGAACCGAAAAAAATGAGCCAAAATCGTCTTCTCACATATTTGAATTGCACATCGAGCAGAACAGCTTGTACAATTTTCTGCCGATCGTTTCTAAAGTTTTAGGCTTGGAAAATAGTAAAACTTGGGTAAATGGTCACGGGCACGGCCTTCAAAGTGACCGGTTTTCGGGGCCGCATTTTCCTATGCAAAACGTTGTGTTTAATCCGCTCCAAACTGACCAATTTGAGGGTGGAAACTGGTTCTTTTCGCAAACTTTTTGGTTTTAGCTTGCTTTTCAGGAGTTTTAGACGGTCCTTCTCCAATTTCATGGATTTTTTCAAAAATTCCGTTTCAAATCAATAAAACCGAAACTCTGAGGGTCCAGGAGCTCGGCGAGCATCTTCCTCGAGTGTCGCGTCACGTGTGAGCAGCAGGAGAGACGCAGACGGCGCGGAGAAGCTCTTCACTTGCTTCGCGAGCCGCAAACTTTGTTTTGTACACATATCGCCGCATTTCTCGTCGATTGTTTGAATTTTTATGTAATTTTTAGTATTTTTTCAGTGCCGAATGCGAAATCAGCTCGAAAAATCGTCTGAAATCACTCCAAACTGTCTGAAAATCGGCTGAACTTGCTCGAAGTGAACAAAAAACAGTGATGCGCGTCGGATAAAATGCTAGGTACGCAATGACACCGTGACCGAAAAGTACACAAAACAAAACCTACAGTAACCCGAAAAACAGCATTGCCGAAAAGTTTTCAAAAAAAAGTGCAATTTTTCAGCGAAATGCTGTCGCTTTTCTTCAAAAAAACGTTGAACAACGAGCAGGACAGACATTTGTACGAATTCTTCAAGGTACATTCTCAGGAAATCATGAAACACTAACATTTTTTAACGTTTTCAGGGTTTCCCGCAGAAATACGAGTACGACGTCGCCGATGTCGATCTGAAGTTCTCCGTCTACCTTGGAAGAGATGAGGGAGCCGAGGAAATTGTTCACATTCTGGTAAAATTTGAAAAATGTTTCCCTGTTGCAATTGCTAGCTAATCCCCTTGAACGACAGCTTATTTTCTCTATTTCCATCACTGAAATTGAAAACAAATCGTATTCTTTCAGAGACAACAAAAATTCGAATTCGGCTACCAAATTCATCACGGCAAGTCGTTTTTCTGCGACGAATTTCTCAAATACGACGAGGATCCGATGAGTCCGGAGGGAAATCCATCGGAAAACGAGGAACGCCCCGAAAACCACGAAAATTTGGCTCAAAATGCGGGAGAACCGGCAGAAATGGGCGAATTCGCCGCGCCGCCACTGCTTTCTCCGATCTCGGCGCAAGGAGACGTCAAACCGAGTGTGGTCAGGCAATTTGCAGGTGAGAACTGATTTTTACCTAAAAAAAAACGCGAAAAATTCCAGCTCCCTTCTCGCCGTCGACCTACGTGACATTTGATCAAATGACCGATTTCAACGCGAGAAATACAAACAGAATAGTAAATTTGGCTTAAAATTCGGATGAAACCGCAATTTTTTGCAGATCGAGGCTCTGGAGACCAGGTTTTCGCAGAACGTCACTTCTCCCGGAACTCCAGTGAGTGCTGGCCAAGTTTCGGCGAATTCGACAATGAATTCGACTGAAAATGTGCCAAATTCGATAGAATTCACGGCCAAAGTGAGAAATTTGATTTTGGACATCGTTTTTGCAAACATTATTCCAGAATGAGCTGATTGCGAACGGAATTCGCTGCGAAAAGTGCAGTATTGTCGTGAAGGGAATATCGCCCATCTCGAAATTGATTATGGCCGTCCGAGACCATGTCATCGCTCACTTCGACGAGAAATATCCGCTTTTGAAGAGGTCTTTCAATTTTTCTGCAATTTGTGAGCTTTATCGACGCATTTTTCCGCAGATTCGAGTGCCGAGAATGCGGTAATGCGGTCCGCACGAATTTTGTCGACGATTTTGAGAATCATCTCAAAAAACACGGATCGATGATGTCGATGGCTGAAAAAAGACAGAAATTGACGTCCTGTCTGTTGTGAGTTTGAAAAAATCGAAAAGAAATTGAACTCGATTTTCCAGAACCGAAACTCATTTGAAGCACATTTGTGCGCTGAGCAACGCGTGTTTTCCGGAAGTTTTCGAAAAAACTGCACCCGCCATCAATACTATTGTCAGTTTTGCGGTTTTTCGCATTTTTTCAATGCTTGTTAGTGCTCGAAAGAATTGCATTTTGGCAAACGTGGCCTAAGATTTTCCGTTGGAGTTTTCTAGGCCACGTTTGCCAAAATGCCATTTTTTCTCGCTAAAAATCTGTAATTTTCAGCTGGCCTCAGACACGCCCGCAAAAGCGAAAGTATCGGTGTTTCCGCGTCTCAACCGTCATTTCTGCTTTCTTCATCACATTCCCAACTCGTGCAGCTCACGTTCCTCTCTTCCAGTTCCCCTCATTCAAATAAGCTGATTTTGTCGCTATTTTTTTTACCACAATGTCATGCACCGATTTCTAATGTACCCGCAATCCATTCTTTTTTACCCAGAAAGTTTTCGATCCGTTTTATGCGAATAATAAATGTAATGTAACCGATATATTTCTCGAGTCTTTGTATTCTTGTTACTCTTTTCAATCACTTATTTTCGAACGTTTAAAGATCAAATTTCATTCATTTAAAAGATGTCAAAGATTGTAGTGTTTTAAATGCTTTACATGTTGAACAAATTCCGAAGCAGTAAAAAAATTGTTCAACTTTTCATAGTTTTTAAGAACAAAATCGTTTTCAAAGTGCAAACTACGGTCTCGAAATGATTGTTCCAGAATGGAATCGCTCCAAAACGGCTATCAACGGGCGCGTTGGGCACTGCGTAAATGGCTCAATTTTCCGTCGACTACGATTGCTCCGGTGCTGTGGCTCCGACCGAAACTCGGAGCCGCCCACGCGCCAAGCGCCCACCTCCGCGCCCGACTTTCCGCCGAAGAAAACCGAAAAATCGATAAAATCTGGGCCGAGCTTCTCCTAATCTCGCGTCTAACCACCCGATTTCCGGACAAAATGGGCGACCCGGAATGGCGAGTGATGCTGAAATTGACGAGCCGCAAACAGCGCCTCGACCAGTGTCATTTCGAGTATAAAAAAGAGAAATTGGCGGCCGAAGACGTGCGGCTCCGCGCGGAAAAACAGGCGGAACGCCGCGCCGACGCCCAAACGGCCGAGCAAAATCGCCGGAAATTTGGCGGTTTTTTGCTCGCAAACCCCAGTTTGAATTGTGAAAAGTGGCTCAAAAATCGAACCGTCATCCATCAATTTCGTCTCGAGACCCAACCGATTCTGGCAGTGGATTGTCAATTTTTGGAGCATCTGAGCCATCGCGGACGAGCCCTCACAGCCATGCAATTACAGTATTTGGCGGTGCAAAATCGCGAAAAAACCGATCCGTTTCGGCTGTTTTTCGTCAATTTTCATTCAAGTTCGCCCGAGATTCGAGAGCTGGAACGCACGAAATTGTCGTTTTTGCGGCAGCAGGCAGGGCTGAATCCGGTCCTTTCGGACCAGGGACTGAGAGAGACTTTTCAGGTGGGTGGGCGAATTTTTTTCAGCTGATTTGTAGGGCTGGGCAACTTTTGACCCACTTGTATGGATCCGATCGGGTCCAAACTTTGCAGACTTCTTGGACATGAATTGGAGTATGTTGGGACCAAGTTTCAGACCGATCGGATCATCCGGTCCCGAGGGGACGCAGTTTTCGCAAAAACCCGGCCTTTTCGGCATCTGATCCACATATCTTGGGACCAGATGATCGGATCCGTCTGAAAATTGGACCCAACATATTTCCATCCAAGTCCAAGAAGACTGCAAAGTTTGGGCCCGATCGGATCATTGCAAGTGGAAAGCCTTCGAAAAGCCTGTGCCGGCCTTTTGCCCAATCCTTGAAAGCGTGAAAAAACGTCGTTTTTTTTCTAGTATTTTCTTTCAGGGAAAAGAGGTGATTTATCTGTCGCCGGATGCTGAGGAAGAGCTCGAGACGGTCGATGACAATAAAGTGTACGTGCTCGGCGGCATCGTCGACCGAGTGCCCGAGCCGGGAATCGCCCGCCGCGCCTCCCTCGAAGCCGCCCACGCACAAGGGGTCTCGGCACGAAAACTGCCCATCGATCGATACGTTCAATTCCGGTCGGGGACCAAGTTTTTGACACTTCTCGCCGTCGCCGACATTCTTAGAGAGGTTGCGTATCGTAATTTCCGCACTGAAAAATCGATATTTTGTGTAGGTGAACGAGTCGGGAAACTGGAAAAAGGCGATGGAAACGGCGATTCCGGTACGGAATGTGCGCGCGCCGGAGCACAAAAATCCGAACGCAAAAGCGGCGATGAGCAGAATTCACGAGTTTAACCGCGAGATTTTGAGACGCGTCGAACGCGTTTTGGGCAAGGACGAGGCGCAAAAATGGTGAGAATTTTCTGCTTTTGTTCCCTCAAAAAATAAAGTTTTTAGGCCAGAAACAGGAGAAAATGATAAAGTGGTCGAGGAGAAAAAGAAGAAGAGGTGAGACGACTGACACATTTTTTTTGTTGAATTTGTTCTTGTTATTATCTATATATAAAATAAATTATTCGTTTTTCTTCCGATCGCCTTTCGATTTTGCATGATTTGTTTCAAAGTTCTGTGTGAAAATCTATACATCTAAACGCTCTTTATTTTTGCTGGAATGTCTGTTTAGGAAACGCGAAAAGCCAAATTTTTCTATGAAAAACGAGGATTTGGAACGATTGGCTCGAGATTTGAGCGCCAAACATTTTTGGCTCAAAACGGAATGGCTGAAGACGTGTGTGGAGTATCTGGAGCAGTATTTGGGCAAGGTTTGTGAAAGAAATTTGGGCTTTTGACCCACTTGCAAAGATCCGATCGGGCCCTAACTTTGCAGGCTTCTTGTACTTAGATGGGAGTATGTTGGGTCCAAGTTTGAGACCGATCCGATCATGCGGTCCCGAGATATGTGGATCAGAGCCTCTGAAGAACACGGAAGAATTTTTATCTTTTTTAGAAAATTTTTTCATAGAATGTGATCAACTGACGAAATGTATAGCAAAGTGAACTCTGCGCATAGAAAAATAATTGTAAATTTAGCTTTTCATACAAAAAAGTTAGGCGAGTTGTTCCGTGAAAAAGTTAAATGTTAAACTGTTAAATGATCATCTCTTTCCTTTTGCGCAGGCAAGAAGCTGAAGATTCCCCATTTATTCCCCCCCAACTCCCCCACATCCCCTCCCCTTCTTTTTTTCTCTCCTCTCTCTTCTCCACGTTAAAATAAACGTAAATAAATAAATAAAAATAAATTAAAAAAAGGGGGCTAACGGAAGACGGAAGGAATAACTTTTTTGTATGAAAAGCTAAATTTACAATTATTTTTCTATGAGCACAGTTCACTTTGCTTTACATTTCGTCAGTTGATCACATTTCATGAAAAAATGTTCTAAAAAAGATTGAAAATTCTTCCGTGTTCTTCCGTTGAGTTCTTCCGCTCAACTCTGCTGTAAACCTGACCGCGAGCTCGATTTCAGTCAAATGCATCCCTAAGCATTTTTGGAGTGGAAGGATCTTTGGAGAATTTGGCGGCATTTGAGTAGGGCGAGGTTTGTTGTAGTGTTTAAATGCGTGAGGACGTTCAGTTTATTTTCTACGGTAACTCCAAGATCTCTGATTGAGTTGAGAAAAGAATTAGCGCACCAGGCGACGAAACTATCCATGCACTTTTAGAGAACAGAAGGGTTGGCAGAAAGAATCTTTAGGTCATCCGCCACGTGCACTTGGGGCGGGAACCATTGAAGTAAATCATTGATAAAGACGCTTGCGGTACCCCAGATACAGGTATCCAAAAATGTTTTCCCTCGCCCGCGTCCCAATGGGGCTATTCAGCGTATGTTTGTTTTCCGTTGTTTTTCGTTTTTTACACCGCTGAATTGGGTTTTTTGACGTAAAAAAACGAAAAAAAAACGGAAAAAATCCTTTTTTCACAGCCTGAATAACCCCACAACTCTTTGCATACCTGCCCCTGATAGAATTCACATGTTTTGGGAGCCAACTCCGAAATTGACTAGTTTAGCTGGTTAGTTTTCGATTCTCAAAGCGTTGTTTGCAGAAAATGCCTCCATTCGAAAAAGTGCTCGATTTGGTGGTGCACCAATTCGTGAACACCCAAATATCCGACTCTTTTGAGCCGATTATGCGGATTCCGACGTCGGCGATCAAAGTTTTCATTGTGAAAAGGATGATATTTCAGGTTGGGCCTCGGTTTCTCGGAATTTTTTGCCAATTTTTTTGCAGCTCCAATCCTACACAAACATCTCAATTTCTTTGCACGAACAATTGACCGAATGCACTCGACACAACGACGATTTGTCCTGGTTTCACGGCGGAAAGTCGAAAATTGACGAGTCGGAAGAGAAAGAGGTACTTTTCGGAATTGCCGCTCTCTATTTAAAATTTTGGAAATTTTGACAGAAAGACACCACATTCCAAGCCCATTCACCGTTGAAACAGGCAAAAAATGCGAAGAAGCGAGGAATGCTGAAATTGGAATTGACGGACGGAGTGAACACGGTCAAAGCCATCGAAACGGAGGAGATTTTCGAGGAGAGCCAACTCAAAAATGGGTGTAAAGTGGGGCTTTCTTTTACTTTTAAAAACGTGGAAAAGTAGGCAGATTTTGCTTTCAAAGCTTCCGAAAGCTTCGATGAGAGACGTTTCCATGGCCTAACTTTCCGGCATGGAAATTGAGAAAATGTCCAACCTTAGGTTACTGTAAATACCGTAATACTACTGTAATCGGCATCCACTTTTCACAGTCGCCTCACGAGACTTTAAAAACGTTATCCTGAAAGTCTGGTCTCGAAATTATGAGAACTGAAACAGTAATTCTACAGTACTTTCGTTAAGCACTTTTCTTTCCCCTGTAACTCTAACTTTTGCCGTTTCAGATAATGCTGATCGGAAAAGTGAAATGTCGTCGCGGGACCCTTTTTCTCGAAAAATCGAATTGTCTCGTGTTGGGCGGACAGATCGACTCGTTACGCGTGGAAAAAGTGAAACAACTGTCGGCGGCGCTCAAAATCGATTTGGAAGCGGAGAAAAAACGGAAAACGTACTTGAATCATTTGTTTTCAGTTTAATCAAACATTTTTTCAGAGAATCCATCGAGAAATCGGTGCAAAAAGACGGAAAGTCTGTCAAAAAACAGCTGGAAAAGTCCAAAAACGTGTCGCAGAATCAATCGACAATCTCGCCGTTTTTAGTGAAAACCGATCGGAAAACTGGTGAAGTTACGGTATTTTTTCAATTTTTGCATTCTGGAAACGATTCGTTCATTTTATAGAATCCTCCGAAACCTCCGAAGAAGCCGGCACTTGCAGAGACGACAGAAAATTGGGAATTTTCTATTGAAGGTCGGGATATTTTTATAGTTTCTAGATTATTGCACGGTCTCCGAGGGCGCTAATGCTAAACACAGTGCGCTCGTAAATTGCAGAGTGTCGTTGCAACTTTTGAAAATTTGCAGGTCTAAAAATGCAGTTCAATACGAGTTTACGGCATTTATTTATTTCTTTTTGACTTGAAAAACGTCTAGAAAACAATATTTTACTGATTGGAAACCGTTCTTTACAGAATTTAGAGTTTTTCGTGTTTTTAGCGTCTTTTTTGCATTTCGTCAAAACTTCAAACCTTTATATTTCAGCTCATTTTGCATTTCATGAGCCCAACGAACGTTAAAAATGTTCGCTGAATCTTTCTTCACAAAATTCAGGTTTCGGCGGTTGGTTTTCATGAGCAGTTTTCGAAAACGATTCGAAAAACATCAAAATCCAGGCCAAAACCTTCAAATCGAAATAACTCGGCTAATTCTCAACGATATGCGAGATTTCTGTTACCAAAACGTAGCTAGTGCTCTAATTATTCGAATCCAGGTTCCAGGCGTACAAAAAAATAGGTATAGTGTACAGAAAACATGGAAAGAACGCGAACTCCCGTTGAAAATTAATTAATCGGCCGCCGCGTAAATCGACACAGCCCGCCTGTTGCAAGTGCGCCCCATTGAAATCGTTCGCGCCGTGGGAGACCGTGATATTGCAAGTTTTTCGAATACTTGGAATGCGAACCAGAGATGTGCGAGGCGACCGCAATATTGCATCATCGCTAACCAAATCAGCGTCTCAAAGTGTTCAATCAATTGGACCGAGCACGAGGCTCACTCAATCAAACATTTTTTTCTCATTTTCAGAAATCCCGCCGCCGGCCCAAACTCCGACTCCAGAACCTTCGGAATTTGTCGAAGAATATCAAGATCCGATCGATGAATTCATTTGGGATCCTCGAAATATTCCCAAGAAGTCTACAAAACGTGTGGAAAGTGTAGAACGGACGTTCAATTCCACGTCGTCTTTCGAGCAAGGACCACACAAAAAATTGGAGAAATTTGAACTACCGCCAAAAATTTCGGCGGCGAAACCGATGAGAAAACAACTGCCCGAGGAGCTGCTGGAGGGTAAGAAATTGCAGACAAATTTGGAACGCTCTAGAATACATGTTTTGCAATAGTTTCAGACGACGAAATAATTGAGGATTCGCAAGAAGATCCGCCGCCGCCGCAATCGAAAAAAATTGTGGATATCAGTAAGCGTTCCCAAATTTTTCCGGAATTTTAACGAAATTCCAGAAAATTCAGGATCCGAAGAGGAAGAAGTGACGGCGGCGAAAAAGGCAAGGAAAGGCGACAATTACGCGGCCGAGAGCATTTTGCCGCCGTGTTTTAGGCCAGAGGTGGGCGGTTTTAATTGAAAAAATGCAGTTTTCTCGGCTTCCTCACTTCGAACAAGGTAGCAAACAAATTGCCCGACGGCTTGCACATTTTAGCACAATTTTCAGATTTTTTGCCAGCAGAGCGTTTGGGCACTCGAGTCTGCGCATTGATTTGATGTACATCCGCATATCATGGAAGCTCTGCTTCCAATTTCCGTCGCCCTTTCTAAAAAAAAATCTGAGCAAGTACGGTAGAAATGACGAGTCGCTCTTGAGGAGATTCATCCATTTCTCTTCGAATTTTCCGATCGATACGCCGTTTTTTGTGGATGTTGCTTTAATGAACCAAAACATTTTGTCACAGGCCTGCCTGTCTGAAAAAATGATGACAAAAATATCTGGGGGCGAGAGAGAAATACGATTTGCGCGGTAGAGGCGCAGACGCACAATACACTGAAAATCCACTTGTTTCCAGAAAATCGACGCCGCCGTGCGCGCTCAAAAAGCCGAAGAATACCGTCAGAAAACGATGAATTCGTTTGCGAAAACGATTCACGGACCGCGTTACGATAAGGATAAGCCGCGGGAAAAAGTGCAGAGAATCAAGGTCCGTTTCCCTTTGATCTTTAACATTGCCTCGCTCGATTTTTCAGCCAAATCCCCCACAAATTGAGCGAGAAAAAGCGGAGAAAAGTAGGCGGGCGCATATTTTGGAAGAGGAAAAAGAGGCGGATGAAGAGGACGAGGAGGAGGAGGAGCTCATGATTGTCGAGGTAAAAATAGAAAACGAAGAGAAAATAGCTAAAGTTTTTCAGGAAATTCTCTCGAAAATGCAAGAAGATCAGCGCCTGAAATTACCGGAAAAGGTCCAAAAATCGCTGTCGACGTCGTTCGAGGAGGATTCGAAGAGCATTCACGACGAGGAGTTGGATGATTCCATTTGTACGATATTTTCCTTTTTTTTTCGAAGCCCCGCCCCGTTTTTTTTGCAGTGGAATGCACAATTGAGCAAGAAGGACGACTGGAGCTCCAACGATGGGGTCTCGAGACGTCGCGGAAGAGGGACGCGCAGAAAACGGACGAATTTGACGATTTGACAAAAAGAGGAAGAGCCGAGGATTACGGTAGAGTTTTGGGGCATTCTTTTGAGGAGGAGAAATGATGAAAAGAGCTTGAATTCCAGCACGAATAGACGAGGAAGAGGACCGAATTTATAAAAGGTAGTTTGTCGTTTAACCAATGATCTTTTCAAAATGGCAATAAAGTTATACTTTTTTGAAAGTCAAAAAAATGTAGTCCAAAAAAGTCGCTTCAATGTTTGCAGATATCCTCCGGTGCCTCAAAATCAATGGAATCATCACGGCTACAACATCAATTATTTGTCGGCGGACAATTCGCAACCACAGCAGATTCCGCCTCAAAAGCACATAAAAATCGAGGAGAATTTCGGGGAAATTGAGCGGAAAAAGCAGCGAAAAGAAATGAGCGAGAAGCGGGAGGAAATCAAGAACAAACAGTCGACGAATGTACAGATTTATAAGACGCCGTTCGCCAAACGGGTACATTTTTTTTTGGATTAGTAGTTTAGACACGACTTTTCACGGCACCCTATGCTGGAAATTGTAATAGCTTTTTCAAAAAATCTGAAAAATTCCAGATAAAACGCTATCGAATGAATGTAAGAAAGTGTCACAAACTTTAAATAAAGTCTTCACGCTTAGTTTTAGACGGAAATAGACGTTCGAGCTCTTGAAATAATCCTAACACACTAGGCTATCAGTCCTTGACAAAAAATTCCTAACAGATAGACTAGTTCTCTCGAAAAATGACAATATCCGAAATTCAGATGATAATAGAGCTTTTTTCGAAGAACAGATTAGTTGAAAAACATTTTGAAACTCACAAGATTTCACCTAGAACAACTAAAAACCCCTTTTTCTCCGGTGATTTATGGGGCTATTCAGCGTATGTTTGTTTTCCGTTTTTTTCGTTTTTTTGCACCGCTGAATTGGGTTTTTTGACAAAAAAAAAACGAAAAAAACGGAAAAAAAATCATTTTTTTCACATTAAAAAGCTAATCACGCGCTAATTAATAATTTCCGATTACCAATTTCCAACACAGTGCTTTTAGAGAAAAATACGAAACAGAAATTTTTCGGTAAGCCCTGAAACTAGTTCAAAATCGTTACAGATCCCAAGTACGGACCAGACCTCCTCATTCACCGCCCAACTATTCCAAAGAATGGCCGATTTGAATATTGTACCTCTCGGAGACGCGCTGATTAATCGCAAGTATTGGATGATGTCCAAAATTGTGATTATTATGGTTGGCTTCATTTTTTAGGCCGTTAGAAATTGAAAAAAAACACGTTTTTTTTTAGCCGACAATTTGCCATCAGGTACACGAGCTGAAATCCGACGGAATCGATTGGCAATTGCAGGTAATTGTAGGTCAATTGGAGAATTGTAATTGTCCCCATAAAACGCCAATATAAGTATGCTATACAACGAGTAAACATTGTTTGAAAAATCGCAAGAATGTTTAGTGAAACAGGAAAAAAATGTGTTTCTTTTTTCTTCCAGATGCGGATAAGCGATACGAGTGCTTCGGACGTGACGTGTCTCGTGGCGACGGACCTTCTCAACCGCATTTTTGGATTTTCGGTCCAACAGTGTAAAGTAGGGATTTTTTTTAGTGACGTTTTGCAATAAATTGAATTTCAGAACCTCTTCAACGCCAAACAATTCAACGAGTTACGGGTGAAAAAAATCGAGGCGGAACGGGTAAAAAGCACATTGTTAGGCTGAAAAATCTAGTAAAAATTCCAGAAGTTGCAAGGATTCAAGCGACTCGACCTGCTCGTCTGGATCGAAATTTCGCCGGATCCGCAAAAGTTGGCCATGATTTTAGACGTGAAAACGCTTTCGGACGCCCTGAATATATTGTGATCTCTGTTCTTTGTTGTATTTCCTAATCGTGTACCAAATCGATATCATGTGTCATTTGTTCTTTTTTTTTATTGTTATTAGCATGTTTCAGTGATTTTAGAGGTGAAAAATTATCCCTTCAATGCCTGCATCTCGTCGACACACTTGTTCTCGTGACACGAAAAGTGCTCACCGCAGTCGCGAATGGCCAAAGTGCAAAAACGATCGGCGACGCGGACGCAATTGCCGCCCTCGCACGACTCGCCCAATTGACACACTTTTCGGGCACAATCTGTAAGCAAATTGCCATCTTTAATTGGTGCTTTTCGGTTCTCGGGAACTGTTTTTAAATCTGAAATTGAAGAGTTACCCCGCGCCAGTGACTTTTCACTGGCAGATTACTGATTTTTGGCTAATCAGCGTCTACTCGGCACGGTCTCCCAGGGGGCGCTAATGCTAAACACAGTGCGCTCGTAAATTGCGGAGTGTCGTTGTAACTTTTGAATATTTGCACGTCTAAAAATGCAGTTCAATTCGAGTTTACGACCTTTATTTCTTTCTTTTTGACTTGAAAAACGTCTAGAAAACAATATTTTACTGATTGGAAACCGTTCTTTACAGAATTTAGCGTTTTTCATGTTTTTAGCGTCTTTTTCGCATTTCGTCAAAACTTCAAACCTTTATATTTCAGCTCATTTTGCATTTCATGAGCCCAACGAACAATAAAAATGTTCGCTGAATTTTTCTTCACAAAATTCAGGTTCCGGCGGTTAGTTTTCTTGAGCAGTTTTCGAAAACTATTCGAAAAACATCAAATTCCATGCCAAAACCTTCAAATCGAAATAACTCGGCTAATTCTCAACGATATGCGACATTTCTGTTACCAAAACGTAGCTAGTGCTCTAATTATTCGAATCCAGGTTCCAGGAGTACAAAAAATAGGTGTATTGTACAGAAAACATGGAAAGAACGCGAACTCCCGTTGAAAATTAATTAATTGGCCGCCGCGTAAATCGACACAGCTCGCCTGTTGCAAGTGCGCCCCATTGAAATCATTCGCGCCGTGGGAGACCGTGTTTTAACACAATTTTCAGAATTTTTGCCAGCAGAGCGTTTGGGCACTCGAGTTTGCGCTTTGATTTGATGTACATCCGCCAGCGTTGCATTTTTGCCGTTCTTCCTGCGCGCAATGGATAACGCGTCGGCCTACGTAGCAGAAGATTGCAGGTTCGAATCCTGCCGCGGTCGAGACCTCTTTTGCAAAGTTTGGGGGAAGACAAAAAATTACCATTGCGTCTGCAGCGTCCGTCGACGCAAACGAACGGATGTTTGCACTCGCCGACGCACGGCAACCCCTCCATTATTCGGCATTCGCCGAGACGGCAATCCTGATCGAGAGGGCATCTGAATAATGGTAATTTTCGAGAAAAAAAAATTTAACGACCAGGGAACCCTGCGAGCCTCTTATTTCCACATTCAGTGTCCGAGCCCTAAAAGCGGAACAGCGCGCAGTTGAAGCTGTAGCCGTGGCCTAGAAAGCGAGTTTTCTAGGCCACACCTTTAACTGCACGCCGTTCCGTTTTTTGGGACTCGGACAGTGAATGTGGCAACAACTCGGAGGGTTCCATGCTCCTTTAAAAACTCAACCTTCCGGGACAGGGATTGTGCACACAAACGCCCTGATTGCACACGGTTCCGCCGTGACACGTGTCATCCTGACACGTCTTGCCGACCGCCGAAAGGCATTGACCCTCGACGCAGTACGTGCCCGGCTCGCAGTAAATCGACGTGCATTCTGGAATGGATAATTTTGAAGCACGGTTTTTCGATAAATTTAAAATCGAGTTTCAAGAATTCTTCTCGTAATTTTTAGCTTGGAAAAGCAGAGTTCTCCGCTGTTGTCCTGATTTAAAAATAAAAAAAAATTGGTCTTACGCGTATTCGGATAGCACTGTCCGTGGTGACAAATTTCGTGTGGTTGGCAATTACAAATCGGCTCTTGGGGCCTAAATTCTTCCACTTTTTTTGCTGAAAAGCCGGTAATCTTAGGCTCACTTTAGCTGGCATTTGTTCTGCTGACACAACAGATTCGGCCCACAATCCGCGTGTCCGATACAGAACGAATCGAGCACTTTCTCGCATTTTCCGTCCCGACAAAGCGATCCTTCCTCACAATTCACTCCTTGGCAGCCTAATTTTTTCGTTAACATTATAATAATAATTTTTATTTCTGGAAAATTTCCAAAACTTACGATCCGAAACGCACTGGCCATTCACACATTTTCCGTGTTTTCCGCAATCGGAAACTATGCTCCGCGCCGAGCCTTCGGCTACAAGGACGTGGCTAAAAGTTTTTGAAAATTCCTCTAAACAGATTGATTGCAAAGTTACCGATTACATTTGACCGCAGTAATCGGATAACATTTGCCCTCGGAGCACACGAAACCCTCGCGACATTCGACTTCAAATGAGCAAGAAGTGGAAGGAGACTTGTTCCTTCCGAAGCACTGCTTCTCCTCACAAGTGAACCCGAGTGGACATTCGTATTCACCAAAAACTGGGGGACATCTGAAGAGGTTTCTTATCCTTTCTAAACTTAACAAACGGGTACCTTTCCGCTGAAATAGTTAGAAACAGAGGTGATAATAGCAAGAATAGGAAGGACATATCGGAAGACAAACTAATCAATAGGATTCGGAGAGATGCGCGGGTCTTTTATCATTGGGATCACTCAATGATAAGAGAAATCGAGAAGCGGATAAGATTAGTCATTGCAATGACTAACGATAGAAGGAACACTAGATTTACCGGGTTGCGGTTTTTTATTTGAGAACATTTCTCTTACAAGCTGGGGCAATGTGGCATTGAAAGACAGGGGGTGGTGGGCATACAGGGATTACATGCATGAAATAAATTACTATAATGTGTACTATGTATATGTACAGGGTACAGACATGGGTATTTGGGGATGTGAAGCAACGAGGGCTTAGATCTGGGCGTCAATCGGCTGGGCTCCGAGTCCAGCGGCGTCTCCAAGAGCGGAGTCGCAGCGGTCGATCTTGGAGAGAGCTGGCTCCTCGTTGATGATCTTGGCGCACGACTTCGAGTCCGGAGTTCCGGTGGCCGACGAGGCCTCGGAATCGTTAGAGTCGGTGACGGCAGACGAGTTGCCGACGTCTCCGGCTCCCTTCTCGCGCTGAGCTCTCGGCTTGCGAGTCTTGTTCTTGCGTTGCTTCTTTGGTTTCTTGGTTTCCTCCTGTGGCGTAGACTCCGAGGACTTGGCATCAGTCTTGTGCACGGATTCCTCGCTGTCGACCGAGGTTCTTGGCTTGCGGCTCTTGCGGAAGCGCGAGAGAAGCTTGTGACGATACCTGAAAAGAATACAAGTTAAGAGGCTTTTGAAAGAAGGAAATGCTTACTTGGATCCGAGCACATTGCTTCCTTCGGGTCCGGTGATGTTGGCGGCCTCCGGTCCATTCTTTCCGTCGACGAGATCGAAGGTGACTTCCTCCTCATCGGCGAGCGTACGAAGATAGAACTTCTCGGTAGCCGACTTGGAGATGGCGGTCTGGTGAACAAACACGTCCTTCTCTCCGTCGTCGCGAGAGATGAATCCGTAGCGACGAAGGACCGAGTACCACTTCACCTTGCCCGTGAGCCCGGTGTTGAGGACGGCTTTCGACTTCTGCTCCTCCTCCCAGATGCGAATGCGCTCAGAGGTCGGTAGACGCTGAAAATGAAGAATGAAATTCTGAAAGTTGCGCACAATCGAGCTCACTTTCTTGCGCATCTTCTCTTCGCTGTTTGGCGATGTCGCATCGTTGACGTTGAGGTCTTCGAGCTTCTGCTCGAGGGCCTCTTCGGCGATCTCGACAGCGGCGTTTGCGGTGTCCGACATAGTCGTTGTTGTGGAAATAGCAAGTGAGGTTGACTGGAAAAAAAAACGGAACATGTGAAGCGGAACACTTCCGTCATTTGTTAAAATAGAAATGTAAGTAAGAAATGACGCATCAAAAGAAAACTTGAATTTTGGGATTTTTCCGAATTATTCTTTGAAATGATTAGAATTTTGCTTGCAAACTAGTGAAGCCACATCAGCAATTTTTAAAAAATTCAAAGAAATTTCCGAACTTCCACACATCTTCGGAAACACGAGGAGAAGAGAACAAAAACGAGACAGAAACAAGTTTTGGGACAAAAATGTCTGTCGAATTCGAGAGCTTTCAGTGTCGATCGGCGATATCTCGCACTACCGTAACCCGCTTGCCTGCACATCGAACGACTTATTTTTGCGCCAATTCGAAATCGAAATTCAATTTTTCGCGCCAAATACGGTTTTCCCAAATTCAAACCACATTGCTTCCCAATTTTCAGTAATTCTCATCGAATTCTGGCTATTGTTCTTGAAACGTAGCCCAGAAAACAGTAAAGAACACGAGAAAAAGTAAAATTCGACTGTTTTTCAACCGAAATTCGAAAAAAAGACAAATATATTCCAGAAGTGTTAAAATGTTTTTTATCCGTCTGACAAATTATCTGTGAAAAATCTAGCGACCCAGATTGCGTCATTTTTTCAAAAATGAACGCTACCGGTGCTTCCATTTCAAAATTTTTCCCAGTTCCTCGGCCCTCCACAATCTGAAAAATCTCAAAATTTCCCCCGAATTTTTTCGCCGCCCCACAGAAAATGACATCATCGTACCCAAACAGTGCCCGAGTAAAGAATTGATCGTTTTTCGGCGTCTCTTTCGTTTCTCTGCGCCCTCCGCGCCCGTCTCCCTCGTTTCGCGTCGGCGTCTCTCGCTCCAGCGTACTCTCCCGCCTTCTCTCGTCTCTCCGCCGCCTCTTCGTTTCGCACACCCTCTCGCCGTCGCTCTCGTCGTCGGCGCCTTGTCCGGCGCCCGATTTCCCCCAGGTTTTCTCGTCGATTCTATTTTGCCGCACCCAATTTTTTTGGAATTCTCGTTGCCGTGCCTACGCGCGAAAATGGCCAAAGACGACGAAGAGCCGATGGACGTAATCGGTGGGTTTCTAATCGAAAAATGCGCATTTTTAGAGAGAAATGCTGAAAATCGGCTGAAAAGCGCAATTGTTCTGAAAAATTGCAGAAGACGTGGCCGGATGGAAGCATTTACCACCGGAAATTCGCAGAAACATCATGACCAGATTGCCGTTTCCTGTAAGCTTCGCAATAAAAATTGTGGAAAATCACTAAAAACGCACAAAATTTCAGGATAAACAAAACATGACGCTGGTCAACTGGGACAGTGCTCTAATCTGCACCGCACTGCCAAATAGGCTCCACGAGCTCGGAATAACCGAATTTCCGACGACAGCTGTGAGCAAATGCGATTTTCGAGCGGAGAATATCGCTTATTTTGCAGAAAACAATATTGTGCATGAAATGGAAAAATGACGCGGGACGAATTGTGAGCCGAATGGTCGAATTCCGCGGAAATTCATTGTAGGCATAGAGAATTGGCTGAAAATTTGAACCCTATTCCAGACGTCAAACAGAGTGTCCGGAGCACACGGCCGAGGCGATGCGCACGTTTTTACGCCTCTGGAAACGGTCTAAAGTTAAAAGTGTGGTCCTTGAGATTGTGAGTTGAAAAATTGGCATTTTTTCAAATGAATCACATTTTTGCAGCCATGTTTCGAAGGAATGTCGGGAATTTGGGACGAAGGAATGGACGATTTGAAGAAGAGCATTGCGGTCAGATCTTTTAATATCAGGTAAAAAATGGAGAGAATTTCGTAATAATTCAAAAAATCTATTTTCTAGGACAAATGATTATCGTCTGGTTGTAAGGGCGCTGGAAGCTCCACGAAATAGTCGCCACGACATTTCCCTACTGGCAAACGATCACGGAGGAATGGAAACTTCAGTTTTTGATATGGATAAGGTAATAATTCGCATTTTCCCCTAAAAACCCATTTTTGCAGGTAAAAGAAGCGCGCAGTCTGATTTTGTGGTCGCTGATCAGCAATATCCAAGACGAACAGCTTCTCGCGCTCTCCGCCCACAATATTCGTCTGCACAGCGAATTCATCACCTCCGAGGCGATTGCGCAGATGATTCAGGAGTGGAAGAACGGCAGGAGAGCTCTCGAACGCCTTCATATCACTTCTCCGAAAATCGATTTGGACGCGGTGGTGCGACAGATTCAAAGCGTTTGCTGGAAAGATATGACTGAGTAGGTTCCGGGGCAAATTCTGGAAAAAATTGATGTTCTCTGTTTTAGCCCAATTTTCTCAGCAAGCCTGGCTCTTTTCAGCTGAAATCTGCCACTTTTCACAGCTTACGCCTGAAAAACTGGAAAATTCTGCAAGTTTCAGCATTTGCTCCATTATTTGGCGCGAAGTCGACGAGGAGGGCTACTCGTACGCGACACGCGGCCCAACTTATGATATTCCGGCCGCAATCGGCATGATTCCTGGTCAGGACGGTTAGTTTTACGTTTTTTCGTTAGAAAACTCAAAACATTCTAAAAATGGGCTCAAAACTCGACGTTTTGTGGAAATGTCGTAAGCTTGGGTGCAAAGCCCGCAGAGTGGTGTCGACGGACTTTGCGCGGGATTTGACGACATTGTTTGACTTATTATGAGTTCCTGTCGTTTTTCGGCGATTTTCTGCAGAAAAACAGTATTTTTCAGGCGTCCAAACATTCATCTTCCGCATAATCCGAATGACGCCGCAAATGTCGCGTACGGTGTACGAACGGTGCTCGGCGCAGTGTCCGAACATGAAGAGTTCGGAGGATTTGAATGTTCAGCGGCAACAAGAAGCTCGATAAATTTTCTGAAACTATTCCAGAAAAATTCCGATCACCCTTTTTAACCCAACAATACCCGCTGCCATTGTTTTTGTTCCGAGTGAGAAAACAGTTTTTGTGATTGACTTTTATCCCCCAAAAAAGGTGTATATAGTTCTCCGCCCCCAACTCGCTATTTTTCCCCACGTCTTGTACAAAAATAAAGTGCTTATTTTGGAGAAATCGATTTTTGTTGTTAATTTCCAATAATGTGTCGATGATCTTGTTCAATTTTTTGTGTGAAATTCAGATGTTTCATCGACATTTTCATATCTTCTAAAAAATGGGATTTTGGCAGACTGGGGCCTAGAAAACTCCATAGGATCCTAGGCCAAGTTAGCCAATTGGCGATTTTCTGCGAATTTTTGCGCCAAACAGGGAAATTCCAATTTTTTCGTCTTCAAAAATTCATTTTCAAATTGTAGACGTGTCGGCCGCATGTCTACGGTATTCCCGAGCCCGCTGGTGGCTCTAATCTCGTCGCCGCTCGGCCAACAACACGCGCACGCACGCGGATTCAAGTCCGTCGCCCATTTATTCGCGCCGTTCACCTCACACGACTGCCACGTTAGGGTGAGTTGGGTTCTCATAGATTTTCTAGAAAATTGAAAAATTGCTCGACCCACAATCGCTTTTTTGCAGGAACCAATAGAAAATTCGCAATTATCGCACCGTATTCGACTGGACATTCGCGACATTTCGAATGACGGCCATCTTTTGTCGCTTTCCGTCCTTCCCTATGTTCTTATTCAGGTAGAAATGGCTGAATTAGTGGGAAAATGAGTAGAAACACGAGTCTTTAGGCGCTGAAAAGCAGTGCGGACGTGTCGACATCGATTAAACTCTTCCGGGAAGTGCTCGGAAGATGGGCGGAGCCGTCGGAGCACGAGTCCTTCGGCGCCTACCTCGCCTGCATGTTCGTCGTCTCGACACAAGAGGAGAACCCGCTCGGAGAGCTCAGCAAAATGATTCAGACGCAGCAGACGCTCTACAACTCCACGTCGACGCTCATGATTCCGCCGTTCTGCTGCTCGCCGAAATGGGCGACCGCGCACGCAAAAACCCCAAAACACTACATCCTGCTGCACGATTCGACGACTCCACGAGCGAGCACCGAACGGAGGGACGAGATATTTGCGCAAATGTGCGCCACGTACGGAAACGACAATTGTCAGGTGCTGCAGTTCGATTCGAGCACAGAGTCGCCGGAAATGGAGGGGATTTGGAGTGAGATCGACGAGCTGAACGACGTGCTCGGCAGAGGACTCGACGACGCATTCCAGCACGCCGCCGACTCGACGCCAACCACTCCAGGCACCAATAACGGCGGCTCCTCGCTGTTGCAGGTAAATCCGAGCGTTCGAGAAGCAGAACAGAGACAAAACTCTACAATCGTTTCCAGAGTCCGTCCTCGCCGTCGTTCGTGTCCACAATCTCCTCGATTCTGCCACCCTCCGTCGCGTCGGTCTCTCCGAACACGCGAAAATCGAATGCGAGTGTGATTTGGAAGAAAACCGTCAAGATACTGTCGAGCCAGGACGCGAAAAGTGTGCAGAATGTGATTGGGAAGTTCCTCTCCGCATGTTTGGTACGTTTTTTTGGTTCCCACCAAAGAGTGCTACGTAAAACTTTTGGAAATTTTTTAGGAAAACCTGGAAAACCCCGGCGCCAATTTAATGGAATTCAACTTTTCAGACTCCGCACGTCGAAAGAGAGATGCGATCTCTGTACGAGGCGGTCGGGCAGAAGAAGGGCATCGGAAAATCCATCTCGACGGGCATGAGGAAGTGGTTCGGCACCGGCAGCTCGTCTGGCAATTTGGCCGTTCCGGCTAGGTATGAACCACGCGGATCGATTCCGAACTTTGCAGGCTTCTTGAGGGTCCAAGCTTCAGATCGATCCGATCGGTCTGAAATTTGAACCCAAAGTACTTAAATTCTAGTCCAAAAAGCCTGCAAACTTTGGGCCTCATCAAATTATTTCCGCTTGCAGCTACTCGTGGGACAGTGCGGAAATGCAAGTGCGTCGCCTGGCGGACCTCCTTCTGATGTTCGGATCGCACGGCGCCGCCTACGAACAGTACCTGCCGCTGAAAAGGGATTTGGAGGCGGACAAAGCGCTGGTCGCGCACGCAGTCGCCCTCGAAATGTGCTGTGTGGCGCTGCACTCGGCACAGCCGCACTTAAATGCCAAACAATTTCCAGTGCGGTACCTCGAGACGCCCGTTCCGCACTTGTTGGAACACGCCAAGTGAGTTGCGGGCCTTTTTTTTGTTGTCAGAATCGGAAAAGTTTTTGAAAGATTCAGAAAGTATCCGGCGATTCTCCGCTGCGCGTTCAACATCTCGGACATTTACTCGGATCTGGGGTGCCACAAAGAGGCGGCGGCCACTCTTGCACGGGTCAGCGCCCTCGAAGGCGACCATTTGGTCGCCGTGGCACAGACACTGGCCGCCGATCACTTTGAAAAGGCCGGAATGGCCAGGAAGGCGTCGTTCCATCGTGTGCTCGCCGCCAATCGGTACTCACACGCTGGAATTCATGGACTCGCTTTTGGTAGGATTTTTTTGATGGCTTTTTGAGGCTTGGACTTTGTAGACTTCTTGGACTTGGATTGAAGTATGTTAGGTCCAAGTTTCAAACCGATCTAATCATCTGAAAACTCCAAGTCCAAGAAGCCTGCAAAGTTTGGGCCCGATCGGATTATCTGCTACTGCCCGTTTTTCCATAACTAAAAAAGCAATATTGCCTGTTTCACAATTTATATCTATTCCATTAAAAATAGTGCCGCAGTACGACACCTAAAGAAATGTACAATTGATCAGACTGCTACCGACTGGCACTGCCGGCATTCGACGAAAAGCACTGGGGAGTGCTCGACGAGCACCTGGCGGTCCGTTTATTGCAAGAAGGCGAGAAGTCGGGCCAGATGAGCGCCCGAATGGCGACGGAATGCGTGCGGAGACTTGTGGCCGTCTGTCCGAAACTCTCCGCCGGATTGCAAGAAGAACGACTGCGAACGATTGTGCACGTGCTCCAGAATTACCATCCCAAAGACACGCCGGTACAGTTATTGACGGATATACCCAAAGTCGAGATGGATAGTGTTAAAGGTGAATTTTTGGTTTGAAAAATTGTTTGAAAAGATGAGGAAATTTGATCATTTCAATAGAAAAAAATAGGCATCCGGGGAGAAATTTGAAACATAATTTGACACTGCAGCAATGTAGTTTAACGTTGTTCACAATTAACCCCAAAATCACAGGTTTTTACTATTTTTCCTAGAATTTTCTCGATTTTTTTTCCAATTTTATGAAAATCGTTAGTGAAATGAGGGGGCAGAAACAAAGAACATTGAATAAAGGAATGAATTGGTGAAACAGAAAACATGTGACTTTTTTAAATCATGCTGCTGCAAAAGATAACAAAAAAATGGATATTTTTGCAGTCATTTACGGAGAACGTCCACTTTGGAACGAAATCGACGAAAACGAGAATCAGAGTGTCTCGCCGGCCGACTGGATTACGGTAGAACGGGCAGCTCATTATGCTCTGTTTGGTAATTTTTTTTTTTTTGAAGTTTAGAAACTTGTACTTTAAAGAGGCATGTCACTTAAAAATAAGTGTGTGAGATATTTATACCATCGGAAAGAACGTGAAAAGTTACAAAATCACTTTTACGGCCAGATTTTAGGCCGCGAACGTACTTCGCTTCCCTTTTGTGACAGGCCTCCTTTTAAAACTAGAACGACAATTGTTCTATTTCACTCGTGATTGAAAAGTAATGCTTTGAAGGTGTCTATACTGCTTTCTTTGTCATGATTTACAAAATTCAAAAATGTATCCTTGCAGGTGCAAGTGCGCCCTACCGAAACATGCAATTGGTGAGCGACGAGCACTCGGACAACCAGAAAACCAGGGAAACGCCGGCCGGAGAGCGTTTCCGCGTGATGGTCGACCTCACGAATCCGCTAAAAATCCCGATTGAGCTGGAAAATGTGCGAGTGTCGGTCACGGACTTTACGCAGCCACGCCCCGATCTCGGCACCCTTCCCCATCTGAAATTGGAGCCGGAAGAGACGAAAACGGTGGAGTTGTACGTGTTTCCACGTGTCGGATGCCTCAAATTCAAAGTCGACGGCCTTTTGTTCCGACTGAAAGCCGCTGAAGGCGTGGGCGTCGAGACGAGAGTGCCGCTCGAGTGCAGGGGAAAACGGATGAATAAAACTGCGAAACAGGTTGGTTTTTTGTGCAAATTTCAGAGTTAAACACGGGGAGAAACTAAATATTGCAGCAAAAAGCGAAAGTGTACGCGCCGGACGAGCGTCTCTCGGCTACGGTGGCCCAGAAACCGTGGCCGTTGCTCGAGTTCCGAGCCCTGAAATCGGCGCACAAGTGGTCCTACTGTGATCAGGCGCAGAGATATCAGCTGGAAGTCGAGAACATTGGAAACGAGGACGTCCTCCAGATGAGCATCGCCACGAATGCGTTCGACCGCATTTCGGCCGGCATTCTGCGGAGTTCGACGGAAAACGAGCAGATACGAGAGGAAAAACCACTGGAATTGGCGGCCAACGACAAGAAAATCGCCACTTTTCAGTTTAGAGGTATCGGATTCTATCGAAGACTAATACATTAAAAAAAAACGTTTTAGGCCCAGAAAACGCCGGAAGCTTTGAGCCATTCTTGAAAATCGGCGAGAAAACGCGCATATTCTTCGACATCCGCAGCGCGGACGAGCCTTCCGCGGGCTCGCAGATGGCTCCGAAGGCGCCGAGCACAATTGTGCTCATCGGATATCGATCGGCCGCCGGCACCATGCGACAGTGGAGACGGGTCGTCGATGGGGAACGGAGACGACTTATTGCAGTGCATGCCGAGGTGCTCGGTGAGTGAAAAATTAAAGGAAACTGCTTCTGGATTAAGAAAATCCTGATTTTCAGACCTGCAAACGTCGACGTTCGCGCTGCACCTGAAGAATTGTGTGGCGGTGAGCCAGGCGGCCCTTTCGCGCGTCGAAATTCTCCGAATTCGAAGCGCGCGAAATGCGGCATCGGCCGCCGCGTATTTCCACAAAAGTACGCCGGAAAATGCGGAAATCTCGCTGATTTCTCCGCCACGAAAGCTGGAAATCGAGTCGGAACAGACGGACACTCTCGTCGCACGAATTCTCGAACATTCCGCACCCTCGGCCACGTGGATTTCATCGAATTTGGCGGCTTCTCTGGCGCCGCCCGTATGGCCGTGTCCGGCCGAGTATCCGAATTCGATGGACGACGAGAAAATACGGGTGGCCGAGAAGATTGGAGTACTGTGGAAAGCGAATATTGTCAATAATGAGGGATTGGTACGGTTGAGACACTTTTTTTTAGGGATTGTTAGTATTTTTCTGCATATCTTGTTGAATTTCAGGTCACTTCGTTCATTGGCGAATCATTTGTGGACGATCCGTTTGGGCGAAACGCGGCAGAGAAAAAAGTGAAAAACGGAGAAGGTTGGTGGGAAAACGGAAAAGCTCCGCGACGTTTCGCAACAAACTTGACCTGCTTGCCGATAGATTACCCTGTCACAGTTTATTTGGGTACCGAAATGTCGGGGAGCCAAGAAATAAATAGCAATCGTCGCCTCCCCGCCACTCTTCTCAACCCCCTTCCCACCCGAAACACTGCCCGACCGAATGGTCGACTGCCAAAACGTGGGTTTTCGGTGCGAACGGCCGCTGGATCGGATCGGCCGGCCGGCCGGTGAGAATGAAGAACTTCCATCCTTGCTCTGCGAGATCCCGGAGCATTTGACCGTGCGGGAGACGGCGGCGAGCTACGGTAGCATCGGGTTACTGTAGACGAGCCGACGAACGACCGCGCGGGCTCTGGGCACGGTGAACAGCTATGGCCTCTGACTCACGCTTTTTTGGAAATTTGGAAACATGTTTTTACAGTTTCAAACTGCTTTAAAAAGGATGTGTCAAAAGAAAGCGTGGTTGATGTTTGTCAGAGAAATTTTTTTAATAAAGCAGGGGATCAGAAAATTGTGAAACTGTAACTTTCCATAGAAACCCTACATTCACCTCGTACCTGGCTCATTTTGAAGAAAAAGTGAAATTGAACCCTTGTTAAAAAGCGTATAAAAAGCCAAAAATTTTTGGCGTCCTCAGAATGTGCTCCCTAATTTTATATATAAAATTCTAAAGTTAGGCATTGTTCTTTCTTTGGTGTGTTTTGTCTATCCAATTTTTTCAGGCGCCTCTCTTCAAATCTCGTGTGAAACTCTGCAAAAAGAGGTCTCGCACGACTTTTCCCTATCGAAAATGTGCCAATTGCCGATAGTCCTCAAAATTCGCAACGTGGACGCGTCGCGCGCGGCGCGAATCCGCATTAAACACGTGGCAAAAGTGCGTGACGCCGTCGACGGAATCCATTTGATCGCGCCCGAATGCCGACAGCAAATGTGGACGGACCGACCGATTCGACGGCGGAAAATCGCGAAAAACGAGGAGATTCGCGTCGAGATGACGTGGCGCGTCGCCCATTCGGCCGTCTACGATGTTGGCGGAGCCAATTTGCAAGTGGAGGCACAGTTCGATAACGGAATCGGCGAGGATGAGAAGAGCATCGTTTTCAAGGTATCGGAGCACTTTTTGTGGGAAAAGCTGGAATTTTCGAGATTTTTGGATAAAGAGAGATGTTCCTGCACTTTTTTGCACTTTTTGACACTCGAACTTCGACAATTTCAGCTAAAATGCGCAAAATTCCAGCTTTTCGCCGCACTTTTCGGCATTGCGCGTCAAATGCGGTGCCGAGTGTGCACGCGCGACGTGACAGTGTTTGCACGGCGCCGCAACCAAAGACCACTGGTCTTTCTTCTCTTTTTTGCGCTCTTTCGCTTCGTATTCCGGTGATTGATTTTCGCTCTTTTTGCAGGTGCCGAGCGTGTTGACGGTCGTCAAATCGGTCACCTCATTCCAGCCGACCAACTCGGAAATTGTATGAAATTCCAGCAATCCCCCCCCCCTCTCACATTTTTCCCCGATTTTCCTGTGATTTTTAGACCTTTTTGGCCTTTCCGACGGGTTGATCTCGCCCACTCCGATTTTTCATGTAAAATTAGCTATTTATGCATAAATTCATGGAATTTTTCTCGAATTTCTCCACTACTTTGTGGTTTTCTGCCATTCTTCTCTATCTTCATCGCTTTTTTGTCTCGAACTTTCAATCCGTTAATTTGTAGGAAAATGGCCTCGCAAACGCAGGGAATTCAGCAGCTTCTGGCCGCCGAGAAGCGTGCCGCCGAGAAAATCAACGAGGCGAGAAAGAGAAAGTTGCAGAGAACGAAACAGGCGAAGCAGGAGGCTCAGGCCGAAGTCGAGAAGTACAAGGCGGTGAGTGGAGGCAATTTTTCGCGATGTCTTACGAATTTTTTTGCAGCAACGTGAGCAAGAGTTCAAGAACTTTGAACAACAGTATTTGGGAACGAAAGAGGACATTGAGAGCAAAATCCGTCGCGACACGGAGGACCAGATCAGCGGAATGAAGCAGAGCGTCGCCAGCAACAAGCAGGCTGTCAGTTTTAGACCCAAAAAAGGGGGGAAATCAGAGCTCGGCCCACTTCCAGTTGACCGATCGGACTCAAAAACGTTCTGGACATTGTCCTTGGTATCAAGCATATCCAGAACAAGAAACAGGACGGCCGAGCCTTTTTTCAAGTTTCAGTTTATTGCGAGATGAGATCAATGCGCTCTACGGGTTCTGACAACCGGGTAATCCCGGTTAATAACAAAAAAATGATGATTCATTCGGAACTGTTTAGGTCCGATCGTTCAACTGCAAGTGGGCCAAAAACACAGGCCGCAAAAAAGCCGCGGCCGGCAAATGTCCAGCTCTGAAAATTGAGAAAAAACTAGAATTGTCTTCATCACATTTTGCAATTTTCAGGTGATTGTGCGTCTTCTGCAGCTGGTGTGCGACATCAAGCCGGAGCTCCACCACAACTTGACTCTCCAGAAGAAGCTCCACGGACAGTTCGCCGCTTAAATTTTAATTTTTTGGAATTTTTTGTCAACGAAACCGACCGATAGCTCTTCGCCGCTCCCTTCCCCAATTTGACCACATTCCCCTCTGTTTCTAAGTCTACCGCCCCTGAAAATGTGATTATTACCCTTTTTTTCTGAAAAATTTCTAATGACTATTGTAGAGTTCTCCGTCTCTTCTCATTCTTCGTCGTTTTCCCACTCTTTTGCGACGCTTTTTGTATACAAATTACAAAAGAAGCTTATTTTCATGTAGTTATCATCGAATAAAGGCTATTTTAGTGAAAATTTGCGATTTTCTCGGCTAAAATCGGTTGGAAACGGAGACAATTTATTTAAGGTACGCAAAAGCGCGCCACGGTGAACTTTTGCCGAATGTGTGCATTTTTGCGTCGGGGTGAACGTTTGACTCTCCCCGATTCTCGTCAACAATTTTGGCAGTTTCAGACCATTTTTGACCAGTTTTCTCGCTTTTTACTGCATGCAATCGTTAAATACACGTTTTTCTACCCATTTCACCTCTAAAAAATCGATAATCCTTGCAGAAAATGATCGAAATCACAGTGAACGACCGTCTCGGCAAAAAGGTGCGAATCAAGTGCAATCCGTCGGACACGATCGGCGATTTGAAGAAACTGATTGCCGCACAGACCGGAACAAGGTAAGAATGCTGAATTTTTTTGAGATTTCTGGAAACAATGGGTGTTTTTTCCATTTTTCCTCAAAATTTTCGAACAAATGGGTCTTCGCTCATGCTTCCCTAAATTTATGCGGGGTTCCAATGCTCTTAACGAATTTGTAGCTTTTTAACCTCGCAAAATGCATTCTCATCGATTTTTACTTCCAGGTGGGAGAAAATCGTGCTGAAAAAGTGGTACACGATCTACAAGGACCACATCACTCTGATGGACTACGAGATTCACGAGGGATTCAACTTCGAGCTCTACTATCAATGAGAAATTCAATTTTTTGTGTATTCTCTGCAAAATTTTTTTCATTTTTCTGAACATACATTATTTATAACACTAAAGCGACGAGTTTATTCAGAATTCATAAGCGGAAACGAGAAAAAATTGATCAAGTCTCTTCCAGAGTGTCCAATCGATCCATTCTCCTTGCGCCGCCGCCGCCGCCGCCGCCGCCATGATGACGTGGAAAAAGCTGCTCACGTTCCTCGGAAATGCTCCGAATCCGCGACGTTCGCCGCTGTTTCGGAGTACGCGTGGGCGTCGTCGAACTGCTCCGCCGCGACTTTTTCGCCTCCGCGTTGCTCCCGCTCCTCGTCGTTTTGTGCCGTTCCCCGCCTCCTTTTCCTTTCTTCTCCCGCTTTTTCTCCTTTTTTTTGAAGCTCTTCTCATTGTGATTGTTGTGCGACTTGTGGTGGTGGTGGTGGTGGTGGTACGGAGAATCGTCAATGTCGGGCCGCGAATTCATCAGATCCATGTTGTGCTCGATGATGTCCATGTCGGGCGGTTTCGGATTGATGTACCGATCGTTGATGATGATGATCGAGCTGAAAATGTGAGCCTTTTTTCGGGCTTTTCACTTTTAGTGTCAAAACATTCGCAATCTCAAAATTTGAAGTGATTTGATGCTTTTCAGGCCGGCCCAAACCCTCTTCTTCACTCGCCACGGCGACCAAAAACGTAGAAAGGGGCGTGGCCTAGTGTGCACGGTTTATCACCATTTTGGCGCGAAATTCGAAATTTAACCCCATTTTTCATGTTTTTCGTCAAAATTACCCAAATTATGTACGATTTCGACGATGTAATTGCCATAACTTTTGTTAAACTAATCATCGCGCACTTTTTGAGCTTAAAACGAGCAGGTTTCATTCAGAAATGAACAAATTGAATCGATTTTCAAGTTTTGTGCTGAAAATGCGCGAATTTCAGTCATTCGCCGATACTTTTTGCCGTTTGAACGCTTAAAATACTTGTATTAACGTGCTTAATCACTTCCGACACTCACTTCGTCTCAAAACTATCCACATCGGCCGGTATGAAAATTCCGAATTGCGAAACATGCCAAAAACGTCTCAAACGCGGCGTTTTCACGAAAATTTCAATGTTTTCTCGCTTTAATGTCTCTTCTGTCGTCGATATTAAACACACAAAAATATCGGAAAAGTGCTGGAATTGCGGCAATTTTCAGAAAACGCGTCTCAGATTAGGCCACGCCCCCCCCCTTTCTACACTTTTGGTCGCCGTGACTTACCGATAAGTTTGAAGCAAAATGATGAGCATATTCTTGAAGAAAAAGAAGATCATTGTGTAGGTGACCAAATTATGAACAGTCATCAAATACAAGCGGGTGAGCAGGAAAGGAACGTCTTGCAGAACGTTGGCGAGAAAAATCGCCCAGATGTCCACGTCGTAAAACGCCTAAATTGGGCAGTTTGAGGCCGGAAAACTCTCGAATTCTCACTTTGAAGCAGCTTCGCGGGCGCTGTTGCGCGAAAAGTTGCTCATAGTCGTTGGTGATCGCGACGCGCATTTTCCGCGCTCGACTTACCGTCAAAACGAACGGAAATTGGAGGAGACTCAGCTAGACACAATTAAAATGTACAGATTATCGATTGAAGCCTACCGTCCACGCGGTGAGCACAATCGTCTGAACGCGGCTGTTCGAGTACACCACTTTCTCTTTGAAAACATCGAAAAATTCGACGATATCCGAGGAGATGGCCTATAAAACTCTAGGTTAAAAGTTAGGCCACGACCCCCCAGGCCAACCAAATAAGCGAGTAGAATCTGAGAAAGTTGTTCTCGCGAAATGTCGCCTTTCGGCAAAAGCCATCTGCCGACGATCAAGTTGACGAGCAATAGTTGCTCCAAAAGTTGAAGACGCAATTCGCTGTTGTCACTAACGCCTGCAACGAGTAGGCTGGCCTAACTTTCACTTCTAGGCCACCACCACCCACTAATCGGATTCTGTACGGCCTCGAAGCCAGGCACGTTCTTGTCCAACGAATTCCGCCAGGCACAGATGCGCGTTTCGAGAAGCCAAATTGGCGGCGCCGTCGCCACGATATAGAGAAGGACGCTTGTGCAGAACCTGCAAAGGTGGTACAGTAATCCAACCCAGATTCCCCTCCTTTTTTGCAGACTTGCCAAATCCCGGGCCGGCCCGGCCCGGTCGGCCCGGAAGTTAGACCTCAAAAAAATATGCAAAAAAAGTATGAAGGAAGAGGAACCCGCGTGCGGCAAAATTGCTAAAATGGCGTGCCAGAGTTGCAATCAATCGCTCCGCCCACTCTTGAGAAAATTTTCGTAATTTTTGTGAAAATTTTGCGAATTTAAACAGCAATTTCTATTTTTTAACAGGTTTTTATGCTATAACATTGCCTTTTTCGTCTTTTTTTCTATTTCTGCTGGTTTTTACAATGAATCTTCGAAATTGAAGCAAAACGACGATAACGTAGGCCGTTTTCAAAGTTTGGTGGGTAAAAATGGACGAAGACAAAGTGCTTGAAGAAAACGGCGGTCAACTTGAATTTTTAGGTGCATCCTCCCGGGCCGGGCCGGAAAATTTCCAATTTTGGCCCGGCCCGGCCCGTTGCAAGTCTGCTTTTTTGTCATCAACTAACCATTTGCGTTCATCGCCGGCGCGCATAATAATCGCGTAGCCGCCCTCAAACACGATGAGCAACGAGAGAAGCGCAAATCCCCAGACGCTCTCCCTGAAAAGTTGCAAATTTGGGGAGAAGAAGAAGGCGAAAAAAGTTCGAAAACCAATAGAGACATACCTCTCGCTTATCAACACAGTTTGACGAATTGTGGCGATGGAGTGGACGATGAAGATGCCACGTGCCAGAATTGCTCTGAAAATGATCGACACTGTTCGGAAATCGGCGTATAACTTGAGAATGATTGATTGTAGAGCAAAACGATCAACTACAAAGTTGTTGAGCACAAAATTTGCAACAACTTTTCTGTTGACATTTTGTTGATACAATGATTGTTACTCGAGATACGGGTCGCCAAAAATACGGCAATTTTGACCGACCAAACCGTACCTGAGACACGAAATAAGGACGTGTGAGGCGTCCATACTGCTCGGTCGTTGCTTCACTTTTGTGTGATGTCGATTGCTCTTCGTGATCGACACAATCGAATCCATTTTTGTATGGATCCTAAAAGTTCTTTTTCAATGGCTCATTTTCAAAATCGGCGACGCAAACAAGAGAGCGTGTCGATGAGTGAGTCAAACTCAAAAATGACAAAGACGGAGAAATGTTTGAAACAAACCAATGGGGCTCTCTTTTTCGCGGCGCCCAAGGGACCATCGATAAGAGATGCGTGTGTGTATGTGTGTTTTTAAGAAATATGGACTGACACTCGAAACCCTCTCTCTTTTTTTTGTGTTGGAAGGGCAAAAAGTTGAAAGTTTTTCGAGTTTCGTCTTCTACAAATGCGACTTTTTTCCTCACTTTTCAAACGTTTTTCGAAAGGTTTAGTATAGTTTGATTCTGCTCCCCAGAGACTTGTTATAAAGTTTTTTCGAGAAGAAATTGGGATGAGATTACAGAACAGACATGGAAGTGCATAAAAGTGTACAATATATGTACAAAAGACCCGTCATAACAGAATATATCTCTACAAGGCCTAGTACGGCGAGTTCATGCCGAGTTTGGTGTCGAATTCGAATTTAGTCCTGCGTTGCTCGCGCATAAACTGTCGGATTCGTCGCATTTTGATCAACTCGTTCACGATCACAATAACGATGATCCACGCGAGCAACACGACGAGCGGAACGGGCGAGAAAAGGGCGTGGAGCCGGACGCCGCGTAGGTACGAGTAGCCGATCTGAAACTACGACTTTTCGCGCAGAAAACCAACAATTTCCTACCTGAGAACCGATACAAACGACGACGGACGCACTCCAAACCGCACATTTTATCGGAAACTCGAACCAGAGCGTCGAGAGCCCGAAGACGAACGAGGAGCTGAGCACACAGTAGACTATTGTCAGCTGAAATTGCGATTTTCGGAATCAGCGTGAAAATTGACGAGATTTGATGTTGGGTTTGGGCTCTTTTGGGAGCCGCAAAACCAAAAGTTTCAAAGCCTACCATGCGGGATGTCAAAACACGCAGAATTTCATGGGGAATTCGAATATCGCAACGATATCCTCGAAAAATTGAGTGTACGGGTCAAAAAATTTATGCTCCAATACACGGCATGATGTATACCAATCGATAGCGAATTTCACGCTGATCAACTTTGTCTCTTGACACAACGCCCCAACTCTTCGCGTTTTCGAGAAAACGCACCTGCAAACCCATCACGTGCCGAATTGTCTCGGTGGAGAGGCTCACGTGGTCCAACACCACACTCTCGTTGAACGCCTGCGGTCCGTCAGTGTTGAACAGGCAGGAAATGTCGGAAAACGAGCACATTAGGTTGGAATTGCTCATGAGCATGAAGAGGAACAGAAAATTGATGTAGAACGCAGAAGGAACGAATTGAACGATGAACGTGCTCACCGCTTTCAACTTTTCCACTTTCGGAATCTCGTCAGAGTTCTATAATATCCGATTGGGGGATATTGTCGGATTATAGGGAGCGTTTACCTTCGGAGCAATCCGGATAATATTCGATTTCGGCTCGAAGCGCGTGAAAAGAGTGCCTAAAAAGAGGAGCGGAAGGTGGATGAACGAGGTGAGAATCGTTTGAGAGTGCGTGAAAATGATGGGCACAAAGAAGACGGTGGACATGAGAAGAATGACGGAGAAGAGGAGCGACGAGTAGAGGAGGAAGAGCAGCGAGTGGCGGAACGAGGACATCCGGTGACGGGCGCACACGATCAGCGCGGGCACTTTGAGCAACTGAACAACGAGATGGCGTTGGCGGGAGGACCCCCCCGAAAACCGTACCTTTGCCTGATCCAAGCGGAAATCGGTGGCCAACGCGATCAATTTGCTTGAGATCTGATTGACGTTGCACTCGGGCAGCGGGTCGTGAAGACGGCACGCCGGCTCTTCCACATCATCCACCCCAATCGAGACGTTCGCCTTCGAGAAGAGCATCGAGTTGGACGGATTTCGGCAGCTGCCCACAATCATCACAACTTCTCCGTTTTCCTGAACAAAAACATATTCTGAATTCACGGTCTCCGGAACTGATAATATGGGCGTCGCCTCGGCGGCCAAATGGCGTTTTCATGATTTTGTGGTCAACGGCGATGAAAAATGATTGTTCGACATGAAGTTCTCACAGAATTAATGACGTTTTCGCGCATTTTTCGCGATTTTCGCAGACTTCGCTTTTTCGCCGATCGCCGCCTAAAAACCGCACTTCTCATTTTGCGCTTTCTTGACCGTTTTCAGACAGAATTGGTTTTGAGAATGATAAATCACGTAAATACGAGCATTTTGAGCGCTCGAACCGCGAAAACTACCGAAAAGCAACAGAAATTCACGCAGTTTTAGCCAAAAACCTTCAAACGGATAAATGTGATTTGCGACTTGACCAAATTTAACGCTCTTGCGCCTAAAAAATTCGTAATAGCCTATACAATCGGTCTATCGAGAGACAAATGAGAAATTATCGGTTTTTCGTGGCTAATCTGGCAAAAAACACAAATTTTGCTGTTAAAATTTGAAGTTCGCGCCAATGGCGCACTTGCGCCCATTGTAAGCTCTGGAGACCGTGCATGAAGCATGTTTTGAAGTGTTTAAACGTAATGCGAGACATTTTTTTGAAAAGAAAAACATGCTCACCTGCATAATATCGATCATTTGCTCGACGGCGGGCACTGTCGAATCGGTGAAAAGCCCGACAAGCAGGGGAACATTGTCGACTTCGTCCAGATGCGGCCGAACACTCTGAATGCCCGTCGGCAGTCGGGCAATGTTCGGAATCGGTCCCATTTTGGCGGATATCATGCTCATTTTGCGAAGGGACGGCGAGCCACGGATCAGCGATTCACCATCGAGCGTCTCCAGGTTCGACTCGCTTCTGCAACGGATTCTCGTCGAGCTTGACGACTCACAACGACGACTCACAACGCGATCCTCTTGCAGAACTTTGGCCGCGCGGGCTTCTGGCTCACAAACTGCTCGTGCGCCACCTCCATTTTCTTCGCCTTCGCCAGTGTGCCGACCTCCTCGTCGGCCAGTGAAATGTGACAATTCCATCCGGCCTCGATGCCCAATTTCTCCGCAAACACCCGACTTCTCAACTCGTTTTCTTTCGAAAAGTACACCGGACGCACACAAATCCGATCCAACGTTTCGATTATCGTCACTGCCTGAGGCAGCGCCTCGTAGTGAAGGACGACGAGGCCGCACAGGCAGTTTCCCGTGAAATACTCGTCGATGACCGCTTCCGACGTTCGCACGGTGCGTGTGAAGTCGTTTAGCGAGTCTGAAAGAGCCACGGTCTCCTTCGGCGCGAATGATTTCAATGGGGCGCACATGCAACAGGCGGGCTGTGTCGATTTACGCGGCGGCCGATTAATTAATTTTCAACGGGAGTTCGCGTTCTTTCCATGTTTTCTGTACAATACACCTATTTTTTTGTACGCTTGGAACCTGGATTCAAATAATTCGAGCACTAGAAATCTCGCATATCGTTGAGAATTAGCCGAGTTATTTCGATTTGAAGGTTTTGGCCTGGATTTTGATGTTTTTCGAATAGTTTTCGAAACCTGCTCAAGAAAACCAACCGCCGGAACCTGAATTTTGTGAAGAAAGATTCAGCGAACATTTTTATCGTTCGTTGGGCTCATGAAATGCAAAATGAGCTGAAATATAAAGGTTTGAAGTTTTGACGAAATGCGAAAAAGACGCTAAAAACATGAAAAACTCTAAATTGTGTAAAGAACGGTTTCCAATCAGTAAAATATTGTTTTCTAGACGTTTTTCAAGTCAAAAAGAAAGGAATAAAGGTCGTAAACTCTAATTGAAATGCATTTTTAGACCTGCAAATTTTCAAAAGTTACAACGACACTCCGCAATTTACGAGCGCATTGTGTTTAGCATTAGCGCCCTGGGAGACCGTGTGAAATGTGAATTTTTGTTTTTGGAGCGCTCGCTTCAAAAATCTTACCAGTACTGTGACTCCGCGGCAGACACGTGTCAAGTTTCGCGTGCTCCTGATTCAACGGCACCTCGTGAAACTTTCCGTTGAGCGCAGTGGCGAGTTTGTTGAAGATCGGACGGTACGAGACGGCCAAACAGTGTCCGGTCATCGAGTGTCGCTGATAAAAGTCCTGAACCGACGATTTCAACCGTTTCGACATCGGCATCACCTCCGAACCGTTCCAAATGTGGGTGCACGCCTGGAAAATGCATAATTTTCACAAAACTGAACGCGAAAACGAACGTCGACGACGAGATTGGCGGTTCCCTGACAGGCGAGATGACTGTGCAGCGATTTCGCGTCGTCGTGAATCGTACAAAACGCCATTTCGATGGGCGTTCGATGCTTTGTGAGTCCGGGCAGAGGCGCCTCGCCCGGCTGCTTCTTGTAGAACCCCAATATCTTGGGGGCGCCCTGGAAGTTGTCCAGACTCTTCTGGGAGAAGCCCATCAGGTGCGGCAGTTGACACATGCAACGACGGTTCGCGGTGGCGATGGTTCGGGGCACCTGTGTGTGTGAGACGAATTTCGTTTCGGAAAACAAACAAGTTTCTCGCTCCGTACCTTTGTAGAAATCACAGCCAAATGATCCAAAAAGCGATGAAAGTGCTCGGATTGCTGACACGAATTCAGCAGTAGATTGTAGGAAAGCGGCAGCAGATTTGTGTAGAATCTCTTCCAATTCGGATCGTCCATGGACAATGTCCATTTGCCACAAGTGTTTTCCAAATCCGACGAGAAGTTCATCACTTCCAAATGGATTCCGAGCATTCCGGACTCGTCTGTAACTTGAAATGTAAGTAGAGCTTCATGGGTGTCAAAATTCGAAAATCTAGCTAGATTTGAGATTGGATCACCACTCACCAGCCTGATTCGTCGCAAACACAACTTTTTCAATGGACGGATGAACACACGACAGAATCCCCTTTTTGTCGATAAAACTGGTGCCGGTGATGCTCGACAAAATGCTCACCAAATCCTTGCACGACTCAAAATTCGCGGGTAACGCAAGAAATTTCGCAACTTCGCGATTGTTCATAAACTTCACAAAGTGGAGTAGAAGTGGAAGTTGAAGAATGAGCAGCGGGAGTACGGTAAGACTGGGCACGGCGAATATGAAGCTGAAACTGTTGAATTTTATAAACATTTTTTCTCTTTTTTTTTCAAGCCCCTCACCGAGTACCGAACAAATTCTCATCGTCGGCGTAGCAAAAGCGGACGAGCGTGCCCAGCGCGGAGCTCAAAAGTGTGATGGGAATGACAAAGTGCTCGAAGACTTTGTGAATCATGTACTGTAGTTGGTAGTCGAACTGCAAGGGAGTGTCGTCCGACGAAAGCGTCGTCTCGAGGTGCGATTTGATGGGATAGCACGTCACGCGAGCCTGTAGTAGCCGATAGGATTACGCTAGAAATATGGGACTCACGTAGACCGGCTCCAGAGGATGGACTGCATTCGATTTCGGGTCCGTCTTGATCTCCCAACGCAGGCGGTCGCCTTCGGCCAGCACACGTCCATCGAAAGTTTCGCAATTGCAGGGAGCCACCTGAAAAGACTCTAGTGGACCCTGGAAAATACTGGTATTTTACGCAAAAACCCCCTATTCAAATGAGGAAAAAAACCGGGAGAAAAACCCCGGAGAAGAGGTTTTTTCCAGTGTGTGGAAACCCTGTTCGTTGCGAGACCCGTGCTAATAAAGGCATGCGCCTTTAAACAATTTAAATGACCGCGCCCGGTTGTGTTTAAAGGCGCATGCCATTTAAGCGCGGGTGTCTCGCAACGAACAGCAGGAAAAAAACCTCTTCTCCGAGGGGTTTTTTTCCCAGTTTTTTCCTCATTTGAATCGGGTTTTTTTTTGCGTAAAATACCAGTATTTTACTGGACTGTATTGGTCCATACGACACGTTCTGAAATCGTCTGGAAACACGTTTCTAGCAGAAAATTGCCTTAAAAACATGTTTTCAGCTGAACTTTGGTCTGAAACGGCTTCAGATCCGAACAATCGTCTGGAACAGGGCTGGGACCTGGACTTTTGAACCGCTTGAACAATTCCGATCGGCGCCAAACTTTGCAGGATTGTTGGACTTGGATTGAGGGCCGTTGGGACCAAGTTTCAGCCCGATCGGATCGTCGGCTCCCAAGATATGTGGCTCAAAGCCCGGGCTTCCGGCCAATTTTGGCCAATGATCCACATATCTCGGGTCCAGATGATCCGATTGGGCTGAAACAAAACAATTGCCCAGCGCTGGTCTGAAGACATGTCTTACCTGTCCGGGCCGGAACAGGATGACGTCTCCGATGACTAGAAGTAGCCGTGGCACCTCGACAACCTCGCCGTCCCTCAGACAACTCTGCACGACGGCCACGTCGTCGGTGACCGCCTCCAAACTCTTCGGGTACTCGAATCGCGCGGGCTTCGAGTGCTCCAAGTGCACAATCTGCTCGAACGCCCTCCGATACTTTTGCTGAAACGCCGTCGAGCGAATCCGATTCTGCCACACCTCGAGGAGGACCGTGTAGAGGAGGAGGAGGCCGTAGATCACCACCGACGACAGCGTTACTCGGTTCTCACTGCAATTCGCAGGCAAAAGTTGGCATTAACACGGTGACCAAAAACTTACAAGAAAGGGGCGTGGCCTAGCGTGCACGGTTTATCACCATTTTGGCGCGAACATCGAAATTTAACCCCATTTTTCACATGTTTTTGTCAAAAATTACCCAAATTTTGTACGGGTTTCGACGATGTAATTGCATAGCTTTTGTTAAACTAATCTTCGCGCACTTTTTGAGCTTAAAACGAGCAGGTTTCATTCAGAAATGAATCAATTGAATCGATTTTCAAGTTTTGTGCTGAAAATGCGCGAATTTCAGTCATTCACCGATACTTTTTGCCGTTTCAGCGCTTAAAATTCTTGTATTAACGTGCTTAATCACTTCCGACACTCACTTCGTCTCAAAAATATTCAGATCGGCCGGTATGAAAATTCCGAATTGCGAAATATGCCAAAAACGACTCAAACGCGGCGTTTTCACGAAAATTTCACTGTTTTCTCTCTTTAATGTCTCTTCTTTCGTCGATATCAAACACACAAAAATATCGAAAAAGTGCTGAAATTGCGGCAATTTTCAGAAAACGCGTTTCAGATTAGGCCACGCCCCCCTTTCTACACGTTTGGTCGCCGTGTGCGCATTCGAAAAGCGCGGAACAACTCACACGTCCACGGATCCGACGATGAGAAAAAGCAGCGAGATGCGAATGAACAAAAAGGTGCGTGTGCAAAAGTAGTGCGAAAATGTGCGGCATTTGTTCGGCGGCCCGTGCGCGTCCGGTTTCAGTTTGCTGCAAATTGTTTCGAAATGTTTTGCTGGAGCAGAACGCACTTCACGACATGAACACTATACCATTCGGCGATTGTCGATTTGGCCTCGTGGATGAGCCGCTCGAAAGCGAGCTCACTCGTCAGTCCGAGCTCTGTTTCGCTCATTTCTCACGACATGTCTGAAAATTGCAAAAAGAAGCTCCAAGGAAGCCTATACTTTTCGGAGCCATGGCCGTTCGTCAATGGAGCGCACTTGCATAGCGGGGCTCTTACGTCAATGCGGACTCTTTCTGCGCGTCTGCGTCTCTCGTAGGAGATGGAGAATGCGAGTCGGGGCTGGGAATACGGTAGTAACCAGTGTTGAGCGGAATTCCGTCTTCCGTCTTCCGTCTTCCGTGGATTTTTTTGTTCCGTCTGCCGTCTGCCGTCTTCCGGGAAAAAAGTTTTCTTCCGTCTTCCGTCTTCCGAGATTTTTCTTCTTACCGTAAAAGAGTAATAGCTTTTCAGAAGCCATTTACTAGTCCCGAAGAACGCGAATTTTCACGGGCAGTGACCCAGATCCAAAATTTTTGTTGCTTTAGTTATTTGAAAAAAAAAAACTGGAGAAAAAGGTTCTGCATTGACGATTTTTTGTTCCGTCTTCCGTCTTCCGTCTTCCGGGAGAAACATTTTCTTCCGTCTTCCGTTTTCCGTGTTCCGTAAGAAAAATTTGCTTCCATCTGCCCTCTTCCGGATTTCAAAATTCCATTTCCGCTCAACTCTGGTAGAAACCAGAGATGTTGGGAATAAAAATTTTACTCTACGGAACACGGAACACGGAAGACGGAAAAAACTTATTTCTACGGAACACGGAACACGGAACACGGAAATTTTTTTTTACGGAACACGGAAAAAATATTGAAAAAAAAAACGCGGAACACGGAACACGGAACACGGAATTCCCAACATCTCTGGTAGAAACCACAACAAACGGAACTTTGAACTTGTGATGTGACTCATCCATCGAACTTTTTCATCAAAACACGTTTTGAACACAACGTTTTTCGCCTCGATTCACCTCGACGCAACGCGACAAACAACGACAGTTGGCGAGGCGCGCGCCTGTCACCACCTCTCTCTCTCTCAGAATCGAAAGCTCAAAAGCTTTGAGCCCAATCAATTGTCTTCTTCATCTGAAAAAGCGGCGAAATGAGAGTTCTAGTCGCCACTGTTCTCGTGGCTATCGGCGTCGTTCACTCGCTGACTTGCTACAATGTGTGTACTAGTTTGCATTCGCCTTTTTCCTACCCTAACACCAAATTTGCAGGGCTCGAAAATGCTGGCGATGCAAAGTGTGGGCGAGACGACGGAAGAGTGTCCCTCGTCGGCGTACTGCTACAACATGTCCACTTCGGCGTACGTGATGGTCAACGTCGTCAAGGCCGGATGTTCCACGTGGCGTTGCATGGTCGGTCGGCTCGTGTTTCGCGCCAAACACAATCATCATGATGATGATGATGATGATGCGTTTACTTGTTGTTGCAGTTGGCCAAAGACACGTGCATCTTTACCACTTTCCAAATGATTCCGGTCAGTCTGTGCTGTTGCAGCTACGATCGGTGCAACGTCGGCGGCAATCCCGTCTATTCGGATAAGTGAGTCGACACTATACACAGTCTCCAGAGCTGACACAATATGGGCGTCGCCTCGGCGGCCAAATGGCGTTTTCATGAATTGAGCAGGTTTTCTCTGATTTTTGTCGTCAACGGCGATGAAAAATGATTGTTCGACATGAAAACACACTAATTCTCACAGAATTAACGACGTTTTCGCGCATTTTTCGCGCATTTTGCTTTTCGCCACCGCACTTGACTCATTTTGCGTTTTCTTGGCCGTTTTCCGACAGAATTGGTTTTGAGAATGATAAATCACGTAAATACAAGCATTTTGAGCGCTCGAACCGCGAAAACTACCGAAAAGCAACTGAAATTTACGCAGTTTTAGCCAAAAACCTTCAAACGGATAAATGTGATTTGCGACTTGACCAAATTTAACGCTCTTGCGCTTAAAAAATTCGTAATACACGGTCTCCCACGGCGCGAATGATTTCAATGGGGCGCACTTGCAACAGGCGGGCTGTGTCTATTTACGCGGCGGCCAATTAATTAATATTCAACGGGAGTTTGCGTTCTTTCCATGTTTTCTGTACAATACACCTATTTTTGTACGCCTGGAACCTGGCGTCGAATAATTAGAGCACTAGCTACGTTTTGGTAACAGAAATCTCACATATCGTTGAGAATTAGGCGAGTTATTTCGATTTGAAGGTTTTGGCCTGAATTTTGATGTTTTTCGAATAGTTCTCGAAAACTTCTCAAGAAAACTAACTGCCTGAATTTTGTGAAGAAAGATTCAGCGAACATTTTTATCGTTCATTGGGCTCATGGAATGCAAAATGAGCTAAAAAATAAAGGTTTGCAGTTTTGACGAAATGCGAAAAAGACGCTAAAAACATGAAAAACTCTAAATTATGTAAAGAACGGTTTCCAATCAGTAAAATATTGTTTTCTAGACGTTTTTCAAGTCAAAAGGAAAGAAATAAATGTCGTAAAAAACTCGAATTGAACTGCATTTTTAGACGTGTAAATTTTCAAAAGTTACAACGACACTCCGCAATTTACGAGCGCACTGTGTTTAGCATTAGCGCCCTGGGAGACCGTGAATAGCCTATACAATCGGTCTATCGAGAGACAAATCACAAATTATCGAATTTTCGTGGCTAATCTGGCAAAAAACACAAATTTTGCGCTGTTAAAATTTGAATTTCGCGCCAATCTATCGCTTTATTGGGCCATTGTAAGCTCTGGAGACCTAGTGCACTATCGATCGAAACTTGGTCTTTGCTTGTTTCAGTCCCCGCCAAATCGGCAACGGCAATGGCGGCGGCTCGTGGGGCAACGACGCAAATCAAGGAAGTCAGAACAATAACGGATGGGGAAACAACAACAACAACAACAACAACAAGTACCGTAACCCGGGCCACACTAATCCTCATCCATTCCATGTTCAGCGACTGGAGCAAAAACTACAACTACGGCGGTCAGAACGCGGCGAAAGAGGAGACAATGTAGGGATTGCGGGGCCATACTGTAGTCACAGTAATGCTTGCAGTGATTGGGGTAGAAACTACGATTACGCAAGGCAGTTTAATGCGAACGAACTGTAACTTTTTGTTCTCAAACATGTCCTTGTTCCAAACCATGCGTTTTTCGCTTCAGGACCCGTAAAACGGTGGGCGGAGCGGACGCGGCACCCAAATTGAGCAATAAGCAAGTGGAGGACGTGTTCAAAAAGTCCATCGACGATCGGGGAGACGAGATTCAGCTGGAGGACGATTTCAAGAAGATCGACAAGAACTACAAGACCCAATCGGCACCACCGGCACCCGTCACGCGGACCCTTTCCGCGCGGAAGGAGGTCGAGCAGACGCCTTTGGCGTCCGGAAAGGCAGCACAGACTCCAAAGACTCCAAAATCGAGTGGAAACGAGATTAATTTGTAAAGGAGTTGAGTGAATGCACTAGATTTTATAAATAAATGGAACTCCCGTTCTCTATTGCTTTTTTTTCGAAAAATACGTGAGAAAGATTGAAATCAAATAACTTATGAGAGCGTAACCGGATTGCGTACATTAGAAATAAATAGAAAGTTATCCGTTCAAGTCGAGCTCTTCTCCTCTGACTCTTTTCGTTTCGCCCTCCACGCCTCGCTGAGTCCGCACCAGGGACAGTCTTCGGATTGCGCGCCGCGCGGTGGCAGCATTCCGGGCAGTCCGCCGAAGCTGTTCGCGCCTTTCGGACCGCTGGAGAAGGTGAGGACGGGCGCGGCGCTCGAGTGGCCGAATCCGTGGGTTCCCTGCTGAAAGGCTTGTTGGACGGTGGGCAGGTCCTCTGGCGGATGCGTCGAGTGACGCGACGTGCTCACGGAGCCCGACGACGTCGGCGGCGCCGTCTGAAGTGTCGACGGCGAGGCGGACGAACTGGAAGACGGGGCGGTGAACTCGATGTCGTAGGCGGTCGTGGGCTCCTGCTGCTGCGCGTACGCCTGCAAATTTCCAATAAAACCGCCGAAAAGAACAGAGCATAAATCTCGTTCTGTAAAGCAATTTTTGATCCCCCTTCGCCCCCCTCGTTATATATTTGCTCCCGCACTTCCGTACGGCAGCCAGAAAAAATTAAGTGCAAATGCAAATCTCGTCCGCGCACACGCACACCATGTTTCTTTCGGGCAAAAAGTGTCATCAAGTTTCACCTGTTGAATGCGTTGACCGATCGATTTTCCGATGGCCGAGCCGAACGCCTCCGCGTCTTGACCGTACATGTTCAAGATGCGCTGTTGCTGACGTGGAACTCTGAAATTTGACGGCGTTTTTTTTTTGGTCGTTGTTGATAGTCAGACTCACCCATAGCTCGAGAACTGCACATTTCCACCGGCGCCGTTGCTGCTGCCAGAAGCGAGTGCTCCAAAATTGACATTCTTGAAGAATTGCTCAAAATTAAAGTTGTATCGTTTTTGAAAGCCACCGCACTGAGCACAGTAGAGAAATACGGGCGGTACAAGGCCCAAAAGTAGGAATACTGCGAGCAGAAAGTGCATTTTTCAGCCAAACCAACGCGTCTTGTCGCTCCCCCCCTCCGCCCTCCGCACTCTTTTATACATGTACCTGTGCGCGCGCGTGTGAAACTGGTTGTGTTGTCCGCGCGGAAGCGGCGCCGCGCAAAAGCTCGGCAAACAGAAAAAGATTGGGTGGTGGTGGCGGCGGCGGCGGCGGTGGCAAGGGCGCGAGTTTTGTGGAAGAATTGAAAAGAGAACGAATAAAAGTGTCCGGACGTACACACATTGTTGTTGTTTTTTCGGCCCCATTCATTGTTGGCGCGAATATGGAATGATGACGTCGTGGCACGAGCGGGGGGAGAGCACAAGACACGTGGCACGAGCGGAGATATGTGAAGTGGCGAGTGCGCGCTTGATGTTTGAGATGTTCGGCTTGTTCGGCAATTAATGTACATGCACTGGCTGGTCAGAAAATGGAAGAAGAAAAAAGCGAGGGAAACGGATGTTGCAAAGTTATAGACGGGCACAACGAGACGGAGATACATTCAAATCGATTTATCTCAGCTGTCGGTGGCGATATCGAAAAGTTGCCAACTGATAAATTGCTCAAAAACACATTCCCAGCGAAGATTCATCGGTTTGCACGGTCTCCAGACGTTTTGGCGCATTTTTCGCGGACTTTGCTTTTTCGCCTTCGCCGCCGATCGCCGCCTAAAAACCGCACTTCTCATTTTGCGCTTTCTTGACCGTTTTCAGACAGAATTGGTTTTGAGAATGATAAATCACGTAAATACAAGCATTTTGAGCGCTCGAATCGCGAAAACTACCGAAAAGCAACTGAAAAATGTGCAATTGACGTTATTTTGAACGCTTCGCGCCAACAACGACACTCCGCTATCCCGCCTCCGCTCCCGGTTTATCGTAAATGCACACCGATTTTACTTAAATCGAATTTTTTTCCACCGCCGTTTTCCGTCATTTTCCCACGGATTTTCGCAGTTTTTCTTGTAATTTGTACCTGAAAATGTTGCCAAAAACCGCTATAAATGTAACGTTCAGGTTTGAGTCCCACTTCGACCCGAAAATGACCTCAATCGATGTGACCGAGATTTTGAAGAGTTCCTCTTCGTCTTCGTATCAGGTTTGTCAGGTTTTGGTGTGGGAAAGCCATTTAAAAATGTGTGTTAGATAAAGCTGCACAGAAAAGTGAAACGTTTCCAAAATATCTACCCTAAAACTCTACAATCTCCTTATAAAATCAATATTTTCTAGCCAGCAAAGAAGAAGTCGCGTTTCGACGAGAACGGCGCTTCCACGTCGGTTCCACCTCGTCCTGAGGACATTCTGGCGGCGCTCGAGGCAGAAGAATCCACGTTTGTGGTCCTCGACGAAGTGCACGTGAAGAAGTTGGTGGCGCAGCTGGAGAAGAAGATGAAGGCGAACCGGGAGCAGAGAGTCAAGAATCCGGACGATCCGAAAAAGTTTATGGACTCGGAAATCGAGTTGGACAAGGCCATTCAGGTGGGCAACTGATTCATCCCTAAAAATCCCAAAAATTTGCAGGAAATGCACAGCTTGGCGTCTCAGCCCGACCTCTACGGCGCTTTCGTCGAGGCGAACGGCGTCGAAATCGTTCTGCAGCTTCTCGGACACGAAAATTCGGATATCGTGTGCGCCACGCTCAGTTTGTTGAGGGTAAGCATAGAAATGTAGAGAAAATCCAGAAAATACACGGAAAAAAGCGGTAAAACGAGTTTTCAAATTCACAGGAGCTGACGGACGACGACGTGATGAACGAGGGAGAGGAGGGGGCGGCCGAACTGATCGACAGCCTCGTGAATGGATCCATCGTGACCACTCTTCTGGCTTGTGTCGAGCGATTGGACGAAAGTGTGAAGGACGAGGCCGACGGGGTGCACAACGCTCTCGGAGTCGTCGACAACGTAAGCTTAACCTATAGCTTAACTTTTTTTCAAGAAAGGGCTTCTATTTGAAAGATTCGGCTTGTAAGAAAGGCTATTGCTCTGAAAACGTGAAACAAATATTTCGATGCACATTGAAACTGATTTTTTCAGATGATCGGCTTCCGGGACGACATAACGGAGGAGTGTGTGAAGCACGGATTCATAGTGTACCTGCTGAAGAGGTGCTTCCAGAAGGGACCGTTTGACGCGAACAAAATTTTCGCCTCAGAACTGCTTTCCGTTATTTTACAGGCTTCCGAGACGGCCAAGGCCAAATTGACGGATAAAGTCGACGGAATCGATATCCTGTTGAGGGTGGGTCGCAGTCATGTGAAAAGAGATCATTTCACGGATTGAACAAAAATTTCCAGGCGATCGCCGTGTACAAAAAGAACGATCCGACAAGTGTGGACGAGCGAGAGTACATGGAAAATTTGTTCAACTCGCTCTGCGCCGCCCTCATGTTCCCCGCCAATCGAAGTACGTTTCGGTATTGTGACTGCTTTGCCTGCTTTTAGAATAAATTCTGAAACGATAAAAAGTTGCTTTGTCTGCTTTTCGAGCTTTTCCCGCATCTTTTTGAGCGCACCTCCGTCATAAACGAAATTAGGATTTTGTGGTGGCAAAATAATTTTTTGCAGAAAAGTTTCTGGACGGCGAAGGACTGCAGCTGATGAATCTGATGCTCCGCGAGAAGAAACAGTCGCGTCAGAGTGCGCTAAAAGTGCTGAATCACGCGACGTCGGGCGAGGAGGGCATCGAGAACTGCAATAAGTTGGTGGAGATGCTCGGATTGCGCACCATCTTCCCGCTTTTCATGCGGACGCCGTCAAAGATGAAGCGGAAGGACACGACTCCCGACGAGCACGAGGAGCACGTTTGCACCGTACGTTATTTTTTTTTTTAAAGTGAAATACGGATGTGAACGTTGGAAACGAAAACAATTTTGGTTATGTGTAATGCAAGAAACAGTGTAAAATAAAATTCGAGAAGCAGATTTTTATTTGAAAAGAAAAGGTTTGCACATTTCCCTTGCAGATATTGTCGTCGCTGCTGGCCGCCTGCGCCGAAAACCATCGTCAACGAATTGTGCAGAAATTTGTGGAGCACGAGCACGAGAAGGTCGACAGAGCCGTCGAGCTCTTTTTGAAATACAAGTGCGTCGCTTCTTCTTTTTTTTTTGTTGGGATTTTTTACAAAAAAGCGCGTCAAAACGACGCATTAGTTCAAAAACAGCGAGAAATCCGGTACGGTACGGTTAAAGGCGAATAACAAGTTTTTTGCGATGGTCCCGCAACGATCACAACAACGCAAACAACCGTTTTTTTTTTTGCAGAGAAAAAGTGCAAAGATTCGAGCTGAAAAAGAAGCGATTGGCACAAGAAGCGGGCACTTCCGAGGACGACGATCCGGACAGGTAGATTATTGTAGTTTTTATTGAAACACAAACCATTTTCTTGCAGAGATTATCTGGACAAACTCGACAACGGACTGTACACTCTGCAACGTCTGACTCTGATCCTGGCCGACGTGGCAGTCGGAGTGGAGACGGCGCGAAAGAGAGAGGAGAAGCTGTTCCAGATGAAGATGAGCAGCAATCGGCTCGATTTGATGCTCACCCCGGTACACCCTTCCGCTTTTCCGATTCTTAGAGCCAAGTCAATTGTTGTTGCAGATTCTCCAGGAATACGCCGACAATTTGGGCGACGAGGCGATGTTGGAGCAGGAACGGGCTCTTTTGATGATTGCCAAAATTGAGGAGTTCTACAAATCCGCCTAAATTATGTTTACTTGTTACAAAATGAATTTTTGCTGTATTAACCGCTACTTTTTCCCCACTATTTTTTGTATAATTTACTGTCTTTCTAACAGTTTTCCACTATATTTTCCCAAATTCACTTTTAAAAGTTTTTAATAACAGTTTTGTTCGCTCAGATGCCGCCCCCTTCCACATTTCTGGAGCGAATCGTGTTCCATTTCAAGTCCGACGATGATTTCCGCACCGCCACCGACGCATTCTCCGCGTGCTTCGTCATTTGCGCAACCGTATCCCTCCTTGGCTCCGCCCACTTTTTCATCGGGCTCCTCTCGGTGCCGCCGACGCTTTTGGCCGCTTTTCTGCTCGCACGACGAAGGCCCTACTTGAATAAGCAGATTCTGATGCCCGCCGCATTTCTCGGATGTGTAAGTTATTTTTTGAAAGCTCAGGCTTCTTGGACTTGGATTGAAGTAGGACTATTTGAGGCCAAAAAACCGGGTTTTAGCGAAAATTATGGCCTTTTCGGCCTCTTTTCCACATATCTCGGGACCGGATGATCGAATCGGTCTGAAACTTGGACCCAACATACTTCAATCCAAGTCCAAGAAGCCTGCAAAATTTGGGCCCGATCGGATCATTGCGAGTAGGTCAAAAGTACAGCGGCCTCGGAAAGACAGTCAATTTCTCTTCATGAACGTGTTCTTCATGACCCATTACTTGCAAAAAGCAACTAAGAAATTGCAAAAAAATCTCGGCGTCACTACGAAATCTGCTACTTTCGAGTGGCGTGCTGCAAGTGAAAATCGAATTCATTTTGGTCTTAGACAGTGTGTTAATCACTTTAAGATTGAAATCATTCGAAAATCTGTGTTATTTCTCCAACGAAACACGCTGACTCACCCGAGTGCTAGATATTGATGATGTCAGAGGGACAAACCCCCTTTCCAACAACTTTTGATCATAAAATCATGAAAATCGGTTTCAATTCTATCACTTATAGGCTATAAGTTATAGCTTAATCAATCGCCACTCGAAAATCACAGCTTTCAACTTGAAACAATTGTTGAGCCTCTTCAGGCGGTGGCAATCAGTTCGACGTACACGTTGGCGCACGAGGGAGAGCTCCTCGAGCACCTGTCCCGATATTTTCTCTTTTTGTTCCTCTTCCACTTCTCCGAATTCGTCTTCACCGCGCTCTCGAATCGTCGCTCGCTGCGTCCCGATTCGTTTCTTCTGAATCATTCCGTCGGCTATTGGATGGCCGCCTCCGTCTCCTGGATCGAATTTTTACTCGAGGTACTTGAAGCGATACCCGCAAATCTGTTGCGATAAACGATGAAATTTGAGGCCTACTTCTGTCCGTGGCTCAAAGAGTACCACATTCTGTGGATCGGCACGCTAGGATGTGTGATCGGAGAGATTTTCCGAAAGTTGGCAATGATTCACGCCGGACTCGGTACATCAATAATCGCCGAGAATACGTGGGCGCGAAAATGGCATTGTTTGCAGGATTCACGCACAAATTGGCAATGACGAAACGGTCGGACCATCGGCTCGTCAAAGAGGGCGTCTACGCGTTCATGAGACATCCCGGATACTTTGGTACGAGAATTGCAACATTTTGACCGATTTTTAAATTAATCTTTGCAAAAAACACTACATTTTCAGGCTGGTTTCTATGGGCCGTCTCGACGCAAATCGTGCTGTGCAATCCGATTTGTTTGCTCGTTTACGCCTACGTGACGTGGCACTTTTTCGCCGCGCGCATTTACGACGAGGAGAAGGATTTGATCGCCTTCTTCGGCGAACCTTATGTGGTATGTTCTGAAATTGTGTCAGTCGTTTAGAGAATTGAATTTACTATCGATCGAAAGAAAACTGACTAAATTCTCCGTTTACCGTTGAGGCACGATCTTTTTAGCGTGCAGAAGATCAATCATCTTCTGAATCGCATTCGAAAAAAACAGATTCCAAAAAAAAGACGACATTCTTCCGCCATAACACAAAACTAAAATTTCTCTGGAAACTCGATTGCAATCTAATTAGAAGAGTTTGCAAACTAATAAGAAGAAGCTCTATTTCGCAATCTAATCAGAATTAATTGAAGTTCACGGTCTCCCACGGCGTGAATGATTTCAATGGGGCGCACTTGCAACAGGCGGGCTGTGTCGATTTACGCGGCGGCCGATTAATTAATTTTCAACGGAAGGCCGCGTTCTTTCCATGTTTTCTGTACAATACACCTATTTTTTGTACGCCTGGAACCTGGATTCGAATAATTAGAGCACTAGCTACGTTTTGGTAACAGAAATCTCGCATATCGTTGAGAATTAGCCGACTAATTTCGATTTGAAGGTTTTGGCCTGGATTTTGATGTTTTTCGAATAGTTTTCGAAAACTGCTCAAGAAAACTAACCGCCGGAACCTGAATTTTGTGAAGAACGATTCAGCGAACATTTTTATCGTTCGTTGGGCTCATGAAATGCAAAATGAGCTGAAATATAAAGGTTTGAAGTTTTGACGAAATGCGAAAAAGACGCTAAAAACATGAAAAACTCGAAATTCGGTAAAGAACGGTTTCCAATCAGTAAAATATTGTTTTCTAGACGTTTTTCAAGTCAAAAAGATAGAAATAAAGGTCGTAAACTCGAATTGAACTCCATTTTTAGACTAGCAAATTTTCAAAAGTTACAACGACACTCCGCAATTTACGAGCGCACTGTGTTTAGCATTAGCGCCCTGGGAGACCGTGTTACTGATCTAAACGCGACCTAATTAGATTCGACTGTTTTTTCTTGGCGCAATCAAGATTTGAGCCAACAGACGGTTGGCGTGAAACTTTATTTAAGTACTTATTAATCTAGCTAGACAATTTTTTAATCTAATAAGGTGTCATATCAATCTTTTTAGGCCGCCGTTGGATTAATAACGAAATGCCAGAGCAGTGAAGATTTTCGGACCGTTTTTTCGTTCAATCGATAGACAATTTCATTCTCTAAACGACTGCCATTCAAAAATTCGTTTATCTCTTCTATTTTTCAGGAATACCAACAGCACGTGTGGGTGGGCGTACCATTCGTCACCGGATATCAACGACCGTGAAAAATTAGTCTTCAACTCTGGATCTACGCCGCCATTTTTTGCATGACCCCCTTCTCAAGATCTCTAGAAAATTATATGCACACACCCAAAAAAAAAAATGTATACTTTCAGCCAGCCGAACAAAAAACACGTTCATTTCTTGTTATATACAAAAATGGGCAAACAAAATGATGGGGGAGGGGGAGGGAGTGACTTAGATATCATAGAATTAAGGCGTCACCGACTATAGAAATGGACAATTGCAAAGAAAATGCATGCAAAACTGAAATGATTTGATTGGGAGCGATGGAGGGAAAATAGAGAGGAGGAGGAGGCGGGGCAAACACGTAAAATTCAATTCTTGCGATAAAAACGGTTTAGGTAACTTCTACGACCGATTCTTTTGCGCCAACATGACTTTATTGATAAAGTTGACGACGGCGGTGGCCGGCTGCTCGGGCTCCAACTCGGCGAACACGTGGCACGCATTCTCGGACGACGACGGAATTCGGGCGACAAACGCGAAGAGACGTGCCTGCGCGATGCAGCCGTCGTGGAATCCGAGCGCTCGCGTGTTTTCGAACCTGAACATTTGCAAGTTTTTCCGCATTGCCCAGGCCGTGCCGCCAACCTCCTGTCAATCGGATCCATTCCGGCAAAGCTGACACTTTGCACGTTGAAGTGCCGCCTGAAGAACACTTTGCGCGTGTTGTCGGTCAGCGTGACGCCTTGCGAGGACACCTTTAAAGACGCGGATAGTGCGAGCTTGCGAACAATTCTCCTACCCTACCTTAAAGTGGACGGAGACTGCGCGAGTTTCGCCGTTGACGACTCGCTGCGAACACGTGGCAATGCTCCGTTTGACGCACTCGTTGCCGGTCAACGATTCCACGTCGACACTGCCGACGTACACGACGTTGCACGCTGCAAAAAAGGGCCAAATTAGTCGTGAAATCGTTTGGGACACTGCTGTGTGCTCTCACCGGCTCCTTGCTCCAAGAGCGCTTGTGTGGCCGACAAATGTTCGGGCGTGGCGGCCGGGTCAAAGTCCGGAAGTACGAGCTTGGTCGGAAGGGCGAGGGCGGTGATGGAGTGCTGGTAGACGAGGGCGGACAGCGAGCCGAACACGGGCTGCAAATTGGCATTGGGAAATTCCAAGCGATTTGCCATCAATAATCAGGTTTTCTAGCCTTGGATTGACTAGGGACCTTCGGGGCTTTTGGAATGGGACCTATATGATTCGAAAGAGAATTTCAAGGAGAATCCGACGCTGCTCTCCATTTTTGCTAAAGAGCACTGGCTGGCGAGAAAATCTGCCTGTTTCTGCCATATTTTCTAGCAAGTTCATCTTCGGCGACCTGTATCTCAAGAACCACGCGTCCGTTGCAAAAGTGGTGAACTAGTAAGTTAACGCAAATTATCCCGTGAATAATTTTGTAGTTGATCGTCTATTTAAAAAAAATTAGTTTTCGAGTTATCGTCGCTCTGACCCCAGCACTAACTTTTTTCTTTCCGCTCTAGGAAAACTGTTCATAACTCGAAAACTAATTTTTTTCTTAAATAGACGATCAACTACAAAGTTATTAACGAGATAATTTTCGTTAACTTACTAGTTGACCACTTCTGCAACGGACGCGTGGTTCTTGAGATACACGTCGCCGAAGATGAACTTGCTAGAAAAAGTGGCAGAAACAGGCAGATTTTCTCGCCAGCCAGTGCTCTTTAGCAAAAATGGAGAGCAGCGTCGGATTCTCCGTGAAATTCTTTTTCGAATCATATAGCCCAAGATAAGTGCGGGCCATTCCCTAGTGAGGTATGTTGGGTACACGTTTCGGTCCCCATCGAGCTGTTTCTCATATCAATCCGCACATCCATCTGCCACCCATATGCCGCGCTCACCTCATTATTGCACCCCTTCAGTTTGACACCCTTTGGCGAGGGTTCGATCAAAAAGTGACGGACGAGTTCGGTTCCGTCGCCTACAAAATCGTTTGGCTGTGAATCTGCTATGTATAGTATAGTAGTACCTGGATTGACGCCTGGCGGAGGTGTTTGCACCTTCAGAGCAAGCCCAAATGCTCCCGGAAATGAGTTGGAATCGCGGACGACGAACGTGCCGGGAGGCTTGTCACGGAGCATGTTGATGGCTGCAAAACAACGATATTGGACTTCTAGGCCGTTGTGAGTTTTGAAAAAAGTTCTCAATGGTTCAAAGCCTTTTCAATCCCTTCTTGTCTCGAGACATGCGGGTTTTTCGGGCTGTCTGCGCACGGGGAGCAATAAATCCCATGAAAAACAAATGCGGCGTGCTCCATTTCTAGGCGATGCGGGGCCTCATTCATAATTCATCCCTTTCTCTCCCCTTCGCTTTCCGACAATTGTCTCGTTTGGAAGAGAAATCTCGATTGTTGCAAAAGTTCGGCCATGACGGTCTCAAATTTCCATCCCTTGCACTTTGCGAGGATCTCCGCACAAGATGTAGTGTGCCAAAGGTCCGCGAGGCTTTCGAAGCACACCACACACACACACACACAGTGTAATGATGCTTGGATGCTCCGAGAGCCGGAGAGCCGAGCAGCTTCCGAGCTAGATGAGGACGAATGTTCACAATATGTGTGTGTGTAAGAGCATCGATTTGATTGGGGGGGGAAACTGAGCGAAGCACTTGTTGGAGCGGGGGTTAGAGAGCAAGGGAACACCCATTGGATTTCAAGTTGACCACTATGACTATCAACGTGTTCCCAGTGAATCCCAACCCCTTTTCCCGAAATTTCATTCCTAATTTCGGCACAATTTGACTACTGATAAGAAGCATTCTTCCTTTTCAACTCGACACTACTATTATTATCAGTAGGTGTGGCACGAGAGAAATCCCAATTTACACTTGATTCACTGATCAATTTCTCAAGTGCAAGCAAGGCGATAATTTATTTGTGGGTGAAAAAAGGCGTACCTTGCTCTCTGGAGATGGTGGGCTTGTACCAGTACTTGGAGGTGTCTTTCACGAACAACGGATGATGATGGATGATTTCGGACGTGTCTGCAATCGAGAAGAACATTATTGATTTGAAAATGTGTGAACGTTTCTCTGCAAATTGTGAACAGTTATGCAAATTTCGATGGAAATGTGGAAACGTGGCAACACAAACCTCCACGTTGACCACTATGACTCGCAATTTCTTCCTACTCGCTTTCGCATCCATTTCAACGCAAATCCTTGCGTACGACTCGTAAAACAACGCACAAAATGGTCGAACTCTTCGGTTTTATCTCTTTTTTCTCTCGCTCGATGCATTTGCTACACAAACACACATAAATCGGCCGGAAAAGTTGGTCTGTGTGTGTGTGTAGCGCATCACAACGCATAAAAATGCGTTATTTCATTGAGATTTTCTCTTCAATGAGGCATCTCACTTTTTATGGCTTTTGCTGACCTTAAAATATGCAAATTGTTCAAAAAGTTTCGTTTTTTTTTTTTGGCAAAAAAGGATGCGATTTGGAGGGGTTCGTGTGTGTCCGCGCAACTGGATTAGGGCAGCGGAAACTCAATCGGGCGTAAGTGAAATTAGGCGGAAAACACAGTGGAAATGGGATTTTTTCAAAAAAGACTGAACAAAAATCGGTGCCCTTCGATGCGAAGAACCCAAAAAGTGGAATTGTTCGCGAAGAATGACGTGGCACGGCACCGACCGGTTGGATAATATCAAAGCAACACCTATTTTGATACAATTCGACGACATGGCACTCACTCTTTGCGCCGCTCTTCTTCAGTATTCCACCACCTCCCGGCCCATTGGCTATTATCAGTGTCTGCCTTGGAACCTTCGCATAATGTTCTTCCGTCTCGACACCGTCCTCTTCCATGACGACGTCATCGAACTCCTCCTCCTCCTCCTCCTCCTCCTCCATCGTCTCTTTCGACGAAGACGTCGTCGTCGTCGTCCGTCGAATCAGATCCTCCTTCTCCTCGTCGGCGTCGGAAAGATCCGAAGATTCTTCGGACGAGGCGAGGGAGACGTCGCAGTAGCGTCGCGAGGAGGGGTTGTGGTGGAGTTGAGCGCTCGCCGTCGCCGACGTCGCATCTTGCGTGGCTCGGCTGTTTTTCAGGTGGATCACCACTGTCGTCGACGATGTTGTCGCCGTGTCGGACATTTTCGACGGCTTTCAGACGGTCCAGAAGCTTCCGGAAGCTCTCGAAAACGTAGAGGATGCGTGAGAGGAGTCTTCAGAATGCAATAGTAGTCGTAGAATCCGTGAAAATCACTCTTTTGAAAAGGCGAGAAGAAGTAGAAGAAGAAGTAGAAGTAGAAGTCGGAGAAGAACACGAAACGTAGAGTAGAGTAGCAATAGACGAGACGAGACGAGAGAGGCCCCCCTTTTCCTTTCCGACAGCTGTCTCCTCTTTCCCTCTCTCTCTTTCTCTCTTCACCCTGTCTCCGCCCCTTTTCGGCCTCTTCTCCCCCCACTTCTCTATATCATATCTTCGAAGGAAAGAGAGAGAGAGACCACTCTCTCTCTCTCTCCGGAAATAAAACGAGAGTGAGAAAGTTCCCAGGGGATCTACGAATCTCCGACGAATACTAAAAACTAGCGGGGGGTGCCAAAAAAAAAAAAAAAAACGTTGTACAACAACTTTTTTCGAGCACCAAGAGACGGATGAAAAACAATGGGTTCAGGGGGGGTTGTGCCATGTCATCAAAGTATTACTGTAGGTCCCAACAACTTTTGTGGAACGTGCTGCTCCAAAAAACCGTCCATTTTCCGCGTCTAGCACTTGACGGCGGAACACCGCCCTCATTCCTGTTTGTTTCGAAAATATTTGCGCGTCGGCTCACTCACTCACTCACTCACTCGACCATTATTAATGCCTTGTATTAATAATAATAATAATATGGGTGCCGACCAGATGAGTGGCCCTGTGAGAACAGGTATATTCGCGAGGGATCGAGACGGACAGTATTATTGCACGATTTTCGACAATAAAATCGTCTAGACCGATTGCCACGTCATGGATTACTGTACTTTCGGCCACCTACCGACTGAATTCATCGAGGACCGTCTGCTGAGCGTCGAGGAACCGCCGAAGAGGCGCGGAGACGCGGATCTGTTGAAATTTCAGTGTCAGGGGGGGTTTGAAAAACACGTTTCCTCCTCACCTATTATTCATAGTACTGTAGCCGTTGTTGTGTCCTCCTCCTCCTCCCGCCTGATATGTCTGCGCTTGTTGTTGTCGCTCGCCGTTATTGTACAATAGCGGATGGAACGGAAGAGGTGTGGCACGCGAGACCGGAAACGACGGCGTGGCGGCACGTTCGAGGACAGCACTCTGCAATTGAAACTGTGTTGCATTTTGTTTTTTTTTTTTTGCAAAAGAAAAAAGTTGTGCTTTTTCAAAGTTGGAGAAGAAAGAAAAAGGGGGGGAGAAGACGATGATAATGTTATTGTTACGCCTCTTTTCCTTTGCGGGCATGAGAAATGGATTGCGGTGGCTATGTTTCCATTTGACACTTTGTTTTGGCATGGGAACCATCCTGACACCGTTCTCAGCTGTCTGTGTAGCTATCAAAAAGTTGCGAAGAGATAAAATGTGCACAATGTCTTTTCGAGCAATTTATCAGTTGACAACTTTTCGCCTTCTTCAATGACAGCCGAGATATGTCGAGTTGAATAAATGAACAAAACTCACATTCTCGGGAAAATATCTGCCGGGCGTCTCGGCTCGGTTGATGGTTCCGCTCGCGTACATGTCCCGATGCGGAGTCTCCGCGCGGTAGATCGCCGCCGCGACACGTTCCTGTCCCGAATAGAAGCGATTCGGGAGGAGGTCTTGCTGTGAAGCGTAGTAGGCGTCTTGGATGCGCGCGCCTCGCGACAAGCTTCGGCCACGGTCCAGCGTGTTTTGGTTGTCGTGCTGCAATTTTTCGATTGCAATTCGATCTGGGACCGGTTTGGTGCGATGCGTACCGAGAAATTGAGCAGTGAGTTGACGTCAAAATCCTCGTCGAACTGTCGATGGTGCATCGAGAGCGGCACCGATTGATTGTGCCGCTGCCGCGACGACTCTAGATGGGAGGACGGCGTCGCGCGCGCGTTCACCGGTGACGCACTCGATTCGCGTGGCGGTGGAGTCGGCGGCTTCCCGCACATTCGACCTCGCCTGCAAAAAATCCGTACATTTTTTTGTTTTGAATGATGATTTTCCGGTTGTCGTGCTCGTACTTTGTCTCAGAAATCGAATGCGGGTAAGTTTCAGGAACGCCGACGTCTTGCAAAACGACGCGATTCCAAATGTTCAGGACTACTAGACCTACCATCTCTCATCGCCGTATGGACTCCTCGTGTTGCGCAGCCGTTCCTCTTCTCTTCGAAACTCTGCCAATGGATCGACGTTCTGCAGTCCTCCCGCTCCTCCCGATCGATATTGTCCATTTCCGTTCGAGACTCGATGCGCATTCTCATCGTCGACGGCACGCGAATCCTTGAGCTCTTCGAGAAGCATCTTCTCTTGCGTGCGACGACGAACCTAGTAGCATCGCTACAATTATACGAAAAACGTTGGTGAAACTCACAATATCCGGGTCGATGTCGCGTTTGCTTCGAACCTTTTTCAGTTTTCCACTCAGCCACGAGTCGGCATCCGACGGTGGTGGTTCAGTGAACCCATTCCGGGGTGTCGTCACCGATTGACAATTCCGATTGCGGTAGTGCTGACGGACGTCATTCGCCGGGCTATTTTGCAGCGTGTTCGACAGATTCTTCGCAAACTCATTGAAGTCGTTGTGCGCGTGCGGCGGCGGCGGCACCTGACGGACATCGCCCACCGAATACGCGGATCCCAACCGTTTTGTCGACTCGAGAACGTCGTCGAGCGGGTCTCTACAAAGTAACGATGATGTATGAAGAGGAATGCCGAAGAGCGTTGAGCACTAACGTCATCGCATCGAAATTCATCTTCTTTCTCGGCAACTGAACGCTTCGTGCGCCGGCGTGTTGGCCACGTGGCGGTGGTGCTGGCGGCGAGGAGTTGTTGAAGTTGAGGTAGTACTCGGGATCGCACAATTCGTCCATGTCACTGCTGAAAACGACGAGAGTTTGGTTGGAAAAACCGATATCAAAAAATGGGGTCAACTGAGCATTTTACCAGTTGACAACTTTTTGCAAGCTCTACCCGTAGTTGAGATATAGCGTCCAGAGTTGAGCGGAAGAACTGAACGGAAGAACACGGAAGAATTTCTATATTTTTTAGAAAATTTTTTCATGAAATGTGATCAACTGACGAAATGTATAACAAAGTGAACTGTGCTCCTAGAAAAATAATTGTAAATTTAACTTTTTATACAAAAAAGTTATTCGAGTTGTTCCGTGAAAAAGGGGGCTAACGGAAGACGGAAGGAATAACTTTTTTGTATGTAAAGTCAAATTTACAATTATTTTTCTGTGAGCAGAGTTCACTTTGCTATACATTTCGTCAGTTGATCACATTTCATGAAAACATTTTCTAAAAAATATAAAAACTCTTCCGTGTTCTTCCGTTGAGTTCTTCCGCTCAACTCTGGCTTCCAGCTTCGATTCCAGTGTCGAACCTTTTTTTTCAACAGTATGTTTAGACTCAATATTTAAAACAAGTCGAATAGACCCATTTACGTCACTTACTCCTGAGTTTATGCCGTAAAAAGCACACAATTTGAGGTGAAAATGTGATTTTTCACTGAAAAACTACACTCTACCACGTTCTTTAAAGGAACATGTCTCGAAATGCCGTAGCGGGTCTCGCAGCGAGTACCGTAATCTCACGGTTTTTTTCTATGAAACTCGCATTTCAAGGCAATTTTCAGCGGGAAAACCCTATCGCAGCTCAAATTTTCTCGTCACTATTAGTGTCACCGGTTCACCAGAAACTCACCAATACGCATCGTCGTTGAGCGTCCGATAGCTGCCCGCCCTCGCCGGTGCTCTTCCCCGTCTCTGCAGTGTGCTGGTGGGTGTAACCACTGCCCGTTGTGCCTGATCGACGACCTGCACGTTGTCGTCCTCGTACGGCTGCTGATAGTCCGCGCCTGCTCCTCTTGAATAGTAGTCCCGACTGCTCGGCGCCCTCGCCAGTTCTTCGAGCAACGCCGCCTGCTTCGCGTCCTCCACCTGCTCGTCCCACTTTGTCGGCGCCACAATCTCGTGGACGTGTTGGCTGTGCGGGATGGCGGTCCTCGCGACCTCCTCCTGACTCACATTCTCCACCGAATTCTCGCGTTTTTCGATGGCGCGCGAGAAAGAGGTGCGGCGCGGGCGTTCGAACGCCTCTTGCATCGACTTGGCCGGCACGTACGAGAAGCAGCGCGACGCTTTGTCGTAGCGGTCCCGGCCGACGAGGTCCGGCTCGATGCTCGGCGTGGCGCGGCCTTCCAGCTCCTTTTTCTGGTTGATCTTCTCGCGGAGAGAGGCCGGCAGAATTCCGCGTCTGAAAATTATGAATTATGACTCCATGTCTAGTGTAGCATGGCCCCGCGATAGCCTAACTTCTAACCGTACCTCTCAACGACCTCTCCGCCTTCTGTCCCATTCGGTGCTCCGTATTCTCCGGCTCTCAGTCCTCCGTTCATGTGGATCGGCGTGGCGGGTTTCGGCGGAACGGGCGGCCCGACCGGCATCTCTTCCACTTCCTCTTCCGTCTCGTTGTTTCCTTTCAACGCCTTCTGATTCTTCTTCTTGATCGTACTGTATTCCACCTCTAGTTTCGCTCGATTCGTTTCTTCGTCTGCAAAACGGAAAACTTTGAAAAATCATAACTCAGCTCAAAAAAATGCTACAGACTCGTACAAGCGCTTAAAATAACGGAAATTGCATGAAGAATGTGAAGCTCGAATGCACATACCCTTCAAAAATTTGTGAACACCATTAGGAGGCCTTAACATAGAGTGTGCAGTGAAAAACCTTATTTTCTGGCTAAATTTTCAACGGCTCAAGCGCAAAAATCTTCTCTGTCTCTTTGTCTCGAGTATTTATGTCGCAAGAGTATGACGACTAGTATGACATGACCAGCGATACCTATATACCCTATCGAATTACACTAACCCGACAACGTATTCTACGGAAAATTCACTTTTTCGGAGATTTTTCGCTCGAAAATAGAAAATAGGAGAATCGAGTGTGGAAAGTGTGAAAAGTGTGCGGAAAAAACAACCAGCGCTCATTTAGAGGTCATTAATTATTTATAACGGGAATTTGCAAAAAAATTGCCGCCTCGACCCCTCAACTTCACCGCCCTCTGTCGCCTAGGAATTAGCGTGTGAAATGGCGCAATAGGTTAGAGTTTTGCGCGCCAAACACTCGGCGGGGGTTCGAGGTCGCCTAGACAAACACGGATTTTTGTCAACTTTGGAGACGATGGAGAACGTGTTGAAAAATGGAAAAAAGATGCGGCAAAACAGATAGGCGATGGGGTTGTCGCCGCCCGCGTCAAAGACGGATGATAAAAAGTGTTCGGGCCGGCGGGAAGAGATAAAGAATTTAAAAAGAGAGGCGGGAGAGAAAAAGCGGGTTCTAAAGGCAGCGAAAACTGAGGCAAAATTGAGAGTCCTCTATAATTATGGTGTCGGTTCGGAGATCTTTTTCCAAAGCTTACGCTCGCGACGTTTCGCAACCGACCGATCAAACGCTTGAAAAGCATCGAAAACGTTGAAGGAAAAACACTGGAAGCCACGTCACCAAAGTCTATAATTATATGCTGTCAGTTCAGAGATCTTCGGGGACGTTTCGCAACCGACCCGTTTTGCAACTTGGGTCAATGCTAGTTGCCAAGTGTCGGGTTGGTTGCAAAGCGTATATTGGTGTCTAGAAGACCAAAAAAGCGGGATACAAAGACAAAGAAATAGAGAAAGTTTGGACGCATTGCCTAGTGTCCAATCAACAAGCGAACACACTTCTTTATATCCTAGGACACGTATCCTAGGACCAAGCAGAGGTGATAAAAAAAAACGTCGGCACCCTCTCTCTCTCTCTTTCTCTTATCAAAAACCAGCATGTCTTCTCTGTCTCTCTACCGCCAAAGACACAGAAGAAGAAGAAGACAAAGAAGAAGAAGAAGGAGAAGAATCGGATCGTAGAGCAGCTGGGAGCCGCTGAGGGGGCGGAAAGATGACCGAGAGGCACGGCGGAGACGGGCGAGACGCAGCCCGAGTGTAACATTCTGGAGCGCCGGGAGCCCAGGCAGCGGCAGCGGCAGCAGAAGCTATATGTTCTCTCCCCCTCAAAAGAAAAGTATCGGTCAGGATTTCTCGGGGGGAGAGAGAGATAGAGGTGTCTGATCAGATCGGGGAGGCGGAAGAAGAAGAAGAAGAAGAAGAAGAAGAAGATAGGTGCCTACCCAGCTACTCTCGATCAATAGGTCAACCAGAAGGGATCCCGTACGATGAGGGGGTGTGTGCTCATAAACCGAACGGAAACGCACGTGTTTTTTTAGGCAGTCTCCGCTTCTGGAGCGTTGTGAGCTTGAGATGAGCCTAAGATCCTCGTCCAAGTGCTCGTCGACGTTTAGAATCCATAGATTTTCCGAAACTCGTAAAAATTCATGAATAATGGGTTTCGGGGCGCATGGTGCATCATAGAGGTTATAGATTTCTTCTATTTTTCGCGAAAAATTCTTACACCAAATTGTTGTTATTGAGGAAAAGTCCGCGACGAGTTGAAGAGTCGAACAGGTGCCCTCTGCGCGCGCGGCGGAGAAGAAGTTCATAATAGCAGTTGTCCGCTCTCTCTCTCTCTCTCTCTCTCTTTCAATGACTAATCAGTGCGGGAACGTCTTGGGAGAAAAGTAAAAGTGTGGGAACATGTGTTCCGATGGCTCGCCCTCTCCGACGAAAGAAGAAGCACATGGTTCTCAGCTGTGTGTCCAAAAAAGTGCCCACTAGAAATTGGGCTATAACTCGAGAATGACGAGTTTTGGAGTGATATTGTCAATTACAGAGTTGTTGAGCACAAAATTTGCAACAACTTTCCAGTTGACAACTTTTCGAAATAGCCATTGGTTCTCAAGATACGGTCCCCCAAAGTTCAAACAAATTCTGGGCCCACCTTGCGCAACCTCGAACGTCTCATAACTGTTGTGCCGCGGCAGCAAATTGGTGACGGACTGAACGGCGGCCTCCGCAATCGTCGTCGGACCCTTTGTATGGCTGACAATCAGTTGCACACTCACTCGATTGTCGATTTTTTTGTCTGGAAAGCGCATTTTTTCGGTGTTTTTTTTTCAGAAAAACTCATACTGGCGCTTAAAATAACGGAAATTACATGGAGACTATAAGGGAGAACACATAGTGAATACCATTAAAAATCAAGTCGAGCTCTTCTTTGTGCAATTTGACAATGCTGTATCCTTCCGAATTGATGGGCTGCAGTTCAAGAGCACACGTGTTGAGTTGGCACGTGAACAGACATCGCGACGCCGAGCCGGGGCTGCAAAACACTGTTTCCAGAACATGTTTTTCCATGGCCTAACGTCCCAAATTGCAAAAACAAGGCCAACTGGCTAACTAGGCGCTAAAACTCTGGAAAATGAGCACAACAATTCGGTGCTGAAAGGCCTCCTGGCCAACAGAAAAAAGTGTTTTCGCGGGGCAAAGACAAAGGGCGGCCGGCGGGCGGGCGGCCTGCATACAAACATGAGACAAATAAGCAGAAAGAAAAGCCGATGGGTTGCTGCTTCTTTTCAAAAGTGGCTTATAGGGGAGCAAAACGAGGGTGTATATGTTTATGAGAAAAGGAAAAAAAGAAGAAGAAGACGAGCAAAAGTACCCCCGTGCTAAGTGATTTCGAGTCCGGAAGAGCCGACGCATTTCGCTTGAATTTTCCGTGTTCTTAGGCCAAATGTCTGCGTTTCGAGCAGTTTTTTGAGAATATTACGGTAGCGTCTAGTAAGTTTGTGCGTCAAATATGATGCATGCACACTTTGCACCCGATTTGACGGCATTTCGCAGACTAATGGCAGATAAATACTCACGAAGAAGCGGCGATGATGCACTTGAGGAAAATATCGCCGCGAAGTTTGAGAGTGCCCTCGATTTCGAACTTTATCACGTCTTTTAGCGGCCTGGAATCAATTTTTACTGGTAAATATTGTCGGATTCTCGATTCTTACACTGTTCGAGACTGATAGACCGGCAGAAGACGTTCGTAGATTTTGAGGAAGACGTTGATCGGTTGGAAGTGGCTCAGAATCACTTGATGCAGGTACAGCGGCTCCGAGCTCACCGATATCCGGCCGGAAAGGAGCGAGGAGAAGTAGGTGAGGTATCTGTGAAAATCGATAATAATTATCAGACATTTATCAGTCAATTCCCAACCTTTTATAGCTGGGCGATCCGTCGGGCCCCAGAAATCGCTCGGAAAACCTTTGCATTGTGAATCGGTCTTCCACAGAGTCATCTCTGAAAGAATAAAGGGGTTATGGGACGTTCAAAAAAGTTCTGGTTGCAAAATGGACACCAGACATTCCGCAACCGAGCTCCAATTCTTTTTAAACCTCTTAAAATAGTGTTTGAAGACTCTCGGAGCTGTTAGAATCGGGGTAAATCACTCTAGATCGAAGTGGTCAGTTGCAAAGTGTCCATGACATTATTGTGTCTAAAAACTCACGTCGCCGAGATGGCATTATAGCGCATAAATGCGTTGACGACCACTGCACAGCGTTCCAGGCCTCCCTGAAAAAAAATTCGCTCAAAAAACAATGTTCTCTCAATTCACAGACCTTGCAAAAGATGATAGCGACGTTCAGCGGATGCTCCAACATCCATTGGTCCAAATTTTTGCAAATTGTGCACAGTTTCTCGAGCGGCGGCGCCGTTTCGGCGGGCCATCCGAACGGGATCGCGTCCAGCGAGGAGCTGACGTCGTGGCGGCGTTGCGAGACGTTCCACACCTGCAAAAGTGTATTGGGGACTTTTTAAAGACATTTTCCAGGTCTAAATATGAATTTCAGTGCAGATAATTCGGGTCTCTAAAATAGCATCATAAAAAAGTATTGATCGCAATTTTTTTTGGTGTTCCACGCCATTTCGCCGGCATTCTACACATGCTCTCCTTCATTATAAGCCAAAACCGGGGTGTGTACGAGTTTTTTGAAAAAATGTATGATTTTTCAAAGTTTCGGTGGCCTAGAAAGTCCACGTGAAAATGTTAGGCCACCCGTCCGACTCACCCTCACGTGTTTATTATGCGCTTTTTGCACTTGTTGCGAAGCCGTCAACAGCGATTCCACAAATTTTCGTTCACTTGTCTCGGCGGTACACGACATTGCTGGAAAAATGTTTCGGCTATTTGAAGAGAAAAAAAGAAGGTATTTTTGCTTACCGATAAGTCTAGACGTGACATATTCCACGTGAACTCCCTCTTTCCGATCCTTCATTTTTTGTTTCTGCCAAATTAAAACTTTTCATTTTGCGCGATGCACCATGAGGAAGAGTATTTTGTTTTTTCAAAAACAAGTGACAAATGGACCTTCTCGCCGTCAGAAAAAAAGATGAAAAAGATACTCAACTTTTGGATGGGGGGAAACGCGGGGAGAAGAGGGCCGAAAATTTGACACATTTGTCTTTTGATTCCATGTTTTTTTCCGCTTCGTCTTTTTGAAAAAAAAAAACACTATTTTTCGCTGGAAAAGTCGTCAGAAAAGGCGAGAAAAAGGCGAGCTATCAGCAAAAATCAAATTAGTGCTCGTCACGCACACATAAAAAGGCTGCCCCCGCAGAAGAATTGGCCAGGAAGAACGGAAATGGCAAATGGAAGGAAGTGAACGAAATAAAATAAAGGAAAAGGGTAGGACGGGTCGGGTTTTTGCAGAACACCCGGGAATTCCACACATATTTACGAGCCTTTTTCACCCCCGCTTTTGCTGTCTCGGCCGGGCGACGTGCGCGCTCTCTTCACCGCCCTGACGACCCGCTGCGTTCAGTGCCGCCATAGCTCAGTCGGTTAGAGCGTGGGTCTAATAAGCCCAAGGTCGCAGGTTCGACCCCTGCTGGCGGCAAATCGATTTTTGCCTAATCTTGGGGGGATGAGAAGTGACAGATAACCTATTTGAAGGTTGACTAGATCGTGTTTTGCGTGTGTGAGGCAGGGTGGGAGACACGGCAAATTAATTGATGATAAGGCGGACAGAAATTGGAAGTGAAATCGGGTGTTGATATTGTAGAATTCGTACCAGTCTGAGTTGATCCTCGCTAATCGTGTACACTTCGTAGCCCGCCTCATTGCTATATTTGTCGGTTTTCTGCAACAAAAATTTAATGCATTTTGAGCCTAATCTATATTTCATACATTTCTCTACATTTTGAGCTAAAACTGGAGGCTTTCGGTTTTTTTTTGAAAAAAGTTATGATTTTTTGAAAATTCACCCTTCGGATAGCTTCGAAAAGGTCGTATCAAAAGTGTCTAATTACTTTTCCAATCACTTTTTTCGCGTCTACATTCATTCATTCATTCATTCATTCATTCATTCGTTCATTCATCCCTTCCAATCGCTATTTCCCCTCTTTTCTAATCGAAAACGACGCCGACGGCGCCACCGTTCTCACTCCGTTTCGGCCCCAAAAAGAGAGCGTATCGGGGCGTTTTTCGTCCGTTTCGCCCATATATATATATGAATGTATAAAATAATGATGTGTATCATAAAATGTATGTACAAGAAACGGAACACTTCCCACTTGTGTACACATCCATTTAAGCGTAAATAGCATAGAATAGCCGTGTAAAGCCGATTTGTACCGGGCATTTAGTTGGCCTACTCGAAACTGGACCCAAACGATTTCAGTCTAGGACTGTAACAAGAGCGCCTTATCTTTGAACACCTATATCTCGAGAACCAATGATCGCTCGAAAAAGTTATCAACTGGAAATTTGTAGAGAATTTTATGTTGAACAACTTTGCAATTGACAATTTTACCCGCGCCTATTTCTTAACAATTGGATAGGAATACTTACATTCAAAAAGCATAGCATTGTATTTGTCTTCAGCCGAAGAAAATCTAGCCGGGGCCAAATCTCAATTTCCGGTGTACGTACATCACTAATTATTCCCATTTCTTCTCTTTTTCTCTCTCCCTGAGCACTCTTTCTTTCTCCGGGCTCGCACGATTGTTTCAAGCGCTCTGTTCCCCGCCACTGTCCACTCTTTCTCTCTTTTTCGTCCTCGAGAGCTCTAAAACGAGCCCAAGAGATGGGGAGAAAGAGAGAGAGAGAGAGAGAGAGAGACGGAGAGAAAAGGTAAATGGTGGCCGTACTGTCGGCGGAAAGTTCCAGTGATTTGGAAGGAGAAGGAGGACACACACATAGATAAACAAAGCACCCTCTCTCTCTCTCTTTCTCGGAGCACAAGAAGAAGAAGAAGAATAAGAAGCATTCAAAAGAGGCTTATGTGGGGGCTACCGGCGGGAAAGACAAAACATACAAACGATTTATTCTATTAGTAGTAGTTGGAGTATACTATACGTATTTTGGGTCTCGACACGAAATTCGAAAAGGCCAGTTATTGGGAGCCTGATCGACCCATGGATTTTGGGTCTTGGCACGAAAATATTGTCGTTTTTTTGGGAACAGCTATTGCGACACTACTTTAAAGGCACTAATGTCGACGAGTTTTAGGTCTCGACACGAAATTCGAAAGGCCTGATCGGTTTCGGACGATATCCGGCACTAGGCACATGTACAAAGTCTAATCTTTCTGCTTTTGGGTCCTGACACGAAATGTTTTGCTTTTCCCTGACCTACAGTACTTTCTACTACTTTCCAGGTCTCGCCACGAGACTTTTTCCACTGTTTTCCCACTGATTACCATCACACTATTGTCAAACATTGACAAAAAGGTTTAGAGCTGTTCTCCTTTCGTTTTTCTTCGTGACAAGTGAAGTTATTGGAAACATATGGAGCATTTTTTTCAACAAAAAAAAAACGTACCCTTGAAACACAACAAAGTGCTGTCGTGGCCATTTCCCCCAGTGGTCTGAAAGCTGCAATTTTCTGGACATTTGTTAGACAATGTTTCTCTATGCATAAATACAATTAAAATCGAGAGAAAAAAAACAACTGTTTTCATCTCTCTGTCTCGCGCAAACACTCGTCTAAAATATAAATAAAATCGGTGATGGTGGCGCAGAAAGCGGGCGACAGAGAGAAAGGGAGAGAGAGAGAGAGGGAAAAAGTGGGCGGGGCCTGTCGGAATGGTGGGAAAAAGGGAGTGGTCAAATAGAAGAAAACGAGGCTAATGGGTCGGAAAAGCAGAAAAACCGGTAGATAAATTAGCTTATAGTTTTTTTTCTTGCGACCTACCTAGAAACTTTATTGTTTTTGATTAAAAACCGTATAGAACATGATGAAAACAATGGCACATGATAATTGTAGACGAGGTTCCGAGTTCAAACGCCCAATTTCGCTTTCAAGCTCTCCTCGTGGAGCCGGCTCTTCTGGTACTGGCCGCGCACTTTGGTCACTTGAGTGAGCAGCCCGATACGGAGCCAATTTCGCTCTTTGTACGTCACTCCGCACGTCGGAGCCAGCGATGGGAGCATCGATTCGATGCATTCGGTCGAGTCGGCGATCGCCACCTTCAGTTGTTGTTCTGCAAGTTTCGAAATGAAAATTATGGACTTTTTGAGACGGTGACGTACTCTCAATGCTCAACGCGTCCAGGTTGTTTTTCAGCGCAATGAATTGATCGTTCATCGATTGATGGGACTGAAAATTGATAAAAGTTGCTAAAAATTCTAAAACACCGCTGAAAATCTTACCAGATTGTCCATCGAGTCGATGAGTGCGCCGAAGAGGTGCTCGAACGCGTTCTCCATTCCGATCGTCTCCTCGCTCTCCAATTCGCTCATCAGCTCCTGGTGCGACTCTTCCGCCTTTTCCGTCCATTCCCGCTTCTCCGCCGCCAGCTTCTCGTCCAAATCCGTCAATTTCTGCAATTCCGCCTCTCCGTTTTCGCGTTGATGCGCGAATTTCGCCTTCTCCTCGGCCACTCGCTCCAGAAACGTTCTTTCGCCTGCAAAAATGGCATTCCAAATTGCTTCAAGCTATTTTTCATTGAAATACCTTCCATTTGCTGCAATTCGTCCTGTTTCCATGCTTTTTCTGTGGCGGCTGTAAAAAGTCAATTTTTATCAATTTTTCCGTATTTTTCGTGCTTCTCGCCGCCGCCAATGAGCCTGTGAACTCGGCGAGCTGCTCGCGGAAATTTTTGAAGCGCTCCTCGTTCACCGCATTTGTGGCCAGCATTTTTTGAGCCTTTCACCTGCAAAAATTTGATGATTTATTAATTTTTTAGCGTCGAATATTGAGGAAAAAAGTATTTTCAGCGGAAAAAGCGAAAAATTTGAGCTGCGATTGGGCTTTCCCGCTGAAAATTGCCTTGAAATGCGAGTTTCATCGAAAAAAACATTGAGATTACGGTACTCGCTGCGAGACCCGCTGCGGAATTTCGAGAGATGTTCCTTTAAAAAACGTGGTAAAGTGTAATTTTTCAGTGAAAAATTGCATTTTCACCTCAAATTGTGTGCTTTTTACGGCATAAACTCAGAAGTAAATGACGTAAATGTTTCTAATTGACTTGTTTTAAATATTCAGTTCAAACATACTGTTGAAAAAAAAAAAGTTCGACATTGGAATCGAAGCTGGCAAAAATAGAAATTTAGCAATCTTCGAATATTCAAGCGAAAAATCGATTAATGTGTTTTCAAACCTGACATTTTATTGCAAAACCCGACTGAAAGCGATATATACGGGTAAAAAATGAGAAAAACAGGATAAAAACCGACGTTTCTGCTGATTTTTAGCCGAAAAATGAAGACAAAGATAAAGCGTGCTTCAATGTTGCAAAACTCGCGCGCAGTATATGCGTTTTCTTCAATAAATAATTTTTCCTTCAGTTTTTCTTGTTGTTTCCGCTGAAAAATCGAGTTTCCCTCACTTTTTCGTTCATTTTTCACAGTGGCCTAGAAAACGTGGCCTAAAAACCGCGCGCACACACTTACACATGACAGGCAGCCGTGAAAAAGTGAGAAAACGTGTTCGTGATGAAATTTGTCTAAATATCAGAGATTTGTAGTTTAAAATTACGTAAACTTCAATAAAATCGATAATTGTTGCAGAAATGTCGTCACAACGGCTGATAAAACTGCCGCATCGGGTACTTTTGAAGCTCCACGGCGCCGACACGAACGCTTTCCTTCAGGGACTCATTACCAATGACGTCACGTGGGTTTTACTGTTATTTATATTATTAAGAAGTGGAAGGATACAGAAATCCACTTGAAAAATGATTTGTTGCAAAACAATTGAGCAAAAGTCGATATTTCTCCAGAAAACTGCAATCACAATCGGGTCTGGCTGCATTTGTGCTGAACACGCAGGGCCGAATCGTCGAAGACGTGCTCCTGTGGCGACGTGGCACCGATGACATGTTCCTGGAGTGCTCGCGGAGCAATCAGACTGTCTTAGTCAAGGAAATCGCCAAATATCGGCTCAGAAAACAGGTGGAGATCAGCGAAACGACGGATTTCGTCTATTTCGAACAAGAAGCCGGCGATCATCATGGTAGGCATTTAAAAAACAATTTCTAAACATTTTCAATGTGTCTAGAATCTTTTCCAGAACATCGTGACCCTCGATTTGCCGGATTTGGAGCTCGAGTCTTTGGACATCCGTCGGATTTTAGTGAAAATTGTGAAAAGTACGAGAATTTGAGGCGGAGTGCCGGAATTGCGGAAGGCGCCGAAGAGCTCAAGGATTTGTTGCCGTTTCAGGTGAACAAATCTGCGAGAATTCAAAAGAAAACGTTCAAAAATGTTAAGGCCAACGGAGACCTCCTAAATATGGTCTCACTGGACAAAGGATGCTATATCGGACAAGAATTGACGGCCAGAACTGCTCATACAGGTTTCAAACAATTTATAGACTTCTGCAATTTTTTTTTTTGACATTTTAGGAGTGATCCGACGTCGAATTCTGCCGTTCGAGTGCGAAGGACAAGTGAAACAGGGCGCCAGTATTGTAGATGAGAAGAAGAATAAAGTGGGAACGGTAAGGCATTTTTTGAAACGTTTCTCACTGGTTTACACAAAAGCAATCGAAATTTCAAGCTTAAAAGCGCAACATTTGAAAATTTTCACATTTCTCTGCAACCACCGCGACGCGAAAATGCAGACTTTGCAGAGCAAATGACGCCAAACGAAACAACGAAAAAACGGCTTTAAAAATAGGCCCAGCGTGTTTTCACGATTGTTCAATTTCAGAAAAGTCCGGAAACGTGTTTTTCAGGTAATCTCATCGGACACGACTCGTTGCCTCGGAATGCTTCGTCTTGCCTCGTTCAAATCGACGAAACTGAGCGCCGATGACGTCATTTTGACGGCCAGAAAGCCGGAATGGATGCCCGACAAGATTCTTGCCAATAATTCGAATAAGACCAGTTTGACGGACTCTTGAGCATTGTTTTACGATTTTTTCGGTCTAGGAACACTATATTTTGTTGTAAAAATGTGGATTTTTAGTGCCTAGCACCCGTTTGTCTTTCCCCTTTTTTCTAATCAAAAGTTTACGAGATTCTAGTCCATTTTTGCTCATAAAACTGGTTTTTCTTACCTAATATTCATAGAATTTTTAATCCGTTCCGTTTTTATCGGATGTTTTATCAGACCCCATCTTTTGGCAATTCAAAGTAAAATTTTATTGAAAAACTCCAAATTTTCTCAGAATGTCAAAAAGTCAAATCAAGCGTCTACACCAACAGCAGGAGGCGGAAAAAGTAAAATTTTTTTTGCAGAAAAAAAGTGTACAAAGCATTTTTTCAGGCCAATTTGGGTGAAGAAGAAGAGGAACCGGTACAGGTTCAACAACGCAAAGGACCCGCCAATCGATTTGCGTTTTTTGGTAATTTTGCAAAAAATTTTAAAAAAAAGCGCATTTAAATACAATTGCAGACGACGAAGATGAGTCGAACGACGACGATGCCAAATCTGAAGAGGAAACTGGAAGTTCGCAGCCGAAAACTGTAAAAAACGCGAAAAGTTTACTGAAGACACGTTTTTTTTCAATTTTCAGACGGCCGACAAAAAAAAGGCGAAAAAGAGCAAGAAGAAGGGAAAGAAGGGCGGTGCGGAAGTCGTCGAGGAGACAGAAAATCAAATGTTGGCACGCATGGCCGCATTGGTACGCATTTTCACGATTCCTCCCCTTGTCGAAATTTCCGACGTTTTGCTGCATCAAAACCGCTTGTTTCAGAATGCGAAAGAGTCGAAGAAAGCGGCGGCGGCGAGTGCGGACCAAGCGCCGAGCGTGGAGGAGCTGATGAAGGTGGACATGAAAATGTTCGACATGTCGGCGGAAATCAAACGGAAACTCGGAAAGGCGTTCAAAGAAGTGACGACGCCCGGCGCGACGGAGGAGAATCGCTGGCCGCCGGGACGTCGGGCCGTCGGACGCATCGTCAAGAATAAGCCCAAGTGGTTTCCGGAAAGGGACTACGGTCTTTCGATGGTCCAAACGGACGAGACGAAGGACGGAGCGGTGTGGTTCCATCTGAAGCACAACAAAAATTACGAGGGACGCGAGCGGTTGTTCTGGCTGGCGGAGGCCCAGATGAACCCGGAAGTGGTGCACGAGATCTTCTCCGACACCCCCTACCACCTCAACTCGCTCCTCATGATGGCCCACATGAACCGGATGAACGAGGACTTCAACCAGGGCGCCGATCTGATAGAACGTGGCATCTGGTACGTGGATCAGTACGCGGCGCCGACGTTCGAACCTTTCAACTGGCGGCACCGTCTCGACTACACGGACTACGAGAACCGCGCGTTCTTCCTCCTTCTCCACCGCCACATGCTCAACGCGGCACACAAACGGTGCTGGGAGACCGCCTGGAACACCGCCAAACTCATTTTCAAACTCGATCCGACTGGCGACCCGCTGGCGATAATGTCGATAATCGACGGGTACGCGTTGAAGGCGAAACAATTTCAGTGGGTGCTAAACACGTACGAGGCGGCCAAGTCGTTCAAAAAGCTCAATTTGCTGCCCAACTGGCCGTATTCGGTGGCGTTGGCCAGACACGCGCTCGCAAAAGACGAAGGAGAGCACGAGACGGCCGAGAAGGAGCTCCGTCTTGCGATCCGTCACTTTCCGTCGGTCGTCGTCCAACTCATGGACAATCTTCAAATTAATCCGGATTCGGCAGTGATGAACTGCAAGATGTTCACGTCTTTCGTCGCCGACAAGTTGGTCTTTTTTTTGTTGTTTTTGGAAAACGCTAACACACTTGCTTCTTTCCTTTCAGCGAGCCGGACAGTCTCAAACTGCTCGTGAAAATCTACGCGAAAGAAACAGAGGAGGTGTGGAAACAGCCGGAAATTCTGCTCTTTTTGGAGAATTCCACCCGTCGAGTGGCCGTGTCGAGCGACAAACAAGAGATTGACGAGTGCAGCGAATGGAGGAACAAGTTCGTTTTTATGAAATTTTTATTGGAATCGGAATCTGATCGAGAAAAATTGAGAAACTTAGGCCCTAATTATTAGGACTAAATGGAGGCCTGGGCGAACGTTCCGGACTAAAGAAACCGAACTGACAAGTTCAAAAAGACAATTTCAACTAAAACAATTTGCAGACGAAAACGAATGTACGCGAGCCGATCGCCGAACGTGGCGCGCCTGTGCCAACTGCTCGACGTGGTGCCCTCCTCGTCGTTGAGTGATCCGGAACCGCCGAAAAACGGACGGTGCGGGTACGAACGAGACGCGCACGGACTCGCCACCGGACAGCCCGTCGTCGACAATCTCGTCGGCGCGCTCATCCACTCGCTCATGCCCAATTATGAACCCGTCAGTTTTTTTTTTGCCCTGTTTTCTACAGTATTATTCAAAAAAAAAAGGCGAATAATTGCAGGATCGTACACTTCAAGAACAACTCGGCCGCCACTCGGAGGAGTTCATGCGCTACATGGCCGAGCACCTCGACGGAGCACGAATCTCGTTCACGGAGATCACGGAGGCGATCACGACGTGGCTGGACGGACGCAACGAGCAGGACCGCCTCGCGGCCGCCAATGTGGTCCCGCTGGACGGGCACGAAGCCGTCGAATTGCCCGAGGAAGAAGGAGAGGGAGAGGGAGAAGGAGCCGACGAGAATAGAGAATAAATTGACGATTTTTTGAGATTTCTCTGGTCGCCAGTTGTTTCTTGCTTCTGAACTTTCCGCGTGTTTTGTCATGAAACCCTACTTGACCTACTGTTTGCTTAGTGAATGTTTCCCTGTGTTCTTCAATTTTTTCTGTCTCCTATTTCCATTCTTTCTTCCAATTGTGATTTGCTTAATGTTGGGTCCTGACGCGAAAGTATATTTTTCGCTGCAAGACCCAATATATTGCGCTTCTTTTTAATGGGAATTTAATTTTATTTAAATTGTTTGAAACCTCAAAAAGGAATTCAAAAGGCACCTGAAAAAAAGATACAAAAAAGATTTGAAGAAAAAACTACCGGGCAGACCCGTCACAATGTTTTGTTGCAAACATATATATATATATATATATATATATATATATATATATATCTAATTGGAGCCCAACAAATGAGCCGAAAGTGACGGTTTGAGCACTTCGAACACGACGACGAGGATGACGACGGCGGAAATGTACATGGTGAGCACGAGCGTCAATTCCAATCTGAAATTTTGCGATTTTTTCAGGGCTGCGCAAAAGGCCTGCACTTTTTGACCGACTTGCAATGATCCGACCGGGTCCAGACTTTGCAGGCTTCTTGCACTTGGATCGAAGTGTGTTGGCTCCAAGTTTCAGACCGATCGGATCATCTGGTCCCGAAATATGTGGATTGGAAGCCGAGAAAACCGGGTTCTGGCGAAAATTGCGGCCTTGTCGGCCTCAAACGAGTATACTCTCGGGACCGGATAATCGGATCGGCTTGAAACTCAGACCAAACATTCTTCAATCCAAGTCGAAGAAGTCTGCAAAGTTTGGGTCCGATCGGATCATTGCAAGTGGGAAAGTCTTCGGAAAAGCCTGGGCGGAAGATTTCCCGGCCCTGGATTTTTATTGATTTTTTTGTAAATCACGATGCTAGCACGCATCCGTCGAACTGCCTTGAACTGAAAAATTGGAAATTCTCGGCAAATCTCACGCTTTTTTGTCGTGATTTTCAGGATTGTGCATACGTGAAAGAACATCATTTTTATGCGGATCGAAGAGAGTTTCCATAGGCAAAACCGGTTTTTTACTGACTTTTTCACAACTTCTCACTCATTTCTCAGCACTTTCAAGGTGTTTGAACGCTCAAAAGATGCGCCGCAAAATTGTGAACATGTGAGAAGTCAAATAAGCGTCATTCGAAATAGCGTCATAATTTTTGGACTCAAAGTGTTCAAGTCGTCATGGAAATGCGTTTAACTCAAAATTCTTCTGTGCGACGCCATTGCGCATCATCTTTTGAGCTGACAAACGTCTCGAAAGAGCTGATTTTTGACAGGCCTAGCGAATTTTTCTGCAAATTGTCGTAGAATCGGATGCCTAGTCGGCAATTTTGCGTACTCACTTGGTGAGCGTCACACCGACGACTTCCTGCTTGAATTGCAATTGTGCGCACTCGTTATCTGCAAAAATTGAAGCGATTTTCGAGCGTGGCCGAACTCTTTTCCCCTCGGCGGCCCGGCCACATACTCAATAAGGGCGGCCCTAAATTGACATTGCTGTTGTGATAAATAGTTCGCGTTATCGATGAGTGCATCATTTTTTAATCGTTTCGTTTTTTTGGCGGCAATAAATTGGCGTGGCCTAGCACATGTGTACGGAATGCGTGGGCGGGAATGAGATCTGGAAACGGACGAAAATTTGAAGCGTTTTGGCGGAGAAACGAGCAGAATTGGAGCGGAATGGAGAAAAGTGTGCATTGCGTTTTTATTATTGGGGCAACGGACAGAAAAGGCGCGCTGTTCGCAATCTGGCCGAATTTCTAGGCCGCGTAGTAATTTTCCACTGAAAACGTGGCCTAACTTTTCAAACTCGGCCCCGAGGTCGCTCAATTTACACTGCAAAACGAGTTTCTCAACAGAGCGCCATTTCTGTCCGGTGCCCCTATAATAGGTGTCTACAGTAATTCAATCGTGGCAGTCTAAAGTGAAGAGACCCAAAAAACCAACAAAAAAAAAAGACAAATTCTGTGAACTGTCAGCCACTTTATCTGCATTTTGTCGTGTGACGCAATGACGCAACAGTAACCCAAAAGATTCGAGAAACGTGGCACGTCGGCGAAAAAGCAAAAGCGAACGAAAAAGTGAAAAGTGAGGCGAAAAATGGGAGGGGGGCAAAGTGGGCTCTCGGCTGACGAGCGGCTATAAATTTCACTTTTTCGTCACTCCTCCGCCGACGTCATCGCCTATTTTTCATCGCGAACACCGGAGACTCTATATTCTACGACAAAATGCAAAAGTTATCGACTTTTTGAGCAGAAATGCACTGAAAACCCGCGTTTTCCGGGCGAGAACCGACCGTACACTCGGTTTGACGACAAACCACAGACAATGCACTTGATTTTACGACAAATTGCACAAAAATAAAAGCGCTTAAAAATGATGACGCAAAAACGGAAAGGCAAATTTGGGGGAAAACATAGATATGTGTGTGTTTTCGTGCGGAGAAAAGGCGAGAGAAATTTTTCTTTGAGCGGATTATCTCGATATTTTTTTCATTGATACCTAGACGGCTGCTATTCAAGCAAATTTGGTTTGTGAAAGAGAGTACTGAACACTCGAATTTTTAGGCTGCCAAAAAAACGTCATATTTTTGATGCTCTCGCCGTCAGTGAGCACAGGAAGTTTAATATGTGAAAATGCGCGCGCAAAAAAAAAAGAAGAAGAGAGATATGTGCGTGTGCGTGTTTGAGTGAGACCTTGAAGAGATAAAAAGATAAAAAGATTTTTCGTTTTTTTTTCTCTTTCGAAGGATTTTCCGATTTCCCACGGCTTTTCGCGTGCTTTCCGGCGTGACTTAGTGACTCAGTGATTGCTGATGACGTGGGTTCGGGAAAGTACACAAGATTCCCAAAAAAAAAAACGCCAAAATGTAACCTGCCAGTGGCTTTTTCCAGGCTCAAAATAGGTATGATGACCTTAAAATCAGACTTGCCAGATTTCGGGCCGGCCATGCGGGCCGGTAAAGTGCTGGGCGGGAATTCAAATTTTAGCGGAAATTTTTTGTTTTCGTTATTACAAAAAAAATTTTCGAACTAAAGTTGTAGTGTTTCTTCTTTGTTTTTTTGCTATTATGAATTTTTTATGAGAAATACATTTGTTTTTCAATGTTCGATGCTTGCAAAAAACCCCTTATTCTACAAAAAATGGCTTCATGCGATCAATAATTCAAATTTTGAATTCCCGCTTTTTGAACCGGGCCGGAGTTTTGGAAATTTCGGCCCGGCCCGGTCCGGCCCGTGGCAACTATGCTTAAAATAACATTCAAAGGGACCACTGAGCCATCCGGACACAAGTAGTTTTTAGGCTGTTTTCAGGCGCGGCGAACACGATTTTGAGCTTTATTTTTGTCGGGGAATACACGGTTTTATCAAAAAGAACAGTTTTAACGCGTAAAAAGCGAGTTTTGAACTCGATAAACTCGAGAAAATGTGTTCTGCGCGTGAATATTATTGAAAAAAAAATTTGTGTCTAGGGGGGGGGGGGATATGTCGGTGAAGCGAAAGCGGATTAGCGGAAAATCTCGGCCTACCTTGCACAACACGCCTCGAATTGAACATTTTCGCGCGAAGATTCGATCGGTCGGTTTGAAGCGGTTCGAGGCCACAAAAAATCTGCAAAAATTAGTGATGAGAGAAAAATGAACGGTGCGGAGTGAAAGAGAGAGAGAGAGAGAGAGAGAGAAGAACGGCGGGCGCGGAATAATTGAAAACAGATGGAAATTGGGCGACGCCGCTTTTCCCCCCGCCGTTCTTCTTTTTTTTTGTCATTTTTATAGCCAACGACTACACGTCATCTGGGTGGCAAATGTGCAAAAATCGATGGGGATCGAACGCGCCGGCAGACCACTACAGTTTTTTTAGTTCATTTTTGAGTATTTTTCCAAGTTTCACATCTCGGAACATTGAAAGACGAGCAGGTTAGAGAGAAAGAGTCAGAAGAGTTTCAGATTTTCAGGTTTCACGTTTAGGATGAGTGCAAATTGAATTACGGGGGGACAAAACGAAACGAAATGAGGAGAGAGAGAGAGAGAACGGAGAAGATGGAGAGGTGCTAAGAAGAGCAAAAGCTGCCGCCGCTCCTTTTTCCACATCAGATCTTTTTCGTCGTTTACCTCTTCTCAACAACCCCTCTCATGACATTTTTGCACAAAACGTTTCAAAAAGTAACCGGAAAATCACAATCAAAGTCTGTGATCAAGAAAAAAAAAAGTGAAAGGGATTAACATTAGCGTCTTATTGAAACATGTGCCAACGCCGGAAACCATTCAAGAATGACGATTCGTCGTCACATGGTGCATCGGCAACTAGGAAGTGGGGGGAGCGGGACAAAACGGTTGTCGGACAATATTGAATAATCGGATGATATCAGTTACAACCACGCAGCTTATTCTTAGAACCAACGAGGATGGGCGGTGGCAAAACGGGAAAGCGGGAGAGAGAGAGAAGAGAACAAATATTTGCACCCGCAAACCGACAATATCTGTGACGAAAGGCCAAAGATTTACAGAGCTCTTGGACCGAACACATTCAATACATTTTTCAGATTTTTAGGCGGCGAAAAAATGCTCTAAAAACATGGGAGAGACGTTCTTGAAATGAGAGAGAGAAAGTGAGAGACGTTGAGGTATCACAGGTTTACAAAAAGTGATGATAAAGGGGATAAAAGCAACACTCGAGCATTAATGTCAAAAATAGTGATTTACGCGCCACGGTCTCCACAGCTGACACAATATGGGCGTGGCCTCGGCGGCCAAATGGCGTTTTCATGAATTGAGCAGGTTTTCTCTGATTTTTGTGGTCAACGGCGATGAAAAATGATTGTTCGACATGAAAGCACACTAATTCTCACAGAATTAATGACGTTTTGGCGCATTTTTCGCGGACTTTGCTTTTTCGCCTTCGCCGCCTAAAAACCTTGACTCATTTTGCGCTTTCTAGACCGTTTTCAGACAGAATTGGTTTTGAGAATGATAAATCACGTAAATACAAGCATTTTGAGCGCTCGAACCGCGAAAACTACCGAAAAGTAACTGAAATTCACGCAGTTTTAGCCAAAAACCTTCAAACAGATAAATGTGATGTGCGATTTGACCAAATTTAACGCTCTTGCGCTTAAAAAATTCGTAAAAGTCTATACAATCGGTCTATCGAGAGACAAATCGGAAATTATCGATTTTTCGTGGCTAATCTGGCAAAAAACACAAATTTTGCTGTTAAAATTTGAATTTCGCGCCAATGTATCGCTCTATTTGGCGGGGCGCACTTGCGCCCATTGTCAGCTCTGGAGACCGTGGTGCGTTTTCCAAAACCACTCACCCGCCAAAAGACACGGAATCTCGCAAAATCGAGAGCGCTGCAGAGAGTTATCGGGGGAAGATGCTTGTGAGCGCCAAAACGACAAATCCTGGAAGGTAGATGAGCTTCTCAGCTAGATCTCAGCGAGATGTCGAACGTGCTCATCGACAGTGTGCCTTACCGAAATTTTTTTTACCGAAAGAAGTGAATTTCGGTAAATTTTCGGTAAATTTTCGGTAAATTGTTTCGAAAATTTACCGAAAGAGTTTCGGTAAAAACTGTTTTTACCGAAAGAGTTTCGGTAAATTTTCGGTAAAAACGTTTTTACCGAAAGAGTTTCGGTAAATTTACCGGTAAATTTACCGGTAAATCGTTCCTTTCGACAATTACCGAAAGAACAATTTTGAGAGCGGAGAAAAAAATGTTAAAACATGTTTTTTTGTTTTCAATTTTTAAATAATTTTTTTCAATAATTTTTTTCAATAATTTTTTTAATTTTTTTAATTTTTTTAATAATTTTTTTGTTTCTTTTTTTAATTTTTTTAATTTTTAAATTTTTAATTTTAAATTTTTTTATAATGCTATGCAACGAGTTTCGCATTTAATGTGTCCCCAAAGTTCCTCATTCGAAAAATAAACTGATCGTTAAAAAGAAAACAGAAAAAAATTGAGGCGCCGAGCGGTGCCGTCGATACCGAAAAAGGCGCGGCACCGGCGTTCTTTTTGACAAGGGAAGTGACTGATGTGACTAATTTAGAACATTCTGAACAACATCCCAAACATCAGGAACACGCTGAACAGTCGCCTCAATGTTCCGTTCTCAAAAATTGAAAAATTGTTTCGAAAAAGTACCCATTTACCGATAAAATTTACCGAAATTTTTTTACCGATAAAATTTACCGAAACTTTTACCGAAATAGTTTCGGTAAATTTACCGGTAAATTTATCGGTAAATTTTCGGTAAATTTTCGGTAAATTGTTTCGAAAATTTACCGAAACTCTTTCGGTAAAAAAAAGTTTTACCGAAAATTTACCGACAATTTACCGAAATTTTTACCGGTAAATTTACCGGTAAATTTACCGAAACCCTTTCGGTAAGGCACACTGCTCATCGAGTAGTAGGCGAGTGACAGTGCGGAAGAATTGGAGCGTGAACTGAAAACATATATGTTGAGCAGAGTTGAGCGGAAGAACACGGAAGAATTTTTTTTATCGTTTTTAGAAAATTTTTTCATGGAATGTGATCAACTGACGAAATGTGTAGCAAAGTAAACTCTGCTCATAGAAAAATAATTGTAAATTTAACTTTTCATAAAAAAAAGTTATTCGAGTTGTTCCCGTGAAAAAGGGGGCTAAGGAATAACTTTTTTGTATGAAAAATTAAATTTACAATTATTTTTCTATGAGCAGCACGGCGCGGCTTTTGCGACGTTCACCAAACGTTTGATCCGCAGTCTGTGCATTTTTGCACGCCGGTGTTGCTCTGCGTACAGTGCATTTTATGTTACGCGCAAAGTTCATTTTTTTTAGTTGTTGATGAATTTTCTCCAAATATTCATCTCTTTAAAGCGTTTTTCTCCACTTTCTACCTCAATCAGACGTTTTTACAGATTCCAGGTGAAGTAATACGCGAAGAGAAGTCGATGCGATGAAAAGAAACGCGTAAGTAAGTGAAAGTAAGGTTTTATTCAGAAAATGCACGATTTCTCGAAAAACGTGACTAGATTTTCTAATCTCTCGGTTAAAAAACATTACTTACATTTCAGAGAATGTTTTCGAACCATAAAGAAGTAGAGTGACAGCTCTCTTTCGCGGAAAAACCGATAGTTTGCCGGAAGACAGTGAAATGTCGTTGAAAAAAATATTTTTTTGCTTCTACGAACTGTCACTTTACTTTTTTTCGGTTCGAAAACATTGACAGTCATGTAAGTGAACTATTTAAACAAAAAAATTAGAAAATCTAGAGACAATTTTTGAGAAAAATTTTTTTTTCAGCGAAATGTCACTGTTTTCCGGCAAAAGACAAATTTTTACGCGAAAGCGAGCTGTCACTCTACTTTTTTTAAATTCGAAAACATTCACAGTCATGTTAGTGAACTTTTTAAATCAAAAGATTAGAAGATCTAGAGACGTTTTTCGAGAAATCGTATATTTTCTGAATAAAACATTACTTCCATTTCCTTACGCGTTTCTTTTCATCGCATCGACTTCTCTTCGCGTATTACTTCACCTGGAATCTGAAAAAAGGTCTAATTGAGGTAGAAAGCAGAGAAAAACGCTTTAAAAATATGAATATTTGGAGAAAATTTATTAAAAACTAAAAAAATGAACTTTGCGCGTAACATAAAATGCACTGGACACAGAGCCACACCGACGCGCAAAAATGCATACCATTTGGCTGCGTATGTTGAGAAAGCCGCGCCGTGGCGCAGAGTTCACTTTGCTATACATTTCGTCAGTTGATCACATTACATGAAAAAATTTTCTAAAAAAGATGAAAAAATTCTTCCGTGTTCTTCCGCTCAACTCTAATGTTGAGGGAAGGCCGAGAGCTGAAATATCCTCTTAAACTAGCAAACAAATTTGCAAGAAATAGAAGTGAAGACGGGCAAATGGTGTGCCACCGTCTGAAATAACGTATGGCAGGCCGCACAGCGACGGTCACGTCGCGGCGGGTCTCGACACGAATGGCACGTCATAGGCGGGGACTTCCTTTGCGGACCGCCGTTTGAAAATAACTAATTATTGCATAAAATATATAAAACAGTAATCATGGGTGCGTGGATTTACAAAACAACAACAGATGCTAATCCGGCGTACTCTACGCTCCGAAACGTGTCCCAAAAGCGACAAAAAAAATGATCACGTGTAACAATGAATCCAACCCGTCGAAAATGTATTGCTAAACTCAAACTTGGTGCCGTTCGCGAGCAAGAATCAGAACAACTGAAGCTTCATTAAAAAAATGGCGAACAAAGAAAAGTGAGTGAGATGTAGAAACCGATGAGTCCGTCCCGACTCCGGAAGCTTCGTAGTCAACAGTTTCATCGCTTCCTTGAAGTATATGATGCTGTCGTAAAGGCCTTGCATGAAACTAATTATGTTTTCCTTCGGTCCTGAAAAAAAGCGACCGAATGCTGCGAACTGTTGAGTCGGGTAACTTACTCTGACTTTTTTGCGTCACGGCAAGTGATGACACTTTCTCGAGCTCATTTTCCAAGACGTCTTTTTGTGGCGGAACCGGAACCTTTCTTCCGTCGCATTACCACACACACGAAATGATGATGCCGATGACCACATTACCTCCGAGACTTCCGGCAAACCATTCCAGCGAAGAACTTCTGAAACCATAAAATTATAAATTCCAGAAATGTTTCTCAAAAACTCACTTGGCCGTCTCGGTGGTATTCGGAATCGATATTGTTGCTGTGGCTGTGAAGGCGGGCCTGTGTGCACGACGACCGGCGGAGCCATCAGCTCGGCAAATGCGGCGAAGAACGCGTTGGGGGCCGAGGCGAAACTGGCTGTGAAATTGGAGAAGTCAACTCCGATGAGACCGAGATTGTCCAGCCACTTCTCCATCTTGGTCAGCTCGTCCCTCGCAGTCGGATCGGTCATCAGATCCTTCAGATTGGCCACCGCCGCACTCATCGCCTTCACATCCGCTGAAGGTATTCCGGCGACCGTCGCAGCATTTGAAAAGAGATACTTGTAGTCGGCCAGGACTGTCGAGTCACTTTCCACGATCTGATCGCTCCACCTCCTTCACTCCTTCACACCTTGCAAACAACTGAACAGAGTCCCGAAACGCGTCAATGCTTTCTGATATGATAATAAAACACTCATCTTGTCGCTCACTTTCTGAGCACTGTCCTTGATTTTTGGCACTAGGTTTGGATTTTTCTCACGGTCGCACAGAGACTTTCTTCAATAGATCGTTGGTCTCGTTCTTGTCTTTGCTGTTTCTGAACTCATCGAACACATTTTCCAGATCGGCGCCTTTTTTTCCTTCGGCTTTTGCACAAATATCTCTGACCTTGATAATTCCAGCCTCAGCTGCTGTCAGATTCTTTGCAATATCGCTCATTGACTTTCTGATCGTCTCCATCGCGTCGTCAAGTTCCTTCACATACAATTCCACGTTCATATAAAATCGGTGGCTTTGATTTGATGGCAGTTTCGGATTGCTTCGGCATTATCGATTAGATTCTTTGACTTGAGATGCACGCGCCTCTGAATTCCTCCGCAAACTTGAAGAATGGGGTTTCATCGCCACTCGCTGCTGCTCACTTCCCAAATCCGATTCAATATCTTTCAATGAGGGCAAAAGAGACTCCACACCAGGGGTGTGCGGAAAATATTTCGATTTTCCGAAATTTTCCGATTTTCCGAGAAATGTTCGGAAAATTTTCGGAAAATTAGTGTGGATTCAAGGTCAATTTGTCCGAAACCACCGTATGCTTTTTAAAGGCGCATCACAAAATTTTTGGAAGGGTCTAGCAGCGAGCGTCTTTCTTTTCAACCGCGCGTCTCATTCTCACTGACAATCGGAAAACACTGGACCCGGAGAGCTTCTCTCGGCTAATTTTTTTGCAAAAAAATATTACATTGCTTGGCTTCCGCCCACTCAAGTGATTTCAAATCATAATAAGCATTTTTTTGTATTAGAACGTTGTTTAAACACTATATCGAACCAATGAACAAGTGAGTTTTCCGATTTTTCCGATTTTTCCGAAATTTTCCGAAAAAAAAAATTCGGAAAACCCGATTTTCCGAAATTTTCCGAAAAAAAAAATTCGGAAAAACCGATTTTCCGAAATTTTCCGAAAAAAATTTTCCGCACACCCCTGCTCCACACTGCGCAAACCCATTTTAAAACTGTCGACCCGCGCAACTTGACTGATCCACTGAGAATCCAGATCGGCGGACAGGAGATTCAAATCATCATATCCTCTTGGAAAACCAAAGGTGTAATTGAGATTACGCGAATTCGACAAGTTCTTGATGACTTCTTGAGGTACTTCGTTATATCATCAACTTTCTTCGAAGCATTGAAAACAGAGTGAAAGTACTCTTCGAAGGACGCGAAATCGGCTGTATCCGACAATCACTGTACTTTTTGACGCCTTTCGCTGCTTTCGAAAGTGGAAACAATTCTGATGTGGCACTTTTGATTGTTGCGAATTTCACCACCGTTTTCAAATCCGCAGAAACGAGATTTGTACCATTAATGTAGCATATATTTGAGGAGTAGGCCCGCATCACTTTCACTGTAGTCCATGGTACTCAGCCTTTTATACGTACTTTTCCAATCAGTGCCGCAATCATCCAACCGATCCTGGCGATCGTCTTCATCTTGTCGATGGTCGTCTTCAACGGATCGGCTGCAAACGGATCTGTTGGATGAGTGATCCACTCGGTCCACTAACCATTCGGAGCTCGGATCAGACGAGGAACATCGGAGACGGTTCAATCGGGTCAGTGTGGTTGATGCGAGTTCGCAGCGAGAGCGGTCAGAAGAAGAAAAATCGCGAATGGATCTGAAGAGAACGAGTGTCAAACTGACTGGGGGGAGTGTCTCCGAAACTCACTCATTCCGATGCTTCGCTCTGCGTTTGCCAGATCTTTTTGAGTTCGCGGTGAACTTTGATTGCTTCTGATGTTTGAATCCTCGAGGAATGTTCGACAAAAGGACGATTCGAGAACACAGCAGAGTAGTGCCACGTGGCGAGGTCAGGGTCAGTGGGGCAGAGGCCGAGCAGATAAGAAGCAAGGTAACGGGAACGTCACGCAGAAAAGGATTAAATTTTTCCAATTTTTTTCTCACAAATCATTTACGGGTTCTTTTTATCTAGATTTGTTAATGGCTTCAAGTCTTTTCGGAGACTAAAAGTAGTCATTTAATAATAAACAAAACTTCAAAACTCGTGTGATGTGTCTTATTTTTCCCTTCTTGACTTTGTGTGATTGTGAAAACCAAAAGTAATCAGTAAAACAAAAATGGCAAAAAGGTAGGGCGCACATGGGAGTCGAACCCTCAGCGTCGGATAACATATAGGCAGTGAGGGGTGTGAGAGAGCGAAGAGAACGCGAGCGACTCATGCCTTACTGATCTCCCTTCCTTCTTCTCAGACTTGCAACGGGCCGGGCCGGGCCAAAATTGGAAATTTTCCGGCCCGGTCGGCCCGGGAGGATGCACCTAAAAATTCAAAGCGAACTAGAACTTCGAAACGAGTCGCAAAATTTTCACAAAAATTACGAAAATTTTCTCAAGAGTGGGCGGAGCGATTGATTGCAACTCTGACACGCCATTTTAGCAATTTTGCCGCACGCGTTTTCCTCTTCCTTCATATTTTTTTTGAGGTCTAACTTCCGGGCCGGGCCAAAACCGGGCCGGGCCGGCCTGGCCCGGGATTTGGCAAGTCTGCTTCTTCTCACCTTGATATGGTTCAAAATCGAAAAGTCCTCATGAGGTCATGAGGATGAGGACAATGAGGATCTTGCAAGAGCAGGATAGCTCCACAGGTAAAACGCGAGGCATGCATTATGCGAACACCGTGGAGAAACCGTGGAGGTACATGCATATAGCATCCATTATGGACACCACAGCGCACAGAAACGGGAATATGCTTCGCGCGTGTACGAAATATGCGTTACCATGCACGGAAGGAATATGCCTTATCAGTTCGAGCGGCTGTCGCTGTTCGCCGTTGGCCGTGGATGCATTATGCCAACATCGCCAACGGAAACGGCTGATTTGCCGCTATTGCAAGCAAGATGTCTTCAAGACGCTTCGAAACGTGTCCCAAAAGCGACAGAAAAAAAATGATCACGTGTAACAATGAATCCAACCCGTCGAAAATGTATTGCTAAACTCAAACTTGGTGCCGTTCGCGAGCAAGAATCAGAACAACTGAAGCTTCATAGAAAAAATGGCGAACAAAGAAAAGTGAGTGAGAGCGTTTCGAATGGGCGCACAATCAGCACAACCCGAATTCACAGACTTCCCGAAGAGGACATGCTGCTGCCGTACTACCACGGAGCACTTATGAATCAGGACGCCGACCAGTTACTCGTGGTGCGTCGTCGTCGTCGTCAATCGGTGAAATGTCTAGAGGAATGTTTTTAGAATGAGGGTGATTATATGGTAACGATGAGAATCCATCCGGAGCTGAACAAAATGCAATTGTTTCTGGCGATCCGCCTCAAAAAGGGCATCCGTCGCTACGAGATCAAGAGAAACGCGACGTCGGCGAAGATGGCGAACCGCTCGGCGGCCAACATCGGCAAACTCGTCGATTCGCTCAAATCGGAGCCGGTGGAGGTGAAGGGCGAGAAGGTGGTGCTGAAGAGAGCGATCGCGAGGGGCAAGTTCCAGCTGATGCACAAGGACGTCGACTTTAAGAAGAAGCTGGGCAGCGGCGCGTACGGAACCGTCTACCGCGGCCGGCTCATCAAGTCGAACATCAAGGTGGCGGTGAAGAAGTTGGACACGGAGGGCAACGACGAGGAGATGCTGGCGGAAATGATGAAGGAGGCGCGCGTGATGCAGCTATACGACCACCCAAACATCGTCAAGTTCTACGGCTACATTCTCGACGACATCCCCTACCTTCTCGTCTTGGAGTTTTGCAACGGTGGGTCCGTCGAAGATCGGCTCACGGAAAAGGGCGAAAAGCTGAGCAACAAGACGCGCATCATGTACACGAGTCACGCGGCCGCCGGCATCGACTACCTGCACAAGAAGACGTGAGTTGCGGAACAGTTGCGCCACGTCTCATTCCCTCAATTTTCAGCTGCATCCACCGTGACATCGCCGCCCGCAACTGCCTCATCCACAAAGAAGTTGTCAAGATCGCCGACTTTGGACTGTGCCGTGCGCAGTCCATCTACAAAGTGGACCTGAGCAAGCCGTGCAACTTGCGATGGCTCGCTCCGGAGGTGTGGGACATTGGCGAGACGCGCTCGAACACGGACATTTACGCGTTTGGAATCATGATGTGGGAGTTCTTCGAGGTCCCCTACGACACGCCGTACAGTCAGTGGAAGGGATATCAGGTCAAGGTTAGACTAGAATCCAGAAGGACGCCCAAACGCCACCAAACAGTTTCAGCAGAAAGTGCGTGCCGGATACCGTCTGCCAGTGCCCGCCGGAATGCCCCGTGACGTGGCCGACATCATGAAGGAGTGCTGGCACGCGGACCCGACAAAACGTCCGACCGCCGAGAAACTGAAAGAGAAGCTGGAGGAGGTGCTGCAAAAGGCCGAGACGTCCGCGGCGCCGGAGAGCAGCAATCAACAGAAGACGAGCTAAAAATTGAGTATTGATTGAATTAATGAACACATTTTCCAACTTTTTGGATTTTTATACTTTACAAGACTGTAAACTTTATAGAACACGGAACCCCAGCCCCTTCCAATAAAAAATTCCCTTGGCGCAATTCACGTGCGCTAAACAAGGCGCGTAACGCGTAATTCCGTAGCGTCGTTGTAGAAGAGTTTCTCATTTCAATTTTCCCTGTTTTTTTGCATTATTCCCATCTTTTCAGAACCAATCAGTGTCAAAACTTGTGATAATGATTAGAAATGAATAAAAAATAAAATTTTAACTGCTTCGTCATCAATTTCGAAACGTTTTATGTGAAAATTACATAATTTTTTTCCTTTTATCTCAATTCTGTATATTTTTCGACGGTTGAGCGCTTAAAAGATGCGCAATAAACTCCTTGTTGACTGGAAGGTTCGAATGCCAGTTTCCGAACTGGATTCGGCAAATAATCGTTAAAACTCCGTTTTTTTCAGTAGTTTTCGACAAAATCCCTCAATTTGGTCAATTCTGAACGAATGTGCTCCGTTTCGCGCTTAAATCGATGCTTTTAACTCAGACAATCGCCGTACTATTCACAAAGAACAAAATTTGAGTGTTCATTAAGAGAAAAACGAAAGAATTCTGGTTTTCAATTGAAAAAAGAAACTGCGAGTCGACGGTGGATGCAAGCGCGCCCCATTGACAACTTGCTTGCGCATTGGAATTCTGGGGTTCCGTGTATAGAATACAACACAAATTTGTTCAAATATCGTCAATCACCGAGAAAATGTCGCTGAAAAAACATTTTTTGCCAATTTTTTTCAGATTTCTCTTCTGAAACCTTTTCTTGTACCAACTCTCGAATCTGCCTTCAAAATCCACTTTTCCACACGTGGCAACGCCCAATTTCCGGTCGGCTTTCACGAAAGCGCATCGATTTCGACGGTCCGGCAATATCGGATACAGCTTTTTCTGAAAACAAACGTTTTCCTTAAAATTTTTTTGAAAACTGACATCACACAAGACTTTTCCGCACTTTTCATCGGGAATAAATTGGCAGGAAAAGGTGCGGAGGGTCGGGAAATGCGTCCAGTTTCCGTTCCAGGTGCACAAGTGTCCCAGCGGTCGGCAGCACGTTTTTCGGGTTTCCGACGGTTTTCGGCATCTGAAAAAGGTGTAATTCGGGATCAAAAATGCTCAAATAAAGAATTCAAAGTTAGCGAATACGATTGACCCCAGCGGGGATCGAACCCCGGCGTAGAATCCGAATTTCCAGATAGTTTTCTTCCACTTCTCACCCGGAACTCGATATCTCCTTGACAGTCCATCCGACGCCGCGCTCGTCGCACTCATCTCTTCCGCATTCGCTCAAATAGCATCCAAACTGTTGTCGGTGCGGAATCGGCGTGTTTCCAGTGCATTTTCGGCCTAAATTGCTCGAAAACATTGAAATTGACGACGGATTGTGTACGAACCTGCATACCGCCCGTGTTTGGCGCCGATCAGACCGCACAATCCGGGATTCCAGTCGGAAATCAATCGATCTTCGGGAATGACACGTGGATCCACAAATTTATGCTCCACTTCGTATGGATTTACGCAGAGAAAAATGATAATGAAGACGGCGACGTGAAATGCTGAGCTCTTCTGAAAAGTATGCAATATTTGCAGTGTCGCAGTCAGTGGAATTCCGTATTTTTCATCAGAAAATCGCAAAGATTTTTGGATTTTTCCGCGAAATTTCGTAAAATACGGTGTTTTGACGCGTAAATGCACAATTGTTCAGCCGTTGGCCATTTTTGTGATTAGAAAACGGGAAAACTTACTTACCCAACAATACTTCAGGATACTTTTTGGAATTTTCCGGCAGGTTTTCGAGAATCTGTTACATTTTTCAGAACCTTCGATTTCTGAAGAGTCAGCCGACTTTTTCGAATCCTTGGAAACCGATATGGATGGCATTTGCGGTAAATCTTACGGATTTTCTAAAACCTCTCAATTCGTCGAAGAACAACGTGGCAAATGTCACGTGTCAAATTAGTGGCCGCTAGAAAAGTGGTCGGTAAAGTATTTTCCGAAAACGTTCCTCTAAAAAATGGTAAAATCAACGAGAAAAGCTACAAATTTGACGGTGAGTGAGCCCTGCGGAAAACTGTTTTCAGAGGGGGGGAGCTTAAGAGTTTGCCGAATCCATTGGGAATGTGCTGAAAATTACAGTAAAAAATTAGCAATAATCGTTTGAGCCGAATCAACTTTTTTATTTTAGGTCACTCCGGCGCCTCCCGTGGACATTTCGTTGTTCGTCGGAATGCTCGAATCGTCGTGTCCGATTCAAGTGTCCACAGCCCTTCACTTCTTTCGAAAAGCGTTCGCCAACGGTCCGGACGTCTCGAATATTGTTGTTCGCGAGCAGTTTTACGGACGCATTGTAGGCGAACACTTTTTTGACAACAAAACCCTTTTGTTTTACAGAAAAACGGTGTTTTGAACGGATTGCGTTCGCAAATTCTCGATCCGGATAGCGAGATCAACGCCGTTTGGATCATCACGAACATGTGCTGCATCAGCAAAGAAGTCACGCATATGTTTGTGAATTCGGTATGTTTTCTTGGTTTTTTTTAGCATGTTCATGCTGAAAAATGATTGTTCGACATGAGAACACACGAATTCTCTGAATTAATGACGTTTTGGCGCATTTTTCGCGGATTTCGCTTTTTCGCCTTCGCCGCCGATCGCCGCCTAAAAACCGCACTTCTCATTTTGCGCTTTCTTGACCGTTTTCCGACAGAATTGATTTTGAGAATGATAAATCACGTAAGTACAAGCATTTTGAGCGCTCGAACCGCGAAAATTACCGAAAAGCAACTGAAATTCACGTAGTTTTAGCCAAAAACCTTCAAACGGATAAATGTGATTTGCGACTTGACCAAATTTAACGCTCTTGCGCTTCAAAAATTCGTAATAGCCTATACAATCGGTCTATCGAGAGACAAATCAGAAATTATCGGTTTTTCTTGGCAAATCTGGCAAAAAACACAAATTTTGCTGTTAAAATTTGAATTTCGCGCCAATGTATCGCTCTATTGGGCGGGGCGCACTTGTGCCCATTGTCAGCTCTGGAGACCGTGGGCCCGGAACCGTTTTGGCGCAAAATTCTACGACATGACCCGGATGGCGGCGGTGGTTTCGGGTGGCTAGTGTCAGAGGATCCGCGCTTCGATCCCTGCCGGGGTCAATTGATTTCTATCGGCCTTGTCATGGATTCCAAGCACAGTTCAAGTAGTCTTACGCTAAAATTCCCATTTACAGCACTGCATCGACACGCTGACGCAGCTCATTCGCTCGCCGAACGCCCGTCTCTCCGGTCAAACGGTCTGGGCGATTGCGAACATTTCGGCCGACTGTATGTCATGCAAATCGGTGTGTCGCAAGTCGAAATTGCTCAAAGTAAGAGTTTCTTTTGAAAAAAAAAAATCAAATTTCCCCGCATTTTCTTTAGTTTCTCGGAAAAAAGCTTCAAAACTCGCAAGACTCGCTCGACTTGGAACGTCGAAATTTGATATGGTGCATCAATAATATCGTGTCGGGCGGCCGCGTTCAAATGCAACAACATGTGAGTGGCCATGGCCTAACATTTTACTAGGCCATCCCACATTCTAATAATTCCCCAAAATTGCCAAACACGAACGGTGGCCTAACTTTTTCTCTTCCAGGTCGCGCGACTCCTCATCCGTGTCCTCGCCGACGTCTTTCTGGACACTGTCGCATGCCGACGCATAAAATGCGGCTCAATGGTGCTGTGGACACTCGCCAATTTGGCCGATAACACGGATGACACGACACGGGTAGGAAATTTGGGGGTTTTTAGGCCATTTCTTGAAGAATCAAGGACCGGGGTCAAACGATTTTTGTCAACTTTGTCACGGTCTCCCACGGCGCGAATTATTTCAATGGGGCGCACTTGCAACAGGCGGACTGTGTCGATTTACGCGGCGGCCGATTAATTAATTTTCAACGGGAGTTCGCGTTCTTTCTGTTTTTTGTACAATACACCTATTTTTCGTACGCCTGGAACCTGGATTCGAATAATTAGAGCACTAGCTAGGTTGTGGTAACAGAAATCTCGCATATCGTTGAGAATTAGCCGAGTTATTTCGATTTGAACGTTTTGGCCTGGATTTTGATGTTCTTCGAATAGTTTTCGAAAACTGCTCAAGAAAACTAACCGCCGGAACCTGAATTTTGTGAAGAACGATTCAGCGAACATTTTTATCGTTCGTTGGGCTCATGAAATGCAAAATGAGCTGAAATATAAAGGTTTGAAGTTTTGACGAAATTCGAAAAAGACGCTAAAAACATGAAAAACTCTAAATTCTGTAAGGAACGGTTTCCAATCAGTAAAATATTGTTTTCTAGACGTTTTTCAAGTTAAAAAGAAAGAAATAAAGGTCGTAAACTCGAATTGAACTGCATTTTTAGACGTGCAAATTTTCAAAAGTTACAACGACACTCCGCAATTTACGAGCGCACTGTGTTTAGCATTAGCGCCCTCGGAGACCGTGTTTGTTGGTGTTCCTGAGCCCATTTCCTGCAGATTGACATGCTGCTCGGCCACACACACCTCCTGCCGCACGTGCTTCACACTTTTCTGGATGAGTCGGATGCCACGTGGCATCCGTCGGCGCTCCGTCTCATCGGAAACATTGCCGTCGGCGACGATCAACAAACGGGCCGCCTCCTCGAATTGCCGCTCTTCAAACGCGTTCTGGTCGGTGGCGGCGGCCGTCGCCTAACTTTCTCTTTCTCTTCCAGAAGACGGCCATGTCGTCGGCGGAGCACTGCGGAGAGGCCGCCTGGATTCTGTCGAATATTGCGGCGGGCGCGCCGCGCCACGTGGCTTTTGGTGAGTGTACGAGAAAGGGTTTCAGGCAAACAATTTTCGGAATATTTATTGTTCAGTTCTCGAGGAGGTCGACGAGTTTTACGCGTGGCTCCTTTCGGGCATCAACTCGGAGGAGCGAAGATTCAGAAAGGTGTGGCCTAGCATTCTCCGGTTGACGTTCTCCTTGCAACCCATCCGATTATGCGCTCTGTTCGCAATCTGGCCGAATTTCTGTGGGGCCTAACTTTTGACACTCTCAAAACGCCTCCAAAAACTTGTATAAACTGCCACAACTGCCCATGGCCTTCCACCCGCGCCCACCTTCCCGTGGCCTAACTTTTCCACTTGCAGGAGTCGCTGTGGGTCGTCGGAAACCTGCTGGCCACTGCGGACGACTCGCAACGCTCCCTGCTCGTCTCTCTGGGTATTGTGCATCATCTGCCGCTGCTCCTCGAAATGGACGATGTCCGACTGAACGAGAAGGCGGCCACTGCGGCCGTTGAGTTGCTCCGCGAGCATCCGTGGCAATTCAATGTCTACCGCCAACGCGATATTGTCGGTTTCATCGAGAGAGCCGGCGACATGGTTTGCCACATTTTTAGAGTCTTTGTTTTTGAACATTTTTGCAGTTCTCCACTCAAAAAGCTCAATTGGAGGCGCTGCTCGAGGAGCTGAAGCCGCCGAAACGGGCGGAGAATGAGGTGCCGCCCGGATGCCACGTCATTTGCTACAGTAGCCCGAACATTGGCGAATATGTCTGAAATGGAAAATATTTTCTACCACTATAAAATAATGAACAGAATGCGGGATGACAGTTTAAGGAAAAGGGGCGAAAAGCAGACAAGTGATTGGGGTGATAAAATTGAATCTTTACAGGATTTACAAAAAAAAATGGTAAAAAAAGGCCACAACAATTCTAGAAGGGCTATAGGCTTCGTATTGGAAATCATTCGGGTATGAGAGAGTTTGAGGGAAAAGAATACTGACACAGAATAATCTAACGATGACAGGCGTGATTGAGCAACTTGACGCGCACCAGATACTTGAGCTGAATTTGATCCACGTCGTACACAATGTATCTGCAAATTATCAATATTAGGATCAAAAGTAAATTGCTGTTCATCATGTTTTCTGGAGAAAACATGTTTTTTTCGGAAAACTGAAAAAAATCGATAAACAGCAGTTTGCTGCTGAAAAAGACGAGGAGAAATCGTAAAAATCTGTGGTTTAGGGGTTGAAACGGAACACCGTCAAGGTACATTTCTGCAGTGTCAGAGTGTTTTTCAAAATTATCCTCTCCGGACGCCTTCTTTAATAACGTACTCGTTGTACAGGAGATGATAGTCCGTGTACTGTCTTCCGTCGAAATTGATGATTTTGTGTCCTTTCGGAATCACGTATCCGTCCGAATGCGAAAAATTGCCCGTCGGGTCCGGGCTTTCGCGGCCGAGTCCTAAAAAATTGATTTTGCAAAAAATGTCACAATTTTTCAGGGCTGGCCAAATTTCGGCGCAGCCTTTTCGAAGGCCTGGACTTTTGACCCACTTGCAATGATCCGATTGGTCCCAAACTTTGCAGGATTCGTGGAATTGGATTGGAGTATGTTGGGCCCTAGTTTCAGATGGATCGGATCATCTGGTCCCGAGATATACTCGTTTGAGGCCGAAAAGGCCGAGTTTATGCGAAAGCTGTGGCCTCTGCGGCCTCAAACGAGTATATCTCGGGGCCAGATGATCCGATCCATTTGAAACTTGGACCCAATATACTTGAATCCAAGTCCAAGAAGCCTGCAAAGTTTGGGCCCGATCGGATCAATGCAAGTGCGTCAAAAGTCCCGGCCTTTTGCTCAGTCCTGCAATTTTTTAAATTTCTGCATTAATAACATTGAAAAACGCTCTTCCGCGCACAAACCTTTGACAGAGGCGGTTCCTTTCGGCAACGTCTTCGCCGACATCGTTGTGGCGGCCATCAGAGGACACACTTCGCCGAGTGCCACGTCACACAGCAGCAGGTACGCCTCGTCTCGATGCGACGCCTGCAAATATTGGGAAATTGGAATGCGTTCAAAAAATCGACGGCCAAATATTCGTACCCGACAATAGAAGAAGCTCTTGGTGAACATGTCGGCGAAATAGACGCCCTTTCCGAACATGTAGCCCGAGACGGGTGCCTCGGGCGGTGCAATTCGGAGGCCCTGACCGAGGATGCCCGCAAAGTTCATCTTTCCGGAGCCGTGCCACAACAGCATCCGATTCGCCAGGCCACGTTTGAACTTCGCCGCCTCGCTTTCACGATCCACACGCAGAATCTGAAAAGAAGTTGTACAGATTCACTCAAAAAATTAGACACTGCACAAAATGCACCGAGAAATCTATCCAAAGTCAGCGACCCCCTACTCCACATCAAGAAAAGAAGAACGCTGGGATGGGCTGAACACATAATGCGCAAGACGGACAACAGGTGTGGACCACGATGAGAGTGGATCCCGGAAGACCGCCGATGAGATGGAGTGACTCGCTCAGAGAGGAAGTCTCCATCCGGCAAGGAGCCCTACTACTGATCGCCAAAGATCGAAACGCTTGATGTGTTGTGATCCGCACCCACGCCACGTGAGCGAACAACGGATCGACTCGAGAAAAATCGAGTAGAAATCGTAAAAATCTGTGCTTTTGGGGGTTGATACGGAACAACGTCAAGGGACATTTCTGCAGTGTCGAAATCTCCGGAATACGCTCACATCGATGAGTTCGACGTCGACATCGTGCGTCGATCCTCTCGTATTGTTCATGTACTCCTCGATGTGCTTCCAGTCCGTCGAGCTCCGTTCCAGTGGCTGCAAATTGGTTTTTTTATTACAAATTCGAAAAATATCTGGGGAAAAAAGCGATTTTCGGGTTTGAAAAGTACCGCCAGTGTGCACTTGAGCTTCTCGTAGTTCGTGTCGACCGGATCTCTGCCCACCAGGCCGCCCTTCGGATCCTCGCCGCCGCAAATCTGATCGTACGCGTATTTTATGTCGAGAAGCGCGTTCAGCATGTTGTTCTTCTCCTGGAATTCAATTTTCGTTATGCAAGTTGGAAAATAGAAAGAAAGCGCTCACCTTGACCTTATGAAGGCTGTCAATCTGCTCGGGCACTTTCATTCCGAAATTGTGCGGGATGATCGTGTAGAACTTGTTCGTCGCGTCCACAATCTTGGCCGCGTTGACCGGAAACTCGGCGAGCAGCTCTCCGAGCTCTGTGAGCACGCCGAACGCCCGCAAAATCTGTTTGCGGCTCAGACGGCCCAATGGCATCTTGTTGACGTCCATTTCGAACGATTTCAGCGCCGACTTCATGTTTTCCACGTCAAAAATCGACATCATAATCTCTTTGACCGATTGCGGAAGACGCGTCCGCGATCCCGGCAGCACGTCCGTGTTTTTCAGCTCTTCCTGCGAGATTATTCCATTGAAATCAGTTAAAATTGTTCGCAAAACGTACAAATTCGGAGAAGTCAGTCTCGACGAAACTGAACATTCCGGGCATTTTGCGAAAATGTTTCCGGTACTTCCACTCGTTTTTCGTCTTTTCGAAGAAGACCTTCTCGAAGTTCTTGATCGCATCCTCGCGAATGAAGCACTCTGTCCGCGTGTCGCCGACGTCCGTGCCCACGCGGCCCCACGAGCGAAACACGTAGTAGATGCTGCAAAAAAAGTCGTTTTTCGGAAGGAGCGCTTTATTTTAGGAAATGCAGCGACTTTCTCCGCAACGTACTCTTTACAATCCTCCTTCAACAACTGAATCTTATAATACGAGTTCTTGTTCTGGGTGACATCGGTGAAGCTGAGAGTCGCCTGGAAGAGTGCTCCGTCGGGCTCTTCTTTGAGCACGTGACATCTGTCCGCGTACGGGCACTTCGCATCCACGACCGTTCCATTTTTGATGATATGAGTGCTGGTGCCGGGCAGCACGTCGCCAATCTTCACGGGCACACGGCAGTTGGCGTCGAACGCCTCGGCCGCGTAGATGAAATCCCCGTCGCCGGGATTGGCATGTTTCTTCTCGCGCACGACGACGTGCTCGCCGAGCTGCTCCTCCTCGAGGTACAGCCGCTCGAACATATCGTTGAATGTCCACTCGGACATGCGGTACATTTTTCGGATCGAGTCGGGCAGGTGGAACGGCGTGCGCACCGGATTGCGGTCCTCGTAGGTGCACTTGGAGTACTCGGTCGCGTATCCGGTGCAGACGTACGTGCGACGCGTCGAGTTGTAGACGATCTTGCCGTCCGCGCACTGGGAACACCCGATCGGACAGCCGAACAGCGCGTTGTCCACCAGACGGTCTATCAACTGAAAATCGGAAAATGTTCTCATTTTCATCAAAGCTCGCACGCGTACCAAAGCGGTGGTGTCGTGTCCTTCGGGAATGTCCTGATCGTTCTCCTTCAGAATCACCTTTTTGTCGGAATTCGTCATCGTCTCGAATATTTGACGATATTCCCACAGACGGTCCACTTGTCTCTGTAAATTCGAATTGTTTGAACACAGAAAATCGCCAGAAACCCGTCCAACCTTCATTCTTTGCTGCCTCAACGCCGCCAACTTGGCCTCTTTTCCAATTTTGCGTCGTTTCTCGGCCTCCTCCTCGTCTTCCTCCTCCAAATCCACACAAGCCGCTCTTTTGATCGTCGTGTTTTCCGCACTTTTTCTGGGTTTTTCTAGTTTTTCCTCGGCTTCCACCTCTTCCACCTCTTCCACCTCGATTTTTTCCCTCGTGCGTTTCTCGTCGGGAATCTTCGAGAACTCGCCGGCAATGCGGATCCTCTCCTCCGCCTCAATGTTTTCCCATCCGGGAATCTCCTCCAACTGGCCATGGAATCGGTCGTAGGCAGCGAACAGACAGGCGGCGTGGGCCCACTGTCCAGGCCCTTTTTCGCTCATCTTCGTCTCGCCCTTCTCGAAATTCTTTCCGCATCTCTGACATTTCCCGCGATTCGTGATCGATATGTCCGTTTTCACCATCGGCAGACGACACAAACGACCCGAAAACGAGGAGTCGAGCTCGGAATCCGCACGCGGCGCCTTGAAATTGGCGATCCTCTCGCGGAGAGCTTCCTGGAATGACAAAATGAACAAGTCGAAAAAGTTTTTAAAACAGTTACCTGGTCTTCCCATCGAAGACCTTCGACATTTCGAATCGATCGCAAGTTTATCTCGTCCCTTTTCGGGTTTAGATATCTCCAAAAACAGGGGAAATGGTACCAATTATCGACGTTTCCGTCGAAATAGCTGGACGGCTCACAAACTGCCATTCGCAGAGTGCCCTGCAACATAGGGGTTTGAAAAAATGCGCTAAATTTTTTCTAGATAAATTCCTCACCTCTGCAATACATTTTTTGCACTTTTTGCACTTTGATCGTCCGGATTTCGCGTATTCAATAGAGTACGGCAGTGGAACGGATCCTTTCAACGACAACATTTTTTTCCTGAAATCCAATCCGCTGACCCGTTTCGCTTGATCCTGCAGAAAAATTCAATTTTTTAACGGAAAAATTGGACACAAATGAGCGGAAAACAAAAAGTACAGTAGTTTTTAAAGGGACAGCTACTATGAGCAACGGGTCTCGCCACGAAAACTAAGTTTTTGTTGTTATTCCTGAGAAAAAAACCGAAAACGGTGATTTAGCGAGAACAACATTGAACGAGAGGAAAAGCAAATAGAAAACACGTCAAGCACTTTTAGAATGTTTATTTTCATGCGAAATACGAGAAAAATGTAAAATCGTTAGTTTTTCTGGTTGAAAATTGCGATAAGCACACAATTTTGCAATGAGCAAGACGGTGAGCAGAAAATGACATTGAAATTCGATAAAAACACATCGTATCGTGGCTTGGGAAGTAGGAAAATGCGCTAAAAATTTCTATTTTCCGCCGTGATGCTGAAAGTGCGGTAGAGCGCACTTGCATCTTTCCTCTTCTAATTCTAATTTCCATTTTTACGACTTTTCAAACAGAAAACCAGCATGACTCAAAAAACATCAGAAACAGTGAAAAATTAATTAATGTTCGTTTTCCAGCTCGAAAAATGCTCCAAGTCGTCGTGATCTTCTCGCAAAGTCACGTCAATTTTCGACTAGCCGAATTCGAGGCGATTTGCTCGATTTTTGCAATAAAAGTGGTGCAAAAAGAGCCGATTAACACGACTGTAAGCTCTAGAAAATGTGCAAACACTCAGAGCTCAAAAAATTGTTTCAGGACCACATTTTCGTGCTTTTCTTTGAAAACGAGCGCCAAGTGCGTCAATTGTTGAGCCGCGCGATTCTTGTCAAATTCGCCGTCCAATTATCGATTGAAGCGGTCACCTACACCGAATTGTATGCGAAAATGCACAGCGAGCCGAGAATAATTGAAAATTTCAATAAAATCGACGAAAGTTTCGCTCTCCGATTTTTTGCAATCGGCCGCAAGAAAAAGTTGGATAGTCTGGAGAGAATTCGGGTAAAAATATCAGTTTTAGGCCTAAAAAGTGCTAACACTTTTTTCAGACGTTTCTAGACCATGTTCCGATAAAAAATGCGCCAATTTCGTTGAGTGCGCCCAAAAATGAGTTGTATTTGGTGGAAGAGTACGAGAATCCGGATGACGAACAGCCGAAACGAGTGTTCTTCGGAAAATTGATCGGCGAAGGTCGGGTCGGACTCAAAACTAGGTACAATTTGAAGGATCGGTGCTACATTGGCAATACGACTATGGATCCCGAACTTTCTTTCATTCAGGTAGGCCGAATTGCAAAAAAACTGTGTCCACAAAAAAGATACGAAATCAGATGGGAAAAGTAGAGAAAAAGCCAGCATTATCAGAGTTTAGTATTTCATCGAAGCTTTTTTTTGTACCGAAATGTGTCAGTGTTGCTTCCAACACAAAAAACAGCAAAATTGGAACATTTGTCAATGTTTTTCTTGGTAAAATGGTTCTTTTAACGAATCTTCCCATACATTTTCCTAATGCAAATTTTGACGACTTTTTTGAAAAAGTTTTTAAAAAAATCGATAATTTGCAGGCGAATCTGGCGATGATAACCGCCGGAAACGTGGCGCTGGACCCGTTCGTGGGCACGGGCGGCCTGATTCTGCCGGCCGCCGAATTCGGAGCCTTCGTGGCCGGCACGGAGATCAACTACCAGACGGCGCGGGCGAAAGGACGATCTTCGCGACAGGGAGTCGGCGAACGGCTCGAATCCGAGAGCATTCGCGCCAACTTTGAGCAGTACGGCACTCTGGTCAGTTTTTGGGGGATTTTGTATGAGACAAATTGTGTTTTTAGCACCGACTATTGTCGATCATGATCGCCGACTCGAGTAAACATCTCATCTGGAGCGCCAACGCGAAATTCGACGTCATCGTCGCCGATCGTTAGTCTTAAAAAGCTGTATAACACTTGAAATGTATTGTGTTTCAGCGCCGTACGGAGTGCGAGAAAAAGCGCGGAAAACTGTGAAGAACAAGGAAATGAAGGAGGATTCCGAAGACGTGTAAGCCATTTTTCAAAACTTTCAAAAATCAAACGTTACTTTCCAATTTTGCAGTGTCCGATACCAAAAAAAAGAGGAATACGACCTGGAGAAGGCGTATTGCGACCTCCTGACACTGGCCGCCCGGATTCTGGTCCCAAATGGACGCGCTTCTTTCTGGTACCCAGTCATTCTCGAAAAGTAGGCATTTTTATCGATTTTCTAGACAAAGACCTCTAAAATTGTCATTTTGCAGATACTGCTCGGAAAATCTGCCACGTCATCCAGCGATGGAGCTCGTCTCGAACTGCGAACAGCAACTGACGCGCAAAACGAGCCGCCGACTGCTCACCTACCGAAAACTGAGAAATCCGGAGGAGAACGAGGAGGGCGCCATCATCGAATGCGGCGGAGTCAGCCACTACCGGACCGTCTTGTTCTCGCCCAAACATTGATATTTTGTCCATCTTTTTGTTGAACTCTTTGTTTCTCGTTGGCTATTATGTTAAAATTACTGAAAATCTTGTAGAAATTTTTTCCGACATCACATATGGCGCCTCCAAAACCACCTCTTTTTTGATCAGCCAAAATCTGATTATCCGCAGCATTTTTCCCGATGATGCCCTAATGCAGAATCGACAATTTTCGAGGCAATAACATTTCATAATCTTTTGCGGCCGCACACGAACAAGACGCTCGACATGCGCATTTTGGACTCTATCGAATTATATGCAAACCGTGTCATTGTGTGCATTTTTGCGTGACGGTGAACATGGCGCGGTGTTTGCGCACTCTCGTAAAGTCGTGTCATTTTCGAAATTTTCGCTTGTTGTCCACCCGTTTTTTGCCGTTTTCCATCGAATTTTCGAATTTTTGATGGTGAAAATCGGTTCTCCAACGTCGATTTTCATCATATTTCGTCAATTCTACACTGATCTTAAATTTTTTCGCTGAAAAATCGTCAAAAATCGATAATCGCTCGCTTCATCTCGTTTTTCAGCAAAAACCTTGCAATTCGGGTCGTTAAATGTCATCAATACACTACAAATTCCGCGCGGAACTCGACTACAAGACGCTGCAGTTCGACGGGCTGCACATTCGCGGCGAGCAGCTCGTGCGCGAGATCTGCTCCAAGGAGAATCTGAAATTGGAGTTGTTCGAGCTGCAATTGCAGAATGCGCACACGAAGAAGATGTATAGCGACGAGGAGCTGATTCCCCGCAACTCGTCGATCATTGTGCAGCGATTCCCGCGGAAGGATGCAGCAAAGGTGCAAAAAGTACAGTGAGTTGGTCGAAAATTCACCAGTTTCCCTATAAATTCGATAATTTCTGTCATTTCCAGAGCCGGCGTCAACTCGGGAATGGTGACGCACGCGGAAGGCGCCTCGTCAAGCCTGGATCCAGTCAATCAACTCTCGCAGGTGGGAATTTGCGGAAAATCGGATAAAGTGCTAATTTTGTTATTTGTAGGCCGAATTCGATGGTCTCGATGAAGCGGAGCGTCTGAATCTGATCCGAGATCAGTCGACGAGAGCTTTCGATCCCTCAAAGTGAGTTTTTTAGCATTTTCGCTCAAACTTCTTCAAAAAACGCCGAATTTTTGCAGTTTCCGCCGTCGCCCGCAAGGAGGGATCATGACGGGACCGCCGCCACCGACGTACACGTGCAACCGCTGCTATCAACCGGGTCACTGGTACAAAAACTGTCCGATGGTAATTCTCGCCGCCGCCGCAGCCGCCCACTCTTTTTCTGTCTCCGGCCGGTTTCCGTGCATTTTCTCATTTTCCTGTATATCTTGTGCGTGTCTCTCCCAGATAAAACTCCAATTTTCAATTTTCTAGCAATTTTGTTCGATAATTTCTAATCGCAATTTTATAGGATCGCCGAAAAGTGCAGAGTTTGGAAAATTTCAAAAAAGAAATCATGTTCAGAGGGATTTAATGCAATTTTCAGCTCAACACAAAACGAACGACGGGAATACCATCGCAAGAGCTCATGGAGACGACGGCCGACGATCCGGCGGCGATGCTTCACCCAAGCGGAAAGTACGTCGTGCCGATCATGCACTGGAAGGCGCGTCAGGAGACACTTCAGAGAAAGGTACTTTTTCTACAATGTTTCCTGATTTTTAGAGAGTTTTCCCCGATTTTCCGTTAGTTTAAGAGCCTCACTAATCGTGCCCAGTTCTTCCAGCAGAATCTCGACGAAGGAGGATCCGCCTCCCCTGCGCAAGCGGAACGGAAAGTACCGCCGGAGCTTCTCTGTCCGATCTGCCACAGTCTCTTCAAGGAGGCGGTCGTCACGTCGTGCTGTGGCAGTTCATACTGTGCCGAATGCATCCAGGACCGCATTATGGATCCGGACAGTCGCAAGTGCCCCGGAAACGATTGCGGCAATACGGAGGTAGGGCTTTTTTTTAGACAGTTCACTTTCAAAAATGTGCAAATTTGCAGATCTCCATCGAAAGCCTGATCCCGAATAAGACTTTGCGTGAAGGCGCAGCCGCGTGGATCACCTCTAGTGCGCCAGGCGCCCAATTGGTCCCTTCGGCCGCCGAACCGGAACAGATCCGCATTCGAATCGGCCTCAAAGCACCCGCATCGGCACCGAATCTCTCCGGCATCTCCCCCGGCACGTCCCTCGTACCCCAGCAACCGCCAAATGTCTTGCAACCCGTCCACTCTGCCGTTCTCCAGCAGGTAGTCTATTTTTTCTAAAACGTTTGCATTTCTGCTACTACCCGAGTCGATGCGATTCTTTTGTGATTTCGCAACGGTTTTCTAACTATTTCTTCAATTTTCAGCCAGTCCAGCAACAAGTGGCTCTCCCGCCCTCCCACACAATCCAACCGGCCATTCCGGGATTCCCGGCGACCTCGCAGCCGGCCGTCAGCTCTTCCATCGGTCTGCAAATGATGCAGGACGTGAGCCTGCCACCGCCCGGAATTCCAGGGCTCTCCGCCTACGGACAGACTCTTCCCGGCATACCAGGACTCATGCCCGCCTACGGGTACGGATTTGTTGAAAAGCCCGTGACAGCTATGACAATCGGCCCAAGTTTCAGAATCCCCGTGTTCCCGGCATCGGGCTTCCCGCCGGCGGTCTCTTCGGTGCCGCTCGCCTCTTCCGCCTCTTCGGGATTCGACGAGTGGAATGCGTTCCTGCGCAACAAGGATAAGTACGACAAACGGAGAGACGCGAGGGATCGGGAGCGGGAGAAAGACCGCACGAGACGGAAGGAACGCCGAGACTCGCGCGGAAGACGCAGACGGTAAGCAGATGGGGGAAAAGAACCGAATTCATCGCGCTAATTTTCCGAACACACTACAGAGACTCGTCCACATCGTCCTCCGCATCGTCTTCATCGTCTTCTGGCGAAGAGGAGCGTCGTCGTCGCGAAAAACGGCGCGAAAAGGAAAAGAAGAGCAGGAGAAGTGTGGAGAAGGAGCGAAGTTCGACGCGGCGATCCGATGACCGGAGAGATCATCGGGAGCGCGAGACGTACCGAGAATCGTCGTCGAGAAGAGCGAAAGAGTCGACGAAACTCGCCGCTTCTTCTGCTTCTTCTTCGTCGCGACGAGACGGCGGAGCAGAGCGGAGAGAAGAGGCGAGACGCAGAGACCAGAGAAAGAAAGAAGACGACAGGAAGAAGGACCGTACTCGAGAGCCAGAGCCAGAAGAACTGGAGGACGATATCCAAGAGAGGTGATTTTGATGAAAAATTGGGAAATGTGATGATTTTTGTTTAATTTGGCTCATTTTGCCGATTTTTACCCATCTTGCTGTGAAAACTAGCTGAAAATCCATAAACTGTCAACAAATTGATTTTTCAGCAAGCACAAGGACGTGGAGTCGAAAGACGAGGACGAAATCGATGGAATAATCGCCGAGTACGGAAATGTGCAAGTGAAAGAGGAAGAAGATGCTGGAGAAGGAGAAACGACTGAAAAAGTGGAGAAAGGAGAAGAAGAAGTGAAGCGAGTGGATGTGGAGACGAAGAAGGAGGAGGAGACACTGGTCGAGATGAAGGACGCCGCTGAAGAGGTACTTTTTGCAATTTTTGGAGATTTTTAGAACATTTTGTGCAGTCTCAGGAGCCGACGGCCGACGAGGAGCCAATCGAGACGGAGCCGAGTGCCCCGAGAGCCCCCGCGAGCCAGACGTTGGAGACGAGCGAGGCGGAGGTGGCGGAAACGAGAACCGAGCCCGAAGAAGACCAGGAAGAAGAAGAAGAGGAAACGGAAACGGACCGGAAGGAGGACGAAGCGAGCGGGAACGATGAGAAGATGGCGGAGTCGTCGGGCGGCGAGGAGGATCGCAAAAAGAAGCACAAGAAGAGCAAGAAGGCGAAGAAGAACAAGAAGAAGGGCGAGGAAGACGAAGTGGAAATGGAGGAGGAGGAAAAGCACAAGAAGAAGCACAAGAAGCACAAGAAGGAGAAGAAGGCAAAGAAGGAGCGGATGCGCGAGGAGCTTGACGCTGCGGAGGAGGCCGACGAGCGCAAGGATCGGGGACGGCGCGAGGAGGAGCGCAAGCGGAAGAGGGACTCGCGCGAACGCGACTACGACTCGGATGTACGGTTTTTGTTTTTTATTTTAGAAAAAGTTGAATGATTTTGGAATTTTTGTACTTTCTAGGCGCTCTAAACAAAAATTGGTGGATTTGAAACAATTTTAAGCACAAATTAGGAACAAATGCCTAAATCGGCACTCGAATAAGTGAAACAGAAGTTGCAGAGTGCGCCGAAGCCAAAATCGCGTCGATCCGACGATCATCAGCGAAAAGACGGCGAGAAGGAGCGCGAGAAGGATCGGAAGACGTACCGAGAAGAGAAGGAGAGAGAAGAGCGCAAAAAACGAGACGAGGAACGTGAGAAGGATCGGAGACGCCGTGAGAGACCGGAAAAGCCGGCGAGAGTCGATAAATCCGCGGAGAAGTCGAATAAGAAGCAGCCGGAGGTGAAGACGCGTCGATCGGTGCACGAACGCCTTCAAAAGGCCGACGACGTTGTCAAAAGTGCCAGCACTCTGACACGGAAACCAGTCTCGTTCACCGTCAATGCGAGCAAGTCTGCGCGCGTCCGTCGCGTCTCGTCGAGCTCTTCCACAAAAGAGCAGGAAGAGGAGGAGGTGGGCGTTCCGATGAATTTTCATCCGTTTCTCAACAAAAATCATTTCAGCGCTCTAAACATCGCCGCAAAAAGGAGGAGACGGATGTGGAGAGCAGCGCAGAAAAGGAAAAGGCCAAGGTGATTATTTTTTTCAAAATTTAGAACATTTTTGACCGTTTTTTTGCAGAAATCCTCGTCTCGTTCGTCTGCCGCCGCCGCTGCCGTCTCGTCATCGTCATCGTCTGGAGAGTTGAGCAGCTCGTCGAAGCACAAGAATATCAAGATTAAATTTGATTTGTAGAGAATAACCTTCTATTTTTCACGTGTTTTTCATCTGTAACCACCCCAAAAAATTGTTCTTTTTTTTAAAAATTTTTTAAACCATCACCCAAATCGATTTTTCCCTTTGAAAATGCTGAAAATTCCACAATTCCACCTTTTCCCCAATTTTTTCTCGAAAATTTTTTCTAAATTCGAGTTTTATTATCATTTTTTTTGTCCCCCTCGTCGTATCTGTGTTTTTGTGTGGAAAATATAAATTTTTAAAGATTACAAATTCCCGCACGATCGTCCCTCTTCGTGTATCGATTTTCGGTTTCATTCTCGCCGCGAATTCAAATATTTCAATTGATTTTACCGAGAACCAATTCTGGAGATAAATCTCTGGAATTGGAAGTGTCTAATGTTTGGAGATTGGAAAAATCCGGAAAAATAGTTTTTCTGCGGATTTTCTGCGGATTTAACACAGTCTCCACAGCTTACATTAAGGGCGTGGCTACCCGCCAAATGGCTTTTACACGAATTGAGCACTTTTGCACTGGTTTTTGCGCTCGAAACACGTTTTAACTCGCTAGGCAATGATCTTATACTTCGATCAGATTTTCCGTCCGAATAATGTCGTCCCATTTGATCTCTGAAGCTCGGAACGCGCTCTTGCGGCAGCTCCAGCTTTTGCTTCTTGCCCTTCTACTCCACTTCCACTTCTTCTTGTGCTTCTTTTTGCGATCCTCTCTCTCCGTCTTCTTCAATTTACCCTCTACTTCGTTTTGCGAGACGAATGAAAATGGGTGTACAAGAAATGCAAATTCGCCGCTCCTTGGCGCGGAGCCTGTGGCAAGCGCAATTGCCGCCCTTTTGCAGTTTCGAAGCCATCAGCAATTATCCCGCCGTTTCTAGAAGCAAACTGCCGAAAATTACGAGAGAATTGGTGCATTTCGCTCGAACAACTGCAAAGCGTCAAACAGACCAATTGTTACGCTGTTGCGCGTTAATTTTCAAATTCGCGCCAAAATGCCGCTTTGTAAGCGCTGGAGACTCTCGAGAAGCAAGAATATATCCATTTTTCCTACTTTTCGCACACTGAACATCTGCGTTTGCAGATGGACGTGCACTTTGAGCGGGACGACGCCGATTGCACGCTTGGCGTCAAAAAAGCAAGCGAAGGGTGCTATGTGCTCAAAGACGCGGTAAGCACTTCTCATTGTTCATCAATTTTCGAGCTAATGTTCTTTAGGTACTTGTCGAGTACAAAGTGAACGGACAATTGGCCGGCAAAATCAAGGCGCCGGTGGAGGGAGTGGTGACGTACGCGCAGGGCCTCGATCCCAAAGTCGCCCTGAGCAAGGTAGGCTCTATTTGAAGGTTTTAGCGAATGTTTCCGAAAAACTACGCTTTTCAGGGCCAATTGATCGCAAGAATCGCCGACTGCACGCACGCGATCGTCATCAAGGATATGTGCGCGACGTGCGGCAAGGATTTGAGGGAACGCGGCGGACGAGCGGGACAGCGGACCGAACAGTCGACGGCGAACGTCTCGATGATCCACCACGTGCCGGAGCTGATCGTCTCCGACTCGCTGGCTCAAGAGCTCGGATCGGCGGACGAGTCGAATCTGATCAACACGCGCAAACTGGTGCTGTTGGTCGATTTGGACCAGACGATCATTCACACCTCGGACAGACCCATGACCGTCGACACTGACAAGGTAGGCCGCAGAAAAAAATTCAGGAAAACGGGAGGAATTTTGCAGCACAAGGACATTACAAAGTACACGCTGCACCAACGACTGTACACGACGAAACTGCGCCCGCACACGACCGAATTTCTGCACAAAATGGCGCAAATGTACGAGATGCACATTGTGACGTACGGACAACGACAGTACGCCCATCAGATCGCCAAGATATTGGATCCGGACGAGCGTATCTTCGGACATCGCATCCTCTCGCGTGATGAACTCTTCTCGGCCCAGCACAAGACTCGCAATCTCAAGGTTCGCCGCTTTTTTCGCCGTTGTTCTACGTGGAAATGCATTTGCAGGCGCTGTTCCCGTGCGGCGACAACCTCGTCGTGATAATCGACGATCGGGCGGACGTCTGGCAGTACTCGGACGCGCTCATTCAGATCAAACCGTACCGCTTCTTCCGCGAAGTCGGCGACATTAACGCGCCGAAGGGAGCCGATCGGAAAGAGCATCGGATGCCGTCGGAGATTGAAGACGACGCGCACGAGGACCGCGTTCTTGAGGAGATCGAGCGGGTGCTCACGAACATTCACGACAAGTACTACGAGAAGTACGATCTGCGGCCGCACAACGACTCTGTCCCTCTTCTTGACGTCAAGGTATGCATAGGGCATGACACTGCAGAAACGTACCTTTACCTTGTTCCGTATCAACCTCGATGAAATGCATTTCTGCACTGTGTCAAACTATTCCAATCCATTTGCAGGAAGTGATAAAAGCGGAGCGGAGAAAAGTTCTCGACGGCTGTGTCATCTGCTTCTCTGGAATAGTTCCGCAGGGCCAGAAGCTGGAGCACACGGACATTTACCGACTCTGTCAGCAGTTCGGCGCTTCGATTGTTCCCGATGTCACGGAGGAGGTGACGCACGTCGTCGCCGCTCGATACGGAACACAGTTAGTCTTTTAATTGTACGAAAATCCACGATGGCTGACTGAAACATTTGCAGAAAGGTGCATCAGGCGGTGCGTCTGGAGAAGCACGTCGTCAATGTGCAGTGGGTGTTCGCGTGCGTCGAGAAGTGGATAAAAGCGGACGAGAAGGTGCACGAGGTGACGAAAGACTCGACGCCGCCGGAGGGCCGACCGCAAGGATCCAAGTACGTCAACGTCGATCTGGGCAACGATTTGGCCAATATGGACACGATCGGCAAAGCCCAGATGGCCGAGATGAATGCGGAAATCGACGAGGCAATGTCGGACGAGGTTTTTTTTAGCGATTTTTCTTCAATTTCTCACAAATAGTCCGCCGTTTTGCCAGGAAGAAGACGAAGATGAGAACGAGGAGGAGGACGGCGACGACGGCGACGACGACGACGAGGAAGAAGAGGAAAACGGAAAGAAAAGCGAGGAGAGTGCGGAAAACGAGCCGAAACCCGAGGAGAAACGTGGCAAGAAGCGAGCGCATTGTCCGGAGGAGGAGTGGGAGAGCGACAAGGAGGAGGTACGCTTTCAATGCGATTTTAGAATTTTTTTTGGAATTTTCCAAATTTTTTGTTGAGTATTTTTCTTTGAAACATGCGAATTTATTGCAGGAAGAAGACGATGAGGACCCGCCACTTTCCTACAAGGCGCTTCTGTCGAGATCGCGGAAGGAGGGACGAATTGTGCCGGAAGAGGACGAACAGGACGTGTTCGACGTCGACGATGAGGTAGAAATTGAGAGAAATTGATTTCTAAAGCATTTTTCCGCCAATTTCAATGCCTTTTTGCAGAAAGGCCACGTGTCGGTGACGGGCAACGACGAGGACGGCGAAAAAGAAGAAGAAGAAGACGTCGAGGACGAGGAGAAGGATGAGGACGAGCAAGAGACGGACGACGACGACGAATTCGAGGACATGGCCGCTCTGGTGGAGAGACAAATCAGCGAGACGGCCGACGATCGCGCCAATGACAACGAACCTCTCTAATTCTGCCTTTTTCCGATTTTTTGCGAGTTTTCTGGCCCTATTATCGCTCTCATCACGTTTTCACGATTTATCTGCAATTTTTGACGATTTTATTGGGTCAATTTGGCTTGGCAGCCAAAAAATGATAGCCCCCCATTGCTTTGTGGATACTCTCGGAACTATCTCCATTTTTTTTTGCTGTACAATATTACCTCGCGGAATTTCGAATTTCACTTGTTTTTCTCTCTTGGCTCATTTATTCGTAATTTATCGATTGTTTCTATTCATCATCACACGCATTGACTTGTTTAATTTCAAATCACACACACACACACACACACGCCCATCTGAAAATGGATTCATTTTTTGTGCGCCCTATTTTTTGAAAACGCGGCGATTGTCCACGTTTTCTTCAGAGTCCACGCTCATGATAAATTTCGATTTCAGCTCCATTTTTATATTTTTCTTCTCGGTTTTGGAAATATCAATTTTATCAGAATGCCGTTTAATTCGGAAGTAAGCCTTTTTCTTTTTTAAACAATCGGATGGTAAGTGCGCTCTATTGAGAATTGAATGAAATCGATCGATGCAATTGTCATAAACAGCTTCTCCTATTACACACCTTTTGCCCATTTTCCCATTTCACTTTCACAATTGACTGACTGACTGACTTTGTCACTTTGTACAAATATGCATTTTTGTAGGCATTGGTCTCAAATCGAGCTTAACCTTGTCAATTTCAACAAACCTAGGTAGGATAGCTCGCGAATGGACAGAAAAACCATATGGTGCATCGAGTGGACTCTTTTAAAACGAGTCCGCTGTTCCTCGACAAAACCAAAGTTCTCCGAGACAAGTCCATGTCGAGCAAGTCGTGAGCGTGTGCCAATTTGACGGAAAGACTTCCGATTTCCTAGAGTGGACGGTTTTGAATGAGTAAAACTGGAAAAAAGAGCAAAGAATGGCGCAGTGCCGATGTTTCAACAATTTCAACGATTTCTAGACAAAACCCTTGAAATTTGAGTTTTTGTTTCAATTGTCAAACCAATGACCTGTTCTGTTCTCGTCACTATTCAAACATACTAGTAATTGTTTATTTTCCTTTTCCCCTTTTCATAGAATGTCCACACAAACATTTGTTTAGCCAATTCTCAACGGAGCGCACTTGCATTCCCCATTCCACTTTCCAGTTTCCTTCCGCGTTTCATCGATTTTGGCAGCAATTTTCTTGCAGTTCGAGTCGTATTTGAAAGCGAGAATGGATTTCAATCGAGACGCCGGCAACGAGACGATCAGCCAGATTCAGCTGAACATTCAGAATCTCAACCAGCAAGGTTTGTGACGTTCGTGCATTTTTCACTGTTTTGAGAGCTTTTTTTTGCTGTTTTCTCGAAGCACTTTGACAATTTTTGTCAATTTGCAGTAATCCAACTCGAATCGTTCATCTCGCATTTGTCGGATAGCAGCGATGCGGGACAACGAGAGCGAGAGCTCTTCAATCGGGTAATTTTTGCGTTTAGCCTTTCGAAAATGCATTTTTTTTGTTGTTGTTGCAGAAAGCGCAAGATGCTCACGATCTGTTGAAAGAGACGAACACGCTGATGCGGAAGCTCGTGTTGATGAGCAATTCCGACGTGAGCGCTCGTTTTCGCTGATTTTTGTGGTCAATTATCAACAAAAAAACACTTGTTTTGCAGAAGAACCTTCTCGGAATGCGCGAAAAGCTGCAAAACGAGTACATTGGCGTGGTCAATCGACTCCAAGCGTCGCAAAGACGGGCGGCGCAGACGGAGCGAGCGGGAATTTCGGCGCTCGAGCAGGATGCGGCGGCGCACGAGCAGGAGCTCTACGGCGACGGCTACGGAGACGCGCCGCAGCAGCAGCAGCAGATGCGGCTGAACGCGCAAAAACACGGAAATCTGACGGAGATCAAGGAGCGACAGCAGGCACTTCAGCAACTCGAGCAAGACGTCGGCGAGGTCAATGCGGTACGCATTGTTTCGAATGTGTTTTCCCCCCAATTTTCAACTTTCAGATCTTCGCCGAACTCGCCAAAATCGTTCACGAACAGGCGGAGACGGTCGACTCGATCGAGGCGAACGTGGAGCACGCGCAGATTTACGTCGAGCAGGTACAATTCCAGCGAATGCTTTTTAACAGCAATTAGCGTCCAGCTATACCTCGGCCCATGAATTCGTGCCTCGTTTCTTGAAAAAAAACGCTCTTTCTTTTATTCGAAGTGTTGCACGGTTGCGAAATGTTGGATTTCAATATGTACGGTTGCGAAAACGAGGCGAGCCAAATGTTCTCGTTCGTTTAAAATATCCAATGTGAAGAGACGACCTTCAATTTATCCGATTTGTTTGCAGGGCGCGCAAAACGTGCAACAGGCGGTCTACTACAATCAGAAGGCACGTCAAAAGAAGCTGCTTCTCCTCTGCTTCTTCATCATTCTCATCTTTATCGTCGGATTGACCGTCTACCTGGCAAAGTAGACGCCCAATTTCCATACTCATCCCGCCCCCCCCCACCGAAAAATGTTCAGTGTTTGTTTGTGAATAAGTGCCCTCCTCGAGCTTTTCCGCTTTTTTTTTCATGTATTTTTTGCTCTTTTCTGTACGAAAATCTATTACAAGACTTCATGCTCACTTTTTTCCCCTATTTCTGCATTCTCTCGTCAAATGCGATGTTTGGCGCGCGCGCGCGCGCGCCCATGACGTGTCGCCTCTCCGTTCTGGATCATTTGACCGCTCGGAACTGACTGGCGATCATGAAAACAAAGCAAAAAAAGAAATTCGATGCAAATGCGATTAGGTCTGAAACCAACCGGCTGGAATTTTCAATTTTTCGCAGCCGCCGCCGCCGCCGCCGCCGAAAAAAAAACGCTCGATTGACGCACTTCCACAGTCGCCGTATAAAACGTCTGGTTTTAGCCGAAATTCCTCTTTTTTCCCCCCCGCTCAAATGGCCGATAGTATCATTGATTTCGTGCTCGTCGCCCTCATTTTAGCCGTCCTCGCCGTCGCCACACTCGTTTTACTGTTAATGGTACGGTTTTTGTGAAAAAATGGCAATTTGACGCAATTTCGGTGTTTGTACGGACATTTTTCGAGCGATTTTCGCTATTTTGGAGTTGTACATACGGCAGCTCACAATTTGCTCAGAAATCCGTCCGAAATCGGGTGTTTTTTGGGCCGAAAACGGTGAAAATTGTGAGCTACCGTATCCCGCCTCAAATTTAAAGGCGCAGCACACATCGAAAAGTTTCCGCCGCACATTCCGGCGAATGCGGCGAAACAAAACAGTGTCTAAAAACGTCGAAAAACCGAAACAGCCACCGAAACACGACATTCGTGATTACAGTACTCGACACGAGTGCGCCGTCCGTTCCAAAAGTGTCTCGGCAGGGCGGCGACGAAAACCGAGGACCTGGAGACGGGAATCGCACCGAAACGGACCACAATTCGAGTGGTCAAGTCGCTGCCCAACCAATTGCCGTCCGCGCAACCGAAAACGCCGACCGCATTTGTGAAACCGCCCGTCAGGCGGTCAGTTATCGATTTTTTTTTTCCCAGAAATTTTCAAAATTTTTTTTAATTTAGAGTGCTCACAAACCCGCCGCCGGACGACATTTCGAGCATTCCGTCGTCGAAATTCCTGTTCATTTACCCGAAAAAACCGAATTTTCAGGTCAGTTTCGCGGGTACGGTAGGCGCCAAAGTTTGCGCGTAAAATACGACGCATGCGCCGCCGATTATCGATTTTTGCAGTGCGAACAGTCGACGTTGCATAGTGGATCCACGAAAAGTTCGTATTTGCCGAATCGAAGGAATTCGCGGTGAGGAAAATGCAATTTTGCAGCCGAATACGGGTTCTATGTATTATGTGTGTGTAAAAATGAAATAAATATTGTTAATATCTCGACTGCGAACTTCTGCCTCGATAGGATTGATCGTCAATATCATCCGGAAGCTCGTCCTCGCCAATCTCCTCGTAATCCTTCTCCAGTGCCGCCATATCCTCGCGGGCCTCCGAGAATTCGCCCTCCTCCATACCTGAAACCATGATTTTCGAATTTTTCGTTCAATTTGACGAGGTTAGACACCCATCATGCCCTAGTTTGGACCCAAAACGTTTTTTGACCAACCATGTACGTAAAAAATTTTTTGCTCAAAACTCGGGCATGATGGGTGTCAAACCGCGTCAAATTGAACGGAGATTTCAAATTGCCGCTGACCAACCTTCTCCGACGTACCAGTGCACGAATGCACGTTTCGCGTACATCAGGTCGAATTTGTGGTCGAGACGCGCCCACGCTTCCGCAATCGCAGTAGTGTTACTGAAATTGGGTTAGTGTGCTAGAAGTTGAGGTTGGGGTGCCGACCTGATCATGCAAACACTGCGTGTCTGCTTTCCCAAATCTCCGCCGGGCACCACCGTCGGCGGCTGGTAGTTGATGCCGACTTTGAAGCCAGTGGGACACCTGAAACGAATACGGTAGGTTCGTCCGTCGGATCCGGCGCCTACGTACCACTCGACAAACTGCACCGTCCGCTTCGTCTTGACCGACGCGATCGCCGAGTTGATGTCCTTCGGCACGACGTCTCCGCGATACAGTAGGCACACGGCCATGTACTTGCCACGTCGCGGATCGCATTTGACCATCTGATAGCCGGGTTCGAAGCACGCGTGCGTCATGTCCGCCACCGTGTTCTGCTCGTGAGACGCCCGTTCTGCCGAGACGAGCGGCGCGTAGGTGACGAGCGGAAAGTGGATTCGTGGGTACGGTACCTGCAAATTGAGCGGGGAAAATGCGCGCGTTCCAGTATGCGGTTTTGCAGAAAATCAAAGGTTTGTGAGGATTCTGGGCAGCAGCAAAACATGTGTTTTTAAAAAAAAACCCCGCACTTTTCATTTTCCGCTTTCTTGACCGTTTTCAGACAGAATTGGTTTTGAGAATGATAAATCACGTAAATACAAGCATTTTGAGGGCTCGAACCGCGAAAATTACCGAAAAACAACTGAAATTCACGCACACGGTCTCTAGAGCTGACAATATGGGCGTGGCCTTGGCGGCCAAATGGCGTTTTCATGAATTGAGCACGTTTTTTCTGATTTTTGTGGTCAGAGGCGATGAAAAATGATTGTTCGACATGAAAACACACTAATTCTCACAGAATTAATGACGTTTTTTTTCGCAGAATTTTTCGCGGATTTCGCGGATTTTCGCGGATTTCGCGGAATTTTTCGCGGATTTCGCGCATTTTTCGAGGATTTCGCGGTTTTGGCGCATTTTTCGCGGATTTCGCGGACATTTTTCGCGGATTTCGCGGATTTTTCGCGGATTTCGCGGATGTCGCGGATTTTCGCGGATTTTTCGCGGATTTCGCAGACTCTTGCGCTTAAAAAATTCGTAATAGCCTATAAAATCAGTCTATCGAGAGACAAATGAGAATATATCGATTTTTCGTGGCTAATCTAGCAAAAAACACAAATTTTGCGCTGTTAAAATTTGAATTTCGCGCCAATGTATCGAGACCGTGCGTGGTAACAACAACAAGTTTGCGCGTACAATATAATGCCTACAGACGGCGACGCACCAAATTAGTCTGAAACTCGGTGAGGTCGACGTTGAGCGCGCCCTCGAAACGGAGAGAAGCAGTGATAGAGCTGATGATTTGCGCGACGAGTCGGTTCAGATTTGTGTACGTTGGTCTGAAAGCGGTGGAAAAAAACGTTGTGTGCTAGAACGTGCTCGTACCTGGCGAGATCCAAATTGCGTCGGCAAATATCGTAGATCGCCTCGTTGTCGACCATGAACGTGCAGTCCGAGTGCTCGAGCGTGGTGTGCGTCATCAGAATCGAATTGTACGGCTCGACCATCGAAGTGGAGACCTGCGGCGCCGGGTAGATTGCAAACTCGAGCTTCGGCTTCTTTCCGTACTCGGTGGAGAGTCGCTCCATCAGCAGCGAGAGAAATCCGCTGCCCGTGCCGCCGCCGAACGAGTGGAAGATCACAAAGCCCTGCAGTCCGTTGCAGTTCTCCGCCAGTCGCTTCACACGATCCATCACCACCTTAACAATGCTTTTTTCGCAAAGTCGGAATTTTTGCGTGGAATCCCAAAGACATTTGGGAAATTTTAAGCCAAAAACCGAGTGTGTAGGATTTTTTTGAAAAAAATGTTACAATTTTTTTCAAAGTTTTTTTGAAAAAAATGCTCAAATTTTTTTTAAAAGTAAATTTTTTTCAAATTTTGTACAATTTTTTTACCCACAATTTTCAATCGATTCCGGTTATCTTAGGCCGAAAAATGGAGTCGATATGATTTTTTTTAGAAAAAAAGTTACAATTTTTTTCAAAGTTGAGAAAAATGGGTTCTTGCGTTTTTTTCTGTAAAAATGCTCAAATTTTTTTAAAAGCAAATTTTTTTCAAATTTTTTTGTAAAAATTTTTTTACCTACATTTTTTTCAATCGATTCCGGTTATTTTAGGCCAAAAAAATGAAGTCGATATGATTTTTTAGAAAAAAGTTACAATTTTTCAAAGTTGAGAAAATGGTTTTTTTGCGTTTTTTTGAAAAAATGCTCACATTTTTTAAAATAAATTTTTTTCAAATTTTGTACAATTTTTTTACCCACATTTTTTTCAATTGATTCCGATTATTTTAGGCGAAAAATGGTGGGTCGATGTGATTTTTTAGAAAAAAGTTATGCTTTTTTTTTGAAAAATGCTTCAAACTCACATCGATCATTTCCCTTCCGATTGTGTAGCGCCCACGCGCGTAGCAATTCGCCGCGTCCTCTTTACCGGACAATAGTTGTTCGGGATGGAAGAGACTACGGTAGGTGCCGGTACGCACCTCGTCTGCAAATGAAGCGATTACGGTAGTTTGGAGTGGTTTTCTGCGTGAAAAGTATCGACACCTTGTGCTCAAATTGATGTATCTCGGCTGCCGGGGGAGATATCAAAAAGTTGACAACTGATAAAATGTGCACAATGTCTTTGTGAACATTTTTCTAGTTGACAACTTTTTGATGTCTCTACCGGCAACTGAGATATATCGAGGTTTGCCAATCTGCTACAGTATTCACAGGATCCGCTGTGTAGGTACGCAATATACCGTAAGATCAGTGACTACCGTACTCACCAACTACAGTAGGCTCGAGATCGACGAACAGACAGCGCGGCACGTACTTGGCGCCGGCCGTTTCGGCGAAAAACGTGTTGATCGTCTCGGTCTCCTCGTCGTACGTGTCATCGTCGACGTGGTAGCCGTCCGGCTGGATTCCGTGCTCCAAACAAAACAGTTCCCAGCACGCGTTGCCGATTTGCACGCCCGCCTGGCCCACGTGGATCGAGATCACTTCGCGCTGAAATCCCGAAATATTTGGTCGACTTTGAAAGCGCCTAGGGCTGACAACTTTTGAGTGCGCTATCTTCCCACCAGACTTGAGCGGAAGAATTTTTATATCTTTTTTAGAAAATTTTTTCATGCAATGTGATCAACTGACGAAATGTATAGCAAAGTGTGCTCTGCTCATAAAAAAATAATTGCAAATTTAGCTTTTCATACAAAAAAGTTATTCGAGTTTTTCCCGTGAAAAAGGGGGCTAACGGAAGACGGAAGGAATAACTTTTTTGTATGAAAAGCTAAATTTACAATTATTTTTCGATGAGCAGAGCACACTTTGCTATACATTTCGTCAGTTGATCACAATCCATGAAAAAATTTTCTAAAAAAGATAAAAAAAAACTCTGCTTCACCCCTAGTACTCGATTTTTGTTCTAGTTGACCGTATTTCGCTGTAGCTATGTCTAAAGCGGGGCTCTAAAATTTGGGCTCAACTTTGAAATGTTTACCGAGAAAAGCGCTAGAGTAGTTGCCAGTTTTGGCGCCTACAATTTTGTCGAAAAGCAACTCACACTTCCTTTATATTGTGGCATCGCACACGAATTGTCGGAATAGTAAAGTGAAGAATGGGCTCGTCGGCTTCTCGACAAAATTTGTGTGTGTGTGTGTGCTCCGCGGAGCTATGGAGACGCATTCAGGATGAAACATTAATGTGACTCCGCTTCGCCATTGTCATGGCGAACAATGACCGATTTGAAGGCGCGGAGGGAGGAAAAGTTGTATAGATGAGCAAGGTGCAGAAGCGAGTTAAAGTTGAACGTACCGCCCGTTTTCTGCTTTGCTTGCCTCCATCCTCATCCTCCGGCCTGGCCTGGCTTGGCCTGGTTGCAAAGATCCGTGGTGGCCTACCATCCTTTGTTTCGTTTGTCGCTGGAAGATGAGAGACATCATGAGAATAGAATAGAATAGAGCAACTCACATTTCCGATTCCAGTAAGACAGAGAATTCAAAGATAAAACGTGCTCGAAAAAACACAGATTATTCAGAATCGTTTATTAGTTGTCAAGAAAAATGAAAAATGTTCGAGTTGGAGAGAGAGAACCAGAGTTGAGCGGAAGAGTTTTTATATTTTTTAGAAAATTTTTTCATGAAATGTGATCAACTGACGAAATGTATAGCAAAGTGTGCTCTGCTCATAGAAAAATAATTGTAAATTTAGCTGTTCATACAAAAAAGATAAATTTACAATTTTTTGAATAGTTTTACACAGAGAAAGCTATAGGAACAGGACAATAGTGAACAAATCCAAAAAAAATCATAACTTCGATTGCTATTCTTCGGAGGGAGCGAGTCGGAACACTCGAAGGAACACCCGAGCTCTCAATTTTTTTCCCATCTTTTCCAGAGTTGAGCGGAAATGGAATTTTGAAATGCGGAAGACGGAAGAAATTTTTTTACGGAACACGGAAAACGGAAAACGGAAGAAAATTTTTTACGGAACACGGAAAACGGAAGACGGAAGAAAATTTTTTTTTACGGAACACGGAAAACGGAAGACGGAAGACGGAAGACGGAACAAAAAAATCGTCACTACAGAACCTTTTTCTCTTGTTTTTTTTTTTGAAAAAAATAACGAAAGCAACAAAAATTTTGGATCTGGGTCACTGCCCGTGGAAATTCGCGTTCTTCGGGACTAGTAAATGGCTTCTGAAAAGCTATTACTCTTTTACGGTAAAAAGAATTTTTCCCGGAAGACGGAAGACGGAATTCCGCTCAACACTGATCTTTTCCCCTTGCAACGTTCAGTTCGGCCCTCTACAATACCTGCCAGTGAATCCAATTTCCGCCAAATGTTCAACGCTTTTTATTACAAACAAATGTATTACTATTATCAAAAAAAAAAAAACAATTCGAAAAACGAGTCAATCTTTCTTGATGTAGTTGCCCACTGCGGCCAAACTCTTCCACCTCATTTTCTCGACCTCCTCGTACTTTTCCGTCAAAAATCGATCGATTTCCGGTTTCGAAACGATGAGCGACGGGTCGAAATCCCACTTGGAAAACTGACATTCGTCCGGTTTCAGAGGCGCTAAAAACGGGTTTCTCCATGTGAAACTGCCGAGCAGTCTGCAAATGCATTTGTTGCAAAGTTCTGGAAAAGACGTCTCCAGAGCTGACAATATGGGCATGGCCTCGGCGGCCAAATGGCGTTTTTATGAATTGAGCAAGCTTTTTTCTGATTTTTGTCGTCAACGGCGATGAAAAATGATTGTTCGACATGAAAACACACTAATTCTCACAGAATTAATGACGTTTTGGCGCATTTTTCGCGGATTTCGCTTTTTCGCCTTCGCCGCACTTCTCATTTTGCGCTTTCTTGACCGTTTTCCGAAAGAATTGGTTTTGAGAATGATAAATCACGTAAATACAAGCATTTTGAGCGCTCGAACCGCGAAAATTACCGAAAAGCAACTGAAATTCACGCAGTTTTCGCTAAAAACCTTCAAACGGATAAATGTTATTTGCGACTTGACCAAATTTAACGCTCTTGCGCTTAAGAAATTCGTAATGGCCTATACAATCGGTCTATCGAGAGACAAATGAGAAATTATCGATTTTTCGTGGCTAATCTGGCGAAAAACACAAATTTTGCTGTTAAAATTTGAATTTCGCGCCAATGTATCGCTCTATTGTAAGCTCTGAGGAGACCGTGGGATGGCCTACATATTGGAGAGCATTCCGTGGCCAAAAGTGGATTTTTGAGCATCTCGGAGCCCGCGGAGCATAAAATCCCTTTCCTGGCTCCACGTCGAATCCGTCAGCCAGATGTCGCGAACCCAGGCGGTGCCCTGAAAATAAACGTAGATTTTCGACAAAAAACCTGCGAAACGCTTTTTTTTTCTCATTTTTCATTGCCGACCTTTTTGAGAATGCGCATCCGGTCAAACTCGTGATCCTCTCCGATGACCGAACGAACGCACGCCTCGAAAGTGTACAAAGCGGCGCGCGTCGCGGAAGACCCTTCCAGAATCTTTCCACAATTCGCAACCTCTTCGGCAAACTGCGGATAGAACGTCTTCTGGATGAGCATCTGAAAAAAAAGAGTCAGTACTATGACGATGGCCCGGTCTCCCACGGCGCGAATGATTTCAATGGGGCGCACTTGCAACAGGCGGGCTGTGTCGATTTACGCGGCGGCCGATTAATTAATTTTCAACGGGAGGCCGCGTTCTTTCCATGTTTTCTGTACAATACACCAATTTTTTGCAAGCTTGGAACCTGGATTCGAATAATTAGAGCACTAGCTACGTTTTGGTAACAGAAATCTCGCATATCGTTGAGAATTAGCCGACTAATTTCGATTTGAAGGTTTTGGCCTGGATTTTGATGTTTTTCGAATAGTTTTCGAAACCTGCTCAAGAAAACTAACCGCCGAAACCTGAATTTTGTGAAGAAAGATTCAGCGAACATTTTTATCGTTCGTTGGGCTCATGAAATGCAAAATGAGCTGAAATATAAAGGTTTGAAGTTTTGACGAAATGCGAAAACGACGCTAAAAACATGAAAAACTCTAAATTCTGTAACGAACGGTTTCCAATCAGTAAAATATTGTTTTCTAGACGTTTTTCAAGTCAAAAAGAAAGAAATAAAGGTCGTAAACTCGAGTTGAACTGCATTTTTAGACGTGCAAATTTTCAAAAGTTACAACGACACTCCGCAATTTACGAGCGCACTGTGTTTAGCATTAGCGCCCCCTGGGAGACCCTCAAAAGATTGTGGAGCCGACTAGGGCACCGGTCCTAGTTCCATTTTTGGGTATCAGTGTCACGGGGCACTTACATGCAACGCGACGTTGTCATCGCTGAAAACGGGCAATTTCGTCTCGAACTCGGCCAATTTCATCAGAAAATCGCGTGCCCAGAATGTGTTTTTGACGATATACGAACCTGGAGACGGGGCGACGCTTTCATTGATTCTAAACAAAAACAGAAAAAGCGCTTGCTTACCCGTGGCAATTTCCCAATTGATAAACTTGTCGTACATGGTCAAATCGTAGTTGTTGTCGATGAACTCTTCGAGACGACTGCAAACATTGAACAATTTCAGGGAAATTTCGGAATGCGACTAACATTTTCGGATTAACGACAGCCGAATCGACGTCGAGCAAGAGTATCCAGTCGCTTTCACGCAGCAAGTGACCGATTATGCAGTGACGACGGAAAACGCTCTGAAACCAGAGTAGAGCGGAAGAACTCAACATGGAAGAATTTTTATCTTTTTTAGAAAATTTTTTCATGAAATGTGATCAACTGACGAAATGTATAGCAAAGTGTGCTCTGCTTATAGAAAAATAATTGTAAATTTATCGTTTCATACAAAAAAGTTATTCCTTCCGTCTTCCGTTAGCCCCCTTTTTCACGGGAACAACTCGCATAACTTTTTTGTATGAAACGCTAAATTTACAATTATTTTTCGATGAGCAGAGCACACTTTGCTGAACATTTCGTTAGTTGATCACATTTCATGAAAAAATTTTCTAAAAAAGATACAAATTCTTGCGTGTTCTTTCGTTGAGTTCATCCGTCTGAAACACAACAAAGGAATGCTCACATTTTCCTGTTGACAAAGGTGTCGATACTCGGAGTGCTCGACCAACTCGAGCCGATATTTTTGCACTTGCGCATAGCACCGCACCGAGTTCAGCGCCGTGCTGTACTCTTTTTCGGCGGCCGCCACGTCCGACACTATTATCACGATGGTTATGTCGAGTTTACGGGCGGCACGCGTACGAGCCACCGAAAATTGGTCCGTCGGTTCGGTCTTCTGCCAAATAACGTTTTAATTTTTTGGACTCAAACACTTGAAACGACGAGACGAACCGATGGAAAAGTGTGCAGCACGTCCATTTGTTGGCATAGAACGAGCACGAAGAGGAGGAGGAGGAGAAGCGTCAAAACCGAGGACGTGTTTCGAAAATACAACTGTTTGAGTGTCTTTACAGAACAATGAAGCATGATTTCGAATAAATCGGCCAGCTAAAGCGGAAGAGCGATGCGACCGCGCGTACACTCGAACTTCTGATCCGTCCCACAGATGGTGTGGGCAGGTAGAAGAAGCAGAAGGAGGAGAACGTGTTTGTGTTGAATGATCCGAGTCGGCGATCCGACAGATAGTACGAAGTTTTCAGGCAAGATGCACCATAGTCAGAGTCCCGCTAGCCGAGGCATACCAATGATTAACCCAACTTTCTTCAAAATAAATCTTTTTCCACTGAAACGTCAATTTTTCAATTTCTGTCCGCTCGCGCTTCGCTTCTCCGCTAGATTGTGTTTTGTGTGCGTGATGGCAAAACTAGAAACACATTTCCACTGTCGACCGTTTCCTGTGATTTTATCCGCGATTCCGAACCGAATCATGCATCGGCATCTGATGGATCGGGAGAGAGAGAGAGAGATGAGTATCTTCGGTTGGGGGTTTCACATACGAGGAGAAAAAAGAAGCGGCTAGCAGAATAGAATAGTCAGCCCGAGAAACGGCGAGAGCTCCACTGTCTCGCCAACAATCGAGCTAATGCTAAATTGAGCGCCGCGTCAAAACGGAGTGTCGTTGATGAAAACAAAAGCGAGTCTCTGAAATTTTTGGATTTTTTTTGCCGAAAACCCCGAAATTTCATGCGAAAATGAGAAAAATGAGGTGAAACAGAGAATTTCCGAATTGTTAATGACAGCGCCACGGCGACGAAAAACGTAGAAAGGGGCGTGGCCTAGCGTGCACGGTTTATCACCATTTTTCCCACGAAATTCGAACTTTAACCCCATTTTTCATGTTTTTCGTGAAAAATTACCCAAATTATGTACGATTTCGACAATATAAGTGCATAACTTTTGTTAAACTAATCATCGCGCACTTTTTGAGCTTAAAACGAGCCGGTTTCATTCAGAAATGAGTTAATTGAGTCGATTTTCAAGTTTTGTGCTGAAAATGCGCGAATTTCAGTCATTCGCCGATACTTTTTGCCGTTTCAGCGCTTAAAATACTTGTATTAACGTGCTTAATCACTTCCGACACTCTCTTCGTCTCAAAACTATCCAGATCGGCCGGTATGAAAATTCCGAAATTGCGGCGGCGATTGGCCGCGGAGAGCATATTTATTGCGAAGTATGCCAAAAACGTCTCAAACGCGGCGTTTTCACGAAAATTTCAATGTTTTCTCTTTTTAATGTCTTCTTTCGTTGATATCAAACACAAAAATATCGGAAAAGTGCTGGAATTGCGGCAATTTTTCTACACTTTTGGTCGCCGCGCGCCGCGTTAAAATGGAGTGTCGTTGAAAACAAAAGCAGGTCTCTGAAATTTCTGGATTTTTTTGCCGAAACCCCCGAAATTTCATCCGAAAATGAGAAAAATGAGGTGAAACAGAGAATTTCCGAATTGTTAATGACAGCTGTAACCTGAAATGGGCGTTTTGCCCACAAGAAAGCGCGCATTATTACACTTTTCGGCGAATTTCAGTCCGGATCCTCAAGAACTGAAATTTCTCAGTCATTTTTGCATTTTATGCGCCGTCTCTTGGCTCAAAACGACCGCCTTTGTCTGCTGAACAATCGTGAGGCAACTGTTTTCTCGAAACTTCCGAAAGTTCGCGTTTTTTCAAGCCAAATTTTAAAAACGAAATTACTCTTCGAATTTACCCTTTTTTTCACACTTTTTTTTCGTGAGGCAAAAGTTTTGAATGGAAAAGTGTGCATAATCCCAAAAACTTGGGAAAAACATCGTTTTCAGTTGAAAAACAGTGTTCCGTAAATCGACACTGAGAGCCGCACGCAAAAAAGCGCGCGAAAAACACAGTCCGATAAAGGTTCTCATTGTTTGTTTCAGGTTTAAAAAAAAAGTACAATAATTGCAAATACAATAATTTAATTTATCACCAACGGAAAGCACTATACACGGACAAACTACATTTTAAAAAACCCGTAGAACCAAACCGTAGAATTATACGCAAAGTGAACTGAATTTAAAGTTAAAGGCACTTTTTACAAATGGCATGTTGTTGTGGAAGATGGTCCCGACATGGGCAAAGGCGGACGATTTGAGTGGAAGTGGTCCTCGATGCACAACTGAAAAGCGACGGCGAAAGTTGGACGGTGCAGTTGAACGGAGCCAGCGGCGATGAGGAGGAGGTGATCGACGAGCACGAGAATTCTCTGAATTACATTTTGCTTTAACACCGATTCTTGCGTCGACACGTACCTCGTCAAAATCGAACTATTGTTGATGATCGGGAAGTAGGACGGTTCGCAGAGCAGATTCTTTTTGCGGCACGTCATCTCGCACGATTCCTTCGAGTTTGACGTCTTGAGGAGCTGAAAGTGATGGCCTAGAAAACCGAAAATAAGCGCCGCGGTTACCGTCATCTGGTCGACGGGCGGCCAACGCTTTCGCATCGCCTGCCGATCGCAAAGTTCCTGTTTCTCGAGGAGAACGGCCACTCGAAGCAGCATTCCGGCCGGCGAGAACTCGAACGGCACGAGTGGCGGCGGCTGAAAGCGCCGGTTGCGAAATGTCGGTCGTGGTTGCAAAGTGTCGTCACCTACTTTCAGGTTGATCGCTTTGCGGATCGCCTCCTCCAGTTCCTGCTCGTTTTCAATGTCGACCGTGATCACGTGCGGTTCGCCGATCATCTCCATGTACGGATTTTGACTTGTCCACTGCAAATGGGTGAAAATAGGAAAAGTTAGGCCACCAAAGAGGAAGCTAGTCCTGTAGGTCACGGCCAGGGTTTCTAGGTCATCAACGAAAAAGCTAGGCCATTAAATTGGACCAAAGGCGCGGCTTTTGCAACGTTCACCAAACGTTTGATCCTCAGTCTGTGCATTTTTGCACGCCGATGTTCCTCTGCGTACAGTGCATTTTATGTTACGCGCAAAGTTCATTTTTTTTAGTTGTTGGTGAATTTTCTCCAAATATTCATCTCTTTAAAGCGTTTTTCTCCACTTTCTACCTCGTTTACACCTTTTTACAGATTCCAGGTGAAGTAATACGCGAAGAAAAGTCGATGCGATGAAAAGAAACGCGTAAGTGAGTGAAAGTAAGGTTTTATTCAGAAAATGCACGATTTCTCGAAAAACGTGACTAGATTTTCTAATCTTTTGGTTAAAAAACTTTACTTACATTTCTGAGAATGTTTTCGAACCAAAAAGAAGTAGAGTGACAGCTCGGTTTCGCGGAAAAATCGATAGTTTGCCGGAAAACAGTGAAATTTCATTGAAATTTTTTTCTTTTGCTTCTACGAACTGTCACTCTACTTTTTTTTTATTCGAAAACATTCACAGTCATGTTAGTGAACTATTTAAATCAAAAGATTAGAAGATCTAGAGACGTTTTTCGAGAAATCGTATATTTTCTGAATAAAACATTACTTCCATTTACTTACGCGTTTCTTTTCATCGCATCGACTTCTCTTCGCGTATTACTTTATCTGGAATCTGTAAAAAGGTCTAATTGAGGTAGAAAGTGGAGAAAAACGCTTTAAAGAGATGAATATTTGGAGAAAATTCATCAGCAACTAAAAAAAAAGAACTTTGCGCGTAACATAAAATGCACTGTACGCAGAGCCACACCGACGCGCAAAAATGCATACCATTTGGCTGCGTATGTTGCGAAAGCCGCGCCGTGAACACGTGGGTTTCTAGGCCATTTGCGTGCACAACGGACTTTTTCGAGTATCTAACTAAGTAAGACGTCATTTAGGGTTTCGCGGCCACCGACCTCTCTCAACGTCGGCTTTTCCGCAAGAAACTTGTAGTTCTTTCTGGATTTCGGCTCTCGAAACCGGGCATTAATAAAAACGGCGCCGTGCGCGATGGCCTCCATCGGCGCGGGTCCCTCGAGCGGAAATCCGAGCCCGAAGAAGATGGTCGTGCGATCGAGCAGCTCGGCGATTTGCCGCGAATTCAAAAATCCGTGATTGATGACGTCGGCGAGCGCGCGACTCGTGTTTCCCTCGTTTCGGTTGATGTCGGCGACGGTCGCGTGCACTGCCACGTGTCTTTTCAGCACTTGCATGGGCTTCTCGGCCTCGGCCCACATGTACTGCTCTTTTCCGTACACGAGAGCACTCGGCTGACCCTTTTGCTCTTTTGTAACATTCGCAATTCCTTCGGTGTCGACGACGAAACCCAGGAAGGTGTTGTCGTCAGAGTGCGGATAGAAAGTCCAGTGTTGTCGGAGGTCTAGACCGTGTCCGCCCCACGGATTTCGGGCCGAAATCGGGCCCGAAAGCCGTTTCTTGTTCTGTAGAAAATAGGCCTTCGAGGTGAACTCGGCGTGCGTTCCGAACGAATCCAGGAGTCGCATTCGACACCTGAAATTTTTATTTTCAGTTTTTTAGGCGTTTCTGCTAGGCTCCCAATACCGATTGGCGGCCAAGAACTGTCGATGATGTTGTCGCAAAATGTTGAGACCCATAATATCGGTGAAAATAATGTCCAAGTGTTGGCGCGTTCCGTTCACAAACTGACACGGTCCGCGGCTCTGGTACTTCCAAACTATTCTGCAAGTCGGGGACTAGTTTCTTTTTTTCCCCAATGGCCTAGGATCCGACACGTACATACCTTCTCAAGTCGTCTTTATCGCTCGAAACCTCCAAACGATGACCGATAATCGATAGCGACGCGAGAAGATCGGACCATTGAAGAAGTTCGCCTAGCGGCCCGCCGTGGTCGGATTTCTTCGCCAAATTGAGTTTTTGTTCATTCGCCAGGAAGCCGATGAATACTAGGACCTGAAAAAAGTGCGGTAGAGCGCGCGGCGCGATGGCCTACAAAATTACATTCAGCTTTCTGCGGTCCGTCATCGTTTCGCGGAACTTTTCCACAACTTCACGTGCTCCTTCCTTCCACTTGTTCCACAATCTCGTGATTCTCGTCTTCATATAGTGCGGCACACTGTCCAGAATCGGCAAAAGACGTCGAATGCTCGGGCTCATCTGGAAGCTTTTCGACATTTTCCCGAAAACAAGTCCAGAGCTGACAATGAGCGCAATTGCGCCCCCGCCCAATAGAGCGATACATTGGCGCGAAATTCAAATTTTAACAGCGCAAGATTTGTGTTTTTCGCCAGATTAGCCACGAAAAATCGATAATTTAGACCGATTGTATAGGCCATTACGAATTTTTAAAGAAAAATCGATAATTTAGACCGATTGTATAGGCTATCACGAATTTTTAAAGAAAAATCGATAAGAGCGATACATTGGTGCGAAATTCAAATTTTAACAGCAAAATTTGTGTTTTTCGCCCGATTAGCCACGAAAAATCGATAATTTCTCATTTTTCTCTCGATGGACCAATTGTATAGGCTATTAAAAATTTTTTAAGCGCAAGAGCGTTAAATTTGGTCAAGTCGCAAATCACATTTATCCGTTTGAAGGTTTTTGGCTAAAACTGCGTGAATTTCAGTTGCTTTTCGGTAATTTTCGCGGTTCGAGCGCTCAAAATGCTTGTATTTACGTGATTTATCATTCTCAAAACCAATTCTGTCGGAAAACGGTCAAGAAAGCGCAAAATGAGAAGTGCGGCGAAGGCGAAAAAGCGAAATCCGCGAAATCCGCGAAAAATGCGCCAAACGTCATTAATTCTGTGAGAATTAGTGTGTTTTCACGTCGAACATGCATTTTTCATCGCCGTTGACGACAAAAATCAGAGAAAACGTGCTCAATTCATGAAAACGCCATTTGGCCGCCGAGGCCACGCCCATATGAAGTCTACAAGTCGGCGGTACCTTGGCCACACTCCTCCCGATCCGTTTCGCGTCCATCGGCGGACAATAACGTTCGACGTGCGACAGATAGAATCGAAAAGAGCACTCGGAGCCGTCGACTCGATTGTCCGCGTAGCATTTGTGAGTTCTGGAATTAGACGGATTGTTAAAGTTCATTGAAAATTGTTTTTTTTTTCTCAAAAACCCACTTCCATCCACTGCGTATCCAGTTCATCTTGTTCGCACAGTCCGGATAGTCGATTTCGCAATTTTTCGGAAATGCCAGACATTCTCAAAATCCCATTTTTAGGCCTATTTTGACTTGGACCGCCTTTACCGTCCTCTGAAAATTTCCTGAAATCGAACGCTGCTTTTTGCTCGTGAGACTCGCGCACTTCATCCGTTCGGAAGCCGATTCGAGCCGACAATTCGGGAAAGTCGTGCTGAAAATTAAATTTTCACTCTCTCTCTCTCTCAAAAACTCACTCGATTCTCACTGGCGATCGTCAGATAAAAAAAGCCCAACGGGGTGATGAAGGCGGAGAAAATGAATAGAAGAGCCAGGAATCGGCGACGTCTTCGCATTCACAGATCGAATTACCTGAAATCTTTCTTGCGTCTCTGTCTTCTCATCACGACAGACGGAAATGTATTGCGCGGTCTTCGAACCCGCGACGCTTCGCTCCGCGTTCGCAAGTGATAACCACTCGATCACCGGGCGCGAACGAGAAGCGGCTGCTGTTCGCGTTGACATACAAGCGGAGCAGGCTTGTAAAATTAGCAATTTTCTAGAGAAAAAAAAAGAGATTCTAAAGATAACATTTTGGATGTTTAAAGTGAGTAAGAAGGGAACAAAATACACAGCATATATCAGAGTTGAGCGGAAATGGAATTTTGAAATCCGTAAGACGGCAGACGGCAGACGGAAGATAATTTTTTTTACGGAACACGGAAAACGGAAGACGGAAGAAAATTTTTCTCGCGGAAGACGGAAAAACATTTTTTTACGGAACACGGAAAACGGAAGACGGAAGAAAATTTTTTGCGGAACACGGAAAACGGAAGACGGAAGAAAATTTTTTTTACGGAACACGGAAAACGGAAGACGGAAGAAAATTTTTCTCACGGAAGACGGCAGACGGAAGACGGAACAAAAAAATCGTCAATGCAGAACCTTTTTTTCCGGGTTTTTTTTTAAATAACTAAAGCAACAAAAATTTTGGATCTGGGTCGAAAAGTTAAATTTACAATTATTTTTCTATGAGCACAGTTCACTTTGCTATACATTTCGTCAGTTGATCACATTCCATGAAAAAATTTTCTAAAAAATATAAAAATTCTTTCGTTGAGTTCTTCCGCTCAACTCTGCAGTGAGGTTCGCGAATACGGCCGAAAAGTGTATATGTATACAAAAAGTTTGTTTATAAAACAAAGAATGGAAGCACTTGTAAAAACGTCGAGAGCAATGCAATGCAATTTTGCAATGTTGAGGAACAAAAAAAAAAAAAGAGGAGAGAATTAGATGGAGAAAAGACGGCGAAAAAGGATGTGCAATTCGATTGAATTTCTAATTCCCAAAGGTATTATTGGGTCTCTCTCTCTCTCTCTCTCTCTTTCTTTCGCTGTCTATTTGTATTACGGATGGATTGTTCAGTGCAATTGTTTACTTTTTTCGACTTGCTACGTATCCAAATCATCATTTGTGACCAGTAGTAAAGTAAACTTGAAAATGTGAAAAGTATCGATATGGAGAAGTGAGTCAGAAGGCAACAATATTCACAAATACGTGTTGTTCTTCGGTTTGCACAGGTGGCCAACACAAAATAATCAAGTTATTGTTAAGAGAGAGAGAGAGAGAGAGAAGAAGAAGAAGAAGAAGAAGAAGAAGAAGAAGAAGAAGCAGGAGAGGAAGGGCACAACAGCTGACACGTTGATTTATGAACGGAGCACATCGGAGGAATAGAGGGGACTGGTCGAGGGTAGAACGCGACAATACCATCAGCTTGTGCGTTTAGAGCAGAAGAAAAATCAGTGGCCGATGCACCATACAAATCAGCGGCCGATGCACCATACAAATCAGCGGCCGATGCACCATACAAATCAGCGGCCGATGCACCATACTATGATGAGAGGAACTTCCAACTTGAACGAAAATGTTGACTCTGTGAAGGAAGATTCATAAGCGAGATTCATAAGCGAAGTATGCCCGTAGATGCACCATGTGTAAAATAAGAAGAAGAAGAAGAAGAAGAAGAACTCTCTCTCTCTCTTTCTTTCTTTCTCTCTTTCGCTCACCTCACTTCCTCTCTCCCTCTTTTTCTCCTTCTTTCCTTCTTGTTTGGCGCAAATGAGATGACTCCGGGGGGCAAAAAGCGTTTCCCTTTTTTTCTTCTCTTGATAGCAAGGGGGGAAACAAACAAAGCTAATGAGCGGAGAGAAAAAGTTGCGAATAAAGTTGCGAAAAGGGGGCGGTTTTCTACGTTTCTATGGAGACGCGCGAAATTGAAAAGAGAGAGAGAGACTTGGGCGGCGGAAAGGAAACGCCGACGCATGGTGCATCGACCGGCGAGAAGCGCGAGAATTTGATGGGATTATACTAGGATTAGGCGCGCTTATCTTCGTCGCTTTTCATGGTGCATCATCGAAAAGTGGAATAGAAGACCATCGTCGCCAAATTTCTGATGCACCATGGGGAAACGAGTAAAAATGCGCGGGCTTTTTCTCGGGCGCATTTACAATGCAAATGTGTTCCTCTTCCTCTTCTTTGCGCACTTTTCTTCTTTCTAAAGGCTCCCCCTCATAAATCGTGGGCGTTTCGCATGCGTAATGACCACTTTCTGAGGCGTTATGGCGGTGCACACGGTGGCCTAGGATCCGACAAACCGATGGCCTAAGATGCAACAGGTCTGTGGCCTAGAATCTGAAAATCTAGTGGCCTAGGATCCGACAAACTGATGGCCTAAGATGCAACAGGTCTGTGGCCTAGAATCTGAAAATCTAGTGGCCTAGGATCCGACAAACCGATGGCCTAAGATGCAACAGGTCTGTGGCCTAGAATCCGAGAAGTACATGGCCTAGAATCTGAAAATCTAGTGGCCTAGGATCCGACAAACCGATGGCCTAAGATGCAACAGGTCTGTGGCCTAGAATCTGAAAATCTAGTGGCCTAGGATCCGACAAACCGATGGCCTAAGATGCAACAGGTCTGTGGCCTAGAATCCGAGAAGTACATGGCCTAGAATCTGAAAATCTAGTGGCCTAGGATCCGACAAACTGATGGCCTAGTACCGAACGCCTTTAGCGGCCTATTTTTAGGATTCTAGGCCACGGCCTAACTTTCCAAATGCTTCTCGAATAGACAAGAGAAAAACCAGTATTACAGCCGAACAATTTATAATCACAGATCCTTCGCTTTCAGTTCCTCAACTTGTACTCGACGTCGATCAACTTGGCGATGGTGTTCAACTGAACGTTGGACGTTCCCTCGTAGATCTCGCCGATCATCGCGTCGCGATAGAACTTCTCGACCGGAAACTCTTTGGTGAATCCGACGCCGCCGAGCCATTTCACACATTGAGCGGACGTCGAGGTGGCTACCTGCAAGCACTTGAATATCCGATGAAAAAAACCAATATATTTGAGCTGGCTGTGGAGCTATCCAAAATGTGTCAACTGATAAAATGTGGTGCACAATATCTTAATGCCGCGTCCAAAGTCTCGAAAAACCCCGCAAATCTCGCTGATTTTGCAGTCCAAAGTCGGCAGAAATTTGCGGGAAATTCGGGGTGCGCACAGCTGAACGAGTGTTACCGTACACTATAAAACTACGGTATTTTTTGAAAAATTACGCAAGAAATTTGAAAAATTGCAAATATTCTCGAGAAATTTAAATTTTTTTTTTTAAATACCGTTGAAAATTCAGCCAAGAAATTTTTCAAATTTTTTTCAAATTTTCAACGGTATTTTTTTTAAATTTAAATTTTCTCAAGAATATTTGAAAATTTTCAAATTTCTTGGGTAAATTCTCAACGGTATTTTTTGAAAAAAATTAAATTTCTCGAGAATATTTGAAATTTTTCAAATTTCTTGCGTAAATTTTCAAAAAATACCGTAGTTTTATGGTGTACGGTAACACTCGTTCAGCTGTGCGCACCCCGGATTTCCCGCAAATTTCTGCCGACTTTGAACTGCAAAATCCGCGAGATTTGCGGGGGTTTCCGAGACTTTGGACGCGACATTAAGGCAGTCGAGATAGATCGATTTGAATAAACGATACGTACCTGAGACGCGTACAGCTTCGCCATTGCGGCCTCTCGCACGTACGGCAATCCGTTCTCTTTCATCCGCGCGGCGTTGTAGACCAAAAGACGGGCGGCCTCGATTTCAGTGCGAACTTGAGCGATCTGGTGTTGCATTCCCTGAAACGCCACATTTTACACGAGGTCGATGTCTTTCGGTCGACCTCAGGTCGACATCTTTAATACCTGAAAGTCGATGAGCCGCGAGCCGAACTGCTCCCTCTGTTGCAAGTACGGAATCGTCTGATCGAAACATCCCTGCGCCAGTCCGATCATTTGAGCGCCAATCGCGATGCGCCCCGCGTTGAGACACTCGATCGCGTACTTGTAGCCTAGAATACTACTTTTTTTTGCGGTTCGCGTCAGTCATCAACAAAGCGCCACGGCGGCCAAAAACGTAGAAAGGGGCGTGGCCTAGCTTGAAATTCGAAATTCGAAATTTAACTCCATTTCTCACATGTTTTTCGTCAAAAAATTCCCAAATTTTGAATTTTTGGCCGATTTCGACGATGTAATTGCATAACTTCACCGCTCCTGCCCCTTGAGAAAAGCCCGCGAAGTTCAAATGGGGCCCCGCCCCTTCAGAGTTCAATTCTTGAAAGTAGCGCGCGCAGTTTTTGCTCTGAACACCGAATTCTTGAAAATTAAAGCAGAATATTATTTTTTTGTTATCAAAACCTATTCTGTCGCCTTATTGGATCTTCTTTTCAGAAAAAATACACTAAAAGCCGACAACGAATTATTTTTTCACTTGTTTTTTCACTGTCGAACTGAAAAGCAAAATGCGTGCGGCACCGTTGCGAAAACTGCGCGCGCTACTTGCAAGAATTGAACGCTGAAGGGGCGGCGCACCATTTGAACTTCGCGGGCTTTTCTCAGGGGGCAGGAGCGGTGAAATGATGATAATTGCATAGCTTTTGTTAAACAAATCATCGCGCACTTTTTGAGCTTAAAACGAGCAGGTTTCATTCAGAAATGAATCAATTTAATCGATTTTCAAGTTTTTTGCTGAAAATGCGTTAATTTCAGTCATTCGCCGACACTTTTTGCCGTTTCAGGGCTTAAAATACTTGTATTAACGTGCCTCATCACTTCCGACACTCACTTCGTCTCAAAACTATCCAGATCGGCCGGTATGAAAATTCCGAATTGCGAAATATGCCAAAAACGTCTCAAACGCGGCGTTTTCACGAAAATTTCAATGTTTTCTCTCTTTAATGTCTCTTCTTTCGTCGATATCAAACACACAAAAATATCGGAAAAGTGCTGGAATTGCGGCAATTTTCAGAAAACGCGTCTCAGATTAGGCCACGCCCCTTTCTACACTTTTGGTCGCCGCGCGCCGCGTTAAAACGGAGTGTCGTTGATGAAAACAAAAGCGAGTCGCTGAAATTTCTGGATTTTTTCTCCGAAAACCCCGAAATTTCTTCCGAAAATGAGAAAAATAAGGTGAAACAGAGAATTTCCGAATTGTTAATGACAGCGCGCCACGGCGACCAAAAACGTAGAAAGGGGCGTGGCCTAGCTTGCACGGTTTATCACCATTTTCGAAATTTAACCCCATTTTTCACATTTTTTTCGTCAAAAATCAGAAATGAATCAATTGAATCGATTTTCAAGTTTTTTGCTGAAAATTCCGAATTGCGAAATATGCCAAAAACGTCTCAAACGCGGCGTTTTCACGAAAATTTCAATGTTTTCTCTCTTTAATGTCTCTTCTTTCGTCGATATCAAACACAAAAATATCGGAAAAGTGCTGGAATTGCGGCGTCTCAGATTAGGCCACGCCCCCGCCCTTTTCTACACTTTTGTGAAGCGTACCTTTTCCATACTCGCCAAGTATGGCCGATCGATGCACTCGGACATTGTCAAAGTGCACCGCACACGTGGACGAGGCCCGAATGCCCAACTTGTCCTCCTCTTTGCCCACACTCAATCCCTCGGCGCGTCTTTCCACCAGAAAACACGTGATGCCTTTGTGGCGGCGCGCGGGGTCCGCGTTCGCAAACACGACAAACAGTTGCGCGTCGCCAGAGTTGGTGATCCACATTTTCGAGCCGGTGATCCGAAAGTATTCCGGATCCTCATCCCGCCGAGCCACAGTTTTCAGCGAAAACGCGTCGGAGCCGGCGCCCGCCTCCGAAATGCAAAAAGAGGCGAGCGAATCGGAGCAGAGACGCGGCAGCCATTTGCGTTTTTGCTCCTCGTCGCCGTGATCGACGAGCATCGCGACGGGCAGTGTGTTGTGGATGCCGACCATCGCCGACACGGACGGGTCCGTCTTGGCGAGCTCTTCGATCACGAGCATCGCGTCGAAGAACGAGGAGCCCGAGCCGCCGTACTCTTCGGCAACGTGGAGGCCCATTAGCTGCAAGAAAAAAAAAGTGATTTGTAGACAGAAGAATTTTTATCTTTTTTAGAAAATTTTTTCATGAAATGTGCACAACTGACGAAATGTATAGCAAAGTGAACTGTGCTCATAGAAAAATAATTGCAAATTTAGCGTTTCATACAAAAAAGTTATTCGAGTTGTTCCGTGAAAATGTTCTTCCGTCTTCCGTACTCGAATAACTTTTTTGTATGAAAAGCTAAATTTACAATTATTTTTCTATGAGCAGAGCACACTTTGCTACACATTTCGTCAGTTGATCACATTCCATGAAAAAATTTTCAAAAAAAGATAAAAATTCTTCCGCTCAACTCTGCAGGACGGTAAACGCTGTAATAGAACGGCACCCGATTCAAACCGATGTATCTCAGTTGGCGGTGGAGATATCAAAAAATCGTCAACTAATAAAATGTGCACAATGTCTTTGTGAACAAATTTTCAGTTGACAACTTTTTGATATCTCCAACAACAGTCGAGTTATATCGCTTTAAATAAACGGTATTTTGGAGTGCCTTTCTACCAGTCGATCTTTGAGTTTTCAAGAGCTTTTTCAGTTAGAACCAACGTCAAATCATGACGCTCACCCCGTTCTCAAACGCTCCTCGCGTCACAATCGGATCCATTCTCGAGTTTCTGTCCATCTCCCTCACCAGCGGCTTCACCACGTTTTGCGAGAACTTTCGAACTGAAATTGTGATGAAAATGTCGAAAAATGTGCGGAAAAATCAGTTTGCGTACCGGTATCCACGAAGAATGACTCGCTTTCGGATAGTAAATTGACGGGCGGCGGCGGCGGCGGTGGAGTCGACGAAGCATCAGAAGATCGGACGGTCGGAGCCGAAGCCGTCGGAGTACTGTAGGGTCGGGCTGCGCGGAGCACAAATCTAGAAGTTGTTGACATTTTTCCAGTTTATAGACCTTTTAGAAACGGTGCCTTTTATAGTAAGAGTACGGTAGAAGACCCTCTCCGACACTCCGCCCACTCTTCTCTCACTGATCACTGATCACGTTTTGGTCATAGTCACGGTGTACTATTTGATCGATTCGACAATATTCCACGTTTTTGTGAGATTACTGTACCGACAGTAATCGTAACTTTTAGATATTGTGTCCACATGGTGCATGCGCCAAATTCCTTCATTTGTTCTTCGAAATTCCACCGTTTCCCATGATATTTATGTGATCCATATGGTGCATCGACCACGTGTTGTCTCTTTATCTTTTCATGTTCTTCTTATCACCAATGTTCTTCAGACCTCCCTCCCCCAAATTGTGGTGTGTCTCAGATCGGATTGTGAACTTTGATCATTTCGGGGACCACAGGGGTTCTAGGCCACGGACTAATTTGGGTTTCTAGGCCACCTACTCGAAAACCTAGGCCACGGAGACACAGAGGTTCTAGGCCACGGACTAATTCGGGTTTCTAGGCCAGAATGTCGTCTGCTCATTTCGGGTTTCTAGGCCACCAATCCGGGATCTTAGAATGCGTCATTTCCGTCTTCTTCGTCTGCATTTGACACTTTTCCCCCCGCTAAAACAATAGATTTTCTAGTTTCATTTCCACAACAAAAACCGCTTTCATTTCCCGTTTTTTTTTCGCAAACAAATCTGGAAACACTGAAAAATTGATGGTAGCGTAACGACCGGAAATTGGGATCCGATAGCGGATTCTAGGCCACCAACGGGAAAACCTAGGCCACCGAGGGAATATTGGGCCAGCAAGGGGAATCCTAGGCCACAAAAGGTTTTCCGGACCACCAATGGGAATCCCAGGCCATACTTTGTCGGATCCTAGGCCACCGAGGGAAAATTGGGCCAACAAGGGGAATCCTAGGCTATACTTTGTCGGATCCTAGGCCACCTAGGGAAAATTGGGCCAACAAGGGGAATCCTAGGCCATACTTTGTCGGATCCTAGGCCACCTAGGGAGAATTGGGCCAGCAAGGGGAATCCTAGGCCACAGAGGGTTTTCTGGACCACCAAGGGGAATCCCAGGCCATACTTTGTCGGATCCTAGGCCACCTAGGGAGAATTGGGCCAGCAAGGGGAATCCTAGGCCACAGAGGGTTTTCTGGACCACCAAGGGGAATCCCAGGCCATACTTTGTCGGATCCTAGGCCACCTAGGGAGAATTGGGCCAGCAAGGGGAATCCTAGGCCACAGAGGGTTTTCTGGACCACCAAGGGGAATCCTAGGCCATACTTTGTCGGATTCTAGGCCATCGAGGGAAAGTTGGGCCAGCAAGGGGAATCCTAGGCCATACTTTGTCGGATCCTAGGCCACCGCCTGTGTTTTGTGTTCTAAACCCAATATATATAAATGATATATTTTGCATGTTTATTTTCTGTCCCTCCGCAAAACCACTACTATGCCCGCTCATCGTCTTCCGGCCGACAAAAAGGAGGAGAGGAGCCTTTTCGGAAAAGAAATAATTTATTTCTCCTCTTTTTCTTCTTGCTCTTCATCGAGTGTGTGTGTTCGTTTTTAAAGGACCCCCCAACCCGCTGCGAAAAATAGTAAATGACAAACAGCACGCGGCCGGGCGCGCAGACGGGCAAAACGAAGAAAAGTGAGGACAAATTGAGGGGTTTTATGATGATTTGGCACTCAAATTCCCCCGTTTTTATGGGGCTTTTGATGTGTGGACTACTGTACTTTTATTGATGGTCTAGCATTCGAAATTTGTCGGATCCTAGGCCACAAAAAGGGGGCGTGGCCTAGGGTCCTCTTCTTCTTCTTCTTCTTCTTCTTCTTCTCTTTCTTTTCATTCCCGATTTGTTGTCCCACCTCTTGTGCCCTTTTCGCCATTTTATTTTTTCGGAACCACCCCCTATCATCGTCCTTCTCCTTCTCATTTCTCATCCATTCCGTGTTTGGGTGCCCCGAGGGGCCACGAGATTTCGGTGAGATTCGCGAGCTCATCGAGCCGCCCATTTTGCGAGTATTCGTGTGGCCTAGGAAGCGTTCGTGTCGGATTCTAGGCCACCAACAAGTGAGTGGCCTAGACACTTCTAGTGTCGGATCCTAGGCCACCCAACTATTCTGTCCATTCGACACCAAACTCCTCAACGTTTCTATGGTGGCCTAGGAATTCCGGGTCGGTTCCTAGGCCACCCAACCACTTTTAAATGTTGCCCCGGTGGCCTAGAAACCTCTCTTTGAGATCCTAGGAACAAAAAAGAGTATAGACTTTTTTTTTCGAAAAGAGGGAAAGATTAAAAATTGGAAATGAATAGGTATCGGATTTCCGAAAAGTTTGAAATTGGCAAGGAAGTTTCTCGTGAAGATTATCCCCTTTTCATCCTCTTTTCCGGTTCGCGGAAATAAAGAAAAGACTTTTAGAATGGAAATGAGGAGCCATAGAGTTCGAATTTGGAGTGGGATGGCCTAGGGATCCGACGGGATTTCTAGGCCACCAGTTTGTCGGATTCTAGGCCATACAATTGTTAGATTCGACGCCATCCAGTTGTCGATTTCTAGGCCGTCCAGTTGTCGGATCCTAGGCCAGCAATTTGTCGGATCCTAGGCCAGCAACTTGTCGATTCCTAGGCCGCCAACTTGTCGGATCCTAGGCCAGCAATTTGTCGATTCCTAGGCCGCCAACTTGTAGATTTCTAGGCCAGCAATTTGTCGATTCCTAGACCGTCCAGTTGTCGATTTCTAGACCGCCAACTTGTCGTATCCTAGACCGCCAACTTGTCGATTTCTAGGCCGCCAACTTGTCGGATCCTAGGCCAGAAATTTGTCGATTCCTAGGCCATTTAGTTGTCGGATCCTAGGCCGCCAATTTGTCGGATCCTAAGCCATACAATTGCTAGATTCGACGTCATCCAGTTGTCGGATCCTAGGCCAACAATTTGTCGATTCCTAGGCCATTCAGTTGTCGGATCCTAGGCCAGCAACTTGTCGATTCCTAGGCCATCCAATTGTCGGATCCTAGGCCAGCAATTTATCGGTTCCTAGGCCATCCAATTGTCGGATCCTAGGCCAGCAATTTGTCGATTCCTAGGCCAGTGCAAAAAAGTGACGTGGCATTTGAATGTATCACCTGACTACACTATATGTTTCATCATTGCCCCCTTACATAATTCATATATACATCCTGCACAAATATTTGTCCGAATTCTATTTCCTTTTTGCGCCTCACACTGAATGAAACCCGACTCATTTCCTACTCGGTTCTCTCGTTTTTCCAAGTTTTCTCACCGCAAAAAAAGAGAGAGAAAGAGAAAAAGACACTTGAAAATCGGCGCCGAGCATGATGGTGATGATGATCGTGCGAAAAACTAATGGGCGGTGGTGTGGGGTGTGGATGGAATATTCTAGAGAATCAATCATTAAATGCCACCAATTGCAGACCTCTTCCCCCCCAAATGCCACGTCATCACTGGCGACGACGATGAGTCGGACGGCGGACGTCGTGCTTCTTCTTGTCGCAGCAGCACTATTTCGAGGTGAGCGCGCGCGCGCGAGTTGTCAATGGGGCGCGCTTGCATCCACCGTCGACTCGCAGTTTCTTTTTTCGATTGAAAACCGGAATTCTTTGGTTTTTCTCTTAATAAACACTCAAATCGTGTTCTTGGCGAACCGTAGGGCGATTTTCTGAGTTAAAAGCATCGATTTAAGCGCGAAACGAAGCAGATTCGTTCAGAATTGACCAAATTGAGGGATTTTGTCGAAAACTATTGAAAAAAACCGGAGTTTTAACGATTATTTGCGAATCTTTGCCGGCATTCGAACCGTCCAGTCAACAAGCAGTTTATTGCGCATCTTTTAAGCGCTGAACCGTCGAAAAATATGCAGAATTGAGATAAAAGGAAAAAATTCTGTAATTTTCACATAAAACGTTTCGAAATTGATGACGAAGCAGTTAAAATTGCATTTTTTATTCATTTCTAATCATTTTCACAAGTTTTGACACTGATTGGTTCTGAAAAGATGGGGATAATGCAAAAAAGAAGGGAAAATTGAAATGAGAAACTCTTCTACAACGACGCTCCGAAATTACGCGTTACGCGCCTTGTTTAGCGCACGTGAATTGCGTGCCAAGGGAATTTTTTATTGGAAGGGGCTGGCTGGGGTTGTTCCGTGACGATTAGTATGTACGTGTGAGTTTTTACAAGAACGACAGAGAGTGAAAAGGCTTGCTCTGCTCACTCACAAACCAATTGCAAACACGTGGCCTTGCCAAGCCAGACAAAAGGATGCATTTGGGGTCTGCTGAGCGCTGCGAATATTCTCACACTTTGCACCCCGCGCGCGCACACGTTATTGAGACTTCCAAATGTCTCCTTCGCTTTCCCGCATTTCTCCGCGCATTTTCCAGGGGCCTAGAATCGCTGAATTTCTTCAGCTTTTCTAGACTTTTCCACAGCGTCTGGAGCCCTGAAATTGAGCCAAACGGGGGAAAAAAGTGTCGGGCGGCTCGTCGCTCGCTTCTTCCTTTTTTCTCACTTGCGCTTCACTTGTTTCGTCTCTGTCGTCCGTATTTGGTTAGTTGAGTGGCGCAGAATCTCGGGGTGGATGGATAATAGCACGCATTTTCAGAGGCTTGTCTCAATTTTCTCCGTGTCCGGAGTCTGTGCGCGTTTTTTTTGTTGCAAATTTCAACTCAAACTCTACCCCCCTCCCCTTTCTTTGTTTCTTTGACCGTCTTTTTTTCGAAGGCGTCGAAGTGGAAGCGTTTCGGTCGATGCACCATGTTGTCGGACGAAAAAAGGTTGGCGCGTGAGAATTCTGTTCCCTTTTGCACATTTTCAATCAATCAACATTCATCCTCATCCCGCATTTTCGCCTTTCGGCTCAAATTCTCTTTTCGCATCATATTTTTCTAGGCGGATAGTAGCAGAAACGTTTTATAAGAGCGTTAACTTGTGAACGAGAAAAGCAATCAAAAAATGGTCAACTACAAAGTTGAAGCTATACTTTTGCTCTACAAGTTTGTAGTTGATCGATTTTTGATATCTCCACTCGTTCGCGGGTTACGGTAGCTTCGAGGCGGCTTGACTCAAAATCATCCCATAACCTATCAAAAAAATGAGAAAGCTCATGATCATGTGCTCTCGGTCGGCTCTTTTCGAGGGGTCTCCGCCGAATGGGTCCCCCGAGGGGTCTAAAAAGGAAAAGAGCCACCCCCCTTCCAACACATTATCAATCTCAATGTTTAATCTTGCTCGCGGAGCCCGTCCTTCCTTCCGAAAAGACCTTTTAGTTGAGAACAAGCTTCTAGCAAAACACTTACCGCATTTTTCCAAAATTTTGTTCTCGGCGCAATCTAAGTGTTCATCTTTTCCGAGAAGCGCTACGGTAGGGCCGAAATGAAGGCGTCGAGAACGAGAAAATGGTTAAAAAATTTTTTTAACCATTTTCAAAAATGTTTTAATTTTTTTGTGAAATTTTTTTGTGTCTGTTTGAATTGTCTCCTATTGCCTCATACACTGGTGAAATGCCGCCTCTCAAAAATGCCAAACGGCCGTGCAGTTGAAGTTGTGGCCGTGGCCTAGCGCCAATGGCCTAGAAATACGCGCTTCTCGGCCATTTCATTTTTTCCGCTTTTTTACCGGTTTTTTTCCCAAAAATTAACAGTTTCTCCCATTTTTCAGTTGATTGCAATTTGTTCGGCACTTTCTTATTTTTTCACTGCTAAAAAAATTGTTTTCATTCAGTCGATACGAAGTCGCGAGTTTTTCGATTTTATTATCGCGAAAAAGCGCGGTAAAAAAGCGGAAAAAATAAAATGGCCGAGAAGCGCATATTTCTAGGTCATTTGCGCTAGGCCCCACGGCCACAACTTCAACTGCATTTTTGAGAGGCAGCATTTCACCAGTGTACTCAAAAAAAATTTCACAAAAAAATTAAAAAAAAAATTTTCGGGTTCCCTGGTCCTTTAAATTAATCTCTTCTTCTCGCGTAAACATGTCATTTTTCCCATTTCTCATTTCATTTCGCCCCTCCCCAAAATCGTTGCCTCTATTTCATTCTCGCTCCATCTTTCGGCAAAAAAGGTTCTTCAGATGACACTTATTTCCGCCGTTTTATTCGCATTTTTGGTAGTTGCGCAGGAGTGTAACAATATCAAAGGTAATCTGGGCGGTAAAACGGGTCGAAAAACTTGGGTCATCGGGTCAAACGGTACAGTAAGTGATGATCTTACAGTAATCTGGACGGGTGATCACGAGCGTCGATTGTACTCGAAACTGGCGGAGAACTACAATAAACTGGCGCGGCCGGTGCGCAACGAGAGTGAGGCCGTGCAAGTGCACCTCGGAATGGACTATCAACAGATTCTGGATATTGTGAGTTCACTTGTTTCGCTTTTCCCCCCAATTTTCGCAAGTTGCCAGGACGAGAAACATCAGATAATGCACTCGAATGTGTGGTTGCGAATGTCGTGGGTCGATCACTACTTGACGTGGGATCCGACCGAGTTTGGCAACATTCGAGAGGTCCGGCTGCCGATCAATAACATTTGGAAGCCCGATGTGCTGCTCTACAACAGTGTCGATCAGCAGTTCGACAGCACGTGGCCCGTCAACGCCGTCGTCTTGTAGTGAGTGGTGAACACGCAAGAATTTTTATCTTTTTTAGAAAATGTTTTCATGAAATGTGATCAACTGACTAAATGTATAGCAAAATAAACTCTGCTCATTGAAAAATAATTGTAAATTTAGCTTTTCATACAAAAAAGTTATCCGTTCCGTCTTCCGTTAGCCCCCTTTTTCACGGAACAACTCGAATAACTTTTTTGTATGAAAAGCTAAATTTACAATTATTTTTCTATGAGCACAGTTCACTTTGCTATACATTTCGTCAGTTGTGCACATTCCATGAAAAAAATTTCTAAAAATTAGAAAAATTCTTGAGCATTGAAAAGAGCACCGCTTTCAGCACGGGCAACGTGACGTGGATCCCTCCCGCAATCATCCGTTCGAGTTGCGCCATCGACATCGCCTACTTCCCGTTCGACACGCAACATTGCACCATGAAATTCGGCTCCTGGACCTACTCGGGCTTCTTCACCGACCTCGTCAACACGACAATATCGCCGGCCACGTACAAACCGAACGGCGAGTGGGAATTGCTCGCACTCCAGTCACGGCGCTCCATTTTCTTCTACGAATGCTGTCCCGAGCCGTACTACGACGTCACCTTCACCGTTTCGATTCGACGCCGCACACTCTACTACGGATTCAATCTGCTGCTGCCGTGTATGCTCATTTCGTCGCTCGCCCTGCTAAGCTTCACGTTGCCCGCCGATTGTGGAGAGAAGCTGAATTTGGGTGAGTCGGGAATTAGCTTTACAACATATTTTTAAAATAAACTTAAAAGTGGAGCACTTATTTTCCCAAAGTGCCGAATTACGAAAAAAAATTCCCCGATTTTAAAGATTTTTTTTCAAAAAAGTTCATGGTACCGGCGAAATGGAAGAGCTGGCCTAGATTTTTCTAGTCCCCGGATGGAATTCCCTTTTCTTCCGATTTTTTTTCCGTTTTCGTGCAAATTTCCTAAATTTTCAATCGTTTTTTCACGTGACGCTAAAGAAATCGATAATCTGAAACTTTCAAAATTCAGTAAAATTTAGACAAAATTCAGAAGTTCAGAAAAAATCAGCCACATTTTTGTAAAACCGAAACTGGGAAGTTTTGGATTTTTCGCATTACTTTGAAAAATCGGACTTTCTGTACATAACTCGCAAACATTAATTAAGACTCAAGAAATGATTGAGCGATCTCTTTCTATCAGACTTGCAACGGGCCGGGCCGGGCCGGGCCGGGCCAAAATTGGAAATTTTCCGGCCCGGCCCGGGAGGATGCACCTAAAAAAATTCAAAGCGAACTAGAACTTCGAAACGAACATAATTTTATAGACTTAAAATTTTATAGACTTAAAAAAAGGCAATGTTATAGCATAAAAAAACCTGTTAAAAAAATAGAAATTGCTGTTTAGTCGCAAAAATTTTCACAAAAAAATTACGAAAAATTTTCTCAAGAGTGGGCGGGGCCGGGCCGGGGCGGGCCAAAACCGGGCCGGGCCGGCCCGGGATTTGGCAAGTCTGCTTTCTATTTACTTTTCAGCGCACAATCCGAAGATTGAGCGAAAAACCCGGAAAAACAACCAAAAAAATTTTTCAGATTATCGATTTCTTTGGCGTCACGGCACAGAAAAAAACATTAATTTTTTTTTAATATTGTAAATAAGTGTGTTTAGTGAAAAAACGATTGAAAATAAAAGAAATTTGCACGAAAACGGAAAAAAATCCAAAGAAAGGGGAATTCCATCCGGGGACTAGAAAAATCTAGGCCAGCTCTTCCATCTATTTTTCCCCTATTTTCAGGAGTCACAATCTTCATGTCCCTTTGCGTCTTCATGATAATGGTGGCCGAGGCGATGCCGCAGACCAGCGATGCGCTTCCGCTGATCCGTAAGCTCGCGTTTTTTTTTGTTATTTTCGCGAAATTCTACACCACTTGCAGAAATCTACTTCTCGTGCATAATGTTCCAAGTGGGCGCGTCGGTCGTCGCCACCGTAATCGCCCTCAACTTTCATCATCGCTCGCCGGAACAGTACAAACCGATGAACAAATTTGTGGGCGCTTCTAGAAGTTATTGACGGAAAAAAGTGATTTTGCAGTTGAGAACGTTGCTGCTCAGCTGGTTGCCCACACTTTTGGGCATGGAGCGGCCCGATGTGTTGGAGATGTCCGTGCACGGAGCACACTACGCGTCGGCAAACAAAAAGTAGGCGTTTTTTCGCCATTTTCCACTCTTAAGCACTGTCTCGCCAACAATCGAGCTAATGCTAAATTGAGCGCCGCGTTAAAACGGAGTGTCGTTGATGAAAACAAAAGCGAGTCTCTGAAATTTCTGGATTTTTTCTCCGAAAACCCCGAAATTTCATCCGAAAATGAGAAAAATGAGGTGAAACAGAGAATTTCCGAATTGTTAATGACAGCTGTGACCTTAAGTTAGCGTTTTGCCCACAAGAAAGCGCGCATTATTACACTTTTCGGCGAATTTCGGTCCGGATCCTCAAAAACTGAACTTTCTCAGTCATTTTTGCATATTATGCGCTGCCTCTTGGCTCAAAATGACCGCCTTTGTCTGCTGAATAAACGTGGGGCAATTGTTTACTCGAAACTTCCGAAAATTCGCGTTTTTTCAAGCCAAATTTAAAAAACGAAATTACTCTTCGAATTTTCAGTTTTACACGAGCACACTCTGTGTAATTATTTTGTAGCTATAGTGTGCATAATCCCAAAAAATCGGGAAAACCGCGTTTTCATTCGAAAAACCGAGAGCCGCACGCAAAAAAGCGCGCGAAAATTTTTTTTTGCGCCAAAGGCGAGACAGTGCCCTTTTCAAGCGTCATTCTTCCAGAAAACAACGTCAGTACCTGATAGAAGTGGAGCGTCACATCCTGACCCGGCCGAACGGGAACGGTCATTCCGCAGTCGACAAGGCCATCCACCTGGACCTCTCCTCCGGCTCCAACCACCCGCCGAAAGGAGGAGGAGGATCGCCGTCGCCGGCGAAACGCGCTCCACAAACTACGATCCTCGGAATGAGCGGCGGCGTGCCGACGACGCAGATGAACGGGCAGGCGATGATGGACTGTTCGATCAACAAGTACACGTGTACCAAGCTCACGGTAAGTGTCGAATTTTCGGATTTGGATTTGGATTCAAGACGTCAAGACAAACGTTTTGATATACATATTGTCGATTTTGATAGTTTCCGGCTTTTTAGGTCGATTTAGGCCCAAATTTCTTTGACAATATGAGTATCAAATTGCTCCAAATCACGCGGAGAACACGAAAACCTTGCAGAGACCGCTGGAAAACGGCTACGTAAAGCAGCAGCAGGCGTCACCGCAAAAGTCCGTGTTCGACGAGCGTCACTTCCATCACATCCTCAACGAGCTGCGCGTGATCTCGGCCCGCGTTCGGAAGGAGGAGGCCATTCACGAGCTGCAGGCGGATTGGATGTTCGCGAGCCGAGTCGTCGACCGCGTCTGCTTCCTCGCCTTCTCGGCCTTCCTCTTCCTCTGCACCGCCATCATTTCGTTCAATGCGCCGCACCTTTTTGTGTGAAAATTCCCATTTTGCATATGCATCGGTTTTTTTTATTTATGTACATATATATATATAAAGTTAGACAGTTTCCACTTCGAACATTCCTGCGAGCACCTGAATCAAGAATTCCGGACACGTTTTCTGCAGGTAGTGGCCTTCATTTTTGAAATTCGCAGTCACGTAGGGGTGTCCCGACGCGTAACTCTTCCAGATCTCTGGTATCGCCTCTTCTGCCTCTTTTGCGTCATTGATTATCTGAAATTAAGGAATAATATCGAAAAACTTGGTCAAGAGTCTCTTATAAGCGCGAAATTCAAATTTTAACAGCAAAATTTGTGTTTTTTGCCTGATTAGCCACGAAAAATCGATAATTTCTCATTTGTCTCTCGATAGACCGATTGCATAGGCTATTACGAATTTTTTAAGCGCAAGAGCGTTAAATTTGGTCAAGTTGCAAATCACATTTATCCGTTTGAACGTTTTTGGCTAAAACTGCGTGAATTTCAGTTGTTTTTCGGTAATTTTCGCGGTTCGAGTGCTCAAAATGCTTGTATTTACGTGATTTATCATTCTCAAAACCAATTCTGTCTGAAAACGGTCAAGAAAGCGCAGAATGAGAAGTGCGGTTTTTGGGCGGCGAAGGCGAAAAAGCGAAATCCGCGAAAAATGCGTCAAAACGTCATTAATTCTGTGAGAATTAGTGTGTTTTCATGTCGAACATGCATTTTTCATCGCCGTTGACCACAAAAATCACAGAAAACCTGCTCAATTCATGAAAAGCCATTTGGCCGAGGCCACGCCCATATTGTCAGCTCTGGAGACCGTGGCGCGCTTACATAATGATCTCCTTTGAAATACATGGCCAACTCCTCGGAATCCGACTCGGCCACCAGGAAATCCTTGGAACCGTACGCGTAGAACATTCGAATCTACAACAGCTGTTCGTCTCTTTTTCTTTTTTCCATTTCCTTTCAAAACCCAACAGAACGTACCCACGGCCGGCTCCTCATCTCGTCGATCGTCGCTTTTTGTTGCGCGAACGCAAAAGTTTGCATGGGAAGAACGGCCGCCGCCGAGACTTTTCCGTCGGCCACGCGTAGGCCGACAACGTCGTTGTAGACTTGTGAATAGATATTGGTCGTTTGAATCGAAAGTGGCAATCGACTTACACCAATCAAGAATCGGGAACAGAAAACAATCGATCGCCCGGCAGCGCAGTTTTATCAGGAACGCGAGAGTGTTGATGAAGGTCATTCTGAAAGAGGAGCCAAAAGCGTGTCTTGCATAAAAGCGATCAAACGTGTAGAAAGGGGGGCGTGGCCTAATCTGAGACGCGTTTTTTGAAAATTGCCGCAATTTCAGCACTTTTCCGATATTTTTGTGTCTGATATCGACGAAAGAAGAGACATTAAAGAGAAAAAACATTGAAATTTTCGTGAAAACGCCGCGTTTGAGACGTTTTTGGCATATTTCGCAATTCGGAATTTTCATACCGGCAGATCTGAATAGTTTTGAGACGAAGTGAGTGTCGGAAGTGATTAAGCACGTTTATACAAGTATTTTAAGCGTTCAAACGGCAAAAAGTATCGACGAATGACTGAAATTCGCGCATTTTCAGCACAAAACTTGAAAATCGATTCAATTGATTCATTTCTGAATGAAACATGCGCTCGTTTTAAGCTCAAAAAGTGCGCGATGATTAGTTTAACAAAAGTTATGCAATTACATGGTCGCGAAATCGACCAAAATTTGGGTAATTTTTGACGAAAAACATGTGAAAAATGGGGTTAAATTTCGAATTTCGCGCGCCAAAAATCGTGATAAACGGTGCACGCTAGGCCACGCCCCTTTCTACCTTTTTTGGTCGCCGTGGCGCATCGCCACCAAGTCTCTCACCGCACACTAATCCCCCTGTGCGGCACGAATCCCGGCGAGTTTAGCATTGCGGCGCCGACGAGTGGCCAACTTTTGTCCGCCTTCAAATATCCTCAAAGTCGTTGGCCGGTTCGTTTACAAACCGACAATAGATGCGCCAACTGCAGGGCGGTCTCGCCGGAGCGCGAATGTCCCATTATAATCAGTTTGTCGACGCGATTTAGCTCCAATTTTTCCATCAACGCCTTCATGTACGAGTTGCGCTCGTCGTTTGTGTAGCTGTCGCGTAGACCGCCTAAAAACTCAACGCTTGACGAGTGAACAAAGTACAGTAATTTTCGGGTGACCGGTCACAAATTCCGAGCCGGGCCAGTTGGTGCACACCAGACGGATGTTGTGCGTTTCGAACGAGTCGCGCATGTATTTGATGTCGTTGTGAGAGCCGGGCGAGCCCGGCAGCGACACTACCGTACCGCGCACGTTCGGTTTGTTGCAAATGTCCTGGAAAGTTGGTCACGCGGGGGGGCCAAACAACTACCGTAACTCACCACGTAGGCGGCACGAACGCTCACAATTTTGTCCAATTTCGCGCCGGCCTTATAGGTGACAATAACCGATTGAGTCAGCGAATTTAGGTCGAAATACGGCTGTCTGGCCAACTTTTTCTCCACCTCTGTTGCCATTTTTTTGGGGAGATTTTGTCGACCCGTACTGGTTTTATAGACTCTTCGAAAGAGGATTATCGGCGGTACATTATTAATAATAATAATAATAATAATACAGTTTATGACACGAACCGTATTACCAGAAATGAAGCAAAAAAGACTCTACTCCTCCTTCCTCTTCTTTGCTGCTTTTTTGGAGGGCCGTGTGGATGGTCCCGGTTTGGACCAGTCCTCCTCTTCGGATTCCTCCTCCTCTTCCGATCCGCCCATTCCCACGTCCACGTCGTCGAGCGGATCGCCGTCGTGTTCCGAGTCCGAATACATTGGAACCTCCTCGCCGACATCGGAAAGATCCTCCCCATCGTCTTCTTCTTCGTCGTTGGCGCGTTCCAGATGGCTCCACGGGTAGTACATCGATTGGCGGCGCAGTTTTTCTGGAAATTGATACTGGGCGGCCTCACTTTCTCCATCGTAAAAGTTAGGCCATGTTTTGTTTTTAGAGTGACAAAAGGTCGGAAAAAAGTGACAAAAGGTCGGGAAAAAATGACAAAAGGTTGGAAAAAAATGCCAAAAATTTAGAAAAAAATGCCAAAAGATCGGAAAAAAAAATGACAAAAGGTCGGAAAAAAATGTCAAAAGATCGGAAAAAACTGCTAAAATACCTGTTTTCTGACTTTTTGTAATTTTTTTCCGACCTTTTGTCATTTTTTTCCGATCTTTTGGCATTTTATTTTTTTTCGACCTTTTGGCATTTTTTTCCGACATTTTGTCACTTTTTTTCGATCTTTTGGCATTTTATTTTTTTCCGACCTTTTGGCATTTTTTTTCCGACTTTTTGTCACTTTTTTCCGACATTTTGTCATTTTTTTCCGATCTTTTGACATTTTTTTCCGACCTTTTGTCATTTCGACCTTTTGGCTTCCGACCTTTTGTCACGGACTCAACTTCTCGAATCATTGTTACGCCATGGCCTAGCTTTTCCTCGTCCCCTCCCTTCAACTCACCAGGATCCTCCTCAATTGCCTTCTTCAACTCCTGCACACCCTTATTATCGTTCATCTCCTCCATATTGGCGATGAGCTGTAAAAAGGAGGGAAGTGGTGGCGGTGGCCTAACTTTCTCCCAGTACCTCCATGAGTTTTGGCATCCTCGGCCGCGGGTTGATCTTCACTTTGTCCTCCATCTCCTGCTGCTGCTGCTTCTTCTCCGCCTCGCCGGCCGCCTCCTTCTTCTCGCCGTCCTTCTTGAGCATCGCCGCCGCCTTGCGCTTGAGAATCGCCTGCGCCTGCGGATAGTAGCGGATCACGTCGTTCAGATCCTCTTTGGCCAACACGAACAGCGTACAGTAGCCCTTGGCGCGAATCGACGCCGTCCTCCGATTGTTGCCGCCGATCGCGAGCAGACTGATCTCTCCGAACGTGACTCCTTGGCCCATCTCCGCGAAGACCGTCTCGTTTTTGTCGCCGCCGACCACTTGCAGTATGCCCTGATTGATGATGTACATCTCTTTGCCGACGTCGCCCTGAAACACGTGTCGTCTAGCTTCTTCTTTTTTGGGCCTAGCCCACCTTCAAACAAATCATATCGCCGGGCAGAAAGATGACGGGCCTCAACTTGAGCACCAGGTCCCTCAACAGAGCCCGATCACAGTCCTGGAACAGCTGCACCTTGCTCAGCGTGTTGTAGTGCACCGACAACGCCAAATCGGTCTGCAACTTGAGCGGCAACTTTTCGATCAGCTTTTTCTCGTCTGAAAACGTGATTCTACGCGGCGATCAACTTTTTCGCGCGCACGTACCAAGCGTCTTTTGTTGCTGCCACGTGTAGATGAACCAGTCCCTGACGCGATTCGTCGTCTCTTCGCGGAGACCTGTGAAATCGGCGCGCCTACACGGTCTCCCACGGCGCGAATGATTTCAATGGAGCGCACTTGCAACAGGCGGGCTGTGTCGATTTACGCGGCGGCCAATTAATTAATATTCAACGGGAGTTCGCGTTCTTTCCATGTTTTCTGTACACTATACCTATTTTTTTTTTGTACGCCTGGAACCTGGATTCGAATAATTAGAGCACTAGCTACGTTTTAGTAACAGAAATCTCGCACATCGTTGTGGAATTAGCCGAGTTATTTCGATTTGAAGATTTTGGCCTGGATTTTGATGTTTTTCGAATAGTTTTCGAAACCTGCTCAAGAAAACTAACCGCCGGAACGTGAATTTTGTGAAGAACGTTTCAGCGAACATTTTTATCGTTCGTTGGGCTCATGAAATGCAAAATGAGCTGAAATATAAAGGTTTGAAGTTTTGACGAAATGCGAAAAAGACGCTAAAAACATGAAAAACTCGAAATTCTGTAAAGAACGGTTTCCAATCAGTAAAATATTGTTTTCTAGACGTTTTTCAAGTCAAAAAGAAAGAAATAAAGGTCGTAAACTCGAATTGAACTGCATTTTTAGACGTGCAAATTTTCAAAAATTACAACGACACTCCGCAATTTACGAGCGCACTGTGTTTAGCATTAGCGCCCTGGGAGACCGTGAGCTCTGTTAAGCGTCTATCAATTTTCGGCCTGAAAATGGCCCAAAGCTTAAAAAGGCTCAACCCGCTCACCCAATTTTTTGCACTCTCCCAGCGCCAAATCCATTTTGCGTTGAAACTCTTCGCGATTTCGATTCGCATTCGACACAATATCGCGAATTTGTCCCAACAACAAGGCGAACACGAACACTCCCATCATCCACGAGCACGTCATGTAAATGTACCTGAACGGGTACGGTGGGTTACTGTAGAAAAGTGGCGTCGCGTGGCGTCGCGTGGCGTGGCCTACTCGATGACGTTCGTCGGTGCCGGATTGTTGCCGGTCGACGTGGCGACGGCGGCGGTGAAGTAGAAGCAGCGGATGTAGGCGTTGCCTGGAAAAAATTGAAGAAACAAAATGCGTGTTTGGGAGGAGAGGCCCTACGGTACCTTGATTATTGTAGACCCATTTGTTCAGGTACCACTTTCCATTCTCCAAATACGCAATCTGACCAAACGCCTGCATGGCCGACAACTTGTAGTAGACACAACTGTTGCAATGGATGATGTAGATCATGTAGGAGAGCGTGCGAGCGATTCTGTACGGTGAGAATTTGGATTCAGCGGGTGGAGGAGACCAGAGTTGAGCGGAAATGGAATTTTGAAATCCGGAAGACGGAAGAACATTTTTCTCACGGAACACGGAAAACGGAAGACGGAAGAAAAATTTTTTCACGGAAGACGGCAGAAAATTTTTTTTACGGAACACGGAAAACGGAAGACGGAATAAAAATTTTTTTTACGGAACACGGAAAACGGAAGACGGAAGAAAACTTTTTTCCCGGAAGACGGCAGAAAATTTTTTTACGGAAGACGGAAGAAAACTTTTTTCCCGGAAGACGGCAGAAAATTTTTTTTACGGAACACGGAAAACGGAAGACGGAAGAAAACTTTCTTCCCGGAAGACGGAAGAAAATTTTTTTTTACGGAACACGGAAAACGGAAGACGGAAGAAAACTTTTTTCCCGGAAGGCGGCAGAAAATTTTTTTTCGGAACACGAAAAACGGAAGACGGAAGACGGAACAAAAAAATCGTCAATACAGAACCTTTTTTTCTCCGGTGTTTTTGAAAAAAATAACTAAAGCAACAAAAAAATTTTTGGATCTGGGTCACTGCCCGTGGAAATTCGCGTTCTTCGGGGCTAGTAAATGGCTTCTGAAAAGCTATTACTCTTTTACGGTAAGAAGAAAAAATCCCAGAAGACGGAAGACGGAAGACGGAATTCCGCTCAACACTGGCGGAGATGAACGTTTTTTGAGTATAGGCGAAAATTTCAAAATGTGGGCAGGATGGGCATCAAGGCGCTTTCAAATCGCTTACCGAATCGCATAAGGATTGGCGAAAGAGTTGTCGAGCATGTCGAAGAGCAGCCAGAACGAGTTGATCTTCAAAAGTCGGTTCATCCGCCAAATCGGCTTTTTGCCGACCGCCAAATAGACCAAATCCGTGGGTAGAATGCTCAAAATGTCGAGCTTCAGCGTGCGCGTCATAATATAATGCTTGGCCGTGTCGCCGATCGTCTTCACCTGAATTCCGCCACGAGTGAACCTCAATCGCGGCTTGACGATGAACATGTCGACGAGGTAGACGACGTCGGAGAGGTAGTCGACAAAAAACCAGTAGATCCAGTTGGACTCGGTCTGGTACGGGTAGCTGGAGCGAAGCGGAATGCAAAACGCGTTGTAGAGAAAGCAGACGGTGACCAACGAGAGCCAGGACATGTAGAAACGGCCGTACGGATGGAAGGTGCCGGCGAGCGGAATGCCGAAGAACTTGCGCGCGCCTGCCGGCGCTGGCGACTCTGGACGGTTCTGAAATGAGCGTTTACACGGTGTCCAGAGCTGACAATGGGCGCGCAAGTGCGCCCCGCCCAATAGAGCGATACATTGGCGCGAAATTCAAATTTTATAAGCAAAATTTGTGTTTTTTGCCAGATTAGCCACGAAAAATCGATAATTTCTCATTTTTCTCTCGATAGACCGATTGTAAAGGCTATTACGAATTTTTCTAGCTCAAGAGCGTTAAATTTGGTCAAGTCGCAAATCACATTTATCCGTTTGAAGGTTTTCTGCTAAAACTGCGTGAATTTCTGTTGCTTTTCGGTAGTTTTCGCAGTTCGAACGCTCAAAACGGTTGTATTTACGTGAATCATCATTCTCAAAACCAATTCTGTCTGAAAACGGTCAAGAAAGCGCAAAATGAGAAGTGCGGTTTTTAGGCGGCGATCGGCGGCGAAGGCGAAAAAGCGAAATCCGCGAAATCCGCGAAAAATGCGCCAAAACGTCATTAATTCTGTGAGAATTAGTGTGTTTTCATGTCGAACAATCATTTTCATCGCCTTTGACCACAAAAATCAGAGAAAACCTGCTCAATTCATGAAAACGCCATTTGGCCGCCGAGGCCACGCCCACATTGTCAGCTCTGGAGACCGTGCAATGGCCATTCACGGCGACCAAAAAAGTGTAGAAAGGGGGCGTGGCCTAATCTGCGACGCGTTTTCTGAAAATTGCCGCAATTTCAGCACTTTTCCGATTTTTTTGTGTTTGATATCGACGAAAGAAGAGACATTAAAAAGAGAAAACATTGAAATTTTCGTGAAAACGCCGCGTTTGAGACGGTTTTGGCATATTTCGCAATGCGGAATTTTCATACCGGCCGATCTGGATAGTTTTGAGACGAAGTGAGTGTCGGAAGTGATTAAGCACGTTAATACAAGTATATGAAGCGCTGAAACGGCAAAAAGTATCGGCGAATGACTGAAATTCGCGCATTTTCAGCACAAAACTTGAAAATCGACTCAATTGATTCATTTCTCAATGAAACGTGCTTGTTTTAAGCTCAAAAAGTGCGCGATGATTAGTTTAGCCAAAGTTATGCAATTACATCGTCGCGAAATCGTACAAAATTTGGGTAATTTTTGACGAAAAACATGTGAAAAATGGGGATTAATTTCGAATTTCACGCCAAAATGGTAGGCCACGCCCCTTTCTACGTTTTTGGTCGCCGTGAATGGGCCGCCGCCGCAAATGGAGACGTTGGCTGCTCACCTGCAATCCGATCAAACTCATCAGACTCGGCCGATGCTCGGTCGACGGAATGTTGGTGCCCGTGCCGACTGAGACCGTATCCTCGGGTATTTCCTTGACGAGATCCTCGCGAATCGCCGACGTCCGTCGATGCACTTCCTTGGCGATCGAGTGCAATCGCTCGCGCATCACAAACGAAATTTGCGAGCGCACGTCGTCTTCGATGGCCGACGAGGCGCGCGTCGCCGACAACGAATTCACGTCCAGGGAGGAGGAGGCGCCGAGGTTTCGGTCGTCGCCCTCGAGCGGCTCGAACACTTCCTGATCGTCCGTCTCGTCGAGCAGTCCGAGAATCGGCGATTCGACCTCGTCGATTTGGATTACCACTTCTGGACGGACTTGTGGCGCCGGTGGCATCGGACGGGGCTTTGCTTTGAATCGCGGATCGAGCCTAGAGAAGAAACGATATTTTCTTGCCCTTGTGACCCACTTTTTGATGTTCACTAGTTGCAAAACGTCCACCCCCTGCTCTTATTTTCCGAATGATTTCATCAGCCACAAATCGGTTTCAAAACGAGTTCCGCTTGAAAATCGCTTCTAAGTCTCATATCTGTTAGTTGCCATGGTGCATCGCTCGCTTCAATACTCTCAAGGGAGGGGGGTGAGTATGATGAGGAAGAGGATAATACTATTGGGTAATGGTGATAATACTCATTCGTATAGCCGGCCGCCTATGACGTGGCGGCAAAAAATGAGAACAATTTGAGAGCTTGTCAACAACAAACTTTGGAAAATCATAACTTTTTTCAAAAAAATCGTACACACCCCCGCTTTGGCTTAAAATGACGGCGATGATGTGGAGAATGTGGACAAAAAAAATACAACTCACATGTCGAAACTGTCCTCGCTTCGCGGCGATCGCGTGTATCTCTCGTCCAACTTGGCCGGTTTGCTCATCATCTAAACGCACAATTTTTTGATTATAGCATTTTTTTTCCGAAATTTTTCGCAAATACCACCGGTTTCTCGACCATATCCGACAGCTTCTTCCAGTGTTTTTTGGCGGTAAACGTAATTTTTCGGTTCGTTTTTTTGTCGTCCAAAGTCGAGATGGAAGTCTCCTCCTCCTCCTCCGCCACCACCACCATTTTCGACATTTTTTTCTTGTCAGGCGCGGCGTGTCAATAATAATAGTACGAGTCGGAAAAGTGTTTTTCGGCCGTCTCTCTGGGCAACCCACTTTCTATGGCCAGTAATAAGAGGGGCGGAGTTTGAGAGGGAAAAGAAGGAGAAGAAGAAGAAGAAGGGGCTTAATATCATCAACCCACAATTATGCGCATAGATGACATTTTCCATTCAAAATAACCTGGCGCACAACATATTTTTGCACACCGCTCGGATATTGTCCACCAGAGTTGAGCGGAAGAATTGTTATCTTTTTTAGAAAATTTTTTCATGAAATGTGCACAACTGACGAAATGTATAGCAAAGTGAACTGTGCTCATAGAAAAATAATTGTAAATTTAGCTTTTCATACCAGAAAGTTATTCGAGTTGTTCCGTGAAAAAGGGAGCTAACGGGGAAGACGGAAGGAATAACTTTTTTGTATGAAAAGTTAAATTTACAATTATTTTTCAATGAGCAGAGCACACTTTGCTGAACATTTCGTCAGTTGATCGCATTTCATGAAAAAATTTTCTAAAAAAGATAAAAATTCTTCCGCTCAACTCTGTGCTGCCCACTCACAATTCGGTCGACGTAGCTGAACTGGCGTGCTCTCACTTCCCTCTCCAACTGCGTGTTCGCCCGTTTCGGACCAGTGTACATGTCCGAAAAGGCGCGGGGTTCCGCTTTTTTCGGCATTTTCTGGAATTTTCTCGATTAGAAAAGTTGTTTCAGAAGAGTATCGGAAAATTGGACAACTGCGACGTTTCGCAACCAATCTCGCAACCAGCGTGTCGATTAGATGTACAAAATCAACTGATATTATGTGTTTTCCAAAAAAAAAAAAAAAAAGTGAAGCCGAGCGCTCTAAGCTACTTTTGGCGCGTGGACGAAATAGTGTGAAGCGTTTGGATGGAATTCGTAAGAAATAGAGAGCATAACGGATGTGTGGACGGATAATATCGGAATGATAAATTCCTCCTCTCTCTCTCCCTCTCTGACCTTTTCACTACTTTTGGCCGATGCACCATGTGTGTGTATAATCTCTCTCTCTCTCTCTCTTCTTCATTTCCATATTTCCGTTGCTACGGACGAGCCGAAGAGAGCCACAAGCCGTTAATTAAAACGGATGAGAGCATCCCGCGAAAGAGGAAAAGAGAGAGAGCGAGAGCGAGAAGGAGAGGGAGAGGAGAAACGAAAGAAATGGATAGGTCGATGCACCATGTAGAGCCTGAAAAATATTGTTCAACGGAATTTATCTCACAATTAACAAAACGTTCCGTATTAATACAAAAACAATAAACCCGATTGAAAAGTCGGTCATTCTTGCAGAAAATGATAATATTTACACCAACAAATGCGAATTTCGGCATCCGTTCAGTCTTTGGGATTGGCGGCCGCGTGGGCCCGGATGGCCTCTTTCAGAGCGGCGCCTTCCAGCAAAAGGGTGATAATGACGTGGTCGTCACGACGTTGGAACAGCATTTCGCCCTCGAAATCGACCATTTTGTGCTTGCGCGCACGGAGAAGAGTGCCCACTACCTGCAGAGAAAATATGACGCCGGTTCGGAGACGGATAATGTTTTTGATGAATTTTTTCTGATAAAGTCTATATTTTTCTGTTATTGTCCGGTTGATTTCAGAAGTTTTTAGCCTAAACTGGAGTCTGTGCGATTTTTTTGAAAAAAGCTATGATTTTTCAAAGTGTATCCAAATTTTTGAGAGCATTTCAACAAAATGCCCCCCAATACTCATACCTTGTCAGAAATATTGACATAAATGCCGAAAAGCCGTCCGAACGTGATTCTGATCGGCTCTCCGTCCTTCTCGCGCTTTCCGTAATCCTCAACCACTTCGCAGAGGGTCAACATTTCTCGGGCGACGTGTGCGGCTGAAAATGCATCCATTTGGTATGAAAATCTGTGACAAATGCTTCTCAGAGTTGTTGTACACAATTTTGACACTTGGTACTTTAATTTTGTAGTTGACACTTTTTTTCTAGGACTGCTCCCAAGAGTACTGTCACTCTTGGAAGTTGGGGGTTAATTGAACGGCTCGAAAGTTGATCAAACTTTAACGAGCTACAGTACTCTTAGAAGCGGTTGTACAGAAAATTTGTGAACTACAAAAGTAAATTATTAGGTATCAACTCTATTTTTGTAGTTGACACTTTTTTTGTAAAACGACTCCCAAGAGTACTGTAGCTCTAGCAAGTTGGGCACTAAAATGCGAGGCCACGAAATGCATTCAAACTTTGTGAAGCTACAGTACCCCAGCAAGTGGTCGTACAAAAAAGTGATAAAATAGAAAAATGAAGTACTAGATGTCAAGAGGTCACAAGCAAATTTTGAAGCAGTTACACCTTTTGCCAACGCAGAGAAATGCGTTGGAAGGTGAGCCTTTGGAAAATCGGAAAAAGAAGATGCTAACCTGCTTTCTTGGCCCTCTGCTCGGTGAGTGTGCCCGGTTTGGGCCGTCCGTACTCGCTGCTCTCCTTGTCCATCTTCTTCGGTACGAATCCCTTCGAATACACGTCCGACTGGCTGGCCGCTTCCGCGTTTTGCTCCAACTCGCGGAACTTCGTGAAGATTGTCTTGTCTGCAACGTTTGGCGGTCAAGATCGGTGAAGAACCGGTCGGCACCGTCAAAAAACACTTTTACGTGAAAATCAAGGGGAAAAGTTGTCGTGTGTGGGGTGGAGAGCCGATGTGAAATGCGGGGAAGCCCCCGGGCCCGACAAACTTTTTGTAAAATTCTCGTGTGTCGGCGGCGAGAAGAAATCTCCGAGAAGACTACAATATTTATCGGACGACAGCTGACGCTGCTCATCCGATTTTTGAGCTTTCACAATTGTGTGGCAGGCTATTCCGGCTTGTTCTTGCCACGTCGCCTACTGTTATAGAAGGGGGGAACTCTATTCAAACCGATATATCTCAGTTGTCGGTAGAAAAATCAAAAAGTTGTCAACTGATAAATTGTTCGTTAAGATATTGTGCACATTTTATCAGTTTACAATTTTTTGATATCTCTACACACAGCTGAGATATATCGAGTTGAACTAACGATACGGTAGTTGAAGTGGCAAGCATAGTTATAGTCGTCCCTTAACTTTTTGACGTGACGACGTGGCAACACCTAAACTCACCAAATCGAACTTCACAGGCGATCGACATTCTTCTCGTCGCGGCAAAATATTGTTGTAGACTTGGAAGAATACTGAAAATGACAGCTGCCTGGTGACCCTGATAATAACCGTTTCGACTCACTCGAAAGTGTTTGTGCTCGGCCGAGAGCCACCCACCCACCCACTCGAAATCCGCTTCTTTTTCGCCTTTTTTCGGATCGCAAAACGAACAATGTGTTTGTTTTTTGGCGAGCGCGAGGGGATATTTGGATAAGAAGGTCGGCGAGAGAGACAGTGAAAGAAAGGGGGTTTTGAAAAATCGCAGAGAGCAATTGCAATTAATTGCAACAAATGTTCGGAAAGAATCAATCTATTCGCCTTCAAATCATTATGCATTGGGAAAAAAGAGTTCTAAATAAAATGCATCAGTGTGATAAAGCCAATTTTCTAAAGCGTTGGTGCATCTGTCCAACTTTTTTGATATACGAAAAAGCATAAATTTCGATTAAAAGTGGCGTAAAACTCAGAAATGAAGGCCCAACCTTAATCTCGTCTCCCTTGATCGTGACATTGGATACGGGGAACTCGGCGACGACCTCCTCGTCCTCCACGTGTTCGCTGCTCGACACCTCGTCGTCCATCAGATTCTCGCGTCGCATCGGCGGCTCTTCATAGTCCAGAGTCTTGTTGACGACGACAATCGGAGGAAGCGAAAGACGTGGCAACTCGACGGCTTCACTGAGAAAGCTGAAAACATTTCCGAAAAAATTTGGTGAGAAGCGAAAAACGTACCTTGCCGAAAGAGCCGTGTCCGAGCACTTTGAGCAGCTCAAACTCCTCCTCTCCAGATTCAGTTTCCGGCGCCGACTCGGGATTCGTGTGTTTCGACGATATTATCAAGATGCGGAAGTGCACGGCCACGGCGGGGCGCCCATGCACGTGAGGACGCTGTCAATCCATGACATTGGATTGTTCAAGTGGGCCTGAAGCCAGACGGGCGACCGCAAAACCGTCGAGCGCCGGTAATGCTCACCCCAGCCTTTGCAGAACGAGATACGGATTGTGCACCAGAGTTGAGCGGAATTCCGTCTGCCGTCTTCCGTCTTCCGTGGATTTTTTTTTCCGTCTTCCGTCTGCCGTCTTCCGCGAAAAAAGTTTTCTTCCGTCTTCCGTCTTCCGTGAGAAAAATTTTCTTCCGTCTTCCGTTTTCCGTGTTCCGTAAAAAATGTTTTCTTCCGTCTGCCGTCTGCCGTCTTCCGGATTTCAAAATTCCATTTCCGCTCAACTCTGTTGTGCACATTCGCGACAGGCAGTAGACGTCTGAAAATTCAAAATAAATTTTTAAAAAACTCCCGAAAAACCGGGTTTGGCGGACGGAGGCGAAAGAGCGAATGCCAAGAAACGTCATTTTCCACAAATTTTCAGCAAAAAGGCAACAACACTCGTCAAAATTGTTCGCATAAAAGTCTAAAACAAACACGTATCGTCCGTTCCTTTTATTTCGTCTATAAAATACGCCTCCCGTCAATGCGTAGGCGTTTTGTGGCCCTAAAAGTGATTTTTGGGAAAAATGATGTACTGGACTGATGTGAAACTTTTCACGCTCTAAGCGATGGTATAAATGTCTCACACACTAATTTTCTAGTGACAGGCCTCCTTTAAATGAGAAGAAAATGCAAAAAAAACTAAAAGGCGGCTCGCGAGGCGAGAAATCGCAATATTGCCGCAATTTTAGGCTAAAATTTACATTATTTCAAAGAAAAATTGGTGGAAACTTGAAGAAAATACATCGGAAGACTGAGAATTCCCGTCTGAAAATCTGTTTTCTCGCTCAATCTCGTTGGCGCCATAAAAAACGCAGATCGTTGCGAGACCCGCTACAAAATTTTGATCTGCGCCTTTAAATCTACAGTAACCCAATTACTCATTTCTAGCAGTTTTCAGGAGAAATTCGACGAGAAAACGTAATTTCAGTGTGAATTTTGACAATTTTGATGCGAAAATGAATGATAATCGTGTTTCTTGTGTGAATTAGCAAAAAAAAAAAGAGCAAAAGTCACGAATCGTGGAGAATCAGAGAGAAGAAGAGCACCAACTATGGATATTGAGAAAAAAGATCGACTTCAATCGAAATCGTGTCGTGAGTGTTTTGTACAAGTGAAATGTGTTCATTATTATTCATGGTAAGATGTCAATCTCGACGGGCACTTCGGGCGTCGTGTTCCTGTCCAACTCGAGAACGGGCGCGATGAGTGCGTCGATGCGTGTGCACTGCTGGTCCCACACGAACTCGCCCAGGTTCTGCTTGTTCATCTCGACGTACATGAAGATTGACGTTTCCGTAAAGTCACGATATCGGGCTGAAGACGGGGGAAAATTGATTGAGTGCTCGACTGGTTTTGACGAAACGCGACAAAACTGATGGGGTGTTCGGCAGTCGGCCCTAGTTTTTAACCAGCACTTACCCTCCGACGGCGGTGTCTTCTCCTTCTTCTTCTTCCGTCTGACCATGACTTTCTTCGGCTGCTCCTCCACACTATCCATCCGTTCGATTTTTCCGATTGCCACGTCGCCAAGCAGCAGATCAAAACCCGATTTTGCAGTTTTCAAATCTCTCTTGACGTTTTCCTCTGGATCCTCTCGTCGCACGTCTTCTGAATGAGCTCGTTTTGCCACGTCATCTTCCGAATTGGCGCCTCCGAGGCCGGCGACGCTGTCCAGCGAGGTTATGGAGACGTGGCGGGTGACTGCCACGTCATCTGACACTTCTGCAGTCGCCACGTCGTCAGAGATGAGCGTGGCCGAGTCGGAATGCAGCAATATTTGCTCTTCTTCGGCCTCCTTCTTCTCCTTCTTCTTTTTCACCACCTTCCTCCGCACTTTTCTAGAAGACTCTTCTGATGTGGATGATGATGACGTGGCACCTGCAAAAAGGCGTAATATTTTCATTTTTATGAGGATTTCGGCACCTCGGGAACATGGAATAATGCGGGGCGGACAGCCGGCTCGCGAAATGCTCCATTGGCCGAAGCGCGGTGCGACACGTGGTTCTGAAGAGATACTGTAGTGTCTCCTGTTGATTTCAGACATTTTAGGCCAAAACTGGGGTCGGTAGTTTGTTTTTCACAAAAATGGCGTCAAATCGTCTACAAAAAAGTGTGCTACTTACCACAACAAATGGTGACGCAAATGGTGAGCTCCGTTGGCGTGTAGCTCTTGAATATCCGCCGACACACAGCCATCACATGATACTATAAAATGGTGTGTGTGTGGAAAATGAACACTCCCGGCTCACTTATCCCTTTACTTTTTTTTGTTGATGGAAACGAAAAGAGAGCGGAAAGGCGCCAGGGATGAATGCATTCTAACACTGTTTGCTCTCATCTCTTTCTCTCTTTTTCTTTCTTTTTGAGATGGGCGCCGCCATTTTGACTTTCAACAAGAAATGAGAGAAACCAAAGAATGGAACGACGAGGGGGAGGGGGAAACCCAAGTGATTACAGACCAGATCTGGAAATGATAACTTTCGAAGACAACCCTCTTTTTCTTCCAGAAACTTTGAGTGCTGCTTGAGACAAAGTTGTGTTTACTAGGGAATGGCCCGCACTTACCTTGGGCTTTTGGAATGGGACCTATATGATTCGAAAGAGAATTTCACGGAGAATCCATCCGAATCTTCTATCCATTTTTGCTAAAGAGCACTGGCTGGCGAGAAAAAGAAAATCTGCCTGTTTCTGCAACATTTTCTAGCAAGTTCATCTTCGGCGATGTGTATCTCAAGAACCACGCGTCCGTTGCAGAAGTGGTCAACTAGTATGTAAACGCAAATTATCTCGTGAATAACTTTGTAGTTGATCGTCTATTTAAAAACAAAAAATTAGTTTTCGAGCTATGAACTGTTTTCCAAGAGCGACAAGAAAAAAGTTGGTGCTGGGGTCAGAGCGACGATAACTCGAAAACTAATTTTTTTTTAAATAGACGATCAACTACAAAGTTATTCACGAGATAATTTGCGTTAACTTACTAGTTGACCACTTTTGCAACGGACGCGTGGTTCTTGAGGTACACGTCGCCGAAGATGAATTTGCTAAGGAAAATGTGGCAGAAACAGGCAGATTTTCTCGCCAGCCAGTGCTCTTTAGCAAAAATGGAGAGCAGCGTCGGATTCTCCGTGAAATTCTTTTTCGAATCATATAGGTCCCATTCCAAAAGCCCAAGGTACCCTAGTTAGTTCTATTCTATGATATCTGTGATAAATGCAGCATCACAAAAATGACAGCTCTTGAGACTAACTCTTTCCCTGGTAAGATTGGGGTCAGTGTCTTTATACCTGGATACAATTAGTCAAAGCTGAGTGATACCCTTCAAGTCCCATACAGGGGTCCCAAGAAGTTGTCCCAAGACCCGTCTTCAGAACTTAACAGGATCCGTTATGATTTAAATGAGTGAAGATTAGGAGGCATCAAAATTAAAGAGGAGTAAAACTAGCATCACTTGGGTCCATTCTTCCGGGACCGCGCTAAAACGCCAAACAATCTAAAGCGCACAAAAGTTGTGGTGAGATCGTTGAAAAAATCTGTGAAAATCCGTCTCAACAAGAAGAAATTGGAAACACATGTCTCTCTCTCTCTCCCACAAAAGCACTCTTTTTTCGCGTTCCCCGACAACTCATTTGTCACATCACATTCTGCGCTTGAGCACTTTTTTTTTTTTTTTTTGAAAAAAAATGGGAAAATCTGCTGCGTTTGTGTGATCAAAAGGGGGGGTGAAAATGTAAAGAAAACAAGCGACGCTCACCACATTATTTATTGGCTTTTCGAGATGGATAACAGATGAGAGCCGCCCTTTCCTCTTTTTATTGCATCACTGGCGAAAATCCAATAAAAATTTCTATCATTTTTCACGGCGAACAGTTGTGATCATGATTCGAATTTGCCGCCCGTATTTTGTCGCTGCGTAGCCGTGCGGTTTGCGATACGGAGCGATTAAAACGGGCCCGCGCATGTTCACAAATGTTCGTCGTGTTTTTGGCACGTTTTAGTGGAGGTCTATAGAACGCCGACCGGCAAAAAAAGTTGGGCCATCTTGGGAATGTTCACGTGAAAGCTAAGAGAACAACCAGTTCCTAGTACTGATATCATTTGATAAGATTCTGGATTCTAGGCCCACACCACCCGATTCCAGGGGATTCATTTCATTCCGCACTAATGCATTTCCTCCTACTTTTTCTCACATTTCTCTGCCTATTCTCCCTCGCCGCCTGTCAACCGGACACGTGGCACCAGCACGTGCACAATCCGTACCACGTGTACTACAACGGAAAAGAGCACAACGGCGGACGGGTGCAGTGGCACGAAGAGCACGGAGTCGGCGCCAGTCACGGAGTCTTTCACACGTGTCACGGATGGACGTGCCTCTCGGATATGGCCGAAAATACAGGACACTTTTCGAGTCAATAAACTTTTTGCGCATTTTTAATTATCGGATTTGACCGGGGTCAATTCAAAGCCGTGTATCTCAGTTGGCTGAAAAGATATCAAAACGTTTTCAACTGATAAATTACTCAGAAAGACATTGGGCACATTTTATCAGTTGACGAAATTTTGATATTTCTACCGGCAGCCGAGATACGCTGCATCGAATTGACAATGTTGAAGCGCCCTTCTAGTACAAATCATAAAATTGTCGGGTGGTTCTATAAAATACGAGGAACAAGGTTAAAAGATGATTTCCGCCGTTTTGTTCGAAAATCAAACATCCAAAGCGGCTATTTACCAAGAAAAGACAAAAGAAAGGAAAATGGAAGTTATACACATACAAAACCAATCACATTTCCATACCATTTTAGAGAGGGGAACCCGGATTAATAAACATTTGCAAAGGGGCAATAAATTACTTTAGAATGAATATTGTGTCGCTCCACTATTTGTTGAGCATCAGGACGAGTTGTTGGACGTTCGGCAGTGCGGCCACCGCTCTCGACTCGTCGTCGTACGTTTTGGCGACGAACGAGTTGACGCGCGTGAACACGTCGATGACTCGTTTCCGCACCGGCGACAGCAGGATCGACTCCGTCTCGGGCACTCCGATGTAGAGCGAGTACGCGTCGCGGATCTGCAAATTGCCAATTTTCATGGGGGGTCAGTTTCAGTTTTTTTCTCTTTTTTTTCTGTTTCTTGAAGACTTAACAAAAGAGCTGAACTTTCGGACATTTGCAATTGGGCCAAAAGTCCAGAACTTCAAACAAAGTTGTTATAGAACATTCTGCAAAAACCGCAAACTTCTAAGCAACTGTTTTCAAGTCAGTTTCGTCTAAAATGCGTCTTAACAATATCCATGTAAATCGCAATGTCTTGTTCTTGTCCGAATCCTCTATAGTCACATGTACCAGAACCGAAACGTGTATGGCATGCGAACAGTGTGTAAATTATGTCAAAGTATCAAAGAATCAAAAGGCACACGAAAACACGTCACGCCCCTCTCGGATCTGCATAAAACTCGGAAAAGTAGTTGGTAAACTTTGCAAAAATGCTCCTAATTCTTCTATTTTTCTCCGTGTGCTCGTGTCAATTGTTGCACACGTCTCCCGAGGTGCTGTCCAATCAAATCTACAATCCGTACCACGGATACCCGCCCGTTCATCAATATTATTATCCGAATGGCCAAGTGGTGCATCGCGGCGGCGGCGTCCGTTCCAGTCACGGCTTCTTCTCGGTCTGCCGCGGATGGACTTGTCATTCGAGCACTTAGCGATGGAACCGAAATGCGTGGGCCTAGTGATCTCGTCTATTGTCAGCTATCAATTTGAAACTAATAAATATTTTAACACATTCATGTTGTCACACTCTCCGGATTTTGAGTTTTTCGAAACACTCGGCGGTCCATAGTTTGAGTAGAGAGAAATTCGTTTACCTCTCCGAACTTTCCGCCCACATTCTTGTACGCTTCCGCCGACAAATCCTTGAGCACTGCGGCGCCCAGTTTCGGATGCTTCTTCAGATCGAATCCCTCTTTGAGACGCTGAAAATTTGGAGCATGGATTATTTCAACAATTTTTGGTGGAGAAAATTTGAAATTCTGGTCTGTTTATGCCAAAAATCTGCTTCCCGCTGCCTGAGAAATTGGCGGTCCAACATAATAGAACTGCGCAGAATAGAACCGGCCACAATATAACTGTTTGGAGCGCCTTTTAAATAATTTTTGAATCTCGTGATCGATTTATTGCACTCAATAATTTCACTTCCGTCGTGATCCCTCTTCTCTACGGTAACGAAAACCCACGAAAAATAATTTTATTGTACTATCAAAAACGAAAGGAAACCAATTTTCTAGGTTTAAACTGCGGTCTTCTGCTTAATTGTTCGAGAGACGAAAAATTTTGCAAAATTTAGAAAATTAAAAATTTAGAAATTGCTTGTTAGCGAAAAAACGCGGGGCGAGAGAAATACCATTTGCGCGGCAGAAAAGAGAAAGAGAGAGACGCAGACGGTAGACAGTTAAATGCGCATCGCATGAAATATGTTTCAAAAATCTTAGAAAATCCGAAAAAAAAAGGCAGCCCACCTCATCCTCGGCCAGATCGATCCATTCGGCGAGTTTTCCGATCATCAGTTGCGACGCTTCGTGCGCCAATCGGAAAGAGGCGGCCCTCAGTTGCTGGTCGAGCACTCGGCGCGAGTCTCCTTCGTGTTCACGCATTTCTATCGGCACCTGCAAACTTTGTCAATTAAAATTACAATCGCTTGTTGGTTTTTGGGCTCTCATCATTTTCGCCACTCTAACGTTTCGCAACCGTACGATTCGCAACTCTTTTCATTTCGTTTCGCAGCATTTCGCAGCTCGTACTTTCAAAATAGTGATAGATATGCTTGATTTTGGAAGAGAAAGCGCGTCAGAATACATGAAAACAAGGCGGCGTGGGAGCATTGCGGAAGAGTTGCGAAACGTCTATTAGCGAAAATAGTGAGAGAGAGAGCCGGTTTTTCGTCTAAAACACCGCATTTCCCTTAATTTTCTACCAAAAATAGTTTACCGTGGTGATGAGCTCCAAAAGCGTGTTATTGGTGCTCAGTTCGAACCATTTCGCGTTCGAATCGAACAAAACGCTCGTGAATTTCGAGAAATCCAACGAAAAGTCCTTGGTGTTGAGCGAGTCGGACCTGCAACTGTGAGAGCGAGGCGTAAAATTATGAAAATTGAGCATTTCTTCTCAAACACGTCTCATTTTGCCTGGAAACGCTCTCACCACCTTAGCACATTCTGTCGGTAGGGCGCCGTCTGTTCGCGCAGAATCAGAAGGTGTTTGACGACGAACAAGTGCGCGTCCAGCCGTTTGTTCCATCCGCTTTTTGTGGCGGCCGCCGCCAGAATCGCCGTCGACGCCACTTCAAGCGATTCGATGCACGCGGTGAGCATGTCGCGTGCCAGCGAGTGGAACACGCCAATCTGGAAATTGCAGAAATCGGTTTGTGTAATGGGGCTATTCAGGCTGTGAAAAAAATGATTGTTTTCCGTTTTTTTTCGTTTTTTTACGTCAAAAAATCCAATTCAGCGATGTAAAAAAAACGGAAAAAACGGAAAACAAACATACGCTGAATAGCCCCATAATCGTTCCTTCCGCTCCTTATCATACTCATTTTCAATAATTTGCATATCAAAACAAGCGGATGTGTCTCTTGTTTTCATCAAAATCGTACGATAACATTACAACATGGGTCAATAGACGGTAACTTAACTATAAATATATTCAAGATGTGCGCTTTTTTTCGAACATTGTGAGTGGCGAAAACTCCAAAAATGACTACTTTGTGGCCAATTTTGCTCGTATTTCTGCTACGAATTACTGTGAATGGAGTGCCGGTCAAAGTCAGCGGGCCAGATGGAAAAAATGAGAAAATTCTGGAGCTTCTCGTGAGTTTTCTAGAGTATTACAGATGAATAGTCGCATGTTTATTGCAGCTACATTTTTTCTCGCGATTTTCTAGCTTCCACTGTACACACATTTTTTTTGCAGCCACTTGCGCCCCAAAATGGTACACTTCAAGTCGAGAACACCGTTCACATTCATCATCCGAGATCTGTGAGTTTTCGAGCAACAAATCAGTTCAACACTCTTTTCCACAGACGTCCGCGTCTCCTCCCCACCCTTCCGAATCTCCAGAAGACGTGCTTCTGAAGCGTCTGACTCCGATCGAGCTCAAATTTTGGAAGAAACTAAAGCATTCGGTCGGAAAAGTGCTCGAAAACGCGGGCGAAAAGGCGATGGGCGATCTTCTCGGCAAAATTGCTGGATGACTTGTCAAATTGTGCATTGTGTTGCGATTTCTGATCGAAGACTATCACTCAAATGTTTTCGCCATTTTTTTCTGTATTTGATTTTTGATAAAGATACGAGACCGAAAACAATGGCGATCAAAACAGTCTCGGGGTATAAAAAGAGCGGCGGAGCAGGGGGAAAACTTCAGAATTCGTTCGAAAATGAACACCTTCTACTCGCTCTTCTTCGTCTTCCTCGCCCTCTTCGCCGCCCATTCTCTGGCGTCGCCCATCGTCTACCACAAAGTCAGCTCGAATGTGCCGGTTAGTTATTCTTTAAAAAATTAGGTAACACAGTCTCCAGTTTCGCGTCTGCGTCGTTCTCTCCCTCCCCGTTTTTTCGCCATGCAATTTCTCAGTCAACGCCAGCCGCCTTTGCCGCCGAAAAACCGCACATCTTGCGCATTCTTGACCGTTTTCCGACAAAATTGGTTTTAAGGATGATAAATCACGTAAATACAGGCATTTTGAGCGCTCGAACACCGAAATTCACGCAATTTTTGGCGAGAAACCTGAAACAGATCAAATTTGACGCTCTTGCGCTTAAAAACTTTGTTTCGGCCTATTCGATCGTTCTATCGAGGCACAAATCAGAAATTATCGATTTTTCGTGGCTAACCAACTTTCGCGCCAACTCTGTAGACCGTAGGAATCGACTATATCCTTTTTCAGCTCAAATTGGACGGAGACGACGATGGAGGCTACGGAAAGGTTGGTCTTCTTTTCCCAAACAAAAACGATTCGAAATTCCAAATTTTCAGCTGAAACTCGATGACGACGACGGAGGATACGGAAAGGTTTGTCGTTTTTAGTCATTCTATACAATAATCCATCATTTGTGCAGCTGAAATTGGACGGAGACGACGACGGAGGTTACGGAAAGGTGATTTTGTCTGGATTAGTGAAAAAACACCGCTTTCCATTTTCAGGTGAAATTGGACGGCGAAGACGATGGCGGTTACGGAAAAGTTGGTTTTCTTCAAATTTTTTCCGAGAAAATCACAGAGTTTACGAGTTTTTGTGAAAAGTACCAGATTTTTAGGTGAGATTGGACGGCGATGACGATGGAGGCTACGTAAGTTGAGCTTTTTCCGAAAAATTAAACAAAAATAATGCAAATTTCCAGCTGCGATTGGGCAAGGAGGATTCCGCACATAAAGAAGATCACGGAGAGGCTGTCACTGCCCCGGAAGGAGGATATGTGAGCGCTTTTTCGAAAATGTTGCTCAAAATCGATTGATTTCTTTCGACAAATTCAAATTTTTACCAAATTCACTCATACTTGTGATTCTACGGCCCGGATCATTTTTTTTATCGATGTTTAACGTTAGTAGGTAGAAAATGACTAATCAGTGTCACTTTTAGCATCAATATAACCAATTGAGATGAGAAACGCCAAAAACATTACTTTTTCAGATGCGACTGGGCAAGGATTCCGGACATAAAGAAGATCACGGAGAGGCTGTCACTGCCCCCGATGGAGGATATGTAAGCGCTTTTTTTCACCGTTTTCTCGGGCTTTTCAGAGGTCTAAATGAAAAATGCAAATTTTCAGTCTAAAGCGAGCGGAGACGATCAAAATGTGGGCCGAAAGGAGGCTCACGATCACGGAGACGCCGTCACTGCCGCCCTCGAAGACGACGGAGGATATTGATTGAATTCTCATTTGAATTTCGCCTCAATTGTCTGTGTTTATTCGCTTCTTTGATAAACTTTTCATGAGCATTTTCATCACTAACTGAAAATCAGTAGAAAAGTATTTCAGTTTCACTCAACTTCCAAATGAAGATGACTATACATATTCCGCTTCTATCTCGCTTCTATTGCGTTTCTATTGTTCTGTGTTCTTTGAGTTTCTGTAGATTTTAGCAAGACTTTGTGGACAGTTCCAAAATCACTTTAACCGCCGCTGCATCAATATTTCATGCACAGGTCTCGTAGTTCTTTGTTTCAATTTTTTTTCCGAAATTGACTTTTTTGAACTCACATCCAGACACGGGAATATTTTCGAGAGACACATGACGGTCCGCCGGACGGTCGGGTACCACAGACAGTGCTGGTCGATGGCCGACTCCTCGGGCCGCGGGCTCTTCTCCTTCTGCTCATTCTCGATTCTACGAATCATTTGGAGCATTTGCGGGTAGGCAATGTCGCCCGGCGCTGGACGGTACGCGCCAATGTCGTTTTGCGCGTACATTCCTGCTCTGCAAATTAAGGAAAAGTTAGCTTTCTCTTGAAACACAGTGGTGCATTTGTCAAGATAGAAAATTTGTCAATTTACCGATGGACGATGCGTTCGGCAATGTCTCCGACGAGTTCGCCCATGACCGACACGAATCCGGCTCTCGGATTTAGGCCCGAAATGTTCGGATCGTGCGTCGCATCGTCTCCGAGGATGGAGGCCACCATTTGCAGAGAACAACGGTTTTCGATCATTTCTACCTGCAAAAAAAAAACTCTTGTCTTTTTTTTTTCGGTTGATCCGCAAAATCATCAGTACCTTGATCATAGTGCACAACTCGGCGAGTGTCTCCAAGTGTGGATTGTGCACTATGCGTGGGCGTAGCATGTCGTACAGCGTCCTGCACATTTGCTCGGTGAACGTCTCGAACGGATGCGCCTGCTGACTCTTCTCCGCCGTGAACACCGACGTGATCGTTGACATGGCCGGACTGATGCGTCCGTCCGAATGCGAGGCGCAGAAGGAGGTGACGAAGAACTGACGGTACAGACGGTACTCGTCGTCACAGGTTCGTAGCATGAATGTGCACGCGTCGCGCGTCAGGCGGCACGTCGATTCCGCGTGCGTTCTGAAAGCAGATAATCGGCGAAAAGTCTGGACTTTTCGACCAAATTTTGGAGGCGTTTTGAACTTGGATTAAATTACATAGGTGCTTACAATCGCGGTAAAGTCGGAAATGTCTAGATTGCGGCGCCATAGGGGCACTCCAGGAAATCTGGACATTTCCGAATCTCGGGCTCGGTACAAGTATTCTAGAGGGTGCAATTGAGTGAAAACTGAACAAATATGACCCATAGAAGTAATTCAGACTGGAATTTCAGACCCAATTCAGCTCTCGGGTCCAGATGATCGGATCGGTCTGAAACTTGGACCCAAAATACTTTAATCCAAGTCCAAGAAGTCTGCACAGTTTGGGTCCGATCGGATTATTGCAAGTTGGTCAAATGTTCAGGCTTTTCGCCCAGTGCTGATTATAGACTCACGCGGAGAGTTTGTCAAGAGTCGACTCGAGAATCGGTCCGAGAAGGAGGTGTCTTCTGGCGAAATAGGCGTATTGGCATTCTGCCAGCATCTCCTCGAACTCTGGAACCGCCGAGAATCGCTGTTCGACCACCGAGATTGAGGCTCTGCAAAAAAGAAGCCTGAAAAATTGCAGAAGCAGTTTGTTTACTTGACGGCCGCCGATTTCGAAGCGAAAACTCCGTAGAGGAGGGCAAACGTGTCCTCTTCCTCTCCTTCGCGGCTTGTTTTCACGTAATCCACCTGAAAATAATGGAAAATGGCGTTTTGGGCTTCAATTTCATTCTGTACCTCCAACTGTGTCTGTCGATCTTTGACATCATTGAAACAGGCCTCCAAATCGGCGAGAACGCCCACGCGTACCCATGTCATTGCTCTGAAATATGATTTTTGATCAATTCTTGCCAAAACTCAATAATTTTCTGACAAACCTGCTGAGGCACTGTTCGAATTTGGCAATGTACGCCTCGGATTCTTTGTACTCGGGATGGGAGCGCAAATAGTTGAGACAATCGTCGATGGAGACCAGGATCGAGGCGAACGATTGGCCCGTCACCATCAGTTTCGCCACCGACAGCTTCTGCAATTATTCAGAGTTGTTTCCCGCTTTTTTTCGATGCTGTACCTTCATAATGGCGTCGGCCTGTTTGAAATAGTACAGATTGGTCTTGATGAGCTGCGATCCGGTGGAGAGGGCGGTTTGCTCGGCGAGAGCTCTGTCGCAGGCGTCGTGCAGCGACGAAGTACGGCTCGAGACCGATTGGTACGCGTCGTGCAGCTCCGACATTGTCTGCAAAACGTCTTTGACTGGAGAACGTTGGATTCTGTGAATCTTACCGCTTTCGACACGTCGATTTGCCTCTGAATCACTCGGAATCGCTTCATGTTGGCACGGATGGCGGTCACCTGCAATTTTCTTGAATAACATTGCATATTGTTTGCCACGTTTTACATCCGGCGGAAAGTGAAGCTCCACGAGCTCCTTTTCGCGTTTTTTCACATTTCCCAACGTTCCAGCAATCGAATCGACGTCTTCTTCCTCGTCGAATTCGTCTAAACATTTTTTTTTGAACAAAATTTGGAGGGCAATTCATTTCCGTACTTTCAGCTTCTTCCTCTGGATCGGGGAGGCCCCAAGTGGCCGCTTTCGCCGCTAGAATCTCCACCGTTCTCATGTGATCGATTTCCATCTGTGAAATTGGATAATACGGGGAAAGAAATGGAAAAAAGAATGACGATATGGCTGATACCAAATTCTTACAAAACCAATGTGGAAATTTTTTTAAGATTCATTTTGAGACCAACATGTGAAAATAAACCGAATATTAGGTAGATGAGCAGATTGCGATGATTTATTTAGTCGACGTAGCGGAATCGGTCGCTTTTCACCTGAAAACATGGGAATTTCATCTAAATTGTTCTCGCAATTTCTGCACAAACCTTGTATTTTCCGTCCTCGACGCAAAGAAGGAGCGTTTGTGTGAATGCTCTCTGCGCCTCGTCGTCAACGGCCACCGTTCCGGCCACGTTTAGGACAATTCCGCCGGAAACCTCGCCGGAGACGCCTGAAAACCAATTTTTTTTAAATTTTATCGCAAAATTAATCATTTCTGTACCTTCTGGAAGTCGTTGCGCGTCCAAAGACTGAATATTGTGTTGAGTGGGCGGCAGAGCGGCCATGAATCTGAAAAAGTGATTTTTTTTTCTAGCAGCAACAACTTCAGAAGGAATTCCTATAATGTCAACATGTTTTCAAGTCATTTTTAACACAATTTCAGCCAATTTCTTACCGGCAAATATCGTCGTAGCCGGTGATCGGATTTCCGTTCCAAACGACGTTCGAAGACGCGATATTAGCGTAGAGGAATCCGATTTTTTCGCGTTTTCGATCCATCACATCGTAGAAGACTTGCATAAACTTTTCCGCCTCTTTACAAAGCTGCAAATTATTATTGACAGCGTTAAAATTTGATTTGTTAAATTTCTCACCTCTTCATCCTCTTTATTTATGTCCGCAATGGTTTTCATCGCCATTTTGTGTCTGTAATTGACTGTACAGTGAATTGAATGAGAAAAATACAAAGCTTTTGAAAGAAATCGAGCCAAAAACGCATTTCATACGAAAAAAGGCGAAATGTCGTGGAATCTTGCGCCGTAGGTGTCAACACCATCCACGAAATGCGTAACTGGCATTTTATTCTACAACATTTGCGGGGAAAAAAGTATCAAACACCTTTTAACTGAAAATCTACAATGTTAGGAGCAATAAGAATGTAAATTTTTAGAAATTTTATTATATACTCTTTTTCTCATCGAACACATGAAAAAAACAAGTAGGAGGCAGACAAAAACAGGTAAAAGAGTAGGGAAAAAGAGAAAAGGAAGAGGAAAAGGTCGCGGGTGATATACCCGTCCCGCAAGAGATTTGAGGGGAAATTGTATCGAAAATAAATAATATACACAATTTTTCGATGAGGGAAAGGAAAAGAGGGAGACAATAAATAAGAGGAACGGAAAACTGATATGATCGGAACTAGAAAATTATCGACTCTTCTCTTCTTCGGCACCTAATCGGCCTTCTTCGCGTTCTTGCGGGCCTTCGGGCTTCCAGCCGCCGGCGATCTCTTCTCCTTGTTCTTGACGGCATCGCGGGGAATCCACTCGAAATCGACCTCCGACGAGGTGCCCTGCTCGACGACACGACGCTTCGAGAGTCCGGATTTGCGCGACAGCTTCGACAGGAACTGATTAGCGATGTAGAGGCCGCCGATAGCGAGCGCGACGAAGAAGATGAACAGGAATCCGGTCTCGCCGGAGAAGCCAGAGTCGTCCTCGAGAATGTTGACCGTCTGGTTGAAGACATTGTTCACAAAAACGTTTCCGTCGGCGTCAGCATAATGCACGTTGACGACGAGTCCGACTGGACGTCCGGCGTACGACTCGTGCGTGAGGAATCCGTAATCGAGGGTGACTTCCTCCTTTGGCGCCACTTTACGGTTGTACTCTCCGCGCGTGAACTGAAAAATAGGAAAAAATCGATAGTTTTCCAAAATTTTGTGGGATTATTACGTTCTGAAGATTGTAGTTATAGTCGGTCGGGAAGCGGAACGAGGTCTCCGAGTACTTGACGGTGAAATCCTTCTCTCCCTTGTTCTGGAATCCGATCAAGAATCGCACGGGCTTTCCGGCGTAGAATTCGTGGAGAACGTTGGCGTCGACGGGCTGAACAAAGTGGAATGCGAGTTCGGCGTCCGGAGAGGCTCCGATCGTCAAATCGTCCTCCTCCTGCGCGGCCTTTTGCGCGTCGTCGGCCACTTCTCCGTCGACGACGTCGGCGGCTGTAAAAATTGGGTTGATTTTACGATTTTTCTGCCCAAAACTCACCGTAAACAGCGCAGAATCCGAGGGCGGCTAGAAGAAAGACGGTCGGCAGCTTCATTACTGCAAAAAATCTAGTTTTAATTTAATTTGATAGGAAAACAGCAGACAAATCGCGATAAAGTTTAGATTTCTACAAGAAAAACGAGCAGAAATTGGCATATTTATGTCAACTTTTGAATGTCTCAAAATGACAGCGAGACGGCGGCGGTTGGCGAGTGAACGGCGCATTTTCTCCTCCGTCAACCGCCGTTTCTACAGTACCCGCGGCCGCCGACGACCGAACTGCAAGGCGCCTTTTCGTGGCGAGACCCGTCGCGCGTCTGCGTCTCTCACTCGGCGCGAGACGCTAGAATTCGAATTGAAAGCGAGGAAAAAGCCGGGAAATTGCTTTAAAAAATGCTGAAAAATTATAGGAGACTTCTTTTTTTACAGGAATAAACATCAATTTTTCGATTTTTTTAATCTATCTCGAATGATTTCGTCTTTTTTTCCGTTTTCTGGATAGCCGTTCGCCGGAAGGCCTTCAAAAAATTTCAAAAAGTTGATGGAGTAGTAAAATGCCTTTTTTTTCTACTTTTTCATCAGGTTTTACCCGATTGCACAAGTAAGCAACACAGATAAATGCGCTGGAAGGAGTTTATTCAAACAATTGTTTTAGAAATAGAAGTCTCCGACGGCGGCGGCGCGACAAAGTCTCTCGACAGGGGAAACGTGCCGATTATTCGGCGGCAACGGCCCTTCTGACAATAGTGTCGGTGCTCGGTGCAGTCCGAGTTTTGTGTGCAGTGGCTCGGGAAGAATTGACGGATCGGCATGCACACGTGAAGCTGTCCGCAGAATTGTCGGTACGGACAGTCGGCGCTCGTCTGGCAGTTTGTGAAGGATTTCGTCGAGGCGGCCAGGGCGGTCAGGAAGAGGAGGAAGATCTGAAGGTTGTGAGGTCGGAGGATACTTCGAAGGTGACACCTACCAGAATACTACTTTTCATGGTGTCGATTTGAGGTGGAAAGTCAAAATTTTGGCGTTTTATGTGCTGCTCGAGCATGGGAGAATCCGAGTTTGATTCGATTAGAGCCATTCACATAAAATTGTATGACCTTCGTCCTCCTCGAATGCTCGAACATCACATAAATAGGCGAAAATGAAAGGGAAAAGACGAAAGAGAGATTGAATCATGAACTTGTATCTCGAGAACCACCGAATATTTTAAAAAGTGGTCAACTGAAAAACTGTTCTAATTTTTGAGCTTACCACTTTGTTGTTGAACGTCATTTTTGAGTTATGAGCTTGTTTCCAAACAGAGATGCATTGCTCTGACACCAATGGTGTCGGAGAATACACGCAAAACACTTTTCCAATAAGCCAAAAAATCAAGCCACCTAGGGGACTCGAACCCCTGACCTTAAGATTAAAAGTCTCACGCTCTACCAACTGAGCTAAGGAGGCCCACGACGTCGCTGGTTACTAGTCGATAGACAAGAGCGGGGAGAAGAGCGGCCGGCACGTTGTCGCCTCTCCCCTCTCGTGTATGCGAAGAGAGGTCTGAGGTTTCGCAGCCGCCATAGCTCAGTCGGTTAGAGCGTGGGTCTAATAAGCCCAAGGTCGCAGGTTCGACCCCTGCTGGCGGCAAATCGTTTTGTAAAAATTCGACTTTATTATAACAAAATGGCGGAGTTCATTGTTTTTCGGCCGATGGTGTCGCAGACTCTTTTGATTCCTTCGATTTGGATTTAGATTCCTTCGACTTTGAACCCTTCGATCTTTTCGCCTCTTTAGATCCGTTGGATTCCTTCGACTGCTTGGCTTCTTTCGATCCCTTGGATTCGGTGGATCCCTTCGATCCCCTCGATCCCTTCGATCCCTTCGATCTCGACGGTCTCGACGGTCTCGACACGTTCCCCTCGTCCAACTGTTTCTGCGAGATTTTGTGCGAAAGCAGCAAAGTGACAAACTCGTCTCTCTCCAGAAAAGTGTAGCATTTTTGCGTGCGCAGGTACGGATATTGGGCCTCGAGTTCACCCTAAACATGTAAAGTTTTGAAAGCCGAGGAACTGATCCATAGAAAAGTGTTTTCAGGGAAACGGAACCATCCCAACAAGAGGATTCCAAACATGTCAAACTTGAGAGGCCCACTTTTCGAATGGAGCATACATAGTAATGAACTAACCGCATTGTCGCGCATATAAACGACAAACACGTGTCCAATGTCGTCGCGCCAATAGGCTTGACCGGGCAGCATTCCCTCGGCCACCGGAAAATCGTCGACTTTTGTGGCGCCCATGCGCACCGCCGTCTCGCGCATCTCGCCCCATTCCACAGTCGCCCACTGGCCCTGATTGAAGTGAATCGTCGTGCCCGTCAGGTAGGGAACGCGCTGAAAAAAAAAGATTTTGGGCAGACTTGCAACGGGCTGGGCCGGGCCGGGCCGGGCCAAAATTGGAAAATTTTTCGGCCCGGCCCGGCCCGCGGCCCGGGAGGATGCACCTAAAAATTCAAAAATAGAAATTGCTGTTTAAAGTCGCAAAATTTTCACAAAAATTACGAAAATTTTCTCAAGAGTGGGCGGAGCGATTGATTGCAACTCTGGGACGCCATTTTAGCAATTTTGCCGCACGCGTTTTCCTCTTCCTTCATATTTTTTTTGCATATTTTTTTTGAGGTCTAACTTCCGGGCCGACCGGGCCGGGCCGGGCCGACGATTTGCTGGCCCGGGATTTGGCAAGTCTGGTTTTGGGCGCAAAAAGTGCGCGCAAAGTTTGTACCATTTGTTGAAAATCCGCCTGAATCTCGTCAATCGTCGCGTGCTCTTTTCCCTTGAACCGAATCCGTTTGACGCGGAACTTAAAGTCGTCGCGGAAGTCGTTTCGCCGTTTCCCGGCCGCCACAAGCCAATCGGCCGACATCAGAATGCGAGCACTAAAAAACAGATGAATGGATGGATTGTTGTTGGTGCATCCACCAGAGTTGAGCGGAAGAATTTTTTTTATCTTTTTTCAAAAATTTTTTCATGAAATGTGATCAACTGACAAAATGTATAGCAAAGTGAACTCTGCTCATAGAAAAATAATTGTAAATTTAGCTTTTCACACAAAAAAGTTATTCCTTCCGTCTTCCGTTAGCCCCCTTTTTCACGGGAACAACTCGAATATAACTTTTTTGTATGAAAAGCTAAATTTACAATTATTTTTCTATGAGCAGAGCACACTTTGTTATACATTTCGTCAGTTGATCACATTTCATGAAAAAATTTTCTAAAAAATAAAAAAAATTCTAAAAAATAAACCTAAAGATGCTGCTAAAGTAGGTCATTGCGTCGTCCTTCTCCAGATCGAACGTTCCGTCCGAGTCGGTCTTCACAACGACATGAGTGGCGTCTTCGACAGTGTCCACAATCTGGATTTTTTGTTTCAGAGATGAGAAAAAGTGCGAGTCGCGAGACACTCACATTCTTCTTGTAGCTCTTGCAAAACTCTTTGAGTCCCTTGCGCACACTCTTGTCCACGTACACCTTGTACTTGTCGAGCGGCAACGTTTGCGGCAGTCCTGAAAACAGTGGCAAAATCGTGTCGAGAAAAGCAACCAATGCTCGTCACTCTTGTTGGCCGCCTTCTGCTCGTACGCTTTGAGCATCTTGAGGAGGCGCGCGTCGCCCTTCGCCTGATCGATCGGCGTCTCAAAGTCGGCGTCCATCGCGTGCACGTCGGCGCCGTTCTTGAGCAGCACTTGCACAATTTCAGTGCTGTCGTTCTGGACGGCCGTGTGCAGCGGCGTCTCGACCGTCTTTCCGAGCGCTGAACGGGGCAAAGAGTGGCGGGCGGATGCGTCATGCACTTACAGTGAACGTTGACAAACGCGCCGTTCTTCAAATGCTTCCGCACATCCTCAATCTTGTTGTGCATGACCGCCAAGTGCAGCGGCGTGTACTCAGAGTCCTCGTACTTTTTCAGCTTCCCTTCCGGCAAGAATCGCAAGTGACGCCACGTTTCCGGACGTCTCAGACGTTCGTTCAGCTCTGCAACATTACGGAATTCTTTCAAGGTTTTCAAGGAAAACGCGCCACGGTCTCTAGAGCTGACAATGGGCGCAATAGAGCGATACATTGGCGCGAAATTCAAATTTTAACAGCACAAAATTTGTGTTTTTTGCCAGATTAGCCACGAAAAATCGATAATTGCTCATTTTTCTCCCGATAAACCGATTGTATAGGCTATTACGAATTTTTTAAGCGCAAGAGCGTTAAATTTGGTCAAGTCGCAAATCAAATGTATCCGTTTGAAGGTTTTTGGCTAAGACTGCGTGAATTTCGGTTGCTTTTCGGTAATTTTCGCGGTTCGAGCGCTCAAAATGCTCGTTTTTACGTGATTTATCATTCTTAAAACCAATTCTGTCTGAAAACGGTCAAGAAAGCGCAAAATGAGAAGTGCGGTTTTTAAGCGGCGAAGGCGAAAAAGCGAAATCCGCGAAATTCGCGAAAAATGCGCCAAAACGTCATTAAATTTGAGAATCCGTGTGTTTTCATGTCGAACAATCATTTTTCATCGCCTTTGACGACAAAAATCAGTGAAAACCTGCTCAATGAGTCCGTGACAAAAAAAAACCAAAAAGGTCGGAAGACAAAAGGTCGGAAAGCCAAGAGGTCGGAAAAAAATGCCAAAAGATCGGAAAAAATGACAAAAAGGCAGAAAACAGGTATTTTAGCAGTTTTTCCGACCTTTTGGCATTTTTTTTCCGACCTTTTGTAACGGACTCTGCTCAATTCATGAAAACGCCATTTGGCCGAGGCGACGCCCATATATTGTCAGCTCTGGAGACCATGTGAAAACGCATACTTTTGCGTTTGCAACACACGATCGCCACAACGACGACGACGGCGACGAGAATGACGAGAACGACGATGGCTCCAATGTACAGAATCGTGTTGTTCTGCTCCTCGGCGGACTCGGCGGCAACTCTGCAACAAAAAAAAAACAAAAAGAGCGTTTCCACAAAAAGCAATTCATACGGTTCGGCGACGAGTTGCTCAGCTCGGGCGTCGGGCTTCTCGGCTCTCGGCTTCTGCTCGGCTCTCCGCTTCTCCTCGGCCATCGCAGTCCGATTGATGCCGAAGAGTGCGTCGTAAAAGTGGCGAAGCGGCTGCGCGACGTGCGCCGCCTTTTGGAATTGCGTTTTGAAGGCGGCAAAGTCGAGCGTCAAGTGGCTAATCTCCTCGAACAGCGGCACAATGAGCTGCGCGTCCGCCTCATTCGACGCCATCAGACTCTTGGCGATCGGATTGGCGAAGAGCGTCGGATTGGCGTGCACAACACCCTCCAACCGCGTGATGTTGTCCATGAACGCGAACATGTCGGACAGTTGGCGAGTGCGGAAGTGAGCCGCCTGCTGCTCGACGTTCGTCGTCACGTTCTGCAGCAGAAGATCGACGCGATGACGGGTGGTCAGTGTCCACACACTTTCGATGGGCGGCATTCGAATGTGCGCGATCGCCTCGTTCAGCGGCTCCGACAGGTTCAGCACCTTTTCGAGGGACTCGCGATGCTCGATCACTTGCACCAATTGCTCCAGTCGCTCGACTCCTCTGCCCAGATTCGTGGCCACTTCCAGCGAGTTGTCGAGCTTCGCAGGTGTCGCCGTCGCGTTCACCTTTGTCGCTGTCTCAAAATCCTCAAAGTCCGTGCGAACCTGATCCACCTTCTCCAGAATCTCCTTGATTTTCACAATGTCGTCGGATCGGATGGATCGCAAGAAAACGCCATATTTCCAAATCAAAACATCCTTATCCGCTTCGCTAAAATTGATGGCGCGAAGACATCGAAACGCCGGGAGCAGACTCGTCGGCTTCAAAATTTCTTGTTGCACTTCCTTCACAACATCCGTCTTGAGCTCTTCGTTTTTGATGCGCCGAATCAGCTCGTCGAGACCGTCCATGTCACTGCTCTCCAACTTTTCGTTGATTGTCCGGAGTCCCGTGTACATGTCGTGCACTCCGGCCAAAGCCCGAATGCGCGCCGTGACCGCCCACGCTTGGTCCTTTGTCATTCGGTGGCTCGCCTTGCGCACATCGTCCGTTATCGCTTGGTCGATTGCCGAGAGCCCGTCGTAGTTCTCAAGACTCGCTTCGCCTAGCACATCTTTCAGATTCGACCGGAGCCGCTCGGTTTTGTCGGCGAGTTGAGTCGAAAAATTGCGAAGCTTCTTCAGTTCGTCCTGCTTCTTGTCAACGTCTCGGCTCGCTTCGTACTTGAAATCTTTGAAACAGTCGCTGGCGTTCGCGTGCATCACTTCCGTCGATGAATTTCGAGACCAGCTCGCTTGAACTGCGATCGATGCGCTCAGAAAATGAAAAAGTCGGTGGAAGGCGGAGAAGTCGTCACGTGAAATGTTGAGAACGGTCCGATGGCTCGACTCAAGCGATCCGAGCTTCTCGGTGAACGATCCGAGATGCGCGAACGTCTCCTCGAGCACCTTCTTCGGATCCCTCCCTTCCGTCACCTTGTCCTTCAGCCACTGCTCAGCCTCTCCTTGAACCACTGCGAGTTGTGCAAGATCCTTGGAGCCCTGGGACAAGCCGCAAGAGTAAAACGTCTCTGGAGCGGGCTCGCGGAGCATCTCGACCTTTGAGAAGATGACCCTCAGCTCATTGAGCACACTCTCCAGCTCGCTCACTTCAACCGCACCGATTCGGCCGATTTCTCTCGCAAACTCCTTCAGATTCGTGTGCATTCGATGGAGTCCAGAGTTCCAGTAGATGCTCGCCGGCTCAACAATAAACGGCATTGTGAGAACACGTGCGCCGCGTTCTGAATCGTGCGTAATGAAATCGGTGAGTGGCTTGATAACGCCTTCATAGTTCTTGATCTTCTCCACATATTTCTCGTAGCCTTTGCGCTTGTTCCGGTACGTCAGAAGGGCCTGTTTGGCGTTCATCAACGTCTGCTCCTCTTCTGGTCCCTTCGGATCGCTCTTCGGCTCCTCTCCTTCCAGAATTATCTTGAGCGCGTCGAGCATCTCCTTCACAGTGTCGTCCATCAAACTTGTTAGATCCACACTGCCCACTGCAGCAAACTTTGCAATGAAGTTATCGGAATACGACGTATTCTCTATGTCTGCCATCGATTCCGTGAGATTGTAGATGCGCGAAAGCGCACCGAGAGACTGCTCTAGGCCCCCCGGATCCTCAAAGTTCGTCTCTTCGAGTCCTTCCAATCTTTTTTGCAGTTTGTCGAGAGAATTACGGGTGTCCTCCGGTTTCAGTCGGCTCCAGTTGCCGATCGCCTCTGGAGTGCGGATCTTGAGAAAGTCGGCCGCCAACTCATCGGCCTTCAGCGAGCTGTTCTGCAGGCCGTCACGGATGGCGATTCCCGTCGTGATGCGGGAAATCAGAGCGAGTTCCGACGTGAGTTTACGGAGATTGGGGGTCTCTGAAAATCCCTCGCTCACGGTCTCCAGAGCTGAAAATGGGCGCAAGTGCGGCGCCCCGCCCAATAGAGCGATACATTAGCGTGAAATTCAAATTTTAACAGCGCAAAATTTGTGTTTTTTTCCAGATTAGCCACGAAAAATCGATAATTTCTCATTTTTCTCTCGATAGACCGATTGTATAGGCTATTACGAATTTTTTAAGCGCAAAAGCGTTAAATCTGGTCAAGTCGCAAATTACATTTATTCGTTTGAAGGTTTTTCGCTAAAACTGCGTGAATTTCAGTTGTTTTTCGGTAATTTTCGCGGTTCGAGCGTTCAAAATGTTTGTATTTACGTGATTTATCATTCTCAAAACCAATTCCGTCTGAAAACGGTCAAAAAAGCGCAAAATTAGAAGTGCGTATTTTAGGCGGCGATCGGCGGCAAAGGCGAAAAAGCGAAATCCGCGAAAAATGCGCGAAAACGTCATTAATTCTGTGAGAATTAGTGTGTTTTCATGTCGAACAATTATTTTTCATCGCCTTTGACCACAAAAATCAGAGAAAACCTGCTCAATTCATGAAAACGCCATTTGGCCGCCGAGGCCACGCCCATATTGTCAGCTCTGCAGACCGTGTCCTTCCAAAAATCGATTCTCGCAACTAATGGGCTTATTCAGGCCGTGAAAAAAATGGTTCTTTTCCGTTTTTTCAGTTTTTTTACGTTAAAAAATCCAATTCAGCGATGTAAAAAACGGAAAAAAAACGGAAAACAGACATACGCTGAATAGCCCCATAACCGGAAGTGGCTCGTTTGCCGCCGCATGCCACGTGGACAAAAAGGCAGAAGAGCAGTAGCAAACTTCTCATTTAGACTTGCTGAAAAGGGAAAAGATGGTACTGAAAGTGATCGTTTTCCACGCCAAACCTTGACTTTTCGTTTCAAATCTGCTCAAACTTCCAGTTGTCGTTGGCAGATCGTGCAATGACTATTCATTCCGCTGTTACGATTCGGTTTTCAGAGTGGACCGGTCACGGAAATGTGAGCGTTTTCTTTGATGGAACGTGAAATGTACTCAAGGATCTCGCACAACTTTCAGTGGCTGAAGGAAGGATCCGAAGAAGGAACTCGGATCCCTTGAGTCGAGCCGCCTGAAAACGTCCTAAACATTTCCCGTGACGACTTCTCCGCCCTCTCAGACAGTTTTCCATTTTCAGAGCGGATCCATAGCAGTTGTTGTGTCCGCTTCCCGCCGGGATTCTTGATTCAACAACGAACGCTGCCAATTTGAGTTGTATTCATCACATCATTTCACGATTGTCTACTAGGCTAATATAGACCGATTCCTTTTGTTTACAGTTTGCGACGTCTCCCCTTTCAGTTCCGATTCCTTCATTTTTTTTGCAAGCTTTACGGAATTTGATTTTTGCTTTAACTTCTCCAAACTATTCAATTGTTGCGCTAGATCACAAAAAAACGAAATGGGAAGAGCGTCTAGAACATTTAGAGGCCTCAAAATCACTGGAAAAAAAGGTGAGCAAGTGATATTCAGGTCCATTCGAATTGAATTTTCTCGAAGCGGGCCTGGTGGCTCCTATTGTGTTTCCTGCCATCAAGAGCAACAATAGAACCATTTCGGAGCAAATTGAGCGAAAAAAGTTTTTTGCGGAATCTGAATTATTTGCCATGCGAAAATGTTAAAATTCCCTGAAAAATGTATTTTGCTCAATTTGCTCTAGAATGCTTTTACTGTGTCTGTAGATCAGAGTTGAGCGGAAGAACACGGAAGAATTTTTATCTTTTTTAGAAAATTTTTTCATGAAATTTGATCAACTGACGAAATGTATAACAAAGTGAACTCTGCTCATAGAAAAATAATTGTAAATTTAGCTTTTCATACAAAAAAGTTATATTCGAGTTGTTCCCGTGAAAAAGGGGGCTAACGGAAGACGGAAAGAATAACTTTTTTGTATGAAAAGTTAAATTTACAATTATTTTTCTATGAGCACAGTTCACTTTGCTATACATTTCGTCAGTTGATCACATTTCATGAAAAATTTTTTGAAAAAAGATAAAAATTCTTCCGTTGAGTTCTTCCGCTCAACTCTGCTGTAGATGTCAGAAAACACGATGGGGCCTTCTGAAACCTTTTGCTTTTCGAGAAAATTCGACTCAAAGTGTTGTTGTGACTATTTTGAGTCGAATTTTCTCGAAAAGCAAAAGGTTTCAGAAGGTCGTATTGTTGTAAAAAGTGTAAAAGTTATTCAGACTATAAATCATCGTGTGTGTACGCCGTCTGAAGACGCGCACCGAAAGTGACATCACTATTGATCTGGTCTCATTCCTCTTTCGTTTTTGTTCCTTCTTCTTCGTGTCCGCCGATCAGCCTAGCCTGACTGATTGATAATATCACGATTCTCTTCGACAAGAAGTCATCTTTGGACACTCGAATAACCGCCTCGCGTTTGGCGAACACAAATCAGAATCGCGGCGTGGGTATAAAATTGCGAATCGTAGGCGCAGAAATGAAACCTGAAGCGTGTCGCGCGATGCAATCGAAGCGTCTGACTGTACTTTTCGTTCTTCTCATGGCCGTAGCCGGTAAGTCCGTTAAAGTTATTGTCGACGACAAACAATTTCTTTTCAGTGACGCTCGCGCATTCGCACTCTCATTCGCACTCGCACTCGCACGAACACCATCATCACGGCCATTATCCGGGCGGGTATTACGGTGGATTTCAGCAGCCGTACAACTACAATCAGGGATACGGTCGAGGCGGATACGGTGGATATTATCAACAAAATGCGTGGGGACGCAAAAAGTGACGAGCGACAACGAATTTTAGGCGATAACCGGTTTATTTTTCGACACCGACGACCCGTATAACAATTTTTTGTTGTGAAAGACGTTTGGGCATTTTCTTCCTCTTTACAAACGAATGAATTTTGTCTTATGGTGCGTTCGAAGTCGACTCGTACTTTTCCTTGAGCCGATCCAACATTTCCTGCTGATCGATTCCTGAAATCCGACACTGTGTGGCCTAGCTTTTTCTCGGCCGCGCACTCACTTTGAAAGACGTATGGCGCCGAGAAGAGGATGCCGCACGTGCCGCCTACCGTAATCCCGAAAAAGACGTAGAGAAGGAGACGGTCGATGATCATTGCCACGTATTTCCAGTCGTCGCGGAACTAAAACGGCTTTTTGTTGAAAAAGTAAGGCAGTTAGTGTGTGCGATTAGTGCGATTCGATCGGAAATTGTGTGCTCAGTAACTTTGTCTCTCACGGAACCCCAGCCAGCCTTCCAATAAAAAATTCCCTTGGGACGCCATTCACGTGCGCTAAACAAGGCGCGTAACGCGTAATTCCGGAGCGTCGTTGTAGAAGAGTTTCTCACTTCAATTTTCCCTTTTTTTGCATTATCCCCATCTTTTCAGAACCAATCAGTGTCAAAACTTATGATAATGATTAGAAATGAATAGAAAATAAAATTTTAACTGCTTCGTCATCAATTTCGAAACGTTTTATGTGAAAATTACAGAATTTTTTCCTTTTGGAATCGAAAATTTGCCTCAATTATCTCAATTCTGTATACTTTTCGACGGTTGAGCGCTTAAAAGATGCGAAATAAACTCCTTGTTGACTTGACGGTTCGAATGCCAGTGTCCGAACTCGAATAATCGTTAAAACTCCGTTTTTTCAGTAGTTTTTGACAAAATCCCTCAATTTGGTCAATTCTGAACTAATCTGCTCCGTTTCGCGCTTAAATCGATGCTTTTAACTCGGAAAATCGCCCTACGGTTCGCAAAGAACAAAATTTGAGTGTTTATTAAGAGAAAAACGAAAGAATTCCGGCTTTCAATTGAAAAAAGAAACTCCGAGTCGACGGTGGATGCAAGCGCGCCCCATTGACAACTCGCTTGCGCATTGGAATGCTGGGGTTCCGTGTCTCTAAGACTTTTTCTCTAGCTCTTCTAGCGAAAGCCCACCGATTTGTGTTGTTCGTCCCTCTTCAAGTGCTCCGTAATGTACTCGATGGCGTCGATGGCTCTGAGAGCATCGGTGCTCAGCGGATAGTAGGCGGACGTCTCGTTAACTTCCGGATTCCGGATGATGGCGGTCCGCTCGTCGGCCGACGGGCACAACGGATGATGTGCCGACGGGGAGAGGGTGAACTGGCCCACTCCGGGCAATTGGGCCATTCCCGAACGGACCGCACTCCGCTCGGACACCGATTTCGGCCGCTTCATGCACACCAGTTTGGGCAGGTACTGAAAAGTTGGGTGATGTAGTGTCTGGAGTCGTTTTTTTTTCGAGCTCAGAATTTTTTAATGAAAAAGTTCGTATCTTGTACTACAGTTTTTCAGTTGATCACTTTTCGAAAGGATTTCTACGAAGGATACTGTGGCCCTTTAAAGTTGGTGCTGACCGTACGCTGTAGCGAGTTCACCAACTTTAGACGAGTACTGTAGCGTTGAAAGACGTGCAATCGGCCTAAAAAATTGTTTGGGGCACTCTTGACGTCTTGCCCTTTATTTTTCTAGTTGATCACTTTTTGATACGACGCCTACGAATGGTACGGTGGTCCGTTAAAGATAGGGGCCCTCAACGCTACAGTACTCGACAAGTTGAGCGGAAGAACTCAACGGAAGAACACGGAATAATTTTTATCTTTTTTAGAAAATTTTTTCATGAAATGTGATCAACTGACGAAATGTATAGCAAAGTTAAGTCTGCTCATAGAAAAATAATTGTAAATTTAGCTTTTCATACAAAAAAGTTATTCGAGTTGTTCCGTGAAAAAGGGGGCTAACGGAAGACGGAAGGAATAACTTTTTTGTATGAAAAGTTAAGTTTACAAATATTTTTCTATGAGCAGAGCACACTTTGCTATACATTTCGTCAGTTGATCACATTTCATGAAAAAATTTTCTAAAAAATATAAAAATTCTTCCGTGTTCTTCCGTGTTGAGTTCTTCCGCTCAACTCAAACTTGACTAATTTATTATTTAAAAAAAATGGTTCACCTGCAAAAAGACGACGCGAACCCAGTGGGGCATTCGATGAGTTCGCGGGCCCCGAAAGTATACGTTGATTATGATGACGGTCACGAGAATCGTGATGACGTTGAGCACAAAAGTGAGCAAAAGGTACTTGGCCATCAGCGGAATCGTGGACGACGTGGGCGGCAGGATCTTCGACACAAGCAGCAAGAAGACGACGATCGAGAGAAGGACAGAGATGGTCAGCGTGATCTTTTCGCCTGAAAACGTCGTTGCGGACCATCGTAGCGGCAAAACTGACCCGAATCGGTGGGCAGGAAGAAGACGGCCATGCTGAGAAAGGCCATCAGGACGGTCGGAATGATGAGCACCACTGTGTAGAAGAGCGTTTTGCGGCGGATCCGCACCTGGAACTCTATCCGCGAGCGCTTGTTCACGAGCGATGCCGGCACGTCGATGACGTCCCAGATGGAGCTGGCCGAGTACTCGGACACGTCCACCAGCTCCGCCTGCACGAATTCCAGCTTGATCTCGTTCTCGTTGTACTGAAAATGCATTGAAATTGATTTGAATGTAGGCCAAGTTTGTTAAAATCAGAGCAAATCTCTCAAAAAAAGAATGAGATACCACGGTCTCCAGAGCTGACAATGGCCCCGCGCAATAGAGCGATACATTGGCGCGAAATTCAAATTTAACAGCAAAATTAGTGTTTTTCGCCAGATTAGCCACGAAAAATCGATAATTTCTCATTTTTCTCTCGATACACCGATTGTATAGGCTATTACGAATTTCTTAAGCGCAAGTGCGTTAAATTTGGTCAAGTCGCAAATCACATTTGTTCGTTTGAAGGTTTTGGGCTAAAACTGCGTGAATTTCAGTTGCTTTTCGGTAATTTTCGCGGTTCGAGCGCTCAAAATGCTTGTATTTACGTGATTTATCATTCTCAAAACCAATTCTGTCGGAAAACGGTCAAGAAAGCGCAAAATGAGAAGTGCGGTTTTTAGGCGGCGATCGGCGGCGAAGGCAAAAAAGAGAAATCCGCGAAATTCGTGAAAAATGCGCGAAAACGTCATTAATTCTGAGAATTAGTGTGTTTTCATGTCGAGCAATCATTTTTCATCGCCGTTCACGACAAAAATCAGAGAAAATCTGCTCAATTCATAAAAACGCCATTTTGCCGCCGAGGCCACGCCCATATTTTCAGCTCTAGAGACCGTGGATCCCTTGAAAAGTAGGTCAAATCTATGAAAACTAGGCCAAACACGTTGAACTTTTACAAAATTAGACAAATTTTTTCAGAAAATGGGTCGTTAAACCGACCGTCCAACTGCCGAAAACGAGTGTGCAGACTTGTTCGTCGAACGGAAAGAACTCGACGTCTGAAAATGTGCTCAAATTGTCGATGGCCGAACTTTCTCCTGCTCGGCCACACGGCCACCCACCAATAATGCAACTGCTCTTGTAGATGGCGGGCGGAACCCAGAGCATGTCGCCCTGATGATCGATGACGACGTTGCACATGAACGAGACTTCGTAGTTGCCGTCGGCGCTGCAAAAGTTCGGTCACCGTTTGGGGAAAAAGTTAGGCCACCGTTCGTTTGCTCACTTGTTGAAGAGGACAATGTCGGGAAGCCAGACTTTGTCGGGCGACACGCGAATCTGCTTGATCTCGCCATAGTTGACCGGGTTCCACTTCATTTGGAAATCGTGCCATTGCTACAATAATTGGATGGCCTAGAAACCCAAAACTAGTCCCTCTCCGGTTACCAGTGTCAGCCAGACGTTTGTGTGCATGACTTGATCCTTTTCGTCCTAAATTGTGCGAAATGTGGTTAGGCGACGCAAGGAATCCGATTAAAACGTACCACGTTGATGAGCAACACCAACTGCAACGCCATTTTGACGATGAGCGGCAGTTCCGATGAGTTTCGGACCGGCTGAAATTGAGAGGGACTAGTTTTCCGGGGGCCGAAGAGTTTTCTAGGCCACCTGAATAAGCGAATTGTAGCCGCGGAACACGTCGACCATCAGCCGTTCCTCATCGTCCGACGCCGACACTGAAAAGATACTGGGTGGGCGGCTTACTAGGGAATGGCTCGCACTTACCTTCGGGGCTTTTGGAATGGGACCGATATGATTCGAAAAAGAATTTCACGGAGAATCCATCCGAATCTTCTATCCATTTTTGCTAAAGAGCACTGGCTGGCGAGAAAAAGAAAATCTGCCTGTTTCTGCCACATTTTCCGAGCAAGTTCATCTTCGGCGACCTGTATCTCAAGAACCATGCGTCCGTTGCAAAAGTGATCAACAAGTAAGTTAACGCAAATTATCTCGTGAATAACTTTGTAGTTGATCGTCTATTTTAAAAAAAATTAGTTTTCGAGTTATGAACTGTTTTCCTAGAGCGACAAGAAAAAAGTTAGTGCTGGGGTCAGAGCGACGATAACTCGAAAACTAATTTTTTTAAAAATAGACGATCAACTACAAAGTTATTTACGAGATAATTTGCGTTAACTTACTAGTTGACCACTTTTGCAACGGACGCGTGGTTCTTGAGATACACGTCGCCGAAGATGAACTTAAAAAAATGGAGAGCAGATTCGGATTCTCCGTAAAATTTTCTTTCGAATCATATAGGTCCCATTCCAAAAGCCCCGAAGGTAAGTGCGGGCCATTCCATTCCTAGTTCGACAGTGGCCGAACTTTTGCAACTATTGTAGACTCACTTTTTTTGCGCGGGGGACCGAATGAAAAGTAAAGTGTGAGGGTGTTGTAAACAAATCAAAAGTGTTCGAAACTCTCGCGGCCGTGGTCCCCGGAGATCGATTCGCACGTATTAACCGAGACAAGTCTTTTCAACGCCTTCCTTTTCTACACACTTTTTTCTCGGGCGGTGGCCTTGTCGGATTCTAGGCCACCGAAAGCGAATGCGATCACCTACCGTAACCCGTCGTGCTGATCAGTAGTAGTAGAAGAAGAGGAAGAAGAGGAAGAAGAAGCGTGGATGATGGGCGGTACCTCATGAGGACCTGAAAAGTAAGGTTTGGTGGTGGTGGTGCAAATGTGCGTTTGGTGGAAGGAAGGGGAATAATTAAAACTTTCTCTTCTTCTTCTTGTCCCCATGTAGAAGCAGGAGAGGAAGGGGGAGAGAGAGAGAAAGAGATTAGGGAATGGGAATGGAAGGGACATGAATGATTGTGTGCTCCTTCTCCTTCTTCTTCTTCTTCTTTCCCTTTTCTGTCGCCCACCATCAAAAGCACACGGATTATATATGAAAAGGAAAACGGGGAAAGCGAAAGAGAGAGAGAGAGAGAGGGAGCACATCATCCATTTTCCATTGTTTTTGGGCGGTCAGCAAGCAAAAGGACCCGAGATGAAGAAATTTAATGAGAGAGAGAGAGAGAGAGAAGGAGCATTAATAAATGGGACTCGAGTATTTCGGGCGGCTTGAAGCAGCAGCTTTCGGCGGCAAAAAGGATTACTGTAGGTTTTTTGTTGGAAGTCGATAGTTTTCAAATGCGCGTGTTCGGTCGTGCAAAAAGCGCACGCAAAAGCGATTAAGCGCTCGAAAAACTATGAAAATGAGCATAAATTGCTCTTTTTCCCACGGAAAAGCCGTTGCGGCGCCGACGACGCAAAGTGCTCGTTTTTCCGCCGTCGTGAATATGAATTGCGTTCCGATGGTTAACCCCAAACAGATGCGATTGCTCGAAAAATCACAGAAACGAGAGGTAAGCGACAAAGTATCGATTGATTTGATTGATTGTGAGTGAGTGAGCCGCCGTGCTTCTGGCCACGACGGAGCGCTCGGAAGATGATAGTGTAATTGGCCGAGAGCTCTCGCTCGCAGACGACAGCTGCCATTCGGCTGCTCATTCGGCTCAAAAAGTGATGAATGCGGGTGACACTCTTTCACCCCCCCCAAAAAAAAAAAACAAACTATGAATTTCACTCGATAAGTAGTTAGAAAACAACATTGAGAACGATGAGACCAATAAGTGTAACGACAAACGTGACAGTAAAAGAATGTATCAATTTTTCTCGCGGTACGCCAGTTTTCCGTAGTACGCCGTGATCGTCTTCACTTTCGAGTTCAGCGCCGACTGCTCGATTTCCACACGCGATTTCGCTTTCATCGCCAGTTCGGTCAGCTGCAAAAAGTTGGAAAACGTTTCAAGAATCAGTCAAGATCTAAAAAAACCTGACTAATTTTCGTGTTTCTCGGCAAGAAATAGGCAATGTTGGGGCTGATGCGAAGGGAAGCGTCGAATATGTGGATGCCGTCGGGCGTGCAGCCCGTCGCCAGATCAAACTCTTTCGCCTTCAAGTACGAGGGTCCGCCCCATGGAGGGCTCAGGAACACCGCGTCCACTTTCGGCGCATTTCCAGACTGTTGCCACGTGGCGGCCACCGAGAAGAAGTCGGCGCAGATGAAGTGGATGTAGTCCGCGACGCCGTAGACCCGCGCGTTCTCCCGCGCACACTTCAGACGCACCGGGTCCATGTCGATCGCGATCACTGCAACAATTTTTCTTGTTATCACCACATTTACAGAACGCATCGAGATCTACAATGTCCTTCTACTCACTACTTTGATTCATTAGATCGAAAACTTCTAACTAGTTCAAAACCCCGTGTATTTACCATGTGCGCCCTTGAGTGCGAACTGAATCGCATTGCCGCCAACACCCGTGAACGCATCAACGACCACGTGTACTCCGTTTCGGACGACCCGATCGGCAATGTGCTCCGCGATGGCCTCGGGCGTGACGGAGAACCAACCCTCGCGGTCCATGAGGATGCCCTCGTCGAGCCGCGAGAACAGACGGTATCTCTGGTAGTAGTACTTGCAGATCTCCGCGTCGTTCTCGTACAACTCCTTCGCGTTCGCCGCGATCAGGTGCCCTTCCGTTTCCGGATCGAAATTGAAACGGATCTCATCGTTTCGGACAGGATTCTGCCCGGTTTCCAATGATTCCGGTGCCGAAATCGATTCGGACGACTCGGTTTCTTCGCATTCTTGTGACGCACTCTTGGTTTTGCTGAAATTAGTCGTATTCGTTTTTTAGCTGTTTGAAAAGTGCTCACGAATATTTGATAGCAAACTGGTCGGCGTCAATCGTGTACCTCGTCTCCGCAATCACCAATTTATCGCGTTTTTCGTCGCGACACAAATCGTAACTCGCCGGAAATTGAGTTTCGTCGAAGCCCGGCTCGTAGCCGACACGTGTGATCTGCAATTTTAGAAAGACGCGCATGAATTTATGAACATTCAACAAAGACGCGCACTCTTCCCACGAAATCCCTGCACCGTTTCGTGATGGCCGTCGTCTGGTGAGCGTCGAAATCGATTTCCGCCTGTTTTTTGATGAGCACGCAGTGTTCCGCGTAGATTTCCTCGTACGTCACGTCCGGATTCTCCGATATCAGCTTCTGCGTCACGTGCTTGTAATCCGCGTTGTCCTGCAATGAGATTTTGTGGAAATGTTGACAGGGAGACAATTTTTTTCAAAGCTGTTCGCATTTAGGCCATGTGTTTGCCAGAACCAACACATCCTCAACGGCATGCGATTTTTTTCATGCACTTTTTTTATGTTGGGACTAAAAAGAAAGAGCCCCTCCTGCTTACCACGAGATTTTCGTGTTGTTCTATAAGGGAGACGGGTCTCATCGTGTGCAGTTGGTCCCTCAAAATCAAGCGGTTCTCCTCGGTCATTTCGGCGCCGAAATCGTTGAGCCACGTGGAGTTGAGCAGGAAAAACGCGGAGACGTCCCAGAACTCGGAGAACGATTTATAGTGGTATTTCTGCTTTTTTCGGTTCCGTCTCTTCCGCTCGTTTTTTTGGCTCGACGCCCATTTCGGGACCACTCCGTAGGCTTTGTCTTCTGCCACTTCTTCTGGAAAATTAAAAATGTCTAGAAAATGTGTCAGAAAAAATCAAGAAAATGCTCACCAGTTTCGGCAGCATTCAAATCGACGTCGGCCATTTCTTCGACGGGCGGCTCCTCCTCTTTTTCCGCCACTTTTTGCTCTTTTGGCCGATTGCTCGCCTTCAGAAGTTCCACGTCACTGAAAATGGCGAATTTTCGGAATACTTCTAGCCAGATTTTTCTTTCTTTATCTATAAAATCCAATATCGTATTACCCTTTGAAATTGGCCTAAAATCAGTCAAAAACCTCTCAGAAACAATTTTTGGGACCAACTTCTCACTTGTCCACGAGGAGTCCGAGGCATAGAAATTCTAGGCCACGATAAAATTTCGGCGAAAATCCAGATAATTTCTCTAGCAATTTTTTCAGCATCATTTTCAGGCAAAAACTAACCGAATATAGGCTCTAGAAAGGTCTCCTTCCACAGAAGCCTTCGAACCGTCCGTTTTGATGAAATCAATCGAAAAGTGGCCAATTTGACTCCACGGAAATTGATAATCGCCCTGTTCTTCGGCCGCTTCGAAATCCATTCGATTTCGGCTTAAAATTTGATTTAAATGTGAAAAACCGCGCTAGAAGAGGTATATAAAAGGAGGATTAGTCCACCACAGAAACACATGACAAGAGAGCGCAGAGAAACAGACGGAAATGTTTTCGAAACGAATCATTTCGCAACCAAAAATGTCCCACACAAATGCTTTATTTTTCGTTTCGATCGTTCAATAGTAATACACAATAAACCGGAAATATTTAAAAGAAATTTACAATACGTTTTTTTTTTTGGTTTTTTACAATAGAAATCCGTAACAATTCAACGAGAAATGTGTATTATGATTTTCTCTCACTCAGGCCATCGTGGCTTTTTTGTGGGCCGCCGCCAGTTTCGGATGAATTTTCTCCGCGTTTTGGAATGTGATTATTTTGCCTTCCGACGAGCCGATTCCCAGAAATCCCTTCTTCTTTTCCTGCAAACAAATTAAAATTTTCACGGTTTCATCAAAATGCTTTGTTAGGGAGTTGTTTTAAAATCACACTACTCGTAGAGCAGAAATATAATGAACATTTCAGCGCTGGGCAAAACAAACAAACAATCGCCCAAACTCACTTTGAGCAAAATTTTGACTCCGTTCGGAATGAACTCGGGCTCCTTGATCTTGAGGTACTCGCTCGCCCACTCCGTCTGCCACACACCCATCACGTCGGTTCGTTTCGAGAGGACCAGTCGGCGGTCCGTCACGATCAGCACGATTTTGTCGCTGATCGACGCGTACGTTATGAATTCGTCCGTTTCCGACAGCTCGCCGCGGTCCGTATCCTGCACAAAAATGAGAGGTTTTAACTGCGAAAATTATCAGTTTTATGAAAATTTGATGATCATTACTGACCAAATTTAAAACGTTTCGATCAAACCACTCGTGTCGGATCATTTCAAAGTGAACGAGATCTGTGTGAGAGATCTCCTCTTTTCCTGATCTCTGCGGGGTGCTTAGTTTTTCAGCCGCGTAACAAATTGCAGTTGTTTTTATGCGAATTCTGGACCAAATTTCTTTTTTTTTCATTTGGCGATCCACAATTTGACTAGAGCGCACTTTCCTATCGCAGCATTTCAAAGTGATCACCGGCACTGAATGAAATAAAAAGAAGGAAGTTGGTCCTGAATTCAAATAAAAACAACCGCAATTCGTGACGAGGCTGAAAAACTAGCCCCCCCCCCCCCTGTGATTCATGTCTAAAAATAGTGTCCCTCACTGCTAACCTTGAACACTTTGAATCCGTAGGCGTCTCCCGAAGAGTACGGCTTGACAATCTTGTCGGCGCGGAGTACACGTGGCGGTCTGAGCGGTCCCGCCTCCGTGTTGGTTCCGGCGACGGCTCTGACCGAATTGAGGGTGCCCGAGGCGAAGTCGACGACTCCCGAGACTGGCCGAGTGACCATTCCGACGAGTCCCTTGCCGACGCCCTTCACGAATCCGAGTCCGCCCTCCTGCTTCGCTCCTTCAATCGGCTTCGTCACGACGCCAGTCAGTCCGCCGACCACGCCCATTCCGAGTCCCTTGAATCCGCGCGCCATGCCCTCCGAGAACGACTGCGGTTTGCGGTTCAGGTCCTCCTGCCGCTTCTTCATGTAGTCGTCGTCGAACGTGAGCGCGGCGACGCCCTTGCCCACCGTTCCCGTGATTCGACTGACTGCGCCCGCCGCGCCGCCGACCGCGTGTCCGAACATCGACTGCACGCCAAGCGCCACTCCCGCCGCGAATTCCTGAAAATTGTTGTTAGGGTGTGCTCCCTAAACGCGATGCTCACCTCGGGGCCCTGAATGGCTCCCTGGAATGGCTGATAGAAGAGATCTTCGACTCCGGCGGACAAGTCTCGCACCAATCCGAACGGATTTCCGATGATGTCGAGTCCGAGCACGAGCACATACACCTGCTTGATGAACTGTTTCGCGTAGTGCGACACAATCTCTCCGTTCAGTTGTTCGGGACTGTAGAAGGTGCATTTGCGCTCGAAATAGGCGAGTTTGAAGATGACGTCCTGCAGTTCGGTGAGCGTGACGCCCACCGATCTCAGCAGCACGTTGATCATCTCCGACTGGATCGGCACTTGCGCGGCCGACGAGGCGGCGTCTCCTGAAGTGCCGCCTTGCGAGAACGACAAGTGCATCATGATCGGCGAGATGTGCAGGTCGTTGTAGAACGCCTTCGGCCGCTGCGATCGGTAGGCGCTCGCCGTCTCCGACAGTGTCACGTGGCACATTTTCACGTCCTCGTCGAACATTTCTTTGCCGTACGGCTTCCGCGCGACTTCGCCCGAAATCAGCAGAAGCAGGGCGTTGATGAGTCCCTGGTCGACTTGCACCGCAAACTCCTGGATCAGCACGTGCGCGTACTCGATTTCGGCGATCGACGAGAACTCGGGCTGACGTTGCAGCAGAGACAACTCGATGAACGGCTTCGGCGCTGGAAAAATGGGGTTTTGGTTATAATTAATTCGCCAAGTGGATAAAATCATTGGACATTCAGGAAAAAGTCGCAAAAATTGAATATTTGAAAAGCGAAACTCACTATTGTCCACGATGACACTCTTCGGCGGCGGAACGACGGAGAGAACTCTCGGAAAGACGCACGCGTCGAGCTGAACATTTTTTAGAATTTAGAACTGGAAAAATGTCCAAAAAAGGCGTACCTGATTATCAATCTGTATATGATTGATCTTCGCGTGCAACCGCGTCCTCTGCGCGCTCTTTCCGTAGCTCGCCCAGACGCCCTTCTCGAAGATCCGTCTCAATTTCACCTCCTTGCCCTTCTTCTTCTTGAGTATCATGCGATTGATGTTCACCTCCATTCCCTCCAGACTCTCATACTCGTCGCGCGGATTCGCGAGTGTCGTCTGGTACTTCTCCTCGAGCGCCTGCATGAATTTGACGGCCAGCGGCTTGAATCGTCCCTTTTTGACCTCCTCCTCCCAGAGAATATCGGACGACGAGACGGCCATGTAGATGATCTCGCGACCGACAATATTATCGACGACCGACAGGCCGAATCCTTGCAGCGACACCTCCGCCTGCATATCGACAATATCCGTCTCCCAGCTACCGTACGCCGCCTTCGCCACGTCGACGTCGGGCGTGAAGAGCAGCACGCGTTGGCGTCCGATCAGGAAATTCGAGTAGTAGGCGAAACGACGAACGTTCTTCTCGATTTGATAGTCGCCAAACCGGTTCTGATCGAGTTTGTCCTCGAGTTTCCAGTCTCCGATGCTCACTTCCAGAGTCTTTTCCTCGATCACACTGGCCCACGTGAACTGGGCCGTCTGATTCGGCGGGACCGTCGTCTTTTTGTGTCCCTTCTGACCGAACTCGATGGGCACTTTGAGGTTGTTCATCAGTTGGACGGGACACATTCCGGGGGCGAATGGGCTCAAATGGATGGCGACCGAGGACTCGCCGGTCGAAACGGACACCTCCACTCCGATCGAATCGCCGTCCATCTGGCACAGGGTCTCGTAGTTCTCTGTGATCGGGAACAAGAGCGATTCGGCCGTCGGCTCCTCCTTATATCGGACCGCCATCAGCTTTCGCTTCTTTCGTTCCACTGGCCACAGTCCGACGCACTGCAACATTTCGGATTTTAACGATAATTCAGATTTTCCTACTTTTTTTTAAATTAAAAACTAACAAAACGACAATATCAAACTTTTTCGAATTTTCAAACACACCGTCTCGGCAGGCACATCGATCCACGTCTTCTGTCCTTCCTCGCGAATTTCCATCGGATATTTGCCGAGATTGGAGGCCAGGTAGAACGGAGCAAATGTGACAATCTTGGTGAGACCCGACTGGCACAGCTTGATGTCCACCGTCAACTGCAAATGATTATTCGATTGACAAAAAAAAATGAGGAAAAGGGCTGTTTTTTCCGACCGGATTATCGCGGTAAAACCGGAAATGTCCAGATTGCTACACCTTAAGGACATACCAGGTACGGGTATTCTGACGGGCTCAAATGAGTGGAAACAGAACGAATGTGACCCATAGAAGTAACTTAGACAGTTTGCCTGTCACGAACCGCCGGCGCTCAACTCAAAACCCACATCAAAATCATTGTGGCCTCCTTTGCACGTGATTCTCGCGGCATTTCCGACCGTATCCAGCGGGAACTCCTCCGACCACTCACTTTCGTTGTCGATTCGAACACGCGCCTACAAAACATTTGATTTTTGAATTTTTCGTCAAAGCAATACGCTTTTGAATTGGGACATTTCCCAATTCAAAAGCGACAAAAAACACATGTTGTTACCTTCTTTTTCTTGGCCAAATCGACGGCGGGGAACGGCAAAATGATCGGATTCTCGTTCGGAAGATGCTGAACGGCATCGTCGTTCTGCAATTTTCAATCAAAAATTGAAGAATTGCCCAAAAACTCGGGAAAAACTATCAACAAATCCCGAAAAATAGGAAGAAAAAATGGGTAAACCTCTTGCGACGAGACGACCGACTTCTTTCCACACGGGACACACCCACGCGCCGTGTTTGTCAACATGTTTCCGGAGGATTCCTAGATTGAAAAAAATGGAGAAAAAAACGAATGGACAATATATTAATAGAAGGGGAGGAGTGAGTGAGTGGAGGGGTCATTTACATTACAAAAAAAAAGAAGAAGCGATAGTAGAAGCCGAGTAAAGCATTGCTTTCAGCAAAGAGGACCCGTTTTCTTTAATTACAAATATACGAGCTTCCACTTTTGGGGCTTGAAAAAAAAAACTAGTTTTGGGACTGAACAATTGAGAAAAAATCGCCTACCACGTGTCGGAGAATCTTTTCGGTATTGTTGACGAGCCAGAACGGCGCGTACAGATAGACCTTCTGGTCGCCGTACTCGCTCGTCCAGTGGAGACCCAACAACTGAAAATTGAGTGAGATGTTTTAATTGCAAAGAAAATAAGGACTCTCTTAAACGGCGTACCAATTCATCGGATCCGGTCTCCGTGTTCAACGCGACCACCTCCAAATCCTTCTTGACCTCGGGCACCGGCATTTCGAGCACATATTTCTCTCCGAGATAGTTGACCCACAATTTGATCGTACTTCCGGCCACCACATTCAAAAGAGTGCCCGTTCCGGCGGCCAACGTCTTCTGTTCGGGCGTCTCGAGTTGCACGTCGCACGGGAGGTTGTTGTGGAACTCCAGTGGGGGATACAGATGCACGTGGAAGACGGACGTCGTCTGATCGTCGGCGCCGTCTTGCACCTTCTCCTCGTGCACCACCGAATCGATGTAGATGCCCGTGAATGGGCCGGCGTCCGAACTCGTGTCCGCCTCGCAACGCACCGCCTGTCGACGGTTGTGCTCGAAGTTGTGCCAGCACAGCGACTCGAACGACACTTCGTATCTGCGAAAACACTTTTTTGTGATGCGCCTGGACTTTCGAGCCACGTGTAATAGTCCGATCGAACTCAAACTTTGTAGGCCTTCTTAGACTTGGATTTAAATATTTCAGGTTCCCAAGAAGTCTGCAAAGTTTGGGTCCGATCGGATTATTCTAAGTGGACGTTTTGTCCAGCTTTGCTCAAAACCCACTTGTCATCCACCGGCTTCAAGTAGATATCTCCAGAAGGCGAGAAGAGAAGTGGGACCGCGAGCGGGATGGTCTCTCCGTGTTCGACAGTTCCGAACAGGTCGAGTGTCGTGTCTCGTTTCGAGTACAGCTCGACCGGATAGCTCAGGTGGTTGGTCACTTTGACGTGCGAGTTGAGTGTCACCAGTCGGCGATTGTTCTCTATCGTCGTCTCCGAAACGATCAGCCACTTATGGCCGCCCTCGCTCACTTTCGGCAGATGGATGATCCGCTTCTCGGCCCGTCCAATCTTGGTCTCGCGAACCGTTCCGACGAGTTCGAACTTCAGATCGCCCTGAATCTCCTCCTGCTCGATGCTGAGCCGTCGATCTTCGTCGTTCCGTCTTCCGTTCTTCAGGAAAACATCGAGAAAGTCTCCGTGCGTCGCATCCACGGCTTCTCCGTTCTCGCTCACTCGCACCGTCTCCGTATCGAGTACTTTAACGACGATTCCCGTTTCGTTGAGCACCACAAATGGAGAGATTCCTGGCAAATGACGGGTTTGTGTGGGCGTAATCTGTTTGGCGGCCGTCGCAAACGCCTCGGAGAGCTTGTTGAGCAGCGAGAGCAGCGATTTGGTGACCGTCACGTTCAGCATCCGGTCCGCTTCGATCTTGACGTCCGTCTGCGGGGACGTGTCCGTCGTGTCCTGTTTGTTCCGCGACTTCATCGTCATCGTCAGGCGCCACCGCTCGAATTCGCCCTTCTCGTTCTCCACCGGCTCGATAATCGGCTCCCACACACTCACCGACTCGTTGTAGTAGGTCATTTGGAGGGAGATTCCCGAGGAGACACGCATCGCCGACGACCAATCGTGCGCTTCCGCGTTGATGAGCATGTCCAGGAAGATCAGCGGGACGGGGATCTGCAATGATTTTCATTCATTTTGTGTGTGCTCTTGACACATTTCTGGAAATTATCAGTTTTAGACCGAATTTTTTCAAAATTTCGAATATTTTTCCATTGAAACGTACCGCTCCAGTGCCGGCTTCCAACGTGAACGAGATCCTCTCAATCTCGACCTTGGCGCTCTCCTTCCCGATCATCGAGTCCGTTCTCAGAGTCCTCTGCTCCGTGTCCTCCTGTGTCGCGTCCTCCTCGAGCGCCTCCTCGGCCACGGGGGCAGCAAAAAACCAGTACTTTCGATGGTCAATGGGTTTCGGCTCAAAGTATTGCGGCCACTTGCGCAGTTTCGCCACTTTCTGTCCGGAAGATGTGCCCGCTTCTTGTGCGGCACTCGACTTGGCGAATTCCGCCGAGACGGCCGACAGGAGTCGAATGATCGACGGCGACATTTTCACGTCCATCGCCGACATTCGGAGCACCGCGTCGGTCGTCTTCTTCTCCGTATTCATATTGACCAACGCGCGAATGGTAACCGGATTCAGGACTTGATAGGTGACCTCGTTGCGTCGACTCGGCTGATAATAACTCGAAAAGATGGTCAGATTCTCGACCGCCACGTTCATTTGCGTGTCTTTCGTCGCCTCGTCGGGATGCGATGCGGCCGTGACGTTGAACGAGAGGATCAGTGCCTGTGTTGACTCGGGATGCATCGAATCCTCCACAAGAATCACCTCGACACCATGCATATCACAATCGATCGCAATCGTTCCGGCCGGAGCTGGCGGCCCCGAAGATCCCGTTTTGGCTCCTGCCGGAGCTCCAGAAACTGCCTTTGTCGGTGCGGTCGCCGCTGAGATCGCCTCCTTCTCGGCCTGCTCTTCCGATTGCGGCACATTAAAGAAGCGGGTGAGGCATCCGAGAAACTCGGGACACAGACAAATGAAGAATGCGGTCATTTTGAGTTTGACCTGCTTGTTCGCCTCGGCGTCCTGATTGAACGACATGTCGAGGAAGCGCTCCTCCCGCGCGCCCTTCTTGTCCATCAGCTTTGCAATCTTCGTCCGCTCCTTTCGCTCGTCGTCCATCGTGAACGCGTCCAACGACATTGCAAACACCAGCGAGTTGTCCTCGCCAATCTTTCCCGACGTTTTCACATTGTTGAGACGGAGTGCAGCGAAGGCGTCCGATTCGTTGCGCACTCCATTCCGAGCTTCTCCTTCGTACAGAACCGCCGAGATTTTGTCGAGAACGAATTGGAAAACGATGCGAGTGTGCGGTTTTTCGACGGGCGCCGGTGGTCCCGCATTCGCCTCTCTATCCTTTTTCACTTGCTCTTTTCCGGGGGTCGTCGGTGCAGTCGCAGTGGTTTCCGTGAGTGCTGGTGGTGGCGGAGGAGGTGGGACCGCAAGATCCGCACCTTCTGCTAGGTTTCCGGAAAGCGTCTGCATGAGCGTCTTATAGTCGACATCCGACATTTCCGCTTCGATCGAGTTGAGATGCGCGTCGACCACAATTTCTGGCAGTTGCTTGACACTCGCAAACGTCAGGTTGCGTTGCAGTGCGAGTTTGAACGAGATCGGCTTCAGAATCGAGCACGTCGACGAGACCGCCGACACGTCCTCGTTCATCACGCCCATTCCGAACGTGCAATCGTTCAGCTGGATGTCCATCCGATCGATGACCGCCTTCGGGAAGTGCGCATCGCCACGAATATCGTTCTTGAGCGCCAGTCGTCCGAGATGGAGGACGATCACGTCACGGGAGGTTGATAGTCGGGGCACCACGATGAACGGCGCCTCGAGCACGACGTCTAGTTGGATGCGCGGCGGCGACTGCTCCATAATCTGCTTCACATTCTGCGCCGCCGTCGCCGCTCTTTCCGCGGCGGCCGCCTGAGCCGCATGGGCGGCTCGGACCGCTTCGTTCTGGAACGGTGCGATCCAGGCCATGAGGCGGGCCAACCACAGGTTGAGGAAGACGAATCGCATCTGTGCCAGCCGCATCTTCACGACCATATCCACGTCGGCGGCGACCATTTTGGCCCGCTGCTCGTCGCTTCGTTGGTATTGGACAAAATCGAAGCGGAGCATGTCTTCGGAGCCCGTCACCGAGAGCAGCTTCTTGTAGACGGCGTCCGTCGTGCGGTCTTCCATCGATATGGCGCGCAGTGTCGCCACCACCTCCATCGCCTTCTCCGTCATTTTCACGTTCGCATGGATCTGAAAATCGACATGTTTCGGGTTTCGCATAAAATCAGGTGACACTATTACAGAATCGTCTACTCTGTCCCCTGGTTTCTTTCGCCCCCGAAGAAACCTACATGTTCAATAGCCAAACTAGTCTCCAGCGCCTTTTGGGTTCCGATCATGAGCGCCAAACTTCCGAACGACGCGCGGATGTGTTGTTTGATGTTTCTGGAGGTGTCCTCCACTGCCGCCAGTGCTCCGACCGTCTTCTTCCTCTGCCGCTTCTCCTTCTCTTTCGTCGATGACGACGTCGCCGCCGTGAGTGACACCAGGGAAAGGGCACTTTCACTCAATTTCTTGCTGATCTTCCTCGTCAACTCCTCCAACTTCTCCTCCTCCGGCTTGTCCTTCTGCAGCTCGGCAAGCTGCCCCTGCACTGCTTCTCCGAACGCTTTCAACTCCAAAACTCCTTCTTGATGGAGGGAGACTGCGAGTTTGGTGAAGTTGAAGTCGATCGCCTGTTCCGTCGAGTGGTATTCGGTATGGAAAAACGGCGATTCGGGATTGGCCTGCACGAATTTCAACGTCATCAGTGCGCCCTCCAACTCGTCATTGTCGATCAGGTACAAATGTGGTCGTTTCGAATCCAGGGAGTTGAATTCTGGCATCGAGACTCGAATGGAGCCGAGTTCGGCGGTGACGACCATGTCGAACGTGCGCATTTGCAGTTTGCACGCCATTTTGAGGATCGACACGTCGCAGAAGACGGCCTCCTTTCTATAGACGACGACTCCGATCTGGTTGAGTCGGAGGTCCAGCTCGATCTGCACCTGCTGCTCGCTCGTCTTTTTCTTCCTCTTCCCCTCTTTTCCCTCCTTCTCCTCCGACTCCGTCTCCTTCTGCGTCTCGTCCTCCTCCATCTCCTCCGCCTCCATGATCGTTCGCATCTTGGCGCGATCCTTGATCTTCGCCACCGGCACCTCCTCCAGCTCCTTCTCCGCCTTCGTCTTCACGTCGGGCGCCGGCGTCGGGATCGAAAGGGCCAATTTCATGAGTCCGATGAGACGAACGTCCGAAATTCCGACGACAATGTCGGGAAGGTCGCCGAGCACACGCATCTTTGACAGGCGCAGATCGTCGATCGACGATTTGTGGATCTGAATACTATATTTTTGAGAAATTCCAAAAGCCCTCCTCACCTGTATATCCAACCCGGTGGGCTTAAGCACGTGCAACGGCGATTCCTTCTCGAACACGCACTTTTCGGCGGTCTCCACATTCTCAGCGAACGCAATCACGACGTTGCTCAGCTTCACATGGAATCGATCGTAGGCCTTCTCCATCAACGCCGCCAGCTTGTCGAGTCCGTCCGTTTTGACGGTCGAAGTGTCGACGGTGATGACCGAGAGCAATCCGAGATCCGCGAGGAGCGTCGGCTTCTCCGCGTCGAAAGTGCCGCCCTCGGAGACGTAGACTCTCGCCGGCTGGATCTGCACGTCGAGCACAAGACGGGAACGATGCTCGACAGCGTGCGCCAGTCCCGTCACCGATCGCGCCTTCACCTCCTCGTAGCGGGACATCGCGAGCGCGGTGAGTTGGTTGAGCCGCACCGACTCGGGCGGTTTGAACACGTCGATCGCGTTGTTGATCGCCGGCGCCTGGTACTTCACGTTGATGGGGGCGATCGCCAGCTTCACCAGCTGATCGTAGTCGCTCGTCAGCGGGTTCGTGTCGAGCAGGAACGACATCCACGGGACCGACGGGTCGCGGACTCGGATCACTTCACGGCCGCAGCCGTCCATTCGCAACTCTTGGATCGCCGACTCCACGCTGGAAATTTACAGGTTTTGTCAAAAATTTCTGGAAAATTCATAAAAACTGCTATTTTTACAGTGAAAATTAAAGTGATTATCAGTTTTCATCATTCCCCCATTTGTTTTGCAAAAAGGTTAAAACAAACTGCATGGCGCCGGCACTGGGTCTCTGCTCGACGTTGGCCTTCAACTGCAGCAACTGCATCGAAACGGCGCCGTCGACGACGATGGCCACCTGTCCGAGCTTGAACTCGAACCGATTCTCCACAAACTCTTTCGGGTAGTTCGTCGGCGGAATGTTCTCCTGATAGTCGATCGCCTCGAACAGTTTCGCCTTCTCTTCCGGAGTCATCGCCGCCTCAAAATGGGGAGAAATTTCAAATACGCAAAAAGCTATGGTTCTTTTGTTTACGATTAAAAAAAAAAGTTTTTCCTGTTTCACGAGTTGGTTGAAAAAGGTTAGTTCCCACTTCTTCAATCAGGAAGTCTGAAGCTCCACGTTTTTTTGCACGCAATTTCAGTCTTCCCCAACATTTATGAATACTGCCAACCTGGAACTGCGAGCCAATGTCCTTTCCTCCGTCCTTCTTCTTGTGCTCCCCACCAGGTGGCGGTCCCCCGGATGCCCCTCCGAACCAGCTCTTGCCCCAGGCGACCCATCCCTGCGGCTTGTCCTCCTGCCGCGTCAGTCCGTTCCGGTCGATCTCCAGTTCCGCCTGCTGCCTCGCCACGTTCACGTTGAACACGTCGAGCGCCTTCTCGGCCTCTTTGATCGTCGCCTCCACTTCCGCGCCGGGACTCGCCTCCGTCTGGCGTCGTACCCACGCCTTCTGGTAGCGGTGCACGAGGGCGCGGTGCTTGCGCATTCGTTCCCATGACCAGTTGCTGCGACGGCGACGCACCTACAATTTTTTGTGATAAACCGTTCGTCTCAGAGCATTTTACTAAAACTTTGAAACGTTTCTGATATGTATGAAACGGGAATTTTCTGAAACTTTCGATCCACTTGCAATCATCCGATCGATCCCAATCTTTGCAGGACTATTGGCCTCGGATAGGGCCGAAAACTACTGGCTTTTCGCACAAACCAGGGGTTTTCGGTCATAAATCACTGTATCTCGGGACCAGATAATCGGATCGGTCTGAAACTTGGACCCCAGATACTTCAATCCAAGGCCAATAATGCTGCAAAGTTTGAGCCCGATCGGATGATTGCAAGTGGGTCAAACCGTTCGAAAAGCCTCTGCCAGCCAAACGTTCAGTCGAAAAATCTATCATTTTCTGCCTTCAACTGAATATTATACCTTTTCCTCCAGAATGGCCGTATAGGCGAACTTCCACCACTGTTTGTAGTGTCCCTTGAATTCGTTCAAATTCGGCCGGTACTTCAGATACTGTCCGGCCGCATTGAATCGTTCTTGCGCCTCCAGGAAGAGCAGCACATCCTGGTACTGGAACTTTCCGATCGCCAGTGCGAGTGCGTGCATGTCCACCGCCAAATCGATTTTCGGAATCGTCCAATTCGAGCCGTCCGTCTCCGGCTTCTGGTTCAACTTGAGCATCGCCTCCATCTGAATCGGCTCCAGAATGTACTTGAAGCCCGCCGGGGCCATTTTTCCGTCGTGGATCGTCGCTTGCAGCTTCTTCCGGATCAGCTCCTTGTCGTCCAAGTCCGAAATGAATTCGGTCGACGAGTTCCAGTAGACGGCCAGATTCTGCAGCGAGACCAGCTTGTAGATGATCTTCACCACGTCTTTGTGGATCGTCTCCTTCCAGTTCTCGTCGGTCGTCTGTAATTTTCAACATTTTTTGAACGTTCGAAGCAGTTTTTAGTTTCAGACACCAGAAATTGAATATTTCTAGCTGTAAAAGACAACGGATTACAGTACCTTGAAGTAGAGCTTCTCCAGAGTGACTCCCATTGCGAACGGACGGTGACGGTTCGTATAACGATCCTCGAAGCGCACGTGGATGTTCGAGACGGACACCTGCAAAAAGAAAAAATAGTTGCGAAAGAGGCAACGGAAAATCGTTTGAGAGAACTGGAAATAATGCTGAAACAGTAAAAATGTCTGTTTCAGAAAATTCGCAAAAAATTTACAACATTTTCAAAAGGAAATTGACACGAACCTGAAGGTTCTTGATAATCTGGGTGACCATTTTCTCGGCGAACGTGTCCGCCTGCGGGTCTTTGGGCTTTCTGCGCTCCTTGCGCGCCTCTTCGAGTCTGGCCAACGTCTTCTGCTTCACCTCCTGCACGTTCTTCGCCGCCTTCTCCTCGTTGTACACGACTCCCTTGTTCGGCACCACGATCAGATTGAGGCCGTCGATCGTCGCGATCACCGGCTCGTTGTACAAATTCTTCCACGGAATCTTCAGCACCAGCGACGACAAATATCCGTATTTCAGCTTGATCGGCAAGTCGAAATCGTCGAGCGCCGTCTCTTTCACTTGCAGATTGTCCAGTTTCACATCTCCTGCACAAAACAAACCACTTTAGTTTCAGAGCCAATTTCAGTGAACCGTACCTCCCCAAATTCCGATGTTGAGTTGGGACGAGTCCAAATTGTCGACAAAATCGCCGAGGAACCTGTTGAGCAGGTCGGCGACAAGTGATTCGAACACCATTCTGCAAAAATGGACAATAGTTGGAAAACCGAGAAATTTTTCGCAAAAATGGACGAAAAGCCGGAGGAATCGGCCGTTTTACAGGCCAAGCAAGGCGATAAAACGGGCAAAAGAAAGGCGAGAATATAAAATATTGCACAAAAAGAGCGATTTTGTGCAGAAGTGTGATATTGTTTGCTTCCCAAATGGGAACTACACAATTGTACGGTCGAAAGAAAGTGGTGGGAATGCGAAATTGGACGGGCGGTGAGTAAGACGCGTCGAAAAAGAAGGCTTGCGTTTGGGAAGCTTTAAAAAAAAGATTGAACAAATCAGGATGATGAATATAGCAGAGTTGAGCGGAAATGGAATTTGAAATCCGGAAGACGGCAGACGGCAGACGGAAGAAAAATTTTTTACGGAACACGGAAAACGGAAGACAGAAGAAAATTTTTTCACGGAAGACGGAACAAAAAAATCGTCAATGCAGAACCTTTTTCTCCGGTTTTTTTTTTGAAAAAAATAACTAAACAACAAAAATTTTGGATCTGGGTCACTGCCCGTGGAAATTCGCGTTCTTCGGGGCTAGTAAATGGCTTCTGAAAAGCTATTACTCTTTCACGGTAAGAAGAAAAAATCCCGGAAGACGGAAGACGGAAGACGGAAGAAAACCTTTTTCCCGGAAGACGGCAGACGGAGGACGGAACAAAAAAACCACGGAAGACGGAAGACGGCAGACGGAATTCCGCTCGCCACAGGACGCCGTGTCTGCGAACATCGAAACAACGACGACGAATAACGAGAAAAACAACCAAAATCACATTCTTGGCGTTGCGCGGGTTGGCGCGTCGTTTTTTTAAGGGACCGTCGCCGATAAGAGATTTCAACGCGAGCAGTAAACTATTTGTTTGTTCAAACGTGAGCAGTAAACAATTTATTTGTTTCAAAAAGAGCAAATGGCCAATGACTTTTTACCCTTTGAAAACCAAATTTCCAGAAAGTTCTACACTTTTTTCACTTCCTACACTGCGAAAAGTACGCGGTAAACATTGATAACCACTCTCGTAATTTTGATAAATCTGTCACGTCGGATGGGAAAATGCCACGAAGAAGAGAACAAAACTTTTCTCCCAATTCGTTGACTTTTTCGACTTCTCAAGGCTCAAAAATCGTCAAAAATTCAGGTGGCAACGGAATGAACCAATTTTTTAGGAGGGCGCGAAAACAAAGAAATTCAAATGTTTACGGCGAGTCGGTTCGGATGGAAAGTAGAGAAAGAGAGAGAGAGAGTGGGCGCCGAGAGGGAGACGCAGACAGTTAGACACTGTTGTTTACGTGCTGTGATGGCCGGGCGAGTTTGCCAATGAGAAGAGAGTCGCTTTTTTTGGAGCAGCAAAAAGATAGAGAATTGTTGACGATGAAGCCGAGAATTCTGTTTTTATCGGTTTAGTATCTATACACTTTTTTAGGATTGGCTTGCATTTTTCGAGAATTTTCAGAGTGAAGGAATTGCAGAAAAATAAACAAAATTTTTATATGCTCTTGCTCGGCTTCCGGATCGAATTTCGCAATTTTCAAGAGAAACAAAAAGCACTTTGTGGACATTCTCCCTAGAAACAATTAGCGTTTCAAAAATCTTTGAAATGAACTTGTTTTCTGTTTTTTCTGTTCTCTCCAAACTACTATGCCAGGTTTTTACTCAATTACCTACTGTTCAGTAAGGTTTTTGGTCGACTAACTGCAAATCCATGCTGTAAAAGTCCGCTTTTAGGCCAGAAATTTTCAAAATTCGCAGTATTCAACAGATCCGCAGGTGAAAACAATTGCGAAACAGTTCAGAACCAGCGGGCAAAATGTTCACAAGGTCAATACAATTAATTGTGCGGCGATTCGATTTCGATCCGTTTTTTTTTGTGTTTACTTTGCCAAATGCGTGCAAATAAATAAAAATAAGAATCAGATGACAAAGAAACGTTTGGGGGCGAAAGAAGACGGAAACGACGAGAAGAACAGCTGTTCTTTTTCGTTTACTCACAGAAGAATTCTCTACTTTTTGCCAGCGATTAGTCATCTCTCTCTCTCTCTCGGCCGTTTTTTGATGTTGCAATCGTGATTTTTGCCGTCTTTTTCTCTATCCGTTTCCACAGCGATTTTCGATGTTTTTCGTTTAGGGACTTTTGCGGGAATTTGAAGAAAAAAAATCAGAGCCGGGCATTTGGCTTCTTCTCTTCGCGGCCTATATTTTGGGCCCGCTTCCAGTTGACCGATCGGACCCAAAATATGTTTTTTTTTCAGGTTTTTCCGATTGGTCATCTGCAAGTGGGCTCAAACCACTGGCCGCCAAAAAGCCGCGACCGGCAAATGCCCAGCTCTGAAAAATATGGCAAAACACGACGAAATTGTTGTTCAATTTGATGAAATCAAACAGAGATTTTGAAAGAAAGAAAAAAATTGAAAGTCGCGCGTGTGGTCCGTAACCACTGTCACGCGCTAATGCACACTTTCTCGTCAAGTAGGAATTCTACTTCACCGATCCGCTCCTTTTTGTCTACGACGGATACCTTTGGGGTGCGGGCCAGCAACTGTGTGAGCATCAATTTATCTGCGAGTTCTGACATTGGTGTCGATGATTACTGGTACCCTTTCTCTCGTTTTCTCCAAAGAAGTTAATAGTTTTAGGTGTAATGTGACTGAATCGTCGGGATATGTTTGTGGACAAAGGATCCGCATGAAAAATGTTTGACCGACACTGCACCAAGTGTTGACGCTTTTCTTCGATTCATTTCTCACTGGAAGAGTCATTTCTAATATCCCGGGAAACTAACTAAAAAACAACTCAATAAACTCATTTGAATTTTCACGTAATGGGGCTATTCAGCGTATGTTTGTTTTCCGTTTTTTTTAAACGTTTTTTTACACCGCTGAATTGGGTTTTTTGACGTAAAAAAAAACGAAAAAACGGAAAAAAAATCATTTTTTTCACAGCCTGAATAACCCCATAAGAGTCGAAAAGGCGTACATTTCATCTTAGAATTTAACAAAGAAAAAACTTACACTTGGCAGCAACAGCATCAGCGTGAAATCCCGATAAAATGTGCAGGGAATATCTTTCTACCTTTGAAAAAGTTGTACGATTTGACTGAAGTGTACAACTTATACCAAAAGTCGAAAAATGTTTCCACTTCCATGTGGAGTTTATAGACCATACCAGACGGTCTCCTAAAATAATCCATTTCAGGACAACCTTCCGAGCCTTTTTCAGGACTTCAGGGCATTTCGTCGATTATCGTGTAGACACGTCACTCTACTCCAGAGTAACTCTGAAGCTCCAGAATAATTTCAGCACGGAAAACCTGAAAAGCCTGAAAATTATCAATTTCGACAGGTCGATTACACTTTTCCGCATCAAAAACCCACAAGATGTGTGCACCGGAATTCCCATTGTACTCGTCGCGCGAGCAATTATCGGTCCCTCTTGCGCAAAAAAAAAGAGCTCGCTGAGAGCAGTGGAGTTTTTCGGAAATGTGCTCAACTGTGCGCAATGAATAATGCGCTCCGCCCGTCGTGCAGGAGATCCGTTTCCACGAGTTTCCCCGCACTCCAACAAAACCCTTTGTGTCTTCATATTTTCGCTCTTTTTATAGAATTTTTTGCCAGATTCTAATCTGCAAAAATGGCCGGCGAAGAGAAGTGCATCTGTCAAATTTGTCAATGCGGGTAATCGCGCAATTTTTGGAAAATTCTGAACAAAACAATTATTTAGCCGTCACCGCTGTGATCATGTCGATGCGGATCTGGGCTTTGGGAACGGAATTGAGGAGAATCAGACCGAGTACGGAATGCAATTTCCGGCCAAACAGGCGGCACGGTAAGGGAAACGTTTTGTGAACAGCGCGCGCAGTTAAAGTTGTGGCCATGGCCGAGAAAAATCGTAGGTAGGCCATGGAATTTTTCCGCATTTTCTTGCGTTCGGTACAATTTTCAGCATTGTCAAAGTGCAAAGGTGTCATTTTATCAGCAGGGAAGAGTTTTCACACCCGAGTTTTCTAGGCCACAACATTAACTGCGCGCGCTGTTCCGTTTTCAGACAAAATTCTAACTCGTAATTTCAGAGAACGCGTGCCACGCTCTCAAAATGCGACATTTCTGGACGGCGGCGAGTTCGACGGGACCACAATAAATCGTCAAGACTACGGACTCAAAAAGGTCTCTTCTTTTTGCTTTTTCGCTTTTTTTTTGCGCCGCCGCCGCCGCCAAAACTATACGAATTTCTGAAAAAACATTTTTCAAGGTCACCCGGAATGCTCCGTTCAAATTTGTGAACGACGTGCAAGATTCCGGAGAATTCATGGGCGATACCACCCATAAAACTGATTTTCAGGCCAAGTCGGTGAGTTTTAATTTGAAAATTTGAAAAAAAAGTAGCGTTTCAAAGTTGCAACAAGAGATTGCTTCAAGACTATTTTTCTAAATGTGCCGCAGAGTTTACAGTTCTAAAATAATTGAATCTCTTAAAATTTGTTCCAGGTGGCTCGCCAATCCGCGCAAAGACCAACGACCAATGGGCTTCTGAGCGGTGATTTCGAAGGATACACCACTCAAAAATCGGATTTCGACTATAAAGGAGTGAGTTAGGCGACGGTCTCATTACGGTCCCCATAGTTCATTTCAGGATCCGAGAACCGGAGTGATCCGTGGTCCCCAAGACGCTCAAATCTTTTCGGGACCGTTCAACGGAACCACCACTAACCGAGCGGATTTCGATAAGAAACAGGTACGGTCTATTGGGACTGATGTAACTCGGCTGTCTGTGGAGCCATCCAAAAGGGACCAACTGAGAAAATTTAGAAAATGTTGCGATGAACATTTTGTCAGTTGACGACTTTTTAAAATCTCTACACGCCCGTGAGTTATATCGTTGTTTAGGCCGAAAGATCCGCAATTCTTCGCGGTCCCAACAGTTCGAACGTGTTCGGAGGCGGACAATTCAACGGGACCACAACGAATAAGGCGGATTACGATCAGAAACAGGTACGCTACCCGGGGGGTACTATGATTTACAGTAACATTTTTAGGCCGAAAGGTCCGGAATCCTTCGTGGCGCTCAGGATGCGCCGATCTTTTCGGGGCCGTTCAATGGTACCACAACAAACAAATCGGACTATGATCAGAAACAGGTCCTTATCTACCGTAAACAAAACAACCGTAACCTTCAGGCCAACCGTACGGGTCCACTAAAAGGACCGAATGACTCGAGAATGTTCTCGGCGGGACCATTCACCGGGACCACCACAAATAAGACCGATTTTGATCAGAAGCAGGTGAAGAAGAGGAGTGCGCTCTATCGTACACCTACCGTACCACTTTTTTCTTTTCCTTACAGGCTGAACGATCGACAATCTTAAAGGGACCAAGTGGATCGGGCATTTTCTCGGGACCGTTCAACGGGACCACCACTAACCGTGCGGATTTCGATAAGAAACAGGTACGGTCTATTGGGACTGATGTAACTCGGCTGTCTGTGGAGCCATCCAAAAGGGACCAACTGAGAAAATGTGGCAAATTTTGCGATGAGCATTTTGTCAGTTGACAACTTTTTGATATCTCTACAGGCAGATGAGAGATGAACATTTTTTGAAGGCTGAACGTCAATTACCGTTCAAAGCGACCGCGGATGATTTGCAAATTCCGTCTAGTCCGTTTTTGGTGTTATCCACAAATCGAGCCGATTATACCAAAAAACAGGTGAGAACTTTAGTTGTTTTTTTCAGATTTCCAAAAATATTTCCTCAATTCCAGGGCGACCGTTCCCTTCCAATCCGTTCGACAAACGACCTCTCCACACTGAATGCCTCGTCCGGCTCTCCGTTCGACGCAATTTCCACGCACAAATCGGATTTTCAGCAGAAAAAGGCAGAGAAATCGCGTCTGACGCGGCCGCATTCGTCGCAAAATCTGTCGGCCGGAAAGTTTGACGGAACGACGACGACGCACTCGGACTACGTGCAAAAATCACAATCGAGGTATCGAAATGGACGGAATTCCGACTTCCGACTTCTGGCTTCCGTATTGCTTTTTCTGTGGTCCGCCTTGTCAAATTGTTCGTACTCTGTGGTCAGGAATGTGAAATGGAGTATGAGTAATACTTCCACTCCCGCATTTTTCTGTAAATTGGAATGCGAACTAGTGTATGAATCATTTGAAGGACGGAAGGAAGAAATGTGACCAATTTCTATGACAGACACTTTTATGAGTCTCATTGGCATGAACAAAAATTTCGCTTTCTCAAAACTCGTCACAATTTACACGATTCGACGCGGAATTTTGCGCTTAACAACTTTGTCTCTTCCCGCTTCCCCCCGATTCCTTCTAGTTTACGAGCAAATTCGCCGTTTTCAGAGTTATTAACGTGAAGCCGCGCGACGACTCGTTCACCGGCCACGTTTCGCGCTTCGACGCGAACACAACGTATCAGGACGGATTTCAGCTGAAAAATGGCAAGTTTTGTGCGATTTTAAAGTCTAAAACTGTAATTTCAGCGGAACGACTGCCGCAGCAACGGACAAAGGACGAGTTGACCGTCGGCTCCGGTCAGTTTTACGGCGAAAGCACGCAGCACTCGGATTTCATCGAAAAACACGTGGATATATGCCCGGCCGAGAAGGTTTTGACGAGAAGGTACGCATTCGATAATCGGATAATCAATAAATTGTCGAAATTTCAGAGACCGTTCGTTCGAATTCAAGCGAAACGTGAATGGACATCGATTTTACGAGCAAAAAGTGACACACGGAACAATTCAGCCGAACCGTCTCGTCCCTGTCGAAGCCTGACACATAATTTAGACATTTTGACAATTCTCTATGGTTTCTCGTAGTCTTTCGCACCTGAAAACTTTTCCGAACAAATTTTTCTTTCCCATCTTTGCTTTTAGAGAACTTTATTTGGGTGTTGTGTATTCGGTCGGTAAATAGGCGAATAAATATTTGTGTCTGAAAAATGTTTTGACGGCGAAAACATGTACTTCCTTGACGAAAAGTTGGTCAACAAGAACGCAGACTGTACATGTACATTGCTTGGAATTTTTTCCGATTTTTGGATAATTTTCTTTTTATCAAGGAGAAATGAAGAGCGCATCCTGAATTCCGCGTCCAAAGTCTCGGAAAACCCGCAAATCTCGCGGATTTTGCAGTCCAAAGTCGGCAGAAATTGGCGGGAAATCCGGTGTGCGCACAGTTGAACGAGTGTTACCGTACACCATAAAACTACGGTATCTTTTGAGAAAATTTAAATTTCTTGAGAATATTTGCAACTTTTCAAATTTCTTGGGTAAATTTTCAACGGTATTTTTTGAGAAAATTTAAATTTCTTGAGAGTATTTGTAATTTTTCGGGTAAGTTTTCAACGGTATTTTTTGAAAAAATTTAAATTTCTCGAGAATATTTGCAATTTTTTAAATTTCTTGGGTAAATTTTCACTTTGGACGCGGCAGAAAAACTGATTTCTTGCGAACGTGCAACTTATTTGAAACTAAACTTTCCGCCCACTCGATGAATTCGAAGAATTTCGCTCTTTTGACCCCCGTTTGCGACACAATAAAAGGTGTCCGAAGAACAAATACGACGATAATGTTGTCGAGTTTTAATTTTGGTGTTTGAGCAAGATGCTCTTCGATTCCGAAAAGCAAGAGTAATCGATCGAAAACAAAAACAAGCGATTGCGGAAGTTGTTGCCGATGAATCACTGCTCGAAAAGTTCGGGGCGCAAATTGATAAGAATTGAGCGAAAAATAAATAGAAACGGGGCGGGCGCCTGGCGGAACGGGTTGAAAAGAGACCTCGCGGAGCTCTTTTGTGCAATTTGAGGTTTGTTTCATTGCCACACTCGCTGTCCCTCGAGTCCCAATTCTCAGAAATGCCTGAAAGCGCGCCGTCAAAGTTGTGGCCTCAGGTGTGAAAACTCAAAGTTTTTTGCAATTTCAGTATGTTTGTGCCTCACGGTCTCCAAAGCTGACAATGGGCGCAAGTGCGCCCCGCCCAATAGAGCGATACATTGGCGCGAAATTCAAATTTTAACAGCAAATTTTGTGTTTTTTGCCAGATTAGCCACGAAAAACCGATAATTTCTCATTTGTCTCTCGATAGACCGATTGTATAGGCTATCACGAATTTTTAAAGCGCAAGAGCGTTAAATTTGGTCAAGTCGCAAATCACATTCATCCGTTTGAAGGTTTTTGGCTAAAACTGCGTGAATTTCAGTTGCTTTTCGGTAATTTTCGCGGTTCGAGCGCTCAAAATGATTGTATTTACGTGATTTATCATTCTCAAAACCAATTCTGTCTGAAAACGGTCAAGAAAGCGCAAAATGAGAAGTGCGGCGAAATCGAAAAAGCGAAATCCGCGAAAAATGCGCCAAAACGTCATTAATTCTGTGAGAATTAGCGTGTTTTCATGTCGAACAATCATTTTTCATCGCCGTTGACCGCAAAAATCAGAGAAAACCTGCTCAATTCATGAAAGCGCCATTTGGCCGCCGAGGCCACGCCCATATTGTGTCAGCTCTAGAGACCGCGTGCCTTGAATTATGTAATAATTTTAGACCACGTCTGACCCTTTTTTACTCACATGACCCCGCGCAAGTTTTCTCTTTTTCAATATTTATCTCATTTATATTTACTCGTGCACACACACACACAAATCACGGACGGATCACTATCAAAACGTTTTCGAGAGCGTAGGCGGCACGGCACGCAACTGACATCTTACTTTTTGGTCAAATCTGTCCGTGTGTGCATCGAAACATCGTCTGCCTCCAACATTTTGGAGACTTTTTGAACCGATCTTTTATGTGCAAATAGGAGGAACAAGAAGCCGGTGGTGTAAAAGTACATAACATTCACAGAAACAAGTCCTCGCGAGAGGGGGTGTACTTTGGAATTTGTCTTGGGTGCAGGGCGCAGAGAGCTCCAGAATTTTTTTCACAGTACTGTTTTGACTCACGTGCTCAATATTATCCATTGTCCAATGGGACCCATTGCTTTTGTGTATATCTCAAAAACCAACGGCTATTCGAAAAAGTGGACAACTGAAAAGTTGTCGCGCAAATTGTGTGCTCTACAACTTTGTAATTGACTATTCCGCTCCAAGCTTTATCATTCTCGAGTTATACTTCAATTTCTAACAGCACTAAGCACCGTTCCTCTCCACAACTACCAGTATCCTTTTTCTAACAAAAGCCGCCGAATCTATGCATCATCAAATCCGAATCCATCTTCCTCTAGCCTAGGGGGTGTCAGTTGCCACTCGCTGCGCGGCGGCCTACCAGTTGTTCGCCTCGCCGCCTCCTCGATTACCAGTTTTTGTGAGCCCTCCCTTCGACTTTCACGCCTTTTCTTCGATTTAATATTTCCGGGAGGAGCGAGAGGATCATTTTGAGGCGCGCAAATATTTGTACGCCTTTTCTTTGCGGCGTGGCGCCCAATAGGTTGAAAGGTAACTCATTCGATTCTTTTCTTTTCTCTTTTCTTCTCCGCACCCATCTTCTTCTTCTTCTTCTTCGTCGTCTTCGACTTCAGAATGAGGCACGAATACCGGTTTTCGTGCCTCTTTCTCTCTCGCGACACCACCACCACACCGATTATAATAAGACCTCCTTCTCCTCCTCCGTCCTCCGCCTACGCATCATCATCCATCGCGCACTCATTTTTTTTAGACGATTTGAAAATATTTCTCTTTTTTTTGCTTTAACACGCAAACAATCTATTATCGCTCCGACAAATCTCCAAATTTTAAAAGCTAGACATTTATCAAGGCCTTCCGCTTCTTTTTTTTCTCGTTCTCCTTCGTTTTCTAATTGGCTTACCCATTTTTAAGGCCTTTAAAAAAGACGCGAGTCACGTAATTTGCTTCAAGTTAGTGATCCGAAAGTATTGTGAATTTTTTTGTCGTTTTGTCTCCATTTTTCTCTTCAAAACAATTCCAGAAAATTCCAGAAAAATGGGCGCTTTCGGCAACAGTGCATACGGAGCCCGTGGCCGAATCGTCAAGTTCTCCTTCATCATTTCGGCACTCATTTCTATTGTAAGTTCTAGAAATGCTGAAAAATTTTATTACCGATTCAAAAATTTTCGACTTATTTTATTGACGTCTCGTCAGCATTAGTGAAGCACAATGGCACAGACTTGCCAAATCCCGGGCCGGCCCGGCGGGCCGGGCCAGCAAATCGTCGGCCCGGCTCCGCCCACTCTTGAGAAAATTTTCGTAATTTTTGTGAAAATTTTGCGACTTTAAACAGCAATTTCTATTTTTTAACAGGTTTTTATGCTATAACATTGCCTTTTTAAAGGGGGAAATTTAAATCTATAAAATTATGTTCGTTTCGAAGTTCTAGTTCGCTTTGAATTTTTAGGTGCATCCTCCCGGGCCGACCGGGCCGGGCCGGAAAATTTCCAATTTTGGCCCGGCCCGGCCCGGCCCGGCCCGTTGCAAGTCTGCAATGGCAATAATAATTGTTCGTAATGAAGGATGATCACTAGAAGAGACGCAGACAGGCAAAAAAAAAAGTGAAAAGCGATTTGTTTGAGCAGATATTTCGGAGGAGGAACTAAAAATAATAAAGGAACTTTGTCGCCTGTTGCAAAAGAAATTCGAGTGGTTTTTGAACGAGTTTCGTCTCGAAGGCGCAAGCGAGTTCTCAATAGAGCGCGCCACGGTCTCCCAGGGTGCTAATGCTAAACACAGTGCGCTCGTAAATTGCGGAGTGTCGTTGTAACTTTAAAAAAAATTTGCAGGTCTAAAAATTCAGTTCAATTCGAGTTTACGACCTTTATTTCTTTCTTTTTGACTTGAAAAACGTCTAGAAAACAATTGTTTACTGATTGGAAACCGTTCTTTACAGAATTTAGAGTTTTTCATGTTCTTAGCGTCTTTATCGCATTTCGTCAAAACTTCAAACCTTTATATTTCAGCTCATTTTGCATTTCATGAGCCCAACGAACGATAAAAATGTTCGCTGAATCTTTCTTCACAAAATTCAGGTTCCGGCGGTTAGTTTTCTTGAGCAGTTTTCGAAAACTTTTCGAAAAACATCAAAATCCAGGCCAAAACCTTCAAATCGAAATAACTCGGCTAATTCCACAACGATATGCGAGATTTCTGTTACCAAAACGTAGCTAGTGCTCTAATTATTCGAATCCAGGTTCCAAGCGTACAAAAAAATAGGTGTATTGTACAGAAAACATGGAAAGAACGCGAACTCCAGTTGAAAATAAATTACTCGGCCGCCGCGTAAATCGACACCGCCCGCCTGTTGCAAGTGCGCCCCATTGAAATCATTCGCGCCGAGGGAGACCGTGCGCGCTTCGAACTGAAAATCGCTGCTTTCTCAATTATCTCTCTTTAAACTTTGACATTTCGTTCGTTCGTCGAGAGTCGAGCGCTAAACGGGGCAGATTCGTTCAGAATTGACCGACTACTCACACTTTCAAAATAAGCACCGAAAAACGGCAGTTTCGATGCGCGCGAGCAGAGTTGATTGCAGAAAATCGCCAAACGCGTTGCGACGAGATAGAGCGTTTCATTGCGCATCTTTTGCGCGCTCAAACGTCGGACGCCATTCTAGGCCATGCTCCGATGAAAAAATCTGAGAAAGCTATGTATTGTGCGGAAGTTTGAAAATCAATGAAAATTGAGCAATAGAACATCACAAAAATGCCGTGTTTCAGCTGTTTTCGGTGGCGTGTGCGTCGTTCGGGATCTGGCTCCTGGCCCGGCGGTCCCAGTACGCGGAGCTCGTCTCTCCGTCTCTGTACGTCGACGTCGGCCGCATTCTCGTCATCATCAGCATCCTCTCCATCATTGTCCACCTCATCGCATTCTACGCCATCGCCAAGGAAATGCGATGTATTGTCACTTCGGTAAGAGATTTCACAATTTTTTTTTACTGTTTTAGCATTTGTTGAGCAGTTTTTTGGAAGAATTCACGACAGAACCGAAAAAAAAAATTAGCAATCTAATTAGGCCCGGTTAGAAACGCGAATTAGCCAGCTAGATTGCAAACGATTTACCTGAGTACCCGTAGAGATATCAAAAGATGGTCAACTGTTAAAATGTGCGACATTTATCAAGGAACATATTATTAGATGACAGCTTTTTGATTTGAATGAACAGTATTTTAGGTTGCCTATTAAAGTTAACAAAACCTGAAAAAATTCACTGTTTTTCAGTGCGCCGTGGCATCGGTCGTAATTGCCGTGATGCTGATCATCGGCGGACTGATCGGACTGAACTTCCGTGATCAGCTGACTCATTACACGCCGCTCAACCTAAAAATGCTCACTTCGCTACGGGAACTCTACGGAACGCACGATATGAAGGGAATCACCGAATCGTGGGATGCACTTCAGTCGAATGTGCGTTTTCGAGATTTCGAGACAAAAATTCCAGGCAAACATGTTTTGCAATTTACAGTTCAAATGTTGTGGTGTGAACGGAACGGATGATGCGCAGATTTGGAAGACGTCAAAGTGGTACATGCATCAAAAGGCACCGAAAAGCCTCATTCCAGAGTCTTGGTAAGCTTTTTTTTTCTGTTTTTCAACATTTTCCGCGGTTCTCCGGCGTTTCGCAACTCGACGCTTCCCACGTGAACTTTGACAGTGCAATTTATCGCTAAGTAGTTCACGTTTGTTGCGAAACGTCGCGGTTTCAAAATTTCGTGTTGCGAAACGAAAAATGAAGTGAAAATCTGAGCAATCTAGAAAAAAACGTAAACGTTGCAGTTGCATTCCGTCGCAAATCGATCGATGTCGGGCGAATCCGTTCGACGGCGAGCCCTCGTATTACACGAAAACGTGCTACGAGCCGCTTCAAAACGATCTGCTCCACGTCATGAACGTCGCCTCGTGGCTCTGCATCGCCAACGCTATTGTACAGGTAGGCACAGCTGTGTGTTTCTCGAGAATTCAAAATTCAGCAAAATCTGACAACATGAATGTGTTCCCGGCCCAGGTTTTTCAATGGCTTTTTGAGGCGTGGCCTTTTTGTCCCACAGACCAATACTTTGATTATATTTTAAAAAAATTTTTTGCAGATAATTCCATCGGTGGCCAGTTGCTGGTACTCTCGACTCATTCGAAAATAACCGTCGCCCCCCCCCTTTTCCGCCTACCCAAATCGTCCTAAATTCCAAATTTTAGGACCCCTTCGCATTTTTACTCTCCTTTTTCTCTCTGCAATCCCACACGACTATTCATTCACTCGAAACGGGCCGATTCACTCACATTCAACTCGCTTTAGGCGCAGCTTTTTTTGCACGAAATTTAATTTCTCATGTTGACATTCACAATATTGTGCTCATCTCCTGTACATTTGTCTAATATCGGGTAGAGCATGAAGCTTGATTTTTGAATAAATTGATTGGTATATTCACTTCGAAAGGATTTTCTCTGAATCACCATTAAAAGTGCATACTTTTTGACGTTGGAACGCTCAAAAGATGCGCAATGAAAAGCTCTATCTCGTCGCTACTCGTTTGGCGATTTTCCGCAATCAAATGTGCCCGCGTGCGCACCGAAACTGTCGTTTTTCAGTGCTAATTCTGAAAGTGTAAGCAGTCCAGGAAATGCATTATGGGCTTTCATAAAAATTCAAGAAAAACACTACCAACTACATGAATAAATTAATAAACATCTGTGAAACATTCAATTAATAAACATTCTTTCGCAATAATTTAAATTCTTTTCCGCTCGACAAATGTACACGTAGAACAACATTTTTGGCGTACTTCCAGTGAGTCGCAGCTGAGAGAAAAAATTGAAAATGATTACTGTAGGTGGGTAAATTTCACATCAAAACCACTTTGACGGCTGGGGGGTGATAAGTGATAAAGTCAATAGAAATCTATATTGGTTTTCCCTTTTTTCTTCTATTGGATTGGTTCGAAACGGCAGAAAAGGTAAATATAAACTCACGAGTGGAACAATTTGATAATGTCACAGAAGCGGGACTGGTCTTGGCACGAAGAGTCTGAAAAGTTGAAAAATTAAATTGTTCGCAGATAGTCACAGGGTCCATAATTTCGTTAAAGCGTCCGGACAAGACAACGCACGATTTGGTTGAAATTCGAAAAGTTCTTTTTGAAAATGTGAGACAGGAAATTCTTTTAGTCCGTCCATCCTATGAAGTCTTTTTTTTTCTTTCAAAAAAGTTCGATTACCTCTCTGATAGAGCGCACTGGCGGTGGGCATGCACGGCGGCAGGGGCTCATCGGCGACGCAGGCGCGGGCCGAGTGCGGCCGACGCATTTGCTCACAATTCCGGCCGGCGGGACGTCCCGACGAGATCCAGACGCACGAGAGGAGTCGGAGTTGGACGCCGCCGGTGCCGCACTCCGAACTGCACGATCCCCAGTCGGAGGTGCGCCATTCCGCCTTGCAGTTCTCTGAATTTATCACGTTTTTTTCGGGGAGGGATTCTATTTTGGACTCACGATTCGGACAATCCATCGTGGTCGCTGGTCGGTTGGTGATGTCGCAGTGCTGAATGTCGACGAGTGTTCCGTTCGTGAAGCGACACGTCACATTCCTCCGCTTCTGTGCCAACATGCTGCTGACGCACCGTTGCGACGAACAGTCCGACCACTGTGAGGCCTCCCATCGCGGACAGTCTTCCCGATGGCACGGACGTGTCTCGGGCGGTCGAACCGACGCCAGAGACTCGCAAATCGACGTGTCCACCGCGCGCGTCTCTCCGTGGAACGAGACTTTGCATTGGAGCGCTCGTGCCTGGTATCCGGCCACGTGGCACGTCTTCTGTCGGCACTCGGACCAGTGGCCAATGTCCCACCGGGCGACCAACTCGTTTCCGTACCGACGCAACTGTTCTCGTGCTTTCTCGTCGTTCGGCGCCGACAGCAGCGCTTCGATGAGCGAGGTGTTCAATTTTTGGAGCACCGCGCCTTGTTGCACCTCTTCTTTGCTTGTTTCCTTCGATGCTTTCGGTAATTTGAACTCGTTGTCGTTGTTGTTGTTGAGGTTGCGAGTCGCCGGAAAGTCTCTGTACTTGAAATTGAGTGTCACATTGCCCTGAAGTCGGTCGGTGAAGCACTCGTACACGCCGGCGTCCTCCATTCTCGCGTGGAACACTCGAAGGTTGCCGTTGGCCGACACTTTGATGTGCGCGTCGTTTTTGATACGCTTGCCGTTCTTCTTCCAATAAATGCGCTTCTTGTCGAACTTCTTCGCCGGGCACTTGATCTTGATGCTCGTTCCCTGGTAGAGAGTCGCCACTCCGCCGATCCCCAACGTCAGTTTCTTCTGCTCGGCGTTTTGTTCGAAGACGCGATTGGTGAGGAGTTCGGGGCGGGCGCACGAGCCAAAACTGCACACCTCGACCGATTGGGGCTTTGTGGCGGCGTCGCACTCGACGTCCGGACGGCGCATCGTCTTGCCGCGCGCGTCCTTAATCTCGCACCACACTTGACGACGTCGCTCGCCCGAATCGCACGAACGAGAGCACTCGGTCCATTGAGCCGTCTGCAAATTCGTCGTATTCATTTTCAAGTTATTTTATAGCCAGTTAATTTTTTACTACAGGAATTTACTGGTTACAGAATTATAAAAGAGTCTAAGCTTATGCTGAAAAAAATCTGGGTGATACAATGGACTTTGAGACATTTTTTGGCGTCGTCCGAAAATTGGTTTCTATTCAATTCCGGTTTTAAAAAGGCTATTCAATTTTTTAAGATCAATGTCGTGTTCGCTATTCTTGAAAAATGTTTATTGATCGAGTTTTCCAGAAGGCAATATTTGTACCGGAAAAACTTGAAAATAAATATGCAGCCGAAACATTTCATTAGAAAATTTTGATTTTGTAATGCATACAATCTATTGACTTTCAAAACACTGAAAACGATTAAGCTATTTTTTGAAACAGGGAATTGCAAAACATGAGCATCGCATGCAATCGCGATTGACTTCCAAAAATTACAGACGCACTACTGTTGAAAATGGCACAGATCGGCCATTTCCATACACGGGCCGGCAAAGCATACGGAGGACTGGACATTGTGAAGCTGTAACTTCTCACAGAAACCTTACATTTACCTCTAAATCAGAGGTCCTTATGTTCGATTTCTGGAGATAACTTGAAAAAACCGAAAGTCCCATGTATGAAAAGCCGGGCCGTGACATACGTAACAACAATAAAAATCAAGTGTTTTCGAACTTACCACCCAGGTGGCCGGACAGGCAATCGCATTGCACGTGTCCGTCTCCTGTGGCTTCTTGAAATGGCACCGATCATCGCGGAGTATGATGTGCGCGTCGGCGCCGTCCGTCTTGCTGACCGTTTGCGCGCACTTGACACTCCGACGCGTGGTGCCCATTCCGCACGAGACCGAGCACTCCGAGTATTTGGCGGTCAGCCAGAACGGCGGGCACGGATGCTGATTGCACGGGCGGCTCTTCTCGGGCGGACGACGACGCGCGTCGCACTGGGACCATTGCACCGATTTGCCCGATGCGACTTGGATGCACTTCAGCGCCGCCTTTTGTTTGCCTGAAAACAATTGGTGAATTCACACGGCGATTCATTTCTATTTTCTCGAGTAATTTTCAATACTAAACAGTGTTAGCTTTGAGGCGATTCAATACGAGTTCTGACTCGGATAGTCTGGGGTCTGTTATTGAACGAAGGGCAATCAAACTAAATGCATGTTTCTATGTTAGGAACATTATTTTTCACAGATTTTTATCATTTTTCTGCCTACCTCCAAGACACGAGGCACTGCACTGTGTCCAGTCTCCGTATCTCCATTGGAACGGCGCCTCGTCCTCCGTCAACTTGGCGTCTTCCTGGAGCGGACAACTGCGCACTTCGCACGATTCGAACAGTTTCGGTTGTTCTTGATCTGAAAATTGAAGACTAGACTTGAAAATTTCGGGGTCAATTGTTGAATTGAATTGTTAAAGCAATTAGAATGGTACATTGGATCATGAGAAAAGTTTTGATTTAGGCGTCGTCAGAATCTGCTGACCTCATTTTTTTGCTTTGTTAAGTTCTAGGCAAAAGTTAGACTCTTTGTTTGTATGTAACCAATCTGGTTCACTTCTCAATCCCTTCGTTGTTTTTTTCAAATATGATATTCATCTAGAATTGACGAGAAAAAAAATCTGAATCCAGAGTTTCCTCATCAATTATGCGCATTCATTCATTAAGAAACTCTCTATTTTTCTTCATTGAAGCCGCATTCGAGCGTAGCTTTTTTCCGCTCCGAGAGCTCATTCATCGCCTTAAAACGGACCCTGGCACTCGGACATTGGCAGTTTGATGGGCGCCGACGAGATCGGATTGACGGCCACACACTCGACGCTGCGCGACATGACGCCCGTTCCGCACGTCGACGAACACGAACTCCACTCGCCGGCCACCAGTCTGAAAAAAAACGTGAAGAATTGCTTTTTTGATATTCATAGCAGCAAAACTGGTCTCACTTGGACCATTTCATCGAGATTTGTGGGGCACGGAATCGTTTTTTCGGATTTTTGAGACAGAAACGTTATATTCACTATATACACATTGTTTGTGAAACCGTTGAAACTCGTCAAGTGTCATCAGTTTAGTGAAAGCTAACATAAAAAGTACCGCAATTCTGACACAAGCCTGGGCGATTCGCTTCCCAAGACAAAAAGTGTGGGGCGTTTAGCGTGCGAAAAAGCGTGACGCAGGCGCGAAATCTCCCGCGTCTGCGTCTCTGCCCTCTCACACGCTAACCGCCTTTCTCTCGCGCCTCCCCCACGTTTTAAAATTGTATTATTTGGGGGAAAATCTCGCGAATCGTTTATGATTCCATGTACCGGATTTGAGCCGATAACTCTCTCTCTCTCTCGAAATAATTTTGTCCAGAGGCTTCTCTTATTTGTTCCCCTACCTGGGCGCCTGCCAATCATTTCTATCCATCGATCCGAACGTGTTCCCATCCAGGTAGGCTCGATCATTCCAGTCCAAACTGCAAAAACGTAATTCTCTTCGACTAGATTGACCCGTTTTCCACAACAAAATTCTTGGTGGTTGACTTTTTCGCGCCAAAACTATCATTCCTCTAATCCCATGGTGCGCGGCCGGGAGCACCAAAAATGACAAATGAGTGTGTGTGTGTGTGCGCCTATGAATCGTCCCGTTTTCTTTCCTTTCTCGAGATTGTTCTTCCTTTCTCGGTCAGAGCAAGAAAAAAAGTGGGATGGCAAACAATTATGTGGAAAGTCGGAAAATCCAAAGTCCCTTGGGTATTGTTTTTCCGGGAGAAAAAAAACGCCTTTTTGTGTGTCAGATAAGACGGGTGTGCACCGATAAGAACAACACAAACATCCAAAAGACCGACGAGGGTACATAAATATATTGTGCAACTCTTCAACGGGTCAAAGTGATAGATGATCGTATACTATGGGAAATTGTGTAGGAAACATTTGAATGTCTTCGAAAGAAAGTACCAGAAATGAATTGGATCCTCAGTACGCTTTTCTTCATTTCTCTCAAATTCGCCCATTATTCTATGCAAATTTGGGGGAAATTTGCAAATTCGGCATTCAAAAGTGCGTGTGTTCCCTCCTCCCTTCGTTAGTCCCCGTTTATGCATAAATTCATCCGATGCCACCTTTCAGCAGCCTCTTCTTCATCTTCTTCTATAGTTCCGCCGTCGGGGGGCGCAAAATGACATAATGGATTTGACAAGTTTCGCTTGAGCTCACGCACGGCTCGGCGGCCAATTGGCGACTAATCGGAGAGCGGCAAGAACAATGAGGCATTTAGGGTGGGTGCGGGCGAGCAAAGGGTGTTCATTTATTATTGTTATTATTATTATTATACGGACGGCGTGTGAGCCCAGAGCTCAAGTGGTCAGAACTTGTATTTACAATGCTGGAGAAGAGATGACACACAAACGCATAAAAGAAGAAGTATTTTTCAATGAAAATCTGTGCTTCTCGCGGCCTGAACCTCTTTGACCTAGTTGAAATATTCTGATGGAACCCACGACGAACACTTGTGAACCGCTCCGTATCGCAAATCGTACCCCTTTAGCACGCAGCGTCAAAATACGGGCGGGAAGTTCAAACCATGTTCACAAATGTTCGCCGTGGGACCCAAACCCTACAGGATTTTTGTAGTTGGACTCAAGTATGTTGGGCCCACGTTTCAGACCGATTCGATTGTTTATTCTCGAGATAAGGTATAGTAAAGTGTATTCCATGTTTTCCTTCCCTAAATATTTGGGGCCCGAAAGTTGTTGTGTGCTCTTTCACAAATGGCCAAGAGCACAAAACTTTCTCCCCTTTTACTTCCACTTGCTCTCTATTTTTAGAGTCCCCTGAGATTTTTTGAGGGGGGGGCAAATGGACAAACAATTGGATGGGAAAGGGGTCAAAAACGAGTGAGAAATGTTGCTTTTCGGAAAGTTTGCGAAACAAAAAACATGCAATTTTGTTTCCGTTTCAAAAAATGGGGTTCCAAGATGTAGTCCATTATCAGAAGAATGCGAAAACCTGTCAAACCTGGTGCACCCCCATTTCCATTAATGTTTACTTCTGCGTGCTCTGCTCCAAACTAATAATTTCACACCTCTTGATTTCTCAAGTGCCCCTTATGCTTCCTTATTTTCTTTATTCCACAAGGGGGTCCAAAATATTAGGGACCATATGTCACTGCTAATTCATATTATGGCGGCATTTGACACTAACATCGCGCTCTACCGCAATCCCATCGCGACTTTTTCCAATTTAGCACCGAATTCACGAGGTGTGCGATAGAGCGCGATTGCAGTCCGACAGGGCAAAACTTCTAGAATCTTCATGAAATTTCGAAAAATGCAACTTACAAAGCATTCGCACCCAATATGAGGGTTCCTCCTCCGACAAATAATAGCAAAAATCGGAGCATTTTCCGCTTTTCGCACAATAAAACGTGTGAATTTGTGCTCGGCGGAGCTCGGAAAACAAAACAAAAAGAGGGCGGGCACGTCCAATTATTGAATGTAAAAAGGGGGGGGCGGCGCCTAAAAGGGGTGGAGCCAAGGAGAGAAGAAGAAGAAGAAGAATAAGGAGAGGGGGGCCATCAATTTTTCGGCGGAAAGGAGAAGAAGAAGAAGAAGAAGCCGAGGGACGACATCTTCTTGAGAAAATAAAATGGAGGGGGGGCAGAAAGAAATAAAGAACAATAGTAGTAGTTGTAAATGGAAAGGGGGCACTTTTAGGATTGAACGAGTACAAACTTGAGCACAAGACTTTTTTTTTGTTGATATTATAAGATTAAAGGGGGCTCAAATGGTCTGAAAATGGCTTAAAAGGGACGGGGTTAGCGCACTTTTCAAGCCGTTTCGAAAACATGAATTGTTTCGCTCCTTTCCAATCCACAGTTCTACCGTAATCCTCTTCAAAAAAAGGCAACTTTTGCAGTGTCCCATGAGTAATCCTCTTCGAAACGCAAAAAAGGGTAATTTTTCTTTTTGTGTCCAAACCCCTTTCAAATCCTTGTAGTACTCAAGTATAGGGGAGGGGAACAGAGTAATTCCTTCAAATTCAAAGTGTACAAAATACGAATTGTACTGGAAAGAGGGTTTAGAAATTCATGATGTGATGAAGATTGATGAGAAAATGAAGGGTGGCTTGCAATACAGAAAAGCAGTTTCTCAAATCCAGACCAACCTGTTGGTGGCGATACTGCACGGGATGCCTGCGTAGCACGTGGTTTGCTGGCGCGGCCGTCCGCCCTCGTCGCAATCGGACCCACCGACGCATGCCACGTGGCGCCGACGCATTCCCTGACCGCACGACGCGGTGCATCTCGACCACCGGCCCGCTTCCCATCGACCGCACGACGTCGACACGCAGTTCTCCTCGGCCGGCTGCAAATTTCGACAAAACATTTGCGGGGCGCAAGTGCGCCCCGCTAAATAGAGCGATACATTGGCGCGAAACTCAAATTTTAACAGCAAAATTTGTGTTTTTTGCCAGATTAGCCACGAAAAACCGATAATTTCTCATTTGTCTCTTGATAGACCGCTTGTATAGGCTATTACAAATTTTTTAAGCGCAAGAGCGTTAAATTTGGTCAAGTCGCAAATCACATTTATTCGTTTGAAGGTTTTTGGCTAAAACTGCGTGAATTTCAGTTGCTTTTCGGTAGTTTTCGCGGTTCGAGCGCTCAAAATGCTTGTATTTACGTGATTTATTATTCGCAAAACCAATTCTCTCTGAAAACGGTCAAGAAAGCGCAAAATGAGAAGTGCGGCTTTTAGGCGGCGATCGGCGGCGAAGGCGAAAAAGCGAAATCCGCGAAAAATGCGCCAAAACGTCATTAATTTTGAGAATTAGTGTGTTTTCACGTCGGACAATCAGTTTTCACCGCTGTTGACCACAAAAATCAGAGAAAACCTGCTCAATTCATGAAAACGCCATTTGGCCGAGGCGACGCCCATATTGTCAGCTCTGGAGACCGTGAAGCGTATCAAAACGACTATTCGAACTAGTCGATGAACGATATACTCGGTGTTTTGGGCGTCCATTATCGCGGTATTCCTCTGCAAACGCGCTCTGCTCGCAATCTGGTCAACTTCTAGAATTTCTCGATAGAGCGTGATTGCAGTCAAATACCGCCACAATATCTTCGACTCGATCAGTTGGGTAGAATGTGATTCGAAGGCTTGCGCCTTTAAATGATTTGAAAAACGAAATGCCCTACCGGTCTGGTGCCGTTTTCGCAAAACGTGTCGGGAACGTGCACGGTGACATTATGGGCGGTCTGCACACAATAGACCTCGCGGCGCCGTGCTCCCGGACCGCAATGTGGCGCACATTCGCTCCAGTCGGCCGTCATCCACCTGGAAATAAGGAAAAGTAGGAAAAATAAGGGAAAATTGTCATGCTCTAGAATAAAACGCAGCCATTCTTCAGTGAAGTGTTGAACTCAGAAATTGTTAGAAAAAATGTTCAAAAACTTGGTTGTCACAAAATTAGAGCTTTAAAACATTGTACACATTGTTAGCAGAGAAAGGACAATCAATAATCCCCGTCATTCTTATGGGGCACACGTTTTTTTCGGCTTACCACCCTTTCAACTCACCGGCATCTGAAACGTTTTAGAAATTAAATAAAATTGAATCTGAATTGAGCTCGAAGCAAACTTACGGCTCATTTCAAAACAATTTCAGATTTAAACTTATTAAAGGTAAAAATTATAAAATTTGAAAAGTGCTGGAACGTTGACGAGATTTAAAAAAAAACGCAGGTAATGTTATTTTCCGAGAAGCGAGAACTTCGAACCTCGACGGACAAATGAGCATCGGACAGGGTCTCGACTCGACATTGGGGCGGAGCTTGTCGGCGCACAGTCTCTCGGGCACGACCCTTCCGGTGATCGCATTCACGCAAACGACGATCGGCTGACTCTCCGACGCTATCGACCGTCCGGCGCCCGACCAGTCGACCACGTCGTCGCAATTCGACGCACACGCCGTGTACTCTTCTGCAATTCTCACTTTTTATTCTCGATTTATTCTCGACGATGGCGCGTCACGCACGGAGCGAATCGTTTTCAAACTGCAGTTCTGCGCCTTTAAATTTGAGGACGGTTGGTTTTCAGACAAATAAACCAATTTCGGACGGATTTTCAAAGAGAAAATTGCTTACAGCCTCAAATCGGCTGTTTTGTCAGAAAATATAGGAAAATTGTGAGCTACCGTATTTATTCTCAAATTTAAAGGCGCAGAACTCACTCAGGTCGCACACGGCCGAGCGCGTTTGCTCAATCGGGTTACCTGAAACTTTCCAAATGAATTTTCCGTTTTCGCAAGTGTCTCCTCGCCCGCCGCACACTCCGCACGCGTCGAAACGGAACGAGGAGCCGACGAGACCGTCGCAACCGACAATCTGAAATCGAATTTTGTCGTTTTCCCAAAATGTTTGGACCCCAACCTGACATGATCCTTTGCTGCAGACCGCCCGACTCGTCGCCGCCTGACACGGCGTTCCGTCGTCGACTCGCCACAGGAAGTTGGCGCGAGTTTGGCGCGCACGGCACACGACCTCGCACTGCAAACACCATAACTGACGGAAAATTTACACATAGCTGATTACGATACCTGTTGCCTGGAGACAATCTCCTCGCCACCGCAAATTGTATCCCTAGCTAATCTATTCTTCGACTCGCAATCTTTTTGAGCACAAACTTTGAATCGAACCGCCTCGCCCGAACATTTCGACGTTAGGCACCGTCGCAATTGACGCGACACCCCACCGCCGCACTGAAAAAGTAGATGAATTTCTAGGCCGGCAGATCGGATTTTCTCGACCACGTACCGTTTTGGAGCACGGACTCCACGGACTCCACGCCGCCCAACTGAGCCCATCACAAAAATGGGCGAAGAAGAGGAGAAAGACAACGGTAGACGGACGGACGAACACCATTTTCACTCATTTTTCCCACTCCACTTCATCCCTGTGAATCGGATGAAATTGCGAAGAGAAAGAAGAAGGCGATCTAAAAATGGAGGTGCAAATTATAGAGTACGAAATTGAAGACGGGGGAGAGAGGAAGATGGATGGACGAAAAATGAAAGTTTTAGAGGAAAGGGACTTTTGAATTTTTTGTTGGAAAAACTAAATATATTTAAGAGTTTGAAGATATTATTGACACCAGGTGATATGGTTGCTCGGCCGCCGGAAAAGATGTGTATATCTACTTGAATTTTAATTTTTTTTTAATGATTTTCCGGAAAACAATGCAGTTTTTTGTGAGTAGAGAAGCTTACTTATTGTGTTGTTCATGTTCTTAGGTATTTCCGACGATTTTCACACCGATATTGCGATTTTCTATATGATACGAACAAAAATTCGCTTTTCCGAAGGTTGCCTATCTGCAAGAGTCAGAAAAATCGGAAAGAATCATCAAGAGAATGAAGAAAATCGATGGAAATGCCTGAAAAAACATGAACGACACAATAAATAAGCTTTTCTACTGACAAGAAACATCGTTGAAATTGCGTTGTTTTCCGAAAAAAATCATTTAAAAATTTCAGGTAGATTTTTTGTCTCTTCCGGTGGTTTCTTGTTTTTGTTGCCAAATGTCGTCATTTTGCAGGAGAAATTTGTGGTTTTTCCTACTCTCAACGCTTCCGTTCAAATGATTTTGCAAAAAACACTCGATTGTCTTTTGTTCTTCATTTTTTGGCTCTCCGACGTTTCGAAACCCGACATTTCGACACTGCCCACGGTCTCCCTCAGCGCGAATGATTTCAATGGGGCGCACTTGCAACAGGCGGGCTGTGTCGATTTACGCGGCGGCCGATTAATTAATTTTCAACAGGAGTTCGCGTTCTTTCCATGTTTTCTGTACACTACACCTATTTTTTTGTACGCCTGGAACCTGGATTTGAAAAATTAGAGCACTAACATTTTCAATGTTCGTTGGGCTCATGAAATGCAAAATGAGCTGAAATATAAAGGTTTGAAGTTTTGACGAAATGCGAAAAAGACGCTAAAAACATGAAAAACTCGAAATTCTGTAAAGAACGGTTTCTAATCAGTAAAATATTGTTTTTTAGACGTTTTTCAAGTCAAAAAGAAAGAAATAAAGGTCGTAAACTCGAATTGAACTGCATTTTCAGACCTGCAAATTTTTAAAAGTTACAACGACACTCCATAATTTATGAGCGCGCTGTGTTTAGCATTAGCGCCCTGGGAGACCGTGGCTGCCAAAGTTCACGTGGGTATCGAAACGTCGGGGAGCCATTTCTTATCGATTTCTTGTCAATCCGATTGTTTTTCCCGTTTACTTTTAAAATGCGCGCTTTCTTTACACTTTTCACTCTCTAATTTCAGATGAATTTGTCAAAAATTGACAAGAAACGTCGAGGAATGATCGTCTAAATTTATGAAAGGTTTTTTTTGCAAAATAGAAAATTTGTGTGTGTGTCTGTTTTCTGTGCGATGTTGAACAATCAAAGTAGAAAAAACGATGGTTTTCGATAAAAGTCTAGCAAAACGTTGCAAAGCAAGAAAAATTGCGGGTAAAAAGGCTAAGTTCAGAGGAATTTCTTTTTTTTCGAAGGAGCAAAAAGCAGAAGCCAACTACCGACAATAGGTATTTGAATGGCAGCTTTCAATTCAAAAAAAGGAAATAATGGGAAAGTCTGAGGCGATTTATTTATGGGCGGCTCCGATGGGACAAGAAAAACGAGAGAGCCTTACTTTTCAATGTTTTTTCAGCAAATTGAACGAATTTTGATTTTGAGCGGAAAAACTTAACATAGAAAAGCTTGCTTACAAAGTTTGGCTCAAAAATGCGTCGCTGACTTTTAGTATCCTTTTTCTTCAAAATCGCAACAATTTTCGAGACGAAACGCCAGAAAACAATGGGAACAATGAGCACCTACAACTCGGCATTCAACTCTTTTTTCCTTCGAAAAATCTTAGCCATTCACGTGTCAGAATTTACTCAAACGGAAAAATTGGAGGGTGGAATGGAAGAGGTTAGAGGATAGACCGCTTTAAAAAAATTTCCCTAACCTCGGCGCAAACGTTTTCTCGTTAACGTGCACCAAACATGCTTTTTTCTCTTTCAAATCAGGTTAGCTCCTCCTCCTCCTCCTTCTTCTTTTCGCTAGTTGTGAGGAAGGAACAAACACAGATTTTCGTTTTTTCTCTTTCGTTTGAACAAAAATTCTTTAAGCCAACGACTTTTTTTTTTTTGGAAATTTCGCCACCGCCTGCCGAGGGGCCTAACTTTGCAGGCTTCTTGGACCTAGATAGGCCGAAAAGGCCAGATTTTTGTCAAAACTGCAAAATGAAAAATCGTTCTGGGCACAGAGTTCTAGGTCGTGTCTTTTCACTCTACAAATTCAGAGCTCTCCAAAAACACTGGGAGGGGCGGGACGAAGGAAAAAGTTATGTTATGAATAAATGGAGTGTCTGTGTGCATTTCGGGAAGGAAAAGTCCCAGGAGAGAATGAGTGGGGCGGGCGGGAGACAAAGAAGAAGACGAAGCGCGGAGAAGAAGGAGAAGGAGTTGGAGGGAAAAGAGCAAGAAGATGTGCTCCTCGAGCATTTTTATAAATGTTGTTCCTCTTTGGACGCCTCCTTCCCGGCCGCCGCCACTCTTCCATTATACAAAAAAAGATGAAGAAGCAAAAAGACACACACTTTCTCTCTGTGATTCTCTTTTCTGACGCCTTCAAGGGACCGGAAGAGACGAGAAAACGATTGTATGTGTGTGTGTGTTTTATGGGTTTTTTAGTAGTTTTAGGCCATGGATTAGTTTTATAGATTCTTACTCCTACCGTAATCCTTTCGATGAAAGTGCGCCAAGTGCTGAGTTCGATTACAGTTTCAGTATATGTATAATTTGACAATGCTAATGGATAAGAGTTTCTCGACTTGAGATGGAAAGAGAAAAGTGATACACGGTCTGATAAAAGAATGATAAATCACGTAAATACAAGCATTTTGAGCGCTCGAACCGCGAAAATTACCGAAAAGCAACAGAAATTCACGCAGTTTTAGCCAAAAACCTTCAAACGGATAAATGTGATTTGCGACTTAACCAAATTTAACGCTTTTGCGCTTAAAAAATTCGTAATAGCCTATACAATCGGTCTATCGAGAGACAAATGAGAAATTATCGGTTTTTCGTGGCTAATCTGGCGAAAAACACAAATTTTGCTGTTAAAATTTGAATTTCGCGCCAATGTATCGCTCTATTGCGCGGGGCGCCGCACTTGCGCCCATTGTCAGCTCTGGAGACCGTGTGATGACATTGTTAACAATGCTGTTACAGAGCCAGATGTCTGAAGGAGGTGCTCAGCGGAGAGAGGTGCACGATTGAGTTGATGAGAAGGACATGGACGATACCGGCGACGAAGGAACGCATGATCCACGCCTTCTTCATTCTAGACATTGAAAGAGTTTGTATTTATTTCACCGTAAACACATTTCTCTCTCTCTCTCTCTCTATTTCCAGCCGGCCAACATGTTCAACACGGCTGTCGGACTCAAGATTCTCGTCAAAAATGAGCATTCGAACACCAACTGAACGGACAAGCGACATAACCTTATTCGCGTGAACCTCGGAAAGCTGGCGAGAGCTTATCTCCGTCTGTAAGTTAGTCAGCTTCTTTGAACCTACAGTAATCCTTATTTCCTTTTTTTTGGTTCCAGATGGCATCCGCACGACTTCCCGTTCCTCTTCTCATCCGCCGACCGATTCGCCGTCATCTGGGCGCTTTCCAACCATCGTTGATCTCACTCACCCAGTTACCAGCTTTATATAGAATCTCGAAAAGAATGAATTTTACGGGTTTTTTGTGAAAGTGTACCACAAGAAACACACGGTTTACAACAGAAAATAGGCTGAAACTTTTGCAACGACTTGCGAGTGTTCGCAAATTTGCGTTGGGGGTTAACATTGGGACAGGTGCAGAGTAAAAATGAAACAAAAACAATAATAACATGGCGCTCTGTTTTAAAAAATTAAAATTTAAAAAAAAGTGGATCAGTAGAGGATGCGCGATTCGAGTGATCCCTGAATGTCCGAAATTTCGATTCGGCATTTTCCGTCGGCGATTCTCGCGGTCGCCTCCTCCAGCATATCCTTCACGCCGATCTACAAACAGAAACAAGCGTTTCAACATTTTGACGTGAAAAACCAACTCTGACGTAAGTTTGAATTACTTCACAGAGTTCCGCGTTGTCGACGATGTTGAACGGAAGCACGTCGCGGTCGAGGCACTCGAGAAGAATCTGCGCGCCGATTTTCGTGCTATCCGAGAGCCAGTGACGCGAGAGCAGCTGCGATCCCGAGTGGTTCTTGTAGGGCAACTCAAAAAGCGGCGATTTTCAAAGTTTTGGCTCAATTGCTCCATATTATCCATCAACCGATGGGACCCTAACGTTGCATTATTATCAGTTTCGACTTGGAAGGTCTTTCTTGAAAGTTTCAGCCGGATCGGACCATGTGATCTGGAGATTTAGTGATGTCAAGCCGAACATTTTTCGGAAACGTTCTCTTTTCGCAAGACAAGGGCTTTCTGACATCAAATAAATGCAGAGCACTATAAGATTGAAATGTTCACGGTGGACACTCCAAACCAGGACTGATGATCTCGCAAAGTTATGAACCAAGTGATTTTGTTAAAACTGAACAATTTTGCTCAAAGACCGACCTCTCCTGAGCACTGACACAGCAGAGTGTACAGATCCTCGTGCGTGGCGAGCACTTGTTCCGGCATGTCGGGCAGGAATGCGCGGATCGGTTCGAGACACGAGACCCGACCGTTCAGAACGCATTGCAACGTTTTTTTGTACTTGAGTACTTGCTCGCGGTTGCCGTGATTCTGCACCTGACTCCAGATGGCCTGCATCTTTTCGATGTTGTCTTCGGTGAACATTTGCGAGTTGATCAGCGGCTGAAAAATTATGTACTTGAGGAGGTAACAGAGGCTTGTCCATACCGTAAGACCGCTCATCTGGTAGCCTCCGAATCCGCCTCCACTGCGGCGCTCGAGCTGTTCTTCCTGCTCTTCATGAGCATCATCGTGCTCCGGCTCTTCCATGTGCTCGTCGTCGTCATTGTCAACTGCTCCGTCTCCACCGCCTCCTCCTCCATTTGCCTCTTCATCATCATCACTATCTTCGTCGTCCTTCTTATCCTCTCCCTCGCTCTCTTGTTCTTCTTCCTTCTCCTCCTCCTTTTTCTTCGTCTGCTCCTCCTCGTCGCACGAATCCGAATCGGTCGAGTTACCGCCGACGACGACGTATCCGGCCGAAGATCCGTCCTCCGATGGACTATTGTGCAGCAGAACGACGATTCCCGGCTCGCGTGGCTGCTCGGCCACTCTACGCGGCATCAGCTTCTTCCTCTGTTGATGCTCCACAACCTGACGACGTCCCTCCTCGAGAAGTTCGTCGTCGATGGCGTGATGTCGAACGTCTACGAGGCCTCCGTGCGGCGCCTGATCTCTAGCCGCCTCCACTTCCTCTTCCTGGTCCCCATCCGGCGCTTTCGATGCTTCGGAACCTTCAGATTTCTCTACCACCTTCTTCGCCGGACGTCCTCGCTTCTTCGGAGGCCCCCCACTGCTTTTCGCCGGAGTGCGTGGCGTCGTCGCCTTCTTCGGACGTCCCCGTCCTTTCGTTTCGTCTGGAGTCAGTTTAGCAGAACCTGATGCGCTTCTGCTGCTTCCCTTGCTCGTCGGCGTCTCCGATTCTTCTCCCTCCGTCTCACCGTCAATCTCCACGGAATCGTCAAGTTGATCCTTCTTGGCCGGCCGTCCACGCTTTTTCTGCGGTTTCTCGACCGCAACCTAGAAAATTCAAATAAAAATGCTCTTCCACACCCTTTTCCGTACCTCTTTCTCGTCTTGCTGCGAATTCTCCTGCTGCAACTCTCCGCCGACGTCAAAGAAGTTGTCATCCTCGTCGTCTTCTTCGTCGTCGCCGTTCTCTTCTTCAACGTTGACAATCTTCTTCGGACGCCCGCGAGCCTTCTTTTGTCCCGGCTCCAAAACTGGCTGAGCATTTTTCGGCTTTCTTTCGCGCTTCTTCGGAGGAGATTTCACGACGCCTTCAACCTGCTGCTTAGGACGCCCACGTTTCTTTTTCTGCTCCACGGGTTTCATGGGCTCCTCATCCTGCTCCTCCTGCTCTTCCACGTCATATTTGTCAACCTCAGACTCTTCCGATTCCTCTTTCTCCACAATCTTCGGCTTCCGTCCCCGCTTTTTCGGTTCAGAAGCTCCCGGCAACTTTTTCGGACGGCCTTTCTTTTTCGGGTAAACGGAAGCCGAAGAAGCGACGGAGGCAGATGGGACGGCTTTCTGAGCCTTCGGCGGACGTCCTCTCTTTTTGACGACGACTTTTTGAGTCAGGAATTGTGGATGGTCTGGATCCAAAGCTTTTTCCGGGTCCGCCGCATCTTCGACGTCGCCAGAAGCCGCAGCAACCGACGATTTCACAACTTCCGGAGTCTTCTTCGGACGGCCACGAGACTTTTTGACCTGTGGCGGCTTCTCCTCTTCGTCGTCGTCATCGTCTTCTTGCGCAACCTCCTCGTTGTCCAACACTACCGGCTCATCGTCATCGTCCACGACGATGACGTCCACTAACGGCTCGTTTGGATCTAATTCGATCGACATTCTGTAAATGAAACGTTCTTATTTTAATTTTCGAATTATCAGAAAAATTCCGGAAACGGTTTTATAAGATTTTTGATAAAATTGGGCCTTTCTCGTTAAAAACCGAGGAATTGAAAAGAAATAACGAACGAAAATCGGAGAATTTAGGCCCACACAAACAAGTCGACAGTTCCAAAAACTGAAATTAGCGCCACGATCCGCGCCAAAGGCTGGGAATTTTCTAGTCCTCGAAAGTCAAACGTGCTCCAACGCACCAAGCGGATTACTGTAGTTGTTTGTGGCCTTTTTCCGGCCTAAATTCGCGGAAGGGCCTTTCGGGCTGAGAGGAGTTAAGAATTTTCTAGATTTTTGCCCTTTTTGTTAATTTGTAACCAAAAACGAATAAACTTGTTCAAAGATCTTAATTGTTCTCGTCTCCGAAGCTTCAGACGCGTCGGCGACCGCAAATCGGTCGTTTCGGCGGCGCGTCCGGAAAAATGGGAATATGGTGATTGATGATGCGAAATGGACACGCAAATGACACTTAAACCATGCACACAGTGAGCCTTTCACAGAAATTTCCAAAAAAATGATTGGACAAGGAAAATTGGAAGATGTTCACATTTCCAGCCTTACTGAATAACTGAAATTTCCTTTGAAATGTGAATCAGAAAAGGATAATTTTGGGCCCAATAGAGTGGAAGCCTAAAAAGCAACAAGCGTAGCCAATATATCTAGACCTACGATCCGGAAATCTGAATCTACGTTTTGCCCGCGAAAATTTTGAACTACCGGCGGTAAATTCTAAACTGTACACGAAAATCCGCCATTTTTCGCTCTTTTTTCGATCTCCGTCTCTTTTTTCCTGCTTTTCCGCGTTCGTTTGGCCTAATAAAGTGAATTTAACACAAATTTTGGAAAAAAAGCGTTCCAAGTTTGCAGGCTAGTCGAGAGATGATCGTGGCGGCGGCGGAGAAGGCAATGTTCGAAAAAAGTGTAAATATGGGATCCGTCGGAGAGAATCATCAATCAACAGCCTCCGCTTCTGTCAAAGCTCCGACAACGTCGGTCTTCGAGGAGGACACCGACTCCCGAGACTCCGGTTCGTCCCAAATTGTGAAATTGGCTCGAAAAAGTGGTCGAAATTCCGAGATTTCAGTCGTTTTTTGCAGGAATTTCGATGGGCAGCTGTGGCGGTGACGGCACGACGTCTTCGGCTGAGGCGACGTGTCCGGCGGACACCTCTTCTGCCACGATGGCTCCCTCGGACACCGACTTCAGCAAGGCGATCCTCCTCGAGCACCTCTCCTCCCGTCCCGCCCTCACCGATTGCTCGAATTTCGTCGCCAAAGTCTACAACTCGTCGGTCTCCTCCTCGCGCAGTTCCTCATTGTCAGCTTCACTATTTTCAATCGCTTTCGGAACATATTAATATTGCAGTTATCACTGCGACACTCCTACGGGGAGAAAGGTAAAGTCGGTGTTCTCTTCGGATGCGATGCTCGACCGATCGCAGTTCGAGAAGAAGTCATTTTTGGAGCGAACGATGGAGAGTCTGAACAGAAAGAGATCGTCGTCGTCGATGTCGCCCAGCTGTTCGCTCATGGATCGCAAACGATCACGGAATCTCTCGTTGGAGGCGCCGCAATCCGACCGTATCTGTCGCTACAACGGAGTTCTCAAGCAGATCGGATCGATGGAGGCGAACAAGATGCAGAAAAAAGATCCGTTCGGCGAGTACGATGGCGAAGAGGACGAGGAGGACGAGGTGTTCGCACCGCCCATCCCTTCGGGCTCCCTCTTCGTGGCGCCGATCGCCCCGCGCCCGACCGCCTCGCTCTGGGATTTGAACAACCGCGAATCAATTGGGTTCGCCGAGCGAAAAACGTCGGACACATCGGCCAATGGATCCTTCAGCTCGATGGAAAAGATGCCGAAGCCGCCGATGAGAGCGATGAGCGTCGGAGTGATCGATGCGCACGACGCGGCGCACTTGCCCGCCATGCTCGAAGTGGTAGGGATTCTCGGTCACACAATAGTTTGTCTTTATTTGCAGAAGTACTCGCTGCCGAGTGTGGAGCGTCCGCAAAAAGCCTCACAAGCCTATCGTTCGATCTCCGCCATCACGCTGCTCGCGGAGTTCCAACGGCTCGGCGATTCGTTCGAGAAGCAGTACGTGCTGATCGACTGCCGCTACCCGTACGAATTCCGCGGCGGGCACGTTCGCGGAGCGATCAATCTCTACAAACGGGCCGAGATCAAGGCGCAATTCTTCCCTGACGACCCGATCGAGGCGGCACTGAACAAGAGGATTCCCATCTTTTATTGTGAATTCAGTCAGAAGCGAGGGCCCACCATGTTAGTACTATTTAGAAGACGTGCCTTTTTGACTTTCTCAATTTTCAGGGCAAACGCGGTGCGTTCGATCGACCGCGTGCGCAACGAACTGCGCTATCCTCACGTGGAATACCCGGAAATGTACCTACTGGATCACGGCTACAAGTCTCTGTGGGGTCGTCGCGAATGCCGTCAGATTTGCGAGCCGTGCAACTACGTTCCGATGGACCACAAGGAGTTCACCGCACAACTCAAGACCGCCCGTCTCGAACGTCATCGCTCAAACGCGGCGGTGAAGCCGAACGGCGAGGCCGATTTGGAGGAGAAGTGGTCGATGCGCACGCGAAGCAGCGCCCGCCGCAAGTCCTCCGTCCTCAGTGTGCGTTTTCTCGCAAGTGCAATGGGCGCTAACTTTTGAATGAATTCCAGTTGCAATCGAAATTCTCGCAGTCATCGAGCACTCTGAGCACCACGTCGGAGATGATGTTGCTGAGAAGTGGCGCGACGATCGGAGGGTCGAAAGGAGACGACGTCTTTTTCATGGACAACGAGCTGGAAGGTCCGAAGAAGTCGGTGTCGGCGTTCGATATTCAGAGTATCGCCTCGTCGGAAGTGGACCTCGACTACGCGCTGATCCGTCGCAAACGAAGCACGGCGACGTTGTCGCAAGCCTCCTCCATCCAACACCTCACCTTTTCGGATCCGTTCGACGATCAGAGCGAGCAGGTCGTGCAGCTGGGGCTCAAGGTGTACACTCCGGACTTTCCACAGAACGGCTCGCCTCCACAGGACGAGTACCTTCCGCTCGGGCTTGGCGATCGGCACCACAACACTCCGCGCCTCTGCCTAGACTTTTCGACGCTCTCCGACACGGAATAGTTTCGTTTTGCCTGTCTCTTTTCCCCATCCTATTACAGTCGGTTTTACTACTCGAATTTCGTGTTTCTTTTTTTTTGCTTTTTACCCTAACTTCTTCTTCTTCTCGTTCGTTTCGTTGTTAGAGTAGTCGTCCACACTTTCTTTTCCAAACTATTATTATTATCAGTTGTCATCTATCTATTATTCTATTTTTCGTCACACCCAACCCACCACAAGTTATGCACCCCGCCATTTTTAACCCATTTTTTCCGCAAGGCCTTTTTTCCAAGAAAAAAGATGCAAATACTACTGTGCCATACCATGGTCTTTCCCATTTCCCAGTCCCAATCGACATCATCATTTCCATATTTTGCCCAATTCTTCAGTGTCAATGTTTTTTTCATAGCCCAGTTATCCATCTGTTTTCCACACACACACACCATCATCACAAACATCTCGGTTTTCTTTCACTGTTTACATACATTAAAAACATTCAAACTGTACGTACCCAAATTGTTTTTCACGTTGTTTTTGAGCTTTTTTCCTCAATTCAAATTATCGTACGCTTTATTCTCTCAATAGTTAAGTTCTAGTTCACTTGGGCCAGTGGCTCCTTGTTCAGCGAGCGGAACTGCTCCAGATGTTGCTCCCCCTTCGCCAATCAGTTCGTTGACGTCTCCGGCGATAAATGCTCCGTTCGCTCCGAGCATTCCGTAGATGGCCAGCTTCGAGGAGACGCAAAGTCCGACGAGCACCGCCGAGTACAGATTCACATTGGCCGATTTCTTATCGCGGGCCGCCAGTTGAATCGGAACAGCCGCCGCGAGGGTGTAAAGGGCGGAGAGGAGGAGGTAGACGGGCGAGATGGCACCTTCGAGGGCTCCGATCGCGGTGTGGGCGATCAGGGAGGAGAGGACGGTGATGAGGAGGGAGGTCGGGCGGGCTGAAAAGAAGAAAAAGTTGTTGACCGGCTCGGCGACCACTCCAACTTTTGCGCAAAATTTACAGAAGATTGCCGAGCGGCGTACTCGTCCACTTACAAGTGTGCTTGATCACCGAGACGCCGAACGACGAGACGATGACGGAAAGGGCGATGAAGGGCTCCGACGAGACGCTCAAATTGGCCAACGCGGCGCCGGAGAGCACTCCCTGAGCGACGGCCGTCAATGCGAGAACACGAAGCGCGTCCATCGGCTTGTAGCCCTTGCTCAATTGATAATAGAGGCCGAGTGGGGCGGCGATCGCACTGAAGAGGGCCGCGCCGACGGGCGGAACGAGCAGGGTGACGAACGGGGCCAAAAGGTAGCCGCCGAGGAGGGAAGACGCCGAAAAGACGGTCAGAATGACCGAGGAGAGCACGAACGTCTCGATCAGTGGGACCACGTTGATGGGCATCGGGGACTGGAAATATACTCAGTTTTGTGGTTTGTCAGACTTCTCAGTCACTCACAAAGTCGACGAGAGCGTTGACGAGACGGACGAACGAGTCCTGCTGCTCGCCGAGCACTTTTCCGCTCTTGTCCGCTCGAGACCCACCACGAGAAACAGTACTGGCCCCGGTGGATCGATGATTGGCCGAAGAGACCGATTTCAGCGCCTTCTCCACGAGCTTCCGACCCTCCGCCGGAAACTTTTCCAGCTCACGACCGAACTTTTGCATAGTCTGAAGCTCTCATTTTCATGGCTGTTCCGATGTTTTCGATCGCCTACGTGAACGGCCATGTTGATGCCGATTTCGTTGGCGTCAGAAGTGGCGCCGGCCTGTCCGAGAAGCGCCGGATCTGCAGCGGGACCGACTTGCGACGGCGTCATGACGGACTGATCCTCTTGTTGGGCAGCAGCCATTTCTATCGAATTGTTCCGAGAGACGAGTAGAGAGAAGCGAAAGATCGAGAACTGACGATCGGTGGGTTGGGCGGTACGGCGGGAAGAACAAGTGCCACGTGGACGTGAAGGTCAAGCGGGAATTTGAATTGCAGTGAACAGTTTGCGGCAAAAGCACTTTATCTTCATCGAGAATAATAATAATAGTCACAAAAGACGTCGGCCCGTCACTAATCCTAATCCTCGCTCTTGGTCCGATCCTTCTGATCCTTTCTCTCCTCTTTCCGATTATTCCGATCCTTTCGATTTTCGTCCTCATCCTTCGACTTTTCCTTTTTCTCCTCCTCCTTCGTCTCTTTCTTTTTCTTCTTTTTCGACTCCTTCCCCACTGAAATAGTGATACATCTGGTGCCGATCGCCTGTTTTTTGACACGTTCCCAACATCTGAAAGTCGGTCAGTGCTTCTAGAATTCGAGAATGTTCCCCTGACCGATAAGCGGACATTTTCTCGTCGTGCCACTGTTTTCCGACCAACGTGTAAATCACGTAAATCTTGTCCTTCGCCACGTCTCCCGACAACTTCGTAATCGGCACCGTCGTCTCGTTGCCCGGACGTAGCACGTCGGCGCACTCCTCGATCTTGAGCCGGGCGTTGCTCGTGCATTTCACCTATCAAATCCGAATTCTCATCCTCAAAATGGACAAATTGGTGACAGACCTTGAACAGAACGGCCACTTTTGAATGGTTCTGCAGAGTGAGCATTTTGTCCGAAGAGGTCTGTAAAGTTGGGCGGGACTTTGAGTAATCTTCATACTTTGAGTAATCTGCACCAGTTTTGAGCAAAAGAAAGCAACGGAAGAGTTCACTTTATTGTACATTCGTCAGTTGATCACATATCATTCGAAAAATGTTTTCGAATGATATCCGCTCAACACTGATAGACACCTTACGTCGAACGGGTCGGGCAACACATTGAGATCTTCAAAGTTGAGTGGAATCCCCGGAAATTCCTTCGACGGCTCCATTTGTCGAATTAACAGTATTCATCGGATCCACGGTCAAAAAGTTCACGTTCATTGTCATATTTTAGACTCACAACAGTGTGTCGTTTTTCTGACATTTTGTTTTCCCGTGGCCTCTCCTCTTTCTCGGATCGGCGCCAGCAGTTGCCCCCGTTTTCTCCGCTCCTCTTCGCCGTCTGCCGTCTCTGCAGTCCGCCCGTCTCTCGATTTGTTTTAACGAGTTTTCATATTCTTTCTTCTTTTCTTTCGCCTATTTTTCTCGCTCTTATCGATAGTTCACTGTTCACCAAGAAAATTGTAGACCCGCTTGTCCTAACATCAATGTTCAGGGGGTATAAATATTGACCGAAAGATCAGAAAAGTTTAGTTTTTCTTCTTTTTTTCCGTTGCTTGCTCCGTGATCTAATGTCTCTATTTTTGTTTTGATTATTGCCTATTCCACACAAGTCAGACGTTCTGCCACTCCTCACGAACGTAATTCTGAACATTTGTGAACTTCTTACGTATTTCATTTTTCACGGATTTTTAACGACTATTCGTAAAATCTCAATTATCAGTGAAGATGACGAAAACAAGTAACATCCCATTGAACTTGTTTATCTTATTTTTGCTCTCTTTGGTCTCTAATAGTGTGATCTTTGAATCTGGACTGAATAAATGAGCGAATTCATCTTTTTCTCGTTCGATCTCTCTTAAAGATTCGTCGAAATGTCAGAGAGCAGACATTTAGATATTTACGTAGTGCACGTGGTGCACTTTGTCTTATCAGAAGCTACGCATTCGTAGCCGCTCTCTCATTTCCGTGCAGTTCGACTAGTGTTTCAATGCTCCTTTTTCATGCAAAAACGTAGAAGGTTTTGAGCTTTTGTGTCCTTTTTTTTCGTTTCTTAGCGCTCCCGCTTTGGAAAAAATGACGTGAACCAACGTTGAAAACACGAAAAAAAGCAACGTGCCCTAAATGAGCCCATATAGAATTTTTGATAATTTACGCTTTTCTCACTCGTTTCCTCCTGTCTCTCAGAATTTATTTAATGGAGTTAATCAGTGAATGTCTTTTACGTTGTTGTTTTACGTAAAAAACGAGAAAAAACTCCGCTTAATAATCTGTTGTGTTCTCAGGCAAAACACAAGTTACTCGATTACTCTTTATTTTTAAGAGACTTAAAAATACAACCGAATGCTGTGTAAGCTCGGGGAAAATCTATACAACTGCAATGATGACAATTCAGCTTGATGTGTGAGAGAGAGAGACGCAGAGAACGCGCGCTGTGTGTAAACTCGCGCCACACATTTGCTTACGGTTTAAAACTTGTGGGTCTGCACCCAACACCTCCCCTTATAAGAAACAAGCTAGGGATTGTGGTGAGAATGAATATGGGTAAGAGGGAATAGGGAAAACAACAATTTAAGTCCTGTTACTCGGATCGAATCTGACGATAGGTTTCCTCTCGCGCCCACTCCGACGCAGCGGCTCTTCATCTTCTGGCGCTCCTTGTGCTTGACTCAAATGTGGTTGACCTGATTGTCCCTGATTCGCGTGTCCCTGACTCGGTTGTCCCTGACCTTGTTGTCTTTGACTTTGCGATCCTTGGCTTTGCGATCCTTGAGGTGATGCTCCTTGAGGCAGTCCTGGTTGTCCGGTATCTCCTTGCATCGTGACGTCTGTTCTCGCATTCTCCGATCTCGTTCCAGTGGTGGAAGTGTCCTCCTTTCCCTTCACGGTCTCGTTGAAATAGAATCCATCACACGACAACTCAAAGATATCCTCCATCGTTGACCTCCATCGATCCTCCTTGCTCACTCCATTTTCAAGCACTCTCGGTTTCAGCTGATTAGCATGAACCGTTCGTTCACGTCCGTCGTTCAGACTGACAACGTACACCACACGACCGCGTCGTTGAATAACCGTAGCTGGTATCCAAGACCACGAATTGTGTTCGAAAATCTTTGTGAAGACTGCGTCGTTCACATCGAAAGTTCGATCTTTCACTCCGTTATGTTTGTCAAACTGCTCCTTCATTCCCGGACGGGAATCCGAACATTTGTTCAACATCGGAACCAGGAGAGACATCTTCGTACGAATACGTCTTCCGAAATGAGCTTCCGCCGGCGTCAAACCTCCAAGTGCATTAGACGGTGTCGACCGGTAATGGAACAAAAATTGCGACATTATTTCCGGGTTCACATTCCCCTCCTCTTTCAACTTCTTCAAGCCTCTTTTCAGAGTGTCTACGAAGCGTTCAGCTTGCCCGTTAGACTGTGGGTGGAATGCAGGAGACCGGATATGTTCAATTCCGTACTCATGACACATATTAGCAAATTCTCTGGAAACAAACTGTGTTCCGTTATCCGAAACCAACGTCTCGGGATATCCATGAGAACTGAATATGCCTTTCAGCGTTCGTACAGTAGACACGCTCGAGATTGATTTAACAATCGCTACCTCTGGCCATTTTGACTTTGCATCAACCACCACCAGATAGTACTGTCCGTTCTCGGGACCCGCATAGTCAATGTGCACTCTTTGCCAAACACGTTCCGGTGTGTTCCAAGGCTCTAGTGGCACTTTTCTCAGCGTTTTTCCGTGGATTTGACAAGTGTTGCACGCCGCAACCACTTTTGCAATGTCCTCATCCATTCCTGGCCAGAAAACAAACGCTCTCGCGAGTTGTTTCATCCGTACCATGCCCGGATGTCCTTCGTGCAATTGCTTCAGAATTGTCTTCTGCAACATCTCCGGTACGACAACTCTTTCACTCATCATTACGCAGTCTTTCACAACGGACAACGACTGCTTGATCGAGCTGAACTTCTTCAATTTCCCTTCCAGTTTCTTTGGCCAAACTCCTCGGGAAATACACTTGATAACTTCCTTCAGAACGTTATCTTTCCGTCTCCGACTGTACGTCTTCGACTCGAACTGGTAGTCTTCGGACAGCAGACTGCAGAGATCCTTCTACATCCACTTCCACTTGAGCTATGACCATATCCTCATTCTTGGATGGCATCTTCTGAATCATTCGCGACAGCGCATCGGCTTGTCCGAAATCATCGGTCTTCACGTATTCGATTACGAAATCATACGCTAGAAGAATCGTGGACCAACGCACCAATCGATTCTGCGAGTGTACTGGAATTCCCTTTTTACTTCCAAAAATGGAGAGCAACGGTTTGTGGTCCGTTCTCAGTAAGAACTTTCTACCGAACAAGTACTTGTGGAATCTTTTCACTGCAAATATCAATCCAAGGCCCTCTTTTTCAATCTGGGAGTAGTTCTTTTCCGCAGAATTCAAAGAACGTGCTGCATGGGCAATCGGTTTCTCCGTTCCATCGGCAAAGCGATGACTAATAACGGCTCCAATTCCGTAATCGCACGCGTCGGCTGCCACAACAATCGGAATATTCGGCTGGTAATGTGTCAGATTCAGGTCAGACGACAGGACGTCTTTCAACTTCTGAAAAGCCTCAGCCTCTTTCTGAGTCCAAATCCAATCACAATCTTTCATGAGCAGTTTGTCGAGTGGACCACGGAGCGATTTCATATGCGGAATGAACGCACTGTAGTACGTGATCATTCCCATAAAACTCCGCAACTCCTTTTGGTCCTTCGGCTCACATGCCCTTGATCACCTGCACCTTTTTCCTTGTCTGGTCTTCTTCCATTCTTATCAATGATAAAACCCAAAAAATTTTATCTCCTCGCCGAGAAAGTGACATTTTTTTCAATTTTTCACTCTGAAGCCATATTCAGAAATCCTCTTGAACAACTCTATCAAATTCTCCATGTGCTCTTTTTCCAGTTCGGCCAACAACGATAATATCGTCGAGATATGCCGTCACGCCTGTCAGTCCAGTGATCATTTTGTCCATGATCCGCTGGAACACCATCGGCGCCGTTTTTGCCCCGAAAGGAAGTCTCTGGTACTGGTAAAGCCCACGATGTGTGTTTACCGTTAATAACTCCTTTGACTCTTCGGCCAGTTCGATCTGCAAGTACGCGTCCTTGAGATCAACTGTTGAGAAAACTGTTCCTCCGTTCAACGTCGCGAACACGTCTTCTGGCGTCGGAATTGGGTGATCTTCATCTTCCAAAGCTTCGTTCAAGCCCGTTTTGAAGTCTGCACACATCCGCGTGTCCCCATCTGCTTTCCGCACGCACACCAAAGGTGCCGCCCACGTACTGTGGTTCACCTTCTTGAGAACTTTCAGACTCACGAGTCTGACCAGCTCTTTGTCCACTGTTTCCAAAGCTCCGTATGGTACCGGACGCTTTGGTTTGAACACCGGCGACGACCCAGGTTTCACAGTCAGCACTGCCTTTTCCTTAGTACATCGCCCCAGTCCTTCTTTGAACACTTCCGGAAATTTTCTCTTTAATTCCGCTCGAAGTGTTTCCGTGTCTGGACTCTTCACTTCGTTTACCATCAACCCTAGGTAATACGACATTTCCGTCGATTTCCCGATCCAATCTAGCCCTAGCAGATTGCCTTTCTCGCGGACGTACACAAAACCAGAAGCTTGCGAGCCTTTCAACGTGAAGTTGACGTTTGCTCTCCCCAACAATTTCAAGTCATCACCGCTCGCGGATGTCACTCTTGTTGCGAAACTCTCCAGTTTTGGTTTTCCGATCTTAATCCACTCGTCTTTTCCAATCAAAGTAATATCGGAACCAGTGTCAAGCTGGTAATCCACCGACCTGTCATTTATGTCCGCCGTGACGTACTGTCGTACAGCGTTCACGTGTCTGTTTAGCTTCACGTTCTGAGTTTTCCTCGTGCCACTCTTCTTGCTTTTACAGTACTTTGACATATGACCGCTCTGTTGACAATTGAAACATTTTGTCAGTTTCTGTTTGCAATCCGGCTTTTTATGGCCCTTTTGCCCACAATTCCAACAAGCTTCCTCTTGTCCCCCTGAACGATCTCGGTCTCTCGTTGGTTTCTTTCCTTTTCCGTTTCCTCTGGAGTGTACCGCTCTTACAGCCGGTTCACTCTTCTCCATCTCTGAAACCACACAGTTCTGTCTGTCCGCTTTCTGCCACTCTTCGCAGAGGTCGTTTATCGTGACAGTTTCTTCTTTTTCCCACTTCTGTTCCACATATTTTATGAAATATGCCCGGATAGCCTTGTCTTTCGACCCATCTAACCCTTTTAACCAGAAGAAGACTTTCCATCCGTCGATGTCGATCTTGTCCAGATTTGCTGCTTCGCACATCGCGTTCACCTTGTTGGTGTACTCGACCGTCGAGTCACCGTCCCGAATAATGTTCATGCACGCAAATCTGTGGGAGAAAATACTTTTCTTCACGTCAAACATCTTCCTCAAAAAGTCCGACAGTCTCCTCAAACTTCATTTCGGTGTGTTTCTTCGGACAGATCCGCTTAGAAAAACTGCTCATACACCTCGTCCGAAAGTTTACTCACAAGCAACGAAACTTTCGCCTCATCCGGCAAATCTTTTTCCCTCTTGGTCGAACGCAGTTCCAGTGCCGTTCATACCACCTCGAAAACGTCTTCTCTGTTTCCAGATCAAACTGGAACTGTGAAATCCTGCCGCTGATCACATTTATCAGCTGTGATTGCGACACGCTTGACTCGCTTTGGCTCACCGTTCCCGGATTGCCATTGATCTTTCCAGATGACATGGACTTGATCAACTTGTCAATCGATTCTTGATGCCGAGTTGCCTGCAACTGCATTTGCTGTTGCGTCACTTCGATCATCTTCAGCATCTTCTCCATCATGTCGCTATTCACCGCCATTGCAGGTTAACTGGCACTGACGAGAATACACAGAAAAAGTCACCGCCGTTTATACTGTCACGGGTACTTTCTGCTCACAAGATTTCACCACCGTTTTTAGCTGTCGTGGTTACTATTCTGTGTTAACTGGCACTGACGAGAATACACAGAAAAAGTCACCGCCGTTTATACTGACACGGGTACTTTCTGCTCACAAAAATTTCACCACCGTTTTTTTAGCTGTCGTGGTTACTATTCTGTAGAACAAGAATCGCGAGCGAAATCGAGTTCGAAATCTGATCGCCAATGTTGTGTTCTCAGGCAAAACACAAGTTACTCGATTACTCTTTATTTTTAAGAGACTTAAAAATACAACCGAATGCTGTGTAAGCTCGGGGAAAATCTATACAACTGCAATGATGACAATTCAGCTTGATGTGTGAGAGAGAGAGACGCAGAGAACGCGCGCTGTGTGTAAACTCGCGCCACACATTTGCTTACGGTTTAAAACTTGTGGGTCTGCACCCAACATAATCCCATATTTTATCGGCTTTCTCTACTGACGTCTATCATTCTCGTGTCGAACCCCAACGTCTACAATTTGCAGAAGATGTCGTCGTTCCTCCCGCGCACGCTTCTGCTCTCGCGCACCGCTTCTCCGCTCGTCGCCGCCACGTCATCGTGTCTGTCGACGAAGCCACGCGCGCACCCCGACGGACACGTGCCGTCGCCGCTTCAACAACTCTCCGAGCAGGAAAACTCGGTAGTGGAGACTGGTAATTTGAAAGGAAATTCTGAAAAAAGGAAGAAAATATTGTTTTTTTTTCAGTTCGTCGCTTCGCGGTGAATGTGATCAAACCGCTGGTGCGGGAGATGGACGAAAAGTCGCAAATGCATCAGAGTGTCATCACCGGCACTTTCGAGAATGGGGTCAGAAAAACTGCGACAATTTTTAGAAACAATCGCAATTCTTTCAGTTGATGGGAATCGAAATTCCGGAGAAGTACGGCGGTCCGGGCTCGTCGTTCTTCGATGCGGTGCTCGTCATCGAGGAGCTCGCCAAAATCGACCCGTCCGTGTCGGTGTTTGTCGACGTGCAGAACACGCTCGTCGCGCCGCTCATCATCCAGCTCGGCACGGAAGATCAGAAGCAAAAGTACTTGCCGAAGATTGTGACGGAGGCGATCGGCTCGTTCGCGCTCTCGGAGACCGGCTCCGGCTCCGACGCGTTTGCGCTCAAGACGCAGGCCAAAAAAGACGGCGACGATTTCCTCATTTCCGGCTCGAAAATGTGGATCACCAACGCCGGCCACGCGCAGTTCTTCCTAGTTTTCGCGAATGCGGAGCAGGCCAAGGGCTACAAGGGAATCACGTGCTTCCTCGTCGACCGCAACCAGGAGGGAGTGTCCGTCGGCAAGAAGGAGGACAAACTCGGAATCCGTGCCTCGTCCACGTGCTCCGTGCACTTCGACAATGTGCGCGTGCACAAATCCGCCATTCTTGGAGAGTACGGAAAAGGATACAAGTACGCGATCGAGTGCCTCAACGCCGGCCGCATTGGAATCGGGGCTCAGATGTTGGGACTGGCGCAAGGATGTTTTGACCAGACAATTCCGTACTTGCAACAGAGAGAACAGTTCGGTTCTCGGCTTATTGATTTCCAGGTGAGCTCTGAAAATTGACCTAAAAAAGCTAGATTTCCAGGGAATGCAACACCAAATCGCGCAAGTGCGTATGGAGATCGAGGCCGCGCGTCTTCTGGTCTACAACGCCGCTCGGATGAAGGAGAACGGACTGCCGTTCGTCCGCGAGGCCGCGATGGCCAAGTTGTTCGCATCGCAGGTGGCGACGACGACGACGTCGAAATGTGTGGAGTGGCTCGGCGGAGTCGGATTCACGAAGGAGTTTCCGGTGGAAAAGTTCTACAGAGACTCGAAGATTGGCACGATTTACGAGGGAACATCCAACATTCAACTCAACACCATCGCCAAGTTGGTCGACGTCGAATACCAGCAGAAGGCATAGAAACTTTCAATTCTTGTGCTAAAGTGTCCCCTTCTTTTCTTGTTTCATTTTATTATAATTACGGTTTAGTCGAATGACATGATTAAATTAACACTAATTTGGTAACACATTATAGTTATCAACCTAGAAAAATGAAAATTTATTGAGAGAAAATTGGAAAAGTGAAGAATTTATGCGCGACGAGTAATTTGCAAATGAATACTAATGGAAATTCAAATTATTGACCATTTATTGTGTGGTTCCAAGTTAACAAGATGTAGACCATATTATACAATATCAACAGATCATAAAGCATCAACCGTCGGGGCGGTCCGGGATTTTTAAAGGACCAGGGAACCCAAAAATTTTTTGATTGATTTGTGAAATTTTTTTGTGACTGTTTGAATTGTCTCTTATTGCCTCATACACTGGTGAAATGCAGCCTCTCAAAAATGCCAATGAACGAAACGGCATGCAGTTGAAGTTGTGGCCGTGGCCTAGCGCCAATGGCCTAGAAATATGCGCTTCTCGGCCATTTTATTTTTTCCGCTTTTTTACCGGTTTTTCCAAAAATTAACGGTTTCTCCTATTTTTCAGTTGATTGACATTTGTTCGGCACTTACTTATTTTTTCACTGCTAAAAATTGTTTTCATTCAGTCGATAAGTGCCAGATGAGTGGTTTCCGTGGAACAAGGGCGAGGTCTTCCCAATGCGAGTATTGCCAGAAAGTGGCCCCGAGAGATTCAATGACAATTGTTCCGAAAAACCCGGAATTAAGAGAACGGTGGATCCGCATTCTTGGCGGAGAGTTTGGAGAAAAATCTCTCAAGCACACCAATTCGTTCATTTGCAAATCACACTTTCGGTTGTCGCTGGATAACAGAAGACGGCCGCATGATTTGCCAATGGTATTTTCTCGAGTTTTATGTTTCCTATGTAGAAAAATAAAACATTGCAGGCAAACAATAGAAACTCCGCCGACTGCGCCAGAAAACTCATGAACCCTGTGAGGCCAATAAGAAATGCGGATGAATCAGCACAACTACGATCAGAAACCGACTTCTGGATGGATGTGGACGAAATGGACGTCGAAAACAGAGTGGACACGGATAACTCTCATTCCCGTGTAAGTTTTTTTTGTCAAATTCTGTATGAGAAGGGAAGGAAATTTCAGCGCGAATGTGATGTATCATTCGGAAAGCTTGAGCGTGTTATTGTCGAAATTCCGGCAATCTGTGAAATATTGCGATTCTGTCGAACGTGTAAATCAGTTGATAGTGTACACGTTGATTTTGAACAAAGTGGCGCGGCAATTACTGTGAGTGTGGGCTTTTGATGCCGCTGTAAACAAGTGTTCTCAGTTCAAGATGAACTGCCAACAATGCGAGTCTAATTGGAAGTGGGAAAGCAGTGGCTCTGTGTCATCCGGGAGTAATAAGATGAAGAATGTCAACATTGACATTTATTCCTCAGTGTTTAGCACTGGAAACGACTTTTCCGTGAGTAACTTCAACAATTCACAGTTTCAAATTCCGTTTAGCGACTCACGCATTTTGCTTCAAACTTTCGACTTGCGTTCCCGTCAAAAAAGTCATATCAGAAGAGCCTCCTCAATTTTATTTATCCTGCCGTTGAGAACGTTTTCAAGGAGTGCAATAAGCGCGTTGAAAGTGCACTGGAAAAGTTAGCAAAAGAGGTTTCTGATTATGATTTCGGTGTACATGAAGTGTGATGTTTTAGAACGGCGCTTTAGATCTTTGCGGCGATGGACAGTTTGACAGTCGCGGCTACTCCGCATTTTACTGCAAGTACTCTCTGGTCGAGGCTCGCAGCCAATTAGTCGCTGCCCATAGTGTCGTTCGCAAAAACAGAAACGGTAAAACAACTTCTGTTTGATTGTTGACTGTGTTTTTTTTTCGAATTGTAGAAGGGTCGAAGTCTCTCGAAACTCTCGGACTGCAGCAATGCCTGACAGATTTTCAACATCAATTTTCCCCAAGAAAAGTCTCGATCCGAAGTGTAACAACTGATCGCGCGAAGGATGTTTCGAATATTCTGTCGAGAACTTTTCATTTGCCCCACAAATTTGATATGTGGCACTTCCTACGAAACATTCAGAAAGATCTGTGGAAAGTATTATCACATTCCTGTTCCATTCATAAAATGAGACCTCTCAGAGACAGGGGGCAACTACAAATGAAGCCAGTGCGTTATTGGATGGACCGACTCGTGGGTCATTTGTACAATTGCGTAAAACAGTGTCCCGATGACAGTGTGAGATGCGAAGAGATGGCTGTGTCGTTTTTCCAGCACATGCGGAACATTCATGCACATTTCGAAGTAAGACATAACGGAAAACACGAAATCCTAAATTGAAAAAAGGCGTGAACACTATTTTTGGCTGAAAAATTCAGAGCGGTTTTATTTTTACCTCGAGAAAAAAAGACGTGCATTGATCAGGGCGCCCCTTCTCTTTGAGCAGAAAGAAGTAGTCCCAGTTACAACTTTCAGCTGAACATGGTGCATGTTGACTCAGATGGCGAACATTTCTTCTGCCCGCACACCGTAAACGCCTGTAGTTGACGCCTTTTTGTAGTACAATCTTATCGGAAAAACGTTGAAATTGCCAAAAATTAGCATTTCACAATTTCGGCGAGACTGCTCAGAATGAAAAGGAGAATCGGACATACAAAAATATAGTTCCTTTGAGACCATTCTATGTTTTCCGTGAAGCAGAACATTTTTTCTAGACCTGCGAATATTACACTTTCGAAGTGGTGTTATCGTGCTCTCATGGCCCCATTTCCGATGACTTGCCTTGGATTGACGTGTACGATGTGTCTCACCAAAAAGCGTTCTGGCTCTTGTTCGACATTATCACTACTGGCAATAGGCTTAGCGAATTGGGAACAGTTTCTGATAGATGCACCACTTCAGCTGTTGAGTCGTTCAATGCACGGTCCACCTACTACACTCCAAAAGAGAAATACTTGTACGTATGCTAATTCTCATCGGTTAGAATCATTTCTATTTATACACACACTCATTTTTACGTACTATCGTTTGCAGTTCGCTTGCCGGATTTCAAAATCGTACCAAACTTGCCGTCATTGACTGGAACGAAAAGAAATTGTCGGAGTTGAGTGGAGCTCGGATGCGGATTGGCAAGCGCCATTCATGGTGCAAATCGAGAAAAAAGGAGGTGGAGAAGTGGACGAAGACCCCAACAGACTATGGATGGAGAAGGAATATTACAATGCACGCTAGATCAATATGTGATCGAAGCACCAACGACGATTCTGAAGGTTCGTAGTGAATAAAACGGTACAATAAAATAAATTGTTGCAGAATGTGCCGCTCATGGCGATACGTCGTCTGGAGCGACAGGAGGAGCACCTGGAGCGGCAAACACGGTGATTGTTTGCGAGGGCACAGTGAAGAAAAATAAATTTTGGCCCTCGTCTCGTGAGCTGTCCGCTGCTTATTTCGCCGGTCGGCGGCGAGTTCTCGAAGCCTATTTTTCGTGCGCGAAACCTTGAGATGCGTGCTGTTCGAAGAACACTGACTCATTTTTCCTCATTTTTTGGGAACGAGTTCATTATGACTGAAACTCGCAAGCGGCAACAAGAAACTCACAGAAAGGTCTAGGGATCACTGCCAAAACAGCTTTTTCGCCGAATGACTGCTTTTTGTGTCTCGTCGTTAGTTTTTATCATAATGAACTCATTCCCAAAAAATCAAGGGAAATGAATCAGTATTCTTCCGATGGCACGCATCTGAAGTGTCGGAACAGCAGAAGAACGCGCGGGCGGCGGGTAGCGCGCTCTCCAAACCTTCTCTATGCGCCGCAACTTCAGATGCATGCCGTCGGAAAAATACTGATTCATTTCATTTGATTTTTTGGGAATGAGTTCATTATGATAAGAACTAACGACGAGACACAAAAAAAGCACGCATGACCACTCATTTCACGGAAAAAAAGGTGAATTCGTACTGAACCTTTGAAATGTTTGCGAATTTTTGCTGCCGCTTGCGAGTTTCAATCAAAAATGAACACATTTATTACAAAAACCGGGTAAGATGAACCAGTATTTCTCCGGCGGCACGCATCGATAGTTCCTAAAACAGCTAAATTCTAAAAGTGGCCTAGGACCTAACTGGCGAGGCGTATTATTACTTGTTCAGCCGGCGGACTCGACGGAAAGCGAGGGTAGCATCCCGGCTCGCGACCCCGGGCCGAATGGACTAGAATTTTCCTCGTCACCTTCGCAGAGAATCACCGTGACGCCGAAGGCGTTCAAGATTAGCGAGTACGAGGACGCGGAGAAGCAGCGCGCGAGTGTGTCTTAGTTCCGCGAGACGGTGACCGTCAACAATCGGCGCTCACGCCAGCAAGTTCATCGAGGATCCGTCGCAGTTGGCCGAGATCCAGCAAGACTTCCTCTCGAGCCTCGCGGCGATTCTAGGCATTTCGACACGGAGGTATTGAGAACCCGCGTAGACCGGCGACCGAGTTTCGGTTTTCGCGAAGCCGCCGAGACCGGACTGCTCGACGTGAAAACGGGCAAGATTGTGCACCCGGAAAGGAGCCGACGCTACTCGATCCCACGCGCCGTTCACACGACACTTGTTGCAGGAGACGCCGCGAAACTGCTGATAGAGCAACTCAACGTGCCTGTCGAAGAAGTCGCATTCACCACGCAAACGATCATCACGTCGAAGCACTCGGCGTCGTCGCCAGTCTTCGAACCGCTTCGGTTAGCCAGCAGCCAGCAGCCAGCGGTTAGCCAGCAGCATCTTCAACCGGCCGGACCACCACCCGCAAGTACACCCCGACCGACCTCAACTGGCACGGATCGCCGTCAGAGCTCCGCAACTCGAGCACGGATCCACTCGCCTCCTACACCACGGTCACCTCGAGCGAATTGACCGAAGAGTGGCCGAAAAAGACTGTAACCTGTTTTGGTCACGCCGCTTTTTCCCATCTTTTTTTCATTTATAGTTTTCAGAATAAACCTCGACGAGGTGGAGTTTCTCCAGAACCGCGGATACTCGTCGCAGGAGTTTGTCAGCAAGAGCCCAGTCCTCAAGCAGACCGTCGAGCAAATCGAATGGAGGGATGTTCACAATGTAACATCCAGGTCAGCTCCGTGACCTTTGCAACAGGCTCCATCATGACTATCGTTTTATTGTGTCGCCGCTCAGGATAAGGTAAACCTTCTTCTATATTTTTGAGTGATCTGTTCGTTTAGCAGGTGACCGAGGCGTTCCGGTATCAAGAGAAGTGGGGTTGCATGGCTCTATACAACATCGGCTGAATGATCAGCCGACGAACACTGGAAGTGGTGCCGTCGTGAGAAGACGATGACGAAAAGGAGAAGAAACGATCGGAATGCGTGCATCAATACAGGAAGGAGCTGCTCAGTTCGATGCGCAAACAGACGAAAAACGGTGCAGCCGAGATGTCCGACAGCCCAAAAAGAATTTTATTGCGGCGCAAAGGGATCGGGGAGCTGAAATTTCCGCCCAGTTACTGCTGAAGAAGGAACAAGACGAAGGAATCCGCGGGAAGCAGCAAAGCTCCAGCTCCATTTCCAGCTGCTCCTTGGGCAACATCATGTGATTGGCTGGTTCTATACTTTTTGTTGAATTATGATAATATCAGATGCGTGAGCGTAATGTGATGGAGTGCTGGACTGCAATTGTCTCACAGAGGACCTGTTGGAATCGTGGCACCAAACCGCGACGACATCGAAATAATGCTGAATAGCGAGATTGCCGGAGCTCTTGGAAGTGATGTAGTACGTGTTGCGCTGCGAGTGCTCCAAGAAAGCGGCCTCGAACATCTCTGAGTTCAGATCGCCGAGTCGTTCCCGGATGGCACAGCGGATATGGAGCCGGCAAACGTGATCAACGAGTCGATCGATCGAGTGAGGAATCCACGTGGTCCTTCCGGCTAGGGAGGAGAACATTGCGATGCCGCTGATTGTGCCGTTGAGCCAGCTGAAAATCGAGCTGGACGTGTCGCTGAACATCCAACAGCCAACGACGCCATCCATCCGTGCGCCGAGCTGCTCACCTCGATCTTCATGGAAATGAGAGAAAATTGCAAGAAGTACCATCTGATTTTTGTGATTCTCGAAAACAATCTGATGAACATGGCGAAACAGCTCGTTCTGTACCACTCGACGCGAACACGCGTCCTCCGGTCACTTTCCCTCTCCACGTACTTTGAATAGTTAGTATACTTTGACAACTGAGATAAATATTTTTGTTTCTCCCCAGAATGTATTTGTTTTCTTATTCTATCGCGAGTTTTTCGATTTTATCGCGAAAAAACCGGTAAAAAAGCGGAAAAAATAAAATGGCCGAGAAGCGCATATTTCTAGGCCATTGGCGCTAGGCCACGGCCACAACTTCAACTGCATGCCGTTTCGTTCATTGGCATTTTTGAGAGGCTGCATTTCACCAGTGTATGAGGCAATAAGAGACAATTCAAACAGTCACAAAAAAATTTCACAAATCAATCAAAAAATTTTTGGGTTCCCTGGTCCTTTAAGAGATCACAATTCGGTTGCACAGTGGAGCGAGGTTGCGCACGCCGGTTCCCGCCACACAATTGCACAATTGACGGACGCCGGCGGTGTCGAATCCAGAAGCGATGGCGCATTGTTTGGTGCTCTGAACCAGGACGCTGTCGGCTGGAAGATCGAGGCCGCATCTGAAAAAAACCAAACGTTTCAAAAACTGCCTCAAATGACAATAATTCGCGCTCACCCGAGCTTCTTGTAGCAGTTTCCGGTCGATCCGCGGTCCATGCACTTCATCACACACGTGGCAAACTTTTTGCCGACCGAGAGGAAGGCCTTGGCCTCGGCCTGAATTCCAGATCGCTGCAGAATCGAGTTGACTTCGGTGAAGGCGGCGAGTTTGAGCGTTTCCGGATAGCGCTTGCGGACCATTCCGCCGCCGGAGCGAGAGCACGAGTTCTGCAGATTCGACTTCTGACAGCTCGCCGCCCGGGCGATTGCAGGCTCTTTGGCCAGCATGCACTGTCGGAGGGCCGGGTAGTTGGCGCCCATCGCGGCCACGTGGTTTTGACACTGATCGGCGCACTGAATGAAGCCGCCGGTAGCGCTCCCAAGACATCCTTCAATCTCTTGACATCCGCACTGACGGATGAGTTGGCCGGAAGCCGCGGGCAAGAGGAGGGCGGCGGAGAGCAAAAGCGGCAGGTACATTATTGGCGAGGAATGAAAAATGCGTGAATCACTCGGAAAAAGCGGGCACCGTCTGTTTTATACCTTCGCCGTGCCCCAGCGCCCGCCCATTTTCTCGCCGCGCCGATGTTTTCTAACCAGTATGCGATGCCTGTCGTCTCTTTTCTCTCTCTCTCTCTCTTTACGGAATCGAAGGGAATGGCTGCCTGACGTCGTGCACGTCTGAAAGTCAAGTCACTGTTTAAACTTGTTATGTTACATTCGATACTTTGTAACTAACCCCCAGAGAAGGTTACCATGTGTAATAGGATCGGGCGGCCGAACAATGGGTCACTTCAAGGGCGCACGGCTGACCCTTGTTTCACTGCGGGACGGTATCAAGATTTGCAACTGACAGTGATCGGATGAAATCAGATGAACATATTAAAATAAAATATTTTGATGTCATATCTTCTTTTCATTCTAACGTCATCACAGTCGATCATAGTCCGAATCAAACCAAATACGTTTTGTTTTCTTTTTCCTACCCCAAACCATCAAGTGTTTATTTTATTCGTGACGTCGTCGGTCGTCGCCGACGATTTCAATTAAATTACAAGTTCAGAGGTGTTCGGGAAATGACGACAAGTGTGTCCGTTTCGCCGAGGAGACCCGATAGGGCAATCCCTTTCCTTTTTTTTTGAGATGTTTCTGAATCATCGGGCACGGGATGGACGTTGATCAGTTTGGTGATCGCAAGGACACGGCGGTCTTTAGCACTTTTTGAAACTAGAAAACTAATGTTTTTCGATACATTTCGTTATCGATAAGTTTGTGGGCATGATTGAAAACTTGTCAACAGAGAATATCCATATATTACCAATTAACAAAGTGCAAATCTGTCAATTTTTGTCGATCAACAAATTTTGAGCGAAGTTGTCGAAAACGGATTCGATATTATAGCTTGTCGACAAAAATTGGCAACAGTTGCTAATTTTTAACGATAAAATCGTCGTAAATTCAGATTTTTTTCATCTCTGGAAAACCTGCTGCGTGTGCATTCTGACGTGATTGTGTTTGCGGACAACGCGTCAGACTTTACGAAATCTCCTTTGAAAGTTTGAATTTTACATGTTTCTGCTCGAAAATTCGCCATTTTTCACAATTTTTCCACGTTTTTAGAGATGAAAATAAATTTCGGCTTTGTCTAGAATATCACTGGCTTGTTTTCTCCCTTTCTCAGTTTGCGATCAAAAAACGGACGGTTTTGTTTGTTGTTTGTTCTGTTATCATTGTTATCCCCAGATGGGAACTTCCGTGACGTCTTCTCCTCAAATAGTGACTTGTGCTTCGTTTTTCGACGTCATCACTCGATTTTCTGATTTAAAATCTCTTTTAAATTACTTCGCCGAACGGATCAACGACGTCATGATTGCGCTCTCGAGTTTTATTGGCTATTGTCCTCTACAAACTTGACCAAAAATGTGTGTTTTTTTGTGGTCGCTGAAAAGTGACCTTCATCGGGAAGGACGAGAGTGGTGTTCTCGGCGCCAAATGTAAAAACTTTTTTGTCGGTTTAAAATTGTTTTCGGAGGGAGGCCTATAAAAACAAGTTGCTTGACCAATTGAGGGAAATTGAAGTGAAAGGAACTAGATTTTTTCAAAAATATGCTATTCAAGTTAGAATTAAAATTCATAACATGATTGATGATAATTAACATAAAAACAACAACAAAAAATCAACAAAACCGACAATATCACTATCGGAAGATCAGGTTCATGAGCTCGCTGCTCTCCGTGTTCACGTGCTTCGAACGCTCCTTTTTCGTCTTTTTCAGCGACTTTTTCTGCTCGACGTCTCGTTGGAAGGCGTCCCATTTTCCGCCGGCCGCCTTTACTTTTGCCTCCAACTTCTTCAGATGCCGTCCTTTTTCGATTTGCTCCTCAAAGTGAGCGGCGATTCGTCGCGCCTGTGCCACTTCCACGTTCATCCTCCGCTTCTCGACCTCTTTTTCGTACTGTAACTGCTCCACCAGGTGCACCCATTTGAATCTGAAAATAAGGTATGATCTAGCTGCGAGATTCAAGTGTTCATGTTTTGTCAAAAAAAGAGGGGGGTTAGCAAAAAGTCGTTCTTAACAAGAATTGATAAAGTTGAATCGATTTTTGCCAAAAATACTAGAATTTCAGGTTTTTCAGCTTAGAGAACCCACCCGGACAAGTAGCGAATATTCCAGAGCATGCTCGAGACGGCGTCCTTGTTTTTCCCTCCGATCTTCGTGTTATCAATCTGCTCGGCGATCGCCTTTGCCAATTTCTTCTTTTTCAACTCCATCCACCCTTCCGCGTATCGATTCTGCGGGTTTTTTGTGTGCTTGTTCTTCTAAAAATTCGAAAATACCAGAAAAATCCTGAAACCATCCCAATTACCGCGAGAAAAATGCGTCCGACTTGTCCGGGACACAGTTTTTCAAAGTATTCGCGCATGCGGACCACGTTGTACTTTGGCGGAATCATCGAGAAGTAAATGACCTGGAATTAATTGAAAATAGAAATTGAACGATTTTTCTTTTGAAATTACCCCTGTTTTTCTCTGTTTTTCCTCCGGATTTTCGAATTCTTCCGTCTCGTCTTCATCGTCAATTTCTCCTTTAATTTCAGACGTTTCTTCGTTAATTTCATCGATATTAGGCTCCACAACTTCTGAAAAACGACTTTGAGTCATTTCAAACTGAAAAATTGCTCAAAAGCCTCACTTTCTTCTATTTTCACCTCTTTCTCCTCGTCCAAAGTGTTTTTCGGCAACTTCTTAACGATTTTCTTCTTCTTTTTCAAAATGGGAGCCATTCTGCTTCAAAATCTGTAAGTTTCAAATTTTAACGCTAAAGTTCCTTAGATCCAGTAAAATATGAGTTAGATTTCTGGGACACTGACCAAATATTTAAAAAAACAATATATTGAATTTAAGGCACATTTTATTGAATTACATGCACACAAAACGGGGAAAAACCAGGGTGTTATTGGGGAGAGGTGCAATTGCGCTCTATTGAGAATGTGCAAATTTGGAGCCGTTTTCAGCAGAAATGTCAAAAGAATACGTGCACGAGCTGAAATAAACCAGAAGAACATAATTGTACAAGAAAATCAAGGAAAAATCTCATTCAAAGTGCCTTCTTCAGCTCCAAAGGCTCTGCGCCGCCCATCTGGAAGCTTCGGCGGCTAGATCCGTGCAGATCGGTGACCATTTGAATTCCGGCCTTCCGCGCCATTCTTCCGGCAACACTTCTCGGGCCCAAATCCCATAATTGTGCGGCGGCGAGGGTTCCGTGTCCGGCGGCGAAAAGCGCGTGATGCGTGGCATCCGACGCTTCGTCGCCGTACTTAATCTTCACATTTTGCACAGTTTGATTGGCGATACTACGGCAAAGTGCGCGCGATCCGTCCTCCAAACTCATCCAGACCGTCGAGATTCCCGCGATTCCGCCGCCCATTATTTCTGAAAATATTTTTTTTTTGGAATTTCGGCCGGAAAGAGAGTGTTACCGATGGTTCCCGAAACGAGACCGCCCGTTTTTCCGTCGCCGAACCGTTTTTGAGCACTGTCCGCCAGTTTCCGGCCCATCGACACGCCCATATCTCCGATTTTGTCTACTGAAACAAAACTTTCGGACAATCGGTTTTGGCAGAAATTTTGCGACAAATTGTAATAAACAACGTTTTAAGAGCGTGGTTGTTGACGAGTAAAACTAATTTTCCGATTAATTTCTCGAAAATCCGCAGTTTTCGGTAACTCTTGTAATTTGTTCTAGAACTGACACAAATATCTGGTGCACTTGGCGATGGTCTTCGTTCCTTTGTGCATGTAAACGACGGATCCCTTGACGAGCGGGTTCACACTCATCGGTTTGTCGGTGGCCGACAGTCCCTCTCGGTACTGTTCTCCGGAATCTTCGACCCTCGACACGGCTTTCACAGTCGTCGTCTCCACTCCCCACGCGATTTTTTGACCGCCTAAAAGACACAAATGGCAAAAATTATTCAATTTTATAGGTACTTGTCACTAAAAACTTGGAAATCTTCGTGCTGATTCGTTGTTTCTCCTCGTTGCTCAGCTGCTGCTCCGGCTCCTTTTGCTCTTTGAAATCTGCAAACTCGCGGAGGACGGTGTGCAGTTCGTCGATGAGATGGGGTTCGATGTCCGCGGAGAGCAGAATGGCGACCATCAAATCTGCAAAGTGCTACTCTTTGCAAAGTACGGCCATTTCCAAAATTACTCGGGTTTTCGGGCGTCGGATTTGCGACCAGATAGGCGCCGAATTCGTTACGGAGCACCGGGGTCTTGGCGCCCATCAAAGGGTACGCCCACGGACCGACTTGCACGAACGCGCGTGTTTCCGCGCGGTCTTCCGCGTCCGGAAAACGAAGAATTTGAAGGGAAGTCGGTGCGGTCGGAGCGGTCGTCTTTTCGCCGTCAATCGTAAAAAGTTGGACGCCTTCGGGCAGAAAGTAGATCAGCTCGGCGTCCTGACTTCCGTACGAGTCCAATTGCATTCGAATCGCTTCTTTCTGCGAAATTTCGGGGTTTTTGCAAATTTTTTTTTAGCTAAAAACCTCGTTCTCCACGCTCTCCTCGGCTTCTTTGATCTTTTCCGGCGTCGGCGGCTTCGGGCCTTCCGATTTGAGCACTTTTACTCTAAACAAACAAAAATTAACGAAAAAATGAGGGAAATATTGTAACACCGGTACTTTTGAATAAATCGCATTTTGCAACTGTTCTACTGAATATGAACGAAAAATGACCGAAATTTCAGTATTTTCTGTCCAAAACTAATTTCTGAACAAATTTCCCTTAGTCTGAAAATGTGCTAAAATTCAAGGAATTTCTCCACATTCTCAATTTGTGATCTAAATTTTGAATTTCCCGCTGATAATCAAATCGGCGGCTGATTTTTTGTGAATTCGCGTTAAAAGAGTCACCTGTGCTCAACACTATTTTTCGCCTCCTGCAGCATTTTCCACATTTCGCTCTTTTTTGCGTTCCTCATTTTCTCGCCCACCTTGATCAGGTTCACGCCCTTTTCGTACATTGACAACGTGTTTTCCTGTAGAGAATTTACAAAACAATTCAAATCTTTCGACTTTTCAATTCCTACCCAATCGCTGACTTCGTCGTAGCATAATCCCTGTTCGATCGAGGCATACGCTTCCGAAAAAACCGCGTCGACTTGCGCTGTGTCCGGAATTTTCCAGAATAGCGAAAACATTTGCTGGAATCGAATGGAAATGTTTCGAAAATGATTTGTTAACGGAAAAATGCGGGCAAAAAAGAGGAAAAACGGATGAAGTGAGGTGGCTGGCTTGCGCAAAACAAGTTTCGCTATCTGCGTCTCTCGCCTAAATTACGCCCTTCCGTTTCGCCTGAGTCATGCTTTCGAAGAACAGAATTTCAGCGAAAGTATTTCGAAATCGAAACACAGATCAATCATTTAAAAAAAAGTTTTTATCCACAGTAAAATTGACTAAAGGAGACAATTTAAAAATTCCTCATTTTCTTCATCTATTCGCGAATTCGGGATCGATTTGCGAGGCGAATCTACTCGACGTAGCGCTTGTTCCACAAAGGAATATACTGGCCGACGGTCTTCCACTCGCAGAAGTAGATGGCCAGCAGGAAGGCGGAACCTCCGTACGCTCCGTAGGATTTGAAGCTGAAAATCGTTGAAATATTAAAATTTAAAGGTTCTGTTGACTAAATTACTCACTAGTTTTGGTTGGTGACGGCGTTCTTCAGAAAGCGGGCTGGCTTCATGTACAGCATGATTCAACCTGCAAAAAAATTCAGCTCAACATTCGTATTTTCAGACTGAAAAAGAGCGATAAATGAAAGCGAATAGAACGCGAAAATACTCAAAATTTCCATCAATCGACTAGAAAAACAGTTCATTAATGCGAAATAACACGGAAAACGAAGAAACGAGACCCCAGCAATAAATTAATGGAAAATTCGATAAATAAATACATTTTTGGTGGTTTTTCGATGTAAAGCTTCAGTTTTATGTGCTTATCCCAAGAAATTGACAACGACGAGGTGGAGAATGAGGTTGGCAAAGATGAAGTCGGCGAAAGCGCGCTCAGTCGAGACCGCTGTGAACTCCGAGCGATTCTCCTTGTTCACTTGCATTCGGAGACACGCTGAAAGCATTTTTATTGCGGATTTTTAGCTGGTTTTCAATAACTCACAGGCTAGAACGAAGGACGTGACGGTCGAGATGAATCCGGAGAGGAATGAGTTGAACGGGAACGTTCCGACGAGAAGACAGTAGATGAACTGCAAAAACACAGGTTCTATTGCCGTCGTTTCAAAAATAACAAGAAAATGTATACCTGGAAGATGCCGGTGAGCAGAATGTACACCATGTAGGCATCGATGATCTTCAGCTTCGACGACGTCGTCTTCTGGTAGTCTTCGAAGAGCTTGGTGAGCACGGGGACCACTTGAGACGCCATTCTGCAATGAAACTTGTTATTTTTAAGGAAAAATGAGAGAATTCTTGAATTCATACAAGTCAGAGTGCAATTGCATAAAAAGTAAAGAAGAATTACGACTAGCTCGCTGAAAAAGATGGGAGAAGGCAAAACTTTCAGAATTTCGAGTTAGTAATCAATTGTTAAAAATTAACTAGACTCAGGATACTTAAATCATGTAAATTCCGCATTTTTTGAGAGAAGAAACGCACAGTTTTATCAGGATTAGAAAACAAATCGAAATAATACTTAAACTAACGTTTTGTCCTATTTTTTGGCGAAAATAGTTTCAAAAATACGTTAAATTCCTCTAAAATATCAGATTTGTCTGAAAATGGCTGAAAATCCTTGTCGTGGCATCGAAAAACGCTGAAGAACGAAGCGGGCGGCGGTTAAAGGCAGACGCTATTCGCCAACGCGCAATCGCCGCAGGACACAAGCTCCGCCCCTTTTCGCAATCTGCGGCGCGCCGTTTGGCAGCCCCTCCGGCACGCGCTTTCACGTTTTCGTCTTTTTGCGCAAAACGAAAACCCCACCTCCTCGGCGTCGAATTAGTGCGTCCAATGCGTCGACGCGCCTACTGACACACTCAAAAAATTCCTCTTTTTTTCTGTATCTATAGGAAATTATGCTCTACACTGTAATCAATCTCTTAGCGTGAGTTTTTGGTGTCCTGGAAAAAAACGTGTTTGGAAAAGAAGGTTTTGTGTGAAAAATGTGCATTTCTAGACAAATCTACTGCAATGGTCCGATTCTACAGACGGTGCAAGACTCGCACATGTTTCCCGACTCGAAACATTTCGTCGACATGTCGCTCAAATATGATCCAGGTTGGAGAAATGAACAGATTTGCAAAAAATCCTTTTTTGCTATCAAAAGAGGAGACGCATCCATCAACCGCTCATCTTTATGGCCTTCGCGAGAGCGAAACCGGTTGTCGCACTTTGAAAATCGCATGATTTTTGGATTTTCCCCACACTCTTTGTGCTGGATTGTTCCGGAAAAATAGAAATTTCGGTGCGTCGTGGAGTCAGCTGACATGAGCTCAGAGAGCTCGAGGTCACCGCTGAAAAGTCAAAAATCACACGAAAAATTCGTTTTTTTTAACCAAAACTTCTACTCTGAAGTCACCCGATTTGAAGAGAGAGAGATCATACCATAAAAGTCTCATAAACTTTTTTTTCGCTGATATGATGGAAAGAGGAACGTCGTCTTTAGTCGGTAGTCAGACTAATTGAAAAAGAAAAAGACGACGATAATTGAATTACACTGTAATTCGGCGCCATGTGACTTCAAAATACACATACGGGGGCACAAACTTTTGAAGAAAATACACACTTCCTCGTCTCATGTCTTAGAAAGTCTAGCCTAGAAATTTCAGCACAAATGGAGCATCTTGTCTGGAGAAATAGTGGTTTTACGAAATTTTGAGAGATTTTTGATTCATCGGTGCTTGTGTACTCAAGCCAATACCCAGTGTATAGAATCAGTTGAAAATCTCTCAGTTTTCGCAAAAACCTCTATATCTTCAGATCAGATGATAGAATCGTGCTGAAACGTTCATGTTAGATACCACCGATAATAGTGCAAAGTCATTTTTCAGTAACAACACTGCGTCACTTTGACGAGCTCGGCGATCGAACGTCCGATCTGATAATCCTTCGGGAATTCGTCACTTCGCACTTCAATCCGCCGGGAACGGAACTCGTCGAGTGGTTCCCCACCGATTGGGTCGATTTCCCGTCGAACTTTCTGAATATTCACGATTACCATCATCGTCGGTGGGCGCTCCATTTGCATCGCATCTGGAAGGATTTGTGCCGGAAGGTGCGCGACGACGTCAAACACCGTCAGGATCACTATTCGCTGCTCTACGTGCCGCATCCGTTTATCATTCCGGGCGGTCGCTTCCGCGAATTCTATTATTGGTTTGTCGTCGACGTCTTCTGAAGTATCATTATCATTAACATGTTCAGGGACACATTCTGGATACTCAAAGGTCTTTTGTTCTCGGAAATGTACGAGACCGCCCGTGGCGTCATCAATAATCTCGGCTACATGGTTGATAAGTTCGTGTTTCGAAAATTTTGAACTCAAAAACAAGAGGATTTCCTCCTCTCCTTATCACTTTTCCAATTTGATAAGCCTCCCTCGGGGTCACTTGATTGATGGCCGCAAACACGGGCCAGTCATGTGATTTCGGACGGAAAAATGCGTTGGACAACAAGAAGAATGTTCGTTTTTTTTTCTGGGTTTTCTGATTCGATTAGGGTGTGGTACTGGTCCAGTAGGTACTCATTGTCCTCGGTGCAAATGGGATCAGACATCAACACGAACTATTTGTCCTTGAATTGGATTTCTGATAAGTGAGCCGTCGAAGCACAAAAATTTGCCGTAAACAAGATGCGTGTGTCTTATCGATGAAAATAGATTTGTCGATAAAACTTTCGAAAAAACTTTAAAAACACTTTATCGACAAGAAAAACATCGATAAAGCACACAAAGCAATAGAAATAGAAGTAAAAATGTGGATTTGCAGCCACGGATTCGTTCCGAACGGAGGTCGCGTCTACTATCTGACGCGTTCGCAACCGCCGCTTCTGATTCCGATGGTCTACGAGTATTACATGTCGACGGGAGACCTCGAATTCGTGATGCAAATCCTGCCGACGCTGGAGAAAGAGTACGAGTTCTGGGTGAAGAATCGGCAGTCGTGGTACAAAGACGGCGACGGCGTGGAGCAGTTCCCGTACTACCAGTACAAGGCCAAACTGAAGGTGCCGCGGCCCGAGTCGTATCGCGAGGACTTTGAGCTCGCCGAGCATCTGGAGACCGAGGAAGAGAAGATCCGGATGTGGAGTGAGGTCGCGTCGGCCGCCGAGACCGGATGGGACTTTTCGACGCGCTGGTTCTCGCAGACCGGAGAGGAGAAGCATCGGATGGACTCGATTAGGTTGGGCACGATTTTCAATACTTTGCCGGCAATTCTACCGATTATTATAGGGGCACCGAATAGAAAGGACGCTCTGTTCGCAATCTGGCCGAATTTCTAGTCCGCGAAGTAATTTTCCACTGAAAACGTGGCCTAACTTTTCAAACTCGGCCCCGAGCTCACTCAATTTGCACTGCAAAAAGAGTTTCTCAACAGAGCGCCATTTCTGTTCGGTGCCCCTATAATACCGATTCGGTTTTCTGGAAATTTTACCGGAAAATTGCCTAAGCAAATGCGCTCTACCTACACTTGGGACGAAAATGAAAAGTGTAAAGTGCTGAGTGAGCGAGTTTGCTTAGCGGAACGGTTAACAATTACGGAAACTGGACCAGAATTTGACCTAAGATTCTAACCGCCTCTTTTCCAGAACATGGAGTATAATCCCGGTCGATTTGAATGCGTTCATGTGCGCAAACTCTCGAATTCTGGCGAGTCTGTACGAGATTGCGGGCGATTTCAAAAAGGTGAAAGTGTACGAGCAGCGGTACACGTGGGCGAAGCGGGAAATGAAAGAGCTGCACTGGAACGAGACGGACGGTATCTGGTACGATTACGACGTGGAACGGAAGACGCACTCGAACACCTATTACGTATCGAATGCGGTCCCATTGTACGCAAAGTGCTACGATGACGACGACGTCGCGCCGTTCCGAGTTCATGATTATCTGGAGGTAGATACTTTTGCAAAAATGCACAGATTATTCAAACGCTTTTAAATTTCAGAGAGAAGGAGTTCTAAAGTTCAAAAAAGGACTGCCGACGTCTCTGGCGATGCACAGTTCGCAGCAATGGGACAGTGAGAACGCGTGGCCGCCGATGATCCACATGGTGATCGAGGGATTCCGTACGACCGGCGACCTGAAGCTGATGAAGGTGGCGGAGACGATGGCGACGTCGTGGCTCAGGGGCACCTATCAGTCGTTCATCCGGACGCACGCAATGTTCGAAAAGTACAACGTGACGCCGCACACCGAGGAGACGTCTGGGGGCGGCGGCGGCGAGTACGAGGTGCAGACGGGATTCGGATGGACGAACGGAGTGATTCTCGATCTGCTCGACAAGTACGGCGATCAGTTCTCCGCGAGCCCGAACTCTTCCGCTTCGGCCGGCTCACTTAGTCTTATTCTAGCAAGCATTCTTTTGTACATTTTGTCTTAATTTTGTTGTAATAATGTTATGCAGAGTACTTTCTCTCTCTCTCTTACTAGTATCGGGGCATTTCAAAGTGAATGCGCTGTGTTGCAATTGTGATCTCCAGCCCGGCACGTCGAGAATTCAAATGAAAAACAATTGGAACTCGTTTCACGGCTAAAAAGTAGAGCCAACAGAGCGCGTTTCACTTTAAAATGCCCCGATAGTAATAAAAATCCAATGTAAATAGTTGAAAATCACGGTAATAGTTTTCTTAATCCCTGTAGATCTGTTTTTTATTGTTCACCCCTCCCTGCCATATTTCCTTTACTCGAGTGTGTGTTTTTTTTTCTTCATTGTAAAAGTCCGTGTTTATCGGTTTTTTTTAAAATGCATTTCACTGTCCCCGGGTACTCGGACATTATCCGACTTTGCCATTTTTCTAGTCCATAAATTGACCGTTTCATAATGTTTCTCCTTTTTTTCACAGGTTGATGATAACCGTTCACGTTTTCTTCTCATATTTTTTATTATCAGGGAATCCAGGCGTGTTTTTCAAAATAATTTCAGATGGGAATTACCGGATTGTGGAAAATTGTGGAGCCGACGGCCACCGAGATTCCGTTGGAATGTTTGGAGGGCAAGAAGCTGGCGGTCGACGTCTCGATCTGGATCTATCAGGCACAGATGGCCTACCCGTCGGACCAGCCGTATCCGCACCTTCGTCTGCTGGTCAACCGACTCTCCAAACTGCTCTTCTACAAAATCCGCCCGGTTTTCGTGTTCGATGGACCGCAAGTGCCGAGTTTGAAGCGGAAAGTGATCGAGGGAAGGCGTCAGAAGCGGGAGGACGAGGACGACATTCTGAAGAACGCGAAAAAGATGCGACAGCTCAAGGAGATCGCGTCGGGCAAATTGGACGACGTCGAGTTGGCGAAGAGGATCGACGGAGTGTGCAGTCCGTCGAAGAAGACGGTCCAGAATGATGTGTACAAGGACATTCCGAGCAGTTCGATCGATTTGCGGGCGGTCGATGCGGCCGGAAGAGCACAAACCGATCGGTTCAACTATATCGAGTCTTCTGATGACGACGACGTCATCGAAATTAAAAAAGAAGAAAAAGTTCAAATTCCGGCTGCCGCACGACGGGTCCAAATGCAGGGGTTGTTGGATAAACGAGAAGTGATGAGGAACAGCCGGTTGAGGCCGGACATGGTAATGTAAAACAAGTTGATGATTAGTTTGGCCTAAAAACGAAAATGTTTAGATTCCATCCGACTCGAAGAGCTTCAGCAACTTTCAAATGCAACGATTGCTCCAAAGAGGACGTCTCAGTGCACAAATTCAACAGGTTAGTGAGAAGATTCTAGAAGAATGCAAGAACGATCACATGTTTTTGTAGCTGGCCAACTCATCCGCCTCGATCGGCGGCTCCACGCCCTCCGACAAAATCAACGTGACGGGTCCGGACGGCACTCGTCACGTGCTGCGCCACGCATTCTCCGACGAGATTCAAGAAGTGAAAGCCGGTCAGACACGGGAGATCGATAATCTGTACAAGCCTTCGGGGCTCGAGATGACGCTGGACGTGTTCAACGTGGAGTACGGCGGACGGGCGCTGAGCAGAGAGGCGACGCCCGACGATGAGCGAGAGGAGTTTGTCGAGAAGATGGAGGAGCGGTTGATGGATCGGAAGGAGGGGTGGACGAGCAAATCGGCCATGCTAGAGGTGATTGCGAGAAAGCGAATCCGACTGCATTACGGGGCGAAGGAGGGCGAGGAAGAGAAAGAGAGGGAGAAGGAGTTGGAGTTAGAAGTAAGCGACGACGAAATGGCGCTGCAGGAGGTGCTCCTAGAGTCGGCTTCTAAAGGAATCGATGAGAAAATGGAGAAAGAGTGGGATCCGCAAAGGTACGATCCTCCGAGCACCTCTACCAACCATTACGACGACGACTACATCCGTCTCAACTACGACGACGATGATCGGACGCCTCAACTCTACCGCGACCTCCAGGAGTTCCTCACCAACTGCGGTGTTCCGTGGATCGAAGCGCCCGGAGAGGCGGAGGCGCAATGCGTCGAGCTGGAAACACTCGGACTCGTCGACGGCGTCGTGTCCGACGATAGCGATGTGTGGGCGTTCGGCGTGCGACACGTCTACCGGCACATGTTTGCAAAGACGAAGCGAGTGCAGAGGTACGGAGAGCGGACGGCCGGGAATAAGGAAAACTGCCGATTGTTTTGTCTGCAACGCGAGGATTTCATTGCTATTGCGATGCTCTCCGGCGGCGATTATTGTAGCGGATTGAGCAAGGTGGGCACGATCGGAGCACTGGAGCTCGTATCAGAGTTTGTGGAGCAACAGAAAGAGGAGCAGAAAGAGAAGAAAGAGGAGATGGAAGATGCCGAGAACAGGGTTTGTGTTAGTTTCAGACTATTCAACAAATGACGGATGCTCAGATAATGCGATTGCTCTCGAAAGTACGCCATTTGTTCGTATCGTCGCCGGAAGAAGCTCGGCGAGCGAGTCGGACGGCGATGCAGATGAGAAGACACGTCACAGAAGCCAACGAACGGGACACTATTGAAATGGTGTGGGCTGAGCAAACTCACGTTTGATGAAAAGCACACAAATACCTTTTGCAGGTGTGCTCGAATCGAGAAGCCGTGCACGCGTACCTCCACCCGCTCGTCGACCGATCCACCGAACACTTCCGCTGGCGTCCGATGAACATTCCGCTCGTCCGTTCCACCCTTCAACAACGTCTTAACTGGCCCGATCGCAGCCAGCAGCACGAGGAGAAGAACTCGTTCGACGCATTCGAAAAATGGAATGTGTTCCTGCGCGAAGAGCACGGACGGTCTCAAATGCGTCTCGACCGGTTTTTCGCGCAGAAAACCGACAGTTCGTTGGAGTTAAAGTGGTCGAAGCGAGTGATAGAGGCGATGAAGAGGATTGAGAAACGGAGGAAGGGCGAGGAAGAGGAAGTGGAAGAGATTCCGATGGAGGAGAGCAAGAAGGGGAGTCCAAAGAAGACGGCGACACGTGGCAGAGGACGAGGCCGTGGACGAGGTGGAAGAGGTCGTGGTCGTGCGAGCACGAAAATACCTAGAAAAGAGCTAAATTTATCAGAAGAAAGCAGTGATTCGTTTGATGATTTGTAAACGTTAATTGAATTGATCTCGAAGAAATTTTATCACCAGGAAATGAAAACTAGCATACAATTCAATATAATTCAAACTTTTCTATAGTCCCTATCGTTTTTTAAACGTTTTGGTGTCTTTTGATGCCTAATCTTGTTCTTACTGATCAAATCAGGCATTTCTGATTTTAGACAAATAGTACAAAAGTGATAGATTCGAGAAAAATCACTTTTATCACAAAGGCTGACATTGGCCCAAGTACCACCGCCATCACCAACGCAGGCCAGACGGTTTCTCGAGAATGCGATGAGTCAGCTTTTCGGACGCATGGTGATCATAAAGATGATATAGAATTTGATGTTCGCCAGGCTCAGCTCCTTCTTCCCGAAGAAAAAAAACCGCGTTCACTACTTGAGCGACAAGGAGTTGGTCAGTTTTATGTTTTATACGTTAATTAGTTACTTTCAAACTGTTTGCGTTCCCGATTGAGGAGACGGGAGAGGACGGTGACGAAACTCGTGCTGCTGATACAATTCCTCCTGTCAAGCGTGGAAAAGACACTGCCGCGACTGTAGTGGACGAAACTGGTCGCAATTAAAGAAGTAGCGGAAATGGAAGCCTTTTACATGGAATGGAATAATGCCGTCGGCAAAAAGAAGAAGCAATGTATTTCTGCGGTTAGTTTAGTACATGACTTTATGTTTACTCTCTGTCCCACATTCAGATACTCTTCTAGAGACGGATGCTTAAAGATGCCTCCAGGACAAAGAAACCAATAGTTGGTGTATTGACATTTCATGCGAAACGAGTTTCGTCGGGTGCGCAGCGGTCGCGTCGCGTGCCGAGGGTCTCGCCGCGACGGGAAGATTTACGGTTGCGAATTTTCGTAAATAAATTCACTTGCAGATTCGAAATTGTTCCGCTGCTGGCCATTTTCAAAAAAATCGATTTTTCTGTGTCAGTTTTTTCAAAAAGTCAACAGTGTTCCTATCTTTTTCTTATCGCTCTTGTATAATTCCTGTACGCACCTTTACTTTCTTTCTTCTCGCTCGACTGTTTTTTTTTAAATTTTCTTCTATGCAAATTTGTACTTTCAGGTGGCGGTACATACAATAGAGCATGGCCCCGGTTCGACCTTGTCAACTAAACTCAGTAAGTCGTTTTATTTTCGTTTTCACAAAAACTGATGATAGTTAGAAAGAGCTCTTGTGCTCGAATGGTAAGTGATAATTTGATATGACATGCATTTTATGCCGTCACGATGATCCCTAAAAGGGGGAGAATAACGGCGTCTTATGCTCATTTCAAATGATACCATTCACAATTCTAGTGAGAAGTCTTCACGAACACGAACGAATTCCTCCCGATGAATCTCTTTTGCGCTGCATTTCGAACAATCCCATAGAAGCGGTCGGTTCCCTAGATTATTTTCTAAACGGGGAAACTGAATCCAACATTTTAATTTCAGATGAAAGCTGAGTGGATGAGATGTCCGCGATGCAAGACCAAACAATTGAAGCCAGAAGTGATTTCGACGGATAAAAACGGTTCTGACAAGCTGTGGTGGATCTGTGAAAATTACGCTGTAAGTTGAATTTTTTCAAGAGATTCCTCGAATAATTACATTTTAATTTCAGAAATGTATGTTCCCGCTTGATATGCCGCCAAAAATTTATCATGTCACGCAAACTGCCTGCCAGAAGAGAGATGGATATGTCCCATTGCCGAAAATTCAGTCGATTCCCTCAAAGTACCGCTATATGTATCCGATAACATTTTCTGATTCTCGGCCACCTTCCCGATGCTCCAGCACTGCTTTCACTAAGACTGGCTCTCGCACTTCTTCGGATGCCACCAGTATAGTTTCGGAAAAGTCTAGCGGGAAGAATCGATTAAAAGCAGACGCTCGTTCTACGAACAGTGTTATAACCACAAGCTCCGGAGTCGCATCTACTTCCGACCCTTCTGAAACAATTGGAGATCAAGATAACATTGACGACGAGCTTGAAGCAGCTGCGAAGAAGCCAGAAACATGTAGAGTAGTCAAGAAGCGTGTCCGTGATAGCTCAAGGTCGTGGAGCAGTCTGCTCGAAAAATTGGCTTCGGATCCCGTTGCTGCCAACACAATTATTAACATGGAGGTACGTTATCCCTTCAGAAAATGTTATTATAATTTAAAAAAATTTCCAGGAATCCGAGTTGTTCCACAGGATGAAAGAGTTCTTTGATGACCAGTACTACCGAGGCACGGCGATCGTCTTCAGACGGCACGCGACACGGTTTGTCAACAATTCTCGGAACGGTCGAAACCAATCTGACGTTTCCAGGAGAGTTACATATCGAGTTGACGATGTGGAGAACTGCCTTCGGGCGATCACTCACGATGACTGGGAAAGCGCCAAAAAGCGTATGACAGTAAACACTCGAGGCGTCATGCAATCTGCAAACGCTCAGGAGCTTTTGAAGACCGTTGGAATCGATTTAGAAAACGTGAAGAAGGCCGTTCAACAGAAAGTTACGAATGTTATGGTAAACGCTGCCATTGTGAAACCGATCTCATCCATAACCTTTCAGAGCGGATTCAGCCAAGAAAGGCTTGTAAAACGACGGAAGCTCGAGGAGAACAGACAAGCAGACAAGGCTGCGCGGAAGGAATCGCTTCAGAACGAAATACATCTGTCGGTGTCCGCCAGAATATTGAACAAGAAAATGAGGAAAGAGGACGAGGAGAGATCCCGGACTTGCACTCCGGCGCCTTCTTGCTCCTCAGAACCAGCAAATTTATCGTATTTCGAAAGTTCATCACGCGAGGAGCACCAACCCTCTCAACCAGTGCATTTTCAAGTAGAAAACGGCGAGGAGACGGATCACAACTGGGGATTCGATTTGGATGGACTTTATGAGAGTATTCATGCGCAAAACAATCAGTTCCCGGCCGATGAACATTCGAATGATCCCTATGACGCAATGCTTTTCCAACTGGACGACTCGGCGCCAAATAACGAAGCGCAACCGCAGAATGCTGAGCCTTTGGTCGATCAGTCAGGAGAACGAACTCACGTTGAGCAGGACGAATATTCCGGTTTCGATGATTTCAGTGGCCTTGCAGATTCAACTTATGATTTCGTAAATGATAATTTCGGATTCTAAAACCCTATTGTTCTTGTTTTTCAGTGTCTTCGTAATATCGTGTATTAAAAACAGGCATCTCTTCTCTTTATAAATTTTCAAATTATAAGCCTTTTTGTTCTGATCGGGCGCACAATTGTCACTAACTTTCACAATATCTCAAAAAAAAAAAACAAATGCGCACAGTGATATCACGAATCGGTTGGTTCAGATGGACTACGAAGTATGTCGTAAAGTGTGGGAATCGCAGGTTCCCGTCCAATTCACCATCCAATCGGGAAGTCCTATGGGCGACCCACTTCCCTATTACACAATGCTCCCGCGCTTCTCCTATTTGGCTCTTTGCCTGCCCAAAGTGCTCAGCTACTTCGACCGTCGGGAGGACGGCGAGAAGGTTCAGGGCGAAAAGGTGTGGCTGGAGACGAACGGATCTCCCGCGAAGATGTACGTTCCGATCGGAGTGCTCTACGATCTTCAGAATCTCGAGGACGACGCGATTCTCGAGTTTAACGTACGCACGTCGACGCCTCCTGCCGAGTTCATGGCCGTTGATCGGAATATGATGGAGACGATGTTCATGCAGAGTATCAAAGAAGCCGACTACCTGAAGACGAAGGCGGAAACGACGAATAACATGCAGAAGGAGGAGTACTCGCAGTTGTGGCGGAGCGTCGCCAATAGTGAGTGCTCAGAGTGTTCGACCGACCGCATCCGATTTGATGAATTTTAGACAACTTTGACGAGTTCTGGACGATCATTCAGAAACTGATGGAGACGAAGGACGGCAAGGAGTTCGATCACATTCCCTTGAGGGTTTACGTCAAAAAGCAGCCTTTCAAACAGGTAATTCCGTGTTTGAAGAAATTGCAATGCTCCAACTGATTCCAGATTCTGATCTCCGCGAAAGACGATGCAGGCTCGCTCCGAACACTTGGCGAGGCGGTTAACGAAGTTCTCAAAACCTCCGACGATGGCGCGTCTTCAGAAGAGGAACGGCATCTGATTTCACACGGAATCGATGTTCCCGCTCACACCCCATTGATTTTCGCCGCCAAAAACTTGTCCTATCCGGATAATTTTGTTCATATTGCCGTCTTGTGATCTGATCTGATCCGATCTACTTGTGACTATTGTAACTATGAATTGTAAGCATTTGTAAGATCAGGCGATCCGTCACTAGACTCGGCACCTATACAAATATACGAAGATCGGAGCGAGATTGCATTCAATCAGTACATCAGCCGGTACTCTGGCCGCCATCTATGGGGGACCGCCCGGCCGTGAATCCCTGCCGCAGTGGTATTTGCACACGTTCTCTGCTTTTCTCCGTCTTGCCCACTGTCTACCGCCTGCTATACTATCCGTTGTCGCCTTCTCCCCCCTCCGTTTTCGGTCGTTCTGCGCGGAACACTACTACTGGCTCGCGAGTCCAAACACATTCGTGCCGCCCGTTTTGCATACTCGACACAGGACGACGAAAGTTATGATTTCTTTATGTGTGTTGTATGTACTGGCCGCGTCCTTCGCCTCTATCTCGCAACGGCCCCACCCTTGGGAGACATTAAAAAGCGATCGCTCTGGCCGCGTCGGGGTGCCTCTCCATTCCGGCCGCTCTCTCCGCATTCTTTTTCTCTGTTCTGTTCGTGCCGGCACCCAGCGACAGCTGCCCGTCCGAATATCCCTCTCTCTCTCTCTCCGGTCGTTGAGAAACGGACAGATTGTAACGTGTGAGGGGTGCCATTTCCACCCTGGCTCGCAGAGCATCTCTTCAGCTGTACTACCAACTTTCCCCTACTTTATGTTCTCCTTTACCAGCCCTTGCTTGGCACCTGAAACTCGATACCTATTCTGCTGGCGTCTTTGCCAGACATTTCCTAATCCATTCTGTTTGAAAGTTCGCTCCATTGGCACAGAATCTCATTACCAAAATTCTCGCCGCAACGAAACGAATGACACGCACTGTTGATTGCGTCCAGTCCATCTCTCCACTTCCATATCCGCCATGCATTTCAAATCGTCGCCCCCCCCTTTTTCCGAAAGCCTTCAGCCTCTCAGCCTTCAACTCAAATGCTGCTCCGGGCCAGAGCAGTCGGAGACGAGCTCCCCCGCACCCGCCCACGATCATCACTTCTTCTTCTCTCTTTATTTCTTTCCTTCTTCTGTGTGAGCCTTCGACGTCTCTGCTGCCGCCGCTTGCTTTACATCCGTCAAAGTGTGTAAAGCGGGGCCGCGATCACACTCGGCATTTGCCTTCCGAATGAGAGAATGTCTCTAGGGGGGAAGAAAAGGGCCCGCGCCGAGAATGATTAAATGATAATGATGTTTCGTCGCCAAGATTATCTATTTTTTTTATTGTAAACGGGCTCCGTGAAATCGTGTTATCATTATGCTAATTCCTGGTAAAGTTAGGCCACGGCCATCTGACTGTTCGTGAACTCTCTTGCTTCTTGATAAGCTTTGAGTTTTCTAGGCCACGGCCTCCTTTCCATTCATTTAAAAATTTTCTTTTCCTTTTTTTCGTATCCCTCTCTCCCGTTCGGCGAAAAAAAATATGCGGCTCTCAGTGTCGATTTATGGGATACGGTTTTGCAACTGAAAGCGCCGGTTTCCCGAGTTTCTGGGATTATGCACAGTTTTTCTTCAATACTTTTGCCCCACGATTGTTCAGCAGACAGAGGCGGTCATTTTGAGCACAGAGACGTCCCATAAAAAGCAAAAATGACTGAGAAATTCAAGTTTTTAAGGTTTCGCACTGAGATTCATCGAAAAGAGCAAAAATGTGCGTTTTCTCGTGGGCAAAACGCTTTTTTAAGGTCACAGCTGTCATCAACTATTCTGAATTTCTCTGTTTCACCTCATTTTCATCATTTTCTTATGAATTTTCGGGTTTTCGGAAAAAAAATCCAAATATTTCAGGCTTGCTTTTGTTTTCAACGGCACTCTGTCTTAACGCGGCGCTCAATTTAGCATTAGCTATCGGGGAGACAGTGGCGCGCGTATTGTGCAGTTGACTCATACTCCCCATCTAACTTGTCCTCTCCTTCTTTTTCTCTCTCTCCCATTCTTCACATTCTCAACAATGACTCACTCCTTTCTTTCAACTTCCGCCAACTCCGAGCATTTGTTCTTTACCATCATCATTATCTCGGACCATTTACAGATCACAATGGGTGTCCTGAGCCTTACGGTCTCCAGCGCCGAGAAGGGCGTCAAGAAGACGATGCAGTTCGAGCCGTCCACACTTGTTTACGACGCAGCCAAACTGATTAGGGACAAATTCAATATGACCGATGTGAACCGTAAGACACCAGACGAAAATGGTTCACGTCAACAATTTCAGTTCCCAATTTCAGATAATGATTATGGCCTGTTCCGAGTGGAAGACGATCCGACAAAGTGCGCGTGGATGGAAGGCGGTCGGACGCTCGAGTACTATCTCGTGAGGAACAAGGATGAGATCGAGTACAAGAAAAAGATCCGGTTGCTGAAGGTTCGCATGCTCGACGGAGCAGTCAAGACGATTTCCGTGGACGAGAGTCAGCCGGTCTCGCAGCTGATGCTCACCATCTGCAATAAGATCGGAATCTCGAACTACGAAGAGTACAGTCTGGTCCGAGATGACCTCCTTCTCAACGGAGCCAGCAATTCCACGTGGAATCTCAGAGAAGAGAGATCAAAGAGCACGGAGAGAGGAGTGTACGGAACGATGGGAAGGAAAAAGGAGCAGAAGCTGGAAGAGCTTAGAAAGAAATTGCACACGGACGAAGAACTTCCGTGGCTGGATCACAAGAAGACCCTCAGAGAGCAGGGAATTCCAGAGGAAGAGACGCTGATCCTCAGAAGAAAGCTCTTCTTCAGTGACACCAACGTCGACTGCCACGATCCAATTCAGCTGAACCTTCTCTACGTACAGTGCCGAGACGGTGTCCTCAGAGGACTTCATCCAGTTCAAAAGGAGACCGCTTTTCAGCTGGGAGCCTATCAGGCTCACATTCAGTACGGAGACTTCCCCTACGAAAACCCAAAGTTCCATTTGGACGTACGAGATGTCCTTCCGAAAGAGTACCACAAGAGCAAAGACAGTGACAAGGTTGTCGCCTTCTACAAAGAGCTGAGTGGAACTCCAGAAATCGACGCGAAGAGCAAGTACGTTCATTTGTGCAGGGAGCTGAAGACGTACGGAGTCACATTCTTCGTCGTCAAGGAGAAGATGGTCGGGAAGAATAAGTTGGTGCCGAGACTTCTGGGAGTGAACAAGGACAGCGTGATGCGGGTGGACGAGAAGACGAAACAGATTCTCAAGGAGTGGCCGTTGGAGCAAGTGCGCAGATGGGCTTCCTCCCCAAAGACATTCAATTTGGACTTTGGAGACTACCAGGACGGATACTACTGTGTGCAAACCGCCGATGGAGAGAAGATCGGACAGTTGATCGGAGGCTACATTGATATCATTCTCAAGAAGAGAGAAACTCGCGACCACCGAGGAATCGAGGGAGACGAAGGATCCACAATGCTCGAAGATATGGTTGCTCCGGCCAAGGCGACGCTGGTGGCTCACGGACAAATCGGAGGTGGACAGCACGCGACGGACGGATTGGTGGCGGTGAGAGGAGTGCTGAGGACGCCACAAGGCGGCCATGGATACGGTATCAACGGAGCACAGTACGGAGCTGTGAGCGGAGAGATTGTCTCGCAAGAATTGGCCAGAGTGAGTAAGAGAAAGAGAATGAATTGACGCTGAAATTAGTTTGAACCGGTTACAGGAGGGAAAGATGACAAGCTGGAGAAAATAGGTACACTTCTGGCTTTTGTCAACTGTTTTGTCACCTTTCCTTTCTTTTTTCTGTTAATTTCAGTTTACCTCTTTCCTTTCCACAACATCCCTTCAAACTGCTAACTTCTTTATGGTTTCAGGCTCAACGCATGCGATACCAGGACATGTACCAACAGCCACAACGCGCGCTCATCGGAACCATCGAAGCCACGATCCGCACTGTCAACGAAGCCGAGGTTGAGCTGGAAGCAGAACCACAGATCGACATTCCGAAGTTCAACGACGACCTTTCCGCGAACCGCTGGATCGACGAGCAGTTGGCGGTGAACAAAGAGAACGTGAACGAGAGACTCGCCGCGATGGGAGCAGCCACTGCGCAAGTTGTTCAGTGGACTGCCGTCGAGGAATACGACGATCGCGTCGGCACGGCAATCGCCACAATCGGCTCCAATCTTCCGGATGTCAGCAGAAACGTCCGTGACATGGGAGCATTCATGGATCACGAGGAGCGCGGAGACCTCGTCGAGGCCACTCGTCTTCTGTGCAGATCGTTCGGCGACTTCCTTACGGCCGTAAATCCGGAAACCGGCGAGAAGCGCAACAAAGTGTTCACGGCAGCCGGTCGAGTGGGAGAGTTCTCGCAACAAGTCATCAACACAATGGAGCCGCCGAGCACCACTCAACGACAGTTCGACGACCATCTGGTGCAGAAGGCGAAGAATGTGGCGACGTCGACGGCGCAGCTTGTTCTCTGGTAGGTTCGGGGGTTCAATCCCATCACTCTTATCCGCCCCTCTATCAAGGGGGAAATGGGGGCTAAGCTGAGACTATCTCCCCCCGTCATTCTGATATCCTGGGAGAAGAACCTGTTGTTGCGCAGGCAGCCGGGCAGCCGCACCCTTATTCACTTGCTTACGTTAGCCTGTGTCATCATCATCCGTCTATCTGTACATCACTCCCCTCCTTCCCATCTATTATCATCTTTTGGGTGTTACAAAAACGAAAAAGAAGGAGACTAGCCAGGCGTCTTCCTCCTTTTCGCCTTCTTTCCCTGTGAACCACTTCTCCCTTTGCTACGTGGAGAAGTTGAGAAACGATGCGGACGAAGCAGAGGCCGAGTGTGGTGAGCGACGTGCACGTCTTCCATTATTATAATGGAACGAGTGCTCGCCCGCCGCCGATAAGTGTCACTCTGCCGCGCAGAAGGCATCCGCAGAGGAGTGGCAGTGTCAGCTGGTCGGGCGGCTCGAGCAGCTCCACTTCCTCGCTGTTCTCTAGAAGAAATCACGGGTTAGAGACACTACTGTCATCTGCCAAATCGCTTTAAATTCTAATATTTTTCAATTTCAGCGCCAAGACCATCTCCGCAGAATGCAACGAAGAGCCAGAGATCCAGGACAAGGTCATCCAGTCGGCGACAAAGTGTGCGTTTGCCACGTCACAGCTCGTCGCCTGTGCTCGTGTCGTTGCTCCAACCATCGACAACTCGGCTTGCCGGGATCAGCTCGAGACAGCCGCCACCGAAGTTTCCCACTCTGTCAGCAATCTCCTTCACGACGCCAAGTATGCTGTCCGCCAGGAATCCAGTCTCACAGACATCCACACCGCCGCCCGTCAAGTCACAAGTGCTCTCGATAGTCTTCTGGAGCACGCCAAGACGAGCCCGAAGACTGTGACACGACGCGAAGAGGAAGAGGAGTACAACGAGGTGCTCAGAAGAACGAACAGAATGATTGCTCACCAGGGACCGAGTGAAGACTTGACGAGAGAGGCGAAGAAGGTGATCAGACACAGCCAGATCCTCACGGAGCAGTTCCAACACGAGGCTCATCAGAGACCAGAGCACCGCGACCGACTTTTGGACGCCGCCAAGAAGGTGGCTCACGCCACGTCCGAAATGATTCTGGCCACCGAGCAAGCCGAATCGCAGCCGAGACAAGTCGAATCCGAATGGGCACTGCGTTCGGCGGCCGAGCGACTCGGTCAAGTGACGAACGAAACGACGCAAGAGCAGCAGGAGAAGCACATTATGCAACGACTGGAGCAGGCGGCCAAAGAGACCGCCTTCGACGCCACGCAGACGATATCGGCAGCGAATGCCGCGAAAGTGAGTCCGAGCGGAATGCGTGACTGAACTGACCGGGGCACGGGTGTGCGCAAGTGACTGGCGTGGCTTGAGCGTGTAAGACAGGGACAGACTCGGCGAATTTTGCAGCAGAAGCAGAAAGAGCACACGCGCACCGAGACCACTGAACAGCTTCTAGTCGATGACACTCATACTATCCTACGCATTCGTTAGAAGCCTTTTTCTAGATATTACTTTTGCCAGAAAAGAACCCAAATTCGTCTGCTTTCTTTCTTTTTCATATCCTTTCCCTTCCTGCCTTGCCCCCCACACGAACTACTTATGACATGACTTTACAATATTTGCACAAACCTTCTTCTCCTCAAATCATCACCAAATGAATGTGTTCGATAGTATTCTTTCGTTTTCCAATTCCGACAAAAAGCTAGAATAACTCTCGGAGCGCGCTTCTCCTCATCATCGCATATCTCTTTTGACGGCGGCTCGTAAGTGGTTGAGAGTGCCGTGTAAACGCGAGAACTTTTCGGTTTCTTCTCTGACCGGTCTGCCCTGCCTTGCCGAAAGCAAGTTTTTGATACTCATTTGTACGAATAATAATAATAATCCCCTTGTTGACGTTTCTAAGTGATTGGTACTTCTTCTTCTTCTTCTTCTTCTTCTAACCAAAACTAACTGAATGAGAGTTGATTTTGAATTCTGTGGAACGTTATGAGCATATTAAAATCTTCTCGTTTACAGGAGGTTATCACCCACAACGCGTACAAGGAGAATCTGGTATACGAATCCAAGGAGACTGCCCAGTATCTTCCAGAGTAAGAAACACCTTACAGCATCGGAATCTTTATGAAATCCAATTCCAGACTGATCACATCCATCCGCGAAAGTCAGAGTGCTGAATCTTCTGCCGATAAGTTCAAGGCCCAAAGTCGGTTGATCAGAAACTCCGACCGAGTTCTCGTGACCTCTTCCCGACTCTTTGAATCTGCCCGTACTGCCGTTCCGTTGGTCTCCGACACTCACAAGGCTTCGAACCTCGAACAGTCCGCCAACAGATTGGCCACGTCGGTCGCCGAGCTCAGAGCCGCCATCAACGATGCTCAGCAGCTCAACTTCTCGCACCAACTTCTGTACAGCGAGGATCTTATCAAAGAGCTTGATGCGCAACTCGTCAAGACTCACAAACTGGCTGCCGCCCGTCAACTCACTCCGATTCCTTCCGCAACCTCGTTCAGTGTCTCCTCGAAATTGATGGCCACGACGAGTAATGTGGGCTCTGGAGTGGCTCAATTGATCACGGCTGCCGCTTCTTCAAACGACGAGCGACACATCGGAACGTCGGCTGTCGAACTTGCTCAAGGACTCCGCAACTTTGCCGATTCGGTCACCGAGATTGTGTCTGTCCGAACTGACATTCAACTCGACAAGCTCATCGTAAGCGCCCGTTCCGTCGTTCACGAGACTGGAAGAGTGTTCGATCGGGTCCGCGAGAGAAGTGCTCCGACAGTGCTCACTGATGCCGCGATGAACGTGTCGACTAGTCTGAAACAAGTTATCTCTTGCCTTCCGGATACTAAACACATCGAGAAGGCGATCCAGGATATCCAGACCGCTTCCACTTCCGCCAACGTGAGAGCCATCGAAGTCCGCCAGGCGGCCAATCAGTTCATCGAGGCCACTTCCCAACTCGTTGTCACTATCGGATCTCCGGACAGCAGAGAGGCCGTCGATGTGTTCGTCAAAGCCTATTGCGATCTTCATGGATCGGTCATCGCACAGCTCAGACGACAGTCCGATGTGCAGGTGAAGGCTTCGATTGTGGATCGACTGGAAGAAGCGCAGAAGGGATCGATTGGAGTGTTGGAGACTCTCCGTCAATCCGGCTCTCCATCCGACACCACCCTCTCTCAACAGTTCACGTCGAAGACCCGCGAGCTGGCCACCACTGTCAACCGAATCGTCGAGTTGGTCGGCAACGAAGAAGATCAGCCGTGGCAGAGAGAATGCGACGCAGCCCTCCGACGGATTCAGGCGGTCTACCACGTCACCCAGCACGCCAACGTTCCGCTGAACGACAATGGATACTTCGCCTCGTTGCAATCCGTCTCCGATGGATCCAGAAGACTCGGAGAGGCTATGACTGGAATGGCGAGACATGCAAAGGCAAACGACACTAACGGATTCTGTGTGAGCGTCAGAAACTCGGCGGATGCTCTGTGCTCTTTGGCAGAGTCTGCTTCCCATTCGGCCTACCTCGTCGGAATCTCCCATCCAGCTTCATCTCCCGGTCGGGCTGCCCTCATTGATTCGTCTGAAGTTGCTCGAAGCGTCGAATCCATCAACCATTCCTGCGTTCGGATTGAATCGAAAAATCTGAACAGAGACGAACTTCTGAGTGACATATCTTCCGTCGCCAAGCAATCCTCTTCTCTCGCTCAAATCTGCCGCAATGCTTCCGAGAAGACGCAGAACCCGAACGTAAAGAAGCACCTGGTCAGCTGTGCAATGGAGTTGGCTTCCAAAACGGCCAACCTCATCAACTCCATCAAAGTGCTCGATCAACAGAGAACTCCTGAAGCCGAGAGCCGTTGCTCCGAGAGCTCTGTCGAACTTCGCCACGTATCTCAACAACTTTTACACTTTGCCGATAAGCCTGACTTCGCCGCCATCCAAGGGTCAATCTCTGCCGAAGGACGCTCCGCTCAGACTCCGATCCTTCAGTCGAGCCGCGAAATGCTCGACGCCAGTGCTCAGATGATTCAGACGGCCAAATCGTGGGCTTCCGCTCCACAAGACGAGGTCACATGGCAAAGAATGGCCGGAAATAGCAAGTTGGTTTCCGATTCCATTATGCGATTGGTGAATGCGATTCACGAGGCGGCACCGGGACAATTGGAGTTGGAGCACGCCATCAGCCGACTCTCCGCCCTTTCCGGAACCGTGGAGAGGAGCGCAATGGAGGCGTACGCGAATTCGAATGTCCAACAGCAGCACGGAGGAAATGCGGAGAGACAACTGTTGCAGCAAGTGCAACACATTGCAAATCAGCTGGAGGAGAAGGTCGACGAGTTGAGAAGCGCCGCCGTCGAGCACGGAGAACGACTGCCGAAGATTGTGCAGCAGCACTGTCAGATGGTTGAGGATCTCGCCGACGCTGCGTGCTATGCCGCCGGACTCACTGTGGACAGCAATCAGCAGACGGAACTGTTCGATAAGTGCAGGACTGTCGTCGAAGCCGAGCTCGCTATGATGGTTGTCTGCCGCGAATCGGGTGGCAATCCGAATGCCGTTCACGCTCACAACAATGTTATCGAATCGGCTGCTCAGTTGAAACACGCCATTGGGGATATCCGACAGACGATCGCAAAAATTTCGAGCGAGCAGGGAGCCGTGCAAGGAATGGTCGACACCATTTCTTCGTCGATTGCCAACACTGACGTCGCACTGAGCACTCACAGTGGAGCATCTTTCGCCGATTCGCAGACGAGAATAACTGCGTATTTGGAAGAAATCAGAAGGACCGCCCTCGAAATGCCGATCATTCCCGCCAGAGATCTTGGCGCCGCATCTCTAAACCTCAGCGAGAAGTACCGATCTGTTGCCCACGACTTCAAGCAAGCAGCCGGAGTGCTGCCAGAAACCGAAATCGCTCAACGCCTCAAAGTCGCCGTTCAGAAGCTGGGAACCAGTTGCATTGAAGCCGTCCAAGTGGCCGGTCAGAGAAGAGCCCATCCGGAGAACGAGTACGTTCACAAACAACTGAACGCTCAATCGCAGACCGTCGTGGAGAGAGTGGAGCAGGTGCTCGCCGCTCTTCACTCCGCTTCCCGGGGAACTCAAGCGTGCATCAACGCGGCCAACACTGTCAGTGGAATCGTCGGAGATCTGGACACCACCATCATGTTCGCAACTTCTGGATCTTTGAACTCCTCGGACGACCGAAAGTTTCCCGCTCACAGAGATGCCATCCTCAAGACTGCCAAGGCTTTGGTCGAGGACACAAAGGCCCTTGTCGCTGGCGCCGCTTCGAATCAGGAGCAACTGGCTGTGGCTGCCCAGAACGCGGTGCGAACGATCGTGAATCTTTCGGATGCGGTGAAGAACGGAGCTGTCAGTCTGACGAGCGAGAACTCGGAAGCCCAAGTGCTCATCATCCACGCTGTTCGTGACGTGGCTGCTGCATTGACTTCACTGATTCAAGCTACTAAGAATGCCTCCGGACTTTCTCTTCAACATCAAGCTATGGGGCATCTCAAAGAAGCAGCCAAGGTTATGGTGAACAACGTGGCGAATCTTCTGAAGACAGTGAAGAGTGTGGAGGACAAGCATCAGCAGGGAACGAGAGCAGTGGAGGCTGCCGTCGAAGCAATCACTTTCGAGATCAGACAGTATGATATTGATGTCAACGAAGGAGCGCCTGTTCCAAGTGAAGTCCGAGCTGAGCACCTGCAGCATGCCGCTGAAAATGTGTCACATATCACTCAGCAAGTCGCCCATGGTGCCGACAATGTTCCAACTCAGGATGAGGTCATCGCCGTTGCCAACATGTCCAGGACTGCAGTCCGGTCGCTTCTCGCCGTTGTCCGGTCTATCGGAAATGAGGCTGACACTGCCGAGCAACGATATTCTGTGCTCGATTCTGGAAGAGACGTCGCAAATAACGTGAAGACTCTTCTCGTCTCTCTTCACACTCAAATGGTCAACAACCCGGGACAAGAGAATTCCCGGAAATTGCTGCTCGACGCCGCCCGTGGCGTCTCCGGCGCCCTCTCGAAGCTCGTTGGCGTCTGCACAGACATGACCGGAAACCAGCACTCAGAGGAGATGGAGTCGGCGGCTGTCCAAGCGGAAAGTGAATTGCTCGGAGCAGCCAGCTCCATTGAGGCCGCCTCACTTCGACTAGCCGAGCTCAGGCCGAGACAACCTGTTGTGCAGAATGTGAGTTTGGTCTTTCGAAATTCGGTGGGGGGATGTAGTTGTGACTATTCTTTGCTACCGTATTCCTATGCATATTCCCGCTCGCCCACCGGACCTTGATATGTCTGGTATTCTTGGGTTCGAATTCAAAGCGAAGCGAACCAGCATATTAGACGTATCGACGGCCGGTTTGGGCAGCGATCTGGGGGTCCGATCCGGTGAGTGTAGGTTCAGTTTGTGTCGTGCATAAACATCAGCTTCGTTCATCGTACCGAACATGTGAATTTCAGGAGGAGACACAAGAAGAGATGGAGTTCGACGAACAGATCCTGTCGGCCGCCAAAAGTATCACGCAGGCGGTGCAGACACTCATGAGAGCCGCCTCGAACGCTCAGAGAGAACTCGTGAAGCAAGGAAGAGCCGATTTGAACAGCGGAGGCGTTCCGGCGTACCAATGGTCCGAGGGACTCATCAGTGCCGCCCGGATTGTCGTGGCAGCCGTGCATCAGCTGTGCGAATCCGCCAATGCATTAATGCAGGGACAGGCGACCGAGGAGAAACTCATTTCGGCCGCCAAGCAAGTCGCCTCGTCGACCGCCCATCTCTTGGTGGCGTGCAATGTGAAGGCCGACATGGATAGCCAGGCGAAAAGGAGGTTGCAGGCCGCCGGACAGGCTGTTAAGGTGAGTAAATAACGCAGAGAACTTATGTTCACTTCTCCAACCCTCCATTTTTTCAGACGGCCGCCGAGAAACTTGTTCAGTCTGCGCGTCAAAACATCTCGCGCGACGACCGCAACATCATCATCTCCGATCGTCTCGTCAGCGGCATCGCTCAAGTGATGGACGCGCAAGAGGAAGTTCTGCGGAAGGAGAAGGAGCTCGGAGAGGCTCGCAACAAATTGGCTCATCTGAACAAAGCGCGGTACGAGCGGGACGGAGAGAGCCCGTCTCAATAGACAGAATATAATATTTTGAAGCCTTCGAATGGTGCAACAATCATTACATGTATATGTATAATATATCCGAACAATAGAAACGAGATATTGAAAAATAAAATCCACTAATCCCATAATTCACCAAGTTGCCTTATTGTTATCGTTTTAATATATATGCATGATGATAATGTTTTTCAATTTTGTGATTGATTATAAAATAAATGACCTAACTATAAGAAACTAGACACCGAATTTCGATGAGTCAACAAAAATATGGAGGCGTGCTCCGTCATCCTTTGTTTTCGAAGAAAAAAAGAAATAGAAAAGCTGATCAAACAATCATATGATCCTTTCCCTCTGACACGTATTCGAATCATTTGACGACTCAAACAATGATTCGTATCCCCCTTCTTCTCCTTTTCCTTCTGATTCAATTCTTTCCGTGCCAACCGATTATCACGAGTAGCACGCTGGCGCCGCCCCCTTTCCAGCAGCTAGCGACAAGTCAACCGCCCATGTTTGATCCTGTTCCCACGTCGCCGCCTTCGTTCTTCGGCACTGACGAGGAGAATCAGAATCAAAACACAAATCCGCAGCAAGATCCGCAGATTCAACAGCAGAACGGCGGATTTTTCGGAGATTCGCAAGCAGTCACTTCTGGAGGATTCTTTGGCGGAAGCGGAAATTCCGTGAATAATGGATTTGTGGCGACGCAACAGCCGAATGATAATGGCGGATTTTTCGGTGGTCAACAACAACAGCAACAACAATTCTACCCAACACAAAGTGAGTAAAAATTCTGGCAATGTCGCTCTATTTATTATAGGGGCACCGCACAGAAATGGCGCTCTGTTGAGAAACTTGAGCGACCTCGGGGCCGAGTTTGAAAAGTTAGGCCACGTTTTCAGAAGAAACTTACTTCGCGGCCTAGAAATTCGTCCAGATTGCGAACAGCGCGCCCTTTCTGTCCGGTGCCCCTAGAATACCAAAATTCCACGTGAAAACCCGGCCACGGCCGTGACCGGTAGAGCCGCCCAATTGTCAGACTTCTGCGGCTGAAACGCACGTCGAAGTGAATTCCACGTGGCATCTTTATTTTCTGCTTCAGGTTCTGGAAACTTCTTTGGCAATCAAGGAAATCAAGTGAATCAGGGAGCTCAAAACCAGAACTCCTTTGCCAACACTCAACAGAGTTCGAATTCGAATCAGCCGACGTTCGGCCAACAAGGAATTAATCAAGGCTTCCCGGTGTCCAACGCATTCCCCTCCAACCAACTTCCTCCGATTTTCGGAAGACGAAAATAATTGTGCGTGTGTAGAGAGCAATAAATAACAGAAGTTTCGTTTCATTGGGCTTCAAGAGCAAGATTTGATTGATATTATAAACAAGCCGCACGAGCCGGCGAAATTATTTCGGAATGTGATTGAGCGCCGCCTCGCGCACCCATCTGTAGTCGGGAGCACCCGGCGAGTAGCACGTGTTGTCGTGCATGACTTCGCCGTCCGTCCAGTACATGATGTAGAAGTTGCACATCTCGTCGTCGCCAGTGGCACCCATTCCGATGTCGCGGTCCTCCGTGTTCTTCATGGTGCATCGGGCGGTCACCATGTCGCCCTGCTCGATGGTCATCGACTCGTTGGCAACCGGGACGAACATCTGCGGCAGTTGTGGGTTGCGTCTTCCGATGAGGTCCCAGTGGTCCTCGTGCTTCTGATCCTCCTTCACCAGCCATCCACTGACCTCCTCTCCGTGGCGATGGGTGTGGGTGCGGAAGGCGAACGGATGCATCACAACGTCTTCTTCGATCACACACGCCGTCTCGAACGATTCGGTCTTGTTCTTGGGCAGAACTCCTCCGGTGACCAGGAGCATCGTGGCGGCGAGTTTCGGCTGCGGCTCCTCGGTGTGAGTGATCTCGAGTCCGGTCTCGTCGGGTTCCTCTTTGTCGTGCATATAATGCACCTGCATGACCAAGTGACGGATGTTGCTCTCGCCTCCCACTTGGAATCCAACGTCTAAAAAAGCGAGAGCTCCACTCATGCTAATATCCGGATTATATCTTACCTTGCGGAAGCTTAAGAGCCGGAGCGTCCATGGCCCACGCGAACAAGATGGCTGGTTTGCTGGCGCACGTGGGTGCACGTGGCATCTCGTCTCCGTTCTTGTTCATCTCTCCGCAATCCCACACGAGCTCATCACTTCCCGGCTCTTCGCATCCGAACAGAAGGATGTGATGGGCGGTTCCTTTGGTGGTGAGCGCCTCGAATCCAGTCAGATAGTTCTCCTGCTCGCTGAGCTCAAGAGACGTGCAAAGGTAAGAGTCGGCCTGGGAAGAAGTGAAATGACGTGGGGAGGACCTAATTAGCTGTTAAATACCTCCGGCACGACGCCAGGCATCCGAATCTGCGACTTGGTGGCATTTGAGGACGTGGCAATAAATGCCACAAAAAGGGCACATAAGAGGTGAAAGCGCGGCATCGCTGGGCGCCGCTCTCAAGTGAGTAGACTGAGCCGAGGGGCGCCACGAGAAGCACGTCTTCTCGCTCTCTCACATCGATTTTCCCTCCTCTCCTTCTTCTTGCTTCTTTTGGCTGCATGCGTGTGTGCTCGTGGGGGCGTTTCAGAGAGCTGGTGGCTCCGCGAGCTCTGGAGAGCAATAACAGACGGAGAGAGCAGAAGCGGACGCGGGAAAAAGTGACGCATGTTCTCAGTTAGAGACTGAAAACAAGAGGAAAAGGGCTGGCATTGTGAGTGAAGCACGAGAAGAAAGAGGGAAATATGGGATATGGGATGTGGAAGTAAAAAGAAAAGAACTCGGGCACTTCGACCGATGAGAAAGAGGACCAACAGGATAGAATTCTGAAAATAGCTTTCTGAGAAAATTGTGCTATTTTTCAAACAATAAATCTATTTACAACATTTGATCTCTATCAGTGTTGCCACCAATAGTAAAAGAAGAACATGAAAATCAAGCAGCACAGAGCAAGAATGAAGAATAACTTTTTGTCCTCCCGCACACGTTTCTCGATGAGATGAATAGTGGTGTAGGAAATTCCTAGCTGTAAGAACAGTTGCTTTAAATTATTTCGATTATTTCCACTCACTGATTTTGTTAGAAAATGAAACCGTTTTCGAATACTCAGTAAGTTGCTCTTTTGTTTTTGCAAATCCTCAAAGACACTTGCTCCTTGAGCGAGCATTTGATCTAGTATATTATCCGAAAATTTCAATCTTTCATTCGTATTGAGCTCTTCGTCGAAACCCAAGTTCACTCTCGTTTCATTGTTTGTTGTGAACCTGAAGAATATAACGCATTTCGACAAAAAGCAAAAAAAAAAGTACCTTTTCTTCAACAACTCTTCCTTTTCTTGAGCACGTTTTCTCTGATTATCGTGTTTGTTTTCCATGCCCATTAAAGAGTTTTTGATGAGGTAAATATCACTTTTCAGCTGTTCCACTTTGAAGAAAACCGTCTGTCTAACTGTTGCTGGTTCTCGATTGAGCTGTGATTCCAATCGGTACATGTTCGTCTCGGTTTTGCTGAAAAAAAGCAATAAAAAGTAGAAAATGTTTGAAAAACTTACAGTAAACTATTATTCGCATTTTTTATTAAACGTTCCATTTCGTTTTTCCCAGACTGCCGTTCGACCGCGATGAGTAGCAGTTGAACATTTTCAATTTGCTCTCGCACCGATCTGATTTGTGCTTCCATGAGGCCTAAATCACAAAAATATTTATATGAGTAAAAATTTACATTTTAAACGTGAAAAATATGGAGTTTAGCAATTTTCCAAGCGGAGAAAGCCGGCGTTTTCAACAGCCGCGGGCGGACACGTGGCTGTTGGCTATTTCGTAACGAGCCTTTAAACTTTCAAGTACGGTGATAGTCGAACAGTTTGTTGTAATTAATGAAGTGGCGTTTCCATGAATGATTCAACAATCTTTTCAAATAATAAATAAAGGGATGATCCGTGAACTTTATCGAACATTGACAAAGTACATTTATCAGTTTTCCTCTCCCATTTTTCCATTTATTTTCCCTTCCTAAACAACTTCGAACGATGGGAGAAGTCGTTGATCCGGCCAATCCCGTTCCGTCGGATGACAACTATCAAAATCTCGGGCCGAACCTCGGAATCGCGCCCTACGTGAACATGGATCCGAATGCAGGAGCCGGTGCTCCTCCTGCACCACCGCCGCCGCCTCCACCGATCCCAGCTGCTGCTGCTGTCGCTTCCGGATCCGTGGTTGGCACTCCGGCTCAGTATCGTGGTGCTCATCCACCGGGCAAATCTGCGGAAGTGGGCGAAGTTCAGGAGTTGCCCGACTCGGATCCTTCTGAATCGAAGAAGCGTACTGACACCAAAATGCCGAAGGTCAAAAAACTCAAGAAGAAAATCGTGGGCTATTACAGATGTTTTCTTTGTTTTTATCCATTATATTCTTTCCAGAAGCGCGTCAAGATTGCGTACTGGATGATGACAACTATCTGGCTCCTTTTCCTCGTCTTTTTCGTCGTTCTTTATCTGAACAACTTCGGAATCCACATTCTTCCGTTTCTGAAGGACTGAAACAAGAACACGAATATCAATCCATTCTGAACGGTTATTTGCATGTAGAATAAAACGAGTTGTGTCATCGAATAAAGCTTCTAATGTATGATTCACTTTCACAAATTTCTTATGCACCTCAATCCCACGTCTATTTGCTCAGGACGATGCTGTCCGGATCCTGACCGACCAGAACACAAAATAGAGTTCCTACGGTAGCTGCACGGTCAAAAAATCCCACACGGAGTTTCTCATTGAAAGACTATGAAAGTTTATTATTGCTGCTACTTCTATTGGTACAACGTTTCGATATCACAGCGGATACGAGATCTTCTTTGAGTCGGCCGGCTTCGTGATGTATCCCAGGAACTTCTGCTCTCTCAGAATTCTTCTCATCAACATTAGTCGTCCGCCTCGGGTTTCTGTGCGCTTTTCGACAGTGTCCACGTTCAGCTTCTCTTGCAGTTTGTACGGGAAGTAGCACGGTCGGAAACTGTTTCTGTGCCACGGACAGTTCCACCGGATCGACTGGCAAATGAGCGAGTTCGAGCGGAGCAGCAGCTGCATCTGAAAGTCGAACTTTTAAAAAGTTACATTGTTTAAAGATATATCATTTAATTTAAGAATATTCAACGAATAGAGACTAGACAAAATAGCAATATAAGAAAAATCAATAACTTTGAAGGTTTTTCTTTTAAAAATTTAATTTCATCGCACGGAAAACGCTTGAAAATGTCAAATTAACATTTAAAGTTCAGCGGAGATGGTTGCTAGTGTCGATTTACGGGCGAAAGTTTAAAGGCGCACATGGCAATATTTTGCCGGGTCTCACAACGATTTGCCTTTTTCCACTGTTTTACATTTTATTCAGACTCGGCCTAAATTTTTTAACATTTTTTTGATAATTTTTAGAAAATCCGAATGTTTTTCTTGAAGTTTGATATAATATTTTAAAGCTCAGATTATCGTCGTTCGTTTTTTTCTATTGTCGCGGCCGAAAATTTCGTTGCTTTTCGAAAATATAATTTTTAGATGACAAAACGTCGTGCAAGCAACAAGAAGCCTACTGGATTGAACAAATCACTCGGTAATTCGCTCAGCAATGATCGCGAAAAAACGAGAAAGAGTCATCAGCGTGCCAAGTACGATGGAAATGATATCGAGAATCCTGCATTCATGGAACACGAGGTCAATCACTACATCGACTCTGTCACAGACGAGACGAGTTTGGAGGAGTTTTTGGCCAAAGCTGAGCTTGCTGGAACTGAGTTCACTGCCGAGAAAGAGCAGTTCAAAATTATTGAAAAGTTGGTTGATTGTTTGTGCATGAAGCGAGCATGATTTCATTTTTCAGAAATTCAGCTGTTGTTGTCCCGTCGCGTGTCGATTACCGCACCAATCTCGAATTGCAGCAACAAAATGAGCATCGACTTCGTATTCCCAGACGTCCAGCCAAAGAATTGTGGGACAGTATGGAGGAGCTGACCAGATTGGAGAACGACGCGTTCCTTCAGTGGAGGTCCGATCTCAGCGAGCTTCAAGAGGCACGCCATTATTTAAAAGTGGATTTTATTTGAATTTTTAGGTAGATGGATTGGTGCTGACTCCATTCGAACGGAATCCCGACATGTGGCGCGAACTGTGGAGAGTCGTCGAGAAGAGCGATATCATCGTGCAAATTGTCGACGCCCGCAATCCGCTGCTGTTCAGAAGCAAGGATCTTGACAATTATGTCAAGGAGGTGGATCCTGCGAAACAGATTTTGTTGTTGGTCAACAAGGCCGATTTGTTAAAGCCGGAACAGCTAGATCATTGGACCCAGTACTTCAAACAAGAGAATATCAATGTTATCTTCTGGTTTGTTAAGGAATCCTGGTTCGTCTCTGATTGCAGTTTTTAGGTCAGCTATCGACGATGTTTTGGAACCGATCGACGAGGAGAATGCAGATATTCCACCACCATCGACATCAAAATCTGATCTGTTTGTGACGAACAAGGATAATCTCATCGAAAAGTTCAAACAACTCGGACACGTGTCAGACGAGCCGTCAGCTAAACCGGTGATGGTCGGAATGGTCGGCTATCCGAACGTTGGAAAGAGTTCTACGATCAACAAACTTGCCGGTGGAAAGAAGGTCTCAGTATCAGCGACTCCCGGAAAGACTAGGCATTTCCAAACTATTCACATCGACAGTCAACTCTGCTTGTGTGATTGCCCCGGACTTGTCATGCCTTCCTTCTCGTTTGGAAGAAGCGAAATGTTCCTCAATGGTAGGCGGTTGTTGAATCAAGATTAACCCTTATGTTTGTACTTGTTAGGTATTCTTCCGATTGACCAGATGCGAGATCACTTCAGGCCGACTTCCTTGCTTCTTTCAAGGGTCCCTGTCCACGTCATCGAAGCAATGTACTCTATCATGCTTCCGGAAATGGACAAACCTTCCCCAGTCAACTTGCTGAACTCTCTCGCTTTTATGCGAGGATTCATGGCTTCGTCGGGAATCCCGGATGGCTCTCGAGCTGCAAGACTGATGTTGAAAGACGTTGTCAGCGGAAAACTGATGTGGGCTGCTGCTCCTCCGGGCATCGATCAAGAGGAGTTCGATCGTTTCTCCTATCCGGAAAAGAAGCACCGCGATATTGGACGCGTGCAGATGGAGAAGCTGACGAAACTTCAGCTACTGGAAGGAGACGAGTTGAAAGGGAATCAGTTCGACTCGCAACACTTCTCCGGATCTGTCGGAACTTCACACGTTAAAGACTCAAAGGCTTTGCCACGTAATCTCGGAACCGTAGTCCCAACGGGTCCAGTCGAATCAAACGGGAAGAAGCACTTTAAAGGAAAGAAAGACAAATTGAGAAGGATATATAACGAATAAAGCCCTTCTTCCATTGTTATATTCATGTCGCCGCTTTCCTTTTCAATTCATTACTGGTTTACACCCAGATTATATCTTCTTATTTCCTCTTTTGTTGCTCCCATTTCTCTTGTTGATCTTTTTAATCATAGTTTCAGGTAAACATGGGCAAGATTATGAAGCCTGGAAAGGTCGTCCTCGTCCTCAGAGGAAAGTATGCTGGTCGCAAGGCCGTCGTTGTCAAGCCACAAGACGAGGGAGTGTCGGACAGAACGTATCCACACGCCATCATCGCTGGAATTGACCGATACCCACTCAAGGTAAATTCAGATCTAATAACAATTCAGATCTAATAGCACCTAAATATTTTATTTCAGGTCACCAAGGACATGGGAAAGAAGAAGATCGAGAAGAGAAACAAGCTGAAGCCGTTCCTCAAGGTCGTCTCCTACACCCACTTGCTTCCGACCCGCTACTCCGTCGATGTTACCTTCGACAAGGCTAACATCAACAAGGTTTGTTCCCTCAAAAATCTTCCAGATTCCCTTTCCATAAAGAAACTTTGTTTTAGGAGGCTCTCAAGGCCCCAACCAAGAAGAGAAAGGCCCTCGTCGAAGTCAAGTCCAAGTTCGAGGAGCGCTACAAGACCGGAAAGAACAAGTGGTTCTTCACCAAGCTGCGATTCTAAATCACCGTTTCTTCTTGTTTTGTTCTGAATAAATGTTGTTATATACATCCCTGTACGTTTTTGTCTGTTTGTTGCGGAATTATGTAACACTGCATAGTTTAATACGTGAATCTGGGGCTAAATCTTAATGTTTGCAAGCCAGAGAGATGGGGCGCGAGGCCCCGGGGCAGGGAGGAGAATCGTGTGACTGGCTGCCGGAATAGTGTGGGTGGGGGAGAAACGCCAGACGGCGATGCGTATCTGGGTCTCGCCACGCGCGGGGCTACGATGGGAGGAGCGTTGCGTGTTAGGTGCGGTGCGTGCGTCAGCGTAGCGGTCCTTTTCGGTCAAGCGATCAGCTTTATACATTTAAAGATTGGCGCGTTTTTTGTGATGTTTATAACTTGACGCAACTTTCAAATTTTTGCTAGTTTCTACTTGTTCTATTCGCTGGCTTCATCTGCGGCCTTGGTGGCACCTTTTCGGCCGCCATGGCCTGCTGTTTATCCGAAGAGGCCCGCGAACAGAAGCGGATAAATCAAGAAATCGAAAAGCAGCTTCAAAGAGACAAACGAAATGCTCGGAGAGAGCTCAAGCTACTTCTATTAGGTGAGTTTGTGTGTCTCGTTTCCAATTTGAAAACCCACGCCGAAAAAACACCTGGGCGGCTAGACGCTTCGATCATTTCACACCCATTATCGATTCTCACACACCCCAAAATTCCACCTGAATCACAATTCTCCAAAATCTCGACTAATGAGAGCTTAGAAAATAGTTTCTGGGACGGAAAAACCTCTGCGGGCGTCTGAAAACGGGGCGATAATGGAATAACTTTCGCTATCAGTGGTCGTCTCGTACTATTATCAGTTCTTCCAGTTCTTATCACTTCCCCGCACACTCTTTCCTTATCAATTGTCCCCGAGTGTGACCCGACTGTCCTTGACTTCCGGTGATAAGCTTCTCGGCGAACGCGGTCTGAAATCGGCCCGTTGTCTTCTTGACTCGTCTGCGTCTCCATCCCTCTCCACCGGTTTCCGAACTGTTCATGAGCCCCTCTTCCGAACAGTTTCCGGTTTCTTCCCCTCTCGATCACTGCGCCACGCGAATCGCCCGGTCCCTCGTCGTCGTCCTCGTCGTCGGGTGTGCTCTAATATGTAGAAAATGTGGCGCTCACACGCATATATCCCCGAAACCCCCGCCGTCCGTCCGCCCGTCCGTCCCCATATACACACACACACACACACATATAGATATATGTGTACGTATATAGCATTTGCATGGTAAGAGAGAGCGAGGAGACTGGTGGATTGCCCTCAGCGCCGTCAGTGCGTATCGATCGAGGGGACGGCCTGTGGAGGAGAAGGAGGCGACGAGACGGAGAAGCGCAGAGGGAGAGCAAGAGAGGCACACTCCCTAGCACGGGGCCCTGGTGCGCCGCCGCCGTTTCGCTCACAGTGGCGACGGGCACGCGCGAGAGACACAGAGAAGCGGGATGGGCCAGCCGAGAGAGCATCTGCAGCTGTGGAGCAAAAGCAGCAGGAGAGGGCAGCGAGACAACCCCATCTTTCTCTCGTTCCTCGCCTCCTCCTCGCCTCCTCTCGTTCTCCGGCAGCTCCGTGCGCAGGCCAAGCTGTGAGTGAGTTTGAGTGTCTGTCCCCCCCCCCCTCTTCTGGTGTGTCTGAAGCCGGCTAGTGAGGGAAAGGAAGAGAGAGAGAAAGAGATGTGTATGTGGTTGTGTGTGTGTGTGTCTGTGTGCGTATGTGTGTGTGAGTGCGTGCGTTTATGCGCGCGTGGGAGAGGGAAGAGAGACAGAAAGAGAGCACAACCTAATCAGCGCAGCCAACCAACCAGCAGCCCAGAGGAAGAAGAAGAGGCAGCAGCTTCCCGGCCGGGGCCCGTCCCGAAAAAGAGAGGGGGAAGACACAGAAGGGTGGGGACCCGGGGCCAGAGCAACTAGATGAATTCACATACAAATGACTAATGGACATGAGTTGTATGCAGTGCAAATTGATTTCCAACCCCAAATTTGTGTGTGTGTATGTGTGCATGGGGCTCTTCCCAGCGCCTCTTGTGCTCTCTCGTCGTCGAAAAGGCAAAAGCCTCTCATTTGACGAGATAAATGCGGTGGTGGTGGCGCCCCGCTCGCCGTGGTTTTTCGCCCCGAATTTCGTTCGCATTTTCGAAAGAAGCGAGGTGGAAAGGGAAGGGAAAGCACGGGGAGGGGTCGATGAATCTTGGAAGAAGCCGATGAGCATCAATTTCAAACTGGGGGGAATCATGAATCTGAATCTGGTGGTGTGATGAGAATCTGAAAACGTCTGAAATGGTCTACAGTAGTCGCCCAGGTGGGAGAGCGTTCGGCTCTCCGTTCCTGTCTCATCAAATCCGTTTTGTAGGGACTGGAGAATCCGGAAAATCCACGTTCATCAAGCAGATGCGAATTATCCATGGACAAGGTTATTCAGACGAAGACAAACGGGCGCACATCCGGCTCGTTTATCAGAACGTGTTTATGGCAATTCAGGTTTGTATTTCGTATTCCCAGAAAACTGTTTTTTGTCGTCGTAGTCGCCGCCGCCGCCGCCGCCGCCGCCGCCGCCGCAGTCAGAAGACGGATCCAGACGGTTTCTGATCTCTGTTTTGTATCCGTCGTGGCGGCGACAACGACGTCGCGGGCGCTTCTGTTGATGGCTCCGGCCAGCGAGATACGACTACAGCCGGTGTCTGTCACCTGATTCCCGTGCCGCCGCCAGAAAATCGTAGGGCGATAGTGAAAAATAAAATAATTGGCGGATTAGTCGAATCTCATGGGAGCCCGCGCGCGCGCGTCACACCTACAAAATATTCCCACTGCGTACAATTCTCGAGTACAACGAATGTGCCCGGGACCGTACAAATCATCATCAAAAATCGTTGATTTCAGTCTATGATCCGGGCGATGGATACACTTGGCATCCAGTTTGGTGACCAGTCCGAAGAGCTACAGGTCAGTAAAACTTGAAAAAAGACGGGCGGGAAACTGAACGAGAATTAATTTCAGGAGAAAGCCGCAGTTGTGCGAGCAGTTGATTTCGAGTCAGTGACGTCTTTCGAAGAACCGTACGTGTCGTATATCAAAGAGCTATGGGAGGATTCTGGTATTCAAGAATGTTACGATAGGAGGAGAGAATATCAGCTCACCGATTCCGCCAAATAGTAAGTTTTTGATTGAGTTTGAACGGGCTTTCTAACCCGTATTTCGACCGATTCCAGCTACCTTTCCGATCTCCGACGGCTCGCCGTTCCGGACTACCTTCCGACCGAGCAGGACATTCTGCGTGTTCGTGTGCCAACCACCGGTATCATCGAGTACCCGTTCGATTTGGAGCAAATCATCTTCAGGTTTGTTGCTTTCTGACCTTGCTTCTGAGTGCTAATTATCCTATTTTCCAGAATGGTTGATGTAGGAGGACAGCGATCAGAAAGGCGGAAGGTGAGAACAATTTGAGTTGATTGAGCAGTCAGAACTAGAGAATTTTCAGTGGATCCACTGTTTCGAGAACGTAACATCGATCATGTTCCTGGTGGCACTCTCAGAGTACGATCAAGTGTTAGTGGAATGTGACAACGAGGTACTGCTTTTTCATTCATTGTCAGAATTTGAGCCGAATTATCTCAGAACCGAATGGAAGAGTCGAAGGCGTTGTTCCGAACGATCATCACGTATCCATGGTTCACCAACTCGTCAGTCATTCTGTTCTTGAACAAGAAAGATCTCCTGGAAGAAAAGATTCTCTACTCCCATCTCGCAGACTACTTCCCAGAATACGATGGTGAGCCTTTTGTGTTTGGAACTTTCTCGACTTCTTGTTTCGTTGTAGGACCTCCACGCGATCCGATCGCCGCCAGGGAGTTCATTCTGAAGATGTTCGTGGATTTGAACCCGGACGCTGACAAAATCATTTATTCCCATTTTACGTGCGCGACTGGTGAGTTGCCTGCGCATCTCGTTGTGCTTGACAAACCACGTGGTTTTCCAGATACGGAGAATATTCGGTTCGTGTTTGCCGCCGTCAAAGACACAATTCTGCAGCATAATCTGAAGGAGTACAACTTGGTGTGAACAAGTCGTCGTCGTCGTCGTCGTCATCGGATGAGAAAAGAACAGAAAGAACTTTTTACGTCGTTGCCTCCCCCTCTCTCCTTTCTCTCTCTCTCTCTCTCCCTCTCTCTCTCTCTCTCTCTCTCTCTCACTGGGTCGAGTGAGACACCACTACCTAGGAAACATTTTCTTGTACTCCTTTTGTCCCTCTTTTCTCTTTTTCTCTCCTCTCTGCATCTTTCCGTTCTTGGCTCCTCCAAAACTTTCTTTTCAATCGCGAGCCAAACCATTATCGGATTGCCTTGTTCTTTCTAAAACAAACGACAACAACAACAACAACAACACGAAAAATTAGTAAAAATTCAACGTTTTTCTCTTTTTTGAAAACACCGATACAGGATAATTAGGATATCTGACTCTCTCTCTCTCTCTCTCTCTCCCTCTCTCTCTCTCTCAAACTCTTCCTTTCCTGCCTATTTTATCACAAAAGTCGGTTTCATAGTTGTCCTTTCTCCTTCTTCTTCTCCATCCGAATTCTCCTTTTTTGTCTCCTCCTGAAGTGGTTCCCCCTCCTAATTCTGCCGGCGTTTTTTTCTGCAAACTAGTCTTCTTCCCGTCCTTCTCACAACACACAAAAAATCCCCCTATCCTCTTTACCGTTTCTACCCGTTTATTTGTCATTTTTCTCTTTCTCTTCTTCTTCGTCAAATCCACAGCCCACAAACCGCTTCTTTCGATATAACACATTTTTCGTGTTGGACATAGAGTTTTTTATGAGTTCACCATATTTTCTTCGAAAATTATCGGCTTCTTCCCCCGTCGAAAGTCTGGCGAATATCGAATGCTTTCCCTCTTTCCCGTCCCCACAACTCAATACGTCCCCCTTCTGTGTAACCCCGTTAATTCATCAAACTAACCTCGAAATCTCTTCCCATTCTTTGCTGCTAATTGTGAGCAAAAATTTTTCTTTTTCATTATTTGAAAATGTTTCTTCATCGATTTGTCATTTTCTTCCATCTTTTCATCCATAAAACCTAATATACCGTTTCTTTTTTCCACACCCCCTCACCACCATCCTCATTTTTTTGTATCGGCTATTGCGATAGTTTTTAATTTCATATTTATTTTATTGACATTGATCTAATTTTATGTAAATGTTTTGTGGTCAAAAAAGAAATGGTTGAAATTAAAATCGCAGCGGTTTTCATTTTTTCGGTCTAGACAAACCACATGGATCTCTTGGAGAAAAAACATGGGAGCAGGAGCAGAACCAGCTGCTTAAAAATGGGGAACGCCAGCGAACAGGTGAGAATGAGTTCAGGCACTTCTCTAAAGTGCAATTCTAATTATAGAAAGTTGCTGCGCAAAAAAAGAAAAGGGACATTTCATCTTCAACCATTTTTGCAGAAATAATTCTGAATGGCCGAGTGCTCTCAATAGTTGACACTCTTTTTACACTTTATCTCTTACTTTGGAGCACTTCCCGACATGCCAACTCCATTAATATTTGTTTTCTCTCTTTTTCTCTCTCGTTTTTTCGCTTGCAAGAGAGCGAAAACGAGACTTTTTTCGACTCAGCGCGCCCGATCAATAATAATTTGAATGGTGCCGGGTCGGCACCGTCCGTAAATCTACACCATCGCTGCGAGACCATTCCTCTACTCTCTGCGTCTCTTCTGCAGACTGTACTCTCTCGTCGGTAATGTCACTGTTCTTTAAATAATTGAATTTGCAACGTCTCGGTTCGTCGTCGCTTTTCCATCTTCCTCCTCTAATTTTTTTTTGCTGAGAAAATAATTTCACAATACTTTTCGAAAACTCTTCTGCAACCACAATGTCTTGTTTATTTGACCTTGTCAAATTATTTCACTTTTCAAATCGCGTGGACACGTTGAAATTCTAAGCGTATTTATCTTTCGACTATCTTTCAATCTTTCAACCTTCATCACATCCGTCTCAAATTGGATTCTTTAGCCCACCTCAACACAAAAAATGGACGTCTCTCAACTCACGGATACCGAGCTTCGCGATAGTCTGCGGAACCTGGGACTCACCGTCGGCCCAATTGTGGCGACGACCCGAAAAATCTACGAGAAGAAGCTTCTGAAGATGTCCGAAAGTGCTAAAAGTGAGTTTTTCCTTCACGTTGACAAATAATGTTATTTTTTTTTAGAAAGCCCATCGACCGACTCGGCTGCAACAGATCTCAACGATTCTCAAATTACCAATGGAAGCGGTGCTGATGCTGTAAGAAGCTTCAGTCCAATCTTCAAGAGCAGCTCGCCCATGCCAGTACCATTGGCGGAGTCCTCGCCGATTCCAAATAACAATGATAACGAGCAATCCGATTTGAGTGATTGCGAGGAGTCGATGAGATTTCTGACCGAAGAAGAGATGGCCGCTGATCGTGCTGCCGTCCTCAAGACTCAGAAGCGCAGCGGAGGAATCTTCGGAAACTCTGTGAGTTTTTTTCACACTTCTGAACTAGCTTTCATCCCCTTTCTTTCAGATCGCATTTGCCATCACATTCGTCGCCATCGCCGTTTTCGCATATTTCCTGCTCGAGAACGCAGAGCAGCTGAAGCTGGTCATCGAGCCGAAATCTGATGACACCATCTGAGCCCTCTGGCTATCCGTGTCGACCACTTAAAGTTGCACCTTCTTTCGTTTTCTCAGACACAGCCTGTTGAATTTTCTGATGAATCTACATCTTGCGGAGTCTCCCTTTCTTGTTATCCCTTGGTTTTACCACCTCACCCAGCCGTCATCTCTCTTATTTATTACCACGTTGGCTTATGTTAGGGACTGAAATGAATAAACGTCGGCTCTTGAAAGTGAGTTTCATCACTCGGACTTCTTCTCAGGGGAGCTCCCTTTTTCGCGATTTTATTGCCCATCAACCCACAATACACATACACACAACCAGAGCCAAAATGGATAAAGAAGGCGTGGCACACACACTTCCGAAATGAGTTAATGACGAATCGGTCCGTGGACCGGTATAAAAGGCACGGCTGGCGGCGGCTCAAACCTATTTGAATTGCCGTTTTCGTGCCCAATTCCATCCGAAAAATGCACAGCTGCGTCCTGCTGATGCTCATCCTCGTCTTTTCAGATGGTAAGTTGCGACTATTTTTCTCCTTTGACTTTACATTTTTTTTCAGTTTTCGCCACGCAGTCACCCACTTTTGACCGACAAGATCGGGATTATCGGCCACTCCAGGTATTGTCGCTCTTTTTGTGCTCCGTGCTCATTCGCTCTCTTTCATTTTCAGTTCGGCAAGAGAGACGGCTACCGTCCTCTGCAGTTCGGCAAACGCGACTATCGGCCTCTGCAGTTCGGAAAGCGGAGCAGCAGCAGCAGCAGCAACGGAGCAACCGTAGTGCTCGAGCCGGTCTGGGAATGGCAATAACCGTTTCTCCCTGCCCCACACTCTCTTTTCTTCCTTTTCCGAATGTGTATAGACACTTATACACGTTGATTTCCCTCCGTCCATTCACAGACAGTCGCCAATGAATATATTTCAATGTTAAAAATGGAGTTGTTGTTCGGAAGATCCGTTGCGATTCAGTTTCAGAAACTATTCTGTGAATATTTTCGGGTCCAGTGAAATCCATAGTTGCCACGGGCCGGGCCGGGTCGAAATTTCCAAAACTCCGGCCCGGCCCGGCCCGGTCGGCCCGGTTCAAAAAGCGGGAATTCAAAATTTGAATTATTGATCGCATGAAGCCATTTTTTGTAGAATTAGGGGTTTTTTGCAAGCATCGAACATTGAAAAACAAATGTATTTCTCATAAAAAATTCATAATAGCAAAAAAACAAAGAAGAAACACTAAAACTTTAGTTCGAAAATTTTTTTTGTAATAACGAAAAAAAAAATTTGAATTCCCGCCTTTTGAACCGGGCCGACCGGGCCGAAATCTGGCAAGTCTGGTGAAATCTGATTAGATGAGGAAGGAAGTTGGTGTAGAGAAAGTTGACCATGTGGAGGCTGTGTATACAAAAGACGAGAGAAAGAGAGAAAACGTGTTTGTGTATATATTTCTCTCCGTACACAGATTGATAAATGATGCATAATGCACTCAGTCGTCGGTTTTGTATACCTCTTTTCGTTATTTTTCGTGCTTGCACCTTTATGAGCTCTAAAGTGTTCAGAAACAGCTCCGAATGTCTTCCGATGAACTCGTCGAGAAGTTTGTCAAACTGTACGGAATCGCTCCAGAAGTGAGAATCACGTGTCCCGGAAGAGTCAACCTAATAGGTAGCCGCCTTGCTTCTCGCCCTTTCAGCATGCACGCTTGTCTAAATTCTAGGCGAGCACATCGACTACCACGACTACGGAGTGTTTCCGATGGCGATCGCCGCCTCCACAACTATTCTCGCGGCTCGCAACACCACCAACACCATCGTCTTCACGAACGACGAGCCGAGATACGAGCCGTGGACGTCGGAAGTTCCGAGCTCGTGGAAGGGAAGTTCGGCGCCCAAGTGGTTCGATTATCTGTTGGCTGGATGGAAAGGAGTTCTGGATAACGAGGGGCACGCGCAGTTCGGAATGAGCATCCTTCTCGCGGGTGACATTCCCCCGTCCTCCGGCCTTTCCTCAAGCTCCTCATTGGTCTGCGCTTCTGCCCTTGCCACTCTCTCGTTGATTGTCAAGGATCCATTCGGACATATCTCGAAGTTCGCTCTACCGTAGCCCACGTATCATATCATTTTCCGGTTTTTCCAGGGAGGACTTTGCACATTTGTGCGCCAAAAGTGAGCCGCTCATTGGAACTCTCAGCGGTGGAATGGATCAGGCGGCCGAAGTGCTGGCATCCGAGGGATCCGCTCTCCGAATCGATTTCAATCCACTTCGCTCGAAAAACATTGCACTTCCGGAGGACGCCGTCTTCGTCGTTGTTCACTCGAACACAGAACTGAACAAGGCCGCGACGACGCATTACAACGAAAGAGTCATCGAGGGAAGGATCGTTGCGCAGATTCTCAAAACAAAGTTCTCGATTGATACTGAAAGTTTCCGACTGAAAGAGGTGCAGCGACTGAGCCGCAAATCGTTCGAGGAGATTCTGGAGGTCGTTGAGACGTTGCCCGAGAAGGCGAGCAAAGCGGAAGTGGTTGAGCTGATCGGAGCCGACAGACTGGAGGAGTGTCTCACCGAAAACACGCGTTCGTGTGAGTAATCCTCAATTTTCCTGTCACCTCCCTCTTCTCTTTCAGTCACTCAATTCAAATTGCGGTCTCGCGCGCGCCACGTCTTCAGCGAAGCGCTTCGCGTCGAGCAATTTGAGACGGCGTGCGAGCAGAAAGACATTCACGAAATGGGTCGACTGATGAATGACAGCCATCGGAGCTGTGCGCTGGATTACGAGTGCAGTTGTCGGCAGCTCGACGACATTTGCCAGCTGTATTTGGAGCACGGAGCACTCGGAGCTCGTCTCACAGGCGCCGGCTGGGGAGGATGTGCTGTCGTGCTTTTTGCTGCCTCCGATGTCCGAAAAGCCGCCACACTGCCGTCTTTGTTCGTGTCGAAGCCGGCACAGGGAATCCAAGTTCAACGCTATTGAGTTCAACGTGTTTACACAGAAGTTTATAATCTGGGTCGTGGTGTGCGTATCTATGAAAATAGTTAAAATGAGACAGCAAATAAATTATATATGTAAAAACTGGGATGACAAGTGGGACAGAAAAAGTGGAAAAGTGAAAATTACTCAAGAAATGCGAAAATGAAAACTATGTCGTCGCAACGAACAATGGAGCATTTTAGAATAGTAATGGCTGATTATGAGAAAATGGAGACTCTAGAATCGTCCCTGAGTGGCCTGATTGAAAGCAGCTCCGGCGGCAGCTTGAGTGGCGGCCGAGGCGGCTCTCTGCACTCCCGAATCCGACATGACTCCGTTGGTGAACTCCTGACGAGCCTTGTCGATCGAGAATCCAGCACCACGGTACAGGCGGTGCACTCTGACGAGGGCGGTGATCATTCCGACGAGAGCAACGGTGAAAGTGATGGCCGAGATGAGCATGAGAAGAGCAACGGGCACCGAGACTGAAAGTTACAGAATTCAGTTATAAAAACAATACGAGAGCGACATACCACTGAAGGTGTCAAGAGCATTGATCCATCCACAAGCATACGAGGAAAGTCCAAGAGTTTGTACGAAGGTAAAAATGCAGTGGAAGAAAAGAACGAAAAAGAAAACCATGAAGTTGAACGAGGAGTCGTTGCGGAACGCCTTGTACACCGGTCGGAACCAGAAGAGGAACGAGCACGGCGAAAAGAGAGCCAGCTGAATGCCAGCAAGAAAGAGCTGTCCGACGGATCCATGCGCGAAGATCATGAAGAACAGCGAGGCGACGACGTTGACAACGAGAGCGAGCACGTAGACAAGGAACACGTAGTAGGCAAATGTGACCGTCTTCTGGAATTGCACTGGAATTTCCACTTCGATGTCCTGATAGAAGCACGGCTCGATTGGGATGATCGTGGGGAGCGGCGGCCAGTTGTGAGGACGTGGCGCATTATTTGCGGCGCCTGTGTTCACTGAAAACAGACTTCTGTTGAGATTAGTCGGAAGGATGAGCTGACTCACAGTTGTTGGTATTCCTCTGTCTTCTATCCAACTCCTCTTCCCTCATTCGCAGTTCCTGAGCTCTTCGCTCGAGATCTTGCTGCTTTCGAAACAGCTCATCGTCCATCCCCGCCGATTTGTTGCCAAAGCCGCTGGCAGCAGCCGCGGGCTGAAAGATTCAATGATTCCTTATTGATTAAAAGCGGGAAAAAGAAAAGGAAAATGGGCGATGACGTTGTTTTAAGGGAGAGAGCTCTCAGAGTCCGTGTGTCTCTTTTTCGCCTTTTTTCTTCTGCTGTCGCTCCTTCTTCGATTAATCAATGCGTTGCAGCGAGTGTGCCCTGGGGGCTTCATGAAACATGGGCGCAGAAACCCACGAAAAAAGGAGAAGAAGAAGGCAAACCTGATGCGCGGTTGGCTGAGCATTTGATGAGCCGGCTCGGTTGGCAAACGGATTGAAGTCCTCATTGAGATTGCTGCTGCCGCCACTGGAAGCTGGTGGAGCGGGTTTCGCTGGAGGGGGCGCCTGAAAATACGAAGCAATAGACTGGGAGAAACAACAACAAATAAGAAAAAATAAATCTGAAAAGCAAGAAGAAAACTTACGGCAAACGGATCGGCGAACGGGTTGTCTGACATGATTGGTCGTCTTTTTATTTGTTACCCTGGAATTTACAAAAATTGTTTTGTTTTTGTTTTCGCCTTGTAGACTCAAGATACAACTCAAGGAGAAATGGCCGAAAAAGGGAAAAGAACAAAAATATTTTCGCGCGTGAATAAGTCGCGCACGTCATAGGGTCAATCTGAAAAAATGTGCGAAAAGGTTCGGATGAATTCAAGTATTAAACGGAGCGAAAGAGAAAGGGAACAAAGCAGTGTATTGCAAAAGTGGGGAAAGAATTATCAACAGAGAGGATTGCGAAATAAACAAATACGTATTGAAGGTTCGGGACAATGAGTCAGGCAGAATAACAATGCAGTCGATATCTTATCTTGTATTCAAATTCGTAGTCTGATAACGGTCCTCTACGAACTACAACTGCTTCTGTGCTCTCTGACTTATCACAGGGACTACGAAAATTGGCGCTCCAAAAATCAGCGATGTCTCTGTCTTTGTTTAGCTCGAACTTGAGCAATCCCCACTTTCCGGGGAAAAAAAAAAACAATTGAGAAACTAGAAAACATTATTCGAGCCGACAAAAAAAAGCTCTTAATCCTTCAAATTCATTTCAAAACAAGCACTGGCTCGTGAAATTCGTTTGATCTTTTCTCGCCCTTTCCGAGGCTCACACTTTTCGAGCGCATGCCCTTTGGCGTCACAATGTCTTAACAAATTGCCAGTTGGCGTTCGCTCCGAATGGGTCTCGGGACGAACGCGGAGAGAGAGACATAAGAAGAGGAATTGAAAGAAACGGCGACGGCGGACATGCGTCAAAGTGGCGAGAGTGCCGGGCCGCAGACGCAGAAGCCGTAGTCTCTGTAGTCTCTGCGCTCTCTGCGCGGCTGTCGGCGCCCTACTCTGTTCGCGCGCTCTCTCGCCACTCAGATTCTGCTGCCGTGAGCGCTCGCACACACATACCTTCCCCATCGGCCCGCTTCCCCCGCGCCGCCGCCGACGACCATTCGTGTCGTTTTTCCTTTTTAAGCACCCAATTAATATTTGTCTGTCTCGCTGTGGCGCGCCTCCGCTCCTCTCGCTCTCTCGCTTCCTGCCCGTTGCCACTCAATCGATACTAGATGCAATAATATCGAATTACCCCCTCCCGTGTTTCCTGTCGACCCGCGCCCCGACCGTCACACGTCGTCTGCCTCCTGCTGATATTCTTTCTACTTCTCATGAAGATATTATGGGAAAGCGACTGGCAAGGAGCCAAGATCGAGCAGTCTATCACCCATCTGGCGTGGATCCAGAATGCCGAACGACCCGATCACGGACTCCTTGGCGTCGGCACTGATACTGGCTCTGTCGGCGTCACGTTAACCGATCTGAAACCGACAGCCGATGATCTGACTCGCTACAACTTCAATCTTCGTGGACATCACAATGCAATCCGAATGGTCACCTGGAACAAGAGTCAGTCAAAGTTGGCGTCCTGTGACGCATCAGGAATTATCTACGTGTGGGTGCGCAACGATGATCGGTGGTCTGTGGAATTGGTCAATGATCGAGGTGTCAAAGTAAGCGATCTGAGCTGGAGTCCCTGCGGCGGATCCGCGCTAATTTGCTACGAAGACAACTTTGTGCTGATCGGAAGTGCGAGCGGACAACGCGTCTGGAGTAACTCATTCCCGGCCGCCGCTTCTGTGACCTGTGGAGTGTGGGCCCCGGATTCGAAACAACTCGTGCTTGGATTCTCTACCGGAACGATCCAAGTCCTCTCAAGCCAAGGCGCGAACATCACCGAGAGGAGTTTCACAGAGGACAAGCTCGCCCAGATGGCATTCTCACCGGTGCGTGAGAAAACGAACGAATGGACACTTGCCATGTTAACTGCTAGTAATAAGGTCATAATGATCACTGCTTACGACCAAATCAACTCTGCCGTCTACCGTTCCCCATTCCAAGTCATCCGGATGCAGTGGAACTCCGACGGAACTATTCTCGGCATTATCAATTCGAACAACGAGCTCGTCATGGTCGATATCCACTGCCGTGTTATTCATCGCGAGCGGATTGCGACTGCCGCCGACGGGGATAAGAAGCTTACTGCGTTCACGTGGGCTCACAACGGCAATGTAGTGATTATCGCCGCGGCCGGCTCTTTATCCGTCGGACGCATTTTGTTCGGAGTGCCCTCGCTTTTCGAAATTGTCACCTACAATGTGTGGCGCATGATGGGAAGCAATGCGAAGAAAGTCGAAAAGCTTCCGATTCCCGTCAAGGAGATGAATGCGTTGCGAGAGCTCGATCACCACGTCATCAGGGTGAGCGCGAGTTTTTATAATCCCTTCCGAAAATCTCGTTAATCTTTTTTCTTTTCAGTGCCGGATTCCACGAACCCAGGAATTATGCTCGTTTGTGTGTAGTGTCGTCGAGGCGCGCTGTTACTGCACTATTCGGCCGTTGGCACGTGGAAGTAACACGTACGTGCTGTGCTTCGAGCATCTGGGCGGGCTCGTTCCGCTTCTGGTCGGACGCCAAGTCAACCGATTCCTGCCGCAATTCCAAATCTTCCTCTTTCAAAACAATCAGCAAGCGGCCGCAGTCGCCGGATCTTCAGCTCAAGTTGGTCAGTACCGTACCGCTGATTATTTTATCAATCCATCACTTTCTATTTCAGAAGATGTCAACTCTATGGTTCGACACTCTAACGGTCGCAATTCTCTGTGGCGCCGCAGTAAACGACAGATAAGGGCGCTGATGTCCAAGTACGTTGACCCTTGTTTCCACAAAAAAAAAACTTAGTTGTTGGGATCAATAAATAACCGGTTTCCCGTTGTCAAAAGAGACGGAGAGTGATGATGTCTGTCATCATGACGGTTTGCAGGCATGTGCGTCCGACACGACCCGACACCAGGCTGTTACAAGTGTCCTCGAATGTTTGGTGTACCAAATTCAACATCTCGTCACTCTCGCCATCGCTTTTGCCTTCGTTCCTCGGACAAGTCGTCTACAAGACATCTGTGCTCCACCTGCAGCCACGACAAATGACGATAGATCTGGCGGTGTTGCAAAGAAAGGACGGGAAAGAACTTTCGGAGGCTTCTAGCTCGCGAATCGACTCGAATACTCACATTGGGCTCAATTCAGATCAGGGGCTAACTTCGGAAGAGCGACAGTTTTTCGAGAAGGTTCTTGCCGAGTGCCTTTCTCTGAAAGCCGCCATCAACTCTTCAAACTTTGGAAAGCCAAAACCCATCTGTCAGCCATCCACTTCTAAGGCACCAGAACAAGTACCAGTACCAGCTGCGGCTCCGACGGTTCCAACTGTTGCCAAGGTTCCGACGTCGAATCAAACCACTCCAGTAAGCTGCCGAACGGTCGAGTCTCGGTTGGACGTGACGAGTATGGCGAGCTCGGTGAGCACGTGGCACGAGGAGATTGAAACTCTCGCGTTCATCGACGGAGACGACGAAAAGACGATGTTAGTGCAGCCGGTGAAGGGCGGTGGAATGTTGGATATGGCAAGTAAGAAGGACGCCGAAATGATACGCTCTCATGTTGACAAATTGGCCAGTATTGCCGAGCAGCTATCGAAAAGACACGGAGATTTTAATGTGGTCAGTTGAATCGCCGACTAGAAATATTAATGGCAACAGTATTTTAGAAAAAAGACAAAGCGTCGATTAACAAAATGCGATCGCAAATGAAGACGCTTTTGCGACGAGTGAACGAAATCGAGGAGAAGGTGGCGAACGGTGATGTGAAGACTGAAGTGCGTCAGTTGTTGAGCACGCTGGAGGAGATGAAGAAGGCGTTGGGCGAGGGAATGGCGAAGAGCGGAAGAAACGAGTCGCCGTTCAAGACGGAAACAATGTCGAACAAAACGCCCTTCTGGAACGAGCATAATCAAGTGTATCAGCTGGATTTCGGGGGCAGAGTAACGCAGGAGTCGGCCAAGAACTTCCAGGTATTCAGTTCACAAATTTCTTTCAAAGACGAAACCTCCTCACATTCTAGATCGAGTTGGATGACAAGCAGGTTCTGCAATTCGGCAGAATTGAAGGCGGCTCATACACTCTCGACTTCCGGTACCCGTTTTCCGCGTCACAGGCTTTCGCCGTCGCTCTCGCCAGCATAACTCAACGTCTCAAATGAGCGTCTCTCGCTATCCCTTTGAACTATCTACCTGAACGAGTTTTACCCAGTTATCATCTATCATAAATACAACGAAAAAAGTGACCGATGTAGGTACAGCAGCAGCAGCAATGTCTCCATTTCCTTTCCAGTATAATACGTTTCATTGTGTCTGTGATTCGAATCCCTTCCGCCTCCGAATTGTATACTTCATTCACACCCGCTAGTTGCCTTCTAATCCTCCTCATAGCTACTAACCACTTCTCTCTCTCTCTCTCTCTATCTCTATCTCTCTCTTTCTCTCCTCCCTATCCCCCCGATCGTTCTTGTCATCGAATGCTACATGTCCAAACCAATCACTGATAATACACACACACAATGTAATGCGTTTTTAATAATAAAAAAAACACACACACACACACACATCAATACAAAATCTATTGCGATAATGATGAACATGCCGGTGATATAGATATCATTGATTTCGAGGCGGTCGCCGATTCGCCGCTCTGAACGTGTTCGATCCAGGCGCGAGTGATTCCGACCCGTTTTCCCAGAAAGTCTTCCACTTTGTCCCACATTTCTCGCTCGCAGAATATGCCCTGAAATCCACGTGGCAAATGCGGTCGATCGCCGCAAAATTCACCTGATGGCTGGCGTTCTTGAGCAAATGGAGCTCACAGTCCGGAATAGTCGCTTTCAACTTCTCGCCGTGCTCGTGTCCCACAATATAGTCGCGTTCACCGTGACAAATCAGCGTCGGCGACGTGATTCCTTTCGACTTTTCGAGGCTCGGAAACATGTCGAACCACGGGCGGACGACGGACGGGCGGCGACACGCGATGCGGAAGAACGAGGTGAATGGAGCGATCAGCACGAGCGCCGCCACCTGCGATTCAGAATTCAAAGACAGAACACACACGTTCTCTCTCGTGCATAGTTGCCACGGGCCGGGCCGGGCCGGGCCGGGCCGAAATTGCCAAAACTCCGGCCCGGCCCGGTTCAAAAAGCGGGAATTAAAAATTTGAATTATTGATCGCATGAAGCCATTTTTTGTAGAATTAGGGGTTTTTTGCAAGCATCGAACATTGAAAAACAAATGTATTTCTCATAAAAAATTCATAATAGCAAAAAAAACAAAGAAGAAACACTAAAACTTTAGTTCGAAAATTTTTTTTGTAATCACGAAAAAAATTCCGCGAAAATTTGAATTCCCGCCTTTTCAACCGGGCCGACCGGGCCGGCACTTCACCGACCCGGCCCGGCCCGCATGGCCGGCCCGAAATCTGGCAAGTCTGCTCTCGTGATCAAGTACCTTGAACTGCTCGGCCACGTGCACCATCGCCGCCGTTCCCAAACTGAATCCGATGAGAATGATCTTCTCCGGCGGGTATCCCAGCTTCTCGATCGCATACTTTGTAACCGCGTCGATTGCCGCGTACACATTCTTCTCGTTGGTCGTTCCCTCACTGACACCGTATCCCGGGTAGTCGAAGATCAGAAGATCGCACTGAAGGAAGTCGGCAATGTCGGCAAAGTTCGGATCCATCATGAGACAGCATCCGAGGTCGGACGAGTTGGGTTGCGAAAAGATTATGAGGTTTGGCGAGCGGGTTCTGGAAGGAAAGAAAGAGAGGGATAGTTTCAAACGGATCCTGGATCTAACTTTCTGTGATTGCGATTCTTGTCTCTGTGAAGCCACCGAATCGACTGTTCACAATACATTTCCATCACACAAATGCTGTGCTTCTCGTTGTAGGGCAACGTGAACACTTTGCATCTGAGCAGATGGTAGAAGACGTCGATGGCTCTCACCTTTGGCTTGATCATTTGCGGAAGACAAATCGTGAGATGATCGTAATCCTTCGCTTCGCTCGCTTTGAAAATTGCCTTCCGAGTGTTGCCTTTGACGGCGATCAGGTAGTAATACCGTCCTCTTTGTGGACAACAAAATACCAGCTTTCTGAACATTCTCGCCGGGACGGGCGGCAGGAAAATGTAGAAGAAGGAGACGACGACGAAGAGAACTTTGCAGACGATCGACCAGAATTGGCAGCTGCTCATCGGAGCATCTCTCCAGAGCTTCGAGTCGTGCGCGGGGCACGCGACACGTCTTGCCACGTTCAGACAGACTGCCGACTGAAGATTCGAGACAATGTTCGCGTAGTCTTCTGGAGCCACCGTGGCCGACATCTGAAAGCGAAGAGAACGCCAGAGCTTTCCAGGTGCATCTTCTTCTGCTCACACTGTTCTCGCCGAGCTGGTAGGTGCTCGCAGTGACGTGGAGTTCGGAGCACACTCCCGCCGTTTTCCGTTCATGCCTGTGCATAATCTTTTTGTGCTCTTGCTCTCAAAACTCCACTGCTCACTTGGTTTGAGTTTTGAAGTTTTTCACTCTTGGATAAATCATTCTCTTCTTCACTTTTAGAAATAAACCATTTTCGTTTTCCACGCATTCAGCCCTCGTTAGAGTGACGTGTCGATACGATAATCGACGAAATATCGGCTCGATTATCGAAGGGGATGATCGACAAAAGTAATGTCGACCAACAAAAAAAAGCGCGGACTGTGGATAATGGGGCTATTGTTTATTTTCCGTTTTTTTCGTTTTTTTACATCGCTGAATTCACGGTCTCCAGAGCTGACAATATGGGCGTGGCAACGGTCAAATGGCGTTTTCATGAATTGAGCAGGTTTTCTCTGATTTTAGTGGTCAAAGGCGATGAAAAATGATTGTTCGTCATGAAAACACACTAATTCTCAGAATTAATGACGTTTTGGCGCATTGTTCGCGGACTTTTCTTTTTCGCCTTCGCCGCCGATCGCCGCCGATCGCCGCCTAAAAACCACACTTCTCATTTTGCGCTTTCTTGACCGTTTTCAGACAGAATTGGTTTTGAGAATGATAAATCACGTAAATACAAGCATTTTGCGCGCTCGAACCGCGAAAATTACCGAAAAGCAACTGAAATTCACGCAGTTTTAGCCCAAAATCTTCAAACAGATAAATATGCTTTGCGACTTGATCAAATTTAACGCTTAAAAAATTCGTAATGGCCTATACAATCGGTCTATCGAGAGACAAATGAGAAATTATCGGTTTTTCGTAGCTAATCTGGCAAAAAACACAAAATTTGCTGTTAAAATTTGAACTTTGCGCCAATGTATCGCTCTATTGGGCGGGACGCACTTGCGCCCATTGTCAGCTCTGCAGACCGTGGAATTGGATTTTTTGACGTAAAAAAAACGAAAAAAACGGAAAACAATCATTTTTTTCACAGCCTGAATAACCCCATAAGTGATCTATCGACAAAACTTGTATAATATTTAATGTCGAACCGGGAATCCGTGTGCAACCTTCTCAGAACTTCCGATACGGACTACTACGCGGCAAATTGAAGGAGTTTATTATGAAATGAAAACGATATTTATAAATATTCAAAGAGATCAAATAATACTTGGAATGCTTAAATTCTAAGATGAAAAGTACGCCTTTTCGACTCTTACGTGAAAATTCAAATGAGTTTATTGAGTTGTTTTGAGTTGGGATATTAGAAATGACTCTTCCAGTGAGAAATGAATCGAAGAAAAGCGTTAACACTTGGTGCAGTGTCGGTCAAAGATTTTTCATGCGGAACCTTAGTGCACGAACATATCCCGACGATTCAGTCACATTACACCTAAGACTATTAACCTTTTTGCAGAAAACGAGAGAAAGGGTGCAAGTAATCATCGACACCAATGTCAGAACTCGCAGATAAATTGATGCTCACACAGTTGGCCATAGTCACCGGTCTCTCGTTCATTCCGCTCGGCTGGCCCGCACGACATCAGTTTCCTCGACTTTTATCGACTTTTCGACAAACTCTCAAGTCGACACGTCACTCTAGACCTCGTATCAAACTCCCCCGAAATTCCCGTTCGGCCTCCCATCCGCGTGAGCGAGAGAGTGTGCCGAAGCAGGAGACGCAGGCGGCATTTCGGACTGTCGTATCTACTTTGTTGTTTCTCTTCTTTAAATTCGCTATTTTCGCTGCTGATTAAATAAAAATTCTGCTTTTTGCTTAAATTTGTAACGTTTTTCGGTTCTACACGTCTTTTTAAAACTAAAATCTATAATTTAAGGGTGATGGATCAAGATTCACTGGATTTGAATGGGCTGTCTCGGAGCTTCACCAGAAATTCTGTATTAATTTCTCGTAAGTTTTTATTTAACGATCAGTTCCTCTCTGAAAATCTATTTTTCAGATGCGGGTGTAGATCAATCATTTTCGGTCTATCAACACGCGCTAACTTCACACTTTTCCCGAAATCCTTCAGTTTGGAAAATGTACGTGTTTTTTTTACGTAAAATTAAATGAAAATAATTTTTTATAGAAACAACAAACCATTCCCTCATCGGCTAACATTTCCTCTGAAATTTGTGCCCTACGAGGAGAAGCTCTGTTTCGGACCGCAAATATCACCGACGGAAATTACAAAAATCGCCTACTTGCACATTTTCAACATAAATGTGACGTCCGCCGATGATTATCGAGCCAATGTGCGACACAACGTTTCCGATTGGTTTGCAAAGGTTTCGAGCAATTTTAGAGGTCCATATTTAAACAAAGAAAAACGGTTTTCAGTTGAATTCGAAACCAGATGTTCAGTGGATAATTGTGATCAACACAACTCGGGCGAAAGATCGAAAAACAAAGACCGCGATTATGGAAAAAATAAAAACGGACTTTGCCAAGTATATTGGACGACTGTTCGAGCTGCCCGACACTTCTGATCAAACTGCTTTCGTCGCTTTCGTCCAGGGAATTCAACAGTTCCTGTTCACTCATCTGAATTTAGTCATGGAAATCTGGGATAAGTCACTGAAGACGGCGTACGAACGAAGGAAGCAGCACAGTTGGGAGCCATTCGCCTACTTCTCCTCCATGACAGAGTACGGCAGAATGTTCTGGAGCTTCGGAGCCATCGAATACTGCATCTCGATTTTCGACGATCTGGAGCAGCTTCTTCACGACTTTGTGCTCCGATCTGCCGAGCCCGACTCTCCGAAATGGCTTGCTCAGATGCTCAACACTAAAGTTGAGGATCGCCCGAGTGTTCTCGGCAACTTTTCTGTGCAACGACTGCAGAAGAAAGAAGCACATTACTTGGGAATGAGGAATTATTTGCTCTGTCAGCAGATTGTCATGGCCGTTCATCTCTATCAACACAAGATGAAATCGAACGACGCCGCGCCTTCCCTGAGATCCGATTGTGCCGTGGACATTCTGAAGAGAGCGCTGATCACAATTGAGGCGGTGAAGGAGTTCAATAGTCTGATGAACGTGAGGTCACATAATTCTGTTATTTCTAACGTTTTAATTTTCAGAATAAGCGTGACGTGGCAATTACCTGTTGTTGGACGTGGTGGACTGTCAGTGAATCCATTCAAATCTGCCAGCTGCTATGCGACATCTCTCATCTGAACATCGCTCCGATTGTCCTTTCCCGTCTGCAATTGGCTCGATTCGATGCTCTTTACGTGCTCGCGAAGCAGATGAAACTGAATCCGGATGACGCCGAACAACTGGGAGAATGGCTCGAACTTCAAAAGAGTTCGGAGTCGAAAGTTCTGAAGAATGTGCTTGGATCGACGGAACAGATGTGTGTTGAGATCGAGAAGGCGCATGACGTCTGTGTGAGCGCTCTGCATCACTCGAATCGTCACAGATTCGTTCTGCACATCAACTACAAACTATTTTCCTACTTGAAAAGTGTCAATGCCAAGTGTCCGCATCAAAAGATCGCGATCGGACGACAAGTTCTTAAGACGATGCCTGCTCAGCCGACCACCGCTAATTTACTGAAGAATCTGTGCTCGGAGCTCATTAATTCGGATTCAATGTCCGACGAGATCCTCTCCTTGATCTTCTTCATTTCCCAATGTGAACAGGGGAAAGATGATGAAATTAACGGAAAATTCCTGAAAAGGTGTGAAGAAAGAGCCGAGAAGCCACTTGATCTACGCTCGATCTGCGACGAAGAGCTGTTCAAAGTGCAAATTGAAAATTTTGAAGCGGTGCAAACGACGGATTCTACTCTAGAAGTACGGTGTATTCTTGATTCAAAGCTCGGATTCGCTCTGAAGAACGCGAAAGCTCGCTTGCACTTCTCTGGAGACCCAGCCAGTTCTGTGGCTCAAGCACCCGACTTGTCAGTGCTCTCGTTGCAATATGAGGTAACATTTGGCTCGAAAACGTATGGACACTTCTTTGTTTTATTTTCAGAAGAAGGAGAACGTGTGTCGTCTGGTGTCCGAGTTGAAGCTGAAGAATCAAAGTCAGCAGTCGGCAAACGAAGAAAATGAGCAGAAATTGGTAGTTGAGAGTGAAGAAATTGTCGTGGAGGTCGGAGAGAATCAAATTGTATGACAAAATCAAGAAATCAGAAAATAGTCATGACTATTTTCAGAATTTCAAAGCTCCAATCACAAAAATCGGTTGTTTTGTCCTCGAGAAAGTTTCCATTTCCACTGATTCTCTATTCTTTGACACTCCGCACGTGATCACCCGCAGGCCGCCCGCTCTGTACTGTATTTCCACACCGCATTCGGTCTCTGCGCTGAATGATTCTCAACGTGAGTGCTTCCGAAGCGCAGTCCTTCTAGAGCCTGTACACACTTTCAGATTTCTACGCAGGAGTCATGCAGGATCTGGAGATTGAGGTGGAGGCGATGTGTCCGATCGCCCACGAGACCACCCTGGAAATCGAGGCCAGCACCGAGAAATTTCAGTTTTTGAAGGACGGCGAATGGGGAAATGATCTTCAGTTGGCGCTCAGACCGTTTGAATCGTTGGAGACGCGGGTGATTCACGTGCAAATCTGGCTAAAGATCGACTCGAGCATCTGCGAGTCGGCATCCGTGCAAAAACGATCGGTAAGACTCGGAGTTATCAGCTCAGCACGGAAGAGGAGAGGCGCGTAGTCTGTTATAGTTAAACTGATAACGTTCAATGCTCCGCTTTATTTGGAAGAAATTGTGACACGTAGGGACGGATATGACTAATTGAGCAGGTGGACTATACACAAAATTGCCAGACAGCGGTGGCGAACAGCTTAGGATAGCTCGACTTGTGCCATCACACACGCGATTTCCTCGTGGACAGTGTTTCCCGCGTTGTAGTTGTACATACGGATCTCGAGTTGGTATGGTTTCTGAAGCACTTTATCGGGTGGTCTAGGCGATACGGTAACTTACATAGGCGGCGAGCAAGTTTATGATGGCCGAGAACTGGCTGAGATCCAGCGGTAGGATCAGGAAAAGCGGTCCAGAAGTGAGTGGGCAGTTGTGGGCGAATTGGCATCCGTCGATTCCGTTGAGAAGTCCGAAAGTCGGAATGGAATTCCAGGAACAGTCTCCAGACCATCCGGCCTTGTACTGATAAATCTTTACGTTGACCTCGTTGTCATCGATTTGCTCTCCGTGATTGTAGGTGGTCAGATTGAGAATGAACTCCTGACGAGGGTCGATCGGGTACAGCGGCTGACCGTTCTTGTCCAGCGTCTGAATGTCGGTGATGGAGAACTGCTCATTTTCGGAGCACATGTACGAGTGGATCTGCTTGTCGGTTCCATTCGGGAACGGGCAGTCGGCCAGATTCTGGATCGGCGAGGCAGTAAAGGAGGCGAAAAGGGCAGATGAGAAAAGGAGGAAAGCACTGGTGGAGGCCAACATTTCTGCGGATTGAGCTGAGAATGCTCTTCCGTCTACCGCTTTTATAGTAGCTCCCTCTGATTCGTCGGAATCACACCATTCCTAGACACGCCTCTCTTCTTCCACATTCTTTATCAACATAACTTTATGCGTCGCATAAGTTAGCGGGGAACAAGGCTTCGTTATCAGCGTGTGACGTGGAGATTGCAAGCGTCGTTTGATCGGCGCGCACAATTGTTTTCTGAACAGAGGGAGTCAGTTAGTCACTCGCAATTAAAAGAGCACAACTCGGTCTGCACTGAACATAAACACAAACTACGAGTGACGTTTCAGCTTCTCGTCAAATGGATGAATCGACGGTACAATATCGCTTTGAATTTCGTGCCGGTCATGGTGATTACGAGCAAGACATCTATGCTCACTACAGAGTATGTTGAGAATTTTTGGAATAGTTGAATCTAGATCGACTCTTTCAGTATCCTTCTAGAAGTGGAAGTCAACCGTGCTGCCGGCGCCAACATTGTCACTATTCTGAAGAACGCCACGTTGACAACAGAGCCGTTGTACGAGGACTCGGAGCCCCTAACGGCCGCCGCGCTGACACGTTTCCCGATCGAAAGTCGTCTTCTGAGCATTGTGAACATGGTCTGGAAGCTTCCGACGAAAGGATCGCTGGTTAAACATCATCTTCATCTGGAGTACACTGTCAAAAACGAGGCGCCGGAGCTGGTGTACACGTTCGACGACCTCGTCGAGCTGACGGTTCCTGTTGTTCAATTCGAAATCTGCTCGCAAATATTGTCCCATCAGCCGGGCGCTCAATTGTGTCGAGCGACCTCGCCTTGCCATTTTGTCATTTCCATTCGCTATTTAAAAGAGATGCCATGTACACTTTTAGTGGTTTTGGAGGCCGACGATCGGATGTGGATACTCGGCGAAAGGACCAAAGGTTCGTTTTCAGAAGCTTGTCGAGTTGTACTAATGTCGCATTAGTATTTTCAGTGGTGCAAGTGAAGGATAGTGGTCTGGGTCAGCTGGTTTTGACGATAACTCCAGTCGTCGCCGGCTATTTACCATTCCCGAGCGTCTCGATTTACGAGTGTCAAGTCGTGGTAAGTGCTCACATAGTTAGCGAAAAGTGATGATTTCCATTTTGCGTCTGATGTTGGCTGCATAGTTTCGATGATAAGAGAGTTGTGTGTGTGTGTGTGTGTGCGATGTGTTATCATAAAAAATATGATGAAAAACGGGACGGAGCCAACTATTTTGCAGTCTGAATCGGTCATCCCTGGATCCGAGCTTCTGTTCTTCAACCGAACAGCGGGGAAGCAAATCCGAGTGCTGTCGCCGAACAACTCGGACAATAACAACTTTGGAAAAGACGAGTCGAGAGGATCCAATCGGATTGCCAGAAAAATTGGCAAACTTTTTGATTAGGAATAGTTTTAAAAATGTGTATTTATTTTTGCATAATATGTACAACTTTTCAAGTACGCTACGGTCATTCTACATTGCATTTGTGATACACTTTGTGAAGAATTTCAACACGTTTTATCTGTTTGTAAATAATGAAAGAGGATTTATTTGACTTTTCCGGACGATGATTTTTGAACATTGCTCTTTGTGATCAATCGGAAATACTTTTGCTCTGTCCTCTTGCTTTTGCTATCCAAAATTTGCAGAGTTTCATGGTCACTTGACGGCTTCAGAAGATCTTCGGAAAGATGCGAACAAAGCAAGTGTGGCTTCTCGTGCTGACGGTGGCCGTACTGCTCATATTCTACCTGCTCGTCACGTCGTCGTCCGACGAGTCCGGCTACACGCACTACGAAAGTGGAACCAACCCGAGAGCCTCGCGCAAGTTTCGCAATGTGATTGTGCATCTGGATCTGAAGGGAGCTCCGCCACGTGTCGAATATCTGGAGCAGTTTTTCGCATTGCTCTCCAGACATTTCGTGGATGGAGTCCTCATTGAGTACGAGGATATGTTTCCGTATTCTGGGGAGATTGAGCCGATTCGGAGGGACGTTCATTACTCGGTAGCGGATATTCGGAGGATTCTGGCGGCCGCCGAAAAAAATAATTTGGAAGTGATTCCGTTGATTCAGAGCTTTGGCCACCTGGAGTTTGTTCTGAAACGCCCTCACTTTATGCAACTCAGCGAGGATCTGATTGATGTAATCCTGATAAATCGTCTAACATTTACAAACTAGTCGAATTTCAGCTCAACACAATTTGCATTTCCGACGAGAAATCCATCGAAATCGTTCAGCAAATGATCCTTCAAATACGTGAACTTCATCCCAACGCCACGCGAATTCACATCGGAGCCGACGAAGCGTACCACGTGGCAGAGGATAAGCGGTGCACGGATCGGATGGAAAAGGAGAAGATCGGAAGGTCGCAGCTCAAAATGAATCACATTGCACGCATCGGAAAGTTTGCAAGAGGGGCGGGCTTTAAAACGGTCTTCGCGTGGAACGACATGTTCGACAAGGAATCTGAGGACTCCATTCGAGAGGCGAAAGTGCACGAATACATAGTTCCGGTTGTGTGGGGGTACCGGACAGACGTCACAGAGCCCGGCTACTTCCCCGACGGACTGTTCGATCGGATTGCCGACGTGTTCGACGAGTTCTACGTGGCAAGTGCGTACAAAGGCGCCGACGGGTCCCGCCAGCAGTTCTCGAACATTTCTCGCTATCTGGAAGTGCAGAAGAGCTATGTGAAGCTGATGGATCTTCATCCGAATGCCGGCAAGAAAGTGGAAGGGATCTTCGTGACGGGCTGGAGCAGATACAATCATTTCAATGTGCTCTGCGAACTGCTCCCGGTAGCCGTGCCCTCTCTCATCGTCGACTTGACGTTTCTCAACTATCAGTTGGGCTCGAGCAGATCCTGGAAGGCGATGAAGGAGAGTCTCCGATGTGGAGACAAGCATTATCTGCGGGGGATTCAGATCGAATGGGCCATCCACGATTGCTCGTTTCCCGGAGCGAACGCTTTCGAAATTGTGATGAATGACTGGAAGAATCTGGTGGATCGTCGGATTTTCGGTAAAAACGGGATGCGGTCGACATCGGCGGAAGCCGTTACAGTACTCAATCGTCTCAAAAACGCTCTGAAAGACGTACTGTACAAGAACGACATCGAGGAAGTGTATAATCAGTACCTGCAAGACTTCCACTCGATACAGACTAGTTCGGATGTGGACGGGAGTACTGTAGCCGAGAAGAACACTCTGTCGAGATAATAACAACGGTTTTTGTAATATTAATAAGAATGATATTGATTTTGCATAATTTTCATGGCCATTATTTCGCATTCACTTTGTATTTGCTCACGGGTTGACTGATGTACTCATAATAAATGAGGTTGTCATCGTAAATGCTTTACGGATTTCTCGTTTTTTTTTGTTGGTTTTTCATCCCCATTTTATTTTTGTAAAGATCTGTCTGCAAAATTTCAATGAAAAATAATTCTACTTAGAATCAGAGCAAGATGAAGAAGCGGGAGAAGGAGGACGAAGAAGGACTTCTCAACAGAAAGTCCCTTTCGGCAGGATCCTCGTCAGTGTTAATAGGAGGTGAGAGCTTCGCAGAATTTGAAAATTTCAATTGAATAATTCAGAACACGATTCCGATTCGGAAGACGTCACCACATTCGCAGACACGCCGTTCTCCCCATGGCCGCACGTCTTCAACCTCGCCAACTGCATCATCGGCGTCTCCGTTCTGGCGATGCCCTACGTCTTCCAGCAGTGCGGAATCCTGCTCGCCGCCGTCATGATCGCGATTTGCGCGGTGCTCACAAAGCTCACCTGCCATTTTTTGGCGCAGGCGGCCTTCAACACGCGGACAATGTCCTACGAGAGTCTCGCAATGGCGACGTTAGGCCCTTCCGGACGGCGATTCGTCGAGTTCTGTCTTCTGGTATTCCTCGTCTCCTCGATCGTCGCATTCATCGTAGTCATCGGAGACATTGGACCGCATCTAGTGGCCGAATTTCTGCAGCTCGAGGCTCCGACCCAACGACTGAGGATACTCGTCATGGTCGTCGTCGTCGTGTTCATAGTGCTCCCGCTCTCGTTTATTGATGATCTCAAGAAGTTCTCGATCATCAGCTCGCTCGCGTGCCTTTTCTATTTCGTATTCGTCGGACGGATGATGATCGAATCGCTGCCGACGATCTATCAGGGCGAGTGGAGTATCCACGTGGTCTGGTGGCGACCGCAGGGATTCCTCACGTGTCTTCCGATCGTCTGTATGGCAATGTGTTGTCAGACGCAACTGTTCCCCGTCATTTCGTGCATTAAAGACGCGACGACGGATCGCGTCGACTACGTCGTCTCGCAGTCGATCAACATTTGTGCGGGCATGTACGCCGCCGTCGGCGTCTTCGGCTACGTGGCATTCTACTCGCACGAACTTCATGGAGACGTGCTCGTGCAGTTCCCGCCGACAGTCGTGACGCAGTCGATGAAGCTCGCCTTCCTGCTCTCCATCGCCGTCTCGATTCCACTGATGATGTTCCCCGCAAGGACGGCACTCTTCTGCTTGATTCTCAGAGATGTGCACAAAGAATTGTATTTGCTTAACTTTTAAACAACAATTTTTCAGAAGGACAGTGTCGCACATACCGTCGACTTGGAGAAGTTCACCTTCCACATTCTCACCGCCATCATCCTCATCGTCAACACAGTTCTGGCGATTCTGACGCCGAACGTCGAGTTCATTCTCGGTCTGACCGGCGCGTTCATCGGAAGCCTCGTCTCCACAATCCTCCCCTCCACCATCTACATCGCCAATCAAGCGAACGAGACTCAGAACCGAGCCAGAAAGGTCGGAGCAACCACGTCGACCGCGCGATTGTGTCTGATCATCGGATTGTTCATTCTGGTGGCCAGCACGTGCGCGATTCTGATGGCCGAAAAGAAGACGTCGGTTGTGGAGCGACCGAAGGCCAAGGACGATTCCGGAGAGGACGAGCCGGTGCTGAAGTCGTTGGAGAGTCTCGAAGAGAAGGTGTTGGATGCGAATCTGAACATTTCTGCGGTAAAAAAGTTCGCAACGACTCTTTTTTCAATCGCTTTTTGTAGAAACTGGATGATATATCAGAGTTGGCGGCAAAAGGAAACGACACGGAAGCAGTGAGGATGCTGGTGGAGATGAAGGAACAGCAGAAGATTCAGCAACAGTTGATAGAGCGGCAAGAGCAGATTATGGCTCAATTGAACAAGAAAACAGAGTCATTAGGTATTGAAGTTGTCGAAAATTCAAAAGTTATTAGGTAAGTTCTAATTTCAGCAAATTCGACGGTAGAAGAAACTGCTCCAGCAGCCACTCCAGAAGCCGTTCCAGTTGCAGCTGCCTAGAAAAAGGATCTCACGATGGGTCGGGTAATATACAAAGTATTTATTTATTTATTCGTTATCTAAACTTCCCTGTGCTCAAAGCAAATGTGACGGAAATTTATATAAATTGTTTATTATTATAATGAAGCGTTTCGATGTGAACGGGTTGGAATGATAAAGCGTCTGTAACCTGAGAAAATCATCGTTGGCTGAAGTGCTGAAGAGAAAGAATGCAACTGACTTTGTGGAGTGACATGGGATATGTGACACAGAAGTTGGAAATGAAAGAGTTTCGGAGTGAAGGCCGTGGAACGTTTTGGTTTGTTTCGATGAAAATCTAGAAAAAGGAACCCGGGACGACAATGTGTGTTGGGAGGAGATTTTGCGGGAGGAGATAAGTAGGAGTGAAATTAGAACAAACTATCTACAAATTCGGAATAAAATACTATTACTATGTGTTCGCTTTCGATGTGTCCGTGGGTGTGTACTTTGGCGGCTGCACCGGAATCGTCGACACCAGAGCTTGATCGTAACTTGGTGGAGGTCCCATTCGGTTGGACTCGTTTCCGCCCAAAACAATGGGCTCAACACCACCTAAAGCACAGTGAATATTAGTGACACTGAAAGGTTTTGGTAGCTTACCAATCATAGAAGGGTTGAAAGTCGGGATGGTGTCGAGTCGAACGACGTACTGCTGCGTGAGACGTTGCGGATACGCGGCGGCAACTCTTCTCGGTGCTCCGTGCTCCGTTGCGATCAGGTCATCAGCCGATGAGGATCTGTGAGCAGTACGGTGGGTAGAAGCGACTCGCCGACCAGCAGCGTCTCGAGAACCGGAAGTGGAACGAGTAGCATGGGGTCCTTGGGCCGGACATCGGCTGCCATTCCGTCTTCTATTGGCACGATTCCTGCTGAACCAGTTCGAAGAGCAAACGAAAACAACGATGATCAAGACGCCAATGCAAATGATCATCATGACCCATCCCGAGGAAAGAAGGAACCTCTCGCAGAACGTTCCGCCGTGGAAGCGGGCGGTCGAGCAGTCGCAGTTCCACGTTCCGTTCCCGTACGTTCTCAGCGAACCGTTGTTCTCGCACTGGATCTTTTCGCAGTGCGCGCCGAGAATGTGCTCCGGGAAGGGACACTTGCACACGTAGTGCACATTCGGCACGAGCACTTTTTCGAGTTTTCCTCCGTTGATGCACTGCTTCGTCTCGCATTCTTTTCCTCGGAAAAATTTGGGGCAAATGCACGTGTTCTCCTCCGTCTTGTGTCCTCCGTTGCGACACGTCACACCGAATCCCAGGTACGAGGCGGTATCGTGCACTTTTTTAATAATAAAATCGTGTAATCCTGCAAATTAAATTCTTGTTTCAACTGTTTGACCGAATCTGAAGTTATACCTGGTTTCGCTGCTTTAGGGTCAGTTTTCTGAAGGACCACCACCGGCAGGAAGAGGATGACTGCCGCCAAACATGAAGCGAACTTCATATTTGGTCGGGCGCTAGCTCTCTACCTTGAAAATCAAACATTTTCGATTAGAAAAGAAGACATTTACAATTGAAGGTATAAAATGGCGACAAACCAGTGAAAAAATAAAAGAACAACTATCGATATTTTGAAAGAAAATCTTGAACGCTTCATTATTCAATTATCACAATAAGCAGAAAAGTATTCGCTGTGCTCGGACCCGTCTAAAAAGCGACCCGTTTTGATGGAAAAATGGCTAAAAGTGTTTCAAATTAAGCATATAAATAACTACATATTAGTTGCTCATATTATGATGACTCATTCGATCATCAACGCATCGTTATCACATGTGAACGAAAACAAGAGTAGATCGTATGCAAAAACAAGATTGAGGACAACTGAGGAAACGACCCCTCTAGTGCGGCGGTAGCAGGGCGGAATGTGAGTCCGATTGGCGACGAAGATGCGCGTGTGGTGAGTCAGCGCTCTTGGTGACGAGCGGCGAGAGCAACGAAAGTTGCTCTTCACGTTCTTTCATCAGCAAACGGACGCCTGCAAAGTTGACATGCTCTTTATGAAATAAAGGTCATGAGAGCCAGGCAATGTTATCATTCCTCAGCCAATCGGCAGCCTGCCGCACAAACAAAAACACACCGTCACTTCCTCCAAACTTGTTCCGTCGTCGCTTTGACCCAGAGTTGTTCGGCATGATCTTCTGTCCGAATTGATAGAAAGAGGCGATGACGCCACGTGGAGCTGCCGTGTCCGGTTCGTCGGCTAGCGAATCGTACTCGGCGGACAGTCTGGAGTGATTTATTCCCGATAAATAAACGAATCGGAACCCCTTTTATTGGAAACGGATCACTCACATTTTCAGGAATTGGTTGAGAAGTGATCTCAGCTCCATCACTTGTTCCACGTCGAACTTTTCCGGACGGAATCTCGCAGATTCTTGGAGGAACGCTATCCGATGGATGACATTAATCGGGATCGACGGCACTTTTTCTCGGATTCGTTTCAAGTAGCAGTACGTGGATTCGTCCGCATACCGATGAACGGCTCCTTCTATTCTGCTAAGTTGTCCGTCTGGAATATGGAATTTGAAAAACGTTATAATCGTAAGTGAGCATTACCGATTTCCAGCGTCACCTCGTCCACTGCAATCATCCGGTGCACATACGGCTTCTCACTGTCTGAATTAAAGATTATTAGGAACAGAACACGGATTGACACGAATAGGGGAAGACAGACAGTTCATATAGGAAAGGATAACACAGAACGTTAGTCATCATGCAACAGAAAAGTGATTGGAACAAAGGCGGAACTGATCGGACAACGTGCGAGCTTCGGACTGACGGAATTGAAGAGATATGCAGTCGGTAAGACGTGCTCGATTTTCGCTTCGGAAACGGTGGACTGCGTCGAGCTGGGTTGTCCGCAGAAGCTGTGCTTTCTTCGACGACATTCGAGACTTTAGAGCCACCTGAAAATCACTGCGTGCCCTTACTGTGAAAGGAAAACTACTCACTTGAGGGGGAACTCTTGCCACGTTGTGACGATGCCTCCAGATCTGTCGTTGTCCGATTATTACGACCCATATTAATATCTGAAAATTTACATTTTCCGATTATACGAATTAGAAGCTTTACCAAGGCTACAATAGCACAAACATATATTACACTGGTCCCATCAAAGATGAATATCCGCATGGAGATGGAAAATTGGAAATTCCGGCCCGGAAAAGCTGTGAATTTCCGAGAAATCGATGGCGATTAGTGCAATTGTTCCGTTGGCCACGCCCACCGCAATACCACGGCGCGCACTTTCGCAACTCGCCGGCACGCAGTTGGGCCGACCGCTGTAATCCTTTGCGACTGGTCTCTTGCAGTCAGTTGACGCCATTCCAACCTTTTTTCGGTTCCTTTTTCTCACCGACATTGCGAAATGAGTTTTAACGACGCTTTTCATGGTAAGTTATTGATTGTAACCTAAAAATATGTTTTTAAGTTTGTCTCTTCACGAAACGTTCGTTTCAGATTACATAAATGACATACCGATGAATATGAGCCGAAAGTTCTATCCGACGCCCAATATCAGTGTGGATTTGATACAAATTCCCGACAGGATACAGTTCTCCAAGTTTGAGGTCACAAAACATGCCAGAGAATATTTATTTATTCTTGAAATTGATATTTTAGTACACATTCGAGGCGGAGAGTCGAGCCCGCGAGCAATTTGATAAACAAAATGAGCCAATCGTCCTCGAGTCAACTTCCTCGGGCACGTCGTCATCGGGCACTGCCACTCATTCAGAAGCCGTTCCCACAAGATCAGCCCAATCGGATTCTGGAGCGCTTTTCAATGTTTTGTCGCAAGATGTGCTCGTCCCGTGCCCGGTGAACTCGGCGCCAGTGATGTCCATGAAGCCGCTGACGCCGAATACAGTGTCCCTTCCTCACTCACTGCACGAATTCGAATCGATCAACAATGTGTTCGATGATGTTCACATTTCGGCGCTGGACGATAGAAAAGTGTTGCAAGAGGTAAGAAACTGAATTCTTGTTAACAAATTACGTTTATTTGACAGGTTCTAATGAGTACGGCACCAAACACTAAATCGAGCAGTTCCTCTCCGCTTTTCTTCAACAATTCCATCAACAATAATCCGGAGAAGGCAGAAAGTGTGCCCCCACAGCCGCCGCAGCACCAACTAAAGCCAAGAAAAGAAAAGAACAGGGATCACGAAGATCTGAGAAAGCGGCTGCTGACGAAAGGATACCGTCAGGATATTGTGGAGATAGCGCTGGATGGCTTACCGAAAAGCAGACTGGTTCACATCGAGTATTACATGAAAGCGTGTCGGACTATCGAAAAGACCGGAAGATCCAGCGTCGACGAATTTTTGCCATTTCTGGTTCGGTGTAACCTGACAGATAAAAACGTAAAAAAACAAAAAACCCTCTGAACATATCAAAGATTGTTTGATTTCAGGCCATTCTCGCCTACTCAGAAGTCAGCGCCAATCTTCTGAAGATGGGATTCGACAAAGATCAGACGTTCGAAGCGGTTGTCGCCGAGCAGGGCGACCAGACAAGAGTGCTCAACAGGCTTCTTCCCAATTCATAGCCCTTTACCCCCTCTAGTTTATTCACTTCTTTCATCTCTACATCCCGTTGTACCGTGTATCACTTTATTGACTGTCTGTGATAAGAACCGATTTCTATTGCATTTCTCCGATTTTTCACATGCTCTTGTATTCTAAATATCCTTCCATACTTCTAGAATGTTCTGACCTTTTCAGTGGCATATGTTCAGCGACCGAAATGACGAGCTAATTAGCACCTTCAAGTGGGCTTCTGAATCCGAAACACAATTATCCATGGCGGGTAAAAGAGGCGACGACGACAACGCGCGGACAAAACGATGTCCCAGCTGCGAGTGACGGCCATTGTAATCGGCGGGGTGGCCTCTCTCCCGCTCTCCCGTCTTTCTTCTTTCGCTGGCCTGTTGTCTGCGTCCTCGCTCGCAGTACGGCCTTGTTGTCCCTCCGCTCGCACCCTTTTCCCCACCCAGACCACCCTCAGTTCCATGTGTATTCCGTCGGAGTACTGATAATTCTCGCAAAGAAATGCGTCGCTTCCTACTTCTTCTTTCGCTTTTATTCGTCGATTGTCTCGGGTCGATAAGTGCAGGTAAGCTTCTACTTTTTGTCGCCTTCTCGTGGAGGTCTTGTGTACTCGTACGAGTTACTGAACCTAGAAATCAATACTAATACTATTTGCCCATCGAATCAAAGGCGCCGAGAAGATTATCATAATATCTGTTTGACCGGACGTGTATTTGCTTTCAGACAACACGTTCAAGGACCGGAATATTGGCGAGTTCCGCGAACTTCTCATCGACACAAAAGCCGGCGCGCTTTTTGTCGGATCCGAAGGCGCCGTCTTCCGGTTATGGGCGTACAACGTGAACGACACCGGCGAGAATGTGTTCGCGAAAAAGCAATTGGTGCTCAGCGACTCCGAAGAGTCGGAGTGTCGTTCCACGGCGAGCGATGAGCGTCTGTGTCGCCCGTCGACCCGATTCCTCGCGTTCACCAACAACCTCGACTCGATCTACGTTTGCTCTTCTGTCGGAATGCGTCCGGAAATCCGTGTATTGGACTCGGTTTCTCTCCAAGACCAACAAGAACCGAGAACCGAAATAGGAATCTGTGTGGTTGACCCGACTTTTAACTCGACTGCAGTCGTCGTCGATAACGGAAATCCGGAAGACGCGGTGTCGGTGTACTCGGGCATCCGAACGGGTATGGGCGGTGAGAACCATCTCATCTACCGACCGCCGTTGACGAAGGCAGGAAAGCAGTTGCACGCAAGCATCCGGACCATCTACTCTGACAACAAATGGCTCAACGAGCCCCAATTCGTCGGCTCCTTTGATGTCGGTCAACACGTTCTGTTCTTCTTCCGCGAAATTGCGCATGACAACTCGTTCGGCGAGCGGATCGTGCACAGTCGTGTCGCGAGAGTGTGCAAAAAGGATATCGGCGGCAGAAATGTCCTTCGGCAGGTGTGGACTTCTTTCGTGAAGGCCAGACTCAACTGCTCGGTTTCTGCCAACTTCCCCTTCTATTTCGATCATATTCGTGAGTCATCTAGCGTTTTCTCGATTCATAAACAGTGTGAACTATTTCAGAATCTGTGAAGCGAGTCGATAAGCACGGCGAGACGTTCTTCTACGCCACCTTCAGTACTTCTGAGACGGCGTTCACGTCTTCGGCCATTTGCATGTTCCAACTCTCCTCCATCAATCATCTTCTGGACACTGGACTTCTGATGGAGGAGACTGCGAACGGTCAGTTCTCCGTGACAGCCGAAGAGATTCCAGCACACCGCCCGGGAACTTGTTCCTCGAACTCTCACAGCATTTCGGATACCGACCTTCATTTCGCCAAAACCCATCTTCTGGTCGCTGATTCCGTTTCTGGAGGCTCTCCAATCCTGTCGCTCCGCGACTTTGTCTACACTCACATCGTCGTCGACGTCCTTCAGAATCAGAACGTCATCTTTGCGTTTGACAGTGCGAGACGGCAAATGTGGAAGGTTTCGCATTGGAAAGAAGGAAACGAATGGAAGTGGAATCTCATTGAGCAGCAGAAACTTTCCGTCGACTCTAAGATCAATGACGTGGCTCTTCTGCCCTCGGAATTCTTCTTTGCATCTTCTAAATCCGGAGTGTCGCAGTTCTCAGTCGCCAGATGCGAGTACCTCCCGTCCTGCGCCCTCTGCTCTCTTGATCCCTACTGTAGCTGGAATGCGGTCAACTCGAAGTGTGCTCTTAAAACGAAAACACACGAGAAGTCGGTCGGATGGATAAGTGGATCATGGGCGGGACGCATCTCTCCGGAATGTAGTGCCGTCGAGAAGTTGACCGTGAAGGACGTATACCTCGGCGACGGAATCAAACTGGACGGAGCCAGAGACGGCACGTGGCAGAAGGACGGAGTGGAAGTCGAGAGTTCCGGGCGGCACATTATCACTTCTCAGGGAGAACTCATAATTCTCGACGTTATGTCTTCCGATTCGGGCACCTATGAATGCGTCAGAAGGAACACGATAGTGATGCGATCCAGAATTGCTGTTCATGGTAAGCACACACTATTTTCCCATTTTCTTCAGCTCAAAGTCAACCTCTTCCAGAAAACTGTGCCCGCCCCACAAGTGTGTCCGAATATCGTTCGTGCCAACGAGAATGGTGCAAGAAGGCGGACGCCTACAAAGCCGCTCTCAACATCTGGAGCGATGGAAACAAGAAAAATGTACAGTGCAAGGCAAACCAATCGAAAGTGCTGTAGAAAGAATTCTAATTTATTATTTTCACCAATTTGTGTCTTAGACGATCTCAATTCACTTCGATACTTCTAAATACGTTTGATTTCTTCTTTAAAATGTGCAAATACTTGAATGAATTGTAAGTTTGAAATGATGAATTAAATTTAATTTTCTTAGCCTAATTCGTTGAGTCGTTCCAGTTTTATTTCGGAAACATTATACGAAAAATTCTAATTTTGAAAAGACGCGGTGTCAATCTCATACGACGCTCCGCAATAACGTGCCGGTTGTTGTTTAGCGGACACAAAATCGTTCGATTTTCTCCTAATTTTCTCATTTTTCTTAGCAAATCTGTTAATTTCAAGCATATTTAAACTTTTTATTCCATTCGGAATTGTTTAGTTCTTCTTTCTTTTAATTCCACCCGATTACACGTCGATTCAATAGTAAATATGCAATGCTTCAGGTAAAAATGTCAACATTCGACTTGACGCAGCGCATGGCGCCATTTCTCGATCTGCATTTGATCATCCCGCTTCTTGAGTTTATCGAGCCAAGAGGAGTGAGTCAATTTATTAATGTTTCCTTCAAAAAAGTGGAAATTTTCAGATCTACGATGAGAAATCCTTGACGGAAATGCATCGTCAGCTTTTGAGCAAAACGAACATGATCGATAGTGTCATTGAGACCTACAACGTAATTAGAAGGCAAAAAGTTGTTAATATTAGCAGCTCTTCTTTCAGGGAAAGGCAATTCCAGCTGCTATTGAAGCCAAGAAGAAGCAGATCATCAAGGAGAGAGATGAGCTGAAGGGAAAGGTTGACACCGTTGTCGCTATTCTGGAGATTCCAGAGGTCAAGGAGATGATGGATAACAACAGGGAAAGAGACGGAAACGTAAGAATCCTGGAGCATCTGACCCAGAACCACAACGTAAGTTTGAAAAGAAATCAAACGATCTTGATCTCAGCGTTTTGATTCCAGTTCACCGTTGACATGGTTGATACTCTGTTCAAGTACAGCAAGTTCATGTATGAGTGCGGAAACTACACGGTCGCCTCCGTGTGTCTCTACTACTACCGCAACCTGGTCAATCAGGCCGATCCGAACTATCTGAACGCCTTGTACGGAAAGTTGGCCAGTGAGATTCTTCTCCAGGAGTGGGAGCACGCTCGTGACGACCTGCTCAAGCTGAGAGCTTACATCGACGCCAATCCATTCGACACCGAGTGGGAGCTTGTCACTCAACGCGCCTGGCTCATGCATTGGGCTCTTTTCGTGTACTACAATTACCCGAAAGGACGTGACGAGATCATTGAGATGTTCCTTAATCAGCAGCCGTACTTAAATGCTATCCAAGTCCTTGCTCCTCATCTTCTTCGTTATCTTGCCGTCGCCGTTGTGACGAGCAAGAGCCGTCAGAAGAACAGCTTGAAGGACCTCGTCAAGGTCATCGATATCGTAAGTTCAAAACATACAAAATTTAGTCATCTAGAATTGTTCGTTTTCAGGAGAGACACAGCTACAAAGATCCGGTCACCGATTTCCTGACATGTCTCTACATCAAATACGATTTCGACGAGGCTCAGGAGATGCTCCAAAAATGCGAGGAAGTGCTTTCCAACGACTTCTTCCTGACCGCTGTTCTCAACGATTTCCGCGAGTCCGCACGTCTTCTCATATTCGAAATGTTCTGCCGCATCCATCAATGCATCACCATCGAAATGCTCGCCCGTCGGCTGAACATGAGTCAAGAGGAGGCCGAACGCTGGATTGTTGACCTAATCCGAACCTACCGCATCGAGGGAGCCAAGATTGACAGCAAACTGGGCCAGGTGGTGATGGGAGTGAAGTCGGTGAGCATCCACGAGCAAGTGATGGAGAACACGAAGCGATTGACTCTCCGCGCACAACAAATCGCTCTTCAATTGGACAAGAGCCGTCAGGACAAAGTGAAGGCCAATTAATTCGACTTTCTGATTCAGTATTTCTATGACTCCTTTCCCCTTTCCTATCGCCTTTTTAAGTCTAACAATTGAGGGGATTTTAACGGATTCGCATAATCTTCCACTCAATTATTAGACTTTTTCCCTTCAAGGGTCCTCGACTTCTGATGAGGTTTACTCGGATTCTTCTGCTCCAAAATAATCTGTCTCTAATTTCCCTGTTGTTTTCACTATTTCGTTTCTTGTTGTCTGGCGAATCTTGGCTTCTTTCGTTTTTGGAGGGGTGTTTAGGGTTTTCCTTGGTTGAAATAATATATTTCTTTTTTTTTTGTCTCTTATGTTGTTTCGAAATTGGTTTCATATCGAACATTAGTATTTTTAAGAAATCTTGACTCAATATTTCTGCAATCCGAGTTCAGCATGTCTATGCTGCGAAGACCGCTAACACAACTTGAGTTGTGCGAAGATGACATTCAGTGGATGTCGGATCTTCTAACGAAGAAGGAAGAAGCGGCGAAGCCTGCAGAAAAGATGGAAACCGACGAGCCGATGGATCAGAGTGAGCAGCCGATCGGAATAACTCGCAGAAATCTCCGCTCGGCCGATAAAAGTAAGAAAACAGCGAAATGACTGAATAAACGTTGGCAAAGCGGTTCCAGAAGCCAAAGATGGAACCGGAACGAGCAGTGGAAGCAGCACTGGATCTCAGAGCTCCAGAAATGCACAGGTGAGCACTGATCGCTTTTCGAAAGTTGACCGTGAAATGGGCGTTGTAGACACAATCCGTTGAACTTGCCCGAATGTCATTCACAGAAGTGCAGGTATAAAATGTATTTTCTGACTTCAGAATGGGTTAATTGCGTTTAGTAGCTTACGAGAGTGATGCTTTTGTCCTGTTCCCCCATTTATAGTTGTTCTTCTTCTCATGAGAACTTTGGTTTTTTCTGCAGACGACTACATCCGTGCACACGCCCGTTGCCACCTCGTCGCTCAGTCTATCGACTCCAGTGAATGCGACGGTATCATCATCCAGTGACACGTATGCGGCTCCACCGGCCAATAGAATCGGCCGTCTGGGGCGTCGTCCCCGCGCCTCAAGAGCTGGTGATATTGAGCCGCCGCTGCTGTTCAACGCGTACGATACGCCGCAGCAGCCAGCAGGTAATGACAGCGGCTCGCCGACACCTTCAGATTCTCCGGAATCACCGAACGCTCATCTTTATGGTACTGTATCGGAGAATTCTGTTCGGTTGGGCTCAGTAGCACTCTTTTCAGCCACTCCAAGCAATCCGACCAGCAGAGAAGGCCCATCGTCAAACACTCGATCTCAGAGACATTGACAAGTAGCTTCTACCATCGCATGTTCTATTTCACTAAATATTATGGTGGCATCTCATACTATCTCAAATAAATTGTACTATAACTTATACTTGTACCCTGTGAAAGTCTCTAAACTCTTACTGTATACATTCGGTTCAATTATTTATATTTTTCTGTGGAAGTTCGACCTGAAAAATTGTGATTTATTCAATAGAGGATGCACGGGTTGAAGCGAACCTTTTTGATCAGAACAGTCGTCCGCAGCAAAGCGACGACAGCTTCGGCCGACGTGCCACAGCCCTCTTCCGCCGCCGCCGCCGACGTGGAAGCCGTAGCCAAAAAAGAAGAAAAAGTGGCGAACGCGTCGACCGTCTACAGGCCGCCGTATTATCGGAAACCGCACCAACATCACGAAGCACAGCACATTCTCCAGGAGGAGTTTGTGAACGCGGGCGATGCTTCTGGCGCCGGCGTCCGACTGTTCGACTACTACAAAACGGCGGAGATGGTCAACTCGATGCCGACGATCAAAGAGAAGATCGATGTGGTGTCGCCGTACGAGCGGCCGTGGACACGTGCCGAGAAGACGTGGCGACGGGACTGGCATCCGTCTCTGATGGCCACTCGCAAAGCGTGGGGAATTCCGCCCACGCCTGCACACTTTGACACCCTGGATTACTATAAATATCTGACAAAGATGAGGGTGGAGAATCAGTCGTTGGACGAATTCTATCACGGATTGAGACCGCCGACCGCTGATCTGGATAAACATTTCACAAACACACTGAGATCCATGAAGTTTGAGAATGGTCTCCAATTCGACGACGATCAGACTCAAAAGCTGTTGGGCAGTCTGTTGGACGACGCGATGGGTGCGATTGCTCACAACGTGGCCAGATTGTCGGAGCATCGTGTCGCGTATGACGTGGAAAGCGAGGCATTCTGGGTACGAAGTGGCTTCATGTTTCTGTACGACGAAGAGGAGGTCGGAACGCGCGATGTGAAGCGACGACTCAACAACTTTCCCAAATTTATCGGGGACGACAGAAGAAAACTGGGCGAGCTGGCGTTTGTGCATCGCGATAAACTGGCCGCCCAAGTTAGATCGAAAGAACCGCCGGCACCACTTCACTCGTTGGATTCGGAAGACGCAAAACTTCCGATATTCGACAAGAGCAACAATTTGGAGGAGACCCTCTACTCGCCGAAGGTCTACAATCTGTGGCCGGATCAGCAGCCGCTCTGGCAGTGTCCCGGATATCATGCGGATTCCGGAGAGACGCACACTTACGGAGTGCTCGCAGTGAAATCGCTGCGACCGCTCCGAGAACGTGTCGCCCATTGGCTGGGATGGGAGAAGGCGGATGAGCTGGAGATCAGCGAGGAAGCCAGTGAGTTTGATAAATCAGAAAGCTCACGTTTCCCACGTTTTTGCAGAACAAATGCTCGACGACGGAGCCCGCTCTCAGGCTATAATTAGCATGTTCAGCTCGTTGTGCGCGCAGGCTCACACGCACGGCTTCACTCAGTTCACGGATGTGACGCGCCCGTTCTCTTCGCAAATGATCCTCTCCGACGGCATTAACTTCTATTTCGCCGTCGGCCAACTGAACACGCTGGCGATCAATGTGGAGTGCGATGGATTCGTGAATCCGCGAACCAACTATATTCGCATCGACGGACCACACCGACTCTTCGAACTTTTCGACGACGGAGAGTACCTGAGCATCGAGGAGGAGAAGAATTTGGAGACAAAGATCGATGTGAGCAATATTTTAAAATTCTGGAAAAAATTTGAAAATGTTTCAGAAAAAAGTGAAGGTCGGACTGAACGAGAAGGTGCTCGAGCGAGTGCTGCAGATGCTCATGAAACAGTAGATATCTCAATTTTATTGTAGCGCTAGGTTCCTTGTTTTCTCTTTTTTGTTATTTAATTGATGAATAAACAGTTTGTTCCCACTTTTACTCATGCTTCGTCGTTCCAAGCTGGAATTTTCCGCATTATTCTCTATTACCTAGCATTTTTCATGATTTAAGTGCTGTTAATCACACTCGAATTGCGAGAGCGGAATTCGAGTGTGATTAAGGGCTCCACGTGAAAAAAATAAAACGTAAAAAAAAATATTAAAAATAAATGTTATTTCGCCTTCTTCTAGACGAGATCCCAAGGCCACTTATGCAATGGCTACGGCTCTACGGGCCCATAATTTTGCTCACCATCACACTGATAATGTACAATGAGTCATTCATCTTCTACGACGCATTCCGCAAGTGCAACTGGCCATGCGAGAGCGGAAAGTGGGTCAAACGCTCCTGATTGAGAATTTTCGAAAAAAAAAGTCATTTAAACTGTGTTCAGATGTTCGGAATCGAGTCTGAAGGCGTTCATGATCTCGGATACGCATTTGCTCGGCGAACGGAAAGGGCATTGGCTGGACAAACTGAAGCGAGAATGGCAAATGGCGCAGGCGTTCCGCATTTCCACGTACACGCTCAGTCCGGACATTGTCTTCTTTCTGGGCGATTTGATGGACGAGGGACAATGGGCAGGAGTCCAACTGTTCGGGAAGTACGCCGAACGATTCCGAGAGCTGTTCGGCAATAAGACACGCATTGTAACACTCGCTGGAAATCACGATCTCGGATTTCACTACGCGTGAGTTTAATTTGGTCTCGAAACGATTTGACTTGACAGCTAGGAGTGGTATAGAACTGCGCAAAACAGTTTTCAATTTCAGAATAATGCCAGACACTCTGGACATGTTCGCGAAAGAGTTTGGTCGCGGACTCATCGACGAGATCGTCGTGAAAGGCCAGCGATTCGTGCTAATCAACTCGATGGCGATGCACGGAGACGGCTGCTCACTTTGCCACGAAGCAGAGATGCAGTTGGAGGACATCAAACGGAGGAATCTATCGGACCGCCCGATCGTTCTTCAGCACTTTCCGCTCTTTCGAACAAGCGATGCGGAGTGCGAAAAAGTGGACGATCAGCACGAAATCGACCGAGCAGAGCGGTATCGAGAGCAATGGGAGACCCTCTCCGAACAGTCTACTCAGAAGCTCATCAGCTCTCTGAAGCCGTTAGCGGTCTTCGGAGGACACACTCATAAAATGTGCAAGAAACGGTGGAGACGGCTGGACGGTCCCGCGTTTTACGAGTACACCGTCAACTCGTTTTCCTGGAGAAATGGAGACGTGCCGGGCATCTTTTTGGTTGTCGTCGACGGCGAAAAAGTACATTTTGATGACTTCGATGACTTTTGGCAATCGCAATTCTCTGTTTTCAGGTAATGGTAAATAGTTGTCGGCTACCATCGGAATCTTTACAAATAACCATGTACATCTGCGGCTTCGCCCTCATCTTTGTGATTGCAATTTTTGTGACATTGAAATACAGAACATCTCACTCATGTATTAAAAAACGAAGTATTTCTAGTCTCATTTTGATGTATAACTCTAGAAGCTCGAAGAATTCTGTTCAAAAGCACAAATAAAACTTACCCCGATTTAAAGGCACATGTCTATGTTGAGCGCAAGTGGTCCCGCCACGATTACAGTAACAAGCCAACGCGCTTTGCGCGGGCTGTTTACAGCTGGCTAAATCAGGTCAAATTGCTCAAATTTTCCATGTTTCGCTCTATTCGACGATGAATCAACGTATTTTTGGCTTACTAATTGCTAATTTACTATTTATCAACTCAGCCTGTTACGATTTGTTGAATCCCGAAGCGCGTAAGTTCAATTCTTTTGACGCTATCAAATTAAAAATTTACAGGTCCGCTCTTGGCATTTATAGTCGGCTCCGATCCCCCGTCAGAATGTCTTGTCAAATGCACGGAACCTATGAGGCGACCGCTTCTTGACCTTGTCAATCACGAGTTAACGAAAAAGTCAAAAGACAAAATTTGCCAGTGCGTTTCTGCCGATTCACCTTTAAAATTGTGCAAAATTACAGTGCTTTCAACACAACCAAAACGTGTATACTCAACAGTAACTGCTCCACTACCGATCGCGTCGTCGTGGAGAAGCTGACGTATGGATTTGCCTGGGCTTGCGGAGAACACGGATACGACCCTTTCAAATATCTTTACCCGTGTATTTACAGTCTTGGAAAAGAAATACGACGTCAAGACAGTGAGAAATCGTGAGATTTATCGAATAATTAATTGGAATTCAGGCTGTAAAGCGCAATGTAACGCGACAATAGACGGTAATAAGCTTCTGATGGCCTCCAAGTCCCCAAACCTAATCAGCCGTCTGGAGCACACCTGTGAACCACTGGCTTGTTTCCTGAACTGCACCGCCAAACAAATGAACACCTACTGCCCAACCAGCGGCTCCCGTTTTATCGTAACACTGTCTTTTTCCTCTGGATACCATACTAACTTCCATCATCTTCCAGCATGTTATTGTCAGCGCTTTCGACGAGCTGGGCGACGAATACATGCGGACAACGCAGACCGAACAGACGTCCATCATGCAGAATGTGCCAAAGAAATGTGCAATCTTTTTTGACGAGAAGGAAATGGAAAAGTTACGTTTCGATGAGCTGTTCATCTCCGATCTCTTCTTTATGATCACGTCCAGAAAGCAGAGGTCACGACAATCTGCCGTGCTTGAAGCAGATCGGATTGTGATGGATGTATGCTCAGATCAAGGTATCCAAGCTCATCAATCATTTACACGATTTTAGTTGGTTGAACGGATGCAAGTAGATATGACGCCGCAAACACCGCTGGTATGGGACCTGAAAGCAGTCACCATTTGTGCTGCCATCGTCGTCATCATGGCTCTCAACGTCGTCGGTCTAATTTTCACCGTCTGGTGGTGTCTGACAAGCCGAGATGAAGACGGAACGGAGAACAGTCGGAGCAGTATGGCGCTGAATCAGTTTGTCGAGCCCAACATTCGGATGAAGTTGAAGTTGCCGAAGCTAAAACCGGACGCCCTTCGCGACAGCGAACAGGATGTCCTCGAGTTGAGAGTTCCGAGGAACGGAAACCAATTCCATCAGAATGGTGATAATGTTGCTGCGAATTGTTCGAACTTGTGCAAATTCAGACGAGCAAACCGTAGTTGTTCCCCGATTCAAACGCCGTCGCACATATTCCGTACCACTGGAACCTCGTCCACGAACCCAATCCACCGGATCCGATCGATTCCCCCAAATTGTCATTGTTCGCAGCAACGAGAACTGAACTCCTCAGTTATCGTCTTTTTCTCCCCCTCTGTCGCTTTGTCCCCAATTCAGTGTGTTTTAAGCTCGTTTATATAGAAAATGCTTCTTCCACTAAGTACTTAAACACCTTTTACATTTAAGAGCTTGTCAAATAAATTGTTTCCGACCTAGAGCTGTCATTCTCCCATTCTCATCGATTCTTGCCATTCTCACAAACCCGTTGTTCAGCGGAGCGCACTTGCGTACCTCTCCCCTTCGAACCCTTCATTCACTCACTCCTTGTGTTTCCTCGCAGAATATGACCGATTCCGGTGTCTTCGACGATCGGAGCAAGTTTGCAGTTCCGTCATGGGCGTCGAAACCACCAGATGGCGCTCATTTGGATGTATATAAGGGCGACGCTCTCATTCAGGTTTGATTATTTCTATAAATTTTGTAAAATGGTGATTTTAACAATTTCAGAAACTGTTGATTGATGACAAAAAGGCGTACTATTTTGGAAGAAACAATAAGCAGGTGCGTTCATTTTCCGACCTTCTCTACGTTATTTTCGAATTTTAGGTCGACTTTGCTGTGGAGCACGCCTCATGTTCACGAGTTCACGCCCTGCTGCTCTATCATGGGCTTTTACAACGATTCGCCCTCGTCGACATGGACAGTAGTCACGGCACATTTCTCGGAACTATCCGGCTTCGGCCCCTCGAAGTCGTATTCATCGATCCGGGCACTCAATTCCATTTGGGTGCCTCCACTCGACGGTATGCCGTTCGTCTAAAGGCCGAGCACCACGTGGAGGACGATCCGGCAGTGGCGGCATCCGAAGAGCAGTTAGATGTAAGCCCATTTTTTGCAGAATTCAGTATTTCAACTATGATTTTCAGCACCAAACCACTTATAACACGGCTCAAAACCGACGTATCCCACAGCTGCCAATTTCGCTGGAAGAGGCTCGACGGAAAAAGCGTCCACGTGGCAACGTTGCTTTCCTCGAGGAGGAGGAGATCATTAATCCGGAAGACGTAGATCCGTCCGTCGGTAGATTTCGGAATCTCGTCACTACCGCCATTATTTCGACGAATCCGAACAAGCGGCACGGAGATGCGCTGAAGCGAGCAGAGCCGCCGAGAAAAGTTGTGCGTCCAGGGCGGGATCTGATGACGACGCCGCTTTCTTCCACTTTCGGACCGATGTCTCTGAATGCAGCTCCTGACCTGGATACGTTGTACGGTGGAAAAACGTCCGCTGAATCTCGTCACTATGTGACAGCTACTGCTGCCGAAGAGGAAGCTGATGATCATCATAAGAAGAAATACGCGAAGGAAGCGTGGCCAGGCCGCAAACCGGGCAGCATCTTTTAATGGTAATATATATGTTTTACTACTGATTGTGAATTTGATTTTAAAAACTCGAAAAAGCCGTTGTCCCATCTTTGTCTGTCTTCCTGAAACGAATTTCAATAATTTATCTAGGTTTCAAAGCTCAACAATACATAATTTAAGTTATTAGGGTGGAGTATCTAGCATCTCGGCCTTGGGCACGAAGTTCCGTTCCGAAGATCCAGTCGCACATTGCACTCGAATTCCACAGCCACGTCATCACCGAATCGGAATGCCTTTGACATTACGCGAGCCGATAGTTTGTTATTATCGTAGCGCAAGTTCGGTAGACGGGTGGCATCCAGAGAGCATCCCTCGGAGTCGATGATCTTAGATCGTCGCTTGCTCTTTCCCTCGTTGATGACACAATCGTGAACCCGCATACAGAAAAGATCTAAAATATTAAAGTCAGCATTTCTTCTGAACGTTTAGTGCTCACCAAGATTAGCTCCATCGCAAGTCCAGACGTGCTCAAGTGGAGCATTGACGTGAACCACATCGGCCGGTCGGCGAGTTCTGACATCGAACACTTCGTACTCACAACTCGGTTGATCTGCCAGCACTTGAATGTCTTTGAACAGCTGAAAACACGTTGGCTTTCATAAATAGATGAAAGATATGAAGACGTACCGACGGTTGAACAGTAAGAGCATAAGAAACGACGTCGCCAGTTGGAGCGAACAAGCAAGTTATATTGTAGGCCTAGAAATTTTCATCGTTACCGTAGGACTAGAACGAGCTCAAAGATCACGTACCCTGTCAACTTTGGTCAAAAACTTGTCGTGGAACGAGATAACGATGTTGACTGACGACGTGTATCCGGCCCCATTTCCGTGTTGAACCGTCTCCACTCCACATTTATCACGTGGCACAGTGATAGAAGTTGTACGTCTTCCGGTCTCTCGTGAAACACATTCTTTGTCTTGAGAGTGACCCAAAACGAATACTCTTCCTGAATTATTCACTTACATAATAATTGAAATCTGGTGATGAGTTTGAACTTACCCAAGAACGCGGATTCTGTCAAGAACACCGCCTCGATGGTTGTATCCGTGCATTCGACTTCGACGTTTCCTGTAAATTGTGATCCTAATCTTTCAAAGCGTTCAACTTTCTCCAACGCCGTCTTCTGCTAGTCTGAATCCCCCCCCTTTTTAGCCTATTATAGTACGTCAGCTTTTGACATTGATTAAGTGCCCAAATGACATTATCATATGACTAAGAACGATGTGAAACTTGCCTAAAAGACCGTTGGGAATAGGGATAGCGGTGGTTGATAGCGGAAGTAAAAGGGTTACCACGAAAAGCGCAAACATCGAGAACGATCGAGAGTGAATTCGAGTTTTTCAAAATCCGGGTAGAGGTTAGCCGTCTTTATAGAAGGAGGAGGGGAGACGGTAGGCGTCCAGCAAAAAAGTGGAGTGGATGGGCGGGGTCACACACCACTTCACACGACTTCAGAAAACGAGGCAGAGGCTGACGGCGATTGAGGAGAGGGCAGGAACAGGAAGCCATGCCAAAAAGACAGTTGCGCAACAACTTTACATATGTATCTGTATATATGCCGTGTGAAACGCTAAATCGTCCAGCTGCCACACAGATCTCTTCTTGCTTTCAGCGCGCGCGGGGTGAAAACGAGACTGGCCCGGCTTTCGCTTTTTTTTTGTAGAAAAACGATAAAAACAGCACGGTAGTGGTGAGTGAGACAGATTTGTATAGGTGTCACGGGAACAGTTTTCAAAGTTTATCCATCATGGAGGCCAAGGAGAAGAACATTACAAAAAGATACAACAATTGAGGAGAACACGATGGCTATCATTGCTTCCGCTTTCTCTTCTCCTCCTTATTAGTGTTTAGAGAATCTCATGAAATCCACGAGGGTTACTGTAGATTCCGTCTTCGCCGAATCATCTGATGACCGGAAGTTGCAAAAAAGTGCGTGGGTGTTATAGTCATCTGATCTTAAGTATTTTGTAGCGAGATCCGGAAAACCAATCAGCCGCTCTCGGTCGTCTGTACTTTTTTGAATAGAATCTCAAGTAGCACTCGTACGATAATAGTTCCTTCGGATCCGAATTCTGCAAATGACCGAACGATGTGTGAACTTTCCAGTCATCATGTTGTCGGATGGACACAGGAAATGGACGCTCAAGTATTTGTTTTTTCTTTCTCATCGTCATTTTCAGCAAAATGGAGGGAGAAGTAAACAATTTAAAATTTCTGTTCTCTGTTTAAATTTCAGAAACTTCTTTATTTTTTGGGACAATACAATTAATCTATGCATAAACGTAAAGAAAAAACAATATGGGTAACACAATTCTGATACAAAGATGGCCGTAACAAATCTCAATAGGAAAATGACATACAAATAGTAGAAAAAGAATTATGCTTGGGCGTCTCCTCCGCCCAGGAACATGTTCACTTCGTCGAGTGGAGCTCCGGTTACTTCGCAAAACTCGTTGACATCTTCACACGGAAGAACGTTCTCATCGAACTCTTCGACGAAAGAACGCGTTTTGTTGATCGTATCGGCCAAATGCTCGCGGAGCCATTGCAGGCGATCATCTCCAATTATCTGCAATCGAATTCAGTTGAAATTCCGGAATTCTGATCATAAACTGCTCACCGGAATCACTTTGTTGAAGTAGGAGTTCACGAACGCCCAGGTGAGAAGAGTGGGTCGGAAGCCTTGCCACGTGGCTTCTCCTCCGCTCGTTTCAAAGTCGTTGAGAGCCGCTCGGAGCACGTCGTTCTTCTGATCATTCCAGCTCTCGACGGTCTGATCAGTGAAGAGGAAGGTGACGAGGCGATGGGACGAAACGGAAGGTTCGAGTTCCGAGTCGGCAGGAAGATTCACTCCGAGAAGGTGGAGAATGGCCAGGTATTGCATGTTCGATTCGCGTCCTCCACCTTCCGACTGGGTTGAGAAAGATCTGAAAACATTAATGGTTTGCTGAAATATATGAAAACAACCAAATCGTACCTTTTATAGATGAATCGATCAATCAGATGACACATATCGTTGAAGACGTTATTCCTCTTGATATGACCGAGAGCCAACCCCGAAATCCTTCCGATGTCCGTCTCGAATCGATGCATCATTTCAGTCCATGCCGTACCAGGAGCCACACCGACCGCAATCGGAGTGATCACATTGCATTTGGCGCCGGCGTTGTGCAATTTGGCACGTGTCCACTCGTCGGCCGCCCTTCCAGCTCCGCCGCGAAGAGCTCCTCGGTGGCAGTCCAGATGCACCATTACCATCATTGAGACGGTTCCCGTCTTGCCGGTGTCAGGTTCGATGGCTGCGAAGGCGTAGACTCCGGCGGCTCGTTCTCCTCTGACGACGCTTTCTCGACAGATGCAGCAGCCCATCGAGTCGGTGTCCTCGAGGCTCGGCTCGTTGTGCAATGCTCGTGCGGCCACTTTGACCTCTCCGCCGATGCCCACCTTCATTCCCAACTTGTTCAACTGCTTCTGCCGATTCGCCATCGCCATTTGCTTCTTCTTTTTCTTCGTCTCGTCTCGCACCTGAGTGATCTGTTCCTTTACCTCTTCATCTTCACTCAAAGCCTCTATCACGTTCTCCGCAAGTGTTCCGATCGAATTGTCCGATGCCACTTGCTCCAGTCGGTGCATCAGTTTCAACGTCGTCTTCGCGATCTCCTTCTGTGATGCCTGATGTCCACGTGCCAGTCCTGCGAGAAGAGTCAGAATGAGTTTGAGCGACGGTCTTCCAAGGAACGCCTTCCATTCCGGTGACTCTGTCGGTTGGTACAAGTTCGGCAGATCCTTCATGAGGTACCGGCACGTTTCTGTGATTATTCCGCTGTCCAGTATCTTCTGCTTCAACTGTTTTCCTAAAGTGGAAGGCTGCAGATTCGTCGTAATCGTGGCCAATTGCTCCGTTAAAAGGATAGTTTGTTCCTTCCGCGAAACTCGATGGCGTCCCGCCGGCTGATTACTTGGGGAGTGTGGATCCGAATCGATGATCGCCCACCTCAGAATCCTTGGGTACATATCCACAAGGACCTTTTCGGAGGCGTCGGATCCAAGTACGACGTTTCCAATGTTTATGCTCATTTGATCCAGAATCAGAGCGGTTTTGCGGTGCAACTCAGTCACCGATCCTTCGTCGTGTCCGCGCTTCTCTAATAGTTTGAACCACCACATCGCGTCGGCTTCCGTGATGCCGCACAATTTATCCTGAACTCCCTTGTTCGAGACGATAAACTCGACGACTTTGTACAATTCCATTCCGATCTGAACTTTCGACTCGTTCGTCGGATCCGCACAGCACGTCCGGATCACACTCATCATCCGCTCGACGATCTGCCTCTCTACCAACTCTATCCTTCCCAGCCACGTCCTAACGATTCGATCGAAAATTTTCCGTAGTTGGGTCAACAGGAATCGTCCGGAAGACGTGCCCACATCGGCCACCATCATGTCCATCAACTTGTCGAGTCCGCCGGACCGCATCAGGCAATGGCACATCTGCTCCAGATGCTCATCGTCCTCCTCTTCTGCCACTTCTCCCTGTTGTCCGAAATTCTCGATGAACGTCTCGACGGCATCGCCTAACAGACCGCGCATCCGGTAGACAATGATCATCGGCGCTCCGTTGTTCGTCCGTTTCCAGAGTCGATCGTAGACTTCTTGGACGGGCAGAGAAAGCGAAATGATGTTTCCGTTGACGAGCAACTCCATTCCACTGTCGTCCTCGAGCAGGGCGACCATCTCGGTGTCTCGACAGATTTTGTTCTTGATGTCACGCATGAGAGGACCCATTCCAGGATCGCCAGACTGAAAAAAATATATATATATTTCGAAAAACTTCAATTTCAGCGTACATTATACGGATTCTGGCTCATTCTTCCTTGCAAAAAGTCCTCCTGTGCCACATCTTTCTCAATCTGCATCATGAACGATTCATCGAGCTCTTCTGCAGGATTCATGATCTCCATCATCACACCAACTATTATTCCCTGTAAATCGAATGAATGCGCTTCACAATTGCTTGTTCCAACTATTTTCTCACCAGCGTCGATGCATCTTTCACCAATCTGAGCGATTCCACACAGACATTCATCAGCATTGATCCGTCGCGACACGACACCCTTTTGAGCAGTTTCTCCAGAGCCATCCGCGAGGAGTCCACAGCGCGCGTCCGTCTCGTCATCATTCTTTTCAGGAAGATTGTCGAGTGAAGCAAGAAGATCAGAAGATCATCGGCGCCGGCCTTCAGCAGCACGTTCTCCACTTCGGAGCCCGATAAAAGAACGGAGAGCAACTCGACGAAGCATCTCAGACGCTCACCAAAATTGTTATCCTCCAGAAGTGAGACCGGTTGCTCGTGAAGTCGAGCGCATTCTTCGTGAATCCGTTTGATCAGGTACACATGAAACTGTTGAACGAAAAGACGAACTTTGACGTTGGCGGACGAGTCGATGATTGAGTGGGCGGCATTCATAAACTGATCACAGACCGAGGAGGAGTTGTGCGAAAGCTGATCCAGGTTTTCGCAGAGAAGAAGCAGGGCGACGGGCTCGTGGAACTGTTGACGCGAGAGTTGGCAGAGGAGAGAGTTGGCGGCTGCACGGACGGCTCGGCACTGTGAGAAGAGAGACTTTGAGATCCACTGGTAGGCATTCGAAGGAAGCGGAGCGGGCGTGGCAGTCGACGTGGACGCCGCCGAGCAGTTTTTCCATTCCTCTTCAGTTGTCAGCCAACGGACAATGCTCGACTTCGGCTCCATTTTGATCTTGCTCTTCTCCTCCAGCGGCACCGTTCTCGTCGCGTCCAAGTACTTGGTGAGCACCATGAGCACTTGCAACGAAATGTGCGAATCGTCGTAGTTTTCGACGGCCAATCGGACGAGCAGCTTCAGTTTCTGCTGCCACGTCGGATCGGCAGCGTACATGAGCGACTTGACCATAACGGAAAGGCCCATTTGGCCCGATTCAATCAGCCTCTCCACTTTCGCCGTCACATCCGTTCTTCCGTACATGAGACGGACGAGAAGTTCCTCAATCTCTTCGCGAAGCGTTTCATAAGTCTGGGCCAGCGATCCGATCCGATCGACAAACAAATCGGTTGAAAGAACGGCGTTGAGAGCGTTCTCGTCGTCTGAAGTGGACTGGATGATAGCGATTGAGTGGAGGAGCTGGTTGCACAAACATCCAAAGCACTCGACACTAGAAAGTAACCCTTTTCATGTAAGAATTATAGAATTCCTTACCTGGTCGAGTAGTAGGCCGTATCGCTGGATCTGTGGAAGACGACGGAAACATCACTGGCATTATCGTATCTGTTTAGCTCTTCGTGCAAGTGCATCAATTGTTGCGTCTGCTGACACAGCTCATTGTGCAGAACTCGAATCGAGGCCGCCAAGTTGTTCATCTGGATCGTGATGTTCTGAAACTTGAGGGTAGTTCGACTGGATCCACACGGCGAGCGGTTACCTGGAAAACCATGTGATCCACGTTGACAGATGCGGTTGAGTCGAAGAATTCGTTGACGTGATCGTTTTCCACGTGCAGTTTGTAGGAGGGCAACGGGCGGTGCTTCAGGTAGAGAGATTCACACAGGCCCTACAAATAACAATAGTTTTCGGCGCGCAAGTGAAAATAAGAAACACTAACCTTGTAGGCAGTAAGTTTCGTTTTCGTGGACTCGATTCTAATGAGCAGAAGCGACATTTCGTGTAAGCACTGTCCTCTTTCCGCATCGCACGTGATGTGTTGCGCGCCGGGAAGAGCCTTGCACATTGCCAACGCCTCGATTCTCGCGTAACGACAGTTTCCGCAGCTGGAGCAGAGGAACGGCTCTCGCGAATCGTAGTTTATCGATCGACATTTCAGACACTGGAATGCGTTCTCTCCGCAACTCTCACAGACACCCGAGTGTGTGCGGACTGGCTGATTGCAGCGGGGGCATGTGAGCAGGGTGACTCCGCGCGAGTCGGTCGCTTCTTCGAATTCGATGATCAGAGAGGAGGTGACGACCGGCACCGCGAGGGACAGTGTGATGTTGCTATCCGATTCGGCGACGTTCACGACGGCACACTTTCTCCAGAGCTCCGGATGAAGCTTCAGCTCCACCGATTCCACAGATTTGGCAGAATAGTAAAGCGAGACTCTCTTCAGAATCTTCGTCTTCTTCATTTCCGTCAGCTTCAGAATAACTTTGGAGATCTCATAGTTGGAGATGAGCTTGTAGATGATCACATTAGCCGAGTATCTCGTTTCCGCCTTGATCGACGCCATCTTCAGCGTCTCGTGACTTCCTTTCGTCGAAAAGCAAACGAGGCAAGGATTCTGATCGAATTGGATGGTTTTGTAGCTGAATCCCAACTCGTTCATCATTCGGTACGCTCCTTTGTATCCATTCGTGTCCAGTTTATTGCCAATCTTTCCGATTCTCGCCACTTCTGCTTCGGTGATCGCGACGAGCTCGGAAGAGCTGAACAGACGTGGCACATACGTGGCAATCAGATCGGTGAGTTGTGCGCCCTGAATGCCCAATCCTTCCGTCATCGGATAGATTGTGTAGTACAACTTTTTGACGAGCGCGCACTGATTCTGTCGGCTCGCCAACTGAATAACGGATCGGAGCATTCCGTGGATCGTCCATCGCAGTTGATCGTCCTTTCCGATCAGGAAGCGCTTGATGATTCGTTCGATGAACTCTCCGCCCTGCGCCTCGATGATACTGTCGGCCAGCTGAATGCTCAGTTGTCCGCCGACACTGCTATCTCTGACGGCCACAATGAGCAACTCGACGACCTGCGAAGCGACAACGTCCGTCGTGAAGCAGGCGAGACGGAGAAGCCACGCGGTGTGCGCGCTGCACACGTCTCGCCACATGTCCGGCCGGAGAAGGGCGAGTCTGGAGATCGAAACGAGCACATCGACGAGCTCAGTGAGCTGCTGATGTCCGCCGACTTGCTTGCTGACCGACAGGTACTTGGTGACGAGCTGCTGCAGCAGATCCTGCATCTTGTACTTGTCCTTCATCGTCTTGTACTTGTTCTCGTCGTTGTGACACATCGCCAGAAGCAGCTTCTTGCACTGACGGTACGCCGAGCAGCCGGTGCTCAGGGCCGCCAGTTGACACAGTCTTTGGATCCATCCATCGTCTTTGGCCTGCGTTTTTCGCTTCTCCACTTCTTGGAGGTGTTGCGGAATAAGGAGAACGAGATCGGTACAAGCGATGACGAACGCGTCGTTCGGATTGGATGGCCAGTCTGGAACGAATTGGATGAAATCATATTTCGAGACAAGAAGGGACTCACTCATAAGGATAGCATTGGGTTGATTGGCCGACGAAGAAACGAGCGGAACGTGTGGCAGCCAAACTTTTCTGTTCTCCGCCGACATTCGAGGCATCGCGAGCGGTCCTCGTTCCTTCCACTCCGGAATCACTCTTCCGAGAAGACGGAAACAGAGATCACGAATTCCGACGGCATTCAGCTCCACGACAATCCGATCAAGCATCTCCGTGTACGGCTTCTGCGCCGCATCTTTCTCCTCCATCCGTTTTTCGAGGCACACAGAGAGAAGCAGTTCAACGGATCGGAGGTAGGCGTAGTTGGTGAACGCCTCCTCGCTGAGCGGGAAGATCTTCGTCTCGTCGTACTTGATGAGTTTGAGAAGCGAAACAAACTTGTCTCCGAGCACTTTGGAGTCGCAGAGTGACAGGCAAGCGGCAAGCACTCTCGACAGATTGTAGGACGGAGAGTCGGAGATGGAAGTGACCGAGTTGCCGAACGCCTTGTCGATTTTCAGTTTTTTCTCCAGAATCTTCGAGATTAAGTTCTCCAACCACCGCGTGTCCTCCGGCACGTCCAGCTCCCCCTCTCCCAATATTCTGCGCAGCGCAGCTGTCCCCGCGTGAACGGCCACAATCCTCGGCACTCCGTAGAATGGCCCGATTCCAATGTGCTGCATTCTGATCAATGTATACGGTTTTGTTTCCAAATCTCGGATACTGTTCTCCGTCTTGATGACAAATCTGTACCTCGAGATGGTCTCCTGAACAGCCGATCGGAGGTCGTTCGCCAGATGATAGGTCTGCTCGTCGGTGAATATATTCAGGAAGCACTGAATGAGCTGCTCGCTTTCGTCGGATTTCTCCAGCAGCAGTGCGAAGACGACTTTGACGATCGCTTGAGCCATCAGTTGACATCTGTGCAGCGGCATTTTCAACATTTCATCGCGCATCAATTCCACAAATCTCGTCACCGTTCCGAACTTCTCCTTGAGCACAACCTCGAACAGCGGCCATCTGGAGCTCACCACTTCGAGCCTGTCCAACAAGCTTTCCACGTAAATCATCCGCATATCAAGGAATCCGGTCTCCTCCGTCCATCCCTCGAGATCCTTCCATTCTTGCAAATATTCTCCATCCAAAATTTTGAATAATTTTGGGTCCATCTGAGGATGACATCTGATCAGAGTTCTTCTTGCGGCCAAATGAACCAACGGATGATTGACTTTCAGATTGAGATGTCTCATCGCCTGTTCTTCCACCCATACATGGTGATTTTTATGGAGCGTCGAGAATTCCAAGACCGAATAGATGAGTTTGTTGGGGAGCGACAGCATGGGCATTCTTTCAAACATCGGCTGAACTTCGTCCATCGCGGTTCGCTCACACCCGTACAACTGGAGACACTTGATCTTCACAGTGGATTGCGTCGGGCCCGGAATCACTTCAATCGTTATATCCCGATGATCCGACGAAATCGACTCCTCTCTGGAGAGCTTCAGATCGAACACTTTCGGGGTGCGAGCGTGGAGACTGTGGCGGACGTTGTTGATCTTGACGGCCGCCGGTCCGGTGTTTCCGTCCACTTCCAATCGAACCATTCGCACGACCTGTCGGGAGTTTGTGATCCGCGCGGACAGAGTGAAGTGCGTCTTCTGAACGAGCGTCAGCGGCATGACCTCGGAGTTGGAGAGTCGATGATTGAGTTCAGCTTGCGTGTAGAACATCTCAATTTCGGGGCAGTTCCACTCGATAGTCGAGAGTGGCTCGCACTGCTCGGCCATCAGCACCTGATCGGCCGGATCCAGCGGCGTCGGTCTATTTCTCTCTTCTTCCATCTCGATCGCGAGTCGCTCTGTCGGCACATCGTCAATCCACAGATCGTGCACGTTGTCCCAGCTCGTCTCCCAAATCTCGCAGCTCGGCACTTCCGGAAACACGAGGAACGAGTAGACCGCTTGCGTTTTCGAGCTGACCATTGTGAAATAGGTGACGATGGGCTGCTTGACCTGCGTGGATTGCACGAGAAGTTTTCCGGCTGTCGGATGAATGTAGGTGATAGTGTCGGTTTTCTCGGCCGACAAACACGAAATAATGCCGGCACTCTCTCGCCAGACGTGCATCGACGTGTCGAGCTTCAGATTGTGCCAAGTGAAGTCGGAACCGGAAGAATCCGATTGGGGCGGATCTTTTGAGAGATTCGCGTAATACGTGGCATTCTCGAAGGAGGCGAAGAAGAGGTCGAAGGCGGCGGAGTAGTGAAGAGAGACGCCGTTGCCGTTGACGTCTATGCCAGGCATGTTCACCATGTTCGTCAGAAAGATTGAGTTGTTGTCGGCCGAGCAGTTCTCGATGAAATGCTCGTAGAGGTATCCGTTTGTGCAGAGGACGTAGACTCGAATGACTCCGTCGGCCATCTTCATCACAACGACGTCTTCCACGTTGCCAGTCGGCAGAACCATTTCTTCGACAAAGTTGCTCTCGTGCAGGGTCAGATCGTAGATGCGCACGTATTGAAGAGTGCACATGGCAATCAACTGAAGCCTTTTGTCTTCACAAAACTCTGCCTTGATGATCGGATTGTTCTGAATCGAATTGGCGGTTCCCGGCTCCTCGGTGAGTTTGATATGCGCTCTGTCGATGACGGTTCCTTGCGGCGAGAAGCGCATTGCGAAGATTTCGTAGCCGCCGCAAACGATCACACGATTTCCAGAGACGTAAAGACTGCGCGCGATGAATGGAATCTGTTCGGTTTCCGTGCGAAGCGAGAACAATCCTTGCAGAAGGTGCGTCCGAGTGTCCATGTAGTGAAGTTCAATGAAAGCCTGCGGCGTTTCAGCGATCATCACGAGCAGCTCCGTTCCGTTGTCCAACTTGATCACATCCGCCAGATCTCTCACTTGACGCGGGTTCCTTGTCGATGGAGGCTCCGCCCGTCTCGCCGGAATGAACTGCCCGACGTCCAATAGGCTCATAAACTTTTCGTCTTCCGACACTTCGACCTCTCTCAGATTCTGCATCGATTTCAACACTCTCTTCCGCTTCTCCGTCACTTCCAAAACCTTCCGATTTCCCTCGTCGATTTTGTCGATAATCTGCTCGAGAATCACCCTCTTCTGCGCGAACTCCTTCTCCACCGCTTCCAACGCCTTCTCCAACTGCGCGCTCTTCTCAAGCATCTCGAATTGGTACGGGAACACGTCCCTCGTCTTTGGCGCCGTTATCCTCTTGTTCGGATCCGGAAGCTGTCCTCGCAACGCGTTCATTGCGTTCGCTTGATGTCTGATTCCATTCATCGCCGAGCACTTACTAGCTCCACAATCGCAGAAGAAGGATCCACGCCGGGAGTAGGCGAGGTCGTGTCCTCGATGACAGTTGACCGCGCACACGGAGCACACTCCTTTCGTGTCGAGCAGGTTGCACGAGTAGCAGTTGTACCAGTGCTGATTGATGTACGCTGAAATAAGCCATTGAAGATCACTCGATTTACCCGCTACTCACTTCTTCCCGTCGACTTGAAAGTACAGTAGCCCATGTCCAACTCCTGTCGATGACGCAATGCCCTCCGCTGATTCTTGTCCTCTTTAAAGCGAATCTCAGACTCCAGAAGCTGGAAAGTACTGAGCGTAGTATTCGACGGCTCTTCTGGTTGTGTTGCGAACAGCGTAGAGTAAAGACGATTCGTGTAGCCGATACATTCAGTGAGAAGCGTCACGTCGCAAACGATTCGTTTCTGTTCGATCTGAATAAAAGTCAGGTAAATGGATTTTTCTAAATGTTTGTGTACCTTTTCAATGTGCTCTGTTCCATTCAAAATGCGGCAGTTCGTCAGAATGTTCTCGGGAATCTCGCGAATCGCATTGGCAATCAGCTGCAGACATTTCAGCTGCACATTCTCCGATCCGAACTTGCTGAACAATATGAGAACCTCGCGAATCGGATACTCGTCGCCTCCGTCTGTCGCCGTCGCGTACTCCTTCCGAATGTTCAGTGCCGACGACGAGCACTTGTCGGTCGTCTGGACGGTAAACGTCTTCATGTTCAGAAGATGATCGTGATAGTCGCGCATGAACAACAGCTCGAAGATGGTCGACAGAAACTTCTCGACGGGCTCTTTGTACACGTGGACAATGTCGCAGAACGAGAAGATGAGCTCCAGGAACGGGCGGAGATGCCCGACAAAGTAGTAGGGCTGCGAGGAGGGGAGCATCCACGTGGCAATCGCATCGCATTTGCTGGCCACCACTTGCACAAACTTGTGAATCGGCATAAGCTCCGCCTCGCAACGTGTCTTGTCGCTCGAGAATCTCTCGAGAATCTCCGTCTTTTTGGCCCAAAACGATTCGGCGAGCCGGATGATGATGGTGCAGTGAAGTCCGCGATCCGCGCTGATCTTCGTCGTGTCCTCGAGCCACGCATGAATGCCGCCCATCCGACGATCAATTTGGTCGAGCGAATCTTCCGTCTTCCACGTCTTTATGTCGGTTCGCACCAACATCGAGTAAACAGAAAGGAAGAGACGGTTCAGCGATCTGAAACTTTTCAAAGAATTTTCTAGACTTTTGCACAGCTCAAAACTTACAGAACTCCGTTGCGATGATCGTTGGCGACTCCTTGCAGAACATTCGAAATGCCGTGAAAGTAGGTGAGCTCCGCCCTCTTCCCATGATATGGCTCCAACTTCACGAGCAGCTTCTTCGCATCAACATTCCTCTCTTTCGAATAGGAAACTTGTCCGGCGCACACTCCGACCAGCCATTCGAACAGTTCCGACGTGCGATCGTCAAACCGTTCGACAGGCAGACTGATCAGCCACGTGGCGATGCGATCGTGCATCAGAAGCAGTTGTCCCTCCCACTTCTCGGGCTTCGGACGGCTCGGAAACTGTCCGTTGTCCCGTTTGTTTCTCGTTTTTGTCGCAATCTCACCCTGCTGCTCGTATTGTTGCCGCAAAATCACGCCCATCTCCTGCTCGATCTGCTTCTGATCCTCGGCGGAGAGCGTGTGCATGGCGTCACTCTTCCAGAATCTCGAGAACGTTCTCAGGTCCTCTTTGCCGCACTCGAACAGCTCCAGGTGCATGAGCATAAGAGAATCCCACTCTTCAATCGATCTACACATTTCTACAAGCTTTTTAATGATCAGGGGATCATCCAGGACGTCGATCTCTTTGAGCCAATCCAGAATCGCCTCGTGTTCCAGATCGAATATGAGATTTCTCTCGTTTTTGACAATAACAGTGGAAAACTCGTCCAGAAACTTGGCCACAACCTTCACAATCCGTTCTTTCTTCAGAAAATTGTTGATGATATCCTCAATTCCTTCGACTCCTTCGTAGAATTTCAGATGCGTTTGAAGGCCTTCGTCCGCCTGGAGATATTTTGACTGGGTCACCAGGTAGATCAGATCTCTCATCGAAAGATCGTCGAGCAGCTGAAGTTGTTGAAGAGTGAACAGCGACACTCGCTTTCTCTCGGCTCTTTTCGTGACGTTCACCTCGATGAGACGAGCTCCAATCATTCCCCACTCTTCCGTGCTCTTCCCGAGCGACTGGAATTTCACGTTGCAAATCGGCTCCTCGGCGCCGTTAATCGGAAGTTTCAGAAGGGTCAGAAAGATGTCGGTGGCGAGGGTGGCGGTGCGAGGATCAGGAGACGTCAGACACGTGATCGCCAGTTTCTTGGTGACCTCTTCAATCATCGGAAGATCGGCGAATTTGGCCACTTCCGGCCAGAATACCTCGTTTTCGTGCATGTGATTCACGTAGCCCTCCTTCATATCGTCCTCGTCCTCCAGATTGTCAGCCATCTTTAAGAGCACCAAACGGATTATTCTCTGCTTCACGTCGTCGTCCTCAATGCAATCCAAAAGAAAGACAATCGTCACGATGGCTTTCGTGTCGATGACGGCGGTGGCGATTTCGATCTGATCTTCGGAAGAGAGCAATCCATTGTCAGTGGCCATTTTGTACATTTTCATGCACGCGTGGCAAACGTGCGTTTCTCGGGCGCGGAAAAGTTCCGTGTAGAAGTGGGACATGCATCTGATGACACCCGAAACGCTTTCCGATGGGATCAGGTAGCTGATGATGGTGTACAGAGTGTTTCGCATCTGAAAACACTTCAGATGAGTTAGAACCCGGAGTTCAGGCGGCTCAGAAACTCACCGCCTCCACCATATATCTCAAGAATCGCTCCTTTTTGTTGCCGCCCGACGGTAGCGGCTCCAGCAGCGGCTCGGTGGAGAAATCTGCAAAAGCAACCTTCAGCAGTATTCTTGCAAATCAGTGTGTTGTGTAGATGAAAAACCCAAAACTAAATGATAGACGAACGACAACGAAGCGTAATGACGACAAACATGGACAGCACCATCACAATAAGCAATTCATTTGATCAGCACAAAAAGAGAAAGCAGAAGGCGGAGAAGGAGAAGAAGAAGAAGAAGAAGAAGAAGAAGAATTAGCCGAAACGAATCGAAACCAAGAGACTGCTAATATATATAATGCTCTATGTCTGCCAAACGAACCCTCTGGCGTTGCTAGCGTCACTTCCTGGGTTATATGCACAGCGATCGCATACGAAACTGAAGTGTTTCTAGGTCATTTTGAGGAAGAAAAATCAAAAAATTAAACGAGAGAGAGAGAGAGAGAGAGAGAGAGACAACAAAGCCACACTATAGAGAGGGGCGAAAGAAGTCCCTTTTCCAACCGCATACATACTCTACTTGGCCCTCCTTACCGATTTCATAAGGAATCGAGGTCTTCAGGCTCAGAAGCCGTTCCACGAGACTATCGGCGACTTTCCACAGTCGCGGCTCAATCGTCGCGCAAATGAGCTCTTCCGGAATTTTGAGCCACAGCACCGTGTCGATAAACTTTTCAGCCGTCTTCTGCATTATAACATTCGTCTTGGCGACGCTGAACAACTTGTCAAAGATTAGAAGCGTTTGACGTTTGTGCTCGACGTTTCTGCAGACATATTTCCACATTCGTTTGACAATTTCATCGTAAATTTCAAAGGAGCAATCGTAGAACGAAATGTCCTCGTTGTCGGGCGGCGGGGCGACGTCTTCTTCGAACTTTCTGGAATAACTTTCGAAACTTTAGAATCTGGGCCGTTCTGACGAAAGGCTTACTTGAGAATTCTAGCCAAGGCGGCAAAATGAAGCTCGCGAGCAAACTGTTCATGGTCCTTCATTTTCACAAACAAATCAACGACGTTCTTCTCGAGGATGCATCTCGTCTGGTTCGCTGATTCGCTACTCGTAGCAATCGTTACCTCATCCCACTTTTGCGTCTTCATTTTCTCCGTCGTCTCCTCCAAATCCGTTTCCCAAATGGAGGCGAAAAGGCGGCGCGTGAGTCCCAATTCCAGAACGTACTGCTCACAAGTGCTCGCAATTTGCTCCGAACACTTTGTGGAGGTGGAGGCGGGCGGCGTCGGATTGTGCGAAATATCGTGTGGCAGGAAGGGGGCGGCCAATTGCGAAACGTCGATCGGATTCATCATGTCGCTCCACGGCGGCTCGATGCCTCCTTCCGCGATCGCTGCGAACATTGGCATCCACACTTCGGCGGCAAATGTGACTGGCGGCAAGTCGATGAGCTTCTGGATGAGGATTCGCATCGCATCGCAGATTAGGTCAACGTCCGACGAATAATCTGGAAGCTTAAGTGTTTTGCAATACAAAAAGTGTCTTCTTTAAAGCTCGGACAAATTTGATTAAATTTATTTTTCTTTCAAGATATTATGCTCAACTTGTTTCTGAATGAGCTTCTAGACGTTCAAAAGACTTACAATTATCAACAACCCGTAATCTATAAACAATGGCTGCGACAGTCTCTCCGCTCAAAGGTTCGTCCGCAATTTCGGTCACATAACGGGCGAGACCGATGGCTAGTTGGCGCGATTCCGCCGATGAATCGTCGTCCATTTCATGCGATTCTGTACAATAATTTTCGACCTGAAAGTACTCAAAATTGACTGAAATTGAAATAGGCTGACAATACAAAGAAGTGTGGGGATTATCGGTGAGAAGCGGCGTAAACAAACAGGTTCGAGAGCCGCGGTCTTATGATGCACTGCCGGTCTACTTGGTGGCCCAAACGAAAATAGCATTAATATTTTTTTCTTCAATTCAAGTGCCGTAATAAATAGAAAAAGATCAAAAAGTGACCAGTAAATGTTCATTTTTACAAAGTCAATTTCAAAACAGAGGTCTGGGGAGTAAACATTAGAAAAATTGTATTTTTAAACAAATAAAACATCTCAGAAACTAGGCCGTACCGTTTGGGGAGAAACGAGAAAGCGAGAGAAATGAAAAGAGGAAACGGCCGTGCCAAAACGGGGGAATTCACGAAAACCGCGGATGCCAAAACCCCGGAACAGCCAAAACCGCGGGAAAAAAATGCCAGAACCGCGGAACCGTGCAGGCGCAATACTTGACGCGCAAGACTATTGAATAGAGGGTATTGAAATTGAATCGCATCAAACAAAGTAATGAAGTTTGGAAGTTCTGAAAAAAAAATTGGAAAGACAGTTATATTTAAAATTATTTTGACAGATATCAGAATCTTTCTATTGCCTGGAATTCCGGCGAATGTGTGGTCCTGAATAGAAAAAGCTCGTGGTGCCTGCCGGGTTTTCACATTTAGTTGGGACTTGCAGAATAACTTTTTAGCCACCTCCAGAGCTGACAATATGGGCGCGGCCTCTGCCAAGTATTCCGTTTTTTCGCCTTAGCCGCCTAACATCCACTCTCCTTATTTTGCGCAAGTTGCAAACTTATTACTTTCACTTCTTCTTGTCTTTTTATGCTTTTTTACTTTTGCACTTTTTTATCTTCAACAAATTCTTTGGCGAATTCTGAAAATGCTGCTTTCTGCTAAACCGGGCGACAGTACGACACTCCAAAGGTCGCCGGCGGCCCAGTGAGAATTCATGTAGGCGGGGCTACAAGCTCGCGCGGCGGCATTGCGTTTTCGTACGCACACTTTGCAGATCGAGTTTCGAAACTTTGAATCAGTGGGCGCGCACAATTATTTATTCCTAGCTTCGTTGATTTGCGCGATCTTCGCTCTGTTTTCGATAACAACTAGAATTTAAAGTGCTTATTGGACGTTCTCTGTAAAAATAATCTGAAATTAGTTTTATCTCCAAGGGAAACATGATTTTTAGGCCTAAACTGTTTTTATTTTATTCTTCTCGTAATTGTCGTTTTTTCTGCATTGCTGTACACCTTTCAGCGTTTTTTTTCAGAAAAATGGGTGAGGCTTCTGCTGCCGTTCTTGATGACGCCGATCAAAAGATCATTAGGCAACTGGAGTACTATTTCGGAAACATCAATCTTCCAAGGGACAAGTTCCTTCAAGAGCAACTCAAGGAGGACGATGGATGTAAGCTTAACACGATTCACTTTTCTTTTTCAAAATATATTTTCAGGGGTTCCAATTACCACCATGCTCAAGTTCAACCGTCTTTCCGCTATCAGTCAAGATACTGAGAAAATTGCCAACGCTGTAAAGGCTTCCGGCTCGGAAATCATTGCCGTTTCCGAGGACAGTTTGAAAATCCGTAGAAATGCGGAAAATCCACTTCCAGAGAACTCGCTGGAGTACTGGCAGAAGATCAAGCACAGAACTGTGTATATGGTGAGGAGTTTTTGAATTTATGAGTAACGATCAAAATTTTTTCTGTTTTCAGAAGGGATTCGCCACCGAGACCCAACTGGATGAGATCATTCAATGGGCCAACCAGTTCGGAGAGACCGAGAATGTGCTTATGCGTCGTCTGAAGCCAGGAGATCGCACTTTCAAGGGAAGCGTCTTCGTCACATACAAGACCCGCGACGAGGCCGAGGCTGCCCAAAAGTCCGACGCCAAATTCAAGGAGGCAGAATTGGTCAAGATGATGCAGGACGAGTACTGGACCTTGAAGAATAAGGAGACCAAGGAGGCTCGGGCTGCTAACAAGGCTGCCAAGGCCGCTAAGAATACTGCCGAGAACGTTGAAGCGGAGAAAGCGCAAAACGCCGTTCGCTTCGAGAAGGGACTTATTCTGGCCGTTGACGGGCTCTCGGATGATGCCTCTGTTGACAGCATCAAGACGTTCTTCAAGCAGTACGGATCCGTCGGATACGTCGCCCACGATAACGGCAGCAAGACCGCCGAGATCCGCTTCAACAACGACAGCGAGGGAGGCGCCAAGCAGGCCTGGGAGAAGGCTGCCGCAGCTGGAGCCGATGGAAAAGTTTTGCTTCACGAGGCCGAGTTGACCGGAAGAGTTCTGGAAAACGAGGAGGAGGAGAAGTATTGGTCCGAGTTCAACTCGAGAAAGAACCAGAAGGGAGGAAACCGTGGTGGACGCGGAGGTCGCGGAGGCAGGGGCGGACGCGGAGGACGTGGCGGAAGAGGCGGACGAGGCGGTCGTGGAGACAAGAGAGGAGCCAGAGACGAGGGAGGCGATTCTGATGAGCCAAAGGCTAAGCGCACGGTATTTGCCGACGAAGATGGAAACGCTGCTGCAGAATAATTTCCCGCCCGAATCATTGTTATCAATCTATCCTTATTTTATTTTCTATCGTTGTTGTGTTGTCCCACTTTTTCCTCTTATTACGTTTTGTGTACCTTTCTGTTGACCTCATCGTCCCCATCATCATGCGCGTTCAAAAATAACTGTAAAATTTTTGAGTTTTTCACAAAACTAATCAATAAACTTTGCGCCGACGAGACTAAATACGCTTTATTTATTCCGTGCAATATATAAATATTTACTTTAGCATGCGATATGAAATTAGGAAAATTAGGCTCCGTACTTGGCGATGAGCTCCTCGACGAGGGCAACGTATGCGGCTTGCGCGGCTTCTTTCGAAGTTCCTGGAAATTTTATCATTTCTTCTAGAAAGTTGCTGTAATTTAAGTTACCCTTCTTCTCATCCCACGCGCCCCACTTGGCCTTTCCCTTCAGATCGAACATTCCCGGCTTCTCGGTGGTGTTGTCTCCGACAGTTCCCTGCTTGAAAAGCGCGTAAAGCTTGAGCAGCTCGTCGTTGTTCGGCGACGTCTTCAGCGTTTTCACTGTCGCGGCGGCGGCGTCGAACTGCAAATTATTATAGATGTTTTATGATAAATTGAATTACTAAATTTCTTACAGTAAGAGTCATTATTGAGTGGATAGGGTCGAACCTGAAAAAAATGATTTGTTTGGAAAGAGAAAAATAGGTTGTAAAGTTGAATCGAATGAGCGGAGTGCGACGGGGAAATAAATAGGAGATTGGCGGAGAGTACACAAGAGTGTTATCAGCAAAAATTGTTGTCAAATTGATAAGGGGACGGACACTCGATATCATTCCGTGTTTGATGATCACACCACTTCGGACGACGAGAAAGAACAGCGACAGAAAGGGGCGAAATTGAGAGGAAACGAAGATTGATTGACTGATTTGAGACGCACACGGAAACGTGGAAAGCACGAAAAACGAATGAAATAAAGTGTACAATTTCTGTGATTTGAAAAGTGTAAGCAGATTACAATCTTTTCCGGGAAAATTTCTACGGAATCTTAAATGGAAATCCGAGGAAAAACTGGATAACACTGGACCGTATAACAGGTTTTTTAAAGTCCGAAGTATATTTCCAACTTTTGTCGAAAATATTATTGTTTTCTTGTTTTCAAACCGTTAATCAGTGCTTACCTCATCAAAAGAATACAATTGTCAACAAAGATTAGAGGGTGGTAAACCCATCCATTAATTATACAAATTCCAGAATTAAAAAAAAACTTTCATTAGCGCTGAATAAGCAATAACCCACCCATTTGGAAAACCCGCAGAAAAACCGACAAATTCTATGAAAAACCGGATTCTGAGAGCAACAAAAAAGAGACATGTATGACTTTACTCCAATCCGATCACTTGGTGACTTCGTGAAGCGCCTTCGCCAGATAGGCGACGTTTTTCGTGTTGATGCCCGAGATGGAGATGCGTCCGTCGTTCGTCAGGTACACCGAGTGCTCCTGGATCAGCTTCTGCACTTGCTCCGTCGAGATGCCTGTGTAGCAGAACATGCCGATCTGGTTGGTGATGTGCTCCCAGTTGCGCGTCGATCCTTCCGCTTTCAGGCCTTCTTTCAGCGCCGTACGCATCGATTTGATGCGGTCCGCCATCATTTTCACGTCCTCCAGCCTGAAGGATCAATTATTGTCTAAAATTTCTCATAAATTCTAGTTTACCAAGACTGTTTGAGCTGTGGATCCTGGAGAATTCGAGAAGCGATGCGTGCTCCGTGAAGGGGCGGCATCGAGATCATCGGCCGGATGATAATCTTAATCTGACTGCCGACACGTCCTGCTTCTTCCTTCGAATCGCACACAACCGAAAGGGCGCCCACGCGCTCTCCGTACAGTCCCATATTCTTGGCGAACGACTGCGCCACGATGACGTTGTGTCCTTGCTCGACGAAATAGCGGAGGGCGAACGCGTCCTCGTGAATGTCGCCGGACGCGAATCCCTGGTAGGCCATGTCGAAGAACGGCAGAATTTTACGGTCTTTGATCACACGCGACAACTCTTTCCACTGATCTTTCTGAAAGAGATTTTCATTGAAAAAAAACCGGAAAAATGAACCAATTCCAACTAACACTTGGATCAACTCCGGTCGGATTGTGTGCACACGCGTGCAATAGTATTATGGATCCCTCGGGCATTCTGGATATGTCCTCGAGAGCCCCGGCGACGTCGAATCCGAGCGTCGCCTTGTCGTAGTAGCGGTACGGCAGAATGTTCAGGCCAGAGTTGGTGAACACCGGCAGATGGTTAGCCCACGTCGGCGTCGGATAGTAGAGCGTGTTGGATGGGATGAACTTGGCGACGAACTGTCCGCCGACTCGCAGCGCTCCGGTACCGGAGATCGATTGAGTCGTGAAGACTCTTCCGTCGCGGATCACTTTCGAATCGTCGCCGAACGCGAGTTTCGCGGCCAACGGCGAGAACTCGGGGATTCCGGTGATCGTGGAGTACTCCTTGTCGAGCTGGGCTTCGACCAGCTGACGCTCCGCTTCACGGACCGAACGGAGCACGAATGGTTTGCCCTGAAATTGATAAATTGTCAGAAATTCTCATTGGTTCAAACTCACCGCGTCATCTCGATAGGCGCCGACGCCCAAATTGATTTTCGCCGGATTAGGATCGCTCTTGAACGCCTCAGTAACGCCGAGGATCGGGTCGGTGGGGGCTGCCGGCACGCTCTGGAACCAGTGGATCGGCTCCGAGTTGAGCTTCGTTTGAGACATGAACCGTCTAAAGTACGACAGCATTCTCCTGGCTCTGTGGGGCAAAAGAATGAAGGAATCAGAAAGGAGGACAGAGGACAAATAGACACAGAAATAAAACGTGGGAAAATCGAAAGCCAACGCAACACAAAACATATGGAAACGAGATGGAAATAGAATGGAGCGATTCATTGTTGTGAGAAATAAAAGTGTGAATAATCGATTGAAAATATAGAGGGGAAAACCGATAGAATATGTACATAACCTTAGTTGATGATGGCCGTCGAACAGTACTCGCATCCGCATCGCGCCACTTCCCACGGATCGAAGCGACGGCTCGGCAGGGAGCAATGGGAGCATCGGTACACGTCCGGGCGGTTCTCGGTTCGACACCTGGCACAGTGCCACGGACCTGTGCTGCTTTCTTGGCTGATAGAACGGGGTGGCGGCGGTCCTGTCACGAAAAAGAAACGATTTATTTAGATTTCAGACCGGGGCTCACTTGGCGGAGGACCTCCCATAGGAGTTTTGGCGCGTAACCTCCTCAGCTTCTCCTCGAGCCCTCGCACTTTTTCTTCCAACTCTTCCGTCGTCATCGCGTCCTCGTCGACCAACAAATGCACGTACTTCGAGTCGAACCAATCGTTCAGCTGTTTCGCATCATTCTGAATCAGACTCATCTCGGTGACGTCGTCGATTATCCGCTGCTTGACCCGTTCCAATTTTGCCGCTTGCGCTGGAAATCGCACATTTTTTGGGGAGTGAGTCGTCGAAATCGTTACCTTTTTTGAGATCAGAACTTGGATCACGTCTCAAGTATCCGATGTCGTCGTCGTCCTCCTGATGAATCGGTAAATGATCGAATCCGCTGCCGGAGGTCTCATTGCCGACGTCAACGTCGAGGGAAAGCGCACCGAATGCGGACGACGACTGATTCGGCGCGAGACTCGGACTTTCGATTCCGTTCAGAGCCCAGCCGTAGGAGGGCGGAACTGGAAATCGTCTACGGTTTCATCACGCTCTAAACTAGACCTAAAGACTAACCGTGTGGTACTTGTTGACTGGGAAGCGGCGGAAGGAACCCGGTGCCGAATCCCGGGTGGACAGGGTACGGCGGGTTCACGATCACCGGCTGATGCGGCATTTGAGGATCGACAGAGCTGCCCGTCGAGCTGCTCGCCGAGTATTGATGTTGGAGTTGCGAAGGGACAAATGTCGACGTGGGCTTCTCGGCGTGGAAAATTCGCTTCGAGACCCGTTCTACCTAAAAGAAAGCAATTTGGTAAGGATACTAGCTGTCAAAGACGAGCCTTTTTGTAGAGCTTATTCAACTCGGCCCGCTTCGACGCCTTCTGCAAATCCTTCACGCGACAATTCGACGAGGAGGACGTTTTCTTAACTGAGGACGTGGACGAAGACGAGTCCATCGCCCCCTGCAAATCTTATCTCTGAAAGACGACGTCATAGACAATCAGAGCGCACACTACAAAACGAGAAAAATGAATGTTTCGCATGTAAATATTCCGTGTGCAGGCGTGTAAATCGACGCGCGATTGCGTCCACCTCGGGCCAGTGTTTCGTGCCTCTTTTCCTCCCCCTTCCTCTTTTTTGCTTATTTTTCTTTGCGCGCCCAACCCGAGAATTGATCGGCCTCTCCTCGTTTTCGTAGGCTGCGGTGGACTTCTCCTCATTGTCTGACGTCTCCGTGCTTCTCGCCTGCTTTCCATCTTTCCCACCTGCCTCCGTAGCTTTCTTTTGACAACTGATATCCGACGTATTTTTTTTCATTTTCAGTCGCAATTGAACCATGAACGATGACGATTCAATCGCCGTCGTCGTCGTCCACAACAACAACCGCAGAATATTGTCAGCCAGACGAAAGCACGTTCCTTGTTGGATTTAATCGAGTGAGTCTAAGTATCGTCTTTTTTTGAAACTGTCAAAAAATTTGAGTATTTTGAAAGATTTCGAGCGAGAAACAATAATTTTCACGTACATTCTAATTTTTTTCGACTCGAATTGGAAAATAACAGTTTACTATTACTTTACTTTAATGTTTTCGCTCAATTTGAAGAGGAAATTGAGATCTGTTAATTTTGATGCTCGAGGAGCACAACAGAGCAAAAATGTAACGAAGAATAATAATTCGCCAAGATTTTAAAATTTTTCTGATTTCCTTCAAATTATCAGGTTCGCCGATACGGAACAACACAGAGCCAATCTTCGCCAGCCACGCCGTGCTCCTACACAATCTACCAAGTGCAACCAGATGACACGTTGGAAAGGATAGCCTTGAAGCAGAATTGTTCGGTTAGTCAACAGATTACCATCACAGAAAAACCGGATTTTCAAGGTTTCGTCGCTAGTGCGCGCGAACAAGTTGTGGTCGCCCAGTGCGTTGTTCATGAAGCAATTCATTCGGATACCAATCTTCAACTCGCAGTCCTCAACGCCAACTAACCCTCCTCCGAAAATACAAGAATCACAGTGCAACAAAAAAGTGCCTGCCGCTACTCAACGGGTCGATAGCAGCCAAGAAGAGCGATCACTAAAAGACATTCTGCAACGCATAGACCGGAATATCAGAACATTCCGAAAATGTGATAATTCTAATAGCTCCGCTTATGATGAATTTTAAATTGAAATGTGCAGTAGCAAAAAGTAAAGTCTTCTGGAACCATCGAACAATGTGTTTTAAAATGTGAATAAGTTATTAACAAAAGATTTTATCAACAACGTTAAACTTATTTCTTCGCGGTAGCACGACCGGCCTTGCGGAGAATAGAAGCATACGGGTTCAACTTGTACAAGAGCGTTCTCTTCTTGAGTGGGTTGCGGTGGACCTTCGGGAGCACTGGGTTCTTCTTCGGAGCTCTGATAGCCTTGACGATCTCCTCGGAACGGATGATTCGAGAGAAGTCAGAGTTGGCCATGATTGGGAGTGGGACGGACCATCCCTTCTTCAGCTGGGAGGAGTTGGCGACGGTGGTTCCGTAGATGGTGTCGAGCTTCTTGAAGGCAGACTCGGTCCAGATGATGAGACGTCCAAGGTGACCTCCTGGGGCGAGCTTGAGGAGGTTGAGTCTCTCAACGTTCAAGACATCGACTCCTGGGATGTTGCGGAAAGCACGAGCGCACTCTGAGTCCTGTCCGTAGATGACGACTGGACCAAGCTTCTGCTTGTGCTGACGGTTGCGGAGCTTTCCCTTTCCAGCGCGGTTTCTCTTGGTGGCGTAGACCTGTAATCAAAAAGAATAAATACGAGGTCTTGTCATTTTAATTTACCTTCTCGATGTCAGCCCACAGGTGGGAGCGGCGGAGGAAGGTAACGGCCTCCTTGGTCTTGCGGAAGCTCTCGACCTTGTCGGAGACGACGAATGGAACCTCGGCAACCTGAAAATCAAACATAAGCATTGAAAGAAAGACCTGTGACTCACCTGGTCGATGATGTGACCGCGAGCCTGGAGCAGAGCTGGGATTCCGGAGGCAGCGATGGCAGAGGAGACGGCGTATCTCTTCTGGGCAATGTTGACGTTGCGGTGCCAGCGGCGGAACACCTTGAGTGGGGCGAACATGTGTCCTCCACGGCACATGTTTCCGAAAGCTCCCTGTCCGGAACGGTGGGTACCACCTCCACGGACACGTGGAATACGAGCAACGGCGCGTCCGGTTCCCCAGGACTCAGCGGAGTGCTGCTTTCCTAAAGATCTCCTTTTATCATACTTCTTCAAATGAATCAGCGATCATGTGATGTGTTTCACATCACTTTTCTCAAATTACTACAACAAATACTTACCGGCCTTGGTGTTAACGGCGTGAGCCTGTCTCTTGTTTCTGCGGACCTGGTCAGCAATGAAGCTCACCAAATCCGGACGGATTGGAGTGCGGAAAACCGCTGGGAGCTTAATTTGAGACGGAGTGGCCTCGTACTTTTCATCGTACACAGTCACGAGCGGGCGGGCCGCCATTATTACCTGCAAATTGCAACAATTTAGGAAGAACAGTGCGATAAAACGAATAAGTTAATAAAGCGTGAAAATATCGTAACATTAAAGGGGTCGAATTAACAAACGAAAAATAGGCCAAATTTCCGACAAAAAGTGATTCGGGAGTGTTTTCAGCAAGAAATTTAAATGATAATCAGTTCCTTAAATAAATAAAGACTTAAAATTTCGAATTTTTACAGAAAAACTGAAAAAGCTCCCAAAAAATTGCAGAAAACAGGGAAATCGCGTTTAAAGGGAGGCGAACTTTGGGTGTTGACTGAGTATTCAACGCGGGTCTCGCCGCGAAAAGAGACCGCAGCAGTGCAGCCAAAATGTGTAGATTTACGAGGCCGCTTTCAAAATTCAGTGTATTCTTCAATTCTTCGTTTTTTAAACGTTGAATTCTCACGTTTCTGGTTTTCAGAATGTTGACTCCCAGTTTGGATGGTCTGTCGCGCATTAAAATCGATTATAAGCAGATCGAGCTGTTGCGAAGGGCCGCTTTGGCCAAAAATGTCAAGGTTACTCCAGAACATTTCAAACAACTCGACGAATGCGGAAGCGTCGGTAAGTTGCATCTTTTTTTGTGCGTCTGTTTACATCGTCTAGTTTTAGACGAGGTAATTCCACTTCCATCCACCTCGGCGATCGCTTTTGACGAGTTTGATCGCAAAACCAACAAGCGAAAAATCGAAGAAGAGAAAAATTTACTGGTAGTTAATTTTTCACATTCTTTTCGACAATCTGCAGTGATCGATTTTGCAGAGTGGTGAAAGTTGCCCGAGATGTAACTGTCGCATGTTGCGCTCCGTGGACCCGGGACGTACGGACGGGCGGCTTGTGCTCGAGTGTATGCGTTCAAACTGCCTGGCTTCCATCAAATTCACCACTCTTCCTGTCGGAACCGTCATTGGACACGAAAAAGAGCCCAGAGTATGTTTTGTTTTACTTTTCGAAATCTCATTTCGATCTTCTGGCTCTTCAGCCGCGCAATGCGTACAACTCGATGTCTCGGTACTATCCGAAGGGCCGTTACACTCCGACGCCTTCAGATGGTGAAGAAGATTCTACGCCTGGACCGTCAAAGCGAAAGCCGCGCGGCGGTGCTCACAAGAAGGATGAAATTTTCGAAGTCAAGAACGGAAGAGACCTGTATGTTAGAGTTTCAGGCCAGGACGTTTCGGCCCGCATTTGGTAAACCGGGTAATTACGCAAAACTTCCAAAATCGGTATAATCCACATGTGTAAGAACTTTAATCATTTCATGTTGATATCAGGGAAATAAACACTTCATTCACAATACAAGACCACACCGCATTTGTTTCAAGGAAGATGACTAGTTTTGTGTCGGTTTGAACAGGAATCACAACCTCTCAGTGTCTAAGACCAGTAAGAACGGAAAAATAGTACAGAGATTCAGGGAGGGAATTGTCCACGGGTGAAAAACGGCTATTCGAAACTTTTCTAAGAGAAAAGAGAACTACTCGTCCGATAGGCTATCAATAAGTTGCTCATTGTCGGCGGCGTGTGAGTCGACTTTCCGCACCCTTCTCGCCACCACTTTTCGTATTGATAACGTGGCAGTGCTTCGTTGGGCGAACGCGGCTCCGACGAACGCCAAAAGGATAGGAATAGATGCGATGACCTGTGCGAGCGTGGGCGACTTGTCACGAATTACGGTATCCGCAAGGAAGCTGAGCGGAATACTCAGAGTCAGCGAAAGGGATACGGTAAGCGAGTCGACCATTCCGGCGGCGAGAAGCCACAGATAATCAGCCACAATAGTACCTGAAATTACGTAGATTTTACTTTCAAACTTTAAAATCTTACCTATAAGTGCAGATAAAAGGATCGATGAGAATTGTGTGACATTCGGAAGTGGATGGAACTGCTCAATGCCGAATTTGTCGAGCACATTGAGAGTGGGCGTACCGACGACCAGCGCCAGCACTCCAATCGTTCCGAACATGAGATTGATGTCTACTTTTCCGTATTTCTCCTCGAAATGTCCATAGGCGAACAGGTAGACGGCGTAGGAAAGCGCGGAGATCTGAAAATTTTATGGAAGATTTCGGATGGAGAACAAAGTTTTTGGAACGAACCTGAGCAAAAAGTGCGCCCACAAACGAGGGAATGTAATGGGAAACTATGAGAACTCCGGCAATGTTGATGGAAACTAGCACGCACTGAAAATTCCATTTTTTTGTTTGAAAAAAGTTGAAAAAGTTTAAGTACCTTGTACGCAGAAAACCGATTGCTAGCACTCGGAAAGCAAATGGCGAAGGCTATGACGAAGACGGACGAGGAGCTGGAAATGAGGTTGAGACTGCTGACGGAAGTGAACGCCAACGCCGCCTGATAGGTGAACGAGCACATTAACCACTGAAAAAGGGAAAATAACGATTCGTAGAGCGGTAGAGCGCATTTGCAACTACTCACCAGTGGCGCAAAGAAGAACAACGTGTATTTTACGTGTTTCGAAAGATGGAACTGACATTCGAGGCTCGGATGACGGTACGGAAGACGTGCTTTCCGCTGATCTTCTGCGTTCGAGGCGGGCATTCGGCGGACCTGGAAAACCAGACAATGCAAGTGTGCTCTATTGAGAATCCTGCCAAAAGTATTCACCTCTCTCCGATCTGCAAATCGTATCTTCCTCGGTCGTTTCTCTCCGTCCGCAGACACGGATTCGACGTCAGAATCCACGTCGGTCACCGATTCGTATCCTTCGTGAGAAAGCGATTCGCACGACATCTCATACGTCTCCGAATCGATCGATCCTTCGCTGATCAGCACTTTATACGTTCCTTCGTCTCGGGCCTCGAACACTAAATATCGGATCATGTAGACGATGAGAGTGCATGATTTGACGTAGACTGTAAAGAACGGCCGCCGGAACTCCTCGTCCACAAATATAAACTGGAAATTTGAAGAATTTTCAACAATAAATTCCGATTGACCAACCCTAGTAAGTTCGGAGGACAGCACCCAAAGGACATTGACTATGAGGAGAAGGCAGATTCCGATGGATTTGCTGTCAAGACATCCGGAAGAAGAGTCTCGAATCGACGAGGAGCTCATTCAAATTTGAAGAGGAAAAAAAAACGAGGGAAAAGAGATGTGTATGCGATTTTGAAGTGTTTGGGAGGAACCAAGCCTGAAATTCAGCAGTTTCAACGGGGGATTTACAAGAATTTCGAAGAAAGTTCGGTGAAATTGCAATAGAAGCTTTTTGGATTGTTGAAAAGGTTAAGAGAGTTGCAAATGCTAAGGAATAGTAATAGAAATTGCAAATGCGCTCTGCCGAACAAACTTTTTTTTCAAACTTTTGAGAAAAATATCTTTTTCTCGATTTTCCGTTTTTTTTTCGCATATTGATAACAGTTTTGGACTCAAAATTGTATCAAATTCTATTTAAAATTGATAAAACTTAACAAACTTTGCGAAATACTCTCAAAATAATGCTAAAAACTCAGCGATAACGTATTTTTTTTAGAAAAACGTGCCTCACGTGAGGTCTTAACTTGAAAGTGCAAAAAGCGAGCAGAGCAAGGAGTGAAAGCGTCGAAAAACGATATGTTCGAGTTTTCGGGACGCTTTTCTGCACGTATATATGTTTTCGGCGCCAGAAACTTCTTCTGATTTCTGATTTTCTCTTTATCTCTTCGAAACAGATGACTCGTCCGTCCGGCCAGTCAGCCATCGGCCAATTGGGAGGAACGGAGCAGCGAAAATAAAAGTGTAAACTCTTCAAGTTGGACGATGAGGCAGCGGGCGGGCGTCGGCACGTGGATAACAAAACGTCATTCAATTTCGTAATATTCTCGCTGAGAGCATTGTCTCGATGAAGATAAGGGAGAATAAAATTGCAAAAAAAAAGAAATTGATTGACGGTGCATGTGTGTGCTTTCAAGCATTCTAAAGCGAGATATGTTTGGAGCACCCATTCTCGGAAGCGAAAGAGAGGGAGAGAGCGCGAGACGGAGACGAGCAGAGAGAAAGAAAGGGGAGAATTGTGTCATTCCGAGGGGGACGGCTTGTGTTGGCAGAGAGATGGTATGCAGAATACAGTCGGAGAAACTATTTATTGTAATGTAATACGGATAGGAACGAATACAAATGTTTTTTGGTGTTGTAATAATAATCCCCCGCGCCGATCTCCCTCCGATCGATCGATATCGCAGAAAGTGCGCCCTGGCAAATGCCACGTGGCACCTTCTAATGGCCTTTATAAGTGAACACGTTCTTCGGCGTCTCTTCGATCGTGCATTTGTACAAAACTGACGGGTTCGACATGACGGATTTTAGCTTTTCGAACATGTAGATCGCCACATTTTCAGAAGTGCTCACGGTTGTCTATAAATAAATTTGAAGTGTGCTCAGTACAATAATCTCAAACTTTGAAAAAGTCGACGTCTTTGTCCAAATTGCGATGATCTACTGTATCGAGAACCACGCCCATCTCCTGCTTCAACTTTGCCAAGTCGTAGACCATCCCAGTGACTGGATCCACTTCTCCACGCAGCTTCACCTGCAATTTTAGCATTTACCGGGAGTTTCAGCTGGTTTTTTTTTGCCTTCCACACGTAATTGTGTCCGTGACCATTCGCATTGTTACACTTTCCAAAAGTGGCCGCGTTTTGCTTCGTGCTCAGCTCCGGAGCGCTCAGCCGATGCGCCGCCGAGAACATTTCCACTCGTTCCATCGTTACTGTCGGCATTTTTTCTAAAAAAAAAAACTTTTTTTTTGGAGAAAAAAACTGATCACGATAGATAGGTTTTCAATATGTAGAGAATGACTGTGATTGCATGTTCTCTATTGAATTGATTACAATTAATACTTTGTCTTTCCGTCTTTGCGACGTCGGGCATCATCTTCTAATCATCTTAACGAGATTGTAGGATTATCATCATTTTCCTCATGCGTGTATGACGAAAATTGGAAAAAATTCAGACAAACAAAATATATTGCGAAGTAATGAGAATCTGGGGAATTCGACGCTTCTGAACATTTTTCTGTTTTCAGATTTCTGAAAACGTAATTTTTCAGACAAGTTATACCCGTTTTTATGGGTGGACGTTCTATGATGCGCCTTTAAATGCGGGATACGGTAGGTGAGCGCGAATTTAATAATATCATCATCATCTTCGACCACTTTTTCGAAACTCTTCGTTTTTGTTCCACGGAAATTCCAATTTTCAGTTCCGCAAATCGACGGGTGGGTTTCAACACAAAAACGCACGCATCACAATGCATAACGGACAGCCAGGCCGTCAGTTTGCGTTCTGCACAAAAAATTCTGACTTTTTCTGAATTTTCAGGTCCTGGATATCAAAATTGGCGGAGAAATCAGCATCAGAATTCGCACGCTCACGCACCCCACGGCCACCAACAGAATGCGATATACGTGGAGCCCGTCTACGCACCACCACCACACTTTGCACCCAACTTTCAGCAAGTACTACATCGTCGTGTAAGTGGAGAGTTCTCAAGTTTTTGTAGCAATTAGACGTCTTGTTACAAAATTTACGAGTTTTTGTAGAACATTCAATTTTCTACAAAATCTTGAAAACGTTTTCTCAGTTTTTGCAATTTTTTTCGTGCTGCGCTTGCTATCTTGTTGCTCCAATGAGCTCCCGATAATGAGTGAAAAAATGCAACAAAAATTGACGTCATCTTGTCTCTCTCTCTCTCATTAAGTCACGCCCCTTTTTCCTCAGATGGCGTGGCGACCTCGTTGATCGTGTCTGTCTCTCTCTCTTTCATGCCATTTCTCCGTCTTCTCGCAGTGCTTTTGAGAAGAGAAAAAAAGAGAAAGAAAGAGAAGGAAGACAAAGAGAAGAAGAAGAAGACGTAGTACTAAAGGTGGCTGCATACGAAATGTATATATCTCTTCTTCCTTTGATCGGTTGGTTGTTCTGGTCGCCTCGCACCACCACCACCACCGCCGACATTCCTTGTACATGTACATATAAACGGCGGCGCAGTGCAAAAGCCTCCGTCTCGCAGTCGCCGCCGCTCTTTCGTCCGGTTCGGTCCCGCCCGTCTAGTCACTCTCTCCCTCCTTGCGCGCACTTATCGATCGATTCTTGTCCGTTTGGTCGTGTACACGGCGGCGGTGGCCGGTGGCCGACCTCTTCCTCTCACTCGGCGCTCTACGTCTCGCGCTGTTGAGCGCTGTTTCGGCGCGTCCACACCGGCGCATTTCTTAGTTCTCGCGCCGATCACTCTCTCTTCATCTCTACGTCCTTTGGTCCTCTCTCTCTCTCTCTCTCTCTGTTCTGTACTCTTTCGACGCCATTTTGAGTGAATGTGAGAGTCATTTAAATTTCGCCTCGTTTTCGCGCCCTTTTTTCCCACTGGTTTTTTAGGCCCAAATAATTTGTTGAAAGTTGAACAAATAAATCATTCCTAATATTCGCATCATCGCGAGTTCTTTAAGGTCAAACTTTCTGTTACCTACTAATTCTGTTTTAGAATTTCGACCTTTTCTCAGACCTACCCTCACTTCAAAAGAAAAACGGAAAAGCGGTTTCGAAACATCACATCGAAACATGATTATATCAGAAAGGAGAGGGAGAAGGAGGAGAGCGAGTGTGTGTGTATGTGCGTGATGACCAAGACCGGTATCGGCGACCCGTTCCTCTTCCTCTCTCTAGTTTTGGCGATTTTCTTGTCGGTTTTATAGTTCTACCTCATCCCCTAATCGATACGTGGCCTCTCATCTACAGTAGTCCGCTTTTTCTGCTGCTCCATCTGCTCCCATTTAGTCCATTTAGAAAGAAAGTGCTTTCGAATGTCTGCGCACCCCGCGTGTCACTCTCTATTTCCGCTGCTCTTCTCTTCCTCGGTCCCTGGCTCGTCCTGGCGCCGCCGCCAGAGGGAGAGAGAAAGAGAAATAGCAGACGCTCTTGTTTTAGGAGAATGGGGCCGGGCTTAGTACTCCTCGTTGCTCTTTTTTGCAAACATTTGGAAGTTTATAATTTTTCGGAAGCACGCACCTCATCTATGCAAACCAGACAGTTTTGTTTGTATTGAAGCTCGACTGCCATTCCAATTTTTTTCTTACAGAAGTGAGATAAACTCTTTGAATAATCACTCTCTTTTTGCAGCCAAACGAGGTTGATCCGGGTATGAATGGAGACGGTTGGCAAGGACCCGGTGGCGGCCGTGGAGGAGCACATCACATGAACGGTGGCGGAGGAGGCCGACGTGGTGGAGGCGGCGGCGGCGGCGGTGGCGGTGGAATGCACAATCAGCGAATGCCGCCAAACCAACACCACGGTGGCATGAACCGAATGATGCCGCCGAGCTTTCGTCAACCGCAACAATCGCAATTTATGACGCCGTATGCGATGGGTGCGATGCCCGGCGACATGATGGATCTGAACATGCGAATGGGCGACATTTCGCTCTCGTCAACGCCAAATTCAGTGCAGTACGCCGACATGGGACCGCCGCCGCCGGTGCAGCAGGGATGGAACCAGCCGGCGCCGTTCGCTCCGCAAGACGATCTCTATGATCCGAACTATGGGATCGGCGGAATGCCGCCTCAACCACCGCATCCGTTCGGAGGAGTAGGACCTCGCGGTGGCGGAAATCAGGGAGGGTACGGAAACAACGGGAGCCGAATGCAATCGCGACAAGGAGGATATTCACGAGGTGTTGGCGGTGGCGGTGGTGGACAGAACAACTTCAACATGGGACCGCCGATGATGGGACCGCCGATGGTCGGACAGAGCGGCGGACAACCGTTCTACGGAAATCAACAACAGCCGCCGTTCGCGCCGTCGCCATTCTCGATGAGCTCGGCGATGAGCGGAGGAACGCAGCACGAGCATCACGGAAGTCAGGGACAGAACGGATTCCAGATCTCGGCCTCCTCGATGGACGACTACTCGATGTGGACGGACAAGAACGACGAAGATGCGAAGCGGAAGAAAATCCTGCGGGACAAGGGATTGTTGGCGTGGGGCGACTCGGAGGTGTCGAACAACAAGCCGATCCGTCGTTGGCTGGTGCCGGAAGGTCAGGAGGAGGACTTTGAGTCGGCGATGGCACGTTGTCCGAGCCATCTGAAGAAAAAGTCGTTGAACGAAGAGGCTCTACGTCGACGTCTCGGATCGGACAATCCACAGATTGTGGCGCAGGCTCAACAACAAGCCGAAGAGGAGGCGAACGCGACGATGAAAGTAGGACGGAGGCCGATCATTCCGTGCGGATGGGGAGATCTTCCGTTGGAGTTGAGCGGCGAGAAGAGCGGTAAGCATAGTGGAGAACGGAAGGAGGTTCATCGGGGAATAGATAAAAGTTCAGATTACGACCAGGGATCGTCGAAAGGGTGGGATGAGCAGAGCGTGAACGGAATGAAATCGCACCACATGCACCATCCAGACGAGGCTCTGATGCCATGGAACCTGCCGGGAGTGGTCGGAGGTCCGTCGAGCAACGAGACTCGCAATCCGTTCTTCGCCCAACACATGCAACAGCAGCAACAACAGCAACATCATCTGCCACCGCATCTCGGAGGATACGGCGGCGACAACGGAGACTCCGTGTGGCCGACAATGATGGATGGTAAGGGAGACGGCTTCTCGTTTCGAGACCCAATGATCCACTTGGCAGGATCGTCGATGGCGCCTCCAGCAGGAAACGGAGGAGGAGGAGGAGGATCGTCCGTGCCCCTCGGTATGTTGTCGATGGCGTCGGCCGCCGTGGCGGTAATGGGCGGCCACGGAAATGACGAGGAGGGCAGCCAGAAGAAACTGGCGGACAGCCTTAAATTAGCTGTCGAGAAGGGCCATCTCGACATTTCGCTTCTGTCGCTTCCGCACATTCCGCCCAACGTTTTGGACTTGCTCACCGAAATTTTGTCGGTTATCCCGCGTTTGGACGGCTATGAGGATGAGCTCAAAAAATTGGTGTGTTTTTTTGGCAAACGTCCCTCTCTTTGGGTTACGGATGTGTGGTCGGAGGGAACACATGTGCTTGATTGCCAAAAAAAGCGAATGGAAAGAAAGAGCATTTGTTTCCTTTGTGGGAATGGAAAATTAAAGAGCTTTTGGTGTAATTGCGCATGTCCTTCATCCGTGTTTTTTTGTGTTTTGTCCGTGTTGTCTCGGTGAATAAGTCCGTTTTTCTTGCAGGTGGACAGTCGCCCTTCGACTTTTGACGAGAAAGATGATCCGGAGACGTGGATGAATAAAGAGCAGAAGGTAACGGAGCCAAGAGACACTTTCCAACCACACTATTCATTTCCTTTGCAGAACGAGCACGACAAAACAGTGATTGGAGTGGTCACGTCGAAAATCGAGGTTACGCAGCTGTCGAAGAAGATCACGGAGGCGCTCGTGGAGGCGGGGCTTATTGCTCAGTCGCCACAGACTCCGGACTCTGGCGCTTCCTCCCACCACCACCACCACCACCAACACCACCACCATCATATCCGTCACCAAGGCCCGCCACCACCGGGCCCGGACGGGGGAGCCAGCCCGAGCACCTCTTCTCGCGGCGGTAACGGCGGACCGCCTGATCACTACTATGACTACTCGTTCCTCGGCTAATTATTGATTGATTTTTACTTGTTTCCGTTTTTTTTCTTCCTCGAGATATATTACGGACCGTGCCTTTCTTTTTTTTCATGTGTTATGTGTGATTTTCTCCCGCTTTTTGTTTTTTTTTCACGCCCTGTGCATCGATTGACACGTTGTACCACACACTTTCCCATCCGCCTTCTCTCTCTCCCATATGGTTCTGCCTGGAATCTCCATTTTCATCATCCCAAAAAATTTTGCAAATCGCCTTGTTTTATTTTCAATTTTCCAACTATTTTGACTCCCCCACCACACATGTGTCCATGGTTTTCCCATCAAAAATTGCACTCAACTAAACCCCGCCCCGATTTATATATGTGTTTTAGATGGCTTTTCTTTTCCCCCCGTAAATGTTTTCAAGTTTTACTCTCTGGTGTAGGCACTTTTCCCCTCCCAATGTTGGACGCTTTTCACTTTTTTCCCACCATCCACATCCCATCCAGTTCTTTTTTGTCGTTTTCACACATACAAACACATTTTTTGCGTATCCAACAAACACACACACACGTACATTTCAGCAGTTGCAAGCTTAATTCTTGATTCCCGAAAAATTCATCTCTCCCCGCTTTTGTATCATTACTTTCTTTTCTCTCTCCCTTTTTGATTTAATACCTATACATGTTCGACTCGAAATGGCTAGAATAAAGGTTTTCGATTGTGATGGAAGCATGTACATTCAAAAAAATGATAACAGAAAACGGGAAGAAAGAAAACAAGCTAAGCTAGTCTAAAAATTGAGAAATTGTGTTTTAGTTATTGAACAGATATTTCAAATCCCTCTTGGCGACCGCCTGATCCAGCGATGTGTAGTCGGCGAGCTGGGCAAGATCTCCGTAGCCGACCAGCGACGGTTTCGATGAGAAGAGACGTTCGGTTACCCGTAACATGTCCTTGTTTGTTACTCTTTCTGGAAAAAAAATAACTTAACAACATTTTCCAACGATTTAGGCTAAAAATTACCAATTTTCTCTGCGTACTCCTCCGGCTGCTTCCTCTCTCCGTGTCCCAGGACTTGCCTGACCATATCCTCGAACAAAACGGGCCGAACTTCCAAATTCATCATCAAATGACTCCTCAACTGCGTTTTCGCCCTCGCCAACTCGGTCTTATCGACGCCGTACTGCAATTGAAGCATCTGATGGACGAGAAGGATCAGGGCGTCGTTGATATTTCCGGGCGGTCCACTGGCCGAGACTGTGAAGAGGCCGCCGTCCGAATAAGAGTGATTGTGGGCGACCGCACTGTACATCCAATGGTTGCGGTTCATCAGCTCCGTGTACATTCGCGCGTACATTCCCTTGCCGGGACCGCCGGCCGAGAACGCTCCGCCCCCTCCGAGCAGCGATTGAAGCACGCACAACGGAACGAAGTCCTCGTCTTTGTAGCTGCATCCTTCGAGTCCGAGCACGACATGCGCGAGCAGCGGGTACGGTTTTCCGATCGTCAACGGCGTCAGATCGGTTTGCATTCGGACCTCGCCGCCCGTATATTGAGAGCGCGACGGGTCGATCTCCGGTATCTTTGAGGGAAGGAGCGAAGGATTGCGGCTCCATATAGGCTTGTGACTTTCACTCTCGAAATGTTCACGGATTATTGAGACGAACTCGTCGTGATTCACACCGACACCTCCAACAACCATTCTGTCGGGAGTGTGAGCTCTGCTCAAAAACGAGTAGACGTCGGAAATGCGAATTTTGTTCATCTGCTGTTCAGTATGCCCGTATTTAGAGTATCCTATCGTATTGTGCTGGAAAGCGGCCTGATGAATCCAGTCGGCCAACAGAATCTCGATGGCTTCGATCCGTTTCGGCAGATCCAAGTTCTCGTAGGAGACTGTCAGTTTTGCAGATTCAAGGGATTGTTCGTCGACGATCGGATGCCAGATCGAGTCGGCGATCACGCGGACCACTGGATCCACTCCGGAACGATGACAACTCGCCGCGTACATTATCGTGTCCCGAGTGCTTTGACAATCCACGATTGCACTACTTTCCTCTAGAGACGAGTAAACGGCGTCACGATCTGGGAAGTTTTCAGATGTCTGGAATTCAATTTCGTAGTGAAGTTTGGAAATATATAGCTGATTCTTACATTATAAGCAAGTTTTTCGACGACTCGAGAGACTCCAAACGGAAATCCGTTTTCGAATCGGCATCCGCTGTCGACTGCGACTCCGATCGTCACGAAATCGCCGTAGGTGTCTTCTGTGCAGACTCTCAATCCGTTAGAAAGTGTCGTTATTTTCGAATTTCTTTCCTTTGAAGGACTTCCCTTCACTGTTTCCGTGGCGCCAGAAGACGTGGATTCCATTGGGAGAGGCACGGAAAGTGGAAGCTTTTGCGGAGAGACTATTTTACGGAAGATTTCCGAAACTTTCGAGCTTAACGGCTCTTCCTTCGCATTTTTGATAGAGCTGCCTATGTTGCGGCATCTTGTGATGTATGGGATGCTTCGCCGCAGCATCTGCAATTGAATTCTATCGAGTTTCACGGGAAACAAATAGTTTAACATTTCATCACGGTTTTACTACACTTTTAACGGGTTTAATTTAATTTTCAATTGCTTATTCAAACATTTATTGTTTTTCAAATAAATTTAGTAAGCGAAGTTATCCGTTTTTATTGGGATTTGTATAAGAAAAATAATTTTAAAATCTGAAGGAAAAATAAAAGAAATCTGCAAACTGACGTAATTTCAAGGGTTTGTCGTAAGGTATGGTGCAGGAACACACACATTTTGTTAACACCCACTTTGGCCTTTTTTGACAAGATTTTAAATTAAAATTTGCAAATGTCAGCTCCTTTTAGTGATTTAATGAAATGTCTTTATTGTATTTTCAAGCCTATTTTAACAGCTCTCATCCTGAAGCCCTTCTACATAAGCTCGGAAGCAAGACATGTTAAATTCACAAATTTCAGTTACAAAGCTAATGTTCACGAAGGCCGCCCGCCGTCTAATCAACTCTAATCACTATTCGACGGCATCGAATAGATTCCGGGTTGTCGAAGTCGGCCCAAGAGACGGTTTGCAGGTTGCCGCTGCCCGCGGGCCCGTTAAAATTGATTTTTAGGCAGAGAAAAAATTTGTGCCCACCGAAATTAAGGTGGAGTTGATCGATCGGCTGTCCGCGTGCGGTTTCTCGACCGTCGAGACGACTAGTTTTGTCTCTCCCAAATGGGTTCCTCAAATGGCCGATCATAAGGATATTGTGGCCCGACACAAGCGATTCAAAGGTGTATCCTACCCGGTTTTGGTGCCAAACGCGGCTGGACTCAAAAATGCGGTTTGTTTTTAATGATTTTTTATTGAAAACTGGTCATTTTTTGTTTTCCAGCTTTCAACAGGAGTTGTCGAAGAAATCGCAGTGTTCGGAGCTGCCTCCGATGCGTTTTCGCTCAAAAACGTCAACTCGAATGTGGAAGATTCGCTGAAAAAACTAGAAGAAGTGACTAAAATCGCCTTGGAGAATGGAATTCGAGTGCGTGGATATGTTTCCGTCGTCGTCGGATGTCCCTATTCTGGCCCTGTAAATCCTGAAAACGTGGCAAAGGTGGCAGAGCGGCTTTTGGCCGCCGGATGCTATGAAATCTCCCTGGGTGACACAATTGGAGTGGGCCAAGTGTCCACCGTCTCCAAAATGCTCGATGCCGTACTCCGGGCGGTCCCTGCCGAAAAACTTGCCGTCCATTTTCATGACACCTACGGCCAGGCCCTCGCAAACATGCTCGTCTCGATCGAAAAAGGCATTCGGGCGGCCGATTCGAGTCTCGCCGGCCTCGGAGGGTGTCCATACGCGAAGGGGGCCACCGGCAACCTGGCCACCGAGGACTTGCTCTATTTCTTGAAGGGCAACGGATTTGACACGGGCGTAGATCTCGGAATGGTCGTAGAGACCGCTCGTTGGTTCAATTCTGCCGCTGGATACGACAAATGGTCGAGAGTCGGAGCGGCGATGGCTTCGAAAATCCAGAAGTGCTAAAGATATTCGTGTATTTATGAAAATGTTCCGGTGATAACGACTAGACAATAAAGAGCTTAGAATTTATTAATTTTCCCCGTACTTTTCTCTTCGATTTTATCTGGTTTGAAACCGATTTCCCTACTTCTTAATCTCTCGATGTTTTTACCTTGATTCTGATAATTTTCTAAATTCTTACAGGATGTCGGAAGCAATCGACGAGGAGAGTATTCTCAACGAGAGCATCGACGACGTGGTCAACGCGGGAAATGAAGACGGAATCGATCTAAACGAGGACCAGATAAATGAGTTGCTCGCCGAGCAACCAGAACATCCGGAGGAGCCGGAGCAGCCAGTGCCAGCGCCAGAAGCCAACGCAGAAGCCAACGCAGAAGGAGATAAACAGGATGACGAGGGAATTCAAGTGGACGACCATCACGAAGTTCATGTGGAGGAGGTCATAGTGAACAATGTGGTTCATGAGGAAGAGGTTGCCGACGACAACGTGGAGCGAGTGCGAGCCAATGCTCGAGAAGTTCAGTTGGAGTCGGACGAGGAGATAGTTGAGGAAATTATAAGACCGATAGAAGTGGGCAAAGAAGACGAAAATGGCGAAGTGGTAGCCGTGGCCGAGGTGATTATCAATGGAACGCCAAGTCAAGATAGTAAGTTTTCGAATATTTCTTGAAAAATTCCAATTCCATTGTTGCAGATCACAGCCGAAAACGCATGAATGGAATTTCGACGTGCAGTCCGGCTCACAAAAGAGCACGCTATCATCATCACCACCCAACACCGTATCTGAGAGCCAGAAATTCGGCGATTCGCATCATATCACGAATTTTCGCCCATCCGACGGACACGTTGACCGAGAAGGACTTGCGTTTTCTGAAGAAAATAACGGATTCGGCGTCGAGAGAAGCATTGACGATGGCCACCGAACAGCTGAAGCGAACTAACAACGAGTTGTTGGCGGCGAAACTCGAGTTGGCGGCGGCGAAGCAGAAGCTGAAGAGCATGGAGGTGCGGATGGCCGGAGTCACGCTGGAGGTGATCACTCTCAGCAACCTGCTCACCGTTCCGCCCGTCGGCAGTATTTCCGTCCTGCAATCTCTTCAGCATTCGAGAAAACGTAGCGAATCGCCGGTTGTTGTAAACGTCGTACCGCAGCAGCAATTGCAGAGTCAGAATCGTATCCAACCGCCGGAATTTCAACAAGTTGCGGCTCCTACCACGAAATTCCCTGCAAGAAAGCACTTGAGACGACCAGAGAATGAGATCCGAGCAGCACCAGTTCGTCAAGAATCCGTGAATGCAAGACAACAAGTGCCGGCAAACAGTTTATCCATGATAAATCGTCAGCACGCTCATCGGACGTCCGAATTGTCTCCTCAGATTGCTCTAATTCCTCCCCATCGTCGCTCGAGTCATCCACAGCCGGGAGTAACTCAAAGAATCGTCGAAGCAGCGACTGCTCCTCGTCCACAACAAATTCTTCGCAACAATCCGCCACAAGTTCTTCCACAACCGCTCTCGAACGTAGTGATGTTGGTCCCGCGGACGACGAATCTCGGCCACAGCGACCCAAACACCTCGCACCAGTTTCCGCAAAATCTAGTCGATAAAACGGTACCAGGCAGCAACCTGATCACCCTTCATCTGCCGTTGATTCCCGCCGATCTGATAATACAGAATCCGGTGAGCCGCGCGAAAGTACCGCCAATGTTCGCGAACATCCGTCCGTCGCCGAACATCACCGTCAGCTTCTCGTCTTCTGCGAAGGATGTGCTCGAGAATTATCAAGTGTGCGGACGGGTTAACTATGAGAAAATTGATGGGGCCGAGAATAAGGTGAGTCTGCAGGATGAAATTAAAGAAAAATGTTCATGATTTGTTTGCAGATGCTCCAAATCTTCATCCGAATGGCGTCAATGAGCAACAAGGGGCTCATGGCGCGTCTGCTTCGTACGGGCGCTCATTACGACTGGGGACACTCGAAGGAGCTGAAGTGTAATCAGAAATCGCACAAGTTCAAAGTAAAATTCCATCAGCAACAGCAACTTCATCCGCACGAGAGTGTCACCGTGATGGCCGTCATTTACGACGCGCTCAAAAAGGAGACCATCATCTCGATACCTGAACTTCTTTCCATTGTCCAATAGTATCTATTCTATTCTTCTTCTGTCCATTTCCGTTTCAAAGATCTCCTATTCCACGTAAAACTCTGTGCTCTGCTCTGTTTTTTCCCTCTAAGTTTTCGTTTTATTGATTGATATTGAACCCATACCCCACCACACATCGTTTCGTCGTTCAAGTTAAAAATTTGAATCACGGTTAGAGCAAGCTTTGATAAAACTTTTTAAAATTTCTCGTTTTCCTCTATTCATTCTGGTTCATTTGTTCCAGCTTTTACCTCCTCTCTTTGTACCACAAAAGTTTAAAATTATCTCACTTTCCTTTTGTAGAATGGTGAATTTGTTTCCGAAAACGATCGAATCCGACGAGGAGATGGAGGCTGACGAGAGCGGCGACGAGCACGCTGAAGAGGAGGCGGTGACGGTGCGCAAGAAGAAGAAGAACGCGATCGCCGCCGACGAATTCTCGCAGGACTTTGTCTTCGACGGCGCCGGCACTGTATTCGCCGATCGAGAGACCGAGGATCTGCAAAAGTATCTGAAGAAGCAGACGCCGACGTCGCTCGACGAGAAGATTGCCGAGATGCGGAAACTGAAGAACACCGGCAAGGCGGTGATTGTGGATGACGAGGACGAGAAGGGCGACGGCGAAGAGGACGACGTGCAGCAGTTGGGAGGAAAAGAGACGCGCGATACGGTGCGAGAGAAGAAGAAGACGGGAAGAAGCCGGAAAGCGAACGACTCCGACGAGTTCTTCTCCGCGCTCATTGACGGAAAGAGTCTGGATGCTAATGTGAACGTCACCTTCGAGCAAATGAATTTGAGCAGACAGATTCTGAAGGCGTGTGCCGGAGCCGGTTATACCGATCCTACGCCCATTCAGCAGGCCTGTATTCCAGTGGCGCTCACCGGAAAGGTAGGAGATTACAGATTTTTAATATTAATTTCAGCTATCCCATTTTCAGGACATTTGCGCGTGCGCAGCCACCGGAACCGGAAAAACGGCGGCGTTCGTGCTTCCGATCCTCGAACGCATGTTGTACCGCCCGAAAGGAGCCAGCTGCACACGAGTGCTCGTGCTCGTTCCGACCCGCGAACTGGCGATTCAGGTGTTCCAAGTCTTCCGAAAACTGTCGAATTTCATCCAATTGGAAGTGTGTCTTTGTGCAGGTCAGTCGTCAAATCGTTTATTTGAGAAAACAGGAAAAGTGAACAAAGATAAAAGGCCCGTCGAGGAGAATACATTAAAAATGCAAAGAGGGAGGGAGCAAATCAGTAGTTGGTGGCCGAAAGGGAGGGGAGAAGGGCGCCAGAACGGTTCGGAGTGGACTTTCCGAACGCGGAAATGTAGGCGAAAAGGACGACGGACAGGATGGCGGACGTGTAGAACGCGTAGGTGTAGTGGAACATTTCGACGAGGAACGAAGCGTAGAGCGGCAGGACAAAGTGGGTCAGCCACTGGACCATCGACGCGAATCCAGTCGCCTTTCCGAGATCTGTTAGCTCAACAGCGCTGCAAAAAATGGTATTAGATCTTGCTCGATTCTGAGAGAAATCTACTCACGTGGTAATCTGAGTAGAGCTCTCGGCGTAAGCCACCGCATAGGCAGCCGTCTGAACAGCAGTGATCACGAGCATTTGATCGAAGCTCGTCGCAAAAGCGGCAGCCAAATAACTAGCGAACAACCCGATCAGAGAGACCTGGAGCAGGCTTTTCGGGCTGGCTCTGCGCTGCACAAGCGGCATGACAATGAATTGGACGAAGAGCAGCGAGGCGGACATCGTGAGCAGCACGTACGCACTGTCATTCGTGTTGTGCATGTAGTTGCGGAGCAAAAAGTTACGAGAGATCATCTCGTAGCACACATAGGCGGAAATCAGCATTCCGCGGATGAAGAGTCCCTCCTTGAGCGCCGTGTTCTTGGCGATCATGTGCCAATAGTCTTGTGGGCGAAGTCGGGCAGAAGCGAGACGAGGAATGGAGTGGGTGGTTGGCAGCAGGAATAGGAGGACTGGGACCATCGTGGCAGCGAGCACGATTCCAACGATGAACTGGGAAGTTCTCAGGGAGGTCCAGGCGGCCACTTTGGATCCGACGATCGGACCGAAGAACATGGCACCGGCCTGAAGCATTTAGTTGAGAATTTGGGCAAATTTTTTGTGTTTCTTGCAAACCTGTGGGATAGTGAGTCTCATGAGAGCACTGGTTCTCTCGCTCTCAGTAGTGACAGTCGCCAAATACATTTCTGCGGTTCCGTCCAACTGATAACCAAATCGTAGCAATTGAAGGAAGAAGAACGAGTACCAAGATCGGGCCATCGAAATTCCCGAATAATAAACGGCGGTGAACACCACGGAGAGTAGGAACATGCTCTGCGCACCCAAAGTGTCAGCCAATTGTCCGGCGGCCAGTGCTCCGATGGCATTGCACAAAGATCCGAACGCTTGAATGTATCCGAGATCTGTGATCGTCATCACCTCTTCAGTGTCCCATTGGAGGAAAGAGAGAAGAGTTGTGGTCCATTGGGTCGCAAAGTGCCACAATCCAAAGATTAGGCACAGTACGAACATCACTTTTTGTTTCCTTTCGAACGACATTTTTAGTGGGAGGTTTTGGTTACTGAAATCGTTTACTATTTTCAAAGTGTGTGAGAAGATAAGAAGAAAGATTGATTGAATTATGCGAAAAGAAGAAGGGATAGCTGCAGGAAGAGATGCGATTGGCAGTATAGATACAGGAGGGCAAGATTCGTCGTGATGACGACAGAAACCCGCTGGGCAAATCTGGATTCGACGCGGCGGCGGCGGCTAGCTTAGTATTGAACATTATATGCTTCTCTCAAACACGGCTTCTGCGGCTGCCACATAGATGAGAAGCTTCGCCAAAGCTAGACAACTTTTTATGTATACATTGATTCTCGCGTAATGTGTTACGCGCCGCTCGATTACCTATTGAATGGAGAGGAATAGATTCTGGTTGCGTGTTGCGGTTATGATTGGTTACCGGTAAAAACGGAAATTTGAAAAGAAAACGTTCGTGATTAGAGGTCGTGTTGCAATTAAGAATTGAAATAGATTAATCGGGTCAGGACGGCGAGAAAGTTTTGAGAAATTTCAAATTCCGGATATGATTATTTTTATTTAGAAGGAGAACGGACCGTTTAGTGTAAAAATTAAAATAAAAGGTTCAATGATCGAACTTTAAATATACAAAAGGTCTGCCTAAGGCTTGAAGCCTGATAAGAACTACGATTTCTTCGAAGATCTAGTGATTAAAAAAAGCTTGCAAATCTTTCGCCATGCTAAAATATCAGAAGAAAAAGTTGGCAAAGTGATTTTTGCATAGCTTGGATATATGGATCGCGCCGATCCATCCATCCGTCTCCCTCTCTCCTCCTTCTTCTTTTTCTCTTCTTCTGTTCTTCTTTTCGCCTTCGTCTTGATCGGAAAGAGAGTGGAATCCTCCGCGTGTCGCCTTCGAAACCTGTCTTCCCCTTCTCCTCCTTCTCGTTCTTCTCTCGTTCTCTTTCCGCCCTTCCGTCCATCGGAAGAGAGAGAGAGAGAGGGAGACCATAACACCGTCCTCGAGGGGGGATGGACAACCGATTAACAGCACTTTTCTGGTCGCGCCCGCCTGCGCGTACCTCTTCTGCCAATCACACGGAGAAAAGAGAGATGAATAAAGTAGCAAGAGAAAGAAGAAAAAGTGTGACGATGTTATCACATTTTATTCAGCGGTTAGAACCTATTTCGGGCAACAGTGATTACATTTGGCGAATAATTATTCAAATTTAGAGGAGAACCCTGGCAAGTACTCCGAACTGAGCACCATCGAACTGCCGTACTTTCGAACGAGCCCAACCGCTCCAGCCGACAGAACGGCGCTCAGAAGGCAGAGCGAGACGACGTCGTAGTGGGCGGTCAGAGTTCCGTGAACAAAAGGCACGAGCAAAGTAGCGGCCAACTGACTCATTCGGAGCACAGAGGCCGCAGTTCCTGCCTTTCGTTTTCCGATGGCACCCATCAGTTGGGAGGAGAGTTCGCCGATGCAGATAGTCGCCGCAGCCACCTGCAACAACAATAGGCGCAAAATAGTGTCGATTGAGCGAACAAATAAAAGAAACCGGACCGTCCCTCCCGCGGTCTTTGACTCTTTCTTACCTGAATGGGCATTCCGATAAACAAATGGATCAGATCATGAAACACGGCGAGATATACGTAGCTGACGGCGAGCAACGAGAAAGAGCCGGAGAGCAGCATTTGACTGGAGAACTCTTTTTGAAGACGTGGCAAAAGAATTCCGTTGACAAAGACGGTGGTAAGTCCGAGGAGGAGAAAGAGATTGTGCATGTTCTGAGGGTCACGAATCGCACTAGAAGCCATCGAATTGCGGATAAGAGAGTCGTAGGCGGAATAGGGGCCAGTGACCATCATAAGGAGAAGGGCGTACAGTCGCACATTGTCACTCTTCAGAACCTCCAAATAACCGGAGAAGTCGGGCACCAGGGAAAGATCTGGAGTAATTAAGTTTTATATGTCTTCGGGTGTGACTAACTTGGTTTCGGGTTATCCGGGTAGAAGTTCCAAATGACTGGAAGCAAAGTGAACGCGGAAAGAATCGCACACACCGCCTGAGAAAGCTCCAATGAAGGGGTGATGAAGAAGATCATCTGAAGAGCACAGTAGGGTCCAGCGGCGAAGCCAATGCTCATCGGAATCATGATCCGCGTGATCAGTCGAGTTCGTTTCTTGTAATCTCCATCTTCGCTTTCCAAGTTGAGAATGGCGGCGTCGATGATCATTTGCATATTGTTAAAAATCAGAAGAGCTTGCAAAATTACGTAGATGTGGAGGTTGGTGAACTGGCAAACGAGAAATTGGTAAAGGATTACGATAGCCGAGGAGATCATCGCGCTCGAGCGGAGCCCGAGGACTTCAATCTGAAATTTAGAGATCATTCCGTGAATTTCGAACTAATTTCTACCATTCGAGCAACAAAAAACGTTCCGAGAAGGGTGAAAGTTGTAGAAACGGCATTGAGCCAAACGAAATTGTCCATTCCAATTCGTGGTTCCAAATTCCACTGCGCAAACGGAATGAGGGCTCGAGTCCATTGATCATACGTGTGATAAACTCCTTAAAACTTCTAGATATTAAAATTTGTTCAAGTTAAGTACCTGTAGAGACTAGAAGAGCAATTTCGTGGCGATGCTTCTCGCGGCGGTTCATAGTTGAAAATGAATTGGATTCTCCTCCGGGATTCGCATTTATCCAATCCGCTACACTTTTTGGCAATGTGTGCACAGCAGGCAGCTCGCAGTTCATGTGACGTAGACAACAATGGAATAAGAGAAAAAATCGCTCTTTTTATTAAAATCAATTTCATTTTTTTCCAGGAGGATTGGATTTGAAGGCCCAGGAAGCGGCACTTCGCTCCGGACCAGATGTCGTCGTGGCGACGCCCGGACGACTCATCGACCATTTGCACAACTCGCCCAACTTCAATTTGAGCAACATTGAGGTACTGTAATCTATTGGAATATGACAAGAATCGGGAAAATTCTAGGTGCTGGTGCTCGACGAGGCCGACAGAATGCTCGAGGAGGCGTTCCGCGACCAAATGAACGAGCTCATCCGACTCTGTGCGCCCAACCGCCAGACCCTTCTGTTCTCGGCCACAATGACGGAGGAGATCGACGAGTTGGCGTCGATGTCTCTGCAGAAGCCCGTCAAAATCTTCATCAACGAGAACACGGACACGGCGCTCAAGCTCCGTCAGGAGTTTATTCGTGTTCGAGCCGGAAGAGAGACGGATAGAGAGTCGATGGTGGCCGCACTCGTCACCCGAACCTTCCAGACCAACACGATTGTGTTCGTTCGCACCAAGAAGGACTGCCAACGCATGCAAATCCTTCTGGGACTCCTCGGAATCAAAGTGGGACAAATGCAGTCGTCGCTCACACAGGGACAACGTATCGAATCGCTGTCCAAGTTCAAAAAGGGAGAAATCGACGTGCTGGTGTCGACGGATCTAGCCTCGAGAGGTCTGGACATCGAGGGAGTGCAGACTGTGATCAACATGAACATGCCGAATGCGATCAAACAGTACATTCATCGAGTGGGACGAACTGCGCGTGCCGGAAAAGCGGGACGCTCCATCTCACTGGTCGGAGAGGACGAGCGCAAACTGCTGAAAGAGATTGTGAACTCGAACGCGGATCGCACGCTCAAGCAGAGATTGGTGGCGCCGGAAGTGGTGGAGGCGTATCGGAGACGAATCGACGAGTTGGAGGAGACCATTATGCAGATCGACGAGGAAGATCGGGAGGAGAAGGAGCTGCGAATTGCGGAGGCGTCGATGGCGAAGACTCAATATGCACTGGAGACTGGAGAAGGCGGAAAAGAGAAGAGGGTTTGGATGATGAAGGAGTCGCAAGTTGGTAAGCGTTTGTAAGAATTCAGACAGCACATGGTAATGCATTATTTTTTACAGAAAAACAGAAAAAGCGTGAGGAGAAGCGTCAAATGAAGATTGACGCGAAAAAGAAGGCGCAGGCGGCCAAGTCTCCTGAAGACATTGCCATCGAACACGAGGCGGCGTTCCACGTGCGCGCTGCGAAAAGAGCACGTCTCTCGAAGAACCGAAAGATTCGGGCGGTCGTCGAAAACGAGCCACGTGGCGCGAAACAGACGGCGCAGAAGAAGAAGTCGAATGCGAAGACGTCGTTGCGAGACATTCCGATGGTGCAGAGCGGAGCGCGTGGAGTGCAGAAACCAGGAAAGGGCGGAGCCGGAGCTAAAAAGGGATTCACCTCCGCACTGGCGTCCGTTTCCCGAAAATCGGTCAAGGCCGCCCGTCACGGACCACAAGACTCCAAGTTCCAGAAGGCACGAGTCGCCCATCGTATGAAAACCAAAAAACGCTAATTTTGTTTTCTCTTTCTTTCATTGTTATAATCCCTCGTTTTGTTGTTGATTTTGTCCTTTTTACATCGTCTATTAAATTGGTTTTGTTCAGAAAAGTTATTAGCGTTTTTATTATTATCTCTATCCTTATGATTCGTAAAATCGAGATTGCATCTTTGAGGTCTTTCGTTTTTCCATGTTCTTCTTCATTTTGCTCTCAGACTTGACGGTACGGAGAATCGTGTTCCTAAAATATTATCATTTCTCGAAAACTGGCGCCAACTTTGGCAACCAACTCACATGTTTCGTATTCAAAAGACTATCGTATGTCTCTTCCATCAAAGCACTCCGCGACTCAATCTTCTCGTCCAACTGCTCCATCAGATCCTTCAAATCGTTGATCTCCTCCACCAGCTCCTCCTTTTTCCGCGTGGCCGTCAACTCTTGCTCCGGCACATTTGACGTTTTTATTCCGAAAATCTTCGCCCTGTGCGCATTCCGAGTTCGAAATTTCGGGAATTTCCGATTCGCCGTCGTCGGGTCCACCTCTCCGTAATGCAGTTGAATCACCTTCGTCTGGTGCGTCTTGACACGCTTTTTTTTGGGCAAACGCTTTTTGGCGAATACTTTAGTTTCCGGAATGCTGGCCGATGGATCGTTCGGGGAGCTGTCGAGACGGCGACGAAGTTCATTTCTTAAAAAACTTCTGCTTGTCAGAATATTGTAGTTCAAGATGATCCAACAAACCCGTCCAACTGCGACTCCTCGGCCGCCTTTGTCATATTCGCCAACATCCAATCCAACGCGTGCAACGTGTCCAACGAGATCTCTTCTGGAATCGGGAATCCTGATGGGGTTGTAGTCGTGGTAGTTGGAGCCTGAGTGGTGGTTGTGGTCGTCGTCGTCGTCGTGCTCGGATTCACCTCTCCGAAGTGAATCGCATTCTTCCCTGCAAAATTTATGACAGTGGAAGTGCGCTCCAGCGTAATCCAACTTACACGGCTTCCTGCTCGTCGTTGTCTCCTCCGCCGCAATCGTTTCTTCCTCGTTGAAAAAGCTGATCACTTCTGGATGTTTGACGTGTGTACCGCCCATACTCGGAGTGACCAACTCGACGATATCCTCTGGTGGAACAGTTAGAAGACGTGGCGTCACTCGGGATGGAGGGCGGCGCGGAGTCGGTCGGGGAGTTGTAGTTGGGCGGGGAGTTGTAGTAGTGGTAATGGCTGTGGTGGTGGTGGTGGTGGTGGTTGTGGTTTTTGTCGTGGTGGGTACGGTGGATGTGGTCGGAGGCACTGTAGTCGTCGAAACTTTCTTCGTCGGGCTCATCAACTCCTCAATGCTTCCGAAAATGTCCTCCTTGAACTCTTGATCTTGGAACTTTGGGCCGTCCATTTTTTCCCGCAACTTTTGCATTTCATCGTTGACCTCTTCGATCTCCTGATCCTTTTCAACTGGCGCCGCAGTGACTTTCCTCAGTGGCTTCTCCTTTTTCGAGAACGTTCCCTCTCCTCGGCTCTTCTCGCGGATCTTCTCCTGCTCGTTAACTTCGTCTATGAGCTCTTGCTGCTCCGAATGCTCCTTCAGCTTCTCCTGCGGTTCCGTGATATCCGAGAAGACGTCAGTAAGGTCCGGAAGCTCCAACGGCTTCTGCTGGGGACTAGAGCTGATGGCGAAGGCTTTGGCTCCGAGAGCTCTTGCTCCGAACATCTTCTCTGGAGTGGATCCCGGTGCTCCATCTCTTCCGTTATCCGGACGATTCAAAAGTTCATGGCTCAAAGGAGTGGGCGGAGCCAGAACCAGATCCGCAAGTCTCGCCCTCATTCTCTCTTTGTCGTGTTCGGGCAGACGGTTCAGTTTCTCGTCGATACTCTCATCCGGATACAATTGCTTCAGCGCCTCCAGTCTGTCCTCTTGCCACGGATCGACAGTGTCGTAATCGGAGATGATGGTGTTGGGCCTCGGTGGTCTTCCGAGAATCGGACTGGTCGATGGATCGCACGCTTCGGTCTGCTGGTTCGGACCGAGGCATCGGAAGCCGCGGATCGTGTTGCACGCACGCACTCGGATACGCGTCGAGTCCGAGCAGAACGACCACGCCGACCAGGCCGCCCAGACCGAGGCGTACACTGAAAAACAAATCGGTCAATATTTTGTTTTTTTTTTGTTGCTAAATTCACTTTGTGTCGAGACCTATTCAGTTTGTAGTCTAACGTGTCATAATCTGTTCACAGATTTCACTTTTTCACACTCTACAAGTTCACGCGATTCGATTCTATTCGATCGCTGTTTCAATGATTCTCTGCTTACCCATTTGTGCGTTTTGTGGTAAAAGCGACGGGCGCGGCGTGGCGAATCCATTAAATTGATTGAGTCTTCCGGTCGGAGCCCACGACGGCGAAGTGGTCACTTCCAGGTCGTGGAGTTGACATTCTAAAAACGCTTTTTTCGTCTAGTTGCAGTTAATTTTCGATCTCTAAAATTTTGTACTTTGTTAATTACGTGCCAGTTCGGTCCGATGGAGCGCACTTTTAGCCACGCCCAAGTGACGCGTGTAGAAAGAAATCTATCCGAGATAATCTCATTCCATCGTCTTTCTCAGGTGAAAGAGAAATTAAGGACAGTTTATTGAGAGAGAGAGAGAGATTGGACGAAAGTGAAAGTTTAGGAATTTTTCTAGAGACTTATTTAGTGTTTATCTAGAATGTTTGCATTTTTGGGGAAAATGAGCATCGCGCTCAAATGAGCTCAAGGTTTTCAAAACAATGCTATATTCCTAGTTGTTCTGACCTAACTTGTAGTTTTTCTAAATTAATTCGTAAAATGTGCTTACCAACAAAAACGGGAATAAACAGTAGAAGTAGGAGAATCATTTCGGAGTTTTTTTTTCTCCAAATTCCAGAATTAAAGTGAAAATCCGCAAAACTTTCTTCTCCTCCTTTTCTCAGGGCGCGTAGGAAAATGATAGAGAAAACGGAGAGTGGGTCAGTTATCAGAGAGAGAATGCGAATGCGAAAAGGAAATCGGGTCACACACACGGGAAAAGGATAAGAAAGAAGGTGAGGGGGAAGCCGAGAGAAATCATATGCAACTGTTTTACCCTCGCTGATAATTGATGATAAGGGGCGGATCGGGACGTTTATTTACTTGAAAGTTGAAACCTTGGAAAAAACTGACTTAGGATAGGTGTGTTGAATAGAAAGTTTGGAAGGGGAACCCATAATCAAAGCGACAGAAAACAAAGAGCTGGAAAATTATTTGGAAAGGGCCAAGATGCGGGCGTTCAACGGGTTCTCCGGCGATTTTTGCCACTCCTTCTTGAGAACTTGCTTTAGTTGCGATAGACGATATGTCGGATGCTTGATCTTCAGTTCGGCCAGACGCTTCTCCTCGAAAGCCTGGAATTTTAAGGGTTGAAATCATTGAAACGGCGGAACAAGATTTGTTTAACATATTTCGTCAGCAGAAGCTTACCAAATAGGCGGCTCTCATTCGCTTCTCCGGATGCTTGTCCTCCTCGGTAACCTTCTCGTCGCCGAGCACTCTCAACGCTTCGTCGACCGTCCGAGCGCCCTCCTCGAGCACGACCTTGTTGAGATTCTCCTGAATCTCGCCGACTACCTCCAACTTCTGTGCTTCCTGCTTTCGTTTCTCCTCCAATTCTCGCATAATGCGCTCCTCGTCCTCTTTGCGCAAATGAATGTGCGCCCTGAACGTTGCTGATTTCTGCTCCTGTCCCCTGCCCCCTGTTACCTGGTGACCTTCTGAGCAGAGGAGCTCGTCGGCTTCTTGTTGCCAAGCGAGCTCATCTCCTCCTCCGCCAACTTTTTGTTCTCTTCCTTCCTTTTCAGCGCCTCTTCACGCTTCTTCTCGTCCTCCTCCTGAAAGCGAATTCATTAATTTTTGAGCAGAGAAGCGTCGGATTTCGTAATTTTGCATAATTAATAGTGTTGTCCAAAAATGCGGATAAATTATGTGAAAATCATCGAGATTTATTTTTTCAAGTGGGAAACTGTTAAACCTTAACGACATTTCATTGTTTCAATACCCACCTTTCTCTGAAGCTTTCGATTCGCCAGCTTATCATCGTCCACCCATTTGGCGTCTTCGGTAGCCTAAAAACTTTTAATTAATTTTTTTATTTTTTCCCATAAACGTCTTGAAAACCTTGGCTTTCTTATCGGCTTCATCCTTTTTAGCGGTTGCCTTGCGATCTCGGGCGGCCGCTACTTTTGGGTTCTCGTTCGCGAACTTTTTCGGCATTTTATTGATAGTTTATATGACTGTCTATGTAGTTCAAAACTGAAAAATTCCATCAATTTTCGAGGGAAGAGAAGCATGAAAGGTTAATAAATGCATTACTAAATAGCTTGGATGCGGACTAGAATTTCGGCGGAGCGGCCGAGTTTCCTGCGAAACTCGGCCACAATTCCGCCGCGCACTCTCCTCGTTTCCCCCATTCTCGCCTAGAAAACGGCGCCCGAAGAAAGGGAAAACCGATGCGGAACAACGAGGAACAATTGGCCCTCCTTCTTCTTTTCCCCTTTTCCTCCTCTCCATTTTTTTCCGGCCCTATTGTGTCGGAATCGATAAAACATTGTTTCGCTTTGCCGAGTAAAAAATTACTTCTTTTTTCTGCTTTTCAGCGTTCTCCGTTCGCCGCCGTTCCCCGTCGTCCATCATTTCGACCACTTTTTCTCATTTCCACATGAAGGTAAAATGAGAAGATTGCGACCCAAATAAATGGGAAAATGGAGAAGACGATGAAGTAAAGTAATCGGAAAAAAGAGAACATCGCCACCAAAAAAGTTATGACCGTGAGATTTCGTTGTTTTCGTCTCCGATTTCCACTTTTCGTTCCCACTTTTAATATCCGCAACAACCGTCATGTTCTTTCTAGAACACCTTCGAAAGAAAATCGTTTCATTTTCCACCGTTTGCTTTTCCGAGGATTTTCATAAATTTTGTCCAAGAATCTGGAATTTTACGAGAAATAAACATGCTTAATGCTTGCAGGCGCGTCTGTCTCACTCATGATCGATGGCTCTTCGACATTTGGCAGTCGCCAGGCTCAAGACCCTTCTCGTGCTCTGCGCCGTTCTGCTCCTCGTCCATGCCATGATCTATAAGGTTTTCCTGCGATTTCCGTCTCGTTTTTCATATGAAAGTGCGCTCAGATGCCGTCGTTTTACGAGAGTTTCGCAATTGGCTCCTCGACGCTGATCGCCGACGTGGACGCGATGGAGGCGGTCCTGGGGAACACGGCGAGCACGAGCGACGACCTGAATCTGGTGCTCAATACCACGTTCTCGCCAATTCGCGAATCGTCGAATCAGACCTCGTTTCTGGAAGGTAATCACTGAGACCCAGTCCCATCCTCGTCTCAAATTTCCATTTTAGACGTGCGTATGCTACTCGCCTACGACCAAACGAAGCCGTTCTGCAACCAGACACCGCCGCATCTCGTCGGCCCGATCCGCGTGTTTCTCGACGAGCCCTCGTTCGCGTCGCTCGTCAAAATGTATCCGGAACTGCACAAAGGCGGGCATGGAGTGCCGGCCGAGTGCCAGGCACGTCACCGAGTGGCCGTCATAGTTCCGTACCGGGACCGGGAAGTGCACCTGCGCATCATGTTGCACAATTTGCACGCGGTGCTCCAAAAACAACAGTTGGACTATGCGATATTCGTCGTCGAGCAGGTCGCCAATCAGACATTCAATCGCGGAAAAGTATGTTTATGTTTATAGGGGAAAGAGCGAGTTATAATATAAACTATGGAGAATGAGTGCAATTGAGGGTTGGAGGAAGTTATTGAGAGAAAAGAATCACCGTTTCCAGTTGATGAACGTCGGTTTCGACATCGCCTCGCGTCTCTATCCGTGGCAATGCTTCATCTTCCATGACGTGGATCTTCTGCCCGAAGACGATCGAAATTTGTACACGTGTCCGATTCAGCCACGTCATATGAGTGTGGCTATTGATAAATTTGACTACAAGTAGGATTTTGATCGATTTCCACTCGAAAAATGGTCAAATTCAGACTTCCCTACTCGGCAATCTTCGGCGGAATCAGCGCGTTGACGAAAGAGCACGTGACGAAGATCAACGGTTTCTCGAACGATTTCTGGGGATGGGGAGGTGAGGACGACGATCTGGCGACGAGGACGTCGATGGCCGGACTCAAGGTGTCCAGGTATCCGGCGCAGATTGCCCGCTACAAAATGATCAAGCACTCGACCGAAGCGACGAATCCGGTTAATAAGTGGGTCAAACACATTTGGCGTAACACTCTGGAACTCAAAGATTTCTTCAGATGTCGATACAAAATAATGGGCCAAACGAAGCGGCGGTCGAGCCGAGACGGACTGAGCTCTCTCAAGTACAAATTGATCGATTTGGACCTGAATCCATTGTACACACGAGCACGCGTCGATCTGCTCGAAAAAGAGTGCCGACGGGAGCTGCGGAGAGATTTCCCCACTTGCTTTTAACAATATCTCCTAAATTTCTATTAGCATTTTCTAATTTCTTTGCCCTCTTTCCCCATTCATCTTGCCAAATCGGGTCGAGCTGCTCTCTTTGGCGCTCTTCCTCCTCCAACTTTTTTTCGGGTTTCTCGCATTCTTGTGTACTTGCATGACAGAAAGAAAATTTTGATTCAATGTTTTCACTCTCAAAATTGGGCTGGACTCTTCTTCGCTGGTGGCTCGTCCGCAGTAGCTCCTTCCGTTGACGATCGTTTCCGACTCGGAGGTTTCTGCCCGATTTCCTTGCGAACTTTTTCAGAGTTTGGAACACATTTTGGCGGTTCTTCGACGAAATTTTGAGTTATTGATTGTGAAGAAGCGCCAGCGACATATTTACTCTTGGGAATCCCTTGATCACCCCTTCATAATCTTTGGAATCCCGTGGTCACTGCATACTGTAAAACCAGAACCTCTCAAATTCGCTAAAACAAACAAACCAGAAAACGGGAAACAAACTATATTCTTTTCTAGCGAGAAAATAATATTACGCAAGGGGAAACCGGACAAGATTAAAAAAAACGCTGGGAGAGGCCTTTTTGGGGTTGAGAGAAAGGAAAAGGCAGGAGGAAAATGAACATATATACATGTATACAAGAAGCTGAAAAATCAGCAAGTTAGGATTGCACACACTGCGGAGACTCTCTCATGAGACCGAGCAGCTGCATTTGCGTTCGTGCGGCGTTAAAGCCGCCCATCTCGCTCTTCTTCTCCATGAACTCGTACGGATCGGCGACTTTTCGGGAGACGTACTCGTCGGCACGCTCCAATTGCGGGCTCCACAAACGGATGTCGTCCTCGATGCCGGAGGTGGCGAGCAGAAACAGATCGGGATGCGGCTGGCAAATATTGAGAATGTGATCGTCGGCCTTCCAGATTCCCAGCAGTTTCGACGTGTCGCGCGACCAAATGTACATGTGACCACAGTCCGAACCGGCCACTGAAAAGAAACACAGGAAAAAGATATATCTGGGATGAATTAGCTTACCAATGAACTGATCACGCGATCCGAAGAAGTTGGCCTCTTTGATGTCGGTCTGATGGTTGGTGCTTCCCGTGAACCTCTGCACATAATCCACGGACCCCTCCGCCTGCTGCAGTTCCGGCTGCCCATCCGATTCCTTGATCTGCGCGATCTCCTCCGTTAGTCTGTCGATGACGCCCTGATCGTTCGGAAACCACTGTTTGTACGTCTCCAAACACTTCTTTGCCAACACGACGTGCTCCATCGAGCTGAGACTTTTGATTAAACGGAACAGCGCCTTCGTGTTTCCCCGATGGATTTCCAGCGCTTTGACGGACTCGCGAATGCAGGCATACGTGTCACCGCGAGATCGACGGAGCAAGAAGGCCATGGCTCGATTTGAGTGGCAGATGCTGCGGAATGCGCGATCTGGATAGTTATCGCGTATCAACTGGGCGTAGTAATCGATGGCTCGCGAGAAGTGTCTCTCTTTTATCGCGTCGCTTCCGACCTGTCGGAGTTCCGGATGCGGTAGAGCCGCCGAATATATTGTGGTCTCTCTCGGCTGCCCCAGCACATTGTGCATTCTTTGCATCACGTTCGGATCTTTCGAAGAATCCAAAGAGAATACGAACACTCCGCCGCCGTGCCCTTGATTCACGACCACTTCGGTGCCGAGTTTGTTGAAAGCCACGTGCGTTGCGTGATATGAATCGTACTCGGCATCCACTGAAAAACGAGAATTATTTGCTAGATTATCCACTTTTTCAAAATACGCTGTGCGAAACTGAGAATGGGCTCGTCGAACTTCCGTCGATCGTACAATCGAACGGCGGTCTCGTCGAATCCAACGGCAAGCAAATTCGGTTTCGCCTCGGAAACGGCCACCGACTTGACGTGTCGTTTGTGCGGATTTGTGGGTCCTGGCTGAACAACAGTGACTGGGTCGCCGATGCGAGTATCGAGTTCACTGCAATTAATCATTTTCGAACTCGTTTTTTTTCAGATTTTCACATACATGACACGTTTGTCGTACTCGGAAGCGGCCCAAAACAAGAAGGGATCCTGCTGAACGGTGCAGATCCTTTTGATTCTTCCCTCGGAATCCCATCGTTTCGCCGTGTTCGTCTCGAGATCGTGCATGAAAATGACGTGATCGGCGGCACCCGTCACCAGAACTCTGTCGTTCGAGGAGGGCAGAAACTCGACGGCGAACACATTTCCCTCGTGCTGAGTCTCAATATCGACCTTTTCGACTCCGGCCCTCCAGATTTTGACGTGGCGATCGTCGGATCCCGACGCCAAAAGTGCACCCGATCTATTCCATCGCAAAGTGTTCACACAACCCCCATGGCCCTGAAAACCCATTTTTGTTGTTTGTCATGTTTTCATGTCGCTCAAAACAAACTTTGAGCGTTTCAGTGTTTTCCAGCGCATCGATCAACACATTTTCGTTCAGAATATTCGGGAATAGCTGCGCCACTTGTTCCTGCTCACATCTTCTCTCCAACGCATGGAACATACCTGTAATCTTACTTGTCAGTCTACTCTTGAAATTTCCAGCAAAGAAAAAGTTAATTAATCCCTTGAAAACCCGAAATTTCCGCCTCAAAATGCGGTAAAAACAACAAGTTACAAGTGTCGTAGGGTGTGGCGCCAGGTGTGCAAACACTATCACGTCGAACCACAGAGAAAAAAGAGTTCGAGCCCGTATAAATAATTTACCGGCCATTTTACGAGTTTTTTCCTAGTAAAAAATTATTCATGCATTATAAAATGCTGAATTTGCAGATAAACAGAGAATGTACTGCCTGCAATGGCTGATCCCGGTACTTTTAATCCCAAAGCACTGGATTCACCCGATGTTTCTCGTCGAGCAGGCGCTCTTCATGTGGTTCTACATTGTCGGATTCTTTCTTGAAAGGAGGTTCGTCTGATCTTTAAAAAACAGTGCTAATACGCTTTGTGGCTAAAATAAACAAAAAAATTGGAAGAAAGACCTAAATATTCGTAAATTTTGGGAGCAGATGTTAAAAAGCTGTAATTTTGGCTTTTAAACGAACAGAAAACTGATGAAACATTCTAAACAGCTTGGCCTTTCACAAAAACTTCAGTTCTACCTGATTTCTCACTCAAAATTTGCAGCTAGTCCGAAAAACAAAAGCATTGGAGTTGAAAAACCGAAAAAGGGATAAAACTCACTGAATTCTAGGCCAATTACTCCTCAAAATCACAAAATCAATCAGTTTCAGACCGTGCCACATATGCTCGGGCATCTTCTTCATCGCGCTTTCGCTCATCTGCTACTCGGACCCGGACAGTTGCATATTCTGGCCGACGTGCAGCAAGAAGATGAACGGAGAGGTGTGCAACTACGTCTTCCGCGACCGTCTCTAAATTTTCCAATTTCACCAGAAAATTTAATCGTTCAGCGAACTATTACGGGCTTTCTCCTCTTTTCCTCCATCTCTTTCTCTCCCCTCTGTAATATCCCCGCAGCTTGCTTCTTGTTCTTCCTCTAATTGCACACCAAAAAAGTGATAATTGTGATAATTATAAAAGTTTTAAAACTTGAGAAAAGCTATGAAATTTTGAAAATTTTTGAAAAGAAAGGCAAAAACGAACGCTTTGAAAAATTTTGTTTCGGCCTTGATAAAAGCTCAAAATTATGTTTGTGTAGTCATAAAAAGACTGGGAAAAAGTATTGAATATAAACAAAAATGACAACAAAACAAAACAAAAAACAATGGGAACATAGTTGACAATGCAAGAAAAAGTGAGGAACTTTTGGTACGAATTCATGAGAAAAGGGACTTGAAGAGTTCATTTCTCGACTCGTGGCTCCACGTCACAACGGACGGTTTCGACGGATAAAAATTGACGAGTTTCGCGATGGGCTCGTACTTCAACCGGCGGTCTTTGGACGACAACTGGCTGACGTCCCTCTTCTTCTTCGACTGGAACATGCTCTGCAACTCCATGTAGCTTCTCGTCATATCCGCGCCGTCCTGTGCGGTGCTTTGGCTTCGCGACTCGAGCATCTGCTTCAGAAGAATCTGGTAGAAGTCCGAATCGTCGAACACCTCGTTGTCGATGGCCTCCGACGGAGAGGCGCCGATTCGCACGCGGCCGCTCCGATTCGTTCGCACTTTTTTCAGCAGTTTTTCCTCGTCAGCAATCACCTGTAAATATTGGAATAGAGAACAAACTTCGAAAGATTACAGATCACAAACCTTCTGGATTTGTCCAAGAATACTTCCTTTCTCGAAAACCGAAAAATCAGTGTTATTCATCGATTTCTGGCTGATCAACTTGGTCCGATTGTACCATTTTGTGATGGTCGTGGCCCGGAATTTGTCGATTCCCTCGTCCTTCTTCCCTAAATTACTCTTCAGGGCTTTCAGAGAAGTTCCGACGGATTCTGAAGGCGTGACGTCTTCTGAATCGTCTCCAGAATCGCCTTCCTCTTCGTCGTCCATTCCTTCGTCGTCACTCGGAATTTCCTCATCGTCATCGCTCGGAATCTCTTCGTCATCATCGTCCTCATTTTCTCCTTGACCGCTTCCATTTTTACCAAAATAGTTTGTGGCTTTTTGTATGGAATTTCGCAGTTTCGCCATGTTCGCAAGCGCGTTCATCAGCGATTCCTTCGTTTTCACGTCTGAACTCTTCAGAAGTGACTTCCGCGCGTCGCCACGTGGCATCTGATTGACCGAGTTGAGAAGTGCGTGCACTCTAATGTTTCCGTACATCAGATCGTCCCAAACTTGACGTTGACCGCGCACACTTGCAGCTGAAAATTATGCTTGGTTATTGAGTAATCAGAAGTTAAAGATCAACGAACCTTTGTCAGCTTTATCGGAATCATCGTTCAGCGACAATGTCGTCATTTTCAGCTTCGTCTCTCCAGAATCGCCCTCATCGTCCTCATCTTCCACAACTTCTTCGTCGTCCACCTCACCTTCGTCACTTTCTCCAATTTTTCCGTTTTCCGAAGCGTCAGAAGCTTCCGAGTCCACGTCATCTTCCTCCTCCACTTCTTCTTCATCTTCCTGCTCGTCTTCGTCGTCATATTCTTCGGAATCGTCGGCATTTTTGTTGTGCAAACCGCTAATTTCGGAAATGTCGCCGAAAAGTGATTTACGGGAAACGGCTGTGCCCGCGTATTTTCCCTGCTCGAAATCAAAGTTGGCACGCGCTTTTCCAGTCGATTTTAACGTTTTGGAGCCTGAAAAACTGGAATTTTGGGAATTATTTTGAAGAAAAGTACTACCTTCTAGATTGTCGTCTTCTAAATCGGGTAATTCCGATACGGGGTTTGTCAGCTTTGAGATTTCGTCAAGGAGACCCATTCCTGAATTTTGAATCTTTAAACTTAAAAATTCAGCTAAAAGAGAGCAATAAAGGAGCCGAAATCGCGAATTTCGTGTGGAAATTGTGAAAAAATCGAGATGGTCGACAGAAATAAATCGAATTTCTTAGGCCAGAAAGACTAGTCCACGGCCGCGATCTTTCGAACTGCTTTCGAAATCACACACTGGTGGGCGGACAGAATAAGAAGTCTGCCCGATTCTCGAGTCTCCGTTTCTGCCACATATACTAGAAATGACCGGAATGGCAGTCTGTAAGTGTCTGAGAGCAGAAGAGAAAGCTCGAAAGAGCGGAAGGGGAGGGAACAGGAGAACTGCCAGCCGTCGACTGTGAGAAGAACGCGGCGAATGCGTGTGAGTGGGCGGACAGAATAAGAAGTCTGCCCGATTCTGGAGTGTCCATTTCTGCCAAACTATACTGAGAATTACTTGAATGACAGTCTGTAAGTGCCCGAGAGGAGAAGAGAAAGCTCGAAAGAGCGGAATAGTTTTCTTTTCATAATAAACTCGTTCAATTTGCCGCGTAGTTGTCCGTATCGGAAGTTCTGAGAAGGATGTTCACGGATTATTATGTACCAAAACGTCAGAAACTTCGGGAATGTTTTATCGAGACCGTGTTGGCGATAGTGGCGTACTTTTCGCCGAAAAGGCCTTTGTCCAAAATGATAGTCTTCTCGCCGTTCTCCGTCCGAACTTCGATGCCATACGTTGTGAAAGAATACCGTTTCGTACCGTTCTCAGACTGGACGCTTTCGAAATCACACACTGCTGAAGAACAAGAAGAAATTCGTTTTTAGAAACTTTATTTGACTGTAATTACATTTGGGTCAAATTATACTGCAAAATAAATAAATAAAATTAAAATTAGGTCGGCTTAAAGCTGTTGTTTTTCGCCGACGGAAAAGTGAACGGGGAGATCGACAGAGCAAAAAAGAGAAGTAAAAACTAATTTGGCATCGTAGAGACAACTAATAGGGAATAAGTGCAAATCGAATCAGCGGAAGAACAATAATATTTTCTTTTTCTTTTTCAAGTCCGTCCAATTACTTTCCGAACGGCAAGAATCCCTTGACGGTCTCGAACGCGCCCGTCGCCATCGTCTTGGCCTTTTCGACGTGCTCGGTGAGTCCGAGTTGGCCGATCAGCGAGTCATCCTCGGCGTTCATTTCGGCGGCGATCTCTTCGGGAGTCTTGCGCGGTCCTGTAATTGTTTTTGTTGTTTTCGAGCAAGCACGCGGCTCCGCGCTTGGTAATTGACTCAATTATTATCAGTTTGGCTGAACAAACGCGCTCCGCTGCAAGAAAAGTGAGAAAACCAAGCATTTCCGATAGCCTAGGGGCGTGTTTCCTCAGCCAAGAAGAGTTAGGTTTGCGTACCTCCGATGCGTCCTTCGGTAAAGTCCATCGCGACGCCCTCCTCCTTCTTCTTGATCGCGTACTTGTCGCGAATGCCCTGACGCATCTTCTCGCGCTCCTGCTCCATCTTGCGATGCTTCTCCTTGCGCCGTTCCTCCTGCTCCAGACGAGCGGCGACGACTTCCGGGTCCTCGCCGGTCTCCGTCTTCTCGCCGCCCTCGTCCTTGTTGAGTCCGAGACCGCCCGTCACCTCGTTCAACTGGTTGCCCACCATTTGTTTCATGAGGAAACCGGCCATTTTCGATTGATGGCGCGCTGAAAAAACAAGCGCAATTTGTGCGAGAACGCGGAGAGGAGAAAAATAATGAAAAGAAAAGAAAAGAGCAGCGGGGCGCCAATATCACCTGAGTTATTAAGTGGGCGTGGCTAGCCAATCACTCTCGGCGCCAGAAAAGGATGAGCCGACAGAGACTTTGCTTTCCAGTTCAGTCACACCAAAACTTTTATATGGCTGTGAAAAATGAGAAAACGACGTCCCGCTGCGTCTCTTTTATGATTCGACACTCCATCGGGCAGGGAGTGAGAGAGGAAAACGAAAATTTTCGGATGAAAATGTTTTTGGGAGCGAAAGCAAAAATGTGCGCGCACGCCGACGAAATGGGATAAAAATTTGATGTCTCCGAGGCAACCGGGAGAGTAAAAAGCAAAAACAAACTTGGAATTTTATGACTTACTGACAAAGCTGGCTTTACCGAACACCTGCGGGACTGGAAAGTTTCGGTCAAGGGAGACTAGTCCGCGCTCGGATCACGAGCTCAAACGACTAACTCAAACGGACTTTGCTCGCAATTTTCTAAGTTTGAGAAAATTGGAGTCACAGAAAGCTCAAATGAGGATCATCCATTTAAATGCAAATCCACTCGACCGAAAACCGCCTGCGAGCAGGTGATTTTGACGTTTTCATGAAGAGCTTTAGAACTTATGGGATTATTCAGTGTACGTCTTTTCCCGTTTCTTTACGTCAAAACACGCAGTTCGGCGCTGTAAAAAAACTTTAACAAAAAACATCTCGCGTGGAAAAGAGCGGTAAAGACTCAAAAAAGCAAGAATTGCTGTTTGACCGGGGAAAATCTCAAAAACCTGGCGACAAACGAGCGCTTCTGGAGCCCACGGATGACGTGCTTGTGCTCTCTTCTTCTCCCGACGGAGCCGCTCAATCGAAAAGAAAGAGAGTGTGTGCTCCAAGTGCGCACTCGAGAGCGCGCACACAAAAAAGGGCCGCGCGGGCTCACACGGCTCCGTCGAAAAATTGGAGCCGAGGCGAGAGGTGAGGGGAGAATGCAAAAAAGAAAAAGGGAAAAGAGAGGCCCCTGGGGAAGGAGCGACCGAATCGATGGGGAGCGGCGCGCACGCTTGACGGCTTCTTCTTTTCTCTTTTTTTCTTTGCTCGCCGACGGCGGCTCCGAAGGCTCAGCAGCCTCGTGCGCGCTCAGGGAAAACGAGCAAAACAAGGCGAATGTGGCGGGGGGAGAGAGAGTTGAATAAGTTATTCTTGCACAAAAATAGAGAAAAAGTGTGAAACGAAAGATTGCCTTTCCCTTTTTCCTTTTCTTCTTCTTCGTCGGCGCGCATCTTTTTTTGCCGCTACGCCAAACTCTTTTTCTCCGTTTTTTTTCGAGCGAGGAGCAGAATTCGGTTTTGTTGTTGCCGAGAAGGGGAATCGCGATATTTGCCGTTCTTTTCGAACGAAAACCAAGTGCACTCTAACGAGATTTTCGCATAAAATTACTCCAAAAATCGCGATTTTTCGAAATATTTTTGCATTGTTCGCAGAACTTTGAAGCTTTGATAAGAAAAATTGAGCAAACGTCATCACGAAAGTCAAGAGGATACCTGGAAAAGGAAATATGGGCTAGAGGTATGGGAAGACGAGAAAAAAAACAGAATCGGATTAAATTACTCACTCTTTCTTCCGAAGCATTTATTGAAAACCCAGCAGAAAACACATGATTACCCAGTTCAATATCCAAACGTTTCTACACTTTTTTTCTGACACACATGACATGCAAATAGTAAATTTTTTGTAAATTTCTACTCAATAAATAATCGCTGAAAAAAAGAGGTTTTTTGTTAGAAACCAGGAAATTTTCGACCATATTGCGACGCTTGATGTTCGATATACACAGCGATCGCTCCGAAGATCACAGAGACCACCGAACCTGCAAAAAATGTGATGAAGCAAATGCGCTCCAATGCGCGGACATACCAAAAAAACTGATATAGTGAAATGGGACGACGAGTTGTTGGCCGAAATGAACAGTGATCCAGACATAGCATCCGGCGCCCGCCAGAACGAATACGATAAGCATCTGAAGTGGAAAAGTTCGAAAAAAGTTTGGCGGAGTGCACTTGCTCACCCCTGTCCAGAACGTGAAAACGGCGGATTTGAGCGTCGGAGATCGTGTTAAAAGAAAGATTGGAACGTGTAGAACACTGAGAAACAAGGCGGACGAATTCAGAATTCCGACGATGACGTTGTAGTTTTTCGGGTGTGACGGAGAGGTGAAAACCCAAAGCGTTTCGATCGATAATGGCACTAGAAGACACGTGGCAAGCATGTGCGACACTGTTTTGTAGTGGATCGAACACACGCGCGGCTTCTCGTAGCTGATCTTCAATGGACTCACCGCCCGTCGCTTTACCGGATTCGTGTTTGACACCGCCGCCGTCCGAATCTTGACCTCGACCTCTTCTAAACTTTGTGTCCGATCCATTGTGCACTCGGACACGGTGTCGGATTTACGAGAAAACGAGAACGAGCTTGTGGTCGTCGAGGTGCGCGCTGAAAACAAACGCTGTCATGTTCTAAAAATTTTGCGGATGTATGCGTACCGCCAGTGGCGAACGACCGATCATCGAGCGAAACGACGGATGACATGACGGGCGGAACGAAGCAGAAATGAATGTTTTGAGAAAAACTAATGGGGAGAGTTCACAAGCGGAACTTAAAAAACACATTATATTGTTGGTTTTTGAAAAAACAATTGTTGCGCTTCCTGCACCGAACGAGTTGATATTCGTTGATAATCGGTTTTACCTTTAGGCCTGAAAAAGCTGTTTTGACTTTTCGTGGTAAGACCCTCCAGTCCAAAAGGGAATCCTGCCAGTTCTCTAATAATGTATGTCCATTCTCCCCCTCACCGCCCCATCAAAGGAAGGAATCCCTAGTTCACACCCCGGTGAGGGGAGCCCCAGAATGCGAAGGAATTGTATGGAACGGAATCACTCGGGTGTCAAATTTGCCCTTCAACTCACAAAATGATGGACGATATTTTTGAGGTAGTGCAATGGATTCGAACACTTGTTTCGGCCGCACGCCCACTCATTTCCATTTGCATTCGCTGCTGTGTGTCAGTCAGTCGCACTGTGGCTCGTTTCTTCCTCGCACTACGGTTTTTTTTTCAATTTTCCTACAAACTGCTTGCTTTGTAATGTATCAACTTAAAATCCCGGTCCCGGGGCCCAGAATCAGAAAGAAGTAGACTATCTTGTGAAGTCTCACGGTCTCCAGAGCTGACAATATGGGCGTGGCCACGGCCAAATGGCGTTTTCATGAATTGAGCAGGTTTTCTCTGATTTTTGTGGTCAACGGCGATGGAAAATGATTGTTTGACATAAAAACACACTAATTGTCAGAATTAATGACGTTTTGGCACATTTTTCGCGGATTTTGCTTTTTCGCCTTCGCCGCCGATAGCCGCCCATCGCCGCTTAAAAACCGCACTTCTCATTTTGCGCTTTCTTGACCGTTTTCAGACAGAATTGGTTTTGAGAATGATAAATCACGTAAATATAAGCATTTTGAGCGCTCGAACCGCGAAAATTACCGAAAAGCAACTGAAATTCAGGCAGTTTTAGCCAAAAACCTTCAAACGGATAAATGTGATTTGCGACTTGACCAAATTTAACGCTCTTGCGCTTAAAAAATTCGTAAACGCCTAAACAATCGGTCTATCAAGAGACAAATGAGAAATTATCGGTTTTTCGTGGCTAATCTGCCAAAAAACACAAATTTTGCTGTTAAAATTTGAATTTCGCGCCAATGTATCGCTCTATTGGGCGGGGCCCACTTGCGCCCATTGTAAGCTCTGGAGACCGTGAGTCTATATACCGTAAAAGCTATAATTCGAACGACACCCCAATACCGTTTAGTATCGCAGCTGCCGATAGAGATATCGAAAAGTTGTCAACTAATAAAATGTACGAAATATTTTGATGAACATGCTATTAATTGACAATTCTTTGGTATCTCCACCGGCTGCTATTATATAATAGGTTTTATGGAACTTTTGGTCTTGCAGAACTGTTCCGATTTCGGATGGTCTGCTCAAAACTCAATAATCGCGGGTTAACCGGATGTATGTTCACCTTTTCACGCGTGTGGTCCCACTCCACCAAGCTCCGCCCCTTCCTCTTAATGGACAGACACGCGTGGTCACCCACACGCGCGGTCCATTCGAAACCATTCTCCTTCCGGTCCTTCTTTCCCTCCAATAGAATTTCTCCGTTTTCAGAATGTCATCGATCCGTGTGGTTCTTAAAGAGCAGGCGGTTTGGAAGGAGTTCAACTCGAAAACCACCGAAATGATTGTGACAAAGAAGAAAGGACGCGTCCTGTTTCCGCACTTGGACTACGTGATCAGCGGGCTGGATCCGAAGGCGCTCTATCGAATTCATTGTCATCTGGAGCGAGTCGACAACATCAAGTGAGTTTTAGACTTAAAGGAGATCGGTCACTACAAAAGAACGCCAAAAGTTACATTAGGTTGCAGTAAATATGGCCTGATTTAGGACTTAAAAGCACTTTTCTTCGTCGCTTTCTTAATGGATACTTAGGGACCGCAACGGGTTTCACGAAACTCCCAATTTTCATAAAATTTTTGTTGGAATGTGTTCCCCTACTCTATATGAGTACGCTCCCAATTTTTTTTTCCAAAATTTTCGGTACATCCCGAGTTACACCCATTCAAAGTTGGCCTGTTTTCTCCCCGGTCGGCGGCAGAGGAGGGGGCGGAGTCTCGCCTGCAAGTCCGCCGCACGCGTTTTTCGCCTCTGTTTGGTGGCTGAAACCAAAAAGGCAACATATAAATTGAAGAAAAATGATGTTCTAAAAAAGCAAAACATCTTTCAAGGTCAAAAGTTTCGAACCCGACACCTCCAGACTGCCGAGTGAGCACTCTGCCACTGCGCCAAACGGGTGGGGGCGCGCCGACCAACAATGGCATTGAGAACGTCGGTTTGCGCGGCCCCCTTCCAGGTGTGACATCAGTGGTTTTTAACACACAAATCCAAAACTGTAACTGTTTACAGTCACTTAAAAAAAAACGGAGAATTAGAAAATTGAAAATTTTAGCATGAATCGATCGGAAATTGGATGCTGAATCCGATTTTGTAAAAATTAGCCGCGTGTCAGGTACCTGTGACGGCTAAATCCCCCGAAAACTGAAATTTCGGCGAAACCGGCTCCACTCAAATGAACAGAAAAGTGCTCACAGGGGGTCTAGGGCTCTGAAAATTTATATTTGAGTTCTCAGAGAAATTATCTATAGATTCCGAAAATAAAAAAGTATGGTCATCGCTGAAATTTTTTCACAACTTTTTGTGCCAGTTTGAGGGCCTGTAAAAAAAAACGGAGAAGACGAAATCTGATTTTTATTTCAAAAACGGATTCCCCATCACTTAAACTGTAAATTAACTAAAAATTAGCCGCGTGTTGCACAAACTCCGGCCACACGAGCTCTCAGACTGACTTCCATTTTCGTTTTCGCCGTTTTTTAGAAAAACGGTGCGTTTTCACGGGAAACTGAGTTGTTCATTGGATTCAGCATGGTCGATTACATAATGTAAATCATTTTGAGTATGGTACTTCATTTGTGGACCTCGGTACATGGCCTCAAACATGCGCGCGCGAAACTTGGGAGAAAATTCGGCAGGCCACGCCCCCTTTGTTGCGCCCCCTACTGGATACTGTTTAGACATGAGCTCATAACAAAATATTAAACTACAAAGTTGTTAAAGGACCAGGGAACCCAAAAATTTTTTTGATTTTTTTGTGAAATGTTTTTGTGACTGTTTGAATTGTCTCTTATTGCCTCATACACTGGTGAAATGCTGCCTCTCAAAAATTCCAATGAACGAAACGGCATGCAGTTAAAGTTGTGGCCGTGGTCTAGCGCCAATGGCCGAAAAATATATAAAAATATATGCGCTTCTCGGCCATTTTATTTTTTCCGCTTTTTTACCGGTTTTTTCCAAAAATTCACGGTTTCTCCCATTTTTCAGTTGATTGACATTTGTTCGGCACTTCGGCACTTACTTATTTTTTCACTGCTAAAAAATTGTTTTCATTCAGTCGATATGAAGTGCCAAAATGGGAGAAACCGTGAATTTTTTTGGAAAAAAACCGGTAAAAAAAGCGGAAAAATGGCCGAGAAGCGCATATATTTTTTTATATTTTTTTCGGCCATTGGCGCTAGGCCACGGCCACAACTTCAACTGCATGCCGTTTCGTTCATTGGCATTTTTGAGAGGCAGCATTTCACCAGTGTATGAGGCAATAAGAGACAATTCAAACAGTCACAAAAAAATTTCACAAAAAAAAATATAAAAATTTGGGTTCCCTGGTCCTTTAAATTTAGAAATTACAACAACTATTCAGTTGACCACTTTTTGAAATATTGGATGTACTTACTATTGGTGCTCATCCCTTCCTTTTTCAGATACAAATTCGACCACTGTGAATGGCAAGAGGCGGCGAAAGGAGACCCACCAATCACGCCAATCCGTGTCGAGCATCCGGACGGAGCGCGTCCCGGCGAGCACTGGATGCGCGATGCGGTCTCGTTCGCCTCGCTCAAGATCACGAACGATCCGCAGAACGAGAACAGACGGCTGATTCTGGTGCAGAGCATGCACAAGTACCTGCCGGTCGTCACGATCACCCGATTCGACAACGCTCGCGCCGAGGAGTTCCGCATCCGGGAGACCGAGTTCGTCGTGGTGACCGCCTATCAGAGCGACGAGATGATCAAGCTCAAGGTGGCGCACAACAAATTCGCGTCGGGATTCAGGCAGACGGGCGGCAAGCGTCGACTTTCGGACGAATCGGAGGAGAACGAGCCGCCGAAGAGACGGCCTGACTCTGTCCACTCTTCCACGTCGTGCGGATCTTCGGCCACCGTGTCGCCGATCGACTGGGAACAGCAGCAGCAGCCACAGGGATACGGTATGGCGATGCCGATGCCGATGATGATGAACTTGAACGCGCAGAACTACTGGGGACAGTACTGGAATCAGTGGAACTATCAGATGAATCCGATGAACTTCCAGAACTTTCAATGGAACAATAACAATAATAACAATAACAATTCGATAATTCCTCCGTTCGCACCGCAAAACGAGACTCCGAACGGCACACCGTTTCAAAACTTGTGATGTGCTCTATTGACAAATTGTCTCGAAAAGGCGTTTCCGCCAATTTTATCCGCATTTCGTTGTATTTCTACGTTGTACATGCACAAACGATATCAAATTTACACTCTACCTCTATCCATGACTTTGTATACCGCATTTTTTGGCCGATTTTCAATTTTTAATAAATGTTAATTATTTTTACACTGTCTTTTTTTCTTCCTCATCTTTGGAGCTCTATAGCTTAAGAACGAGTGATTGTATAAAAAAGTGTTCAACAGAAAACTGCTAGGAAATTTTGTGTTGAATAACCTTGTTGTTTGTCATTTTTCTCCAAAAAACTTTATTCGCGAGATATGGCGCTTTTACTGAACGCCATTCACAAGCGTAATGAAAAAGCGACGTGAAATTTATCAGTGAGAATTGGGCGGCGTTAGCCCAAATTTCCGAAACAAAATCGACAATTTTCAACGTGAATCTGAAACTTTTTCCCATTCCGAGATTTTTGAAAGTAGACTGCTCGTGTCAAGAAGCATTTGAGACATGTCGACTTCCTCTGCTAAAAGTGAGCCGCCCAGCATATTTCAAAAGAAAAACAAAGAAGTTTTGAGACGATCGCAGAAGCAACAAAAAGACGGTTCGCGAGAAGGAGCAGAGTCAGAAGACTGCCGCGATAGAGGATGCGCCGACGGTGCGGAAGAAGGAGAAGAAGGAGTCGTTGAAGTTCGCGATGCGCGCGTTCGAGAAGCACGTGAAGGGTCTGCGAGCGGATTTCAGTGCAATGCGTCGCTTCAACGACTACACGAAGATGAAGGCGTTCAAGGAGGCGCAGGAGGACGGCAGGAACCGCTACAAGGACGTCGGCTGCCTCGATAACAACCGCGTGAAACTGGGAGCCCCGTGGCCGCATCAGTACGTCCATGCCAACTACGTCGCCGTGCCGAACAATCCGAAGCGCTTCATCTGCACGCAGGCGCCGCTCGAGAAGACGTGTGCCGACTTTTGGTGGATGTGTCTGCAGGATCGCGTCGAGACCATCTTCATGCTGTGCAACTACATGGAGAAGGGCGCGAAGAAGTGCCACGAGTACTTGCCGACCGAGGAGAAGCCCGACACGTTGACGTTCAAGGAGAAGAGCCAGAAGGTGACGGTGAAGTTCGAGTCGGCCGCCGAGTTCAAGTTCTCGGAAGAGACAAAGGCCAAGGTGACAAAGACGATTCTGACGGTCGAGGGTCCGGGCGGCGCCACCGGAAAGGTCAGCCACTACCACTGGATCGACTGGCCCGACCGCGGAGTTCCGGAAGCCGATGCCGCCATTCTGGAGCTGCTCGAGGAGGCGAGGGCCACCAAGTGAGTTATCACCAAAAATGTAGAAAGAGGCGTGGCCTCAGCGTGCACGGTTTATCACCATTTAGGCGCGAATCTCGAAATTTAACCCCATTTTTCATGTTTTTCGTGAAAAATTACCCAAATTTTGTACGGGTTTCGACGATGTAATTGCATAACTTTGTTAAACTAATTATCGCGCACTTTTTGAGCTTAAAACGAGCACGTTTCATTCAGAAATGAATCAATTGAATCGATTTTCAAGATTTGTGCTGAAAATGCGCGAATTTCAGTCATTCGCCGATACTTTTTGCCGTTTGAACGCTTAAAATACTTGTATTAACGTGCTTAATCACTTCCGACACTCACTTCGTCTCAAAACTATCGAGATCGGCCGGTATTATTGGGGCACCGGACAGAAAGGGCGCGCTGTTCGCAATCTGGCCGAATTTCTAGGCATTTTCCACTGAAAATGTGGCCTAACTTTTCAAACTCGGCCCCGAGGTCGCTCAATTTGCACTGCATAAAGAGTTTCTCAATAGAGCGCCATTTGTGTGCGGTGCCCCTATAATATGAAAATTCCGAAATTGCGGCGGCGATTGGCCGCGGAGGGCGTATTGCGAAATATGCCAAAAACGTCTTAAACGCGGCGTTTTCACAAAAATTTCGATGTTTTCTCTCTTTAATGTCTTCGTCGATATCAAGCACAAAAATATCGGAAAAGTGCTGAAATTGCGCGGCAATTTTCAGAAAACGCGTCTGAGACTAGGCCACGCCCCTTTCGACACTTTTTTGGTCGCCGTGAGTTAGCCGTCGAGCGTATTTGCATTCTCTCCTTTCAGGGGTCCGATTGTGGTGCACTGCTCAGCCGGAATCGGAAGGACCGGCTCGGTAGTGATGCTCGAGTACATGATGGATCAGTTGCTGAACAATCAGGCGATCGAGGAGAGCACGAAGATTCTCCAAAAGATCAGAGATCAGCGCAACAACTCGATTCAGACGGACCATCAGTACTTGTTCGTGCACCAAGTCCTGCTGAATCAGATCCGCGCCAAGGGATTCTTCAACAGCGACGCGAAAAAGTCGCACAATGATTTCACGACCGACTACAAGAAAGTGACGCAGGTTTGAGAAGGATCTGACAGAACACCGAATAAATGTTCATTCTTGAAAAGTGTACAATATCAAATGTTATTGTTGAGACCGCCCGTCTGATGCGTTTTGATGAGTTCCAACGCGGTTTTATAGTCATTGCATTTCTGACCCAGTTTGAGAGTGTTCTGGAACTGCGCCAACATCTTTCCGGCGTGTCCCTTGACCGCGTTCGCCGAAGTTTCGATATTATCGTCTTGATCGCCGAAATGAGTGAAATGCAACGCATTCTTCTCGGCAAGACTCGCCAAAAGCCACGGGAAGTAGAGATTCGTGGCGACGTTTGTGCGAAGAGTGAAACAATCGCCTTCGAACGCGTCTGCAAGTGGGCTCTATTGAAAATTTGAATTAATTCGCGACGGGGGCGCGATTGCTTACCGGTTTCGTTCGAAAAATAGATCAAGTGAGACGGTTTGAGAGCGGAGATCTCATCGGAAACCGTCTTGTCGCTCGCTTCTTGCAAATTTGTGATTGACGATTGCTGAAAGATGGTTTGCAAGTGCGCTCTATTGAGAATTGAGAAACCTTCACATCTACTCCGTCGGCCCTTGCCAACTCCAAAAACTGGTTCCTGGCTGCTCCATAAACCAAAAAAAGCGGAACAACTGGCACCAGCTCTTTAGTCTCGACTGTCAATTCGCCGGCTCTCGGGCTCCAGCCGCTCGCTTTCTTCACTTTTTCGTTAGAAAATAGGGATGGACGAGTTTCGGACAAATTTCCGACGCGATGCTCGAGCGCGTTGGAAATATTGAGCACATTGGCGGCGTTTTGGGGGTCCGCCAACTTGGCAATGCTCAAAATTCCTTGAGCAGCGTCTTCGAGGGTTAGATAGTTGACGAAGGTGTCTGAAAACATTAAAACTACAATATCTCAGTTGGCTGAAGAGAACTCAAAGTGTTGTCAACTGATAAACTGCTCATGCGAAAATTGTGTACATTTTATCAGTTGACAAGTTTTTGATATCTCTACAGACAGCTAATATACCTGCACTCAAACCCAATCGGCTCGTTTCTTGCTCCAACTCTCGTTTAGACGACACCAAAACACTTGGCAGTCGGCCAATAACAATCGGAATACGGTAGCTCACCGCGTAACTGTGCGCCATCGCTTCTACGGACATTTGTGCGGAGCCGCGGAACGAGATGGGCTCCAGGGGTTGGGTTTCGACACGAACCGCAGATCTACCGTACACCTCTTCTCCGGAGACGAGGACAAACGATGAGAGAACTGGAGATTGAGAAGTGCGGATGGCATCAAGGACAGCGGTGACTCCCTTCAAATTGACAGTACCATTACCCGTGTCCACAGTAAGAATACGCCTACCAAAATCAGCGTTTTCGCCGCCACAATCGGCTCTTTTTCCACGTCACGCGTCGTCAGGGAGGCGTCGAACACCGTTTCGATTCGATTTTCCACAATCACACGTCTCACGCCGTCCTCGTTCACCGACGCCAAATTGAGCAGAACGAAGGCCGGATGAGCGAGCAGCGCCTTGGGGATCTACGCAAAAATTATCAATAGAGCGCGTTTTCCGACCATCGCACTTACCGTCTCGTTTTGTCCGTTGTGAAGGAGGTGGACACGAGTGCCTTGCGCCAGAAGCACTTCAGACAGTTTGACGGAGAACGCTGAGAGACCGCCCGTGATGAGCACCGACATTTTTTCTCTGAAAACTTTTGTTTTCGGAACTTTTGACCCAGTCACGGTCTCCAGAGCTTACAATGGGCGCAAGTGCGCCCCGCCCAATAGAGCGATACATTGGCGCGAAATTCAAATTTTAACAGCAAAATCTGTGTTTTTTGCCAGATTAGCCACGAAAAATCGATAATTTCTCATTTGTCTCTCGATAGACCGATTGTATAGGCCATTACGAATTTTTTAAGCGCAAGAGCGTTAAATTTGGTCAAGTCGCAAATCACATTTATACGTTTGAAGGTTTTTGGCTAAAACTGCGTGAATTTCAGTTTCGGTAGTTTTCGCGGTTCGAGCGCTCAAAATGCTAGTATTTACGTAATTTATCATTCTCAAAACCAATTCTGTCTGAAAACGGTAAAGAAAGCGCAAAATGAGAAGTGCGGTTTTTAGTCGGCGATCGGCGGCGAAGGCAAAAAAGCAAAGTCCGCGAAAAATGCTCCAAAACGTCATTAATTCTGAGAATTCGTGTGTTTTCATGTCGAACAATCATTTTTCCTTTGACCACAAAAATCAGAGAAAACCTGCTGAAATTCATGAAAACGCCATTTACCCGAGGCCACGCCCATATTGTCAGCTCTGGAGACCGTGCTGCAGTTGAAAAAATCCGATCGGATTCTCACTTTTTTTTCCAACTCTTTTTGAAGACTAGAACACATTCCGTCAGGAATTTTCGCGAAATTCGAAAGTTTATTTCAAAATCTGTTTGCGGTGTCTTCTATACATATTGTAGGGGCATCGCACAGAAATGGCGCTCTGTTGAGAAACTCTTTTTGCAGTGCAAATTGAGCGACCTCGGGGCCGAGTTTGAAAAGTTAAGCCACGTTTTCAGTGGAAAATCACTTCGCGGCCTAGAAATTCGGCCAGATTGCTAACAGCGCGCCCTTTCTGTCCGGTGCCCCTATAATAGCGTAAAGATGCATCTTTCAGGCCGCTTGAGGCCGAAAATCACGGATATTTGCAAAAATTGAGGCTTTCTTGACCTCAAACTTGTATCCAATGTCCACGTGGTCCGATAACAACAAAAAAGTGTGTGTGTGTGTGTTTGGCTGAACAAACACAGAAAAGTGTGGGAAAAAGAGAGAACGACGACACGTTGGTTGGAGGAGGAAGGGAGAGAAATAACGAGAAGACTGTTATTGCGGTCAAGGGCGAAAATGACGATACGGAGGCAGATAGAACGAGATCCGCGAGACTGATTTGTGTACTTTTCACTTTCCACGTGGCACACATTTGCAGTAGTTTTATTAGAGAAAGGCACAGAGCAATCATAATTGAGCTGGTTTCGGAAAAAAAAGAAGTGATTGGATAAAGGAAAAGAAGGAAAGGACACCTGACAGAGCGAGGAAAGATCGAGAATATACAGACAGAAGAAAGAAAAAAAAAGCAACAAAAAGAAAAAGGTCTAAAAGTTGTCGATGCGACGTTTCGAATGGTGCAAAAGTTGTCGATTCCGCTGCCGAGTGACCAGGAACGTGACGGCGACGCAGCAGAAGACGGCGAGGAGGATAGCGGTGCAGAAGATCGCCGTTGACGTCTTCGACAAGCACACTTCGGATGGCGATTGGAACGAAAGCGATTGCGGCGGCGTGTTTGTGTCTGGAATATTATAGGTTTACAACGTACGACTAGCAAACGAACCTTTGCGCTCCTTGTCCTCGACCGGCAACACAATCACATCGACCGACACGTCCGTCTCCATTTCTCCCGCTGTTCTTCTCACTTTTGTCGACGATGACATGGCCGCCGTGCTTCGCGAATCTTCGCCCAATGGCTTGAACGTCACCAGTTCGGGCGTCTGATTCATGGGCGATACGGTTGGGACGGTAGTCCGGAGAGTGACCACTTGCATTACAATGTCGTCCTCGGACGTGTCGTTGAGCGGCGAATCGCGACGATAAGGACTGGACGGCTCGGGGCCTGGGAATGGGTTCACATGATGAGGAGGTGGCCCTTCCTTGTTGTGAAATACGGTCGGATGCGGGGGTCCGAGGATGATCGGTTGGAATGCGTCGGGCTTGATGTATCCGGGGATTCGAGGTCCCTCACCTTCACCGTCCCCCTCAGAATCCACATGATTCCCGTCGATGCTCGGCGGCGTACGATCCGGAGGTCCGGAATGTCTGAATTTAGTGTGATCCAAAGGTCCCCCCGGTCCCCGTCCGATGCCTCCGATCCCATGTCCGGAACACTGTGGCGGAGTGATTCCTTCGCATCCGCCGTCGTGTTTGTAACAAAGTTGGACGGTGCACGTAAAGTAGAGCTGCACCTTATCGGCGTACTTGAAGACGTGCGCGTTCGTGTACGCCGAGATCGCGCCGTTCTCGTATTCAATTTGCGGAAGGAGGAAAGGATCGGTGGAGCAGCCTCTGTCGTCGACCAACTCGAACTTGTTGCCGTGCCCGTCGTCGGCGTAGCAGCTGTGAATCAGAATTCCGTAAATGTGGCTGGCATCTGAATGATTCTTTGTCATCTAGTTTCGTGAATCCCCTTCATGATGAGCGTCTAACCTTGATCGCACCTCCACAAATGCGTGACTTTCTGTCCCACCTGCGCGAATCGCAACACGTGTCCCTCGATTCCCTCCTTCAGGTGGTAGGCGCACACCGGCAACGAGTATTCTTGATCCACATGTTGAGGTGCCAGGGTTCTGCGAGTAAAAAGAGTTGAAAACAAACAAACCAACGAAGTTATTCCACACTCACCCGACATCGATCTCGGCGTTCAGACCTTTGATACTTTCCAGGAAGAAGCATCGGATGCTGAACGCGCGGTCCATTCCGGTCACGAAAAACGGATGGAACGAGGTGATCATGGTGAAGGAGAAGGCGATGCCACGTGGATGCAACGTCCGTTGGCGACGCATGTTGCACGCGCCGATTGGAATTTGAAAGTCTTGGGTGGAGCCGGACGACGAGGAGTGCTCCACCGAGTGATGCACACAGTGTTGCTTGTCCGATTCGCCGTCCACGTAGATTCGGCCTAAACGTTTCGATGATGCTGTCGACTAGATGCGACTACACAACGGTAGGTACCTTTAAACGGGTGTTCGGTGTTAACCTTCACCCGAATAGTGTCAATGCCACAGAAAACTTCCGGCTTCCCGACGACGCCATTCTCAATCTCGAACGCTGTGATTACTGTACTTGATGTAGTCGAGACTAGGAGGTACTGTAAACACACACACACAACTATAACGAAACATACGAATAGAAAAGGTTACCTTGAACAGAAAGTACCACCACATTGGAAGATTGCGAACAGACAAACAGAAGACGAACGTCCGTCGAGGTGTTTCGGTTCGATTAAATACTGGTACCCGTCTCATTATGCCATTTCTCCGGCCCGCACACCACGGCTAATATCCGCTTTTTGCTGACGCGACGCCGGCTAAACTCATTCCGATCGGCTTTCTTCGTTTTGCCTCCGTACACTCATCATAATAATAATACGCGCACACACACACACAAATATATTACTTCATCGTCATCGTCGTTCACATATATCAGTCTATCTTCTGAGAACAGACTGGTTTAGTTTCCGTCCACCTGTTCTGGATAAGTTTTGGGTGCAGAAGGTACAGTAATTCTACAGTTACACTACTGGAGTACACCAGAGTTGAGCGGAAGAGCTCAACGGAAGAACACGGACGAATTTTTTTCGTTTTTAGAAAAATTTTTCATGGAATGTGATCAACTGACGAAATGTATAGCAAAGTGAACTGTGCTCATAGAAAAATAATTGTAAATTTAGCTTTTAATACAAAAAAGTTATTCGAGTACGGAAGACGGAAAGACATTTTCACGGAACGCCTCGAATAACTTTTTTGTATGAAAAGCTAAATTTACAATTATTTTTCTATGAGCAGAGTTCACTTTGCTATACATTTCGTCAGTTGATCATGTTCCATAAAAAAAATTTCTAAAAAAGATTTAAAAAAATTTCCGTGTTCTTCCGTACACGTAATTTTTGTGAAACAATTAAATGAAAACGCATTGCTGCTTGCTCTCAAATTCCGTACTAGGAGCTGAAGTTTATCGGATCGTTTTTTGGCAAAGGGTTGAAATTTCAATAATATATACTTCTCTGCTAGTTTTATTGTCCAAATGAGATCTTAAATATAAGAAGCGACGGCGGCGAGACTCTTCCAGCGCCTCCGCTCTACCTCAGCGAACACCCTCTTCAGATGGTGCTCCACTTCCTCCCGGGACACTATCAATTTCTTATCGTACACATTGTCCCATTTCCAGTTGGATCCGGCCGAACACTCGTTCAATTCGAGTCGTTCGACGAACGGTGACCGCCAGTTGAATCGACCGAATATTCTAGAATTTTGAAAAGTGCAAACGTTTCAAAGTGCCTCGAACTCACATATTCACAATCAGTCCCTGTCCGAATCCGATTTGGTTTTCGTCTTTGAGCCCATGCAGCATAAAGTCCCGATCGGGGCTCCATTTCGAGTCGGCCAGCCATATGTCGCGTACCCATCCGGTGCCCTGTAGTTGAAGATCATACGATTATCGTACACATCTCGACAAGACTCACTTTTTTGAGTATCCTGGCCTTGTCGAACTCGTGCACATCGCCCATGACAGTCCGAATGCACGCCTCGAAGGTGAACAGATCCTGAAAACTGTCGGCCCTTTCCCAGACGCTCAGACAGACGTGTGCCTCGTCGGACAACTGCGGATAGAATGTCTGTTGCAGGAAGACGTGGAGGGCGCCGTTGTCGGTGCCGTGGAAGCTGTCCGGAAGGTGTTCTTCAAAGTTGGCGAACTTGAGAAGGAAGTCCCGTGCCCACGGCGTGTTGCGGACAATGTACGAGCCGGCGGCCACTTCCCAGTTCACGAAACGATCGTAGAACGTCAGATCGTAGTTCAGATCGATGTACTCTTCGATTCGCCTGTAATTTTTTTGGTGGTGACCTTGGAAAACACATAACGCTTCAATTAATTACACTTTCGGATTGACGACTGCCACGTCGGCGTCAAGGAATACGAGCCAATCGGTGTCGCGGAGCAAGTGAGCCACAATACAGTGCCGACGGAACATGAACTGAAATAGATCGATTATGTTATTGTTCTTTTTTGGTCCGGTACTCACATCCCGCTGCCGACACACATTCTGATAGTCCCAGTCTTCGACGAGTTCGAATTTGTAGTTTTGCATCCGACAATAGCACCGCATCGAGTTGAGCGCGGTACCGTAATCCCTTTCGGCAGTCGCCACGTCACCAACCACCATCGCCACGGTGATATTGCATTTGCGCGACGATTTGGACCTCGAGACGGCGAATCGTTCGGTGTGCGCGACCTAGAACAGCTTGGTTTTTTTTTTGAATCTTGATTTGATCTACGAATTCGAAGTTTCTCAAAGATCAAAATTGGAAGATCAAAGGACTTACACTGTGCAAATCGTCAAAAAGAAGGCGGCAAATGAGGCAACTCGTGAATAAAAGCACAAAAAAGAGACAGCAGTGTCTCGTCCGTTGCCGGATTCGCATTTCGTTTCGTTTCGTTTCGTTTCGCCAAAACAAAATGACCTTCACTTTTTATCGGCACCGATTCGAATTCGAAAGGTAGATCGAAGAAGGAGATGGGAGAGAACTCAAACAAAACACAGCGCTATTCTTCTCATTATTAATATTATTAGTTTCTCTTTGTCGGCATCGAAAGGGTGTGGTCGCATCCGAAAACCGTCGGGGATGATCGTGAAGCTAGGAAATGGAACGCAAAAAAACAGGCCACCTAGGGGACTCGAACCCCTGAGGATCCCATTTCTTCCGAATGGGACGTCTCCGCGGTCGAAGAACGTGGCACACATGGTGTTCGAATGCTGTGTTCGAAGAAGGCGTGGATCATGCGTTTTCCTTCGTCGCCGGCATCGCCCATTTCCTTCTCATCAACTCAAGGGCTCTTCAAAAATTTAGGCGATCATTCATAGACGTTTCTTGTCAATTCGCTCGTTTTGCCCGACTGTCTTCATGGCAAGTCAAGGATTGACGAATTTATGTGAAATTAGAGAATGAAAAGTGTAACTCTGCCGTTGACAAATTGTTCTGGTTTCTTGTTTTTGTCTCCAAATTTCGTCATTTTGCACGAAAAATTTGTGGTTTTTTCCACTTTCAACGCTTCCGTTAAATTGAGTTTGCAAAAAACACTCTATTGGATTTTGTTCTTCATTTTTTGGGGCTATTCAGCGTATGTTTGTTTTCCGTTTTTTCCGTTTTTTTACATCGCTGAATTGGATTTTTTGACGTAAAAAAACGAGAAAAACGGAAAAAAAATCATTTTTTCACAGCCTGAATAACATCATTATCGATTTCTTGTCAATCCGATTGTTTTCCCGTTTACTTTTGAAAATGCGCGCTTTCTTTACACTTTTCATTCTCTAATTTCACATGAATTCGTCAAAAATTGACTTGCCATGAAGACATTCGGGGGCAAAACGAGCGAATTGACGAGAAACGTCTATGAATGATCGCCTAAATTTTTGAAGGGTGTATTTTTGCAAAATCGATAATTTTGTATTGTTACGCAAAGAAAGACAATATCAGATCCAAGTGTTTATTCAGAATTCTTAAATCTCAGGGTGATTGGGCGCCGAGAGCTTCTGCGGTGCCTCGTGCCACAATCCGGGTCTCGCCGCGAACAGACTTCTTGTGAACGGGAGAACGGGCGAGTCGGCCGACTTTGCTTCTTGCGGCTTCAGAACGATGGTGCTCATCTGCAGAGACGGTCTCTTCGTGCACTTCAGAATGTCGTCCATCGTCAGAATCTGTCCGTTAGCGGCCAATTCGACCATCACGTTGTCTCCGATCACAATCACTTGTCTGCAATGAACAAGACATTACGGAATGACATTATTCTCATACTTTTGCTCAATTTTCGCGATGCGATCCTTGAAGAACGAAAGGATACGAATGTTGTAGTCGTCGATGGATTCGGATTGGAAGAATCCGTGATAGGGCACGTATTGAGTGTTGATCGGGTAGCCGAGGCCCAGGAACACTTTCGAAGAGAGTAGCATCTCCTGATAGTTGTGCGGGAACAGTTGACGGTAGCCGATGAGCGCGGGTTCGATGTTGATCTACTTCTCTTTTGTTTTCCTTTTCAAAAAATGCCACTCAAACTAACCGAAGTGTAGGACAATCCGAGTCCCTTAATCACAAAAACGGCCGTCTGCACCGCCTTCATGTCCGGGGAGCAGTAGATTTCGAACGGATTCATACCGCACTGAGCGAGTCCTCTTCCGTAAGTCTCCGCCACGATTTGACCCCTCTCCGTGAGAGGACTGTCGAATTTGTAGTGGAGGGCTTTGCGGGGCACGAGTCGCGGCGGCATGTTCATGTCGAACGGCTCGTACTGGCCACGGCGGTAGGCCATGCGCACCCAGTTCGGGAAGATCGACGACATCGATTCGGCTGACGACACTGAAGGATTTTAGACGATCGGGGCGTGGATGTCCGCTTACTCGTCACAACAGTGAGCTCGCGGTTCGGTTGCTCTGCGTGCGCCAATTCGCTCAAAAACAACTCTCCGGTTGGTTTTTCTTGAACAGTGTACGATGAAGCATCGATCGAACCCAAAATATTATCAATTCACCGCTTTTTTCCGATTTTTCTGTCTCTCACTAGTGCTATCTCTTCGCTTTCCGTCGGTTTGCGGCTCGGCAGCAGTGGTTTTCGACGGAGCACGGCTCATTTTTTCAACTCTAGATACTCGAGAAATATTCACTTTTCCTTATTTTCCCTCGGTGAACTGTTCCCAAGTAGTTCACGCGTCTTTTTTCGAACTTAGCGCTGCTTTGCTCGTCGCGTGGCCTAGTTTTTGCGGTGCGCGCTTTCTAGTCCCCCGTCGATTTTCGAACCATTTCTGCTGAATTTTTCGGGTAAAAGAGGAGGAAATCATGAATTCGGAGCCGGGATCGAGTTCCAGTGGTTTGCAAAAAGAGTTGCCGTCTCTGGAACATGTAAGTTATCGATTTTTTGCGATTTCCTAGGTTTTCTAATGAAAAACGTTATTTCCAGGAGCCCTCACAGGAGCGAGAACAACCTGAGAGCAGAAGGATTAAGGCTGAAAAGACTGTAAGTCGATAGATTTGTAAACATTTTGTAATTTCGTCTAAAAAATCAAATTTTCAGGACCGAGAGCGTGTGATCACTGGGATCAAGTCGGAAAACACGGTCAGTTTATTATTTTCTACACAAAACCCTTTGAAAATTTTAATTTCAGAACTCTCAAGTGGCGACCGAGGGAAAAAAGCAACAGCAGGCGGAGTTAGAGTGCCCGAATGTGGAGACGCTCGTTCTGTTCAACGAGACCTATTTCGAGATCATCGACCAGTCGCTGGCGCTCGTCGATCAACAGCTGGCGGATAACCGCGCGAAACAGAAGCAACTTACGGAGGAGTACAGACTGTACTCGCGCGCCGACGTCCAGAAGCGCAAAGTGCCGGTGCATTTGTACATGCCGCCCTATTTCAAAGACGAGAACGGAATGTGCCCGCCGATGAGCGCGGAAGCCCGCGAAAAGCAGGAACTCAAGTGGTTCGATCCGCTGATGAAGGAGGAGAAGAAGTGGACGGCGCACGAGATCAAAACGCTGCGCGACGCCGTCAAAGAGGCGATGATCGCTCATCAGATGCAGCCGCTGTGCTCCCGCAGAGACATCATCGTCGGCAAACTTCGAAATACGGACGTCACGACGACCGGATGGGAGAGAAGGCAGTGGACGATGGAGCTGGAGGATCTCATGCGCAAAATCGCGTACATCAAAGCAAAAACTGAGGAGGAAGTGCTCACGGCTTCGGCCGATTACTCTGTAGTTCCGTGGAATGCGGTGGCCAACGTGGATTTCAAAGGAACGCGTACCGAATGGGCGGTCAAGTCGAAGTGGAACAACGAGCTGAATCCAAAGTGGAGCAAAGCGTCGTGGACGACGACAGAAGTGGAACAGCTCCGTGCTCTCCGCGAGTCGCCTAAGTTCGTCTCGTGGCCGCTGCTCGCGTTGACGTTGGGGACGCAAAGGACCGCCTATCAGTGCATGGAAAAGTACAAGACGGACGTGGCGCAGCACTCGCGGGAATGGACGCAGGACGAGGACGCGAAGCTGATCGCGTTGACCAAGTTGACGTCGATCAACGGGCACATTCAGTGGGACAAGGTGGCCCAGTTCATGCCGGGAAGGACTCGGCAACAGGTCAGAACGAGATTCTCGCACACTCTCGACGCGAGCGTCAAACATGGACGATGGACGGATCAGGAGGATATGGTGGGCTTCAAGGCCTTTTGATCAGATCCATATTCTCACTTTTCAGCTTCTGATGTGTGCGGTGTCACGCCACGGCGCAAAAGACTGGGCGAAGGTGGCGCAGGCTGTGCAAAACCGAAACGATTCGCAATGCCGAGAGCGTTGGAGTAATGTGTTGAACCGTTCGGCGCACGTCTCCGAAAGATTCACGCTTGCCGAGGACGAACAACTTTTGTACGCGGTGAAAGTGTTCGGAAAGGGAAACTGGGCAAAGTGCCAGACTTTGCTGCCGAAGAAGACGTCGCGCCAACTCAGAAGACGCTACATACAGTTGATCGCGGCGAAACTGAGACTCGTCGCCGGATTCTGCAACGCCGTCGACGCGATGAAGTCGGGACGCAGGGATCCGGCTGAGGACGAGCTCGACGAGGAGGACGAGTTGGAGTCAGCCAAGATTCCGAACGAGCTTATGATCGAGATCTACGAGAAGCTGTCGAAGGAGAGGCCGGATGTGAACGAGACGCCCGAGGAGTTCTTCCGAAGAGTCAACGAGATCGAGGAGCCGGTGGCGGCGAGGGTGCGAACGCTCAAGAACCGACCCGACTACGAGTTGATCCGCACGACGATCAAGAAGATTGTGTCGAAGAATCAGGCGAACGGAAGCGACATCGATTTGGAGGTGCGCGCGAGCAAAGTGCTCAGTTCGTTGCGAATCACCGAAGTCGACGTGCGCTACATGATCGAACGGAGCAAGACGCTCTCCAGGTACTATCAGGCTCGTCAGTTCCGTCGCAACGTGGATCAAATCGGCTGCCGCGTCCGTCCCGTCTCCATCGATATGGATGCGTCGATGCTGCCCAAATTCGAGCAGGACTGCGGGGAGACGGAGAAGGTGATGCGGTTGGTCGAGTCGCTGTGCATTTCCGTCCGAAAACACGATGTCGTTCAATGGGGAAAAAAGTTTTGGACCGATCACAGACACACTGCAGCGAGAGAGGCGAAACGCTTCGTTCAGATGGTCAGTTGGATTTGAATGTGCTAGCACGAACTTCTAAAATTTCAGATGATAAACCAGCGTGCCCCACTCGTAGCCGAATTTCGTTTGTCCCAGGATTCTGGCGAATCTTGCCCCGTAAAAACGACGCTTCCGCCCTCGATCGCCTCGTTCGATCTGCTGAAAATGCTGACAAAGGCGAGGGAGGGACTGCACAAACTCTCCGCCGAACACTTCTTTCCCGTCGATGTTTCGCTGGAGGATCAGCCGAATTTTACAAATGAAGAGAGGGAGAAGCTGACGGAGACGCGCAGAATGAACATTCAGCTCTCCGAGCAGATCACCAAGGGAACCGAGTTCTCACTCTTTTATGTGAGTCCCAACCCATGGTATAGAGTATATTGGATTTAGGCCGGAAAGCTTGGACTTTTTGCAATTCCATTCTTCTCCTTTTCAGGCGCGAATGCGTGCAATTCTTCTGGAACCGATGCGTCTGCAGGTCGCCCTCGAATCCGCCGACGAAGAACGAGACCGTCTCCGTCAGGAGATCGATTCGGAAACGCGGATTACCGAAGAGGAAGGAGTAGTGGAAGGAGTCCTGCGAAGGCCCGAAATGCCCGACATAGCAGCCACTCCGTCCTCGATTTGCCGCATTCTTTCGGTTTGTACTTTTTCAGATGTTTATAAAATTCCAATTTTGCAGGACGGCATCCACATCGACACCTCGTTCATGTTCACCAATCTTCAGAAGAGCTTGGTCGAAAAGATTCAGATGAAGCGAAGAGTTGTCGACGTTAGTTTTTGCTAAAATCCGCCAAATTCAAAATTCCTAATTTCAGGTCGTTGAAAACGTCGCAAAGCGCGTTCGTCGCTCATCTCGTCACGTTTCGATCGATTCGGAAAGAGACGACGAGCAAAATTGATCACTTCTTTCTTTCTTTTTTTTCAAAATTCATTAGCATTCCATGCTTCCACTTCGATCACATCATTATGTTTACATTCTTTCAACGATCTCTTCAAATTCTAGCCAAAGTCGTTCGCTTTCACTCATTTTTATATGCCCCGATGATGCAATGCTGTCCAATTTACGGTTGGACTCCTTCCCACCTGAAACAGGTCCCAGTTTTGAATATAAACGAATGAATTGTTAATTTCAGCTCCATTTGCTGTTTTTTTTAATTGGTGTCATTGCCAAATTTTACCTTTTCAATTACTTGAGGCGAGGGGGCGACCCTCGCCTCGCTATTAAATGTGTTTGTGATTTTTTTTTTGTAACGTATTATATAGATCAGACGTATTCATATGTTAAATGTTGCAAATCCCAGAATTCTGCTGAAAAATACCCGTTTTTTTTAATGTCGCTTTATCCACGGCGTAAGGCTCCCCCTCGCCTCGTCCCATTATCTGGGACGCCCCGCCCAAGCGGGGCGCTTCGTTGCCAACCCTAGCTAAACATACACGAAATTTATGTAGTTACTATTTCAGAAATGGAAACGATCGATGAGAGCGAGAAACGGCGATTCGAGGTGGAGTGCGAGTTTGTGCAGGCTCTCGCCAATCCGAATTACTTAAATTGTACATTTTTAGCTTTTTCAGCCGAAAAGTCAATAATTTCCTGTTTTTCCTCTTCAAAATATCGTTTTGCAGTTCTGGCGCAACGTGGCTACTTCAAAGAGGAGTACTTTGTCAATTATCTCAAATATCTGCTCTACTGGAAAGAGCCACAGTATGCCAGGTAACTGAACATCTAATTTTTCAACAAAAAAATCTATTAAGATGTCTGAAATTTCCGCAATGTCTGCATATGCTCGAAGCGCTTCAAAGTCAACAGTTTCGCGATGCGATGGCTTACGGTACGAATTTTAATTAGACACGTGAGGAATAAAAACGACTTTGCAGGACCGAGCGCCAAGTTCGTCGAGGATCAAGTGGTGCTGCAATGGCAATTCTACCTTCGGAAACGCCATCGGTTGTGCATGATGCCGGAAGAAGAGAAAGAAGAACAGGAAGACGAGGAGGAAGAAGAAGAGGAAGAAGAAGGGAAGGAAGAAGGAGAGGGGGAGGAGCCAGAAGCCATGGAAGTGGAGGAGGCTACGACGACGAGCGCCGAACAGTAATGTACAAAAAGATACAAATAAATTTCCCACCTTTGTTTATATTTTTCAAGAATGAATGGGTCACTAAGCTAGGAGGGGGTATACCAGTGCATTTACAAATAATAATAAGTAATCGGTCAATCATTTATTTATCATCGGCACCATCGTCGCGTCCTTGTCCCGAATGAAAGTGTGGTGTCGGAAGGCCGTCGTCTCGAGGATCGTATTGTCCGCTCCGCCGCACGTTTGATGGCTTCCGGAAGCGGCGCGGAACGCGGCGAACGCGCGTTGATGGGAGAAGATAAAGAGGTGTTGGGTGCGGTAGGAGGAGGCGAAGAGGGCCGAGTCTTCCGGAAGGATCAGCGGCGAATCCGTCGGCGCCGAGCACTTTTCGTCGGCGAACGGAAAGGAGGTGAAGTCGAGTCCGTCGATCGACTCGCGCCGACCCGAGTTCTTTTCGAGCCTGTAAGGTAAAATTGAATTTGAAAATTGCTTGCAAAACCAACATTTTGAGTCGTTGTCTGATAATCTCATCGCCCCACGCGATTTGCACAATCAGATCGGCCTCCGAAGATGGGGCACGTCTTCTGACGGTCATCACCGACGACGTGGAGGCAGTCGACATGGCCGAAGACGTGCGGATATCGTCGGGGTGCTGATCCTGAAGGAGCACGTTCAGGTCGACGCGGATCTCGATGCGTTTCTCGTGTCCCGGACGGAGAAGAATACCGCGGGACGGTAGGAGGACGGGCGAATTGAGAGGACGCATCTGGGAGTCGAAGACGGAGATTAGCGCGAAGCCCTCTCTGCAGAACGTTGATAAAACAAATTGCATGATTATTTGCCTTACCGCTGTCCGATATTGTTCAATTTGAACGAGATCCGCGACAAGTTCGACGTGAGCATCGTGAATTCGGACGGTTTTCCGGTGCTCTGCACGTCTTGACCGCTGGTCACAAATGCGATTTTCGCGGTTCCGCCGATTCCCCACACTGGGATCTGAAACGAGAATCAGATGAAGTCGGGATGATCGAAGGGCAATGGATACCGCTTGTCGCCAGTTCTGCGCGGGCACGTCGACCTGCATGAACACTTGGAACCGTCCGATCGCGTACGGCGTAAAGTCCACTCGGACGCGTCCACTTCTGCCCGGCTCCACCGCTATCGTCTTGTTGTCGAGGATTTGAAACGCTCGATTGGAGCTGTCCAACGCGGTGCGCACGTGGAGCTGTCGGTCGGAGACGTTCGTGTACTCGAGCTCCATCGTCAGATTCTCTCCTTTCGCGACTGTTCCAAACGCGAGACGCTTCGCCGAGAACGTCAACGGCCTCGTCGGATTAGCACCGGCCGCGGAGCTCATCGCTGTCGACGCACGCGACATTGTCCGCATCTGAAAGCGACATTTTGAGGTGATTTTCATATGACTTCCACGCACCGAATTGACCGAATCTCGTCCATCTCTACAAATAATCGTGGTGGCAGTGGAAGAAGAAGAAGAAGGGTTGGGGATTACTGTAGTGCTGCCACGTGACTTCAAAGTGCGGACCGTAGTAGACGACGACAAATCGTCATGGGAGCCGGCGGTCATCATCATTGTCGACGAGGATTTCGTCGAAAACCGCGTCGAGTTGTTGACGGTCGTGTTGGTGCGGTTGCGGGACGACGACGGGAAGATGGGCGGTGCGTCGGATTGAGAAGACGTGCAAGCCGACGGAAGATCCGTTGTACGCGTGGATTGGGTGCGATTCGCGGTCGTGTTTCTGGAAAAAAACTCGTTTTTGCTGGGAAAGAAGAATAAAAATGGGAATATCACATCCGAAAATCGGGTCTCCGCGCGTTCTCCTCGTTCGCGCGCTTCGTCCGAACTCTCTCCAACTGCGCGACGAGCTCCTCGTCCGTCCGGATCGTTCCGCGTCCGCCGCCGCCGCTCGGCGCCTTCAGAATCCGATTGATCATCGACAAATTGACCGTCTGATTCGGTACCATCGTCGTGTTGTCCGCTTGCGTCTGATTCGCGCGCATTCCGCCGAAAAAACGAGATTGGTCTGAAAAGAAGCAAAAAAAGTGAATTTTCAATTTTGTGTAAAAATACTCGGGTTGACGGTCGCCGTTCCATTGACTCTTTGCGGGCTGAGCGCATAAATCGACGAGATTTCGAGCGCGGGCGGCTGAAGGCGTTGACCGAGGCGATTCGAAGCGCCGGCTGCAAAAGAAAAGACATTCTGGAAGAAAGATCTAGAAAACAAGAATCATACGTCTTTTCGGAGTGCTCGTCTTCGTCTCAAAGTATTTGGAGGAGTTGAGCGGCGACGTCGTCAGAATACTTCGTTCCGGCGAGATCCGGCTTCCAGTCGGCACATTCTCATCATTCACCTTCTCCTCGGCTCTTTTCGGATTCCCATTCCGGCTCAAATGCCCGAAAACCATGCCGGGCGAGCCGGTGAGAACCTCGGGCGTCGGCTGCTTCTCGTAGTGAATGACGGACGGCTCCCACGAGTTTTGTTTGTCCATCGGCGGCGACGCGAAATTCGTCTGAAGGTGTTCGGGAAATAGTCGTTCCGCTTTGTTCTCTTTCGCGTAAAAGTTGTCGGTGAACTGTTCGATTGCATTTGCTGAAGAAACGCATAGTGTTTACACGTCTTTTTTGAAAATAAATCAAACCTCCGTTGCCAAACTGAAATTGGCCGGAAATGTCGTGCGAATTATCGCTGTGATTCATGCGGAGATTGGTGTTTGAGGTGCGAGTCGGCGCACGAGAGCCTGAGCATTAAGAAAATCGGTAAATTAAGAATAATTTTAAAGCTTGACGCCTACTATTGTTGGATCTTAGATCATTTTCTTCGTGTATGGTGTCAAGCGCCTTCGGAGTGTGAATGCTCGGTTTGTATCGATTTTGCAGCGAAAAATTATCAGATGTCGGCTGAACGTCTTCTTCTTCGCACTGCTGGAACTCTTCTTCGTTGTCTGCAATTCCAGAAAATCAAAGAATCAAGATTCACATTCATTTCTTACAATACGACGCGTCTTCGAGCGGTCCGTCTTCAATCGTCATGTCATCGTAATGATCTTCGACCAGACTCATCGGCGCTTCTTCTTCATCCATTTTTCTAGTAATCGAGTGGAAAAAATCAATGGAAATCTAAGAAATTCGATTGAGAATGGCTGGAAACCGCCGAATTCCCAGTTTGAACTGCGCGCCGTTTCCGCAAACACGTTCACGCGCAATTGCACACTTTTCCGAACCGTTGCGTCTGGACAATTCAAAAAAATTGCCAATTTATTTCTGAATTTCACGCATTTCTAATTTTCAGACAAATGACGGATATCGACGAGCGGGTGGGTCGTGCCGGAAGTCAACCCCGCTTCCAATCGATCGATTTGCAGCAAGCTACGTTAGTTGTTTGCTTGGTTTTTGCCAAAAAACAGGGAAAAAATCCAGAGACCCGCTGTCAAAGTTAATAAGCGATTTCGAGCACACCGGAATTCTTGACGATCGGGATTTGCTTGAATTGCTTCGAAAAGTGGAGCAGAACAATCCGGAACGGTGTACGAAAGCGCCAAAGTTCGTCGCACAGCTTCTGACCCATAAAAATGCGGAAATTCGGAAATCGGCGTTCAAAAGTGCGCTCACGATCCTTTCGCACGAGCAAAACGTTCGTTTTATCGATCTCAGGGAAGTTAAGCTTTTGAAAACGTGTTTTTCAGCCCCGTCAAATGCTTCTGGACGCCTACCGTCTCGCCTTGTGCTGTTCGGACCGCCACGTGGCTCAATATGCGTTATCTCTGCTCCCGAACTTTGTCGACACCTGCCCAGGTTTTTGAAACCTTAAAACGACCCATTTTCATACATTTTTTTTCTTACAGAAGAAGCAAATAATTTGATAAAGTTTGGATCGCTGGCCTACAACAAAATGCCGGCGCCGTCAACCGATTCGGAAATGTACCTGGCGCGGGCGGTCACAAAAGCGTCGCAATGATTTATCTATTTTAAACGGGTTTCCTTATACTAATGAACTGATTGTACACATTCTCACAATTTCTAGCTAAATGGATATTGCTCCTTGATTTATCTTTTTTATCCTTCTTTATTTTTGAACAATTTTTGCAATTCCCATATTCAGATGACAGTGGCGGCTCGAGAGCGTCGATGCGCGCGGCTTTTGACCCAAGCCGACGCGGTTTCGTATTTCGAAAAGTACAAACGGGTCCGCTCAACAGATATGAAGGTTTGTGACTTCAAATTTTTTTGTTGTATAAAATTTTCTTCAGGTGCAACAGTGCCAATCGGTGGCGTTCAACTGCGACGGCACCAAACTCGTTTGCGGCGCGTTCGACAAAAAAGTGAGCGTGGCGAACGTGGACGGCGGCCGGCTCCGCTTCTCCTGGGTCGGCTCCAGTCATCAGTCTTCTGTCGAACAAGTATTGAGATCAGTAACATTATATTTTTTAATCATCGATTTTCAGGTGGCTTGCAGTGAAAAGCAGCCGAACATGTTCGCGTCGGCGAGCGCCGATCGCAACATTTGCGTTTGGGACATTCGGCAGAGCAAGCCGACTCATCGCATTTCCAACAAAGTCGGCAACTTTTTCATCTCGTGGTCCCCGTGCGATTCGTACTTTATTTTTCTCGATAAGGAGAATCGTTTGCAAACGGTGGACGTTCGGAATTATGAAGTTGTCAATGTAATACGCAATCACCGAATTCAGTATAAAATTAACTGATTGCAGACGCACGACATGAAGATCTTCTCGCACGAGCTCGCGTTCCATCCGATCTCCAATCACGTGTTCGTAGCCGAATCGAGTGGACGCGTCGAGATTCTGAAGTTCGCCGGCGGCTCTTTGGAACCGGTCACCTTCATCCAGGCACACTCGCATCAGGTCGACTGTCTCGCACTTTCCATATCGAAAGACGGACGGAGGCTGGCGGTCGGCGCCTCCGATGCCTCTTGTTCGATTTGGGATTTGGAGGAGCTCATCTGCGAACGAGTCATTCCCCGGCACGATTACGGCATCCGCGCGGTCTCGTTCTCCTGCAACGGCCAGCTTCTGGCCTCCGGATCGGAAGATCATTCGATTGACATCGCCTACGTGCCCGACGGTTCCAGGTGCCACGAGATCAAGCACAACGGGGAGACGTTCTCGGTGACTTGGCACCCACATTCCCTGCTTCTCGCCTACACCGCCTCGAGCAACGGCGACAAGAGCGAGGGCGCGTTCGTGAAGACGTTCGGACATTCCACCGTTTGAATACATATTAATGACTCATGAATATATTGTTTATATGCTTTTCTTGGAATTTCAGAAAATTTAGGTACTCATACATAGCAGCACCGCTTTTGATTACACGTTTCAGCACCAACCAGTTTGGGTGTGATTGCAACTGGATGAAATCTCAAGAGTTCGAAAAGTCCTTGGCAAGCCCTTTATCCCGCCCGTGCACAACCAAATCTCATTAACCCCCAAAAAAGCGCATCGAAAGGCTCGTCAATTAAACGAATTCCTTCAAGAGAGGTTCGTCAAGCTGAAGAGCGAGCGCGCGCAAGCTAAAAAAAACAAATCCCGTGGCTCTGGCAGTCTGCGCCCTCTTTTAGACTCGCTGAGCCCGCCCTCTAAGAAGGTCTTCTGACTTTTTTCGCCCGCTTCAATCCTTCCAATTCGGCTCTATTAGTTTGTGAAGAATGGAGCTGGAAGCTTCGGAAGCTCCGGCTCTTCCTCGTTCTTCTTCTTCTCCTCCTCCTCCTCAGAATTCCAGAACTTCCTGGTATTCCTGGCTGAAAACGGTGTTCAAGTTCATCCTCGGCGCCATAATTTTGGCGCTCACCGTCTCGACGGTCTCCATGAAATTCCCGAAAATGCTCCAAGATTCGGGAGTGGCGAAGCCGGAGTGCGACACTGTGCTCACCCTGATCCACGCGTATTCGGTCGTCTGTCCCTGTCTCTACTACGGCGCCGCCCACAAGTATCTGGGACCGTTTGCGAAGAATCGCCGCAAAACGATCATTGTGGGTCTCACCACGATTGTGATTTGCACACAGCTGCTGATGGGCGCGGTCGCGTTGAAGAGCGATGGATTTGAGGTATGAGCCAAGCGCGGATTAAAAGAAAAGAGGGCGCATGCGTGTGTGAGAATTATTCATGTGAATCAAGTGAGAGGAACTCTTTGTGCACTTACCTTTGATTTGTTTTGTTTTGTTTTGAGAGCGAACATTCATCCGTACAAGGTATTTTGAAACATGACTTACATGATTCTGAAGACCGTTTTGAACTGATTGTACGGTTGAAACTAGTAGAACTCTCAAGAAAAGAGCAAGAGAACAACAAATTACAAATCAAAGGTAAGTATTCATTTATTGCAAAAATGTGTTCCGAATTCAAATGTCAACGAAGCTAAATGTAAATATTATAGGGGCACCGAACAGAAAGGGCGCTCTGTTGAGAAACTCTTCTTGCCGTGCAAATTGAGCAACCTCGGGGCCGAGTTTGAAAAGTTAGGCCACATTTTCAGTGGAAAATTACTTCGCGGCCTAGAAATTCGGCGAGATTGCGAACAGAGCGCCCTTTCTATTCGGTGCCCCTATAATACAACCGACAAAACACCACATTTGTACCTTACCGAACTACACGCTTTCCAGGCTCGAACCCAAATAAACTTCCGCCTCGGCTTCGCCCTCAAATGTCTCGTTTTTATCAATGTAACCGCACTAACTCTCGCGCCACAGCTCTTCTACGGAATGTACGTGGACGCGATCGCGCCGCAGTGCTCCGACAAAGTCAGTCCGTACTTTCTGAGCAACATGGGCTGCGCGCTCATCCGATTCTTCACCTTCCTGCCCATTCTCATCGTTTGCACCTTATTTGTGAGTGGAATTCATTGTTTTTGTTTTGTTTCCCATTTTTCGACATTGCTGAATTTACGAACGGGGTATTTCAGTGTGAATGCGCTCTGAGGCCATTGTGATGTGTCCAAAACAGTCGAAATTTTGTTTAGCGGCATAACAACTAGGCCCCTAACAACTAGAGCACAAAAAGAGCGGTTTCTCAACAGAGCGCATTCACATTGAAATGCCCCGATAGTATGTTTGAAAACTGGAAATATTTTCAATTTTGCAGAGCGGATCCGATAACTATCACGCTTTTTTCACCGCCTTCCTCCCGCTCCTATCAATCAATGTTATGGCTCATGCTCTTGAGGTAAATTGGCAAATCTATCGATAGTTTGGCCTAAAATTCAATTTTTCAGCAATCTCCGCATCACCCGCTTTCCGTGAATCGTCGTGACGAATCTGAATAATCTGCATAACGAAAATTCACACACTTTTTTGTTTAGAATACAGTTTCTATTTGTGATTAGTAGTTTTAAAGGCGGACGCGGAATGTTGGGAAACTGTTGCACTTCTGAAAACGCGCAAGCGCGAAACGAGGCTACGCCGAACCAAAAACGTCCCGAATCAGAACTATTTTCAGTGCTAATTGGTTCTGATTCGAACAGTTCTGGTTCGGCGTTGCCTCCAGAGTTGAGCGGAAATGGAATTTTGATATCCGGAAGACGGCAGACGGCAGACGGAAGAAAATTTTTTTTACGGAACAGGGAAAACGGAAGACGGAAGAAAATTTTTCTCACGGAAGACGGAAGACGGAACAAAAAAAACCACGGAAGACGGAAGACGACAGACGGAATTCCGCTCAACACTGGTAGCCTCGCGCGAATCATTTCAGGAAAAAAACAGGTTTCTACTGAAATTTTGCAGGAAAATCGTAACTATATTTAAGGAGAATACAGTAATTAGGCTCACATGCGCAAAAAAGCTTTTTAAAAAGTTGAAGCAGCTACAGTACCCTATGCTGATTCCTCAGAAGCGCCAAAGTTCGATTTCGTATGGATTAAAATTTTTCGAATAAAAATTTCTCAGAAGAGCGGTGAGTAATCATCATTGATAACCAATTTTACGGGGCTCTTCTTCTCCACACACATAAATACGAGAAGCCCCTTAAAGGAAGGCGTTATACGGTAGCGATGTGCGTGGGGAGGTGGATTAAAACCACCGCCCGTGTGCTCCTCATCAGCTGCTCCATAAACACACCGTTTGTTTGCCCCATCGAGAAATTCTGGAGAAGAAATATCCGGAGCGGATTACTGTACCAACCCACAATTAGCCCGGAACTCAACTCAAATCTCTCAATTGACAGTCTTCGTTATTGTACTCTTTTTCGAACGAGTGTTCTCCTTTTCTACACAATCATGTCATATCACTATCAAATGAATAGTAATAATAATGAATTTTTCGACAACACCAGCTATATTCCACAGGTAAGTCCACAGACTTTGGGGGGTGGGTCTCGCAGCGAAAACGTTTATCGCTACCCGCTACAGTAATCTGAGCATTTTCGCTGTGAGACCTAGAAAACCTAAAATTCTTAATTTTTACTTTAAAGTCTAAACTTTTCAGATGCAAATGCACCACGGCTATCAGGATTTCTATCCGTCGCCCGATTCCACGTCATCAATGATGACGTCATCCGCCACGTCACAAACGCAACCGGGAGATGTTAATGGGTTACAGACAGATCATCGGTTAGTATTGGCAAAAAATCGAAAAAAAAACGTGGGGTACGGTAGCTTTATAGGGACATACCGGTATTTTTTGGTAATTTTCGAGAGCTCTTTTCATTAATCGCAAATTGTGCATAACAAATCTGTGAAAAAATACGTTTAAAACTCGACAAAACACTCGATTTCACCTCGATTTCGTTTTTTTCGCGCCCCGCACGTTACGGTAGTTTTAAAGGCGCATGCTAGAAAAAGCGAAAATTCTGAATACTGATAAAAAGTAGACAATATGCGAGAGGCGCTGTGTTCGAGCGCGAAGAATAGCGGAAATCTTGGGAATGAATGGAAAAATAAGGATTCGAAAGTGTTTCACCGCCCGGCGAGCTTCCTCCGGAGCTTCTTCTGGGTCCGCCGCAAACAGGTGCTTCTGGAAAAGTCGAGACTTTTTCGAGAGGTGCAGAGAAGGATGACTTACAAGCGAGAATGATAATTGTACTTGAAGGGTTGCCCCCATATTATTTATTCTTCTTCTTTTTTCCTTCAGAACGATTGGCGTCGGATATGGCGGATATTGGAATTCCACGTCATCGACGGCTCAATGGATGGGCGGCGGCGCGCAAATGGATCATCACGCAATGGCACCGACTTTTCCCGTCCCCACAGAGACTGGTTTCAGGTGGCTACCGTACTCGAGTCGCCACACTAACCCTCTTTTTCAGACAAATGCCCTCGAACCTCTGCTACATGGATCCGACGCCTTCCCGAATGATATCATCCGCTTCCTCTAGTTCCAATATCAATGTCACTTCATCTCTGCCAACTAACAACAGTTCCTCCAAAAAAGTGTTGATTCCACCGCCACCGGCTCCCCGAATGCTTTCCCGATCGACGCCGAAACCGTTCCGGTGTCAAATCTGCGGAAAGGCCTTCTCGCAGGCCGCCAATTTGACCGCCCATAAGCGCATTCATACAGGTTGGCTGTTCTATCGAATTTTTTGTGAAATTCTATGTTTTTTTCAGGCGAGAAGCCGTTTCTGTGTCCGGTTTGCGACCGCCCGTTCAGTCAGAGCTCTTCTCTCGTCACACATCGCAGGTATCACAACCATCTGTCGCCATTCTCGGCCGATTAGTAGGCTTCATCGTCTTCTTCCTAATCCCACCTAACCAAACTGCTCATTAGCTTGGATAAATATTGTGACACCCCTTTCCACTAGAAGCTTGGATCTGCAAACGCACTCCACCGCACGCAGTGCTTTACTTTTTCATTTCCGCCTTCAAATGCGTTTTTGCTGAAATTTCATCGGAAATGCTCGGTTTTCCAGTTTTCCTGTTGAAAAATCGAACACAATACACATTTACACAAAATATCATCGAAAAAATTGTGTAAATTGACTTTTTGCTAGTTTCTTGATAAAACCACGTGGAACTAAGTTCGCTGAACGATTTTCAAGCAAGAAAACTGGAAAATACGATGAAATTTTGCATGAAATTGCAAGAAAAAGAAAAACACACAATTTTGCATTTATATTATATAGAGTACCCATTTTTTGCAGAACTCACACCGGAGAACGTCCGTATCCGTGTGCGCAGTGCGAGAAGGCGTTCACCGACAGTTCGACGCTCACAAAACATTTGCGAACGCACACGGGCCACAAGCCGTACGTCTGCTCGATTTGCATGATGAAGTTCACGCAAAGTGGCAACTTGCATCGGCACATGAAGACTCACAAATGACACTATTTTCTAAATAAAATTTATTCATTTTTCTGTTCGCCCTCAATTCTCTGGCGGATACGTTCAATGGTCGGCATGGAGGGTGGCAGGAAGAGAGCGACGAAGAGCGCCAATTTTAGGATGTAAAAGCAGGGAATGTGCTCGAGAATGCGGTCGAAAAGCACGGAGAGCCCAAAAAGCGACCAGTAGACGAAGAGGATTCCGCTCGACGGGCGCTGCGATTTCTCGACGAACGTCACCATGATCGGCGCGGAGACCAGAAGGAAGTTGGCCAGGTAGTGGGGCTCTTTGCTGACGAGAAGGAGCCCGAGCACGAAAAGGACCGTGCCTTTCACCAGCTGCAAAAAATCTGATTATTCTCGTGTTTTGTGGACTAAAAAAGGGTTTCGCTCACCAAATCCACTTCGACTCCGGTGATTTCACTGTATTTTCGCGCCCATCGAGCCGTGAAATGGTTCTGATGGTCATGAATCAATTCAGAGAACCAAGCTTGAATTTCGACTTCCGATTTGCTCATTTTTCCACGTAATATCTATTTGAAACAAAAGAAAAGGAGAAAAATGTCACGTAACTAAAACAAAGTTTGAAAAAACTCTAACTCTAACTTTGACTGGATAAAACAGTTGAATCTATTTATAGTACTTTCAAAGAAAGAAAACATACAAAACCAATCGATTTCCCATCTCTAAATCAAAACTCAGTTATTTAGTCTGTTGCGGAGCAGCTGCGGCCGGCTCCAGAATGGTCTCGTAGCCGGCGGTCTTGGATTCGTTGCGGAACGCCGGGAACGTCTCCCATGGAGTGTTGAGGTCGAATTTACGGAACTCTTGCGCCAACTCGGACGGCTCGTACACGACGCGTTTCAGTTCGGGATCGTAGCGGACCTCCTGGTAGCCGGAGAGCGGGTAGTCCTTGCGGAATGGATGGCCCTCGAATCCGTAGTCGGTCAGGATGCGGCGCAGGTCCGGATGGTTGTTGAACCAAACGCCGTACATGTCGTACACTTCACGCTCGAACCATTCGGCTCCCTTGAAAACGGACACAACCGAGTCGATCGGCGCGATTTCGTCGGCGTAGGTGCGCACGCGGATTCTCGCGTTGAACCGGACCGAATAGAGCGCGTAGATCACCTCGAAACGGTTCGTTCTCGACGGAACGTCCATTCCGGTGATGAAAGTGAGGTTGGTGAACTGAGCAGAGTGATTTCCCTGCAGAAAAACAATTGCAAATTGAGAAATTTGTTGTGAAACTGAACCTTGAGGAAGGAAAGAACTGGCACGACGCCCGACGGATGGATGAGCAGCTCGAGCTCGTCTCTGGCGGCAAATTGCACTTTCTGCACAAATTTCGGCAGACACTCGGCCGCGTACTTTCCGAAAGTGGCCAATCGCTCACGCGCCTTCTCGTCACACTTCCACACTGTTGCTGAAAATCTTCTCACATTGAAAAGTGTAAATAATTCGGATTTTTACGTTTTTTCGGCGCTTCTTTCTTCTCTCCGGCGGCCTGAGCGACGGCGGTTGTCGTCGAGATCGGAGCATTCCTGACGATTTGTCTGGAAACTGCCTGGCGGATCACACTACCCAACATTTTCTGCAAAAAGTTGGTTTCCTCGATAACTTGATGAAAAATTAGCGAAGTTAAACGGAAATACGACGATTTATGAATAAAATACTTTAATTTCATAGAAATTCAGTATATTTCTTTTAAGAACCATTCCAAATTACTGAAAACATGCAGAAAAAAGAAAAGCGGCCGGTCAGGGCACGAGAATCGCGTCAGCGAATCAGCAAGCGTGCCAACTTCCCGGCATGACGTGTTCCCAGTGCCTGGCCAAAAATTATTAAAATTCAGAAGATTAAAAGGATTCCATGACAGCTTCGGCGAATTGGCGGGTCCGTGGGTTCTCATACAGACTTTTCTGTCCTTTTGAGTTAAATCGATCGAAAACCAAGCGTAGACCGGTCAGAATCGTCTGGTAGTTGCCTGAAAATTGGATTCCCGTTGGTTTTTCAGTGAAACTTTTGGTAGATTACCAGTTACAATCACTTTGCTGTCCTCGCCATCGCCACCCTTGTCGAAGTGCACGTCGACGCCCGAACTCAACTTGATTTCGTTGATTTTCGCGCCATTCTTGCCTGTAAATGGGACAATTTATGAAAGGAAGAGAACAACTGCGAGGAACCTCTTTCTGACCCGCTAAAAGGGCCAGTTATTCTATTTCACTGTTCACGCCGACACTTACACACAAAAGAACAAAGAATGCGTGTGCATAATAAATGAAAAAGTACGCCAACATATTGGAAATTGGGTGCTGAACCTGTTTCTGAGACCCACCAATGAGGAAGCCGACGTCCTTCGTCGGAATCACGAAGTTGTACTCGCGATTGTTGTTGCGAATCTCCGAGACCAGCAAACAGACGTCGTTCAGCGCCATTTTCAGATTCCAGTACGGCCCGGTTATCCGAACGAACGACTCGTCGGTTTCGTCGCGCCAAATGTCCAGCGCCACTCCGTTTTCCCGTTCGATTTTGTAAATATTGATGCCCTCGTGGCCGATGAACTGCCCGATTAGCTTGACGGACAAATTTCGGCTCAGCGGATAGTTCAGAATGTCGCTGTTCATCTCTAAAATTACAAATGTTAAGTTTTCAGCCATTTTTGAGTAAATTTTCTGAGAAAAACATTTTTTCGAATAGGAGTACGGTACGCGCTGACATTTGTGTTTGCGGACTTGTTGAAAACCTGAAAACTGCAAATTTCAAGCGTTTCCAGGGTAATAATCGAAGAATTTCGCAAATGACAACAAAAAAACCACGAAATTTCACTGTATTACTGAAAAATGAAGATATTGGCTAGAAATCTGAAAATAAAACAGATTCACCGAATACATTACAAAATTCCCATAAAATCGTGTAATCGTGTAATCTTCTCACAGTTTCTTTTTTCCAACCATTTTACACCTTTTCCCTCCTTCCTCACAGTCATCGTCACCGAATAAACACATTTTTGGGCTGAGAATGTGTAAAATCTGTGTACAACCTGAAAAATTAGCTGTAATCTTTTTCCTTCCTTTCGATATCATCGTCATCCGCGCGCGCCCAACAAAATGGCTGAAAGCGGAAGGTTAGCGGAAGAAAAAGTGGGGGCGGGGCCAGCGAGAAAATGGGTGGAGCGTGCGCGGGGGCATGAGAGATGGGCGCCGTGAACAGTTTGGCACCGCACTCTTGGCAGCAGACATCTATTATTATGGGTCGACCGAAAAGTTTTGTTATGCTTTTCCTGCTTCTTGTTGTTTACGCGTCGCCTTCGCATCAAAGGAGCGTTCTTCAGAATACTGTAAGCTTGAAAAAACGTAATTTGTCCACAAGTTGTCTTGAAAAACAGTCTTGAAACTTGAAGAGTCTAGAAAACATTCATTCTTAAATCGGCTGGGCCGATTGTTTTTTGAACCATTTGGTGACAAACCGAACCGAACCGATCTTACAAACACCGTTCAAGTGCCGAAAAAGCACTTAGCCTAGGATCACACAGATCATAGACTTATACTATTTTTGAAATTTTTTCCACTACTACGTACAAGTACAGTAATCCGTTTGTGTCCGAGATACTACTTTTTGTTTCTCGCCCGCGAGTCTCTCAAATTATCGGATCAACACCCTTTCGGCCGTTTTTCTGCAAAATGCGCTACAGATCGATTCAATTCGAAAACTCCGACACGGTTTCGTTTCGTTGTGTAGTACAGGTACTGCGCTGTCTCGCCCGGTGTCCATTACGGACGGAGACGGGTAAAAACTAGATGCCGTTTAATGTATTACATTATACGAAAAACTTTTTTTGTGTGTGTGTTTGTTGTTGTTAATAATCCCGACACACAACTAGACATTGGCGCCAGGGCAGAGACAGGGGATATGTTTCTTTTTTCGTAAAAAAATGAGAAGAGAGAGAGAGAGCACTCAAAGTGATGGCCGGATAATAGAGAGAGAGAGAGGTGACCAGTGGCGATGTGTCAACAAGAAACAAAACACAACGGGGCACTTGAAACTGAGAAATGGAGTGCCGATTTCGGGCACACCGGAAACTCTAGGGGATGATATCGTAGACCGACCGACCCCAATGGAAGAGAAAAAGCTAGGCCACGCTTCAGGACTGCTCCTACCACTCGGCCAACTACTCGGTCAGCTGGACGTATGATGAGCTGAGCAACGACGTCGTCTTCAAACTGGTCTCCCGCTCCTCGTTCACCAACTTTTACAGTGCAATCGCCTTCGGAACTGGCGAACAGCCCGTAAGAGTGTCATTCATCATCTCCCCAGTCCCAATTATATTCGTTCAGGAGGATGTCATCGCGGTGTACGTGCGTTCCGCTCAAATCGGACTCATCGACGGACACCTCGTCGACGACGGAGCCATCGAATCGGACGAAAAGACGAACGTGCAGGCGTTGCAGTTCGATTTGCAGAACGGAGTGCTCAGCGCACAGTGTGAGTGGGCAGGGAGAAGGTCTTGGCGCGAAAGTTTTTCAAAATAATTTCTAGGCCACACTTCTTTTACTGCTATTTTTCACCGTATTCGAGCGGAAGAGAAAGATTGATGTTCTTTGCTTATTGCGAGCTTTTACGACACTCCAGAATCCCGACAAGCGCACTTTGTTCACTGTAAATCGATACGAAATTAAATTAAAAACAACGTTCATTTCGTTTCTTCCGTTTTCCGACAAAAGACGTGAAATTTCTCGCCTTTTCTTTTTGAACATTCGTTCGAAACGCCGAAAGACGGAGAAATTCAGAAAAAATGAGAAAAAAACGGAAACATTCTGAAAAATGCCCAAAAGATCGATAGAAAGCTTTCAATTTCTCACTTTCACATTTGTTTTTCTTTAAAATTCTCTTTTTTTCGGTTGAAATTGAGAAAAACGTCGAAAATGTTCGTGCCTATTTACGGTAAACATAGCGCGCTTGTCGGAATGTTGGAGTATCGTAAAATATAACATTTTGGAGAACTAACAAAATTACAGTCGCCCGACCGATTGAGACCTTCGACTCACAGGACGCCGACCTCGGAAATTGTGTGGTGCGACTCTTTTTTCTTTCGTTTCAAGGCCATTCAAATAACTGTTCAGACAATTTTTCTGCCGACCGAATCTCGCGAGATCATCACGGGTGTCCCGTTGGAACTCGGCGATCAGAAAAGCCTCCAGAAGATCCGAGTATGCGACATTGCGGTCACTTGCGCCACCAAACTGCACAACGACGTGATCGTGAAGCGGCAGGAGGACAGTGACGTGGCGCCGGTGTGTGCCACTGGTCCCGAAGATCAGAAGAATCGGATCGAGTGGAAGGTGGACGGAGAGTTGGTTAGTCTGCTACTACTAGATGGCCTAGAATTACTTAAGCCACCTTTTTCTATGTTCTAGATCAAATTCTCCGTGTTCCAAAACACGAAAAAAGGGCGCTGGTGGACGGCGATCGGAGTCGGCGAGTCAATGTCCGACCTCAACATGATCCTTTTATTCGCCGAGACCGGAAAACTGAAGAAGCAGGGAATCTTCCGGACCGAGGGAAAAATGCAGCCGTTCGAGGTCGAGTACGCTGGAATCGAACTGAAAAAGGAGGTGGCGGTGGTGAACAACGGACGGGCGCACTTCGAAGTGACCATCGAGAAGAAGTTCTTCCTGGATAGAGCTGTTAGTTTCCAAACGATTTCGATAATATCGACACTCTTTTTTTGCAGGACGAGCAGAGCTGTTTCACGATGCAAGTGGCTATCCTGGCTGGTCAATATCAGCCGAACTTTAACATCCAGAAGCATCAGACCACCCCACAGGCGATTCAGATTTGCAACGTCGACGCGTGTACCGTACCCACCGAGCCGCCACAAGATGTGGACGGCGAAACGAACAAAGGCGAAGAAGAGAAGGAAGTGGAGAAAGAAAGAGTAGACGTCGAAGCTTCTGGAGTAGTGGGCGGAGCCACCGAACCGACGAATGACGTGGAAGGCTCCGGACTCTCGATGGTCGAGCAGAGGCCGGTTGCGACCTCCTCGACGCCTTCAACTGCCGAGGTGGCCGACGAGAAGCCGTTGACCGGGGACGATGCACCACGCGAAGAATCCACCACGTCATCAGCCGCTCCGACGAGTTCTCAATCCACACAACCGCCCACACCGCACGCAAGTCCGTTTTTCCTCCGAATATCCCAGCAAACGTTGGAATTCACTCCAGATCCCGTCTTCGTCGTCGACAATCAGACGACCGAGAAAGTAGAGAAGGCGCAAAAGGAAGGCGAAGAAGAAGGCACGGAGACGACGACGCGGAAGAGCACGGGATGCGGAGCGGAGCACGAGGATCTTAAGATTTGCGAATCGTACTTTGCCGAGTATTTGGGCAAAGTGAACGAGTGGTCCGAGAAGCACAACATGACGATTACGAGTCATATGTGGAAGGTACGCGCTTTCAAACGCGAATTTTACGAGACTCCACAATTCCGCAATCTCGCTGTTTTTACCGTAAATCGACACGCATTTTTTTAAAAACAGCTTTCCTCGCTTTTTACAGAAAAAGTTGGATTTCTCGGCTTTTCGTTGAAAAATGAATAAAAACCTCAAAAACATGTTGTCGATTTACGATACTTTGCGCTTGTCGGAATTGTGGAGTGCCGTTTGGAAAGTTTGCTGCTTCTCAAAAGATTACAACTTTTCAGGCGTGCACACTGCTCTCCCAGGTACAGCACGTGACCACAATGTGCTGTGGAATCTTTCGAAACACTTGTGCCACACATCTCAGCCTCTAACTGTTAAAACATTTTTGAAAAATTGTTCAGCTTGCTCCTCCCCTCCCATTCCTTCTCCCTCTCCCGAGCCTTTGATAATCGTGTACTACCAGAATCGAATCGCATTTTGCAAGTGTGTCAGTCGAAAAAAACAAATATTTATTAGAAATTTAAAAACGAATAAAGATGTTCGCTGAATTTATTGTTTTTTGATGTCGACACAGTACGCAGAAGAGGAAGCAGTCTGAAGTGCCGACTTTGCCATCTCGGATTCCTTCTGAAACAAAACAACAAAAGGCGTTTGTACGTCTCGCTCCTCCAAGGTTACGCCACCACCCGCATCACATAATAATTGCATAAATGTATGTTCCTCGACGACGTCAAGGACGACACAAAAAGCATGCTTAATAGTAGTGGATGACTCTCTTTTGAAAAGGGCGCCAAGGGGAAAAAGTGAGGGCGAAAAAAGTTTAGAGGTCGTGTGTATCCTTGACTAATTGTGGGGCGAAGATGCGGAAGAGACGGGGCCAGGAACAGGTTCTTTTCGCCATTTTTCTTCGTTTTGGCAGGAAATAAGGGATTTTCAGAACGGGGGTTTATATAACTATATGCGCTTCTCGTTAGGCACAAACCGGCGAATACAAATGGAAAACACGGTCTCCAGAGCTGACAATATGGGCGTGGCCTCGGCCAAATGGCGTTTTCATGAATTGAGCAGGTTTTCTCTAATTTTTGTGGTCAAATGCGATGAAAAATGATAGTTCGACATGAAAACACACTAATTCTCAGAATTAATGCCGTTTTGGCGCATTTTTCGCGGACTTTGCTTTTTCGCCTTCGCCGATCGCCGCCTAAAAACCGCACTTCTCATTTTGCGCTTTCTTGACCGTTTTCAGACAGAATTGGTTTTGAGAATGATAAATCACGTAAATACAAGAATTTTAAGCGCTCGAACCGCGAAAATTACCGAAAAGCAACTGAAATTCACGCAGTTTTAGCCAAAAACCTTCAAACGGATAAATGTGATTTGCGACTTGACCAAATTTAACGCTCTTGCGCTTAAAAAATTTGTAATAGCCTATACAACCGGTCTATCGAGAGACAAATGAGAAATTATCGGGTTTCCGTGACTAATCTAGCCAAAAACGCAAATTTTGCTGTTAAAATTTGAATTTCGCGCCAATGTATCGCTCCATTGGGCGGGGCGCACTTGCGCTCATTGTCAGCTCTGGAGACCGTGAAAAAGGAAAGTGTGATTGCAAAAATAGGGATTTTCCGGCACTTTTCTGTAATTTGTTTGTTAGATATCGGTGAAAAACGACCTTTCATTGCTATTTCTAGCTGAGCAAACGACGGGCAGAATGACGGTTTGGTCACCGTGCACTCAAGGCTGCATTTCTATGATTTTTCTTGAAAATTCATCGTATATGCTGGTTTTTTTTCGGTACCTTACAGAATTCTGTCAATCGCGCTCTACGGAAATCCCATGTGAAAACTTTAAAATTACCTGAACAGACGTGACAAATTCATTGAGCGGCTGTAAAAACGCCATATTGACGGCGACAGTGATATGAAGAGAAATCGCTCCGAGGTACATCCAAAACGGACCGAGCACGCTGAATTCTCATTGAAGCGAACATGCACAAAACAATGTTTACCTGTAGAACTTGCGTTCGTTGACAAACTGCGAGGGCAGCTCGTTCAAATAAGTTGATCTCTTTCCTATTGCCATGAGCAAAATTATGGAGACGGCGAGCACGTCGGTCAGAAGCATCAGCGTCATCGTGATCGTCGTGTGCACGGTTATCAGAATCTTGCGCTTCGTCAGAATTCCGAACGCGGCGAGCACGGCGCCGCCGATGTAGACGGTGGCGACGAGCAGAATGACGGTTCGGAAGACGTGCTCGCTCACAAAGTAGCCTTTCGATTCGAGAATAAAATAGATGGCTACCTCGAGAAGCATCGTCAGAAATTGGAGCGAAACTGTGAGGAGGGCGGCTCGCGGCACGGCGAACAACTCGAAACAGGCGGCCGGGCGTTCCATTCTGCGACGGAATCGTTTTTTAGGCCGCTTATTCATTCTTATTATAGTTTTTTTTGTTTTCGTGAAGGCTATAAAGAGCAGAGTGAAAGGAATAAGTGCTCGCCGAACAAAAGAATGAGAAGATTTATGTATTTCTCATTTCTCTTTCTCGTCTCCTTCGCTTTTGCGCGTCCATTTTACGGGAAGACGTCAAGAGCAGCTACAGCAAAAAGATTTTCGACGGAAAAGCAAGTAAAAAATCGATAGATAAATCCGAGAAGGATTCGGAAGCGTTCTCTCTTCGGTGTCGTCTCTTCGGAATCGACAGTATTTTGTGTCTGCGTCTCCGCACTCGGGATGACCCAGAAATCGACGATTTCCGTGGATTATTGCGGTTTTTAGAGGAAAAATGCTAGGAATACATCTGGAAAAAAAGGAAAATCTGGAAAAAAAAAGAAGTTGTTTTTATTTGCTTTTTTTACTTTTCCAGCATTCGGAAAGTGACTTTATTTTTTTGGGTGCACTTCAGAACAGTATAAATTTTAAACTTGTACGTTTTTGTGCATATTCTAACATAATAATTTCCTCGTTGTTTCAGCAACTTTTTGGTTTGAAAAGCTTGGCGCCAATAATGGCCTAGAATTCGCACATGGCCGTGGCTTAGAAAACGTCAATTTAAGCTTAAATTCAAACTTGTTCTGTTATCTTAAACGTTCCCCACGAAAATGGGCCCAAAAGCCAAAAAAGCAAAACTAGAAATCGGTGGCGTTGATCTGGAATATGTAAAAAATGTAAAAAAAATGTTTGATAAAGTTGTCTCGAGTAAAATTTTTTATTTCAGCATAATCTATCCTACATTTGCGGATATTGTCAAGAACTTGTGGGCGGATCCGACGAGCAGCGAGCCGAACACGTCAACAAGCATGCGGTTATTGTGAAAAAATAACATTTTTTCTAACTTTTGAAAATTTCAGACCGAAATCACCGCTTGTCGAAATTGTTGTGCTTTCGTAAAACTCACAGAAACCAAGCAGCATACTCAACAGTTTCACAGTTTGTTTTCTTTGTTTTCAACTATTTTTGTTGTAAAAAGCATTAAATTTGCAGATGATTACCCGGGCCGTGTCAAATATGAGCTTGACGATGCGTTGATCGAATTCCGAATTCAAACGGGCAAAAGTTTCTCGACTTTTTGGGGAAATCGAGAGAAAAACGATAGTCAGTGTCTTTTTTTGTACTTTTTAGCTGGTTTGAAAACAATTTCAATCAATTTCAAGAAATCGTGTGCAATTTCCCTCGTTTCGTGAAAACGCTGTACTCGAAACACAAAAACGGGCGGTCGCTCGGCGTTTTTCGCATTCGCAAGTCGCAATTCTACTGGAACTGCCCGATTTGTAGCGATTTTCCGGTCTTGAAATTCGGCGACACGGTCGGTATGCGCTGCTCGGTTTTGAGACACTTGGAGCACTTTCATCGGCAAGAAATCGATCAGAATGCGCCCGGATTTTTCGAGAGCGAGTGGTATGATTTTTTTAAACAAGAATCAATAGAGTTCACATTAATTTCTATTTTTAGGGATCTTCTCGAAGAAGAAACAAATTTCGATGTCCGTTCTCTCATAGAATCGACCGAAAAGTGTCTGAAAGTGAAAGAACGCAGCATGCACACTTTTTATACCATCAATTTGTCGCGTATCGTCAACGGAAGCTCCCTACTGTCAGCGCTGCGAAAAAGGAGCGGAATCCTCGAGGATTCTGTTCGTTTTTGTCTCGTTTGCAACAGTTTGGTGCCCACAAGCGGGATCTATAATCATTTTCGATTGAAAATGCATTTGGAGTTGAATGCGTAAGAAAATGGGGCGTTTTTGCGTTCAGAATCGAAAAATTGGTTTTCAGAAAGGCTGAAAATACGATTTTCTCGCATAAAATAGAGGCGAAAAAGGAAAAGGAGAACGACGTTAAGGAAGAGATCGTGGAGGAAAAGATGGGACCGAAAAATTTCCAATTTCCCGAACAAGTTTTCGAGTATTCCACCGTTTTTAAGGTTTTTCTCTCAAATTCCCTAACGTCTGAGCTCGAACTCTGTTCAGACTTTGCGAAAAGACGAGTTCAAATGGCGCTGTCTGCTGTGCCGAAAACGCCACGCACACAACACGTTTGCCACGTCGATCATCATGCGAATGTACGCTCTTCGGCACCTCGACGAGCACCATCGATTTCTGTTCACCGACGAGTTTCTGGAATTCGAATGGAGTTCTTTGAGAAACGAAATGCGGGCGCAGTTCGATATTAGACATTTCACGCCGCTCCAGTACACCCTTAAGGGCGAGGAGACTTTTAATAAAAAGTATGGGCTTTTTTTGGGGACTCTAACTTGACCCTAACTTTTCAAGATTATTCATGATGGAGTTTCAGCCCGATTGGTTAATCGGAACTGGAGATTTAGTGATTTCATTCCTCAAACAACATATCTCCAGACCAGATGCTTCGATCGGGCTGAAACTTTCAATGTAGAGTCTCCGTGTCAAGATTCATTTTCTTGTAAACTTTGGATCCGATTGGAAATTTGATAATATTTAACAAGCCCATGACTTCAGTGATCCGAACGACTACGTGCTCCCCCAACAACCGTACTTTCTCCCGAAAGAATGCGCTCCGAATACCGTAATCTGCGGATTCTGCTATCGTTCTCTCCGCCACGACGAATTTCTTCAGCACATTGTGATTCACGGATTCGGACGTGGAGGAAGGTGCTCCAGAAGCTCTGATTAATAGAATGCAATTTTTGTTAAATTATAGAAAAGTGCCGGAGCTGAAGGCGGCGTCGATCGATAGCACAGTGAGCTCTCTGATGGGACAGGAGGAGTTTGTGGCCGAAGAACTGGACGATGAGCCGCTCAACATTTTGTCGATCGACGGTAAGCGGCTCAAACAGAAGATGGAAGTGGTTTCGGAGCGGTTTTACAGTAGTCAGCCCGCTTATTCGGATGTTACGACGCCGGGAGGACCGGATACGGTATAGGAAGAGATTTCTAGGCCTCCATCTGAATTGCAACTTTTTTCAGCCAAGAAGAAATCGAAAATCGGCTGTCGACGCGCGAAAACTGCTCGCCGACACGTTCCGAATTCTGCAGGAGAACGCGAAGAATCAAAAGCTCGGACACTCCTCCGCCTCGTCGTGCTCTTCGTCTTCAGATGACGACGATTCGGAAGAGGAACGCTTCGAGAAAAAGATCCAATTGGAGATGTTCACGACAAAGGAGCGAAAAGAGAGGAAGAATGTGCAAAACCGAAACGAATCCGGCAAAAGAAACTTGAAAAAGATGAAACCGGCGGAAATTAACCAGTGGATTCGAGAAGAAGCGGGTCGAATGGGCGTGGAATGGACCGGCGATCGTTCAAGCTCTTCTCCAGAATCTTCCGAAGACGATGATGACGTGGCGGATTCGAAAAATTTGGACGGGGAGGAGAACAAGTGGTCGCGCATGAATCTCCAAGATATCAAGACTTTGTAAGTTGTCTAGCAAGTGCGCTCCGCCGCAAAATTAGCTTTGAAAAGTCAATAATTTCGCATTTGTGAATTTCAGAATCCGAGCGGCGGCCGCAGAAAAGAGCATCAAATTCACTGAAGACGATTCGAGCGATACGGACAGTGATGATTAATTAATTTTGTTGAAAATTTTGTTGTTTTAGTTTTGTTTCACCTAGTTTTGTTTCAAATGAATGACATCATTTCTTGCCGATTTTCGTTCTTGGCCTAACTTTTGCAGAAGTTCGGCCTCGCGGCCACCACGTATTTTCTCAAAATTTGCAATTTTTGACTGAACATTTTCAATTTCAATTTTTAAGTGTTTTTCAGATGTCAGACGAAAGGGACAGATTAAGTGAGTTGCCGCCGGAACTTCGCGAACTTATCGTCGAAAAATGCGACTATTTGTCGAGGTTTGCAGACAATTTTCAGTGAATTTTCAACAATTCACAACAAAATTCAGATGCTCGCTGAGCCGCACGTGCAGAGCTCTCAAATCGACAGTTGTCGCATCGAAAACCGTCATTCCGGCGGTAAAAATAAAAGAGCGACGGAACGGAGTGCATTTCGAATTCACATTCCGTCTTTTCAAGGAGATTTCTCTGAAATTCGAGCGGCACGGCCAATCGGCCACGCGAATTTATCGTCGCGACAAAGAAGACGTCGTTTTGGAGGGAACGGACCCGATCGCAGAGGCGCTTTCTCTTTTCCATCGAGTTTGCGTTCAGAAGCACCTTACCGTCGGCTACCTCGGAATTGAGACGGTCGGGGCGGTGCCAGAGCTCACCGAACAGCTCCGCGCTCTTTTTACGCGACAATCGGACTCGGATCCGATTAAAATTCGCAAAATATCATGGCAGAGAGACGGAATTTCTGATTTGGCGTGGACTTTTTTGGAGTTTGCCGATAAACTGGTGCTCGAGGAGCTTATCATCAACGGTGAAATCGAGGAGAAAGTTAATATATTCGGAGATCCGCAACGTCGGGCGATCATTCAGAAGTTGGATAGAGTTGAGGTTCATCCGGAAATCGAAGAGACCGAATCGGAATTGGTGCACCTTAAAAAGGAGAATATTAAAAGTAAATACAATTTTTCCAGATTCTTTCGTTGATCGCCTCGAGGATCCACCTGAAATCTCAGCATTTCACCGGAGAACTCATCGAAAAAATGATTGAGAAAATTGCGAAAAATCGCAAAACTGGCTCGTATTTCATTCTCAAAAAGACGGAACAATCGGATTTTTTGCAGCTCGTTCCCAGCGGGTTTCAGAAAGCGGAAAGCATTGAGAAAAAGTGAAAATGGTCTGAAAAATTTTAAAAACTGAATTTCTCAGTGTCAACGCCTACACAATGCGCCTGAAGGACGACGACACTGCGATCAGTCTGAAAATGGGAAGTTTTGGAGTTTACGCGGACGTCCAGAGCTTCAAGATTTCGGAAGAGCGAACGATGATGGCACAGGTGCGCAAAAAAAAAGATTTCGTAAACGGAACACGTCTTCAGCTCCGCGAAAAATGTCTTACGCGCTCCAACTGCTTCTGCCAACAGCCGACATTCCTTCCGGAAGACGATTCTTCGGAATTCGACGACTACGACGAGTACGTGGACGACGACAGCGTCGATTACGATTACGAACGCCTCGAGATGGACTTCAACGGAGAATTCGACGATTTTGACGACGATGATGATGATTTTAACGAGGAAGAAGATTAAATAATTTTGTTTTCTTTCGTACTGTAAATGTTTTCGCTTCCAATGTTGTTCGCTTTTTGATGTCTTTCTGATAATTTCCATTGATTTCCGACGTTTTCAATAAATAATCGGCAGAATCGGCAAGTGCGCGCCACCGCACTCCGTGACAACGAAATTAACAAAATTACTGTAAGCTTTTTGAAATATTTTTCGAAATTTCAACTCTGGCCAGAGGGAGGAGTGGCCTGGCAATTGCGTTTCGCATGTTGTCGAAAGTGCGAAAGTTACGAGATTTTTGAATCTTGCAATGGAACTCAAAAGTTACAATGAGATTTTCGAATGTTGCAATGAAACTCAAAAGTAACAAGAAGTCTCGCGCTTCTTGCAGTTCTAAAACCATTCGTTGAGACTTGCGAAACTCAATCACCAGAGAAGTCACTCGTTTCTTAATGCTATTCTATTTTCTCCTTTGTCTCCGATTATTTTGTGGAAATATAATTTCTTAGTGCCAGATGAAACGTCAGGGAAGTCCGATTGCTGGGTGCAGCCACAAAATTCCACTTCTCGACTTGGAAGATGACGAGCGAAAAACAGATATAAAAGATTGTGAAGAGATAAAAAGTCTGAGAAGTTTCAAAACTGAAGATCAGAAAGAGTGTAATTCTTTTTTTGTTGGTAAAAATAACTTCAAACCGAATATTACAGACGATGTGGTGAAAGCAATTGGCGAGGGCGTTTTCGGGGTCGTTTTTCATGTGACCGACAAGGTAAACTAGTCGACATTTACAAAAATTGAAGAGAACAAAAGTTTAGAAGCAGAAAAAAGATTATGCGCTGAAGGTGATAAAGGAAATGAGCAACTTTGTGAACAGCGGCTTTCGAAAAGAAAAAAGAGTTTGTTTTTGTGAACTTTTAACCAAATTTTGCTTGAAACCTTTTGCAGTTACTGGAAGAAGTGGAAAAGGAAGGTCATCCGAATTTGCTACGACTGATTTGGGCCGGAAATCTGTCGGTTGCGCCGTTCCGCTGCACCAAAATGGCGTTGCTCACCGAGCTCGCCGGACCTTCTTTGCACGATTTATTGAACGGATTTGAAAAAGAAAACGATGAGGGACTGAGTGTCTGTTTCCCCGTGGATGACATCCGGATCGTCGGACGACAAATCCTCTCCGCCATGCTCAAATTGCTCTCCCTCAACATTTTCCATTTGGACCTGAAACCCGAAAACCTGTATTTCATGGGCGCTGGTCATGAAGTGGAGAAGAAAGAGTACAAAACGACGACTATTTGCGATGACAAAGAGATTGAGTTGAAAGAGTACGCGCTGGTCATCAAAAAACCGGACTTGCGCATCACAATCGGCGATTTCGGCAGTGCCCGACAACACGGGCCTTCCGATCGGGTGACTCCGAAACAGGTGCAGTCGCAGAACTACAGAGCGCCCGAAATTTTTATGGGTAAAAGAGAAATCTCAATAAACAAACTTTGAATTGTATAGGTATGGCGTTCTCAACAAAAGCGGACGTCTGGTCGTTTGGAGCGGTGATGTGCGAGATGTACACCGGCGAACTGCTCTTCTACGGCACCTTCGAAGGCGACACCGAGATGGCGCAGTTCGAGTTGATGAAGAGAGTCGTCGGACAACAGCCCACGAACACCATGTTCCGGGAGGCCATCTCCGTCGGGTTTGTTAACTGAAAAGATGGTTTTTATGTTAATCTTGAAGGTTTCTGTCCATTTTCAGAAGTCAGCACATTGCGCTCTCCCCGCACGGCTACCGAATGAAAAACATAGTGATTCCCCCGATGACGGTGCCCCTGCTGCTCAATATGCGCTTCGGAGACGCCCCGGCGCGCGAGCTGTTCACAATGCTCGAAGACACGATGATCTTCGATCCCTCCGACCGCCCTACCTTCCAACAAGTCTTCGAATCGGAGTTTTTCGCGGAAAACGCTGATTCTGCTGAATAATTGCACCCTTCTCAAGTTTCATTACTTTACAATAAATTTTCCTAATTACCTATCGCATTTTTCGTGACATGTTCTAAAAAAATCGTGTTTCTTTTTCCTGTGACTTTTCCTAAATTCATTTCTAAAATGCCTCCTCCACCTCAACCTCGACGATCGAAATCGCACGCGAAAGGAGGAAAACTTGAAAAAGATAAAGAAAAATCGGATGAAAAGAAAAGGTTTTAAAATTGAATTGAAGCTCGAGAAAACTGGTGGGAATATTGTAGAGTAGCCCGATCCAAGTTTGCGTGTCCGGGCGCCAACGCACCGGCGCCGACCGGCAGGACTCCCACGAAACCGAAAGGACAGCAGGAAGTCGTCAAATCGGTGCAGATGGCTGTCGCGAATCCTGTGAAGCTCAAAAAAGAGTCGAAAGAGGCGCGCGCTTCGAAGGCTGCTGCTCCGTCGGCGGCTCCGAGTGTTCCGAGCAGTCAGCCCATTTCTCCGACGGCGGCCGCTAATCGATCGAGAGAGCCGGAGCGGAAAAGCAAGAAACCATCGACAAAGGTTGGCTCCGTCCATTTCTGGGACCTGCTATCATTAAAATTTGAAATATTGCTAACCTGCATGACCGAGCACACGCACTCCGCTTCATTTTCGTCTTTCTTGCAGAAATTCCATCAAAAATGCTCGTTCTTCCCACTTTTCTTGTCTGTCTTAAAATCGTACGTTGAACACATTTCTACATGGTCTGTCAATTTTGCTAGTTTTTCGATAAAACCAGTTAGAAATGTGTTCAATGTACGATTTTTAAAGAAGAGAAAAGCAAAAAACGAGAGTTTTCTATAAGATTAAGCAAACAATGCATTTTAAGGCGAAAATTTAAAAAAAAACGAGCAGCCGAGCGCGTTTTCGTAGTCAAGCGGATTAGCTAGATAGTTTTAGTCCTCAACGGTTCTACTGTTGTTCTAAATGACAAAAAGCACAGGGAGAGCCACTGAAACCTATTTGTTGCAGGAAAAATAGGTCTCCGAACCAAAGTGGCACTTTCCTAGTTATTTAGAACACTTTGTGAGAGTTTCGAAGAAAATTATGATCCCTGACAGATTAGCAATAACTTTTTCACAGAGCGACGAGAAAGTAAGCGACCCGAAGGAGAAAGAAAAAGATGAGGGAAAAGGAGCGAACACGCGGAAGACGAGAACGACGGAGAGCAAGGTGAATAATTATGGAATGAGAAGAGACTCGGAACACTTATTGCAGCTCTCGTCACAAGAGAAGAGCCTGGAGCAGATGTCGTACGATTCGAAGGACGAGACGGAGCAGCTGCGGATGAAGTTCAACAAAAACCTCGCACAGAAGTTCTTCAAGCAAATGATGGAGTCGACGAAAGCTCGCAAGCGAAGAGACGATGCTGTCAGAAAAATGAAATGGGTTGTTGAAACAACTATTCCCATTGCAGAAGCTGGAGACGATGCCCGAGTCGAGTCAGATCAACGCGTCGATGCGTGCTCTTAAGAAGAAGAAGAAGAAGAAGGACGGTGCGTCGAAGATGGTCATGCTCTCCGGCCCGGAGAATCTGTTCAAAGCTAACGGCGAACCGGTGTGGGTGGTGGCGGAGAGAGCGCCGGGCGAGGGCGAGAAGGACGAAGACGGCGTCGTCGTCGCCAATCCCGAACTCGTGCACGCGCTCGCCGAGGACGATCTCGTGATCGAAGAGAAGGACTGGATCGAGACCTCAGACGCCTACATGAGCAATCGCATGAAGAAAGGGCGGTCGATTCCGAAATCGTAAGAGCTGTTTAGAAATGTGCGCTCTGTACGATCTTCAAACAAAAAGTCGAAAAGGCGACCATTTTCGATAAAATTTCAGCAATAAATGAATATTTGGAACGAAAAAAGAAAACCGCAAATGGAACGCGTTTTCTTAACCAAATATGATTTCCAGCTACCGCTTCAACCCATACGCCACATTCAAATCGCTTGAGAAGACGAACGCGTACACGACTCCCGAAACGGTCGCCTACTTCACCATCCGCAATCTCGTCGAGCTCTCCGAAGAGGCTCTGAAGCGATTCACGCGGCGGCAAACGGAAATTGACGAGGAGCCGCGGAGCCGTCCCGAGAGGCGGCTCGTCGCCAAGATGGAGAAGAAGCCGTCGACGATGACGGCGGAAGCGCCGGCGCCCAAGAGACTCGGAAAGATCAAGTTCGACTTCGCGGCCACCATTCAGATGAACTATGATGTGAGCTCTGGATTTGACACCGATCATAGTCCACCGATTTCAGCGCAAGAATCCGTTGCTGTCGATCCAACGCCTCCGTCGTCAAATCCATGGATTCGTTTTGGAGAAGACACAAGAAGTTTCGAGCTAAAAATTTTTGAATTCATTCAACAAGAGTAAAAAAGTGAGAGATTAGAGATCAATCTTGAACGAGCGGTTCCGACTGCGCCGAAGTGCCGCGATCGATGACGAAGTCGTCGTCGCCGAAATCTACGTCATCTTGCCGATGCTCGTCCGCTTCGGGCATCACAAAATAGTGAGGATTTCCGATGAAATCCGCACTTTTTGCGATCAACAACTGATTCAGATCGCGAATTCCGAGCCATTGACAGAACTCGGCCGATTGCGGATTACGATAGTAGAGGCTCGGCGGTGCTCGTTTAGATTCTTCGGTGACCTCGATGAGCGGCGGTGCCGTCTGTCGGAAAGTGTCGGTTTTGATGGTCAGGTCGCCGAGCTCTCCGATGCTTCGCAACTCCTCCTCGGTCGGTCGGAAGTCCTTTCGCTCGTACGCACACGGCCGACTCGAGGACATGTCCGGAAGGATGATGTGCTCCCGTTCGGCCACCGTCAATAGATCGGTACTGCGAAGGATCGCGAGCCAGTGCGGATCATAGGACAGCTCCATTCGCGCGCTGTTCGGCACGTTTATCTCGAGTGCCTGCATGAATTTTCTGCCCGGAATGGGTTTGTCGAGCGAGAGGAATCGGGTGGGCGTCGGGCGTTCGGACGCCGACGCGCCTTTGTGTGGGACGAGGGCGGCGAACGCGATGTGCAAGTGGGCGGCCAGGTAGTAACGGGGACGGCATTCCTGAAAAATGAAAGGTTGACAGGGGCGATGGGAGAAGTGGTACGCACGTAGATGAGCTTCATTCCCGACGGATTGCCGAGCTTGCCACTCTCGTGGTCCTGCTCAAAGCGGTCCTTCTTTCGGAACAGCCACGCTTTGTCGCCGAACTCAGCGATTCCTCCCGGCCAATCGTGAGAGATCATTATGTCGATCGGGTTCTGCAACATCTTAGTATTATCTATCATTCAATCGATTTCTGCAAGATTATCATTCTAGTGTCCTTTGAACCTTGAAAGTTTGAGCCCAAATGGGGGATATAGATCGGAAAGCTCCAATCGGCTGATAGATGCCCTCTCACTAACCGAAACCTTGTCCTCGTTCGGCGCTCTCAACTGTCTCAGCCGGAACATGTCGACGTTGCGAATGTGATACGCACTCTTGACGTCTCTTTCGGAGAACGGAGGCCGTTCGTGGTGCGAGTACATAAAGTCGCCCGCCGCGAAAATGCCGGAGAGGCCGGCGATGCGAAGTCCGGCGAACTGGATGCAATTCGCAAAGCCCATGTAGTAAATGTTGGGTGCGACCCATCCCCCATTGGGCAGCTCGCTGAGAAAGCCCGACGCCTCGTGATTTCCGCCGATGAAGACGGTGAGCACAGGCGCCGTCTTCTCGCCCGAATAGTACTTGTAGAAGGTCTGGAGGGAGCGGAAACGCGGCGGCACGGACATCTGGAGAAGGTCGCCGTAGTTACGGACCGATTGGTAATCTCCGCAGCAGATGAGCAGGTCGAACTTGTAGCCCTTCTCCTGCTCGATCAACGCCATAGTCTGCAACAATTTTCACGATATTCAAACTGATTTAAAAAAAACGGAAAGGAACCTCATAAATCGCGTCCATTTCTCCGTGCGAGCATCCGACAACCGCAATTCTCGCTTTTTTCGTCTCTGCTCCATCTTGCTCCGAAATCAGAGTCCGAGCTTCTGGAACCGTGTTTTCGGAAGGTTCTCGAGCTTCAGAAGTTTCAGAAGGACCACAACAGTGTTCTTCTGACATTCTGACGCAAAAAATGAGAACAATATTGAAATTAACAAGAAAACCAATCAAAGTAAAAGGGCTCGAAAACCTATAAAACAGATGATTCAGATGAAATGATAGGCGCAAAAACAGGCAAAATATTGATGATTTAGATGGAATTATACAAAAAAAATTTAAAATACAACAATTCATACTCGTTTTTTGGAAAGCGTGAAGAGATTAGTAACAATTTACAAAAATTATCGTTTTGCCGGCGGACTGGAAGCGGCGGACGACGACTGCGAGTACATCTTCTTCCAGTAGTCCACCTTTTCCATGCTCACCAGCGGCATCAGTTGATCAGCGAAATCACGCAACGTTTTAGCGGCCTGAAATCCATTTTTCCAGAGAAAGTCGAAGAATTTCTGCGCTTACCGGCATATATTCGACAGATTCCGGCAGTGAAATGCTAATCTCGACGAGCGACGAATCGCTGACCAGTTTGATGGAGCTCGAGTCGTAGAAGCCGGGCCGAACGGTGCGCGTCAGATTCGAGTGCACAATTTTGATGTTGCTCTTCGTCCAGAGCTTTCCCTGACTCATCCACTCGTAGTCCATGCGGAGGCCGAGCGCCTTCGCGTACGTCATCATGTCCGTCGAGTGGACGAGCGACGATATCTCTTTTCGGACGATCGTCGGACACCGCTGATCCGGTTCCGGCACTCCGATGTACCGCAGTTGCCAGTAGTTTGCCGTTTGAACGTCCGTTTTAAAGCGGCGACGCAGTCTACCAAAAAATTCAGATGTTTGTTCCGATTTTTACATGCAAACTCACTTGATATCAGTTTTTAAGTCGGCTGAATTGGTCGCCGAGCGAAGAGAAAACGACATTTCGTGCTCGTAAAACTCCTCGCATCCCGGATCGCAGAGACCGGCCAGACGACGTTCCAGATCCTGAATTACCGATTTTAACGTATAAATATTTGCTAATTACCGGAATGTGCTTTGTATAAATCGAACCGTAGAGCACACACTCCTGCGTTTGGTAGGGCGTCGAATTTTCGGACAACTGCAATATTATCGATGTTTCTTTGGAGATTTGTTTATTTTTACGTTTACTTACCGGCTGTTGACCTCCTTCTTCGTCAAGATCCACCGAATTGTCCATATTTCACCTAGTTTCAATGATTTTTATAAAGTCAAATGCAACTGAATAAATTCGAAAAAATGTCGTAAAATCCAGTGCAAAGGCAACGTCACGGTGTTTGCAGAAAACCGGCGGGGAAAGCAAATTCGGCAAGATTTTTCAGAGACAATTGTTCATTCAAGGAAATTGATTTCTCATTTTGGAACCGTTTGCTCGGCTGTCTGCTCAGTCGTTCTGTCTCGTTTACAACGCAGCTTTTGAATCGAACGAATCGGATTGTGTCTCTGCAAACATGTGCTATTCTGCGGATAACTGAAAAAAACAGATATTATGCGTTCACCTAACGTTTTCTTCACAAAGCGCAACAAAATTTACAGTTCTGCGCCTTGTTGCTCTGTCTGACAATAATTTTTGAGAAAAACTCACATCGTAGTTCATCAGAATGTTTTTGGTGACGTTAAAATTCACAATTTTCTTCGTCTGTTCCTTCACCTCCGCCACCGCCGTCATTTTCGGAGGCGGTGCGTCGTTGACGTTCGGAGCGGCGGCCGGTTCACGAGAAGGCGGACCCCGTCGGTCATCGTCAACGCCATCCGCTTTACGGGCGAAACGTTTGAGGGCTTCTGAAAAACAAAGAGCGCTTGAACTTAGGATTGAGGATAAAAGATCCGAACCGTCGGAGAGCTCGACAAGATTTCGGATGGTAAAGTAGGCGACCGCTTCGGGAGTTGTATACGCGTTCGTCTTTTCGATCGCTTCGAATGTGGCGTACGGGTTGAAGCGGTAGCTGTAAATCAACTACTTTTCGGGAAAAAAGCAAAAAAGAACCAACTGATCGGGAAGCGGCTTTCCCTTCTTGATATTGTTGGTCATGTAAGCATCCGAGAGGACTATCCAATCCTTGTCCTCCACTTCAAGATCGTCTTCGGCGAGCGCGTGCACGAGTTCGGGATTGGCGACGACGACGCCGTCCTCGTCCTTCTCGCCCTCGCCCGGCGCTCTCTCCGCCACCACCCACACTGGTTCGCCATTCGCTTTGAACAGATTCTCCGGGCCGGAGAGCATGGCCATCTTCGACGCACCGTCCTTCTTCTTCTTCTTCTTCTTCAGAGCACGCATCGACGCGTTGATCTGACTCGACTCGGGCATCGTCTCCAGCTTCTGCAATGGGAATAGTTGTGAGCCAGTAGAGCCCTTTCTATTGCTCACCGCGTCATCGGTTCTCTTTCGGGCTCTCGTCGACTCCATCATTTCCTTGAAAAACTTCTGCGCGAGGTCTTTGTTGAACTTGTGTCCTTTTCTCGAATCCGGATCCGAAGGCTCTTTCGAGTCTCTCGACTTTGCTTCTGCTGAAAAGTTTGATCGGTTGCGACACGGACATAAGAGACTCACATGATTTCTTGGTGGGCGACTCGGAAGACGTGTGCGGACTCGATCGGTTTCCGCCCTTCTTCCCGTCGTTCTCGCTAGCGCTGTTTGTCTTTCCCTCTGTTGACGTCATTGAATTCGACCGTTTTCCCTTCTTGCGAATTGTCGTCTTCGGCTGCTCCTTCTCCTCCTTCTTCACCGTTTTTTTCGGCTCGACCTTGGGTGCCGGTTGCGGGGGCGGTATGGGTTTGGCGACGAGTGCGAGTCCGACGGGAGTTCCCTCAAGCACCTGGAGCTTTGACTTCTGCGCTCCTCCTCCGGGCGAGGGCGGCGGTTTGACCGGCTTCGGAACGAGCACCGGCGCCATAGATTTCGACTTTGTTCTGAATTGTTCATTTTAGGAGGGTAATTTGAACAATGACTCACTGTTTGACAGTATTCCGTTTACCTTTCACATCTTTGCCTGGCATTTTCTTAATTTGCACTTTGAAAAATTGAAAATGGATACATTCGATTTGTTTTATGTTCCACGTCGTTTGGGGCTACGAAAGGAAACCAACGTGATGCATCGTAGAGTCATTTTAACGACGCGAAACGGAGCGGCCAGCTCGGAGAGGTGCTGTAAGATTACTGTAGGTTGCATCGACTTGTACTCTTTGACAGTATTCAACGATTACTATAGGAGTACGGTAGTTACAGTAACCTAAACATGGCCGAGATCCAAGGAAGCCCCCAGAAGAGCGGAAAGGCGAGTTGAAAAGAGCATAAGAATAGTATAATGGGGGAGAAGGATGAAAGGACAATGCATTTATAATAGCAACTTCCCCTCTCTCTTTCACAAAAAACATTTTCAACCAATAAATAGGGATAGAGGAAGAGAGAGAGAGTAAAAGGGGAAAGAACACGGCGATCTCGTTCATCATTCTCTCACTTTTTTTGTTGTTTTTGTGAAAGAGGGAGCGGATTCCAGTGTGTTTTGTTTACTATCTTCTTGTTTTCTAGCTACTTTTTCAGCATGAAAACAATTTTTCAAAAACTTTTGGCTCGAGATATCTTACAATGCCCTCGCCAAGAACCCCTAGCCAAACCGGCACCGTTAAATCAAAAGACTTTACCGCGGTTGGAGACAGAGATATCAAAAAATGGTCAACTAATAAAATGTTTAGAATTGTTTAATGACCATTTCATCAGTTGACAACTTTTTGATATCTTCACTGACAGCTGAGATATCTCTGGAATTAACGGTCTAGCATTATTGACGGTGCTTTCTAAATGGAAACGTTGAAAAATCGACCTAGCTACACTTTTCGGATCGGTTTCACACTTTGCAAACTCCCCTTACACATGGATTTAAGTATGTTGCGACCAAGTTTCAGACCAATCCGATCATTCACGCTTGAGAAATGTGTATTAGGACTTGTTCGGCAATTCAGGTCTCAAAAAGGCCAGGCTGAGCTAATTGGCTTCAATTTTTCGGGAAAAAAAAACAGATTGTTCGTGACTAAATTCTGCGAATTGTGGTCCCCCAAAATTGGTGTCGAAATGGAGACCTCTAGTGTTCCCTTGCTAAATGTATCAATCACCCTCCTATCCTCGGGGGACCAGACAATTGATCGGAAGGGTCTAAGGGTCTAAACCATCTGCCCATGTGCTTCCGCATTCTTCTCCTTCCAACCATCTGCTCCCTTTTCGGGTCTCTCTCTCTCTCTCTTCCCACTCACATCGATCCCCTTTTCCATCTGCGTCTCTGTCTCTTCCGCTTCTACTACCACCAAAAGAAGAAGCTTTCTTTTTCTTTCTCATCTTCTTCCTACTTTTTGCTACTGGTAACTTTCCCTTTATAGGAAACTTTCAGGATTTCGCAATCAAATGGAAACATGGCCGCGAAATCGCCAAAAACGCCCAGTGGAATTGCGTTCTCTATCCGAGAACAAGATGTTATTAAGGCAATTCTCGAGTTTTTGGAGATCCGCGGCCTGCACATTTCACAAGTAAGTCTTTTTGGACCTTTTTCAACATAGAAATGAGTAGAAATTCGTGACTGGCCTAGTTTTCCAGGTTTGAAAAGCTAGGCGAAGCTGGAAGATTAGCGGAGAAACGGAAAACGGAAGACAAAGAGAAAATACGTATTGGGAATGCTTTTCTGTTTTTAAAAGGTGCAAATACTAGAAACTATAGATTAAATTAGAAGGACAAACCAAAACTGAAGACGATATGCAAACGCGCTTTTCTGGCCTCGGTCGCCAAATTCACTTTTTGTGTGGCCATGAATTTTGTGAAATTTGTGAAAAGAAAACGGAAAAACCGCTACCACAAATGTTTTTTCGAAATGAAAATGCGTTTTCTTCGTAAAAGTCGATGAATTACGGTCGAAAAATGTCAAAAAGTTACAAAAAAGCGTGAAACGCGACTTTCTAGCCTTTTCCTGTTTTCCACACTGTGCGCGCATCAAGACAAGAACTTCGCGTTGCGCGGGCAGGTCAAAAACTGGACGGGTCTCGCAGCGATGCGACAAAAAAATGCGCGATCAAAGGGTGTTTACGAGTGTTTTGATGGACAGATGATGACTAAAACAGATTATCGAAACACGTGTTTGTAGTCTGGTAACAGGTAAAATGCCGTTCAGAACAAGGTCCAATCTGCATTCCAGAGTTGAGCGGAAGAACTCAATGGAAGAACACGGAATAATTTTTATCTTTTTTAGAAAATTTTTTAATGAAATGTGATCAACTGACGAAATGTATAGCAAAGTAAACTCTGCTCATAAAAAATAATTATAAATTTAGCTTTTCATACAAAAAAGTTATTCGAGTTGTTCCGTGAAAAAAGGGCTAACGGAAGGCGGAAGGACATTTTCACGGAACAACTCGAATAACTTGTTTGTATGAAAAGTTAAATTTACAATTATTTTTTTATGGGCAGAGTTCACTTTGCTATACATTTCGTCAGTTGATCACATTCCATGAAAAAATTTTCTAAAAAAGATAAAAATTCTTCCGTGTTCTTCCGTTGAGTTCTTCCGCTCAACTCTGCTGCATTCTGTCCTTCTCCGTTCATATTTTGGTGACCATAATCACCACTCTTTGATAACTTTCTGACTAAAAGTACCACTTCAACCTAAACTATTTCAGCTGTCCCTGGAACGAGAAGCGGGCGTGATAAATGGCGCGTTCTCGGACGATCTCCTGTTCCTCCGTCAGCTGATCCTCGACGGCCAATGGGACAACGCTTTGGACTTTGTGGAACCGCTTCGATCGGTCAAAGATTTCGATTTCGGATCCTTCAGGTTCGATGGCACTTTCCCTTCCACTCTTTCTCATTCATTCATTGATTTTCAGGTACAACGTCACAAAGTACAAGTTTTTCGAGTTATTGTGTGTGAAACTCGAGCCCGGACCGTTACACGACAACGATTTCGCGGTCGAGGAACTTGTGGAGTGCCTGAAAGACCTCGAGCACATTTGCCCGTCGCCCGAAGACTACCGACATTTGTGCGCCCTTCTGACACTTCCCAAATTGTCCGACCACGACGATTTCAAGAACTGGAACCCGAGCTCGGCCCGCGTTGAGTGCTTTTATAAGGTGAGCAGTGAAATCGGGCTGCAGTAGTCAACAGTGCTCTTTCAGCTAAACCAACTGTGCGGCCACCTGCTCCCGCCGACCGGAAAAGAAAAAGAGCGATCGGAGGAGAGCAACGCGTCGAACGATCGGCTCACGAGTCTTCTGGCGAAGGGAAGGTTCTACGAGGGATGTGTAGACTACTGTCAGGCACAGGCGATAGGGGACAAGCGGGGCATTGATGCGGGTCCGAGTCCCTCTGATCTTCTGACGTTCCGCCCCAAACTCGGATCCACAGACCTGTCCCTCGTCTGCTGGTTGGAAATGGTCGGCAAGGAGCAGTTTGCGATGCCCTTCAAGCAGAAACAACTCGAGTTGCGTGTGGAGCCGATCAGAAAGCCGAGACTCGAGGCGCCGTGGACCGAGACGATCATGGCGACGCCGATCAAACCGGGCGGTCACTTCCCGCACAACCTCGTCCCGACGTCGAAACTCAAATTTGCCGAGAAGATGAGCCAGTCGATGACGATGAGCATGCTCCCGCCCGCCGATCTGCTCACCTCCACGTTCCCCTCGGTTCCACGTGGCAATCCGATGTCGCAGTCGACCGCCGCCGGCTTCTGTTTGGGTGCAGCCAGCGATCCGTCGGCAGACGCCATGGCACAGAGTCTTCTGATCGATGAGATGATGGAGTCGAGTCAATTGGCAAGGACTTCCCGCCCGGATACTCTTCGGGGACCGCCCGTTCCACAAATGGCTCCGATCGTGGTGCCACAAGTGCCTCAACAGACGATACAGCAGCAAGTGATGAGCATGTAAGGTTAACTGTGTAATCAATTACGAAGTTGTGAAGCACAAAATTTGCAACAACATTTCAGTGTTGACCACTTTTTCAGATTGTCTTTAGTTTTTCAGGTATGGCAACGCAAATATTGTGATTGGCAGTTGAAATATATCAACAACACTGAGGTGCCGCTCAAAACATTCATATTTCAGGTCGATGGCCCCTCAAGTGATGGCTTCACTGGCTCCAATGGCTCAGAGCATGGTCAACTACGACTTCACTCCGGTCCGAAGACAACTCGACGAGATCTCCCGCAGATCGATGCCCCCATCCAGATTGCCGACGGTTCCGGAGATGGGCTCGCCCGGCGAAGCGCACGAGAACCACATGACCCAAAGCCGTCTCTTTCAGCAGTTTTCGGCCGCTAAAACTAGTACGTTTATCATTATTATTATCGTTTTCAGAAGAGGTAAGATGATATGAAAAGTGGGGGGATGGTCAGACGGCTTCCGGCGACGGTTGTCGATTCAAATCGATGTTGGAAGCGGCACACGAGAGTGCGATCACATCACGATAGCCGTTCATTGAGACACTGAAAGTTTTTCTTGGGATTAGATTGAATTCTTGCTTACTGACCTCATATGGAACGGGAGTACGGTATTGCGGGCCGAGAGGAGCGCCTCTTGAACGTTGGGAAAGAATTGGGCGCGCGGGACGGTGTTGTAGAAGCCGAGCAGTTCCATCGAGTCGCGGACAAACGCCGGTACTCCGGACATTAGGATTTTGATGTTTTCACTGTTCAAATCGCCATAGACCTGAAAAATTTTAGTCTGACCGTAGCCTAGAATCCTCACTGACCTGTGACAGACACGTGAGCATGTCCTTGTCGATGGCGGTGACTCCGTTGAACGACAGTACGAGAAAGCGAACGATCGGGGGGCCTTCGGAGGGCGGACGGGTGACGGACACATCGCATTCTTGGATGATTGTGATGTTGGCGGATAGGTTGACAGATTCACGCGCGGTCACGCTCTCCTGAATTGAGTACTGCAAAAGGGGCGGAGCTGAGGAGGTGTTAGAAGGAAACGTTAATAGATTCGGACAATCCCCTACCTTTGGCCCGATAGCCGACGGACACTGACTGCGAAGCGAGGCGGTCCGAGTGCCGATGCCGATTCCGATTAGCCCTTTGACGACGACCGCCTGCTTGAACAGCTCCGCTCGAACACTTTCGCAATTGACAGAAAGCATCGGGCCGCTGAGTTTGATGATTCGGACCGGAGTATCCAGACAATCGCCTTCGTACCTGAACGTGTTCAGCTGAGCACTATAGAATTTTGAATTGACTAACCGATTCTCCTCGGCGAAATGATTGTCGGACAGTTTGGCGAGCACGTCCATATGCGGCCATTGAACTTTGAGCGAGACGGCGAACACGGAGCAGAAGAGCATGAAGATGAAGCCGGTGCACACGTTCGGAAAGACGAGCGCACTGGCCAGAGCGGCCACCGCGAGGATCTAGAGTAGATTTATGATTGGTTTTAAGTTGTTGAGGGGACTCACAGCATCCCAGGTTGACGAGTAAAATGTCTCGCGAATAGATTTGAGATCGCTGAACCAGCCGTTGAACGAACACATTATCATCACGCCGATCGCGCACTGGAAAGGAACGTTTTTTTTTGAGAAATTAGTGAATTTCGGTTTAAGCCTCTTACACCACTAGATAGAACATGAAAAGTTGTGTATAAGTGTAGTAGATCAATTTTTCGGAAAATCAGGTTTAGAGTACGTAATTTGGCACCTCAACCAAAGTTTGGAGACCGTTCCATCAAGACAATGTATCTCAGCTGCCGGTAGAGATATCGAAAAATTGTTAACTGATAAATTGCTGAGAACGATATATTGCACATTTTATCAATTGACTTTTTTTTGTTGATATCTCTTCAGGCAGCTGATATACATTATCGAAATTTTTGAACAGAGAAGCAACGCCGATCAACAAGCAAGATGCTGCAAATTGTGTGCCGAACAGCGAAGATTACTCACGACAGGAAGCGCACTGAACAGCGGCGAGCCAAAGTGGATCATGAGAATGGTGGGAATCAACGAGAGCACGTTGGCCACCAGCGAGAATTTGGAGCTCTCAATGTTAACTTGCGATCTGCCGTAGCTGCTCGACGGCGGCAGAAGGCCGAACAGCGAGGAGAGGAAGGAGATGATGGAGAAGCAGAAGAGCTCCTGCTTCCGGTGCACCTTGTACATCTTCTCCTCGGCAATCGACTTGGTGATCTGCATGTGCGACGTCATCGTGTAGATGGAGATGGCGAACGAATCGCAGAGCGTCGCCCAACTCGGCAGGCGCCACACGCCGATCTTTGGGAGCGAGACGTCGATTTTGGAGGTGGTGAACGGTGTCGGTTGGAAGAATAAGATGATGAGGGTGACGGCGAGTAGGACGAAGAACTCGTGCGGCACACTGAAGCCGATGCGCGAGCCGAGAAGACGTGAGAGACGCCATTTGAAGAGGACAAAAATGAGCACGGCGACGACGGTGGCGATGATGAGCAAAGTGTCAGCGGATCTGCAAGGGATCTTCGTCTGGGAGGAAGGAGGCCTTCTGGACTTACCGTAAGCACGGAACGGCGGCGTAGAAGCACTGGAGCACTCGTTTCACATCGTTCGTGGTGTTGGGCAGCAGAAGGCCGACGGCTGTGGTGCTCTTGCAGTCGTGTCCTCGGAAAACCAAGAACTGTGGCAAGAAGCGGAAAACGATGCGGACGAAGAGGCCGACGGAGAAGCCGGAGAGCGCCGACGTGGAAATGTAGGAGAAGATGAACTCGAGCGGCAGCAGAAACTGCATCATTTGAATGAGCGCGCAGCAGAGCGAGATGGAGGAGAGGTGCGATTGGCTGTACTCGACGCTCGCGTACACCATTATGGCGGTGTAAGAGAGGGCGCCGAGCGAGGAGTGCTGGGCGCTGCCAAAGAAGGCGTACACGATTTGAGGGATGAACAACGACCAGACGGCCGCCGGAACGTCGTTGATGAGCACGCCGTAGCCGATGGCCTGCGGGAGCACGAGCAGCGAAAGGTAGAGCGCGCCGAGAATGTCTTTGCCTAGCGAGTCCTTCACGTGGTACTTGTTGATCCACGTGGTGATGGGCAAGATCTGGGTCCACGAGTTGGGCGCCTGGTAGAGCAGCCAGTTGTCGCCGACCAGAAACTGACGAATCAGCTCCGAGTTCGTCTTCTTCTTGCGATACTTTGCGAAATTGTAGCGCGCATCGAAATCGTCCTGGCTGAGGGCCTTGGTTGCGTTCGGAGGCGGACCTACCAGTAGGGAGATTGAGTCCATACGCCTGGAATTTAGTAGATTCGGGGCCGGGTACGGAGAATTTGATCAAAAAAAAAGGAAAAGGAGAGGAAGGTGGGAAAGGTGGTAAACGTCTAAAAGGGTCAGATAAGAGCCTAAAAGTTGTGTTGTAGTTGAAATGGTTGGCTGAGAAAAGCTCCTAAAGGCTGGGTACAAAGCGCATTTAGCACATGTACTAGTAGTGGTAACAAGTCGATTGGAACGAAAAATGGAATAGGCGATGAGCTCGGTCTCTCTCTCTTCCTGCCAACACCACGTGTGTGTGTGTGTGTGTGCTCTCAAAAAGGTGAAAAAGGGGGGGGGCAGCAAAAGGAAGGGAAGACAAATCGAATCGGAATAATTAATTCCCCCTCTCTGCTCCTCGTGGTGCCCTCTGAAAAAGAGCGCAACCATGTGAGCTGCCGCTCCGTCTTATTTTTCTGCTTCTTCGTTTTCTTGTGATGGATGGAAATGCGATGACCTTGATTTGTTTCTCGTATTTCTACCCCCACATACACACTCGCCCACATTTGACACCTTTTCTGAATAAGCGTTGAGCAGAAGAAACACAAAAAAAAAGAGTGGAAATGTAGGTGGGAACATAAACACACACACACACACACAGGCGGGTGGCGTACAATTATTTTGACGGCGGAGAGCAAAAAATGAAGAGGTGGGTGTGTTTTTGGGCGTTACAAATGAGAAAATAAACCCGCGTGTACAAGGGGAATGCCAGGTTTATAGATGATGCTGGATGGTCTAATAACCAAGAACTTTAGGTCATCCATGAGGATGACCTAGACTTTCTAGACAGTCATTGTAGAGGCAGCGGTGATCCGACAAATAGAATCTTAACTTGCAAACTTTTATGATAGTCTGGATGACCTAGGATCCTATAATGATACTTTTAGGCCATATCTGTAGTCTTTTTCCTGTGCTTTTAACTAGACGACTTAAAGATCAGGGTGGAGTTTGGAAATGGCCTAGGACAACATTTTATGGCTAAACTTTGCAAAAACATTAGGTGCCGAAACTCGCAGCGGCCTAGAAACTGTCCCGCAGACTGAAAGAGACGATCGATAGGTGTGTCACTATTATCCATCCACAAATATAATCACGGCCAACTACTGACTGATATCCGCCGGCTTCTTCTTTCTCGTTTCCGACCGCGCCGACGACGGATTAGGGCACATCGGATTTGAGCGGGCTCGCGCGGGCGCAAAAGTGAAAAAAAGGATATGCTCTTGGTTCGGGGGCTCAGAAGAAGAAGAAGTAGAAGAAGAGGAAGAGAAAGTGAGAGTAGTGGGAGCACAGTGTTGCTCACTCACTCATAATCTGAGCAGAAATCCAATGGTCGAGTCGGCGAAGCAGATTAGATTATAAGCAGTGAGTGGAAGAAATGTGATAAGTTGTTGTGTGTGTGTGTGTGTGTGTGAGTGAGTGTGTCAAGGGCACTGGGGAACGGAACGGAAGTGAGCAGACATCGGACGAGGACTTGTTTTGGGACAGGGCTTTCAGTCCTTTTAGGCTTTCTATGTACATTGTTTTTGGGTCTGGTAGACTCGTCAGGCTTTCCAGGCATTATAGGCTTACTAGGCTTTTCTGCTTACACTGCCCTTGGGTACTATGACCTTGTCAGGCCTTCTAGGCCTATAAGGCTTGGCCTAGCTGGCCTGAAACTCGCAGAACTTTGAGTCCTTGTTTGTTTATTCACACCTCGCCCTCTCATTCGTCTCGTTTTTCGTTTTTTTTCGCGCTCGGCCACAATTAATCCGCAAAAGAATTTGAGACCTTGGCTTCTCCTCCTTCTTCTTCTTCTTCTTCTTATTGTTTCCCCTTCTGATCGCTGATCTTTTCGGATGCCACGTCATCAGTCTAAGGGATTACTGTAGTTTGGTGCATCTCATTTGTTTCGGTCAGAAGTCTGAGGAATGACGTCAAAAACGTCAAAGGAGTGCATAGCCGAGAATTCGACTATAGGAAAAAGTTAGGTCATGGATAAAAACACACAAAAAAAGAAGAGGGAAATTTTAATTTATATGGATCTCACAGGACTACCACTACTATTATTATTATTATTTTTGGGGGTGAGAGGAGAGAAGGAAGAGGAAAAGGGACAAAATATATAATATCTCATCTATAAGCTCTCTCTCTCTCTCCCTCTCTTTCATTTGGATCAAAAAAGAGAATAAGAGAGAGAGAGAGAGAGATTTCCGCTTTTCGAGATAGGAAATTGCATAATATCTGTTTCATTTTTCCTCTTTCTTTCAGATGAGGTCACTCCGAGGACTCAGCTTCAAGTGGGCGGAGCTTCGCTTTTTCAGAATGGAGGACAGGTTAGTTGTGGGGGGACTAGTTTTCTCACTTTTTGTGATTTCTAGGCCATTTCTTTCAGATCCCCGCGATGCTTCCGGTTTCGCATCCGATCCGTCCTCAATCCATCCACGGACTCCTTCCCCAACAAGCCCCGCCAACTTCCCTGCGACAGTCGCGCCCACTCTCGGCGCCCACCGGAATTGGAGTGCACTTTGTCGCCGTTTGTAGGTGAGGATTACTTTAGATATTGGCGAGACCCTCTGACAGTATCCCACAAAAATATTTCAAAGATTACGGCAGGATTACTGTAGGTACGAGGACTCGCAAGCCATTCGAGCGACGGCGTTCCACCCGTCCGGCCGCTATTTCGCTCTGGGCACCAACTCCAAACAACTGCACATTTGCCTGTATCCGAACACGGAAAAGACGCAAACGTACTGTAGATTAGTACTGTAGACCAACTACGACTATTTTCAGTCGACCAATGGCGCACGAGTCGACGCGGAACGCGGAGATTGCGGTGACGCGGCCGAAGCAGCACCGAGGGTGAATAGCCGCGAGAATTTTTGGCCACCGATCATTCTTCCAGATCTGTCTATTGTCTGTCGTTCAACCCGAACGGCGACCTCCTGGCGACCGGCTCCAACGACAAGACGGTCCGATTGATGGCGTTCAACGAGGACGCGTGTCGCATCGGCGCCGAAATGGAACTGAATTGCCACGACGGCACCGTCCGCGACCTCATCTTCATCGAGAGTTCGCTCAATCGGTCGACGATCCTCGTGTCGGGCGGCGCCGGAAACTGCCATCTGAACATCACCGACTGCAACACCGGACAGCTCGTGCAGTCGATGAAAGGACATTCGGGTGGGTTTGAGAGACTACTTTAGGGATACGGAATGTCGTACCGACCTGAAACTTGGTAAATCGTTGGCCAGACCCTCTGACAGTATCCACACGAAGAAGCTAGAGGACTACTATAGAATTACTGTAGTTACGCCCATAGGTGTTTTGAGTTGAGCCCCGGCAGTTAGGCCCATTTTGGTCAGTGCCACACATTTCTCAAAGCACTGAGCAAGTTTGCCAGGTTACTATAGGAGTGCAGTATGTCCTTTCAACCTGAAACATCAGATATTTAGCCACACGAAAAAGCTAAGAGGTTACTGTAGTATTACGGTAGTTTTTGCAGCCCCGATCCTAGGCCTGTACACGTGGAGCCAGGCGGGCAACCAGTTCGTCTCTTGCTCGCAGGACAAGACGATCCGCTTCTGGGACCTGCGGCAGACGGCGCCGACGAACGTGATCGCGCCGAGCAACAAGGCGAACAGTAGGAAGCCAGAGATTACTGTAGGCGGGTTACGGTAGTTTCGTTTCAGGCGCTCCCGTCACTTCCGTCTGCGTCGACCCAAATGGCAAATTGTTGGTTTCGGGGCACGAGGACGCCTCTGTCGGACTGTTCGACATACAGGGAAATCGGGTGCTCCAGACGTTCAGGTACTAATACCATATAATATCATCTACAGTAATCCACTTCAGACCCCATGGCGATGAGGTTCGGACGGTTCGCTTCAGCAATGCGGCCTATTACCTGCTGACCGCCAGTTATGATAAACGGTAAGTATCCCCTAGAAACTACAGTAAGCCAAAACTTTCAGAGTTGTTATCACTGACATGCGCGGCGATCTGATGGCCCCGCTAATGTACCTGCCGGTCGCCGAACACTCGGACAAAGTAGTTCAGTGCAGGTACCGGAAATCTACAGCAATCCTTATTTTCTTTTTTTTTGGTTCCAGATGGCATCCGCACGACTTCTCGTTCCTCTCCACGTCGGCCGACCGATCCGCCGTCCTCTGGGCGCTTCCCAACCATCGTTGATCTCACTCACCCAGTTACCAGCTTTATATAGAATCTCGAAAAGAATGAATTTTACGGGTTTTTGTGAAAGTGTACCACATGAAACACACCGTTTACAATAGAAAATAGGCTGAAACTTTTGCAACGACTTGCGAGTGTTTGCAAATTTGCGTTGGAGGCTAACATTGGGACAGGTGCAGAGTAAAAATGAAACAAAAACAATAATGACCATTTAGTTTTAAAAAAGTGGATCAGTAGAGGATGCGCGATTCGAGTGAGGCATTTTCCGTCGGCGATTCTCGCGGTCGCCTCCTCCAGCATATCCTTCACGCCGATCTACAAACAGAAACAAGCGTTTCAACATTTTGACGTGAAAAACCAACTCTGACGTAAGTTTGAATTACTTCACAGAGTTCCGCGTTGTCGACGATGTTGAACGGAAGCACGTCGCGGTCGAGGCACTCGAGAAGAATCTGCGCGCCGATTTTCGTGCTATCCGAGAGCCAGTGACGCGAGATCAGCTGCTCGGCCACTCTACGCGGCATCAGCTGCTTCTTCTGTTGGTGCTCCAGGTAAGAAGCAGCAGCAACAATCGGGAAGAGGCGCAGTCGCCGGGCGTAAGAACGTTTTGGCTGACTGGCAAAAAACCGCTCGATTGTGCAATAAAGCGAACTTTGCACGCCGTCACGAGTGTCTGTGCCAGGCGAGAATACACAAACTGATGCTGAACTGCCTCGGATGCGGGCGAATCGTGTGCGAACAAGAGGGAAGCGGGCCGTGTTTCACCACCTGCGGAACCCTCGTCTGCACCCGAGGAGAGCGCGAGATTCTCAATCGGGGCACCAATGAAAGCGGCGAACTTTTGGCCTAATTGACGGCCGGAGGAGCCGAAGGACCCGGCGGTTTGAAACAGATTTCCGCTGCGTATCAAACGGCCACCGAGTTTAGCAACAAATTGCGGGAAGCCGACGCCGACACGTAGGGAACCGCGGGATTTTGGGCCGGGAGAGACCAACTCTTGAGATGCAAATGTTGGTCCCAACTTCCAAGAGCGACAGTACTTTAGGGGGTGGTTGTATAGAAAAAATGAACTGCAAAATTAAAGGGTTAGGTATTATAGGGGCACCGCACAGAAATGGCGCTCTGTTGAGAAACTCTTTTTGCAGTGCTAATTGAGCGACCTCGGGGCCGAGTTTGAAAAGTTAGGCCAGTTATTCTCAATGGAAAATTACTTCGCGGCCTAGAAATTCGGCCAGATTGCGAACAGCGCGCCCTTTCTGTCCGGTGCCCCAATAATATGAAGATTTCAGTACGCCTTTTTCGCCGGTCGAACCCTGCAAGCATTTGTTCGAAGAATAGCTTTAAAATCACATATATCTCCCAAGATCTTACTAGGAAAGTCCTTTTGGCAAACGCTTAAAAAAATGATGAAGAAGATCAGGGTGGTAGAATGAATTTTGAGCAAATCTTTGACGTTATACATGTCCATTGTACCACCCTGATTTTTTCCAGCGCTTTCAAAGCGCTTTCTAAAAGGACTTCCAAAGGCGAAATTTCCGACAAATGTACGAACAAGAAGCTGATTCCCTGCGTGAACGGATTATCCTTGTCAATGTATTCGAGGTTGGAGTCTCCTCCGTCGGTGAGCATTTTGTAGAGATCCACCAAATGTCTGCCGATGAATTCGAACGCCGACTGCAAGTTCAAAAAAACGAGTCTACTATTCGATTGAAGATCTGATAAGATATCGGAAATCCTTCAATTCCTTATCACACTTTTTTCGAATCCTCTTGGCACGGTGCCGTGACGTTTCGAAATCCCAAACATACTGTCCCATCAGAGTCTTTTGTCGGCGTCCTTATAACTAATCTCCTACGGTAATTAAGTCGGTTGCTTTGAAATTTGTCGCAAATGTGCTTGAAGCTGAAATTCCCACACCTGCGGTCCTGATTATCGGGGGAGATAAGTGATAAGGACGCCGACAAAGGACTCTGATAAGAAAGTGCGATTGGGATTTAGAAACGTCATGGCACCGTGGGAAGAAGGAAAAGCCAGGTGCAATGGCCACGCCCACTAACTACACTCAGTCGCCACGCCCACTGATTAGAATGGCCACGCCCACAGGGGTATATAAAGGCAGAAATAGTCATTTTATTTATTGGCGTCTCATTTTTTCCATTTTTACCCATGGGGTGTCTCCCTTCTTCCGCGCTCTGACGTTATTGCAATGCAAGAAGTCAGCTCTTCCTTTCTTCCGCTCTCTGACGTTATTGCAATGCAAAAAGTCAGCTCTTCCTTTCTTCCGCGCTCTGACGTTATTGCAATGCAAGAAGTCAGCTCTTCCTTTCTTCCGCTCTCTGACAATATTGCAATGCAAAAAGTCAGCTCTTCCTTTCTTCCGCGCTCTGACGTTATTGCAATGTAAGAAGTCAGCTCTTCCTTTCTTCCGCTCTCTGACGTTATTGCAATGCAAGAAGTCAGCTCTTCCTTTCTTCCGCGCTCTGACGTTATTGCAATGCAAGAAGTCAGCTCTTCCTTTCTTCCGCGCTCTGACGTTATTGCAATGCAAGAAGTCAGCTCTTCCTTTCTTCCGCTCTCTGACGTTATTGCAATGCAAGAAGTCAGCTCTTCCTTTCTTCCGCTCTCTGACGTTATTGCAATGCAAGAAGTCAGCTCTTCCTTTCTTCCGCGCTCTGACGTTATTGCAATGCAAGAAGTCAGCTCTTCCTTTCTTCCGCGCTCTGACGTTATTGCAATGCAAGAAGTCAGCTCTTCCTTTCTTCCGCGCTCTGACGTTATTGCAATGCAAGAAGTCAGCTCTTCCTTTCTTCCGCTCTCTGACGTTATTGCAATGCAAAAAGTCAGCTCTTCCTTTCTTCCGCGCTCTGACGTTATTGCAATGCAAGAAGTCAGCTCTTCCTTTCTTCCGCTCTCTGACGTTATTGCAATGCAAGAAGTCAGCTCTTCCTTTCTTCCGCTCTCTGACGTTATTGCAATGCAAGAAGTCAGCTCTTCCTTTCTTCCGCGCTCTGACGTTATTGCAATGCAAGAAGTCAGCTCTTCCTTTCTTCCGCTCTCTGACGTTATTGCAATGCAAAAAGTCAGCTCTTCCTTTCTTCCGCGCTCTGACGTTATTGCAATGTAAGAAGTCAGCTCTTCCTTTCTTCCGCTCTCTGACGTTATTGCAATGCAAGAAGTCAGCTCTTCCTTTCTTCCGCGCTCTGACGTTATTGCAATGCAAGAAGTCAGCTCTTCCTTTCTTCCGCGCTCTGACGTTATTGCAATGCAAGAAGTCAGCTCTTCCTTTCTTCCGCTCTCTGACGTTATTGCAATGCAAAAAGTCAGCTCTTCCTTTCTTCCGCGCTCTGACGTTATTGCAATGCAAGAAGTCAGCTCTTCCTTTCTTCCGCTCTCTGACGTTATTGCAATGCAAGAAGTCAGCTCTTCCTTTCTTCCGCTCTCTGACGTTATTGCAATGCAAGAAGTCAGCTCTTCCTTTCTTCCGCTCTCTGACGTTATTGCAATGCAAGAAGTCAGCTCTTCCTTTCTTCCGCGCTCTGACGTTATTGCAATGCAAGAAGTCAGCTCTTCCTTTCTTCCGCTCTCTGACGTTATTGCAATGCAAAAAGTCAGCTCTTCCTTTCTTCCGCGCTCTGACGTTATTGCAATGTAAGAAGTCAGCTCTTCCTTTCTTCCGCTCTCTGACGTTATTGCAATGCAAGAAGTCAGCTCTTCCTTTCTTCCGCGCTCTGACGTTATTGCAATGCAAGAAGTCAGCTCTTCCTTTCTTCCGCGCTCTGACGTTATTGCAATGCAAGAAGTCAGCTCTTCCTTTCTTCCGCTCTCTGACGTTATTGCAATTCAAAAAGTCAGCTCTTCCTTTCTTCCGCGCTCTGACGTTATTGCAATGCAAGAAGTCAGCTCTTCCTTTCTTCCGCTCTCTGACGTTATTGCAATGCAAAAAGTCAGCTCTTCCTTTCTTCCGCGCTCTGACGTTATTGCAATGCAAGAAGTCAGCTCTTCCTTTCTTCCGCGCTCTGACGTTATTGCAATGCAAGAAGTCAGCTCTTCCTTTCTTCCGCTCTCTGACGTTATTGCAATGCAAAAAGTCAGCTCTTCCTTTCTTCCGCGCTCTGACGTTATTGCAATGCAAGAAGTCAGCTCTTCCTTTCTTCCGCGCTCTAACGTTATTGCAATGCAAGAAGTCAGCTCTTCCTTTCTTCCGCTCTCTGACGTTATTGCAATGCAAGAAGTCAGCTCTTCCTTTCTTCCGCTCTCTGACGTTATTGCAATGCAAGAAGTCAGCTCTTCCTTTCTTCCGCGCTCTGACGTTATTGCAATGCAAGAAGTCAGCTCTTCCTTTCTTCCGCGCTCTAACGTTATTGCAATGCAAGAAGTCAGCTCTTCCTTTCTTCCGCTCTCTGACGTTATTGCAATGCAAGAAGTCAGCTCTTCCTTTCTTCCGCTCTCTGACGTTATTGCAATGCAAGAAGTCAGCTCTTCCTTTCTTCCGCGCTCTGACGTTATTGCAATGCAAAAAGTCAGCTCTTCCTTTCTTCCGCGCTCTGACGTTATTGCAATGCAAAAAGTCAGCTCTTCCTTTCTTCCGCTCTCTGACGTTATTGCAATGCAAGAAGTCAGCTCTTCCTTTCTTCCGCTCTCTGACGTTATTGCAATGCAAGAAGTCAGCTCTTCCTTTCTTCCGCTCTCTGACTTTATTGCAATGCAAAAAGTCAGCTCTTCCTTTCTTCCGCTCTCTGACAATATTGCAATGCAAAAAGTCAGCTCTTCCTTTCTTCCGCTCTCTGACAATATTGCAATGCAAAAAGTCAGCTCTTCCTTTCTTCCGCTCTCTGACAATATTGCAATGCAAAAAGTCAGCTCTTCCTTTCTTCCGCTCTCTGACTTTATTGCAATGCAAAAAGTCAGCTCTTCCTTTCTTCCGCTCTCTGACGTTATTGCAATGCAATTCATGGTAACTACTGGCCAGTAACAACAACAACAACCACGAAAAATCAGTAGGGAAGCAAAAGCGTACCTTTTCAGTGAGCAGTCTGTGAATCATCTGAAGGAAAAAGACTTAGCCCCAGTTCTCAGTGTTTCCATGAGTGTCGGGCGGAACAAGCGGATACTATAAAAATTCCGTGAAAACGGGCATAGAATTATGTCGTAGACAATCATGGAAACGGAACTATTGAGCAATGCCACAACAACGCGGAAGACAGATTCGTCATAAATATCAGCTTTATGAGATCACAAAATGAAACATGTAAAGCATTTATTCCGCATGATCATCACTTAGTAGACGTCGAGATGTAGAGGACGTTGTTTCCGCGGATGAACGCGTCTCCGTACTTGTTCTGCAGCTGTCCGTTGCTGTACTCTTCGGTTTGCTCCAGAGCGATGTTCATGTATCCGTCGAGACACGCGAGGATTCCACGGTAGTCGACGCCCGAGTTCAGTTTCACCACAACTGGCTTTCCGATGACTTTCTTTAAGAACTCGGCGGGATTCTGTCTTTTGCTCATTTTTCTAAAATAAGATGTTATCTGATGCGGCAGACGAGCGGAAACGAAAACAAACTGGCGGTAAACAAGAGAGCAGTAAACTCGTATTAGTTGAAGTGTTATGGAGGATGGTAAGGAACGTCATAAGGCATTTATTTCAGAAAGTGCATGGTTTGCCGAAGGTTCATAGAGCGAATGGTGCGGTTACAGCAGAGTAGCACACGAAATTGGGCTGTGCAAAAATAAAATGAAGAAGAGGTACAAATATGAAATGAAGTATAAAGGGGCTGCGACAGACGCGAGCAACGTGTACATAAACACACACACTGTACATTCAAAAAGGGAGTACCCCGTTTGACCGTAGAAATACAGGGACTAGGTCAGTATTCAATCATCATGATGAAAGCAAATTGAAAGAAACGTTGAAAAGTGATATGGGTTCGAATTCAAATTTGATTGTCAAATTCTAGTTTTCCCCTTGACCGCTGTCCTCGTCGTCATCGTTGTAGTCCGAATTACAGCTATCGTCGTCTTCCTCATTGTCGTCGTCGTAGTCGTACCCGAAATCGTCGTCTGAAACGCAACAATCGTTATGAAGCCGAACGATTTTGTGAAAACTAACTGAAATCAATGCCGTCGAGCACGTCGTCTTGCTGTTGTGGCGGAGCCCACTTGACACAGTACTCTTCGATGGTCTCTGGTACGGTGATTCCGTCCTTTTGGGCGACTTTCTTCGAATCGTCCACCTGCTTCTTGACGATCTTTGCGTACTCCGGATCGCTCTCCTCCTTCCACTTTCTGTACATGACAGAAGCGTCCACGTTTGCCGGCGATGAAGTGTTTGGCTCGTTGAGGAGCGAGATCACGGAGAGAAGGATGGTCCGCACACTTTGGGTCGGATTCCATCTTTCACAAGCCAACTCGCCGCTCTGTGGGTCATCGACTGGAGAGTGCAGGATGCTGATGCAGAGATCTCCATTCTGAAAGTATTTCTGAAAACTGAAAGATACAAGTCAGTTTACGAACCTCGTAGACGTTCGGATGCCACACTTTCGTGGTGAACTTCATTGATGGCGGCGAGTACGGGTAGTTGGATGGGAATCTGATGCTCGCCTTGAAGTAACCTCCCTGGTAGAGGGTCTTAGGTGGGCCGTAAATTCCGACGGACCACACGAAGAGGTTGTCCTCGTTGACGTCTATCGTGAACCCTTCGACTGGCTGCGATTGCAAGTTCTTGAGCTCCATCGAGAGAGCCCTTAGTGCTCCGGCCGACGTCGACGCTTTCGAACCTTCCATGATCACGGTGTTAGCAAAGACGACAACGGCAGGACGGTGCCTGGAAAATCAGATAAAATCGATATTTCGTACGCGTGTGAGCGTTGTGTAGTGTAACAAAGCAATGGTAAAGACACAGAGAGAGAGAAAGAGGAGAAGGAGCGACGGAAACCGGAATCGTCAGCGGTGAGGAAGAGGTTGTAGCAGCAGTGGATCGAAAGAGACGGACAGATGCAGCCAGTCAGGCAGGGAAGCAGCGGCAGCAGCACATGAGGAAAAGGTTGGTGGTTGGTTGACGGGGAATAGATGACGAAATAGAGAGAGAGGAAGCAAGACACAGAGATGAGGGCAAATATATGGGAGAGAAGAACCCGAACCAACTAAAGGGAAGGCGAAGAGCGAGTGTGTCTCGTGAGTGTGTGCGTGCGCATTGTGAGCGGAGAGACGCGTCACTGGAGGAGAAGGAGAGAATGCGGCCGATTGGGGGCCCGATTGTCAGACGACTGAATGGGCGGAAGCAGACAGCATGTGGGCCACTAAAACTAATGACATGTATGATAGATGACGACGACGAGACGCAGGATGCTATTGCGTAGCTGACACTGCTACCTAAAGAGAGCCGTTGAAGACTAAACGTCCTGGATTAGACGAAACTTTCCGTTTTCATCTTTTAAAAATAGCCATGTTACACCACACTTCAACAGGAAACGAAACGAAGATGCAATACAACAAGTAGAAAAAACCGGACTACATTCCCTTTGATTCCATAGAACTGACGGCAGTCCGACCAATTTTGAGAACAGAGAAAGAAAGAAAGGCGTGTCGTGTGATGCAGGCGGCTGACCTAGACCTTCCGATCGGGTGACAGGTGCGGATGGCGGGTGCACATGGCCTCCGATTCAAATTGTTGATTCTCAATGTCTCAAAATCACATTGTGACTAATCGCATCCCGGGGCTCAGGACCATGTGCAAACCAAACACGTTTCCCGTTATTTTTTCACACAACGTAATCTCTGGGAAAGGTAGTACCATCACATAGAAAACGAGATATTTGTAATCCGCTTACATCCACACATTTCTGCCAAGTCGCTGCGATGTTGCATTCTCGACAGTCTGATTCGCGATTTCACTCGGCACTTCTGATTGATAAACTCAGCTAAGGATCTCAAAAGCATGGGAGGTAAGACAACAATCAAGAAAGGTTTGAATAGAGCTTCTTCGTCTTGCAGTAGCAGAAATAATCATCGCCTGTCTGATAGTAGGAATACTCCTGTCGTGCTGTGTCACATGCTTTATCCTCTACGTATACCACAAGACATCGAGTAGACTGCGACGCGCAAGGTCAAATCAGCTACTTTTTTTAGTGCTAAAGTGAATGGGTTTTACAGTCGGGGCAGGACTCCCAAGCAGGTACAACACCTTCCACCACCTCCAAAAGTTGACGAACCGCCAGTCGAGGTTACGCCGCCAGTAAAAACAATAGTGAAAGATAGGGAAAGTAAGATAGACGTAGGACATAAGATCGCAGTGACAGAACCGCCGACGAAGCGACCAAATAAGCTGTGGATAGACACGAATAAAGTTTGTCCGGCTCAAAGTGCGATTGCAATGGAAACGTGAGCAATAGACATATTAATCCTCTTTAAGGAGAAACCGACAGGAAACTACTTCAGAGACTACTCAGCGGAAAGCTTCCTCACCAGTATGACTAAGGATAGCACGAATCGAAGACGTCTACTTCAAGACGAGTTCTTGGTAAGAGGGGCGAATATATTGGGAAAAGAAAGAAGAAGAAATGATGGAGTGCTCGCGTCGTAGGTTCTCTCGCGAACGATGGAGCGCCGATTGACTAGGAGCACAGACAGAGCGACGAGACACGCCTCAGCCAACAGATACTCAGACATTGTGCCCTGTGAGTGTGTCATGTCGTTTGAGGTCGTTCAACGCCCTGTTTTCAGACGATCACACGCTCGTCGAACTCAACACGGGCGATTACATCAACGCGAGCTTCGTTCAGGTGCACTTTTTTGTACTTTCGTCCATTCTATCCGTCTATTTCGACCAAAGTCTAAAGGGGAGGCATAAAAGTGCATACACTTTTATAGGGCGAGACCGACGCGTTGAGATGGATTGCCACACAAGCCCCAATCGACGAGTCGGAAAGTGTAGGACAGGAGACAGTGTCCGACTTCTGGAGAATGGTGGTGCAGTACAAAGTCGATTGCATTGTGATGCTCGGGCAACACCAAGAAAACTTTGAGGTAAATAATTAGCGAAAGAAAAATTAGTCAAAACCACGCACGTCAGAAGACTGAATTCAACCGGAGAGCGGTCATCGTTAGGGTCACCTGACTATTCGAGAAACACTATCACAAAACACGTTTCGTATCAATTTAGTGTGCTGATTGTAAAGATCGTCAAACATACAGTCGTCCTTATGTCAAAATTACAGCAAAAATGTGGTGAATACTGGCCAGCGAACCTCGGAAAAACGGCAAGATATGGAAATGTGGAGGTGAAAGTTGTTTGCGAACTCGAAGAGAGGTGCTGGGTGCACCGCGAGTTTGACGTTTACCCCGCCGCTGGCAGCAGCAGACGGGGGCGAGACGATCACGTGAAAGTGTCTCATTGGCAATACAAAGAATGGAAAGACAACGACGCTCCCGTCATTCCGACTTTTCTGGAATTTTTGATGCAAGTGAAAGAACGCCGATATAATTCACCGGTTGTTGTGCACTGCAGGTGTGTCCACGGAACAAATATTTAGAGTGACTGAAGCTTTTGAAAAACAGCCGAATCAGCAACACAAGGGTACACTTTTCAGTGCGGGAATCGGGCGAACTGGAGTGTTCATCTGCACGGACAATGTGATATCGCGTTTTGAATCGGAAGGAATTATAGACATCTTTAGGTACTTGGCAAAAGAAGCCAGAAATGGCAAAAGATTACACAATTTCGTGTCTCTTTTTCAGCGAAGTGAATCGATCACGGCAACAGCGACCAAGCATGGTATACACACTGACGCAGTACGAATGCATTTACGACACCATCGGAGAATACTTGAGACAAGCGAAGCAGCAACAACGTTAGTTAGGGAGTAGGAGAGACTGAATGACAACTCTAATAAACGGTTTTTGCATTATTTTTCGCTGTGTTTTGCAACTTCGGAAAACGTACCAGAAAATGAGGAAAAAATCGAAGCTTTTTTGTCGAAAATGAAAAATGATTTCGAAAGATTCTGACGAAATCAGGGACAAAAATGTGAGGAAAAAGCAAAATCGTCGAAAACGCGTTTTTTCCTGTCGATTGAAGAAAGATTGGCGCTTTTGTTGAAGAAATTTAAATTTTGTACGCGCTTAAAGGCGCATGCAACATTTGGAAGTTTGCCTATGCGCCTTTAATCTTTAATCTTTTTTGCCTGAGATTCTCTCTTTAAAAAAACGTTTTTTTAGAGAAACGACGTTGGGAAAGAGAGCACACTATTGAGCAAGATTTCAAGTTTATTTTCCCGGTTAGTGTTTAGTTGAAAACAATATTTACCAGTAAAGTGAAGCCGAAGAGATCAATCACAAACGAAAAATCTGATGGGATTAAGAATGAATGTACAAAAAAAAGATTTCAAGAAAAGCGTAGAAACGTCTAGAAAATGATGGGTATCAGAGCGGAAACGACGGCAAGAAGTGCGGGAGAAGGTATACTGACGGAAGCGGCAGAGTGAACGCATTTGTCCAGCGCAGGGATTACGGTGTAGTTTTTGAGCGAAATACGATTGCGCAAAAGCTGCGATTGGGAATGATGAGGAGCCAGACGGCGGAAATCGGATTGAGCACTGCGAGCCAGCTGAACGAGGTAGTCGTCACCGGTGAGCATGAGATCAAAGACGCATGCGTCGTAGAATGTATCAGTGACCCCGATGCTTCGGCATCTGTCTGTAAGATTTGAACATTGCCAGATACGGTAGGGTGTCTTTCACCTTCTGCTACTTTTTTCGGAACATGAAACCGTCTCGCATAGCATTCCGCAAACTGCCGAGGCGCTTCAAACGCGCTCTCCGGCGCGATCATTGAACTCTTGCGACATCCCGACCAACACATCTCATTCGCCACGTCCCCCTCCGTCTCCATCACCATCGCCGGGCCTTTCACTGCCACCGACAGATAAGGCCCCTGCCGTCGAATATGAATGGAAGAGTGGATGAAATGCATCGCAATCTCCACATAATTATTGTCTTGCCACAAAACTTCTACAGAGTTCCGATTGTGATCGGTCCTCTGAAATGTGGTGCCATCCACGAATCCGAACGGAAGTACTTCCTCGTCGGACGATGCTTCATATCGAAGCGAACCGGTGCAATTGTGCTTTCGGATCAGAACGGTTATCTTTGTGACTGTTGTCGTGAGGGCTTCTCCTCGCACATTTCTATTTGTCACTTGCACCAGAAAGTATCTGTTATCCACCAGTGGCCGGGCTCCTTCTTCCGAGCACGTTTGTACGGTCCCATTGAACATTATGATGTGAGGATCACCAAATAACGAGCAATATTTGATCTTCCGACTGCTTGGTGTCGGGTTGAAGTAGCAGCTGAACGAATTGTATTATTTCTAGCAAAATTTTGGAGAGCCGCTCACGTATTAACCGGTTTTTTGTCAGAATTGCTATCGTTACAAGATTCCCATTTGGAGCACTCGAACTCTCTCCAGTGCCTTCTCATCACCAACTCCGACGAATGGAATCGCAAATTGCCGTGGCAAAAGCGCATCGTGTCGTTCATGCATTTCAAGTAGGTGTGCAGCACTTGGCAGTAGCGCTCCGAAGCCGTCGGCGTCAGATTCTCGTAGTCCTTGGTCTCCTGGAACCATAGAGCGCACTCTTCGACGCGACAACTTTGGATGGATTCTGGAATTGAGAGTTATTTCAGGGTGTTGTCTAGGTGTTCACTCACTTGCAAAAAGGATGAGAACTATTGAGAAGAGATAGACCATCGACATATCCCGTCGAGTCTTCTCATCTCATTGGCCAAAGAAACGATTCCAATACTTGTGACCTGAAAATTTGGAGGGGTAAGTTTTGAGGGAAATGAAAACGAAATGAAAAAGAAAAGGTCAGGGCGGGCGGAGCAGAGCTATGATTTATGGTTTTCTGGGTCAAGGCTGCCAATTTTTCCTGTTTCCCTCCCCACCTTTCGAATAGAAACTGAGGAAACGGTCAGAGAGCATTACGGTGGCAAGCGGTCAAAGTGACGGCCAACGGAACAATTGGAAGTGGCAGTGATTGATGATAGCCGGAAAGAGGAGATATGAACTACAAATGAAGAATGGAAATAGTCAAAACAAATCAATAAACACATTTTTGAGAGGAGAGGAAGCGAGGAGGAGGAGGTAAATTGATAAGAGAAAAGACGCGTTAAAGCTGCTCCGTCGAGAGACGAGAGCGTATATATTTGCTCACTTCCTGATTTTGTGTTCGGCAAAAATAATAGAGGGGTGCGCGGCTTTGGGAGTGGAAAAGTGGGAAGATTCTCTTGTTGAGGGGGTGAGCGGACTGTAACCGGAGCATCGGGATCTACAGTAATCGTGGTAATCGTCTACAGTAATCGTGGTGCTCAAAAGTTGCTCTTTTCCTCCTCCACTAAAATCCATAACTTCTGAACTCTACACTTCACATTAAACCTAGTCCTAGCGTATCCTAGTTCTTACCAACTATTTAAACTACTGTACATACCCTAATACCTTTGAGTTTCAGGATTGTCCGGGACTGACAAGCTTCTTGACAACATGACAACTACCGTACTCGTTTGCCAGACAGTCCGTCGTCCTGTCCGCCAAACCAAAACACATTGAAGCGATAAATCAGTGAAGCTTATCAACCCCGAAGGGTTTGTCTGCAAATTAACGAGATGACGCATCCCTCTTTGTTTCCTTCTTCGTCTTCTTCTTCTCGCTTTCCTTCCTTCCCAGCTACCCCCTCCTCCTCCGGTTTGTCTATGTCTGCCCCCCCTGTCCGAGTATCACCGCTGACGCATTTCTCGTGTTGACGCATAATTTTTATAGATTCACTATATTAATTCTAATGAATGTAAATAGCTACTGAATAATAAATTATTTTTATCATCAACCTAACCTGTACATAATGGTGAGTCACAAGTCGAAGGGCTCAAAGTCTCCCGTTCGAAATGAGATGAAAGTCAAGAGAATTGTCTATCAAATGAGTAGAACACTTTACAAAACCGATGCTGGAGATGATTTTCAGAAAGTGTAAGTTGGAGAAACCTCCAGTCATAGCAGTGTAATCAGATAATTTCAGAATAGAGTCGATGTCTATGAATGAAAGTGATAAGAAGGCGGGGTTTGAGGGATTCCTTAAGGTTCAGCATATAATCAAAGAGTCTCTGAAAGAGCAAATGCGGTTTGGAAGATCCGATGAGCCGCTGCTCTCTTTGTTAACGGCGGAGCAGACGAGATGTGTAAAGCATATGAGTGTGTTTCAATTTTTATGATTTTCCACAAATGTTTATTCGCTTCCTTTCAGTGAAATTATCGGAATCCGATACCCCATCCACTTCCCGATCGCAGCCAACGATTGCTGAAGATTATGATGGACCCGGGAGGCCTGGAGAGAAGATTGTGGCCAGAAAAGTGAAGGTGGTCGAGGATGGGGATGCTCCAAACCATCGGATCCAGTTCAATATTCCTCGACTGGATGTTCACAGTCTTCGAGATGAAGATCCGGATGATGACGTGGAATATGTGAGCAGCCGGCCAGGAAGGTCTTCGAGCAGACTACCTGCGGAGCCTCAAGTGCAAATACCTCGTGTGACTCAGACCCAGACTCAGAGCCCGATCTCAATTCTCAAGAAAATAAAGTCAAGACCAAGGCCAATAGAGAAAAGTGATGCTCAGATCCAGACCGATCAAGTTGAGCCGCTCGCACCGCCCGAAAAAGTCGATGTAGGTCCTTTAACTTTTTAGAGATTTTGAACAAATTTTAACATTTGCAGATGGCAGACACAGGAACCAATTGTCGGCTGTTGACGTCTCCGAAATTCGAGGATAAAGAGGAAGTGGGCAAAGAAGTCGTTCAAGACGATCCACGGATTTGCTCTCCGATGAGCATAGCCACGGAGATCAGTGAAGGGGAAGTCACTGCGGCTTCTGGAAAGAACGTCGTCGTCGTCAGAAGCGATGGAAGCATCGTACAGCCTGAGCACTTTCATGAAGACGTTTACTTTGGCGATTCAGAATCCGACATCCTGAGAGCCACGTCATCTAGTCCGCTTAGAGTTTTAGAAGTTGATATGTCGATCTCCTCCACACATTCTCATTGATTCAATAAACAAGTTTTTCATATTATTATCAGTTTCAAACAATACCAAACAAGAGTAATGTCTCAGAAAAGTATCTGATCACATTTCAGAAAAATCTAGAATTGATAAAACTGTACAGTTTTCCGAAGTCATTCCATGAACAATGAGCGGTAGCTGTGGTATTATAGAGTAAGTTTTTACTTTCTAAAATTCCAAAGCCTATCTTTTCGTTTCAGCCCGGACACGCCTCCACCCAAGATCTTATACAAAAACCGGCGTGCTGTGAACGGAGAGGCCTACGAGCCAACTCATCACGAACACGTGGCAAATACAGTATCCCATGCAGTCGGCATTGGACCCTCCATACTCATTTTCCATTATTTTATGTGCGCCTATGCTCACCGCGAACTTCAGCACGTTCTCATGGTTGTGTACGGCGTCTTCACGACACTCTTGTTCACTTCTAGCACCATTTATCACTTTTGCGAACTTTTGTTCAGAGAAAACAATAAGTGAGTTCTGGGAACAAAGCTACGTGAAATTTCATTTTGTTCAGACATCGAAAGCTCCGGTATTACTTGCACATTTGCGATCGAGCAGCCATATACATGTTCATCGCTGCTTCTTACACTCCGTGGCTGACATTACGGTAGGACTGGATTCGCTATTCACATCATAAACTGTGTATCTATTCCAGACACTGCGGTCTGCCCGGCCTCAACTTGAAGTGGATGATTTGGGTGTTCGCCCTGCTCGGCATACTGTATCAGTACAATTTCCACGAGCGTTACAAGACCCTCGAGACGATCCTCTACATTCTCATCGCCGCCGGACCGTCCGTCGCCATTTTTACGATGAACGATAGGACGGGTCTCGAGTGGATGATGATCGGAGGGATTATGTACGCCGTCGGAGTCGTCTTCTTCAAAATGGACGGGATTGTCGCGTTCGCGCACGCAATTTGGCACATTTTTGTGCTTTTAGGTGCGATTTTGGAACGTTTTTTCTTAAATAAATACAATAGGTTGGTTTTCAGGCGCTTCGTGCCACACCTACGCCGTCTACGCCTTCTTGTTGGGTCCCGACAAGAACAATCCAGTGCCGGAGGTTTAGATTTAGATTCGATTAGTTTATATTTTTAGCATTTTTCTATTTCGAGTACTAACCCGCTTTTGTTTCTAGATAAACGAGTGCCATATTTTGCATTTTGCCGCCGTCCTGTATACCGTCACTTTTTTGAAATTTCACACAACTATATTTGCCATAAACCAATTGAGAATACAAATGATTTTATTTAAATGTTCACTTGGAGTTGTTGTTGTTGTTGACGTCGTCATTGCACGTGGTTCCACGCTTCTCGGGCTCGGCGAGCTGCTTGCGGAGCACCTCGGCCGTCTCTTCCTCGTACTCGCGAATCGAATCCATCGACATCTCGAACCACTCGTCGAGAAGCACGTACGCGTCGCGGTGCATCAGACCGAACACACGTGGATAGTTCTTGTGGATCGTCTTCTCGACGACCTTCTGGAATCCGGTCCATTTGAAGTGGCACGAGACCAGCTTGTACGCACACATGATCTGCAAATATGCGAACGATACCGAAAACTATTGTATTTTCTGATTACCGGATCGTGCTCGTCCATCCAATCGTCCTCCAACGGTCCTCTCTCGACCACTTCGGCCTCGTAGATCTTCGCATCCTTCTCCTTTTTATAATTTTGCTTCCCGAACATTTGGTTATCCGTGATATCCACCCACACAATCTCCCGCTTCTCCGGTCCATTCAGTGCGTTTTCCGTGGTTCCGTTGTCCGGCAAGTGAATAGTTTCGATCGTTTGGTGGAAGTTCTCTTTCATGTATCCCGGATTCTGAATGCATTTCTCATTTGTTCGGCTTTTGGCGGTAGAACTTACAGTCAAAATGGTTTTACAGTACGGATAGGCGTTCCAACTCTCCTCGTGGATCTCAAACGCCTCCGGTGGCAGAAGCTTCTGAAGGAACCACGGCGCTTTCGAGCGGAGGCGGTAGATCTTCTTGGTGTAGGTGCCGGTGACCGTCTTCCCGGGCAGCAACGTGTCACTCGTGAACTCTTCTTGAACGAGAAACTGAAAAATGAGACGATTTGTTTGGGCAAAAGTTCCCAAAGTTAGAACCTCGGCGCCCTCTCCACCGCCGGTCTCACTTCGGCTACACGCCGAGACCGCATACAGTAATCCACGTTGAAACTCGTCCACAGAGAGTGGTAACGGAATACGGTATTCCTGGAAAAGACGGTGAGGATCTGGCCACGACGCCGCCTATTTCACCTTTATAATCATGCCGGAACAATCGAAAAATGAGCGCGTCGACCGCAGCGAGTGACACCGGATTAGCACGACGATCACGTGGACACGAGTTCAAAGGCGCTTTTCTGAACTATTTTGAAGGGGTCTCAAAAAGTTTATTTCCAAAAAATATCTGGACAAAAAGCGAGAGAGAGAGAGAGAGAGAGAAAGACAGAGAGACCGGCGTGATGATGTGAGTCTCGGAGGGGACGGCGAAATGGGAGAGGAGAACTGGATCTGGAGAGGACTTATTGCAGGAGAAACACGATAGGAGTAGATAAAGTGGCGGAGACGAGAAGCGTGGAGTTTCGGATGCCCGGCGGCAGAAGCGTTCGCGCCGACATCGATCGGCTTTGCGTTCTGGGAATGGTTAGGCATCGGGAAAAACGTCGACCGCCTAATGAATTGCAGACGAAATTCCCAAGTGTGATCGACGTGACGCAAATGGAAGAGTCGGCGAGCAAAGTTCTCGAGCAATTGATCACCGGAAACCGGAAGCAACGCGTCCGTCTCACTATGAATCAAGCCGCTGAAATTGCCCACGTGGCGGTGACACTGAAATTCGGAAATCTGCTGAAACTCATCGAGAAAGAACTCGTCAGACAGGCATCCATTTCGATGGAAAACTCGGTCGACGGACTGTGTGTCGCTTTGCGATTTGGAATGATGGAAGCTGTTGGGAAGCTGGTCGATGACATTGTGTTCAGTCATTTGGACGAGAATCTCTTGATGTACTGCAAGAGTGCGAAGGCGCTTGAGATGATTACGGACAGGCGAGCACACGCGGAATGTGCTCTGATACAAATTTATTCAGAAAGTCATCTCTTCTCGCCGACCAAGAAGCTCTGTCTCCTGCTCCAATTCCGCTTCCAGTACACGATAATTTGTTCAATTACGAACCGATCGAACACTCGAATTCCGATCGCAACGTGGCAATTCCACGTCAGAATCGACAGATGCACAAAGTGATTATGAATGCGGCGAAGGAGAAATTCCGCGTGATGTTCAATCGTCCGATGAACGCATTCAAGAGCGGCATCGGATGGATTGCCAACCAGACAAGACTGCCGCAAGCACGGCCCAGAAGATTTGCGAATTTCCATGAACAATTCTATTGAAATGAGAGTTTTTATTAAAGTTTTTCAAAGCAATTTTAATAGTCCTACTATACATTCGTTCTTTAAAGATATTTGAGCACACAATTCGGATTTCCGAAATTGAAAAGGAACAATCGAATGTGCGAAACGTACGTACTTCTCAGCATTGCGTACCTCTTCTCGACCGCCAATCTCTTCGCAAACTTCATAAATGCGGCCTTCCTCTCGGCACTGCCGATGTGAACTTCCAGATTCATTTGACAGAAAGAGATTCCGTTCTTCTCGAAAGGCCCGTCGTTGTAGAAGAAGTCGAAGATGCCGTATTCGGCGCCCTCGGCGTCCAGCCACAGGTGATCGATCTCTTTCAGTTCGAGAATGTCATTAAGGAAGTAGAGAAGCTCCACGTGGGTGACGTCACGGCGGACATAGGATCCTGGAAGAATTTTCAGTCCGGATACTGTAGGGAATGACATCACCCACCATTTATAAAGACACTCGCTTTAGAAATTCCGGCCTTGGCGCTCACAGCGAACGGAAAATATTTTCCAATTTGAGAATACAAATCCGCGTTTCCCTCAGAGATCGGATCAGCTCCGTAAAACTTCGCAGTATGCCCACGCTTTTCGAGTTCCTGCAAGATGAGTTTGAAGCTGAGGAAAGCTGAAAATATCGCTTACATCTCTGAACAATTTCTCAGCACTGATGTCCTTCCCAATGCCCAGAGTCACAAATGTGTTCGTTGTGTTTTTGAGGCGATCCGACGGAAGGATCGCATATTTGACTTCGTCGTTGTTGTTCAACGCAACCAAACCCAGCTTTTCGATGTTCTCGTTGTAGTCGCAATTTCCAGTGAGCGGCGCGAAGTTGAGCCAGAACTCTTCGGCGTTATTGTAGGTGTCCAACTGCTTCTGGGCACAATCACTCCATCCTTCGAATATCTTCTGCTTCTTTTGCGTTTCTGTCAAGCCGTCATTCTGAAATTAGAATGTGTTTCAATGTGTTGAACCAAATGAGCTCGTTAAAACGTACTTGTCTGTAATAACGAAGGGAATAAAGGAGGAATAGAAAAACAGCGATAGGAATAGCATGTGTCCATCGAACCATTCTCGAAGACACGAAATAGATCGTTCTCCAATGCGACGCACTTGTGCCTCTTTCCTCACTTTTACGCGCCGAATCCCTTCGTCGCCGATACCGATCGCATGCATTGTCTCCTTCTCCAGACCTGCATTTCACTGGAACACCCGATATAATGTGATCATTCAGAAAGAAATCCAGGAAGAGTTGGAAGAAAAGATGGAGAGCCAGTCGGGCCCGAAACACAGGAAAAGACCGGTTTGAAAAGGGTAAAGGTTGTACGGAGTATGAGTAGAACAATTTGAACTAGATTCTATTTGGGAGAACAAAAAGAGTACGGTAGGAGGAGGATTGGTGGGGGCCGCCTTTCTTTCGGGATTTTTCGATCTTTTTGAAAAAGCGAAAAAGGCGGATACTTTTTTCAAACGCGGAGAAAGTGTAGACAATTACGGTTTCTGTTCCTTATGCCAATTACGCAGACAAAGTTTCTAAAAACTGTATTACAAGTGATACAATAAAATACGGAAATCTACTCATACAGGGATTTGGGCAAGAATTTTCTGACACAATACGCATCCTCGAAGTTGAACAAGAACATCCTCATGTGCCCGACATTCCGGTTTTTGTGCATTGCGTATCGGTCCTCCTTGATGATCGTTTTGATCATTTCCATGAACTGCATCTTCTTTGGCTCGTTCGGCTGATGCACTTCCAGACTCATTTGACAGAATCGAATGCCCTTCTCGTCGAGTCGTCCGCTTTTGAAGAAGATATCAAAGAGTCCGTACTCGGCACCTTCGGCGTCCAGCCAAATGTTATCGTACGTCTGCAACTATTACTTTGAGAGTCAAACGTTCTGTTTTCTGATGTTTACCTTAATCTTCAGAATTCGATTCAAAAAATAGACGAGATCCACGTGGACGACATCTCGATTCACATAACTTCCGTTGATAAGCACACTGGCCCTCGAGAATCCGGCATCTCCTCCGACGGCGAACGGAAAGTATTTTCCGATGTTGGCGTACAAATCCGCGTTCACATCGGTGATCGGGTCGGCTCCGTAGAACGTCAGGTTTCTGCCGATCTCATTCATTTTCTGCAATTTTGGAAGATTATCTCCGGTTTGATCTTTTTCGAAAAATCACAGATGAAAGAGAGGCATGGTTTCGCGGACGACGCGGGAAAGAAAAGGATATCAAGATGGCGAAGAGGTTACGGTAGTTTGAAAGCGAAAAAGAAAACGAACTGTTTTGTAGAGAACCTCTGCGTCGATGTCTTTTCCGATTCCAAGAGTAACGAGAGTGTTGGCTGAGCCAAAGTCGCCCTGCAATCAAAAATTATAGTCACGTGATAAACATAAACATTTTATCTCACATGACATTTCCGTGAGGCAGTAGGTCACGTGAAAAAGGTCACGGAAACTGTCAGGTTGAGTTACTGTAACTCACCTCAACTGGCAACAGACCGTATTTGACTTCATCGCTGTTCTGAAGAGCCACCAATCCGAGCTTATCAATATCCGCCCATTTATCGCAATCATCCGTCCACAACTGGAATTTAGCCCAGAAAATGTTGTGGTCCGTCTCGTTGGACACTTTTTCTTTCATACACGAACTCCATTTGTTGAATACAACCACATTCGGCCTGATTTCTGTCGGCTCTGTCGGTTTGGCTGGTTGCTGAAAAATGTTCAGGTACAACTTCGGGAGCCGAGAGCGGGGGTAAAGTGTACCTGATTGTAGAGCAGGACAATAATTAGAAATATGAGTACGAGGATGAGGACAAGGTTGATGGGTCTGGCACGGAGCGACATGCTTCTTCGGACTGACAATAATAATGCCTTTCATCGTCATTTGTTCCGTCTTCCCCCGTCCGTCCGTCGAAATCAGATACCCAAATGCACTTTCCCGTTTTTGCGACGATTTCGTACTGAGATATCCAGGTAGAAGGAAGGAAAAGGCAGGCTTTTCGGCACATAATGCTACGCCGAGAAATGGACGATCTTTTGGGATCGGAACACGGATAACAAAAGATGAGATAGAGTGGATTCGAACAGATACTGGCACGAAGACTGGACACCGATGCTTCTGAACTCTGTTCCGTCGAATTGGATGAATCCAAAACTGGTTCAATTGGAAGGAATCAAAACACATGGAAAATGGAAAATATGGAAATTAACAGAGCAAACAAGAAAGGAATTATTACACATAAATTATGGAATTTAATTAGAGAATACTAACTCAAAAATGTATTTACGCAATAATCGTTCTCAAAATTGAACAGCCACATTCGTTGATGACCAACGAATTCAGATAAGAAGAATCCGAAGCGCTTCTCTTCGAGCAGTCGTCTCACGTAGATTATGAACGCTTCCTGCTGCTTCTCGTTGGCATTATGAACCTGAAAAAACGAAATTTACCGCTTAAATGTATCACTTTCTCATTAAATCTCATTACGGATCTGATTTAGTAGTTTTTCTTATGGCGTGGCAGCAAAAGGTCACATGAAACGTTCGCCTCACCTCCAAACTCATTTGACAGAAAGCGATCCCTTCCTGATCCAATCGTTCGCCTCTGTAGAATATATCGAACATATCGTACTCGGCGTACTCGGCATCCATCCATAAGTAATCGTACATCTTGTATGGAAGCACTTTTTTGAGAAAATAATAAATGTCTATGTGAGCAACTGACAAGTTTTTGTATATTTCTGAAATACTTTGTTCCGTCTTTATTGAGTTGAAGGGCGAAGTCTGACCATCGATATAGACACTAGCGACCGAGAAACCGGCTTTTCCGCCCACGGCAAACGGAAAGTATGTTCCGATTTTGGAGTACAACTCGGAATTTCCCGTCACAATCGGATCGGCTCCATAAAACGTGACTGTGTTTTCGGTTTTATTTAGATTCTGCTGGAATTCCTGTTCGGCTGCGATATCCAATCCTATTCCAAGTGTTACAAAAATAAAGTTTTTACCTCGCTACAACCAAAATATAATTTTGAAACAATCGTTCAGCAACTTACAGTGACCGGAAAAAGGGCATATTTGGTCTCATCCTTGTTTCTCAGCGCGGCAATCTTCAGCTCTTGTGAGATTTTCGCCTCTTCATCACATTTGTGGGACCGTTTAGCGAACTCGTTCCAAAACTGAAAGCCTTTTCGTGAATATTTATGGACATTTAGTAGTACCGTTTTAGGAGTGTCCGTGCCATCATTAAATATTTTTCTGGCACAATCATTCCATGATTTGAAGAATTCCAAATTCTTTGCGTTACTGGATAGTTTAGCGTGTGAACCTTCTTTGAGCGAACCCTGCAAAGTCGAAAGTAGATTCGTGCGAAACGTCGAGATCATCCGACTCCTACCTGATCCTTGACAATAAGGAAAACTACAAAGAAAAATGTGACGACGTAGAGCAACTTGACAAACGTTTTTGCTTCGTTCATTTGGAATACCGGCTCTTCTCTCTTCAGCGAGAAGTCAGTCGAACAAAATGAATAGGTGTGCAAACAGCGCCGGCCGGGATGGAATGATTAAAAAATGGAAGTGTCCGCGTGAGAGGGATCACCAGTTTATATATGCACTCCATTTACATATTTATCCACGTGCTTTTCCGTGTCGCTGGTGGTGTCGAGGGTAAAACGCTGACGTAAAAATATTCGACGTGTTCGGTGTAAAATATATTTTGAAACATCATTCTTATTAATAAAAGTCTTGAGGAGTCTGTCCGTATGATTATTTATTTATTCACAAGACTTTTGAAACCGGGGCTCGCTGCGCTGGAATTTCTCCGTCACAACTATTTTCCTTTTAGAAATGAAAGTGGGGACGGACAAACAGAGAGACCGTTGCGAGACCCGTCCACTTTTTGACCAACCCGCGCAACGCGAAACATTCGATCGGGGGACCGGAACACTCTGCCGTTGACTATTCTGGTTTAGAATGTTCTGGTTTCCACTTTCTGACGTGGGTCTCGACCGGAAGAGACACGTAAATCTACCTGAAATTTTTAATGATTTTTTTCGGAAAACAGCGCGATTTCAATGAGTCTTATACGATGCTTCTTGTCAGCGTATGTATTGTGTCGTTTATGTTTTTTCAGGCATTTCCATCAAGTTTCTTTATTCTCTTGTTGACTCTTTCCGATTCTGCTGACTCATGAGGATCGCCAACCTTCGGAAAAGTGAATTTTTGTTTGTATCTTAGGAAATTGCAAGTTAGGTGTGAAAATTGTCGGAAATACCTAAGAACATGAAAAACACAATAAATAAGCTTCTCTACTCACTGCATTGTTTTCCGGAAAATCATTTTTTTTTTAAATTCAAGATATACACATCCTTTCCGGCGGCCGAGCAACCATATCGCCTGGTATCAATAATATCTTCAAACTGTTAAATATTTTTAGTTTTTCCAACAAAAAATTCAAAGGTCCCTTTCCTCTAAAACTTTCATTTTTCTTCCATCCATCTTCCTTTCCCCCTTCTTTAAATTCGTACTCTATAATTTGCACCTCCCTTTTCTGATCCCCTTCTTCTTCCTCTTCGCAATTTCATCCGATGAACAGGGATGAAGTTGGGTGTGAAAAATGAGTGGAAATGGCGCTTGTCCGCTCGTCTACCGTCTCCTCTTCTTCGCCCATTTTTATGATGGACTCACAATGTCAGAAGATGTTCGTATCGGTCAGAGTTTTAATATTACAGCAGCACATTTATGTGCAAAAAAGATTAAAAATGAACTTTATTAATACACATTCAAAAAAAAAAAAGATGTAGAGAGTAATGACTTATTTCTGACAACTCTTCAGTGCTCGAGAGCCTTCCTCTCGTTCATTTCCTCTAGGATTTCTCCTTTTTCCGGTTCTTGGTCGAAAATGAAGCGTTATTAGCTCTCTGAAAGATTACTTTAATTCCCACCAAAAAATTATTGTCTAACCACTGATAGTAACTGTGTCTGATTGAGATCGTCGTCCAGTGTGCCCACTTGCGTCTTTTCCACGTCTTTCGGAGCCGATTTACCACGTGGCTCCGACTGTGTCTTATCCGTCGTTATTGCCTCATCTATTCTCGACTCTCCTTGTCCGTTCGTCGACCTTCCATCCGCCACCGAGTTTTCTTTGGCTGTCTTTCCGAGCGGAGTCCTATCTTTTCTATTTTTGACATTGTGAGCTGCATGCTGATCCGGAGGCGCCTTCTCTTTTTTCTCTAGTTCAACGATATTCTGGAACTTTGCTCCGGCTACATTCGGTTCCACCACCGGTCTTTCGGGCATATCAAACTGTGCCAACGGATTTTGATCGTCGTCGCCAACAAGGGAATCGGCCGTCTTCTCCGCTTTCTCCTTCTTCGCTAGACGGGCGGCCAGATTTGCAAACGCGTCATCGCTGAAAAACATAATATTTATTTGTTTAGTTCGGAACTGACTTACGTGGAATCGGACTCTTTGCTCCTCACTTTATTCTTGTTTCCAGCTTTTGTTCTTGTGGAATCTCGGTCGTCCCGTTCGACTTTCGATGTCGTTTGAGAAGCCGCCGCGGGAGAGGCAGGTGGCATCGCTCCATTCGGAACGTTCGACTGGAAAGAACGGGAATTTGCAGTCAAGATTCTGTATTTGACGAACCGTAGGCGTGCCGGCGGTCGGGTTCGTCGGTTGGGTGAACGATGATTGTGCCTTGTTCTTTTTGGCGCAGACGACGAAGATCGCGTGTGACGACATAACAAAAAGCATCGAAATAACAATTGTTATAATCATTGTTACGGCTTTTGAGATTAGGAATGCTTTACGAAATTGGAAATGATTTGTGTTCTGCACTGATCGCGAAAATAATTTAATTTTTTTTTTTTTTGGAAAGAACGTGAAGAGATGTGAAGAGATAAAAAGAAAACAAAAAAATCAACAGAAAACAATGTGGGCTTTGACTTAAGATTCACAATTCGGCAAGCCAATTCTTCATATAATCGCAAGATTGTGGCGAGATCACGTATCCGGGACGGCAGTCTTCGACAACCGGACACACTGCGCAAGGCACAGAAACGAGGGGAGAGATGCTGGAACGAGGTGGACACGCGCGGATCTTCCCGTCGGCGCGCCTTTCAATGGTTCCGTCGAGCACAGCAACTTCCAGAATCCGTTCGAGGTCTTCCAACGATAACGGAACGTTGAGCACTCGTTTTTCGATGATGAACTGGGCGATCTGGAATGCATTAATTTGAATAAAGTTTGGAAGAACACTAGGTTTAAGAACGAACCTCCTGTGGTCGAATATAACTGGCTTCTCTTTGCATTTGAATGCTGTTAGGATTCTCATCAATCGCAATCTTTCGCCGAGAACTTGCGAACGTTCCGCAGACAGTGATCAGAGTGTTGATCAGTTCGGAGTCCAGTTGTTGATCCGAGTAGAATGTGCCGCCTGTCAACTCCATGGCTGGCTCCAAATCGAATAAAATATAGCACTTCTTCGTAGTTCCAACTGGTTTGATAGTTTTGATCAATTTCTTAGTCTCCAGTGACTTCAGTGTTTTTCTCAACTGCAACTGATTGAGTCCAGAGCCGTCACGAAGCTCTTTTATCCATATTCCACGTGTTTTCGACTCTTCGATCAGTCCGTATATCTGAAAATAACCGCTATTTTTTCGAATTCTACTGACTATTACCATTTGCTCTTCTTCACTTCCAACAATTTGCTGACTGTTGTTCACTTTGAGTCGAAGCACACCACCCGGTGCCTGTTCAATTGCCAATTTTTTTGAGCCAAGCAAGCTGTTGATAGCGTCCTGACGAGCGACCGGAGTGAGCCCTGGTGTCATACTGCTCAGCGCGTCCATGTCAATTCCCTCTAAGGCTGCTTGAACAATTTGCATGACTTGCATTTCGCTTTCCCCTTGACTGATTATTTCCTGCTTGATACTAACGGATGCCATTGCTGTAAATAACTGTTTTAGGCTTTCTTTTTAAAGCAGAAGAAGAAAACGATTTAAACTAAATGGAACTGTTACGATTTGGAACTGGCAACGTTAAAATATAACTGAAATATAATCCGTGCGAGTTCTATAGAACTGTATGCTTCGTTGTACGTAGCGCCATAAATTCAATAGTGCGATGGAGCGCGTTTACACGGTTGTTCCGAAAAATTGGCGCGATTGATTTTGTGTTCAGATTAGTTGAATTCTTGTCGGTTTTTCTGTTATCCGTGTAAAAAAAAATCACATGTTCATTTTTGAATTGTTCAATCCCGCGTCAAACAAGTTAGTTGCACTAATTCAATCATGCTTTTCGTTTCGAATCCTTATCAGCTAACGCGTAGTTTCTTTCTAGAATGTCTTCCGCGAAACCTCAAATTAGTTCACACAAACAAGATCACTACTTCTATTCAAACTGCTGAAAATCTATGAATAATCGTAGTCTCGTGATTTGAGACGACGTGTGCGTAAAACACGCACGCGTTTCCGCACGAGCTGCTTACTTTTCGAGAGCTCTAATGAATTTCACAATTTCACGCTCTACGTGAGAGACCCCTTCTCTCGTCCCGATCGGAAGCACATTTATGAAGTAGGCCAACAGCCAACAGCGAGCAGCTCGAGCAGCAGGAGCCGAAGAGGGAAACAACACCGCTCAGAGTGACCAAAATTGCGCACCAGCTGCCACACCCGGTGTGCTTTATCTGCGTCTCTGTTCATCTGCTTCATCCTCATCCCGACGCCCAAATTATACCGCCTTATGCATTTTCCTCGTCTTGTTTAGCTCATACTCCCTCATCCTTAATCTCCTTCCCAACTCATCATCATCATCTTCATCTTCGTCCCATTTACTTGTAGTGGTCAGACTTTTCAGCTATCAGTCTAAACTGCCGTTTCCCTTCGTTATCACCACCTTAGATGCTTTCTATCATTTTTTATCAATTCCAGTCATCAGTGCCGACCAGTGGCATATCATTGGTGGCGGCGAAAAGCACTCTTTGCGTCTCTTCCTCTCTCCGCGGCGCGGTGACACGTAAGGGAAAGGGAGTGAGGGCCGAGTAAACTGAACACACCTCAGGCCGCTCATAAACGCACGCTCCCCTCTACCAGAGAGTAACCGCCTTGTCCCGTCGTTTCGTTCATTCCGTCTAAGCACACCCCCTCATAAGTCCCCCGTGTGCGTATGCGTGTTTGTGAGTGTGTCACACACATACGATGAGTTCGTTTGTGAGCGCGCGCATTCGCTCACTCTGAGAGAAAAAGATGAGGCGAGGGGACTCCTAGTCACTCTGCGCGCGAGCGCAAGCGCGTAATAGTATAGGCAAAACGCTGCTCGAGACGCAGTGGTCAGAACACGATTAGAGAACAGGTGAAATTGAGAAGAGCAGATGTCGGCGGGGTGAGATGGAAAAAGGAGGAGGAGGAGTGCGCGTTTGCCAATAACACTCACAGCAAAAACCAAGTTGCACATGCTTCTCATTTTGATTTGGTAACTAGTCTCTTAGAAGTTTTCGCAGCTATAGAGAATTGCCTCGTCATTAAAAAAATAAAGTTGACGTAACATATTATCTAGGGACTGATCTAGTTCTTTGCGGTCACTCATACTCACACAACTTTGTCCTAGTTTTATCGGGTGAAAAAGTGTCTGCCGAGAGAAAACTGCTGACCGCTGGTCATTGTCGTTGTCGTCGTTGTCGTCATCATCAACAAAACGTTATTTGGGGTTGACACTGGGACGCGCGCACACATAGAGACAGAGAGCGGAGGCCACACACACACACACACAACACATAACACCTTCTCATCATCGATTAGAAAAGAGAGGGCGCACTTGTCTTTGGGAGGGCGCGAAATAGTGAGTGGCTGGGTGGAGGGTCGAGCGACCAAACAGCACCGGAGAGAGAGTGCCGAGTCTGCAGAGACAGCCGACAATGGCTATGTGCTGGTCTGTCCGTGTGTCCGTTTCTTGTGTTCTTCTTCTTCTTCGCCTTCGTCTTCGTCCTCTAACCACTCTCTCTTCGTGTCACTCTCTCTAGTACTCGCGATCGTTTTTTTCATCCATTGCCATTGCAAACGCACCAACCACCCTTTTTCCATCTTCCACTCACATCAATTGAATTCATTGGAAGGAAAGAATGGCCCAGAAGTAAGGAGAAGGGTTCGATCGAACAACACTCTTTGATAACATCTGCAAAATATTCTCGCTCTCTCTCCGACCGACCGCACTCTCTTTTTGTCTTTTTGTCCTCTCTAACTACCACAACACGCACACTTCCTTCTTTGTTCTCATTTTTTACGAAAGTTTCCGTTTCAAAAGTTCTTCTTACCTGTCATATCATCGTTTTCATCACAGTACACTTTTAATTCTATCTTTTTTTTACAGATGATAGGCTGCTGAAAAGTTAAGCCTGGATAAAGAACAAGAAACAAGTGCAAGTAAAACCAATCGATTTCGGCTTTCCATTTATACAATTATTCAAGCTTTTAATTTTTAATTTCCCCCACTAATATTATACACACCATAAATCAGAAATGGATGAAGGTAAACAGCCACCTACCCCTCGCTACAACTATATAGTTTTGTTCTTGTTTTCAGGCGATGATTATGTACCACAAATGTCCCAAATGGCCGACTACACTCAGATGGCTCAGATGGGCGGACCGGCACCACCACAGCAGCGGTATCCGCCGCCCGGGATGCCGATGAATCCATATGAGCAACAGCAGCACCATCAGATGATGATGATGCAACAACAACAGCACATGCAGCACATGGCCAGTCAACAACAACAACAAGCGGCCGCCGCGCAACCTGCACCGGCCAAAAAACCGCGCGGAAAGTCGAAGAAAGCACAAGCGGCCGAAGCTGCGGCTGCAGCGGCCGCGGCTGCCAATCAGATGGATCCGATGGCGTCAATGGCTGCGATGTCGAACAATCCGATGATGCGAGGCAACGCCTATCCAGTATGTTTTCCTTTATGCTAAGGCAAATCGTTTCTAATCTAGCTAGCTAATTCGCGTTTCTAACCGAACCTAGTTAGATTGCTAATTTACTGCGATTAGATTGCAAATTCTTCTGCAAATTCACTGATAAATTTTTTAATTAGAGTGACAAAGCAAAATTTTTCTAAATAGATTCAAAATTTTTTCGGTCAAATCTAGCTAGTATTCCATTTTCATCTAGCTAGATTAGAAACTCGGTTTAGATCACAAAATCTCCTAACTAGATTACAAACGATTTGCCTGAGTGCAGGAATAAACTGCCTAGAGTTTCAATCAAGTAGAAGTATTCTTCACCTGCCTTTACTTTGTTTTTATCACCAACAATCTTTTTTCTAGAACCAGATTGCTATGTACGGCGGAGCACACTATCAAGGTGTTAACGGACCAGCACAACAGGGTTACCGGCCAGGACCCATTGCTGGAGCACCACAACAGTATCCGCAGAACTATCAGCAAATGTACCATCCACAACAGCCGCCGCAGCAACAACAACGGGCGCCACCTCAGCAGCAGCAGCAACAATCACAACCTGGTTATCCGTACGGATATGGACAGACTCCTGCCGGATACCCACCACAACCGCCACCGCAACAAACACAGTATCCGCAGCAAGCGCCACCACAACATATGAGGCATCAGTACGCGCCACAAGGCCAGCAACCGCCTCCCGGCTATTGGGAAGGCTATCCAGGGTACGGGAACAGTGTGCCAGTGCCTCAACAGACAGTTCCGGTGCCTCCACAGCTTCCGGTGACGTCACAGCCGATGACGATGCCGTCTCAACAGCAGAATCAGTGGACGCCTCAACCACCACAACCGACGCCAGCCGACCTGATGGTACGTATGAGCATAACTGAAAGCATAATTGGGGAATGTTGTGTACAATTAAGATTTAAAGCTTTTTGCGTCTGAAGAAAAGGTATGCTCAATTTACCGCTCTTGCCAATCGGTGTTTGCAGGCTCAAGCCTAATGTCAGGAAATTTTGGCTTGAGTCTGCAAACACCGAGGGGGCAATTGCGATGAATTGAGTGTAGTAAATCGAAAAGCAGCGATGACGTTATGCTACTTTACCCACAAAAAGACCCTTGAGATTTGGTCTTATTTATAGTTATCATTAGAGCATGTAATGTTCGTTGATCAGTAGAAACTACATCAGAAAGATGTTCACTCTTATTTTACAAAATACTTTTCAGAATGTGATTGCCCAACTGGAAAAATCAGCGGCCGAAATCAAAGGACGGATGCAGCAGATCTATAATCTGCCTCGGAACACCGCCGCAGACGCAGAAATTCAACAGCTACAGCACAAGCTCGGCGCCATCCAGAACGACATCTATCGATACGGCCAACAACTACAGCAGTTGCAGCAGTACCCTCCGATGCCGGGACAGCACCATCCTGGATCAGTTCCTCCACCCACATCGCAGACCGCTTCAATGCCTCCGAGTCAGCACATTACACCGAACCCAACGCCAGTTCATGTGAATCAGAGCGGAAGTCAGGTTCAGTTGAATATCACCGCCGACAAGTCACGGACTTTGATCTCTGTCTATCACGAGGGGTACGGAGGTTCGGGCGCAAGTTCCACGGAGAGCAAGGAGTCGATTGTGCCTCCGGAGCCGACGCCTTCGATGCAACAACAGCCGCCGGAGCCGCCTGTACCACAACAACAACAGCAAACGCCTCAACAAGTCCCACAGGTGAAGAGGGAGCCCGAGAAGGTAGCCGCATATCAACAACAGACTCCACAACAGCAATCGTACAACGGAATGGAGAATGGATCGTCCGCGAATCCGTATGCGCAGCAGCAAATGTACGGACAGCAGTATCCGCATCCGAATGTGAGTGCAACGAGACATTAACTCAGATTTTTGCAACCTAATTAGTGGTTTCAGATGGCCGGCTATCCGCAACAACATCAGGCAATGCACCAGCAACTACAAGCGCCGGCTGGCTACGGGAGAGCTCCGAGCGCTCCGCAAGATATGCAGCAAATTCAACCGCCGTCTGTTGAATCGTCTCAACATCAGCAATTTCCTGGATATCCTCCAGAATTCGCTGTTTCGTCAACCTTCACATCCCAGAGTTCTGATTCTAATCAGAATTCAGGCGGGGCTCAGCAGCTTCCAATTACTGAGGCTGAGCCGATAAAGCACGGGATCGCCGAGCCAGCAGAGTCCGAGGTATCCTCGTCAACTGTTGAGCCCGTTCAGCAACATCAACAATCCATTGCCGATGTTGTCGAATCAATGCCACACGCGGCTGAGCTCATTCAGGTGCCGTCACTTAATCCAGCAGAGCCCATAGATGAGCAAAAGCCGGAAGAGCAGGACATTGAGCCGGAGCCGATTAAAATTGAGCAAAAGCCCGTTGACGATTGGAAAGAAGACGTCGGCGAAGAGCAAGAGCAGCAGATTAGCGATGAGTCGGAGCCGCACAACAACGGACATATTGTGGATTCGACCACTTCCGCAGTCATTCTCGATAACAACCAGCTTGAAGTGGCTCAGGAGGAAGAAGTGGAAAGTGAAGGTGACACGACGATGGTGAAGGCTGAGGAAGAAGAGGAGGAGGAAGAGGCGCCGGTGATGTTGGAGGATATCAACAATCTGGCTGGAGAAGAGGTCTTCGGAGAAGAAGGGGCTGACGAGGACGACATTCTCAAGAAGCAGGAGTATCCGGAGGAAAAGGACGATGAGGAGTACGTGCAACCGGAAGGAAGTGTAGAACCAGAAGAAGAAGAAGAAGAGCGGGAGCAGAAAGAGGAGCAGGAAGAGGACGATGATCAGTCTTCCATAACCACCAAGGATGACTTCAAGGATATGAGTGAGGCGCCCAGTGAGACTAATGACGGGTTCACTGAACCTTCGACTCCTGCAACTCCGATGATGGTGACGCCGTCAAGCAAAAAGAAGACGTACCGACGACCGGCTGTGGTGGTGTCAAAGTCGAAAAAGAAGAAGAGTGTGGATGATTCGGACGACGACGACTTCTACCCTGCACGTGGAAAAGGCAGAAAGAAGGGCGGAGGCGGCGGAAAGAAGAAGAACGACCTGGTTATAGTCGGAGAAGAATCACAGGACGGACAGAAGAGTGGAGAGTCGGACGACGATGAGTTCTTGATCAAGGTCGAAGCTCCTGCTGTCGATCCCAATGCTTTGGTCGTTGAGAAGATTCTCAATCTTCGCGTGCACAAGGAAGAAGTGGAAGAGGGCGCTGAGCCGAAGGAAGAGGTAGAGCAGTTCCTGATAAAATGGAAAGGCAGGTCTTATGTGCATTGCGAGTGGAAGTCTGCCGCTGAACTGCTCGAGATTGATAAGAGAGTGGATGGAAAGATCAAGCGGTTCCGAGCAAAGAAGAGCGTTTCCTACATCGATGACGACGAGGACTTCAACAGCGATTACGTTATTGTGGATCGAGTTGTCGACCTCATCACGGAAGAGGACGGACAAGAGTTCGTACTTATCAAATGGAAGAGTCTGGGATACGAAGAGGTCACGTGGGAACCCGTCGAAAATGTTCCCGCAGAAAAAGTCCATGTGTGGAGGAGACGGCAAGTCATCGATCCAGCCAAAGTGAAGGAAAAGGCACGACCCGAACCTGAAGAGTGGAAGAAGCTGAGTCAGTCGAAAGTGTGGAAGAACGGGAACTCGCTCAGAGAGTATCAGTTCGAAGGCGTCGATTGGCTTCTCTACTGTTACTACAACGCGTGAGTAAACCTTTTCAATTTAACAATGGAACTTCGTATTGAACTCTAGGAATTACTTGTTTATGAGCTCTTTCTTTTCAGGCAAAACTGCATCCTCGCCGACGAAATGGGTCTTGGAAAGACAGTCCAAACTATCACTTTTTTGTCGCAAGTGTACGATTTTGGTGTGCGCGGCCCGTTCCTCATCGTCGTTCCTCTTTCGACTATCCACAATTGGGTCAGAGAGTTCGAAACGTGGACGGATATGAATGCCGTCGTTTACCACGGGAGTGCATACGCCAGAGAAGTCCTTCAGCAATACGAGGTCTTCTATGATAAACGGCATTCTGGATCCAAAAACTGGCGGAAGAACTTTGTAAAGTTGGACGCGTTGATCACCACATTCGAGACTGTCGTTTCGGATGTCGAGTTCCTCAAAAAGATTCCGTGGAGAGTGTGCGTTATTGATGAAGCTCACAGACTCAAAAACCGGAACTGCAAGCTTCTGGTCAACGGATTGCTCGCATTCCGAATGGAGCACCGTGTTCTGCTCACCGGAACTCCTCTCCAGAATAATATCGAGGAACTCTTCTCCCTGCTCAACTTTCTTCATCCACTACAGTTCAACAACTCCGCCACATTCTTGGAGCAATTTGGATCTTGCCAAACCGACGATCAAGTGCAGAAACTTCAGGAGATTCTCCGGCCGATGATGCTTCGCCGGTTGAAAGAAGACGTGGAGAAGTCGTTGGGGCCGAAGGAGGAAACTATCATTGAAGTGCAGCTTTCGGATATGCAGAAGAAGTTCTATCGTGCGATTCTGGAGCGAAACTTCAGTCATCTGTGCAAGGGAACGTCTGCTCCATCACTGATGAACGTGATGATGGAGCTCCGCAAGTGCTGCAACCATCCCTTCCTCATCAACGGAGCTGAAGAGACCATTATGAATGACTTCCGAACGGCCCATCCTGATTGGGACGATGAGACTCTGGCTCACAAGGCTCTAATTCAATCTTCTGGAAAAGTTGTACTCATTGAGAAGTTGCTGCCGAAGCTGAGAAAAGATGGACACAAAGTGCTCATTTTCTCGCAGATGGTGAAAGTGTTGGATCTTCTGGAGGAATTCCTGATCAGTATGGCCTATCCGTTTGAAAGAATTGATGGAAATGTACGAGGCGATCTCCGACAAGCTTCAATCGATCGATTCAGTAAAGAAAGTGAGTTTTCTAAACTTGGAAGCTTCAAATAAATTTTTTTTTTTTTCAGATTCGGACCGCTTCGTCTTCCTGCTCTGTACTCGTGCCGGAGGTCTTGGAATCAATCTGACTGCCGCTGACACTGTCATCATCTTCGATTCTGACTGGAATCCTCAAAACGACCTCCAAGCGCAGGCCCGCTGTCATCGTATCGGACAGAAGAAATTGGTGAAAGTGTACAGACTGATCACTTCCAACACTTACGAGCGAGAGATGTTTGACAAAGCCTCTCTGAAACTCGGACTCGACAAGGCAGTTCTTCAATCCACGACAGCTCTTAAGGCAGAAGGTACTGCATTGAGTAAGAAGGACGTGGAAGAACTTCTGAAGAAAGGAGCATATGGATCCATTATGGACGAGGAGAACGAATCGGCCAAGTTCAACGAGGAAGACATCGAAACTATTCTTCAGCGCAGAACTCAAACGATCACGCTTGAAGCCGGACAGAAGGGATCGCTTTTCGCCAAAGCTTCCTTCAATTCCACGCACAATAAGGGAGATGATATCGACCTCGATGATCCGGAATTCTGGAATAAATGGGCCGAGAAGGCGCAAGTGGATGTGGAGAAAGCGACGGCGACTCCAGATGGAAGAGAGCTGATTCTGGAGGAGCCAAGAAAGCGAACGAAACGATTCGAGGACAATAAGATTGATGAGGAAGACTCGGATGGAAGTGAGGAGAGCGGAAAGCGAAAGCGGAACGCGCAAGGAGCGTCCGCTCGGAAGAGGAGAAGAGATGACGAGGACACGGACTACTCGGCTAGTTACCGGCCAGATGAGTTGGCGACAAGCAAAACCGAATACTTCAAAGTGGAAAAGGTGCTCGCTCAGTACGGATGGGGACGATGGGCTGAAATCAAGAAGTACGGAGAACTGGAAATTGCCGAGCAGGACATCGAGCACATGTCGCGAACCCTGCTACTTCATTGCATTCGAGAGTTCCGTGGTGACGATCGCATCCGACAGTTTGTATTCAATCTGATCAAGCCCCAAGGAGGCAACGGAAGCAAGGAAGTGAAGAGCGGATCGTCAGTGTACCACCAGGGATGGGCTGCTCTTCCGGAGTTCAATCCACCGAGCTTCGCATTAGATTCCGCCTTCCAGCGACACGTTCATCGCCACGCCAACAAGTTGATGGTGAAGATTGATATGCTGAAACACCTGGAGACGCATATCATCGGAGACGAAAGGGCCATCGTGGAAGATCCGACAGTCAAGTGGACCGATATCAAACTGATGGAGATGCCAAGCGTTTCGGAAACGTTCATCGAAGGATGGGATGCTGATTGTGACAAGTGCTTCCTCATCGGATGCTGGCGACATGGACTCGATAATTACGAAGTGATGCGAGCTGACGAGACGTTGTGTTTCACTAAGAAGACGTTCCCGAACTGGCCGCCACCGTCCGATTTCTGGCTCAGGTTCCGAAGACTATTGATGGTCAGCCAGCGAAGTGTGCACGATCCTGTCTACGAAAAGCTGAAGTGGACGAAACGAGAAGAGCAGGAGTTTATGCGTGTGCTCCGATCGTTCGGAATCAAGGAATCGAAACCAGGTCCCGGAGTGGATTGGGCTCCGTTCAGAGCATTCTCGCCGATTCTCGAAAAGAAGTCTGACGAGGAGTGTCATGAGCAACTGATGTGCGTGCTAGCCATGTGCAACAGAGCTCAAGGATCGAATGACTTGAAACCAATCGACCTGAAAAGAGCAATGTCTGTGGATCCGATGAGCTCGAGGAGAGCCGTGAAAGTGCTTAATCGTCTTCATCTGATGCGGAAGGTTCACACTCTTGCCGATCATCTGGAAGTGGCCGATCTTTCTATGTGTGAGACGACTGGAATGCCAAGCGGATGGAGCACTCAACACGACAAAGAGCTGATCGAGATTTGCGATCAGTGCGGACTTGATCAGCTTGCTGCCAATGTTCTTAACAAGCCTGCCTTCACCAAGATTGTTCGGCCATCAGAGACCACTCTGGTTCGACGTATAATTGAGATTGTGTCAACGATCGAGTCTGGCAAGTGGTGTGGCGTTGGCGATGTCGAATCGGTGAACGACAGTGATTCCGAAGAGAAAAAGGAGATTGCGAATATGGCAGCCGCGCAGCAGCAGTTCCTTCGTCTTCAACAACAGCATCAAGCTGCTGCCGCAGCAACAGCCGCAGCAAGCCGGAAAGGAGGCCGAAAACGACCGAACAACGACCAGGATGCAGCCAGATCAAGAGCAGTGCAACAAGCTCTTCTGGGCGGAGCTGGACACGCCGAATACGCCAGTCTGATGGCTTTAATGATGCTCTCACCTCAGATGCTGGGCACACAGAACATGTCGGCTGCCCAACAACAACAAGTCTCTCAGCTACTCGCTCTGGTCCTCGCCAGTGCCGTTCAACAGAGCGCCGCTCCTGCAGCCTCGTCCAGCTCTTCGAAGAACAGCAGCAGCAATCAACAACAGTCTGCCGCCGGAATGCTCGCACAGGCCGCCGCAGCTTCGAACGACGCTGCGGCCGCTGCTCAACAACAAGCGGTTCTCGAGGCACTTCTCGCGATGACAATGAACCCGGCAGCTCTGGCTGCGCTCACCGGAACCGCTCAGCCATCCACCTCGGCCACATCGTCTTCCACTCCAACTCCTGCAAAGAAAATGAGCAAACCGGCTCCGAAGGAAACTGCTTCTTCCACAGCCTCTGCTGCCGCCGCTGCTGCAGCAGCTTCTCAAGCTTCTCAAGCCGCTCAAGCGGTTGCTCTGGCACAGCAGAAGCAGCAAGAGCAACTGATCGTTCAGTTGCTGAATACGGCTGGAATTGGAATCCCGGAGTTGAACAAGTTGAATACAATGTCGAAGGATGTGAAGATTCCGATGGTGCACAAGACGACGAAGGAGGCTCTGCCAGAGTCCAAGCGTCCGCAGATTCGAGATTTGACGGTGTTCGTGATGTCCAATCAGGAATGGAAGCTTGATTTGCCTGCGTTCACTGAAATGACCAAGGCTGTTCCTTCTAGTGCTCGTCCGTCTGCACCAGCAACTCCGGCTCCGACTGCAACTCCGAAACCTGCAACTCCAAAAGTTGAGCCAAAGCCGTCTACGTCTACTGCGGCGTCTGCCACGTGTAACATCAAAGTTGGTGGAAGTCTGGCGCTCGACGACATGGTTTCGGTGTTTAATCGAAACACTGGAGAGCTATTGGCCGCATCCAAGTGGCCTAAGGCTAAGGATCTTGCCACGTGGCTGGAAGCAAATCCGGAGTATAACGTGCACTCGAACAGTGCTCTGATTGCAACTCTATCATTGGGATCAGTCCACAATGACCGAATCGGAGGGGATTCTTTCTCTACGCCTGTTGCCACGTCAATTCCATCGACGGCCCATACTCCCGCTCCTCCATTGACGCCTTCAACTCCGTCGGCTGCGTCAACGGCAGCAGCGAATGCAGCGGCCACAGCCGCGGCTAATGCGCAATTGGTAGCTTTGGCTGCCGCGAGTGCAGCTGCTCAGCAACAAGCACAAACGAATGCCACGCCGACAAGCACGAGCAAGTCTCGAAATGGTAAGAAACCCAAAAATTGAGCAGATCACTCATTACTATTGGTTATTCAGCAGCCGCCGCCGCGCAAGCTCAAGCACAAGCTCAGGCCAACCAGGAGGCGAAACAGCAGATGGAACTTCTTCAGATGCAAATGTTCCTTCAGCAGTATCAGCAGACGGCTGCTCTTCAAGCGATGATGTACGGAGGATATGGAATGCCGACCACATCGGCCGCCTCGTCAACTGCCAACGTCGCCTCGATGGCTGCGATGGCCGCTGCTCAAGCTGCAGTGGTTAACAGTACTCCAACCACTACAAAGGTACTCCGATTCCGATTAAAATAAGACATCATCTAACTTCTCTTAACTTCAGGCCGCCACGTCTTCCACACCTTCCACGTCATCAGCTGCCGCTGCCAGCGCGGCAGCTTCTTCCTCAGCCAACTCTGCCGAAGACATAAATCCTCTGCTGCTTTCGGCACTAATGCAAAACCCGGCGATTCTTCAATCGATGATGCTTTCCGATCCGAGTGTGCTGGTAGCTCTATCCGCTCAAGCTCACCAACAGCAGCAGCCGGCCGCCAAAAAGTCCAAACACCCGTAAAGTAAATGCATATCCATATTTGTTTTGTTTGTTTTTCATTTCTCTCCCCTAAAACTCGTGCGTTCTTTTTTTGCTCAACTTTATTGCATCATATTGATACATCCCAATTCGTGTGGTCGTCATTAAGTCCTCTCAGTCAACCAATCTCTTCAGCCCATTCTGTCCGGTTATTCCTTCTTCGTCTCTATCTGTCTCTAAACTACCGTAATTTTTTCGTTGATCCATTTCATAGTGTGCATTTTGCCTTGTAATGGGTCTACCTGGCCGGGATTCCATTACGCTTCGCAGGTGTGCAAAAACTTTCCATTCTCACCGAATCGGGCATCATCTAACAGACAAAATGAGATTTCCCCAACAAACTATGTACTTTTGACTCCTTTCTCACTCACCTAAATATCTCTGTCTCATTCTCAAAACCACTCACACCCCAATTCATTCTTGTTTTATTCATGTGATCTCCGAGCACTTCCCATCCCATCCTTATACATTGTTCCATATTAGTATTATTGTATCCTTATCAACCTTCTTGTGTTTTCTTTTTCAGCCCGTTCATCTCTCTCGATTATCACATTATTGTGTGTGTTAACACCAGGGAAAACCATAAAAACATTGCAATAAAAATATTATTCTTAGTTGTTTCATGATGATTCAAACTGTTATTTTGCTACTTTGAGCGATCCATCTTGGTGAGTGAGCGCGTCCTGTGCAAGCGCGCTCGGTTGAGAATTCCTGCTCAAGTTCATGCATCAGGCTTCCAAAATATTTTCTGTTTTGTATTAGGATCTTCCAAGTCAGCACAACTTTCAAATATTATGTCATGTACCTAATTTCTTAAAAATTCCAAGTTTTATCACTGGTCGATCTTCCCAACTCTGGCTACAGTCAACCGTCAAGTTTTGAATGAAATGTCAGAACTTAATGTTGCCGAGAAGAAAACGGGCGGCGGCTTCCCGCTGTGCTCTCATTCATCAGCATGGAAAACGATCACAGCATAGCTTATGATTTTTGGGCGAAACTTCCTTCTCGCTCGCGAAATTTCGAGAAGATTCCGATCGCCATGACGCGCCAGGAATAAACTGTGTTTTTCAGAACCAAACCGGTTCTTTCTTCATTTTTCAGATAAGATCTATTAAAGTGACTGAAACAGCAATCAGGTGACGAGGGAGGGTCGAATGTTTTGTGAGAATGAAAGCACATGGCTAGTTCAGCTAAAATAGTTATTTAAAATTGAAAAAGCCCAGTTTTCGGCATTCAAAATAAGATTCTGTTTCTATATTCCAGATGGTTAATCCGGTACCTTATCCGCCACCAAAATCTGCGCATATTCCCGACGCTTCTCCCTCACTTTCTCGAACCGGATCTCGTGGTGCCGGCCGCTCAGGTCGGTTAATCAGCACGATCGGATCTTCGTGTGCCCAGCAGGGGGCCCATTGTCCATCTTGCAACTTGCGCCCCCGCCTATTTTCACTCAGATTTTGATCAACGCCTCGGCATGCGGACGGGCGGTATAAAAGGACGGGCGCCCGGGGAGGCAACAGTGTCCACTTCCAATTCCCATTTCCTCCCTCCTATTCATTCTTCTTCTTCTTCCCTTTTATTCATTTCTTCACCCCGCTTCTCGATTTCTTTGGTTGTACAAAGTGGTATGCGAATCTTTGTGAAACATACCGCTTTTCAGCTGAAGGAATGGAGATTCGTGACACTTTCCATCGTGAAGGTAAGTTTCATTGAGAACCAAATAAGTAGGTCGAAAATAAGTTACTAATATAGATAAATAAAGCTAAAATGAAACTACGAAACTAGGGTAAATGCAATTATGGTGTTATGGTGTACAAGAAAACAGTACAAGATTTTGGGCTGTTCGTGTCGACTGAAAACTTATTGCTTCAAGAATCTGGGGTAGTTTACACATCGGGGAGGTTTTGAGGGGGAGAAGCGAGATAAAGCAGCTAATACAGAGAAAGTACGGCACACGGGAAAGGGAACAGTGACCTAAACGGGAGGGGTACTTTTCTTTTTCCTAGTCATAAAGTGAGATTTTGAAGATGGGCGGGTGTATGGCGGGTTGGCAACAAAAGCGAATTGGGAAAAGGAAGAAATTTAACAGAATCAAGAAAAGTGCATATTCAATAATCATTTGAGAGGGACCAACACCTGCACATAGGTTACTGGGAACAATCCGGACTTTCCGTTGCATCGTCCCTCGTACCAATTCTCATCAATCTGTGACACCAACTCAATCACCGATCCCTCTTTGAAGTCAAGCTCTCCTTCGCTCTGGGCCTCAAAATCGAACAGAGCGCGACATTGTGGCTTCTGCTGTTGGGAGAGCGGAGGCGGCATTCCACCGGGAGGAGGTCCTTGATAAGCTGGTGGAGCCTGCGATGCTCCGCCGTTTTGGGCAATCTAAACATTTTAAGATCGTCACAGTTAAAGTCAGTCGAAAATATACCCCTGATGATCCAGAATTCTGAGTCATCTCCGAAGGAGCCGGCGATCTGAAACTGAAGGGATGTTTTGGAAAAGGCTTTGAGCATGCAGAACAAAATCACAACCACAATAATCATATTATAGGGGCACCAGACAGAAAGGGCGCGCTGTTAGCAATCTGACCGAATTTCTAGGCCGCGAAGTAATTTTCCACTGAAAACGGGGCTTAATTTTACAAACTCGGCCCCGAGGTCGCTCAATTTGCACTGCAAAAAGAGTTTCTCAACAGAGCGCCATTTCTGTGCGGTGCCCCTATCATATCTATATTTTCTGGACGTTACCCAAGTTTTCTTTTTTGAAAAAAATATTCGTAATCAATCATGCAGTCTTTTCTTGTGAATAGGCTCACAAAATGAAATGCTTCAGTGCTCTTAAAAAGCTGAGAGCCCGTCCGTTCCGCTTCCGCTCTTCGATACGAAAACAACACGCAGGCCATTAATAGAGAAGGGGGTCCCTTACCTTGAGCGTGGCGTGCGGCTTTCGTTGCCAAGCACCAGCAGTGGGACGTGCTCCTCTCTCGGCCGGCTCGACGCCTCTTTGACGCGGTGCTGCAGCTGTTGTTGCAGATTTTCAAGACATTGAGCCGTCTGCCGATGAAAATCTAGTTGCGCTTCGATGAGCGCGCGCAGCTGGGAGATTTGTTCGACCTGCAAAAGAGCGTGTGAGCCGGCAAAACAATTGAGGATGGGCTATTATGTACGTCGTTGCTGAGCACATTGTACATGGACATTTCGGCGAGCCTTTTCGATTCCTCTAGCTTCTCCTCCGCCTGAATCATTTCGTCATCTCGTCGTTGTTGTCTCTTTTTGCAGTCGTAGTCCAGACGCCGTCCCTTCAGTTTTGTGCGATGGTGCTAAAAACAAACATTGGAAATGAGATACTTTCATGTGGAGAGAAGAAGAAGCCTTACATTCACATCCTTCAGCTCGTTGTTCTGCAAATGTGTCAGTGGATCCAGAAAGTTCTGCTTGACATTGTCCTCCATTTGGTATTTGATATCTGCCATCTGTCGATACGCTTCCGCTGCATCGTTCAGACTCTAAAATGAATAGAACGATGCAAATATTGACTGAGAGCCCAAAAAAAGACATTGAAAATTTTTGACTAACCTTTCCAAGATCGCTCTTCTCTCCCAACAGTTGTCCGTACTTTTGCATGACGTCAGCGAGCATGCCTTCCGTTTGTGGGTACGGAGACGTTTTTGTGGTGCCGCGCAGTTTGGAAACCGCCACTACCGTTGCCATCTTCGCGCGAGTGGCCGGGTTAGGTTGCAGATATTCACTTGTGCCGTTGACGAGTTCGGTGATCAGATTGAACGTTGTATCAACGTTCTTCTCCATTTCGTTGAAAACGTCGTCGAGCTTGGTAGGCTCGGCGGCGCCCATCGTCTCTGATAGGTACTGATTGGCCTTGTTGAATTGCTTCCGCAATCCGGAGAACGACATGATTCTAGAAAATAGAAACTTCTGAGAAAGAGCAAAAAATTTTTAGAAATAAAAGTTGCGAGGAGAATGACTTCTAAGAAGTAGTAGCAGCACAAAAAAGGCAATTAACGTTTGAAGGGGAAAGGAAGGGAAGGTTAGCTAGACCTACTTTCGTATTCCGGAAAAAGGAAAAGCCCCGCGCGAGAGTAGGCAAAAGGGGACGATGAGGGAGGAGGAAGGACGGACTCTAGTAAAAGGAGAAGAGGGAGGCGGCGTGGTGTGATGGTGCAAGCTCCACCCTCGTCATCTTCTGTGTCTGGCCATACTCCTCCTCGCCATCGCCTTCTTCTTCGTCTTCTTCCACACCGATGTATTGATTCAGTTATTTTCGTTTCTATTCCCGCGTCCTCGGCGCCCTTCCCTCCTCCTCCGCCATCTCCTCCATTCCCTCTGCTGTGCCTTCTCTTGCCAACGCAACACACTGACACTGACGTGTGTGTGTGTGTGTATGTGCGCGAGTGGGGGCAAAAAACGAGTCACACTCACCACACTCATCGTTCACGGCGCGAAAGGGGCCACAGAAGAAATCGAGGGAGAAGGAGGAGGAAAGACGACGTGTACAGCTAGATTGGCGAAAAAGAAAAAGACGAAGACGTAGTGCAGGTTATTCCGAAAAGAAAGACGAATGAGAATGCATGGTGTATTTGTGTGCAGCGGAGAAGCCGGCACGAAAACGAAAACGAGGAGGAGAACTAATGTGTGGATAAGCATAATCGCGCATTGATTGGCTCTTTGAGGGGCTACCTCTCGAGAAAAAAAAAGAAAGAAAAAGAGCGGGGAGCACAGCGGAACATGCCCGAGGCAGAGGACTCTAGGACACACACCGCCTTATTGTCAGTTGGCGGTTAGAGGGCTTATCTGCAGAAGTGACACGAGTTCACGTGATCAGAGGGTGACTAACAGAAAGGGAAAGTTATCAAGCGACTGCGGACTGGCGTTCTGACTGCATCAATATAATTTTCTCATCGGAAGCGATCATTAGCTAAAGTAAAAGAAGGCGGTGGAAGTAAGAATAAGAATGAACTTGGAATTTTCTATCAATGTAAAACTACGAGCACCGAAAAGAAGGTTATATGGAGACCTGCAGTCGTTGAACAAACATAAACATACCACACGGACTCCCGCACATTCTAATACTTTTCATTAAAATACACAAAACCGAACGGAAAAAAAGATTGAGCAAGATTGTTACGTAGCTGTTTTCGTTTTCAGACAGCTGGCTGGCGCTTTGTGCCGATTGATAGTGAATGCAGACGGAACATCAAACCCGACGCGCAACAGAAAAACAAAAAAATCGCGAAATTGAAAAATTTTGAATTTCTTTACATTGAAACTGAGTCATCAACTTTAAAGCAAACCTTTTATTACCATTCTCAAGCTATATTTGTTCAATATTACATCTGTCACCAATTTTTATTAATTGCTTAAATTTTTGTTCAGAAAAGATTCGGTTATCCGCTGTAGACATGTTTCTTCTTTTGAAGTTCCAGATGTTTTCTTAAATTTGTATAGGTGCATCGTCTTTTACTACAGTATGGGTCATACCACGAATCTGTATAAATCGATTCTCCGGAAAATTTTTGTTTTGGAAATTTTTGACACGTCATCGACCGACTGACCATCTGGTCCCTCCACTATCCTAATACTCTCTCGCCGTTCGTCTTTCTCTCTGAGCGTCTTCGGAGCCTATTCACTGTTCCCGACGGCCTCTTACGTTTTCGTCTCGCCTTCAAATGCGCGCCACCCACCCATTCGTTCACGTTACCTTTGGTGGACCGTTCATTGTGTCTGAACTCTCTCACTTCACTGTATTTTTTCGCCACTCTGACCTGTCTGCTCCACAATTTCTCGGAGCGCTCCCTGTCTATCCATGTCCTTACTCTCTTGCTTTTCATCCATTCTCTGTTTTGAAGCTCGACTCTAGTGTGTCAAGTTTCATTTTTTCGGTAATGGTTCCTCCACTAAATCAATCATTTTACAGGCTGGTCCGATGAGAGTGGTCAGCAGTAGTGAAAATGAATCGGAAGATTCCGAGTCGGTTTCTTTTCTAGTTTTGCTACAGTACGATTGAATTTTTGCAGCGTTCAAGTTATTGAGGATGAAGATCGTCAGTTGGCGGCACAGATCGAAAAGGAACGGAAAGCGAAACGAGCGCAAAAGTTGAAAGAAAAGAAGGAAAAGGCGGGGAAACCGGTGAAGAAGCAGGCGACTAAAAGAAGAGCCCCAATAAGGTGCGTGAAAGTTAATCGTTTATTCATTTTTCATAATTCATTTTCCAGAAGACGTGCAGTTTCATCCAATGATGACGAGGAGAAGTCAGAAGAAGAAGAAGAAGAAGAAGAAGAAGAGGAGGGGGAGAGGCACAGAAAGTCGTCATCACGAACTGTGAAGAAGAGCCAAAAGCAGAAAAAGAAACCGGCCAGAACCTCTTCAAGTGACTCAGAGCAGGATAGACCAAAAGCTAAAAAATCGTAAGCTTGCCATATTCTAGCTGTAATACTTTGAACATTAATTTTTAGGCGCGTCGTGGCACTGCCTTCAGACTCGGATTCTTCCGATCAAGAAACGACTAACAGGAAAAAGGATCGACGACAGCGCAGTGAATCATCGAAGTCAGAAGAATCTGAATCGAAATCTGATGGATCAGAATCCTCGGCCGACTCCATTGTTTTGCCATCTAGACAGCAACAAAAGAAGAATCCAACCAGATCATCAGCCAAGTCGGATGACGACATGAAAAAGAAGAAGAAAACGGGACTTATCATGGATAATAGCAAGTTGGCGAAAGAAACAGTTGATGCTGAACGTGCGGAGAAAGAACGTCGCAAGCGGTTGGATCAGAAGCAGAAGGAGTTCAACGGAATAGTTTTGGAAGAAGGCGAAGATCTCACCGAGTTGCTCACCGGAACCTCCAGTCAGCGAAAACTGAAGAGTGTTGTTCTCGATCCGGATAACGGCAGCGATCCTAAAGAGCCTGTGGAAGTTCATCAATCACTCGTGAGAATTTTGAAACCCCATCAAGCACACGGAATTCAATTCATGTACGATTGCGCCTTCGAATCCATAGATCGACTGGAAACAGAGGGAAGTGGTGGTATATTGGCGCATTGCATGGGTCTCGGAAAGACTCTTCAAGTCATCACATTCCTTCATACGGTTATGATGCACGAGAAAATCGGCGAGAAGTGCCGACGTGTTCTGGTCGTTGTACCGAAAAATGTCATAATCAACTGGTTCAAAGAGTTTCAAAAATGGCTGGTGAACAACGACGAAGAGTTGGATACCATTGAAGTTAACGAGCTGGACTCGTGTAAAACTATCGAAGATCGAAGAAGAGCACTAAGGAATTGGCACACTTCTGATTGTAAGAAAATTGATTTAGAGTTCACATTTTCAATTTGCTTTTTCAGCACCAACCGTCATGATAATTGGATACGATCTGTTCCGTATTCTAACTGCTGAAGACGACCCGAAAAAGAAGAAACCAAAAAACAGCAAAAATAAGAAATTGGCGAGAGCGAAAGAGGATTTCCGCAAGTGTCTTCAGAATCCTGGCCCCGATTTGGTTGTTTGCGATGAAGCTCACAAGCTGAAGAACGACGAGTCTGCACTGTCAAAGACGATGGTCAAGATTCTGACGAAGAGGAGGCTTTGCTTGACCGGAACACCGCTGCAGAATAATCTGATGGAATATCATTGCATGGTTAACTTCGTGAAACCGGGACTCCTGGGAACCAAGGCAGAGTTTGCCAACCGATTCGTGAATATTATCAATCGAGGAAGGACCAAAGACGCTTCGGCATTAGAGGTTTCGTTCATGAAACGTCGGTGCCACGTGCTCTACGAGCATCTGAAAAAGTGTGTGGATAGAAAGGATTATCGTGTTCTGACTGAAGCCATTCCACCGAAACAAGAATACGTTATCAATGTTCGACTCACAGTGCGACAGGGTGGTCTTTATGAAGCTTTCCTTCGTGATGTAGTCGGCAATGCTGGTCTCTCGAAGCGTCTTCTTCCAGATTATCACATGCTCTCTCGTATCTGGACTCACCCTTATCAGCTGATGCTTCACGAACAAAAAATGGAAAGAGAACGTATTATGAGAGAGGACGAGGAGGAAGAGGCTGAATTCATCGATGATCAAGAAGATAGTGAGAGCGAGGCGGCGTCCAGCTACTCTTCGAGCTCCGATTCCGAAGCGAGCATCGTTTTGTCTTCGGATGACGATGCGCCGTCGAAGAAGAACAAAAAGAAAAATAAGAAGGGAAATGACAAAAAGAAGGATAAGAAGAAAGACAAAGCAAAAAAGTCTAGAAGACGTATTGTGGACGAGGATGAGGACAACGACGAGGACGATTCAGCGATGAGTATTCTACATCAGGGAATCAGGCAATCGAAACGACTGGCTGGTGATGATCCGGAAATCAGAGACACAGAAACGCCGCCAGAGTACACCGGATGGTTTACCAAACTGGGATTGGTCAGTGAGGACGACAGAGATGACTTCACGCTGAGCTACAAACTCACACTTCTCATGGAGATTATAAAAAAGTGTGAGGAGATCGGAGACAAGTTGCTCGTGTTTTCCCAGTCCCTCGAGTCATTGTCACTGATCAAGCGAATGCTGGAGTACATGGCCGGAACAGGACAATGGTTTTCCGATGGACACGAAGCGCTGAATGCTGAAGGAGAGGAGACGTGGTCGTGGCTGGAAGGAGAGGATTATATGACTATCGATGGATCTGTTCAGTCTGGAAAACGGGACGCCGTCCAGACGAGCTTCAACGATCCGATGAACTTTAGAGCGAGGTACGTCAAAGTGGAGAGTTCAGAAATAATTATCATTTTTGTTTCAGACTAATGTTAATTTCAACTCGTGCTGGATCACTGGGAACTAACATGGTCTCTGCTAACCGTGTCATAATTTTTGATGCCTGTTGGAATCCGTCGCATGATACTCAGTCTTTGTTCCGTGTTTACCGTTTCGGGCAGACGAAACCTGTCTACATCTACCGTTTCATCGCTCAGGGAACCATGGAAGAGCGCATCTACAAGAGACAAGTCACCAAAGAATCCACGTCGATGCGAGTCGTCGATGAGGCGCAGATTCAGAGACATTACCTCGTGAATGATTTGACGGAGCTCTATCAGTTCACACCCGCTGACCCGGATATTGAAATATCGTACGCACCGCCAAAGGACCGTCTTCTGGCTGATGTGCTCCATAAAAATCATCATGCAGTCGTTGATTACATCGAGCACGACACTCTGTTCGCACATCAGGAAGAGGAGAAGCTCAGTGAGCAAGAGATGAAAGACGCTTGGACGGACTACGAGAAGGACAAGGTTGCCCCACAGAGAATGCAATACCAACCAATGGTCCTGCCGGGTGGAATGATGGTCAACGGCGGGCTATTGATGGGACCGAATATGCAGTCAATGCTCCAGAACCGATACAACGAAGGCGTGCGAATGGATCAAATGCAACACGACGTTCTATTCAAGGAGATGCAGAAAATGCGCATCAAGGACACCGGAACTTCAATCAAGATTGTGCTGCTTCGCAATCTTCTCGAACAGATTCTTCCCTACATACCACACGAAATGCGCGGTGGAATGACGGAATTCAACACTCATTTTATTCGTCTTATACATGTGAGTTCCCGATTCACTCATCTTCCCTCGGTTTCCACCATTTTCTTTCAGGAAACGGACCGGAAAAATGAGTCGCATGAAGATTTGCTCAGAAAAGCGTTGGAGTCGTTCAGAACGGTGATCAAGATGGTGCGAGCTATTCCGACTTGCCGTGAACCGCTGATTCGAATGACCAGAATGTACCCGTACTTGTTCGCCAATGATGATTAATAGTGATAATCCGCGATCTCTTAGCTGTTGTATCATCAATTTGCCCCTTTTCTATTTGCGTTCCCATTCGAGAATCTAATTCAACTTTGTGCTATTTTCAAGGCCGTTCTCCGTCTCACTTCAGCTACTTTATTTATTTCTGTATAAGTGACATAAGTACACAAGTTGCTTCGTAGCACCTAATTCCCCTCTCATACGCTTTTAAAATCATCATGAAAATTAATCACTGAAATCAAATGTCAATAAATTTTAGGGGAATGCCAAACTTGTGGGTTTAAATCTGAAACCTTCCTAGATGAGAGAGAGAGAGACAGAGAGAGAGAGAGATATGATTATGAGGTTGGCTTCTTGCATAGCAATAATGTCGGAGAGAGGAAGAGAGAGAGAGGGATTGTTAAGAGTTTGACTTTTTGCATAGCAATAATGTAGGGTTGGCCCCCGTCCGCCCCGGGCCTTTGAAGTGTAATTAAAATTCTGAAAAAAATTTAGTAGATTAATGCGTTTACTCACTATCGACGTGCGTTGAGAAAAATTTTCAAAAAAATTCCTGCTCGCTTTTGGAAAAACCGGTCGGGGGAGAGGGGGCGCCCCGCTGCCAACCTTAAAATGTCGGAGAGAGGAAGAGATGATTAAGAGTTTGATACCGAACAACAACATAAGAGCCCGCGGAAGCAGAAATTAAGTGAATACGCGCTTCGGGAAGTGATCGAAGACGTTTTTGAAATGAATTTTCTCGAAGATTTACAGATTCTTCTATTAACGTCTCATATTGGGCTTTTTTCAGTGCACTCCAATTTCAGATAGAAACAATTCATAGTTCGAAGGTAGGACAGAAAAAATGGAGTATAAAAAGGGGAAAACAACAAAAACAACGATTTAACAATTAAATGAGTTTCAGGGGCGACGATAGCATTATTTCTTTGTCTTGAACGTGAACGACTGCTTCTTCTTGCGATATCCAGCGCCAGACAGTTTCGACCGCACTTCGACCTGAAAAAACACAACTTTTCTAGCTTTTGCCTTCGGGATTATCTACCTTTGGCTTATTGCTGATCGGAAGATCAACGAACGGAGGTACCGAGAAGCCGAATGACTTGGAGACCGCAGTCAAGTCCATGTTGGTCACGTCGAAGATGTCCTGCAACAAAAAATGTGTTGAAACGCTGTGATCATTAGACCTCATACCTTCAGAGAATGAGAATCATATGCCCTCAAATAGCATTTGTACGCCTCTTTCGCTGACTTGTTCAGATAATAGTTCTTGCTGATCAAATTCTCGAGCTGCGACTGAATGTTGGCAACTTTGCTCCACGAGAATTCAAACTCATTGAGCGTCACTTTAGCAGCCTTCAAGTATCTCAAAAATCCAAGTTCTTCTGGTCTCAAAACGAGCAGAGCTCTTCCACGTCCGTCCTTTCCGCGAGCGGTACGTCCAACACGATGGATGTATTCTCGTGGTTCATCTGGAGGATCGTACTGGACAATCCAGTCAACGGCGGGAATATCGAGTCCTCTCGCCGCCACGTCAGTGCACAGCAGGATACCGCTCTCGGCCTGGCAAAACTGGAAAAATGTAGTCGTTCTTTTCTGTTGCTTCTGTTTTCCCTGTAAATAATTGATTATGGTCAGCGTCTCACCACTTAATGGCCTACGTGAATTGACATGCACGGAATATCAATGTAGTTGAGAAGTTCGTGGTGGAACTTGACAGCATTGCACGAAGAGAAGAACACCATCACCTTCTTGGTCTTATTCTTTTTGAGGAAAGTGAACAAAAGGAGCAGCCGTTTGTCCGACGGCGCTACAATGTATCCTTGTTGAAGTCCTTGCACGGTCGCTTCTTCGGCAGTATCATTGACAGAAACTCTGACTGGATTCGAGTGCAGAGCCAATGTGACGAGCTCATCGACTTTGGGAGAGTGGGTCGCCGAGAAGAGCATCGACTGACGCTGTTTCGGCAGATGGCGGAGCACTTGTTGCATTTCGATTTCGAATCCAATATCCAGAATACGATCGGCTTCGTCGATGATGAGGCACTTGAGATTGCGCACGAGGAAGTTGTCAGTATTCTGGAGGTGGTCTAGAAGACGTCCCGGAGTGGCGACGAGAATAGAAACTCCTTTGGCGAGTTTGTCTTTCTCAGCACTGCGATTTGATCCTCCCATCACGAGTCCGTAGGTCAAGTTGGAGCCATCAAGAAGTTCGGAAAGAACTCCGTACGTTTGCATAGAAAGTTCTCTCGTTGGCGAAACGATTATGATTCCAGTGCCGTTGTGTTGTTTCCAGTTCAACTTATGCAGCAGTTCGATGGCTGGCAACAGAAACGCTAGCGTTTTTCCAGATCCGGTCTTCGCAGATGCCAACACGTCTTTTCCCTGAAACAAATCGGCGTACTCAATGGAAAAGTGTATTTTCGTACCTCGAGCAGTGGGTCAATGCTTTTCGCTTGGATTTCGGTCATAGTAGTGAATCCCAAATTGTGAACAGCCTTCAAGAGATTGGCGTTCACTTTTCCCTCAAGCGAGGCGAACGTGGTCTTCGTCAGAAACTCGGACACCTTCGTGTCGCTCTCCTCTTTTTCTTGAACTTCCTGCTCTGCCACATCCTCGTCGTCCACTTCCTCCTCCATCGGTTCTTCTACCTTCTGCTCTTCTCTTTTCTTCGCCTTCTTCTTCTCGTGTCCGTCTTTCATTTGTTTCAGCTTTCGCTTCAGCACTTTCTTTTTGACGTCGATGCCCATGTTTTACCTGAAATACCGAACAATTTCATGGGTGTCAACGTGCAACAAAAAACGATTAATTCAACGGGATACAACAAGGAAACAAAGAAAAAAGGCGTTAGATGTCGACAATGACGTAGACGTCACATCGTTCCGGCGTTTCGAGTATTTGCATATTTGAATAGGTCGGAGACTTTATATCCGCCTCCGTCTCATGCTTCGAAGTGTCAAAGGACTCTCCCCACCCTCTGTATTCAATCTGAAATCGTATAATTGTTTCGGTCATCACTTTTCGATCTCACTTCGAACTTCTCTCTATCGAATCGTAGAATCTCGATCCGTTTGGCCACAAAACACGGTTCGGCATGAAAGGAGTTGAGCGCTTCGTCTAGAAATTGGAACAGAAGACCATCCAAACTCTCTCCAGTAGCTTTCCAGTAGAATTCATATTGCTGGAAATTTTGCAGTGCCCATGCGTTTGAACTCAAAAAAAAACCTCATCAACTTTGGCTAGATCGGTCATGTAGCCGTACATGGACACTAGGCACGCTTCGAACGCCTCTTTCGTGCCTTTTCCCCACGAATGCAGCTGAATGTCAGCGGGATGATCGAGGTACTCGAACCGCCGTCGTTCGATCTCCGCGCGGTCTTCTATCATTGAAGTGCTAGCCATCTGAAAATAAATAAGTTTGGAAAAAAGAACAGAGAGCAAACAATGATTAAAAGATATTCAGAATGGTAAGCAACCAGGTGTGGCGGAATGAAAAATGCAACGTTTGAAAAAATGTTTATTATGATGCGTTTTTTTGTAGAAAATTTATAACTACAATTGAGAATCTGAATCAGCTAGTGGCGGCAAAAAATGCGTTTTCGAGAGCGATTAAAGAGTATACACAGGCTAGAAAGTAAAGGATTCGTGCGAAAATAAAGGACAAGATGAACTATTTACAAGCAGAGAACGTGTGTGATACTAGTTGTGGGTACTTGCCGGCAAGAATACCTAACACTTTCTAAACGGTCTATGTCTTGTTCCTCTTCACTTCTGCGGAGCCTCTTCGTCCTCGCTGAAATTTGGAAAATCTTCCACGTCTGCTTGCTTAGACAGGCAACGAATCGTGAGAAGTACGAAACGTTTCATGTTCTTGTTGTAGAAAATGAAAGCGAGCGACCAAATGCAGCCGCCTTCCGTGAACGGATCGTCCTCGAATTGCGATTTAAAACTGAAAAAGTTATACGGAACTCGTTTCCCGGCACGCAGTCGGATTACCTATATATCTCGCAGTTGCTCGGAGAAATCGACTCGTCTATCAATACCCAGAGTTCCTCGCGCCTGATGTGGTAGTCACGGACGATAGTTTCCAGTTTCCTATCGACGATACGACTCATGTCCTGTCAAATTTCGCATAGAAAATTTGAGTGGGCAGTATTACTAACGGAATAATTGACAAGGGCGAATGACTCGCTGCTGACATTACTGAAATCGTGGTCTGAGAAGGAGCTGTTGAGAACCTGTGTCAAATCGTAGAGGCGTTTGCGAGAAATTGAATCCTTTATCAGGCAATCATCCACGTCGTTGTCTGAACCGCCAGAGCATGACCGCTCGGAAAGATGACGAAGACGGTGATTGTGGCCGACACTCGGAGATGCACTCATCACCATTTCATCATGAGATCCAAGGGGCTGCCGCTCGCACCATATCACAGACTTATCGTTCGATTTCCATTGCTTTTTATCGCTTGTTACCATTTTTGAAGAATACGTTTCCAACCTGAAAGCATTCGAGATGAATCAAGACATTCATTTGACAACAATACTTACTTGAAGTCAATAACACAGTCGATTGCTCCTGTAGCAAGTGTCTGAGCGAACACATCCATTTCAGAACACTCCAGGAACTTCATGACTTCTAAAGCTTAAAGTCCATTGAGTGGAAGAGTAATTCCAAATTTTTACAAAAACTGATATATCGGCAATTTTCCTAGTTTTTTCTAGGTTACATGTGGGGCTACCTCGAGACAGAACTGTACGAATCAGAACTGACCGAATCAGAACTCAAAGAGAACGTCGGAAGAAAATGCTGAAATTGGAGAAAAAGGACAGGATTAGCTGCAGGCAGCAGGTTTGCATATAATTTCGGAACAAAAAGACAAATTCGATTCGCCGAGTTTTTCCACTCGGCATTTTGCCCTAAAAATAAAAAATTCATGCGGAAACATGAGTTATCTATTACAGGAGAAGAAGTAGCAGGGAAACAGCTGCACTTTGTGCTCTCTGTTGATAATTCTAGTCCCCGTGAGGTTTTTCGAGAACCTCTCGAAAACAAGAGATAAAATTGAAAATCAGGCTTTCATAAAACTCCTAAAATTTGATAAGCTTTCGTTTAAAAAAATAGTCGACCAGAAAATATGCTCTTTGGGCTCAAGGAGACGACATTCTGCTTACGTGGCCGATAAAAAATTTTTCGCGCGTCGGTAGTCATAGAACGCCGTGCCGTGCTGATAAAAATATATTCACATTGATTTTGCGAGTTGTCGTAAGTTATTGCGCTCGTGGTGCACGTTTGGCTGACGGTGCTTGCAGAAATTTGTGGATAGTACCCTTTAAAAAAAAATTTTTAAATAAAAAACAAAGTGGCGAGGGTGACAATCGAAAGAGCTCCTCTTTTCGAAAAAGTTTATATTTTTGCGCTTTTCGCGTTGTTTGGACTTTTGTGCAGTTCAAAATTATTGAAATATTAAACAAAACACATATTTTGTTTCAAAAAAATAAATAGGGCTACTCTCGTTACTAGTAACTAGTAATAGCTAGTAACAAATCCTTGCAAATCGGGGAACTTGGAAGAATAACTCCTAACAGATTTATTTTATGCTATCTATTCTACAAAAAGCTCCGGAACACTTTCGAAACAACACGAACTAAAGTGGGAACATAATGTTCAGGTTTCTGAAGAGCAGCTATATCGAGAAGAGACGAGTGCTCGAACAGTTTGTTCTTTTCCTGCGACAACCTCGTTAACAGTTCTTCTTCCGAAGTAACCACTACAACTTGAGCTTCCAGATCGCGATGGACTGATCGATATCCTGAATGAGGCACTTCTTATATAGTTCATGTTGATCTGAATGGTACCGTAATTTGAAGATCCGACGAACGTCGTCATTTGATTGCCTTGTTCCATCCATAGTCCTTTTGCATGAAAAGTCCATCCATCTCGAAAGTATTCATGAAGTTTCACGGAAGACCGATCGCTTCTACTCTGTCGTTCCAGAAACTGCTTACAAATGTTCGAATATAAGGGAGGAATGTATTTTGAGAATCCTTTGGATTTATAGAATCCGTTTGCGAACGGAGAAGCTGTCAGAATGTTCATTTCATAGTTTCCCTCGTCGAAAATAAGATCTTCGTAGTCTTCTATGAAATTAAAGTATCCCGAAGCCATGGTCATTTTTATTGTTGAATCCTGAAATGATTACATCTGGAATAATAGAGCCCTTTCAGAAAAATATCAAACTTTAGAAGAGAATATACGCTGCAAAAGATTGAATTCTTGGTTGATTCCGAGCAATCCCATTTGCAGAATAGGAAAAATCCACGTGTTTGAGTCGGTTTCGTCGGAATTTTGTGAATTCTGATAGTTGGCAATCACTCGTTCGATGCGGGATTTCAGAAGCTCTCGATATAATCTTGAGTCTCCTGAATCACTATTTTAATCGGGTTCGACCTTATTTCGTGCCTAAATATGGATGAATATCGCATTTGGAGCTGGGCAGAATCTGCCTGTTCTGCACAATAAAACTTGAATCGCCGACTGTCGTGATTATTTCGTGGAAGAAGTCAGCCAAAGGTTTGCAGTTTTTGAACAAAAAATACCGATCGATGCGATCCGTGAAGTAGGAGCAGGATAGGTTGGCACTAAAAGAGTAACTTGTTGAGTTGTTATATCGCTTCCGTACCCACTAATCAGTACAGAATCGTCAAAAATGTACAGTTTCATGTGTTGCAGTCCGATGATTTCGTCGGCTCGTTCCGGGAACACTCGTTTCAAGAAGCCGCTAAGTTCTGGGGTGTGGTACAGAAATATCTTTGCCTTGTCGGAAATTGGCTGCAAAACCGAGACAGAGCTCTCGCCGCTGCTGCTCCGTCGAGTGCCTCTGAGCATATCCAAAAGAACTGTCACCTCTACGTTGGCGTTGTCGATGCTTTCACGAATCGTAGAGACCTAAAGTTGAACTTAGTGCAATTTTTTTCGAACCAGGTCAGCATACCAACTTTTTTTCGTGCTCTCCATCGCCCAGATACAGGCTGCTCAAGGCAATTCGCTTTTTGGCCTTTTTGGACTGGTCCTGAAGAGAACACTGAAATAGAACGCCTAATTTATTTGTACTTACAATGAGAGTCTGATAAAACTCGGCGGGTGTTCCGACGATCTCCACATTCGACGGGTTTATTGGAATGCCTGGCATTTCACACCCCGGTAACTTCATCTGAAGTGTAAGCACCGCTGCTTTGGAAAGTCCTTATAGGAAAGAGGTATGGAAAACTGAGAGGAACATTATCAGAAATGAGAAAACTGTTTACACGTGGTGATTTATGAGCGGAAAATGTAGATATCAAAGGGAATTACAAACAAGTTATCAAATATGCAATGCTATCTTAAAGTCAAACGAACGAGATGTTGATCAACGAAACAGGAGAATTCGTCGTCATCGAGATCGTGTATACTAGGCACTCTTCCATGGGGCTCGCCGGTCATCACACGATTCATTGAGGAGACGCGGGATCTTTCGGGGCCGAGCACTCGAACATGTCTGTAAAAGTTCATAAACCAGGGCTGGGCAATTGGCCGACCTGGACTTTTGAACCACTTTCAATATTCCGATCGGACCCAAACTTTGCAGGATTGTTGGACTTGGATTGAGGCCATTGTAACCAAGTTTCAGCCCGATCGGATCGTCGGGTCCCGAGACATGTAGATCACTGGCCGATTTTTTTTAAATCCCGGGCTTCCGGTCAATTTCGGCCAATGATCCACATATCTCGGGACCAGATGATCCGATCGGGCTGAAACTTGGTCCCAGTATGTTTCAACAAATGTCCAAGAAGCCTGCAAAGATTTGGTCTGATCGGAATATTGCAAGAAAGGCCGGCCAACGAAAAGCCCGTGCCGGCCAATTGCCCAGCCCTGCCATAAACATTTTTTGTGGTTAGTTTGAAATTGACTCACCTGATGTGCGTGTCCCGTCCGTTCTGATGATTCTGAATGACTTGAACTTGAATCCAGAACACACGATTTGGTCTGTGATCCTTTTCGCGAAGATCGATGTAAACCCACCCTTGTGGTTCATTAAACGTTTGCGTCGTCCGGAAGAATACATCCTGATGAGATGTCCCCATTTTTATTTGGATTCTGAACAAAACTGTTATTTATTTTGAGGCATTTTTTCAAAATTTACTTTGATGGTGTGTACGACTCGTCGTTTTTGAAATCAAGATAAAACATCAGAAATGCGACATCAGTTTTCTTTTGGAACTCTAGAAGGATTGAGTGCGGCTGAGGACCATCACTTTGCCAATATTTTTCCACGTTGTCCGAAAGAAGCTCGTCAATGCCATATCCTGAGTTAATTATTTTTTAAGACAAATTTAGTCATTGATTAACCAACCGCTTTTACAGCTGGACAGAGTCCAAACGGCTTGGCTTGAAATGTCGAGAAGTGGTCTATCTTTTGGGTGCACATTCTTCGGGATACACGAAGCCCAACCGCACGATCCGTCGGTTTTTTTCGACTCGTCTAAGTCCATTATGAACTTTTCTGAAACTGAACCAGATAACGCACGTGAACAATTAGAGACCGGAAAACAAACAGCGACGGAACACACTAAAAAACCCAAAATTGCTCGTTCAATAGAGCGCACTTGCATACTTCCTCTGTCTCTGCTCTTTCCATGATTTTGTTGAATAAAAACAGTTTGGGCAGATGGAATACCAGGAGGATCTCAAGAATAAATTTTCAAAAATCAAGCTGTTTATTATCAGAGAAATCAAAAATACACGCAAAAAAGTGTGGCAACTGGATATCGTAAAAATTCGTTATGAGTACTGTAGGCCTAGCCCATTGGGCATCCATCAATTATCACTTTGCTGTTCTTGCTAGCTTTCTCAAAGTAGACAGGTCTGCCTCCAATGTGCAAGTGCCGGTAACATCCGGTGAGAGAAGTTGATCCAAGTTTCTCCGCCGTTGGACCAGGCACTCCCCCGATGCTGAGCGGTAAGCCAAGAAGTTGTTGATGGGCGTCCAGAGTATATCCTTCGATCGGCATTTCGTTCTTCTCTCCATCGATTTCGATTGACATCCCCTTCTTTTCAATGTCAAGAACAAGTCTGATTGAGTGCCACTGGGAATCACACAAAGGTCTGAGCATCGGAAGAGCATCTCTCATCTCGAGTCCACTGTCGTCGTGGGTCAGAGTAACCATCACCTGTTGGTTCTTCATTTCCAGAGTCAATCTCGTGTTTTCCGGTCGTGAATTGGCCAGAACACCCAGCAGAAGACCATCGGCGCTTGAGGGTTGGAACTCCATCGACAACTCGAACCTTCCTATATCGTTTGTTTTTAGTTTTCGCGCGGCACTATCGAACGTGACGAATCCGTCTTGATGTAGGTAAACTCCCTTTGTTGGTTTCGCGCAAGGAACCACATCCTTCGAGGTCTCCGGATTATCCAATTCGTACTTATTATCGTTGACACTGAATTGTCTTATGCATCCGTCTAGACTAGGTGTTTTTAGTCCAAATAGCTTCCGATGTTTCGAGATTACTCCTCCCACGTACATCCGTCTTCTCATCACCTTCGGAGTCGGACAATCGGACATATCAACTGCTTCCAGTTCGTCAATGCTTAACTTCAAAGATCGGTCCCTCTTCTCGACAACCACATCGTGCCATTGTCCGTCGTTGATCCGTCGTCCCAAGTGTTTGAGAATCTTTGGCTGCTTGTGTCCTTTCACCTCCACCGTCGCGAATCCGTCAATCATGTTGAGGAACACATAACGAGTGTAATTTTTGTAGTTTGCCCACACCCATATCATTCCGCTTGACGCTTCGGATCGGATGGACAGAGAAACAGAGACACTGAAGGAGAAGAGGTTACTTGAATATCTCAAAAAGGAATCTTACTCGGTAATGTTCGGATAAGGCGATTTGAAGTTAATTTTGCTGTGTGAAGATTTTCCGATTCCAAAACGGACGGCGCCTTTACCATCTCTCAAAGAACTGTTCAGTGCACCGCAGACCTGCTCCTCCATCTTCTTTTCTCCGTCAACGTGCATCATGAGATGGGACGATTGCGTGGACACCTCTGGAACAAAAATGTTTATATTGTCTTTGTCTTATTTTCCTCACCATAATAGTTTCTATGCGTCACTTGATCGAGGCTCAACTTCGACGACTTTCTGTGTCCGTTATGGCCGTCTCCATCGATTGGATCATCAATCGGAGACATTCCATGGGTCTGATCCATTGAGCACATGCCAATCTGTGCATTGTGTTGCTGCGGAGTGAGTGGTATGCGTTTCAAGTTCAAGAAGACGTCCGATATGCATCCGATGAAGAACGAAGTGATTGGAATCTCATTGTTCGGAGGCTTGATGTTATCACTAAATCCTCCGAGAATTAAACGCCCAGAAGCCGTTCCGACGACCGATTCATCCGTCAACGTCTGACTTTCTCCGATTTCCTTATCATCCACTTTCACGCTGATTCTAAAACAAACGTGTAAAAAAAGAAGATTAATGATATAACTCACGTCTTTCCATTTCTGGTCATGAACACCGCGTGAACCTGTCCGTCATTGTATGGATGGCTCGATCGGAAAGTTACAACTTCCTTTCTTGAGGATGCGTCTTTTCCGAAGTGAAGTACGAGATATCCTCGAAATAAGTAGAACGCCATGTAGCCCTTTCCGCCTGCTTCCGTGTCTCTTTTTGTAACCTTCATCAGCTTTGATGACTGATAAATCAGCGTTCCGTTTTCCTCGCGCGATCGGAACGAAAAACCGAAGCTCGAGTTGTTGTCGATGGCGATTCCATTAGTGATCAAGTATCCAGGTCTTGGGAATCCGACAACTCTATCTGTTGCCACGTCTTGCTTCGAACTGAATGGACAACCGGCCCCTTTTCCTTGCGAGTTCTCCGGATTGTCCAGATCGAGCTCTCCGACTTGTGATGGTTTCACTGTCAAGATGCATCCGATGAAACCGTTCCATTGAATGGCGTGCTCGGAGAAGACGTCTCGGTTGAGAGTGGCCGGGACTCCTGCCACGTAGTGCTGCTCGTTGTCGATGTTGAGAGCAGTCTTCTCGCCCGAAATGACCGTGTTGAATCGGTCGGCATCCGAATCCACCTGAAGATACACTTCGCTTCCTGTTCGGATCGCCTTCACAGTATGCTCCTTGCCGTCGCTGTACGCGTTTTGAGACGTCAATTCGGCTACCGATCCTCCACCTAAATTGATCTTGAATACGACTCTTCCGTCGTTGAGGTACACTGCCACAAAGTCACCGCTTCTCTCGCAGCCTCGGAAGTAGAGTAGTCCGTTCGGGGAGTAGGCGTTGAAGACTACAGTAATCGCGCTCATCGTCCTTTCGGACACTTGCATCGAGACATTGGCGAATCCATCACGGAACAAATGACCTCTCTGAGCAACCTTCGGCGGCGCGTTCGCTCCTTCGCATTCGCTGGTCGTTGATTCGAATGACCAAAGAGGAAGAGGCACGGTGTCGATACGTAGGTCACCGACTATTCCGGAGAACTTATGGGTTCCGAGTCCGATCTCCGCGGCAGTCGTTTCATCAGTGCCCACGTCGATTGTAGTCTCTCCTGGCACAGTATTGAAGATCATATTGTCTTGAGGATCTCCGCTTCTGACGAACACAGAGACAGGCTTTCCTCGAGGTTTGAATGCACCGTCGTAACTTTCTTTCAGTGCGACAGTAAGATTGACCGCATTTCCAGTTCGTTGAATGTCGAGGTGGTACCAGACGACACGATCATTCGAAGGCAAGTAGTTTATTGGGTGGCTGTTCGTGATCATCTTCTTTCCGCTTCCGATATCCCAATGCACGACAACTCTCTGATCCTTAACTTCAACTGCTATGTATTCGGATGCTTGCGTTCTCTTTCCTTTCGTTTTTGAGACCATGACGACCGCATCAGATACTTGTTGCAATGGGCGGTATGAGATGTGGAATTGGTTTATCGGAGAAGGATTAGCCGGTGAAATGTACGATCTCTTACAGAGTCCTCGTTCTCCGGAGTTCAAAGAGAGTCTGATTTGATGTGCCTTCTCTCTTGCCTGCTCGATCTTATCCTTCAACAGAGCAATGTTCTTTGCCATCTTATCAGCTCTTCCCTGATTCGCGGTGCTCAACTTTTCGACCTTCGCCAGTCTTTGCGTTCCGTACTCCATTCCGGTTCTTGCACTTTTAATCTTCTCCATCTCTTCACGGATTCCACCCGACGTACTGTTCATCAGCTTCTCGGCTTCTTGTTTGATTGCCGTCACCTCTTCTTCGATCGCTTCTGCTCGTTTCTTCACACTAGCTGCGCTCTCGTGAGCATTTTTGGCGCCGTTCTTCAGAATTGAATGGATTCGATCGTGTTTGTCATCCCAGGATGAGACTTCACTCTTGATGACTCCCAATCTCTTCACAACATCAATCTTCATCTCGTTCAGCACGGCAAGCCGCTCGCTGAGGTGTTTTCTTTCTTTCTTCAACTCTCCCACCACGTTCGCTGCCTCCTTTCCATCCGTAGTCGCATTCGCATTCTTCAGCCGTTCCAATTGATTTGTCAGACTTTCCTCGTTTGCATCGCCTGCTTCCGTACCTAGCATCTTCGAAACTGCTTCGGATGCTTCTGCGGCTGCTTCTACTGCTCCGGTTGCATTCTTCAGAGCTTCGACAATGTTCTCGTAAGCATGCGAAGCTTTCAGTGGGTTCTCTGTTTCTGTCCGAGTGGCCGTGAACCTATCCACAATTTTCTGGGCCTGACTTTCAAGCTCAACGGCATGCTTGTTTGACGCCTGCACATACTCATCGTCGTACTCATCAATCAGTTGAGAATATCTGAAATTTAACCAATAAGTTAATGGATGCTAATAAATTTGCTAGGGACTCACAACAGAGTGATATTCTGGCACTGCTCGGCAAGTTCGGGGAGCTCCATCAGTGTCATGTTAATCTTTTCCTTGTCCTCCACCATGTTCATGAGCTCTTCCGACCTGGCCTTCTCCACTGCGTTTCTGGCGAAAGCGATCTGATCCTCCGCTTCCACTCTCAGCTTCTCAATCTCATTCGACACCTCTTTGTAGCGGTCTAATCTCTTTCCGACCACTGCACTCATCCTCTCTGCATCTACCGTATCCTTTTTTGCCACGTCATAAATCGTCTCTCTGTAGTCGTTCATCCACTGCTCCAGCACGTCGATTCTATTCTTGAGATCCTCGAAAATAGTCTCGTTGAGCTTCTTCGCAGTCACCTCCTTCAGCAGCTCGTCCGCTTTCTTGTGCTCCTGCTGCGCTCGGTTATGTCGCTTCTCAATGTACTCTCCTCGTTCCGTGGTCGCATTCAAATGTGCCTCCGCTTCCATCAGCATTCCGTCGAGAGCAGCTCCTCCGACAGTCGTGGCTCCGTGCTCGGCGAACATTTTCAGGAAGTTGGTCGTGTTAAATGCGTTGGCGTAGTAAATTTGACCATCCAGAATCAACTTCTCTGCCAGTTCAGTGAATTGTTCGATGGACACCGCTGATTTGTTGGCTCTTCCCATTTGGAAGTTGACCTCATCGAGCAGTCCGAACGCATCCTTCGCGTACTTGCTGTCCTTCACAAGCTCTCCATCCTTATCAATGGATCCCACAAACGTCGACAGATCATTAGTCTCATTTCCAATTCTCCAGACTCGCTTCCATGGAATCGGTTTCAGACTGCTGAAGTTCTGTTGACCCAAGTGCTCCTCCATCTCGTCCATCATCGTCATCAACGGGAGATAGCATCCCTGATCGCATGAAGTGCATACTCGGTTTATGAAAGCGTGTCGTTCTTGGCACCGCGAGCAGTCTCTTCCAGTCACTCCAGGCTTGCATTCGCATTGACCGGTCAACGGATTGCAAGCTCCGTGAAGAGATCCGTCTGGATGGCAGTCGCACGGAGCACAGCTTCCTCCCACGTGCTGCGGATCTCCATAATATCCAGCCACACACGTCTCGCAGTATTGTCCAGAGTATCCAGGTTTACAAGCATCGCACACGTACCCTCTGCCATGATCCACGGCAACACAAGAGTCACTGAATGAGTTCTCGATCAGCGGGCAGGCGCACTTCGTACACGCGTTTGCTCCTCCTTCACGAGCATCTCCGATGTATCCAGGCAAGCAGTGCTCGCAGAAGTCTCCGAAAGTGTTGTGCTCACAGTCCGTACAGACACAAGTGTCCGGATTGCAGGTCTGTGAGTGGCCATGACAAGAACACGGTTCACTCCATCCGATCAGTGCCAAGTCGTCGGCCTGGTTCAAATAGTCTCTGTGCTTCTTTCTACAGTATCCTTCGTCCGGATTCTGGCACGAGAACCCGGAATATCCTTGAGGACATCCTGCACATTTCTCCACTCCTATAGCCTTTGCCGTAGAAAGACCTGCGACTATTGTGGATTCGGGAACAGCTACATCCAGAGAGATCTCCTGAATGTTGATGGCATCGCCTCTAGCTGGATAATTGTAGCTTCCACGGATATAGATTCCTTGCACATTTTGAAGAGCGACCATCAGTTGTTTGCGAGTCAGAGTGAGTTCCGGAGAGTGTCTGGCTCTCCATTCGGACTCGTGGATTCTGATCTGAAAAACTACCAATAGAATTCATTAAATTACTAGCAGATGCTCACTTTGTACTTTCCATCGTCGTTTATTTCAATCGGAATATGTTCCAACTCAATTCGGTTGTTTCCAACTATCACGACTTGCGGGAAATATCGGAAATATTGCTGGTCGGGACGAATGCCGTGCAGGCCTCTCCTGTTGTCCTCATTCCAGATTTTGAATCTTAGGAATCCATTGTAACTGGCGGTACGGTCTCCGAGCATCGTGATCGGAAGGGGCCAGTAGAGAGGAGTAGCGTCGGTCGGATAACTATTGAAGTGCGATGGAGATGACTGAATTAAGAAGTATTGAATGAAAAGGGAACATGGATCTTACCCGGAGGATGTTAATATTGTGTTTCTTAGTGTAGAATTCCCAGGGCTCCGAGAAAGCGGCTCTACGGTTTTCAGAGTACATTTGTTGCCAAACGAGATTGGATTGCTCACAAGTGGAAGTCCGGTTGAAACAGAAACATTCTGTGCATCCCTTCAAGTTGGAGGAGTCAAGACTGATGGTTCCCTCGGCACACTGATCACACTTTTGTCCTCGAACATTCTTCTTGCACGGACACTCTCCTTCTTCATTACATAAACACTGTCCGTCTTTACATTGCAAAGGATCCGTTCCAGCAGCGTTACAACCGCATGGTTCGCAAGTCGGGAAATTGAAGAAACCGTGAGTGCATCTGTCACACTTCAGTCCGACATAGGCTTCCTTGCACTTACACTGCCCGGTAAGCGTGTTGCACATTCCGCCGTCACTTCCAATGTCTGAACAGTCGCACAGCTTACATCCTTTCAGTGGATGATAATCCCAGGCATCTGTGGTGCAGTTCTCGCACATTTCTCCGACGGTATTCTGCGGACAAACACAACTTCCATCTACCGCATCGCAGACTTGTCCTGGCGCTGGACATGGCTCACATTCGGTACATCCTTCGCTGGTAAGACCGTAGAAGTTGGGGAGGCACTTGTCGCACTTGACTCCGGTTACTCCTGGTTTACAGACACACTGTCCTGTGACCAGATTGCAAGAAACGCCTTCTGATCCAGTGGGATCGCATCCACAGTCTTCGCATCCGCCTCCACTCGTGATGTTGAAGTATCCGTCGGCACACTTCTCGCACATTGTTCCTTCCACGTTTTCTCTGCATTCACACTTTCCAGTCACCTGATCACACTTTCCGTCTTCAATAGATCCGTAAATGTTGCAATGGCAGAACTGACATCCAGCCTCTGTGAAGTTGAAGTAGGACGGTCTGCACTGGTTGCACTGCTTCCCGAACACTCCCTGCTTGCAGTTGCACTGCCCACTGACTTGATCGCAATCCGTTCCGATGCTTCCAGTTTCATCACAATCACAAGCCGGGCATCCGTTGTCGACGTCTCCGTGGTTATCCTTGCACCGATCGCATTGCACTCCGATGTAATTCTCTTTGCACTCACACTCTCCTTGCACTTCCTCACACTGCGGATTGACTGCTCCTTGAGTGTGACATCCACATGGCTTACAAGTGTGTTGTTGAGCATTTCCCCAGTGATTCTCCTTGCAAGCCTCGCACGAGTCTCCGGTAGTGTGACCGATGCATTTCAGACATTTTCCAGTCTTTGAATCGCAGTTCCCGATGGCCATCGGGTCAATGTTTTCGTTGCATTCGCATTCGACACACGTTCCGTTTTCTGCCAATGGATCACCGAAGTAGCCGTCCGAACAGACCTGGCATTTATTCCCTTCGTATCCCACTTCACAGGCTGTGCACACGTAGTCGTCCTCATTGGCAGCAGCTGCTCCGGCCACAATCAGTTCAGTCATCATGCATTCGGGAGATCGGTTGTTGTCGAGACTTGGGCATTCGCAAGGCCAGCAAGTTCCCAGCTCTCCGCCCAGAGACGGGTTGCCATAGAATCCTGGCTGGCATCTTTCGCACCGACTTCCAGTTGTATTGTGCTGGCAATTGAGACATTCTCCAGTGAACGGATCGCATTCATGCGAGTGTCCCTCGCAGTTACACTTCTCGCACCGTCCTCCGTAGAGCTGGTCGTTCACGCGACGGTATCCTTTGGCGCAAGACTCGCAACTGTTTCCGGCAAAGTTATCCGGGCATTGACATACTTCCACTCCTCTCATAAGAGTGTCCTGGGTGTTGTACAGACTCAGCGCACTCAGCGAGTCGTCTTCCACGACATCAACCGGAGCTGGCACAGCAGTGTCCAGGGAGAGTCCGAATATGCTCGACTGAAGCTGAACTTGCTGATACATGGCACGAACCAGGAACTTTTCGACGTGTGCAAGTGCTCTCATCAGATCCGCTTTGTCAACTGGTTGCCTTGTCGCCGAGTTATACCAGCCGTTCCCTTCTCTGATCGGAATAGTGACCGTCATATTCTCACGAGGCAGGAATTCGATTCTCGAGTAGTACTCCACTTTGATCCCATTTCCTTCGATTGCCACATCGGCAACTGGAACGGCATTCCCTTGTTCGGTCGGCACGTAGTAGACGTAATAATGCAGGAAGCCGCCGTAACTGTTCAACATGTTTCCCTTGAAACTGTCAGGTGCTTTCCAGTAGTACAAGCTTCTGTCTTGATTCTGATTCGCATTGAACATCAGCACTTCTCCGTTCTCAACGTCCGGCTTAACATCTTTGCCACCCGTCAAATCAGTGAGATTCCATCCAACGTTATTCGTGATCTGGGCGGTGTTCCATTCAGTTTGTGTGCAGTTGTTTGTCAATCCGAAGCAGAAACATGCTTGACATCCTAGTGGATTTGAAGAGGACAAATGAATGGTTCCGGCCTTGCAACGATCGCAATAAATTCCTTCGACGTTTGCTTTGCATTGACAAGTTGCGCCATCGCAAGTGTCAAAGTTTACACTTCCAGCCTGATTGCACGGACAAGGCTCGCAAGTCGGATGATTGCGGAATCCTCTTGCACAACGATCACATCGTCTTCCTCCGAATCCGGGCTTGCAGATGCAATCTCCTGGCTGTTGTCCGTTCACAGTACTCTGATCGTCTCGGGCACAAGCACTCGACACACTTCCAACTGGATCACAGTCGCACGTTCGACACGCATCCTCTCTGAAAAAGGTTTGGATGAAAATGACAGAAAGACGGATTGTGGGTACCTATAGTGAGAAGTTCCAGAAGGTCTGTAGTATCCATCTTTACACCGTTCACAGTTGAAACCTTCTGTATTGTGAGAACATTCTATACATCTTCCTCCGCCTTCGTAGACTCCTTCAGGAGTAATCGACCACTTGTTTCTATCCAACTCTTCGTCGTACACACAAGAATTAGCGTGGTTGAAGCACTGACATTGCTGACAGACATTCGGATGAGAATTCGTTCCCGGTTTCCATGGAAGCTGGTTGAAAAGAGAGCAGCATCGGTTGCACGACTCTCCACATGTATTGTGCCGACATTCGCATTTGAATTGCTGTAAAAATAATAATGAAATTGAGGCTGCAGACGATGATGGCGTACCCCGGTAACTGGATCACTCGGACAACTCTCAGCATGACCATAACAAATGCACTGTCCACCAATGGAAATGTCAGAGATTGAGTAGAAGTACCTCATTGTGACAGATTTGTCCAATGAGTGAGACTTTTTGTTGATGATCATCAAATCAGCATTCAGAGTCCTCGGGGACACGAGCCTCAGTCGGACGAACCGTGCTCTCGTGAACTTTTGCAGCTCAATACTCGGCTTTTCTGCACCTGGTCTTCCATTTACTAGAGACGTATGGATCTCTCCATTCTCTAGGGGAGTAATCTTTGAGTATTCGGATGTGCAGTGCACTTCATCGTCCCTCTGAAAACGTGGAACTCCAGTCGTGGCTGGTATTCCGAACTGTCTCATGCATTCGGCATCCTGCATTGCGAAATACTGCCATGGATCGTAGTTCTCCCCATCCAACGACTTCTCCAGCACCCATGTGCCAGGCCTGGGTGCATTCCCCATCTTGATGATGACGTAGGCTACTTGATACTCCTGTCGAAGGTCAATTGTGATATTAACCTTCTCGAATTTCAATCCATTTGCCAGCGACGGGGACTGCCACCATCTACGGGTGCCGTCGATCGCATACTCAATCGGATGCCGTTTGTTGACGTTATTCGCATCACAGATATCACATTGCGGCGAAGGATTATTCGTCGTTTTTCGGAGGAGAACGTGCTCGACGAGCTTGCAGTACTCCTCTGTTTGATACTGTCCACACGTGGAAGTAGAAGTGATCAGAGAGTTTGTGGCAAGGTTAAAGATGTTCGGAAATAATCCTCGTTCTTAAGAAACCGTGAATGAGTCTAAAAAGATGGAAACGGGATAGGCTTACCGCTTTCAGTAGTAATAAATTCTGCATAACTGGAGTCTTCGCTATAATTCTCCCATATCGACGAATCGTCAGAAGTGTTCCATGCGGCGAACACTCCACCGACGGCTAGAAATACTAGCCAAAACCTCATTCAGCTCTTTCTGTTTCTGAATTACTATATATTGAAAAGTGGTGAATGACGGAAGAAACTGCGAATAGTGTGCTAACAACAGCGATCCACTTGAGAAGAGTTTTACCTAATCTTACGCAAACGAAACAAGAAGAAGAAGAACGGTCAAAGAGTAAAAGGACACGGAAAGGAGGGAGAGCGAGAGGGACTTGGTCAAACATTGAGTGACCAGTCGAAAACTTTTGTGTGATAAGAGAACTGTAGTCAACATAGAATGGGCCTGGCTGGAACTGTGCGAGGCGATAAAAATGGAGTTCAAAGCAACGATAGAAGATGTATATAGTACAGTTGACCGCGTTTAATAATAGGTCAGTGTTCGGGCTGCTGCCGAGTGACCTTCCAATCATCTCTTATCATCATATCTCCTCTATCCGACACTGTTCCATCGAATCGATAAGGAACGAGGAGGCAAGCGGCTAATGGCAGTGAAAGTGCAGAAATGACTCGGAATGGAAGGAAGGTGGTCCGTGATGACCTGAGATGGAACCTTGCGCAACGTCAGAACGGACCGCGCAATCTGTGGCCAGAACTAACAGAGCCTTCTGAACGTGAGGACGATCTCGCATTTGAAGAAATGTGACTACATGGGATAGGATAGGATAATGAGATTCAGGCCAGACTTCCGAAAAAGTACGCTGCGTTCAAAAAAAAGTGACCGGGCAGAAGCGAGTAAGCTGTCCTACCGTTTGTTATATTTACCATCTTCCTCCTCTTTCTGCCTCATCATTTATTTGGCTAACCTCGGCTATCTCTTCTCTCCGTCCCTTTTGGGTTGAGAACGGGAGGCAGAACAGCACAAACAGTAGGGGAACACAACTTGGGCAACATTATATTTAACAAAAGGATGGGTTAATGAATGGCAAGGGAGAAAGTGCGTTCAAACAGTCCCAATGGCAAGTCACGCATTGCAAATCATTCAGATCCTGGTTCAATTTCTCATTGAAATGTAAAAGAATTTTTGAGTTAAAACAGTTCAGACTTTAACAAACGTAAATACTTTTTTGTCCATTAACAATCCGGCTATATCTTGTTGAATGAACATGTAATGGAACCTAACAAGAGCTTGGAAAACCCAACAAAATGATAAATGAAAGGATAAGAGTGGCACGGCCCGGCTTTTCATACATAGGACTTTCGGTTGAGAGAAGTTACAGCTTCACAATTTCCACTCCTACGTATGCTTTGCCGGTCCGTGAGTGGCAAGGGATTGTACACGAGAGAGCACTAGAAGCAGAGATACCAACCACAAGAATGTGTATAAATGAGAACATGAAATGGTAAGAAAGTGCTAATAGAAGATTACCATCGAAATTTAATAACCAGACGGTGGTGGAGGAGGCGGGAACGGATGAGGATGCATCGGACGATGGTTCGGAGACGTATCGGGAATCCCACGCTTTCTACTTCTCCGTTGATTTGGATACATTTGAGCGTGATGACTGTCCATCATTGAAGAAGCAAACGATACTAATGGAATGATTGGCGAATGCATTTGTTGGACGGGCACTGGTTGGTAATACGGCATCCTTTCTGGTAGCGCCTCGGCATTAAAATCTTCAGGTCGCAACTGAGTGTATGCATCTCGCTTATCAGTCACGATACCCATAGTATCTGTGGCCAATCCGTAAAGGAATTTCCGAGGTTTGTACTCTAATGATACGTCTTTCATCTCTCTTGAAAGTTTCGATAGTACATTGAAATTCGGATTGAGTAGATCTCCAGTATCTTTGAGCCGAACAACCTGAAGACCGAGACTATAAAGGTAAAAAGGAAGAAGGCAATACCTCATCGTGATGCCTTCTGGCGTTTTCGAACTTTGTCTTATCTTCCAGTCGGCCGTAAATATCTAAAAAGGCGCCATAAGTGGTCAGCTCCGGATGCATTTGCTTCAGAAGTAGTTGAGAAGCTAGCTGAGTAGCTTGTTTCACTCCTATAGCTTCTGCTGATTGTTCCATGTCACCTAGTTTCAAGGTCACTTTCGACATCTGACTTCCGTGTCCAACCAGTCCTTTTGATGTCTCCAACTCCATACCATTCCAGCGAATCGACCGACTGACAGCGTCTTTCAGCAAACCATAGGGCTTTGGGATTGCAAACTTTGTGCACATATCCACAATGTTTAGAGCTTCAATCTTGACGTTTTTGAAGAGTTCTTTTGCCTTCTCCTCAAAATCCTTCTTATTCTCTTCGTCGAGAACACCGACGCACACATTTTCGGCAGATACACGCAACTTTGGAATGAGTTTTGAGAGCGCATCTTTAGCTGCCGCCAGACGAGCTGTTTTCTTGTTAGAACCGACGCCCCGGCCGATCGGGAATCGTTCTGAATGTACCTATTGCTGACTCGGTCTAAAAGCTGTAGCTTACTGGAATCCATGGACGTTTGGGTCAAATTGGGACGATCATTCATGGATGCAAGCTCGTGTAGGACGGCAAGGGTCTCTTTGCATTGACCTGCCAAATCGTTCAGGGAAACTGTTTTCATCGTAAGATTGGCGATCGCTTTATACGGACATGATACGTTTCTGGTATCCTCCACGTCGTACGTAAGAGTTCCTTTTATGAGACGCTGAACGAATTCGTTTAACACTGCAACAGTTGTTTTACCCTGAAACATACAAATTGTTTAAGTTTCTGAGCCGCAAATACCATTGGGTTCAAAAGAAACGGTTTTTTTGGTCCGACTCGATTGTCACGTTCCATGGGCGTCAAGTCTATGAGAACAGCTCCAGAAGAAGTGGAGAGAAGCACCTCTCCAGGAGCGTTCTGCTTTTTCAGCTGATCGTAATCCATCTCGAATCCAGCTCTTTTAAGCATTGTGTTCGCTTTTCTTTCTTGAACTACCGTTGCCTTGTTTTCTGTGTTTCTATTATATCTCATCACCTAAAGTATTTTTCTTCAATTGCTCAGTTTTCAGTCACTAACTGTGATTTCCTTGAATTTGAACCGTCTCCCGCAATACTTCTGGAACTCACTCGGATTGAGTGTCTGATCAGGTTGCACCTAAAAACTATGACCTCCAGAAACAGCTCTTTGAAAATTGATTAGTTAAAACATGTTCGTTTGAAAACACCATGGGCAAGTCAGGCACTTTCACTTCTATGCTTCTAACTCTATTTTGGAACTGGAAGCAAAAAAAGTGATTGACCAGAAGGCTCGTGGCATGAATAGCGTCAGAATATAGTGGAGACGTTCAGAGAATACTCAGCAAGAGCAGAAAGGAACTGAAATATGTTGATTTTAATATACCTCTAAATCGGAACTTCGAGCATAGGAAGGATTAGCTTCCGTTAACTCGTCTAACTTCAGTTTCTCTTCATTTTTTTGCAAGTTTCTATCCAAAATCATCCGATTCATGCACGGTATAGCATTGACTGGTATATTATGATCGCGAATCATTCCTTCGACCTGGTACGGTCGTGAAAAAGTGACGACTCTTGTGAATTTATGCTGCAACGAAGCAATTGTGTCCGACTACACTACTAGACAGTCTCGACATACATAATAAACGAGCATTCCACTCTGATGAGTCAGCGTCGTCCATCCATCAGGCAGCGGACCGCTTCTATCCATGTCACCGTAATCTAACACAGTTTTCGTCACTGCGGCGGGACGGGAACGACCTCCACTTTCTGGAATTTCCGAAGCCTCCTGCCCTTGCACATCTTCGTCATCATCTAGTTCTGCAGAAACTGGTGCATCTCTACTTTCCGAGTCTCCTGATGCTGCGATTATTGAATCATCTCCGGAGCGTTGTGTCATTGGTGACTGATTTGAACTGTCACGTCGTTTTTGAGTTGGAGGAGAGCCAGGTTCACTTTTTGACGATTGAAAGTCTTTTTCAATTTCCCCAGAAATGTCAGCTTGAGTTGCCGACACATTTCTGCTTTCCTCGCCTTCGCTTTCTAAAACTACCAGGAAGTTTTTTCTTTGAAAAATTTGCTATGCAAACCTGATTCGTCCCCCATTTCGGCGAGCTGCCTGAGAATGGCTTCTCGTTCCGCTAGCAATTGTTCTTGGTTCGGCTCATTATTACCACTCATTCTGGAAACAAAAATTAGGAAAAGTAGCTACACTAAACACAGAAAATAACGAGAAACACTAGATAAACGAGGTTTTTTGGGCATCGAGTAAGAGAAGCAGCGAGAGAGCGAGCGAGCGAAGAGACGCGGACAGCGAGAGCGAGCGCGACAATTGGGAGACTTACTCCCCACTAGAGATGCAAAACAGGCGATTTTAGGCGCCTTTTTTTCCAACGCAAAAAAGGCGCCTGCAGGCGAATTTCTTTTTGCGTTGAAAAAGCAGGCGACTTTGTTTTTGCGTTGAAAAAAAGCGCCTTAAAAAACAGACGCCTGTTCTGAAAGATTGAATGAGAATAGGACTTGCCTGAAAAGATCAAATTTAAAATTTAAAATCTTTGAAGCAACTTTGAAGCAAGTTATAAGCGATAATGAGATAATTTATGCAAGAAAGTTTAGCAAAAGTGGAGAAATTCTGCGACACGAATCGTTCTCAAATGAGACACTTCGCTCTCCTCTTGTGTGTCAGCACCTTCGAGAAGGTTTAGAGTGTGACCAAACTCGTCGAGTTCTAGATCTTACAGATTGACCACTCTCTCTTTCTCTTTTAGTTCTTTCCTTTGGTGTGACGTACAAAGGTCATCAGCGTTCACTTTTCCCCGTGTTTAGGTATGACGACTTTCTCTTTTTGTGAACTTTTCTCTTCCTCACTGTGACCGAGCACAATCACACATTTGCTCCAGTTGAACTATTTAATTAATGGAAAGTTTTCAGAATGTTTAAACACGCGTCGAACCAAGCCTTGTTGCGAAAAGTTTCTTCATGCTGCATGCTTATCGAGTGTGATGGTCGATGGATTTCGGCAGTTGTTATCGCGGAAAGTTTTGCTGCTTCCGCACTCCACTGCGTACCGGACAGCTTCCGAGTAAATGGTATGGAACTTTAAGTTAAGCTGCAAGCAGTGGATTGTAGGATTCCTAGAACCTCTGAATAAAGATCAAAATTGTCAATACATTTCAGGCACGCCGATGGTTTTCCACGATGAGCAGGGAGAGCTGCACAGTGTGCATGTACATGGATCAAGCACGATTTCGGACTACATTGTCTACAAGAAAGACGATGGCTTATTCAAGAGTGTACCAGAACTGACGTCTCCGCAGCTTATTGACAAGTATCTTGTCATGGTAAGTAAATTAACCTTACCTATTTATTCAGATTAATTATAAGTATAATTAATAGGAAAAACATTGTAAATTATTTTTTATAAATCATCATTCATATTAATATTGCTTCATTTTCAGGGTTGCGCGTTCGGTGAGAAGACTATGTCTGTCCGCTGTGGGCGCATCTCTTCGGTCTCCACCGGTTATCGTGGTTTCTTCTACGGCGATAGTGGAGGTCTTCCTGGCTTCAGCGGAGGTAGTAGTAGTAGTAGTACACAGAAAGTACATAAAGTAGTAGTACACAAAGAAAAAAATGTTTGTATACAACCAATATATTGGCATTTGACAACCAAATAATCGGTTACCGTTTTTTTTCTGTGTGTAGTAGCATTTATCGTATTTTTGAGGTGGGGTATTCTGCGCACGAAACGGCTTTTTGATGGGAATCACAAGAGGAAGTGATTATGATGGACAGGAGACGAAACAGTATGGTGACGTACTAGAGATGATTTCCGCTCCACGTGAGTATAAATTTGATATAGAGCCTTTTATAAATTTCATTTTTTTAGTCATTCTCAGCCACATTGAATTCGCCAAACACGAGCCGTTCTCCGTTTAATATCTACTTCGCTAGTTATTTCCCTTCTCTCTTACGCTCTCTGTTTTGAATGTGTTGAAAAGGGGTCGCTTTTTGTGTCTCCGGCTCTTTGCTATCTACGGGTTTTGTTATTTTAAGCCTTGGTCCGAAGTAATAAAATGTAATCTGAATATCGTTCTCTGACTGACGCCAACTGAACCGCTGCTATACAGGACTGTGCCTGAGACTACCTGTGTACATCAGTTATTTCTTGTAAAGACTTGTTTGATTCCCAATATTTCTGCTAATTCTATGAGTTCGAAGTTAGTAAGAGGCTTCAGATCTTTTGAGAATTTCATTTATTGGGCTTATTTTTTATCTCAGAGATAATACCACTTCCTTTCAAAAATCGATATCCTTCGACATCCACTGATTTTCTAAAAAGTGTGAAAATGATACATTTTTTGCGCATTTAAATATGAAAATAGAAAATTAAAAATGAAATCGACATCTCAACAGAAAATTGATCGAAAATGTATAAAAATTGTTGAAAATAAGCACTTTTTAGTGCTTCCAAAATTGACTCATTCACGGCGACCAAAAACGTAGAAAGGGGCGTGGCCTAGCGTGCACGGTTTATCACCATTTTGGCGCGAAATTCGAAATTTAACCCCATTTTTCATGTTTTTCGTAAAAAATTACCCAAATTTTGTACGATTTCGACGATGTAATTGCATAACTTTGTTAAACTAAATCATCGCGCACTTTTTGAGTTTAAAACGGGCAGGTTTCATTCAGAAATGAATCAATTGAATCGATTTTAAGTTTTGTGCTGAAAATGCGCGAATTTCAGTCATTCGCCGATACTTTTTGCCGTTTGAACGCTTAAAATACTTGTATTAACGTGCTTAATCACTTCCGACACTCACTTCGTCTCAAAACTATCCAAATCGGCCGGTATGAAAATTCCGAAATTGCGGCGGCGATTGGCCGCGGAAGGCGTATTGCGGAATATGCCAAAAACGAAAACGCGTCTCAGATTAGGCCACGCCCCTTTCTACACTTTTGGTGGGCCGCCGAGTCCCTGCGTTGAGAAAACAGGCGCCTGAAAAAACAGGCGCCTGAAAAACAGGCGCAGGCGCCTGAAATCGCTTGTTCGACCAGCCGACCTGACAGAAAAGTTTTGAATTCAATTCTGTACCACTTCCAGTCTTTACTCTTTCCCTTCATTGTACTGATCTCGATCTTCCGTATTGATGCTTGCGTTGATCAATAAACTATTACATACATCCTACTGATAAAACAACCTCTCATGTACTGTCAAAAGTGAATTGGTATAAAGAGAACAGAATTGTCGTATTGCGAACTATCGGACGATTTTTCTGCCCAAAAAACGAACAAATACATTAAATTTCTAGGACGTTCTTATCTCAATACTTTTCTGTAAAATTTGCCGGATTATTCTACGGTTTTGGAAAGCTTCTGTTCAAAATAAGAAATTTTCAAATTTCAACCTTCTTATATATAGACTGACAGCTGAACAAACTCTAATTTGTACAAAAATTCGATATCAAGAATTAGAAAGATACAACAATAGGAGATTCATATTTTCCGAGGTTTCCGAGGCATATTCATTTCAAATCTTGTTCGCAGTAATAGTAAGAACTCCACATGAGTTGAGGTGGGACTTCACAGTCGATGGATCGATGTCTTCCGGAAGTTTGTAGGTTCTGTGAATCTCACGGTTGACGACACCGAAATCGGTCTGACGATCCTGAAAAGTTGTTACCGTTTAGATGATCAAAGAAGATATTTATCTGACGTCGTGTCTCAAATGAATGATGATTTCGTATCCGTTGACTTTGACGTCAATGTCGTTAGGTCCAAAGAATCCGGCGTCAAGCCCGACTTCGAACTTATCCGCCGTGTTCGTAACCTTGACGACTCCATCATTATGCTGGAGTGGCCAGTCCCACGAGGCCGCGTCCGTAGTTATCGGAATGTTATGCATGAAGGACTGAAAGTGAAAAAAACATGTATGACTTCCATAACATGAGGATAAACTCCTCGAAAAACTGTTTAGGTAAACATCATGGAATAAAAAGGTTATAGAAGAACTTAGGATGAATTTCGCATCTCAGTGAGCAGATAAAATGAAAAGTGTTGAGAACACAGGCGGCGTGCTCTGTTGTAAAGTGCGATGTGTTCAATGGGCTTACTACAGAGTGTAACGTGAATTGATCCCGTGACTAGAAGTTCACAACAACATAAAAGTAGGATGACCTCTCGGAAAGCAATGTGGAAAGTACGGTCGAGGACGATGAAATCTGAAAACTTCTTAAATATTCAGTACACTCACTTTCACGAAGTGTATATGTTCGGAACTGCAAAATTAACACGGTTCAAACTTTTCAAAATCGGAGAACGTATTCTTTAAATTTCCAAAGGGGCGTCGTGAAAGACTATAATATGACATCAAATCGCATAACACTTTACAGTATCCTTATGTCCAGTTAGTGTTTGCAATGATGAATGTAGGTCTTTCCCAAAAAAGTCACCGCAAAACGAACAAATATTATACGATCCAATTCAATTTCCTCAATTCGCTTTGCGATCGTAACCGTTTCATATATATTTGTGGTGCTGCCCCGAATCGGAACTTCCCGAATCAGAACTGGTACGAATCAGAACTATTTTCAGTGCTACTTGGTTCTGATTCGTACCAGTTCTGATTCGGGAAGTTCCGATTCGGGGCAGCACCATATTTGTTGACACTTTCTTTTTTTGCCTTCCTTCCCGATCTTTTCGCCTTCCCTTCTTCTCGTGAGAAACGTAATCTCGCCTTCTTTTGCCTCCAAATACTTATCACCATTTCTATCTGGCCATTATCTCTAGCACCCCCTCGCCTCCTCTCCAGTAATAAGAGACGCATTCTCGCTATTTTAGGCCAGTGTTGCTTTTACCGCGCGGGTTCCGGCCGCTCTCTCGAGGTCACACACTATTCCGATGCTCTCTTCTTTCGGTCCAGATGGCGGAAAGACCCCGGGGTGCGAGGTGACGCAGACGCATTTGTATATCAATCAGACAAGTACGATGCGCGAAGGAAAGAAAGAACACCGTCTGACCTCTCGCTCTGCTCTGTGAGTGCGTGGCAGACAGTTGGCCACAAACATACGCACACACGCACCGTAACGGGCCACCAGACCTAACCAACAAACGGACAAAAAAGAAACGAGCAGAGCGAATTGGGCGGTTGTTCCTTCTTCCTACTTCTTCCTATTGACTCATCCCTTCCCGTTTCCAATTGCGTCTTCCGTTATAGGCCACTCGCCGTTTTGTTTATTCATGGGGTGACTTCTTTTTCTTTATCTCTTCTTCATCAAATTTTATGAAATCCCTCTCTTTCACAAGTTTTCATGAGGTCGAACACTTTTCATCTACCATTTTCGTTCTGCAAAGTTTTGGCCTAGTGCATTCGCGCTCCATTGCACTTTCCCACGATCGCGCCTTGCCAGCCGTGGGAAAGTTGGTTTTTCCCACGCTTGTTTTGCGATAAATTCGAATCTGTCTCGGCGCCATGTTTCATTATCAACTTGATCGACCGAATTCCGCGCGACAATGTGTTCGACCTTTATGCATGTGAGTCACATTTTACAATTCTGAAGTTTTCTGCGCTGATATCATCTCCTGAATCGAGGTCATTATCGTTTCTTTGCAGAAAAACAGCTACACCAGCGCCTACTCGAAGTCGCAATACGAGGCGCCGAAGCAAGTAGGTTTCACTTTCCCGATTGATAATATGAAGGTCATTCCCATTTTTTTCAGCTGCTTGAACTCCGCTCTCGCGTCAAGCCTTTGCTTTCTCCTGACTCGTGTACCAGTTCCGACAGCGTCTTCTCGCACTCGTCTCTGTCCCCTCGGGCGCGTCCGGAACATCAGAAGCTCCATCTCGCTTTCATCGAGAAGGACAGACGTGTCAATTCATCCACACATCAGTTCCTGAAGATGAAGCCGTCAATGCAACAGTACCAGGCCTACGATCGTCCCACTTACTCTCGCAAGACGACGTTGCCACCGTTGATGAGAACACCATCGTCCGGATTTTCGAGTTCTTCGTCTTCGGAGAACATGTTCTCCGGATTGACCATATCTGCGTCAGATGAGCCGAAATACCATGATTTGCTTGATCCGACAGTCGAGGTAGATTTGGATTATTTCCTCTTACCTGAAGTACGCTATAAGCAGCCTATCTCGATGCCTGGCAGTGCTCCAAGTATTGCTGGAAGTCGTGGAAATATGAGTAACATCAGTGGCTACCACAGTCAGAACGTAATGTCAAGACAACCAACGCAATACAAACCAAACCCAGCGATACAGCCGGTTAGTTTTTTTTACTTACTTCGTACTTTACGTTTGTAACTTCAGAATCCGTACGGGGATTATTCGTATTCGAATGTGAAGCGATCTGTTGGTTACACCGACTTCTTGCCGCAGGTTGCACCAGCCGGAGCCGTTCGTCCCCAAACTTCCGTGCCGACGTCTTCAGCTGTCCGATGCCCGTATTGTTGGGAGTCGTACGTGAAGCTCTGTCAGCGAGTGGCCAACTTGGACCCAGTAATCCATTGCGACGGTCCGTGGCAATGGCATAGTCTTCTGGATAGCCAAGGACGAGTCACGTGAGTTTCGGTAATTCGAGTTGCCCAATTCACATTATGACTCTTTCAGATGCCCAAGACTGTGGTTCACTCAGCTTGACCGTGCCGGAGAAGACATGCTGGCGCAGATGGCCATTGCACGAAATGCACCCGTTTAAGTGCATCTCCATAAACACCCCCTAATTTATCTCTTCTCTGTATACGGTTCTTTCTCCTGACGAATACGGGCTTTCCGTGTGAGGCTTTGCCCCATATTGTATCCTTTTTATCCGCCAAACCAAAAACCCTAAACAATGTTCCTAACAAACCAGTTGCAGTACTAATAACATAATCAATGGCTCTATTTTGTGAATTTGACTACCGTGTTTCGCACCGTCGATAAAAACTGAGAGATGTCAAATATTTGTATTTCTTCCTTTCCAATCCGGTTTTCTTGAAGTCGTTCGGCGTCGTTTTAACTTGTAAAGATCCGTAAAACTTCAGTACACGGTAAAGCCTCAAATCAGTTCGAAACTTTTAAGGACATGCTCGCGAAGCAGAAGAGCTTCGTCTCATGGAGATGCGTGATTTTTCTCTTCGCATGAGATCCGCTCGAGCAATCTCCAACTCGGCAGCCCAGCTCCGAGTGCCTGTGTAATATTTGCCGTGATTACACTCATCCGCCGCTCTCTCTCTCTTCCCTCTCACTTCTCAAATCTACTATTCGTTCTTTTCCACAAAAAACTGTCCGCTATTCAACAATTTTCCTGAAATCTTTCCAATATTTTCTGCTGAAATGGCCGTCAAAAAGAACTTCAAGAAGCAGGAGGAGAATCAGTTGATCAAAAATGAAGAAATTTCTTCCATTCACGCCAGAATCAAGGTTTTTCCTTCCAAGTGTCCATTCAGAGAGGCCACTCCTAATTTCTTTGAAGATATTCGAATTTCCATTTGCAACTCAAGTTCTGAACGCAAAAGCCAACTTGTTCTGTGCTCAATGTCTTCGTGGCCCCGCTCCCGGGGAGAAACTTTTGCGCTGCGGGGGGTTTGTTCTCCGGAATTCTTGAAATGTTTACTCGTTCATGTTTTTCTAGGTGTAACTTCTCGATGTACTGTAGTAAGGAATGCCAGGAAACGGCGTGGTTGGTGCACAAACCAGAGTGCAGACGACTCAAGGCAAGCTTCCCGAATCTTCCGCTGACTGAAGTGTTGTTCCTTTCGAAAGTGATCGACCGTATCCAGTTCATTGAGAACAATGGAGACAAAGTAGGCGTGGAGGCGGAAAGACCTTTTAAGAGTCTTGTGGATCATAAGAAAGAAATCAGGTGAGAATACTGGAAGTTGGGACAGTTTTGGATATGTCGGTTCCAGAGAAGACGCCACTAAAATGGAGCACTTCGAGAAAGTCTTCACAAAAACGGGGTTGTTCCGAAAAGACGAAATGATTGGGAAGGAAGAGTTCTTCGACGTTTTCTGCAAAGTGACTATCAACTCGCACAGTATTCACACAAATGCTGGAAATGAAGTGGGAATGGCACTTGACCTGGGAGTCTCAAAGTACAACCATTCGTGCCGTCCGACTTGCTCCATGGTGTTCGATGGGTTCCGAGTGTGCCTCCGTCCTCTGGTACCGGGAGTTGATTCCGAAAACACCGAACAAGCGTTCATTTCATACATTGACGTGGGGAGAAGCAAGTTTGTTCGCAGAAGAGATCTTCAATCCCGCTGGTATTTCCATTGTGAGTGCTCCCGGTGCATCGACCCAGAAGACGATAAGTTGACGGCAATCCGTTGCTCGAATCCGGCATGTGACGCCCCGATTGTAAGACAGTACCATTATTTCATGCCGGACTAACCGTTTTGCAGATCACCTCGGAAACTGAGGAGCCAATGAACATTGCTTGCGATAAGTGCACGACTATAGTGGAAGAAAATACGGTGAAGACGGCTCAAGAATTCATGAAGAGCCTCCCAGCGTCTTTTGATCCACAGTGTCCAGCTGATATTGTGAGTTATCCAGAGATATTATCCAGCTCATTTTAACAGAATTCCGTAGGTTTTTAATATGTAGCTCTATTCAGGAAGCTCTTCCAGAGAAGGTTTGTTTACTGAGTTCAAGCGTGTTCCTCGGACACCTCTCCTATTTGCCCTCGAACTTTTTCGTTTTCTATCCTCCTCTCGCACACTCTCCCTCTCTTCTCGCCGCTTTCCGTCGACGCTTGGCTGTCTCCCTTCTCTTTTCCCCCAGTGTCTAGTGACACTTCTATGTCTTTCTCCCCGCTTTCATATAAATTCGAAGCATCGGTTGGTCAGTGGTACGGTGCTGCCCCGATTTCTGATTCTGATTCGGGAAGATCCGATTCAGGGCAGCACCAGTGGTACTACGTAGAATTCTCGCCTGCCACGCGGACGGCGCGGGTTCGATTCCAGGTCGATGCAATCTTTTGAACCTCTCCAAGTGCACATTTTGCCCAGAACCCTCAATTTTTCCATTAAAGTTGTTCAACTTTGTTTTTCAGCTCCAAGACCTGCTTGCCAAGGCTGAAGAGATACTCCATGCTTCAAATGTCTACGTTGCCAGGTAGGATCGCAAAGATCTTCTGGACACATTAAAGATGTTGTCAGACTCCGAACGGCTCTGTTCCACGTTACTGGAAATCTTACACTTGACAATCTATCCACTATGCACACGCAAATCTACAACAACTACAAAATGTGCTTCCCGAAGGCGGATCGTCATGTCGGATTCCAACTGCTTCACATCGTGAAGGCTCTTGTCGAGAAAGATGAACGAGATGAAGCGATGCCCTACGCATTCGACGCAATGAACATCTTCGAAGTCTGTTTCGGATTGGACCATCCGTACTACCTTCAGACTCTTGCTCTCTGGACTTATTTGGAGAAAAAGGTACGGATCAGTTGGACCCTTCTGAGAATTATTCCTATTTTTAGCTTCCGAAGCCAACTGAAGAACTCGTGCAACTAACAAACTTCTCTGACAACCGTCCAGTCGACATTGTGAATCTTCTGAAAAGGGCCAACATGCTTCCACCTCCGCCGACCACCTCGAACACTGTTCTGCCGGTTTAACCTGCTTATTATTGTGTAGCTACTCAAAATCACGTTCCTTACTTGTTATAGGGCTATTCAGCGTAAGTTTGTTTTCCGTTTTTTCGTTTTTTTTACACCGCTGAATTGGGTTTTTTGACGTAAAAAAAACAAAAAAAAACGGAAAAAAATCATTTTTTTTTCACAGCCTGAATAACCCATTACCCTCACAAAAATAAATTGTTTTATTTCACGCACAAAATCGAAATTTGACTTTTTTATCCGCATTAGTCTTCATTTCTAACATTATTCCACAAGATGCGTAAGTTTCCGTTGCCACGCCATCTCCTTCACTCCTCGTTTGTTTCAGAAAGTTCTTTAGCGATAGAGCAAGATAAAATAGATAGTCTATTGAAGCTTAATGATGAGAATTGCAAGAATCTTCGTATTTTACTGCAAAAGAACACACAAAGCGTGATACACGTTAATGATTTGATGAGTGCGAGAGTGCATCGGATTTCTGAAAAACGAACGGCATTCAATCAGAGATTCGATACGGTCCATCGTAATAATCAAAAAGTTTACCGTTGGTTGTTTTTAATTTACAATAGTTTACGTTTTCAGTTGATTGGCAAAATCAGAGAAAATCTTGTCGAAATAGATTTTGAAGGAAACGAGACACTCCGAGAATACGAAGACATCCGGCGGAAAGTCAGTGTGGCCAAACGGCACATGAGAGGATTCGGGTTAACTCGTAGTTTGGGGCTGAAGCTGTACAATTATGCACTCTCCTGGCTCATATCACTTGGACTGTACAAACCGCCGAAGAATCCGTTGAAAGAGACGAAGAAGTGCGCGGGACTTCTGTACGTGATCAAATTTTCTTGATTTAGACGAATAAACTTTTCAGGCAAGTTTCCCGATCCGAACACGTTCTCACTTTGTCTCTGCAGCCGGAATTGAAGACGAACCCCGTGACCGACCAGAAGAAGAAAAAGAAACAATAGTTATTCAGAACTATTAAATTTTTTCATTTTCCGTTTCAATGAATTTTTTATTCCAACTATTGTTCTTCTTTGGTATTCTCAGTAAGAAATTTCTTTTATTAAGGGTGCATTTCAGTGCAATCGCTTTCAACCGCACACCACGTGAATTCAGTGCTCAATTGGCAAAGGTCGCGGTCGCGGCCGGGTTTTTAAGTGGGATTGTGATGCGATTGCAGAAAAATGCCGCCATAATTGAAACATTGAAAATCAATCCTTTCAGGCTGTATAAAAAATGAAAAGTTCAGTGCAAAACTGATGAATATTTCAATATCAGATGACTGCGAGAATTTATCTGAAGCTGAACGATTATTCGGTCAGAGAGACAATCACTATAAGGATCCTTCGGGGAACATCTTCTGCTTCCGAAAACGCGATGGGGTTGCGAGAATGAGTTCGACGTCGGTTCTTTTCGAGGATCCTCGTTTCGTGTGCTCCAACGGTCCGATGTCTTGGTACCGGGGACGTAGGAACATTGATTTCAAGAACCGCCCGTGTCTTTTTTGGTCAATTGTTCCCAACTCGACCTTTGATATTTCGGATGGATCGAGCTCATCGTTCAGTATGAAAAGAATCTTGCCCGATGAGTACGAGAATTTTTGTCGGAACCCGGATGACAATCATTTGGGTCCCTGGTGCTACGTGGCAGATGGCATTCAAGCACCGTGTTTCGAACCGTGCAAGCCATTCACTGACACATCTTCAAAGTTCACATGTCTGAACAAGGAGGGGTTCCCGTACACGGCCAATGACATGTCGGATATTCTCGATCTACCACAGCTGATTCAATCGTTTGATTATGTTCATCTCATGTATGAATCCAGATATGTTATATCTGGTGACGTGGATAGACGATCCACGAAAAGCTGTATGAACACTGGGCCCATTGCGGATTTCTTCGGACCATGGATTGCAGTTTTTGATGAGGTCGCTAAAAAACTTTTGAAAGGAGTAGGGAGACGGTACGAGATTCTCCTACTTTCAAGGAGATATTGCCCATTTCAGGGTTCTACGAGACCTGTGTGCACCGGAACCTCCAACTGAGAACGAACTTGAGCTTCTGAAATCCGGGAGCAGTGCAATTCGGGATGCAATCTTCGAAGACGAGCTGACTGTCGCCGGCTGCTCCTTCTGGAAACGGTGTTTCACCTCGTGTCAGGACGACGCCTCCAACTGTTGGGACGAGAATACAAGTTCGGGTTACTTTGGCTCCAAAACAACGACTGTCGAGAAACGAACTTGCTTGCCATGGGCTCAAGTTGCTTCTGATATTCTGAGCGTTTCGAAGAAAAACTCGACGATGCACTCGAAATACCACTTGTACCACTCGCTTTTGTTCGATGATCCGAATGAATTCTTTGTCGAAAGCAGACTTTTTATGAATACAGAGTGAGTCTGAACTGGTAAAATTCAAGTCAAAAAGTTATTCCAGGCAGTCGTGCATGCTTCTGAATCGGAGAAACTCGACAGAGCAGAAATACTGGTTTCCCGTCAGCTCGAGTTTCAGTCGAAAAGAGTGGGACGGTGAATTCAGCAAAATGTTTCAGGAAGGACCAGGATGCTTTGTGAAGCAGGTGACAGTTTCTGAATATTTGGGGGAGAAGTATTATAATTTTCAATTTTCAGAATAAAACGATAAATTTCGAACCTTGCTACTCGAAATGTTCAAAAACACGCAATATCTCATTGACAAAGTCTTTGTGTTTTGTCAACAAAAAGTATTCCGTTTGCAAACCTCCTAGGAACGACGACTTGTTGAAACGTGGCCGATTGTCCACAACGCCTCCAATAACCACAATTCATTCACTATTCTTAGTTCTTTCAACTTTATTTATCATAAAAATTCAGAATTGAAATGGAAACTTTGGAATGTGTAACGGAACCAGAGGGCTCGAGAACGAAGTGATTGGAACAATGGGGATTCCTCGAGCAGAAACATGGGCGGGAGCGATCGGAAGGACAGCGACGGGTGACTGAACAATCTTGGGTCTCTCGTCAAAATTGAAGGACACCGGAGGAGGCGTCGGAATTATAGAAAACGACGGAGTGGACGTTGAGATGGGCGGTTGGTAGAGTAGGGATTCAATCTGGAATCGAAACGACATTCGAGGATTTTTTGGATCGATTCTTTACTGGGGAGATTTTCAGATTTTGGAGGGCGGTTAAACGAACGAGATTTGTCGAGTGGGGTTGTACCGGAGAAGCCATTTGATCTGCAAATATAATTTAATGAATGAATTTCAGTCAATCCCACCACAAGAAATCGTCTTTCCTTTCTCATCCACCAGATCTATGGACGAAAAAGCTACAAAATTGTTGGGTCCTGTTGAGGATCTAATTATCAATATGATTGGAATTCCTGCCGAGACGGCATCCAATGGAATCTGAACTCGGTTCCAGCCATTAGAAGAAGATGGTGTTGCCGTCAGAGGATCCTTCTTCCAAAGCTCATTCTCGGTCATGGAGCCAATGTGTCTAAATAGGACAGAAGTGGTGGAGCCAGCACTATCAAGCATCTGGATTTGAAGTTGAGAGGGACCGTCCGGAAGGCGAACTGGGGCCGATACGAGAGATGATTCTCCCGCTGCTTCATTCACAACTTTCGTGGGAAGGAGCTGAATGTTGGTATGATGCCAAGAACAAACTGACAAGCGGAACTGACAAGACAGCGGTGAGCACACCTTTGATAGCTCTGAATTGTTCACTTTGTACAAGGGGCCTCCATGAGCTCTTCAACTCACTGGAACTTCTCCTGATCTCTCTGCGTCTGATGTCTTCCTCGTCGAAAAACTTCGAGTCCTGACCCGACCACATCACGTTCGCCGGAGTTGCCACATCAATCTCATCGACTGCGATGACGTCTTCGGCTGTTTTTATTCCGTCACACTCAAAAACAACACTAGTCGTGTCGTCTTCGGGAATCGGCGGAAAAATGATACTTCTGCGGTACCACTTATTCCTTTCAATTTCACTGGCCGACACTGTATCTAGTAGAACTTCTTTCGCATCTGATTTCAGGAGAATCTCAAAATCGAATAAGTTGACTCTAAAATGTTATCTTAATAGGTACCCGTAGTGTGGCTTTTCCTCTTCTTTGATATCGGTACGCTAGAATTCTCATGTGATCGGATTTTGAAAGTTTCTGAGAAATCGTTCGGGAAGATGGTATCGAGGCAAACTTCCCTTGAGCCAGTAGGAATGGTCCTTCTGTTTAAAAAATAGTACACCCATTGAGTTAATAAAACCTCACCAGAAGTAATAACACTAGGAGTTGTCAAAAGAGTCGAATGACGTGGCAGAATAGCCAGTGACACGACATTCCACGGCGGCTCGATGTTCCACCCACAGGTGCCCTCGTTGAATGTGCACAGTTCGAAACAATGCACAGTGTAAAGCAAAAGGAACGGTCGAAAAAAGCGCGTCGAGTAGGACATCTATCATCGGAGGGAAAGTGACCTCGGTGGGAGAAGCATGGACATTCGAACAAACAGACCGGTTTTCGGGATGGGAGGACAACTCAATTATACTCGATAATATTAGCCTTCCCCTCCATGTCGCTCACGATTACTTCCACTTTTCTCTTCACATATGTCTTGCTAGCTTAAAATTACGAAACAATTTATTAAGTATGTATGTATTCATGTGCGGATTTTGAGGATTATGTAAAGAAAGAAGCAAATTTCTTAAAACGATCATTAGTCTGAGCGGAGAGAACAGGTAAATGTTTGGGATATATGCCTATAGATGAAGGAATAAGAGGGGTTACTGCTGCAGAGGTAAAAGAAAGGAGAAGGGAGTAGGTGTTATAATCGTGGAAGGGACGGTGAGAAGGGAAAACGAAGAAAGGAGAAAAGTCTTTTGACATTCATATTTCAGAATACCCGGATGATCATTTACAAAACAGGGATGATGGAAAGTTGATCGAGGAGAACCTAACAGCATCCTCCGGTACTTCCTTGCCGCTGTCCTTGTCCCGGCACGACCGTCTCACGTTGTGGCTCATCTGCGGCATCAGGCATCTGAAAAAGAATGTTAATTATATTGGCACACACACTTCAAAAGTACCTTTGCGAGAATCGCCTCGGCCAAATCATAGAAAGCAGTATCCACGTGCACGTTCAGCTTCGCAGAAGTTTCATGGAATCTAGAATAGAGAAAAGCTGATAAACAAACGTGTTGTATAAATGCCTCACCGAATCCCGTGATCTTGTGCAATCTTCTCTCCTCGCTCACGGCTGACCACTCGCCGATCGCTCATATCACATTTGTTTCCAAGAATCATTTTAACCACATCTTCAGAAGCGTGCTGTAAAATAAATATTGTTGCTACAATACAAGTGTACGAGCTTTCAAGTGACGAACCTCGTCAATGTTTCGTAGCCACTTTGCGATATTGTCAAAGCTTTTCGCGTTCGTAATATCGTACACAAGCATGATTCCCATTGCTCCGCGATAATATGAGGTAGTGATGGTGTGGAATCTCTCCTGACCGGCCGTATCCCAAATTTGAAGCTTGATTTTCTTGCCTTTCAACTCGATTGTTTTGATTTTGAAGTCAATACCTAAATGCATATTATATACCCTGTAAACAGCGGCATAAAACACACCGATTGTTGAGATGAACGTTGTGTTGAAAGCATCGTCCGAAAACCTGTAGAGAATGCATGTTTTGCCAACACCGGAATCTCCGATTAGCAGCAATTTGAAGAGCATATCATACGGTCGACGAGCCATTTGTTCCTGTAAAATGCTGAATGCTTTGAGCCATTTTTCACGAAGGCGCAACGAGAAGAAGAGAAAGAGAGCACTCGGGAAGCAAACAGAACACTTTGAGAGCTCAATTCGAGAGTCAGAGGGCGAAAAGCGGATTGATACAAGCAGGAGAAAAATGAAGGTCTTAGTGCCACAGGACAGATATAATTAGGAATCATCGATCACGCATGCTCCTGCCGAGGAGGTGAGTGAACAACTGCGGTTTGAAACGCCGATATAATTGCGGTCACAGGTGGGCGAAGACAAAGAATTAATGGGGGGCATTGCGCATATTGATTGAATTTGGAAATTCATAAGTGTAACAGAATGCCGAACCGGCGTTTTATCTTTTAGGGAAAAAGTTGAATGGTGATAAGAAGTGTGAACGACAGGTTAACGCACTTTATGAAACACCGACCGCAAAAAAGATTACTGAAAAGACAAAAAATATTTGGCAGAATAAAAAAGAAGCCGTTGACAAAGCTGCACCGAAATTGTGGGGTGCGGTGAAAATTTGAAGGCTGAAGACCCGAAATAGACGTTTAATTTGATGGGATAGAAGAAGAAACGAGAAAGAAGTTCTGAGAGTACAAAGAAACAGACAAAATGGGAGAAGGGGCGCCGTGGAGAAGAACGACGGAGGATCGATGGAGGACAGCGAGCGCGGCAGTGTCGACACAGCACCCAGTTGTTGTATGTATATGCTGACTGCATCCGACCGGATGGGCGAGAGAAAGAGGACAACGGCTGTTGGAAGCTTGGTGCGAGCAAAGGGCAGCAGTGCGACTTCAAGCCGTGTTACGCGCTTGAGGTAATGTACGTGGTTCATGAAACATGAAGTGAAAACTCACAAACGAAAATACTCAGAAATTGCGTTGAGGAACGTAGCCTAAGGCATGAACAATGCAAATGTCGTCAAAATTGGAAGGAATGTTTGTTTACTGACGGAGGGATTGCGAAATCGCGGTGAGGCTGGGTGGACGCAGAGAATACTGAAATAAGGAATGACTAATGCTTTATTTCTTGTTCCGAACAAGCAATATGAGTAGGCGGAACAATTTTTTCAAAAACTTAAAGAGTGTAACGCGTTATAACGAAGAAACTGAAATGAAGAACGATAAAATAGGGAATTATTTGAAAAATGGAACAGGGAGGAACAATAGAAAGCAAATTTTTTGGAAAATGGATGAGATGATTAACGCACAAGCCTGCTCCCCGGCTAAAGCCGAGTCTGTCCGGTCCGTCTTTCTTTCTGCTGCCCTCAGCGGACATACAAAAAGACAGGCAGACAGACAGACAGACGCCTCTTGTGTTATTTATATATATATATATATATATATATATATATATATATATAAATATAAATATATAAGGAAAATGAGCACAAACTTCAAAACAGAGAACAACGGGAAGCAAAAGGGCACTCACAAAGCGCGCGCAGAAAAACATTTCTTCTATGGGACGATGCAAACGCGCTCCACCGAACTAAAGGACAGCCGCCAATAGAACAAATTCAAATTTTCTCGCAGCCACTCTAGTGAGCCTCTTATTGTTTTTTCCTTTATTGAACACTCTTTTCATCATACTTTTGGTAATGGGGGACACCGCGGTTCTTCCAATACGCGTCCAAAATGTGTTGGATATGGAAATCATCCGCCTCAACCTGTGGTCAATAAAAGTTAGTAACTAAGTAAATGGGATGCGATTCATTTTTTATCTTGTCTTGAATTTAGTTCAATGCCAATTCTATCGTCCTGGAAGGATTTGTCAGGAACGAAGACGGAACTATGATGCAGAAGGTTTCCTCCGAAGCCATTTGCGTAAGTTATACTTTTAAGTAGAGAAGCAGAAATATAAATTTTCAGAAACGGATGAATGCCACAATGCTGTTCGACGTCTCTGGTCGTTTTTTCGAGCTGACTGGTCAGATTGATAAAGAGTTTCAATTGAAGAAGGGAATGCCAGGACGAATTGCGGAGGAGTTCATGAACGGATTCCCCGAAAACTGGGCATTTCTAATCAGCAGCTGCCTCTCAAACGAGCAGAGAAGTGCAATTCGCCCGATTCAAGCCGCTCCAGTTCAGCCTCTACGACCTAAAGAACCTATAGTGACGTTGGCTGATGAGACAGATTTGAGCGGAGACCGTACCATATCAAGAAAGAATAGTGACAAAGAGAGAGAAGACAAAGAATCAACAAGGAAAGCGGAGATAGAAGATACTGAAAAACGGAAGTTGGAAGAGTTCCAGCAAGAACTAGAGCAGGCACGAAAACAAAAAGAAGCTGAAAAAAGACGGAAGGAAGAGCTTGACGCCGCTAACTTTACTTTCCGTGCTCCATATTCAGAAGGTCTGGGAGCGATCACTCCGATACGTTTCAACCGTGGGAATGAAAATACAAGAAAACGGGGACAAAAGATCTTTGACACGCCTTCTGTAAGTTCATCAGGAAAAACTATGCTAACTTGTGTTACAAGTTTCAGCGTGAAATATTAACATCCACTCCGAAGACAGCTCCTCCCAGAGAGCCTGAACAACCCCGAACAATTGATGGACCGAAAAAGCAGGAGAAACTGGTGACGTACGCCACTGATAACGATTTGTTCGCAGTTCCGAAGCTCCCCCGATCGATGCCGGCTGCATCTCGAGCTTCTTCGCTTCATCCACATCCTTTGCCAACGTCTTCATCTTCCGATATTGATGTCTTCGATCTAGCCGACTCAATGTTCGAGACTGCAAATATAAACACGACGCCAGCTCGTGACTCGCGTAGTTCTAAACCAAACCGTCGATATGATGACTACTCTCCTCCGAATCGTTATCACGGTCAATCCTCGTCAAGCAATACTTTTAGCCGAGAGTACGACAGCGGTAATCGGTACCGGGGAAGACAAGATGATTATAACGATCGGATTAGCAGGCGAGATGCCACATTTCGAAGAAATTATACGAAAAGAGACGAATCGAGGATGAGCAGAAAGCGGGGATACGTCAGTAGCAAGTAATGCTTTTTATATGACAAACAATTTTACAGTACAATTCTCCTGACGAATACGAAAGAAGTAATTGGCGAGATAATCGTGATATTCGAAGAGACGACTATGAGGGTTCTGACTACGATTCGAAAAGATACAGGCCTAGAGAAAATTCTTCATTTTCCGGAAGAGTCAGTCCTTGAACATTGTGTTTTCATAAACATCAGTTTTTTCAGTCCGTTCGAATGGAAGATGGCTATAGTTCCAACAAAAAGCATGATGATCTTCGGAACCAGGAGGAATATGAACGTCGCAAGATGGACGAGATTCTTCGAAAAGAGAAGGAAATTGAAGCGAGACTGCGACGTTCACAGAAACCATCGCGCCGCGAATCCTTCTCTTCAACAGGTTCCCTCGATGACACAGTCGACATGGCTGCAGAGTTTGAACGTGAAAACCAAGAGATTCTCGACAATTCAATGTTGGGCGAAAGGAGACCGTCCAAAAAAAGAAACAACGTGAAAAGGGTAAGCTGACGGGATCATTTTCAACGCGAGAATGCCTCCCGTCTTGCGTCCACGCAACAAAAAAGTTTCATATGTGCAGATGTCAGCTGAAAAACCGAAGAAAATGATCGCTCCGAAGTCACGTGCTGCTCCACAGCGCAAGAAGAAATCCGATCCGATTGCCACAGATTACCTCAACGAGAGTATTGCCTCAAACCGTCCGAAACGAACTTGTGCTACTCCGTCGACTCCGGCTCCAAAGCGAGTTACCTGGGCGAGACGCGACGTGGACAAGCTGAAGCTCATTATTGAGCGCAACAAGCCAACAGGAAGTGAAACCGATTGGGTCGAAGTCCACAGACTGCTTGCAAAAAGCGGAGTTGAGCCGACCGATGTGAAACTGACTGCTATTACTCGTCTTAAGTGGAAGGAGCCAGAAGTGAGGGATCCAGAAGTTCAGAAAAGGAATGAGGAAGAGGAAGAAAAGCGGCGAAATGGTGTGAAAGCGAGAGTGAAGCAGGGAATGAGAATGAGAGATGAGATGCGTCAGGGCGGCGAGCAAGAAGCAGCTCCGGAGACTGCAGCCGAAGAGGTCGAGGACTACGATGCAGCTGATTTGTCGGCTGATGAATCTCTATTGGCTCTTGCCACTCCTATTCCGGCGAAGAGGAAGGGAGGCACCAGGGCTTCCATTATGCCTGAACCTGTCGAAGATTCTCCATTAGTCAGAGAGTTTGTATACTCGAATTTTCAATATAAATCATGCTCTTTCGTGATTTTCAGAAATTCTTTATTTGCAAACTCCCCGAGACTCGACGCCACTAAAGCTAAGGAGGTGGAAACAACTCTGAAGTATGTGCAGCACTTGTCGACAATTCAGGCTCGTCCCAGTTCGAGTATGAACAAATCACATAATAAGTCAACGGTAATCCATATATAACTGATTTCTTTATGAATTTCCTCTTTTCAGACCCGTGGAAAGAATACAAGTATGACTGTCGAACAAGGCGCTAAGAAAGCGATGAAAATAATCAACGGAGGGAGGACCATACACGAAGAGGACGAGGAAGATGACAGCGAGGACGACGAATATAACTCTTTTTTCTGATTTGGCTCACGATTATAAATTTCTGAATTCTCAACAATGTTTTACTGCTTGTTATTGTTCTAATTTTTGCAATGCATCTGTAAATGACGCACTCAAAATAAACTTGACCAATTTTTCTGTCTCCTTATTCTTCTCCACGATGAATTCAACCAACGTGCGGAGAGTTTAATCAAGAATCGTGCTATAAAGTAAACGGGTGAGAATAGTGACACTTGTGTTGACAGTGTAATTCTCAATTTGTCTATACTATACTGCAATGGATATCACAACTGTGGGGCACATGGAAAAAGGTCCGAAAATGTGGCAGTGGTACCGCGTGGATTTGAATGATGTCAAACTTTTCAAGTGCTGGAAAGTTCAAAACACACCGAGTAAGTTTTGATAATATTCATTTGTGGACACTGCGATCATACGGCCGCTCGAATGAATGATTTTAAGCTATTATAGGGGCACCGCGCAGAAATGGCGCTCTGTTGAGAAACTCCTTTTACAGTGCAAATTGAGCGACCTCGGGGCCGAGTTTGAAAAGTTAGGCCACATTTTCAGTGGAAAATTACTTCGCGGCCTAGAAATTCGGCCAGATTGCGAACAGCGCGCCCTTTCTGTCCGGTACCCCTATAATATGATCTGGAGCTGTTTTGTCGTGACGGCAGCTGGATTATCGCTGGAATTTCTTAAGTATGCACGACGGGCGGCCGCAGAACGGATGTCACCATCTTACGATGACGTGGATCGGGGAACCAAGTACGGAGGAATCATAGTGCCCAGCAACCGTAGACATTCACAGTTCGCGCTCTTCTTGTTCTGATCAGCCATATGAGTTGCAGATATTTGAAAAACCACTTCATTCAAACGATGTATCACTTTTGCCAAATGCTTCTCGCTTCTATTTTGATGAATATCCTGATGAAAGGGTTATGCGGTTATTCAGGCTGTGAGAAAAATGATTTTTTTTTTCGTTTTTTTTCGTTTTCTTACGTCAAAATTCAGCAATGTAAAAAAACGGAAAGCAAACATACGCTGAATATTACGCCCCATTACGTACAGTAATATTACAACGGTAAATTAAAAAGGCGAAGCTCGCTCTGCGGGATTTGAATGTGCCCGGACGTCGACACGTGATCCGCAAGGCGAAACAATATCGAGTCCAGAAGACCGATTGGGATTAAACGATCCCTAAATTTGTATAAGTTCCTACTTTGTAAATAATTAACACATTAACACAGGCTAGTTGAACAGGCGCCTGAAAAAAAAGTTACAGACCGATCGGACTATCGACTCTGTGTTGAATGCTTGTATTCGAAATCGGAAATCCTTCAATTCCTTATTGTTCTTTTTCCGAATCCTCTTGGCATCGTGCCATGACGTTTCAAAATCCCAATCGTTCTTTCCCATCGGAGTCCTTTGTCGGCGTCCTTGTCACTAATCTCCGTCTGTATAATTAAGTCGGCTTCTTTGAAATTTTCAGCAAATCCGCTTGAAGCTCACATTCGCACACCTGTGGTCTTAATTACCGGCGGAGATTAGTGATAAGAATGGACTCTCCCCGGCCACACAGTTCGACTTAGTCATGAAGAACAAAAAATGGGTTTGACTGAGGCTTGTCCTTTTCCCCTTGTTTGAAAAAGTGACAAAACAATTGTTTTTCCTCAGTTCCTCGGCGTCACCTCTTCCTGGTAATTCCCCGTTTCGCCTTCACTCATGCCGTTTCCACAAACACGGATAATGACGAGTTGTTGAGTGTCCTGAAGTCGTTACTTTTCATTACCCCCGCCTTCAACGTGATCTTTGTGGTGATGGTGAACTGTCAGGACCCGGATAGATGCGAGGATATGAAAGTTTTTTGGTGAGCGGAGCCTGTCCTTCATATTATTGGGGCACCGGACAGAAAGGGCGCGCTGTTCGCAATCTGGCCGAATTTCTAGGCCGCGAAGTAATTTTCCACTGAAAATGTGGCCTAACTTTTCAAACTCGGCCCCGAGGTCGCTCAATTTGCACTGTAAAAGGAGTTTCTCAACAGAGCGCCATTTCTGCGCGGTGCCCCTATAATAGCTTAAAATCATTCATTCGAGCGGCCGTATGATCGCAGTGTCCACAAATGAATATTATCAAAACTTACTCGGTGTGTTTTGAACTTTCCAGCACTTGAAAAGTTTGACATCATTCAAATCCACGCGGTACCACTGCCACATTTTCGGACCTTTTTCCACCTATATAGTGCCCGAGAGCTTTAAAAAGATCGAAGTATAAAAACTGGTCCGTTGTCACGCATAAATGTGCAAGAGCTAACTACAAGTGAACCGGCCCCCGTGAGAAGCCATATTGCCTTGAACCTCATCAGGAACCCACTCAATTCTTTCAATAAGTTGCAAAATTTCCCTTGATTAAATAACAATATCGCAATTCTAGTCTCTCAGTATACAACTAATTTCAAACTGTCTAGTTTCAAGACTTTCGGTGATCACTGTTTCTTTTCAAAAATCCTGGCTGAAAGTGGTCGAAACTCACTATCGTCTCATTTTTGAACTTCAAAAGGGCAGTCCACTTTAAGCCATCATTTTATTTGAAAAAATAAACCTTAAATCAAAATACACACTTGAAAGATGAGCTCTTTCAGACTTATCAGGGCTTCGGAGAATGTTCGCCGCCTGTCCGGAAGACTAGAAGAATCATCGATTCACTTTCCAGTCACCTCAAACACCCGCATTCAGGGACTATACTTGGGTGACTGGATTACAAATGAGCAAAATATTGTCAGAGTCGTGTTTCTTCTCCAGCACTTCCTATCCTTCGTCTGGGGACCGAACGGCATCGACGCGATTGTGGAGTCGGTTGGGACGGGTGTTATTTATCGCTCATTTTGCAGACCAAACTGCGTCGTCGGCGGCACTTCTTCAGTCTCAACGTGTTCGCGATATCAGCTTCTCTGTAACATAAAGATCTAGTACTGAAATTGTGCCTCTTTATTGGGTCAATTTCTTGACGTCAGGACATTTCGAAACCAGACAGTTCAGAAGACACATTGACGTTTAGTAGCTAAATTTTTTGACACTAACAAAATTCTAGTCTCTCAGTATACAACTAATTTCAAACTGTCTGGTTTCAAGACTTTCGGGGTCCCTTTTTGCTCATATGCTGACTGAAAAGGATCGATTCACTATCTATTCGTTTTTGAACAAGTTTCAAAAGCTTACCTGCTTCGTGTGATCTTCTGAGGAGCCAGAGATTCAGACGGTGAATGACGAGTGCTCGTTTCTCAATAATAATATTTTTTTTGCCGTTCTAGCGCACCTTTTCGCCCATCCTCAATTTTCTCATTTTTAAGCCATTTTAAGGCTTATTTTCATTGATTTTCTGTCTTAACTCTTTGAAAATGTATCATTTTAAACAATTTTCAAAAATGGTAAAAAGGTCGAAATGCGCTACCTTGAAAATGTGGTCGAAATGGATGGTCGAAATGGTCGAGAAAAGGTGCGCTAGAACGGTGAATAAAAAAATGCTAAATAAATGGTGAAGCTAGAGAAAGATCTGCCTGCGCTAACAAATCTAGATCTCCTTGCTTTAGTCGAAGTATTGGAAATCAAGAATTTTAGAGGTATCTTCATGCGTGTTATAGCATAAAAACCTGTTAAAAAGAAGAAATTGCTGTTTAAAGTCGCAAAATTTTCACAAAAATTACGAAAATTTTCTCAAGAGTGGGCGGAGCCGGGCCGGGCCAGCAAATCGTCGGCCCGGCCGGAGCGGGATTTGGCAAGTCTGAAAAGAAGGTCACACAGAGAGAAAGAGAAATTGGCAGGGTGAAGGTGTCACACCAAAGGAAAGAAGAGAAGGAGAAAAAGAGAGTGGTCAATCTGTAAGATCTAGAACTCGACGAGTTTGGTCACACACTGAGTCACACGAAGAAACTGTTTGAATAGGGCCTAAAGAGCAGACTTGCCAAATCCCGGGCCGGCCCGGTCGGCCCGGAAGTTAGACCTCAAAAAAATATGCATGCAAAAAAAATATGAAGGAAGAGGAAAACGCGTGCGGCAAAATTGCTAAAATGGCGTGCCAGAGTTGCAATCAATCGCTCCGCCCACTCTTGAGAAAATTTTCGTAATTTTTGTGAAAATTTTGCGACTTTAAACAGCAATTTCTATTTTTTAACAGGTTTTTATGCTATAACATTGCCTTTTTCGTCTTTTTTTCTATTTCTGCTGAAACGACGGACCCCACTATGTTCGTTTCGAAGTTCTAGTTCGCTTTGAATTTTTAGGTGCATCCTCCCGGGCCGACCCGGAAAATTTCCAATTTTGGCCCGGCCCGGCCCGTTGCAAGTCTGCTAAAGAGTATTTCTGCCAAGTAAAAAATGTCGTTACGGATCCTGAATAACAAATTAACATAACTGGCTTTATGAAACACTTCTCCTGTCAAAAAAAATCCGTGTATTGGTTGACCCATTTTCAAACGGTTGACAGAAACTCTCCCATAACTCACATGTTTCTGGTGATAATCGAGAATCCATATCGTCCATACGCCTCAATTTTCTTTCCTCTGCTTTCGAAATCGTGGCTGAGCAAACAATGAATTCCAAAATCGGCCAGTCTACGGAGTGGCCTGGAGGAAACGGTTTTTCCACGGTGGAAACTCGAAAATGTTCTCTTACAGTCGGAATGTGCAGGCAGCAATCTCAGCGTCATGCGTATTATAGGGGTACCGGACAGAAAGGGCGCGCTGTTCGCAATCTGGCCGAATTTCTAGGCCGCGAAGTAATTTTCCACTGAAAATGTGGCCTAACTTTTCAAACTCGGCCCCGAGGTCGCTCAATTTGCACTGTAAAAGGAGTTTCTCAACAGAGCGCCATTTCTGCGCGGTGCCCCTATAATAGAACATGCTTTTCACCACTTCTGTAAATTTACTAAACTGAAAGGATTGATATAACTTTTCCGTTACTGATTCAATTATCGACTATTTTATCGATTCACATAAACTATTGCGTACCGTACTCCAAAATGCGCGTAGAGTATAATACATTGTGCAGTGAACCACATGGTGTTCATGCACAAACGTCGACGCGGTAAAACATTTTCAAATGTGTCCTTCTCCCTCCCATTCGTCGTACTTGCTCGATTTGTTCTCTCGGTGTCACTGTCACAGCCTAGGTGTCAGTTTTTGTAGAATTTCTCCTTGTCAAGGTCATTAACGCACTATGCTTTCCGCTTAGTGCATTTTTCTAAATATTTTTGTTGTTTTCACCAGTTTTTCTTCATTTTAAGGAAAATTGATTTACTGTGCGAGTCTTGCTTCTTTCTCGAAAATTTCGCATTAGTGTGATGTAAGCGATCGATTTTCTAATTAGAGATCTGTGGTTTTTATTCGACCTTTTCGAAACAATGACATGTATTCCATTCCGGGAATAATATTTATCATAGCGACATGATTCATTTAAGATCGATTTAATTCCCCTTGTTCTGATTGTTTGTTAATTCCAATTGTACCAAGTTCTTCTCGCAAACCGCAGCGCGCAGCACAATTTTCCGTGATGACAGTCACGTGTCCGAATCGATTGGTTCTCGAATGTCACGTTGACATGCTCTCCTTTTCGAGCGAGGACGAAATCACGCTGCCTGCTGCTGCTGCTCTTTCTCTAATCTCTCTCATACGGCAAAGCAGCGAGAGTAAGACATCCTCATCCTGCCCATGTATTATACCCTCCTCGTTACTCTTGTTAATCACACGTTGTTCATCGAAGGGAGTATGTTTTGCTTCGTTGCTATGGCGATTTCCGCGTTTTCAAAATTTGTTGGTAATTACTATACTCTTCAGAAATCTCTAAATGGCTGACGACGCTGCTGCTCAGGGAGGTGATAACGCCGAATACATCAAGATTAAGGTTGTCGGACAGGTAAGATTAAAAAATAAGGAAAGAACACGCTTAATTTACTTTTTTCAGGACAGCAATGAGGTCCACTTCCGAGTTAAGTTTGGAACATCGATGGCCAAGCTCAAAAAGTCGTACGCCGACAGAACTGGAGTCTCTGTGAGCAGTCTCAGGTATGACAGCGAAAACATCATTCGTAAAATCAAGCTGTATTTTCAGATTTCTTTTCGACGGACGCAGAATCAATGACGAAGACACCCCAAAGACGCTGGAGATGGAAGACGACGATGTCATCGAAGTCTACCAGGAACAACTCGGGGGTTCTTTCTTCTAACTCCTCTTCTCGTCACATTATTCCGAAAACTTTATCACTCTAAGATACTCTACTTGTGTCCCCGTTTTCGGCGCAAAAATGCGCTGACAAGTAATGTTTCTGACCTTGTGTTCCTCCAGTTTCGAAATTTTGTATTCTTTATTTCGTCTGCTTTTGCAAGCCGTTTTAAATAACTTATTTATCACAATTTATCACAATAAAGTAACTGTTTTCGGAAGTATTCGTTTTACTTGGACAGGAAGTTCGCAACTCGCGACTCGATTAGCTTTTCCGTCCATTCTCCACTGGCCATGAAATTCTCGATTTCTTCCACCGTTCTTGGTAGATCACTCAAGTTCTCATTTCCGCAGGCTCGGATTATGACGTCATCTTCGATGCGGACACCTCCAGAGCCGCGGTACTTGTCAATTTCGGATTTGACAAGAAAAATACTTCTCACAGGGTCAGAAAGGGCTTCGTCCAGAAGAAAATCAATAAAATAGCAACCAGGCTCGATAGTAATTGCCTGAATTTTTCTCGTTCGATTGACCTAATAAGCAACATTTTTCTACCATTCTTTCCTGCAAAGAGCGAGTAGTTCTGAGAGATTTCAGACCGGGGAGGGTCGACCTTGGAGTGGCATCGCCCATATATCCTCCACAGTCGTGAACATCTAGACCAATGAGGTGACCCAATCCGTGCGGCATGAAAACTGCTCCCAGTCTTGCTTTCACTGCTTCGTCGATGTCTCCGACAACAATGCCGGCCGCCTTCAAATGCTCCAGAATCACCTTCTCCGATAGAATGTGCATGTCAGTCCATCGAACACCCGGTTTCGCCGCCTTGAGAACTGCCAAGTTAGCAGCCAGCACGGCGTTGTACACAACCTTCTGCTTGTCAGTGAACTTTCCATTCGACGGGAAGGAAGTCGTAATATCCGATGCGTAGCAGTTGTATTCTGGTCCCATATCAAAAAGACACATGTCTCCGTCCTTAATGAACTTGTCATTCGGTGCGTTCGCATGTCCGTAGTGCAGAATCGAGCCATTGCATCCGGTGGCCGCAATGCACGTATAGGCCAGATGACGACATCCTCCATGATAATAGGAAGTGTGACGGAACAGACTCTCCAGCTGATACTCGTACAAGCCTGGCTTCATGTGCTTCATCGCGGCTCGATGAGCTTCGGAAGCGATTTTGCTGGCATATCGCATTACATCGATTTCTTTCTCAGTCTTGATCACTCGCAATTCGGCCATCATCTTGTAGAGAAGATCGGTATTCACTGTGAAGTCTTGACTTCCTTCAAACTTTGGCTCCTCAAGTACATTTCCACTGTCAGTGTTGTCGGCACGCTGAAAATGTTTATTTGGAAGATCAGGATCCTGCAGGACAATAATGTGAGTAAACTGACCAGAAGAAACACTTTCTTGGCTCCCAATGTTTTTAGACGATCTGCGATCGTCGTGGGCTTGTCATTGAAAATCACTTCATCGACTGCGTACTTTTGCTTGAAGAAGTCTTCCTTATTAATTTTTCCGTCCCAGATTGCGTAACTGGGGTCAAGTCTCGGAGCAAACAGAGTGGTATTTCCAGTCGTCACGTCTATCAATCCATAAAATTCACTCTCATTGACTCCGAAAGTCCAGAAGAAATACGACTCTTGGCGGAACGGAAGATCAGCAGCGTCGGTATTGTAGCGATTCTTTTCGATCCCTCCTTGGAGCAATACCGCTGAATTCGCTTGAACTTTAGGTTTCAGCGCTTCCAAAAGTCGATGTCGATTTTCGACGAACAAATCCACGGGAACTTTGAACGTCTTCTCGCTCAGTTGATAATAAGTCATTTGAATCGGTACTCTTAGGCAATACAATTTTGAATAGAAATGAAATTGACAAGAATAAAAGGGGAACTCGGCGATAAGTGAAGCACGCGTGACTGACAATCGATAAGTCGATAAGAAGAAAACGCGTCAAACATCAAACTTTGTTCATGATGCATGCATGCATGCAGAAAGAAACAGACAGAAAAGAGGAGGGGTAAAGCAAACAAGACAAGTTTCTGAAACTTGTTATTAAACACAAAAGTGATATGTAGACGTACAAAGAAAAAAGAGAACATCTAAAGAAATTTATCCGGGCGTTGAAATTTATATCGGAAAGGACCAGTCACAAAAGAGCGGCTCACAAAGGAGCATTTTACAGGAGAATTGATAAAATCGGTCGATAAAAATAATTGTTCCCGTTTTTGATGTAGACCCAGGTTAGTCGACTATCTCGACAAGAGGATAGCCTCGAGCATCGGACGATGATTTTGCTTCACTTTTTCGGTGCTCTCCAGCAAGTTCATCCATATCCGCTGTCTCCCGTACTCGTTCTCTTCCCAGTGTTGCAATTCCTCCGATACTTCCATCAGGAAAACTTGAGTTCTGTGCATGCGCACGTCGTCCTAAAGCTTCTAGATTGTGAACTATTCGACTGACTTCAATTACCTGGAATGTTCCAATCTTTTTCAAAGTGTTGGCACGTACTCCTGCTTCTTCCATCAACTCCCGATGTGCAGCTTCTTCGGCACACTCGTCTTTCTCGATCCCGCCTCCAGGAACAACCCACTTGCCACCATCTTTGCCGCCGCTGACCAGCAAGACAAGAGTCTCCTTGCCAGTCCCTAAAACATTACAAATGTTCTATAAGTTTATTCCAATTTATTTGTAGGTATTCGCTTCTCTATTTTTGTTTTATGCCATCTGGTCCCTTCTCGCTAAACATGTCAAAACACCAATGATGGTGAAAAACATTTTTTGTCTTGGAAATATCGTCTTATGTCCAAGACAAAGATAATGATATCTGTCTATTTCTCTACCCATTTGTAATCGTTCGATGATGCAAAATAGACACAATGAACAGTTCTACATTCTTCTCGAGTATTAGGCGACGAACTTCACACTCGTGACGTCATCTCACGCGCCCCGGTCAATTCTTTAAAAGTCGGGAACGACTTGTTTCAATGAACGCACAAAGATCATAGACGCAGCACCGAAGGATCTTTCCGCAAAGATGAAAAAGGCTTGGGAAATGGAACCACTTGAACTGGCAGAATACATGGCGCAGTTGAGAGAAATTGAGAGCGCGCACATCTCTTCAGACAAACAGTTTGTGCAGATTGCAGAAAAACACAAGAAAACAAATATAAGTTTTGAGTTAGGTAAAGAGATAATCTGCGTGGTTTCTGACTAAGCGACGTTTCGGAAAACACTATGAAAACATTTAAATATACTGACTGACCTTTGATGCAGAGAGCCGCAGCACGGATTCGATAGCCGTCGGTGTCACGAAGGCGTGTTTTGTTCCTCTCACTCTCGCGGAACTTCCAACGCGAATTCATGCACTGCCCAGCGGTCTCTTCTGCGCCCCCGCCGCTCGAGATGATGGTTGGTGAGCCCGTCGTTGTGCCGGCTGCGTCGCCACTGAGGCTGCTAGCGACAACAGGTCCGTTGCTTGAAGATTCTCCGCGACGACCGACTGTCGAAGTTATCGTGACTGAATCATGAAATAGAATGATTTAACAGTGAACGACAGTACAAATTGGAACAAAAACGCCAATTAACATCCATAAATATGGTGATTAGAAAACACGACTTTCAAATGATGTTAGTTATTATCAAAGGAGAATGGAAATGAACGAAGACAAAAGGAAACGTGTGAAAGACAAAAGGAAACGTGTGTTGCGATGGGACATCCAGTTGAGTTAAAGAGAGATTGCGAGCGTCTAAAGTACACACAAACAGAAATGAAAAGGAACATGAATGACGAACATTTCGTGAGGACTACCACCAATAAAACACAAATAAAACGCAGCTGATCTCCATTGGCAGCTATTGGGACCAGGACTCACTCAAAATGCCAAAGACTTCCTGATGATCTATTCGCTGACGTAAAACGACGGAAGGATATGCAAGATGAGAGAAAGAGTGTATGAGAGAGGGAAAGACTTAAACTCGAACTGCTTATTTATTAGATGGCCGGAGAAACGAAGAGTCAAACGCAGTGCAAGAAGACGGCGAGTCTGGCTTCTGTTTTCGACGTTGCTGCTGTTGGAGGAAAACGAGGAAGAGGGGAGTTGTTGGGACAAGAGACGGTGAGAGTGCGACGGCCCGAATGGCAGCCGCGACGGGCCCGTGGACGCCGTGTGGAGAGCGTCAGACGAGCAAACAAACGCACGCTCACGAAGAGGGTTATCTCCTCGTCTCCAACAGCCTGCGTCTCACAATAACGTGATAGCGCGGATGAATGACATCTTGATATATTTTGGAAGGAGACAGCAAAATACTACAAAAGTATGTACGGATTCGAAAGATTCGAACAGCAAGAAGGGCAGAAAAGTCAAGATCCCAATGCGAGGAAATAAGTATTCAAAGGGAGGTAACTCAGGACAGTGGAAGCATGAAAGTATCGAACAAAAGTTTATTAGCGAAAACAACGAGACACTCGGTAACAAGGTAACAAGAGGCCATGGGCACACGGCCAAAAACAGATACGACAGCTTGTTTTTTATTCATAGTAGACGATTCCGTCTTCATCTTCAATGGCTGTCCAGAGCTCATGGGTCACATCAGAAGTATCAGATGTGTACATGGGGAATGGGAGCCATTCGTCGAGAAAGCCGGGGAATAAAAACTTGTCGAACAAGTACATAGTAATGAGAGAAAGGAGGAAGACCGTCATTGGGTAGAAGAACATATAGTCTGGGGATTCAGATTTGAGCAGCTGCACGTTGTCGCTTATTGGTGTCGAGATCATGCTGAACTTGGTCACGGCGACGATCGTAACGTCAATCCACTCTCCCATTGTGCAGCTTTCCAGTGGCACCAGTATCTGCTCGTAGCTCTTGTTGTGACCAACTCCGTGACACTTATCTGAAAATTTGGAATACAGAAGTCCGGTATGAACGGATAGCGCCAACCTGCAGCAACTTCAGTCACCAGAACTCGATGAACTTCTCCAATTCGATCTTCTGAGAAGCGAGTATACGACCTGAACAATTCTGACATGGCAGCAGTCCTTTTCCTAGCTTCCACGGTATCAATTTTCTTCAAACGAGCCGCGGGAGTGCCACTTCTTGGGTAGTACTGATTGATGAACAGTGATGGAAACTTGTATTTTCTCACAAGATCCATACTTTCCTCGAAGTCTTCCTGAGTTTCCGTTGGGAATGCCAAAATCATATCCGTGGCAATGTAAATATTCGGAACACTGAAAGTTACGTTTTCTATCAAAATAAAATAAAATATTAAACTTTTCAATCATATAATCTGCAATTTGTTCGAAGTGTCGTCTCGAGTACTCTCTTTTCATGTCGTTTAAAACTGCATCACTTGCGCTTTGTACCGGAATGTGCAGGAAGGCGTAAACTTTCGGATGGTTGAGGATTTCCGCAATTTCCTGCAATTTTCGCTTAATGTTTAAAAAAAAGAGCGGATCTACCTCAAGATGATCCAGAATATATGGAGGGTTTGTCATTCCAAGCCTCATCATACTTCCATCGGGAATAACTTTCACCAATTCCTTCAACAAGTCCGGAAGAAGCAAACCGATATCTCTACCCCAGGCTCCCAGATCTTCTGAAGTCAACCACAATTCCTTAACTCCTTCATCATGGAATGCGGCTCTTGCTTGTTCTACCAGTTCCTCAAGTGGGTAGCTGACCAGGTCTCCTCTCGCCATTTTTGTTTTGCAATACGTGCAATTGTTGAGACATCCAGTTGAGATGGAAAGAACTTCAATGAGCTCGTTCTTCCGCATTTTCGGAAGACTAAGCAGAGCATCCGGTCGATTACGAGACAGCAGACGAACCTTGTTTCCTTTCAAACTCTCCCCAACAACCTCAACAATTCGGTCAATCTGTTTCACTCCAACAATTGAAACGTTTTGTAGCCAAGGTTCAGAAGGAGCTGCCTGGGAGACACATCCGGCCATAATAATTTTCTTTCCGGCTTTCTGGCCTTGAACAACCAGATTGTTCGCCTGCTGCTCGGATGGAGTTTTGACAGTACAACTGTTCAGCACCCAGACATCAGCATGCTCTCCCTCCTTCATGATGTCATAACCAGCTTTTCTAAGCAGTCCGCTCATGTATTCGCTGTCCGATGTGTTATGAGAGCACCCCCATGTTCGAACCCACACTTTCTGGCCGACTCCGGGAACGACTGAGTCTACGTTGGCTTCTTCATGTGCCTGCTTCGGAAGCTGCTTACGAGTGCTGAAAGGGAAGGATCAGAAAAAGGATTAGACGGGCTGGTCTTACCGTATTTTGATTTCAGAGCCATCTCTGTCTCCGAGTAGATCTCTACCAACAATGTCTTCGATATCCATTTTAGACCCAGCTGAAGATGTTTGGTTTTTAGAGTCACCTTGTAAAAAGTAAAATAAACAATCAGACGGAAAACAGTTAAAACGGACAAAAGGTTCGATTAAATAATAGTTTTTTATACAAAGTCAGTACATATTACATATTTCACAGTGTAAATGCGGAAAAGAAGCGAATATGACGATGAGAAAGAAAAACTGCACGTTGATAAAAATTTAGTGGGAAATAACTGTGATCAACGGATTGAACAGTCTATTATGCAAAAGGAAAAGGGCGAGGGGTTGACTAGTTTGGGTAAGGTTTCAAAGGTAACTGATAATCCCAAAGAGGTAGGAGGAGATCATTTTGAACTGTGAATCAGTTAAAGTACATTTTGAATGAAGGTGGTATCATAGTTAAGAATTAAAATTTTCATAAAGCTCATTTCACGACGGGTGTTCTCGAAAATCACTCGAGGATCTTCGCTCTCACACCTGAAAATTAGAAATGTTCATCACTTTTCTAATTTGTCGTGTACCTCAAAATGTTTGGAGCAATGACCATAGCCAAGTTAGAAGTGTCCATTTTCGTCTTGGCTACAACTTCTTCTCTGCTCAAATCTTGAAGCAGATCTATTACTCGAACAAGAACCAATCGGTTGATGTCAGGCAGTAAATCTACTATCCGGACGGCTTCCGCTGCATTTTCTGCTGCTGACAGGGCACGCTGGTAAAGATTGGGAAGAATTAACGGGACGGGAAGTTGGCGCAGCCAAAGTTTCAGAAGGCAGGCTGGAACGTTGGCATCGTGCATTTTTGGGGCGAGCCATCCGTCAAGTTGACCACGAGCTGTTGCAAGCTGTTCAGGATCACCAGCAACTCTGAAATTACTCAAAAATAAACAATGAATAATAGAATAAAACACTACCGGAATATTCCTTCAGTTCGCCGTCCTCCTGATTGATAAAGTAACTCTATTAGAGTGGTCAGTAGCCACGGAAGCTTGAGCTCTGGGAATTTCTCAGATTGCATTTGCATGAGCTCTTCCAAAGATGCAGAAAACAATGGAGGTCGGAAAATGTGCACTTTGGTTTCTTGAATGCTTGCTATTGTAGGTTTCAGTCGAGCTATCACTTTGCTCAACCTTTTCATGCACTGCTGGGAGAAATATGAAGTGGATACTTCGGGAAGATCAAAGATAGGATCGAGATGTTTGCTGAGAAACTCGTTCAACTTTTCACTGATGTTTTCAGTCGGAAAGATGTAAGCGAGAACGATAGTCAGCAGTTCCCATCCTTTTCTGCAAAACTAATTGTTAGGTTGAACGAGAAGAATAAGTTCTTACCGTAAGCTGTCGGGCCTGTCGTTATCGGACAACTGTTGAATTAAAAGAGCGATCGCCTCGTCTCCAATCTCTAGTTTCTTCACAGCCAACTCACAAAACGACAGCGCAATTTGTTCAGGATTAACTTTACTTTTCCGATCTCCCATGTACGACTGAATCAGCTTGAACAAAGCTGCGGTCTCTTTGCGTAACTGTTTATTTTCGGGTTGTGTCAGTGATGTTTTAGGTGGTTCTTTCGACCAACCATTCTTGTTCTTGCCCTTTGTTGAAGTGACCGAGGAGAATAGTGATCGTCTTCCAGGAGGCGGAGGCGATGCGGACCTAGAGGAACGTGCGGGAATTGAGTCGGAAGATGGTGCATGCGATAATGTTGAAGATGCACTGGCAGCAGTCGGGAAGGCACCATATGGTGGTCCATTCTTCGAAGCAGGATTAGCCCCGTATTCACTGGCGCCCCTTTCACTGAGTGCGCTGTCTTCGTCAACCGACATCCACTGCAAAAACAGGATGTGCAATGAATTATGCTAGCTAAAATGGGAAAATACACTCACCTCAAAAGAACTCTGCATTCCGTTTAGAGTATTTTGAGAGTTTCGACTGTTACTTCGGAAAGATACGACTCCTGCATCAGGCGAAATGTTTTGTGCGAAAACAGGACCTGTCACTTTGTTTGTAACTCTTCGAACAGAAGGCGATGTTTGGGTTTCACATGTTCTGCGAATCTTAAATTCTAATAATGAGGCATGTCGAAAAAACTGAAATTGGAGTACTTTGGCTGCTGCTCCTTCAGTATTCTCTTTCAGAGTTTGTAACTTCGCTAGGGGAATTATATCAATGTCGACTCCAGTCGGTTTTTGCCATTTTGTCACGCTAGACGAGGCATTGTAGTAATAATACCTTCCGGTTTTCGAATCAAACAGCTCCCACCACTGATTTTGATGTGTCGTTTTTCTAAAAAATTTTATTGATGATGGGAAGACGAATGAGAAAGTCAAGTGCGGAATACTTACACATTGGCTCCAAGTGGTGGTTCCCATGCACACTGCCCGGTTACAAGATTGGCGTACATTGTTTGCCGTGATTGAGGTTCGACGATTTCTACCCATTCCACATTGGCAGCTCGAGATCCGGTCGAACCATTCTCGTAGAACTCTGCATTAGACGACGAAGATGGCATCGCAACTGAGTCCCCCTCATTATTACTCATTTTATGGCATCTGTCCGGAGGTTCTGAAAGAACTTCGATAAGCGCGGACTCAAAACGGACATCACAAGCTCGAGAATTTGAGAGGAGAACACCGGAGAAAAAAAAGAACACGCACTTAGTTGTGTAAACCTTAAATTGGCTTAAGCGGGTACCAGCGCTCTTAACAAACAGCACGATGCTTCTGGTTGAGTCTTTTCATCGATTTTCTTGTTGCCGTTAAACAGCACACTTACGCGTTATTTCGGAGTGTCGTTGTTTTTTTTACTTTTAAGGAATTGCCGGCAGCAACAAAAGCATATTTTAGATGTCATTTAATAATAATTGGACCGCGCCACCGAATCCGTGGCACAATTCGAATTATGACCCAGCATCTTGGCGACCGTATGCAAATAATCTATCTAGCGGACCGATCCGCAGACCGACAGAAATCGGGAACGCTAGAAATGGATGGTGCAGTTGGCTTTCAGACCCATATTTTGCACGAAATTCGCACGCACAGACACATATGATGAATTATGAGAGGTTTTTTTGAATTCCTGAAAACATAGTAGTTTTCCGGTTGCAGAAATCGCATGCATCTTTTCAATCAGCCCCCAGTACCCGCACTACCGTATCACAGACCGACAGATCAGCGCCCATTGAGAAAACCGCTTCTTGAGACTCCAATGAATGATTTTGTCAGGCAGACCTTAATGAACAGTATGGTATACTCAATTTACCGCTCTTGCTCCCTCGGTGTTCGCGTACTCAAGCCTAATTTCAGAAAATTTTGCTTGAGTCTTCAAACACCGACGGGCAATAGCGATGAATTGAGTTTAGTGCTTGACTCCTACTCTTAATTCACCGCCCTTGCCCCCTCGGTGTTTGCGTACTCAAGCCTAATTTCAGAAATTTTGGCTTGAGTCTGCAAACACCGAGGGGCAAGAGCGGTGAGTTGAGTTCACTGTTAAGAGTTCCTCTTCAGATGCCCATGTTCCTGGACTACGTACTGGTCTACAACTCCGTAAAGCTAAGCAGCAAGAAAATCTTATAAGGACACCGGCAGCAAATGAAAAATTTAATGTCAAGCCAATGGTGGTGAACGTTTCAGTACTTTCTCACAAGATTGAACTGCGATGGGAAAATCCGACACCAACCAGTATGAATCTCTTATTTTATCCAATTCAACAAAAAATTTTAGGAGACATTAAATATATTATAACTTGCGAACAAGTCAAAACAAAATTGATAACTTTATTTGAAAAGCCATCAACATCCGCGATGTGTGAGCTCCAAGTCACAGCCGGCGACACTTACCATGTAGATTTAGAATGCTGCTGTCTTGACAACGGAATGCCTATCGCAAAGTGGTCTCGTGAAATTCGTGCAGGTACTCTATAAACTAAAAATTTTTTTAAATACAACGTTTTCTAGAATTCAGCTATAGCGAATTAAAGCTTCTCCTGCAAAAGTGCTATAATTTCATCGGTGGTGGTGGGAAAAAAGATCCTCAAATGCACGAGTTCTGTGTAGTTTACCGATGCAAGCCTAAGGTCTACTGGGACGAAATCCATCACTACTGTAATGACGTCATGCAAAAATACATCAAAGATGACAACGGTCAACCTGGAAACCTAATCAATGGAAAGATCAACGGTCTTTTCTTCTCAGCACGACTTCTACCTGACCTCACTTTACCTCAATTCTCGCCATTCGGAAATGTGAGAATGATTATCAACGCATTTCCGCTGTTGAACCCAGAACGTCACAATTTCTATTTTGCTGATTTCTACTGTAACAAGAACATTCATTACGTTACTGTCGTCATTTGTGTCATAGACTCTGACACTGACATCTACTGTCGTGACCGTCTGATTAGACTGAATCCGCTCTCGAATCCTTTTGTCAAGCTAGTTCCACCCCCGGATCGCTTTGGACCATGGCGATTTTATGTCAATTACACCTTATGGGTCGAACTTTACTATACCGAAGACATACAACTGAACATGGGACAGTTCTCAGCAATTATGGCTACTGGAGCTGGAACTTCGAAAATTGGTGGTCTGCCGAATAACAAAGCGTGCAGCTTGTGCAATTTGTATCCACATCGCAAAAATATCAAGAGAGAAATTATTACTCCGGAAGAGATGAAGAATGCGTCGATCAGCACTGATTCCACATTGGCGACAATATTGCGAGAAAACAAGCCTGTTGATTCTGGAGTGCTCGACGTTCTCTGTTATTTGATAGACAGAGTGGAAGAGAGATGCATATCAGTGGAAGAACTGACTGCCAAGACAGATAAGGACTTGGTTGAAGCGGTTGAGAAGATGAATAAAGCGGTTTCTTCATCAAATAAGCTGAAGACGTCGATGGAATCCTTCTTGAATGGGATAGCCACTAATTTGAATCAGTTTGTCGAAAGTTTCCAAAGGTACTTGCGTGATACATTGAATTTGAAAAAGTGTTTGACTTTCAGACGCCGTGACAATATAATTGAAGACGTCAAAAAACTGAGAAACGATTCAGCTTAACCTTCGTTTGAGTTTGTTGTACAATTTGTTTATCACATTCTTGCATCACATTAGGCTGGTCGAATAGGCGGTTTCAGGCGCCTACGCCTGTTTTTTCAGGCACCTGTTTTTCAGGCGCCTGTTTTTTCAGGCGCTTGTTTTTTCAGGCGCTTGTTTTTTCAGGCGCTTGTTTTCTCAACGCAGGGACGCAGCGGCGCGTTGAAAAAACAGGCGCCTGTTCGACCAGCCTACATCACATATCACTTTTCCCATTTCCTCATGCTTTACGCGTACTTCCTTCTCTAGAACGGTGTATTATCTTTCCTAATGAACGTTTTTTATATAATCGTTTATTAAACATTCACCACCGTTGTCATGCCGTATTGTACCTGTCCTATCCAATGTACCACTTCGACTCGGGGGAGAAACTCCATCTGTGCAGATATGAACGAGTTCTTGAGCTGGTGTAAAGCACGTGGTTATCAGTTCGATGGGTTTGAAATCACTTGCCCTCCTGGAAACTGCGGAAATGGAATTTACGCAAGAAAGGACGTTCGGGTCGGAAAACCATTCATAATCATTCCGGAAACGGATATGATCAACGCGGCGCTGGTTGTTGATCTTCCATTCTATCGAAAAATTCTAACGAAAATAGATCAAAAGCTGAAGCCAATGGAAATTCTGACCCTTTTCTTTGCTTTCGAAGACATGGAACAATCCGCCTGGTCACCATATCTGAAAGTGCTACCGAAAACGTTCGATACTCCCGCTTTCAAAGGAACCGAATACGACACAGCCAGTTTGCCATTGTCTATCCGATCGTACTGGATCAATCAGAAAAAAGAGATAGCAGATATTTCTGAGAAAGTACTGTTAAACGTGCGAGCTCTTCTTACCCATAAACGATTTCAGCTGCTCAAATGGTATCCGGAACTGAGTCGCGACAAAATTTTATGGGCGTGGCACGTCGTGAACACTCGATGCATTTTTGTAGAAAATGAAGAACATAACAATGTCGACAACACCGATGGGGATACTATTGCAGTCATTCCGTTCGTTGACATGCTTAACCACGATCCCGATAAATTTCAGGTCATACCAATCAAATAGGTCCGACAAGACATTGTAACTTTCAGGGAGTAGCGTTGCATGAGAAACCAAATGGGCGATATGTTGTGCAGGCGAAGAGGCAGATAATGGAAGGAGATCAAGTTTTTGTATGCTATGGACCTCATGACAATGCCCGCCTGCTTGTTGAATACGGATTCACTCTTCCGGAGAATCTAAATGCGAAAGTTCTAATTCCGCAAGGTTTGCTGTTGTGATAGTTTGAAAAATGGAACAATTTTGCAGAAGTGTTGATTACTCTTGCAAAAATTGCCGGTATCAAAGTGACGAGAGAGCATGAAAGGGTTTTGGAAGAAGTTGGACTCGCTAGCCATCTATACGCAACGGATGAGGGTCCGAGTTGGTCATTGAGGACAAATGTGCGAGTGCTGCTTCTGGAGCACTGGCAGATTGCAAACGGACGATGGAAGAAAATAATCTATTCGCATGAGCCAATCGAAGAGGAAGTTGGTAAACAGATTGACGAGAAGCTGGTGATTATGCTCACGGAGCTGCGGAATGGTGTTTTTGAGAAAACGAAAAATATGCCGCAAGATGTTCAATGGATGTGGAAAGACCAGCTCAAAGTTTGTGAGACTGCTGTTGCCTCGTTCAACGATGAAACACAGGAAATTGTTATCTCTTGAGAATTAGTATGTCATTTTTAGTTTTCGAATAAATCGCTATTTTTAAAAAATATATGTCAAAACTTTTTATTAAAGATGTATTATGAGAACGAAGTCTTGTAACGTCTGCATGTGCGCATAAAAGCCCGGAGTGGAAAAAAGGAGAACGAGATGGATTGTGGGTCATCGTCAGTGAGCGAGCCATTCAAACTGTAATTGGCGGATGCTTCGGCTTTCTCATGTAGTCATCGAGTTCACGATCTAGTTCAGCGAGAGTTTTCTTTTTCGGCACTGATGGGAACGTTTTGCCCTGAAATGTATTTCCTCCTTGGAAACCGTTGTTGTTGATTCTATTACTGAAAAGCTTGCGCTTGACTTGGTTGAAGCCGGACCTGGAAGCATTAAAAATCAAAATACGAGTTCCTCTGACTCAAAAATTACCTAACAGCAGGCTTCTTGAACGTTTGGAATTGAGGATTCCTATTAACAAGGTTAGTGCGTGGAGCGAACCCTCTCTGAGCGGGAGCAGTCTTCACGAACGTCACACGGTTTTCTGTAAGATAGCGGAAGTCAATAAGATCAAATCTGCTGTAGCTTACGAATAGGTACAGGACGTTGATGGAAGGTTGGATGAGGGCGTGGGCGACGAATCACGGGTCTCGGAAAAACCTCAACCGGGTCTTCGTACTGAAGTTAACTGGTTGAAGCTGTATTCTACATTTTAACTTACTTCGACATTCTGATAAACTGTTTTTGGCACAAATTTCGGTTTCTTCAAGTGAGTTCTAGCTTTTGGAATAGAAGAAAACCTGACGTTTAGTTATGTTTTTAGAGTTTTCGCACGTTCGCATACCTTTCGTTCAACGACATTTTCGAATTGCCAGCGATGACAATTTTTGACGGAACAGTTTTTGGAGCCATCGCTCTGCAAAAAAGGTTTAAATATAATTTTATAAGAGCCGAAGTTTTGAATTGAAAAATAGAGAGAACAAGAAACGGAAAAATGTTAAACGAATTTGTTATTATCTACCAAAACAGCGCGAGCGCGAGACTAAATGTGCTCAAAAGTCAATTAAGTGCATCTATTCCCACCGCATTATTCTGCCGTTCGCGTTCGTCATTACGGCGCAGTTTTCGCAACCATTGACGTGCTGCAAGTGCGCTCTACTGAACTTTTCCGTCACGATTGCAATTTCTTGCTTTTCGACAAAAAACTTCGGATACTTTTTCTGTCTTTATTCTTTGTGTCGCCTGATTTTTAAAACGAAACTATAAATTCAGGCGATGAGGGCCTTGCTTGCCGTCGTAGCCCTAATTGGGTTTGTCGTTGGCCAGGATCAGAATTTCCATCTAAGCATCTGCTCTAACCCACCGAAGACGCCACCAAAGGCTCTCAGTGATAAAATCGCTTTGCCAGAATCTTACAAGGTGCTCAAAAAATGCTATCCGGACAGAGTGAACTGTGATTGTTCAGGTTTCTGGATCAGTCACTGATTGGATGAAATCAAGCACGTCGCTTCTCGTGGAAAGTGCCACGAAAGAGTATCGCGTGCTTCAAAAACAGACGCGAGACGAGATGCCCCAACGCTGGATTGAACGACTTACTGGTGCGAAGCAAACAACATCAGTTAACCTAAACAGTGAGTTGAAACCAAATTTTCAAATTCCTCAATCAGCTTTCAGCTGGAGAGTGCATTGCTGATGCTCCTGACCCAAACGTCTTCAACATCTCCCGCTTTGACAGCATCATTGGCTCTGACATGTCATCACTGTACAGCATTATTCAAGGACTCATTGCATTCAACAAGAATCACACCGGATTCTTGGTAGAAGATTATGTCGAAGTGGTTGGAGGAGTTAACTCTATGAAATGGGTTTCCTGTATCAATGGAACTACTACTAATGATACAAAAGTGGTTCTCGAAGTTCGATATGCTGGAGAAGCGACTATCCGCCCGGCACTGTCGGAATTTTCCAATCCGCTGCTTCTCTCGATCCGTCTCGCAGAACTCCCCGATTTTAACTCAACGGTCGCTCTTAATCACGTTTCTATCGAGTTGGATCGTTACGAACTGCCAACTGGTGACGAAGCAGCCATTTCTCATGGCGTTTACTGTCAGAATCTCAACAGCACCGATCTTCCATTGAAACCTTTGGATGAGTACGCCGCTGTTCTGAACTACTACGATTACTCGTCAAATCGTTCTGAAGTTGTGGAAATCCTCTATTCCAAGTCGCGGCAAATGTTCATTGTTACTGGAGATTCTTTGGATTACGGCTTGCAGCTTCTCCGCCCGGACAAACGTTATGAAAAAGGCACCGACTATGTTCTTCACGATTTCAAATACGGATACGAGTTCACAATGAGTCGCGAAGCATGTATGGGCTTTTCGGCACTGGACAATAGCACTCGCGATGTTGCACGCCTAAACGACACTACTCTTTCTATGCAGCCGATGCAATCAATTCTCGTGGATCCCTCTCTTCGATGGGTTGAGTATCAAAAGGATGTGGACGTGAATGGAAAATCGTTCAAAACATATCGTGCGTTCAGCACGAAAACGAACGATGAAATTGTCGAGCTACAATTGACCGACGACGGAGAACTTCATTCGATGGCCAAATTCCAGCCAGGCTCTCGTCGTTTGACACTGTCCTTAAGCGTGTCAAAAATGTCGGTCGAGTCTTCCCGGCTCAATCGTAGAGCAGCACAGTTTTCCGATTGCTATGACGATGGGAAGTTTGCTAACAACACTTGGATTGTGCAGATCAGAGACAGTAAGCTTTATAGAGAGTATTAGTATCCGATCGTTCTTGTTTCCAGAAAACACAACGGATCTCCGAAAAGTTGGATTGAATCGCCTGAACGAAGCTGTTGCTGATTCCATCTCAAAGAACGTTCATCCAATAATTCCGTACCGTGTTGTTGTCTATTGGGTAGAAAACAAGGATAACGGACTATCCATTATTCTGCGAATCGCCGAGAAGACCGTAAAACCGCCGGCAAATGTAGGCTACAACTACACTACTGAGCTTTCTACTGCCGATTTGTACAAGTTGCTAAATTACACAATTCTTCTCGACAAGATGCCGATTGTCGTCGAAAAGGTTGACGGTGTGAAAGAGGTGAAACTATTGCTTACATTTGGTTGTGGACGCGAGAAGCTTTCAGGAATGGATGGTTGATGGAAGCACTATGAAGATGTATCCTCCCGATAATGATTCTGGCTTCGTCGGTTACACGGGCGGTGCCATGTTCGTTCTCGCCATATTCTGTCTGCTCATTGGAATTTCAATCGGAGCTGTCGGTGTCTTTGTTGCTACCAGACGTCAGCGCATTTCAACTCTGGCTTATCAAGTGTTCGAGTAAACAGTCTCATTCACAGCTCAAATGTCATAGCATAATGATTTTTATACTTATTTGTTTTATCTAATTCTTCTGTTCATCATTCCTTCCTCGAGTTTTTCGACTGGTATTTTGATTGTATTCTGTTTGCTTCTTGTATAATGCCGTCACTGTAGTCCAGTGATATTTACTTTATGTGTACTTTTGAATTTTTTCTATGTTTAGAGAAGCAGTTTCTCACTTATCGCTCGATTTGCAACGAACCTCAATGAACCCGATTTAATTACTTATTTTTTCGATTCGCGTTCGTTAATGGTCTTTAGCCATTATATCGTAATTTTGAAGACGAAAGTAACTTGAAGTGACGTCGTTCAGATGTCACAGGCTCTGAGAAGCGCAAAAGAAAGAGCCCTTCAAATTGTGGAGCAAGCTTCTCGGGTTCGTATCCAGGATGCCAGGGACAACATCGGGGCAAGAACGACTGGAAGACAGCTGAAGAAAGGGCACAATCAGGTATAGCGTACTCCCCTGTCCATCGCATTACATCTGATTTTAGATGGGACATACTCAAGGCGCTCTGGAGAGAGCAGCCAAACCGCCACTCGGATGGATTTGGGGTGACTTCTTCAGACCGTGGCAGCGAATGTATCCCGGCGAGAAGTTATTTAATGCCGACATCAAGTTCGTTGTATTTGAAATGTCTTTTTAAGGATCCGATTTTTCAGTTCCCGTCGAGAGTACATTCCACTTTCTCTCGTCGAACTTGCCAGACTAATTGACCTGGGATGGATCAATCCACGCCAACCGATCGATGTCTCTGTGCTCTGCTCAACTCAAAAATTCAAACTGAATCCACGCATCCGGCAGTATGGATTTGATCTCACCGAAGAGGGTGCCGATTCCTTCCCGTATCCAATTGACATTGAAGTTCAATACGCGACTCAATCTGCAATTGCGGCCGTTGAGAAAGCTGGAGGACGAGTACGAACTGCGTATTACGATGTTCAAAGTCTTGAAGCGGCTGTCAACCCGAAATCGTGGTTTGAGAAAGGAAATGTTGTTCCGAAGCGGAAAGCGCCTCCTGCTAGCCTTATGGGATACTACATAGACGCAAAGAACCGCGGATACTTGAGCGAGCCGTCACAAATTGAACAAGAACGGGAAAAAACGGCTTCTGTGCGAGGATACACTCTACCAACATCGGAAGTTATAATGGAGCCTCTGAAAGCGATTGACCAAGTGTTCCATGGAATTCCATCCGGAAGCGTCATCTCCCTAGCCGACAAAAAGGTTTTTGCAGTGACCAACGAGATTCATCGAGAATATTTTAGCAATTTGAGATCGGATAAAATCTATTCCTGAATGGAATTTCGAAATTATAAATTAGACTTCTGTTTCCGTTTTTTTGTTTATCATTCTGTTGAAGTGATATTCAGGCTAATAAACTTTGTTTTCAAATCTTTTTTAGAACCATAAATACGTTGAATGGAATGTTTACTTTTTCTTCTTGTTCTTCTTTCCTGCTGTACTAGCAGAAGACGTCGCAGCTGTTGCAACATATCCCGGCTGACGAGTCTTCAGTTTCGGAATCATCTCAGCAACGTACTTGAAGATATCCTCTCCTAAATAGGAAAAAATAATTAAAACAGCCAAAACAGCCAAACTATACTTGTTTTCTGAGCGTGTTTCGGGGTGCCGTCATCATTATTCAGCTGCACACGAACTCGTCCTTGCACTTCTGGCTCACGGTCCCCCTCTCTTGGATAACACTTGTTCCGCTCAAGAAGTGGATTGAATCCGATTGCAGCCAGAACATCATGAATCTCTACAGAAGTAGGATTTTCCACAGCCTAGAATGCTTCGAATGAATTTTTGTGATTGTTTTTCAACTTACGAGCGCTTTTGCGATTCTGCGTCCCTGCTTGGCAGTCTTCTTCTTATCAATGTAGGATGGATAGATGACGACCCAGCGTTTTTGACTAGAAAACGGATTAGAAGATACGAGACTAGTCATCTGTAAAGCAAGAAATTACAGCAAGAAATAGCAAAGTATTCCGAATAGAGATGGAAAAAGGAAAAAATCAAGGTTCCAATTCACTGGCCACGCCCATTGCAATAGCGCGGCGCGCGTTTCCGCAATGTGCGTTCACACAGCACAGATTCCTGATCATTCCGTTTTTGGAAACGTTCCCAGAGCAAGTGTCTCAAGAATCAGAAACCGAAAAAAAATGATGCCCGCTTCTACAAGTTTGTCTCATCGCAAATAAAACGAATTGCAAAATCGAGAAACAAAACATCGACTGCAAACCAACAAATTAGTTTAGAGACACCGTAAACAGATGGAAAAGAAGAAGAAGACGGAGAAGAAGTGAGGAGGCACACTTTATGTGGGCCAAACTCCATCTCAGGCTCATTTCCTCCGTCCGAAAGGGCCAACACAGAAAAGAAAAAGAACTGCGCCGGTCTTAATTTTTGTCCGTATTCCTGCATTCAACCCCTTTAAACCACATCATAAAATTTTCTCGGGGAAAGTGTTTCCATGCAGTTAGCCTCGATAACTATGAAATAGCCTCGATAGCTAGAAATGAGTCATTCAATGCTCTTAATCCCTTTGTATTTTTCCACACCTATCCTCTATTCATCGAATCTCAGTGTTTACACTTCTTTATGAATTAGCATATTGAGTTCATAATAATGCTCAGAATAGAAAAACCTATGTTTGTTTGGACAATTATACTTCGTACTTGGCTTGTTAATAATTCATATTCATATTTCCTATGTGCGAGTCTAGAATAGTAACTCCATCCTCTAGGTACTTTTTCTCGGTTCAACAGGCATTTCGCAACCCCTTCAATAGATGTCGTTCGCTTTCCTTCGTCTCCTATTTTCTCGCGGAAAAAAGCGTGAGAGCGTATACATGCTCAATTTCGTTGAATACACCAGAAAAAAATCGATTCGCGGAGAAAAGCGATGTGAACGCGAACAAGGCGATATTAGTTCTGAAGTGGACGCCACTGTTTCTGATAGGGGGAAAATTCAAGAAAAGCCTGACGACGGGGGGTCATACTTGAACGCTTCTGTTCAATAATCGCCCCCCGGCAGTGCAAAAAAAGGGGCTATTCTTTAAGAACTAGGTATTCTTAAAGGAAAGCACCCACCCCCCTCCTTTTCAGCAGAGGACATATTAAATAAGACCCCCACCATTCATACACCGCCCCACACTTAGAAAAGCCCCAACTCGTGTGAAACTCATTAAATATCAGAAAAACGATCATAGCGACGAAAAAGTAGACAACAAACAACTTGTTTTCGTATTTGACCGGCCAAATTATGGTACATTGTTCCGATGTACCCGAGATGACGCGCTGATGGGGGCTTTCCTTTAACATCTTTGCATTTCATTTGACGACACATTGGGGAGCTTTCCTTTAATCCTAACTCGGTGGGGACTCAGTGCGCGGGATGGCTTTCTGATTCAAGTACTTCCGGGCGTTCTTGTTGTTAGGTAATACATCTGCTTCCAGGAGGCTAAGCTAAGGAAAAAGTTCTCAGTCTTTTCTCTTCTTCTCTAGTTCCTGCTTTTCTCGGATTATTCTGTCTAGTATTTCTTCTACCTATTATTCGATCTGAATAAACGTGTATCGAGATACACTCGTCTTCCGTCTTTTTCCACCTCCTCGGGTTCAATAACCCTCAAACTTATCACTAAGTTTTACAGCTATGGAAAGTAGTACAAATAGCTCAATCACTGCTGACTTTGGCCGGGTCGTTTGGGTTTCTGACCAGATCCACGGATTCGTAGCAGCAAGGATCACCGACTTTTCGAAAGATGGCTTCACTCTGATCACTGAAGGGACAAATCAAACTATAACCCGTCGCTATGACGAGACATTTGCATGCGAGGAGGATTCGCTGACGTCAGTGGAGGACAACTGCGGTCTGATGCACCTGAATGAGGCGACTCTTCTCAATAACTGCAGGTTACGGTACTTGAACAAGAACATTTACGTTAGTATATCAGCCCACTTCCCTCGAAAATTTGTTTTTTTTTCAGTCATACGTAGCCAGTATACTGATATCCATCAATCCTTACCAGCAGATTGATAACCTCTACTCAAATGAAACGATCAAGCAATACAGAGGGAAATCGATCGGCCTCAAACCTCCGCACATCTTTGCAATTGCTGACAACGCTTACAGAGAGATGCGCCGCAGTAAAGTATCTCAGTCTATAATAGTGTCAGGAGAGTCTGGAGCCGGAAAGACAGAATCTCAGAAGGCTATTCTTAAATTCTTGTGTGAAAATTGGGGAGCCGAGGCGGGACCTATTCAAGAGCGATTGCTTGAAAGTGAGCGTTTTCTCCCCGAAAAAACATATATTCGCACTTCTTTTACAGCCAATCCCATTCTGGAAGCATTCGGTAATGCTAAGACTCTTCGAAACAACAATTCGAGCAGATTCGGCAAATTTGTTCAAGTACACTTTGCTAAAAACGTAATGTCAAATTTATAGAAAGTATGTATGAATCGTGTGCTTACAGGGTAGTTTAACTGGAGGTTTTGTGTCGCATTACTTGCTCGAGACTACAAGAGTGTGTCGTCAAGCACCGGGAGAGCGCAATTACCATATTTTCTATCAACTGATCGCTGGCTCCAGTGACGATCTCTACAAGCAACTGATTCTCTCACCGCCTCATACTTTTAATGTAAGGAAGTAGAAGGACTTTCAAGTCTTCTTCCATTTTCACTGATTTTCAGTATCTTCGACACGGCGCCAAAATGTTCTTCGTGCATAACAACTCAGAGGCTCAGAAAATTGGAAAGGATCGAGTTTCTGCTTCAGGAGCAAACTTCGCCATTGATCCGGTAGTAGACGATTTCACGGACTTTACAAAGCTTGAAAAGGCCTTAGAATCGTCTGGAATAGGAGAACAAGAACGGCAGAGCATCTGGTGTACAGTGGCAGGAATCCTTCATCTCGGAAATATCAATTTCGAAGAGAGTGCGAGCGATTCCCGCGGAGGATGTGAGATCAGTGCCGACTCTGAAACATCTTTGGAGAATGCTGCAAGACTCCTCGGACTTTCTTCGCAAGAAATGAAGATGGGCCTTTGTGCAAGAATAATGCAAGCGACAAAAGGAGGAGTCAAAGGAACTTTGATTCGTGTGCCACTAAAAGTTCATGAAGCATCGGCTGGAAGGGACGCTCTGGCTAAGGGAATTTACTCAAAACTTTTCGATTGGCTTGTTGCTCGGGTGAACCAAAGCATCCCATTTGAGACGAGTTCTGGGTTTATCGGAGTTCTCGACGTGGCTGGATTCGAATTTTTCGCAACGAACTCGTTTGAGCAGTTTTGCATAAACTTCTGCAATGAAAAACTTCAAAACTTCTTCAACGAGAGGATTCTAAAACAAGAACAGGAACTTTACTCCAAAGAAGGATTGAACATTGAAAGAATAGAGTTTCTTGATAATCAAGATTGCATTTCTCTGTTCGAATTGAAGTCTTCTGGTCTTTTCGATCTACTTGATGAGGAAGCAAAGTTGCCACGTCCCACATTCCAACACTTCACCCAAAGAGCACACGAATCCAACAAGAACCACTTTCGTTTGGACGTAAGAACATGGTTCCGCAGAAAATTAAAATGTAGACTCACACAGACTCCACGCAAATCAAAGATCAAGTCTCATAGAGAAATGAGAGACGATGAAGGATTTTTGATCAGGCATTATGCTGGATCGGTGTGCTACGAGACAAGACACTTTGTGGAGAAAAACAATGACCAATTGCAAAACTCTCTGGAAATGCTAATTGAACAGTCTTCGTACGTTTGGTTAAAACACGTAGAACGAGGATTTGAACTATTTTCAATTCAAATAACTCATAAGCTCCAAATGTTCTCAATCAGTATAATTTAGGATTCCTCTTATCATATCTCTGTTCACAAAACCTTCATGTGATGGTCTTAAGAAGGGAGGAAAACTGAAAGCGCAGAGTGTTGGTGTGAAGTTCAAAGCTCAGCTGTCTATTCTGATGGAAAAATTAAGAGAAACGGTAACAAAAGCAGTCGAAAGTCGAATGATCTTCATTTGTTCAGGGTACACACTTCGTCCGTTGCATGAAACCGAACAACCAGATGGACGCGTGGGTATTTGATGGGTCGGTGTTGTTGGCCCAGTTACAGTGCGCTGGGATGACTTCGGTATTACAATTGATGCAGGAAGGATTCCCGAGCAGAGCATCATTCGCTGACCTTTATTCTATGTATCAGAAGAGACTGCCTCCGAACTTGTCCCGACTCGACCCTCGACTTTTTTCGAAATGCCTTTTCCGTGCCCTTGGTCTCAATCAAAATCATTTCCAGTTTGGGCTCACAAAGGTATTTTTCAAAGCCGGAAAATTTGCCGAATTCGATCAGGTATGTAGTGTCAATGGTTGTTTTGATGAAATTTCTTTTAAGATAATGGTACAAGATCCAGAAACTATGAATGAGTTGATTGCCAAAGTAAACGATTTTCTGGTCAAAGCACGATGGAGGAAGGCTCAGTATGGCGCCTGGATTGTTTTGAAACGTATGAGTGGATGAAGGATTTTATAAAGATTTAAAAAATTTTAAGTCAAAAATAAGATACTGTACCGTGCGAAGAAAATCAAAATAATCCAGGCATGGATGCGTGGATATCTAGTTCGCAAGAGGTTTCAGAGAAGGTGAGTTTCTTCCATCGGGAAACATCTACCAGTGGAGATTAGCTCTTTTCTCATCCAATTTTGTTTTGTTTGTCTTGGAACAAACCCGAAGAAAGCCCATCTCCATTTCCTTTGCTTTTTTTTAGGCTCCTTCTCTCCTCTCTCCGTTTTTCAGACTAACCTCGGCAAGAAAAACGATAAATATTTTTTCTCATCTTACAATTATTCTCGCTTCTTTTGCAAAAATATTTGCTCTTATTTTTTTCAAAAGCGTCTGAGAGTAATAATGAATCTGGGAGTTATTTAAGCTGTATCGAATAGAGCCCAGGAGAAGCAATGAGAAAAGGTGTCTCTCGCTCCCAAATAACTTCCGAATGTCATCCTTTTTATGGTCTCTTTGAGAAGAAAGACGAAACTCTTCTGAAATTAAGTTCGTTATGCGCGACGCTTCTTCTTCTCTTCAATGTTGCTTAGTCTTGTTAGTTTCCCATCTTAAGTTCTTCAATTTTTACTCATACGTAGTATTTCTTTCATGTTACACAAAAAACAAGCCAACTTAATGTTATACTATACTCTTTGTGTCCAATGCGTAGTGTTTCATAGTAGATACGAGTATAATTGGATTTTCAGTTTTTCAAAAATTTACTCGACCTGCCATTTTAGTTCATTCTCATAAAATTCCAGTTGAAAAAACTTAGATACAATACTCTGGTTCTCTCCCCTATCCGTGTAGATACTGTAGATACCGGCCCACATCGTGTAGATACCGGCCCACATCTCTGTGAATGACCATAAACTGAAATTCAGCCCACGTCTATTAGAATATGTCTACGTATTCATCCTGAGCCTGAAATTGATGAGAAAACGTGCTGTTCGGAAAGAATTTCTCTTACTATTTTCTAATTCACCAACTGCTCATTCTCTTTTATGGGAGCTTGTCGACCGAAAAACGACGGGTCACATTTATTGAGCCTCGAGGGAATTTCGGAGTGTGCTTTTTTGAGTCCACACGTTCCCCTCCTGTCTTCGTAGTTTTTACGTCCTATTTTCTGCTAAGCATCTCCGAGCAACCATTCTTAATTGTGTTGCTACGTATAGATTCAAACGGGAAATCGACGAGCCCCTCGATCGATTTTTGCTATTTCAAACAGTAATTTTTCAGGCTTGCTGTCTATAGGAAAGCATGTGTCCTGCTGGATCACTCGCGTGAAATGACTGATGTTGGTTTAGTGTTCTTCCTTCTTGCCTTCGTGGTTGGACACTAATTTGTTTTTGTTTTCTTTATTTGCAGATTCTGGCTCGTATGAATGAGTCGAGCAAAGATACATGGAGTAGGCCGGCGGAGGCAACAACATGTGACCTCGAAGAGCTGGTCTCGAGAATCAGAAATGTAGACGAGGAGACAGAAGTGGATCGGGCAGTCAAGTGTTATGAGGAATGTGTGAGGCGCGTTGACTCCATGATTGCCGAACTAAAGTAAGGCCACTTCGGTATATATAAATACTTTGCTTTCAAAGGAACCAACTAGAGAGCGACGAGTTTGCAGAAGTGGAAAGGAGAAGAATAGAAGCGGAAGAGAAGGAACGGCGTGATATTGACGAGAAGGCAGCTGCAGATCATGAGCGACTTTTGTTAGGCGTTGTTAAAAACAGTAAGATAGTAGTTATCTTTTCAGAAGAATAAAAATGGAAGAAGAACGGAAGAGAGTGCAGAAAGAGTACGAAGATCAGTTGGAAGCGCAAATCGGGAAGGAAGAAGCAGAGCAAGAAGAAAATGTTCGAAAACGGATCTGTGAGGATCGGGACCGTCTCGACATTATTGTCTCTTCCCGACTAGCTACTTCCGATGGGATTGCACTGGTTCCCTCCGATCCTCAACACGCGGTTTCTGCTCCAATACAATTGAAATATGACCTAGGAAACTGGAAATATGCGGATCTCCGAGATGCAATTAACACGAGCAATGGTGCGTTTGGAATTTTCATTCTCTCTTCTCTGCGCTTCGAGAGAATATGTTTTCTTTCCTAAATGTCTGTTCTCTAATTCTAGTTTTACATCTTATCTGTTTACAGACATGGACCTATTGGTGGCATGCAAGGATGAGTTTCATCGTCGACTCCGAATTTACAACGAGTGGAAGTCGCTCAACTCGGTGAATAGAGATGTGCCTCCGACGCGTGCTCCACTTGCCATTTATAATCAACGTTACTGTATACATGAAGATACAATTGAAAAATATGTTTTTTCCAGAAAAGAAGTCGACCTCGGTGATCTCACTTTCGCGTGGCTCAATCGCACCGCACTTGAATCCAGCTTTAACACAACAAAGATATTTCAAATTGTCGTTCACAACAGATGCTAACTCAAACAAAAAAAGTATCAGTCTTGATATAAGCCACACCTCCACTGAAGTATTTTTAGGTGGAGGAGCTCAATCTGGAATGTGGTACGCTCACTTCAACGGCCAGTACATTCAGAGGCAGCTCACACTGCGACCATCTCAAAAGCCTCAGCTTCTGGTTTCAGGTTGGTTGTCTTTTAGGAATGACGTAAACTCAAAAATGAAGTATTTTTAGGAAGAGATGACTTGCAAATGTGTGAACTTCCGCTTGAGCAAACTGGTCTCCTAAGGAAAAAGGGTGCCGAGATATCGGCGAATGACTTTGACACTATGTGGCAACACTACGGCGGACAAGTACTCAACAAATGGACCCCGTAGATTCAATATGAAAACTCTTTTGTTAGTATGTGTAATAATAAATTATCTTTATCTTTTTACGGTTGTTTTCACTACTTAACTTCTTCATCTCGGATTCTAAGGCTGACCACTGGCCAGTCGGTTCTCGTTTTTAAACTTGTCTGTTTATCTCGGACCTTCCGTCTTTACAGCTTTGTGCTGCTCTCACGTACCGATCACGTAGTGATTCTTTGCATCTTCTTCTGTTTCGAAATCTTGATCTGCGGCTGGTGCCAGTCTGCGTCTCGTTACTAATAAACAATCGCTGCCAGAGCCAGAAAACAGTTGGCGTTGGCGCGAAAAGTGGGACAACAGCCACCGTCCTTCGTAATATCTTTTTACTATTTGATTTGTGACGAAAATGGCAGAGTTCTTTCAACAAACGTACTGCATTGACTATAACGGATGGGTTACGGTAGGTGGTCACCAGTTATTATTAATGGTTTTCCATCAAGTGTTCAGGGTGTTTCCAAATCACCACCTCCGAAGCAGATAGATTTCGACTCCCAGACTATTCCCCAATTGATCTATACGAAGGTTTTTTTGAAAAGCATAAATTGTGTGTGTGTGATTCAGGTACGTTTTTCAGTTTGAAAATGACAGAGTGGCGGCTGTGTTTGACACTGAAACGCAGAGCTACACTTTCACAAAGATAGTATCGGAGATGGAGTCGTTGGCTTCCGGGTTGCTTTCGATCGGATTGAAACAAGGTGACAGAGTTCTAGTAGCTGGAAGTAATCATTCGCAGGCAAGAGAGAATACAAGGGAACATTTCAACACTATCATGTATTGCAGGTTATGATATGCGCATTGGCATGTTCCCGGGCAGGCCTCGTTTTTTCACTGGCGAATCCGAATTATTCGAATAGTTGCTCCTTGAAAAGAGCTATTGAATTGGTAAAACGTTCGAAAAGGTTCAGTATAAAAGTTACAAGGCAGGGAGAATTTCGATGTGTCATCTGTTTCCGCGCGCATCAGTATGAAGCTGATCACCTGAATAACCTGCTCCTGGAGATCGCACCGGAACTGATGAGGTCAAGAAAAGGCGAATTAAAGAGCGAGCTGCTGCCTAAGTTGACTCATGTCATTCTGGCGGAAGAAGAACATAAACACGCGTTAGTTCAACATCATATTAAAATTTCTACCTTAAAGTTGCAGTGGTACTTTCACACTTTCGGAAGTTTTCCTCAAAGCATCTAAGGAGAAGATTGCAAAACTTCCCGACTTCACCAAATGGTCTAGCCATAAGTTAGCTTGCTTACAGTTCACACTAGTGCGTGAAAAATAATATTTTCGGGAAATTAAGCATTATTGAAGGGTACAACATCTCAGCCAAAACTAGTTTCTTTATCCCATTACCAAATGCTGAACGGAGCCAGAGCCGTGGCAGCCGCGTTCGGAATTAATGACAAAGTTCGAATGAACATGTTAAACTATTTCAAACTCAAACAGTTTCAGCATGTCTTGGCTTGTGCCTTACCAATCTTCCGAATCGCCATCTTCAATTTAATCTGTCTTTCGCCATTCCTCACCGAATGCCGAATTGTCTTTCCTGATGCTTCGCCGCTACCAAAAAATTTATTCGGCAGTGTGAACAAGTACAAATGTACCACCCTTCTTTCGAATGGCGCCGCTCTTCGGCTTCTTTTGAAGATCAGTCAGACCCAAAGAGTCAAACTATCTGCATTGGAAAACATCCTTCTTATTGGAGACCGAGTTTCAAAAGAGGTATTAAAGCTGATAAAGCTTCAAGCGGAGAATGTAAAGATTATTGCGGTAGCTAAGCAGTCGTAAGGCTAGTTTCTTTAAGAAGATTTCAGGTCGGTTACTTGCTAACGGAAACTGGATCAATTCCTTTAATGGGTGACCAGGGCACAGACTTTACTAGAAACGTCGGCAAAGCAATAGCTGGGTATGAAGCTCATCTTCTTCCTCTCGATGACAGTGAATCTAAAGTGGACACTGGGAAATTAGGAAAGTTGCTGATCAGGGTGTACTATGGATCAACATTTATGGGATATGCACCTGATACAAAAGGAAAAGAGAAATGGATAAACACCGGGTAAGACCACTTAAAACCTTCTATAGAAGTTCCAACTTTGCAGAGATATAGCCAGAATTGATGAGAATGGGGCCATAGAAGTCGTTGCAGGAGAAGAAGATCTGATTTACGACAAGAACAACTGTTTAATAGAACACTGGAACGTTGAACGACTTCTGAACCAGAATGACCTTATCAAAGGAGTTCAAGTTGTGTCGAAAGGCCCAGGTCAGCCTGTTACAGCCGTTTGCGTGGCCAGAAGTACCCAGTTTCATGCTGCCAAACTGAAGGATGAACTGAAGAGCATGTGCAGAGAGCATAGAGTATGTACAGTTGAAAAAGAAAAGGTTCGACATTCGAGGTGTCCTTGGCTCGCTGCCAACTCCGATTTGAATGTCGAATTTTTTTCAACAGTAGTGGTCCGCAGACCAATTTGAATTATTTTGAGTTTTCAGTTCCCTGCACCCGAAGTGTTCGCTTTCGTTGAGGATTTTCCAAGAGTTCATACAAAAATTCAAAAGTTCCGAATTCGGGAGATGCTCGAAAAAGGTCAAATCACTGTTTTTTGATGTCCTTGTTCAATGAAAACACTTTTCTGTATTTACAATGAAATAAATTAATAGACCTAATTTCCTTCGGATGTGCTTCTCCCTCGTTTTCGTTTCGGAGTAGGCCGGAGCTTCGAAGCTGCCGTGTGCTTTCTTTTTCCATCACTCTTTCTCTCGTTCTCCTGCTTTCACTCTCGCTCTCGCTATGTGCTCACACTCATCTGCCCTTCGGCACATCGATCCGCCTGCTGCCTCTCGCTCTCAGACACTCTGCTTTGAAGCGGAAAGAGAATTAAACCCCACGCAGTTAAATGCGTATTCTGTGTTCTACACGAATTGAAAATTAATTCCAAAATTGCTGCCTTTTTCGTTATTTTCAACTCTTCCCCATGGTTCTAGGCCTTTAGGTTTGAGTCTCAAAACACGTTAAAAGTTTTTAGGAGCGTGATGCGAATCAGCGCATGCAAATCCCATTAGCCGCCTTGCTTTGTCTTTGCATCATCACCACAACTTTCGTATTTTCTGCCTTCCTTCCCTCTTTCTTTGTTTTGTTGAGAATAAACGTTTGAGTTTGTTCATTTAAAAGTCTTAATTCTCACAATTCCGAAATTTTAGAAGTCATTGGGCAGGTGGTTGGGAATGTGGTCGAATGGCGGTGGTGGACCACGAGATGTCACCGCACCCCCACCGGATACTACGATTTCGGTGGCAGGAATGGTGCCACCGATTATAGTTTCTGAGATGCAACAGCTGATTGACGAGATGCGTAAGTTGCAGATATATTTTGCATTTCGTAGAATCCATAGTTTCAGGATTGCAAGACTTTGACTCTATCCGATTCGCAACGTATCGAGCAGCGTGCAAGCTCCGGTTCATACAGCAAAAGACTAAAGTTCACTTAGTTGACATTTGGAACATGATAGAAGCTTTTCGAGAAAACGGTCTCAATGCGCTGCCACTCCATACTGTGGTAGAAATTGGAATCCTTCAATTTTTCAAATTATACTGTTTTAGATCAAAACATCACGTGCCGAGCTTCTTTTGACTACAGTATACCATAACTTGAACAAAAGGCTTGTGGCTTCACAACACGTTGATACTGATGTTTCAATATCCTTGCTTCTCGCATTCCTCTTAGGCGCCTACGATAAGTACGGTATATTTCCGTTTTTCTCATTCGAACGCATTTTTTCAGGCAGAATACTGGAAGACTCACTGTATTCTCCATTAAAGTTGGTTTGGCAACTCTATGTGCCGGAAAGCTTGTTGATAAGTTGAGATGTACGCCTGCGCGGAATTCGTCTCCTGTGTAACTTTTACTTTCAATACTTTCAGACATCTTCTCCCAAATCGCCGATTCGAATGGTCTTATGGACCACATCAAGTTCATGGACTTTCTTCAGCAAGTTTTGGCCCTGACAACTGCTGTATTCGAAGCACCAACTTTTGGGTTTTCGGAAAGCGCAGTGAATCAATGTTTTCGAAAAGAAGAGAAGGTCACTCTGAACGGGTTCCTGGATACTTTCCTAAGTGACCCTTGTCCTCCCTGTATCATGTGGTTGCCTCTTCTCCACAGGATGGCTGCTGTTAACAATGTTTATCACCCAATCGTTTGTGATGCCTGCCAAGTTCGGAGTTTCACCGGATTTCGTTATAAATGCCAGAGATGTGCGAACTATCAGTTGTGCCAAAGTTGTTTCTGGAGAGGAAGAACTAGTCAGAATCATTCAAATGAGCATGAGATGAAAGAGTATTCCAGCTACGTAAGATCTATTATATTTTCAGTTTTTTCAACTGAAGTTCCAGAAATCCCCCACTAAACAGCTTGTTCATTCTATACACAAAAGCTTGCAATGCATCCCGGCAACATCGACTGGAGAGGGAAACATTGATATGATAAACACGATGGGACCAGCAGTGAAACCACCGAGACCTTTAAATCTGAATAATATAGTTCCTGCCACACCGACTACTATCAGAAGGCAGCATGCTGCCACGTCATCAGCTGATTGGCCTACATCTCCAGTTCTTCTGCCAGGACAGGCGTCTCATGGCGGAATAATCGATGATGAACATAAACTCATTGCGAGATATGCAGCGAAACTTTCCGGAAGAGCTGATGTGAGTTTTTTTGCGCTAATGCCGGGCTTCCACAGTTGCGCTTACTGCGGTGGGACGTGCGGAGATACTGTAGAGAGCCTAAAATTCAAATCCACCTTACTATAACCTTACTAATATATTACAGTACCCACTTTCCAATGGTCGAAATATGAACAGCTCGATTGAAGACGAAAGAACTTTGATTGCTCAATTGGAAGAGGAAAATTCGATGATGATGCGAGAAATGGCTCGATTAGAAAGTCAAACCACTTCCGATGATGGGCTAGCAGGATTACGAGACCGGAAAATGGAATTAGAAGAGAAGATGTTCGAGATGCAACAGAGACGGAGAGAACTAATGATGCAGCTGGAGCATCTCATGGCTCAATTAAATGTAAGATTGCGTTTCGAAAAATAAAACTGAAAATAAATGCATTCAGACCGCTCCGAACCCGGCAGGAGGTGTCTCCTCGGCTTCACTGTCTCAGCTTCCGTTTATTTCGGATCAACAGTTAACCGGAGTTAACTCGAATGTTTCCAATGCATTCCGAGCTGGAAGTCTTCCCGCGACAAGTCTACAAGGCGATCTTCTGAGCGCTGCTGATCAGATTACAACCAACATGAGCGATCTTGTAAGACAGCTTGATCTTGGTATGTTTTTTTTCTTGTATTCACCATCACGGACGGCTTCCAGCAAATGCGGATGACAACGGCGTCACCATCAACGGATTTTAGGCTCCGAACACAAAAGATCACTAGCATGTCGGGTTGCTGACGATCTTTCATCTATATACTCGCACATCGTTCTCTCAACAATCAAGAAAAGAGCTCAGATTTTTCTAGGCGACAATTTGTCATCAATATGGATGACGGCTTAAACAAACAATTATAACATGAAAATACCAACCTAAATTTCCAAAACAACGAGGGTTGGAAAAACATCAGCGGGTTGTTAGAGCATTAATTAACCGATAAAATAAAAAAAAACGAGGATGTGAAATCATGAGAAAAAGAAAAATCATCGACAAAAACAGAAAAGTTATCACAATCGAGAGAAACTAGCGAAACACTCAAAATTCAATATCGTACATCTCTGAGTTCACTTCGCCTACTCCGAGACTTGACTCGTACATTCGGATGTCACCGAAGAACGCATACTCTGCGAATTGGTTGAGAGCACATGCATCAAAGAGATCATCTGTCTGAAATTTGAAATTATTTGTTTACTAATATTTTGCGAAAAAAAGACTAACTTCTTCCACATGTTTCTTCTCACAAATGTAGTCTGCCAGATTTTCGTCTCCCTCATTCAGGCACCATTTAATAATGAGCAAACGGCATATTGCTGGATTGATGGCCCCTTGACAACTACTTTTTATCAGATGACTCAAATAGAAGGCAGTCTGCAATAGCTTTTTTAGGAACACTGTGAGACTTTAATTGGAAGTGTATGTACGTTATGTTATGTACCTATATGTTTCCTCTTTTTCTGATAATCTTGAAATTTTAAGATGATTTGAAACATGCGAAAATCGTTCGTATACATAAACGGCGCTCAACTTTTGGAGTTCTTATACACGCAGGTTTTACGGTAAATAAAAACGGAATTTCACACTCACCCTTTGACGAAGAAACTCCGATTCGTCCTGAAGATAGAGCGAAACAGCGTGTATGAGATATTTTTCCAACTCTAAAACCACACAAATATTATTCCCTAGTTCGTCGTAACGATGATTATTACCAGTATAGGATTTTTTCATGGGCAACCGGAGAACAAACAATCCTCCAACATCTAGCGCGATCTTAAAAAATAAGCTCGTATGCCTATTGAACATGAGTTCAAACCTCTTTAGTTTCTATGTCATCAAGCTCGCAGCACTCTCGGATCCAATTTATCAACTCGAGATCCGCATTGGCAGTGGCATACTTCACCTTGAGCGCATAAGCCATTGTTGATGGTCTGAATATGTTGAATTCACAACAACAAAAAATGGAAGAACTACTTACAACGTCCAATTGAGATTTGGATCTTCTAGACGTTTTTCTATCAAATTCTTCAAGTTTTTGGAATTAACCTCGCTCATAAACTCCCTGCCACTAGAAAGAATCTCCAACATCTACAAACTATAAATTTAGGAATTTCAGAAAAAGTTATATTACTATCTTGGCATCACACTGCTGGGAATCCGGCTCAACGTTCAAATCATTAATGGCAAGAGTGATTATGCAGGCGCGAAGGTACTGTAAATGCAAATAAGTTTGACAGAAGATCAAAAATACATACCATAGTGCAAGCCTCCCATCCGTGTTTACTGATAATGCGGAAGACTTCTCGTCTGACTTCAGCGTCTTTTAGTGGATCACCCATTTCCGTTCTGAACACGTCGCGGTCTTGAAGAAGCTTCACGGCGACTGGACGCTTTGTTAAGCAAATTGTTGACAGTGGCACGTCCTCAACGTCGAATTTAATACCAAATGCGTTTGCGATTGTCAAAATCTGATTCATATTGTAGTCGTTCCACTTTTTGAAAGCATATTTCCGAACAATTTTTTCAACCACGTTAGCAATACGTTCAACATATTCGGCAATGTGTCCGAGTCCTTCAATTAGCATGAGAAAGCTATGAATATGATTTTGCCGAGCATTTTTATAATCAAACTTTTCGATCCATTTACAGAGATCTCCCTTCGAATAAATGTCCGAAATGGCAAGAATGGCCGCAACGGCATGCGATCGGAGAGTTTCTCGCTTCTCTCGTAAAGCAATTTCCAGAAGAGGTGGTACGAATGGACGGAGTGGATACAACTCAGTAGACGAAGCGGGAGTGTAGAGATGAGTGAGAAGAATGAGAGGTGGAAGCAGAGAGAACTCGGATCGTTCTATGAGCAGCTGATTGTATAGATAGCTGTAGAGGGATGGGAACTTCGAAAAAAATTCGTAATTGCTCTTCCTGTTCTTGGGGTCTACTGACAACGTTTTTTGAGCTGTTCTCGTCACTCCGAATATTTTCGTCAGGAGTGCAGCGAATAATTGTGATGCCGCATTCCGTTCACTCCATTCGGCTCGACAAGAATCGATTGCAACGAAAAGCGTCCGCTCGTAACAAAAAACAGCTCTTTCGTGCAGAGCTGCATTTTGAATTATTGTCTTCATAACATTCATCGAATGGATCATATACTCGCTGGTCTTGCCTTGACGGTTCATGAGTGAATCAACTGCTTTTTTAAGAGCACTGTTCCTTTTTTCTTTAGGTTCTGTAGCAACGATTGCAAATACAAGATGAGGAAGGCCAGCACTTCTTCTGGTAGAGCATAGATTTTTCAAGTCTTTCTCGCCAGATATCGCCGACAAAACATCATCCAGCCAAATATTCGGATCGGGCAAGCCTTCGATACTTGTAGTCCACAAGAACTGGCACAGGTGGGTGAAACCGTCAGTAGCGGATTCGAAAGCACCTCTATGTTTGCATTCGGTTAGTTGAGTCCAATAGTAGAGACCAATCGCTTCGACTTCGTCTCTAGTGACCAGGCTTAACGGTGCTAGCTGAAATAGTGAATGGTGCTAGCTGAAATAGTGAAAAGAAAATTTTTCTTACTGCTTCGATAATCCAGGAAAACATTCCAGACACATGCTTGTGAGCTCGCCAGCAACAAACAAGAAGATGCTGTGAAATTTCAGTCAATGCAGTGGCTGATTCATTGCAGAGCGATTCTGAGATTTCTAGAGGAATGCAGCCCTCCGGGGACATGTTGTATACTACTGGCGTGACAACTGACACGATTTGATGACATATGGGAAGTATGTTATCCAGAATCGAAGTACGATAGAACGAAATTTTCTCCAACGCCGTCTTTTCCCAGCTAGGATTCTTGAGCAATAACTCCAAGATGTTCAAAATTGGATGGAGTGGCAGTTTGGTTATGTTAATCTAAACAAAACAAAAATAGTTTTTGGACTGAAAAAACACTCACCAGATCCTTAGTGGTAGCATCTACCCGATATTTCAAGTCGGTAATGAACCGCTCCAGAAACGCTTCATATCGTTCTGGATTCTTGGCGAGATAATATCGGATACGATATCCGGCTGATAATGAGCTTCTCGATCGAGTCGAATTCATTAACTTCATTGCTTCACTAAGACAAATTTCCTCGTCCAGTTTGACGTTTCCAAAATCCAATTTTTTCAGCATGCTCAGCGCCGTTGATTGAACAATTTCGTATGAGTCGTCAAGGCAATCAACAACCAATGTATGACGGTCTGATCCGAGCGTGCTGTCGAGATTCAGCTTGTCAGCAAAAAGTTCTGGACTTCTATTAATTAAAATAGATAATATTTGATACCTTACTTTTTCCATCAATGATAAAGCTTTCTTTTGTGTAAAGAACGTCAATTTGCATTAAAGCCATGATACGACGAAAATAGCTTCCTTTAGAAGACAATGATTCAAAAGCAAGCTTAGCCATCCATTTTGTAAGTTGAAAGTAAGAATCAGGCACTGGATGAATGTTTGTATCGCCTCCTAGCTTCCATTTCGAGATCGCACGATTGTCATAGTCAAACGTAGAAGAATCAGGGCTGAACGAATCAGAGTCTCTGTCAGACGTCTGAACTGATTTCAGATAGTTTTCGGCAGACGCCCCGAGTCTCTGACACATGCACTTGAATGCAGAAATCAAAGAATGACGAGCACTCGGTGTCTGGAACGTCATGTTTGAGTCCAGGAACGCCTTTATGAATTCGATGTCAGTTTCATTGAATATCAGCGTTTTTCGCGGGTTCTCCACGAGAAGTCGGAATGCAGATAAACGAACCTGAAAAAAAGTTGAGAAAGACTATAAAACTACTGTTCGTACTTCAGAATCAACGTGGAAAATTGCGTTTGACATTAATGTCTCAGACAGGCACTGAGTCCAATGCGAAAAGTCTACAAGATTCAAATGTTCGCCTCGTTTCTCTGGTTTTCGTGGCCACGTTGTTGTTACTAGTGCATGCACGATCTCCAGATGTAATTGCAAGTCGCTGGCCGGTTGTTGACCTGAAACCAGAAATTTAATTTTTTCAACTGAAAAATCTTACCATTCAACTGATTAAGAAGTTGGTTGAGAAATTTTACCGCTGTGTCCGATTGTTTCGAATCGTTGGTCTTTTTCTTGCCCACAGAATCTGACGACTGATATTTTTGCAACATGGGAATAACACGAGTTTTGATGAGTTTCGGGTCCTGTGCAGCTGTACAGCAAAGAAGAAGATCACAATGTAAGTCCCACAGTTCGTCTCGATCAAAAATATTATCAACAATGAGTTGGCCAATGACAGTTGAAAATGAGGGGTTCGTCAGCAATGGATAAACTCTCCGGAAGAAATCTTCCCCGAGGTTAAGGCGCAATGTTGGGCACTGAGCAACAAGATGACTTATGCATTTGAATCTTGATCGGCACAACGAAGTTGGCTCTAGAAGCCACTGTGTGATCTCATTTATCCAGTCACAGTTAGCATGGCTGTCGATAGGTGCTCTTTCGAGACACTCGTTACAGCTTCCAAGATGAAGTGCCAAAAGAGATGTGAACGTTTCAACAGCGTCATAACATGCACAGTCTGCTGAATAGTCCCAGACTCGCTTGATATGAAGAACTATTTTATTCCAATAACGAATAGGGAGCGGTTGTTTGGCAGTTCTGAAGGTTATAGTAAAGAATCTCGCGTTCAGTGGTAGACATACTGAAAGATAATTAGAATTCGCTTCAAGGTGGCAGTCGCGAATATGACGGTGTCACTGTCATTCAGATACTGTTCGGAAGCATTCAGAGTTCGCTCAAGCTCGGAATAGATTTTAGGATTGTCTCCGGCGAACAGTTCTTCTGTGTTGACCTGCAAAATTTTACTTTCTAATAAATTCATCTCGCTTTTCAATAGTTCTCACCCTCGTATGGAGATATCCCAGATCAAGTATGGCCTTTCCGGCCACTCGAACTGGCATCTCTGAAAAAACTAGTAAATATGCGGAAAAGCATTGGTAAGAAAAATTCAATAAAGCGCCGAAAGCAGCGGGAATTGTTTTTAGGACAAGTGTGCGAGAAAGTTTGAAAGCAGCAATGAAAGCGCGCTCTAACGAACAACTTTTTGGCCGCCAGCAAAACAATTCGAATTGATCTGTTCGAATGAGAATTCGTAAAAAAAACCTTATTTAGAAGCACTGTTTGAATTCTCAACCAGAAAATACAAAAGCTTATTTTTTCAGAAAGAATGAGCGATCAGACAACACGTAGGATCCACAAATTAATCAAAATTAATACAAAAACAGAGCACCCGCCTGAACTTGTTGTAAAGTTCGTCAATGATTCAATAATGTTAGACAATAAGATTCAGGGATTATCAGATAAGGTGTGTTGGAGAGATTTAAGATCCGAAAAAGTTTTCTTCAGGAAGTCATCGACGTGTTAATTGCGAGAGATCAAGATCATGAGGCGAGATCAGTCGGCGTCATGTACCATATTCTCACTTGCGGTGAAAACCAAGACTTGTTCGCAAGGGTTATCCTTTTGTCATGTAATCTGTAAAGCACGCAAAAAATTTCAGATGATCCGGTACATCAATGGAGGAGGCGTAGAATACTGGCATACGATACTCTGCAACATGAACATGGCAATATTTGGTATCAATCGCTCGTTCTTCAGAATTGAATACATTTTCAGAACTTTGGCCGTTTATACATTGGCCTTGCAAAGAGCAATTAATGCGGCTGATCAGAGAAGGAGTGAAACAGAATGTAAAGCAGATCGAGAATGTCGTAATGAGTGCGTTCCGAACGACGATGAGTTCCAGCGAATTCACATCGAAGACGCGAGTTCTCACATATGTAAATTTTCGCATGGTTAAAATAAACGAGTATTTAGTTTCCATGTTTTCAGCTGTCTTCGATCATTCGCGAGTACGAAATGTGGTTCAAAGCACAAAAGTCTTGTTCTGCGCTTGTCGCTGCTATATTGAATTGTGTGTCGCACATCATCGTTTCCAGTCCCGCTCCACTATCTAAGGAGGATACTTTTCGCGAAAACATGATCAATTTTATTCATTGGGTGATCAAGTAAAAATTGCTTTCTGGTAGCTAAAAGTATAACAACTTTTAGAACGAGGAAAGGTGATTGTGGCGCTCTCGGTCGCGATTTTGTGTTGATTCTTATCAGATTGGGAAGAATACCTCAAATTGAAGGTATTTGGAAAGAGTTGATACAAAGTCCTGGAAACTACGGAGTATCTAGCCTTGAAGATTATTTGGCTAAACCAAACATGCTTCAACAAGTGAGATTAAGCATTGAGCTGATGCGGAGAATTGACTTCGTTGTTCATCATGGAGGAAAGAACATGCCAATTTATTTCACATGGCTGGTACAAAAGTTCTTCCGGTTTAATGACGGGTTGGGTTTACGAGCTGAGTGTGTACGGTACCTTGTGAATATGCAATTTGAAGCTGGAAAGGCTTCGCCGAATACGTTCGAGAATCGAATTCAACTTCTTCATCTTCTTGTTTCTACTGCTCCGGTCAGTTTTCACAGTTAGTATGTTATGAGTGCATGAAAGAAAACCAGTTTTTCCTTTTTTTTCCTGTTGTGGTCTTCCCGACTGAATGAGCACATTAGGATAGCAATTCTCTTTTACAGAGCGGTCCAGATCAACAATGGCTGAAGTTGTGTCTTTTCATTGACTGGTTTGGCTGTGACGAGAGAAATCCAGTTAACCTCAATAATATTGAACTCCCACTTTATGTAGTCAGGTTTGTTAGAAATGTTAAATCTGAATAGTGTTCATCATAAAAATTTAGACACGCGCTTTTTCTACAAGCACAACCACCACACCCAAACAATCTAATTCAAGCTTCTCAGTGCTCCGCGTTTGCCAATTCTCTTTTGGAATTTGTTTGCAAGGTGACCTATGCGTCTAAGCATCTGCAAATGATCAACCATGTTTTTACAGAGTGCCGACCATATGTTGCCAGTTTATTCCGACATTATTAAGAAAAACTTGAATCTTGCCATGAAAGTTAGCAGAGACAGAATAACAAATGGCGTTGCTCAGATTCTGGAACACCACAAGATTGATCGGCGAGTCAGTGAACTTATCAGACTGACATGGCCAGATTTTGTTAGAGTCCCGTAAGTCACCTTGGCTAACAATCCCAAATCTCTTTCTTTAACAGAGTCTCTCGAACTGCATCTCCAGTACCAGTCGCACCAGCACCGCTTCCTAAACTGAAAAAGAAGTCGGTGGACGAGAAAAAGCAGTCGCCATTTGCAACACTGGAAACGGAAGAGTCTTCTGTGGCAACTGGTAACGTAGTGAAGCTGGAAAAAGAGAATTTGCGAAAAGAAAAACAAGATAAAGAGGAGAATGAGTTGATATCGTCGATAAAGCTTCTGAAAGGAGATGTCAAGACAAAAATGGAGGCCTTGAAAACGCAGTGGAAAGAATTCAATGACAATGCAGACAAATGTGAAGCAGTTGAAGGTGTTTTGAATACGATGTTGAGCACTGATGACACGTTCGATGATGCCCAACAAGAACTGTCTGCTCAATGTCTTCTTGGAATTATGGGCTCTGCCGTTGTCGATGAAAAGTCGCTTCTGAGTGACGGTGACGGAGAAGAAGCCTTCACTCATCCCATCTATTCGTTCTTGAAAATGCTCTGGTAATTCCAATTCCTCAAAGCAGATGGTGTAGGTATTGTTTTAAGCTCTCCCACGAGTTCCGATGAGTCTTCCGCTGAAATTATGACGAATCTCATGGCGGCGATGAGGGAAAAAGATTCAAGGTTGACCTACGTGTTATTGTATTTCATCAAAGGAGCTGGTGTACGTCCGAAAGAAGCTTGTGAGAGCTATAGAGAAGTGGCGAGAATAATGGACAGGGGTGTTGACGAGATGCTCGCATCGGATCTGCAGATGTGTGCGGTGAACGACAACCGTCTTTTCGCATATCTTGTACCGTTTGTCTTCGCTAATTTTGAGGAAGAAGTAATGCAATCTCCTGAACTTTTGCAAACCTTGTGCGCTAATGCGGATGCTATGCAACTAAGATCTTTTATATCGGACATCGTCAGGTTTTATTAGTGACGCAGTATTCGGTTTAACCCTTCTAATTTCAGAGAAGAAATTAAAATATTCAGAAAGGATACTTTTCCGAAGATACTCATGGCGTCAGTGGAGTGGGCGACCACGGCTCAATGGGTCTTCTGGCACTTGATCAACGCGGATGGAGTACCAATTGAATGGTTTTTGACCAGTATTCCTAAACTGGATCCAACGAAACACGATGAAGCTATTTCTAACATTCTGTTGATGATGAAACGAATGGGTTTTGAATTGTTATCCTTTTTTATAGATTACATCCAATTTCTAGATCGAGAACCGTGGAATGGGTTAATTAGAGCGTTATTTAATAGAGTTCCAAACAGGGATGACAACTTCACAGCCGATGCTTTGAAAGTCTTGGTCGAAGATACGGATCAGTGTCATAAAGTGGCAGAGCTTGTAGCACAGACGATCAAAAAACTAATTGGAGTGGGTCGAAACAGATTGTTTTACCTCGTTTTTATATTCAGAGCAACGAAATTATGGGGGTAGGCTTGCGACTTCAAAAGAAGGGAACTCCTGTCAAGCTCACACTGCAACAAGTTCTCGAACACTTGCAGTTGTTCAGCAGTACTTACTTGCAGAAAAAACAGCGAGCTGTAGAGACTTTCATGGCAAGAAGTCACATGCAAGATGCTTTTGCTTCTATCAAGATGTAAGTTCAGTTTAGGAGATTTTGGCATAATTTGGAATTCAGAAACGACAAATGCACCGTGCTTCTGAAGAAATACAGCAACTTAATCGGAGCAATGGATATAATTGCACAAGATTCGAAGGAAATGTCTTCGTCCAGAACACTCCGAGGAAACCGGTAATTATTTTCGAATTGTGTGACAGTTTTTTTCTTTGATTACAGGCAAGGTAGCAACAGTGGTGGAGACAAACAAACGCTACAGCAAAAGCGAAAGGCTAGTGATACTGATGTAAGTATCTCATGATGAGGTTATTTGGAAAATATTTTAAGATTTTCCGATTGGACCAGAACTTTATGGGGCTATTCAGCGTATGTTTGTTTTCCGTTTTCCGTTTTTTTTACATAGTTTTTTGACGTAAAAAAACGGAAAACGATCATTTTTTTCACAGTCTGAATAACCCCATTACAGGCATGGCATGAATTATGTTGGGTCCAAGTTTCAAGTAAATTACTTCTAGGGGTCATATTGGTCATACATGTTTAACAGAAAATACAATAAAAGGAAGCCTGGATAACTCTGGCATTGCGTTATTAATCTAATCGTAGTCTACTCGAGTTATACGGCGGCCTAATAAGATTGATATGACACCTAATTAGATTAATAAATTGTCTAGCTAGATTAATAAATCTTCTAATTAGATTAATAAGTGCTCAAATCAAGTTTCACGCCAACCGTCTGCTGGCTCAAATCTCGATTGCGCCAAGAAAAAACAGTCCAATCTATTATAGGGGCACCGGACAGAAAAGGCGCGCTGTTCGCAATCTGGCAGAATTTCTAGGCCGCGAAGTAATTTTCCACTGAAAACGTGGCCTAACTTTTCAAACTCGGCCCCAAGGTCGCTCAATTTGCACTGCAAAAAGAGTTTCTCAACAGAGCGCTATTTCTGTTCGGTGCCCCTATAATAATTAGGTCGCGTTTAGATCAGTAACTTTCTAATTAGATTAATATCGAATTGCCAGAGTAAGCATTTTTGGAAAATTATTTATCCTTTTCCACAAGGGGGAGTGTCTTATGGTTGCCACTGGTTCGGAAATTTCAATCCGATTTTTTTGGCGTTTCTCAAACATCCCGAACCTATGTGCGGCTGGCACAGTGCCAGGCGATACGTAGTGTATTGTTCAATGGAGCGCACTTGCGGTACATACGCTTCAACTCGCCGTGAGATCAGATGATAGGAATGAAACACGGACCCAAGATATTTCAATCCAAGTCCAAGAAGCCTGCAAAGTTTGGATCCAATCGGAATAAGTCCTGGCCCTAGAAAAGCCCGGGTCGGTAAATTGTCCAGCCTGGTCATCATAGTAAACGGATTATAACATCCTCCTCTTCAGGATGACCAAAATAACAAAAAAAGGAAGTTACACAAGGATGTTATCCACTCGAGTGATTCGGACTCTGACTAAGGATTCTTATGCAAAATGAAGAAATGGTGATTTCTCATGATAGATTTGTCATTATCGCCACCCAGATCTTCTCCGTCTGTCAATCGTTTCCTTTCCGAGTGTCCAGTATCAACATTCTTCTATCCACTGCCCGTCTCGATCTCCTGTTCGCCCAAAATATTTCGCCTATTTGTGTGACTCTGTGTCTCTTCCCATGTACGTCTGCGTCTTTCGTGTTTCAACTCCTGACCACGGTTTCGTGGACACACAGAAGTCCCGTCACACAATCAAAAGAATGAGCTGTGCTGCAGAATCTTTTCCTCACTCTTCATAATTAATGTCACATGCACCTGGTTGTCTGATTTTTTTTTATGTTCTAGAGCGAAAACTGGAATGGTTTGCCCCATCCTTGTCTCCATATAGTTACCGTTTGGCGACACTTACAAAAAGAGAAGAGTAGGGAAAGACTGATCGATGATCAACATCGATTTTCTATCTCTTTATTTCACACGAACGTTATTTTTCACATTAAGGATGTAGTAACTAGTCATACTTCCTCTCGTATTTCGAAATATAAAAGTCGACAGGTCAAATAATAGAAACTAGCTAATGGTACATGTTTGCCTATCACTCGTTACTGTTTTCGCATTTAATTTTTGGAATATCTCATTTTACCATTTTCACTGTTCTAAGTGAAAAGTGGCACCGCGTGCTCCTTTCTGACACTCCCTCTTTTTCTTACACTCACATTGTGTCAATCTACACCTTTTTTTTCGATTTCATATTTGTGTAATATGAAGCTCAGAATAATAATTATTTCATTTAAAATGGTTAGTCGCTTCGAATCTCAAACAATGGATTCCAATTGCTTCGTCTAACCACTTATATTCTCAAAGTGAACACGTTTTTAATATTTATTGTTTTAAGATTTTTCTTAGTTTTATATCTGTTTTCCACGCGGACTCGTCTATGCGCTGATTCTGGACGAAAATTGTTCATTTTATTTTCTGAGTATACGCTTTCAATGGCCATTCAATCGGCTATACACGGATATCCAGCCAACACAGATGCCGTAAGTTCCAGAAAGTAAAGAAAGTTGGATGAATTGTTAAATTCTCAGGAAACTGAGCTCGTGCGGGTCCGACTCCAACGAGGTATTAAACTTGGAAAACGAGATCTGTTTGGTGTGATTTCCCCTTACTGTGTTGTTCGATTAGAGAATGCCAACGGGGATACCGTAGACGAAGTGCAAATAGAGACCAAGAAAAAGGTTTGCATTTGGTTACTCGCTACTTTAGAACAATTTTCTCAGACACGGAATCCCATGTGGAACAGTGTGTTCACATTTCGGTGCACGCACACTTGTCTGATCAAAATATTAATTTACGATGAAAATCGGCTGCGAAAAGACGTTCTAATTGGTATTGTGAGCAAACAGTTGGGAGATGGGAAAATAACTTACCTGGCGACGAATCCCGAAGAATATCCTCTACAAATGAGCGTTCCATCAAAGGGAAAGTGAGTTTATTTACTTTTCTCCATACTTGCAACCGGTCGGTCGGAATATTTATTTGAAGTCTGGTCGCGAGCGCTCAGGGGGTAAGCCTTTTTGTGATTTTCATTTCCAAAAAATGTGATTTTCCCAAATACGTTTTCCGGCTCGAGCTACTTAACTGATTTAAACGAACAGTTGTTTCCAGAAACATCGGCTCTCTGTTTTTGAGCTTCCAGTTCCTGCAGTCATCATCCGAAAACTCTCCCAGTGAGTCTTCCAACGATCTACAGCAAGCGACAACTGAAATGCCGCAAGGATGGGAAGAACGGGAAGATGGCAACGGTCGGACTCTCTATGTGAATCATGCACTCAGAACCACACAGTTCACAAGACCAGATGGGACCTCCAAGTGAACAAAAATTCCTGTATTCCTCTTTCATCTCTCCCTTATTCCAGTGATAATTCGAACGCTGTCACTGAGCAGTCTGTCATCGAAGAAACACGTCGGCGCCGTGATAATTACGAACACCGCAGCCAGGTCACAGACGAGTCACCGGATCCTTCTGTTGTCAGCAACGAATTGACTGCAGTAAGCTGATTATAAATTTAAATTCCATCGAAATAGCCGAAACTGTTGAAAAAGAGGCCCGCTGCGCGGGCCGAGCTATCGCTTGAAAGCGGCTACGCCGCTTGTTTCTTTTTTATAACCGTTTGAAAGTTCACCTTTGATTTCTTAATTTCTCTGTCACAATTTTTCGTTTTAGAAATGAGAAAGTGTCTGGACAAACGTAGAAAGAAAGAAAGAAACGGACAGACCCCGCTAGCTTTTTATCAGATAAGAATGATGATCATCATTCTTATTTAATAAAAAGCTAACGGGGTCTGTCCCTCTGTTTATTTTTTTTCTTGGTTTGTCCGGAGAAATTAAGAAATGAACACGTGAACTTTCAAACGGAGGCTACCCCGAATCAGAACTGTCCCGTATCAGAACTGTGCCGAATCAGAACTGTTCGAATCAGGACTGTCCCGAATCAGAACTGTCCCGGAGCAGAACTGTGCCGAATCAGAACTGTTCGAATCATGACTGTCCCGAATCATGACTGTCCCGAATCAGAACTGTCCCGGATCAGAACCGATCGGCAGGTGGTTCTTGTTACATGAAGTTATGTTTTGACCGGTTCTGATCCGGGACAGTTCTGATTCAAACGGTTCTGATTCGGGGTAGCCTCAAGGTTTCAGAACTATTTTCTTTGAAAAATGAAAAAGTAACCAGGCAAAAAGAGAAAAAAAGAAAGAAATGGACGGACTCCGCTCAGGTAAATCGTTTCTAATCTAGCTAGCTAATACACGTTTCTAACCGGACCTAGTTAGATTGCTAATTTACTTTGATTAGATTGCAAATTCGTCTAACCAGACTGAAAAATTTTCTAATTTGATGGGCGCAGCTAATTAGAGTGCAAAAAAACTGATATTAGATTCAAAATTTAGCCAATTAAATTAAAATTTCGGGCAAACCTAGCTAGATTATGTTTAGATTGCAAAATCAGCTAGCTAGATTCAGAAATCGTTAGCAATCTAACTTGGTCCGGTTAGAAACGAGAACTAGCTAGTTAGATTAGAAACGATTTGCCTGAGCGTTAGGTTTTGAACATTATTTTTTATTAACAAGAATGATAGTGCTTCGTAAAACTTCGAACTGTAGTATCGAAACATGCATCTCGAAAGGTGGGATCAAGAACAAAAACAGAATTTTTAGAGTGTTCACAATTTCTTTATCAGCATTGTGGTCTGGCTCTAACTTGCCAGTATTGTGCAGTAGCTATGTAGTTGTACAAATATTTGAGGCAGTCGAAAAGTGAAGGTCTATTGCTAGCATCATGCTCCGTAGTTCGTCTCACGCGGGTGTCTCAAGCCGGTTTTCATTCTTTTCCTGCTCTCTGCGCATTGTTCTCCCGTTTCCCACTTTTCACTAACAAAGCCGAATATGAATTTTAGTCTCAAACCTGATACTTGAAATTATGAAATTCTCTGTGAATTTGTTCTGAATTCCCAAAAGTTTTCGTACTTCAAGTACATAAGCCTATTTGAAAAGCAAGGATTTGCCACTGAATTGTTGAGGCGCATAATGTAATGTGTTGTACTTTCTGAAAGTTCAAACTGCCTTGGGCAGTGACTCCGCCACTTTTTGCTTTTTGTCTTTTTCTTTTCCAAAAAGGCAATTTTCTAGCTTTTGTGCTAAGTTTTCATTTTGCTGCTACATCGATAGCTATCAGATGACAATTCCCACTAAGTTGATTCTCGAAACATTCTGATGAAAAATTTTCAGATCGACAACGCGATGCGTGCCAACTTCGAACAGGCTGGGAATGACGAGGATGAAGACGAAGTGAGATTACCTGACGGCTGGGATATGCAGGTGGCTCCGAACGGACGGACGTTTTTCATTGATCACCGCACGAAAACCACTACGTGGACTGATCCGAGAACTGGAATCGCAGCCAGAATGCCGATGCGAGGAAAGACAGATGATGAAATTGGAGCTCTACCACCAGGATGGGAACAGAGAGTTCATGTAGATGGCCGCGTCTTCTTCATAGATCACAACAGAAGACGTACACAGTGGGAAGATCCCAGATTCGAAAATGAAAGCATTGCGGGACCAGCAGTACCGTATTCTCGAGATTATAAGAGAAAGGTTCTTAGAAACATCCTGTTATGAGGTTATTCATAGGATGTTTTTTACATTGCTGAAATAAGTTTTTGACATAAAAACAAAAAAACATGCGCTGAATAACCTCATAGTAATAAATAGTAGCAATGTTTTTAGGTGGAATACCTTCGATCCCGTCTACCGAAACCGAACAGCAGTAGCGGGAAGTGTGACATGGTTGTTCATCGTGACACTCTGTTCGAGGATTCTTATAGACATATTATGGACAAGGTTTCGTCTTTCTTGAAAAAAAACTGTCATTATTTCGTTCAGAAGGACTATGACCTCAGAAACAAACTTTGGATTGAGTTCTTTGGTGAAACAGGATTGGATTACGGTGGTGTGACCAGAGAATGGTTCTTCCTTCTCTCTCACCAAATTTTTAATCCTTACTACGGACTTTTCGAGTACTCGGCTACGTAAGGTTGATCGTCATATCTTCTATTTGGTTATTTTTCTCAGGGATAACTATACACTTCAAATCAATCCGCACTCGGAAGCATGCAATCCTGAGCATCTTTCTTATTTCCACTTCATTGGCCGCATAATCGGAATGGCCATCTACCACGGCAAGCTTCTAGACGCTTTTTTCATTCGGCCTTTCTACAAAATGATGCTGGGCAAAAAAATTACGTTGTTTGACATGGAATCTGTGGATAACGCTTACTACAACTCGCTCATTTATGTGAAAGATAATGATCCAGCAGATCTGGAGTTGACATTCACCCTGGACGACTCCATTTTCGGAGAAACTCAAACTGTTGAGCTGGTACCAAGTGGTGCGGTTATTCCGGTCACTGAGGATAATAAAGAGGAGTACATAGAAGCCGTCATTAGCTGGAGATTTGTAAATCGCATCGAAGCACAGATGAATCACATATTGAAAGGAATTCAAGAAGTTTGTAGACTCAAACGCCTTTATCTACTCATAATAGTAATTTGTAGGTTGTGCCTTCAAATCTTTTGCGACTTTTTGATGCAAACGAACTTGAACTGCTGATGTGCGGTCTCCAGAAAATTGACGTGAAAGATTGGAAAGCAAATACAATTTATAAAGGCGGCTATGGTCCTAGCAGTCAGGTCGTCCATAACTTCTGGAAGTGCATTTTATCGTTTGATAATGAAATGCGCGCTAGAGTTCTTCAATTCGTTTCTGGAACATCGAGAGTTCCAATGAACGGGTTCCGAGAACTTTATGGATCCAATGGACTACAGAAGTTTACTATTGAACGCTGGGGAAGCCCTGATATGCTGCCTCGAGCTCACACTTGGTGTGTTTTCGGAGACGAGAAATGATCCATTGTTATCTTTTTCAGCTTCAATCGCCTCGATCTCCCGCCTTACACGACTTTCAAAGAGCTCAAATCGAAACTTCTGACAGCTATCGAAAATTCGGAAATCTTCTCCGGTGTTGATTGACCACATCTCCATCGACATGGTTCTGCCTCATCTGCATCTCTCCCTTGCCATCATAATTCATTATTTTCATTTCCGATCCATTCATCCCATGCCATTATGAAAGCACTCTGCTGATATGTGATTGTACGTCTTTTAAACAGTCTACAGGTATTCTTGCTCGGAATAAACTGGATCAGAGCTATTTTGATTTTGTTTTAGTTGTGAAATAATTTCTTCTGATAAAAACCATGATTTCGTACGTTTTGGCCATTGCTTTTGTTGAAAACGAGATTCGACAGATGATGAGTCAGCTGAGCTCAGTGACCCTCTCTCGGACCACAGTAGACATGTGGCTAGCTGGTGCAACAACTGAGCGAATGGTTGTGTGACTGAGCACTCTGCGTTCTCTTGTGGAGGCTGTACTATTGAATAGTGAGGCTGACTGTCTGAGTCTCGCCGGTCATTATCCCTCTTTCTTTCGCTCACTGGTGGAGGACAACGCTCTTCTCTGCATCATCACGCACCATTGCGCGCCGGAACGACCTCCCGTTCACCCGTTTCGCTTGTCTCGGTATCTGCTTTTCTGCTATTTCCTGTCGGCAGCAAATAAGAAGAGGTTCTTTGTCACAATGACCACGTGGAATCTGCTTCTAGTTTTTTCTTTATTTTATACTGCGAGCACTTTCTATGCAGCAACTTTCAACAGGAATACTTTGCTCTCGTTAGCGTTGATAGTTTCCTTAAAAGTTTGAAGGTGGCCGTGGCCTATCGTTTTCCGTCCGCTGCATTCATCTTCCGATTTTGTTTTCTGAAAACATTTTGTTACCAGAAAACCTCTTAGTATTTCTCTTTCGAACGCATTCAAAATCAATAACGCTGTTATAGCGCTATTAATAGTAATATAAGTCTGTTGAGACGACGCAGCGACTGTTGGCCAAAATCGATCGATATTGCTCTGGTAAATATTTCCTTTTCGATCAAAAATAGAAGTCCACTTCACTTATGAATATATTTACGTGATTTTAAAATCAGAAAACCTCGATTTTTACTCTAATACAGTCGAAGTTCGAGATTTTCCAGTCTGATCTCAAGCATTTAGTCTTCGAATCGACGGTTTTAAGATCTTTAAAATCACGAGACTTTGACCGTTGCGTGGACAAACAAGCGGTGAAGCCGCTTTCGAGCGTCAGCTAGGACGCGCAGCGGGCCTAGTTTTAGAAAGTCTTGTATTTTTACAGATATCTTATTAGCTGAGCACATTACAATACGCTAGGTATCAAATATATCAGCATTTGATCTGGAACAATTCACCAGAGAGTCTAGACTATGCTCCTTTTCTGACATGTCTTTTTGCCTTACCCATTAAAAAATTTGTGACAATAAACTATGCAGTAGAAAACTAAAAACTGCAGTCTCGCTAGTCTACATTTCTTATCACGGGAAAATAACGATCGTATTCCTTTCGTTCCAAGCCGAACATCATCCGCACGCTGACCTGATCTATTTGTTCTATCATCCCCTCTGTTATCCGTCAGTATGTCGTCAAACTTCTCTAAAACTTTCTCGCAGTGGGTTCTGCTATTATCTTCAGTGCCGTTTTACAGAAGAGTATATTGTAAAGTCCCTATAATTCTCATGCATGCCAAATAATCGGTGCTGTAATCAAGTACTGGTTGATAACGGGGTAAAGTGTTTTTATAATTTTCGAGGAAATTTTTGCTATTCAGAGTTCGTAATGGGTTGTTTGTTTTCAAAGGAGAGAAGATCAGGCGGAAGTGAAGTGGGATTGTCAGATCGGATAGATGCCTCCAGGTATCCAATCGGCTTGTAGCTCAATCCTAAATGTCCTTCTATAGATTCACTGTTCCGCCGCAACAAACAGTTTTTCACGTAAACAATGGAGGGAACGAAGGAACAGTATCCATGACTGGGAACAGTGATGCTGGACTTAGTGGAAGACCGACAGGTAAAGTAAAAAATAAAATAACTGGATACCAATTTTCTTTTTCTCAGAACGAGACACCCTTGTTGCACTATACCCATATGACTCAAGAGCGGACGGGGATCTCAGCTTCCAGAAAGGCGATGTGATGTTCTTGTTAGACCACAGTAACTGCGACTGGTGGTATGTTCGGCATCAACGAACTGGACAAACGGGATATGTTCCACGAAACTTTGTCGCAAGACAACAGACAATTGAAAGCGAAGAGTAGGTTCATATTTTGAAGGCAGTTATACCGAGTGCATCAGTTTTGCAGGTGGTATGCTGGAAAAATTCCAAGAAATCGAGCAGAACGCCTTGTCCTTTCTTCGAATTTACCCAAGGGAACCTTTCTGATCCGAGAAAGAGAAGCAGATACGCGAGAGTTTGCTCTTACAATTAGAGATGCAGACGATTCGAGAAGTGGTGGTAAGAATCATAAAGAAATTCAATTTCCCTCCCAAATCTCCGTTTTTTCCAGGTACAGTGAAGCATTACAAAATCAAAAGGCTGGATCATGATCAAGGATACTTCATCACTACTCGGAGAACATTCAGATCGCTTCAAGACCTCGTCAGATATTACTCTGACATGGCGGACGGACTCTGCTGTCAGCTGACTTTCCCTGCCCCACGGCTTGCTCCGACTCGACCAGATTTGTCCCACGATACTCAAAACAACTGGGAAATCCCTCGGAATCAATTGCACTTGAAGCGAAAGCTGGGCGACGGAAACTTCGGAGAAGTCTGGTATGGAAAGTGGAGAGGAATAGTTGAAGTTGCAATAAAAACTATGAAACCTGGAACAATGTCCCCTGAAGCATTCCTTCAGTAAGTTCCAATATGAGAGGCTCGCTCAAATAATTGTTTTGTAGAGAAGCACAGATAATGAAACAATGTGACCATCCGAACCTCGTTAAATTGTATGCTGTTTGCACCAGAGAAGAGCCATTCTACATTATCACAGAGTATATGGTCAATGGCTCCCTTCTTCATTACCTCCGAAATGATGGAAGCACTCTCGGCATACAGGCTCTGGTCGACATGGCTGCACAGATAGCAAACGGCATGATGTACCTGGAAGAGCGAAAATTGGTGCATCGAGATCTTGCAGCTAGAAATGTACTAGTCGGAGATAAAATTTCTGGTGTTCCCGTTGTGAAAGTAGCTGACTTCGGTCTTGCACGAAAACTAATGGAAGAAGATATTTACGAAGCTCGTACAGGAGCCAAGTTCCCAATCAAATGGACCGCTCCCGAGGCAGCAACGTGTGGAAATTTCACTGTTAAAAGTGACGTGTGGTCGTACGGAATTCTTTTGTATGAGATCATGACAAAAGGGCAGGTTCCATATCCAGGTAATATTCTCGTTTCTACATAATTTTTTGAACAAATTAATTGTTTCAGGAATGCATAATCGGGAAGTTGTTGAGCAAGTCGAGCTGGGTTACCGCATGCCAATGCCGCGCGGCTGCCCTGAACAAATTTATGAGGAAGTCATGCTGAAGTGTTGGGATAAGAATCCGGAGCGTCGGCCTACATTCGACACACTTTATCATTTCTTCGATGATTACTTCGTGTCAACTCAGCCGAACTATGCACCACCAAGCGCATGAAACTTAATACGGAAGCGCCACTACTCTGTGACATTCGCGGCGCAAAAAAAAACGTGAAAATGCAATTCCTTCAATCTCAATTCTCATCGCGGGATAAGTGTCGGTTCGATCAGTAACATCTACTTACTTCCTCTCATACTTGTCCTCATGAAGAAAATAATGTCACGTTCCATACATACACATGTATTCATAATTTATGTCCCTTGTTTTTATAATTTTTGATTTTGCCAAATGAAACATAATATAAATAATACAGTATGATTTACATTTCTCGGAATGTACCTACGATTCTTTGCTCTTTTTGTTGTGCTTTTGAGTATGTCTGCCTTATCTGTTCTCATTGCGAGGTATTTTGAACAGACAGTTTGCTAGTTCAGACGCGTGCCAAACTGATAAAGAATGCAGGTGGCGATAATAATTAGAATTGAATGTTATTTTCGCAACTTCCGGTACATGTAGTTCGACGCCGCTCCCTAGTGTTCATCGTCATCCAAGTATTTTGGTCGTGTACGAAAGTTTTGAAAATGAGGGTGGCCTCTTGGGAGGAGCCGTGAGTTTCGTTCAAGTGTTAGGAGTGCCGTTTTAGCTCCGAAAGAGGGAAGGGCGCCAGTACATTTTTCATCAAATGTACTAGTCCGTAGATATGCACCAGCAACAATTCAATCCAACATTCAGATGTTATATAATTCTGACCAGTTTCTCAAAAGCCAAAAGGTGCGGTTTAGGCTGGTCAAACAGGCGATTCTAGGAGCCTGCGCCTGTCCTTTTAACGGAAGAACGGTGTCAAAAAACAGTGGAAAAAACAGGCGCCTGTTCGACCAGCCTAGTGCGGTGTCTTCTGCTTCCAGGCATTGATACGTACTTCTTGCCGTTTTCATAGCTAGTTTCCTTCCTCGGCAACCCTTCTCTTCTGCAGTCTTTTAATCCTTGTACCACGAGCACTGCACTTCATTTTATTTTTCTTACTAAAAACCAATGTGCACCGCGACCTCATTCGTTTGCTTTCTCTGTAGTTTTTTTTTTCTAGAATTCAATCATTGCAATCTCTCCCAATATTAGACGACGTTAATCGGACTAAATTTGATTCGTTTCTCTGATTCTCCTCCAAGCTGTCTCTTTTTCATTCTCGGAAATGTGTGAAAGGCTATTTCAGACTGGTCTCTTTCATGAGAAGTTCGTAAAATGGGAGGAGAGAGAGGTATGTTCTCCGGGCAAGCATTCCCAAAAGCTCTCTAGCAATTCTAGTTTATTCAAACTTCACAAATGATATCGCACTTTTCGTAATGAACATCCTGGGCGGTACTCCGACGATTTATTACACCAAGCCAGACTCTAGAGCCGGGAAGAGAAGAAGAAGAGAGATTGGTCAATTTAGTGTGTACTTGTGTTGCAGCTGACTCATTTTCGTATCATCGATCGGTTTACGACGAACACGCAGGGGAACGACGGCCGCTTGTAGACAACCTGCAATCCCGATACAGTTCAGAGAGTTACCGACCACACAGACCATATAGGTGTCCCGGTGATTACGGGGTAAGCTTGATGAAATGGGTAGTCAAATAAACCATTTTATCAGATGGAAAAGAACAAGGCGGATCCTCGGACAGCTCCCGAAGGACACCCTTCATTTCATCAGAATCCGCTCACCACCAACAGTCCCCTTGTTCTCTCTGATGACGAGGAAGATTCCATCAATTGTTCTCCGTGCTGCGATAACCCGAATATCAGGTTCGGGTTACCTTATCAAATCGCTCCCCACCGAGCTTCGTAATCACCCCCTAGGGTGATTACGAAGCCTGGAAATCCTGGAATCACCCGAAGGAAAGAAAGAAATGGACAGACTCGCTTTTTACTAAATAAGAATGATGATGATGATTTGTATCTTGGTTTGTCCGCACACGCTTTCATTTCTAGAACTGAAAAAGATGTGGACATTCGAACGGTTTTGCAAAGCAATAAAGCGGTGCGGGCCCAGGTTCGAAGTCTTGTAAAGTATTATGATTTGGAATCTGGGCGAAAGCCAAACAAATGGAATGTCTTTCGATTATTATAGGGGCACCGCACAGAAATGGCGCTCTATTCAGAAACTCTTTTTGCAGTGCAAATTGAGCGACCTCGGGGCCGAGTTTGAAAAGTTAGGCCACGTTTTCAGTGGAAAAACACTTCGCGGCCTAGAAGTTCGGCCAGATTGCGAACAGAACGCCATTTCTGTGAGATGCCCCTATAATATCTGTGAAAATATCGTGAACAGAGTTGAGCGGAATAGGTTTTTTGTAAAAGCGGAAAGCGGAGGCGGAATTCAAAATTTTTGGCGGAAGGCGAAAGCGGAGGCAGAATTCAAATTTGTTTGGCGGAAGGCGGAGGACGGAGGCGGGATCAGAAAAGTGTCAGAGGCGTAAGGCGGAAAGCGGAAGGCGGACTCAGGTAAATCGTTTCTAATCTAGCATTCGAGTTTCTAACCGGACCTAGTTTGATTGCTAATTTACTGCGACTATTATAGGGGCACCGGACAGAAAGGGCGCGCTGTTCGCAATCTGGCCGAATTTCTAGGCCGCGAAGTATTTTTCCACTGAAAACGTGGCCTAAATTATCAAACTCGGCCCGAGGTCGCTCAATTTGCACTGCAAAAAGAGTTTCTCAACAGAGCGCCATTTCTGTGCGGTGCCCCTATAATAGATTGCAAATTCGTCTAACTAGACTGATAAATTTTCTAATTAGATTGGCGAAGCTAATCGGATTGCTAATACACTGCTATTAAATTCAAAATTTATCTAATTAGATTAACATTTCGGTCAAACCTAGCTAGATTATGCTTAGATTGCAAAATCAGCTAGCTAGATTCAGAAATCTTTAGCAATCTAACTAGGTCCGGTTAGAAACGAGAACTAGCTAGTTAGATTAGAAACGATTTGCCTGAGGAATTCCGCTCAACTCTGATCGTGAACAATTGAAAACAAAACGTTTTTCAAAAAGACGCTCGCTGCGAGACCCTCCAAAGAGCTGTGTGATGCGCTCTGATAGTGAGCAAGGTAAAATTGACCATAAAACCCCCGTATTTTTTTCCCTAGTACTCTCAAACGGTTTGTGCTACTGATTATTTCTCGTAGTCTGTGCGATTGAATGTCTGCGTCTCTTCACTGTGCACTGCTGCCGTTGATAAAAAAGACATCAAAGTATAAGTGGGAGCTTTGGAACTACAGTGTGCTGTCACCAAATGCTTAAAAACTCGGCAGAGATACGGTACTTTCTTTATGGAGCTTTGCTGAAAATCTTTTTGAGAGAAACAAGAAAATTGCATGACTTCCCATGTTTGGCATCATCTTCTTGTGCAAATATGGTTTTTCAGCAGAACATTCAAAGCGCTACTTCTCGGTCAAATTCTTTCGTTGTGTCTTTGTGGAACAGGCGTATCTAGTCAACTTTTAGTGGACAGGAACATTCATGCACCAGCTGGTAAGGAAAATTCCACGAAGATTAATTGTACAAATATTACAGCTCAATCTTTTACCAATTACTTCTTACTCTGTTTTGTCTATTGCATTTCATTAGCATGTAAGCCAGATGAAAAAGGATTGGTATATGTGCTACGCAAACGAGGATGGAGGTACCTTATACTGGCCGTTATTGATGTTGAGGCTAACTTCATGATTGTAAAGGCTTACCAGTACACAAATTTGACATCAGTCCAGGTAAGGGTTTCTTCATAATTCCACCATACTACATGTTTTCAGCTTCTGGATTGCGCTACCATCCCAACTGTTTTATTCCTCTCTTGGTTGTTTCTGTCGGTTCGATACTTGGCTTCTCATGTCATCGGTGAGAATGAACTAGCTTCTGAAACTCTCAGTTTTATTCAGGTGTTACCATTTGTCTAATAGGAATTGCTTGCGTCATTTGGGCTGATGCATTGGGAGACAAAGGTGCTCTGGATGGCGGGTCTAACAAAGTTCTAGGAGACGTTTTATGCCTGGCTGCAGCCATGCTGTATGCAGTCTGCAACGTGGCCGAAGAGTTTTTAGTGAAACAATATTCTCGGACAGAGTATCTTGGATTGCTCGGTCTTTTCGGTTGCATCGTTTCTGGTGTACAGACGTAAGTCTTAAAAATTGTTTGTTAGACAATTCAGAAGTTCAGCGCCGTATTCGAGCAAGAAGCACTTTCTAAAGTGATATGGGATGGAGTAACAGTGTCCTACTTTCTTCTGTTTGCTGCGTCGATGTTCATATTTTATTCGCTTGTAACTGTCGTTCTCGAGAAAACTTCTGCACTGATGTTCAATTTGTCCACACTAACCGCAGATTTTTACTCTTTACTGTTTGGAATTTTTATGTTCAAAGATACCGTAAGTGAAACGGTTGAGAACGAACTCACGGAAAATTTTTCAGTTCCACTATTTGTATTTCCTATCATTCATAATCTGCATTATTGGATCTATAATTTTCTCCATGAAGGAGACCCAGGTTCGCGATGCAGATGAACCTAGACGAGTCTGCCCCTGTCTTTTTCTCTGCTGTTGTTGTTGTGGGTGTTGTTTTGAAGACGGTGATAGTACAGAAGGATCCATTGATGTAAGCTATCCGTGCGCGGTTTTTACTGAATAAATTATTTTCAGGTATCACCATCCCCAAACGAGAGAATGCAGATGGGTTTGAACCCACGCAATTCCAATTCCGCTTGTCCTGTGCATGGTAACCAACTTTCCCGGTTATAGTCAATATTGCAGTCGCAAAAGTCTTTCAGTCGCGCACTGCCGCTCTCCACGTGAAATCAGTGCTGAATTATGGAGTTATTCAGGCTGTGAAAAGAATTATTTTTTCCCGTTTTTTCGTTTTTTACGTCCGAAAATCCAATTCAGCTATGTAAAAAACGGAAAACAAACATACGCTGAATAGCCCTAATGTCGCGGCTGCAGCCGGGTTTTCACGTGGAGTTGCGGATGAGCGACACTGCCAGAATTTTAAGCTGATAATTGCTACTTTGATAGGTTGTCCTAGATTTATGCTAACTTAACTTTGTTGCTACGTGTTTTTCTGATACATGCTTTCGAATTTTTCAATTTCATTTACGTTTTCTCATAAAATTCACTTATCTGATACCCGACGGGTATAGCTATGTTCAAAATCCTTGAATGAATAAATATTTTATCAAGTTTATTTCCTTTCACATGTAATTAGACTTTCAAATCGCAGACGTGAAAGCTATTCTTCGTGAGGGCGAAAATATGGTTCTCAGTGAGATAAGCGCCACGAATCGATCCAGAGTGATCGAGCTTTAGCAAATACTGTTTCGAGATGTGAGTGAGACTTTTTTTGCGATTGCATAGTTCTGAAAAAAAAGATGTCTTCCGTACTTAACTTTTTTACTAACTTACGTCAAAGTCTACTTTTTGAGAGTAGCTACGTCTGCAAACACCGAAGGGAGAAGAGCGATAAATTGAGTATAATACGGTACTGAAATTTATTAATCAAAGTGAATGTAAAATACTGTCGCATACGGCATACAACATTCATAGACTCCAACAAATCAAAAAAAGTTTGGAGCATTTATCAGAGCTTATTTAGAACGGCTTGATAAAAAATAAAAGAATATCCAACAGAATTGTCATTGATAGCTTGTGATTATTAATCTAGATAACTAATTCGCGTTAATAACCTAATTAGATTGCTAATTTGTGGCGATTAGATTGAAAATTCTTCTAAATACACTTCGAAATTTTCTAATCAGATTTACAAAGAAAAATGTGTCTAATTAGATTGACAAAGAACTGATATAGGCATTTAATTCCGAGGGTACAACAATTTTGGGGCACAACAGGGTACAACCTATTTTGGGGTACAACTTTTTTAATTTTGGGGTACAACTTCCCCGATTTTAGGGAATAATTTCTGTCAAGTATTTTAGGGTACAATAATTTTAGGGTACAACACTTTTAGGGCACAACTAGCACATAATTTCAGGGCACAACTTCTTACAATTTTGGGGCACAACAACATGATTTTAGGGTACAACACTTTTAGGGCACAACTAGCACATAATTTCAGGGCACAACTTCTTACAATTTTGGGGCACAACAACATGATTTTAGGGTACAACACTTTTTTTCCTCATTTTTTTTGTATTTTCTTGCATTTTACTACAAACCCATATTCTTTTTATATCAATATTTCGCTGATTTTTTTATTTCAATGACTCATCTCTTGTAAGAGAACCAGTCTTTCGACTCGTGCTTTCTGCGGCAGTTCACACATTTTGTTTTCACCAAATCGTGAGGTTATTCAAAACCTTTTATTGCAAAAAAGCATATGACAGTAACAAGTTGAGCACAAATGAACGGATCTGAAATAACGAGTAGTTAATCTACTTGTTTGAAGTTTACGTTTAAAATAAACTGAGCTGTTCACTTGCAAAAATTAAACGAATTGCAACAAGAATAGCTCGGACTGTTATGTTTTCCTTTTGCAGGACTACCCGCACGAGAAAGGCAGAAAGATCTTACAGTCCGATATATTAGAGAGTAGAATAACAATTAGAACAGTTTACATAGAAGATCATTTTGTTACTTACATTTCACTGTTTGTTTTTGTCTGTTGTTTTTCACTTTGTCTGTTGTTTTTCTTGCAGTGCACCACAAAATATGCTCCCAAAGGGAAGCCTTGACCCTATTCTCATAAACCCGCCTTATTAATAGAGCTATTTAAAAACCTAGATTAACTACTCTTTATTTCAGATCCGTTCATTTTGTGCTCAACTTGTTACTGTCATATGCTTTTTTTGCAATAAAAGGTTTTGAATAACCTCACGATTTGGTGAAAACAAAATGTGTGAACTGCCGCAGAAAGCACGAGTCGAAAGACTGGTTCTCTTACAAGAGATGAGTCATTGAAATAAAAAATCAGCGAAATATTGATATAAAAAAAGAATATGGGTTTGTAGTAAAAATGCAAGAAAAATACAAAAAAATGAGAAAAAAAGTGTTGTACCCTAAAAATCATGTTGTTGTGCCCCCAAAATTGTAAGAAGTTGTGCCCTGAAATTATGTGCTAGTTGTGCCCTAAAAGTGTTGTACCCTAAAATTATTGTACCCTAAAATACTTGACAGAAATTATTCCCTAAAATCGGGGAAGTTGTACCCCAAAATTAAAAAAGTTGTACCCCAAAATAGGTTGTACCCTGTTGTGCCCCAAAATTGTTGTACCCTCGGAATTAAATGCCCTGATATATCATGATATTAGATTCATAAGTCATCTAACTAAATTTCGGCAAAACTGTTAATCTAATTAGACGAATTATGAATCTAATATCAGTTCTTTGTCAATCTATTTATTAAATGTATCAGTTTACCAGACTTTTGAAATCGGGCTAACTCTCGAAAGCGGCTACGCCGCTTGTTTCTTTCTCATTTTTGTTTGAACGTTCACATGTTCATTTCTCAATTTTTCCGTCACCACTATTTTTTCTTTAGAAATGAAGCGGGGACGGACAAACGAAGAGATAAACAAACAAACAAACAAACAAACAGAGGGACAAACCTGTGAAGAGTTATATTAATAAGAATGATTATTTGCGAGAGGTTCGCCGAGAGCACCCTGAAATTTAACTGATCCGGAATGGAACTGCCCCGAAATGGAACTACGTATTTTCTGTGGGAGTTCCATTTCGTGGCAGTTTCATTCCGGGCCAGTTCCATTTCGGGGTGCTCCCGAATTTGCAATCTAATCGCAGTAAATTAGCATTTTAATTATTTAGAGCCGGTTATAAACTCGAATTAGCTATACTCAATTTACCGCTCTTGCTCCTCGGCGTTTGCAGGCTCAAGCCTAATTTCAGGAAATTTTGGCTTGCGTCTGCAAACACCGAGGGGCAATAACGATGAAATGAGTTTAGCTAGATTATTAACGATTTTCCTGAGTGAGGCATCTTCGGTGTGTTCATTTGTTGTCAAAAGAGTCGTCTTGAAATTCCATCAACTCTTCGTTCGGGACTAGCTTCGTAACCTGCACTGGTCCCGCATCAAATGAATCAACATCTTCTTCTTCATAGTTGTCCTCGCCATCAACATCTTGATCCTCCTTTAAATCATCCGCAGATAGCTGAGCTGCCAACTGCTCAAGTTCTTTAGGCCATTTCCCCATGTTGTTCACAATAGAGGAAGATTCTTCGAGCATTCCGATTGGGAAGCGGTTCATGGCAGCAAACTTCATTTTCATTCCTACTTTCTTGGATAGTGTAAAACTATACGCATTTGCAATTTTCGCTGTTTTCTGTGAACGCGTGTTTCTTTTTTTTTCTACATTTTCCAAACATACTTCTTCGAAGAAGCGTTCTGCGCATCTACAAATCGATTGGAAAGCGGCATACTGTTGAGGCGTGACATGCAGGAGCGCAAACGCGTTTAGAAACATTTCTGAATCTGTCACTCGAACTTTTCCGAAAACTTCAACGTAGTCACCGATGGCAATTATCTGAGCCTGCTCTGCAGTGAAAGAAGCCTGAATATTGTCATTTCTCTTTGCAATAAAGTTGCTAGTCTTCACATCTACTAATTAGACATTTTCTGTGTTCTAATCATTCTAATCATTTTTATTTAATAAAAAGCTAACGGGGTCTGTCCGTTTATTTCCTTCTCCGTTTGTCCGGCCATTTTTTTCACTTCTAAAACGGAAATAGTTGTGACGTAAACATCAAGAAATGAACACGTGAACTTTCGAACGGTTATGAGAATTCAACAAGCGGCGAAGCCGCTACCCCGTGCAGCGGGCCCAGGGTGCAAAACTCAGGCAATTCGTTTCTAATCTAGCTAGCTAGTTCTCGTTTCTAACCGGTCCTAGTTAGATTGCTAACGATTTCAGCTTGCTGATTTTGCAATCTAAACACAATCTAGCTAGGTTTGACCGAAAATGTTAATAGAAATGTTAATCTAATCAGCTAAATTTTGAATCTAATATCAGTGTTTTAGCAATCCGATTAGCTTCGCCAATCTAATTAGAAAATTTATCAGTCTAGTTAGACGAATTTGCAATCTAATCGCAGTAAATTAGCAATCAAACTAGGTCCGGTTAGAAACTCGAATTAGCTAGCTAGATTAGAAACGATTTACCTGAGATGATTTCAACAAAAATACTAGAGTTAACGCTTGTTTTTTTTCAGCGAGCTAGCGAGGAATGAAGCGTACACAAGAGAAACAGGATCATCTTCCCAACTTGTCTCTTTTTTCTACAATAAAATTTTCTTTTCTTTTCCACGGGCAGGCAAAGCATACGGAGGACTGGACATTGTGAAGCTGTAACTTCTCACAGAAACCTTACATTTACCTCTAACCTGGCTCATTTTGAAGAGCACGGTAAAATTGAAGTTTTATCAAAAAATCAGAGATCCCTATGTCCGATTTCTGGAGATAACTTGAAAAAACCGAAAGTCCCATGTATGAAAAGCCGGGCCGTGTTTTCGCGTTCAAATGATGTACCTAAATAGGCTTAGACTTTTCTTTTGATGCTTGACGATTAGGCACATGTTTCATCTTTTTAATTTTAAATTGTTTTTTGCAGGGCTGGGCAATTGGCCGGCTTTTCGTTGGCCGACCCTTGACCTGGACTTTTGAACCACTTGAAATATTACGATCGGACCCAAACTTTGCAGGATTGTTGGACCTGGAATGAGGGCTATTGGGACCACGTTTCAGCCCGATCAGATCGTGGGGTCCCGAGATATGTGGATCATTGGCCAATTTTTTCCAAAAGGCCCGGGCTTCCGGCCAATTTCGGCCAATGATCCACATATCTCGGGACCAGATGATCCGATCGGGCTGAAACTTGGTCCCAGTATGCTTCAACCCATGTCCAAGAAGCCTGCAAAGTTTGGGTCCGATCAAAATATTGCAAGTAGTTAAAAGGTCCAGGCCAAGGGCCGGCCAACGAAAAGCCCGTGCCAGCCCTGGTTTTTTTCTAATTTTACGTTTACATTTCTGTTACGTCGTTCTAGACGTATGATAAGTGTAGGATAATGCTAAATGATCTACCTGTGATCTACCCGCTAGGTTTTGTGTTATTCTCGCTTATTTGTCATCATTCGGGTCGCCCTCCCTCTGAGGACGAACCCTCTATTCATTCTATATTCTATTATTCTGCTAGCCCCCGCTAAGGTTTCTTTCTCTGAATAAACCTATTGCGGACTCTCTTGTCTGACACGACTCTTCCCTACCAACGCGGTGGAAGACGTTAGAAATACAACAATTTCAATATTTTCAAATAAAAAAATCTTTTGAAAAGACTTTAACTATTTTATAGGGGCATCTCACAGAAATGGCGCGCGTTGTTTGCAATCTGGCCGAATTTCTAGGCCGCGAAGTAATTTTCCACTGAAAATGTGGCCTAATTTTTCAAACTCGGCCCCGAGGTCGCTCAATTTGCACTGCAAAAAGAGTTTCTCAACAGAGCGCCATTTCTGTTCGGTGCCCCTATAATATTAATAAGAACAAGACTTTTGGAACCCGGGCCGCTTTTTTTGCTTTACAAAACCATTCTTAAACATGTTCACGTGTTCATTTCCTAACTTTTCAAGAAATGCAGAGATGATGATGAGGTCAGCATCTAATTATGAAATTTGATCAAATTTGATATTAATTTGGAGAATTATCGAATTCAACTTAAGAAAGTTTCACGCTTATGGGGTTATTGAGGCTGTGAAAACAAGCATACGCTGAATACCCCCTTACTGTGTCATTTTTTAGATGTGAATGAGTTGCAATTCAATCGCAATCTATTCACAAGAGTTTATCTACAAGGTTATCTTTAACTCACCGTAAATATTTTCATTATCATCAAATTATTGTTGCTCGTCTTATCGGTTAATTCGTACACCACATCGGATTCATTCACAGTGACGCGTCGGATTATTCCCATTACATGAACCTGAAAATGACTCCCGTATCGGCGGCACAACGCAATAGAATTGGGTAGAATATAACTGCGACAGAAACTGCGACATCAGTAACTTTCTAATTAGATTAATATCGAATTGCCAGAGGAATAGAACTGCGACACAATAGAACCGGCCATAATAAAACTGTGACAACACCGGTGATTCGCGATCGGTCTATTGAGAACGTGGACCTGTGATAGGCCTATAATGTGCCTATTCAAGGACCTGCTCCGAGTTCTCTATCGACACATCCGCGAACTTGTAATAGACCGATCGCGAATCACCTGTGAAGATAGAACTGGGCAGAATAGAACTGCGCGGAATAGAACTGTGTTTCGGTGGTGTGCGTTTGCATCTTGTTTTTAAAAGTCAGCAATTGCCTATAATTAGATTTTATAACTCGATAGCAAGCTTAAAAAATTATTTTACTTGAGAAAACGATTATTCTACAGAAAGGCGCTCCAAACAGTTCTATTGTGTCGCAGTTCTATTATGGCCGGCTCTATTCCGCTCAGTTCTATTCTGCCCAGTTCTATTACGTCGCAGTTCTTATCTGTCGCGGTTCTATTCTGCCTAGTTCTATTACGTTGTACCGCCGAACTGTCATGTTTTCCATGTGTAAAAACTTACACGAACGACTTCCGACGTTCCGAATCCAATCCTCTCGTTCGTAGCGTTCATCTAGAGAGCAACAAAACATGAAGATTTGAAGATATTGTATATCTCTCTTACCAGCCTTGATATGGCTAATGGGACTGTGTGATCCGGAATATAACGGTACTGCTCATCAGTGTCCATATTTGAAGCCTAATTAGCTAAGACCGAACTATATATTTTTTCACTTTGGATCAATGTATTTCAAGGCACCTTAACTCTTGCAATTCACATACTTATTTCAATAGCATTAAATAATAAAAAATATTATTATTACAAGAATATTTAACACAGCAGCATACTCATTTTACCGCTCTTGCCTCCTCGGTGTTTGCGTACTCAAGCCTAATTTTAGAAATTTTGGCTTGAGTCTGCAAACACCGAGGGGCAACAGCGATGAATTGAGTTTATTTGTAAAATATACGAGTAATGGACACATTAATCTTCCTCGGAGCTTTCGCTGAGAGCCAAACCATATTTTTCTGAGTCACTGAAAATATGATTCGTCAGGTATATTTTATCTTTGAGAAAGTTACCCCCTGTTTTTGCTTTTTGAGGAACCCGTTGTACTGTATTGAGACTTGCTTTCAAAATTCGAGGATGCGAAGGTCGGAGCTGTGACTGGAGCAGAGGTTGGAGCCGACGTAGGTTTGCTCTGCATTTGTTCAAGGAGAGCACTTACATCTTCGTCGTCGCTTGAGTTCGATCTCTCCGAACCCGTGGAACCATCAGAGTCACTACTCGAATCGGAAGAATCCGGCGAATGTTGAATTTTCGTCATATCCACTGCCGGAGCTGTCGGAGAACGACGTGTCGAAGTCCTCAATCTTTCGATACCTTTTTTCAGAGCATGTTCGGTTGCTGGGTCCAAATCTCTTGAAAATTTTTGTTGAATTTTGTTGTTTTTCAGGAACTAACCTCGTTTTCTTCACGTTTATATTACTGGTTATTTTCTCCAGTCGAACACTATTAGTAGTCTTATCAAAGAAAAGCAAGCATTCTTTCGGCTTCGCCTCTTTTTTCGATCCTTTGTAAACTGTCATGTTATCTCCTTCATTGGGAACCGAAACCTTCAAAAAGCACAGAAAAAAAAGTATATTAGTGGATCGGATATCTTACGTGAACATCTCCAGTAGATCCGTAGGCGATGTACGTTTCTGCTTCGTTTGAAACCGAACTAGGCTTGAAATCATCTGAACAATTCGTTTTAACTAAAAGAAAGATCAATTGCAAGTTCTGACATCGTAAAGTATGGAATTGACCGGGGACCTGATCGCTTCGTTTTCCTTTTTGTGGATCGAATGAACTACCTAGAGTTAAGGTGTAAGTCCCAGTCGGAATATCGCTCGACTCTGCCATCAACAAATCTGAAAATTATTTTTATGTATAAAAGTCTTCACGGGTATGTCCGTCTGTTTTCTTGTTTGTTCATTTCTCCGTTTGTCCGTCTCCAGTTTTTTTCATTTCTAACAAAATTATTGACGGAGAAATTGAGAAATGAACAAAACTTTCAAACGGTTCTGAGAAACAAAGAAGCGGCGAAGCCGCTTCCGAGCATCGGCTTGGACCGCGCAGCGGCCCAGTTTTAGAAAGTCGTTTGAAGATAAGAAACACGCAAAACGAGAGAAAAGAAAGAGAAGCAGTGCCCTATGAGAGAATACTTGCAAACGGAAACTCATGATTCACAAAACTTTTGTTTCTCGGCCACATTCACCCAAATCTTTGCATTTATACAATCCGCCTTCATCACGGAGTATTTTATCTTATTTTTATAAAGCAATAAATGCAATACAATTGCAATCGTAATGGGGTTATTCAGGCTGGGAAAAAAAGAATTTTTTTTTCGTTTTTTTACGTCAAAAAATCTAATTCGATGTAAAAAAAACGAGAAACAAAGATACGCTGAATAGCGCCGTAAGGCGACCGAAGGGTTTTCTGACTTGACACTTTGGAATAGTGCACGACGTTGAATGACGGCCGAGGAAATTTTGTTAAAATTCGGCCGCCAGTAAGCTTCCAATGTTTTTCACAGCATTAAACAATCTCATTTTCTCGATTTCTATGGTTTGTAAATATCAAATAGTCACTTATTGATAAAAATGAAGCTATCAGCATGCTTAATCCTTGTTTCCACAAAGTCTGTAATATTGCTGTTTGTTTTGTTGGAAAATCGATACCAATTCAGACACTATAATAAGGACTTTATTTTGCATCCTATTTTTCTCAAAATGAAATACTTTCCTTTAAGTATATAACTTAATTCATAAACTAATAACAGCAAGACTCTACCTGGGTCCATTGCGCGGCGTTTCCCTGCCTTTTTTGCTTGGCAAAACCGTTTGAAAGTTCACGTGTTCTTTCTCAATTTCTCCGTCACAACTTTTTCGTTTTCGAAATAAAAAAGTTGCCGGACAAAGAAAGAAAGAAAGAAAGAAACGGACAGATCCCGCTAGCTTTTTATTAAATAAAAATGATGATGATAAGAAGTTCAGGTTCGAATGGAGACCGAACTGCTGGAAAAATTCAATTTGGAACTTTCTTCACTACTCGATAGCAAAAATCTGAGCAAAAACAAGATTCAAGATATCACAAGAGCCGCAATTAAAGCTAAAGCACTATACAAGCATGTAGTTTACAGTATTGAAAAAAGCATGTCAAAAGTTAGTCTTCCGCACTTACTCGGAAAACGAAACCTGTTTTAGTGCAAGCCGGACCATCGATTGTATCTTCTTTACGTCATCGATAGCATTGTTCGTGCGTCAAAAAATCAACTAAAAGAAAAAGACGTGTTTGGACCACGCTTCATCAAACATTTCGATAAGTTTTTGGAGCCTTTGTTGCGATGTGAGCAGAAGGTGCGTCTGAAAACTGTTCGGACGCTCAATCTATGGATGTGTAACAATGTGTTCGCTGGAAACAAAATTGAGCCCTACCTTGAGAAGTGTAAAAATGCGGGAATGAGTGAGTTTTTTTGAGGCTACGCCGAGCCAGAACTGTCCCGAATGACAGTTCTGATCCGGGACAGTTCAGGCTTGGCCTAGCCTTTTTTTTTAAATATGTTCACAAGGCTTTCTGAAACAGGGGCCGCTGTGCGGACCGAGCTGCCGCTTGTTTGTTTCTACTAACCGTTCGAAAGTTCACGTGTTCATTTCTTAATTTCTCCGTCACATTTGTTTTCGTTTTCGAAATGAAAGTGGGGACGGACAAACGGAGAAATAAACAAACAAAAAACAGACGGACATACCCGTGAAGAGTTATATTAATAAAAATGATGATACTCTGGCAAATCGATATTAATCTAATTAGAAAGTTACTGATCTAAACGCAACCTAATTAAATTCAGCTGTTTTTTCTTGGCGCAATCGAGATTTGAGCTAACAAACGGTTGGCGTGAAACTTGATTTGAGCACTTATTAATCTAGCTAGACAATTTATTAATCTAATTAGGTGTCATATCAATCTTATTAGGCCGCCGTATAATTCGAGTAGACTACGATTAAATTAATAGCGAAATGCCAGAGTATGGGTAATCGGCAAAGGCGCGCCACTTTTGCGCAAACTTTACGCAGCTTTCGCGCAATGTTAGCGCAGCTTCTGCTGGCTAGTTCCGCAAAAGCTGCGTAAAGTCTGCGCAAAAGCTGCCAATTTCAAAAGTTTGCGCAAAAGCTGCTTAAAGTTCGCGCTAAATGCTCATTTTGTTTTCACTTCATTCGTGCATGAAAATACAACTTTATTCGGAAAAAAAGTAAAAAAAATTTAAAAATACTTTGAAAGTGAACATAAGAATTACAAATCAGTGAGTGTGTAATCTTCATCAACATCATAATTGGGCATAGTTTCGGATGTGGACGGACGTCCGAAGTGTTCCGCGGAGGGCTCCAATTGCCTGTCCTCTGTGGGACGGAAAAAGAGCAATTGTTAGCGCACTGAGATAAAGGAGATGTCACCTTTCGTAATACAAATGTTCTCGATCAAATGAACAAGCCAGAGGAATCATTAGTTCCTCTGCAAGTGCGCGACCGAGCGGAGGCTCCGACGCACATTTCTGCTTCCTGAAAATTAGGTTGTACAAATGTACTACAAAACTTTTGTCTTACGAGCGAATCAAATTTTCCGGATTGAACGAGCGCAATAGTCCGTTCGGTACGCATTCGTTCTCTCCGTCGGATCACGCATTGTATCTGCCCACACGGAAGACTTTGTTGAACTTGAAATGTGTTCACCATCACCCATTTCATGGAATGCAGACGTAGCTCGATCAACATTCGGTTCCATCTTCTTCCTGCTGAACTGCTGTTCCACTCCTCTTCTGAATAATATCTCACGTAGTCACATAACACTCTTAATCCGAACGGAACTCACCGAGTCTCCGTTTCGAGACAAATCACTTTGGAACTTTTTCGCTGAAGTCGATAGTTTCGTCCGGATCCATTTTTCTCTTCACAGTGGTTTTTTTCTATCTAAATAACAAAAGAATGCGAAATAGTACAAAAGTACGAGCATGTGAATCGTTCGAACCAGGGTTGGGCAATTGGCCTGCACGGGCTTTTCGTTGGCCGGCCCTTGACCTGGACCTTTGAACCACTTGCAATATTCCGATCGGACCCAAACTTTGCAGGCTTCTTGGACATGGGTTGAAGCATACTGGGACCAAGTTTCAGCCCGATCGGATCATCTGGTCCCGAGATTTGTGGATCATTGGCCGAAATTGGCCGGAAGCCCGGGCTTTTTGGAAAAAATCGGCCAATGATCCACATATCTCGGGAGCCGACGATCCGATCGGGCTGAAACTTGGTCCCAATGGCCCTCAATCCAAGTCCAACAATCCTGCAAAGTTTGGGGTCCGATCGGAATATTGCAGGTGGCTTTAAAGTTCAATGGTCGGCCAACGAAAAGCCCTGGCCGGCCAATTGCCCAGCCCTGGTTCGAACATCTTAAATAATGCGGTTATTCAGGCTGTGAAAAAATGTTTGTTTTCTATTTTTTTTTCGTTTTTTTACGTCAAAAAACCCAATTCAGCGATGTAAAAAAACGAACAAACAGAAAACAAACGTACGCTGAATAGCCCCATAACTGTGAAGTACTCCGAATTCACGTGATTTTATCCATATTTTCAATAACACTCGCTTCTAAACGAAATCCGACCGAAATTTCGCTTGAAATGCGCTCAAACCGAGGAAATACGGAAAAAGACAAGTTGTTTCAATTTGATAAGCAATAAGACGCATAAAAAAAAGCTGAAAAAAGCAAAGAGTACTGAAAATGCAATGTTTTCACAACAATTTCGTCATGCCTTAAAGTTTGCGCAAAACCTGCGAAAACACTAAAAGTTTGCGCAAAACCTGCGAGAACACTTAAAGTTTGCGCAAAACCTGCGAAAATTCTTAAAGTTTGAGCAAACGTGGCGCGCCTTTGCCGAGTATGCTTGTCGCAAAATTCTGGCAATCGCGCTCGTCAGTGCTGAAATAGAAAAGCCTTTTTTCAGTTGTCGGAGTAGAAGAAGTCGAAAAAGCTGTGAAAGGGGATCAGGCAGACATGAATCTTTACAATGGCGAATACAGAAAAAAACAGAAAACCACGAAGACTCCACCATCATCCGATAACGGTTTGCTTGGAGCTGGACCATCGACAAGCCTTCTTTCATTGTCTCACATTCCTACTTTTCCGCTTTCTGAAGAATGCGTTGATGAAACAATTAGCGAAAGAGAAATGCTTGAACTGGTGCAGAAATGTGGAATTGATCGTCAAGGACTGTTAAGCAAAAACAAAGAGCTTTTGCAAAAAGTACTCTGTTTCTTTTCGGGTACTTTGAAGTCGAAAATCACTGAGATCAATCTCTCAAGAAATGAGAAAGATAATCACTCGGGAAGCAGTATTCAAAACGTACTCACAAAAGATTTCGAATACTCGGACGACGAAGAAGAAAAAGAAAAAGAGAAAGAACAAGATGAACCCAAGCGCCCAAGTCACGACGAAATTTTTGGGTATCTAAGAAGTTTTAACCTTTTTTAATACTGTTCCTCTCAGATTAGCGCAAAAGATATTGGCTGTGCCTGCCGTCCTTTCTCAAATTAACGAAATTTTGAATCCTCGTTCGACGTCCTCTCAGCCGATTCCAAATCAGACTTCAAAATGTGATCCTTCTTCGTCTACAGGCTCATTATCTATCGGTCATGCGCCCACTCTCTTCGGCTTACCATCGATGCCCGGATTCCCGGCGCTGCCAAATTTATCACAGTTGAACGCAGCTCAGTTGTTAAATGTCCAGAACGCTCAGAATCTTATCGTACGTAAACTAAATTCATCGCTATTTCCCCTCGGTGTTTACAGACTCAAAACAAAATTTCTGAAATTAGACTTGATTACGCAAACACCGAGGGGGCAAGAGCGGTAAATTGAGTATAGTAGTTAATAGATATACCCATTTTTTGAAACATATTTTCAGTTGCAACAGCGAGCTGCCCATTTCCAAGCTCTTCAAAGTCTTCCTGGTCCGCAACAAAATCTTCTGATGCTGGGGGCCCCTATAATAAACGCTTTTGGTATCCCAACGAATGTAAACCCACTTCTTCCTCCTGTCGATTTGCAAACTGCTTCTGCGAAGCAACAGGCAGTCACTGTCGGCGAAGGAGCAATTAGCGAAAAACAAGAGCTTAACGAGGTCTGTTTGGGAATGCATTTCACCAAATAAATAAGTTTTTTTCAGGACTTATCTCGATATCGCTCTTCTAAAGAAAGCCGTGAACGTAGAAAAATGGGGCTTCCTTCAGTAAAACAGGGTTTCACAATCAGTAAGTGTTTTATGGGGTTATTCAGCGCATGTTTGTTTTCCGTTCATCGCTCAATTAAGTTTTGTGACGTAAAAAAACGGGGAAAAAACATACGCTCACTTTAAACTTTAAATCAATTTAAACTTCTTTTCAGTTGCATCGCGAACTCTGTGTTTGAAGAAGGTCCCGGCTAATGTCACAGAGAATGAACTGAAGCAATCTGTTGAATCATGTGGTGAAGCCTCGCGTATTAAAATCATTGGCAATCGAGCTTGCGCATTTATCACAATGGAAACTCGCAAAGCAGCCAACGATGTGGTTCAAAAACTTCGTGAGCTTAGCATAGCTAAAAAGAAACTGAAAGTGTATTGGGCAAGAGGGCCGGGAACGGACTCGGAGCTTTTCACCGATTTATGGGACTCAAATCGTGGTATATGGGAAATCCCATACAGCAAGCTACCAAACGATCTCTTGGCCGTCTGTGAAGGAGCAGTTCTTGATCTTGAATCACTTCCGGACGAGAAAAGAAATCTATACAAAGAAGATGGTGAACGGATTTTATCTGTTCCGCCTCCGATCTCCTCCATGCAGCCACTAGTTCCGCAGCCCCCAGTTCCGCAGCCCCCTCTTGGATTTCATTTCCCAAGTAAAAGAAACGACAAAACCGGAAAGAAATACTTTGTTTCAGTGCTAGGACAGTTTCCTGGACATTCGAATTTCAGTAGCATCGGAGCGCCCAAGCCGAATCCGCCTGGCGTCCCTCCATTGGTTTGGTACCAAACAGAGTTATGCTCGCTAATCACATTGTTTTGCAGCTGAATCTGTCAATTCCTCCGCCACCTACTACTTTAGGTGGATATCCGCCTGCACCACCGCCGCCTGGTCTCGGAGCCCCTCAGAATATTCCTCCACCTGGATTTGATCCGAACAAGCCACCTCCAACGGTAGTTTTTTCCCGTAACAACAAAAAATGTTTGTTCAGTTCCAGCAAACTTTCAATACCTCTGCTCCACCACCACCGTTTGCTCACAACGGAGGAGCTTCAACAATGTTTGGAAATAACAGTGTTCAACCTCCGGCCCCATTTCGTGGAGTACGAGGAAATGGAGTACACATCGACTCGCCAAGACGAGGAGGGTCTTCATTTCGTCCAGATGGACATGAACGGCCTCGTTTAATGGATCAGAGCGAAATGTGGAGGTAACGCGGCTTATTGGTCTTGCTTCCTTGTGTTTGGGTACTCGAACTTTTCAACTGTGACATTTTATTGGGCACAACGGCTGAATTCATTATTAAATTTTTTGATTTTTCCTGTACTTTTCTCTCATCAATCTCAATGATTAGGAAGACTAGTATTTTCAGTCGGGAACGAGATCGTGATCGCGACCGTTTGCATGGAGATCGGCGCCGATTTGAAGCTGACTATAACCGAAATGGTTCTCGACGACGCACTTCGCGTTGGGGCGATGACGAAAAACGAGGTGGCGACGGCGACAATTATTCAAGGTGAAACCTTATGCCGTTCACAAGCTATAATGACATTATTCTTGTAGGAGGAGATTATCGGAGAAAGCACTAAGACGCTCACCGAGTCGTGATAACGAACAACCCACAACTAAAAAAACCAACGGTAACTAATAATAGTCACGATGTTTAGTATTCCTTTGATTTCCAGCTGACGATGAAACGGTGTCTTCGACGACTTTAGACGAACTCAAACCGACTGGCGAGGGAGAAGTAAAAAGAGAACCGTTCGCGAAGCCCGAGGAACATCAGAGAGATCAAACTGATGAAGTACCGATGGATGTCGAATGAAAATTAAGATTGCCCGATTTGTTTGTTTACTGATTTTACCACTACTTTGCTATGCAGTAATCTCACATTCTGCATCTCCCTTTCTCTCAGGGGTTAGACATGCTATCTCTGGGAACTCGATCGCAATCTAATTAGAAAACTTTGCAATCTAATACTAACTCGTTTGAAATAGAATTTGTTTTAATTAGATTGCAAAATCTTCTAATTAGATTGCAATCACTGAAAATTTTTCTAATTAGATTGCATTTTTTTTGTTATTAGATTGCAATTCAGGAAAAATATATTGTAATCTAATACGATTTTATTGGAACTTCAATTAAATCTGATTAGGTTGTAAAATAGAGTTTTTTCTTATTAGATTGCAAACTCTTCTAATTAGATTGCAATCGAGTTTCCAGAGTATTGGGGATTTTAAAAGTAAACGCGCTCTGTTGAAATGGTGATCTCCGGCCGGGCGGCAACACAGAGCATAGAACGTTTTTTCCAGAATTAGATGAAAAACAAGTGAAATTATTTTCGCGGCTGAAAAACTGGGGCCCAGAGAAAGAGGAGTTTTCCAGCAGAGCGCATTAACTTCGAAATTCCCGGATAGTTAAGAATTATCTTTTTCCCTGCTTTTACCCATTACTCCTGCTGCTATCATCTGAGTAACATAGCTTTGATACTTCTTTGAAAATAACAAATTCTGCGATTATTTCTTTAAACGACATCATGAATGATTGGTCAACTGTCGTCAATGCTTACCAGTTATTGGCTAATAAAAAGTACATAGTTAGACGACATGCTCCGGGTTCCAAGTCAACGTATACTTACTCATAACAGACACTTTGTTTTTATGCTTGAGCTTAGACCTAATATTGTCGCGACAGTTTATAGATCAGTCTGATCAGGGTAAACCATGATAAAACTAGAATAATGCAGTGACATCTACAGTAGTCCCAAACAATTAACGAGGAATTCACTGACATTTTCAAAATGATTCTGCATTAAGGAAGTTGTTGTTTATCTAGTTGTTAGTGGTGGCCTGAAGTATGCCATAGTAGTAGTATTTGTTCTAGTCAAAAATGCATTTGAAAGCGGATCAAAAAATATATTGAATAGCTATCCGTAATTGGTATGCCTTGGAAGAGAATACTCTCTAACAACAGAAATGAAATTACTACAGACCCAGGCAAATCGTTTGTAATCTAGCCAGGAGATTTCGTAATCTAAACCGAGTTCCGAGTTTAGCTAGGTGAAAAATGGAATCTAAACTAAACCTAGCTAGATTTGACTGTAAAAACGAAGGCGCGATCTCGGATCGCGCCAGCAGACATAATTGTTAATCTAATTAGAAAAAATCCGAATCCTCCATCTTTACGTGAATATGCCTTTCATCAGAGCCCTCTCTCCCGCAAGTAAATCTCAAATTCGTAACGATCAACAACATTTATTACAAGCAACAAATCTGAGAACGTTTATCGCTTTCCTCCGACACGTGGAGCAGCAGTCTTAACGCTCTTGGCGGTCTTCTGTTGCTGCTTTGGTTGCGAGGCCTTCTTCTCCTGAAAAATTCAAGCGAGTTATTGTCCAATTTTTGTATATGTCGAGTTCACATCGGCCTCATGGCATAAAAATAGTTTGGTCTGCTGAGGCCTTTTCTGAAGAGACGGCCTAATACTAGGCCACAGCCCTGTTTTCGACAATTTTCCTGTCGTCTGAAGAAACCAGTCGACCGAGTAAATTGTCACATTTCAAACAAAACATGCTTAACGACCTTCTACCACAAGAAACTTGAAAGTAGTAAGCTAACACATGTTGCGATTCGATGTGTTTTTTATTTAGCACAACTTCGACACTCGTAAGCTTACAACGTTTCTCACGAGCTCTAACAGTGTGCATAAAATTCTTCAAAAACACTCGGAAACTGTTTTATAAATGAAAAATTTACTTTGTTGGCGGCTTGCTTAGCGGCACGGGCAGCTTTGTTGGCGTCCTTGGCAACCTTAGCAGCTTGCTCGCGTTGGTGACGACGGAAGTCTTCGGTTTGATTTCTCTTAGCAAGAAGAGCTTCAAGAGATAGCCCGGCGACGGCGCGGTTGACGACCTGCACGGCCTTCTTAGTCTTCTTTCTCTGGACTTGCTCTTGTCCATGAGTTCCCTAAAAAAAAACGTTAGAATCAACAGTTACGGGGGAAAGCAAACCTTCTTGTTCTTAATTCTGTAGAGAACAGTCCATCTGATGTCACGCGGGTTACGACGCAGCTTGGCTCCCTTCAGACATTTGGCACTTAGGAAGATTTGCACCTTTAATAATCTTCAATCTTATAATTTCGCAAATACAGATTTGAGTCTTAAGAATACCTTTCCATCAGTACGAACAAGTCTCTTTCCATGACCTGGGTGGATTTTGTATCCAGAGTAAACGCAGGTTTCGACCTTCATTGCAAAACAGCCCACGCTTGACAAACCTGGAACAAAACAAAAAAAAACATGAGAACAGAAGGAAAAGCGTAGACCTCGACCGTATTAAAATTACCGCGAAAAGCAATTTGAAAATCATTTTGTACAACAAAAAACGGTAAAACTTAGGCCTTTGAAAAAAGGAAATTTTCTTCAATTTTTCGGCCATCAATGCTGAAGGATAGGGGCGCTACGCAGCGAAAGTACGGTAACACTCACTTCAGCTGTGTAGCCCCACTGTTGCTGTTCTGCGTGTGTGCCCTTTTCACTATTTTCCACTCGATTTTCTGGTTTCGCTTCCTTTTTCTTATGGGGTTATTCAGGCTGTGAAAAGAATGATTGTTTTCCGTTTTTTCGTTTTTACGTAAAAATATCCAGTTCAGCGATGTAAAAAAAACGGAAAACAAACATACGCTGAATAGCCCCATTAGTTTACGTCGATTTAGTTTCGTTTTCATTACAATAATTAGTTTTTTAAACTTCTGTTCATTTAGTTTGAAAGATAACCGTCCAGTTGTACAATTTACAGTTAGTTATTTTATGTTTTTGTTGAATTCTCCATCTACCCGTTTCTTCGTTTTTGTTCAAGGAATCCAAATTTTCAGGAACTTGAGGTCAAAATGTTCATCCCGAAAAGCCACACCAAGCTCATTTATGAGTACCTCTTCAACGAGGGCGTTACTGTCGCCAAGAAGGACTTCAACGCCAAGACGCACCCGAACATCGAGGGTGTTTCCAACCTCGAAGTCATCAAGACTTTGAAGGTATGATTTCCGGAACATTGCAATGTTCGTTTTTCTGCTCTAGAGAAATAGAATATTTAGCTCTGACTACACGTTGTCATTTTTCAGCCCCATTCTAATCCAAAGCAGAGATGGGCGCCGATTGGCGGCCGGACGACAACTTTCGAGGGAAAAGTTGCACGTCCGCAATTTTGCGTGAGGTGCACCAGCGTTAAATGTTCACACGTGATTGCGTACTGCAACTTTTCCCTCGAAAATTTCGAGGGAAAAGTTGCATTCGACCACACCGCGCCCATCTCTGATCCAAAGCGTTTAAACAATTTCCGCGATAACAAATACGAGAGAGGAAATTTTAATCACCTCGGTTATTTGAACGAATTCCGCTGACCGATAATCAGAATTCAAGTTGAAATGAGCATGCGCATGTCTAAACTGTAATTAATGTGACACGTAGCTGCAGCTTCCGATTGTTTTCAGTCTCTTGCTTCGCGTGAGTTGGTCAAGGAGCAGTTCGCCTGGCGCCACTACTACTGGTATTTGACCGACGCTGGAATCGCTCACCTCCGCGAGTACTTGGCTCTTCCGGCTGAGATTGTTCCAGCTACCATCAAGACCAAGCCAAGAGAGATCCGTGTTCCAGCTGAGGATAGAGCCCCACGTGCCGGTAATAATAGTTTTCGGCAATCTACGAGAATCTTCTGCGAAAAGCACTAAGAATATGGCTCCCGCAGAAGTGAAAATCTAACTCAGTGAATTTAGTGCAAAATGAACGATTGTCGTTTTTTCAGCTCAAGGCGAAAAGGGTGATCGTGAAGCCTACAGAACCGAGAAAGTCACTGAGGCCGGACCAGGAGGAGCTGGAGTCTACAGAGCTGGATTCGGACGTGGTGCCCCACCACCGCAATAAATGTTACTGCTTTTTAAATAAACTTGTTACATCCGATAGATTTTACTACACTGACTATCGATCGGTAATGTTTCCATGTGTACATCGAATCACTAGTGATAATCATTAATGATTTGCACACAGAATGGCCCCTCGGAAGAGGCAAAATCAGATTCACGGTGTTCAGCCACCAGCACCCTCTACATTGAGAGCTAGTGGCGTGACGCTTTCAGTACATCCAATTTGGCCTGATATGCAATTCACTCAGGGGGAGCTGTTTTTTGAGTGCACCCTATTCCTCTACTCGGTTCTAGCTTTGTTTCTACAGTACTTGAACATTTATAAAACTCTTTGGTGGCTCCCAAAGTCGTACTGGCATTACTCCCTTGTGAGTAAACGCGACGATTATATATATATATATATATATTAAAAAAAGACTGTTATTCAGAAGTTCCATCTAATAAATCCTTATTTTTTATCATGCGTCGGTTTGCTACTGGGCTGGAGGGTTACTCTCTGCTTCTGGAAAACGGTAGTTTGTGTGTTAATTTTAATAGAAATTATTCAGTTACAGATAACGGATGTGGTTACTGCTATTTCCTTGAAACAATCACATTTCGTTCAGTCAAGCCTGATGATCATCGAATACGCTGCTATAAAAACACCAGTGATGACACTCATTGTGACGAGCTTCTTGTTCAGTTTCAACAGAGTTTGCCAGGATTTTCCCCTTAGATCAGTTCTGTGGTTCCTCTTCCCGTGAGTTACTCAATGGATCACAAATATTGTAAACTTTTTTTCAGAGTAGTAATATATGTTTTCATATTCTGGTCTGAAATGATAAATTGGCTCAAGAAACTGAAAAACTCTGCGGGTCAATGGCGTAGGAATGAAGTAGAGTTTGCGGAAGTGAGGTTGTCTACAACGTTGAAAGCATAAAAGTTTTAACAGGTTTGCGATCGTTTGATGGATTCACCCCCGGCACAAATCGATCTGGAATCAGTACTACACATGTGCAGTGACAATCCGGCACAAATCAGAGAGGAGATAAGCGTACTAATTGACGACTTAATTCTCAGAGTGAAGAAAAGTGTTTTTGCTGGAGTTTCTACAGCATTTTTCAGTATTATGCTACCTTGCATTTTTGTACCTGTTAGTTCTGTAAACAATTGTGCCTTTCAGTGCATTTTTTTTTCAGTTCAAAACAAGTCAAGGAATTCCTCAAACGATTCTGATAAACGAATTCTGGGAGTTTCAGTTGGGAGTCGTAGTAGGACTGACCGCGTTTTCCCTCTATGTGGCTTATTTATCTCCTCTTAATTACTTGGATCTCCTTCATCGAGCAGCGATTCATGTGGGTACATGGGAGCAGATCGAAGGACCACGAATTGGACATACAGGAAGCATGAGGCAAGAAATCGGAATCCACAAGGCTGAACTCCTAAGATTTTGTTCTAGCTCTGCTCCGTCTCCATGGCACGAGTATTGCCTTTATAATGATGGCGAAACAGTCCAAATGCCTGATGGAAGATGCTATCGAGCTAAATCATCCCGACTCATCAGAACAGTGGCAGCTAATCCTGAAAGTGCACGCCACAAGTCTTTTTTTGTAAGAATGATTTAAATTCTCAGCCTCTAAACCTTTTTTCAGAAAGTACTCGAGAAGCCGATCAATTTAATCAATATCATGTGCGCGTTGGAGTTTTTCTTAATATTCGTCCAGTTTTGGATGCTTGTTTTAACAAACGACTGGCAGCACATTGTTACTTTTGTTCTCCTCATGTTCGCCAACTATCTACTGTTTGCCAAGTTATTCAAGGATAAAGTATGGATAGAATGGATAGTGATGTGAAAATGTTGATAGAATATTTGTTATTTCAGATCATACTAAGTCGAATATACGAGCCATCACAAGAAGATCTCCTTCTGATGCATCAACTGCAGCAGGAACGATAAACTTGAATTTCTTCTGCACCCGTTGCGATTCAGTAAATTGTCTTCCAGGTTTCACTTTCCTTCTATGCCGGGCTTATCAAAACGCCTGCCTGGGCCTCTCGAAAGCCTTTCGAGACCTGAACTTTTAACCGAGTTGCAGTATTCCGTTGCGAATATTTGCAGGCTACGTGGACCAGGATTTAAGAAATTTGAAGAAGGTTCTATCGATCAGACTGATCGGATGATACTAGAGATATGTGGACGAGGCCGGAAAATATCGGTCTTAAACCAGTAAATCTCCGGACCAGAAAATCCGATCGGTGTGGAACTTTAAGTCAAGATACTTAAATCCATGTCTAAGAAGCCAGCAAAATTAGGGTCGAATCGAAAAATTGCAACTCGGTCAATAGTTCAGACCTCAAAAAGCCGACCATTTGACAAGCATTGCTTGAATGTATTAACTGGCTCATGAATACTCCAAGTAAGCATTATACGTTCGCGCGAGTGTGTGACTTGGCCTTTTTATCGATAAAGTCCCGCACGTACCGTTGAAAAAAAGGTTCGACGTTAGAATCGGAGTTGGCAGTGAGCCAAGGACACGTCTCCCAAATAGCGTGCGGCAGTTGCAGCAAAAACTATTTGCGAGGCGTTTCCTTGACTCGCTGCCAACTCCGATTCTACCGTCGAACCTTTTTTTCAACAGTAATGGGTTTCTTAACACAGGTTGTCGTATCCGATTTACTTTCGATATCAATAAATTTGAATTTGTTCTCACTCTCTCGCTTAAGACGGCCTAATTTTCTCGTGTTCTCAGTTTCTCGGTCTAGCTTTCGCTGGCTCCGGGCTAATGGCCTGTAATTCACCCGTTGAAACGTTGTTATTTTTTATGCAGGTCGCTTCGAGCAGTCTACGGCCTTCAGTTCCACGACGTTTTTTCACTTCCAAATTAGGCCTTTTCGAATTTTCTCGAAAACAAGTCTGACGATTTCTTCTTTCCGCCGACATTTGCTTATATAGGTGCATTTCACGGCAATCGTGCTCCGTTGAAAAACTCTTTTAGCTGTGCAAAATGCCTCGGGGCCGAATTTGAAAAATGAAAAAGTTCGGCCACATTTTCAGATGTGAAACAACTAAAAATCACTTCGCGCCGGAGAAACTCTGCCCCATTAGGACCAGAGCGCGATTGCAGAGAACTGCCGCCATGATATTTTTTTCTCTCATTTATAGGGTTTCCATCACAATACGAAAGCCTTATTCTCTGGCAATTCGATATTAATCTATTTAGAAAGTTACTGATCTAAACGCGACCTAATTAGATTCGACTGTTTTTTCTTGGCGCAATCGAGATTTGGGCCAGCAGACGGTTGGCCTGAAACTTGATTTGAGCACTTATCAATCTAATTAGAAAATTTATTATAGCTAGACAATTTATTAATTTAATTAGGTGTCATATCAATCTTATTAGGCCGCCGTTAGATTAATAACGAAATGCCAGAGTTAGGAAGTCTTGTTTAACAATCTCTGGCATTTCGTTATTAATCTAACGGCGGCCTAATAAGATAGATATGACACTTAATTAGATTAATAAATTGTCTAGCTAGATTAATATGTGCTCAAATCAAGTTTCACGCCAACCGTCTGCTGGCTCAAATCTCGATTGCGCCAAGAAAAAGATCAGTAACTTTCTAATTAGATTAATATCGAATTGCCAGAATAAAACTGGGCCCGCTTCGCGGTCCCAGTTTTCTTGTTTTCTTTTTTCCAAGACTTTTATTAAATAAGAATGATGATATACAAAATTTTCAGAAAAATGATATCCGTTGGTTCTTGGAGTATTATTGGACACGCAGTAACCGTCGTGTTGGACAGTGGAAAGCCAAAAAAGAGAGCTGCTGTGAGTGGATATTTGATTGGACGCGATCCTGTCGATCTCGGTTTAATTTTGATAAAAGGCGAGTTCAAAAAATTTTAAAATTTGATTTTTACATCAAAAGAAAGTTCGGTTTGCAGATAACATGGAAACACTTGAGTTGGTTCCCGGTCCCTCGGTGAAAAAATTGAAGGAAGTCGACATCGAAGACGTGGACCCGAATGTTCTCAACATTACACTGAAGAAAATATCAGGCAGTAGTCATGACATTGAAGCGGATTCAGAAAGCATCATTAGAGAGAGGTATGGTTCACACAGTAAATCCAGATTTTAATTCGAAAAATTTCCCAGATGTCTAAAAATCATCAACTATCTTGCGTCACATCATTTAGAAGTTGAGAAAAAAACAGAAAATCTGTATGTGATTGCGGGAGCAGTGAAGTTCGAGCGACCGTTCCGTCTGAATAACTTCTACTGCGATATTCCAATTGTCCTGAAACGTATTCTGAAGCTCGTTGAGGCGATCGATAATTGAATCAAGTAATAAAAATTCATAGTTTCGTTATTTAATGAAAATTATGAAGCAATTCTATCCACTTCTCGAGAGTCATTTCTTTCCCACTTTCCGGCCTTTGTTCTTCTTGCTGCTGCTTCTTCTTTTTTTTCTGTCAAGCTCCGAAATCCCCGCTGGTTTTTCTGCTCCTGTATTTAATTGACTTAGATCTCAATACATGTCGATAATACCTCTTTTTAACAGCTTTATTATGACGTCTAGCTTCGACTCTGCTTTAGTGTGTTCAGATGCAGCTTCCTCATTCTCCAAAGCGAACAACACTTCAAAAAAGTTATTTACCGGAACACATCAACTGAAACTCAACTGAAACAACTGAAATTCAACTGAAAAAACTGAAATTCAGCTGAAACAATTGAAATTCAACTGAAACAACTGAAATTCAACTGAAACAACTGAAATTCAACTGAAACAACTGAAATTCACAGTTTTAGTCAAAATTTTTACAAAACTATAAACGGAAAAATCTTTAAACTTAATACATAGATTGAGCGGAACGTACACTACTTACCATTGGTCAAAACTAGAAGTAAGACGAAAACTTGAAAGTTTTTCATATCCATACGGAAGAATGAGAAAGCCGTCTTACTTTTCTTCTTTCAGAAAGAACAATGTTGTCGTCAAGGTGCCCATCGAGTCCATTGTCAGGAAATGATTGTCCATTCTGGCACTCTTCTTTCTAGGATACACAATAAACCCTGGACAGAAGTATTGAAACTATTGTGCACGATGAAAGAATTGTTCAGAATAAAGAATGGGCGTTACTAGAGTTGAGCGGAAGAAATTGCGGAATAGCAGGGAATAATTTTTATCTTTTTTAGAAAAATTTTTCATGGGATATGATCAACTGACAAAATGTGCAGCACAGTGAGTTCTCTTTATAAAAAAATAATGAGAGCCTTTACTTTTCACATAAAAAAGTTATGCAAGTTCTTCCGCCAAAAATTCCGCCACCATTCCGCCAGCGGCAGAAGGCGGAAGAACCTTCATAACTTTTTTATATGAAAAGTAAAGGCTCTCATTATTTTTTTTATAAATAGAACTCACTGTGTTGCACGTTTTGTCAGTTGATCATATTCCATGAAAAATTTTTCTAAAAAAGATAAATATTCCGTGCTATTCCGCCAATACAGCAGCGGAAACGCACCGACATTCCGGCTCCTTGCAATGGAGCCATTTTATAAAATGCCGAGTTCTCCGCAATAATCAGCTGCCGTATCCATTTCCCAAACCGCTTGTTCAAAAAGATTGTCTTTCAGGCTGTCATTCTGCTCCCACACGATTGCCACGCCAATGCGGAGCATCACTCCTTTTCTTGTGAGTGAAACTCTAGTGTTGTTCCGTATCCATTTTCCAAACCGTTTGTTCAAAAAGAATGTCTTTCAGGCTGTCATTCTGCTCCCACACGATTGCCACGCGGATCAACGAGCGGAGGATCAGAAGTTCGACACTTCAGCTGTTTTCTTCAAATTTATCAAATTCTTTCCCACAAAACGCACTCCTTGTTTAAGAATAATTCATTTTCATGCAAAAACCAATTATTGTTAGAGTTCCCGGTGTGATCCTCCCAATTCCCCAATGCTCTTCCATCATTACTTACTTGTCTGAAATAAATGCAACAAATTAATGATTCTCTCTTCTCTGCGCTTCGAGAGAATATGTTTTTCTGCTTCCTCACTTCGAAAAAGGTTCATCAAACAGCCTTCATTCGACAAGATTAGGTTTTTTCGGATTAGTTAGGTCGTTTTGTAGTCGCCGACGAGCCGGCGTCGACGACGACTTGGACACAAAACAATAACAAACGAATTGAAACAGATCGCCCAACGGCTAACACAAACCTAACATGATTAACGGGGATGTTAGCAAACAACAGTAATGGACAGAAAGCGAAAAATTCCGCACAGCCCTACTTCCAATTTATTCCTCGTCGGACTCCTCGAGTTCCTCCAGACCTCCACGCGTTCGCATCGTCGACTTGCATCCTTGCGCCTCCGGGATGTCCTTCAGATATCTTTGAAGGCCTGTCATGGATCTCCAACGCCCTCTCGTACGGATCTCCTCCAACGAGTGCCCTTGTGCTCGCAAGTGGTTGGCTCCTCCTCTCCGGAATCCGTGATGAGTCGCTCCTGCTTTCCCGACCAACTTGAGCATCTTCGTCGCCGCCGCCGAAATCGATTGCTCCGTGAGCCTTCTCGAGCCATCCGCGTTTGAGAACACGTATTCGCACGTCCTCTTTTTATTCCTCAATCGCCACCGGCACATCAGGATGTCTGCGTCGCTGCCCGGCGTGTAGTGGAAGAACGACGATCTTCCCAGCCCCATCTGGTCGTTTTTGGTTCTCTTCACGACTACTTCGATCAGATCTCCTGACTGAATGACGTCGTCCCATCTGATCTCCTCCGCCTCTGAAGCTCGAAGCATCACGTGGAACGACAAAATTGCCAACAAGGCATCTCTGTCGCACGTGGGGCTGTTGGATTGCATCGCGATCTGCGTGATCTTCTCGACGTCCTCGATCGTCACCTCTATCGGCTTCTTCTTCACGGGGCACTCCAGCCTGCGCTTCGCCTTTATGACGTCCGCCACAAAGGTCGCTCCGATCCTTGAGATCCCGTCGTTCACCGCTTGATAGGCCGCCGAGATCCTCGCCAGAGCGCTGCTTCCGATTTCCGTCGCCCTTTCGAGCAAGTATAGTAGGAAGCAGAGATGTTGGGAATAAAAATTTTACTCTACGGAACACGGAACACGGAAAACGGAAATTTTTTTTTACGGAACACGGAACACGGAAAACGGAAAAAACTTATTTCTACGGAACACGGAAATTTTTTTTTTACGGAACACGGAACACGGAAAACGGAAAAAACTTAATTCTACGGAACACGGAAATTTTTTTTTTAACGGAACACGGAAAAAAGCGTTTTCAAGAGAATTCCAGTGATTTTTAAAAAAATAATGTTTTGTTTAATTCGATTAACTGACTGACAAGGCAGCTGTTTGACTCATGTGAAAGTTTTACTGAAAATTTCATAAAAATAACAAAACCAACAACACAACAGTAAACAACTACAGTAAAAAACGACTGAAAATGGAATCCACTTTTCACGAATATGGTCCGAATCCGAAAATGTTCAAATTTTGACCACAAAACGTCAATTGTCCTAATCTTTCCGGAGATAAATTTGATCTACGAGGCGAGCAAACCAAACCAGAAAAACTGAAAAGCCTCTCCGATTCCGAGGGAGTAGATGGAACAGAGAGATAATGGGATGCTAAAACAAGGGGGAATTTGAAAATAATAATGAAAAAAATAAAATTTGTGATCGAATTTTTCCGCGGAAAATATAGTTTATACGGAACACGGAACACGGAAAACGGAAAAAAACTTATTTCTACGGAACACGGAACACGGAACACGGAAAAAATATTGAAAAAAACGCGGAACACGGAACACGGAATTCCCAACATCTCTGGTAGGAAGGACGACTCGTTTTTTGGAAGGTTCTTCTCCTTCTCGATACGCCTTTGCCGTGGATGTAGCTTTCGAACGATAGGGCATGTCCATCAACATTTTGACGAGGTGCTGAAGGCCTGGGCCTGCTTGCATCCCGAGTTGCTCGACGTACTGCCGCTTTTCTCCTTCTGCAACAATTCAACATATGATTTCTCTTCCTTTTTGTGGGTGGGTGGGCCGGGGGACTCGTTAATTCCGTAGAATGGCGTTTCGAACTCAAATTTCGCCCCTCTCACAGCCATTCTCTCAATTCGCTTCGGGACCCGCCCCTCCTAAAAGTAGCTGCGCCTTGAAAGTTCGCTCGCCGCGCGCGACCTTTTTCTCAGTTTGTCAACGAAAAACACACTATTTTTTAAACTATTTTTGTTCATTTTATTTTTCATTCGGCTCATACTTCGAAATATTAAGTTGATTGGCTGCCGCAGACTTGCGTAAAATAGTCTTCTTCGAAAGGACTGTGCAAGTGCGCTCCATTGCAAGGACTGTGCAAGTGCGCTCCATTGCGTTTCCGCTGCTGATTCCGCCAATCACGGAACCCCAGCCTTCCAATAAAAAATTCCCTTGGCGCAATTCAGGTGCGCTAAACAAGGCGCGTAACGCGTAATTTCGGAACGTCGTTGTAGAGTTTCTCATTTCAATTTTCCCTTTTTTTGCATTATTCCCATCTTTTCAGAACCAATCAGTGTCAAAACTTATGATAATGATTAGAAATGAATAAAAAATAAAATTTTAACTGCTTCGTCATCAATTTCGAAACGTTTTATGTGAAAATGACAGAATTTTTTTCCTGTTGGAATCGAAAATTTGCCTCAATTATCTCAATTCTGTATATTTTTCGACGGTTGAGCGCTTAAAAGATGCGCAATAAACTCCTTGTTGACTGGACGGTTCGAATGCTAGTGTCCGAACTCGATTCGGCAAATGATCGTTAAAACTCCGTTTTTTCAGTAGTTTTCGACAAAATCCCTCAATTTGGTCAATTCTGAACGAATCTGCTCCGTTTCGCGCTTAAATCGATGCTTTTACCTCACACAATCGCCCCACGGTTCGCAAAGAACAAAATTTAAGTGTTTATTAAGAGAAAAACGAAAGAATTATGGGTTTCAATTGAAAAAAGAAACTCCGAGCCGACGGTGGATGCAAGCGCGCCCCATTGACAACTTGCTTGCGCATTGGAATGCTGGGGTTCCGTGCCAATTTCTTCCGCTCAACTCTGGACGGTACAACATAATAGAACTGGGCAGAATAGAACTGCGACCGAATAGAACTGGGCGGAATAGAACTGCGGCACGATAGAAATGGTCATAATATTATAGGGGCACCGAACAGGAATGGCGCTCTGTTGAGAAACTCTTTTTGTGCAAATTGAGCGACCTCGGGGCCGAGTTTGAAAAATTAGGCCACATTTTCAGTGGAAAATTACTTCGCGGCCTAGAAATTCGGCGAGATTGCGACCAGCGCGCCCTTTCTGTCCGGTGCCCCTATAATAGAACTGCGACAAAATAGAACTGCGCGGAATAGAACTGCGACACAATAGAACTGTTTTTCGGGGGTGTGAGTTATCATTTTGTTTTTAAAAGTGAGCAATTGCCCTATTTCGATTTAATAGTTCGATAGCAAGCTTAAAAAATAATTATAATTTACAAAACGGTTATTCTATAGAAAGGCGCCCCAATTGGATTAATCGGTTTTGTTGTGTCGCAGTTCTACTCCGCGCAGTTCTATTCCGCGCAGTTCTATTGTGTCGCAGTTCTATTCCGCCCAGTTCTGTTACGTCGCAGTTCTATTCTGTCGCAGTTCTATTATCTCTGGCAATTCGATATTAATCTAATTAGAAAGTTATGGGGTTATTCAGGCTGTGAAAAAAATGATTCTTTTTCGTTTTTTTTGTTTTTTTACGTCAAAAAATCCAATTCAGCGATAAAAAAAAAACAAAAAAAAAACGGAAAACAAACATACGCTGAATAGCCCCATTACTGATCTAAACGCGACCTAATTATTATTGGGGCACCGGACAGAAAGGGCGCGCTGTTCGCAATCTGACCGAATTTCTAGGCCGCGAAGTAATTTTCCACTGAAAATGTGGCCTAATTTTTCAAACTCGGCCCCGAGGTCGCTCACTTTTCACTGCAAAAAGAGTTTCTCAACAGAGCGCCATTTCTGTTCGGTGCTCCTATAATAGATTCGACTGTTTTTTCTTGGCGCAATCGAGATTTGAGCCAGCAGACGGTTGGCGTGAAACTTGATTTGAGCACTTATTAATCTAACTAGAAGATTTATTAATCTAGCTACTGTTGAAAAAAAAAAGTTTCGACATTGGAATCGAAGCTGGCAGCGTGCCAAGGCCCGGCCTCCCAAACGCATATGCTGCGCGGGGTTGTTGCAACATTGCCGCACGCTTTATTGTTCTTCGTTTTTGTCTTTATTTTTCGGCTAAAAATCAGCAGAAATTTGGTTTTTTCCCATTTTTTACCCCTATTTATTCATTTCAATCGGCTTTTGCTATAAAAAATCAACTTTGAAAACAGATTTATCGATTTTTAGCTTGAATTTTCGAACATTTCTTGATTTTGTGTTTTTCTCCTTTCGATTTCGGTGAATTTGAGAATTTTTTTAGGATTTCCACCTACGGAAAAAGTCGAGACAAGCAACAAAAGGGCATGGATTTCTTCTTTTTCGTGTTAGTTTTTTTGACGTAACAATAATTTTTCTCTCCGATCAACGTTTACAGACTCCACTCCTCCGCCGTCTTCTCCACTCCGCCGTCAGCACACAACGGTATACAAAAACTTGTCGTATTAGTTTGAAGAGGAACGAAGATATTTTTCTCTCCGACCGTTTTTTTCCAAAGTCCGTGGACGCTTCAATCCGGAAAAAAAGGAGAAGAAAAATTGAACATCACTGATAATAACATTCTTACACTTGTCATGTCATTTAATTTATTGGAGAACGTTATAAATACATCTAAAAATAATTGTTATTAGTGCCAATCATCCAACGGGAGATGCTTCTTCAACTTTCCGTTGTGTGCTGACGGCGGAGTGGAGAAGACGGCGGAGGAGTGGAGTCTGTAAACGTTGATCGGAGAAAAATTATTGTTACGTCAAAAAAACTAACACGAAAAGAAGAAATCCATGCCCTTTTTGTTGCTTGTTCGACTTTTTCCGTAGGTGGAAATCCTAAAAAAATTCTCAAATTCACCGAAATCGAAAGGAGAAAAAAACACAAAAATCAAGAAATGTTCGAAAATTCAAGCTAAAAAAATCGATAAATCTGTTTTCAAAGTTGATTTTTTATAGCAAAAGCCGATTGAAATGAATAAATAGGGGTAAAAAATGGGAAAAAACCAAATTTCTGCTGATTTTTAGCCGAAAAAAATAAAGACAAAAACGAAGAACAATAAAGCGTGCGGCAATGTTGCAACAACCCCGCGCAGCATATGCGTTTGGGAGGCCGGGCCTTGGCACGCTGCCAGCTTCGATTCCAATGTCGAAACTTTTTTTTTTCAACAGTAGACAATTTATTAATCTAATTAGGTGTCATATCAATCTTATTAGGCCGCCGTTAGATTAATAACAAAATGCCAGAGATGTTGTACCGCCAAAGAATGAAAAGCTCATGCTCAACTGGGCTCAACGTGATCGGTGGGCTACTTGCCAAAATTTCCAGGGCTCTACAAAAAAGACTCAAAGAGAAGTTCACCTACAGTGTGCGTTCTCTAGTTCTTCTACGACAAATTTCGCAAGATTATTGCGCGGGAGTCTCTGTACTTCACGCGCTTCCCCCAACAGGTTTTGGTTGCCAAGTAACGGAATGGGTGCGCGAAAGAAAGCCGCTAGCAAAAATATACGTTTGGTTGCCGATTGATTTAACTCATTTCGATTGCATCGGAATGTCTTCGAAAGGACCCGTCTCTTCGATTTGCTGTTGTACTCGTTTCTTCGGTCGCTCGCCACCACAGTCGTCTTTAGCTCTTAATGAGAGAGAATCGATCGAGATCAAAGTGAACGGAAAACCTCATCTCATGGTACCGCACGTGGCAATCAAACAAAACAGTTCGGTCTCTACTATTCCTGTTTCTTTGGCTATTCCAGCTGACTTGTTCTCAGAAAGTCAAGTCGACATTTTCGAAACCGCCAGAACTTCACGTAACTCTGTGGGAAGGTACAGGAGCCTAACGCCATTCCATCCTTCCCCCGTTGTAACAGTTTGCAGCAAAATAATTCCAATGGCCGAACTCATCCGGCTAACTAGAATTGAGGAAGGCCTGGAAATCACAGCTCGTTCACTACAAGAAACAAGTAAATCTGAAAACTAATGCACTCCAAAAAGTCTTTAGGTGAAACTTCGCTACACTAACTTTTGGCAAATACTGAATGAGTACCGGAATTTGACTTGCTATATTTATGACTTTTTGTGTTTTTTAACTTAACAGATTTTTGATTCCAACATAAATTTTTGACTTTATTTATTTGGGTATTTAAAAAAGTTAAAGGACCAGGGAACCCAAAAATTTTTTGATTTTTTTGTGAAATGTTTTTGTGACTGTTTGAATTGTCTCTTATTGCCTCATACACTGGTGAAATGCTGCCTCTCAAAAATGCCAATGAACGAAACGGCATGCAGTTGAAGTTGTGGCCGTGGCCTAGCGCCAATGGCCGAAAAATATATAAAAATGTATGCGCTTCTCGGCCATTTTATTTTTTCCGCTTTTTTACCGGTTTTTTTTCCAAAAATTCACGGTTTCTCCCATTTTTCAGTTGATTGACATTTGTTCGGCACTTACTTATTTTTTCACTGCTAAAAAATTGTTTTCATTCACAAGGGAACCTTTTAAGTGATTAAAGGAACCGGCCTAAGCTAACGACACAGTTCGAGAGAGGGACTTTCAAAACCTATATTCCAGTTTTCAAAAGCTGCTTTCGAGACCTCTGAAATGCTGAAATTCCAGTCCGAAGTTTGACATTTCTTAACCATAGATAGGGGGCGCAACAAAGGGGGCGTGGCCTGACGAATTTTCTCCCGATTTTCGCGCGCGCGTGTTTGACGGTCTGTACCGAGGTCCCCAAATGAAGTACCATACCCAAAAAGTTTTACTTTATGTAATCGACCATGCTGAATCCAATGAACAACTCCATTTCACGTGAAAACGTACCGTTCTCTTGAAAAACCGCGAAAACGAAAATGGAAGTCAGTCTGAGAGCCTGTGTGGCCAAGTTTATGGCTACACGCGCCTACTTTTAACTGTTTCCGACAGTTTAAGGGATGGGGAATCCGTTTTTTTGAAGTCAGATTTGGGCTCCCTAGTACCCGAAAGTTTTTTTACAGATCCTCAAACTGCCAGAAAAAGTTAGCGGAAAAATTTTTCAGCGATGACCATACTTTTTTTATTTTTTTGGAATCCATAGATAAAGTCAATGAGAACCCAAATATAAATTTTTCAGAGCTCTAGACCCACTAGGACCAGATTTGTGCTCGTTTGAGTAGGGGCCCAATCGGCCGAAATTGTAGTTTTCGGGAGATTTGAGGGTCACAGGTACCTTACACGCGGCTAATTTTTACAGAATCGGATTCAGCATCAAATTTCCGACCGATCCATGTTAAACTTTCTCATCTACCTAGTACCCGAAAAAAGTTACAGTCAGTTATGTTATGGATTTCGGCCCGCAAAGGCACTAATTTCGCAGCTGGAAAGGGCCGCGCACAGCGAGCTTCTCTACGCCAATGGCGGTGGGCGCGCCTCCGCCCGGTTGGCGCAGTGGCAAAGTGATCGCTCGGCAGTCTGGAGGTGCCGGGTTCAAAACTTTTGTCCTCGAAAGTTGTTTAGCTTTTTAAGAACATCATGTCTGTTCATTTTTTTTGTTGCATATTTGGCTTGGTCCGTCAGAAAAGGACAAAAACCGCGCGCGGCGCACTTGCTGGCAAAGCTCCGCCCCCTCCTCGACCGCCGACCGGGGAGAAAACAGGCCAACTTTGAAGGGGTGTAACTCGGGATGTACCGAAAATTTTCGAGAAAAAAGTTGGGAGCGTACTCATATAGAGTAGGGGAACACACTCCAACAAGAATTTTGTGGAAATTCGGAGTTTTGCGAAACCCGTTGCGGTCCCTAACCATAGATTTCGCATTTTGGTGGCGCGGCGACCCACCCTCACACCCTCGCCATGCGCCACGATTGTCACCGCCCGCAACACCCTACGAAAATGTCATCGAGTGGCGCAGGAGTTAACGGTGGGGATGAGGTGAGTGTGGTCACGGGTTCGACTCCCTTGTTATGCTTTTTCTTTTTTCTTTCTTTTTTTTATGTATTATTGACGAAATGGTTTTGAAATGTTGATTTTTGAAGAGATTAAAGTGGCCAACTGAAGTTCCTCATCGTGTATGCGGAAATTCTTCATCAACACATGAATCTTTTTCGCGATGTTTTTTTTCAGAACAGCATTTGAGTGCAGTTGATTCTTTGATCCATAACTCGAAGGGGAATTTTTGTAGAGAATAATGCGCAACTACAAAGTTAATCAGCATGACATTTGCTACAACTTTCCTGTTGACCACTTCTTTCTACAATTTTTTGTTTTTGAGATACAGGCTGTTAAAGATGGTAGTGCAAAATCTTGCTGTATCTCGCGAATTGAATGAGATATCAAAAAGTCGTCAACTAAAAAAACATTACTGAAGACATTTTCCATACTTTTTTAGTTGACAACTTTTTTGAAAACTTGCTGATTTTTGTGATACGACCCACTTTTAATCAACAGCCTGTATCTCAAAAACAAAAAATTGTAGAAAGAAGTGGTCAACAGGAAAGTTGTAGCAAATGTCATGCTGATTAACTTTGTAGTTGCGCATTATTCTCTACAAAAATTCCCCTTCGAGTTATGGATCAAAGAATCAACTGCACTCAAATGCTGTTCTGAAAAAAAACATCGCGAAAAAGATTCATGTGTTGATGAAGAATTTCCGCATACACGATGAGGAACTTCAGTTGGCCACTTTAATCTCTTCAAAAATCAACATTTCAAAACCATTTCGTCAAAAATACATAAAAAAAAGAAAGAAAAAAGAAAAAGCATAACAAGGGAGTCGAACCCGTGACCACACTCACCTCATCCCCACCGTTAACTCCTGCGCCACTCGACGACATTTTCGTAGGGTGTTGCGGGCGGTGACAATCGTGGCGCATGGCGAGGGTGTGAGGGTGGGTCGCCGCGCCACCAAAATGCGAAATCTATGGTTAAGAAATGTCAAACTTCGGACTGGAATTTCAGCATTTCAGAGGTCTCGAAAGCAGCTTTTGAAAACTGGAATATAGGTTTTGAAAGTCCCTCTCTCGAACTGTGTCGTTAGCTTAGGCCGGTTCCTTTAATCACTTAAAAGGTTCCCTTGTCAGTCGATATAAGGGCCAAAATGGGAGAAACCGTTAATTTTTGGAAAAAAACCGGTAAAAAAGCGGAAAAAATAAAATGGCCGAGAAGCGCATATATTTTTATATATTTTTCGGCCATTGGCGCTAGGCCACGGCCACAACTTCAACTGCATGCCGTTTCGTTCATTGGCATTTTTGAGAGGCAGCATTTCACCAGTGTATGAGGCAATAAGAGACAATTCAAACAGTCACAAAAACATTTCACAAAAAAATCAAAAAATTTTTGGGTTCCCTGGTCCTTTAAATAGAATCTAGTGCATTACAAAATGCCCCCCCCCCCTACTTGGAAATAAGAGAGGGGGCGGCGGGGACTAATGGAATAGGCATCATTAGGTATCATTTTACAATATAGAAATTCAAACTTTAACAGCAAAATTTCTGTTTTTTGCCAGATTAGCCACGAAATACCGATAATTTCTCATTTATCTCTCGATAGACCGATTGTATAGGCTATTACGAATTTTTTAAGCGCAAGAGCGTTAAATTTGGTCAAGTCGCAAATCACATTTACCCGTTTGAAGGTTTTTCGCTAAAACTGCGTGAATTTCAGTTGCTTTTCGGTAATTTTCGCTGTTCGAGCGCTCAAAATGCTTGTATTTACGTGATTTATCATTCTCAGAACCAATTATGTCTGAAAACAGTCAAGAAAGCGCAAAATAAGAAGTGCGGTTTTGAGGCGGCCATCGGCGGCTACCGACGGCGAAGGCGAAAAAGCAAAGTCCGCGAAAATTGCGCCAAAACGTCATTAATTCTGAGAATTAGTGTGTTTTCATGTCTAACGATCATTTTTCATCGAATTTGACCACAAAAATTAGAGAAAACCTGCTCAATTCATGAAAACGCCATTTGGCCGAGGCCACGCCCATATAACGGGGCCATATTGACAGCTCTGTAGGCCGTGCGCCCGGAAGTACTTGAATCAGAAATTTTTTGAAAATGAACAGGCCAAATTCAAATTGTTGTTTCTGTTTTTTCTTTCGAAATATTCACGGCGCGGCTTTCGCAACATACGCAGCCAAATGGTATGCATTTTTGCGCGTCGGTGTGGCACTGCGTACAGTGCATTTTATGTTACGCGCAAATTTCTTTTTTTTTAGTTTTTGATGAATTTTCTCCAAATATTCATCTCTTTAAGGCGTTTTTCTCCACTTTCTACCTCAATTAGACCTTCTTACAGATTCCAGGTGAAGTAATACGCGAAGAGAAGTCGATGCGATGAAAAGAAACGCGTAAGTAAATGAAAGTAGTGTTTTATTCAGAAAATATACGACTTATCGAAAAACGTCTCTAGATTTACTAATCTTTTGATTTAAAAAGTTCACTAATATGACTGCAAATGTTTTCGAATGAAAACAAGTAGAGTGGCAGTTCACTTTCGCGTAAAAATTGGCCTTTTGTCGGAAAACAGTGACGTTTCGTTGAAAAAAAAGATTTCTCAAAAACCGTCTCTAGATTTTCTTATTTTTTGTTTAAATAGTTCACTTACATGACTGTGAACGCCTTGGAATAAAAAAAAGTAGAGTGACAGTTCGTAGAAGCAAAAAAAAACTTTTTCAACGAAATTTCACCGTCTTCCGGCAAACGATCTGTTTTTCCGCGAAAGCGAGCTGTCACTCTACTTATCTTTGGTTCGAAAACATTCTCAGAAATGTAAGTAAAGTTTTTCAACCGAAAGATTAGAAAATCTAGTCACGTTTTTCGAGAAATCGTGCATTTTCTGAATAACACCTTACTTTCACTTACTTACGCGTTTCTTTTCATCGCTTCGACTTCCCTTCGCGTATTACTTCACCTGGAATCTGTAAAAAGGTCTAATTGAGGTAGAAAGTGGAGAAAAACGCCTTAAAGAGATGAATATTTGGAGATTCATCAAAAACTAAAAAAAATTTCATCAAAAACTAAAAAAAAGAAATTTGCGCGTAACATAAAATGCACTGTACGCAGAACCACCCTACCCGCCGTCGATAAAGGAAAAACCGGTCGGAAAACCAAAAAGGTCGGAATGACAAAAGGTCGGAAAAATGCCCAAAGGTTGGAAAAAAAGGCCAAAAGATCGGAAAAAAATGCCAAAAGATTGGAAAAAATGACAAAAGGTCGGAAAAAAGTGACAAAATGTCGGAAAAAATGCCAAAAGGCCTGAAACCCCCCAAACAAAAGTCAGAAAACAGGTATTTTAGCAGTTTTTCCGACCTTTTGGCATTTTCTTCCGACCTTTTGTCACGGACTGGATAAAGGAGAAAACAAGAAATGAACACGAGTGTACACGTGAACTTACGAACGGTTTTGAGAAGCGAAAGAAAGCGGCCGAGCGCAGCGGAGCCCGGTTCAGATTCAAATGTCTTGTTTCAAAAATAAACCCGTTAAGAAAAATTTCAGCGACAACCGAAAGCAAGCCATCAACTATCCTAAATTCTTGGCGAACTAAGCCAAGACGCGCAGTTTTCGACGAGGAAGGAGATATAACAACCAGAAGTTCAACAAGCAAGAAAAAGGAAATTGAAAATATGTTCAGGTGAGATACAGTAATCATTCGAAACCTGATAGAAAGTTTTTGTGCAGCATACACTATAATCGGAAGTTTTCATCGAGCAGTATTGAACTACCGGCTGTCGTTCTTCCAACATCGGATACGATAACAAGGGCTCCTTTCTTTTCACGATCAAACATCGCGTCTACTCCACAATATATTTTGATAGTCCTGGCATATACATCCACATTGGTAACTTCTCTATTCACTTCTTTCACTAATTTGTTTCCTAAATCAAAATAATTTTTATGTAATGTGGAGAAATGAATGTATGTTAAGAAGTGGCTGCATTAATTGTATTCCTCCAGTGAGGAAAGCCTTGGCTATGTCAACTACTTGTTTGGAAACGCGTAATTAACTTCATCTCTTTGCAGTATATAACTGTCATTTGCTTTCGTTTTGGTTTGTATTTTCCAAATGCAAACCAAAACAGTAACATTAACTATATATTTAGTCGTTTCGCCAATTTTTATATGTACTGCTATGCTAATTATTAACCAAATACTGAGAGAAATACATTCTATTCAACATATTGTGACTGTAGAAATGATGGAGTTTTCAGTAAGTAACACAGGTTCTTTTAATTGAACATTGTCAAACTACAGTATGCTTCAAATGAGGCATGGAACGAGTTGGCAATGTTAGCGAACAAAAGAATTCCACGAATGGCCCATATGAAACGGTTTGCCCACACAATGTATATTCCAAACCAGCAGTCTAACTTCTGAAGATTATTAATTTTGGTATATCTTCAGTGAAGGTTCTATTGACTTTCAAATTGGATTGTCCTCTTGCTAAAATGTTTACTGAAAATACGTAATAGAAAGACTAATATATGAACTACTCAATCTTGTCAAAAGTTCACCAAAACGAATACAAAACGGTTTTAGTCTGATAGTCTTTCTATTAATTTTTTAAACTTACAGTAATCAGGGATACGCCAACTCAAAAACTGATGGTTCTATTCAGCAGTATGATCGTGTCTCTATAGATAACTATGAAGGTTGGAGTCTGATCTCACTAACCTATGTGCATAGTTTTCAGAATTAATTGGCTCCTTTCCAGAGCCAGTGACTTCTATCGATGGATCATCTCCAGGATCCGCTAACGGAAAAACTGCTAGAAAAAAAGAAAATTTATTGAAATCAATGAAAAAACAAGAAAAGAAGAAAATTGCATCACAAATGTGCTTTAAAGGTATTCTAACAATGAAAACATTGGCACCTTAGCTAAAACTTCAGAATGTGCTCAGAAATCTGGAACATGCCCACCAGGTCCTCAAGGACCACCAGGAGTCATCGGAAAGCAAGGAGAGCCCGGCTTAAACGGACAGGATGGAGTCCATGGACTTTCTGGAATTAGTATCTCGGTTGCTGGTGGATGCATTGTATGCCCTGAAGGGAAGAAGGGGAAACGTGGCAAACAAGGAGCTATAGGCAAGAAAGGGAAGAATGGAAAGGCCGGACGATCTGTGAAAGCTGTCGTTGGAATTCCCGGACCGGTCGGCGACAGCGGATACATAGGCTATCCTGGACTTCCTGGTGAACCAGGATCACGAGGACTGTCGGGGCGGAATACAAACAGATATATTAATCTGATGGGACCAGTGGGACCACCTGGAAAACCAGGTTACCAAGGAGCGCAAGGTCCTTCTGGATTCGGTTGGTGAATTGTAAACATTTTCTAATCTCATTACACCTGTGTAAAGTTTTACATAGATGTCATGTCTTGTAATTTCCTTGAATATGAAATCATTTTAGAGTACAACACGGGGCTTCTAGGACCCATTGGAAATTCAGGTCGTGATGGAACACATGGCAGGATAGGGAAATCAGGAAATGTAAGCTACTTCCTTTCACAAAAATTCTTTGTCGTTTTTTATTCATTCATTGTATCTTTTAGACTGGTGTGATGGGCCCGCCAGGCCGTGATGGCAACTATTGTGAATGTCCGCCGACATCGAGAAGACGTCCTTTTTAGTCATGTTAATCCGATAAATGATTTGGCTTTCCCGCTTTCTGTTGTATGTTGTGCCACCATTTTGTTGATTACGCACGCTAAACCGCCACTAATTTACCGTAGTCCGTTGGACAAGCGCGGAGTATCACGCGCAAAACACTTACGAAATGAGATGTCAAGTACACGTTTGTACAAGCTGGTGCCTACATGTGCTCGCGAATAAAGATTTTCTTCTAAAGTGGTTCTTGCATCGAATACCGTAGATACATATTCATTTTTTTTCATATACCGCAAGTACTGTAATAGAACGGCACCTCTAATAGAACGGCACCCAGAAAAGTTGGCTTAAGCAGTTTCAAGTCAATTTTCGGACGTTTCACACGATTTTAAAATAACGAAACTTTGAAAAAGGTCTTAGAAGAGCTTATGCCGCGTCCAATGTCTCGGAAAAACCGTAAAAACCGCAGATTTTGCTGTCCAAAGTCGGCCGAAATTTGCGTGAAAAACGGGGGTGTGCACAGCTCAATGAGTGTAACCGTACCCCTAAAACTACGGTATTTTTTGAAAATTTGTTAATTTCTTGAGGTTATTTGAAAATATTCAAATTTTTTGCGCAAATTTTCAAAAAATACCGTAGTTTTAGGGGTACGGTTACACTCATTGAACTGTGCACACCCCCGTTTTTCACGCAAATTTCGGCCGACTTTGGACAGCAGAATCTGCGGTTTTTACGGTTTTTCCGAGACATTGGACGCGGCATTAGGAAAGTTTGAATTTTTAACTGAGAAATTTTTTTCGTAATTTTTGAAAATTTCAAGAAGTTTTAGGATACATTTGCAGCCCACGAAGCCGGACCGGGGAATTTCACGTTTCGATCCGCGTGGGCCGTTGCAAGTCTGAAAAATCCATGATATGCAGTTCTACCGTAATACATCATGGTTCCGCCCCTCACTCTGTAGTGTAGCTCCACCCACAAACCTCCCAGAAGAAAGCATCCGAATAATACATTTTCTACCAAATTTATTCTGCTTATCCAATTTCTGAAATGTTGTGAATGTTGCCAGGCTAAATTATCTCGTTTTATATTATATCTACAAGACTTTTGAAACAGGCCGACGCTCGAAAGCGGCTATGCCGCTTGTTTCTTTTTTATAACTGTTCGAAAGTTCACGTGTATATTTCTCAATTTCTCCGTCACAATTTTTCGTTTTAGAAATGAACGGACACACAGAAATAAACAAATAAACAAACAGACAAACAAGCAAACAAAGAGACAGAGGGACAAACCCGTGAAGAGTTATATTAATAAAAATGATTATCAGAATTTTATTTATAACTTTAACTATAACTTTAACGTTTGAGCCAATTAAGCTTGTCCGAATAACTGAAACTTCTTTTTTTCGTTTCTGGGGATCATTTAAAAAATTTAAAGATTTCTGAGAACCTAAAAATGTTGACTTGTTTATAGCGTTTCATTCTTTTCTAATTTCGAACTTTTCAACTATTCGGACTACGGCAGAACATTTTTCCAGAAACTAATAAAATACACAATAGTGCTCATGAGCACGTTTTAATTGTCGCAACAATCATCAGCTTTCCTCGATTATTACTGTAACCCGGAGCGGGTTACCATAGGCTCCTAGGGAACACGTTGTTCGAGAGTTGGGCAAACGAAGATTTCGGCAAAAAAATTTCTCTCAGGATGATGATGGAATACGGCGGATATTTTTCTGGTGGAACTGTTCCACAGCAGAGTGTCGACTCTTCAACCACTGTGAATTCATCAGTTGCGAATTCGTTTTTTTATACTCCACAAACACATAATCTTTATCATCAATACACAAATCCATACCTGCCAGGTGGACGGTAAGATAAATATGAAAACGTCTGTAAATGTCTGTATTTTGAGGTGTCTCAATTCGACCCAAAATACGACTTCATCTTCCACTGTCTCTTCGTCGTCAACATCCAATTCTTCCAACTACCGGAACTCCACGCATGAGTCGTTACAAGCTTTTTTCAATACTGGGCTACAATATCAACTTTATCAAAAGTCACAACTCATCGGAAGTGACAACACTCAAAAAACCAATAATGCTGTGCTATCAGGAATTTCTCGTGACTCTTTAGTTGGTGAGTCCAGTTCAAATTTTTGAGGCGGATTAGGCTGGTTGAACAGGCGATTTCAGGCGCCTGTTTTCTCATCGCAGGAACGCAGCGGCGCGTTGAAAAACAGGCGCCTGTTCTACCAGCCTAAGGCGAATACATTTTCTTGACTAAAAACCGGCTTCAGGCGGCGTTCTATTACAAATGCACACTTTTTTTATTATAGGGGCACCGCACAGAAATAGCGCTCTGTTGAGAAACTCTTTTTGCAGTGCAAATTGAGCGAGCTCGGCGCAGAGTTTGAAAAGTTAGGCCACGTTTTCAGTGTAATATTACTTCGCGGCCTAGAAATTCGGCCAGATTGCGAACAGAGCGCCATTTCTGTGAGATGCCCCTATAATAAACGTTTAAATGTTTAAAAAAATCGGACTTGCAACGGGCCGGGCCGGGCTGGGCCGGGCCGGGCCAAAATTGGAAATTTTCCGGCCCGGGAGGATGCACCTAAAAATTCAAAGCGAACTAGAACTTCGAAACGAACATAATTTTATAGACTTAACATTTTATAGACTTAAAAAGGCAATGTTATAGCATAAAAACCTGTTAAAAAATAGAAATTGCTGTTTAAAATCGCAAAATTCTCACAAAAATTACGAAAATTTTCTCAAGAGTGGGCGGAGCCGGGCCGACCGGGCCGGGCCGGGTCGGGCCAAAACCGGGCCGGGCCGGCCCGGGATTTGGCAAGTCTTAAAAAAATAGACTGAAAACAGCTTTATATGCAATTTTCTCTTTATTTCTGTCCTAGGCTACTCCGAACCAAAACTTTCCCAAATCAGAACTGTGCCCCGGATCAGAATATTCCCGTATCAGAACTGTCCCGAACGAAACCTATCTGCGCGTGGTTTTCGTAATAAAAAAACCACGCGCAAATATTATAGAGGCACCGAAAAGAAAGGGCGCTCTGTTCGCAATCTGGCCGAATTTCTAGTCCGCGAAGTAATTTTCCACTGAAAACGTGGCCTAACTTTTCAAACTCGGCCCCGAGCTCACTTAATTTGCACTGCAAAAAAGTTTCTCAATAGAGCGCCCTTTCTGTTCGGTGCCCCTATAATAGGTTTCGTTCGGGACAGTTCTGATTCGAACATTTCTGGTTCGGAGTAGCCTCCTAAAAATGAATCTGAAAGCGGTTTTTTGTTAGAAAATGGGGAAATTTGTGATCTACCGAATTCGTCTCAAAATTTAAAAACGAAGAACTCCAATGCGCGTCTCTAGCTTGAAAAGTTTCGCTCCGTGCGAGATCCAAAATCGAGTAAGGTGTCAAAAAGTTTATTTTTAAGTCGCACACTCCGGCAAATACAAATTTGATTTTTAGGCGCACTGTGCTCAACAGGAGCAACTTCTAATCCATCCGAACGGCGGAAACAACGTAGAATTCGTACCACTTTCACTTCTGGACAACTAAAAGAGTTGGAAAGTGCATTCTGTGAGACTCATTATCCTGACATTTACACACGAGAGGAAATTGCAATTCGAATAGATTTGACCGAAGCTAGAGTACAAGTATGGTTTCAGAACAGAAGAGCAAAGTACCGTAAGCAAGAAAAGCTAAGAAAAGTGAAAGACGATGAGGGTTCTGGAAAGCAAGTTGGACATAATATCTTGGATGATATAATAGATCAAATATAAAAGGAGATGTGTGATCTCGAGTTTTCTTCTGAAAAAATAAATTATTATTGCTTCAATAATGTATAATTATCACCGCGTGTACTCAACTTTTCCCTGATAAGAATATGTACCAGAAACGGCAACCTATCAATCCGACGATCACAACAAGTAGTATAGGATGGAGGGATTACAGTCCGTTTCAAAAGTATAGGGCCACCCCTGAAAATCACCGGCACGTCTTCCCCAGGTAGTATCATGCCTCCGCACCTTGAAAATCGGATTCAGCATGAAAAGTTATCTCTGGATAACTATTTTGGGGCCAGTACATTGGGTGCTGAGGCCATGGTGCTGGAAAATCTGAAAAAGTGGCTTCTGCAGGCGTTTCATAAGTATAGTGCCACCCCTGAAAACACGCTGGAAGCCTCTTAAACTGATAAACATGATCTTGAATGGGGTGCTTTGCACCTTTAGGATGTCCAAAAAGCCTTTTTGAAATCATGTGCACTGACGCCGACGCCACCTAAGGCCACTCTCCCAGGTTTAGCCTCATGTTCTGTGTGGAGCTCGGGAGTGGAGCCGGGGGACTCCGATGATCTCAAATGAGTCAAATCTTGTTTGAAACAAATTTTTTGAGCATTTTCAAGTCAGATTCGTTCAAGCCTCTCGATTCGCTAGAATCTGATATCAGATTTTTGACCAAAATGAAGCCGGACCCAACAAGGATCAGACTGGCTTGAGCGCCAAACTCCAGGCTGACATTGCACACTTTTAAGACTTCATAAGGAAGGTTTGAAACATTTTTCAGTACATTTCTGTTGATTTTGTTCACTTCAACAATCGGGAGCTCATAACTCGGTTGAAACTGATCCGATTGACACCAAACTCAAACATTCCATGTTTAAATCGAGAGGCTTGAACGAATCTGACTTGAAAATGCTCAAAAAACTTGTTTCAAACAAGATTTGACTCATTTGAGATCATCGGAGTCCCCCGGCTCCACTCCCGAGCTCCACACAGAACATGAGGCTAAACCTGGGAGAGTGGCCCTAGGTGGCGTCGGCGTCAGTGCACATGATTTCAAAAAGGCTTTTTGGACATCCTAAAGGTGCAAAGAACCCCATTCAAGATCATGTTTATCAGTTTAAGAGGCTTCCAGAGTGCTTTCAGGGGTGGCCCTATACTTATGAAACGCCTGCAGAAGCCACTTTTTCAGATTTTCCAGCACCATGGCCTCAGCACCCAATGTACTGGCCCCAAAATTGTTTTCCAGAGGTAACTTTTCATGCTGAATCCGATTTTCAAGGTGCGGAGGCATGATACTACCTGGGAAAGACGTGCCGGTGATTTTCAGGGGTGGCCCTATACTTTTGAAACGGACTGTATAATACCACTTCGACATCTCAATCATTTTCGACACATTTCCATTCTCTGAAGTCAGAGAATCACCTCATTTACAACACTTTTGAAAAAAGTAAGAAAAAAGTAAATTTTAAAAGTAAAAAGTGCTTATTTTTAACAATTTTGTACATTTTCAATCAATTTTTTGTTGAGATGTCGATTTCATTTCTCATTTCCTATTTTTATGTTTAAATGATATGTTTTCATCTTATTTTCATACTTTTTACAAAATCACTGGATGTCGCTTTTTTTAGAAAAATGGTATTATAAAAATAAGCCTAATAAATGATTCTTACAAAAAATCTGAAGCCTCTGACCAACCTAGACCTCGAAGAGCTTATAAGAGGCAATGTCTGAGAAGTTCAAAAACTGCAGGTCACTAAAAATTCAGAATCAGCAGACGGTTGGCGTGAAACTTGATTTGAGCACTTATTAATCTAATTAGAAGATTTATTAATCTAGCTAGACAATTTATTAATCTAATTAGGTGTCATATCAATCTTATTAGGCCGCCGTATAACTCGAGTAGACTACGATTAGATTAATAACGAAATGCCAGAGTTCCCCCACCCACATTCCCCCTCTTTTTCTCTTCTTTCTTTTTTTGTTGTTGTTAATTTAATCCTAGGTGGCTGAAGAGAATAAATGTGTTATTATTATTATTAGAAGTGAGATAACATAGCGATAAAAGAAAACAAAGAATATTTTCAATGAGCTTCATTCAGTAATCAAACAAAATTTAGTGTTCCGTTTAAAATTTGTTGCTGGAGATTCCTGGTTTTCAGTTGAATAGTGCTTTTTTCTATTCGCGTGTCCGCCGCAATCCGGTAAAATTATGGGGAAAACCTGAAAATATTTATCGGGGAAGAAAATAACTGTTCTTTTTTATTCTAACCGCTACTCCGTGCCGCTCGGCAATTTCCATCAGCGTCGCGCCTTTCCAACTGCAGAAATTGTTGCAACGAGTCCTGAAAATTCAAAATTGAGTTTTTTGCAACAAATATGTAACGAAAAATTGCGTTTCGACATGTTTTAAAAGATAAAAACGAGAAAAAGATTTTAATTGCGAAACCACAAAATCCAATAGTGCGCCAAGTGAGTGCAAGATGCGCCAGCAGTCTCCTTTGGTCTCATGTCCACGCTGTGACTCAGTGTGCTGTAATTTATTATTCTAATAATAGAAAGAAATCATACCGTGTCGACGTCTGGCTGGCGAAGAGTTGGAGCGAGATGGCCACGCACTGAAAGAAACTTTTTAAAAATAACTCTAAAAAGCCTCTGAATTTCTCCAATAGCAATATTGAACTTTCTGACTATTAATATTATAGGGGCACCGGACAGAAAGGGCGCTGTTCGCAATCTGGCCGAATTTCTAGGCCACGAAGTAATTTTCCACTGAAAATGTGGCCTAACTTTTTAAACTCGGCCCCGAGGTCGCTCAATTTGCACTGCAAAAAGAGTTTCTCAACAGAGCGCCATTTCTGTGCGCGATTGTTGAACAGAAGCGTTCAAGTATGACCCCCCCCCGTCGTCAGGAAAAAGCCCCCACTTTTTTTGTACTGGTGGGGGCATTTCTACGGTTGTTTATAACCTGGGGGGTTCGAACTGCTGAGGTGGGGGGCTTTTCTTGAATTTTCCCTGAAAAGGCTCACATTTTGCAGGCATGTTCATCCGGCTGGCCATGTCCGTTGCTCTGAAAAGAAGAGAGTGCAAGTTCGGGAAAGAGATGATCGAAAAGAAAAATCTTGAAGAAGAGAAGAAAAAGTTCAAAAATGAGAAGACGGCGAGTTTCAAGAGATATTGTCAGCGGCTGCGTTCTCTCCCCGATTTATACACGATATTTCATAATTCGCTTTTCTGAAATAAATATTCCCTCCAGAAAGAACTCTTCGTTTCGGGCGAAGTTGTCGAAATCCGACTGAAATTTCGCTTGAAATGCGCTCAAACCGAGGAAATACGGAAAAAGACAAGTTGTTTCAATTTGATAAGCAATAAGACGCATAAAAACAAGCTGAAAAAAGCGAAGAGTACTGAAAATGCAATGTTTTCACAGCAGTTTCGTCATGCCTTAAAGTTTGCGCAAAACCTGCGAAAACACTTAAAGTTTGCGCAAAAGCTGCGAGGACGCTTAAAGTTTGCGCAAAATCTGCGAAAATTCTTAAAGTTTGCGCAAAAGTGGCGCGCCTTTGCCGAGTACTCTGGAAACTCGATTTCAATCTAATTAGAAGAGTTTGCAATCTAAAAAGAAAAAGCTCTATTTCGCAATCTAATCAGATTTAATCAGACTTGCCAAATCCCGGGCCGGCCCGGCCCGGTTTTGGCCCGGCCCGGCCTGGCTCGCTCGGGCCGGGCCGGGCCGGGCCAGCAAATCGTCGGCCCGGCCCGGTCGGCCCGGCTCCGCCCACTCTTGAGAAAATTTTCGTAATTTTTGTGAAAATTTTGCGACTTTAAACAGCAATTTCTATTTTTTAACAGGTTTTTATGCTATAACATTGCCTTTTTAAGTCTATAAAATTTAAGTCTATAAAATTATGTTCGTTTCGAAGTTCTAGTTCGCTTTGAATTTTTAGGTGCATCCTCCCGGGCCGACCGGGCCGGGCCGGGAGGATGTTGCAAGTCTGGATTTAATTGAAGTTCCAGTAAAATCGTATTAGATTACAATATATTTTTCCTGAATTGTAATCTAATAAGAAAAAATTGCAATCTAATTAGAAAAATTGCTGTGATTGCAATCTAATTAAAAGATTTTGCAATCTAATTGAAGCAAATTCTATTTCAAACGAGTTCGTATTAGATTGCAAAGTTTTCTAATTAGATTGCGATCGAGTTCCCAGATATTTTTTCGATAGTACACAGTGTACTGCACACTGCAGTGCACTGCCACGGCACGGCTTTTGCCATGATGAATGATGACAGGGTCCGATGTCTATCGAAACCGTCTTAAGTGTGATCCTCGTCAATCTTCATTTACATTTGTTATTGTGTGAGAAAAAATGTGCAATAGTGAGTAAAAAAATAAAATATGACATGAGCAATTTGTCTACCGTAAGACTTGAGCTAACTACATGAAAAACCCGTCAACAGGACCAAGAGAAAACCGAACCGTAAACGTGCAGTGAAAAAAGACTTCGAAAAAGGCTATTGGGAACTTTTTGAGATCTGTGGTGTATCAATTAGAGTAGAACAAAGTTGAGGCTGTCCGAATGTACTTTCGAGGGTTCGATTTTTGGGTGTCTTCGGAATGGACATCAGTGGTGGACGAATAGGCGATGGAGCAACGGATGACCTCACGGATGTGCTTCCACTTGCGGCAACAACATTAGTCGGTCCAGCAAAGCTTCCCGTTGAAGAGTTTTGATAGTTCATGCTGCAACTCACTAAATTATTTAGTTTCGGATTCCAGGCACACCTTTTCCGTGTTGAGCGTTGTTTCTTAGTATACTTAACAAAGAAAATAAGAACGAACACGGTAACTGCTCCGACGAAAGCAAGTGCGATGGCAGTTACGAGTCGAATGTTCCGATGTCTCTCATTGACTTCTTTTTCCAAAACCATCTCGCTGGTGAGTTCATTAATGTCGTATGGTACAAAGGTGGAAAGCTCTGGGCGCACAAACACTGGTAACTTCTCTAATATTTCTTCGATTGAAATATTTTTAGCAGTAGCCCCCGCGAACATTGAAGTTAGCGACGATGTATGTTGCTTGAAGTGTTCCAGTAGATCGATTGGCAAAAGCCGCATGTCGGGAACTTCTCCACGTGTCACTGCGTTGATAACCTCCATCGGAATTTTGCTGAGGTTATACCCGGGTGGAAGCATTTTAAGCAAATCAAAAATGGCAGGATTGAACATGATGTTGGACGAATTGCCATTGCTGTTGACAGGACGAGCCGGCACTCCATCCATTCCCGGCATTTGATGAGTATAGTATTCCTGTAAAAGCACTACTATTATTAAGCACGGAAACTCGTGTCTACAATCTCTGTTAGCAACTGAACTCTGAGAGTACCGATCTGAGCAAAACTTGGACGACCTTTTTAGCAGACTTGCAATGTTTCTGGCCGAAACTTAAAATTATCCGACCCAGTCGGCCCGACGAACAAAAAGTCGTTCAAAAAAACTTCCAAATTTTTGAAAAAAAAAACGAAACTTTGTTCAAAAGTGGGCTGTGTGGGTAAGGCAGATCAATCGAATATTATACTCTCGGGATGAAGCTTGCATCTCCATTAATACTGGATATCACAAACTTTGTGTTTTGTAATGTTCGGAACAATAGAGGAGATTTATACCGTCAAGAATGGTGCCGTCTTTATTTCATTTTGCACGAATGAGAACATCCCGCACGGACGTATTTGAACACCCAGTAAAAATATTTTTAACTTACCATGATTGTCTTCGTTTGTTCTTGATCTAGTCCAGGCAGTGATTCGCCTGACATCACTTGCGTCACAAGTTCTGAAGGAAGTTTTTCCAGAGGAGGCAAAACCTTATCTTGGCCTTCCATAGGATTTCCGGCAAGATTGGCTGCAGCTGCTGTGTGCATTTTTTGCATTGCTTGCTTCACTATTGCATCAAGGGTTGCTTTATCTATTCCCGGCACTTGTCCCCCGTTAAGGATATATTGGATCATCGATGGATCCATTTTGCTCAGATCCACGTCCCCAAATCCGGGAACATTAACAACCATATTAGGAATAGAACGAATGAGCTGCTCTATATCACCAGCAACAGGTTGGCCTCCGGTCGCAAATCTCACAAGAGGGCCAGTGAACTGAAATTGGGAAAAATCGTGAAGACTTTCATTAATAATTCCAGTCTCTGATCAACACTGATAAAATAAAATAAAACCTGTTCTATAGCGTCGTTAAACTTTTTGTTGGGTAAAGAAGATGCTCCATTGGTTGCATGGCTGTTCCCATTTATGCCGGGAATGGATCTAAGAGCGGGAATAGCCTGAAAAAGTATTAGATAGCTTATTATATTACTAACCACTTACATTGGTTATTGTGTTAACCAGAGGAAAACTATTCGCTGAACCAGGCGCTCCTCCGTTCATGCCTCCCAGAGGTCCGAATGATGGTAAGAATGAGGTAAGCAATGAATTTGGATTATTTTGGTGTTGAAGACCGATCAATCGTGATCCTTCACGTATAGTATCGTTCGCTTTTTTCATCATCAAATCTTTAAGTCTAACTCCGGCGTATTTTTCTGGACCCGCACACACAATCTCCTGTTGAAATGGCAAGAAAGTTCGCACTTTGTTTGTAATCAAATAGCTCAGAAATTGATTTATCGTTTCGTCACAAACAAGATGGTTCCCTAAAAGTATGTACAACATTAAAATATATATTGGAAAGCATCAAAAATATCTGACACCACGAAACTTTAAGCGGACATCACAGAAATTCAACTAACGTGCATTTTACAGGCTGATTCTATTCCTTTTTTTAAAATCTATTTCTCAATCAACGAGAACTGAATCGCTCGCCCAGCCCTGCGCCAAGGTGCATTTTCCAAGTGTCAAATATAACTGGACAATAGTCGACTATGAGAACTTTAGAGTAGAGAGTATGACAAAAGGGTGATAAGCCAAAAAATAGCGGATGCTAAAAGTTAGGAAAGGTAACGTTTGTGCATGCAGTTTAAACTTCAAATTTAGAGTGTACCGATTAACGGTTCAGCTTTTTTAGGACAGGAAATTGTGGTATTATCTATTTTGACCACGTTAAGGAGAAAAGTACGGCAACTCACTGCCCTGAAATATCTGAGTGCCATATGTAAAGCGATTATTTTGCAATTTATGTGAAATTCAATGGCGCATGCGCAAATGTTCATTACTTTGAAATCCACGATTCCAAGTTTACCCCCACTTTTGTCACACTCTGAAACTTTATGCTTACCGTCCAATAGTACGTTTGATATTTTTTTAGTGAAAACGCCTGAACGGAAACCACGTAGCATGTTGTGTGATAAATCAAGCCAGAATAATTTTTCCAGAAAATAGAACGTCCTCTGAATTGATAAAACGTGAATTACGCTTCGTTTTTTGCGAACCTCTTCAATGTCACTTATTTTGTTGTATCCCAAATCGAGTGTGGTCAGATGCAGGAGTTGAGGGAAAGAGAGCGTATCCAAAGAAGTAAGCGAATTATTGCGAATGCTGAGTTGTTGTAAATTTCGAATTCCATCGAACATGCCACGTTCTGAATAAAATATCGATCAGGATTATCCTAAAATGTGTATAAGCACCTATTTTATGGAGAGAATTATTGCCGACAAGTAGCACTACAAGCTTATCCAGTGAATCGAAAGCATTCCTTGATATTTGAGCTATCTTGTTGTTCTGAAATCCAAAGTCGCGCAAATGAAGACACGATGAGAGGACAAAAAACCTGGATGCTTATTAACTGTAATTTCGGATTGTTGGAGAATGCTAGCGTTTCTATTTTTTTAATGCTGTTCCCGTCAAGACGAACTTGCTTGAGTTCTGGAAGGTCCTTCAACGATGGAAGCTGGAAACGGACTAAATTAAAAAATAACTTTAAAATTTAACCGTTTGAATAGCATTATTGCTAATGTCCAGAACTTCAAGGTGTTTAAATGCTTGTAAACGATTTCCATCCAAGGAAGAAATAACATTGTCTTGAAGATAAAGATATTGAAGTTGTGGGACGTTCATAAAAGCCATCGGATGGATCCTCCGCAGATAATTGTTCTGTATCCTGAGCTCTCGCAACAGAGGCAGGTTCATGAGCTCAAAGTTGTTTATCTGAATGAATTTCTTGAAAAATGATCAAAATAAATTTTAAAAAACCTCGCTTATATTGTTGCTTCCCAAATCTAAATACATCAAGCCAGCAGCATTCCGGAGAATTTGAGCGGGTATCGAAGTGAGACAATTGCCACTAATATCCAGTAGTACTAACGATCGTTTCACACCATCTAGAGCTTTACTGAAAGGAAAATGATTAATATTGGAGGTTAACTGTTTTAATCGGTATAAAGTTGTCGGCCGTGCGCTATTGCTAACCCGTATCACCAAGCAAACGCGCTCTGCTGCACTCAGTACTTCGCCTTTTTCGAGTTCGTGACAAAAGGTAGGAAAACCGAAAAGGTCGGAAACCAAAAGGTCGGAATGAAAAAGGGTCGGGAAAAAAAGATAAAGGGCCTCCGACCCTTCGACCTTTTGTCATTTTTTTCCGACCTTTTGGCACTTTTTCCGACCTTATGTCACGGACTCCCTTTTTCAGATTCGTCGCCAAATGCAGTTACTATCCTTTGCGTTAATTTTCATTTTAAAAATTCTAGTTTTTTCCACTTTTCCAGTTTCAAAATCGATGACACATCAGCAGATGTGCTTACAAGCAGCTGTTGAATTTTTTTCAGAATTGAGAAATTCAAAAAGTCCGAATTTTTGCAATGTTATTTTTCGTAGAAAGTTCTATTTCGTAACAGTTATTTCTCGTTCGAGGTCCATTCCATTATATCGCTTCAAAGGGTTGTTTTTTTTTTAAACAAAGCTTTTAGAAGCCGGGCCCGCTTCGCGGTTCAATAGGCATTTAAGCCAAAGTTGAAAAATTACGAAAAATATTAATAAAAATTGAAAAATTACGATGGGAACTCGCAGATCTTGTTGTTCTCGATTCGCAACTGACTCAATGCTGGCATATCAGAGAATGCAAATTCGGAAACACTCGTGATCTGAAATAAGTTGGTTAGAAAACATATTTCCACTACTTGTATGTATTCAACCAATCGCTGATGATGGCAACTGCCGAAACGTCCATGCACGTATTTCTAAAGCATACTCTACCGAAAACAAAAACGGGCCTACCTGGTTATCGTTCAAGTTCAGTGACATCAACGAGGTCATGTTTCCAAAAACGGGAACGCTTCTGAGTCGGTTTCCGCTTAGTGTTATATGCTCAACTGTGCTCGCAATCGTCTCCCATGCCTGTGATAACATCATCATCATCATTCCGATCATTTCACAAGACTTTTGTTTTTTCGTTTATCACGGGTCCGCTCTGCGGGCCGACTTTACGCTCGGAAGCGGCTTCGCCGCTTGTTGGGTTCTCAGAACCGTTAGTTTACTTGTAATTTCACCGTCACAACTATTGTCGTTATAGAAATGAAAAAGTTGACTTCGCTAGCTTTTGTGTACTAAAATGGAAATATTTAGTTGTTTCGGAGAAAATTATAAATGAACGTGTGAACTTTGTAACGGTTTTGAGAAGAAAAATGCGGCTTCCCCGCTTCTAAACGATAGCCATGAAGCATTTACCGAAGAAATCACTGAAAAGACACTGTATGACTGTGCCATGAGTTTTTCGTGCCAGGCCTATCTCGGGTCTCTCAGAAATCGCCTCTTATAATTTTTTCTTCTGTCGAACTGCTTTCGAAATCACACACTGGTACAGGTATCCAAAGAGTTAGGACGCGGGCGACGGGAACCGGGGGAGTGCCTGCACTGGGTACCATGAGTCAGGAAAAACAAATTGTAACATTGAAGATACTTTTTGGTACCACGAGACGGGACCATCCCCGTTCCAAGCCATTTGGATACCTGAATACTGTAGACAGATAAGCTTTTCACAACTGCCTAGATCCGAGTCAAGCGTAGCTGGATCGGAATGATGCAAATGACGGAATGAGATCCCTTACGTTTGAAGGCCGTACAGTCTCATTGACCGCACTTGTACAGCCTCTCACATTTGACGCGGTGACCCACTTTTCACTTTCACTGTTACTTCTTTTTCTCCGGTTCGAAAAATTTGTGGATTCCTGTTTATCTGACTCACTTTTGCAGTGAATGAATTGATCCGCGATTTGGTGATAGTAATACTGCGCAATCCACGAAAGGGCAGCGATTCGATATTGTCACTGGTTTCATTGGAAATATACAGTTCGTCGATATAGCTATTACCCAGGGCCTGTAATGAGAATAAAATATGAATGATTACCAGAATATTTTACCTTGGCTACATTCAACATTCCAACATCTTCACATTCCAGGGTTATCAACTTTTTAGCTATCTGAATATTTTCGTTGAACATTCAAAAAGAACTTTTTAATGGTACTTTGCAGACGCATTTTTTTGGAACTTTCGGGCACTTGACATCAACTGAGTTTATAGTTATGATGCATAAAAGTGTTAATTCGATAATCAGCAATCGCATTTGTTTACTGTAAAATGGATTTCAATATTTCAAAGACAAAAAACCATCACTTACCGCAATGTATAATCACAATGGAGTATTTGAAGGATCCTGGAACTTGGATGGACCTGGAAAATAAAACAATTTTCGTTCCTTAAAAGAAAATATTCAAAATAGAAAAACCAAAAGCGATGTTTCTCGAATAGAGTTTTTGTAGTGTATCTAACTCCCAGCCAAAAATTTTCTTACCGAATTTTAGCGGGTTGTCGAAAACACGTTCGTTGCGGGACCAAAAGATTGAACGTGATGTTCCTTTAAAGTTGAGTACTGTAAATAAGAAAAAAATTTTGGAGGTTCTCATGCAAATTCGTTTCGAACGTTTCAATGAGAATCTCAAATTTCGCAAGAATTTATAGGTCCTTCAAGAACTGCAAAAAGTTACGATATGCGAATCTTATAGGGTTATTAAGTTCATGTTTTTTTTTCCGTTTCTTTTGGTTTTACATTACTCAATAGAGTTTTTTGACGTAAAAAAACGAAAAAAAAATACAATGAATAACCCATATTTTTGATTTTACGGCCCCGCTCGGCCATTCCGTGATAAATTGTATTTGTAGGAATTATGATAAAAATGATAATTTTATGTTTTAAATGTGAATTATTGAAATACTATTCTTTCGCTTGCGCGTTGGAAGTTGTTGGCGTGTTGAATGGGCGGAGTTAGGTCAATAGGTCGAAATTTGAGGGAGGTGTTCTACGACCTCTTCTATGCGGAGAGGATGAGATAGACGAGAGAAATAGTCTTCACAGGTGATTCGTGGTCGGTCTATTGAGAACTCGGAGCTAGTTCTTCAATAGACGCATGATCAGACTTGCTAAATAAGGGCCCGGCCGGGCCTTGTAGAATTTTTTTAAAGCCCGGCCCCGCCCGTTTCAAGTCAGCGCATGATGGACCGATCACGAAAATTTCATGTTTAGTGGACCTATTGCGAACCCTTTTCAAGGTAAATAGGCCTATGATAGGCCTATCATATGCGAATTCGAGAATTTTAGCGATAGACGTGTTGTAGGCAATTTTTCCTCGCGATTGGTTAATGATAGGCATATCATAGGCCTACGTTCTCAATAGACCGATCGCGAATCACCTGTGTTGTCTCTCTCACAACCAGGTGTATAGATACCATTGGAAACGACATGCGCTCGGCAAAATTCCTCTAGTAAATCTTGCGTAGTTATGTACTTGTTGCCACAGACCGAGCCAAGCAGATCATCCAATTTTCGTTGGTCCGGTCCAAACTTTCGAGCAAACGTTTGGAATTAACAACTTCTGCGCAGAATTCTAGCAATTTTCGAGCAAACATTCAGCGCCATCAATTTTTGATCAACAGTTCAGCAGCTGTTGAACAACTGCCTAGCAACTTTTGAGCAAACTTTTTGGCGATAGCAATTTCTGCGCAGAACTCCAGCAACTTCTACGCATAACATCAGCTGCGTTTGTGCAGAAGTTAGGTAAAAGTTGCTTAAGTTCTGCTGAAAAGTTGCAGAGGTTTGCCGAGAGAGGCCCAAATGCATGGACATTTCATGTTTTACTGAGATGGTAGCTTTCAGATTTTTATCATTAAAAAAAATGAATGTACCATAATACAATGTAAAGAAATAAACAGCTCAAAAATGAATAAGATAATTTCAAAACAGAATCATTCATAGAATCAAAATTGCAACCATCTTTATCGCAAGAGCAAACTTGGACTAACTCGTTAGCTTGAACCTGTGGATAAATTTGAGTTAGCTGTAGCTTGACACATATTGGTGAGCGATGCAAAAATTCCACTTCTATAGGACGATTCTTCATTGCAGAGAAAATATGATCAGCACATCCTCTTATATGCAAAAACGGCCTTTCCAACGATTGCAGACCTGTAATACGCGTATTCTCCAAGAAACTTTATTCTAGAAAAATTCTCGAGATTCGAACGTCCACTGGTTCGAACTCGCGTTTTAAGAAAAGTTCACACAGACTTTCAGACTTTAAAAGCCAATTACCTCCATGGAGATTGACGTGATTGACAAGCCGATTTCCGCACACCACATCGCACACGGCGACCATTGGTGAACATGCTCGGGCCAGTTTTTATCGCTCCGTATCGCAAACCGTATCCCTTTAGCACGCGAGTGAGCAGCGATTTGCAGCGACAAAATACGGGAGGGAAATTCGAACCATGTTCACAAATGGGCAAATACCACAATAGTAGTTCAGTACTATGAAAGGATGCATTTTACCTCCAAAGTATTGTGGTTCAAAAATTGTGACACAAGTGGAATGACAGTTCTCCACAGGTGCGAATCCTTGTACCATCTCTTCCAAATCACATAATCTGTCAAACTTGGGTATGCTGTAAAAAAACAATAATCAATAGAAAGAGTATCTACCAACCTAACTTTCCTGGATATAGACAGGTCCTGGTCGAAAAGAATTCGATACTCTAGTGACGCACATGAAAAACATCTGAAAGTCAATTTTTATCTTTTAAAAAAAAAACATAATTTTTCAGTACTTACAAGAGAAATCCTGGAGTTTCAGAAACTTGGATTCAGCTCGATGGTATTACTTTTTTTACATTTTGACGATATTGCGATTCAGGGTGAAAAATTTCAGAAATTTCACATACCGCACCTCCAGAGTTTCTCTTGTAAGTACTGAATAGTGATGTCCCCTGTGAGACTACTGTTGCCTCCCTAGGAGTACTCTGGCATTTCGTTATTAATCTAATCGCAGTCTACTCGAGTTATACGGCGGCCTAATAAGATTGATATGACACCTAATTAGATTAATAAATTGTCTAGCTAGATTAATAAATCTTCTAGCTAGATTAATAAGTGCTCAAATCAAGTTTCACGCCAAACGTCTGTTGGCTCAAATCTCGATTGCACCAAGAAAAAACATTCGAATCTAATTAGGTCGCGTTTAGATCAGTAACTTTCTAATTAGATTAATATCGAATTGCCAGAGTATGGTCTGATAGCCTTTTATGAAATACCTTTGAATGCCCCTCTGGTACATGAGCTACTCGGCAAAGGCGCGCCACGTTGCGCAAACTTTAAGGATCCTCGCAGATTTTGCGCAAACTTTAAGGCATGGCGAAACTGTTATGAAAACTTTGCAATTTCAGTACTGTTCGCTTTTTCCAGCTTGTTTTTACGCGTTTTATTTGTTTTTTGTTGCTTATCAAACTTAAACTACTTATCTTTTTCCGTATTTTCTCGGTTTGAGCGCATTTCAAGCGAAATTTCAGTCGGATTTCGTTTAGAAGCGAGTGTTATTGAAAATTTGTATGAAATCACTTGAATTCGAGCTACTTCACAATTATTTAAGATGTTTGAACGATTCACATGCGTTACTCCTCCGATTCATGAATCAGAAGAGTGTTTCAGTGAGTTAGCAGAGAATTTTATAACTCGTAGATGAGAATTTCAGATTTTGAGGATGGTGTCTCCTACATCGCCTGCATTTTCACTTATAACAACGTGTCTTTTTTCACTTATGAAAGTGACGAAGACTATACAATCACTACTCTCTAAATGGTACTTGTTTCTGGTTTTTATACTATCAAAATAAAATTGTTTTTTCATGCAGAAATGAAGTGGAAATAAACTGAACATTTTTAAGCAGCATTTGGGCAAACTTTTAAAAGTGACAGCTTTTGCGCAGACTTTACGCAGCTTTTGCGCAACTAGCCAGCTGAAGCTGCGCTAACTTTGCGCAAAAGTGGCGCGCCTTTGCCGTGTCAAGAAAGCGCAAAATAAGAAGTGCGGTTTTGAGGCGGCGAAGGCGAAAAAACAAAGTCCGCGAAAAATGCGCCAAAACGTCAACTAATTCTGAGAATTAGTGTGTTTTCATGTCGAACAATCATTTTTCATCGCCTTTGACCAAAAATCAGAGAAAACCTGCTCAATCCATGAAAACGCCATTTGGCCGAGGCCACGCCCATATTGTCAGCTCTGGAGACCGTGCAACGGTGGATTGCGTAGCGCCCCCTTTTTAAAGCATTAGGCCACAGCGAAATTTTTTTAATTTCATTAGAGCGCACTTGCGCCAGTGTACCCGCCACGACTCCGTGGCTCAACTCGTCTTCGGAATCCCGTGCTAAGCCGCAGTATACAACACAATTTGTGCAACTGCAAGAATGCACCGCATAAACAAACATTGTTTATAAATGAAAAATGTGACAATGAGATGAACTTATAAATAGAAGCATGTGATCGAGTGTCTGGTAAAAACAGGATAATAAGTTGTGATCGTTTGTGATTAGTGAGGAGACATGCAAACGTTGGGGTGATAGCTGCTCTTGAACAAAAGTTGGGCAACTTTCGAGCAAACGTTTAGGATCAGCATTTTTTGTTTTGTTTTCAACAACACTTCAGCAACTTCTGAGCAAACGTTCAGCGTCATCAACTTTTCAACAGCACTTCAGCAGCTTTTGAACGACAGTTCAGCAACTTTTGAGCAAACGTTTTTGCGATAGCAACTTCTGCGCAGAGCTTCAGCAACTTTTGTGCATAACATTAGCTGCGTTAGCGCAGAAGTTAGGTAAAAGTTGCTTAAGTTCTGCTGAGAAGTTGCAGAGGTTTACCGAGTTTGGTACGACATCAACGTCAATGTCATGTATATGTAGTTCGTTCTTTTCGGTATAGTCTTTGTATACAGCTTTTCTTTGTACTCCCCTTACAAAAAGCTTTCAGCGGAGCTATTCATCAACTCTACTGGCCCGATTCAATTTGACGAAAAGGGCCGCTTCATCAGGTACAAAGGGATGGTCCTAATTGAATTCGAATGTCTAAGAGGTTTACAAATCTTATTGAGTGAAGAAGAAACGTAAGTGGCGCATTGCAGTAATTTTTACTCACTGATTCTCTCGAATATGATGGACGCGTTTCGAAAATGATCATTCTGTTAAGCACATGCGTGTTGATATTGGCTTTTGAATGCTAACAAGTCATATAACAATAAGACATTAATTTTGATTGTTACATAAAAACGACGTGGTGAACACATTTGAATGGTGTCAATTAGGAAATTTTTAAAGAAGCAAATAAAACGTACAAGTTTCCAAGACTTCATATACATATACCTCTGTGCGGGCGAATTCTGTTTAAGCAGACGCTTGCCGGCGGTTTTTCTGCTTATTAAAATTTAACGTTTTCATTTCTCAATTTCTTCGTCACATCTACTTATTCTGTTAACAATGAAAAAGCAGTGACGAAAAAACACGGAAGGAAACAAATAAACAGAGGGGCACACCCCTAAACACGTTTAGTAATAAGAATGATGATTCCAAACTTATCATACTTTAAGGATTCGGTACATCCTAGAAAAATATTGAACAAGAAATAATAAAAGAACGTGATCATGGCAACAGAAGCCCGCAGCTGGCACATCTTCCGGTCATCAGTTGCTCGATTGTGAATGTAGTCTTCAGCTCGAGGAGGCGGAGTCTCTCTTTTGTAGCAGAGACAATTGACGCGTTTGATGCTCCGCCCATTGAGTAGTACAAAATGTAGTACAAGTACAATATGTTATAACTCCGCGTAATTGAGATTTATGGGGAACGAATACACACAAAATTTATTTTTTTGAAAATTAATCTCGAAAATTAAAGAAACTATGTTTTTAAATTGTTGTTTGTCTGTTTGATGTTGGTGTTTTCAACATTCAGGTCAGCGTTAGCTCGGCCCGCGCAGCGGGCCCCCGTTTCAAGTCTCATAAAAATGAGACAAAAAAGGGTAATTGAGATAACACGGGCCGGCAATTCATACATTGGCCGAGAAAATTTTGCGCCTTGCGAAACTTCGGCCACGTGTGTTTTTTCAACACACGAACTGGATTATCTGCTATAAAAGATTCTCTGGCAGTTTTAAGTTATTCATTCGTGTTTTGTCATTGAAGTTAATACACTTCTTTACTTTGACTTCCGTTTTTATTAATTTTCACAGGTTTTCCATCGAAGTTTTTGTAACATTCGCTAAACATTGAGATTTCCGCTCCGTGACGTCTTCAGAAACCTTACATCGATTGGAGTCCTGGCTCAAATTATCGAATACAATAGTGAGAAACTTTTGGCAAAAAATCAGAGCCCTCTGTGATCAAAATCTCAACTTCTTTAATCGAAGTTTTTGTAAAATTCACTAAAAATCGATAATTCAGCTCCGTGACGTCTTCAGAAACCTTACATCGATTGGAGTCCTGGCTCAAATTATCGAATACAATAGTGAGAAACTTTTGGCAAAAAATCAGAGCCCTCTGTGATCAAAATCTCAACTTTTTTAATCGAAGTTTTTGTAAAATTCACTAAAAATCGATAATTCAGCTCCGTGACGTCTTCAGAAACCTTACATCGATTGGAGTCCTGGCTCAAATTATCGAATACAATAGTGAGAAACTTTTGGCAAAAAATCAGAGCCCTCTGTGATCAAAATCTCAACTTTTTTTTCGGTTTTTCATAAATTTCCCGAGATATAAGGGTGTGAGGCCGAAAAGGCCGCAATGTTCGCAAAAATTCGGCTTTTCCAGCCTCTAAACGTGGATCAAAGATGTTTCAAGCCAAGTCCAAGAAGCCTGCAATGTATGGACCCGATCCGGTTATTGCGTGGAGTCAACACTCTCATCAACAAGTCAGAACGCTGATTATCGTCAATTCAGAACGCTGGCATGTGAATGCTCTACATCGAAATGATATGCGCCGGAAACTCTCCTCTCAAATATAATAAAAATTGGAAGACACAATTCTCCACAAATTAATAAATTTAGGGCTAATTATGGCTAGGGGCGCTCCGTTCATGAATTCGCCTCGAGTTCCGCCGGCGTTTCCAACGAATCTCCGCTAATATTTTGATGTCATTCGTAGTTTTCGTTCTTTTATTATATACTTTTAACATTTTTTACACATAGAACGTCTAGAGATGCCGAAAAATGTATTTTTGGAAGTGTAACTGAAAAAATCAATTCTAGTCGAAAATTTCTGCAATTACTGTTAAAATCACGTTTTCTTGTATACTTTCGACGTTTCCCTATACTTTCGATGAGATTAGCACATTTTTCCGTCTTTCTGCGGCTTTTTCTGTACTTTCAATAAATTTTTTTTTAATTAGCCGCATATTTTTGGGTTACGGTATGCAGAATCTGCATACACCGTTGTACGCAAGTCCACAGCAGCGAAATCGCTGGGCTGAGTATTTAATCCACGCATTTTTCTCGGCCACTGTATGAATTGCCGGGCCGTGGATAAATTAAGTTACTTTTACAATTTGTCAATATTGTAGTAGCTGAGATATGGTGAAGTAATTGAGAGAAATGGAGTAATTGAGGCAATATATTATAGGGGCACCGGACAGAAAGGGCGCGCTGTTCGCAATCTGGACGAATTTCTAGGCCGCGAAGTTCGGTGCCCCTATAATATTATAGGGGCACCTCACAATGACGCTCTGTTGAGAAACTCTTTTTGCAAAGCAAATTGAATGACCTCGGGGCCGAGTTTGAAAAGTTAGGCCACGTTTTCAGTGGAAAATTACTTCGCGGATTAGAAAATCGGCCAGGATGCGAACAGATCGCCATTTCCGTGAGATTCCCCTATAATAGTAATTGAGGCAATATAGTGATTGAGAGAAGAAAAAGTAGTTCAGCATGTAGTAATTCAGTGTTTGGCAAAGATTTTTATGTGGAATTTATCTTTGGTAATTCATGTGCAAATTGGTGGCGCGGCTACCCACTCTCACACCCTCGCCGTGCGCCACGATTGTCACCGCCGGCAACACCCTACGAAAATGTGGTCGAGTGGCACAGGTGAAATACGGTTTAGCAATTATACAATTGCGCCAATTCTAGACAAATCCCGAACAAATATTAGGGAATTTTTGTTTAGATTTGCCGAGATTTGTCTAGAATTAGCGCAATTGTATAATTGCTAAACCGCATTTCACCTGTGGGCGCAGGAGTTAACGGTGGGGTTGAGGGGACTGTGGTCACGGGTTCGACTGTTATGCTTTTTCTTTTTTCATTCTTTTTTCATGTATTTTTGACGAAATTGTTTTGAAATGTTGATTTTTGAAGAGATTAAAGTTGCCAACTGAAGTTCCTCATCGTGTATGCGGTAATTCTTCATCAATACATGAATCTCTTTTGCGATGGTTTTTTTCAGAACAGCGTTTGAGTGCAGTTAATTCTTTGATCCATAACTCGAAGGGGATTTTGTGTAGAGAATAATGCTCAACTACAAAGTTGATCAGCATGACATTTACTACAACTTTCCAGTTGACCACATCTTTCTTCAATTTTTTGTTTTTGAGATACAGGCTGTTGATTAAAAGTGGGTCATATCACAAAAATCAGCAAGTTTCCAAAAAAGATGTCAACTAAAAAAGTATGGAAAATGCCTTCAGTAATGTTTCTTTACTTGACGACTTTTTGATATCTCATTCAATTCGCGAGATACAGCAAGATTTTGCACTACCATCTTTAACAGCCTGTATCTCAAAAACAAAAAATTGTAGAAAGAAGTGGTCAACTGGAAAGTTGTAGTATTATAGGGGCACCGCACAGAAATGGCGCTCTGTTGAGAAACTCTTTTTGCAGTGTAAATTGAGCGACCTCGGGGCCGAGTTTGAAAAGTTAGGCCACATTTTCAGTGGAAAATTACTTCGCGGCCTAGAAATTCGGCCAGATTGCGAACAGCGCGCCCTTTCTGTCCGGTGCCCCTATAATAAATGTCATGCTGTCATGCTGATCAACTTTGTAGTTGAGCATTATTCTCTACAAAAATTCCCCTTCGAGTTATGGATCAAATAATCAACTGCACTCAAACGCTGTTTTGAAAAAAACCATCGCAAAAAAGATTCACGTGTTGATGAAGAATTTCCGCATACACGATGAGGAACTTCAGTTGGCAACTTTAATCTCTTCAAAAATCAACATTTCAAAACAATTTCGTCAAAAATACATGAAAAAAGAAAGAAAAAAGAAAACGCATAACAAGGGAGTGGAACACGTGACCACACTCCCCTCAACCCCACCGTTAACTCCTGCCACAGGTAAACCGCGATTGATCTATCGGGTGTAGTCGATTAATGAATCGCGAGCCAATTATCCGTAAATATTAGTCAATCATATGTATAGCAAAGTGAACTCTGCTCATAAAAAAATAATTGTAAATTTAGCTTTTCATACAAAAAAGTTATTCGAGTTGTTGCGTAAAAATGTCCTTCCGTCTTCCGTTAGCCCTTTTTTCACGGAACAACTCGAACAACTTTTTTGTATGAAAAGCTAAATTTACAATTATTTTTCTATGAGCAGAGTTCACTTTGCTATACATTTCGTCAGTTGATCACATGCCATGAAAAATTTTTCTAAAAAAGATAAAAATTCTTCCGTGTTCTTCCGTTGAGCTCTTCCGCTCAACTCTGTCGCGAGCCATATCACTAACAATTGATGAACCAGCGAGCGGCCGTGTACAATTGATCAATCCGCGAGTATCCGGCTCGCGGATTGATGCATCATTCGTCAACCATTGATCCCCACGTATAATTGACCAATCGCGGGTTACCTGTGGCGCCACTCGACCACATTTTCGTAGGGTGTTGCGGGCGGTGACAATCGTGGCGCATGGCGAGGGTGTGAGGGTGGGTCGCCGCGCCACTAAAATGCGAAATCCATAGACTATAGTTAAGAAACGTCAAACTTCGGACTGGAATTTCAGCATTTCAGAGGTCTCGAAAGCAGCTTTTGAAAACTGGAATATAGGTTTTGAAAAACCCTCTCTCGAACTGTGTCGTTAGTTTAGGCTGGTTCCTTTAATCACTTACAAGGTTCCCTTGTAAGATTAATGACCCCGATGAAGCAGCGAGTTGCCGAGGGAATCCATGATAATCTTCTGTCGCAGGCTCACATGAACACATTTCCGCACCTTGCTTTCGTTTTCTGCGTACATTGGCACGCCTGCGTCTCCGCTGTTTTTTCATGCGCTTTTCAATCCTTGCTGTACCAGTGCTATCTAAAGTTGTGCGCACTTTACGAATTCTTTTATTTGATCCAAAGTTATGTAATGAGTTTCCTCATATTAGCAAAGCTGCATCCGTTTGAAATCATTAAATGTGTCCTACCCTGTTTGTGTAGAGACGGCTCCGAGTCCGTGAAGCGTGATTTCTATCTCCATTCATTTATTTCGTTTCATTTCGTTCATTCAGTTTAGATTAAGCATAGTTGTGATTTTTCGACCCGCCCCGCCTGTGCATATGCATTCGCCGGAGTGTGCTACTTGACGCGTATCGCCTGGCACTGTGCCAGCCAACTCAAATGAGTCGCTTTGCAGCCAATTCAAACGAGCGATTTTTCCCGCGAAATTCAAATTTTATATTTGCACATGCGCTTCAGCACGCCGTGAAAAGGCTGATTTCAGACGGCTTTCTGATACAAATGCTTACAAACTGGCGGACTTTGTATACAATTTTCTTTTCGTTTTTCCTTAACAATCCGTCTGAAATGGGCTTTTCTGTGAAAAAAAACGACGAATGTATACTCTCGGCTCAGGCAAATCGTTTCTAATCTAACTAGCTAATTCTCGTTTCTAACCGGACCTAGTTAGATTGCTACCGATTTCTAAATCTAGCTAGCTGATTTTGCAATCTAAGCATAATCTAGCTAGGTTTGCCCGAAATTTTAATCTAAACAGATAAATTTTGAATCTAATATCAGTGTTTTTGCAATCTAATTAGCTTCGCCAATCTAATTAGAAAATTTATCAGTCTAGTTAGAAGCATTTGCAATCTGATCGCAGTAAATTAGCAATCTAATTAGAAGCGCGAATTAGCTAGCTAGATTACAAACGATTCACCTGAGGGGGTATTTCAATGTGAATTCGCTCTGTTGAGAAATTCCACATTTTGTGATCTCCGGGACCTTGTGATCTCCGGATTCTCTCTTTTTTTGATTGGCGCCGTTCTCGAGATCATAATTGCAACAGAGCGCATTCATTTTGAAATGCAGCGAAAGCAGAAAACGGGTCTAACTTCAGAATTTGAAAACTACTGTAAAGGCACGGCAGGAAAATTTTACTATTGAAAAAGAAAAGGTTCGACATTCGAATCAGAGTTGGCAGCGAGCCAAGGACACGCCCCCCAAACAGCGTGCGGTACTTTCAGTGAAAACTGTTTGGGGGGCGTGTCCTTGGCTCGCTGCCAACTCTGATTCGAATGTCGAACCTTTTTTTTTCAACAGTAACACGCGAAGCGCGTCATCTGTTTCTCGGATTGGAAGGCTGGGGTTCCGTGGCCACCTTTTTGCGGGGCTAACATTTATATTAATGTCTTCATAATCTCATAATCTCCTCATAATGTTCTCAAGTTATTCATGTGAAAGGGATTTCGTGAGACTCTCGTGCTTTCATATCAAACTTATTGACTTAAAAAAACCACTTGCTCAGACTAGGCTGGTCTAACAGCCGATTTCAGGCGCCTGTTCGACCAGCCTAGCTCAAACTAAAATAAAGAAAGATTCCCTTTAAATGTTCAGTATGTTATCATCATCATTCTCGTTTAATAAAAAACTGATTTAATAATTAAAAAAACTAGCGGAGTCTTTTATTTCTCTCTTTCTTTCTTTGTCCGGTCAGCTCCCCGACGTTTCGCAACCCGACATTTCGAAACCGCGACGCTCCGCAACAAACGTGAACTACTTACAATTGCACCGTGAAAGTTCACGTGGGTATCGAGACGTCGCGGTTTGGAAACGTCGAGTTGCGAAATGTCGGGGAGCCGTCCGGTCACTTTTTCATTACTAACAGTAAAACAAAAATATTTGTGACGGAGAAATTAAAAAACGAACTCGTGAACTTTCGAACGGTTCTGAAGCAAGCGGAAAAGCCGCTTCCGAGCGCCAGCTTGATCCGTGCAGCGAGCCCAGCTTCTAAAAGTCTTGTGTTGTAATGATCTTCCTTTACTTAATTGTTTGTATGGATACTAGTCATTCTGAAAAGTGATACGTTACTCTGTCAATATGAGATTGAGGCTAATTAGTTCACAGTTTCGTATATCTATTTTTCGTAAGGCCATTTATTTTTTATTTGAAAGTACGTATGAATTCTGCTTTTTTTTATTACAACAAGCTTGATTACATGGCAACGCCGGGATCAAACTTGGCAACGGGTGTGATCGTACTAAATCGCTAACTAATTACTGCGCCGTCGAGTCGAATGATCGCCAATTGTGGGTACTATGCATTCCCGCACTTTTAATGGAGCCCACCAGAGTTGAGCGGAAATGGAATTTTGAAATCCGGAAGACGGAAGAAAATTTTTCTCACGGAAGACGGCAGACGGAAGACGGGAGAAAACTTTTTTCCCGGAAGACGGCAGACGGAAGCTCTGGCAATTCGATATTAATCTAATTAGAAAGTTACTGATCTAAACGCGACCTAATTAGATTGGACTGTTTTTTCTTGGCGCAATCGAGATTTGAGCCAGCAGACGGTTGGCGTGAAACTTGATTTGAGCACATATCAATCTAATTAGAAGACTAGACAATTTATTAATCTAATTAGGTGTCATATCAATCTTATTAGGCCGCCGTAGAACTCGAGTACACTACGATTAGATTAATAACGCAATGCCAGAGTTGATATGACACCTAATTAGATTAATAAATTGTCTAGCTAGATTAATAAATCTTCTAGCTAGATTAATAAGTGCTCAAATCAAGTTTCACGCCAAGCGTCTGTTGGCTCAAATCTCGATTGCGCCAAGAAAAAACAGTCGAATCTAATTAGGTCGCGTTTAGATCAGTAACTTTCTAATTAGATTAATATCGAATTGCCAGAGTAGCGGTATCACGTGACTCCACGGGCCGGCAAAACCTACGGGGGACAGAAAATTGTGAAGCTGTATTATAGTCTATATAATTTATAATTTATAGAGGCACCGCACAGAAATAGCGCTCTGCTGAGAAAATCTTTTTGCAGTGCAAATTGAGCGACCTCGGGGCCGAGTTTGAAAAGTTAGGCCACATTTTCAGTGGAAAATTACTTCGCGGCCTAGAAATTCGGCCAGATTGCGAACAGCGCGCCCTTTCTGTCCGGTGCCCCTATAATTACTTCCCACATAAACCTTACATTTCCCGCTAACCTGGCTCATTTTGAAGAACACAGTAAAACTGAACATTAATCAACCATAGAGACTCTGAATGGCAGCATCCTTACAAGTCTACTGGGTAATTTTTTGGCGTGATATTTAAATGTTTGGACCGGGCTCTAGTCAATCCTCCAACGGCGCGGCCCGGCAAGCGACAATTCTGCTCACTTCGTTTTAATAAACTTATTTTTCAAAGTTCATAAACATTCCGTTTTATTTCAGAAGTTACAACACGAATCGGATGTATCAGGGAATTTATCAACTGTAAGAGAGTTGAAGGACAAAACTGAAAACATTCGTAATTCTTACAGAAACATCAGTTAGTTATGATTTAATCTGATGATGGCGAAATGTGGAAAGGTGGTACAGTTGCGAGCTTAATTCAAATTACTGTTTGTCTCCTCGATTTTCCTATTTTTGTATCTACGGAACGTTTTAGGGAGGTGAGTATTTTGCAAGAATTGGCATTCTACTGCAAACGTGCTCTGTTGCCCAGACATGCAACGGGCCGGGCTCATCGAAAAATCCAGAAAAGCCCGGCCGGCCCAGAATTCCCTGAAAAGCAAGGAAATTTGTTCTGACGAATAGATTTTTTTCCAACTTTCGTAATCTAAACCGAGTTCCTAATCTAGCTAGATGAAAATTAAATCTAGCTAGATTAGACCGAAAGGTAAATCTAATTAGATGAATTTTGAATCTAATATCAGTGTTTTTGCTAGAAAAAAAATTTAATTAGAAACATTTTTCTTTGTCAATCTAATTAGAACATTTATTAGTCTTGTTAGAAAAATTTGCAATCTTATCGCAGTAAATTAGCAATCTAACTAGGTCCGGTTAGAAACGCGAATTAGCTAGCTAGATTAGAAACGGTTTCCCTGAGCAGTAACCGCCAAGCTTCCAATTTTTCTTCGGAAATGATCTGAGAAATCGAACATAGAGAACTCTGTTTTTTTATAAAGTTCAATTTTACTGTGTTCTTCAAAAGGAGCCAGGTTAGAGGTAAATGTAAAGTTTTTGTGGGAGGTTACAGCTTCACAATTTTCTGTCCCCTGTAGGTTTTGCCGACCCTTGACTGGGTGTCCTTCTATTAGAGGTGCCCTTCTATGACAGTACTTACGGTAGCTATATAATTTAAAAAATAGCAACTACTGGGCATACTAGAGACCCGCAACTATAGCGAAAACAACGTCGTGCTCGACACTCCGTGTAAGCCCCCAGGAAAAATATTTTACAGGTCTCAGCTGTGAATCCCGTTCATCTCGTGATTCCATTGCCGGACAATGACGACTTCAGTAATGGAAAAAATCCATTCCTGTTTTCTTCGCACAAAGTTAAACCTTTAGCAGATTTAGCGTTGGAGAGAGTATACAGGGAAAGGTAACATTCTACATTCGAATCGAGAGTTGGCAGCCCGCACACTTTATTTTACATCGTTTTTCCCTGTATTTTTCTAGCTAGAATCAGTTTAGCAGACGCGCTCCATTGAAATCACACCCGTCGCGTGCGCTGCGACGCGGTTGGCGCTATGCCAAGTTTTCAATTTCAATTAGAAAAAGGTGACTGAGTCGCTACGCAGCTAATTGTGAAAACGACGGGAAATTTTGAATGAGTTCGGCCGCGTAGTTTTTGGAACCCCGTGTCTAGAGCAGCAAGCGGTACCTGCGTTTCGCCATTTACTTTTTTAATTCCAGGATCTTGCCGAATAACTCTATAAATTTAATCTATCGTAATTCGAAATTGTCTGACGCTATCGGACCTAATGTAGCTGTCGAACAACTTTTGGAGGTAACATCAGAGCACATGTACAATACACAAGACTGTAAACCTGAGCCTGCTGCGCGATGTCGACTTCAGTTTTGCTGATTTTTCTCGACTTTTCGACAAACTCTCAAGTCGACACTTCGCTCTACTTATTAATATAACTCTTCACGGGTTTGTCCCTCTGTTTGTCTCTTTGTTTATTTCTCTGTTTATTTCTCTGTTTGTCCATCCCCACTTCATTTCTAAAACAAAAAATTGTGACGGAGAAGTTGAGAAATAAACACGTGAATTTCCTAACGGATCTGAAAATCCAACAAGCGGCGTAGCCGCTTTCGAGCGCGCAGCGGGCCCCGGTTTCAAAAGTCTTATAAAAATAAATCTTTTTTTTTCATTTCTAAAACAGGATAAGTTGTAACGGAGAAATTAAGAAATTAACACGTGGACTTTCAAACGGTTCGGAGAATCAAATAAGAGGCTAAGCCGCTTCCGAGCGTGAGCTCTGCCCACGCAGCAGGCCCTGGTTCCAAATGTCTTGTAAATAAATAAATAAATAAACAAAAGGACAGACCCCATAAGACTTTTATTAATAAGAATGATGGGGGAATTTATCTGCAATCGCGCTCTGTTCCTAATCTGGCCGAGATTTCCTGCAACAGGTCTCAACAAACGGTTATGGGGCTATTTGATGTATTATGGCGGTATTTGACTGCAATCGCGGTCCACCGCAATCCCACGAAAACCCGGCCACGACCGCGACCTTTTCCAATTTATGCCCTGTCCAAAGTCAAAAAATCTGTGAAATCGAATTGAAATTGAAATTCTACAGAATCTGTGAAATCGAATTTAAATTGAAATTCTACAGAAAAAAGGGGTGCGCACAGCTGAAACGAATGTCGCCGTATACGGTATACCATAAAACTACGGTATTTTTTGAAAAAGTTTAAATTTAGTGAGAATATTTGAAAATATTCAAATTTTTTTGGGCAAATTTTCAAAAAATGGTATATGGTATACGGTGAGATTCGTTCAGCTGTGTGCACCCCGTTTTTCAAGAAAATCCAGACTTGCCAAATCCCGGGCCGGCCCGGTCGGCCCGGCTCCGCCCACTCTTGAGAAAATTTTCGTAATTTTTGTGAAAATTTTGCGACTTTAAACAGCAATTTCTATTTTTTAACAGGTTTTTATGCTATAACATTGCCTTTTTAAGTCTATAAAATTTTAAGTCTATAAAATTATGTTCGTTTCGAAGTTCTAGTTCGCTTTGAATTTTTAGGTGCATCCTCCCGGGCCGGCCGGGCCGGGCCGGAAAATTTCCAATTTTGGCCCGGCCCGGCCCGGCCCGTTGCAAGTCTGAGAAAATCTCTGCCGACTTTGGACAGCGAAAACACTATGGATTTCGTGATTATTGTGACTTTGGACGCCCACGGCCCGACTTTTGATACATAGGACTTTCGGTTTTTTCAATATATCTCCAGAAATCGAACATATAGACCTCTGATTTTTTGATAAGAGTTCAATTTTACTGGGTTCTTCAAAATGAGCCAGGTCAGAGGTAAATGTAAGGTTTCTGAGAGAAGTTACAGCTTCATAATTTCCACTTCTCCGTATGCTTTGCCAGCCCGTATCCAAACAGTTGGGACGGGGACGAAGGAAACCACGAGACGGGGGGACATGCTGTACTGGGTATCATGAGTCAGGAAAAAGAGATGGCCCCTATTCCATTTCCTTTTCCATTTCCTTGGTACCACGAGACGGGACCACCCCGTCCCAAGCCGTTTGGATACCTGTTCTAGCTCAGGTAAATTGTTTGTAATCTAGCTAGCTAATTCGCCTTTCTAACCGGACCTAATTAAATTGCTAATTTACTGCGATTAGATTGCAAATTTTTCTAACTGGACTGATAAATTTTCTAATTAGATTAGCGATGCTAATTAGATTGCAAAAACACTGATATTACATTTAAAATTTATCTAATTAGATTCAAATTTCGGGAAAACCTATCATCACTTCACCGCTCCTGCCCCCTTAGAAAAGCCCGCGAAGTTCAAATGGGGCCCCGCCCCTTCAGCGTTCAATTCTTGCAAGTAGCGCGCGCAGTTTTCGCAACGGTGCCGCACGCATTTTGCTCTTCAGTTCGACAGTGAAAAAACAAGTTAAAAAACATTTGTTGTCGGTTTTTAGTGTTTTCTTTCTGAGAAGAAGATGCAACAAGGCGAAAGAATAGGTTTTGATAACAAAAAAATAATTTTCTGCTTTAATTTTCAAGTATTAGTGTTCAGATCAATGTGTGCGGCAGCGTTGCGAAGACTCAGAGTGAGCTCTCGAGACCAAATCAACAAAATTGGCGAGACTCTCGGTAACCGAGAAGTGTGAAGACTTCTCGTTCTCGGTACCGAGAAGTCTTTAGACTACCGAGAAGTCTCGGTACCGAAGACTTCTCGCCACCGAGAAATCCGAGAAATTACGAGAAGTCTGTGTTGAAGGGCTTTTCAGCCTGAAACAGACTGAAACCGCTTTTTTTGTGGAAATAAATGTTTTTATTTAATTTAAAAAATTAAACAATTAAACAATTAAACAACAAAATAAAAAGCAGAAAAATTAAACAACAAATTTAAATGTAAAAAAATTATTTAGAAAGAAATAAAATTAATTAAAAATACATTTTAAGTTGTTTTTTAATTTTTTAATTTTTTAAATTAAAAGAAAACATTTCGTTCCACAAAAAAAGCAGTTTCAGCCCTTCAACACAGACTTCTCGTAATTTCTCGATGGCGAGAAGTCTTCAGACTACCGAGAAGTCTCGGTACCGAAAACTTCTCGGTACCGAGAAGTATTGATACTTCTCGTTCCCGGGAACGACAAGTCTTCACACTTCTCGGTACCGACGCTTCTCGGGAAGTTCTCCCATTACTTTTCCCGGCAATTCCCGGGACTTCAATCTCGGCAGCTCACCCTGCGAAGACTGCGCGCGCTACTTGCAAGAATTGAACGATGAAGGGGCGGGGCCCCATTTGAACTTCGCGGGCTTCTCAGGGGGCAGGAGCGGTGAAGTGATGATAGTACTACTGTTTTTGTCAATACATTTTTGTAAAAACTTTGCGTTATTTTCATTATACTCAATTCATCGCTATTGCCCCCTCGTTGTTTGCTTACTCAAGCCTAATTTTAGAAATTTTGGCTTGAGTCTGCAAACACCGCGCTGTTCGCAATCTGGCCGAACTTTCTAGGCCACGATGTAATTTTCCACTGAAAACGTGACCTAACTTTTCAAACTCGGCCTCGAGGTCGCTCAATTTGCACTGCAAAAAGAGTTTCTCAACAGAGCGCCATTTCTGTGCGGTGCCCCTATAATGCCACGTCCAATGTCTCGGAAAAACCGTAAAAACCACAGGTTTTTCTGTCCAAAGTCGGCCGAAATTTGCGTGAAAAACGGGGGTGCGCACAGCTCAATGAGTGTAACCGTACCCCTAAAACTACGGTATTTTTTGAAAATTTGCGCAAGAAATTTGAATATTTTCAAATAACCTCAAGAAATTAACAAATAGATTATGTTTAGATTTCAAAATCAGCTAGCTAGATTCAGAAATCTGTAGCAATCTAACTAGGTCCGGTTAGAAACGAGAATTAGCTAGTTAGATTAGAAACGATTTGCCTGAGAGTGTCGTACCTTATTTTCAACAGTAGATGCATTCTTGCTAATTTTTTAAGAGAAAAATCGATTGCATCATCGGCTATGCATATGGGTATGCGCTAGCGCCAGTTGCGCGTATGTCGCCATATTGGAAAAATGGAATCCCAATAATTACCCCTATCGGTTTAACAATGAGCCTAGATGACAAGAAAGAATATCAGCTGATGACAAGAATAAACAGTCCCTACAAAGTGAGTTTTATAGTTTCTCCTTATTTTTCATGCCCACATTTAGGTCGTTTCAAGTGCTGTTTCTTCCCTTTTTAAAAGTTATAACTGGAAACGACATATTTTCATGTTTCATCACGCCAAAAGCCCGACGATTGCTGTTGGCGAATGTTTTCTATTAATGGCTAGTTTGCAGCATCCGCTTCGCAACGTGAGTTAGTAGAAGTTCTGAAGTTCTACTGTAGAACGGCATGATTTTGGCAACCCGGCTCCGCCATTCCTATTTGCGTGCTGTCGCGCGGTGTACTACGCTTCTTACTTTCAATCTATCCGGTAGTTAAAAATCTATCCGTTATACAAAAATGCTGGTAGTCGAAAATCCGGGTAGTCACACACAGGTGATTCACGATCGCTCTATTGAGAACGTGGACCTGTGATAGGCCTATAATATGCCTATCCCGAATAAAAAGTTCGCCGATAGACGCAGTGTAGGCAGTGGGGCGCACTCTTTTGAAATAGACTCTTCGATTGCAATCGAATTTCCAGAGTTATGATCATAATCTCGATATCGAACGTTCGCGATTGGTCCACAATGGGCGTTCGCGATAGGTCTATAATGCGTGAAATTTTCGTGGTCGGCCTATAATGTGCCTATTCAAGGACCTGCTCCGAGTTCTCTGTAGACACATCCGCGAACTTGTAATAGACCCGTCGCGAATCACCTGTGCATAAATCTATTTGGGGAGTCTCTGTTCCTATCTAATTTTGACGCAAAAATCGGAAATTTTTTTTTTCATACGCTGAATAACCCCATAAGCGTAAAACTTTCTTGAATTGCTGAATTTCTCTGATTGTAAATTTTGCAAATTTGATAACATTTCATAATTAGATGCAAAATTAGCTCCTTCTGCTATTCGAATCTAAAGAATACAAAACGTTTTTAATTAGAATCGAAATCTAATTATTAGATGTAAAAATTGATCTAATGGCAATTAGATTCTAACGCTTTTTCTAGTTAAATTGCAAATGATTTACCAGAGAAGAGTTCTGATTCATTCGAGCTAGGCTGGTCGAACAGGCGATTTCAGGCGCCTGCGCCTGTTTTTTCAGACGCCTGTTCGACCAGCCTAATTCGAGCTGATTTTCGGAAACGTAATCATTATGGCCAATTCTAACAAAGAGCGCATGAGAAGCTATTTAAGAGAAAAGGTATTTTTAGTTTTTTGTTCAGCCGGCCGGCGAACTCGGCAAAAACCGTGGCCTAGTTTCCATGCCGCGACCCCGGACCAAATAGACTAGAATTTACCCTCGCAAAGAATCACCGTGACCGAGTGATAAACAATATTTGAAGTACGTTTTCAGATAATTGAAATGCAACACAACTTCTTTACTTTTAATGAAGACAGTGGAGGAAATGCAACAGTCGAAAGTCGTCAAAATCAGTTCAGGACTTTTCTGAGATCCAGCAGTTACATAGCAAAAGGCGAGTGAAAAGTGATACCCTCCGTAAACTCGAATGAATCGCGAAGAAAAATTGTTGAGCCAGATTGTTCTAGGCCACGGACGGCCACGACTTTGAGAGACAAAGCGAATTTTTTAAAAACTTTCGTTCAAAAGCTTGCAGCACGAAATTTTGCGTGAGGTGAGCCCGCACTACTCTGGCAATTCGATATTAATCTAATTAGAAAGTTACTGATCTACACGCGCCCTAATTAGACTCTGGCAATTCGATATTAATCTAATTAGAAAGTTACTGATCTAAACGCGACCTAATTAGATTCGACTGTTTTTTCTTGGCGCAATCGAGATTTGAGCCAGCAGACGGTTGGCGTGAAACTTGATTTGAGCACACATCAATCTAATTAGAATATTTATTAATCTAACTAGACAATTTATTAATCTAATTAGGTGTCATATCAATCTTATTAGGCCGCCGTATAACTCGAGTAGACTGCGATTAGATTAATAACGAAATGCCAGAGGATTCGACTGTTTTTTCTTGGCGCAATCGAGATTTGAGCCAACAGACGTTTGGCGTGAAACTTGATCTGAGCACTTATTAATCTAGCTAGAAGATTTATTAATCTATCTAGACAATTTATTAATCTAATTAGGTGTCATATCAACTCTGGCATTTCGTTATTAATCTAATCGTAGTCTACTCGAGTTATACGGCGGCCTAATAAGATTGATATGACACCTAATTAGATTAATAAATTGTCTAGCTAGATTAATAAATCTTCTAATTAGATTGATATGTGCTCAAATCAAGTTTCACGCCAATCGTCTGCTGGCTCAAATCTCGATTGCGCCAAGAAAAAACAGTCCAATCTAATTAGGTCGCGTTTAGATCAGTAACTTTCTAATTAGATTAATATCGAATTGCCAGAGCAATCTTATTAGGCCGCCGTTAGATTAATAACGAAATGCCAGAGTAATTGCTTACCCAAAATTGCTGAAATGTTTTGCAAAAGCTGTCATCACCCGAAAGTTTGCTCAAATGTTGCTGAACTGTCGTTGAAAAGCCTGAAAACCTGAAAACACTCTGGAATCGTCTTAAACTGATAAAAGTGATCTTGAATGGGGTTTTTTGCACATCGTGGAGGGAACCTCGCCCTCTAAAATTTGAATTTACGCCAACGATAGTTAGATATGCAGGGTGCTTCAGGTTCTCGTCACGAAAGAAAAGATTACTGTAGTACATACACCAGAAAGCCCGTAAATCGACACAGAAATTGCGTCATATGACGCAATTCGGCGCTGGCCTAAAAGTGTGCGGTAGAGCGCACTTGCGCCAGTGTACCTCTCCACGACTCCGTGCCCGACGCCACCTAGGGCCACTCTCCCAGGTTTGACCTCATGTTCTGTGTGGAGCTCGGGAGTGGAGCCGGGGGACTCCGATGATCTCAAATGAGTCAATTCTTGCTTGAAACAAGTTTTTGAGCATTTTCAAGTCAGATTCGTTCAAGCCTCTCGATTCGCTAGAACCCGATAGCAGATTTTTGGCCAAAATGAAGCCAGGCCCAACAAAGATCAGACTGGCTTGAGCGCCAAACTCCAGGCTGACATTGCCCACTTTTAGGACTTCAAAAGGAAGGTTTGAAACATGACATGTTTGAGTTTGGTGTCAATCGGATCAGTTTCAACCGAGTTATGAGCTCCCGATTGTTGAAGTGAAGAAAACCAACAGAAATGTACTGAAAAATGTTGGTTTTCTACACTTCAACAATCGGGAGCTCATAACTCGGTTGGAACTGAACCGATTGACACCAAACTCAAACATGTCATGTTTCAAACCTTCCTTATGAAGTTCCTTTTTTATAAAAATTTTTATGAAGTTCAATTCTACTGTGTTCTTCAAAATGAGCCAGACTAGAGGTAAATGTAAGGTTTCTGTGGGAGATTACAGCTTCACAAATCTGTTCCCCGTAGGTTTTGCCGGCCCGTGTACACAGACTGTTCGAAAACATTACATTTTTCCTGATCGGCGAGAAAACATAGAATTTTTGCAAACTTCTCTAGGAAACTTTATCGGATCCTAGGCCAAGTTTCCAAAAATGCGACTTACAACGCATTTTTAGCCCCAAATTATAGTTAATTTAACGTTCTTGCCCTCTCGGTGTATGCAGTCTCAAGCCTAATTTCAGGAAATTTTGGTTTGAGTCTGCAAACACCGAGGGGGAATAGCGATGATCTGAGTTAAGAAATATCACTTTTTCGTGCACGCCATGTCATACATAGGACTTTCGGTTTTTTCAATATATCTTCAGAAATCGAACATAGGGACCTCTGATTTTTTATAAGAGTTCAATTTTACTGGGTTCTTCAAAATGAGCCAGGTCAGAGGTAAATGTAAGATTTCTGAGAGAAGTTATAGCTTCACAATTTCCACTCCTACGTATGCTTTGCCGGCCCGTGCTCTCATGTAGTTGTTAGGGGCCGGGCCGTTGGAAAATGTTCATCGGCCGGGGTAGAAAGCTTTACAAAGCTACGAACATTTTATTAGTGAAGTAAACAATCATACAAATGATTCGAGGCACGTTTTCACTCACAATCAGAAAGAATGATGTCAAATGGCTAAATAGTGTTCAAGGTTATTTAACACATGCGTTTTCATTTCTTTTCTCCTCTAGTCATTCTCGTCGTGCAAAAAGAGGAGGAGCGTCATTCTGCTTCTTGAAAAACATTCATAGCAGACAACTCACTGCATCATAGTCTTACCGCAGATCTAGTATTAAATAACAAACTACCTTCCCACTCTGTTCTTCGCCGTGAAATGCCTTATAGCGACGTAATCTTGAACTCGTTCTGTTTTTACCTCTATGAAATCATCTTTGCTTAATTTGCAACGGCTAAGAAAGCTCGGTCTGTACTATACTCAGCATGATTAATCTGTACAGCGTTCTACGTCGATTCCTTGTTTCTCGAATGGTAAAAAATGTGATCGGATTGGAAGCACGCATCGAGAGACTATGCAAAACTGAGGAGAGTGAAGGGCATAGAGAGAACGGCTGGTGGTAGGCGGCTGACCGAGCGCGTGTAGAGTGAAAAGACGGAGACGGCCCAGCCCGTCTCACCTTTTCTTATCGGCAGCTCTCTCACAATTTTATTTTTTTGTGTTTCTAGGTAGGGATTAAAAACAATATAAAGAAAATGAAGTTCTGCGTGTTTTGTCGAATTCTGGATTTTTCTTGTCTTCTTAAAGAATTCTTTGTATCTGACTGCTTTCTATTATTTGAATTGAGCGTTCCTATTTACTCTCGAATATGTCTCACTTCACAACACACGTAATTATTTTTACAGTGTTTTCGGAAGAATCGTGAATGTACCTATGAGGCTATGCTCAAATGGGTCTCTCTATTTGCATGTTTACGGATTGCAACGCGAGGAGGAGGAAGTGTTACTGGAGAAAAATCGATGACGGATGTTCAACTGCCTCCATTTCCATTCAATGTTATTGTCATTTTGCCGGGACGAGAATCAATTTATGACAACTTCGGCATGACTCTTCAAAAAGCAATGCCTGTTATCGACATTGCCGTTCAAGAAGTGATAAAAAGCGAGAAAATGCCGCCTGGGTGGATCAATTTAACATATTGGGATTCTCGTCTTTACGAAGACATACTGCTTGCGGAGCGACATGCAACTGTTGGAGTGATTCAAGCTTACTGTGAGCACAGATTGGATGCTATTCTTGGATTTGCGGATAATTACGGACTCGCAACAGTTACAAAGGTAACAGCCGGCCTCAATGGGGGTATTCCAATACTTACAACGTCTGGAATGCCTTCACTTCTGAACTCCAAGAAAGAATATCCCTTTCTTACAAGAATGCAAGGGAGCTACCGACTTCTCGCAGATTCAATGTATCAATTAATTGCTTATCACGATGAGGATTCCGTCTCGAAGTCCAATTCATCTCTGAACTATCTGAATCTTCTGTTTTTTTACCACGACAAACGGAGAGCCGTTAATCGGCAAGTTGCCCAAGATGAGAGTCAGGAAACAGGAGCAACCTCATCTCACTGTTACTTCTCACTTTACGCAATAAAACGATACTTCACTGAGAAAAGCAAAACGTTCAAAAGGGAATGGGCATTGAATACACCCCAATTTCCGTTTGATGAAGATTTGTCGATTGGAAGAGAAACATTCAAGCAATGGTTGCGCGACATTTCACTGCAATCAAACGGTGAGTTTTTTTTCAACGTCGATTTTTCTCTTTGGTGTTTTTGTACCGGGCTTGTATTATGGCGATATTTCACTGATCATGGCCCGGCTTTTCATACATAAGACTTTCGGTTTTTTCACTACATCTCCAGAAATCGAACATAGGGACCTCTGATTTTTTATAAGAGTTCAATTTTACTGAGTTCTTCAAAATGAGCCAGGTCAGGTTTTCTGAGAGAAGTTACAGCTTCACAATTTCCGCTCCTCCGTGTGCTTTGCCGGCCCGTGCTGATTTGAACAATGCAGAAATGTACCTTGACGTTGTTCCGTATCGTTCCGTATCAACCCCAAAAGCACCGATTTTTGCAATTGCTTCCCGATTTTTCTCGATTTTTTCAGCAGCAAATTGGTGTTTATTTACTTTTTCAATTTTCCGAAACATTTTGACTCCAGATTCAGACGGTCAAAAAGGTTTTCCCTCCGGGCACATTACTTATTCGTTATTATTCAGCTTCTTTCCACTGGTCACTGGAAATGACCCAACTCGACAAAAACATTCTGTTTTCTACAGTAATCTACCGTAATCTGTTTTTTTGGCGGTTCAACATAATAGAACTGGGCAGAATATATTCTGCCCCTATAGGACTGCGACAGAACAGAACTGCGACGTAATAGAACTGCGACACAATAGAACTGTTTTTCGGGGGTGTTCGTTTTCATTTTGTTTTTAATGGGGCTATTCAGCGTATGTTTGTTTTCCGTTTTTTTTTCGATTTTTGGCACCGCTGAATGGATTTTTTGACGTAAAAAAACGAAAAAAAAAACATTTTTTCACAGCCTGAATAACCCCATAACAGTGAGACATTGCCTATATTTCTATTCAATAATTCGATAGCAAGCTTCAAAAATAATCTTATTTAGAAAACGGTTATTCTACAGAAAGACGCTCCACTCAGGCAAATCGTTTCTAATCTAACGATAGCTAATTCTCGTTTCTAACCGGACCTAGTTAGATTACTACAGATTTCTGAATCTAGCTAGCTGATTTTGCAATCTAAACATAATCTAGCTAGGTTTGCCCGAAATTTGAATCTAATTAGATAAATTTTAAATGTAATATCAGTGTTTTTGCAATCTAATTAGCTTCGCCAATCTAATTAGAAAATTTATCAGTCCCGTTAGAAGAATTTGCAATCTAATCGCAGTAAATTAGCAATCTAATTATTATAAGGGCACCGCACAGAAATGGCTCTCTGTTGAGAAACTCTTTTTACAGTGTAAATTGAGCGACCTCGGGGCCGAGTTTAAAAAGTTAGGCCACATTTTCAGTGGAAATTTACTTCGCGGCCTAGAAATTCGGCCAGATTGCGAACAGCGCGCCCTTTCTGTTCGGTGCCCCTATAATAGGTCTGGTTAGAAACGCGAATTAGCTAGCTAGATTACGAACGATTTACCTGAGAAATCAGTTCTGTTGTGTCGCAGTTCGGACCCATGTTCTGAAAGTCTTGTTTCGTAAAAAATGTACAAAAAAAAACTCGAAAATATTATAGGGGCACCGAACAGAAAGGGCACTCTATTGAGAAACTTTTTTGCACTGCAAATTGAGTGAGCTCGGGGCCGAGTTTGAAAAGTTAGGCCACGTTTTCAGTGGAAAATTACTTCGCGGACTAGAAATTCGGCCAGATTGCGAACAGAGCGCCCTTTCTATTCTGTGCCCCTATAATACTATCCACTCTCGACAACAAGAGCCAATTAAGTAGAACTAGTTTTTTAAAGTCCAGAAGTGAATAGACGCGCAACGTGACGGAAAACCAGAACTGCAAGATTGAGTAGTAGCAATTGATTTCATAGTTTAAACGTACGTTTAGATGATTTCGTTGAAATAATGTAGCAAAATGAAGTGTAGAAAATTTTTTCTTTTGTTTATAGAAGATGAAGTTGGAATGCTTCTAGTCTCAGGGGAGACTTTTGAATAGTCGTCGAATGTTGTAGTCACAAAAATACATGGGTTGCCGCTAAAGTATCCAACCACAAACATGATTCAAATCTATGTGCTCCATCTCTTTTTTTTGTGGTCCTTTCCAGCAAGGCAAATAGTGCGAGAAAGAGGGTCTCTTTCGCGTCTGTGAGTGAAGTGGGCGGAGTCTAGTTGTTCGTTTTTTTTCCCGCAATGTCTTGCGCCGTCGCAGCCCGTTGCCTCCGCATTTTTTTGCTTTCTCGTCACTCGTCTTTCCGACTTTGTCTGTCTCGTGAGCCCTTGTGGTACCAACACGAAACTTGTATCAGCAAGTGACGCCCAAATTGAAGACAGACCAGGCAATGGTATCCTGATGATTGTAAGCAACATTCTACTATTATCGTTGGTTATAAGCAATTCGGCTTTTCGTTCATCATTGCCTGTTGATATCGTAGTAGGGCTACCGGAAGAAGAAGGAGATCGAGGCAAAAATCCATTTCTTCTGACACTTGAAAAATCAAAGCCTGTGTTTGATGTGGCCCTGGAAGACGTCTACGAATACAAACTATTACCCCTTGGAGCAATAAAAATAGTCTTCGAAAATTCTGGTCTGTCAGACGCCATTGGTCCGCAGAAGATGATCGAGCACTACTGCAACAAAACCGTTGATGCAATAATGGGACTTCCGTATGTATATGCTCTAGCCCCAGTTGCGAGAATTACTCGCTTTTGGGGTCTAGGTGTCCCAGTTTTCACAACAACGGCACTTGTTGACGAGCTGGGAGATCGGAACGAGTTCCCATTATTAACGCGAATGATGGGGAGTTACAAATCACTCGGAAAGCTTGTGACACGGATTGCCGAGCTGTTTGAATGGCAGCACTACTTCTTCATGTTCAATGATGAGGTGGCAAGAGGGAGTAACAAAGGTAGATCGGAGTGCTACTTTTCGCTTTCTGCCATCAAAAATCTTATTATGAATAACAAAACTTCCACATGGAATGTGAAAATGTTCAGTGAGTTCGAGGCTGGCCGGCAACAGTACCGAACCCTTCTGAGTGAGGCGTCCGTGATGAGCAACCGTGAGTATTTTTAAGAGCCATTATTGTAATAAGGGGAAGCTTTGTACCGACCAGATATCAGTACAAACTTAAACCTCTTTATTTCAAAGCAACGAAAAGCATTCACTGAAATCACTAAACTGTCCTTTTCGATTGTTTGTGAGCATTTTAGTGTGCAACGTAATTATTTTCTTTTCAAAGGTCTCATTAGCCATCGCGAGAGATTCACGCATTTTGTAAATTACGGATTTCCTGCCTGCGTTTCGTAAGCAACTATCTCACTTTATTGTCTTGACAGTATTTAATATCTTGGTTTCGAAAGACTTAGATCTTGCATGTTTCCTGAGATATGAGAAATTATACTGTTTTTTTTTTTACAAAACCGTTGTGCCATAAAAAAAAGATGTTGAATAGACTCAATGCTATTCCGCAATTATTCTATCTTCTCGGCTAGGACGTTTATTTTTCGCCCCGGGCAAAGCGAAGACGCTGCTAATGCCGAAATTTTATTTCCGAAAAAGGATTGAAAAAATATATTAAAATAGAAGAAATTGTTGTCACTATTTCCGCCAAATACTTCTACATGTCACTCTTAAGGTTAGACTGTTACCGTACACTATTGAACTACGGAAATGTTTCCAAAAAATTTAAATAATTAAGAAATACCACTGTTTAATGGTGTACGGTAAAACTCGCTCAGCTGTGCGCACTACTGTTATCTGTAAAATTGCTGCGTACTCTGGACTGGAACAGATATCACAGATTTTTTTAAAGATCTCGGAGTCCATGTTTGAACACGGCTAATCTGGGCGAACAGGCGATTTTAGGCGCCTGAAAAGCACCCAAAGAGTCGAATAGTATACTGTTTGACAAACCATGTAAGGCCGAAAACCAACGAATAGACATGCGAGCGAAGCAAGGCTTTTTTTGCAAATGAGCTCCATTGAACATTTTTCTGCGTCCCTCATCTTAAAAATAGCGTAAAGAGTGAAAGAAAATCCTCTGCGTTTTACCATTATATGCATTAGAATAAAATTTACAACAGTTTTGTTTTTCAGTTATAATACTATGTGCATCCCCGGATACAGTTCGAGAGATAATGCTAGCTGCACATGATCTTGGAATGGCAACCAGTGGCGAGTATGTTTTTATCAACATCGACGTATCAACAGGGTAATTTTCTGAAAGGAAAAATTTTATTACCATAATGTACACCCAGCCGGGGTATTTTTTTAATGTTTGCAGACTCCTGTTGTATCCGCCAAGCTCCTTCTCTTGGCTTCTCGAAATTGATGATTCGGTAGAAAACAAGATTTTGTCCTAATTTCGCTGTTTTTTTCGCTCGTTTTTGACGAAAATGAACTGGCGCTTGAATTCACTAAATTTTGTTGGAATCTGGTAGAAAATCAGAGAAATTAGTTCAAAAATAGTTTTCTCAGTCAAATCGGTAATTTCGAAAATTGAGGGAATCGGATCTTGGCAGATACGGCTGACAACAGGAGTCTGCAAATACCGCAATAATCATCATTAATTTTATTTAATAAAAACCTAACGGCGTCTGCCCATTTCATTTTTGCCAGGCCGCTTTTTTAAGTCTTGTAAATAAAGAAAGGGTCAGACCCCGTACGACTTATTAATAAGACTGATTTTCTATTAGGGGTACATTTGACTGAAATTGCGCTCTACCGCAAACCACGTGAATTAAGTGCCAAATTGGAAAAGGTTGCGGTCGCGGCCGGGTGTTCACATGGGATTGCGGCAGAGCGTAATTGCAGGCATATGGCGCCATAATAGCTAGTAATTAAAAATTCGATTTAAAAAAGTGGGAAATTATGAAATCTAAACAAAAATTCCCAAATATTTGTTCGGGATTTGTCTAGAATTGGCGCAATTATATAATTGCTAAACCGCATTTCACCTGTGCTCTGCCACTGCGCCAACCGGGCGGAGGCGCGCCCACCGATAATGGCAATGAGAAGCTCGGTGTCTGTCGTTCATTTTGGATGCGACTTTTGTGGAGTTTCAGCACAAACATCTTAAAATTTAAAGTCATTGGCCCCGTAGAAATTTTGAATTGTAAAAAAGTAGGGTCATCGCTGAACATTTTTTGCTAACTTTTGTGGCACTTTGACGGCCTGAAAAACATGATTGGCCCCGTAAAAGTTCAAATTTTATTTCAAAAACGGATTCCCCATCCCTTAGACTGTAAGAATCACCTCAGAAGCCGCGTGTTGCACAGACTCCGGCCACAGTGGCTCTCAGACTAACTTCCATTTTCGTTTTCGCCCTTTTTTGAGAAAACGGAGTTGTTCATTCGATTCAGCATGGCCGATTACATAAAGTAAAACTTTTTGAGTATGGTATTTGGTTTGGGGACCTCGGTACAGGCCCTCAAACATGCGCGGGCGCGATTGAGGAGAAAATTCGGCATGCCACGCCCCCTTTGTTGCGCCCCCTAACCATATTATAGGGGCACCGGACAGAAAGGGCGCGCTGTTCGCAATCTGGCAGAATTTCTAGGCCGCGAAGTAATTTTCCACTGAAAACGTGGTATAACTTTTCAAACTCGGCCCTGAGCTAACGCTCGGAAGTGGCTGCGCCGCTAGTTTCTTTCTCAGAGCCGTTCGAAAGTTCACGTGTTCATTTCTTAATTTTTTCGTCACTACTTTCAGAAATGAAATGATTTTAGAAATGAACGTGTAGACGGACAAACGGAGAAATAAATAAACAAACAGACAAACCCACCAATGGGGTTATTCGGGGTGTGAAAAAAAATATTTTTTCCTTTTTTTTGTTTTTTTTTAAACTCAATTTACCGCTATTGCCAAAATTTTCTGAAATTAGGCTTGAGTCTGCAAACACCGAAGGGCAAGAGCGGTAAATTGAGTATACGTCAAAAAACCAATTCGACGAATTCGAGAAACGAAAGAAAAAAAACGGAAAAAACATACGCTGAATAGCCCCACAGGCGTTATATTAATAAGAATGATGTTTGCACTTAGATCGCATGCCGAGCAGCCATGGATAAGAGCAAATGATACCAACAACGAAGAAAATGATAAAGCAAAAGAAGCGTATCGAGCTTTGAAGACAATTTCTCTTCGGAGATCAGATTTGGAGGAATACAAAAATTTTGAACTTCGAGTTAAAGAACGTGCTGAGCTCAAGTATAACTACACTAACATTACCGGAAAAGATTATGAGGTGATTGACTGGTCGGAAAGAATCCAATTATTTATAGGCTTGTTACGACCCGGGCCGACGGGCACATTTTCCTAGGTCAAAACCAATTTTCGAAACGTTTCAATATTTTGTCATGACCCGGGCCGGCAACTCTCACCTGAATTTGACAAGTCTATTAGTTTCAATGCTATTTGATCCTCAATTAACATCTTTCATTAGATGAACAACTTCATAAGTGCTTTCTATGACGCAGTTCTTCTATACGCTATCGCACTCAACGAGACTATACAAGCTGGTCTTGATCCTAGAAATGGGCATAATATTACGTCCAGAATGTGGGGAAGAACATTCGTCGGCATCACTGGAAATGTGTCCATCGACCTCAACGGTGACCGTTATTCGGATTATTCATTACTTGACCTCGACCCAGCGCAGAACAAGTTTGTGGTGAGTTTTGTCAACAACCATTTCACCAGATATCCTTCATCTTTGCGTGATGTCCTGCGGTGTTCACAGACTGCTTTTGCTGTGGCAATTTTGAAAGGCGGAGCAGAGGGCTGAGTTTGGCGGTTACTGTTGGCAAAAGCGGTCTGCGTACATCACGCAGAAACAGGCATCCAAATCGCTTGAGACGGAATGGTCCTGTCTCGCGGTACCAAAGAAGCATGTTGCATGTTCCGGGGAGCATTTATTCTTCCTGTCTCATGGTACCCAGTGCAGGCATTCCCGCAGTCTCGTGGCTCCCTTCGCCCGCATCCCAACTCTTTGGTTACTTGACGTAAACAGTAACAATATTTATTAGCTTACGTCTTTCAGATTAGCAAGAAACCAAAAAAGTGAATGCCGTAGGTGCAGCTGCTTCCGACAGGTATCCAAACGGCTTGGGACGGGGTGCTCCTCCAGTTTCGTGGTACCAAAAGAAGTGTTACATGAAACGGGGACGATTTATTTTTCCTGACTCATGGTACCCATTGCAGTATTTTCCCCGTCTCGTGGTTTCCTTCGCCCGCGTCCCAACTTTTTGGATACCTGTGCTCAGGTCTGGGCGAGCGATCTGCTTCCCGTTGCCTGAAAAAATTATGACAAAAAATCTGCTGGCGAGGGAAATACCACTTGCGCCATGGAAGAGAAAGGCGCAAACGGTAGACAGTTGAAGGCGCATAGCTAGGTACCGCAACGGGTTTCGCAAAACTCCGAATTTCCATAAATTTTTTGTTGGAATGTGTTCCCCTACTCTATATGAGTATACTCCCAATTTTTTTTTCAAAAATTTTCTGTAAATCCCGAGTTATACCCCTTCAAAGTTGCCCTGTTTTCTCCCCGGTCGGCGGCCGAGAAGACGGCGGAGTCTCGCTGGCAGGCGATTCGTGTCGCTGTTTGGTGGAAGACACCAAAGAGGCAACATATTAAGTGAACAGAATTGATGTTTTAAGAAAGCAAAACAACTTTCGAGATCAAAAGTTTCGAACCCGACACCTCCAGACTGCCGAGTGAGCACTCTGCCACTGCGCCAACCGGGCGGAGGCGCGGCGAACGCCAATGGCAATGAGAAGCTCGGTGTTCGCCATTCATTTTTGATGCGACTTTTGCGGAATTTCAGCGCAAAAATGTGAAAATTTGAAGATGTTTGCCGGGCTGAAATTTTGAATAAATAGATGGATTTTGTAGAGAATTTCACGCTGAATCCGATTCCGTGGAGAAAAGCCGCGTGTTGGCTGTTTCTCACCTTCAAATTATCGAAAAACAAGAAATTCGGCCGAATGGGGCCTACTCAATCGAACACAAAAATGCTCCTAGGGGGTCTAGAGCTCTGAAATTTTATATTTGGCTTCTGAGAGAGTTTATCTATGCATTCCAAACATAAAAAAGTGGGGTCATCGCTGAAAATTTTTCGCTAACTTTTTTGGCACTTTGACGGTCTGAAAAACAATGTTTGCCGGAACGAAATTTGAATTTTATTTCAAAAACGGATTCCCCATCCCTTAAACTGTCAGAATCACTTCTCAGAAGCCGCGTGTTGCACAAACTCCGGCCACAGTGGCTCTCAGACTAACTTCCATTTTCGTTTTCTCCTTTTTTTGAGAAAACTGTGCGTTTTCACGGAAAACGGAGCTGTTCATTTGATTCAGCATGGCCGATTACATGAAGTAAAACATTTTGAATATAGTACTTGGTTTGGGGACCTCGGTACAGGCCCTCAAACATGCGCGGCGCGACCGGGGAGAAAATTCGGCAGGCCACGCCCCCTTTGTTGCGCCCCCTACGCATAGCATGAAATTTATTTGTATGCGCCTTTAACTTTCTCGTCTGCGCCTCTCTCTCTCTCTCTCTCTTCTACCGCGCAAATGGTATTTCCCTCGCCCACAGTTTTTTTTTGCGTTGGCCAGATTTTTTCTCAGCTTGAAGCGCTAATCCGCCCCCTTGCCTGTGCTTCCGAGCCTAAGCTAATACTTATGCTACTCGGTAAACCTCTGCAACTTCTCAGCAGAACATAAGCAACTTTTACCTAACTTCTGTTCAAGCGCGTCTAATGTTATACGCAAAAAGTTGCTGAAGTTCTGCGCAGAAGTTGCTATCGCCAAAACGTTTGCTCAAAACTTTTTGAGTCAAAAGTTGCTGAAGTGTTGTTCAAAAGCTGCTGAAGTGTAGTTGAAAAGTTGATGGCGCTGAACGTTTGCTCAGAAGCTGCTGAAGTGTTGCTAAAAATGCTAATCCCAGACGTCAGCTCGAAAATTGGCGAACTTTTGTTCAAAAGCTGCTATATATCACCCCAACGTTTTCTGAGAAGTTGCAGAGGTTTACCGAGTACAAGGCACGGCGTGGCTTTTGCGACGTTCACCAAACGTTTGATCCTCAGTCTGTGCATTTTTGCATGCCGGTGTTTCTCTGCGTACAGTGCATTTTATGTTACGCACAAAGTTCTTTTTTTTTTTTAGTTGTTGATGAATTTTCTCCAAATATTCATCTCTTTAAAGCGTTTTTCTCTACTTTCTACCTCAATTAGACCTTTTTACAGATTCCAGGTGAAGTAATACGCGAAGAGAAGTCGATGCGATGAAAAGAAACGCGTAAGTCAGTGAAAGTAAGGTTTTATTCAGAAAATGCACGATTTCTCGAAAAACGTGACTAGATTTTTTAAACATTGGGTAAAAAACTTTACTTACATTTCTGAGAATGTTTTCGAACCAAAAAGAAGTAGAGTGACAGCTCGCTTTCGCGGGTAAACCGATAGTTTGCCTTTCGTTAAAAAAAATTTTTTTTTTGCTTTTACGAACTGTCACTCTACTTTTTTTTTGGTTCGAAAACATTCACAGTCATGTAAGTGAACATTTCAAACCAAACGATTAGAAAATCTAGAGACGGTTTTTGAGAAAGATTTTTTTTTCAACGAAATGTCACTGTTTTCCGGCAAAAGACCAATTTTTACGCGAAAGCGAGCTGTCACTCTATTTTTTTTTGATTGGAAGACATTCACAGTCATGTTAGTGAACTTTTTAAATCAAAAGATTAGAAGATCTAGAGACGTTTTTCGAGAAATCGTATATTTTCTGAATAAAACATTACTTCCATTTACTTACGCGTTTCTTTTCATCGCATCGGCTTCTCTTCGCGTATTACTTCATCTGGAATCTGTGAAAAGGTCTAATTGAGGTAGAAAGCAGAGAAAAACGCTTTAAAGAGATGAATATTTGGAGAAAATTCATCAACAACTAAAAAATGAACTTTGCGCGTATTATAAAATGCACTGGACGCAGAGCCACACCGACGCGCAAAAATGCATACCATTTGGCTGCGTGTGTTGCGAAAGCCGCGCCTTGCAAGGGTTTTGGAACCTAGGCCCGCTGCGCGGGTCGAGCTAACGCTCGGAAGCGGCTTTCAGATTATCAGAAATGTAAGAAAGTTCACGTGTTCATTTCTCTAATTTCTCCATCATAACTATTTTTGTACAATTTTGTTTTAGTAATGAAAAAACTGAACCCCCTTTGTTTATTTCTCTGTTTTTTAAAACATGCATCGAGAATTTCAAAAGATAAAAAAATTTCAAATGGTTGGAAAAACAGGCAGTGACAGTCATTCGCAAATGCGTCTTTATTATGGGGGCATCTCACAGAAATGGCGCTCTGTTCGCAATCTGGCCGAATTTCTAGGCCGCGAAGTAATTTTCCACTGAAAAAGTGGCGTAACTTTTCAAACTCGGCCCCGAGGTCGCTCGATTTGCACTGCAAAAAGAGTTTCTCAACAGAGCGCCATTTCTGTGCGGTGCCCCTATAATAGATTTGAACATCTCTTCAGATGGTCCCGCAAAGTAGTGCGCATGAACTCAAAGACACGCCTCTGGTATTAATTTTGAGAGATAATGTAGAAGCCCCTAATATATCATCGACCGACTCAAAGCCTTTGAAGAGGGAAAGAGAATTAGGTCTTTTGTCTTGAAGGCAAAAATTTAATTAAAAGTATTGCAGGAAGTGGCGTACTACAGTGGAGCATCCAATCAGCTGAAAACTGTCGGAAAACTACACTGGGTCGGTGGAAAGCCGCCTAGTGATCTTCCCATTTGCGGATTCGATAAAAGTAAATGCCCAGTAAGTCGTTCCCATATGAGCGCAACTAGAATTTTTAAACAATGTAAAGCAGGGTTATCCTCTACATGTATACTTGCTCATGGGATCGTTCCTTCTAATTCTTGTGCTAGTATGCTTGTTTGTATTTTTCTGGCGCCGATACAAACTGGAACAAGAACTGGCTGCTATGAGCTGGAAAATTCGCTGGGAAGAGCTGGATGGGGATGATACCCAGAAAAAAGAAAGAAAGAAAACGAAAAAGAGAAAAACGCACGAAGGATATTTACCAGAATCGGATCCATTGCTGAGATCAACTTCGCGCTCATCTGTCAATTCAGATAAGGTAAGTAATTTGTCATAGTAGCTTTTAACGGGAATTTATTTAATGAATTCTCTGTAAAATTAGAGGATTTCATAGTGTGAAAAAACTATATTGGTGGTAGTGCAAGGGGACAGTGTTGAGCGGAATTCCGTCTGCCGTCTTTCGTCTTCCGTCTTCCGTCGATTTTTTTGTTCCGTCTGCCGTCTTCCGTCTTCCGGGAAAAAAGTTTTCTTCCGTCTTCCGTAAAAAAATCTGCCGTCTTCCGGGATTTTTTCTTCTTACCGTAAAAGAGCAATAGCTTTTAAGAAGCCATTTACTAGTCCCGAAGAACGCGAATTTCCACGGGCAGTGACCCAGATCCAAAATTTTTGTTGCTTTAGTTATTTAAAAAAACCGGAGAAAAAAAGGCTCTGCATTGACGATTTTTTGTTCCGTCTTCCGTCTGCCGTCTTCCGGGAAAAAAGTTTTCTTCCGTCTGCCGTCTTCCGCGAGAGAAATTTTCTTCCGCCTTCCGTTTTCCGTGTTCCGTAAGAAAAATTTTCTTCCGTCTGCTGTCTGCCGTCTTCCTGATTTCAAAATTCTATTTCCGCTCAACTCTGCAAGGGGATAGTCGCGGAATGGTGCTAAAATACCTCAAACAAGCCTGATCACCGCGGCTACTCGGCACTCAGGCAAATCGTTTCTAATCTAACTAGCTAATTCTCGTTTCTAACCGGACCTAGTTAGATTGCTACCGATTTCTAAATCTAGCTAGCTGATTTTGCAATCTAAACATAATCTAGCTAGGTTTGCCCGAAATTTTAATCTAATTAGATATATTTTGAATCTAATATCAGTGTTTTTGCAATCTAATTAGCTTCACCAATCTAATTAGAAAATTTATCAGTTCAGTTAGAAGAATTTGCAATCTGCTCGCAGTAAATTGGCAGTCTAATTAGGTCCGGTTAGAAACGCGAATTAGCTAGCCAGATTACAAACGATTTACCCTTGTGGGAAGTATGACTGGCTACGGGCTTGCTAGGGTCCTCCTTGTGCAAATGGAGCACATGGAGCACTCGGTAGATAGCTATCCGCAAGTTGCCGCCTTGGTGTAGTGGCTGGCGCTACCTGCTCAGCAATTTCAAATTATAATTTACAGGCCCCAACTAACTGGAGGCCGACACTCCCAGGGGGCAACAAAGTAGATGGCAACTCGGAAAATTTGTCTCAGATGGGGCATTTACTCAGACGGGGCAAAGATTTTATGGGGAAAAAAAGGCTGATTCAGAGGGGGCAACCTTCATTGCTCACAGAGCTCAGGGCAACTTTTGTTGCTCACAGGGGGCAAAAACGGCAAATTGCTCACAGGGGACACTTACCTTGTTTATTGGAGCAAACGCAAAAACTTCAAATTATTTTGCTGACGTGAGTACAAACGCTAGATTTAATACACTGAAAAAAAAACATACACTAAACAACCCATCAGCCAACGGTTAGAATATTTTCCGAAATATATTTTATATATTTCAGAACCTTCTGATGCGCAGTCAGAGTCAAAGCAAGAGTAATATATAAAACTAGAGTCAATGAATGTGAGTCAATGATGAATAAATCGAAGAGTATATAATTTTTGGGTTGTCAGTGATCAAAAAGTAAATGAGCAATTTTCCGTTTTTGCCCCAAGGTTGCCCCCTCTAAATCAGCCTTTTTTGCCCCCTAAAATCTTGTGAGCAACAAAAGTTGCCCCTGTGAGCAACAAAAGTTGCCCCTGTGAGCAACAAAAGTTGCCCTCTATGAGCAAGGAAGGTTGCCCTCTATGAGCAAGGAAGGTTGTCCTCTTTATGCCACGTCCAAAGTCTCGGAAAAACCGTAAAAACCGCAGGTTTTTCTGTCCAAAGTCGGCCGAAATTTGCGTGAAAAACGGGGGTGCGCACAGCTCAATGAATGTAACCGTACCCCTAAAACTACGGTATTTTTTAAAAATTTGCGCAAGAAATTTGAATATTTTCAAATATCCTCAAGAAATTAACAAATTTTCAAAAAATACCGTCTCACAGAGAAGGCGTTATGTAAAGTCCTGTTAAATGTTACTTTTCAGAGATCATCGAGCTCAGGAACAACTCGTAAAATATCGGCAATGATTGATCGCAAGTTGAGCATATTTACCAGGAAGAAAAGCTCTCCGCCTTCTGATCCTTGTCAGAAAAATGGCGGACTCACACCATGCTCTCTGCAAAAAGCTGAAAATGGGGACTGTTCTCCATTAAATGAAGTTCAATTTCGGTTGCCACTGCATGATCGGAGAGTTTCCTCGCCATCATCAGACTCTCTGATGAAAAAGAAAAACAGCAATGAAGAAGATTCAGAAAATGGCGCGAAAAAATCACTGAGCTTGAAGAATCGTAAGCTTAGTTTTGGGATGGTTTCATTCAAGGTGAAGAAATGAAAATGTTTATTCTTGACTTTTCAATGTTCAGAGTGGAAGTGGTGGATCGGTAGAAACGATTGCACAGAACAACACCCAAATATACACAAAAACGGCGATATTCAAAGGTGTTCTTGTTGCAATAAAAAAACTCAACATCGATCCGAAAAAGTACCCACGTTTGGATTTATCGAGGGCGCAGCTAATGGAATTGAAAAAAATGAAAGATCTACAACACGATCATATTACAAGGTATTTGATAAAAGTCTTGGGGGTGATATGTCCCTCTGTTGTGTTGATAATGCCGCGTCCAAAGTTAAAAATAATCTGTGAATTCTTATGTATTTTTTCCCGAAATTTTAAAGAAAATACTGATGCGCATAGCTGAACGAATTTTACCGTACACCATAAAACTAAGGCATTTTTTTAAATGTTCAACTTGAAAAAAAGGATTTGGACACGGCATAGAAATCGAGAATGAATAATGTCTAAGTAATGACGCTCAGTTTTCTGAAAATTTTCCCAGAGAGCAAACATCTTTCAACACTGCTAAATTTACAGATTCACCGGTGCTTGTATCGACTTTCCACATTACTGTGTGGTTACGGAATACTGTCCAAAGGGATCACTCGAAGATATATTGGAAAACGAAAAAATAGAGCTGGATAAAATGATGAAATATTCTCTTCTTCATGATTTAGTCAAGGTAAATATTTTTTAATAGTTCTTAACATTTTATCATTTAAGGGTCTATTTTTTCTACACAACAGCGAAATAAGGTCTCATGGTCGTTTGAAATCTTCAAATTGTGTTGTCGACAGTCGGTTTGTTCTTAAAGTGACTGATTTTGGCTTGCACAAACTTCACTGCTTGGAAGAAATGAATCCAGAAGAAATCGGAGAACACGCGTTCTACAAAAGTTAGTTCAGATTTTTTACCGAACGTTCCCAGATCAGTACTGCCTCAAATCAGAACCAATTAGCGCAGAAAATTGTTCTGATCGGAGAACGTTCTAAATGGGTGATAGCGATCCGAATCGTTCCCTTAAATATAACTTGATTCCACTTGAAACATCGTGCAAACAGGGCTGGGAGAGACGACTTTTCGTAACAAAAACCACCTGCAGATAGGTTCTGATTTGGGACAGTTCTGGCTCAAGGTAGCCCCCTTTTTTCAATTAAAATTTGAAGCTAGGAATATCGCCAACCGCGTCGCAGCGCACGCGACGCCACGTTTTTTTCTATTCTATGTTTTTTTCTATTTCTACTTTGTAGCTCAATATGACCTTTTTACAGATCAAGTAATAGTCGAAGAGAAGTCGATGTGATGTAAAGAAACGCGTAAATACGGGAAAGTAAGATTTTATTCAGAACATACACAATTTCTCGAAAAACGTCACTAGATTTTCTAATCTTTTTCTTCTCACTTACTTTCTAATTTTCTAATCACTTACATCACTGAGAATTAGGCTGGTCGAACAGGCGATTTCAGGCGCCTGGTCGACCAGCCTACTGAGAATGTTTTCAAACCAAAAAGAAGGCGAGTGTAAGATTTCGCGAAAAAACCGGTTGTTTGCCGGAAAATTTCACTCTACTTCTTTTTGGTTCGAAAACATTCTCAGTAATGTAAGTGAACATTTCAAACCAAACGATTAGAAAATCTAGTGCCGTTTCTCGATAAATTGTGTATTTTCTGAATAAAATCTTACTTTACCTTAGTTACGCGTTTCTTTACATCACATCGACTTCTCTTCAACTATTACTTGATTTGGAATCTATAACTATAGCCAATAAGACTATAAAATGGTCATTTGGAGCTAGAGATTAACATAGAATTGAGAAACACACCTTAAAAGGTGAATATTTGGAACAAATTGAGAGTGTGACAATCCCATAGAAAATTCGAAGCCCGTAGATAACAAAACCCGTAGAGTCAAATCCCGTAGAGTCAAATCCTGTTAAAAAAAATGGCGGTCCAACATAATAGAACTGCGCAGAATAGAACCGCAACATAATAGAACTGCGCAGAATGCAGAAAACTCATAAACTTCGGAAAAACATGCCAAAAGGTCGGAAAAAAATTGCCAAGAGGTCGGAAAGAAATGCGAAAAGGCCTAAGCCTATTTTCGGACCTTTTGGAATTTTTTCGGACCTTTTGTCATTTTTTTCCGACCTTTTGGCACTTTTTCCGGCGTTATGGCTTCCGACCTTTTTGGTTTTCCGACCTTTTGTCACGGACTCCAAAAGCTACGTCGTGCGACGCGTGTGATTTCTATGGAGCCAGGTTTCAAAAGTCTTGCGCATGATAATTTTTCAGAGAAACTGTGGACTGCTCCGGAGTTGCTCAGAGATGCTAATGCTCCTCCAATGGGGTCTCAGAAAGGCGATATTTACTCATTCGCAATAATTCTGCATGAAATGATGTTTAGAAAAGGAGTGTTCGCTTTGGAGAATGAAGACTTGTCCCCAATAGGTAGGCTTTTCAACTTGGTGACCAAGTCAAGTCTTGGCCCGAAAATTAAAAAAAAATGACGGAATATTGTTTAAAAACGGAAAATTTTAAAAAGGATTTTTCAAATGACACATTATTGGCTCCGTAGTTGTTATAGGGGCATCTCACAGAAATGACGCTCCGTTCGCAATCTGGCCGAATTTCTAGGCCGCAAAGTAATTTTCCACTGAAAATGTGGCCTAACTTTTCAAACTCGATCCCGAGGTCGCTCAATTTTCACTACAAAAAGAGTTTCTCAACAAAGCGCCATTTCTGTGCGGTGCCCCTATAACACATGCACGGGCCGGCAAAGCATACGGAGGAGTGGAAATTGTGAAGCTGTAACTTCTCTCAGAAACCTTACATTTACCTCTGACCTGGCTCATTTTGAAGAACCCAGTAAAATTGAACTCTTATCAAAAAATCAGAGGTCCCTATGTTCGATTTCTGAAGATATATTGAAAAAACCGAAAGTTGTATGTATGACATGGCGTGCACGAAAAAGTGATATTTCTTACCTCAGATCATCGCTATTGCCCCTCGGTGTGTGCAGACTCAAACCAAAATTTCCTGAAATTAGGCTTGAGTCTGCATACACCGAGAGGGCAAGAACGTTAAATTAAGTATAATTTGGGGCTAAAAATGCGTTGTATTATAGGGGCACCGCACAGAAATGGCGCTCTGTTGAGAAACTCTTTTTGCAGTGCAAATTGAGCGACCTCGGGGCCGAGTTTGAAAAGTTAGGCCACATTTTCAGTGGAAAATTACTTCGCGGCCTAGAAATTCGGTCAGATTGCGAACAGCGCGCCCTTTCTGTCCGGTGCCCCTATAATAAGTCGCATTTTTGGAAACTTGGCCTAGGATCCGATAAAGTTTCCTAGAGAAGTTTGCAAAAATTCTATGTTTTCTCGCCGATCAGGAAAAATGTAATGTTTTCGAACAGTACACGGGCCGGCAAAACCTACGGGGAACAGAACATTGTGAAGCTGTAATCTCCCACAGAAACCTTACATTAATCTGGCTCATTTTGAAGAACACAGTAGAATTGAATTTTATAAAAAGGTACCGTTTAAAAAATTTTCATCTTAAAATTGAGTCTGTCTTTAAAAATAGGCGGAGCAAGATTTCAAGTTTCGTCCCCGGCCCAGCCCGTTTCGTGTCTGCTAATACTGTTTTTGTGCAGAAATTATTCAAAGAGTGCGCAAGCCTATTGAATCAGACGACCAGGACCCATTGAGGCCGTGGATATCAGAATGTGGAGACGGTGACGATGGTTTGAATGACACTCTTTTATCATTAATGGTTACGTGTTGGTCGGAGGATCCACATGAAAGGCCGGAAGTGTCGCATGTTCGCAAAGCCGTTAGAAGTTTGAACAGGTAAGTCGCATGTAGTGTTGTACGGCAAACATTTGTGAACATGCTCGGCTGCGCACAAAATATTTGTGTTTCTGTATTCATTAAAAAATGTTTGCAAAAAGCCGCGTTAAAAATGTTTTTTCTACACAAATGGTGTGGTTAAATTCATTCCAAAGTAAACTAATTCTAAGGTGGTAAAGTGGTAAGAGACGACAATATTAAGGTTCCGAATGAAAATTTTTTGACCGAATTCATTTCTCACTGAAAAAGTCATTTTCTCGTTTTCTTCTTGAATTATAATTCGTCCATTTCTGCAGTGTCTGATTATTCTCGTATTATCACTTTCAAGGGGATTTTTCTTTTCAGTCGGACTCTGCGTCGATCCACGTAGAACATCGATACTTTTGGAATTAGCTTGCTATCCATTTAAACTTTGATTTTTTCTCTGTTGAATGAGCCCGTAAATGTCTTCATCACAATGATATTGCTTGAAATGAAAACTAGTTCCTGGACCTGTTTTTTCAAACAGTAGTAAATTATAGCGATTTATAGAGACAACGAGACGTCTAACCTAGTCGACAATCTCTTGAAAAGGATGGAGCAGTACGCGAATAATCTGGAAGGCCTGGTGGAAGAGCGAACTCAAGAATATTTGGCTGAAAAGAAAAAGGTTCGGAAAAGAAAAAGGGTATGACGAAAAGTCCAGAAAACCGGATGCTGGAAAATAGCAAAAGTGTGGCACACGCGTGAGCAGAAGTTAGCTGATCTGAGATCATGGAGCATATTTTTCGGTCAATTTTTTAAAACAAAGCTTATCGAATTTCTAGCCAGATTTTTTGTTTAGTTCTACTTTAAGGTTTCAGAAAACTCCCAGAGACCAAAATTATCAACAGTGAGCATGAAAATACAAGTTAATCTCAGTCGATATTCAGCGTATGAAAAATAGAAGATTTTTCCGTTTACAGCTGATTCGCGACCGGTCTATTACAAGTTCGCGGATGTGTCTATAGAGAACTCAGAGCAGGTCCTTGAATAGGCACATTATAAACCGAACTTCACGCATTATAGACCTATCGCGAACGTTCGATATCGAGATTATGATTATAACTCTGGAAACTCGATTGCAATCGAAGAGTTTGCAATCTAATTGAAGCAAATTCTATTTCAAACGAGTTCGTATTAGATTGCAAAGTTTTCTAATTAGATTGCGATCGAGTTCCCGGTGAAACTCAATTCATCGCTATTGCCCCTCGGTGTTTGCAGACTCAAGACAAAATTTCTAAAATTAGGAAAATTAGGTTTTCGCGATGGGCCTATTACAGGTCCATCAAAGGCTCATCGCGAACGGTGCGCCCCACTGCCTACACTGCGTCTATTGGCGAACTTTTTATTCGTGATAGGCATATTATAGGCCTATCACAGGTCCACGTTTTCAATGGACCGATCGCGAATCACCTGTGTTTTTTTACGTCAAAAAACACAATTCAGCGATGTAAAAAAACGGAAAAAAGAAACACGAAACAAACATACGCCGAATAATGGGGCTATTCAGCGTACTGTTGAAAAAAAAAGGTTCGACATTCGAATCGGAGTTGGCAGCGAGCCAAGGACACGCCCCCTAAACAGCGTGCGGCAGTTACAGTCAGAGTTGAGCGGAAATGGAATTTTGAAATCCGGAAGACGGCAGACGGCAGACGGAAGAAAAAAATCGTCAATGCAGAACCTTTTTTTCCGGTTTTTAAAAAAAAATAACTAAAGCAACAAAAATTTTGGATCTGGGTCACTGCCTGTGGAAATTCGCGTTCTTCGGGGCTAGTAAATGGCTTCTGAAAAGCTATTACTCTTTTACGGTAAGAAGAAAAAATTCCGGAAGACGGCAGACAGCAGACGGAAAAAAAAATTTTTTTACGGAAGACGGAAGAAAACTTTTTTCCCGGAAGACGGCAGACGGAAGACGGAAGAAAACTTTTTTCCCGGAAGACGGCAGACGGAAGACGGAACAAAAAAATCCACGGAAGACGGAATTCCGCTCAACTCTGGTTGCAGTGAAAATTATTTGGGGGGCGTGTCCTTGGCTCGCTGCCAACTCCGAATGTCAACAGTATGTCTGTTTCCCGTTTTTTTTTCGTTTTTTTTACTGAATTGGAATTTTTGACGTAAAAAAACGAAAAAAACATAAAACAATCATTTTTTCACAGGCGGAATATTCCCATAACCTATTCATCATCATTCTTATTTAATAAAAAGCTTATAGGGTCTGTCCGTAACTTTCCCTCTCTCTCTTTCACCGTTTGTCCGTTTCAACGTTTTTCATTTCTAACGAAATTATTGTGACGGAGAAATTAAGAAATGAACACGTTAACTTTCGAACGGTTATAAGAAGGAAACAAGCGGCGATCGCCGTTCCCTCGGGACCCAGGATTTAAAAAAGTCTCAGGAGTGATAAATTGATAATGACGCTAGATAATCTTTATACGGTGCAGTAAATCTACAGGTAGAAGATCTTCTTCATCAGCTGCTTCCACCTTCTGTTGCCGATCAGTTGATTTCTGGACAAGCAGTTCAAGCGGAGTCTTATGACTGTGTCACCATATACTTCTCGGACATTGTGGGTTTCACTTCGCTCTCATCACAGTCTACACCAATGCAAGTGGTCACACTACTCAATGATTTGTATCTGGCATTTGATGGTGTCGTAGATAATTTCAAAGTGTATAAAGTAGAAACAATAGGTAAAAGTCAAATTCAATATTCAGTTAAGCTATCGTTTAGGTGATGCTTATATGGTTGTTTCTGGGCTTCCTGAACGGCGCGAGGACCACGCTAACCAAATTGCTCAAATGTCCTTATCGCTACTTCATAAAGTAAAAAACTTTGTAATTCGACATCGGCCTCATGAACAGCTCAAACTTCGCATCGGAATGCATTCGGGTATGGTTTTCTTCTATTGACCTCAACAAATTGGTTAGTAACAAATTTTTGGTATTCCGGCCCGGCTTGCCGGACGGGTATTAATGCTCCCTTTTTTTAATAGATTGCAGGACTGGACGAAAGGGGCTGACTGGTCCCGAGATATGCATATACGGTGAACATTTGTGAACATGCTCGGGTCCGTTTTTATCGCTGCGTATCAGTGTGTTTTCTCGAGAAGTTCTTGAAAAATGCTATTTTTAGAACACACACTGCTGCGTATTGCAAAACGTATCCCTTTTGAGTCGCTACGCAGCGACAAAACACGGGCGGCAAGTTCAAACCATGTTCGCAAATGTTCGCCGTGTGATTTCTATGGAGCGCGTCTGCTGACGTAGTCTTTGGACCGTCGTGCGCAGCAGGGTACGTCGAAAATCAAAATTTGAGTTCGCGCCAATTTGACTGTCCCACGGCGAAATTCGTTGACTCAGGTAAATCGTTTGTAATCTAGCTAGCTAATTCGCGTTTCTAACCGGACCTAATTAGATTGCTAACTTACTGCGATTAGATTGCAAATTCTTTTAACTGGACTGATAAATTTCCTAATTAGATTGGCGAAGCTAATTAGATTGCAAAAACACTGATATTAGTTTCAAAACTTATCTAATTAGATTAAAATTTCGGGCAGAACTTAGCTATTATAGCATTGCAATCTCTCCCAATATTAGACGACGTTAATCGGACTATTATAGGGGCACCGGACAGAAAGGGCGCGCTGTTCGCAATCTGGCCGAATTTCTAGGCCGCGAAGTAATTTACCACTGAAAACGTGGCCTAAATTTTCAAACTCGGCCCCGAGGTCGCAAAATTTGCACTGCAAAAAGTTTCTCAGCAGAGCGCCATTTCTGTGCGGTGCCCCTATAATAATAGATTATTTTTAGATTGCAAAATCAGCTAGCTAGATTTAGAAATCGGTAGCAATCTAACTAGGTCCGGTTAGAAACGAGAATTAGCTAGTTAGATTATGGGGGTTATTCAGGCTGTGAAAAAAATGATTTTTTTTCCGTTTTTTTTTCGTTTTTTTTACGTCAAAAAACCCAATCAGCGGTGTAAAAAAACGAAAAAAAACGGAAAACAAACATACGCTGAATAGCCCCATTAGAAACGATTTGCCTGAGGAATAGCGACTCAATAGTGTTGTGTTGATACGGACTCCGTATTATGGGGTTATTCAGGCTGTGAAAAAATGATTGTTTTCCGTTTTTTTCGTTTTTTTACGTCAAAAAATCCAATTCAGCGATGTAAAAAAAAAACGGAAAACAAACATACACTGAATAGCCCCATTACGGAGGTCACGTTTGACCAAAAAAGAACGCGCGAATTAATGCAATCAACACTGAGTTGGCCCGATGCCAGCAGACATTTTTAACGTGTACGCTCGTAAGTAGGCTGGTCGAACAGGCGATTATTGGCGCCTGCGCCTGTTTTTCAAGCGCCTGTTCGACCAGCCTACCCGTAAGATTGACAGCCCCAAAAGTATTCGATAGAGCAATTGCAACAAGGTACCCTTCTTCGCCCCCGTTACTGCACGACACCTTTAAATAAAAACTTTGAAAAGTTGACGTTTTACAGGCTCTGTTGTATCAGGTGTAGTTGGTTCCAAGATGCCGAGATATTGCCTATTTGGTGATACCGTAAACACGTCTAGCAGGATGGAAAGTAATGGACTACGTGAGTGTTTGCCGTTTGTTTCCAGAAAATTCGATTCAACACGGCCAAAATTTTTGAGCATGGTTTCATTTTGCCTATGTGTAGCAACACCATGAGCTCGCTTGAGGAATACGGTTTTTCATACGGAGCGATACAAACGTTGTCGGCTATGTTCACAAATGTTCGCCTTGCTCAGTTGAAGTTAACGGCTTACAGAGACAGTTACATTACCATTTTTAACACACCTAATTTACGCCTAATAAAAATTGTCGCGCCTATTTACTCATATCAGGCATTGTGCGATACTATGTGTTTCAGCTCTGAAAATTCATGTGTCCCAACAAACACATGATATTTTGATGATGGAAGCTGGATTCAAATTGGAACTGCGGGGCTCAGTGGAAATGAAAGGAAAAGGAATGCAAACGACATACTGGCTACGTGGTTACAAAGATGTGGAAATTCCTGATTTCGGGGAGGAATTTGCTTAACCAGCATATATATTGCAATTCTTCACGGGTTCTGTTTATGTGTACACGACATCCCATTCTTCCCAATTTTGGTGGCCAAGCTCAGGGAAAATGCGATCCGAGTGTTGTATCTGCTACGAAACTCGCAAGACATCTCCGTTGGACACATTCCATTTCAAGTTAATTAGATCTGTTTTATCTGATTTTCCGGTTTGACATCGATTACTTTTTTGTTCTGTATTTACATGTTTACTTTACCTCTTTTCTGATCAACAACAATAAACGCAGTATCAACAAACAATGAGTACCTGCAGTCACTGGGAGCACTCGAACCGAGACACCCAGGTCCCAGGAGAATCTGGGAAAGTTCGGAAACAGTTCTGATTCGGCGTAGCCTTAGAAAATGCCAAAAGAGCGGAAGCGATGATCGTTCTAAGTGACCTTTTGAGCCCAAGTTCTATGTGCTGCTCGCAGCTGCGCATGATGGACGTACCCCCTAATAGAACTGATAGTGAGCGAAATAGAACAGTGCGGGATAGAACAGTGCGGACCAGGGCTGGGCAATTGGCCGGCACGGGCTTTTCGTTGGCCGGCCCTTGACCTGGACTTTTGAACCACTTGCAATATTCCGATCGGACCCAAACTTTGCACGCTTCTTGGACATGGGTTGAAGCATATTGGGACCAAGTTTCAGCCCGATCGGATTATTTGGTCCCGAGAAATGTGGATCATTGGCCGAAATTGGCCGGAAGTCCGGGCTTTTTGGAAAAAATCGGCCAATGATCCACATATCTCGGGACCCGACGATCCGATCGGCCTGAAACTTGGTCCCAATGGTCCTCAATACAAGTCCAACAATCCTGCAAAGTTTGGGTCTGATCGGAATATTGCAAGTGGTTCAAAAGTCCAGGTCAAGGGCCGGCCAACGAAAAGCCCGTGCCGGCCAATTGCCCAGCCCTGGTGCGGACCAAATAGAACTGCGACACAATAGAACTCCTGGTGGAGCACGTTTCAATATCCCCTTTAAAATATCGTTTTGTAAGCCATGTCAATTGTCAAGCCATGTCAATTTTTTAAAGAAAAACTGCAATGGGGCTAATCAGCGTATGTTTGTTTTTTGTTTCTTTTTGTTGGTTTTTTACATCGCTGAATTGGGTTTTTTGACGTAAAAAAAAGGAAAAAAACGGAAAAAATCATTTTTTCACAGCCTGAATAACCCCATAAGATTTTGCTCGTTTTTGATTCCGCGCAATCATGCACTGAATCATGCACTGCACCTGTAGAAAAAACCAACCACCGTGAAATGAACGAATAATGGCCGTGGCCTAGGAACCTTCAAGTCCCCAGCCTGTGCGATGTGCATCAATTTGTTTTACTGAAACGAAAAATCTACCAAATAACTTATTTCCAGTCCATTCAGCCGCAAAATTTTTCTGTGCAAATGCCTAATGGGGTTATTCAGGCTGTAAAAAAATGATTGTTTTCCGTTTTTTTCGTTTTTTTACGTCAAAAAATCTAATTCAGCGATGTAAAAAAACGAAAAAAAAACGGAAAACAAACATACGCTGAATAGCCCCATAACGCAATCTCTTTAGATTCGAAAATTTTCTAATTAGATGCGAATTGATTTGTCTGAGTCTTTGCGCGGGCACACGGGTTGAGAAGTTTGGCTGACATCCATGGTAAATTGATCGATTTTGTAAAATTTTGAGATTTTTGCTCTTGGAAAATCAACTCTTCACTGAATTTAACTATTACCAACGGAATATCTTGATTAATAGCTTCCGGCCCGGCCAACTTATGTATTCTCAAAGAATATTTATTTTTATTTTTCTTCTTTCTGGAAGTCGTATAGAAAATTAAAAGAAAATTTTCAGAGATGTTTCGCTCAATATCTGGCAGTTTTCCGAAAGTTTCGACTAGGCTGGTTTCTAATGGAATTAAATCGAAGGCAACGCAATCTGGTGTTCTCAATCCAGCACTTGCCTCTACGGGAGAGCTTCTATCCTCTTTCCCGTAACGTAAAGACGTATTATCCCCTTATCGTTAAATTTTTAAAGAGATGCGTATCCGGACTTTCTCCAGTCGTCCGTTTGGAACCGTCGTAATTCTTTGAAAAATGAACTTGAGCGACAAGATATGCTGGAAAGACGCATGAACATTGATATTCCGGAGTTCTATGTTGGTGAGTGATCATTGGCTATATTTTTCCAATCAGTCGGGGACTTCCAGGTTCTATTGTCGCTGTAACAATGTCGGATCAAAACTTAGGTTCGAAGGAACACAGATTCGTTGGCATTTGCACTCGCAGAGAAAAGGAAGCACTTCTTCATCAGTTCACTTTAAGAAATACAATTGAGAACATGGGTCAGTTTAGTTTTTCAATATTTTTTTTTTGAAATTCGGGTCACAACCATGATTTTTTCCAATTCTACACCATAATTGCGGTAAAATTTTCGCGTGTACTCGAAAATTCTCAGTGGACACAATGAAAAGTTGAAATTTTTTGAGATGATTTTTCTCAAAAAAAAAAACGGGAACTATAATAGATATCAAAAAGTTATTATTTAATTAATCTTTCTTATATATAAAACACAAGAGGCGTCTTACGGTGAACATTTGTAAATATGGTTTGAATTTCATGCCCGTATTTTGTCGCTGCGTAACGACTCACGCGCGTGCTAAAGGGGGTACGGTTTGCGATTCGGAGCGATGAAACAGACTCGAGCATGTTCACAAATGTTCAGCGTGCGTCTGCTCAGGTAAATCGTTTGTAATCTAGCTATCTAATTCGCGTTTCTAACCGGACCTAATTAGATTGCAAATTTACTGCGATTAGATTGCAAATTCTTCTAACTGGACTGATAAATTTTCTAATTAGATTGACAAAGCTAATTTCGCAAAAACACTCTCAGCGATTTGAAGTGAGGAAACAGCGGCGGAAAGCGTGTCGAACACACTTACAACCGTGTTTCGCCACAGTGCCGCCGCTGTTTCGCCAGAACTCCGCCAGAACAGTGCGTTGTTTTCCGTTGAAACGGCGTTCCTCCGCCGTTTCGACAAAAGCGCCGCGGCTGTGGTCTCGCCACGAGCTTGGCGAAACAGCGGTCATCCGCGGTTTCCTCAAAACGCCTCTTTCGCCGCTTTTTCCTCACTTCAAATCGCTGAGCTGATATTAGATTCAAAATTTATCTAATTAGATTAAAATTTCGGGCAAACCTAGCTAGATTATGTCTAGATTTCAAAATCAGCTAGCTAGATTTAGAAATCGGTAGCAATCTAACTAGGTCCGGCTAGAAACGAGAATTAGCTAGTTAGATTAGAAACGATTTGCCTGAGTGTCTGTCTTTTTGTGAGTCCGCTGAGCGCAACAGAAAGAATGGCGGACCGGACAAAACCGAGAACGTGGCTTTTTAGGACGGTTAGCGGACCCACTGTGCTCGGACGCAAGAGATATACAGTTACCTTTTCAGTAGGTACCCGTTACGACCTCATGTTAAACGAGAATGATGATACTATGTATGATTTCAGGAGTCGAGGTCGTATATGATTTATACAATCCAACAATCAGAAAAATTGAAACACTGAAGTTGGAAAAACGAATGGATGACGATTTAAAATATCTCGTTGATGCTCTTCCAGAGTATTCGACATTTGACTTCCATATGGAACCGCAGGCACATGCAGCTGGCGCGCCTATTCCTGTCAATGAACTTAAGGTGAATCGGCGCTACAGTATAATAAAACTGGGCAAAATAGAATAGAACCGTGACAGAATAGAACTGCGACGTAATAGAGCTGCGCGGAATAGAACCGGCCATATTATAGGGGCACCGGACAGAAAAGGCGCGCTGTTCGCAATCTGGCCGAATTTCTAGGCCGCGAAGTAATTTTCCACTGAAAACGTGGCCTAACTTTTTAAACTCGGCCCCGAGGTCGCTCAATTTGCAGTGCAGAAAGAGCTTCTCAACAGAGCGCCATTTCTGTGCGGTGCCCCTATAATAATAGAAGTGCGACAAAATAGAACTGCGCAAAACAGAACTGCGACACAATAGAACTGTTCAGAGCGCCTTTCTGTAGAAAAATCGTTTTCTAAAGTACTCGGCAAAGGCGCGCCACTTTTGCGCAAACTTTACGCAGCTTCTGCTGGCTAGTTGAAAAAAGCTTCCGTTTTTTTCGTTTTTTTACACCGCTGATTTGGGTTTTTGACGTAAAAAAACGAAAAAAAAATCATTTTTTTCACAGCCTGAATAACCCCATTATAAAATTCTCTGCTAATTCACTGAAACACTTCTGATTCATGAATCGGAGGAGTAACGGCCGTGTCTATGCCGCGTCTTTTCGCCTTCCGCCAAAAAAATTTGAATTCCGCCTTTCAAAAAATCGATTCCGCTCAACTCTGGTTCCACTTCTCTTCTGAATCATATCGCACGTAATCATATAACAGTCTTAATTCGAACGGAACTCACCGAGTCTCCTTTCGAGACAAATGACTTGGACACTTTTTGACTGAAGTCGATAGTTTCGTCCGGATCCATTTTTCTCTTCACAGTGGCTCATGTTCTATCTAAACCAGAAAAGAATGTGATATAGTACAAAAGTACGAGCATGTGAATCGTTCAAACATCTTGAATAATTGTGAAGTAGCTCGAATTCAAGTGATTTCATACAAATTTTCAATAACACTCGCTTCTAACCGATGATCTCAAATTAGTCAATTCTTGTTTGAAACAAGTTTTTTGAGCATTTTCAAGTCAGATTCGTTCAAGCCTCTCGATTCGCTAGAACCTGATATCAGATTTTTGGCCAAAATGAAGCCAGGCCCAACAAGGATCAGACTGGCTTGAGCGCCAAACTCCAGGCTGACATTGCCCACTTTTAGGACTTCATATGGAAGGTTTGAAACATGACATGTTTGAGTTTGGTGTCAATCGGTTCAGTTTCAACCGAGTTATGAGCTCCCGATTGTTGAAGTGTAGAAAACCAACATTTTTCAGTACATTTCTGTTCAGTACATTTTTTCAGTACATTTTTCAGTACATTTCTGTTGGTTTTCTTCACTTCAACAATCGGGAGCTCATAACTCGGTTGAAACTGAACCGATTGACACCAAACTCAAATATGTCATGTTTCAAACCTTCCTTATGAAGTCCTAAAAGTGGGCAATGTCAGCCTGGAGTTTGGCGCTCAAGCCAGTCTGATCTTTGTTGGGCCTGGCTTCATTTTGGCCAAAAATCTGCTATCAGGCACGGCCCGGCGTTTCATACATAGGACTTTCGGTTTGTTCAATATATCTTCAGAAATCGAACATAGGGACCTCTGATTTTTTGATGAGTTTAATTTTACTGGGTTCTTCAAAATGAGCCAGGTCAGAGGTAAATGTAAGGTTTCTGAGAGAAGTTACAGCTTCACAATTTCCACTCCTCCGTATGCTTTGCCGGCCCGTGATCAGGTTCTAACGAATCGAGAGGCTTGAACGAATCTGACTTGAAAATGCTCAAAAAACTTGTTTCAAACAAGAATTGACTCATTTGAGATCATCGGAGTCCCCCGGCTCCACTCCCGAGCTCCACACAGAACATGAGGCCAAACCTGGGAGAGTGACCCTAGGTGGCGTCGGGGTCAAGGCTTCAAAAAGGCTTTTTGGACATCCTATATGTGCAAAAAACCCCATTCAAGATCACGTTTATCAGTTTAAGACGATTCCAGAGTGTTTTCAGGGGTGGCCCTATACTTATGAAACGTTTGCAGCTGCAACATTTTTGTTTGGGAAAGACGATATATTCAATTTTAGGGGTGGCCCTATACTTATGAAACGCACTGAATAATATGTTTGTTTTCCGTTATTCTTACATCGCCGAATTGTGCTTTTTGACGTAAAAAACGGAAAAAATAATTTTTTTCACACCCTGAATAACCCCATTACTTTGAAATGCCCCGATAGTACACCACTTGGGTACAAAGGGAGCTTTCGAGACAAAGACTCAAGCTTAATAGAATTTTCATTTTTCGAAAATTTGCGTCGAAGAATTCTCAAACTGAACTTTTGATTTTCACGCGATTGTCAATAGACTTGTTGTTCGTGCCGCGTCCAAAGTCTCGGAAAAACCGGAAAAACCGTAGGTTTTTCTGTCCAAAGTCGGCCGACATTTGCGTGAAAAACGGGGATGCGCACAGCTGAACGAATTTAACCGTACCCCTAAAACTACGGTAATTTTTGAAAATTTGCGTAAATATCCTCAGGAAATTCCTCAGAAAAAAAAACCTGCGGTTTTTCGGTTTTTCCGAGACTTTGGACGTGGCATATTCAACGAGCGTGAGTGTCGGAAGTGATTAAGCACGTTAATACAAGTATTTTAAGCGTTCAAACGGGAAAAAGTATCGGCGAATGACCGAAATTCGCGCATTTTCAGCACAAAACTTAAAATCGATTCAATTGATTCATTTCTGAATGAAACGTGCTCGTTTTAAGCTCAAAAAGTGCGCGATGATTAGTTTAACCAAGGTAAGCAATTACATCGTCGAAACCCGTACAAAATTTGGGTAATTTTTGACGAAAAACATGAAAAATGGGGTTAAATTTCGAATTTCGCGCCAAATGGTGATAAACCGTGCACGCTAGGCCACGCCCCTTTCTACGTTTTTGGTCGCCGTGGCGAGCTAAAACGTAAATTAAACGTTTAAAAACATGCACTGCATGGTGTAGCAAGAAATTTAATTGGCATTTTAAGGTCAAATTGAAAAATAATCCGTGGACTCGGCGCTGGGAGTTGTTGGGTTACCGTGGAATTCAAGATCTATGGACACAAGTGACTCCTTGGTACAAGAGAAAGCTAACGAAAACCAAGGTATTTAAATTTGACCATCCGTCAATTCTTGTTCATTTCAGGTTACTGACTACGAAAAGTATGATCTTATCTACCACTACAGAACTTCGTCGACTGCTGAACAAGATAAATTCGTCCAAGTAAAAATTCAAGAGTGAGTTCACTCACTTGTCGTTTAGTATTAAAAAAAAATGACAAGAATGATATGAGGAAGAAAAACTTCGTTTCATTCTCGCTTAAATTTCAGATTCGAGAAAGAGAGACACTCTGCAGGACTAACGCGTCGTCGTATCCTTAAAAGTGCATCGGCAAATAAATAGATTTTCTTGAAAACTGGCAAATTCGTTTTCAATGTTACATTGAGTTTCAACAATGTTGCGACAAGATTCGCAATTTCTGTTGTAGGATGCTCAAACACGGTATATCGAGCACGACGTCGTCTCATTTGCGTTGACCAACAACTTTCTTATTAACCTGAGATACTCTGACTCACCATACTATTTTTACGATTACGGCAAAAACTGTCTTACTCCCGTTTCACGTGATTTGCGCCTCCTACTAACTACTAAGGAAAAAAAGACGTCAATTCGGCTCCAAAAACGGAAACGGCGACGGCGGTGTCGCTCGGCGTCAATTCGGCTCCACCCTGGCACAGGCGCATTTTCCGAATTCGAGAGAGACACACAAAGTCGAAAAGGCGTCGGCGGCGACAATTCGGCTCTACTTCGGCGCCATCGCCGGCGCCTAGTACGCCAAGAAAATCATTACTGACTCGCAATTCTCTGGCGCTTTTCTTTTTCACTGTCACATTTTTTCATTTTTTTGACAATTCTTTTTTGCCTTGCTCTCATTTACTTGCAGGATTGAGAGATGATCAACTTTCAGAGCAGCACATGACAAAAGAACAAGCGACAACCGTTGGATACCGGGAAAGGTAATGAATAGATCTAATCCGTGCTTTCATTTAATTTTTTTCTATTTTCAGAACTGAAAAAACAGCGAAAAAAGCAAGGAGACGTCGTGAATCGGTGCCAGTGAAGACGTAAACGAGCGGAACCCGAATACGAGGCCACCTTCGTTTTAATGTAAATTTTCGACTTTCTCGGCAAAGGCGCGCCACTTTTGCGCAAACTTTAAGGATCCTCGCAGATTTTGCACAAACTTTAAGGATTCTCGCAGCTTTTGCGCAAACTTTAAGGATCCTCGCAGCTTTTGCGCAAACTTTAAGCGGCTTCGAAGCTTTTGCACAATCTTTAAGGCATGTCGAAATTGTTATGGAAACTTTGCATTTTCAGTATTGTTATCTTTTTCCAGCTTGTTTTTATGCGTTTTATTTGTTTTTTGTTGCTTATCAAATTGAAACTACTTATCTTTTTTCGTATTTCCTCGGTTTGAGCGCATTTCAAGCGAAATTTCAGCCGGAATTCGTTTAGAAGCGAGTGTTATTGAAAATTAGGAAGAGAAAAATGGATCCGGACGAAACTATCGACTTCAGTCAAAAAATGCGCCTGAAAAACGGGCACCTGAAATCGCCTGTTCGACCAGCCTACTTCCGGTATCCCTGGGGACAGGAAAGTTTTGAATACAATTCTGTACCGCTCCCAGTCTTTATCATTTTGCTCACCTTCATCATGATTGCTTATTATGATTACCTATCAATAAACTGTGTCTAAGTATTCACCCTCCTTATGCAATTAAGAAAACACAATTGGTTCACTAATTCCTTGAAGGAAAGAACTCCTGTATTTTAGACAGAATTTACGTATTGTAATCGGCAATGTTTTCTAATTAGATTGCAATTATTTCTTATTAGATTGCAATTCAGGAAAAATATACTGTTGAAAAAAAAAAGTTTCGACATTGGAATCGAAGCTGGCAGCGTGCCAAGGCCCGGCCTTCCAAACGCATATGCTGCGCGGGGTTGTTGCAACATTGCCGCACGCTTTATTGTTCTTCGTTTTTGTCTTTATTTTTCGGCTAAAAATCAGCAGAAATTTGGTTTTTTCCCATTTTTTACCCGTATTTATTCATTTCAATCGTCTTTTGCTATAAAAAATCAACTTTGAAAACAGATTTATCGATTTTTAGCTTGAATTTGCGAACATTTCTTGACTTTGTGTTTTTCTCCTTTCGATTTCGCTGAATTTGAGAATTTTCAGGATTTCCACCTACGGAAAACACGAACAAGCAACAAAAGAGCATGGATTTCTTCTTTTCGTGTTAGTTTTTGAGGTAACAATAATTTTCTCTCCGATCAACGTTTATAGACTTCACTCCTCCGCCGTCAGCACACAACGGTATACAAAAACCTGTCGTGTCAGTTTGAAGAGGAACAAAAATATTTTCTCTCCGACCGCTTTTTCAAAGTCCGTGGACGCTTCAATCTGGAAAAAAGGAGAAGAAAATTGAATATCACTGATAATAAAATTCATACACTTGTCATGCCATTTAATTTATTGGAAAACGTAATAAATACATCTAAAATAATTGTTATTAGTGCCAATTCATCCAGCCCGCTGCAGCAGGAGATGCGTCTTCAACTTTCCCTTGTGTGCTGACGGCGGAGTGGAGAAGACGGCGGAGGAGTGAAGTCTATAAACGTTGATCGGAGAGAAAATTATTGTTACCTCAAAAACTAACACGAAAAGAAGAAATCCATGCTCTTTTGTTGCTTGTTCGTGTTTTCCGTAGGTGGAACTCCTGAAAATTCTCAAGTTCAGCGAAATCGAAAGGAGAAAAACACAAAGTCAAGAAATGTTCGAAAATTCAAGCTAAAAATCGATAAATCTGTTTTCAAAGTTGATTTTTTATAGCAAAAGACGATTGAAATGAATAAATACGGGTAAAAAATGGGAAAAAACCAAATTTCTGCTGATTTTTAGCCGAAAAATAAAGACAAAAACGAAGAACAATAAAGCGTGCGGCAATGTTGCAACAACCTCGCGCAGCATATGCGTTTGGGAGGCCGGGCCTTGGCACGCTGCCAGCTTCGATTCCAATGTC